GTTCTCGTCCCTATCATAGACGTGTGTGTGTGGGCGTGCGGGTGGCTCCGCTTTGCTCCTCGAGATTTTCCCTTCCGTGAAACGGGGACGTGTCTGCAGGATTATGTGACGTACGCGAGTTTGATCGGAAGACAGTTACTGTCAGGAAAGCGCTGGCTGGAGCTGCCCGCAAGACGACTGGTCGCAGGAGGTGTTTTCGTGGTAAGCGTCACCCTCGCCGGCATCACGCTTTACCACGGGTGGTATTCCAACACACAAAGCATTCAAGACGATCATGTCCGGAATGGCTCTGTGGAGACGTGCGACTGCGCCCCGCTATGGAGATGCATGCAAGCGTTCGGTAGCGAGCACGCACCAGAGTGCGCAGCGGAACGAAGCAGCCTCCTGCGCTGCATGGCGCACAGCAAGCCTTCTACATCATAAACATGAAGGGGCACCATTGGCGGCCTTTATGTGACTGTGCAAAGAAGTGACATCATGAAACTTGCTCATGGAGAATTTGGTCAACCATCCAGTACAAACGCGGACGGCGTGGTGCACGTGGAGCGCCTGGCAACGCTCGGCGGCTGAGGCAAAACCTGAAAACGGCAACGTCGTCCACGCTCGAGAGAACCTGGATACGGCAGTGGTAGAGGTATGGGGTGACTCGCATTGAGCTAAGCACGCATCGACTCTTGTGACGGAGCAGCGCGGAATACGGCCTCGCCATCATGATGCGCTTAAAGCGTTCAAACTGACCCAAATCAATGCGCTTTCCGAAGAACTCATTCTTGATCGACCAGACGTCAAAGTTCGCAAAGGCATACAACGCTTCAATACCCTCATCACACTCCTGCGCGGTGGTGAGTGCCTGTCGACGCGAGAGACCTTCCAGTAAGTGCTCCACAGTTTGTTCAGCGGAAAGCTGTGCATAAAGCGCAACGGTATCACGCCAGCGAAGCGAGTCGCCCCCGGCCGGTCGAGGTGCACACGCGTCGAGCTTGGCGGGACCTGCACCCCGGCGCGCGTTTGCGAGGCGAAGCCGTTCACAGCGCGTTACCCGCACTGCTTTGGCTGGGTAACGCAAATAATTCAGACCCAAAGAAGGACTAGAAGCAAGTGATACCAGCATTGATGGCGGTTCACGCCTCCAACAGGCACCCTTTTGGAGTCGACCTCAGTGCAGCAGCGTAGCGGTACCTGGGGGGGAGAATTCGCTGCACCCCACACAGGATTCCGTTGCGCGAGCTGTGCACGCACTTTGGCGAGCATTCGCGCTACCTCGATGGCCAGCGCGCGCAACCGAAAGCGCAGCAGCGCCTCTGGCACGAATGGCGCCACCAAACTGCCTTCCGCAGCTTGCATGGTGGATGGTGTCGGATTGTCCAGGTTATGCGCTTATGCTAATGTGCGCGACGCGCATCGGCATCAAGGGTACCTTCTGGGCGCAAGGTCCAGCGAATCGGATACGCATACGGGGCCAGTGCGCTTTCTGCGCCTACCCACTGTGGTGGGTGTCAAGCACAAACCCGCATTGCCAACCGACAACAGCGCATTCCATGCATGATCACGAAGGAGAGCGGCGGCTCCCAGCATTCATCCTAACAGCCAAGTTTCTCCAGCGTGTCGTTCAGCAAAGGCAAGCCTGCATCCGCAGACTGTCCGAGCACATACCGACGACGAGACCCGATTCTACGTCGGGTGAAGCACGCCTCAAGCCGACGCCCTCTCGGGTATAGAAAAGCTGTTCTAGCTCTATGAACTATCTGCTCTAGCATTTAAGGTCCAAAGGCGGATACGGAACGGCAGGCACTAGGCACACCCGATGGGACGTATGAAACGGCCGGAATATCCGAGAAGAGGTATCGGTAATGTAACTTGGAGGTTCGGGGGTTTGATGGACACCTTACCGCCCACTGAAAAAAACCACAAAAAAAGTAAGAAACAAATGCGCTTAATCGGAGAACGCTGGCCGAAGTAAACGTGTTGTCAGTGAAAAAAATCCGAACGTGCTGCTGTGGTGGCATATAGATACCTAATGATATATTTATCAATATTTATAGTACTATAGATTCATGATGGTGCGTAAATGGAGAGGTGCATACCGTTTCGGATTGCGTGCGCGCAACTGCGCCAGCGCAGGCGGAAGAAAACGTGCGCCTGTGCGGACGCTGTCCGTTGAAGAGCAAAGGCTGGGTGTGCGGACTTGCGTATGCGCGTGTGGTATCACGAGCGTCAGACTCGAGCGCTCGTGTGACGCCAAACGTCAGCCGATGGACTTGCAGTGAACGATAGCTGTTTGTTGGGGTTGCATACACCTCCGATGGTATGGACAGTGCACCGTTGGTGCCGGTACTGAGCTCCATGGCGGCGATTCAACAAGCACTGGCTGAGGAAACCGAGCGTCTGGTTGCCCTGCGCTTTAGCAGCGATCCAGCAGCCGTAGATTGTGTCTTCATGGACGAATTCCTGGCAAGATCAGCAGCGCGCGTGCGGCGGTTCGCAGTGGTGTACGATGTGGACTTGCGGCAGGTTCCGCAGGCTGCGCGGCGCTTCGGCGTTGAGGCGTGGCGACCCCTGTCGCTCCAGTTCTATTATCGAAAGCGCCTCATCAAGGTGGACTGTGGTACTGGAGACACGGCGCGTCTGACCCGTCCGGTGCCGAGCGTGCAGCAGGTGGTGGACCTCTTCGAAGTCGTCTATCGACAGGCGTTGCGCGGAAAGGGTCTCGCGATGGCGCCGTTCCGACTCTAGCGCGGACTGTGGACGTATGCTGGCGGCCTCGGAGGTGTAGGATGCAAAACGTCAGCCCCGCAGCTTCAATGCATGGCGGGATTCGCTCGTGCGTCATTCGTGCAGCATTCCATATGCTTTGATGGCTGCTGCGAACGTCGACTCATGCTATGAAGCTCCCGAGATCGTAAGAATGCCAGGTCCAGGGCGCTGCATCGCCCAAGTGGACCGCAGTTGCCACTCACGAGGGAGCGTGCGTCGACCACGTATACCGAAGCGCGCGAACGCAGAAAGCTCCCCGTCTGTGGAACAGCTGGAGCCACAAGGGTGGACACGGCAGCGCGAGCCGCACCTGGCCACGAAATGTTCATGAGTGCACGGGTACGGCTCGCTGGGGAACGCCCGCTCACCGGTCTCGCGGCAACTGACATACTGCGCAAGGCGTCGTAATCACTGGCCAGTGCCTAGACGTATGTATGCATGGATACATGTGCGCGTACGTGCGCTCAAGCGTCGCTCACGCAGTCTCCTGGATACATTCGACACCAGTCTGAGACCAAGAAAAGGCGTCATCGACTATATCAACGGGAACGATGTGCGGTACACTGCACGCAGACGGCACAGCGTGCTACCACATCGCCGTAGTGCGCGCTCAGAATGAAACCTTCGGATGCTGCGTCAAATTTTGGTGTCTGGATTTACCCCGGATACTTCAAATGCTTTGTCAGGTGCGCCTGCTTCCTATTTGTCGCACGTATCCACATTCGAGACTCGTTTCCTATTCATACTGAGAACAGCGTGCTTCTTGTCCTACCATGCATCAATCGGCAGTGTAGATGCGCGTGCACCTTCCTCGGCTTCCGTTCGGGCTCGGAGCCCGTCAGCGGCACTCATGCAGGGTAGCGCTACCACCATCGCTGCTGGTCATACACAGCCAGTTGCTCCTGTGGGCGAACTGGATTTATATCGCACCACGGGATCGCAAACTGACCCAGGCTCGACGGTGACAGCTCCGGTGCCTCGCGGGCGATGAGCTCCAAAATGGCATCGTAAACGAAGCGCTGACCTCGATCACTCAGGTGAAGTCCATCGATGAAGAGGCCGGAACGTTCCGCTGGAGGCAGCTGCTCGATTTGCGTAAAGAGATCTAGGAGCAAGACTCGATCTCGGGGTCGAATCTGCGCAGCAACACGGCGACAAGCAGCCGCGTACTGTCTAGTTCGTGCACACATACGATCAGACTCAGTTCGTTGACCTGAGTCCGATGGCTGGTGGGCGTCGGGCGCAGCGCGCTCCGCTGCGAGACTGCTTTGGATATGGCGCCGCCGAGCTTCCTCGTCTACCCACGGTGGCGTCATCAGCAGAACACGAGGGTATCGAACAGACTCTATCTCATTCGCCTCCGATGCATCAGGTGCCGGTGCCGCTGCGAGCGACGGTGGCGTTCGACCGTGCTGCTGCCGCTGTGGACGCCTCTCGCTGGTCAGGGTCAGGGATGCGTCGTGCGAGCGCTCCAGTATGAGCCGAAGCATCTCGTAAACATTGCTTGCGTATTCATCCAGTGGAACGTACTGTGCAGTACCGGGTGCTGCGGCATCATTCGCTCCAAACCAGATCCCAACGAGCAGCAGACGCTCCTGTGCCACATCCGACAGGTGATGCCGGACCACTGGCAGCGCCCACCGCGTGTTATAACCCGACAGACCACGAAAGATGCAGTCCGCCGCACCGTTATATGCGTGAACGAGTCGCAGACCCCAGCCAACGGAGGTGTATCCAGCGTATTCGTTGATATCGAGGCCGCGACGTGTCAGCGAGTCACCCAGAAATAGCAGCACTGGAGTGGCAGCGGCCATCCGGCGCGCAAAGAGAGCCCGAAACTGCTCGGTAATACCGCCGTGAGCCCTGGACACGACGCCGCCCAGTGCGTTGAAGGTTCGTTGCCAGCGTAGCTGCCATGGTAAGCGCTGCTGCGAAGCTAGGGCGCTGACCGGTCGCTCCTCCGACTGGTTGAAGGTTGCCGCGTCGCGCGCTTGCGCGGGGTCTTCGACGCCCGCAGGCTGCTCGGATGCCATTAGCCCAGCTCAGTGCACTCAGTGACAAGCGTAGAATCCATAAACCGCACCAGCATAGCAGCACTCGAGTCGCTGAGCGGACAGTCGGACCTAAGGACGTTACGCTTGCAAGGCGTATGCGCTCGCACTCGACTGCAGTTGGTGCTGGCGCTGCGGCATGCCAAGCGGCATGCGCTGCGTACCTTGCTCGAGCGCACTACGTTGAAGCAGCGCATGGACGAGACTGCTTCATACGAAGTACGTGAACTATGCGAAACAGATCTTGAGCACGGGTTTCCAGAGTTGCTTGCCCAGCTTACACAGACGGGTACGCTGCCGTTGTCCTTTTGGCGCGAACGCTACCGCCTTCGCCAGCAGCTGCCGGGCACGTACGTGACGCTGGTGGCCGTCGAAAGTGCCACAAAGCGCGTAACAGCGACAGCAACGCTGCTTATCGAGTACAAATTCACGCGAAGCTGCGGGCAAGCCGGTCACATTGAGGACGTTGTGGTTGACGCAGCGTATCGGCGGCGGAACCTGGGCTCACGCCTCGTTCGAGAGCTGTGTGCACGAGCGCGGGACCAGTTCAAGTGCTACAAGGTTACCCTGGACTGCGTCGAAGAAAACGAGGCCTTTTATGCGAAACTCGGTCTGGAGCGGAAAGGTGTCCAGATGGTGCGCTACTTCCGTATTTGAGGCCCTGCACTGACCCAGCATCCGGACGCAAATAACCAGTGCCGAGAGGTGTACTCGTCGTTGCTGCGACTCCTGAACTTTTCCAGACGATCTAGCATATCGCGGATGACACTGAATGCAGGCGAGAAGCTTCCCGTGATCAAGTCTAGAATTCGCAAAACCTTTTCATTGCAAGCAGCAACATGTCATAATGTTGCACGAGTATAACCATCGGTTTTCGTATTGCAGCGCACGAGGGACGACGACCCGTCCGCCCAGGAGGCTTGCGGGCACGCTGCTGCGATCGCTGGCTCGCTCCTGGTGCTCAACGCGAGCGCCCCGGATTCTCCATATGTGTGGGATCACGAGCGTACCCAGTCGCTCGTTTCCTGGATGAAACGTGTGTGCACGAAGCCGCGCTCTCTGTGGTCGAATTCGCTACCTTAACCGTTGGCAGCGAAACCACCAGCTCGATACGTGTACTGAACTCACCGGTGTCGTGATGAAAACGCATTTTACGAGTTTTCGAGGGTTTGTGCAAGCTCGCACACCCTCGACAGCAAATGCTCGTTACCGATCATGCTTCGGATCACAACATGGATACGTTCAGCGTGCTTCTACGCTAGATGCCGCCTTTCTTCATCTGGATCGCCGCTTACACATGCGGGATATTCGGCCAAGGACGCCCGCATCGCGAACCCTGATCGCTCCAACTTGGTATCATGTATGTTCAATAGAGCGAAAACGTTTCGCAACCATGTAGGTTCAATGAATACCCAGGCGCAGACGCCTCCCAGCCTGTTTTGACCAGCGGCCTGCTATCGGTTTTGATTTACCCAGGTGCACCTGTAGTCTGGGAGGCTGCCCACAAAGTTGGATCGCGTCAGTTCTGCGGATCTGGCCTTCAGCACCGCACATCGTCTGATATTGATGGTGGCGTTGAGGTCTCGGTTCTTGATCTCCTTGCGTGCAGTGCCACTGGTTGAACGCACGATTGCAAGAAGTTTTAGAACTCGTGCTCGCTGTGCCACTAGAGGCTCGCCTATCCAACACCTCTTCTTCTGCTTCTTCGTCGTCGTCGCTTGTGCTTCTTCTTCGCTCGATCGTCAGCAAGAAGAGGATTTTTCGGCAGCGGACGATAACGGCCCTTCAGGATCCCCGACTTTCACGCCCATAACTTTCCCTTGCACTCCTTATTTCTTCAAATGAACACACCTTGAATGCATCAGCGCTAACCAGCGAGACAGCCTTTGATGAAACGCATCTAGGGATTGGAAAACAATTCAGGAGCATGTCAAGGACACGACGATGCGGGAATCGCGCAGGCATCGATCGGGCGACGCAGGCGGGTGCACACGCTCCAGTTCACACTGAAACGTAGGAGCAGGCGGTTGAAAGGCCCTCGCGTGGGCAACAACGTGCTCTGCGTTGCTTCGGTGGCGTTCATAGCAAGCTGTTCAGGTACGGGGTTTGTGAGGTCTGGCTTGGCCCAGGTGTGAGCAAGCTCTGCTCATAAACGTTATCTGTAGTCGGTACGAAGACGATGTTCTTGAACGCAGGCTGTGTGCCACGTCGTAGTGGGCCTGGGTCTCAGGCACGCCCCGTACGAGGTCTCGGACGTGAACGCAAGCTGCGCTGGAGCGCCCGGTTCGCGAGGCGACGAGTGGCGTTTCTTGACATGCTGGTACTTCCCAGTGATATGCTGAGTGAACTGGGACCACAGCCAGTGAGCCCAGTCATTTGGGTTGCCTCTTTGTTGAGCACGGTCCCGTTCTTCGTCGGACTGGTAGTGTTTCTGAAGGCGATAGCGCGACAGCGATCCTGTGCGACGTGCAAGGGCTCGGGTTTGGTCGCCACCGACTCAGCGAAGCTAGAACGCTGCCCACGGTGCGGCGGTTTTCTTCCATGGCAGCACTGGTGGCGATTTTTCACAGGATGACTTGTCGCTCTGTAGACCAGGACTCAGAAAAGGATCAAGGCCCCTGGGCGTTTAGATATGCGTCTGCCCAGCATCCAAGAACAGACTTGATCGGTGAGCAACAAATGCTCGGCGATACTGCGGAGATATTCTGTGCTCCTGTCGCTTGGTGCGCACCGCTCTAGGCCGCCTGAGCGTTGCAGCGTCCAGATTGTCTGGGGCGCGCGTCAGGCACTGCTGGAAGACCCGTACCAATGCCCTGCGAGCTGGTAGGCTGACACCATCCCTGCTACAAGAATGATGATATCAAGCATGATGCGTACCCAGCGTTTCTCTCGCTCAGACGCTAGCATGAAATATGGCTGAAACGTAGAACAAGCATGCGAATATCTCCGCGAGATTTGCGTAAAGGAAAACGCTATGCGCTCTGACGAACCAGAATGGCACTCGAGCTGAGCATTCCCTGACGCCGTGACGGACGGTGCTCGGTGGACCAGTTCGGTACGCGATCAATGGGCAGGCAAGTCACCCATCTGGTGGTGATGTCCTTGCGTTGCGGGGTGGTCGCAGCTGCCCAAAGTGCAAAATCCACTCTGACCTGGTTTGGACTTGCTCGGAAAGGCGCTCCCACAGAGCACATGCTGTTTTGTTCTCGAGTTGCAGCAAACACCGGCGTGCTCCTGTAATTTGAGGGCAAACGCTCCGTTGTCAGCAGTTGCCGCGCTAGCGTCACGCGGTTGCGAACGAAGGCTGGTTTCCAGTCAGGCCGATCCCGAGGCTGCCTCGCAAACTTGGTACCACGACGAGTACGCACGATCTGAACATTCAGGCGCATTCTGGATTTCGAACCTGTCCAAGTCGGTGGTGCAGAGCAGACTACACGGACGCGCACCCACAATGAGGCCGGCTGCCGGGAGCTCAGTCTCTCTGCTTCCGCAAATGCAGCCGCGCTGCCCTCGCCTCCCGGAGCGCCTCGCTGCCCTGTGGAACAGAGCCATGTACGCACCGGCGACGTTTCTTACGCCAAAACTTTCCGAATTGTTGACGACTATGCACAAAGTGCGCCACTGCACCCGCCACGCGGCGGCGACACGGGCACGTCAGCCACAAAGAACCCGTAGCGTGCTTCGCCTGGATGCCTGCCGCCGGTACCTGGATATCAAGGCCTCGTCGATACCGCGCCAAGCGTTAGCGGTGCGCTTAGCACGCATCGATTCGTTCAATGGATACAGATCCAGATCCGTAATACAGTACCCAGCATGGTACATATCCTAGCGCTGGAGGAGGCGCTCACGTCTCAAGTTGTCGCGCGCCCGCTCATCATATTCAGGCAAAGCGGCCTGTAACGGCGCTGTGATCGCAAAATGCGCATACAGGAATCGCTACCCTCGAGCCGACGCCCTTTGTGCGGTACAGCAACGCAGCGCTAGCTCTATGAACTATCTGCTCCAGCGGTTCAGGCGCAAAGGCGGATACGGAACAGCAGGCACTAGGCACACACGAGAGGACGTGAGAAACGACCAGAATATCTGAGAAGAAGTATAGGTAATGTAACTCGGAGGTAGGGAATTCGGTGGATACTTCACCGCGCACTGAAAAAAAAACAGAAAAAGAAAAGAAAGGAAAAAGCGCGTAATCAGAGAACGCTGGCCTAAGTAAACGTTCTGTCAATGAAGAAAAATCGAAATCGCTGCTTGCCGGTGGGCGCTCAGGCAGCGCTTCGTGGTACGCGCTGCAATCACAGCGGCGGCGTTACAGGCACGCGGCGCGCATGCAGCGCACGTCACGCTCGGGACAGCGGTTACGGTTGCGGGAATTTGAACCCGGCGCATGGATCGCGTTGTTGTTGAGCCTGCAGCCGTTGCAGCTGCGGGCGAGCGTGCGTATCGTTGCGCGTTGTATTTGCTCTCCGGCTCTTTCAAGCAGTCTCAACAGATAACATGTCTCTGCAGACACCTCCGCACTATCGTCGTCCTCAGGGAATGCGCTCACCACTTGCGTACGAAAAGGAGAATGTGCGCTTGACGCCGAACAATCTCACGCGAATGAACGAGTCTTTCGCTACGCCGTTCAAGGAGCTTGCAAACTCCCCGATGCGGCTGGAGGACAAAGCCTTGCTCGTCAAAAGGATACAGGAGGAAGCCTATAAAGCGAAGCAGCTCAAGCTCCTGAACGCTACGCTCATTTCTCGTCTGAGGGAAACCACTCTCGAGCTGGAAGGAAACAGGGAGAGGCTGCATCAAGCGGAGCAGCGCGTGACGCACCTGGACCAGCAGGTCAAGACACTGGAAGCGCAGCTCCACGACAAAGACGTGGATCTCGTCTCCGTTAGCAAACAGCTTGCACTTCAGGAGCAAGCAAATCGCGAGCTCCAGGCCTACATGCGGGAGCTGGAAGAGCTCAGGCTCGAGGTCGTTGCCTTGCGTGAGTCAAAGCAGCAGGTGCTGGTGGATATGGAAGGACTGCGTTTCGAGAAGGATCACGAAATGGAGCTACTTCAGAATGACATGGAAAAGCGCCAACAAGCTCGAGAGAGGGAGCTCGCCGAGTTACTGGAGACGGTCGCAACATTGCGGCGCGAGCAGGCACAGCTTCGGAGCACGCTTGAAACCATTGAATGCAAGAAAAATGAAGTTGCTCTTACTCTTGACCGCATGTTTGGCGAAGTCCGAGTCTACCGGGAGGCGTGTCAGCTGCGCGATCAAGAAAATCAACAGCTACGCAACAGGAACCTGGAGCTGGAAGGCGAGCGCACCCAGTTACTCTTGGAAATAGAGAGGCTTGGCAAGCAGATTGAGGCCCTGCGTATGGATCTGGAAACGACGCGTCTCAAGAGCACGTTGTATTACAAAGTTCGCAGTCTGTTGGGTAATCTATTCACTTACTTTACACGCAGTAACTAGACTCATTGAGAAAGATACGTAAACGGCGCGTGCGCTCCACGCCAGACCGAGGCGTAGCAGCGAATCATCCGTACATGGCCCCCGATGGGACACGCTATTTGTGGCAGCGGTCCGCGAGAAGAAAGCGATACCGTCGCGCTCGTACTTGCTGCTTTTATGCGTATATGAGTGGATGACGCAACCCAGGCGATCGAAACGTCTACAGCCCGGGCGCGAAAAATGAAGCAGACTGAGGGTAACGGCCGTTTGCGGATCAATCGCAAATGCACCCTGGAGGCGCACCCTGCTGACGTCGTACGATCACGTTGCCGGTCCAGAAAAGTGGGAATTCACGCGAGGCATTCCTGATGTGTCGACAGAGGCAAATGACAGGCTGGTGGCGGTGGAGGAGCTCGAAACGCTTCCGACTTTGGACGGGACATCGTCGCCAGCGCACGAGTCGCGTAGCTGCGTCCGAGTTCATCGTTTGGCGCTCGGCCTCGGGCTGACGGATATCGTATCGTAAGGCTGGTTTACGCATCATGTCTGTCTTCGTTGCATCTTGCGCTCCTACGTGTTCCTCAACGGACCCGTATAGAGCAAAGCAGACGACGCCCTGTCCGAATACTAACGCCTCGCCGCCACATGCGTTTCTTCTACGCGTCTCCCATATGTCACATCAAGGGTAATGATGGCATCGTAGACACGTTTGACCTGCATGGAGTCACCAGGGATCGACGGCCGGCCTCTCCGAGCAAGAAACAAGCATTCGACCGGCGTCGCGAAGCGCATGGACGGTGCTTATCCCAGGTCTCTCGTTCACAGATACAATGCGGAGCGAATGAAAATCCATATACAGGCATTTCGTGAAATCTCGACCCGAGTCGAGCAACGAGACTCATTCTCAGCCGCTCACCGTAGATGAAGAGATGGACCTGGAGATGCCGGGCTGAAGAACCTCATTGCCGTCGATGCAACGCTGCGTCAAGGAGACACAGCTAGAGACCTGAACGGAAAACAGATGAAACGAGGCAACGTTACCGGGGCTCGTCATAATCCGTAGTCGGGCATGGCAGATGCCGGGACGCATACCAACAAATGGGATGAGGTCGTCGAGACCGGTCTCGACACTCTCGACATCGTACTGAATAGTGGCACATGGCTTGTGCGCTTCATGTAGAGAGACTATCAATGTGTAAATCGCTCATGCGGACGAGGTTTTTGGCAGGACAACACGAGACCGCGCCAGAACACCAGCGATTTCAGTTGTTCAAGGGCGAGAAGCTCGCATTCGCCTACTTGTTCAATGCCTTGGAAAAGCAAGTAACTGACAAGTCGCGTTGTTAGGTAGTGACCCACGGCGCCGAGCACGCTGTAGCGCGCAAGGGCTGCTTTCGCGCTACCTCGTCCATAGCCTGCAACGAGCACGGGGATCGATTCGAAACGATTCCCATGGATGCGTCCAGGACGGCATCCATGAATCATGAGCAGGAGCGCACGCTGCAACAAATAGAGAAGAAGAGCGCCAAACAGAGACGGTTGCAAGAGGTGATGTAGAATACGCGGACCGGACCTCAAATGGCGAGACAATCGTAAGCGAGAGGCTTGCTATGGAATGACTCCAGAGCTGGCAAGCATGCGCGCAAACGTGCTTCGCACTCAGCCTTGAACGCGTCAATGAACATCCAAAAACATGTCGTGCTTGCAGAGCGCCCAGCGGCTCTGTGTCGAGGCAAGTCTCTGACGGAATCGTTCAGTACCCAGTTTGGGCATCGTGCAGAAACGTTGCGATCTGGCGATGAGCGAAAATCACTGGTCACGAGAGACGGGATTGGATCCTCGCCTGGAGCAAGGCATTGGCATGGTCGGGTTCCGCTCTGTCACGAACCGCTGGAGCACCGTCTTCACACAACGGGAACGATTTTGCGGGGTTACCGGTCGACGAAAATTCGTGCCCCATGGTTATCGATAACCGATTCCAGCACACTTGTTCTTCACGCCGTATCAGAAAAGAGGCGCGTCTCATATGCAATGCTCGTCATATCGACGCATTCCACGACGGGGTCCAGGGCCTGGGCGGGTCCCCGCTGAGCCTCGGCGACGACGACGTCGCGCGCACTGTGCGCAACGGCACGAAGGCGGTTGTGCGGCACGCCTCAGAAATACAGCGCGTACGGCACTTTTGCCGTTTCGCATACATATCCACGCATCAGAGACGCGGTCCTTACCGAGTACCTGGGCAGACTCGCGTCCTGCACACGACGCCAGCACAGAGTCACGTCGACGGATCGCAGCCGATGAGAGCAGTTGCAGAGGATGCCTCCGAGGACCCGTGAGCGATTCCTCCACAGCAGCCGCCACAGCAGCCGCCACCACGGCCACTTCCATGTACGATGGTTCCGCGAACGATACCGGGAACTGGCCCCCATCGGGCCGTGTTACGCGTCAAATACAACGCGGAGATTCTCTCGACAGCGTCTACCGACAGCAGAAGAAGCAACGCGCATCCGCGTTTCATCGACGTCAATCGCTCGCCTCTTCGACAAGCGCGGCATTTATGGCAGTGCCAACCTTCACGTAACGCCGCATCTCAAAAACCAGGGCCGCATCATCCACGAGCAGCGCTCCAAGTTCGGATGAAGCGTCATAAGGCAGCAGCCGTTGCAGGTTCATGTTGTAGCGTCGAAGTTCCTGAAATGAACGTCTCAGAACAGATGCACCGATCTCCCAGTTCGGAAAACTCCGCACGATAGCCTTACACACGAGTTCGAGCTGGGCCTTCCACTCCGAGCGGAACTCGGCCAACACGAGGCGCCAGTGCTCCGTCGACGGTGCGTTCGCTCTCGGTGACGATTCGGCCTTGGAGGAGGCGAGCGTCAGAAACTCCCCGAAACTGCCCATGAGCACCATCGCCGCCAACTGATTCGTACACGCCTCGAGCTCCAGCTCGAATTCCCGCTTCATTTCTTGCAGCGTTTCGAGGCCAGCGTCGGTGACCGGATCGCGCTCACGCTGAACCGAGGACGCCACCCGAGTCAGGCGTTGAACAATCGTTCCTAGCTGATTGATGAGGAACGCGTTCCTGTTCTGAGCCGTCTGAAAACGCTCCGCCATGCCATGCAAAATGCGATGCATCTCTCGTTGCTGCACGTGCAACGACTTGAGCACCATCGCATCCGATGAGGGCACGCGTAGCGCCAGCGTGAGCAGTATCTGCACGTAGTCTGCGTAGCGTTGCACAACGGCATGTATGCGCCGTGCGAGCTCAGTCTCCGGATCCTGTTCAGCACTGTATGCAGCAGCAGATATTTCGAATAGGAGCCGTGGATCCGCTTGCGCAAGGCTCGTTTCGTTCGCATCCAAAATTTCCTTCAGACGCGGAATGATCGCTAGTTCGACACGCGAGAAGAATATCTCGAGCAGCGCGAGTCCATTTGCACGTGCGTCGTCTCGCTGCGTCTGTCCGATTCGGGTGCACAGCAGGAGACCAACCACATCTGTTGTCCGGGCGAAATATTCTGAGAATCGCTCCGCCACATAGTCTCTTGCCTGCAGCATGACGTGCTCCAGCGTGGGCGACTCAACAGGTCCGAAAAAGTCCGCGAGAAAGTCCCTTTCAGAGCTGCAGATCGTTAGTAGCATCCTTCCAACCGACCAGAAGATGCGTTCTGGGGGAATGAGCCGCCCCTCGGCCTGAGCGACGGCGAGAACTAGTGGAGGCTCGGCCAGCTCCTCCAGAACGGCTAGGCGCTGGCCGAGACCACTGGGAGTGGCAGCGCCAGCCGCGGTCCGGTCACCTGCCGCAGCGCTACCAGCTGTTGTACCAGCGCTACGCATTCGATCACCGCTGGTGGAGGTGGCGGCTTTGCTGTTGGACATCCAGGAGCTCGTGAACATCGACGGCAGACGAAACGACGTCGCGGTTGGCAGCAAGCGCTGCCAAACCGCCCCAAGGGAGCTCGACATTGACGGTGGAATCAGCAAGGTATCTTCGAGATTCTGGTCCGGCTCGTGAAGGGCCCAGAGTCCATCCAGGTACTGGCGAAAGAAATTCAGATACACCCGACTCTGCGTATTCTTATATGTTTGCGTGATGCTCTCAACCGCCTCCGGTGCAACGTCTTGCAGAAACTCGATGAAATACCTATATTTCAGGAGCATATTCTGTTGCAGAATCTGAATATTCGTATTCGGCTCTTCCAGACGACTCATTTGACCCAGCAAGAACGCCTGCAACCGAGCGACCACTCGACGCTGCAGCTCGTGCAGGATAGGTCGCAGGTCTTTGTAGGCCGCAGTTCGCTGTACATCCGGAAGGCTGGCGAACGCTAGCTTACTGCGAAAGCGCTTCACTTCTTCGAGGTAGACTTCATCGATCTGTGGGCGTGCTGTGAGCCTGCGTACGAGCGCTGGTGGTAGCACGACCTCCAGGGCGAAGGCTTGCAGGTGACCAGCCGCTTCGCGTGTTGTGTGCACGCGCTCGTTCCAGCGCTGACTTTCTACTTCATCGAAAGCAAGCCGACGTCTGCGGTCGTCCAGTTGCCCTAGAACTTGACAGAGTCTTTCTTCGGCGTCGGTGAAGAAGCCCTCGCAGCGAGCGAGTTCGGTAGCGGTAGTCTCGAGCAGCGGCTCGTCGGCAGCCACTCGTTGCAGCAGCTTCGATTCGAGCGCCCGCAGCTCTTGCTCGTACTGTAAGTAGAGTTCTTGCACGTGTTGCAGGGTGTCCAGAGACAGCGGCCTCTCGACCTGTGGCGCGTCGTCGAGTTCGCGTGCGAGTTTCTCCAGAAGCCGCCCTAAGTCGTCATCGAGTGCATCTTTCCCCAGAGGCGCTAGTGGTTCCTCCGGTTGGGCGATTCGCCAAGCCACGGCAAAGTCTTCCTCAGAGAAGAGGCTTTCTCCCATAAAGAGAGGTCGGTGGCTCTCGTTCGTGTCCCCCGAAGAGAGACCGCGTCGCTTAGAGCCAGAGTAGAAAGGCTTCCGCACGGAGTTTTCGAGGCCTACGGTCGACGACTCTACCAAGAGCACCCTGGTTGTGCAAGTGCTACCAGTAACCAGCGAAGACAAAGCCGTCCTCCTTTGGAGGCGTCCACGTTCTACCAGCCCCAGTCCAGGCGTGCAGCTACGCACTGGTGAGGCAGGCGTTGCATTCGTTCGTGACGGGCCGCCCGCACCATACGGGTGCCACACTGTTGCGATCCCGCAACAAGCGTCGTGTGTTCATCCAAACGACAGGTCCGCTGATACAGGTCACGCGCTTTCTTGATTCGTACGTGATGCTGCGGCGTGCATAGCCTGTGTTTACGCATACGATTTGCGGTGTCAGGTCAGGCATGTCTGAGCACAGGATGCACGCTGGTGGATGCTTCTCATCGACACGCGCGCCGTCACCAGCACATAACGTCGCATATATCGCGTTTCCCAGAGCGAGTGCCCGTTCTCCAGCACATTCGTCGCATCTTTTGAACAGGAAGAGCGCTGTTCACGCATCTGCTGGCCGGATCCGAATCCACCGAAAGCATCGAACGATGGATTCACCGGCATGCAAGACAAGTACCAAAGGCGCTGCTGCACGTTCCACACATCCACAGAGGAAGAATGAGACGAAGAAGAAATAACCGGTGAGGCGTACCCTGGCAACATTTGCCGATGATTTGGGCGCATTGCCTGACACGCCCATGATACCGATCCGAGAGTTGCAGCGTCATCCTGCGCCAGCGAGGACGGGTGCAATGCACCATGTCATCCTATATCCAATTATGTCTCATGAGCGAATCGGGTCATGCGTGACGCCTCGGCTGTCGACGGCGCGCGGGTGGCAGCGTGCACCCGCACACCAGGCGGCACGATGAGGTGTCGCGAGTCGTGCCGTTGACGAGCACCCCTAAACCGTTGACGAACGGTACAGCAGCGCTGGGCCGCTCAGTGCATCACTTGACACCACGCGATGCCTCGATCAGCGACAGTTTCAGAACGAGCCTTCGCTCATGAACCCTGTATACTGCCTGGTGCTTTTGCCATGCGCGAATATCAGCGTCGATGCTACGGCACTGCACCACGGAATTGGAAGCAACTCGTAGAGTCTCTAGGACGATGTCGTGACATGCCCGAAATATCGGTGTAGAATATACACAGGATCTCGATTGAGCGGTACAGCGGCAGCGATCAGGGTGCTGAACATGGCTTGTTTGCGATCGATCACCGACCCTCGCAGGGATGATGATGGTGCATCGCGCGGCGAGCGGATACTTCATCGATTCCAGAATGAATGACCCGTTAGGCGTCCGTGCGAGGCTTCACAGCCGCAACCAACGGATTCCGGAACTAAAACGTTCCAGAAAACCTGGCGTTTGTGGATGCGCAAACGCGGCTGGTGATCAGAGCAGCATCCTGACGGCTCCAGCAGATGCCTCAAGGTGACATTTCCCTCTACGCAGTACCATTGCGTTCCCATCAGGTGCGCTCATGGAATCGACCAAGACGCCTGCGGAATCGCATTCGCTGCCAATGATAGAGGCTGCATACGCATCGCTGCTGCAGAAGCGCCTCGCTTTGGCACCAGCACCAGCACCAGCACCAGCACCAGCACTAGCACCAGCACCAGCACCAGCACCAGCACTAGCACCAGAGCACCTCGCCCGATCCGCAGACGCTCAGCAGCGAGGCGCAGCGGCGTCGATGCTGGCGCCACCGCGCGGCCGTTGCCCGGAGTGCGTACTGATGTAGCGTTTCAGTACGGCCTGCACGTTCGACCTTATCTGCGCCTGTGGAGGCGTCGGCGGCGGTTTCGTAACACTCCAGCCTTCCTCGAGGACGATCAGCAGACACCGTGACTCGTGGTGGTGCTGTGCGGTGCTGGGCTTCGTAACGGCACGCAAAGCAGCATCAACGTAGCGGCGCTAAGGTTCGGCTCACACGCGGTCTGGGCGCCGTTCGAGCTGCGACACGGCGTGTGTGCCTGGGTCGTGAAAAGCGCGCGTGGGACGCTCGGACTTTAGATCTGCGGAAGATTCATGGAAAAACCCGTAGCCGACGGGCTTGAGGGACTTGAGCTCGAAAAAAAGCAAAGTCATGCACCAGATTCCGTCGCGCTCGGGAAGGAAAAGCCGGCTCGCTCTGCTGCAGCGCAGGGATCCGTGTCTGCGGAGACAAAAAAACGTGTCGAGCGAGAGACGAAAGAAGGAATAGATTGCCGCAAGGCAGATAACTTTAGTGCATGGTACCAACAAGTGGTGATCAAAGCGGAGCTCATTGAGCTCTACGATATCTCCGGCTGTTACATCATTCGACCATGGGCGTACGCCGTCTGGGAGAAGATCGTCGAATTTTTCGACGCTGAAATCAAGAAACTTGGCGTCCAGAATGCGTATTTCCCTGTCTTTGTTTCCGAACGTCGTTTGCGAACAGAGCAGGAACACCTGGAAGGGTTTGCCGCCGAGGTGGCCTGGGTGACCAAAAGCGGCTCCAGCGAGCTCGAAGAGCCGATCGCCATCCGCCCGACGTCGGAAACGATCATCTATCCGGCGATGGCGAAATGGATACGATCGCACCGGGATCTACCCTTGAAGCTGAACCAATGGAGCAATGTCGTGCGTTGGGAATTCAAACACCCGACACCCTTCATTCGTTCACGAGAATTTCTGTGGCAGGAAGGCCACACCGCCTATGCCGATCGATCAGCAGCTGACGAGGAAGTGCTCCAGATTCTCGAGCTCTACAGGCGCATCTACGAGGAGCTGCTTGCGGTTCCCGTGATCAAAGGCATCAAAAGTGAGCGGGAGCGGTTCGCTGGCGGCCTGTACACAACCACCGTAGAGGCATTTGTGCCCGCAAATGGCCGTGCTGTACAAGGTGCAACGAGTCACTCCCTGGGCCAGAATTTTGCCCGCATGTTTGGAGTGTATTACGAAGGCAAAGACAGCGGAGAGAAGCTCATGCCTTGGCAAAACTCATGGGGTTGCACAACACGCACCATTGGTGTTGCCGTTATGGTCCACGGAGACGACAGAGGCCTCGTATTGCCCCCACGCGTGGCACCACTGCAAGTGGTCATCGTGCCCATCATCGTGAAGAACGCCGCAGCAAACGTATCCCAAGTATGCGAGGTTCTCTGCCTGCGACTCCAGCGTGCAAACCTGCGGGTGAAATTCGATGATCGCCCCGAGAAGACCCCGGGATGGAAATTCAACGAATGGGAGCTGCGAGGCGTCCCGCTGCGCATAGAAGTCGGCCCTCGGGATGTGCAGTCGAAGACGATCACCATTGCACGCCGAGATACCATGGAGAAGCGAAGTATCCAGTTGGTAGATTGGGATGCGCTTGAAGCAGACGACAGCTTTGGCAGGGAAATTGCGAAAATCCTCGACGATATCCAAAAGAGCATGTTCGAAAGGGCTTCTGCTGAGCGAAACGCGCGCATTCGCTGTGTCGCAAGCTGGGAGCCGTTCATGAAAGCCATCATCGAACGTTGCCTGGCACTGACACCATGGTGCGCTGAAACCAACTGCGAGGAGCAGGTTCGTCAGAGAAGCATGCAGGACTCTGTGAGCTATCGTGAGCGCCTGGCCAACGAAGTCGACCCTGCCGCCGCGGACACTGTCCTCTCTGGTGCAGTGAAAACGCTTTGCATGCCCTTCGCGTCCGAGCTGGAGCGGCTGCGTCTCGTTGACCGGTCAGAGTACGAGGCGCCAGCGCCTGGCAAACAGTGTTTTGCATGCGACGCAGCAGCAAAGCGCTGGGCACTCTGGGGTCGTAGCTACTAGATACATGTTTTAATCAATTTAAATGAGGCTCGTGACCTGAAACCCACACGACATGCTGCACTCCTTGTCTGAACAGACGCGCGACGCCGAGCTATGCGACATGAAGCTGTCGCTGCGAAGCGTCGACACAGCGACTGTATACGCGGTGCTCGCGTGCAACAGAGGCACCTTTCTGGCGTCCGCGAAAGGACCACGCTTTCAGCAGCGATGCTGTTTTCGTGGTGGTGTCTCGGCGGATGCACCCGGATGCCGGTGGATGCGCGCCAGCTAACGGTCACTGGGCAAACGGCTGTTATTCCTTAACCGACACGTTTACGTTCCGCAAGCGCGAACCCTGGATTTCTCATACAAACTCATTCTTGGTCAATCTGGTAAGCAGACAGCATTGTTAGACAAGCACACGCAGCCGCGCGCACCGCGGCAGTCGACAGACGCAATACATGGGCGTCAGCGCTCCCAGCCGGCGAACAACAACTGTGCTGGACGCTCCATGAAGCAGCGCAAACCGGCAGCTGTGGCGCGATTTACCAGCGCTTGCTCGCAAAGCGGCCCGCACACGCTGCACCGGCTTGTCTGCTCGCAAAAGAACCGAGAACACCAGCTCCTATACCCGCGTAGCGGCTGGTGCACAGACCGGAACCGCTCTGCTGGGACACCACGCCTCTACGTCATAGATGACCCGGATGCGAAGCGAGCACGACGGGCACTTGGCAATCTGTTCCCCACGCCGCATTTCTGCGACTGTGAGAACGAATAGGTCCCCACACGGGCAATTGTACGTGTACCTCTGGGCATCTTCTTCATAGTTCATATCTTCGATCTCGACTTCGTCGTATACATTAGTCTCTGTTTCCATTCCCTGGTCGTTATCCACGAAGCGTTCGCTCGAATGACGCACCCGGTGAATGCGAAGACAACCCTGAAAACAAACCCCTTTCAAAAGAAAAACGTTGCTGCCAACGGTGTACGGTAGTGGCGACCAGCGCCTAAGCCTTGACGTCTCCAACTGACGTGTAGACGCCTCGCCGTCTTTCTGGACCGGCCGCCTACAACTGGTTTCAATTGTTTCTCATATAGTTCCACTTTGAGAGGGTGTCCCACAAAGTTCACTCTTGTCCACTTTGGAGGCTTTTTCTCCATCATCGCACATCTCCCTACATTGATTGCTGCGTGAGAGTCTCGGTTCGCAAATTCCATACGTTTCTTGCCATCACTGGTAGTACTTACTAGTGCAAGCAAACCACGCACTTTCGCTCTCCTTTCCATTTGATCTTCCGTCAGCGCTCCGTACTTTTTTATATCCTCAGGGCTCCGCTGGCACTTTTCCATCTCCACTCTCTAAAGAGTACACCCCAGTTCATGGTGTGTATAGGACGTTCGGAAAGCATCTACAGGTATCGTGACGAAACGCCGTGCACACTCCTTGTGCGTTCTTGTCGTTGGAGCTGGTGTACACTCCAGAGGGTGGAGATGGAGAAATGCCAGCGGAGCCCTGGGGATATAAAAAAGTACGGAGCGCTGACGGAAGGTCAAATGGAAAGGAGGGCGAAATTTCGTGGATTGCTTGCATTAGTAAGTACAACCAGTGATAGCAAGAAACGTATGGAGTTTGTGAACCGAGAACTTAACGCGGCAATCAAGGTAGGGAGTTGTGCGGTGATGGAGAAAAGACCTCCAGCGTTGACCAGAGAGGATTGTATGGGGCAACCTCTCAAAGTGGAACTATTTGAGAAAAAAATGAAACCAGTAGTAGCTTGGCGGCCCAGAGAGGCTGGGAGCCGTCTGCACCTCAGCTGGAGACGATTTGTCCAAGGCGCGTTCGCCGCCACGACTACACACCGCTGGCGGCAGCGGTTCTCTTTTGAAAGGCGTTATCGGACTAGCCTCTGATTCATCAAGGATGGTGCTGTTTGAAATTGAATATCGAGTGCGGCTTCCTCGGGAGGAGATGTGGAGCCTGCGAGAAGACCCTGAGTTTTTGCGTTGGCAGTATGAGCACTCCTCCGATATGAGCAACCTGGAAATTGTGGAGAAAAACGTCGACGCAGCCGACCCCGACCGCATAACCGTGACGTGGCGGATAACACCTAGCGTGCCGCTGCCGCAGTTTGTACTTGCGTACGTTGGCGAAGGTGCTGGCATCTACATCGAAGACGTTCACGAATACCGCCTGTCGAAGCCGTACTACATCAACTTCCGCAGCCATCCGAATATGTTTCAGGAGTACACCGAGACCAGGGGTGAGTGCGAGTTCGTTGATGAACCTGCTGACTCCGCGGATGCCCAGGCTGGAACACGCGTCTGCATCCGAGGAGAGGTGATTGTGAACGTCCCGCTTGTGGGGCCTTACGTCGAAAACTTCGTGGTGAATAACTTGCGGAACTTTTACACGGGGTTTCCAGACCTGGTGCATTCATATGTAGCGGCCAAAAATGGACGTTTGAACCCCGACGACAGTCAGATGTGGTTGAACCCGGAGTCATCGGTGCATGTACAACCGAATACCGCAGAGGCAAACGAGGCGAGTGCCATCCACGGGGCTGGCGCGGATGTGGCCCCTGCTCTGGCGGCTCTGCAGCGCTCGCTACCGCCATCGGTCGACGCGTCACTGGCATCCGTGCCAGTGGCTTCTGGCGCCCCTGAAGCGATCCCAGAGTCCATACAAGCGCCAAGAAGATCATGGTGGCCATGGCAATGAATTGCGTACCCGCCGGTGCCTTGTGGTGCCTCTGAAGTGGCACCAGAGACCGTGCACGTCCCAAGCTGATCACGCTGACCATGGCGCTGAACAGGCGGCGCAAGCCACCGTTTGAATCGATTGTCGTGGTATCATGCATACATGACGCAATATTTATTGGGGGCAATCATCGAAATGTGAACGAGAGTATTGGGCTACTCGCGTGCTTGTGGAGCACCAATGCGCAGAACTCTTGGAGATGGGACGGTGCGAATCAGAGGCTCTCCATTGTAGCGTATGCTCTGCGAAGGGTTGATTCCGCTTGCGATTCCCGAGCTGCGAGCACCAAGTACCCTGATGTACGCTATTGCTTAGGCGGGGAACGGGAGCGTTCACTCGTCGTCGAAGCGAATTCTCCCGCGACAAAGATGAGTATTCGCATGGAGCGCGCACCGCGAGTCGCCTGCGCAGTCTGTATGCCGCCATCCTGTCCCCGGAGGATCAACGAAAGCGCGAACCACCAGCAGTTCAGTCAGAGACGTCATTACCATCGAGCTGGGGTTTAAGAACGCACGAGAAATCGTTCCAGCGATCGAGCGCGTGTTTCTCGGGGGAGATGTCTGGAAACGTCAAGAAGAGGAAGGCTTCACGCACCACGGCACGTCATTCGCTCCCAGGCTGCAATGTCTTCATGATGCCCCGAAGTGCGCGTCAGTTCGCCGGATACCGGTGTCGCTCATGACCTGGGGAACGATTCCTCGCCGCTGGTGGTGCCCATGTGGCCACGAGTTGTGCGGCTGTTTCAGGAACAACGTAACGCAACGCAACGTAACGTAACGCAACGTAACGTAACGCAACGTAACGCAACGCAACGTAACGCAACTGCGCATTCTCGAGCGCGTATGGTGAAGGAAGCGAGCTGTTGCGTGACAGCGCCTGCCGCGTACCCTACGCTGTCGCGACCCTGAGCCTTGTTCAAGTCTGGAGAACGTGCGCGTCGCGAAACGAGCGGCCAGATGCAGTGCGACCTGTCGCGCTCGCAATGTCGTGCTGTGGTTATCAGCGGATATTGACGCGAATGCCACGGCATTGTAGCGGCGTCTCTGTAAACCATACGGCCGCTCGTCGGCTGCAGTACGTGCTTTATTCTGCCACGGACGCGTGCTTGGTGCAAGCCAGCGTGTTCTTATACAGACCAGTTCATCCACAGAACAAGGGTGATGCATGTTTCGATTTGAGTTTTGATATCGCTGACCATTGGGGGTATGCTTCCCGAAACGGTCCCTGTGTCATGCAGGTTTACGCCCGCCTGACGACCCGGTGTTCGCACCGCACTGCGACCAAACGCGCGGCTCCATCAGCTTGTCTGGCATCACTCAGAAGCTGGACGAGGCGGCCTGGCGGGCGCGTTCGTGGCTTGCGTCCCCGGCGCAGCTGCTCAACTAGATTGCAGCGCATGCGGGCATGCACGACGTCCGCGCTCTCTTGTTACGCACACTGGGAGCCAGGTATTCGCAAGAGCTCACGCGAGTGGCGGGCGCGCTTGGTGTTTGGCGCGTAGCCGAGCGCTGCACCTATGCCCCGGGGCTTACAAAACGCATATCTGTGACCTAGCTCTGCAGCAATGCTTCTCACGGTGAGCCGCGTGGATCATAAAAAGTGTCGTTTTTGATTGCCCTGTCATCCGCGAAAGCAGCATGTTCAAAGCTTATTGAATCCTGGAAGCGACTGTTCTCGGAAACTGATGTTTCATCTCGAATCACCGGCGGCAGCGGCAGCGGTATTGCCTCGAGCCGTCACCTCGCCAACGCGTCGAAGAGCCGGTCGGCCGCAGAGCATTGAACGCGGCAACAATTGTCGTGCGAAACCAAATGCCAACGCTAGACACCGTTCAGCAGCTCTGTCTCTGGGGGGATCAACTGCGACGCGGGCGTAGCCCGAGTCACGCCACGCTTCTGGAACATGTTTGATGCCCCGAACGTCGCTAGATCGAATCAACTTGTATTCCTTCGGGAAACACATCCCGGTCGATTATGGTATGCAGATGCGTATCTGGATAGGCTGGGGTATCTTTCATTTCCTCTAGGAGCAGTTATGTATCCACGAGAAGCCTGATAAGATTCATCGATCTCACACCATGAAAAATCGACAAGCTTGGCACCCAGCAGTGCACTGTACGGACTCTCGCTGCCCACCAAACAGGAACACTCGTCTGGGGCTTGCGGAAAATACAAGCGCCTTGTGAAGCTACAGCATTTTCCATCCGCAGGATAGGCAGCACCTGCACATTCCACTGCGTACTCGCACTGCACGCATCGATCATGCATCATGCATCGTAATTCGATCGTGCATCAAGCACCATAATTCGATCGTGCATCAAGCACTATAATTCGATCGTGCATCACCAGTGCCTACGCATCTGGCACTGCCGCATTCTTTCCATGATAGGCGCTGCTGCTGCTGCTGCTGCATGCGTGAGGCATCCGGTGAACGCCTGCGGGCATGCGTGCCGATCTGCCAATGGAATCTGTGGCTGGCTGGCTGGCTGGCTGGTGCTGCTGCGCACGCGCGCTTTCACCCAATTGTTTACACCACGGTGCCGAGCATTGGTGTCACCCAGCGGTATGCGCAGTCTCCAGCGTCTCTTGCCAGTTTGGCGTCAAAAGAGCGCGGTAGAATCGGTGGTTATCGCTCCACTAGTGCAATGGAGAAGACGCTTGGCTGCTCTAGCGATGCTGGAGCGCGAGTTACCCCAGTACCTAGACCTGGACTCGTGGCAAATGACGCTGGCACAGTTCATTCAGAGCCAGCCACGAAGAGCGTACACCATATCGCCCGAGTCGACGGTATTCGAAGCTGTACAGAAAATGGTAGCGCACAACGTTGGTGCTGTCGCGGTGGTGGAACCGGACGCAAACGATGCCGCACGACAGGCACAGCGGCTCGTTGGCATCTTCACGGAACGCGACTACTTGCGGAAAATTATTGTTGCCTCGAAGGCATCGAAAACAACCCCCATAGCTGAGGTCATGACCCAAGACCCGGTATGCGTAACGCCGCAGCAACGAGTCGGTGACGCGCTTCACCTCATGACGGAGCTCGATATACGACATCTGCCCGTACTGGAGAGCCTGCCGAACGGCTCCCTGCTGACGATGGTTTCCATGCGCCAACTCATGCGCGAGGTAGCGGCTAGTCACGAGAAACAGGTCTCTGCGCTGATGGCACAGCTGCGGAAACTCTCGCTCCTCGTGGTCGACGATCGCTCTCCCGGGGACGGAGCAGCGACACTGGGTCCGGCGTCATCGACGACACCGAACACGAGGACGATCCACACGGGATCGGATCGCTTGAGCCTGAAATCCTGGTGGCAGCGCTGAACGCTTGAGCGCTTCACGTGCAACGGACGGGAATCGTTCCGGGCACGCGCTGCTGAGTGGAGGTCTCGTCCAGCAGGTGACGCACGGTACCAGTGCGCCGAGGTGGCGCTCGCAAAGCCACGTATAAAAAAACTTTCCCCGTACTCGACGCAGTATATGCTTTACGGCGACTCAGATTCGCAAATGTTGGCTCGTAGTCGTACGCATTGCCAAACAAGTCCGCGGATACAAAACTACCCAGAGTACATGAAGCATCCACGCGCAGCGCCTGCTCGCACGGGATGCTCGTACGGTGGCGAAAGCGGATACCCGCGCTGCGTTGACATGTGCCCGACAACCGGTGAACCAGCGAACGCTGTTCGCGAAAAACAAAAGTGATGGCAAGTGTGGTATTCCAAGGACGCGCTGAGGACAGTATTCGGGTTTCGAGCACATCCTAGTGACCAGGGTGCAGTGCATTGAGGCCCCTGCACGAGCCAATCACTGACAAGTCTTATCGATTCGCGGGATGACGCGGTCGAGGAGGTATCATCGCCGAGACACCCGGAACGGGCGCCCCGGTGTCAGCAGAAGCAGCCGTGGTGCGCGCACTGCCAGCGCTGCTCAGGCCGCCGCTCGGTGCCTTCCACTGGGCCTTGGAACGTGAAGTGGTGGGTTTTGTTTCCAGCCGTGCGCCATCTGAAGGCGAGGAACTAAGCATCAACAGATTTCCCGGAGAGAGTTCAAATTCGGACGCATCCGCCATGGGCAAGAGGGCTGCGCTAGCGCCAGCTGCCCCTGCTCCTGTGCCAGCTGCTCCTGTGCCGAATCTGCTCGTCGAGGCGTCGAGTGCAGACGCGCTGCTGCGGCTCGTGTCGTCGATATGCGGCATAGCGCGTTGCGAATGCAACGCAGACTCGCCAGTGATGCCACCGGCTGCCGTGCGATGCGCCTCGCCCGCATGTTCACCTCTTAGCGCCGGCCCGCGGCCCGCTGTGCAGGACATATCTGTGGAGCACTGCTCGAGCGCATCCATGGGGACCAGGGCCGAAGCGGGCGCCTCGGCGAGGCGGGTACCTCGGTAAGTCACGTCCTTGCGCTCATCCTCAGACATTGGTGGATCCGAATCCAATGGCTGGGGCATGACAAAGTACGCTGCCGCAGCATTCGCGGAGGTTGAGATGCTTTTCCAGTACTCTGGTGTGCGTCCAGTATAGAGATAATCGCGCGGACTCGACCCGAGCAGGCTGGATGTTCCGGTGGGGAATCCTGAATGGTTGCCTCCTCCGAGCCAACCCGTATTCGTGCCGAACGAGTGCATCGGATGCGTCGTCCACGGCATGGTTTGTTCGTACGACATACCGCTCGGTGGCGACGAAGCACCGGTCGGATGCATCGCCATCACGCCTTGGATGTGGGCAGACGTCTGACCATTCGCTGCAGCAACCATTGCCATGGTGTTGTGGTAGTGGCCGATCGAGCCAGCATTGTTCGTGTCTGCTGCTGGAGAGCCGTACGGATTAAAGTACAATGGAGATGAACCTGCGGTCATCTGGGCGAGGCTTTGGGGCAGGCCCTGGTGAAATGACATCTCGGCGGTCTCAATGGGGCTCGAATCACGGTGCATGTAAGAAAAATGCACCGAAACGTGATCCGCTCCACCCTCGAATACAGTTCCAAGACCGGAAAGCGCGCGTGTATCGCCACGCACAGGATTTGCCACCAGAATGTGTCGACTATCCGGATTCGTGTGCATTCCCGAGGTACCGACGGGCATCGGTTGGCTCGACCGCATGGTGCGGGCGCCTCCTGCAGGTGCATCACCGGCTCGTGGTCGCATGTTCATGTTCGAAAAATCGGCACTGGTCGAGGTCGAAAAAGCAGACTCCGAATGGGGGCCTGTTCCAACAGCCCCAAGCACGGGTCGCCCCATCAGCCGGTCTCCCATGATACCCAGAGCGCTCGAATGGGCACCAACCTGAGTAGTGTCGGCGTCGGTCGAGACGGCCGCCAGAACTCTGTCTTGACCATTGTAAACCTCGCACTCTGGGTGTTTCGCAAGGTACTTGGCGAGATTTTTCCGCAGCGGTGCGGCATTCCCAGTGACTTTGCGGCGCTCTATTCGATGCCAGATGGGCACGTGTTCATTGTCGACCATGGACGCGCGGACTTCGGGGTCAAGACGCTCATCCTGTCCATCGAATACCTCGCACTCGGGGTGCCTGCTCAGATACTTGCGCAGGTTCCGCCGCAGCGGAGCCGCATTCCCAGCGATTTTACGCAACTCGGCACGATTCCATATCGTCACGTGCATGTTCGCCTCTTCCTCTGATAGCTGCGACACGTCCTCTTGTAGCATCTTTAAAGTAGCGTGGTTCACGGGCAAGTTGCGAAAGATGGTGGCAGGTTCCGCGCCGCCGCCCAACGAGTCCGAGTCGGCCTGCGAGGGACTTGTCGCTCGCGAGCCCACTGTGTCTGCTCCGGGTTCGCTTTTCTCGGAACTTTTGCCCCCGTCGTGCACCTGGAAGGAACTGGCCACTGATTCCATTCCAACGTCAGGGGACAGCGGTGCGTCACCCGCGACAAGGCCCCCAAGCGCGGCTGCGTGCTGTTTCGAAACCGCAGCCGCTCGCAAAGCCCCCTGGGTCAGCCCGCCTCCCCCGTCTGGTAAAGCTTCCATGTCTTAAGCGCGGCTCCTTCCCCAAAATCAATGAAGAGCCAGCCTCAAGCAAGAAGGAGTCGGTTGAAACGAACAGCCTGCGAGGCGCCCCGCAAAAACAGGTTTCGAAAACTGCGCACCCGTTCCTAGATCGAATCCATGGCTAGCGCGAGACGCGAAGCGCTGTGTGCTGAAGATCCTTCAAAGGCTAAACAAAAATGTATTTTTCGGTCAGTAGACGTGAAATGGTATGATTCGATTTAGGTAGATTAGTACAGACTTTTAACCTCGATGGGATGCGTGGCCTCTAGACGCGACGTTGCTGACGAGGTACAGCGCGCCTATGTATTCGTTTTGTTGCAAATCTTCTCCTCCACGAGGTGATGCAACTAGCGTGGAGCACCAGGCAGCATTGCGGACAAAATACGAGCGTTGTACATAGAGCACTGAATAGTGCACGGAGTCGGTGCCCGCGCTGGGGCACGGGGTCGATGTGAGAATCAGGCTCTGTGGCGTGGCGTGGCATAGCGTGGCGTGGCGGTAGCGGTGCCGTTTGCCCTTTCTGCTGCACGTGTGCTCGTCTAGACCACACCTATACGAACCGTTTTGTTTTAGAAGCACCGCCGCATGGCAAAGAGAACTGCAGAATGCAGGTACTTTTTGAAATAACGCTTGGGCACTCTATTGGACACAGTGCGGACGCAAGCTAAGCGCTATCTTCAGCCTCAGTGCGAGGTTTGTCGGAACTAGTCAGTACCACCGAAGCAAGTAACTGCAGATTTTTTGAATAGCACGGATCTCCTGCTGCTTCTCGATTCAAATCGGAATAACCATAACGACTAATACGTCGACAAAGCCGATGGAGCGTAGGTGCAGTGCGCGTGCGCGTACCTGTGGGGTGACGGTTTGCTCCGCGCTGCGTATTCAGGTGGCGCGCTGCAGCTCGTGTACCGTGCAGTACCTTTCGCTGAGCGACGCCAGTCACAGGAGGACGCCTCTGCTTGGCAGATGAGTGGGCACTCGCGCAAGAGCGGTCGCACGCCGTCACGCACTACCACAGAGACAGCGTGCTTCTCGTGTTGACGCTTTCGCAGCTACAGTCGCGTCGCTGCTCGAAATCACACCTGTAAGAGTGATTCAATCGCCACCGCCACTGCTGGTTTGTTTTCGATAGCTGTCCACCGACGATGAATGCCTTGTCCAGCTGTCAACAAATGCCGTCTCGTCGAGATGACGCGCGGATGAGACACGCTGTGGCTGGTTCGGACGCTGCGAGCACCGCAGCACGAGTCTTTGTGCCTATGGAGCAACCGACTTTTGGGTGAACCTCTCCATCCTTGCTTGTGCTTCATGGCTAGGCGCGAATGCGTTACCTACCGCTCCCTCTTGTATGCGAAATAGCGTCACGGCGCTGGCGAGTCTGGCGCGCTCATACACGATCCTCTGTAAACTGGATCGCAAAACCGCTTTATCTAGGTCTGAGCCTCGTTTTGATTTCTTGTGTATGGTGGCTTTTGTCCCACCAGGTAAACTTGGCGGCCTGCTGGCAGAGATACCGCCACGCCTCAGCGCCCTACCAGCGCTTGGATGTGAAGCAGGTCGATACGCCCCGCATCGCCATCGTGACAGGGGCGACGTCCGCGTTCCTGAATCGATTCTCGCTTGCCATCACGAACAAACAATGCTTTGCACGGCTTCATGGGTACGAATTTATCATAGATATTCGAGATTGGTCGGAAGTGCACGGTAAGAGCGACTACTGGAATCGTTTGTGGTTTTTGATGGAATATGTCCAGGCGTGTCTTGGTGGCAACTCGTGTCCGGACTGGATCTTCTACGTGGATGCCGACGCAATGGTGATGAACACCAGCATTCCGCTGAGCGCTTTCACTGACGCAGTATCCGAAGATATCGATCTCGTGCTGCATGATGGTGCCGATTACATCAACTCTGGAGCGTTTTTCATTCGACCAACGGAATGGTCGTTGGCCTTTTTGGAGAAATGGCGAGCGCAAGCCGATGAGCCGCAAACGCTCGCAGACCAGTCAGCGCTCTGGGAGGTGCTCCTCGAGCTGGCGGATGCGCATGCGCAAGTGGATGCATCCCTGCAACCATCTCCAGCAGTTGTTGCACGCTACACCGGAGCTTGCAAGCCGCAACAACTTCACCGAGGCACACCAGACGAGAACTGCTTCACCTGGGACACCTGTCGATGCAAAAGGTGTCTTCGACGCGCAGAGCGCTGCTGGCGGGAGGAAATGCGTCGCCTGGGGCATCCGTACGGGCAGCGGCGGCTGCCTAAAGTCCATTTCTGGTCACCAGACGGAGACTGGACTACAAACTGGACGAAGCCATGGCCAAGGGGTTTCAATTTTTACGCCTCTGTGGGCCACTGGGGCAACGTGGAACGATGTCATCCTGCGCAGTTGTGGCGACTGGGCGATCTGCTGGTCCAAGATGCCAAAGGTCTTGGCCAGGCCTACGCAACCTGGTGGGATGCTTTCCGCTGCCCGACGACGATGACGACAGAGCAGCTTCTTGTACACCTCGAAGCATCGAGAGGTCCGACGCACCAGCAGCTCTGGGGTCCTAGCGGGCGCTTCCAGGGCTCGCGCTAAGACCTCATTCGCAAACGTCAAAACGGTGCCTGCGGCGGCCGACTGGAGCGCGGCTCACGGATAAGCTGCAGACGCTTCCGGACACCAGTGTGAGCGAACGAGGCGGCGCCGAACCGATGGTACTCGTCAAGGCGTGTAGTTGACCGATGCATCGGTAACCTGCAACGCAAAGCTGACAACGTCAACTGCAGCATACAGACTGCTGCTACCATATCGGTCTTCGCACATAGATGCACACATGCGAGCACACGAGGAGCCTCATAGCCGCACGCAAGGATAGACATCTGCAGAGGCTGCTGTTTGGGTCCAGCTCCGCCCAGTGGGCACAGCCGCGCTCCATGTCGCTTTGGTGCAGTGAAGCGCTGACTCTCAGATGCTGGCGTCGGTCTGCAAGTTCGAGCACACACACACACACACACATGCATACATACACACACAGACACATACACAAAGCCTCAGAACCGATTTGATGATGCCTGACCCAAAATACAGGTCAAGCGATCGCTCTAGAGAACCAATGCGCCTACGATGACCGCAAGCACTGCACCTATCGCTGTGTTCAAAACGTTAACTGCTTCGTTGGAGAGCCACGGATACCGCCGCTGCAGGGTAGCTCCGATGACGCTCTCGATGAGGGTTGCGCTGAACGCAGACACGGAACAGATTGCAAGCGCATTCGCCTGAAACGGTATCAGCCTGGACGCTGCCCCGAAGAGCGTCAGGATCAGGATTCCCGCAGCACAAGCGATGGTGCCTTCGCGACTAATGGCACCCTCAGTACCAGGCTGCACCTCCTGCATTGTGGTGATCAAGTACGTCTTGCGTCCGTACGCCTTGCCGATTTCCGTGGCGAGCGTATCGCCTAGCTTTGTCGCCATGGATGTCAGAAAACCTAGTCGAGCAAGCGCCTTCCATCTAGCAGAAGCGCCAGTCCCTGGGAGCCAGACGTGTAGAAGCGCGCAGAGCGCAGCGACAGCGGCCGCGCCCCAGACGTTCTCTGGGCCCCGGGCACCGCCGCGCTTCTCCGCGATGCCGAGTTGCTCCTTTCTATCCTGTTTTAAACGGGTGGCTATACTGGATATGACCAAAAAGAGCAGACAAGTGGTCCACCCAGCCCAGCCGAGTGACGCCCATAACAGCGTCCCGAGTGCGGCAGCGTGCAGCAGGCCAGCTTGCGTGAGCGCCCGCTGCCTAGAGACGAACCCAAGCGCCCAGAGTGCCCCGTTCACAAGCACAGCTGTGAGCGCCCGTCCGGATGATGGCGCCCAAGTGACGTTCATGTCGAGCCGTCTCTCTCGACCCGCACGCTGGTGACGTAAGCGTGGGGTCAAACGCGCACCGCTGTGCCCAGGAGTGACTGCCGATCGCCGGAGCCGTCGCAACGGGCACCTAATCAGCGTTGTTGCCGTGTGCACACGTTCATAGACCAGAGCCAGCTCCATTCCCGTGACACGGGACCTGGTGTTAGCCAGAGCGTGTCCACAAGCGAACGCTGCCGCATGACTCTCCTCCATAAGGCCTGGAAGGCGTTGCACTTCAGGAGCCGGCTCTGGCAACCCAGCCGTACCCTGGAGGCGCCTGCGCATGATTGCGGGTTCGCGTTTGCGTCGATGGTGCGGGATCGAAACCCCCTGATCAAAACATTCCAGAGGTGCACGTGGAACAAGTGATCGCGGAAGAAGCGGCAGCTGTTCAGGAACTGCTGTCGGGTTCCAGCGCTTCCGCAATGGTATACCATCCGAGAGTAGAGGCTCGATCGATGCAGCGACCGTTCAGGTGCGGACACGAGGCAAGCCAAGCCTGTCGATGACGCTGGATGCGCCACTGCAGTCACCGCTCGAAAGCAGAACGTCCCTGCGATACCCATGGACCCGTTATCTTGACAAGTGCATTCGATGGGGCTGTGGTGTAGCGCTCGGGATCGCTGCCTTGACGCAGCGCACAGCCTTTTCGGCTGTTACAACAGCAACGTCTGAGCGCTGGTTGTCGCTGATGCTCGTACCTGGAATCAAGTCGTGCGATCACCGCTCTGTGAGCGCGAAAAGTGACCATTTTACGGTATCCATGAGTAGCGAAGAATCGGTCGTAAGGCATGCTGCCCGTACCCGTATGCCGCATAGAACTTGCGGGGATCGAAATCTGCCAACCGTTCAGGAATCGATAACGAGAACGAGTGCTACGGACGCCATAGCCCGAGTCTGGGGTCGTCCCAGGCTCGAGCGGAATACCCGTGACAAGCCGCTCGCCTATGGAACGAGTCGTCGGAGTTGGGGTAAGCTCCGTACCTGCCGCCTGAGCGGCAAACGTCTGGCGCGGAATGCTGCGTCTATGCCCGGACGGGAAAGCGTGTGCAATTTGCATTTGCGACCAGCATCCTGGTCGCCACGGGAAGCTACCGCGTTGATTTGTGCGTATTTTCGACTGATCATCGTTCACGCTCTGTAGCGAGGCCAGATACTGCGTACCAGAGTGCACCCACCAGCTGTTCGAGCGGAACATCGCTTGCAGCTGGGGGCCGGGCGTATTTTCGACTGATCATCGTTCACGCTCTGTAGCGAGGCCAGATACTGCGTACCAGAGTGCATCCACCAGCTGTTCGAGCGGAACATCGCTTGCAGCTGGGGGCCGGGCGTATTTTCGACTGATCATCGTTCACGCTCTGTAGCGAGGCCAGATACTGCGTACCAGAGTGCATCCATCAGCTGTTCGAGCGGAATATCGCTTGCAGTTGGCTTCGGTTGATACACTCTGCGAATCCGCAAAACGAATGGGAATCATGGCATGGAACTGGAGCGCCATCACCAGGCAAGAGTACTCGACGCATCGTTCCGGATCACGGGAATCGGCGTGTGTTTCACGGTAACGCAGCGCTAGATTGATGATGAGCTACCCAGTGAGCTTGCCGTGAATCGCGAATACGAACGTGAATCTCCAGGGACGATTTACGAGACCGATGGACGGTCTCACAGATTCAATCGTTTTCGCCAATAAGATACTCCAGTAATTTTCTGGACTTTTTCTCCGAAGCAGCGCTCGAGCGGCAGCACGAAAATGACCAGCTTCACAGCTGCCATCCGCGAGGCCTATCCTTCACTCTGCTTCACACACGAACGCGCATGTGCATCGTATTGATCACACATCCGCATATTAGCGCGAAAGTCATTCCCCAGTTCATGGTAAACAACCTGTTGCCGATATCATCCGCATGGTATCCGCTGCTGTTGCTGGCGGTGTCGCAACCGCCGCCGCCGCCGTTGCGCCCGGCGTGTCTGCCGACGACAATGCGACACCGCCAGCGCGGCGCTTGCCTTAAAAGGGCGCATCCCCCGAGGCCTCAGTAGCACGCTCCTGTGTTTCAGTGCTTTCCGTGTCAAGAAGCGTTTCTGCATCGGCTCCATGGCGACGTTCTGGTCAAAGTATACGCAATTGTTGGCTGAGAAGCCACTTCAGGTGAAAACTATGACTTCTTTCATAGGTTTTACGATCGGTGACCTGGTGGCTCAGATCCCGGCCTTGATGGACGGGAAACCCTGGGACGCTGCCCGCACAGCAAGAATGGCGTCATTCGGTCTTGTACTGCACGGACCTATCGGACACTACTGGTACGAGTTTCTAGACCGGACTATCATGCCGCAGGCGAGCAAGAGTACCGCTGCTGTGGTTTCGAAAATGGCCATCGACCAGTTGCTCTGGGCTCCAGTTTTTACGTCGCTTTTCTTTTCTTATATGCAGGCGGCGGAGGGGAAACCGGAGCGGGCTCCTGAAGTCGTTCGGGAGAAATTATGGCCAACATTGAAAGTGAACTGGACGGTTTGGCCGTTGGCGCACCTTATTAACTTCCGCTTTATCCCTTCTTCTCAGCGTATTTTGTACATTAACACGGTTCAGGTGGGGTATAACGCATTCCTGAGCACCATGGCTGCAGCGAAGACGAGCGTGCCGGTGGAGAAAACCAGCTGAGCATGCTGCAACCAGACCGGGGCGCTCTGCAGAGTGCACGCTGGCCACAGGCAGCGTTCGAAGGTAGCGCGCGTTCTCTTCGCGCGCCTGTCTTGAACGAGTACGAAAGCACACCAACGCACTAGATTGTATGCTCGCGAACGAAAGGTGTTCATTTTTTGATACTGAAGGATGGATCCGCTTCGAATGAGATGTCCTTGACAATTCATTGACGAGACGCTTGGACGAGGTCACTCATGGAGATGCGTAGCGGGGAGGGCGTGCGACTCGACGCTGTACGCACCCGGCTAATAGATACAACGACTTTTTACGTATGGCCCAAAGAATGCCGTATATCTTGCATGGGTCGATATAGATGGGCGTAAAACCTGAACCCGATGCTGAAAGAATGAAATTGTCGTTCTGGAGACCGCGACATATGTCGCGGCCTTTATGTGTACGGGGAGCGCGAATCGAACACCGAGCGCATGACGCGGAGAAACGTGTTCGGTGCTGTCTGGGAAGCCCCGAGCTATCGCCCTGACAATGAGTTCGAGTACCCGATGCCGCTCATCATGATAGCATACTCGACAAAATCCCCTTCGGGTCCAAGATGATAAGCTCATAGCGTTGGAACGTAGCGTTCGTGGGCACAAATGCGGTGTGATCACCAGCACGACGATGCAGCATACCTTGGGAATGCACGATTGCGAGATATCTGGAATGTGCTCTATGCACATGTTGCTCAAAGCGCGTGGATAAAACCATTCACTTGATCTTCAGGTGCTTGGCATTCGATTGAAGCAAGTGGTCGTTCTTGCAGCTAGAGATCGACATGGATACGAGTGCCTTCTAACTCGTGTTTGGAGCAACGACTGCAGGGCCGTTCGCACGGCTCGCTGCCGCAGCCCTATCTGCAATGCTCGAGGCGAGCATGCGGTGTTGCTGGTGCAGTTTGGAGGTCTTGGGCGGAAGCGCGGGCATTCTCGCGCATGCCGCTAATCATCGCGCGATTCGGAATCCTCGATGCAGATCAACGGCTGTTCACCCGACATGTAGTGCGATGCTCGCCAGCACCCGTATCATATATTGATATGAGACACTGGAGTGCTCGCTCTATTCATGCCTTTGGTTATGTTCCGAGCTTTTCATTGGATGTGTAGCCTCTAAATCCCAAGTGCAGCAGGAAGGCCTTGCGAATCCATAAGTAGTTTAGAGACTCGAGGTTGGTTTTTCACCATAGATCCGTAGACGCTTTGCAGCAGGGAGTTATTACGTGAATGGAATCAGAATGGTTTACGACGCATTTGAACAGAGGCTCGTAAAATAAATTATATCGTTATTCAATGTACACGTACAATGCTTCACTCGTCTCCTTTACTCACGTGTGGCCTGGTCAGATCACAAGCTCTTCAAGTTTTCCATCTTCCTTATTCAAGGCAACTCGTGGGCGCAGCGATTCTCGCCGCAGCGCTGACGACGGGTGAAATCGCTGTCGTTCCATGAAGAATGCATCACAAGTTCTTCTCTCTAGTTCAATGAACGTGTCACATGATGTAATCGATTCTGTTCGAAACACTAGTCCTCGTCTATTTGTGGTAATCGACTATATGGAATTCAATACGAGCATGATGCCGCTCAAAGGGGGCTGATCCGAGAGACTCCCGTTTCGTCTGTTTGCATAGAAAACGGCCTTGGGCTCGCACTGAAGGCTTCGCAGGCATTGCCTGCAGCAGAGAATGCGTCTTGGCATTGCACTGCTGGTTCGTGGACGGATCCGGATATCTCGACTTGAGCTCCAGTCCGGGATTTCCTTACGGGACTTATTTCATCGTGGACAACATCACGGTCGACGGATCTGTGATCCAAAGGAACAGCGTTCGCTTGTGCGAGAAGCAGACAACATACTCGCCGCAGAGATCGTCTCGAAGAAGCCTGCGATCGCAGGCGACGGCACCGGGGCGCAGAAGCGGAGGAGCGTATCGCAGAAAGCCCATTGTACCCGCCAAGATCAGGCATCGAGCGACGAAGCAAGCGTTCGCGTGCCAAAAGACAGCACTCATAGGAGGAGGATGCCGAGGAGGAGGCGTCGCAAAAGCATAGGATCACCTCATTACATCCAAGTCTCGCCGCTGCGAATGGCCCACAGAGTTTGTATACAAGGAAGATGAGAACGGCAGGCGATGCGTAGATGTCCACTTTTGCCTGTGCATGAAATGCGTCGACAGCAGTCGGGCGCAGCGAAATCGGGACGTCTATGCTGGTGTCAACATGCTTAGATTTGTTAACGACGGAGCTGAAGTGACATGGAAATACCGGCATATTTAAAGCCGGATACAAGAGCTCGGAAAAGGAATCATGCGCATAAATATCCACCAAAAGGTTGATGTAGATGACTATTGGCGGAGACCCAAAACATAGCGCGTGCGCCCGGGTTACGTGAGTGCACGGTTCTGTTCTATGCGGACATGTGTGTTGCACGGCGCCAATAACTCTGTACCACCCCCGAAATCCCACAGGCAGAGACGTTTGCTGCTTAAAGGTGTCTTCTGGTCGACGACCTGAAAAGAGTCAGGAGAACAAGCTTTCACAGCGATATCGTGGAAGGCATGGAGATGTGTAGTTCAGTCGCGAAGCGCGCGACCGTGCGCAGCCCCACAACGCCACCGCCGCGCTGCCGCGTATCCGCGGGAAGATGCCGCCATCCAAGCGGACGCACGCATCGATCTGCATTCGGGATCATTTTGTTCATATTGGTTCTAAAATATATATATTAGGACATTACTGGACCAAGAGGTACCGTGGCACTGCCCCATCGAAATCAAGCCGCTGGCTGGGCAATTCGAATTTTTGGCAGCGCAGCACCGATACGCGCGAACAGATCCCCAGGCACTGTGGACGTTTTCGGTACAGGAGCCATTTGGGAGTGTTCGCTGCACGATACTTCTACTTGGGCAACGCTGGTCGAGACCGGATCCCAACAGCGTGCACGCCTTTCTGTTTAAGCACCTAAGAGTGGGCGTTTCAAGTGCTTTTTGTTTGTCAGTTGCTTTACGCCCGAGACTTTGCGGGAAACCTGAAGGGCGGGGACCATCGGCATAGCGATTCTCGCGTTCGCCACGAAGTCTCTTCGAATTATATGGCAGATATAGGCGAACCGCACGATCAGGAGTATGCAAGTCACCCGTGGCGGCCACTTGGAAGTGAACGTTGGAACCAGAGCCTTTCTCCAATAGAGAAGGATACTCCAAAGCCGCCGGGCGCCGCAGAGGAAGCCGGCCAAACATACTGGCGGAACTTCCTCCAAACTCCAAGCTCCATTGCCCAACTCAGTCCCGAAGCGCTGGATGAAACCGCACAGAGCGAGGCCGTCGTCGCGTCTAACGGTGCTTTGGGGACAGTTGAGTCTCGACAGGAAGGCGATACCGCCGCCGACCTTGTCCATGGGGCAAACAGCGTCGCCGCCTCCAGTGCAAGGCGCAGCAACGCACCGCATCCGCGCAAAAGCGCAGAGAACATAGGCGAGGAGTCCATTGAGAATGGTGTTTCGTCCGAGCTCTCCCGCACATGCAGCACTTTGGAAGATAACGCTTCGGGATCTCGGGAGAAAGCCCTGGAGGGCCTCGGCAGCCCGCATACCCGGCGAACGGGAACACGCGGAGACTTTGCACCGTCGATGCGAACGCTCCTAGACGCTGGTGTCGAGCGGACTCCCAGGCCGAGCTCGCCACCGACGCCACCGTCGCCGACGACGCCGCACCTTGCTATGCGGCATATGCAGCAGGAAATTGAGCGGCTCAAGAAGCAAAACTTTAACTTGAAATTGCGAATATATTTTCTGGAAGAAGCCTTAGCTGCCGCTGGCATAGACTATAGAGCGATTGATGGGACGGCGCCCACCGGCGCGAGAAAACTGAACGACGATAGTACTGTTTCGCAGTGTGGAGCAATCGACTTTGATTTCGATTCTATTCGACTAGAATTGGAGGCGAAAGAAGAGCGCCTGCGTAGTCTGCAGGCAGAGCTCGAAGAGAGGCTAGCCGATCTTGAGGAGCGAGATGAATTGCTTCAAACGGCCCGAGAGGCTATTATGGGCCTTCAAGAGGCGCTCCAGGACGCACAAGCGCGAATTCAACGTGCCGAAGAACAGGCATTGGAAGCGGCCAAGAAGAGCTCCGCAAGCGGTGAAGCACTACCGTCGCCACCCCCGCAAGCAGGCGATTGCCAGACGCCTACACCCGTGAATCTTGACGCCGCAATTCGAGAAGCGCTAGCGTCCACTGAGGCGGCGTTCCGTGAAGAGATCCAAAGGCTGGAAGAGCAGATACGTATCCGTGACGAACAGATTCGAGATCTCGAGCAGGAGATCTGCAGCGTTCGCGACAGCAAGGACGAAGAGATTCGAGGCCTTCAAGAGGAATTGCAAGCTGCCATTCATGAGCGCGAAAAGGGAATCGACGTTGGACATGTGCCCGCGGATGCGAGCCACGTCGTCGAGCGAGAGCAACGAAGTGCCCTCGAGTCACATCTCGCTGAGGCGGAAAAACGTATTGAACAGCTCAGTTTAGAAGCGAAGCATTATCAAAGCCTTCTGAAAGAATCCGATGAACAGAGAACTATGCTTCAACGAGCTCTTGAAAAAGCCACGACGCATGCAGCTCGCGAGCCCGCCGTGCAAACCGAGCTGCAGGAACGGCTGACTGCAGCACAAAAGGAGCGCGACGCCCTCGCATCGGCACTCGAAGCTGTTCGGACCGAGCAGGCCACCTCGAACGAACGAGTTGCTGCCGCGGAGGATGCATGCCGCCACGCTGAGCAACGATGCCGCGAGCTGGAGTCTACCCTGACCAGGACGACCAGTGACGCGATGGAGCGTGTGCGCCGCCTAGTGGAGGCCCATGAGAAGGAGCGCGAGCACTGGCAGTTAACAGAGGAGCAGCTGCGGCACAGGGAGTCTGCGGAGCGCGAGGAGCTCCATCACGCGCAAAAAACGTTGAAAGAGACACAAGAGAAACTCGCGGCAGAATGCCGCAGTCACGCTCAGTTGAGTCTCGAGCACGCGCAAGCGCTCGGCCACATCGAACACCTGCAGGCGCGCCTAGAAGCAGGCGATTCCGAACTGGACGCCCTGCAGGCGCGACTCAAGAGCATAGAACTGGAAAGCCAACGACAACAGGAGGAACTGGAATTGTGCCAGAGCGAACGCGATGAGCTTGCCGAGAAACTCCACGAAGCCATCAGGCGTATTGCTACTTTGGAGCGGGAGCTGCAAGCAAAAGCTCCAGCCGGTGAACACAGCACTGCTGCGACGGAAGCAAACGTGAAGAAACCGGAAACTGGAAATTACTTGTCTCACAGCAGCGGATATGAAACATTGAAAGCGGCATCCGCTCCTCCCAGTACTGAGGAAAACGAACGCAACACCACTCGCGCCGCAGAATCGCATGCGGCCGCCGTTCAGGCTGAGCGAGAGCCGCAAGACCAGCATGTCGAGCGACTGCGCGCCGAGTTCATGCATTACCAGAGCCGCTGTCGCTCGCTCGAAGAAATGATCGCAGATCGCGACCGTCACATTCATCAGTTGTGTATGGAGCTCAGCCAGTCGATCACTCGTGAGCAGCAGCTCCAGGACCAGATTCGCGAAGTGACAATGCGAACGGCCAACGCTCGACCGCCGCTGAGCGCCCCAGCGGCAACCGCCACTCCATCAGCGGGAAATGGTGCAGGTGGTCGCAAAGCAGCTGACGGTGCACCAGCGTCGACGGACGTGCTCCACTGGGATGCCATTCATCGAGACATTCGGACGCTCCATGAGGATATTCGCTTCTGGCGCGAGGAGGTGCGCCACTTTTGCGAACAATTGGTCAGTCTGCAGCGCTTCCAGGGCCCGCGCCCAGAAGCTTCCGTTCCGCCTCCCACGTCGACACCTGAGCCGCACCTGGAGAAGAAAGCACCACCGGCACTTGGAGAAACACCTCCAAAGCCCGCACAAAACTCCTGGGAGAGGACGCTACACGGTTTGGAACAGCGTATTGAACGGGTGATGCGAACTGTAGACCGACTTGCGCAAGTTCGCGGGCGCGATGCGGCCTCTGAACCAGGATCCCCGTGCGCCCCGGAAGCAACGCAAGCGGTACCTGACGAGGTTCCGCAGCCAGCGCCACCGTCGCGGAGCCAGGCTGTCGCGGCAAAGCCCCCGGCAGCGGCTCAAGCCTCGCGACAAAAGACCGAGACTCGACGGCGGCCAAAGCATCACGATCACGATGCGTCCGCGTGGCGTGCCGAAGAGCTGGACACCGATGAGCCGTCCATAGCATTGGACCAAGTGCCTGATGACCTGCAAGTAAGTCGAGAGATGATCCATTTTATGCGCACCAGGCATCATCGACGGCGCGTCGAGGCACCGGAACCCGCTGTGCAGCCCGTATCCGCTCCGAAGCAGAACGATGCTATCGCACCAACGCAGAACAAACTCTCGAAACAGGCGTGGCAAGACGCTATACTGCGTCAGGTAGAAGAGACACAGCGCGTTATAGCGGCCACCCAGAAGCGCCTGGAGCGCGAGCGCGCCGCCTTTCTACGACGTACCCACACGCAGTCCGCAGCTCGCACCACTGACGACTTGTTCAGCGCCTAAACCTAGCAGCTTCACGCACAAACTCAGCTCGAGTGGCGCGCGCGACTCGTCTACGAAGCACTGTTCCGTAGTGCCCCTGCAGTTACGCTTCCGCGTCCACCAGCGTTTCAGTGAAGAGCGTCGCACGTCTGCACCGCACCTGGATCATGATGCGATAGCGCAACTCGCGCCTCTGCCCAGCAACGGTCAGCGTGTGCCGCACCGGCTACTTCGCCGCCGCGCAATCCAGCGCGTAACCCCGCCAGCCAGGCGCGCTTCAGCGAGTTCGGCTGCGCGGCAGCTACTGCACCCTGTTCCAGACTCTCGTGGACCAAGAGCGCCTCTATTCGCTCAAGCTCAACTTGATGATCATGTCGAATGAGTTCCAGTTCATCTAGACTGCTCTCCTCCATTCGAGTCGAGAACGAGGAACACGTTGCGTGCACGACCAGTCTCACAACGAGGGTATTCGGGGGTGGCGCGCGTACGCCTCAGCGTGACATTTGTCCTATTTGTACATACTCGAACAAAAACAGACAAGTTAGAGGCATTGGATCTACATCGACGTCTTCGATGGCTACTCGGGGTGGCGTGTGCGCGCCTGCGACACATCGAACCTATCTGTACACACCTATATAAAAAAGACAGGATGGAGGATGCCACGCGCAGCTGCCATGCGCGTCCGTACCGTCGAAAGCGCGGGCAAACGTTTCCAGCGCGTGCGCTCCTAGCGCTCGCACGACTTTGGTGCCATGAGTGCTGCCCAGGTCATTGATCCCGTTTATGTGACCGACCAGTCGCTTGGACCTGGGTCACTGCGGCTGTCGAAGGCTGGACTACTCTGGTCACCGCGCAACGAAGGTCTATACACGATCAGTGTGGCTCGCGAGGACCTCGCGTCGCTGCGCTGGTTCAGAGGCGCTCGCGGTGACCAGCTACGCTGCACTCGTAAAGACGGCAGCACCGTGAACTTTGAAGGTTTTCGTCCAGCGGATCGCGCAACCTTGGAGGAGTATGTGAAGGAGGCCTGGGCATGGACCAAGGGTGTACCGCGCGGCGAACAGGGCGTCGTCGGATGGAACTTTGGACAGGTGCGCATCGAGGGTGAGAGCGTGCTCTTCGTCTCTGGATCAGAGACGGCGTTCGAGTTGCCAATTTCGGATATATCGCAAGTGGTGCGTTCAGGTCGCAACGAGCTGGCGTTGGAGTTTCATCTCGACGACACGGCAGGGAAAACCGACGAGTGCCTTGTTGAGATGCGCTTCCAGGCACCGACCGAGGAGGACGCAATCGCGCTCCACGCAGAGCTATCGGCGCGTGTTGGCTCAGCGTCGTTTATGGGTGAGTCTCTAGTTTTCTTCGAGGAACTCCCGTTTATCGTGCCGCGAGGTCGCTACGATCTCGAGCTGTTCCCCACGTACCTGAGTATGCACGGCAAATCTTTCGACTACAAGATCCTGTACAAGACAGTGCGGCGTATGTTCCTGCTGCCAAAACCGGATGAGATCCATCTGGCGCTGGTTATCTCTCTGGACCCGCCGATTCGCCAGGGCAACACAACCTATCCACACCTGGTGCTCCAGCTCCGCCGCGACGACGATGAGATCGAGGTGGCGTTAAACATGAAGCCAGAAGAGTTGCAGAAACGCTACGGGGATAAGTTGCCGCCGAAAATCAGCGGTGAGCTCTGGCAAGTCGTCACGAAGGTGCTGCGTGTTTTGGTCGACAAGCCCCTGCATGCACCGAAGAATTTTGTGACCTCACAGGGTGCCCATGCGCTGCGCACCGCGCTCGGTGCCAATGACGGTTATCTGTATCCGCTGGAGAACTGTTTCTTCTTTGTGAACAAGCCGCCGACCTATTTGCGTTATGAGGATGTTGATTTTGTTGAATTCAAACGACTGGAAATGGATAGAAGGTTTGACCTGCAGGTCGTGATGCTGAATGGCTCCACGCTGCTCTTTACGAATCTCGAGCGAAGCGAGTTCTCGACACTCTACCAGTTTCTGGAGAGCAAACAAGTTCGGATGGTCGGGATCCCGCCGGCGCTCCTGCGCGGTGCAACGACCGGCAAGACCAGTATGCGCGCGGCAGCCGTGCGAGCCGAAATGGCTATCGCCGCAGAGGAGGCTGCTCGTCGTGAAGCGGATGGTGAGGACGACGAAGAAGCCGACGACCAGGATACCAAATATGATGGGAAACGTGATCCGCAGACGTTTGACGACGAGGATGACGAGGAAGATGAAGATTTTGCAGGCGACGTTGAAGATGAGTCCGACGGTGCACCCAGTGACTCGGATGCAGCGCGCGACGATGACGATGATGATGACGATGATGATGATGATGATGATGATGAGGCGCTAGAAGCCGAACTCGAGCCCGAGGAGCCCCTCGAGCAAGTCACGGAGGAAGATCAGTCGCAAGGCGATCCGGAATCGACATCAGCAGCAGCAGCAGCAGAGACTGGGCATGCAACTGACCTGGAAAAAGCTTTACATTCCTGAATGGATTCGGGACCAAGCAGTTAAATGGCACAACTTGCCTAGCGAGGCGTCCAGCGTTTCGTGCCAGAGACGGTGTAGGCGGTGCTCGTGCTCGTTACCTGCAATCACAGGTTTCGGATCAAGTGCAAGCGGTGGACGCTGGACCAGCGAGGCGTGGCGTTTACGTCATTTCCATGTGCCGACGCTGCGTGATACGAAAAAAACAACAGCATCGCCAGATGGTGCGCGTTTTTGGCGCGAGATAAGGCTCTTCCCCGGAACGCAAATCCTATTTCTCACAGGGCATCTCCGCAGCTGGTGCCGATTCGAAGAGACCTTCATCCGCCAGCAGCCAAGGGTGCCGAATCGCGACTCCAAAACCCCCTGCTGGGTATTAAGTCGTCGGCGCCTCGCTGGACGCCTCATGTGCGCATCCGTTTCAGACTGCCTCCCGATGCCGAGCACGTGTCAGCGCGCATGCCACACGGAGCTGGCTTGCCTCTATCGGAACCAAGAAGTCGACTGCGACGGTCGCATACGGTCGAGGTGCATCTGGCAATCTTCTCGTTGGCGCATTGCCCGAGAAGCGGCTGAGAAGCACCGCCACGAACGTCAACGAGGTCTTCCACTTGATTCTGGTTCTCGTTGCAGTGCGCGCATGCCACTATGGAGACAAGAGAACCGGCCCTTGCTTCCAGAGGGAATCCGCATAAGGTTTGCTGCTTTGGTGCAGCGTCATCTCAAACGCTCACGAATACGCTTTCTCAACGGGGTAATCGGGGATGAGGATCCTAGATACCGCCTGATCTCCGGGCCGAGGTTCGCATACCTCGAGCGATTCCTGGAGCTGCCGCTCTGCTTGTAGGCACAGTGCGAGGCAAGCTGCTGCCATGATAAACGTAATCCCGATAGGTAGTGCCGCCGGATATGACCCTAAACGAAGTGTGTGTCTTTGTGGGTGCGCGGAGATTGGGCTACTCGTTTGTTGAAGCGGATGCGTGTCAACCAGCATGGATGCAGTTCCATCGGTGTGAGCTGGAGTGTGCAAAACACCGCATAGCCATTCCGTATCCATACAGCAGTAGCAGCAGCAGCAGCAGCAGCAATCGTCAGTGAAAGAAAAAACTGTTTTTACGAACACGGACGGTAAATGAATATCAATATATGGACGCCTCCTAGCCGTTTTCGACCGGCCCCCTGTTATCGGTTCCAGTGTATCCGCTGTACACCACGAGCCTGAGAGGTTGTGCGATAAAGTTAGATCACGTCAGCTCTGCGGCTCTCGTCTCCAGCACAGCATACTGCCTGATACTGGTAACAGCGTTGAATTCTCGGTTCACGAGCTCCTTGGGTTTATTGCCTCTGGTTGAACACATCCGTGCATGGATCACTAGATCTCGTACCCTCTGTGCCACTTAAGTCTAGCCTACTTCCCTCTTCTTCTTCATATCACTCGCTCTTCTTCGCTCGATAGTTGGAGCGAAGCGAATTTTTGTCGTTGTTTTCCGGCACCCGGCGAGGAAGGCACTCCAGGAGCCCCGACGCTCACGTTCATACCTCTGTATTTTTATTTCGTTACATGAACGCACTTTGAACACACCTGCTCGATACCACGAAAAAGCACATTCTTCCACGCACCTGAGGCTCAATCATAATCGGAATGAAAGATGCTATGCAGCGCTCATATCCCGCTTTACGTATGAAACGTTGCCCGTCGTAACGCGGGCTGTACGATGAGGGCGCTCGACGCGGGGCACACGCGTCAGGCGCGTGCAGCACCATCGTGAACAGTTAGGGTTTGGCTGTTTTCGCTGACGTACCATACGAGAACGTTTGGGATCAGAGGCTTGACTTGGCCTAGACTTTGGCTTGAGATCCGCACGCGTTGCGGAGCACCATTACAATAGTTACGTCGTTATGTTTGTAGTCGTGCCTGGGAACGCCTGGCGCTTGCCCCGTCCTCGGGGCGGTTTGCACCGTCGCCCTACCTGGAGACTTTCCCTGATTCACGGGAGCGAGGACGGTCAACATGCGCTGACGAGCTCAGGTACAGCACGGAACGCCGCTTCACCGGCGACGAGCACGACCGCGACTGCAACGACGGCGCGCGTGGCAAACCGGGGCACCGCTGGCAGCGCCTCCTTCCTGGAGCCACGTTTTCAAGGCCGAACTGGTCTCATTCTGGTAAACATCGGGACACCGGCGAGTCTGAACGTTGCTGATGTGCGGCGTTACCTACGCGAGTTTCTCGGCGACGACCGGGTGGTCGACATCCGACCCAAATGGCTCAAGACGATTTTGCTGCAAGTGCTGCTCCTCACTCGACCAGCAAAGTCAGCGGAAGCTTACGCGAATATCTGGGATAAGGAGACAGGCTCGCCGCTGTTGCACTATTCTCAAGAACTTGCGACAAAGATACAAAAGCGGGTCGGCAATGGCTACGCAGTCGCTGTCGGCATGCAGTTTGGTGAACCGAACCTGGTCTCGGTGATGCACGATTTTCGTCGACGCGGTATCGATCGAATGATTATCGTACCGATGTTCCCGCAGTACGCGAGCAGTACCACTGGGAGTGCCAGCGAGATGGCTTATCATACCGCGAGCAAACTGTACTCTACACCGTACCTGCACATCGTGCCGGCATTCTATGACCATCCCGCCTACATACAAGCCTATGCGAACGTAATCGAACGAGTCATTGGGCCGCGAGGATCACGACGCGTAGATCACCTTCTGTTGAGTTTTCATGGTGTCCCTGAAAAACACTGTCAACAAACTGATGATACTGGTTTAGTTTGTATGCAGCAAGAGCATTGCTGCAGCGCGTTGGTGCAAGCGAATCGCAACTGCTATCGGGCGCAGTGTTTCGCTACTGCCCGCGCTCTAGCACAGACGCTGGGCTTGGCACCTCACGAGTACTCGGTGTCGTTCCAGAGTCGCTTGACTGCTGCTGGACCAGAGTGGATTAAGCCGTATACCGATGAAGTGTTGACGATATTGCCGAAACAGGGTGTGCGGCGCCTTGCTGTCGCCATTCCGTCTTTCGTTACAGACTGTCTGGAGACGCTCGAGGAAATCGGGATGCAAGGGCGAGAAGAATTCCTCAATGCGGGCGGGGAAGAATTTTACCTGGTGCCGTGTCTGAATGATTCCCAAGAATGGGCCGATGCCTTGCTGCGTATTATCGAGGACTCGTGTTGAGCGCGCAGCCTCTGTGTCTGCGCTGCTGTAGAAGCGCACATACCCGGCTTCGATGTATATGGTAGGCGCTGCGCTCATAAACGTGCCTCGGGGATTCAGAGTCCGTAGCGATCTATGGTATCGGACGTTTCGTTTATGAACCAGACACCTTGTAGCGCTATTGTAAACGTGCCGAGTGCCTGGTCGGCTTGATGCAAGTTCCCGACTGTCTCGCGTTGGCGTCTCTTCAAGCCGGGCGCGAAGGCTCCTCATCGTTGTTTTCCGCGCCTCCGAAACAGCAGACACCGCATATGCTGCGAAACCATGAAGCGCTGCGCCCTCCGCCACGGTTATTCCACTGTCCGCGACGTTGCACTCGTGCCTGACGTCCAGAACGACGCAGTCCGGTACGCTCGGATGCAGCAGGGGCCCCTGCATCACTCGTTTCGGTGGATGAGCGGGCATCCGCGAGCGCTGCTTCCAACTCCGGATCGACGGGGAGGCGCTCCAGTCGACAAGCCGCGTCTCGATCATCCAATGCTTGGAGCGCTTGCATGTAAGTGGTCGGCACCAGCATGCCACTGCCGCCAAGAATGATATCCTGACCGGTTCGACTCATCACTTGTGCCGCGGACCGTGCTTCACTGTAGCTGATGCCGCCAGCGACAAACACAACGAGTCGCGGGGTGCGCTCCACGTAGTCGTCAGCAGCACCAGCAGCAGCAGCTGCAGCAGCAGCAGCTGGTGACCCGCTGGCACCGCCTCCTGCCGTCTCCACTTTCAGGGGCGACGACTGTGCACGCTGCACACTGGCAGCGTCCGTGGTGCTCAACGCACGTTGGCTTCCACGTCGACGTGCTCCAGCAGGCGTCGAAAAGGTTGCTCCTGGTGACCTATGCGCGTCGACAGTTGCCCCTGCGCTGGATCCGGTGCTCATGGACTTGGTACGCTGGATGCGCTGTGTAGCAGACTTCCCCGGTCGTCGATTCGACCCAGCAACAAACGAACTCGGCTGCTTTGGCGTCGTGTGCTCGTCGCTTTCGGTGCCAGTGTCGCTTTCAGTGCTCGATGCATTCGCGCCTGCTGATGTGCGTCCATCCGAGGCATTCACCTGGTGATCAGAGACCAAGGGCCATTCCGAAGCTCGCAAACGTCCATCCGCAAAGTCCTGCATGACGGATCGGAAGGCAGGCACATAGCGGCTGAGGGTGTACGGGACGTCTGCCTGTTGCATGCGCATTCGGTGCAGCTTGCGCTCTCGGCGCCGCCATTGACGCCGTTTCCACCAGTTCTTCGGTGCGTACTCATTGACGGGTGCACGGAAACTGACCAATGTCTTCGCTCCGTTCAGGAGGTGCTCAACGGACCCAGACGAAACCCTCGCGCGCTGCATCATCATGCGCTCATCGAAGAGCGCTGCGGATTCACACTGACCGGTATACTTTGCGAGCATGGCGATCAGCACGAGACGCACACGCTCGGAATCCGGTAAAGCGATCGCTTGAGGTGCCTTTGAGGCATCCGCCTTGTCTCTGGTGCTCGAGGGTCTCTCGGTGCGCTGGATGTCGGGAAACAGGCGAAGGAGCGCCTGCTCGAGGGCTTCGCGGCGCACCCGGTGCCCTTCCAGATCACGACCACAGGCAAGATCCTGTTCGAGACTCGCCACCTCTTCGAGATGACGTTCGTGAAACGCCCGCATGCACTGGCCTGCCAAGTACGTGTGCAGCGAGAATGCGCTCAGCTGTTCTCTGTACTGTGGGAGCGCACGAATCGCCGCACCGAGCTGCTTCAAGTTAATCTGCTGCGTACCGGGGCTACTGGCGCTAGTCTTATCGAGGCCATCAGTGCCGCCGCTGTTCGCGTTGCCATCAGCGTCATCTTTTCGGGCCTTGGTCATTTGCAGGCGAGCAGCTGGATTCGTGTCCAGAAACCTCTGAAACGCACTCGTCAGCGCTGGTATCGCGTCCGCCATGTGCAGATAGCGAATCGATCGGAAGAGTGCGTCATTCTCGACGTCGTCGATGACCACCTCTCGCGACTGTTCACGGCCGCTGCTGTCGAAGAACGGGTGCCGTAGACGTGCACCACCAGCATGCGACCGATCGATTTCGTCAGCAAGAATATCCATAACCATCGCCTGGTAAGTGAATTCATGAATCACCGGAGCCAGCGGATCATACGAGCGATCTGCGATCAGCAGTGTCCACGGTACTGGTGTTCGACTCGCTTCCGCTGCGCCTCCACCGGGCAGCATGCGACGAGCTTGGGAGCGTTGCGTACGCAGCGATACCTGCTTGTTCAGATCAGCGCTATGGGGTAACGCTCGGGCCCGAGCGTGCGTTGCCAGTGCTCGCTCAAGCTGGTGCGCCATCCACTTGGAAAGCGGCGCGTCTACCGCGAAACGAATCAGCGGCCGTGCTCCAATGGTGCAACACAGCGAGACCAGTTGCTCGACCTGGGTTTGCATCTCATTCACCATGCTGCCCTGGTCGGGGCAGTAGAGACGGTGCAGGGCCCCAAACGGACGATCAAGGCTGAAGTAGCGTTCGTCTAGTGCCAGAAAATCGAGGTCCAGATCCACGCTCGCTACTACACGATCCCTGATGCTCTCCGGGAACACGTACTGAAGCGACGAGGCACCTGCCTCTGGAGCCAACGGGCGACCCAGTCCAGGCAACTGGGCTGCCAGCGACGAAGCATCTCGCGTGAAGTAGACGTGAATCGCGGCGTATTCATTTCGAGAAGGTTTCGATAAATAGGTGAAGGACTCAACGACAGGTCGCAGAATATAAATGGCATGCATTCTGGGAAATTTCTCTCGCGGTAATTCGAGACGCTCGACAAGCGCGACACCCTCGTTGAGCAGATCCGATAAGCGCATTGCAGCGGATACAATACGTAGGGCATAGCGATCAAGGACCAGAAGCATCCACTCGCGTTGTGCATCGACCGGTTGAGGGTGCTCCGTCGAGCGTACCCCAGTCCGAGCCCGTTCGATTTCGCGAAGGCGTTTCAGGCTAGCCTGAATGACCAGGCGATGGAAACGCTCTCGCACAAGACTACGGATACCGGGTTGCAGGACGCTATCGTCGTCGACGGGGCCAAGGTCGAACACCGGCGACGATACCGCCGGCACTTGAACATCGATCGGCATCCTGGGGTTGACGTCGCCCCTAGATGACGTTGATGCAGAGATAATGCAGTGCTGGGGGGTAGTCGCACCAGAGCTTTCCGAAATATGGCAAGCCGCTCCGGGGATACGCTCGACACGGGACTCGTATGGTAAAACGAGCCGCGCGAGGCTCCCGAGGTCCTCGATCAAGTCCCTCGCGGATGTACGATGAACACAAAGTGACTCGTGCACTCACTGACAGACGAACTCAGTGAATCTCGGTTTGAATGCCTGTCTGCCTCACGAGTAGCTACACTGCGCGTTTCGCTCGGAAGCGAGCTTCGGAGTGAAAGATACCCGCAGCGGCGCCTTTCCCGTGAAAATCCCTCTCGAGCCCGCTTCCAGCGAGCACGCTCAGAACCTGCGTTAGCCGCCAGGTCGTGCAAGGCCGCCGTTTCAACGAGCCCGTCAACTACCCAGACCTATCAGGGAAGTCAGCGTTGACGCCTAAAGGCCGCTGTCGCGTCAAACTGCTCACAAGTGCAATGTCGCGATCGCTCCCCTACAAGAGCGGTCGCCAAAAAATAAATATTCTGCAAGTGCCAGAGACTGCCAAGGAAAACGTTGAAAACTGCTGACCCGACGTGTCAGTGCTCGCACAAGACGTGCACCTACGGTTACCGTTTCGTGCAGCCAAGGACCTATCACAGGCGTCTCCAACTGCGTCACGGAAATAGCTACGTTCCGGACACCAGCGCTTCCGTATGGCCTTGGCGAATCTGCACTAGACACCGAGCGCCAAAGCTCGTATGGACTCGCGGCAAACGTGGATGTACGCTCCCTCGATTGCGGTGTCCAGTGAAGAAGCCTAGTGCGACACCAGCGCCGCGCTGCTCAGTTCTCGTCGTCAGAGGCGTTGCAGACACCCCTGCGTCGCCCGTTCTCGAAGCACAACTTGGACCCAGAACGCCGGTTTCACCGGTCCGCAGAAGCCACCGTCTAACCGTGCAGTACGGAATCACACCAAACACGTTCAGAAGCGTGTTCACGAAGGCTTGGTTCGCGTCCTCTGCGATAACGCGTTTATCGCGAAGAAGAAGCGGAACCTGCGCTAACGATGATACTCGTCGATGCGTTACGCGGCTCGAGATACGGCTGGCATCCACGGGCGCAACGACAAGCCTCTTTACCTGGAAAAGTTTGTTGTGGAATGTCGGCGACGGTTTCCTCTTAAAACAAAGTGCTTGTTTCCTAGAGACTGCTGTCCGTCATTCGGGAGCGTGAGCTAGGCGTTACGTACCGCATACTCGCCAAGCACGAGTGTCGCTTGCTCGAACAGACACCGCTGGGCAGCGTCACGCTTCGTTGAACGGTCGGAAAAGCGGGCCCCTGTGAGACCAGCACCCGATTCACACACGTGCCCAGTGGGTCACGCTGGTGTGGCTATGGAGCATGCGAACAAGTCAGGCGTTCAGCGCTGGAAAGCGTTACCTCCGGCGGCTGACTCGGTTCTGGAGTGCATCGGGGGTACGCCGCTCGTACGGCTCTCGCGAGTTGAACGTGCGCTCGATGTTGCATGTAAGTTGTACGGCAAGTGTGAGTTCTTGAACGCTGGTGGAAGCGTGAAAGATCGCATCGCGGTCCGCATGCTTCTCGAAGCGGAACGACAGGGGCGAATCAAACCCGGTGACACGTTGATCGAGCCCACGAGTGGCAATACTGGCATCGGAATCGCCCTTGTTGCAGCTGTTCGGGGTTATCGCTGCATCATTACCATGCCAGAGAAGATGAGCGAGGAGAAGGTGAACATTCTCAAGCTTTTGGGCGCTGAAATCGTTCGCACACCCACTGAGGCAGCCTTCGACTCGCCCGATAGCCACATTTCAGTGGCGCGCAGGCTCACCGCTGAGATACCCAACTCTTTTATCCTGGACCAGTATCAGAACCCGGAGAATGTCTTGGCACATTATCACGGGACAGCTGCTGAAATTCTAGAGCAAGTTCCGGAAGGCCGAGTCGACGTGTTTGTGGCGGGTGCCGGCACCGGAGGCACCATCACCGGGTGCGCTCGTCGCTTCAAGGAGCAAGCGCCCGCCACCAAAATCGTTGGTGTAGATCCAGAGGGTTCCATCCTTGCCCAGCCGGAGGCACTGAATGCAAAAGGTGTCCATTCGTATGCGGTTGAAGGCATAGGATACGATTTCGTTCCGGGAGTTTTGGATCGCTCGCTGGTGGACCTCTGGGTGAAGACCAGTGATCGCGAGTCCTTCTGTGCTGCACGTCAACTGATAGCGCTCGAGGGGCTTCTGGTCGGTGGCTCAAGTGGAGCAGCACTCGTTGGGGCGTTACGCGCCCTCGACCAGTTAGACCTACGCCAACGCACTGATGTCGTGGTTGTGCTCATCCTGCCCGACAGTTGCCGTAACTATATGAGCAAATTCGTTTCAGATTCGTGGATGATGAAGCATGGATTTCTCGATGACGTGACGCCGCGAGAGCTTTGGGAAGCGTATCCGGTCTCTCGTTTGCCGCTGCAGGTCCCGGTCACCGTTTTGCCGTCGGTCAGCTGTGGAGACGCGGTCAAAGTGCTCGCTGAGAACGGCGTCGATCAGTTGCCCGTGGTGGCTGAAGGGGAGATTCTCGGTGTTGTGACGGAGGGCAACCTCATGGCGCAGCTTGTTTCAAAGCGCGTATCGCCGAACGATCCGGTTTCCAAGGTCATGTTTCGACAGTATGCGAGCATCACGCCGTCCACAACGTTGGGCGAACTCTCACGCCTTTTCAAATTCGATCATTTTGCGATTGTCTCAGCAGCGCAGCGGGAGTATCGAAATAACGGGGAATGTGTCCTGAAAAAGATCGTGCTAAGCGTCTGCACACCGATTGACCTGCTGAGCTTCCTCGTCAAGGCCGGATTTGAGCCTCCGGAGGCAGCGTCGTCGCAGTCACCAGTACCGTTGCGAACCCGTCGGCAGCATGAATCGAATCACGTCGATGCTTGCCTGAACGCGTAAGGTCCGCAAACGTGTCGACGGACGCCCGTAGGACTGCTCAGAGAGGCCATTCCACACGTCTTTTTCAAACTGATGGGTACACGTTTGCGTTGCAATGCGGTATCGCCGTCGGTCGAGTGATTCCTCAACCGCTCCGCATCGCTGCAGCGAGAGCTTCTCTTCGTGATGATATGTACGAACAGCGGGTCGCTCAATGAGCCAACATCATTACCGGCTGGAAAGGATTTTGCTTTCTCTGACGGGAAGCAGTGGATTGGCTGCTTCTGGGGCTATCGTCTGTGACGACGACGTGCTGATGCACGTTTCCAGAGAGCGGTACTGATCTCGAAACATGTCCGAATGGGCAGAACCGGTGCATGCTCCGGGAACAACGCGACTTTATGGTGCGACCTGGCCAAGTCGCTGCACATTCGGTGCTCTGAAAGAGCAGCACAGGCACAGCATTCGCTCTGGTCAAAACGCGATGCACCTTGTACGCATGGACGAGGTCTGCCAAGGAGAACGCGATGCGGTTGCGCTGTCTATGATGAACTGGCAAGAGCCGCCAGATGAGAGCCGATGCCGCGGGTGTGTTTCATGGCCATCGTGGCCCCGTGCGCCAGCTGCAGCGATGTACCCAGCACCGCAGCATGTGCCTGCAGGGTCCGGCTCGCAGAGTCGATCAGAACTGAATATGAGACGCGCGTCGTGGTCTAAAGCTCGTCGACACTAGGAGCATCTGCACGGGCGCTGTGGTGCCTCCACTGGTTACGGGCTTTTGTCAAGGATGTATGCAGGAGTTCCTGGTGTCAATCCATCGAATCTCTGTAGTAAATAACGCACTGTCATGCGATATTTGCACGCGACAGAGACATTCATCTGCAGGCAGAACGATCGGCATCGTTGTTCTTGTACTTGCATTGACCGTGGATGCCACTGGACGCTTTCCTGTGCAGCGTTGCGAAGCAAAAAGTGTCGCGTCGACGACAGCTGTGCGTTTGCAAGTACAGCGCTCGTTATGCATGCTCATTTTCTACGAATAGTGTGTGTTGAACCCCATGTGCTCTGGGCATATCGGGCATGATGCTGTGTCGACTACCACGCAGGAATATTCTTGGCGTGTCGCAGGTGCTGGGAATCCCGCCTAGTGTTTCTCTCGGATGACGTTGGGAGATTGACGTCGACGCCCAGGTCAACGAATCCTGACAGCTGATGAGCACGCCTGGGCCGCACCATAGAAATGTATGTGTAGGCGCAGGCTCTGGTGCCGTGCGGAATGGAGGAAGCGATGCGCTCCTCTCACAGATCATCGGCAGCGGAGCGTTCGTCGACCTTATTCGGACTGGAGTGATGAAGGGAGAGCGGCTGTGAGCAGTGCTCACATCTACGGGCTCTCACGGAGTGTTTCACTTGAAGCATGGATCGTTTCAACGGCCGTGTACGTGCTGCCTTGACAGATGCTGTGCATCGCTACCGTACGATGTGCCAGAAAATCCGGATGATGAGGACCAGGGACAAACTCGCGCGTGGACGCTCCGCAGAGGAGGCAATCGCGTTTGAAGAAAAAGGGATGGCGATGATGCACTTGAATCGGAGTTTTGTCTGCTGGAAAATACAGCGTATGGGACGTGTGATATCAGCGGTCTCGAGTCACGGAAAAGTGAGAGCGGAAAGGCAGCCTCCGTAGGAGCCGTGCTCTCTCGATCGGGGAACACCCAACTTGTCCGTCTTCAGTTTCGGGCTCCGACTCGATGGGGTACAAGAGGGCATCACACGCCAAAGCAACGAAGCATGCGCTGCGTTCAGCCGTAGCCGCAGGTTCCGCTCCTGCCCCGTTCACGTTTCACCGCTTCTGACGACGCTTATAAAGTCACGGGGGTGGTATCGAGCTGTGTTCTGCATATAATTTTCAAGACAAGGCGCCCGATTCCAAGTGCTCGGTGTCCAGACACCCGCCATATGAGTCAACGTGCATGCTGGTCGATGTCATCATCGGATATGTGCTCAATGAACTTTCCTATTTAGGTAGCTCGCAAACTCGACGGACGCAGCCCTTCATGCATTCAGAGTATACGCAATCCCAAGCGCCCATCCCTTCTGTAAGGACCAAGTTTACGGCGAGGACGCCAAAACGTTGCAGGAAATGCACGTGAACGGCTCCCGGTATAGGTGTGTACTGGACTCGTTGGAACGGAGCCGCTCGAACTGCCACATATCGTCTGCGAAAGTGAAACCGAAACACCGACTAGGTATGAGTCAGCGATATCTGAGGCGGCTTTGACACACGTAAGCCGCCTACGCAGCGCACGTCGCACTGTTGTGTTCGGGATGAAACTTCCCCAGCTGGGCTGGGTGGCACTCAGAGAGCCACCCAGTCTCGTTTACGCTATGAATATAGAATTGGTATCGGCGGGATCCGTATTCGTGCCTTCTAGAAGAGGCTGCGAAGCGGGTACGGCACCGGCGCAGGAATGGAGCGCATGCTTTTCCGCATATCGCGGAATAAAGCGAAACGGGTCCATTTTGCACACGCAGGCTGAACGATAGTCTTTCAAGTGAATCTCGTTTCATTCCCAGTTGCTGTGTATATTCGGCGGTCGAAACAAATATGAAATGAACACCATGGATCGTTGACGAATTGCCTGAAGGATATCTACACATCTTTACTGAACAATGCAAAGAGGGCTGCATTCCTCCTTCGGATTCGTCACACCACAGTACTCTGATGGTTGACGAGCACAGAAAGAAACAAGTAGATGCGCTGCATGCCAAAACCCGGTATTCACAAAGACTGTTTGCGGTCAATGGGAGACAACGACCTGTTGTTCACCTTACGGGAGATGAAAGCGACAATAGTAGCCACCATGGGCGTCTCTGTTTCTCGACAGCTCATTCGTATGGTCTCGAAAACACTGGGATACAATCGCAAAAAAAGAGTCCTTGTTCAACCACGGCCATTTTCCACCGAAATCGCAACCACAACAAAGATCCTGAAAAGTCACTACCGGTATGAAGCAGAGGGACGTGGGTTTGTTTTTTTTCCAGTCGGTGAAACTTCCTTCGGACGAAACGATCGGTGCGTATATGGGTATTCAGGGGCGATGGGCGCCCGGTCTACGTACGATCGAAGTCGAAGAGAACGAGGATAACATCGTCTGCTCTAGCTGCAATGGATTCATTTGGTGGCCACAGTTTCGTTCGCAGAGAAGCCACATACCATAGCACCCTTTTCGTCGATTCATTGAAGACTGTTCTTCGACGCCTCACGGGGTCCTTCTATTAAGCAACCTAGTGTTTGACCATTCCAGTGGCGTTCCAGCTTTTGCGGATTCTATCTGGTAATATAGCTGCTTTTCATTTCTCCGCACACTCTGTGGTTCATGCCCATCGAAGCACCGTAAGCTGTCTTATAACGTAATGATCGCTCCACTGGGCGAATCACTGATGCGTTTAGTACACGGTAACACTCCGAGGCACGTGCTGTCTTTGTTTCGCAAACCCTTCTCCTTCCGGGAAGGTCCTCGTCCAAGGGCATAGAGAACTGCGTTTATTTCGAAGAAATAAGAAACCTGAGGGGCGAGCTGAGGTGTGCGCACTTTACCAGGTCGCGTTTGAGAAACCCCAGCGCAGCGCTTTGGCGATAGAAACGCACGCGGAGCTGGCGGAGCACCAAATGGCACAGAGGGCACGCGTTCGAGGACTCCCTGCATTGGTGACTTCAACCAGTGGTAATACATGGAAGGAGTTCTTGAACTGAGACTTCAACGCTGCAATTAATAGCAGAAGATATGCGATACTGAAGATGAAACCCACGGAGCTGACGTGATCCAGCTTTGTGGAGCAGCATCTCAAGGTCGAATTGCATCAGGAGAAGTTGATGCCAGTGGTAGGTGGCCAGTCAAAAAACGCTGGGAGGCGTCTATGAGAAGGTGGATATATGTACCCTACATGGTGGTGGGGCATTATTTGTTTCACTGACTGTAGCGTATTGGTCACTTTTCACTGTCATGAACGACAGGAACTTTTGCGTGCCTCTTCTGTGACTGCTTCCTTTTCCTCGATCCCCGATCTGTGGATTTCAATACGCAGGTCTCGCTTGTCGATCCAGCTCCGCTATCAAAGAATTTGACGCCCAGAGTGAAGCTCCCGTCTATGCTTCGCTTGGCATTGTCGATCTCTGTGTATACAGCGTCGGTGCGACCCTCGAAGCGCTTGCTCGTCCGTATGGTCAAGTGTTCCCAGGGGTGTCCAGTGCACCTCCTCCTCCTCAGAGCGCCGTCCTGCCGAACGTTAACGCTTGCTATGTCGCTCGGTACATGCCCCTGACTGATACGGAACGCTGCCATCGGCGCCCGCACTCCGCTCCCGAGTCCGATGCCGTACCCTACGACCACGAGCTTGTTCTGGGCAACGCTCTCGGCGAGTGCGCTACCCGACGCACACGAGAGCGCTCACTGTCCCATTCAAAAACGTGTTTGTGGGAAGCGGTGTCGCTCATGGTGAATAAGCACCGAGCGGGAAATCCAGGATACGGAACAAGTCGAGCGATATCGATCCGTCTCTGCGCTCTTCGAATAATACCTTGTCGCGTTTTTTTGCACTGGAAGCGAATGCTGCGATGGCTCAAGCCCAAGTCCGAGACCTTTCCTATGGAGAGAAAAGAGGCAGGGAGCGTCGAAGAGCGTGTCCTCTGACAGGTATGATGCTGCTCGGGATTGTCGATTTATCGATTGCTACAAAGAAGGGCGGATTTTTCAACTAGAAGGATATCCATCGTCTGACGAAACAAGTTCTGTAAACTTTCTGAACGAGCTTGTGAACAAATCGTTGAAGACGCCGTGGAGGTGTTTCCTCGACAATCCAGCAGCGCGCATAGCAGCGCGCGCGAGTTGCCTTGAAACAGAAAGATCGATGACTTGGAGAATATTTAATTGCTTCAATTTACACATCATGAATGGAGAAGACTATAGTCTTCTCCATATGCATTGCATCGCGATATCACATAAATGACAAAATTTTGTCCGAGAACGTCGCATATTGCCTTTTATTCCGATGACGTGACAAACTCCAACGACGAAGAGGCCAATGATCTACATCGAAAAGACGACCGAGAATTCCAAATTTTCGTGCGAATCGGTAAATACCCTATTCCTACACATCGAACGTTGAGGATGTGCATCCAAAACAAGTTCGGAAAGAAACCTCAAGGCGGGAGCGAACCATGGAGTTCAGGGCTCCACGTTCATCCAACAGAGATGCAGGCTGGGAAGCGGTTGCACCAGGTCGTCTGCAGAGCCTGCCCCATGCTCTCTTCAAATCGAATGTTTAAATCGACTGACAGATACGCAGCAGCCGCACTCCGTTACCAGAAGCGAGACGCTCTAGCCGCCATAGAGTATGCGCATCGACTGCGTGGAAAACCTTGTGATCCTGGAAGTCCTTGAGTATTCGTTGTATTTCGTCGCTGTGAAACCGCGGTATTTCCTGGATCACTGGTTGCAAATTCGACGGAAGTTCCTGGTCCACCCATCGGGCAGCCTGACTGCCGTCAGGGTCCCGCTGCATTGCCGGTGTTGGTCGGTGCAGAACAGAGCCCACAACGCGAGACGCCCGCACACGTCCGAGGCCCCGAGCGCTGGTCTCCGCGCATAGCACCAGTCCACGTCGCATTCGAGCCCCGAAGCGCGTAAACATGTTCCATGCGTTCAGCGGACGAAGGCTACGAAGCGCACTGGCATGCAAGAAACGTCCCTTTTTCTGCGGATGCCGAATGCTCGTGAGTGCATTCAACAAATTCCAATCATCGATTGCAAAGAGCACAGGAACCTGTCGGACACATTGAAGTTGGCGCAGAAAAAGCCGATAAGTCCGACCAAAGGCATCCAGGTTCAACTCGGCGAGCTCACCTTCCAGTCGGCGGCCAGATTGCAAGCAGGCATCCACCAGTCCCAACAGGTTGGTATGCTGATCAGTAGACGTGGCGGTCTGGCGCGCCACATCTCCGTCCCGCGCTTCATCATCGAGGTCACTCTCCCGAAGCAGTTGCTCCGTAGGAAGACAGGTAATGGATTCCAGCGTTCGGGCATGGACCTGGCGACACGCCTGCAGGCTGTCAAGCACCAGACGAGCCTGATCGAAGAAAAGAGGTTCGCGCAACAAGCTCGCACTCCGTGCACCTCGAGGTCGCGGTGTTAGAACCACGTCACAAGAGTCGCGTTCATGTAGCCAGTGGTACAGGTTTGGCAGATAGAACACCAGCCAGTCCTGCTCACGAGCTCGCTCGACAGCGTGAAATAGACTCGTGCTCTTCCCGGAACCTGGTGGGCCACGAAGCAGCACACATCGCGTACCTTGCCAGAGCGGATCAGATCGCTCTTGAACCAGCTTCCACACGTCTGCGTCTGCCTGACGCCAAAGCAGTTTCAGGGCAGTTTTCGTTTCTGTACTGTGCCGTTTGCTGGCGTCTGCGCCGTGGACCTCCGTCCAACGAGCGAGCACCCCTTTGGGCCAAGCCTCCGGAACCAGACGGTGACTCAACACTCGAAACTCATTAACAACAGCTGGGGTATGATACAAACGACCAAGCAGCAGACACGTGCTGAACACTGGCCTGCAAGCCCGCATGAACAGCTTGAAGCTTGGTGCTCAGGGAGCGTTCCCCGGAACGTATACTTGCCCAGTATTGCTGGGGCCGCCTCGCCAGTCGCCCCACGAGCACCGGGACCCTGCGTTGCGATGTTGCGATCCCCGGGGAGCATTACTGAATGAGAGCAAACAAGGATCACCCAGCGCGAAGCTGTAAACGGTATCTAGGAAAGCCCCGGGTCGTCCGTTCATGACCTTGTCCACTTCATGGCGCGTAAAGCAGACATCCTTCAGGAGAACATGAGGCGCTGACGCGAGCCTGCCGCTGGTCGAGTCTGCCAGAGGGCCTAGCGCGCTGCTGCGAGCGTTTCACGCGGGCACCAGGGCTTTTCGATAGACTTGAGGACGTCGGCTGGAAGCAAGTCTGCCAGTGATGGACACGAGGTGAGTGCATGAGATGTGCGAGTATGCCAACTCAAGCTGGAGCTGTTTCAGAGACAACCCAGACGACATATTTTCCATGGAATAGATGCAATAATCTGGATGCGCATACAACATCAGCTGTTTCAGAATATGGAGGAAATGGGTCCAGCGCGCTCCCTCGGGCGTACATACGAACATTTGGGTCACTTTTCACTGTCATGAACGACACGAACTTTTGCGTGCCTCTTCTGTGACTGCTTCCTTTTCCTCGATCCCCGATCTGTGGATTTCAATACGCAGGTCTCGCTTGTCGATCCAGCTCCGCTGTCAAAGAATTTGACGCCCAGAGTGAAGCTCCCGTCTATGCTTCGCTTGGCATTGTCGATCTCTGTGTATACAGCGTCGGTGCGACCCTCGAAGCGCTTGCTCGTCCGTATGGTCAAGTGTTCCCAGGGGTGTCCAGTGCACCTCCTCCTCCTCAGAGCGCCGTCCTGCCGAACGTGAACGCTTGCTATGTCGCTCGGTACATGCCCCTGACTGATACGGAACGCTGCCATCGGCGCCCGCACTCCGCTCCCGAGTCCGATGCCGTACCCTACGACCACGAGCTTGTTCTGGGCAACGCTCTCGGCGAGTGCGCTACCCGATGCACACGAGCGCGCTCACTGTCCCATTCAAAAACGTGTTCGTGGGAAGCGGTGTCGCTCATGGTGCATAAGCACCGAGCGGGAAATCCAGGATACGGAACAAGTCGAGCGATATCGATCCGTCTCTGCGCTCTTCGAATAATACCTTGTCGCGTTTTTTTGCACTGGAAGCGAATGCTGCGATGGCTCAAGCCCAAGTCCGAGACCTTTCCTATGGAGAGAAAAGAGGCAGGGAGCGTCGAAGAGCGTGTCCTCTGACAGGTATGATGCTGCTCGGGATTGTCGATTTGTCGATTGCTACAAAGCGAAGAGTCATCGACTTTTCGGAAAACATCGGTTAATTGGCCTGATAGATTCACAGATCTTTCATCATGATCACTGAGACGAGACTCCAAGGGATAGGTCGATGTTTGTCCTCGTCAATGTCGCAGCGCGAATTGTTGCTCCCGCAAGCTGCCCTGAGACAGAGGGATAAAAAACTACATGTACGCATGATTTCAGCATGCTACAAGTAATAAAAGGAGCATAAATGAGACTTGTTCATAGCAACTGACGAAACATATCTGCTACTTACATAAACCTCGTTCAAGATCAGCGCGAGTCACCGCAATGCTCGTGATGCTACGAAATCCAGCGGCAACGCGTCGAATGAGTCACGCTGAAAAGACAACTGCGAATCCTAAATCTACGTAAACATCTGTCATTTCGATGCTGTACACATAGAAAAAAACCCGGAAAACCTTCGTACAGGAGCAGAGTAAGCATTTCCGCGTTCTATATGCATCCGTAACCAGTGTCGCACGCCCATCGCTCGTGCAAACATCGTGCCACAGTAGACCGCAGACACAGATGCTCCAGGTTGAAGACGCTCACCTACACTACATGCAGTGCTTCATATTACCAGATCCATAAAATATTTAGGGAAGGGCTCGGATACCTCACCGCAGGTTCATGAACCTGCGTAGAGCTCATAGAGAGCGCATGGCAAGGGGCATCGATCCCGTGGACGCTGGCGTCCGCTGCGGATGTCCTGCACGTGAGGCACCGGCAACGCGTTCCGTGCTGAAGCGCCAGCACAAACGTCCGTTGACGCTGAGCTGTATCATGTTCTCGGGACGGAGAGAGCGTGACCCAGCAGAACCCAGAGATCAGCTTCAAGGAGATAGCTATTATACAGAAGCCGGTAGCACGGAGCAGAACCCGCTTGTCGACCTGGACCTTGTGCGCAGTCGCCGTTTGGCGCGGTTTACCACCAAGTCGACGGCAGCGGACTCGTCGGGTGCTGTCGCTGAAACTTCTGCAACTGCTGGGCAGCACTCGAGCCGACCGGCTTGTGAGCGACCAGAGAATAAAACTGGGACTGAAGAGCGAGTCTTGCATCGGGCGGAAAGTGAAAAAGCACCGAGTGTGGAAGCGTGCCCGGCACCACAACGAAAAGCAGCCCCGGCTGTTTCTGAAAAGGAACTCGTGCACCAGAGCCTCTTGCGCATTTTGAATCTCTCGAGTGCGGAACTAGAAGAAATCTGGGCGAGAGCTGGTGTCGCTGCGTCGCAAGCGCCGACGCACCTAACCGTTGCTGAACTCGATACGGTGCTGGCGGAACGACTCCAGGATCCTCGCATCGTAGATGCGCTCTCCTACTTGATACTTTGCTACCAACGACTCCGTCAGGAGCTGGCCTCAATCCAAGCGGCTCGTTCACAGGTGTTGCGTGAGAGCCTGGGCAATGCGCTACCGCTTGTTGTGACCTATGCGCGAACATGTCTCTGGGAGCCGCACCTCTTCGTCTCAGGTCGTCGTTGGCCAGCGGAGAGCGCTCCACACGAGGCTGCCGCATTATGGCTCGTGGAGCAGTTTCAAAAACAGCAGATACCAGCAGAGGGCGATGCAGCAATCCTGCCACCAGCCATGTACGCGGACCTGGTGCACTGGTGGGCTCGCGACGCACCCGACGAACTCGAGCAACTGTTTCCAGTATTCTTTCGTGGCCTGGTGGAAAGCGCTCGTGCGGAACTGGATCAGATTTTTCTGCAGAGGTCACAGCTGTCATGTTTACGAGCTTTGGGAAGCGCGCTAGAGCCGCATGAGGCCTTGAACGCATTCGTGTCGATGGCGGATTTCGTTGCAGTGGATACCCGAAACAACGTCCGGTCGCTTCTTGGGCCATTCCTGACACCAACAGCTCTACACTATGAGGACGATCGCGTTTCAAGGGCGCTCTTGCCGAACAACGTATCAACCGAAAGCGAGACCGCTGAGCGGGACGCGATCTCGGCTGTGCAGTGGTCTCTGGACACGCTACGCGACGGCTTGTACCGGCTCTTGATGCGACTTTTGCGCGCTGGACCGTATCCTCGTGAGCGAGTTCTCACCTGGCTGGCGAACCAGCTTAACCAGAATCGGGAAAGGATGAAACTGCAGGCCGCAACCGCAGAAACATGCACGGACGGGTACATGCTGAACCTTACGGATGTCCTGCTGCGCCTTGCAGCGCCTTTTGCTGACCCGCGCTCCCCCAAACTGCAGTCCATTCCAATCAAATGTCTATACGATCATCATCGAATCCGCTTGGCGGAGCAGGAGACGCGCGTCGGATGCGATTATGCGGAAGCGCAGCGTCTACAAGCCGACTATTTGCAGCAGCAGCAGCAGCAGCAGGCCGGGAATCCCTACGCATTCATTCCCGAATGTTTTTTCCTGACGACGCGTGCACTTCAGCTCACATATCTGCCATTTTTGCAGTATTATCGAGAGGAAATCTTGCATCAACTGCAGCGGCTTGAAGAGATGCGCGAGGAACTGAATCTCGCGCAACAGCAACAGCAGCAGCAACCGGTATCTTCGATGCAGCAACTGGAACAACAGCTGATGCGAAGCCAGTGTGAGCGAGCCATCGCCGGTCTCCGACGTGATCGCCAATCCTGCCTCTTCTATTTGTTCGATAGCGGCTCACTGGATCGTCTTTTGCAATTTTTAGCTGCGCTGGCGGCATACATCATGCAAATAGCAGGTTTTGCCGGACGCTTACCGCTGCCTGCTCAGGATGCGGCTTCTGTACCCCGGGAGTACGCCTTGTTACCCGAGTCAATTTTTGAGCTGCTGGCTGAGGTGCTCCAATCGATCGTACAGCTGCGCTTGCCCGTGCCGCTGACCACGGTGGGCGCCCTCTTTCCCCAGTTTGTAGAGTTCGCTACCATGCTGCTTTCGAATACGTTCTACTTGCGGAACATACATATCCGCGCACGCTACGCTGAATGGCTCGCACAAATGTTCCCGGCGATAGGGAACGAGCTGCGCCATGCGCTCGGAGCAGTGCATCTACCGCCCGAATTCGAGGCCGCTTTTCTCGGCAATGAACAGGTCGTTGAGAATCTGCCACCAGCTCTGATGCAGCTCTATATCGATGTGGAGCGTACTGGAACGCATACACAGTTCTTCGACAAGTTCTCGATGCGATTCTACATGAGTGAGGTACTGGTGGCCATGTGGCGGGTCCCGGCGTATGCGCGTGTGCTCCGACGCCTCGCCTCGACGCGAGAGGGACTTTTCGTACATTTCAGCAATATGCTCTTTAATGATGCCAATTTCTTGCTTGATGAGTCGTTGCAAGCCCTGGCAGAAATCCACGAACTCGAGCGGCTTCTAGAGCCGAATTCGATACAGGGTCAGGCTCTGGAGCCGCAGGCTCGCGAAGAGAAACGCAAGCGCCTGCTTCAGTTGCAGCGTCAGGCCAAGTCGTTCAACCAGCTTGCCAACAGCAGTATTCGCTTGATGGTGACGCTAACCGAGGAGGTGCGGCAGCCGTTTTTGCGACCGGAACTGCTGGATCGTCTAACGAACATGCTGAACTATTTCTTGGTGGCACTTTGCGGGCCGCGTTGCGAGAACCTCGTTGTTCAGGAGCGTCATCGGTACGAATGGGAACCGCGCCAGCTATTATCCCAGATCCTGCGGATTTATCTGTCGATGCACGATCCGCTTCGGGATCGTGACGGCACCAGACGCTTCTGTTGCTCAATAGCAGCTGACGGGCGCTCGTATCGACCGGAGGTTTTCGAGCGGGCGGCGCAGATAGCTGCAACGCGGGGCCTCTTGACGCCTGCCGAGTGCCAACGATTTCACGAACTCGTCGAGTCCGTGGCGATCTGTGCTAAGGAGCTTGTTGCCGAGGATGAGGAGCTCAGCGAAGCACCCGACGAATTCCTAGATCCGATTCTGGCAACCCTGATGCAGGATCCCGTCATGTTGCCATCGAGTCGCAAAATCGTGGATCGCTCGACCATCGTGCGACATTTGTTGAGCGATCCGCACGATCCATTCAACAGACAACCGCTGAGAATAGAGGACGTGATCCCGCAACCAGCGCTCAAAGAACAGATTACGAGCTGGCTACAAGAGAGACAGGGAACGCGGCGTGTCTCGTGAGCGGGTCTGCTGCTGCTGCTGCTGCTGCTGCTGCTCCTATATCGGCGAGCGCGCGTACTGGACGAGATATCTGGTTTCGGGGAGCTCGCTGCCACTGCGATACACTAAGCTGATCCGACCTGCGTAAACTGACCGAGAAAATGGAGCAACGGCACACCATGATCGTCGACAAATGGACCGGACAGATCGTCTCCGGTGTTGATACACGGCGCTCTCGTGAATCTGGATTCCTGACCTGGACCGCACGAGTGCGCTGTTCCAGGCGGGATTCCCATGCCCTCTCACCTGGCTACTGTTTTTTCTCATCGCAAGTCTTCGGCGTTTCCGTACAGTGCCCAAACGGAGTACGAAACGATGACCACGAAACTTTGCTCGATACAAAGCCAGTCGTCGCTCCAAAAGCACACGGCGATGCCGGGTATTGATCCAAGCGTCCAAGTCCGGATGCGGAAGGAGCTCGTGTGTATTGCTGCAGGTGGAATCTCGATATTGCAAGCATCTCACCTGTTATTGCCTCGCGGTGTGAGGTTCGCTCAGCTTAGCATACACCATGCGGTGCATCGTTTGGTTTCACGCGATGCCTCGCTTCCAGCCTCAGCGCGCAACGCTCCTCGAGATGTGTGTACGTCATCCTAAACGCATCGATGGGAATCGAATACCATCGATGCCTGTTCTCGTTGCACACTCTAGGCGAAGGAGCTGGTGTGTTAACTTTTTTTGGGAACCGTGCGCCCTGCTCCGTACGCTACTACGAGCCTCTGACTCTGGTCCTCCGTGAGGGCGCTCATCTGATTAAAAAAGTTGGCGAATGCAAGCCGTTTCCCTTTGCACAAGTTCAGTCGCTGACGAGCCCACCTGGGCTTTGTATACTCTTTCCGTAGCGCCTCGTCATGAGCAGCTTGAGTTCCCGTGGATTCCCGAAAAGCTTCAAAGGCCGCTTTGCGGCCCGTCAGTTTGTTCATCGCTTCCAGATGCTTCTTCATTCCTGAATTCCACGTCTCACTCTGTTTCCTTGCATTCATTATACCCGATTCTTGGTGATACCTCGCTCTTGAGAACTTTCAAAGACGCATGCCTTTCTGAAGTAAGTTGCCGTCGATACCATCTTTCGCACACTTGCGTGCAGCAATGGTTACGATCTTCGTGTTCTCGGGGCGAAGAGCAACGACAAATTCGTTCTCCTACGGGTTATACGTTCCAGGATCTGCCTCCTTTTTTTCTTCATGTTCCGCCAAGGGCGACAACAAAGACGCATTAGGTCGATCCACCTTCAAGCGCCTGTAGTGAATGCATGTGGACACTCCATCGATATCGAACATCCCCGTGAATACCTTTTGCTTGCTGATTTTGAGACGTTTGAAATTGAAGATGTTCTTCCAGTACGTCTCCCGGTTTTCGCCGGTGAAGTCCTCCCTGCTAACATAGAACTCGGGACAGATCTGCTTCATGATTCCATGAAGGATTCTGGAGTCGATACTCACAAAATGTGACCTGATGTTGCACAACAGAACGATGTTGAAGCGCTTCCCCGTTAGGAAAGCCTTCCGTCTCTCCCACTCTTCATTTTTTCTCGACACGCCTCCTTTTCGGCCTTGCGTTCGAGTTCTCGATTCAAAAACACGAAATAGCGTAGCACGAGGTGATAGCATCTTTCTTCATCTTTTATCATATCTGATCCCTGTTCTGTTGGGTTGACAAGCCCCGAGACCGCACGGTGCTCTTGAAAAGCCGCACGGATCACAGAAGCTTCATTCTTTCTCCTGGCTGATGCCTTCTTGTTGACGAATTCGATCTCCTGTTTATTCCTACAATTCTTCGTGATGCCGTTGATGATGGCCCATATCGTTTTGCGAGAGAGGCCCGGGTAGAGTGCAAACACGGCGCGTATCACGAAACGTTCGATATTCACGATCATATGGTTCCTCGGGCTCGTGGGGTATCTCATCGCCCCGTATTCGGAAATACGCGAGTCACCCCTGTATCCAGTACCGTCGAAGCGGTATTTGGCGTGATTTTCGTGGAGGGCATGCACTCGCTCATTTTTCGTCGACGCGTCCCCTGTGCCAACCATCAGGTGACGAATAAAGTTCATGTTGAGAAACTCTTCCGAAACCTCGACTGTTTTGATGTCCGTCACGTCGTGATACATCCCCTGCACCAAATGCATCAGCCCTGAAGAAGCCTCACGAACACTCATGGAGTACGAATCGACATGGTTTCTGATGGATTCTCGCAACGTTTCCTTCTACGAGTCCTTGATAGGTCCAAGAGGACAGGCTTTCACAACCATATCGTCGTGCTGTCGTCATTCTGGGAGCTTCTGACATTGGACCTCCCGATTTTGCCTCTTCCTTTTGTCTTGCACTTCTGCGCTTGGTACTTTTGTTCGTTTTTTCTTATGCGGCAGCTGGCGGCACCTGCCCTCCAGGATCCTTCATTTCCGTGTCCAGGACTTTCCTTTGCTATTTTTTTGAAAAAAAAACGCACATTGAACGCTTCTGTTATGAAACACGTAAAATCACTTGAATACACTAATGTGAACGTTGAAAGACGATTGAATTGAAACACTATAATTTGCAATGACTTGAACGCAGATGCAACTTGTACGTCGAAGCGACAAGTCGACGAACGGTCAGGATCGCGTTACATTTCAACGGCGACATGCGTGTCGCGTCTCGTGAAGGCCTGATCTCCCAGGTGCGCATATCGAACCTACTATATAGAATAAAGAGCAGAGACTCTAGATTCACCCGCAAATATGAATAGCCATATTTCTTTCCCCTCTACGATACACGTTAAACGCGGGAAAAGTTTCTTTATTGCGGATAGTTTGCTTCATAGGCGATGGGTCCCGCGAACCGGACGAGTCTGTCGAGGATGTGCTTCATGCGACTCTGCAGTACCGAGCGCTGTAGTGAGACCCCAGCAGCTCGTCGGCAACGCAGTCTATTCTGGGACTAGGGCCAGTTAGGCTGCGTCTGTGCGTCACCCTGGTCGCGGTGGACTCCTAGTATATCGCTTCGCGCTGCCACAGGAAGTACGCCAGTCCGCGCGGGTTTCAGGCTCCTAGAATGATAATGTATACCGATTCCATGTTGAATGAACCACGCCTCGGGCCGATGCTCCCAGTTGTATGGCAAAGCCGTTGCGTCCCCGGGCAGCATCTGCTTCAGCGGTATGCAAGCGCTACAGTGGGTGCTCGAAGCAGGCACTCGGCGCACCAAAGAACATACGAAACAACCAGTATATCCGAGAGGAATTATCGGTAATGGAACTTGAAGGTATGGTGCGGAATGATGGACACAATCTCGATTACCAATGTCCGTCGTGCAATCTGGGATTCACGGACAATGGAAACCTCATCGAAAAATTCACCAGTGAGATCAACACTCGGGCGATCGTGCGCGCCATTGCCAGTGGCGGACACCGGATCGCACATGCGCAAACAGATACCCATATACTTATGGAGGATCGTAACTTGCTCAATTTCTATCCAGGTACTTATATATACATAAATATATAATATGGCACACCATTGGAAATCGAATCGAAAGCGGGAACGGCCGCGGGATCCATGCGCCGATGCGCCAGGCGTACGGGCGCACGACCCGCAAGGACATCGATGCATGCGCATCGCGCGACCGTGATGCCGCGTTTGCCGCTTCCCAGATGCGCCGTCTGCGGAATCTTTCCCTGCACAGATGCGCTCGTGTACGCCGATGATGCACCTCCACCGTGATCCAAAAACATGTGATATGCAACGTTTTTTTTCGTTGTTGTTCTGCGAACGATACGTTCACTCCTATTCGAAGAAAAAGTCACTTGAATCAATCGATCTGAAAGCGATTCAACAATGTCCAGGGAAGAGCGCGATGGATCAGCGGGTTTCGTGGAGCATGCTGCGACAGCAGCGCGTTCCCCTGACCCACCGTACGTCGGCAGAGAGCCGCTGCCCAGTGCTGCAGAACGAACCAATGCGGACGGTGCGTGCGATGAATTCGTACTTCCGATATCTCCAGAGGTGCCTGGTGGCGACCCCGAGCAGCCGACGACTGGCTTGACACCGTCGGAGCCTAGTGCGTCGCTCTCGGAGAAGCGGGAACCCTCGGCGGACTTTGGCCCTCGAAAGGGTGAGTCGCGTCGGGACTATTTGCGGCGCGAGTTCCAACAGCTTCGCTCCTACATCGTCGTCACATCGGCATATCTCCTATTTTCCCTGACCGATGGGGGCATTCGAATGATCGTGCTGCTGTACTCGATTTTCCTGGGATTCTCCGCATTCGCAACAGCGCTCATGTTCTCGGCATACGAACTTGCTGGGGTGTCGACGAATATCATTGCCGGCATGATCGGGTCGGCTTGGGGAATTCGAGCCCCGCTACTGATTGGACTCGGGTTCCAGCTCCTCGGACTGGTCATGCTTTTCGTGTGGCAGGCAGACAACCAGCATCTGCTTGGGGTGCGAGGCGCGGTCTACGTTGCGGCCGCTCAGGTGCTGAGCGGTGCCGCCAAGGACATGGTGAAACTCTCCGGCAAGTCCATATCTCGGCTCGTGACCCCGGAATCGAAACAAACGCGCCTCTTTCGTCTGGTAGGGTTCATCACTGGCTTTAAGAATACGTTCAAAGGCCTCGGGTACATCATGGGTGCATCGATCGTGTTTGTTTCCTACTATGCCGCACTTGGTGTGATGGTCGGGATCGTTCTCATCGTCGCTGTGATCGTTTGGTTCGGGCTGGACTGGGAGACTGGGCGTATACCGCACGACTATGTCTCGCTGAGGCGCATGCTCACTGTGAATCACAACGTTGGTTTTCTCTGTCTCGCGCGGATATTTCTCTTCGGTGTACGTGATCTGTGGCTCGAAGTTCCGATACTGTACTTCCTCCAGAACCAAAAGTATGGGTTCTCCTGGCCGGACTATGCCGTGGGTCTGTTTGTTGGCCTCTACACGGTACAGTACGGTCAGATACAGAGCTGGGCGCCGCAGTACTTGCTTCGGCCGCTCGGACAGATGCCGTCCAATCGTTATACGCTTCTGTTCTGGAACATACTTCTTTTGCCGGTGGTTGTCTTTATGGCTGCCTTTATTCAATGGTCCCCGACATTTGCCAATCATGATGTGAATGGCATGATTGGGTTCGTGATTGTGACGGTGTTCGCGTTCTCGTTCGTTTTCGCCGTGAATTCGTCAGCGCATAGTTACATGATCGTCAAGTACACGTCCGGCGACAAGGTCGCCATGACAGTAGGTTTTTACTACATGACCAACGCTATTGGCCGCTTCATTGGTACCTTTTTCGGTGGACTGCTCTATACCTACGTCAGTTCCGACAAAGTCGAAAGTCTGGCTGCATGTTTCTGGACATCGGTCGGATTCATTCTGGCAGCTGAGGTCTTTACCTATTTCCTTCATGATAATGTTGGCGGATTCCGATGCGGCCCCTGTTTCGCGTACGCCGTGGATGCAGAAGACTCGGAGGTCAGTCGGAGCAAGGTTGATCTCATCGAGGGCAAACCCGCATCATCATTCTTGGATTCAGATACTCACATGAACAACAAGCTCGAGAAAGCCGAGCTCAGTCCAGCATATCAGGGCAACCAGTTCGCCGGCGTGCCGCGCACAGCGTACAGCACTGGCAGCGAAGAGACGCAAGCTGAAATACCAGGATCCCAGATCCGGAACGAACGTGACCGAAATGAGCGCTAGCACTAGCGTTTGTGGGTCTGCGTGTGCTGTTTTCGCAGAGTGATCGAAAATGCTTCCTCAACGCAAAATTTGGTTTAAGGAAATGGTCCATCCGACAATCACATCCAGCGAGATTGTAAAGTTACGACCCATCAGTATCGACGCTGATGCATCGACGTGATCTTCTCCATGAAGAGCCGTTGTCGCTCGCGTACGCTCAGCTTGCTCACGAGCTCAGGCGAGGCCAACGGATCGTTGCCTCGGGACCGACCACCGTGAGGGCTCGCTCCGCTGCTCTCCCGACGCATCTGGCTCGAAGCGTCCGCTGCCTGCACATCCGACACACTCGCCGCTTCAAGACGATCGCAAAGCTCCTGCAACTTGCTCTCCGCGTATTCGCGACGCTGCATCTCGAGAGTCAGGGCCTCGGTCATCTCCTGGCGAAAGCGCTCAAAACGTTCCCGCAGTGTGTCGAGTTCGGTCTCAAGGTCGGCACATCGGTAGCGCCAATATTGTTCTCCGGTGCCCGCCGGGTGCTCTGGAGCTGAGCGCGCTTTCGCAGATAAGTTGATCGGCTGCTTCCATAGGGTTGCGGGATCAGCGCCCTCTTCGGAGACTGCGCTCGCGTCGGCCGCTCCAGTCGTGGACACGTTTTCCAAGTTGCCGTCAAGGCGCTTCGTGTTCGGCTCCTCCTCCGCCGCCGCTGTGATGTTCAGTTCCCGCAAGGCTTGCTCCAGCTCAGCTTGCCCGAGTTCTCGGCAGTAGTTCTTGGGCAGCCAGCCCTGTGCACCATCGCGCAAACGTTTCCCATGCACCCATTTTGAGTCTGAGACCGTTTCCCCGACTGCAAGGATATCACCTCGTTCCAGTTTCAGTTGCCCTTTACCTTCCTTACCAGCAGGAGGGTTATAAGGATACCTGCACTTGACCAAACGCTGCATGATCTTTTCTTTCACAAGAACGGAAGCGCAGCGCGATCAGACGGTACCGAGAGCGCCCGTGGCTATCGCGCTCGTCGGGGTGCAGAGAAAACCGCGGCGAGGCGCGCGGATCGGCGATTTGAATTTCCTGTGGATGGTGTCGTATGGATGCATGGGAGAAGGTGTCCACGAATTCCGCCATTGTTGTTGGCAACCGGGACAGCAGCCACCACTTCAATCCAATATTGTCGAATGCCAGTAGTTAGAAGCGGGATTGGCTTTCAGAGACCATGATTCATTCATGTGAGGCTTCGGATTCTAAGCGTACCGTTCGTGGTCTTTGCGATTGGCTCACGCGAACGTCGCGCTGTTGTGCTGAAGCGGCCCGATATCACTCGGTTGTGCAGTTTCCGATCTTTCGATATACCTGCGTCAGATGAAAATGGGAATGAGAATCATAAGATCTGCTCGCACTTCTCGGTTTTACGGACTATTTATTCGATTTGTAGTTTTAGTGGTATAAGTGCAGCAGTGAGGGTTTGTGGACTCAGAGGTAGTTTTTCGGATTCTTTGTCGTGTTTTTCAGAGTGAATTGCTCGGCGCGTTGCGCTTGAATTCATTACGTCATTATCCGTACGATCATTCGGGACGCGGTCGAACGCGGTCTTATGAAACAAGAGATTAGAGTATCCAGTGTTTGGGTAGAAGCCTCCACGCTTCTCCGCATCCTTGCGTGTCGCTTGACCGGCTCCTGCGTTCTTCAAGTTTTCGATCACTCTGTGCCAAGACAACTGGCGGGTGCAGCAATTTGCGCCGTTCGACTGATAAGTGAAAATATGGCCGGGAACACGATAAACATTTCACGACAATGTAGGGAAAATTAGTGTCCATTCGCAGATATCTTGCAGCTTTTTGCTGGCCGGCCATCAGCAACCGGTTTCAGTGTAGCCAGACATGCTTCGAGCCTGAGAGGCTGCCCCATAAAGTTAGATAGCCTCAGCTCCGCGGGTCTCGTCCTGGGCACCGCGCATCCCCTGATATCGATGGTGGCAAGGAAGTCACGGTTCACGAACTCCATGCAGGCACTGCCGCTGGTTGAACGCACCTCTGCAAGGAGTCCCCGAACTCGTATCTTCTGTGCCACTACAATCTCGTCATCGTGCTGTCGGGCAAACACATTTTTTGTCATCTATAGCTTCTCTTCTTTTCCTGTTTTGCTGCTTGCGCCTCTTCGCTCAATGGTTGGCGAGAAGGGAATTTTTATTGGCTTTTTTTTGTCGAACCCGGCGATGACGGCCCTCCAGGATCCTCGACTTGCATGTCCATACCTCTCACATGGATTTGTTATCTTTGATAATGAACGCAATTCTTTGTGCCCTTAGGTGAGAACCTTCTCTGAGGGTGAAGGACCTGCGGTGGAAAGTCGACATTTACCCTGGTGTCACTGTGTGCTGAACGCTTCAGCGATTCGCCAAACGGTGCGGTCATTACGTTTCAGGATGGAAAACACTCCTTCGACAGGGATGAACTTTCGTGAGCACGGAGATATGATAAACAGATCTGTCACGATAGAATCGCCAAGAGCTCGAACGCAAAGGTAAGAGCAATCGTTCCGTTGTTCAATAGAAGGACGGCGCCGGACGTCAGCGAAAAGTCTTCGATGATTCGACAAAGTGGCTGGTGCTGTTTTACGAGCCCCCTCTGCACGAACGAACCTGTGGCCGCGAACTGAATCCACTGCAGCTAGAACAGATGATGATATCCTCATTCTCGTTCAGTTCGATAGCACATACAACGGGCTCTCTCTAAGTACATACCCATGGACGCCCCCACCGTTTCGTCCGAAACAAGTCTTATTGACCGAAAGAACGGACCGACGTTCCTGTACTTTATATCGATCGCTGGGTTTCAGGAATACTGCAGTAGCTGCACTTTCGGAGGACGAAGGCCGTGCGTGAACTCGGGCTCTTCTTTGGCAACAGTATCCCAGTGTTTTCAGGATCACCGGAACAAGCTGTTGAGGAACAGAGACCCCTGTGGCACCTACTGTATTTGCTTTTGCATCCCTTAAGGCGGCAAACGGGTCGTATGCTATCATGTACCTCAACCATTCTTCGAGAACATCAGTTTTTATTATGGAGCGCATCTCCTTCTGTCTATCCCAGTGTTCCTCAACCATCTGAATACTGTTGTCTGACTGGCCTGAGGGAAAAGGGCAGTCCTCCTTTACTATCTCGTTGCGAATATATATCCTACAGAAAATTCATTTACGATCTGTTCGGTACATTGCGTCGCGGTGTCGATCCCATGCCATACACTGCGAAAAAGCATCCGATGACACACAGCGGACATGGAACCGAATTCAGCTTGGAAGACAATACATCGATCAGGTGTCGCTCGTTTCAGCTGTGAACCGTGCGCGTCAACGGCGCTCTTGTTCGAGCAACAGCATACGTAGGAGCGAGCCTTGGACAAGGCTTCAGCGTTTCGGCTCGTTTTCACAGTACATGGACTCAGATCGCGTGGCAGAAGCTAAAGCACTTGAGGCGGCTCACGAATATGAGGCCGAGGCCTTGTACCGCTCCATCATCACGGAGCCTCTGCCTGAGAACGGGGCGGAAATCGCACAAAAAGAGAAAGAGTCAGCAATTGTGGCGCTGATCGAACTGCTTGGTCACAGGAACCGCATAGCAGACCTGGCAGAGTTGGCGCGCTGGTTGCGCCCCTATTTTGATGCAGTTCCGAAAGCAAAGACTGCGAAGATCGTACGTACGCTCATTGAAACGCTCAGCCGCTGTCCAGGTTCTGGTGAGGTCTTGTTGGCGCTCTGTCACGAGGTTGTGCAGTGGTGCCGCGACGAAAAGCGCACGTTTCTTCGTCAACGTGTGGAAACGCGATTGGCTTCCCTCTACCTGGAACGCAAGCAGTACCCCGAGGCGTTGGCGCTGATCACGAGTTTGCTTCACGAAGTGCGGCGCATGGACGACAGAGGTCTATTGCTGGAAGTGCAACTGTTGGAAACGCGACTTCATCACGCGTTGCGGAACATTTCAAAGGCACGAGCAGCGCTAACAGGCGCACGAGCTACCGCCAACGCCATCTATGTGCCGCCAGCGTTGCAAGGAGAGATTGATCTCTGGGCAGGTATAATCTATGCAGAAGAACGCGACTACAAGACTGCTTTCTCCTACTTTTACGAATCCTTTGAAGTCTTCGCATCAATCGATGACTCGCGCGCTCTCGACAGTCTCAAGTACCTTCTTCTCTGCAAGGTCATGACGCAGCAGACCGGTGAGATTGCCGCGCTCCTGCAGGGCCGAGTTGCGCTTCGCTATCAAGGTCGAGAGCTCGATGCAATGCGGGAACTAGCCGCCGCCTGCGAGAAGCGCTCGGTACAGGACCTTGAACAAGTGCTCCGCACCAATCAGCAGTTTCTAACCGAGGATCCGATTATTAGGAACCATCTGGATGAGCTCTATCAGAAACTACTGGAGCGCAACATCCTGCGAATCATCGAACCGTATCATCGTGTCGATTTAGCCCATATCGCACGCAAGCTTGCAATGCCACTTCCGCAGATCGAGGCGAAATGCTCGCAAATGATTCTCGATGGGAAACTGAACGGCATCATCGATCAGGGTGCGGGCTGTCTGATCGTCCACGAATCGACGCAGACCGATGCGCTGTGCCAGGACGCAAATCGTTTGATCAAGAACCTTGATGAAGCGGTATCGAATCTTTTCATGTTGGCTGCGCGTTTGCGGTAAACGAAGGCCTCTCTGGCTCCTGTGTGTGTGTATGTGTGTGTGTGTGTCTATCGATCACTCGGTCGGCCGCTCGTTGCCTGCGGCATCGGGTATATGCGGGTTGCCGCGCCTACATCGCATCGATCAGGGGCGGCGTTCCTGTGCTTCGTTCACATCTGCGCTCTGCAAGCTATGCGGATGCTGCTGGTCGCTTCGCCTGGTCGAGGCAGTGGAACAGGTCTCAGTCCATGGGGCGTGCAAGTTCGCGCGCATGCTTGTGGGGCGTTCGTCCACGCATGCGGCACCCTGGCGAACACGCTGGTGCACGATGCCGACACTCGTCAATCTCCTCGTAACCATAGCAGATAATGTGAATCGCGTGTAATGATATCGTTCTTTAGGCGGCATGTGACACGAGTTTATGAACTTTGGTCTCGCAAGAATTTGGTTCAGCGAGGACGCTGCGTTTCTAGAGGCACAGCCCTGGCTCATGATGAAATAGCAATGGTGATGCGAGGTGCGCTTTCCCGCGAAGCTGTCTCTCTCCACCCAAGCGAGTTGATGAACGCCACCTAACAAAAAGATCGGTATCATGCGATGACCGGGAGCACGACCTCTCTCGCTATCCGAATCGAAAGCAGCTGCCTCTGGTGATGGCTGGAAAGCTTTTCCTTTCGAGAGAGCTCCAAGGCACGCAGCTCTACAGGCAATTCCTGCTGATGCGGTAACGTCGGTCGCGCATGTCCTTTCGAGGGGATTCCTGAGAATCGCGCGACAAGCCCAGCTCAATGATTGGACCTGCTCCAAGGTCGCTGCGGTTGCTCCGGCTACTTCAGCGTCGCACCCAGGTTCCAATTGCTCGAGTCGCATCTGTCAGGGCCATGAACATCGGCGACGGCAACCGCAAGAACAATAAGACATCCAAACCCGAGGTCACCAGTTTCTGAGCATTGGACTCGCCTGTGCGTCGGTGGGCAACGAAACCGATGCCTCGACAGGCGCTTCGGGGCAGTCATTCTCGCGATGCGCTCCATAAGAAGAGCGCTCATCTGTGATATGAAGCGTCCATTCGAAAGGTAGTGCGTACACCAGTCGACTAGCTGGGTCGTCTCGAGCGCTTCATAGCTGCTGTGGCTTGTGGCGATGGACGGCTGGCCGGAACGGCCTCTCGCGAACCTCATTTCACTCTGGTGACTGCCCAGAGTCAGCGATAGGCGCGAATAAGCACGTTCGCCTGCCATACGTATGCATCCTAGATGTCTCGGTCCGTTTCTATGTATCCGTTCATGAGCAAAGCAGGTATGCGATCGCCAATATCACCTTCTGGATCTGCTCACGCCGATTCCGTGTACATCTCGATCAGTTCCTCCCATCAACGCTGCTGCTATCGTCTTCGTCGTTCCGGTTCGAGGCTCGCGAATGGCAACACATCTGCGGACGCTCACAGCACCATTCGCAAGTACGCATCGGCAAAGCGACCAGCGCCCAATGCTCAGACGACGGCGATGTGCGTTCCGTTCAAACCGCATGGAGCGTCGTTGCCAATATGAATTAAAGGCTTTGCTTGTGCTCGCCAGCCTGCAGATCCTGCCACCAGCGTGTAGCCAGTTCCGCTAGATCACCAACCATGACCGTACCGCAGCCTCCCCAGAGCAGGCGATCGAGCACACCGTCCGTCACGCGCCGTCCACGCTGGAACCCTAAACGCTCAAAATATCGAACAAGTTTCTGGTGACGATGGAAGCCGTCGTCTATAGCCAAGAAGTAGCAGTGCGGTGCGCCCTTTCGCAACGCCTCACAAGCTGCAGCTACAGCCAGCAACTTCGATGTGACTCGCGGTGTGTTCGTCGGGCGCTCGCTCACAAGCTCAATGCGCTCTACCTGCGTCCGACGAAGCAGGGGCGCCAGACAGAGTGCGCTGACGTAGCCCGCGAGTACCCAGTTCTCGCAGTCTGGGGCAACGTCAGTGCGCCGACGCTGCGCTGGAGCAGTTGCTGCCGTCGTCGCTGCAGTGACTTGGCCCCGGGTCGACTGCGAGGAACGTCCAGCACGCTCTGTGCTAGCAGCGACCCTGACATATGCCTCGATGCGAAGCAATGGCCCCAGACTGCGGTTCAGCAGCCGAACCCCTCGCTGAAGCGCGTGTGCAGTAACGGTACTCAAGGTCAGCGGGGTAGCGGGGTCGCCACCCCGACCAGTTGCATAGACCGCTGCGCAACGACTTGGGCGCGAGAAGCGTTTCGGTGGGGAGCTTCCGGTGTGTTCACGAGGAAACGACCACGCACGGCAAGCGCAGGGCACAAAGTTCATAACCAACGGGAGCTTCAAGTTACCCAACGCCAATGGCTTGGTGTCTTTGGGTCTTTCACCCGTCTCCGCGTTGCAGAGCCCGTTCTGCTTTGGCTTGCGCCTGGCGCCCGCCAAAGCGGTGCCGTCTACCGCCGTGTCGCCCCGAGACCCTCGAAGCGTGCTCCGAACCGCCAGAGTCACCAGGACCGAGGGAGCAGGGTCAAACGCGAACGAGTGCTGACCTGCCGCTGTCTAACGAGAGCTCTCCAACGGGCGAAGCGGAAGCTTCGGATGGCAACGGACACGAGCTCTCGTTTATGCGGAGCACGGGAGTAGACGACCTTGACGCTCGTTTGATTGCCGAAGACCCGTCATTTGCTGAGCTTGAGAAAGCAGCACGGGCCTGGATTGGCGATTCACTCGATCGGTGGCTGTGGTGGGAACGCCAAAAGGCCCGGCGATATCGTTTGCTTCAGCAGATAAAGCAGCAGGAAGAACTTGTGGCCGTAGAGTTGGCGGAGCTGGAGCAATCACTGGGTGAACTGCAGTCTCTAACTGGTCTGCGCTTTCTCAGCGAAGACGGGAAGATATCAGGCCTGGGCTGGGTATTAATCGCGATGATTCTCCTGATTCCATGTGGGTTGATCTTCGTTTCGATTCACTTGGTTCAGCAGGCTTTATCAAATCAGGTGTAATCGATGCGCCATTCAAACACACACACACACACACACTATAACTCGAGCGATGTAGGGATGCATGGTTACTGACGCTTGGAGGGGGTGCGAGCATCAGCGCCCCGCTTGCACCGCTGCTCGACGCAAGCCCGTGAGGTTGTGAAGCGTCGCAACCGGCAAATAAGAGTGCAATCATGGGTTCGCTTTGGTCGCTTCGAGATCCTCAAAACAAATCCTTTCATTCCTTTCTGATCGGGTATAGCATACAGGTACAGGGACGCGACACCTCCAGACGCTGCGTCTTGGTGTAGGACTCTAAGCCGGAGGCCTGATACCGGCCCCCGGGGAAGTCGTCGATGCTAAGCACCGAGGCTCCGGAAAGCGAACTGTCCTCGCTCGCTTTTCGAAGCATGTTCGCAGCAGGAGCAGATTCCAGAACGTCTTCGTCGATCAAAGCGTTGCGAACGGACAACACAGTGCCTTGAGCCCGCCTCAACGCTATCGGCAAAACTGCGCGACATTCGACAATGCTTCAGACTCGGAACATCCGGGGCACGTTATTCGCTCGCTGCCATAGCGTACGCAAGAACATCCAGCCTGGGGGATTACTGCAGGCCTACATCACGGGCTCAACGCAAGCTCAAGTGGTTCCAGCTCGGTGTCGTCAGGAACTTCCCATCGGATATCCTTGATCCAGACGCGTGTGTACGGTTGACGGTGACCAAGCAAGCGTTCGTGGCCCTTTCGGCGTTTCTTTTGATAGATGTAGATCTTTTGGGAAAGCGACTGCTCTTCGATGACAGCGATGACTTCGGCACCGGGCACCTGTGGCCGCCCCAGCACCGACCAATCGACGGACCCGAGGGCCAGCACCGTCGAGAATCGAACCTCCTCAGAAACTTGACCGCGTATGCGAGCCAAATACACAATATCTCCAACTGTGACCTTGTACTGCTTTGGTCCATGAGCTATAACTGCGAAGCAGCCTTCACCTCGCCCATCAATGAGCGGATCGCGCTTCGCAGGAGTGCTCGTTGAAGCAGTTGCCCCAGGGGGGTGTCGGGCGAAAATCGCTGGCAGCGCGTTTTCGTTCATCCCAGCCACTTGTCGTTTAATTGTATAATAGGAGAAGCCTAGCGGCTTGGTCAGTTCGTTATACAGTATGCTTTTTCGGGGAGCTTGCGCGTCTCCCGAAACCGTGTCGGGTGCTTTCATCGCTAGCGCACGCGAAGCGCTCGCGATGCTAGCGCGCTGCAGTGGCGACGCGCGCCTCAAAACATGAATCACTCGTTCCAGCACTCTCATGATATTAACATTGTCCAAGAACTGAACAGGTGCTTGTTGTACACGTCTGAACTGCTGTTTCTTTAAGGCAGTTTCTGACACCAGCAGCGGTGAAAACAGCTTGCGGCGACGAACTGGAACTCCACAGCGTCGCGTTCGGGGATGTTGAACGAGGGTGCCGCGGCCGCTCGCTACGAGCGCACTCTGGAGTGTTTTGGGTTGTTGGCGTTTCGGAGGCTTTCAGCTTGCTTGCAGACTTTTTTCATGGAATAAGTGGTTGTAAACCGTACGAAGAGGGTTACATACATACGCTTGAAACTTTTAGCTTCAAAGTTCTGGCTCCCGATATGCTTCGCAAACCATAAAAGAGGGAGGCGCTTGAAGTAAGGTTTTGTCGGAAACGTCCTCGCTTGGCGCGACTGGGCACGTGCGCGCCATGTTCGCCGACATCCGAATCCTTCAGCGAGAACCTGATAGCCATGTGGCATTCGAACTGCTATTTAGGGCGGCAGAGGCCGTCCAAGAGCTGATGCAACGAAGAAAGTGGGTAGTCGGTGTGCTGCGCGAGTTCCTGCCGCGAGGCTCGCAACTGCTCGGGCTCAATATCAACGGTGGGCGCGTGATCTGTATCCGGTTGCGTAAGCACCGTTCAGGCGGGTGTCGGCGTCAGTCTCGGGCGGCGAGAACTGATCACCAGCGCGAGGAGCGCTCTCTAACTGGAGCTCCACAACGAGTGCGAGGCCTTTCAGACATACCGGGTACGTCGGCATCGAATTTCTTCGCATATGAGGAAATCCTGGGCACGTTACTCCATGAACTTGTACATATTGAAATCAGTGCCCATAATCGGGCGTTTTATGCGTTATTGGAGACGCTTTGGGAGGAGGTTCGCTGGAGCGCTCGCTCCGGACTATACGGTCCTGTTCATCGTTTATCACCGCGCGGCTGTGGTGATGGATCATGCGGTTCACGACCCGTCCTTGCTTCTGCACCAGCGACACCGGGAACGATTGCTCTCTTGGATTGTCATCCAGAACAGCGGCGGAATCTTCTTTTGAAGGCAGTGCTGCGTCGCCTTGAACAACAAAGACCGGATCCTCATGACGCAACACGGTATTCGGACGAATCGCAGGGGGCGTTGGCGCTCGTCAACTGGAATCGACCACCAGTGATCCAGGTAGCGGAGAACGATCCATCTGGTTTGGAGGAACGCGTTGTCGCGTTGGAATCAGAAGAGCGTACCAGGTTTTCGGAGTCAGCGACTTGTTTGGAGCAGGGAGATACCTGCCAAGTGATCCAAGTGGTTGATCTCACGGTTGAAGATGCGGATGACACGCTCGAATGCATCGATCTTTGTGCAACGGATGATGAGGAAAATGACGAAAGAACAGCACGAGCAGCAGCAGCAGCAGCAGATGATGATGATGATGATGATGATCATGATCGAGCGTAGCGTCTTGATGTGCTGATCCGAATGATGACCCGCAGCCTCGTTTGATAGATGATGAGCATAGGACTTGCATGCTTTTATGGATCTTTCGCGAGAGCATACATCGATAGATGCTACCGAGAGGAGTTGGGCACTAGTCCCCCATGACGTCTGACAGTTTTGTTCATTGTCTGCGGCCTACCGTATGCTTTGTCGCTGCTGCCGGTCCAGAAGTAGCGTCGGCGGCACAGCAGGGCCGTCCACGCCTATCCATCGATCGCACGCCATGACGGAGTCGAAAGCTTCATCGCGAATGTACGGATCTGCGTCCTTTTAACTAGTCATGATCAGTTTCCGAACCTAGGGGCCAACAGTCGGCGTGCGCCAGCAATGCCTCTCGAAGCCGTCCGAAGACAGCCGGCAGGCCGCTGCACAAGTCGCAGCCCAGCTGCACCAATCCAGTAACCGCAATGCTGCGTCCACCCTACCATTATAACATAACATGATACAGAATCTGGCGAAAAAAGATCAATTTTCACCAAGTCGGATGTTGCGGTAACGTGCATTCGAGTACCTGCACCCTTGCCACTACATGAACAGAGTCCGCATGGCCACCCGACTGCCTCAGACATGCGCAGGATGCAAGACACCGCAAGTCGACACGCGTCAAGCCATGGCAAAGCGATTCCGTCTCTACAAGGCAACGAGGGAGCTGCTGATGCCTCCAGCATCGATGCTTGCGTCGACGGTATGCTCAACGTATCGAGAACATACATTGCGGGCTGAATGTAACCGCTTTCCCGGTCGGCACGTCAGATTCGACTTGCAACAACGCGGTTGCCTTCTGCGAGAAGCTGATAGCTCAGTCCTGCTCATGTGTAGCGCTCACATATCAGAAGAATCCCCACTCGATGCATCGATCTGATACCATTCAAAGATCGTCACCCGAACGCAACAGCGTCACCGGATCCCTCAACAGCGTACTCGTTATCGCTTCGCGAACGCTACAAGCGTGCGTTATGCCATGCTCCAGCTGCAGCGCTTACACATCCAACTCAGTCGGGGGCGCCTCGGTCCTGCGCTGCTGCCGGTTTCGAATAGCTGGCAGCCGCTCCGGAGCGCCCTGCCCTCAGCGTCTACTCTGAAGCACCCCCCAGAAGAATCATGGTTGCTTCGTCCTCTGCAACGGTCGATCGACGCATACTTTTGGTGACTGATCGCGCGAGCCCTACGTTTCGATACAAAAACTGAGGCTGTTTCACAGCGGGTGCTTTGAGCCGCTGTTTCACCGGCCGAGTGTCGCCTTCCCTCGTAACCGCTGGAACTGGCTTTGTACTTCCGGCCGATTGGGCCTGTATAGAAGAAGCAGCTTGTACTGCTTTTCTGGCGGCGTGGCGAAAGTGAATCAACGGTGACACCATCGCCTGCTTGTTCGAAAACGGAACGTTCGTGCCGATGCTACCACAGATCCTGACCTTCGCCGCAAAAAACAGTTCTATTCCAGGCGACGTATCCTGCGAAGCAAGCACCTTCGAGCTGAGTTTCCGCAGATCGCTACGGATTCACAACAAAGAACATAGAAAATGACCCCAAACGATCTATATGATGCCCAGCACCTGGTGTTTCCAGTCGTAGTGCCCGCTCAGAGACGTTGCGTCAAACGCAACCGCGTTGACTTTTTTGCATATAGCGCCGCAGCATCCGAATGCTACCCGAAGGTCGACTGGGCGCCGGTTCTGCTTCTCGCGTATCATGCCGCATCGCGACGCTCGATACAGGGCAAGGGTAGAGGACGTTGTTTGTTTTCTGAATGAGAAAGCTCTGAGCTCACCAACAGGTACGGGTGTGTAGGCGACGCGGGCAAACGTCGTGCTCTTGCACGAGGCGTGCACCCGCTAGGGCAAGCCGTATACCTGGGGCGTCACCCGTTTCACAGGGTCAGATGCTCGTGAGCGCACCAGGTGAACCGGTAGCGTCTTGATTTTCGTCGTCTCAGTTGTTGATAGCGCACGATTTATACCTATGGGGTCTTGAGGTGCATATGGGTGAGGTAGTCCTCGAGCTTGCCGGCAACGCACCATCCCTAACGTCCGCTGGAAAACTTCAATCAAAAACGTCGGGCGAGAACAACTGCAACAGTTTCCGTGGGGCGCATCTGTTACAGAGCAACGAAGAGGAAGCGATATCACGCTTGAGCTCAGCTAAACCAAATATCGTCCGCTTCTACCGGACACTGATGCTGTCTGGAGCAGGCACCCCGCTGCAGAGAACGGAACCTGCGTACGATACCACGCCCCGGTGGCACGCTCCGAGATATTCCATTCCCAAGCGGGGGAGCGGCTTTCAACGGGGCTCGGAGCGTAAACCGCGTTCCACTATACCGTGCTACGCGCATCAGGGACCCGACATTGTCTGTGTATGTGCTGCCTCGCTAATCAGCGGGATACGATCGGGAACCTGTCCCCGTCCACATGACTGGATCACATAGAGGATGCAACCGAGCATTCCATAAAAGACGGAAGCTTGTAGCACCTGAATCGCCACAGCTGACACTGGAAGAGCGTTGCTTAATCCCTGGAAAAGCTGTGGTAAAATCAAGGCAATATCCAGCGTCAGTGCCTGCATCGTGTTGAATCGTACAAAGTAGCTGACGCGGGGGTTTCGCACCACGAGCACGAGCATGAGTACGAAAATGATCAGAGGCAGGAAAGGAATGCCGCGGTAGATGCTCAGCAGAGGCCACAATGGTTGCAAGACGAACATAGAGAAAATTGGGAATCGCTCAAACACGTACTTTCCGTATACCAATGAGTCCAGCAGCGGCACCAGATACGGCAAGATACCGAGGAGCCGCTCAGACCAGGGTATCGGCGAGGCAGGCGGTCGTCTGCGTTTGCGCACAAAACGCTCCACTGGGTGCTCGTCTGGGTCGTCAAACTGCTGTTTCAGGGATAAAGCTCCCTTAAACTGGCTGCGCTTACCTCGCATCAGCGGGCTCGAGCGGGAAGCACTTGTCTGGTGGCGGTGCGTGTTCCAGCTCCTGCAAACGCTCGCCTGGCTCCGCGACGCGCCCTTGACGACGATGCCCGAACCCCCAGCAACAAGAGAACGCTTCATAGCGCACCATACGGGATTTGCGATGAAGAAAATAGGTGTCGTGAGTCTTAGCAAGGGTGTAGTCCTGTTCAATCTCGGGTTCGTGACGCTGAATACCCGCCTTGCTTGCATCAACATCGGGGGTGTCGCGTTCAACCGAACCTTCGCTGGTGTGAACGGCGGTTCCGTCATGGTTAACCAGGCGGTTGCGTGCGTACACGTTGGTGTTGTCTTGATCAACCTCGGGGTACTTGTCACCAATGTTGGCTTCATTCTCGTCAACATGGGCGTCGCCGTCATGAACGCGGGCTTTGTGCTCTGGAACCCGGGTGTTGTCGTTGCGACTGCCAGCTTTATTCACGCCAATATCGGAGCTGCTGCGAAGCGTGTTTCTTTTTCCAAGCTTCGCAAGGAGCTTGGCCCTGCGTTTCCCAAAACGTCGCTAGCGTAATGGCCAAGCGTCACTGTGTTCGAACGCAACGCGAGACAGTCTGGCCTACGACGCTGTGAACTGCGACCTTACGGTGCCGTTGCGTCGCTTGTGAAGTGAGCAGCGCGTCCGCACGAGCAGCACTGGGGTAGTTGCAAGAGGCTAGCAAGTTTTATGGATAACGTGCGTAAACTGGGAGTTTTATTCGTTTGATTCAACCAGGTCTTGCTGTTGCATTTTGGTTTGGACGCACGTTGCATCCTTTCCGCTGGTAGCGGTTCGTTCGAGGTGTTGCTGCCGTTTACAACGTCGTGTTCGACGTTTTAGACAGTTTTCGAGGGCGTCTGCTTCCAGAGACTCTTTTTGACGCACACTGGAGGTTTCCGAAAGCAACAGCGAGAGCTGTTGGATACGGGTCAGGAAACTCTCTAGGACGCGTTTGGTCGAGGTACGCCTGCTCTAGGTTCGTGGAGGCGGACCTACTGTTCTGGCTTTGCGCAAGGCCAAATCTCGCTTGTTCCGGGCAGTGTTCAGTGTGCCGCAGTGCCTGGAAGTAGGTTTTGTGCCCGAAACCTCTCTCAAAACAGTTACGCTTCTTTCGGACTTGTCGCGAGCATGCAACGTTGCGCGCGTGCACGAAAGGGAACCAGCGGTTAGGGGGCGCTCTAGTCGAGACTCGAATGCGTCCGCGAACGCCATACTGGCCCTGGGCGCTGCTCGATACGCTGTGGTTAGGGTTTGCTTCTTGGGACCTCAAGCGCGAGTCACGGTTCACCGCTGTGGCGTCAGCGCTTGCGTACTGGATGCTACCGCAACAACGCATGCTTGCTCGAGCGTGGATCTGGTCACTGACTTTCGAGGCAGGCATACAGCTGGCGCTGGTTCTTCTGCTTCCGAAAGGATACGCATACCCGCAGCCTGTGGAGGTAGCGCATGAGCTGCGGTTCGGGGTCGACGCCTGTAATCTTCTACAGCCATGGCGTTTCGCACTCGCGAGCCTCTTAGCGCTGCTTGTTTGGACGCGGTCGATGGCTCTTTGGACGACTCGGAGCGCGTGTCAAGGTTAGACTCTGAGCTCAGGCGATTGCATTCGCTCCATTTCAGATGCATTGCACTGGCATCGGACTCGGGGTTGAAGAGCAATCTACATGGGTCAAGGATGCATGTCCGCAGATGCGTCTGCTGACATGCACCGAATGTTGTCTGGGCTTACTCCGCAGTGGATGTTTCCCGAAACAGAACACCAGCGGGATGTTCAAGACGATACAGACTAGTTTGAATCACGTGTACACATCCGATTCTACGGGTGTGAATGAGTATTCCCCAAAGACCGCGGCGAGCAGCGGCAACTTTACCAGAGCCTTCCTGCTACTGTCGTCTTGGACGCTCGCCTGCATCTTGCAGCGCATTGACGGAAGCCATGGGCTCGGTCCCGGGACATTTTCGAATCACCCAGTTTCCGAACTTGCGTCATCTGACCTCAACGACAACGAAAAAGCTAAACACTGCGCGAGAAGCTTTATGCTATAATTGGGTACCGCGATCATCCGTGCGTACCGGCCTGTGCGTCGCTTCATTCCCGCACGAACAAAAGCGCGCACACCTGCCCCCACGGTGCAAGGAGATTCGTCATACTCCAATCATGCCGACCGCATGGCTACGTATCGACGTCGGCTCCCGTACGGTGCCCTGCAGCAATGCGGAGCCCTGCGACAAACGCGCACCGCCGTGAACATCAGCCCTAACACAGGTCGCAGAGCGCTACCCGCAACGGCGAAGCGGTGGCATCTCGAACCGAGTGCCCAGGGCACTGCTGTTTTCTCAGAGCTCCTCCACGTGCGTCTTATCCGCATAGTACCTCGCTTCCTGTGTGCCCTTCCGCTGCTGGCGCTCTAGATACCGTTCTCGATTGCGAACGATCCGCTCGATGATCTTCGGAACACTCAAGTCACTCGATGAGGGAATCTCTCGAAAGATACCGAGACGTTTCGGCACCTCGTATGGATCATCGTCACCGTCTCGAATATTCAGCTCATCATAGTGCGTGCCGTGTATCACTAGCGAAATATTCATTGTTTTGATCATGTCCTCGGTTACTTTCCAGGGCGCACCAATGATCACCTCGTCGACGTACCGGATACTGAGCACCATCAGCGTGCGCTCATGAAGGTTCAGAATCGGATAGTTGCGTCCTCGATGCTGATTCACCGCGTGATCATCATGAATACCGACTAGGAGGAAATCGCCAAGCTCACGGCACTGTTTCAGGAAGCGAATGTGCGCCACGGTGAGCATATCCCATGCCCCGTCGGCGTAGATGACTCGATCCCCGGGCCGTGGCTTGCTCCCCGAGCTGAACTGCATCAAACGACGAGAAGTCGGGAGAAAGCACGACGCCCTTGGTTGCTGATATCCTTGTTCGGGTTGCTGTGATTGTTCGCTCTTCGCTGTTGGCCCATTTGTCAGCATTGGGCGCTCTTCTGCTGGCGATTGGGCATCCTCTGGTCCGTCAAGTTCAGCAGACTGACTTCGCGACGGCGGTAAATGATGCGAAGTCGTACAGAGGAGCATCCTACCCACGATATCCGTCGAGGAGACGCCCTCAGTGCGGGCAATGGTTCGAAATTTCCCCGCCTGCTTGACGGCCTCGTAGACATCGCGACCCGACGCATCGAGGCACGGGTCGTCACCGTGCACCACATAGTCAATCTCGTAGTCACGCACAAGCGTTTCCAGGAACTCGGGCGTCACGTTATATGGAACACCACGGATGACGTGATCCACCCATTTGACGGCCTCCACGGTCTCGTAGCGCTCCTCCTCGGTCATGACTGGAGGACCCTTGTGTTTCGTGATCTCCTCATCGCTACAGACACCAACAATGAGTTCGTCCCCAAGGGAGGCTGCCTGGCGTATTGCGTTCGCATGCCCATAGTGCATCAAGTCAAAGCAACCGTCTAGATATATTCGCACTTTCTTCCGGGGCTCTGCGGGTGCTGAGGCGGTTAGTGCCGCCCCACCATCCTTCGATCGCGTCAATCGCCAACGAAAGTACGCTTTCAGGAAACCGTAAACAGCTCGAGTGGAGAGCGCCACGTCAAAAACCAGCAAAAGCCGTGAAAAAGCCGAGCGACCGGGGTTGTTATCCATCAACCCGGCAAGCAAGCGCGGTGGCGACACCGCCGCTCAGGAGCGCTCTGAGCAGCACCTGCAAACAGGCTCGCGGATAGCCGACGGCTTCCAAACGAGAACGTTCAACGGCAGGCCAGTCTTCGTGGTAAGAAGGACGCGTAAACCTGGTATTCTCAAGCGAGATCTTTGCTGAACGCTCAGGTCTTGAATCCTTCCACGAAGCCTGCAGACTAGCTGCGCTCGCCGAACGCTCTCGTGCAAGCCGGCGCGACGCAAGTCGTGAGGAGCGTGCGCAGCACTCGAGCGCCTGCGGAACGCTGCGACTTGTCAGCGGCCGTCACCAAGGACGTCTGTACCGCCATAGACGGTTCAGGGTCTGATCTTGTAGTGCTTCAGCCATAGAGAGGTTTGCTTTGATCCCGGCAATCTTTGGTTGGTGCGTCTGTGGCGCAACTGAACGCATCGGACGACAACGAGCTGGTACCGCTCGTCTCGGAAGCGACGCGGTGAGCACTTTTGCTGCTATGCTGAAGCGGTGAGCCGCGTTTACGGGCGCTTCGGAAACGCGTCCGACTTGTTCTGCAGGTTTTGTGGTTCCAACCGGCGCATTGTAACGCGATTTTGGACGAAAGAGCCGCGGTCATCGAAGAACGCATAGAAACACTTTTATGTTCACTGCTTTAGTGAGCAGTACGGGGCTCTCGCTTGCGCTTGGACGCCGAGGTTTCCCCCGCACCCCGAAAGGCACCTGGACGCCAGCAATAGTGAGGCACCTCGCGGCCGGAAGCCGAGCAGGTAAGCCGTCGCAACGCTTCGGGCAAGGGCGTCATTGGGCCAACTTCGCGCGCATGCATCGTAAAAACAACCACGACTACGTGGAACTTCCCCAAGAGGAAATGGATAACTTGAAAATCCAACCGGAGACGCATTCGCAGAGAGTAGCTCGTGTGCATGTGCCAGTGCTTGCAGATGCTGTGCGACAAGCCTTCGCAGGGCGCTCTATGACCCACTTTGTTGACGGCACGCTCGGTGCGGGCGGGCATGCCACGATGATCATCGCTGACCATCCCGAACTGGAGCATTTTATCGGCATCGATCGAGATCGATCTGCCCTTGAGCTGGCATCGAAACACTTGGAAGAACAGTTTGCGGGGCGACATGCCCCCCAGATGCATTTTCTGCACGGGAATTTTCGCGATATTATGGCACTCTGCCAAGCCAGATCCATTAACGCGGTGGATGGCATTCTCCTGGATTTGGGAGTGTCTTCGATGCAGCTGGACCACCCTGAAAGAGGGTTCAGTTTCGGCGGAAGCGCTCGCGCTCGAAGCGATTTCAGCCAGGGAAAGCGTACAGACGCGCCTTGGGATGCGCCTCTCGACATGCGCATGGATCAGCACGCTACAGGCGCACTCACTGCTCAGGATATCGTGAACACCTGGAGCGAATCCGAGTTGTATCGCATATTGCGAGCGTACGGCGAGGAGCCTCGTGCACGCCAAATCGCCCGAGGCATCGTGGAGGCGCGACGGCGGGCGCCCATCGAGACCACAGGGCAACTCGCCACCATCGTACTCGAGGCCAAGGGCATCCGCCGTCGAACACATGCACAACACCAAGACGCCTTGACGGGATCGAGCGAGCAACCAGCCATAGGGACGGCGGCTTCCAAGCGACGGCTTCCAGTGATGGAGCAGGTCGGCGTTTGGCACCCCGGAAGACGACGGCACCAGCACGGCGGAACGCTGCATCCGGCGACGCTCACGTTCCAGGCGTTACGCATTGCTGTGAACGACGAGCTTGGATGCCTCGAGCAGGGCCTCCAAGCATGCATTCGACTGCTGCGTCCGGGTGGACGCTTGGCTGTCATCTCGTTCCATCGACTCGAGGATCGCATCGTCAAGTGGACTTTTCGGGCATTTGCTGAAGGGCAACGCACGCCAGCGAGCGGATGCGCTGCGATACCCGCCGTCTCCCGGCGGGCGTCAGGAGCGCACGAGGCACGCCCTGCGACACGCATCAGCGATGAGGACACGTCATCGGATGATGCGTGCACGGAGGGCGCACGCATCGCGCAACTCTGCTCAGTGGAGGTGCCGCGGCAACCGGCGAACGATTCAGCATATGCTGAGCAGCTCGAGGATCACGAATGCTGGCGCATCATCACGAAGAAGCCCATTGTGCCGAGCCCCGAAGAGGTGAACCAGAATCCGCGAAGTCGCTCGGCAAAATTGCGGATCATCGAGAACGTTGCAGGTACGTGTGGTTGAGTTCATAAGCTGGCACTCATCTCGGTGCATGATGTTCGGAAGCGTGCTGCTCAATTGCCGGGGTGATAGGAGTCGTCCCGCTTGGCTAGTGATTGATGCTCGCGAACTGATCAGGGGATTGGTCGAGAAGAACCAGCTTTGATACATGTTCCATGATGGTATTGGTAGCGGTTGCGATACAGGTTACTGCTTGTGTTACAATGGTACGTGCTCGTGCAAGCACGCTCGACACCGCGATACGCGCCTTGGCCGGGGGCAAACGTCGGCGACGCGTCGACTCGTGTTGCGCGGATGCCGCCTACGCGGGGTGCGCGCGGACCCGCAGCGCCCGTCAATTAGTGCAGGTTGCTTGCGCACGTCCAACCGGTATCCCAGATACCCGCCTCGGTCGTTAGCAATGGCGGGCGGGACAATGTCGAGGCAATCGTTGCACTGATGGACGCGGACGCTCGGTCCGATACGTCCTTGATCAAGTAAAGTCCGTTGTGGTCGGTGAACAGCGCTTACTTCGGTGCGAAAATCTGCAGATAGCTCTCTGACGGAAGGAAGCTTTTACGCGTAGTATAGAGCAGGCTTCGACACCTTGAGCCTGCTCGCGACTGAAGGCTAGGTGCACTGGCGGTCGCGCTACATCCAGAACGAGAACTGCGTCATCGTATGCCAAGACTTGGTCGATTCGTCGCGAAGCGACCACGCAATTCCCGAGTACATCACATAGCGCGGTTGTGTATTCGCATAACCGCAGCGATACCGTAGCTCTACCGAGTGCTTTCGGCCCATATTCGCGTGCTGGACACCAGCATGCAACAGATTCGTGCCTAGTCGCCCACGACGACGCCGCGTACCTGCTGGTCATTTTCATCTGCTGGTGTATTGTATTGCATTGCATTGCATTGCGTTACATATATCCTGTTGGTACCAGGCGAGGCTTGGGTACTGCGAGGCAATGCGCGGCGGACCCCGAAGTGAACGCCATTCGCTGGCCCAAAACCCGAAGCCATCGACAAGAACGGCAGCATCCTGCCTCCCGCATCTGCGCGAATCCTCCGCTATTCGGGGCAATCCGTATCTGTCCATTCGGTGTGCTTCGCAACAGCTCCGCAAAGACTCGTGGTATGGTCGTCTGAAAAACGAGCGCGAAGCATCCACGTCACCTCGGTATCGTCGATTCCGGATCCGTGTGGTCGACGCGTCACCTTTGGCGCCGAACACGCCACGGTCCACAGGAGCTCCACCACGCTCATTTGTTCCGATTCTTCTTCGGTGCCGAGTCTGTATTGGGCGCTGCAGACGCATTCGAAGTTTCGTTCTGCGTTTCTGTGATGACGCGCGTGTAGCAGCTCGTGTATGAAACCGCCCCAAAGCCTTCTGAATCATCAATAATCTCGGCTTCCTGGAAACGACTTTCATCGAAATTCAGACGCTGCAGAAGCTCTTGCATGCGCGGAGAAAGGGTCTGCGGCTCGCTCGAGTAGCGCGGGATCTGGTTTCCTCGATACCGGTGTCGATACGCTCCTCGACTCGTCATTCTCGACGTGTTAGCGAGCTTTTTCAGCTCCTGAGGCGCCATCGACTGGTCTGGCGTGCGTCGGCCAACCGCACTCCGGGAACCGGGGCCAGAGCTGGACGCGTCTGGACGTTTGTCGGCAGTTGGCTTCGCTCCTGGAACGGAACCTCTGCGGCTGCCGGCGGTTGCGTCGCGCCCCAGACCGGGAGCCGACGCAGACGATTCTCGTCGAGCGGTTTCGAGCCCGTTGCTTGGTGCGATGCTACTCGGGTGCGGGTCGCTGGGCGGCGGCCCCGTGCCTTGACTCCAGTGACCCTGCGGATGACGCCCCTGAGTATCAGATGAACGCCGTTGCGTTGGTGCTGGCGCGGGTTCATGCGGCAACGGCACCGCTGGTGATGTAGGTTTCGATTCTGGAGGCGTCTTGAGCGCAGCTCTTGTGCGCGGTTTTCTTTTCTCCGACTTTGATGTGGTGGACGACTCCGAAGGCAGTGGAGTCACAGAAGCGGAGGGGCGTTCAGGAACACGCGGGTGCTTCAAGTCGCGCGTTGACTTTGGGTCCCTCTGTTTCGGGCGCGGACGGAATGCGCGCCGCCGCTCTGGCGGCCCAATGTCGGCGTCCTCCGCGTGATCCTCCTCGAAGTCTAAGCGCATCCAACAGGGCGAAATCGCTGTCCTTTGTGCACAGTGGTGTCGCCATCGCCGCGTACGACACGTACCGGAGCAGTTAAAAGCAGAGCAGCGGCTCTCGTTGCGAAGTGCGCCGAACACCGAGACAAAAGCGCAGTCGCGATGCGCGCCCATGGTAGACGCTCCCTGATCCACTTGGAAGCAATGGAAAAGCACCATCGACGACAAAGCGTGCGCGTGCGGCACAGACGGGTTGGTAAAATACGTCCTCAATGAACAACGACGGGTTGAACAAACGCACCCCACTGTCGACAACCGGTCGTCAGTGCGTCTCGACGGGTCCGTCTGGGAACCGCCCTTGCGCCAAAAACTGGGTACGGCCGACCTTGAATCCGATGAGAAGCCCCGTTGCCTGTGTGTGCGCTTCACTCCTGCGTTCTCTGTAACAGCTCTAGGGCCTTCTGCAAGTGCCAGGAGAAGCCCACTGGCAGAGCGGGGTTCACGAAACCGAAAAGGCTACGCTTTCCGACCGATTCCACACGGTGGAACGTTTCAAGCTCGCAACAGTGCCCCTGGTTTCCTGTTCTCCAACAAGTACTGGGTCAAAAACCGTACACAAAAAGCACACACCGCCGGCAACAAACGCTTTTCAAAAGAAAGACGCTGCCGCCAGCGGTGTACAGTAGTCGCGACCGGCGCCCTAGAGGAAACGTCTCCAATTGACGTGCAGACGCCTTCCAGCTTTTTTCCACTGGCCACCCACTACGGCTTCCAACTTTATCTCATATAATTCCACATTCAGAGATTGTTCAATAAAGAGTTCTCTTGTCAACTCTGGGGGTCTCTTCTCCATCAACGCATATTTCCTTATATTGATGGCAGCATTAAAGTCTCGATTCATAAACTCCATCAGTTTCTTGCCGTTGGGAGTTGTACTCACTAATGCAAGTAGTCCACGAACTTTCGCGCTCCTTTCCATTTGCTCTTCCGTCAGCGTACCGTACTTTCTTATAACCTCAGGACTCCTCTGGCACTTTTCCATCTCGACCCTCTGAAGTGTACACCCCAGTTCATGGTGTGTATAGGACGTTCGAAACTCATCTACAGGTATCGTGCCGATACGCCGTGCACACTCTTTGTACGTTCTTGTCGTTGGAGCTGGCGAAGTTCCTTGCTTGGGTCTTCCGTCGCCCTGCTCCGTACGCTACTACGAGCCTCTGACTTTCATCCTCCTTCAAGGCGCTCAGCTGATTGAAAAAGTTCGCGAATGCACGCTGCTTCCCACAATACAAATTCATTCGCAGTCGAACCCGCCGGGGCTTGGTCTACTCCTCCTACAGCGCATCCCAATGAGCAACACGAACTTCCATGAATTTCCGTAGAGCCTGAAAGTCCGCTCCTCGGCTTGTCACCTCGCTCAAAGCTTCCAGGTGCTCTTTCATTCCTGCATTTCACTTCTCAATTTTCTTCCTCGCATTCATTATACCGGATTCTCGATAGAATCTCGCTCTCGAGAACCCCAAAAGACGCATGTCTTTCTGACGTAAGTTAGCATCAGTACCATCTTCCGCACGCTAGGGTACTGCGATGGTTATGTTATTTGTGTTTCCGGGATCCGCGCCAACGACAAAGTCGTTATCTTGCACCTCCTGCGTCGCAGGATCCGCCTCCTTCTCATCTTCATGCATCGTCGCGCCAACGACAAGGTCGTTATCTTGCACCTCCTGCGTCCCAGGATCCGCCTTCTGCTCATCTGCATCCTTCGTCACGGGCGCAGCCGAGGGAGGGACTGGGCGATCTGTCTTCAACCGCCGATAGTGTATACACAAGGCTACTCCATCGGTTTCGATCATCTCAGTGAATACCTTTTGTTTGCTGACTTTGAGACGTTTGAAATCGAAGATACTCTTCCAGTACGTCTCACGGTTTTCACCGGAGAATTTCTTCCTGCTAACATCGGACTCAGGACTGATCTCGCTCATGATGCTGCAAAGACGCCAGAGTGGATAGTCACAAAATGTGACTTGATATTGTACATTGGAACAACGTTGAAGCGCTTCCCCATTAGGAACGCCTTCCGTCTCTCCCACTCTTCATTTTTTCCTCATTCAGCCTCATCTCTGCCGTGCGTTCGAGTTCGCGGTCCAAAAACACGAAATACCTCAAGATGAGGAGGTAGTATCTTTCCTTATCTTTTCCAACTCTGATATCTTGTCTGCTGGATTAACCAGCCCCAAGACTGCACGGTGTTCCTGTATAACCGCACGGATTAGAGAAGCTTCATTCGTGCACTCATTCGACGCCTTCTTGTCAACGAACTCGATCTCATCTTCATGATGGCGATCGTTCGTGATGCAACTGATAATTGCCCATTTTCCTGCGCGAGACAGACCCAGGTAGAGTGCAACCACGGTGCGTATCATGAAACGTTCGAAGTTCGCTGTCAAATGGTTCTTCAGATTCGCGAGGTACTTCATCGCCCCATAGCTGTAAATATCCCAGTCACCCTTGTACCGAGTACCCTCGAACCCGTCAAAGGGATGTTTTTCGTGGAGAGCATGCACTAGCACATTTTCCCTCCGCGCTTTCTCTGTACCAAGCATCAGGTGACGAATAAAGGTCTTGTCGAAGAACTCGCCGGGAATCTCGACCGTTTCCATGTGCGTCCCGTCGCGATACATCTCTCTCACCAAATGCATCAGTCTTGACAACGCGTTGACAATACTCTTGGAGTACGACGCAAAACGTTTTTCGATAGCGTCTCGCAACTTTTGTTTATGGGGATCCTTGATATATCCAAAAGGGTCCGCCAGGCTCGCGCTTCATGCTCCCGCCAGTACTTACTGCTGTAGCGATATCTAAGCGACTCGTCGAGAAACGCTGGTCATTCTGGGCTCGGGGCGGGTAGCCTGCGTCAGGGGCGTCGCCCTGGTCGCAGTGGACTCCTAGCGTATCGCTTCGCGCTGCTGCAGGCAGTAGGTCTAACTGCACATCTCCCAGGCTTCCAGAATGTTGACGAATCCCGATTCCGTATTCAATGAAGCATTCCTCGATCCGATACCCCCATGGATATGGCAAAACCGTTCTGTCTCCATTCAGCATCCGCACTAGCAGCATCGGCTCTATTGCGGATGCAGCAATGCAGGTACTCAGCGCACGATGGAACATACGAAATTACCAGTATATCCGAGAACAGACCATGAAACTTGGCGTAAGAGCGAAGCATATTGAGCACTGGCATTGATTCCAATATCCACCCCACAATCTAGAATCCATGATCCATACAAACGTCTTCTCATCGAAGAAATGGCTTCAGCAGCCACAACGCTACCGACGACGACGTCAATTACAATAACGCAATCTGGCATACATTATCTGGAGCTAGCGTTGTACCGGGAGTCTGCGTGCCTCGGTCGCTAGTCGACGTCCTTGCCCAAGGATATGTGGGTGTCTACAGTGCACGGGTGGCAAGCGCTACCCCACTTGGAAGGCGTGCGACAGCACCGACGAGCACCGTGCCGACGACCTCCGCGAACCGCGAGGCGCTCTGACGCTGGAGTCTCGCTGCCTCGAACTGCGTTGCCGACTCGAGGGCGCTTCACTGCTGGGGTACCGACGTCAGCAGACTGCTCCGCGGTGCCGCGTTTGCGCTGCTTGGATGCGACACCAGCCAGCAGCGATGGAGCGGACACCGCTTCGACTCCAGCTGCAGCGGCAGGTGCGGGCGCTCAAAGCGTAGGGAGCGCAGTGGTTGCCTCCGAGCGCCCAGCGGACGCGAGAAGTGCAGCCTTGGTAGCTGCGGTGGCCACTACGCGTCCGGCACGTGATCTGGCTGTCCGAGTGGTGTCCGGCATTGTTATGGGTTTGGTTGCCACGACCTGGATTCTGGCGGGTATCTGGGTGTTTACGGCCGGTCTGACAGTTGTCGCAGTGCTCGGTCAACTTGAGTATTATAACATGGTGCGGGCAAAGGGCATCCGACCGGCACAACGCGCTGGGATAGCGGCGTCCATTTTGGCGCTGTGGGTAGCCGCAGCAGCACCGCAGGCATCAGAGGCCGTGTTCCCGGTCTCAGCGACGCTGATCTGTACCTACATGCTGTTGCATCGCCGGGAGAAGTTCGCTACGATCGCCGACATCAGCACAACGTTCATGGGAATGTTTTACGCTGGATACCTGCCGACCTTCTGGGTTCGCATGCGAGCTCTCGGCGGCATTGAGCAGACGCGCTTTCCAGCGGTGGTATCGCGTCTCCCCGATGTGCTGTGGCCAGGCTGGTTGCCACCACCGGAAGGCTGGACCGTAGGCGCAGCCCTAACCTGGTGGACCTGGCTCTCAGTGGCAAGTAGTGATATCGGTGCGCTGTTTATTGGCCGCGCGTTCGGGCGCCGCAAACTCAGCGACATTTCGCCGAAGAAGACCGTCGAAGGCGCCATCGGAGGCTTCCTCTGTTCTGCACTCGTTTCGATATTGGGAGCTTTCTTGATGAGATGGCCGCTCTGGTGGCTCACCGGCACCCTCTACGGAATCCTGATTGGCGTCGTGGGCCTTCTGGGAGATTTGACAGCCTCCCTCTTCAAGCGTGACGCTGGATTCAAGGACTCGCCTGCAACAGCGTTTGGGGGACGTTTCCGCTGGGCGCTCCCCGGCCACGGAGGAATTCTCGATCGAACCGATAGTTTTGTATTTACAGCGCCCCTCGTATATTATTTTGTCACCATGTTTTTGCCTGCGTTGCGCGCCTTTATTTTGAAGAGATAGAGCGCGTCTGCAACCATCGCCTCGATGTTCGCATCATTCGACCATGCGAATCGCTGGATGCCGTGGACTAGGGCGCTGGGGGCAGTGACGCGTTGGCCTGAACGCTGCCACCACAATGTTGGTGCCGGTCTGAACGATTCAGGATGCAACGCAAGCACGATGAGCAGCTGTAAGGGACGCGAGATGCCCTGTCGCTCTGCGGCAGGTTGCGATAGCCTGCTACGCGCGTCCGCATTATCGTTGGTTGCCTCGGGTGGTGGTATGCATATCGCGAGCGCTTCATTATAGCGGGTTTGCATGGATATTGGCGAGCTTGGCAACTCCGTTTACGAAACGATCACCGCTTCGGTGTACGCTGTACTGGACACATTCGGTGCCGCATGCGATACCCCTGAGCCGATGTACCCTGGACGCACCGCTCTCGCGTCGGTACACGATACCCGTTTCAGGTGAAGCTAAAACTCTGCGCTGCTTGCTTTCTTCGTGTCTGGCGACTCTTCTCTTTTCTTTCTGCGGATGGTATTTTAGATATACAGACTCGACATTCCAAGCAAATCCATATCGGATTGCGGGTGCAAAAGCGGATCTAGGAGTCTCGGTCGTACGTTCGGAGTCGGCGCTTGGATGATCGGCCGCTGGAACGCTAGAAGGCAGTGGAATTCAGATGAGGTGCAGCAACCTCAAAAAAGCGGGATTGTAAACTAACCGATATCACGAGTCCAACAGCTCTCTACAAGCCTATACGCTTATCCATCGCTTGCATCCTTCGGTTCTTCGAGTGCTCTTTTCCAAGGCAGACCGTGAGCGCACCCAGAAAAGCTCAGCTGGATGCACGAGTGAATCTACTTGACATCATCATTTGGCGCCACGATCACAAGCATATGCTCGTCATTGACTTACATTTGTACTGCAAATAATCGCTGGCGTTCGAAGGACAAATACTTCGCGCTTTGCGGTTACTGGTGAAACGGCATTCGCCAACAGCAGCGTCATACCGATCACGTGATGGATACTCCCAGGCGCTCTACTCTTCGTCTGGCAACGGATACAGTCTTGCACTCAGACTTGAGTCATCATCGGTGTTATCACTTGTTCTAGTCGAGCGTGCGTCATCGTTTTGCACGAAGGCGGCACAACGCGGGGTCGGAGACACAATGAATATCTGGGAACACCCGACAGCACCCAAGTGTCAACGCGGTGAGGCACACAACGATGCACTGCACTGAAAAAGATGCACACGGCAAGCGAGACGCTGACCGCTACGTCTTGCCTATGCGATCAATGCATAGAGAACAGCTGGAAATAGCGTCATCGGGATTGGAACGCTACCATCACCATCCCTCGACTGCTGACCGCTGAAGTGCAGGCGTATCAGATACCGACCCACGTAAAAACCGTTGATAAGGGAGACGAACACGAACCAGTCTCCGATAAAGCACACAAACGCTGGTGTTCTTGATGCCGGAAACAGACCTAAGCTTGACAGTGAATGCCCGAGTTCGTGGACCTGTTCGCATTCATACCAACAGGGCTACGAAACATCGATAGCCTGGAGATTGTAGAAGCGCGCCGTTCACCGCCTCTGAAAGTGAATATTGTGGCACAGGAGTCTTGGACCTCTGATAGGTGACGGCGATGGGCTTCGTGGCACCTTTTTCTCAGAGCGTACGCCACTGGTACCTGCAGGAAACGAATCAGCGGAGCTTACAGCGTCAACGACCTAGAGCTTCTCTGGGAATCCGATGTAGATGCTAACGATGAAGCGCACGCTGGAGGTCGGCGACACGTGTCCGTTTCTCTGGTCGCTGGAACGCAGATCGCAGCTCAGCGCGTGGCGTGCGGTGGTGTGTGTGTGGCGCACGAGCGCTCCCCAGCCGGGACGCCAGCTTATTTGTTGAGTGCTTCATTGGCTTCAGTCCGGCAGTGTCTGCGCCCTCTCCAAGCACGATGATCGGTTTCGTATTGCTGCTGTCAGGTCAGTCGAATGCGCAAGTTTCTTCGCGGCTACGGAGATCCCTATGCAAAGGCGACACATGTGCGTGTCTGAGAGAGGATGAATTGGTGCCCGTTGGGAGGGCACGCTCGCCCCGCGGTCATCGCTCAGTTGCTGGACCGTCGAACGTGCGGCTGAGGCGTCAGCGCTGCTGCCACTTGCGTACTGTTAGTGAAGGTGCCACTGGAGGTGGCGGCGGCAGCGGGGGTAGAGGCGGCGGAAGTGGCGGTGGCGGCAGAGGTGGCGACGCCTCCGGAGCTTCGCCTCCACAGCAGCCTGGCTTACTGTTGGCGCTTTTCGAGCGTTACTGCAGGGCTCTCGAACGCCGTCCTATCTTCACAAAGTCGATAACAGCAGCCCTTTTGAATTTTTTCGCTGATCTTACTGCGCAGTACTTTGAAGCGCGCAAGCACCCCTCGGATACCCCGCCGGGGTGGCAGCGTCGGCGCACGTTGTCGTTCGCCATCATTGGCCTGTGCTTTGTTGGGCCTGGGCTCCACGGCTGGTTCTCGTTTTTGGAGAGAGCCTTCCCTCCATCACGGTTGTCACTTGTTGGAAAGTTGCTAATTGATCAGACTTTAGGAGCGGCGGTTTTCAACGGAGTTTTACTGGTCATGTTGTACTGGCTGGAGCACGGTGGCAAGTTCCAGGACGCGTGGCAGTCAATGAAACATCGTTTGCCACCCACAATGATAGGAAACTGGAAAGTATGGCCGGCTGCTCAGCTCGTGAATTTTGCGTTCGTGCCACCAGCATTCAGGGTGCTCTACGTGAATAGCGTATCCTTCTTTTGGACCATCTATTTGTCGGAAATCGCGCACCGCACGATCACGAAGGAAGAAAAAAAGAGCTGAGAATTATGCATTTCGTGGTGCATTTCTCGCAAAAGTCCAAAAACGTGGTTGTGATGGGAAACTCGTCGTCGAACAAGGCTAAGGTTTATGGGATTCGATGAGCTCGCGGGGCGCGTCACGTTGGGGCTGCGGACGCGTGCGGGCCGTTCATGACGACGACTATGGTGTGCAACGTCACGATAGTGACAGTTGGTAGATTAGAGACTCCAAACCGAGTACTCATCATGCTAGCATTTGGTGTTTGTCATATCCATGGTAAGGAGTCTGCGTGGACATGTCTGAGGGATTCTGCGCTGCCAAATGCAGCAGCGTGGGCGCTGGAGCGGAGCGTTTTATACAGCGGCGCATCCGCTTGCTATTGATGCTGCCGAGCCGCCCGACTCGAACGCCAACGCTCTCGACATGTCAAATTTGCCTCGATGCTCCATCCGGGCTGCGATAGAATCAGACACTCCCGTGGAAATCGTCCAGATCACAGAAATGATACACCAGCGCGACTCGCGTGAACGTATGAATGAATGTATGTATGCTGCCAGGGTATACGATTCGAACGACGCTTACATGGCAAGCGATTTGCGAACGACAAGAGCGGCGAGGTTTACATTTTTTAGCACGCGCAGTTCGAAGAAGCATTCAGGAAGATCGCACCTGTCCACCGACCGCGCGCACCGTGCGAAACGCATTCCCAGACGCCCAAGCCAGTGCTTGATTTGCTGCTCTCCTCTCTGATTCATGTTGTCCAGATCCAGTGAAAACTTACTGGGGAGGCTCTTCAGTCGGTGATCGCGCGCTCTGTCTAGTGGCTGCGGCGTGACAAGGCGGTTCTGGTGCGACACCTTCATCGACATCATGCAATGCAAATACAGAGCATTCATCCATTTGCAGAAGAATGTCCGGCTTTGATCTAGAGACGGTCGTGCTTGCGGGCGCTGCGACGCATCTTCCGGATTCGTAGCAACGTACCTGCTCCGTCTGTGGAGTTTCCATTCTTGGGATGACTCGTTGAACATAGGTCGAGCTCCGGACACCAGATACCCAAAGCTGCAGCACGCTGTGCCAGAAACAATCGCATCTGCATTGGTCGCCTGAGCACCGAATGCGCTTGCCAGGTGCCTTGCAGTTCCAAAGGGCGTGTATGCTTGCAACCTCGGCATACTGCCTGGATGCGCTCGAGTCGGTGTGCGCTTCGTCATCAGCGTGCAGCCTGGCGGAGGTTATCGATGCGGATCTGCATGGAGTTCGCGCAATACCTCTCGTATCTGTGCGGATGGCAGCGGAATTCTCAAGCAATCGGGAATACTTCGGCTGTTCTCAAGGCCCGAGGCCCCGGTTCGCCAACCCGGGACTGCAGACTCCAATAGATTGTGGTCTTCGAGTTCCCGAAGAATTGCCTGCAGGGAGTTGGCATTGCTCACGAAAAACTTTGAACGGCAAATGCGGTAAAAATCTGAGAACGAGATGCCTTGTTTCACTCGGTCGCCTCTCGTGCGATCTTCCGCACTGGCGGCAGACTCGAGCTGCATCTGCGCCAGCAACTGAAAAATGCGTCGGGCATTGGGCGTTAATCCAGTAAGAAGCATGATAGCGCCGCGAACGAGCTGCTCCGCCGACAGGGTCTTGGCACTTTCGGCATGGCCTCCGGTCTCCACGACATGGGGCAAATGCGTTGGGCAATGCTGCCAAATCCATTGGAATCGTTCGTAACATGATCCTACAGGCCACAGAATTGTCACCTCCATTCGATCTATGGAGGCGATTAGATGAACGCGAGGCTGCGAGGCAAGGTTCGCCAGCAACGTCTGTGTCTCGGTGGTGGACAAGGTCTGCCCATCGATGTTGTGGACCACGAGGAAAAGCCTCCGCGGTGCTTCCGCCTTGTACAACTCGCCGAGCATTCGCAACTGCGCCGCCAGCGGACGCCCCCGTCTCGCGTGCGGCTCATGCTCGTGCTCGTGCTTCCTAGAGTGAGGCGATAACCGCCGCGCTCCAGCTGCATCGGCAATTTCCTGGACCAGCGCACGCACCTGGACGAATGGATTGAATCCGTTCACAACCAGCACAGCGGAGGCGATGTTCGGTGCATCAACAGCGTTTCTCTTCACCAAGTCAGCTGCGAATGCTTCCAAGACAGCAAATTTGCTTCCTTCGCCATGAAGTAATACCGAAAAGCCGCCAAGTACGAGCAAGTGATACCAGAGATGGAATTTTGCACGCGCCGCTTCGACGGCTGCCGAAATCGACGCTTCCGGACAGGCGCCTCCGCTTGCCGGTGGTTCGTTTTCCGCTCCAGCTGGTCTGCACTGGACAGACGAAACCGAGCGTGCATGGGCCCCTGGGGCGCGCTCGTGCGTCTGGCAACCCAGCAGCCGTGACCTATCGTTCGCATTCGACGAACGCGCTTCCCGAAGGTCCCGAGGTTTCCCCAGTATGCCGCGCTGCGAACGAGCACGCGAACGAGTGGCACGCAACGCTGCCCGAGCCGCTGCCGCGGCACCAGCGTCACGACACGCCCGCCTCAGTTGACTTTGTCGCGTTGCGGCCCCTGCAGCCACCTCACCGTCTACGTCGTCACGTCGCATGCCAGGGAAGTGCTTCGCGATGTCGTTCAGTGTCCGTAAAAGTCTAGAGGTTTTGGTGGAATCAGAAACTTTCACCGACAGTGCGTGATGCTTCCACAAACGTGCACCAGAAGAGTTCGTGCACCTAACCAGCGCTCGCGTCCGCGTTGAGTTAAGGAGCGTCTCACGCTGGGTTCAATGGAGTGCAACTGCTGCCGTTCACAACCGCGTTTGACCAGCGGTTGCACGCTCTCGTTTCCAGGTACCTAGAAATGCTTCGACGCAAGTCGCTTTCTCGTAGACAGTGCCTTGGCGTTACCATTTTCCCGCGAAAAATTGGTACACGCATCGCGCTGCGCTGTCGAATCGATGCATGGCGTCGATGGTGGCAGCGCACACCACGGCACGACGATAGGATGTACGAAACGACCAGAATATCCGAGAAGAAGTGCAGGTAATGTAACTTGGAGGTAGCGGGTTTGATGGATACTTTGCCGCGTACTGAGAAAAAAACACACAAAAAAAGCAGGAAAAGAAAAATGCGCATAATCGGAGAACGCTGGACTAAGTAAACGTTTTGTCAATGAAAAAAAAACACGGAGCGGCCGCTCGGCGCAACCAGTGCGCACCCTGGAGGCGACACGAACGGCACCGGAGGCGCGCCATTGCGATGCTTGCGCTAACGATTGTGCTGCTCAGGAAGGATATACTGGGAGGCACGGCTCATGCTCGGGAAGCGAGCAGATTCGCGAACAGCATGCCAACGTGATCGTTGTCGCAGGGGCTGGGGGCGGGCATCGAAGAGCAGGCGACTATCCGGTCAGCGATGCACCATCGAGTCGTGTGCATGTGAACGATACCGAGTGCTAGAGCCGGTGTATCAACTCGTCACCAGGTCGTTATCTTACCCAGGTATCGTTGGAGTACTTGGGTATCGTCAAAGTTGTGGATGCTGGCATGCTACTCCTGGAGGTCCTTCGTGAATGCATCTGTACTGATCGGTTGCCACGATGTGGGGGAATTCGCAGCAACGACGCCAACAGAGACGTCGTCGATGTCGGTCGTTTGACGTTTTGCACTTGTCTCGATGCAGAGGATCTGATCGCGTCCGTTTGCTGCTTATCCAAACGTGTGCCTCCAGCTAGCACTGCCTACGAACAAGATGCGGTTCCGCTGATGCGAATGCGCAGCATCCTGACGAGTTCCCGCGGAAGCGCACATACGTCGATTGCTCAGCACCCTCAAACACGAGATACGAGGATATGGTCGCTATGTGGTTTACGATCTACATGGATGTAATGAGCGTGTGACGATGGTTTGGGAGCGATGCGGGCCTCGTCGATATCACCGCCGAATCTGAAGTATGCGCCGTCGATGTGGCATCGTCGCAGAGAGAACATAGAGCGCAGCGTTTTTCACGGTCAACGGTATGTGAGTGTATCTGACAATGGACCAGCAAATGCGTACTTTGAGCAGGAGTGACCGCCGTGCACCATTGGTGGTGAAGGGAGTCTCGGGCGAGATAGCGGGGACCGCCAGCATCACCTCGTCTTTCTGGAAAACCCCATGAATTCAAAGAAACGAGAATCGACGCGAATGCTCACAATAGCAATCATATCGTTCTGATCGTCCAATTGTTGAAGACGTCAACTGCAAAAACTCAGTTTACGTCAGAAAACGGGATCGGATGCGAATCCATACCATATCATCAAGCCGCTGCACTGTTGCGTGTCGAAGACGTGAAACTCGAATCCAAGTGCGCATTCCCTTGAGGCAGTTGCATCGTCGCACCTGGGCCTGGAGCTCCTGGTAAATCTGGGTGTCTTGCAAATGTTCCGCTTCAGGGGCGATGCGCGGCACTACAGGGGAAACACCCAAGGTCAACGGCGGCCTCGCTCAAGCTGGTGACACCCTACTCGAATGTCGATGCGCGAGATCCCAGCTTGCATGCCCTACTGCGGCATCTGCTGCTCAGCCTCTTGTGCGCGTTTTGCATCATCGTGACAGCTATATACTACGATTCACCAGGCTTTGCAGACGTTCCTCGACTGCAGTCACATCCCGCAAATGCAAACGTTCGACATCTTCCGCAGAAAACGCTCCGCTCTCAGAGATTGCGGAAACCAGCTGTCGATACTTTGCGAGCAAAGCAGAGGCAAGCCCGAAGAGCAGCTTCTGCCGCGTAGCGAGGCTTCGAATACGTGTCGCAAGCGGTGGCGGGAACCAGTCCGATACGGGCGCGTCGAAGAGCAACGACTCGAACGCGCGCATGCGCAGTGCAAGCGCTTCGAGGCTGGGCCAGGACGCTTCGCGCTGTTGTCCATGTTCAGTTGCAGCCGAGAATGGATCCCCATAGGAGCCGGCAAGCTTACTGATCTCCAACAGACGACACCGCTGCAGCAAGGAGTCCACTGCTGCAGCAATGTACGCGGCCATGTGCTCCTGGAGCAAGTGCTCGAGGCGCGCGCGTTGCACCTCAGTCCAGAAATGAGCTAAAACGTTGACGATTGCATCCAGGGTATTCCCGACGAAGACCGAACGCCCCAATGGGTCCAAATCTCGAACAGCCAGCACACGCACCAGCGCATCGACGCTCTCAAGAACGACATCTGTCAACTGGGCAGTGTCTACCGACTGTGATGTGCGCGGCAGACCTGGGTCAGCTTGAATCTCGAGACAGGCACGCAAATGCTCTGCCTCATGCAGCAGTAACGGCGGTATTGATAAATCGTGCGGTATGATCAGGTTATTTTGAAGCAACCTCATGAACCGTTCACGCCAACCCGAAACGCAGCGCCCCAGAACCTCACGACGAATCGATGCCAACGCCAGCGGGAGTACTGCTTCCGTACCCAGAACTCGTTGGAAGAAATGTTCGTAGAGAACCAAGAACTTGTGCACCTCGTGTAATGCTGACAGCGGCAGCGACTCATTGTCAATCCACATCTTCAGACGAGAGCTCATGGCGTCGGCGTAAACATCACTGCTTTGCCGTAGAATCGTCTGCACCAGGTCTGTCGCGCGTGCCGCATTGTGCTCAGCGGCGGCATGTCGTCCAGCGTTGTGCGCATTCTCGTGCGGATGCTGTACGGCGAACGCTCGGAGCCATTGCTCTTTCTCTAGCTCAAGCTGCTGATGCACAATCGCAAACAAATCGTTGATGAGGCGCAATACCTCATCACCGGCGGTAGACCGATCTGCTGCTGGACTCAAGTTCCGAACATGCTCATCCCATTGTCGTTGGAGCTCCCGAAGTAGCACCTGTTGGCGACCCGCGACAATAGGTTGCAGGCAGGACGCTAACAGCGGTAACCAGGCTCGAATCAGGAGCAGAACATGCGATTCCGGTGCTTCGATGGGCAGTTCTGGCTTCGCCCAATCCAAAGCGCGCACCCAGGATTGCACTCGATCCCATGCAGACTCGAGAACGATGTGCAGCTCACGTTGAGCATCCTGAATCAACTTCCAAGACCGCATTTCAGCGGGTAACTCCTTGAGGCGAGACTCAATTCGTTGCACACGCCCCAATGCATCCAAGACGGCGACATCGAGGTCGTCTCGACGCAGCTGTGCGGCATCATCCTCGTGAATCGATAGGGCTCGCAGCAGCACTTCGAGAGTGTGCTGTCGTTTTTGGACTCTATGCAGTGCGCTTTCCATGGACTGGAGGTCATCGGCCCAGCGTTGCATATGCGCATCGCTGCGGAGGTCGCTCAGTCTGCTCCTGTGGGCATACAGCTGCGCTCGACTCTCTTCGATTGTAGGATCAAATGCAAGACTTGGTATACGTTGTTCGCTGGCTTGATGTACTAGTTCCTGCAGCGCTGCGTTCCTTTCTCTTTCAATGACATCCAAGTATTCTAGTGAATGTCTAGTGCAGAATGCTTGTGCCAAGTAAAGCGCCGGTTTGAGGCTGGCATCACGTTCAACGTCCGCGTCCACATCATGTGCAAGCGGCATGACTCCCTGAAATGGCTTCAGGCTCGAGAACCGGCCAAATGAGCAGTCGCACGTGCTATAGTTGCTCAGGTTCCAGGACACCTTCCAGAGGGCGTTCCGAACGACTACGCGCGTTCAAAACACACCCGCGCTGACAACTGACGGACGCGAAACCCCGTGAAGCACCTACCTTCCTTGGCTCCGTTCTTTCGGTTTAGAAAGCGGGTTCTCGCAAAACTGCAGGGTGCTCCGCCAGAGTCCGGAGAAGATTCACCTAGTAACACAGCTGAAATGGTGCACGAAGAAACCTGCAGTACAGGCGTAAAGGCAGCCGCAACCGATATGACGAACGATATCCACACCGTATCCTGGTGACACACTGCGACTTGTTGCGAGTTGCGGTCGATGTGGTGACCCCTGCACCATGAGCCAACTTGCCACTGGAACTGAAACCGCCCGCAGGTAGAGCGGATCGTCGCTAGATGCTCTTGCTCGACGTCGATTAGGCGTGAAGACCTGGCGACTCTTCCCGATGGTCCACGCCAACGGAGTCGTGAGCTGCACGAGTGCTGCTGAACAGGAGCGTTCAAATAGCGATGCCGCGCCCAGTATATGCCTTGCGTTGTCTTATCTTCGTGTCGGAGAACAGGCAGTTGTACAATCGGGAAATGCAGCGCGTTCAGGTAGAGCGTCTTGCTGCTCGCGCTATGTATCGACTTGGATGACCATGCGAAGCCGCCTCTGCATACACCATCATATCAACCTTAACCGGTACGCGCTTGTCTGCATGCCATGGAAAAGGCCCAGCTACCGAACTCGAGAATGGACCCTGGATTGTGTGTCTCTAACTGATGCATCCAACAGCAGCGTTCGCGGCTTTCTCTGCGACCGCTTCCTCTCTTTCTCGCTTACCGCTTGCGCTGAATACGGAGCTCCATCTTGTCCGTGCATCTTCGTTATAAGCAGTCGATGGATGTTGATCTTTGTGTTCAAGTCCTGATTTTGCTGCTTTCGGTAGTTGCCAATGCATTCCATGTGTGAACGGAAGTTGCGATGTTCATCTTGTTTGTGCACAGCCTGGTTGCGCGCTTTGCAAATGTTCTATTTGGCCGTGGTCAGGTGTTCCTATATGTTCACCGTGTATGCGTATCCTCGGCGCGTCGTCTTGTGGAAGGTGTTCCTATATGCTCACCGTGTATGGATATCCTCGGCGCGTCGTCTTGTGGCGCGTCGACGCGTGTATCATCGCTTGGTATACGCTCTTGACGAGTACGGAAAGCTGCCGTCGATGGTCTCTTATGCTTACGCTTCTGTGTGATTCCGTCGGCAGCGACTCTGCTCGTTGCACACACAAGCGCACGCTGTCCTAGTCGATTGGGAATTTGCGGAACGCGATGCTGTCCACAATGAGACAAGAACCGGAACGAATATCCAGGATGCAGGAGAGGCTGAGCACTGCCGATCCGTCTACGCTCCATTCTTGAAAAGCGTTGACACACGAATCACTGGAAGAGATCGCTGCGATGAATCAGACTCCAGTCGAAGATGCTTTCTCATTCAAACAGAAGGGATGGGTGCGTCTAGTCGCATATCCCTTGAGAGGGATTTGCTGCGGTGGAATGCGGTTTTTTGTTAACGGCCATGAAAAGAATAAAAAATTCGTCGTTCCAACGGTATCGCTCATTTTTTGGTATGAGAAGTTTGGTGCGCATTTAGCATGAGCTTTTGCACTGGCCATCAAGCGACGACTTCGAGTTCCTGTCCCCGTCAATCCAGCAGCGCGAATTGCTGCGCCCACATGCTGCCTTGGTACAGAGAGAACCCAAGCTTAAAGAATGCGTAATCGAACACGCTTCAGGCATGGAAAGGAGAATACTTGACGCTCGTGCGAATGAGTGTGTTCATGATTCCGGTTCTGACACGATGCCGTGCTCGAGAACATCGCGAATTATCTTGACTCCTAAATCGTATTCTATTCCAGCTGAGAAGCGTCAAAAGAGTCACTCCGAACAGACTTCAGAGCATCCGAAACCTACGTATGCGTTCGTTAACTACTATCCGTATTCCGCCAATGTCCAGATTGTGTATCAGAAAAGTTTTGGGAAACATCGCAAGGCAGGTACACAGCGCGTCCTCCAATGTTTTGTATTCAAGAGGTACGTGTAATCTGTCCATATATTCTAATATTGGGTATAAAGGAACAGACCCTGACATACAGTCTGGAGAATTTGTCCGTATTAGTTACAAAATATACATCTATGTATCATGACATAGAGCCTGCAACGAGGGCGCCCATTTCCCCATACATCAGCGGTGTCGTCGATGACTCGCCGCTTCGCCAGCCGCGGACGCCGAACTCATTCTGCCAGCCTATTCAAGAGGGAAAGAAAGCCCAGTGTACTTCGGTTGCTGGAGAACCCACACGTGGCGTCAGCGGTAACGCCCAAAGGCCTCTTTCGGAAGCAAGGGCATCCGCAATAAAATTCGCTTGCGGAAGAATTTCTTGCGCATGGGCGGTAAACCACCAGCACCAGCCCAAACGGACCGCAAGAAGGTTGCAGTTGCGCGGCCGAAAGCGTCGGCTCGCAACGTCCAACGCCAGGCGAACCGCGAACTGCACCGCATCCACGCCCCTATAGAGGATCGTTCTGGCGGAGATGCAGCGCCAAGAATCGTTGCTGTGGTTGGACCCCGTGCGTCTGGCAAGTCGAGCATCATTAGAGCGCTCGTCAAACACTACAGCCACCGCAACCTCGAGCAAGTCCGGGGTCCGCTCACTATCGTCACCAGCAAAACTCGACGATTGACCCTGGTTGAAGTGCCTCCTGAACTTCCCAGTATGGTGGACGCTGCTAAAATTGCGGATCTAGTTCTTCTCGTCATCAACGCTGCCGAGGGTTTCGAAATGGAGTGTTTCGAGTTTCTCAGCGTCGCTGCCGCCCACGGTATGCCGCGAGTGCTCAGCGTTTTGACGCATTTGGACGCAATCAAAGACACGGAGAAGATGCGGCGCACAAAGAAGCTCTTGAAAGATCGTTTAGCGTCAGAAATTGTTCAAGGCGCCAAATTATTCTACTTGACCGGTATGCGAGAGAACGGTGCGTATTTGAAACGAGAGGTTCAGAATCTCGCCCGTTTTATATCCATTATCAAGTATCGCCCGATATCCTGGAGAAATGAACATCCGTTCGTTCTCGTGGATCGCATTGAGGATATCACACCGGCTGGGCGAACGCCTGACGAGGCTGCCGCGGATCGCCAGCTGCTCGTCCATGGATTCGTGCACGGCTCGCCGTTGCGACTGCCCACAATGTTTCACGTGCCCGGTCTAGGCGACGTCTTTGTCGAAAGTGCCGTAGCGCGTGCGGATCCCATTCCTCCACCAGCAGCTACCGAGCCAGATACCTCGAACAAGACTGGTCCCAAACGGCGAAGAACATTGCAGCAGAAAGAGCGCCTGCTGTACGCACCGATGTCCAGCTTGGATGGTGTCTTTTTTGATCCTGATGCTTTGTATGTGAACATACCCGATTCGTACGTTCGATTTACGCCAACCGGCAAAGACAGCATATTGAATACAGAAGCTACTGATGTGTCGGTCGCCTCTGCCGTGCATGATGAAGAGGCCGGACTATCGGTTGGAGAGCAGATGGTGCGAGCGCTCCAGAATCCCCAGCACGCTCCACTGCAGACGTTGTCGGCGAAAGCGATTCGACTCTTTGGGGACGCTCACCCTGTGACTTGGGAGACCAACTTGTCTGCAGCATCTTCTGAGGACGAAGGTGCCCAAGTGGGTTCTCTCGGCAAATACGGCGAACATGCTAGGGACGGGCGCCTGGCGGCCACTACCGCTTCCGACGATACCGACACCTCAGCGGGCTCGGAGACTTGCAGTTCCGACACGTCATCCGCGCGCGCACAGGATGCACATGTGTACGAAGCAGGTGGCGCTCGCGACCTGGGCAGAGTCCACAGCACTCCAGAGCGCCGTCGACCAGCGGAGCGGATGGCATCTCGTTCGGAGCCCTGCGACTGGCCAGTTGTCCCTACACTGGATGCAATCCGGTATCCAACGATCACCAAGGCCGCCCGACTGCGTCGCAGCGCCTCGGAACTAGGCCAAGATGCCGTTCCAGTCGACGATACGCGCTCTCTGGGGAGCGACCAAGAAGACAGCACATCCTCTGCAACCCAGGGGGAGTTCTTCCGCACCGTGAAACGAAATCGTTTTGCAACACACGAACGAGGCATTCGTATCGACGATGAATCTTACGTGTCACCATCACCATCATCATCATCAGACGACGAGGAAGACGCCACAGAATCGGATTCCAGTTTTCTCGCTCGTTTCGCCGGAGCAGCGCGGCCTGTTGATCGTTCTAGTGACAGCAGCAAGCGACCTGCAGTTAGGATCGTGAACGGTGCCAGCGAGCGCACGCCCACTCCTTGCCGTGGAGTTGTCAGCAGTGCCAGCAGCGACCAAAGCTTCTCCACGGAGACTGGCGCAGTTCATGCTGAGAACGGCGATGCCGTTTCGAGCGACTCTGACATCGCACATTCGCCCTCTGCGGCTAGCGCTGAAGGCTCCTCCACCGACGATGCCCTCACAGACGCCAGCAGCGAAACGGACGCATCGCTTGGACTGAGGAAACGGCAGCCAGCGCTGACTTCGGCTTTGTCAGAATGGCTGCAGCAGCAACCAGATCGTTCGAAAAGTGAGGCCGATTCCTCCGAAGCTACCTTCGGAAACATGTCGACTGGCGATTCTGCAACGTCACATGACTCCAGACGCGTACGACCACCTTGTATGGCTCCCGATATCGATTCTGATCATGCTCTAACAGGAGAGCGTTCAGCAAAAGCGCTGGATGAAAGCGAACCAACGATTCTTCTGGATGCAAACTTTGATCAGCGCTGCTTCGCGCCGGGTACCTATCTTCGCTTGGAGCTGCGCGGTGTACCAGCTGCTTTCGTTAGCAACTTTGATCCCATGCGTCCGCTGATTCTCGGTGCGCTGCCGCTCCCAATGGAACGAACTAGGGCCATGATGCGCATTCGCATCCTGCGACATCGGTGGTTTCGTCGGCTTCTCAAGACCCGAGATCCACTGCTGTTCTCCGTTGGCTGGCACCGCTTCGAGTCGGTGCCGGTGTTTTGTGTCGAGGATTCGACTGGTCGCCACCGGATGCTGAAGTACACCCTCGAACACATGCACTGTGAAGCAATGCTCTATGGGCCGGTAGTCGCGCCCGGGACTGGGGTTGTCTGTTTCCAGAGCCTCGGTTCCGAGCGCAGCCGCGACTTTCGCATTGCTGCGACCGGTGTGGTCTGCGAGATCGACCACAAGTTCCGTATTGTGAAGAAACTGAAGCTTGTTGGCGAACCGTACCGCATTTTTAAGAATACTGCCTTCATTAAGGGCATGTTCAATTCTGAGCTCGAAGTGAGCAAGTTTGTGGGCGCACATCTCCGCACGCCAAGTGGATTACGGGGCGTCATCAAGAAATCCGTCCGGGACGGTCCACCGGGTACATTTCGAGCCACCTTTGAGGATCGATTGCTCATGAGCGACCTGGTCTTTCTTCGAACCTGGGTGCCGGTGGAGGCGCCCACCTATTACCATGCGGTTCGGAACCTGCTGGAACCGGCACCATGGGCAAGCAATGATCCTCATCGCACCTATCGATGGATGCGTACTGCGCGTGAACTGCGCACAGCTTACCAGACTCCTCTGGAGGTGAAGGCGGATTCAGTATATCGACCGGTTGAGCGTTTGCCGCGTCGCTTTCATCCGTTGCGTATTCCACGAGCACTGGAGGCCGCACTGCCATTTGCATCGAAACCGAAACAAGTCGAGGCGTTGAGCGAGCGCAAGCGTCGTCGATTGGAACGTGCAGTGCCGGGTCTCGCAGAGCGTATGCCAACCGCAGCAACCGCGGAGCGCAAGGAGGCTCAGTTCCTGCAGATGCTTCGGACCGTGCGACGGGAGCGCGAAAGTCAACGGGCAGAGGCCCAGAAAAAGAGACGAGAAGTGCACCAGCGACAGCTGGAAAAAGAGGAACGCCAACGGCTGGCTGCAAGACGTGTTCGAAAGAAACAAGAGTACGCGAGTGGCGCTCACAGGTGAAAGCGGTGACGGTGGTGGTGTAGTCACCGTCGTGCATAGGCTCACGGGGAGGCGCAGCTCCACTGGAACGGCAGTAGACTTCGATGGCGGACTGGTTTTTGTATGCATATGTGATACGGTATATGTAAAACTGGGTATCGAACTTGCAGCGCTGATAAACGTGGCAGTAGACTTCGATGGCGGACTGGTTTGTATGCATATGTGATACGGTATATGTAAAACTGGGTATCGAACTTGCAGCGCTGATAAACGTGGCAGTAGACTTCGATGGCGGACTGGTTTGTATGCATATGTGATACGGTGTGTGTAAAACTGGGTATCGAACTTGGAGCGCTGATAAACGTGGCAGTAGACTTCGATGGCGGACTGGTTTGTATGCATATGTGATACGGTGTATGTGAAACTGGGTATCGAACTTGGAGCGCTGATAAACGTGGCAGTAGACTTCGATGGCGGACTGGTTTGTATGCATATGTGATACGGTGTATGTGAAACTGGGTATCGAACTTGGAGCGCTGATAAACGTGGCAGTAGACTTCGATGGCGGACTGGTTTGTATGCATATGTGATACGGTGTATGTGAAACTGGGTATCGAACTTGGAGCGCTGATAAACGTGGCAGTAGACTTCGATGGCGGACTGGTTTGTATGCATATGTGATACGGTGTGTGTAAAACTGGGTATCGAACTTGGAGCGCTGATAAACGTGGCAGTAGACTTCGATGGCGGACTGGTTTGTATGCATATGTGATACGGTGTGTGTAAAACTGGGTATCGAACTTGCAGCGCTGATAAACGTGGCAGTAGACTTCGATGGCGGACTGGTTTGTATGCATATGTGATACGGTGTATGTAAAACTGGGTATCGAACTTGCAGCGCTGATAAACGTGGCAGTAGACTTCGATGGCGGACTGGTTTGTATGCATATGTGATACGGTGTATGTGAAACTGGGTATCGAACTTGGAGCGCTGGTAAACGTAGAGAGCGCGCCACCCAGCCAACGCCGATGCTGACTAGGATCCCCGCGCAATACCATAGTCACCTGTCTGACGTTTCCTTGGCGCAGTTGTTTTCAGTCTACCAAATAAGAGCGCCGCGTGTGTACTGAGGATTGCTAGCGCTGCACACCGGATCGAGTAGCACCTGCCGTCGTGTGGAACGCCTCGACTAGAGCGTTTGCTGTTTCGGCGCCCTGCGTTGCTTCCAGATCTGCTGCTCATGTTGCTGTACGTAGTATGGTGGACGTGCATGGCCATGGACCCCTGGTCGAAGCATTGAAAGTAGCGAGCATAGGCATGCACGAAACAGCTGTTGTCTCAATGCAAGTTCGCTGTATCGAAACGCGTACCGGATGCAAGGTTAACGTTATTTTAGAGGGACATTAAAGCACTCGGATGGCTGCTCGGGTACCAGGCACCTCGGAAGCTACACCCACACCTACGCGATCAACAAGCGCGTCCACCAGTCCAGGATGCTTCGGAATCGTGCGTTCTGCAGACATCGATGCAAGCATCTATTCGCAACTGGACAGGTAATGATAGAAGCAGCTGCCTCTGACGTACAATTCGTGCTGAGCATCGTGGACGCGATGCATCCTAATGGCAAAAATACAGATATTCGACGGCATCTGATGAATCAATCGAACAAGCACGACCTAGGATGTCTACCCTGCACACCGATCACCGTCACTGAGCGATAGATGCTTACATCCTAATGGCAAAAATACAGATATTCGACGGCATCTGATGAATCAATCGAACAAGCACGACCTAGGATGTCTACCCTGCACACTGATCACCGTCACGGAGCGATAGACGCTATTGTACGAATGGCAACATGGCATCTGTTGCGATTCCCGCTAGCGCAGATCGAAACAGATACGAAGCGTCGCTGCACCTGTTCCGCAATCTTCAGCCGCAACGTGCATCCCGCTGTTCTGTTCAGTGGAAGCGTGAACGAACATTCTGCGCGTTACCATTCTGGTCGGAAACGGGATTCTTGCAGACATTATGGCGTTTCTGGCACCTGGTTTCCTCTCCTTGCGTTGCGTTTTCATATCCAGGACAAGATACATTCGTTTCACCAACCGCGCGCTCGCTTTGCGACAGTGTCGATACACGAGAACTCGCTCTAGTCGTGGCACGAGCTCGCTTGCGATGGGCCTTTTCAGTGGCCTGTTTGGACGCGAGAGCGCTTCACCGGCCGCAGGGTCACGAAAACCGATGCCTGTTCCCGAGAAACACTACGTTCTGGGGACACCGTTGAAGACCGTTCCAGAGGGCATGCGCGTGGCTGTTTTCGGGGGCGGCTGTTTCTGGGGACTGGAACGGCGCTTCTTCCAGACACCAGGCGTGTACAGTACCGCTGTGGGGTACGCAGGCGGCAGCTTGCCGGACCCGACCTACTACGAGGTATGCTCAGGGCGCACTGGACACGCTGAGGTGGTGAGAGTGGTCTATGATCCTCAGAAAGTCGATTATTTGACGCTGCTCGACGTGTTCTGGTCTGCGCACGACCCGACCCAGTTGAACCGACAGGGAAACGACGTCGGCACGCAGTACCGCTCCGTGATTATCTATGCGGATGATGAACAAAAGCGACTTGCGGAAGCAACACGGGCTGCGTTCGACAAGACGTTAAGAGAGAACGGGTACGGAAGGATTGTCACCGAGCTCCTACCTGCCGCTGATAACCCGTTTTACTTTGCAGAGGAATACCATCAGCAGTACTTGGCGAAGAACCCGGGTGGCTACTGTGGACTGGGCGGGACAAGACTGTATAATCCCGAGGCGATACGAAGCGCGCTGAAAGAGATGGAGGCGGCAGCAGCAGCAGCAGCAGCGCGTGAGTGATATACGGGGAGGATGTGTGAGGCCCAAGTCACCGAGGCAAGGCGCTCGAGTTCGAGAAAACAGCAGCGGATGTAAAAGCGCGCACTGGTTTAAACATCATGCTTTTAGAGCTGCGCACTGTTACCTGAGAACAAACGCAACGAGTCGCGGCAAACTAGTATCCATGAATGCCCGGCTACAGATAGATGCCCAAGTGTGGAGAATGCGCTTCGCGTCGCCGCTCGAGAGCGTTTAGAGAGGATGAATCTGGACAAGCAGCTGCCGGGCGACTTGCGAGCCGTCACGCAACGAGCTGTGCACCCAGTGCACTGATTCTTCTTCATCCGGTAACCATACATGCTGTTTCAAGGCCACCATGCAACTCGGATTCAGACTGAACCCCCATGACCTGGGGTCAGGTAGAATTCGAGCTCCAGGCCGCAAGTGAATGCAGCGAGCGCGACGATGCCGTGCGGCTTGCGCCTTTCTCGGCCGGGCTGGATTGGGTGAATTGCAATAGCCGCTCCGCGACTCTCGCAGAGAGATGAGCGGATTTCCGTGCTAACGCTGCAGCCGCGCGTACCGATGGCCCACCTGCGGCCACGGCTGTGTTGCTTGAGGTTTCCTCGGGTCGCGCTGGAGCATCAGCGCTTGGCGCCGCATCTGCATCGATCGCTGGACGTTTCGGATGCGACTCTGTGCCGGTCGCTGCTTCCTCGGGATCAGAAGTTGACCTAGATCTACGCGCATCATCGTTTCCAGACGGTTGAGCAAGGAAGCTCGGTGCTCGTTCGCTCGCTATATTCGCTTGTGCGTCAGCATGCGCTGCAGCGAGCAGCTGCTCGACAACGGACTTAGAGGACTCGAGCTCCTCTATGCGAATCTGTGCGAACTGGGTGATTTTCTCGGCGAGAATCGCTCGTTTGAGACGGTTGGCAATCTGTACAGCTACCTTGAAAGCAGCAGCACTCGACAGTCGTGAAGCCAAGTCAAGGACGCGGCGGTCACGTTGTTTCTCGCAAGCTTCCTCGATGAGATACAGAAGGGTCTTATCTGCTTGGCGCTGCAGTTCCCGTGCTTTTTGCGCGAGCGCCTCAAGCATTTCGTGTTCGCTATGCTGGTATTGTGTGCCATCTACTGTCGTTGTCCGGGAAAAAGCGATTGCGTCAAACAACGCAGACCGCGTGGCGCGGATTGATGCAACCGTCCTGAGATAGGCTTGCTCGAGTTCCGAATACTGGCTATCCTGGGCAAGCGGCCAAGGGAATCGTTCGAGCGGTACCTGGCGCAGTTGCGATCGAGGATACGGCAGAGGACTCGTCGCGTCTGCAGGCAAGATAATGCCATGAAGAACGCGATTCTTCACGCCGAGCGGATAAAACCATTGTCGGTCGGGATCGAAAATCTCTTCACCATCTGCTTCGGCCAATGCTTGCCGAGTTCGTTCACTTGTCAGTGCCAGGTGCCAGGTCAAGTGCATGGATCCGCGTTGGAGACTGGACAACGGATGGCAACCGTGCGTCCAGTTCCAAGTGGCTGAACGGTAGCAGCCAAAGGTCCACGCTCGCAGCGTAAAAAGGTGACCAGACGCGAAATATATCCATAGCGCGCAATCCTCACTCGCATCCGACGTAGAATCGGCAGCTTCGGAGGATGTGTCTCGTTTTGTGTCCGTAAGACCGACCCAAACCAGACGCGACGTCTCAAGGTGCTGAAGCCTCTTCGCCCGAGGGCGAGCGCGCACAGCGGGGCATATCGGCAGGTTGCCGCGAACGAGACATTCGCTCACGTATCCATTCTGGTGAATGCGCAGCAGCATATACTCCCCTGCTCCATCGGGCCCGTGACTCCGCGAAAGAATGCACAAGAGATTTTCACTTGCTACCATCGTCAGAATGCTGCCATTCAGACCAGGGTGGAAACTGTCGGTGATTAGTCCCGTGAAAGAGTAGAGGTGAACCGACTGGGCGCTGGTCGCCACTGCAACCCAGAACTTACTCATGCAGAGGGCAATAGGGTCCTCCTGTGGCGGCAGGAATCGTATCCAGTCGCTCTGTAGAGACCACGACTCGTGAGGACGATAATATATCAATGCAGGACGATCTGATCCGCCCTGCCCGCTCTGGGCCCCTAGCAGTATCCCATATGCATTCAAGGTGCCGTACTGGAAACCATAACGGTCTGGAAATCGAATGGATCGCTTGCTAACATCGCTAAACTCGAGCTCAATCTGTCTGGCGGGTTCCTCGCTCGTCGCAACTGCTGAGCCAGCGGGCAATGATGTCAGGCAGCCTGTGAGGTTCCACTGTAAAATTCGCCGCTTCGCGCCCAAATCGAGCGTGGATCCGATCTGGAACGGCTGTTGGCACGTACGGTCGCAGCAGCAGGAAGATCGCCCATGAGACAACCCTGTTGCGAAGCGGCGACGCTTTCGCGAGCTCAGTGTCGTGTCGCCCACATCCGAATCGTCATTCCCATCATCATCATCATCATCATCAGTTTCGCCTGCAGGCTCCCGTTGAGACACGCTTGACACACGTTCGGAATCATCATCGCTCGGGGTGCTTCCACCTTGAGACGGCCTAGAAGCTGCCTCTTTGAATGTCAACGAATTTGAAGTCTGCACCTGCAGCGAAGTGCCGCGCACCAATTTTGTGGTCGACCCGGGCGTCTCTGCGTTTCTCGTCGATGCCTCACCAGTGTGGGCGCCTTCTCGACTTTGGTGATGTCCGCAATGCGCATCCACGGTTCCATTATCCAACAGAGACGTAGAGAGTCTCTCGCTCCCTCTGGAGGAGATCGTTCCGCGCTCAGCTGGCAGCGTGACAACCCCAAGTTGCCCCAAAAGATCAAGATAATAGGTCACCGAGGAAACAGGGCAACAAGCCAATGCCCGAATCTCTGCTTCAGCGACGCCTAGTTGCCGTGATGCTGCATCAGCGAGGTCATAGAGAATGATCGTGTCACCATTATCCTCCTGGAGCTTCGCGGTTACCACCAAACGTGTCGTCGAGCGAGCATCCCATGCGAGCGTCGATATGGAGATGGGCTTATCGACATGCGAACCAGCCGGGCACTGCGCTCGTGCCCAGACCTGAACATCAAAAACAGGATACCCCGCATTCTCCCAGGAGTCGCGTTCTAGAAAGTGCACCCGACCTGTGCGATCTCCAACAGCCAGAATCTGCCCGTCTGGTGAAAATCGCGCGCAACATGCATGACGTATTCTTCCGACCCCGAAGCCAATGACCCGTTGGGCATCAACAGACCAGAGACAAACGTTCGCCATTGCGGCAGGAGTTCGGGCAGTGGACGTTGCGCGTCCTTGCCCCGAGGGCACCTCATGGACGGTGGCAAAGTAGCAGCCAAGCGGATCGACCGCCAGATCTATGACGCTGTACTGCACGACCTCATCGTAGGCCGGGTCCTCCTCGCTCGGCCGCAGAATATCGATGCGAGGACCCTCGTCCAGATACACGAGGCGAACTGTCGCCGGCTCGCGCCCACATACAATCACGTACTCGCCTGCACCACCAAAAGCGACATAATTTGCCGGTACAGGGGTCCGACAGAGTACGGCGAGCGTCTCTCTCGTCGATACGGAAACAAGCGACACTTGTGATGCGTCATCTGCAACCACAAGAAAGCTGCAGCAGGGCGAAAGCGCCAGCGACCATATAGCGCTGACTGCACCGGGACCATTCGGTTCAGCTTCCCATACCCAGTCACACTCTTTCGTGACCGAGAGTCGATTCCCTGCGTCCGTCTTCACCGAACGTCCGAGCACTCTTCCGTCTGATCCGCCTGTGAATACAAACGTTACTGGAGAAGCACCAGCGCCGGGACTCTGAGCACCAACAGCCAGCGAACAAGTGCCAGGTGGGTGACAAACTATCGTTTCCATCGTAGAAGAAAACCGGTTGACTCTAAGACGTGCGCAGATGCTCAGATACGTTGCTCAGCACACAAAGCGCATATACACAACATTTGCCATGCACTTGGATACGCTTCACACTGCCGCACGCATGCATGCACGCAATGTCAAGTCCGCTGAGAGGCGCTTCGCGCGTGCAGAGCCGTTCGGAGGCGCACTCCAGATTTGGCGCGAAACGCGTGCAGTTTCGATTCCCTGAGACACGACAGCACCAAGGCGTGCGTCGGGATCGCAGCACCCGCGGAGGCAGATCGGAGCAAATGAGCCGGCGGTACCTGCCTGCAGGTCCGATGCAGACCATGTTTGTGTGTGTGCGCGCGCGTTTTTTTGCTGACTCACACAAGGCGATAGGATACATGCCCCGCACATTTTGGCGAGCTTCGTGGACATGAAGCAGCATGTCAGGGCAGTATCCCTGACCAGGTGTCGAACGAACGCCGCTCTCTATCGCGCGGATGACGTCTCGTCGTAGAACGCGATCAGGTACTACTCCTGCGGCGGAGAATTTTTTTTTACAGAAGCAGCGCCTTGCAATCCCAAGATCGCTTATAAAGCGCGTGATCTTTGAGCGTCCAGCAGAAGCATACAGAGAGTTGGATGTTCAGCAGGAACGCGCTTCGCGTGCGTGGACGCAGCCTCTACGAGCCTCTTGTTTGCGAGACCACTAACCTCAGGTTCATACATCGGAAAAGGTGTATCGGCATTGAGACAAGAATGGAAGCAAACGACCCAAAACTTTCGATTTGATAGTTCCAGGTGCCACCATCCAGGTACACTGTGCTGGATTCGGACTTGCGATGTGTTTCCACAAACGATATGTGTCGCCTACTTTTCCAGAAGCTTTGGCAGTTACATCACGCAGCGCGGATTCAGCGTTTCTGTATCGCCTTCGCTATGCACAGCTGCATTCAGAGACCCAATGGGGGCAATCCATAATATTTTCAGTGATATCGAATAATGCGACACCATTATCGTACACCATTTGCCGGGGAAAACAGATCATGTGTACTTAGAAGGCGCTCTTGCTTTTCTGGATTGCTGAACGGCGTCAAACCAGTTCCTGTCTCCAGGGGAAGATCTAGTGCCCTCTATCCTGGTCACTGACCATTTTCCAAGGTAAGCCTGCAGCGTTTGAGCACAATAGCCGCTCCGATTACAGAACGATTGCCTCGAATGTTCGCCCGACACGAAGCCGCTGGAAGCTCCCGAATCACAACGCATATCCGAATGTAGATCGAGGCGTTCACGTCTTGGTAAAGATATTGTTTGCGCGCAATGCTGCTGGTGGAATCTCACACCATTGCGAACCGTTCACCCGCAATTACTCGTCATCTGAAGTTCGACCAGCTTGCATAAATGCCATCTCGTGTGTGCATCTCTTTTTCGCGCTCTTCCTCTATACCTGTTTCAGCGTGCGCTCGTGGTCATGATCCACGTATGTTGCCGTCAACGCATCCATGGGAATCGTACAGCATCGACTCCGGTACACGTTCAATGCTCTGGGCGAGGGTCAAGGATGTAGCGCCTGCGCCCAACACTCCATCCAGCGCCGTGGGCTGTCCCCAGACGACGCACCTCATCGGACCATGGCTTTTCCCACTCACGGAACAAATTCGCGAAAGCACCCTTCTTGCGTACGCAGAAACGAAACTCGTGGCGACCGCAGCGCGCACCTAAGCACTCCTAAAAAAATGATCCTCACTTGCGTTTCAATGCTCATGGACTCTCTGAATAAAATGTACAATGCAGCCCGCTTTGCTTGATGCGTGGTGCTCAGAGCGTCGAGACGAGTGCTGACGCCATCACTGCACTTATCGGTATGCCTCCTGGCATCCGTCACACCGACTCCGGGTCGTAATGCTCCCTCGAAAAAACAGGTCGCATGGCATCTGCTGCTTCGAGCATCCATTATGTTGTGGCATGAAGCTTAGATCGAAATATTCCAGATGAATATGGACAGCTAGCAGCCCTGCTTTCGGAATACCTACGATCTGTCGCTTGACGAGGAACGTCGAGGCGAGACAAGTTACGCTAGCCTTCATCGAGGGAGACGCTACAAAGCCCTTCATAACGTCCCGCATCTCGAAGTTCGCAAGATGCTCTCCGTCGATTTGTGTTCGTGCTGAGTTCACGAAAACGGTTTGAGACGGATTCTTTCGCTCCGGCAGTTTTCCCGTTCTCGTCATCATCGTCCATTTTTGAGAAGTATCGTTCTGCTCTTGGTCTCGTACATCAATCGCCTTCTCCTTTACATCACTGAGTGGCATGAACCGGTTGCCATCCTCCAAAATCGTTTTCGATCGAGACTCAAAGGAATTGAGTGTAAGTTGGAACCGAATCTCACCTTTCCTATCAAAGCATCTGGGATTCCGCAAGCGCCGTATCAACTCATTCATGTTCGCGAGCAGACCCACGGAATGCAGCTCGCGTGTAGGTCCCGAACCCACGCATCTGCGCACGAGCGGAGGAGTATCAGAGCAGTTCAGGGCTATTGAAAGTAGAAAACGAATTTTCCAAGGAACATTAGCTGAAGAACGGTGTCGCGGGTGCGAAAAACTCGTCTATGGAACCACGAGCATAAGAAAGGTACTTGCGAACAGCGAAAATGCTTGCGGCTGAATTGAAACCCGGGAAAAACGCTCGCACGAACAGCAGCTCAACACCGATCTCAGCTGCGTACTCCATGGTCGTGTTTGCGTGATGGAGGGCGAGTTTGCCAAGGTACAAGCTAAAAGGGTGTGGGAAGCAGAAGACCTCAATACTGCTTCGACGGAGAGTGATTTCTTGAACAACACCTGTCTGTTTGGAGATGTACGGGCGACTACATGATAGAATCGTCGCCTCGGCTAATGTTGTAAGGGTGCTCGCTTTTCCCTTCTTTGCAAACAGCGCTTTGCCGGTTACTGAACACCTGTACAAAGATCTACAATTTCTTCCGAGTGCAGCCGCATCGAGTGAGACGACCACGAATCCGTCCGGTGATAAGCGTTCGTGCTTCACGGTGGAATCGATTAAGTTTTGTTCCATACGCCATGGTCTCGCTCGGAAGCGTACCTTTGCCCTTGCCCATCGGCATACCTTCGTACCCACTCGTACCAACGGTACGAAATCTTTAGAAACTGTGGCATCTCCAATCGTTTCTCTTAGTGAACACATGGCGTGACCTTGATTGACAATGACACCTTCATGCAGAGCGTCTTTGACAAGCAATGTTTGGGGTGCACGACGTCCACTGTCTGAACTCCGCGATTGCATCGTGCATCTACCGCTTGACCGCAGGATAACTGAAATGTATCCATGAGTGTGTTTCCCGCATGCTTGCAGTCCCGGAATAAAGTCTTTCGCAGACATTTCTCCAGTCTACAGGAGCAACCCCCATTGTTCGATATTTGCGCGATAAGCAACCAAAATCAAAAAGGGCGTGCTGATACAGCTGTTCTAGAATGGACTGCTCTGGGCGCAACGAACTTGGTGCAGCTGCAGGGCCGACGTCCTAACATAGCCACAGCCAAATTCATGCCGCTTACAGCCCGAGGCCAAGCACGTATCCAGAGCCAAGAGTGCACCCATGCAGGTTCCAGCAGACTAGACACGCTAGAGTCATCAGCGCCCTATCCGGGGGGTTTAGTCTAAAAGCGATACGAGCACGACATGGCGCCGCAGCGCTGGAGCCCGAGTTCAGTTCTCCACATAACCGTTCCAAAACAAAGTTTCACACCTCGCGCTCCGCGATCAAGGAGCCCCTAAACCAGCGAAGTATGTTCCATGATACCGCGGCCTATATGCAGTTCACCATTTGCCTGCGGCACCGGGCCGGAAACACACTCTTAGCTTGTCCATGCAAGCCAGCAGACGACCATGTTGTGAGAACGTTCCGGGGCCAAGACCAATGCGAGTGCGACTAGTCCCATTCCCCCGGATACGCTTCGAGTGTCGACGCGCCTCGGTTACCTAGCCTCTGGATCGTGCACCTATCCACGTTTGCAGCTTTCAATGCTTTCGTCAGTATGCTGTAACCAGTCCGGTCTAGGCGCCTTTTTCATGACAGACTTGTCGGGAAGAAGTGAACTGTCGAAGTCCCATATACAAACTGTGAAACAGACGTTCAAGCGCAGAGAAGTTACGTGCACCCTGCAAACATCAAAACTGACCCAGAAACGATGAAGTGTTTCTCTCTCTACACATTGAAAGATTCTATCGGCGTCATTTGGCCTCAACTTTTTCGCGAACACTCGAGCCTGCTATTCCATTCACGCGAGATCTCATATCATTAACCGACACGTTGCAGCGCCTAAAGTTGTGCCAGCACGCCTCACCTGCCTCAATACTGACCACGCTCGCAATATACCTATAGGAACAGGCTGCAGTCATACCCAATACGTCGCGCCTTGGCGCTAGTTTGTTTCCGCGCACGCTTTTCATGGTATAGAATCAGTGCAATGAACCAGTATCTACGACGATGGACACAGGTTGCCGGTACTCGGGGCGTAACGCTTTCCACCTCAGCAGAAAGGTGGGCCTGCAGCGCCCCCATAACGCGCGCTCGCTCCATCGGACGCTCCTCGAGTTGGTACGCTCCGTTGCGCATCAGGGACGGCGAGACGTGCCCTGCGAGTCCGAGGCACCCGTCACCGCTATGCGTTCAAGATGCAAACTCTCTGAGTCCCCTTGCACTTCAGTGAACCCCCCAAAAAAGCTCAAGGTACCGCAGAAGAGAACTCCGTTCTGCCGTATGGGCACCTGCGCTCCGAGAGCGCTCAGCCGAAACCCTCCGGTGCACGTCGCACGACGGCTGCTGCAACGCCGGACATCCATCGCACGGCCGCACACAAGCCGTTCGTACTGGAGCCGTCAAGGAAGCCTTTTGGCGATAATCTGCTCTCTGAGTTTCTGCAAGTGCCTTTATCCTATGGACGCTTTCATTTGCGTGAAGATACACAGTACAGCTTTGGTGAGGTCACCGGCTTGGAACCTTTCCCGTTTCGATGGCAGACACAGCTGCGTATCCGGTTGGCGACGCAGCCGCGGACGCCGTACTGCGGAAACGCTTCGACTGTTGCAGGATGAGGACGCGGTGCCTGAACCGCGGACACAGAAGCAGTCGCCCTTCTCGGGGATAGCGACTAGTGAGTCGGTGCAAAATGTATCCAAGTATGCGGAGGTTCTGCTCCAAAAGAATAAGGCACTCCAAAAGTGGTCGGAGAAGAGTCTGGAGCGAGAAAACCCCGGGGCAGGGACGACGCTGCTCGAGGACGTGGCTCACGACGCCACCAACGAGGAAACCTCAGCGCTCAGTGCAGAAGAATCAAAATTTGCCCCCAGGGGGAAACGGGGCCGCCGTCCTCATCGGGAACAGAGGCCCGCTGGTTACTGGAACGCCGACAACGTCGTTCGTGAGGTTCTCGAGTTCGTGCGCTCGCGCCCAAACTCCGGAAACGGACCCCAATACATGCCCACTTCGAACGAGCTGCGAGAGGCAAAACGCTCTGATCTCGTTCGAGCCATCATTGTTCACGGGGGCTACGCGAAGGTAGCAGAGCGCTGTGGCCTCCAGCCGCATCGACGATCGTTTGGGTACTGGCGCAAGGACTTTAAGAACCTCGAACGAGAGATTTGGAGTTTTATAAGAGAACGTGACGGCCCCGAAGCAGTTCCTCGTGAATTTAGAGGCGATTCCTCAACAAGGTCACGTAGGAAGAGCACCGCCGATGCCAGCGCTTCACAGGCGACCCCAAATGAACCAACGACTCGGCCGCGTATGCCTACCTACAATGAGCTCGTAGCAGCAAAGAAGCGGATTCTTGCTTACGCGATTGCGGAAAACGGTGGCTTTCTCGAGGTAGCCAGAAGAATGAACCTGCAGCTCAGCAGCGATGAGACCCCCTGGCGCGATCGCGATGCACTCGTTGCGGAGCTGCTGCGTCTTTTCCCGGACTTGATGGGAAAACAGAAACGCTTTCCGCGGCAACAGGATCTCGTTCGACTTGGTCGTTATGACCTCGACTGGGCCATTCATCGTTGGCATGGCGGTTACACACGACTAGCTGCCGAGCTTGGATACCTGCGATCTCGGCTACCGTGCAAGCCGCGAAACTTTTGGTCTGATGAACGGAATTTAGAGAATGAGTTGCGAGCGCTGCTGCAAGCGAACAATATGGGTTGGCGGATGCCGAATCGAAAGGAGCTCGAGGCTCTCGACAGGCACGACCTGATCTACGCCATTCGCAAGTTCGGCGGTTTCCTCACGGTCGCAACGAAACTGGGGCTATCGCGGGATGCGCTTACTCATACGCGGCCTCGAGGGTACTGGTCGGATTTCGAAAATCTGCGCACTGAATTGCAAGCTTTTGTTCAAGAAAATGGCTATCCCGGCATTATGCCGCGCCTCGAGCAGCTTCGTATGTACAACCGGGAGGACCTGATCAATGCAATCCATCGCCACGGCGGAGCAGCGAATGTGGCACGCCGCTTGCATCTCTTCTGGTACGGCCCGAAGACTTTCTGGCGCAAGTTCGAAAACCTCGGACAGCGACTGAGGGCATTTTTGCACAAGTCGCGCTTTTCCCATGACAAGATGCCTACACAGCAGGAACTCATAAGCGCTGGACGTGTGGATGTGGCGTACGGTGTCCATCTGCACGGCGGTGTGTATGAGGTGGCACGGCGCCTTCGACTGCAGGTTCTCGATCCTCCGCGAGCGCCGTTCTACTGGAACGATATCCAGAACGTGGAGACGGAACTCATTGCTTTTGTTAACAGTGCAGTTCACGCCGCATGGATACAGAACGGTGTCATGCCCACGAGCATGACCATCGTTCGAAGTGGGCGGCGTGATCTCGCTGCCGCTATCCGACGTCATGGTGGATGGGATGCGTTTGCTCGCCGTTTGAACCTGCGCCCAGCCGCACCCAAGCGCCCGAAAGGCTACTGGAATACCCTGCGCAACGTGGAAGCAGAGTTGCTGCTCTACGTACAACAACGCGAACAAGTGATTGCAGAGTTCGTGCGAAACTACGCTGCGGACTTTGTACGTCGCCCAGGAGACGACGAAGACGACCCTGACGCAGCAGGAAAAATAGCATATTCCGATGTTTCTGAAATCCTCGCTGGGAACGTCGGCAACAAGCGCTGTCGCACTGTCGTGGGTGCGATACGCAACGGTGCGTACGTACCAGTGATGCCCACCGCTGAGGAACTTCGCCTCGACGGACGTGCAGACCTTGTTTTCGCCTGTGAACGCATTCATGGCGGGCTTGCTACTGTTGCCCGCGGTCTCGGGTGGCCACTACTCGCGGAGCGACTACCCCCTGAGTCGTTGAAGAAGGATCGCAACGTTCTCGTTCAGGCGCTGATGACCATGTGGATACCGATTTACGGGACTGCAGGTGAGATGCCCACTGAGGCAGATCTGTTACGAACCGGTGGAATCGACATCCATGAGGCTATTGTTTGCCATGGCGGCTACGTAGAGGTTGCACGCTCCTTGAATTTACGCCATCCGGAGGATCCAGAATGGACCGATTGGTCTGCGAAACGCTTCTCAAAGCAGCGCATGTCGCGGCCTTTGCAACCGCGATCGAAGAAGGGCTCCAAAGCATCTCCAGAAACGAGCGGTGATTCTGCTGATGAGGTCTGATTCGTGCTCTCGTTTTCCGGGGGACACGTTCACACGTGTGAAGTACTCGTATCGAGCGGCAGATTCCGGTAGGTAGTGCGATTGCGATACGCCCCAGGGCATACAGAAGGCATCTGTTTCGAAGCGGGGAATCCTCGCAATGAACCCGTCGCCGAGCGGCTCACGCTTACGAACCGAACCGCAGTGCGCAAGGCTTTGGTTCATGCGGGTCTTCCGGCTGGTGACCCTTGTCGTAGCGTGTTCTGCAAACAGACGATAGACGGTACAATATGATTACCTGCACGGACGTCTTAGACTCGATTTCGCCGTCTGAAAGGTTTTCGGGCCCGGAAGGCAAGTACGATGCGCTACACCGGATTCAGATAAACATGGAACATTGACCCATCCGCTATGTTCCTTTTCATATGATTTTTTCTGAGCGATCTTAGATGCACCATTGGCATTCGAGGTGCAGCAGTAGGTGCGTACGGATTCATACGTGGTTTCGGGGCTCCAGCTTGTCTATTCAGTGTGCCGCTATCGACTAGTTGGTGCTGGAATTTTTTAGTGCGCTGGAATCAAAACATTACGTGTTGCTATCGAATACGGGATCGCAACAGAATACATGTCACTGACCAAATCGTATGTACAAGCGTCCGCTCTCCTCCTTTGCTACCGTTTCGTATGCTTCAGTCACACAATCTTCGTGTTTTCCATCTTTCCGTATCACAGAGGCTCGTGAGTGCGGCTACTCGTACCGCCAGATTGACGCGGATAATACCTCGACAACGCCCCGTAGCGGCCGCTTTGTAAGCGCATCCCCAACAGTCACTGAACCTGTCACGTCAAATGATCCTGATCGATTGAACGGCAAATCCGTCTGCCTTCGTGGGCATCGACGGAACTGCATTCACGCTCAGCTTGATCCATCTCACCGGGCTATGCTGGCAGGGTCTCCCGTCTCTCCTGCTAGAATGTGAGAGCATCGTCGACTAGGGCTTGGGTTAGCGCAGCGATCGCTTCCGGGGCGGCGAGCGCCTCACCGCTTCTGACCGAGTCAGCGTCGACGCATCGAGAATGCTCGACATCGTGCACCGACCTGGACTTTGCTGCAGATACCTCTATTATCCTGGATACGATCGCGTTCCGCATACGCTCTATCGAACGGAGCAGCGTGCGCTTTCGAGTGCAGCGGACAGCGTACTTGCCAAGCGTCCGCTCAGGAGTGGAAACAGCGGCGGGTTCCATGTCGAACCTCGTTTACTGCGAATAGCACGAACACGGGCAAAGCGTGTAGGCATCACGCGCGATAGGGCGACGCTCGGATGACGAGGGTGTTTGGCGAACACACGGGAACGACTACCGTTATCCAAGCGTCGCTGCTGCAGCGCACGAATCTATTCTGTATACGAGCAAGATGAGCGCGACGAGGGAAGCGAAGCTCGTAACGTCCGCCTGGACGTGACCTGCATTGAGCACAGCCAAAAGCAACGAGACCGACACATGAGCGCTGCACTCCATGTCCTTCGACGAAGGAGAACGCTGCTGGCGTGAGAGGAAACGGAGGCGTATGGAAACACGGAGAGAAGCGAAAGGACCGAGAGGCAGTCGCACCAGAAACCGTAAGGGCTGGTCTTGACGACGCCCGAGAACACACTTAAACTTTAGCTCGCATACCCGCATAAGAGGTGCATTTTCATACTACGCTGACATGGATGTAGAGTGCACCCCGAATGGAACCATCTGAACGCGCTCCACCTTGTTCTAATTTGGGTGCAGCACACGGGCTCACCACCTGTTCGAGACAAACGTTGCGAATGATCTGCAAGTGCGGCGCCCTACCAGTGCCTCTACGCATGGAGATTTCCATAGATATTCGAGCAGTTCTTGTAGGGCGCTCTAGCGCCATTACATGGAAAACATTCTGTGCTGCACACTCGAATCGGTGCCCTGGTTGAAACCAGTCATTCAGGATGCTGGAGCAACAACCATCTCAGCGGACATGGACCGAGCATCCCCGGTTCTAAAAGAAGCAGTGTTGCAGATCGGTGATACGGCAGGCCTCTCTAGAGAGTACCCAGACAGGCATGTATGAATCTGGGGTATTTTCGAATGCTTTCAGGACGATCATGATGATGCGTTGCTTGCTCGGAAGCATCTGCAGCGTACCTGTTTGTGTACCAGCGCACGCGGGTGTGCGCCCTGTGCACCTGCGCAGCGACGTACGTGATTGTCTACCCAGGCCTCCTTGTCTGTTGTATCGTCACCGACTACTAGACGAGTTGCTGCACATGCGCAGCAGGAGAGAGGTCTCGTCGATGTAACAAGCTGGTGTGTTGAGCCCTGGTGAGCTGTTCACTGCGTTCTGTCTGGTTTCGTCGGGACTCTTGAACGCCCGGTTCGTCGTTGCTGAGTTTAACCAGCGATGACGTTGCTGCACTTTAGAGGAAGGCGTCAAGCCGAGACCAGCCGCGCAAGCACCGAGATAAACTCTGAAAACCGCTCGCACTCTTCAACTGGTGGTGCTTTGAATCCAAGCGAGGCGAACACAGAGCACGACGAGGTGATGGCGGAGCTTCACGACCTTCTGGTTCGTGAGCTGACCGATTGCGGTCTCATTGACTTGTTTACGTCGCAAAGCTTGCCTCAGTATGCATCAGAAAAGGATACCCTGACCGATGCAGGGTCAGAGAAGCAGCACAAAGCGACCGAGCTGGGAAACGGCGCCTCGGGCGGCGTGTTTCAACACTGGACCGGACCCTCGCGGCCTGCACCAGCTGACTTGTTAACCGTAGAGTCGCCACACGGTCGCACGGAGGAGCCAAGCGGTAACCGCGGGTCCTTTCAGCGGGACGTACCGCCACTCGAGGACCAAAATGAGCCCATTTCCAGGGCTATGCAGCGCATCCGAGCTGCACTGCGACGCTGGAAACCGCTCCACGGCGAGGTCGACCTCGAGACCCTCGAGCGCCTCAAGAACTCGATCGTTGAGCGCTCTGCCTGGTTTTTACGCGAGCAGGCAGAACAACGAGCCCGCTGGAAGGCAATGCGTCAAAACCCTGCCTATGTCGTTGAAGACTTTACAGCGAACCAGCGAACCTTCTTCTCATGGATTCGGACCAGTTTCCGTATGGTCCTTACGGGAGCAGCCATTGGAAAGCTCTTGCACGGAACCAGCGTCATTATTCTCGGGGTACTGTATGCTGCCCTTGGCCTAATCTGCATTGCAGCGGGCACGATGCATTTTTACCATTGGCAGCGAACATTGTACAATCATCGATATTTGCGGGATTCGCGTCCTTTCATCGTGGTGTTCCTGGGAATCACTGCGACCAGTGTCGTCGCTCTAATGGCTTGTTGGAAATAGGTGCCAGCCCGGAGTAAGCGCCGCTGACCGTGACCCGACGCTGCACCACTGAGCGAGCGCATTCTCTTGTGCACATGCGAATGCGTCGCTATATCCGTATCGTATCGACCTGTATAATACTATCCATGACATTGCAGGCGCACCGCTGCAGCATTGGGCATCTGCTGACACCCGACTAGGCCAGGTGCGGTGTTGTCTTCAAGTGAATCTGGGTTACCACGGCGGATAAACATGCGAACCTCGACGACATTCCGGATCTGACTTGTTCCCCTCGCCCGCTCTGTCTACGGATGACGTCAACTCGACCAATGTGCAGCGCTTCTCCGCTCACAACCAGCGATGCTTCAGGCAAAGTCCTTCACCGTTATGCTCGATGCTGTGCGCATGCGGTTATTGGAAAAGGCGACCCCGATGCTGATACTCTGTTTCGTACATATCTCAGTGCATTGCGCTCTGGTCTGAATCAACGTCACTGGATATGTTCGTCGGCTTTGCCCAGAGAAACTGCTATGAAGCCGTTGGGCTCGACACGGGATCTTCGCTGGCGATGTCCTCGGCCTCGTCCTCGGAGTCTATTTCATCCGTCGCTGGCCAGATGCTCGGAGGCATATGCTTCATCTGGACAGAGGGAGCACCTTCTAGTTGGCGCAATTGTTCGATAACTTTGCTCTTCACCTTCTCTAGATAATCTCTCGAATTCTGGTTCTCCAGTTCACGCATTGGTTGAATATGGAGAGAATATTCTGGAGCGAAGTATTCCCAGTAATCATTGTATGGAATCTGGGCGTCTACCGATATGCCTAGAAGCACCGAGGTCTCAAAGAGCCAGCAGCGGGCAACGTTTCGGATGTTGTAGCCACCACCGCCGAGGACCAGCATCGGGATTCGGAACGAACGAACAAAAGCCACCGCATTCGCATGTCCCTGTACCGTCAAGTTAAAGCACCCGAGTCGATCATGGGCCAGAGAATCCGCGCCACACTGCATCACGATTGCACCCGGTTGATATACTTCGATGACCTTGGTTATTATCGGCTCGAAAATGCGACTGAAACCTGCATCATCCATGCCGTCTTTCAGGGGCACGTTCACCGCGTATCCTTCACCGCGCCCGTAGCCGCGGTCCCATACATCTCCGGTTCCCGGGAAAAAGTTGTCTCCGTATTTGTGGAAGGACACCGTGAGCACTCGATCTGTGGTGTAGAAGGCTTCTTCGACACCATCACCATGATGCACATCAATATCGATGTAGAGCACACGCGGGTAGAGACGCAGCAGTTCGAGAATTGCCAGTACGATATCGTTCACATAGCAGAAACCGCTCGCTTCACTTTTCTTGGCATGATGAAGACCACCTGCCCAGTTAATCGCAATATCACTGGTACCCGACATGAGTTTTCTGGCACCGTCGATACTACCGCCGGCAGATACGGCGCAAAAGTCCCAAAGACCGTCAAACAGCGGACAGTCGCCGTGTTGTCGTCCGACGTTAAACCGCTGTAGCTGGTCCAAAACGTCGTCGGTTATGGTGTCCGGGGTTGTGTTTCGCAGGAACTCTATATAGTCGTGGGCGTGGAACTTTTCGCACTCCTCAGGGCTCGCTTTACGAGGCTTGTAGACGTCCATATGGCGATAGAGACCGTACGCGAGACATAGGTTGTGCGTGATGGCCATTCGGTGCGGTTTCATGGGATGATGCTGTCCATAATAGTAGCCCCCAACATCAAAGTCCATAAAATAGGCCACGCGCAAACGGTCGGTGGAACCATACAGAGCCTGGCTCGACAGCATGAGTCCAGTGAAGATCGAGACGTTCGCTAGAGCACCGAAAACAAGCGAGGAACCTGAAGCGTCCGGGTGGCTTTGTATGCACGGATGCTCGAAGCCTAGCTAGCGCACAACTTGGCTGAGGATGCGCACCCCTGGAAACAAACGTCTTTCAAAAGAAAAACGTTGCTGCCAGTGGTACAGTAGTGGCGGCAACCGCACCCTAGCCAAGAAGTCTCCAACTGATGTGCAGACGCCTTCCAGCTTTTTTCGACTGGCCACCCACTACTGCTTCCAACTTTTTCCCATATAATTCCACATTCAGAGATGGTTCCATAAAGTTTTCTCTTGTCAGCTCTGGGGGTCTATTCTCCATCAACGCATATTTCCTTATATTGCTGGCAGCATTAAAGTCTCGGTTCATAAACTCCATACGTTTCGTGCCGTTGGGAGTTGTACTCACTAATGCAAGTAGTCCACGAACTTTCGCGCTCCTTTCCATTTGCTCTTCCGTCAGCGTACCGTACTTTCTTATAACCTCAGGACTCCGCTGGCACTTTTCCATCTCGACCCTCTGAAGTGTACACCCTAGCTCATGGTGTGTATAGGACGTTCGAAACTCATCTACAGGTATCGTGACGATACTCCGTGCACACTCTTTGTACGTTCTTGTCGTTGGAGCTGGCGTAGTTCCTTGCTTGGGTCTTCCGTCACCCTGCTCCGTACGCTACTACGAGTCTCTGACTTTCATCCTCCTTCAAGGCGCTCAGCAGATTGAAAAAGTTCGCGAATGCACGCTGCTTCCCACAATACAAATTCATTCGCAGTCGAACCCACCGGGGCTTGGTCTACTCTTTCCACAGCGCATACCAGTGAGCAATACGAAGTTCCATGAATTTCCGAAGAGCCTGAATGTCCGCTCGTCGGCTCGTCACCTCGCTCATAGCTTCCAGATGCTCTTTCATTCTTTCATTCCATGCAGCAATTTTCTTCCTCGCATTCATTATACCGGATTCTCGATAGTATCTCGCTCTCGAGAACCTCAAAAGACGCATGTATTTCTGACGTAAGTTACCATCAGTACCATCTTCCGCACGCTGGGGTACTGCGATGGTTATGTTATTTGTGTTTCCGGGATCCGCGCTGACGACAAAGTCGTTATCTTGCACCTCCTGCGTCGCAGGATCCGCCTCCTTCTCATCTTCATGCATCGTCGCGCCTGCATCCTTCGTCTCGGGCGCAGCCGAGGGAGGGACTGGACGATCTGTCTTCAACCGCCGATAGTGTATACACAAGGCTACTCCATCGGTTTCGATCATCTCAGTGAATACCTTTTGTTTGCTGACTTTGAGACGTTTGAAATCGAAGATATTCTTCCAGTATGTCTGCCGGTTTTCACCGGAGAATTCCTTCCTGCTAACATCGAAATCAGGACTGATCTCGCTCGTGATGCTGCAAAGACGCCAGAGTCGATAGTCACAAAATGTGACTTGATATTGTACATTGGAACCACGTTGAAGCGCTTCCCCATTAGGAACGCCTTCCGTCTCTCCCACTCTTCATTTTTTCCTCATTCAGCCTCATCTCTGCCGTGCGTTCGAGTTCGCGGTCCAAAAACACGAAATACCTCAAGATGAGGAGGTAGTATCTTTCCTTATCTTTTCCAACTCTGATATCTTGTCTGCTGGATTAACCAGCCCCAGTACCGCACGGTGCTCTTGTATAACCGCACGGATTACAGAAGCTTCATTCGTGCACTAATTCGACGCCTTCTTGTCAACGAACTCGATCTCATCTTCATGATGGCGATCGTTCGTGATGCAATTGATAATCGCCCATTTTCCTTCGCGAGACAGACCCGGGTGGAGTGCAACCACGGCGCGTATCATGAAACGTTCGAAGTTCGCTGTCAAATGGTTCTTCAGATTCGTGAGGTACTTCATGGCCCCGTAGCTGTAAATATCCCAGTCACCCTTGTACCGAGTACCCTCGAAGCTGTAGAAGGAATGTTTTTCGTGGAGGGCATGCACTAGCACATTTTCCCTCCGCGCTTTCTCTGTACCAAGCATCAGGTGAGGAATAAAGGTCTTGTCGAAGAACTCGCCCGGAATCTCGACCTTTTCCATGTGCGTCCCGTCGCGATACATCTCTCTCACCAAATGCATCAGTCCTGACGACGCCTTGACAATATTCTTCGAGTACGACGCAACACGTTTTTCGATAGCTTCTCGCAACTTTTCCCTGTACGGATCCTTGATCTGTCCAAGAAGAAAGGTTTTCACCACCATCTCGTCGCACAGTTGTCTTTCTTGCCGCTTTCGACGTAGGGCCTCCCCCGTTTTTGCGTTTTCTTCTTATCCTGCTCTTCTGGAATCGGCACTGTTTTTTGTTTTTTTTCTGGCACCCGGCGACACTGGGCCTCCAGGATCGTAGACTTGCTTTTTCATAGCTTTCCTTTTTTAGTTTTTTTTGAGAAAGAACGCTCTTTGAACTCTTCTGTTATATACTGCGAAAAAAACACTTGATTAGACTTGTTCGAAGTTTGAAACACAATTGAAATGAAAAACTGTACTTGGCTATGAAGTTAACGAAAATACAACTTTTACATTAGATCTACATGCTAGAGATCAGGATCACGTTCCCCTTCAACAACGGCATGTGCGTAGCGTCTCATGCCTGCCTGATCTCCGAGGTGCACTCACCGAGCGCGATGCAAACTAGTCACAAATTATTTATTAAAGAACAACTATCTTAAAAGCCCCATACAGCACGCGCGCCTATGGGGTCTAGTTTTTCCGAAGAAGCTCTGAAAGTGGGTTAAACCGGGGTGCTTGGGCGACGACGAAGGAAGCCCACGCCAGGGACCATGACCGCAACGAACGGAGGGGCGGAGGCAGTGGCAGCAGAAAATATTGACGAGAGTTCTGAGTAGTTATCCGCTGCTCCCGAAACAACGCTGCAGGTTCCGGCGCAAATCCTGGATCCATCCTCGAACTCGGGCTACGTTTTACCTCCCACCTTGAGCACCTACCTCAACTTTGGAAACACTCTCGGCGGATACTTCGGAAGGCGGCTATCGATATGCTCGTGGTCGAAGCTGGAATAAGCGACTTACCCGCCTATGTGTTTGGGGAACGGATACGTAACCGCTGAACGGGTGCTTTGCAGACTGTTCCCAATGGTTGAGGGTAGCTTCACGCGTCCGGCAAGATAAAGTTCGCATTCGAATCGACCTTGACTAATGTACTTCTGATTCTACGCTAGCGCTGCGGCAGACACTCAATGAACGACTGGAATGCAGGAGGCGCTGGTGGCATGTGCTCTCACACACCTTGTGGAGGGTGCATCTAAATGGACGACGCATCTCTCGAGTACCGCAGCGTTACTCCTATACCCTTATGCGCTACGACTCGATAGGTTTCGCATCATGGAATATTTGCGGTGTGGCCTCGATACTAGACGACGAGATATCGAATTACCAGTACAGTAATGAAGAACTGATACAAGTCGAGGACTGTACAATAGGAAAAGAGACCCAACCAGACACGGAGAAGGAGACACAGAAACCTCATGATCCACCTAGATGCAAAATAACCAGAGAAAGTAGCTCAGGAAAGAGCCCGAAGAAGAAAAAGACCAGCAAGAAATAAACAGAAGAATAGAAAAAAGAACTCCCAAATGAGCCCATCACAAGGTATCCCCCGAGAGGGCACCCCAGCTGGAACTCAAGAAAGCCGTCGCCAAACCCAGGCACCTACTCACAGCGCTGAAGATCCGAAAAGCCGTGCATACAAATTTTTTGACCAATTGACACGCGAGTTTGTAGATGGGAATCAGAAGATTGCCAGAGAGCTGGGACTGCTTGCACCAGAACGCAACAGTTGCAAACCTCGGTACCTGAAACGACGTACCAAAACTCGGATTGATGAATGCTACCGAGTCTATAAGATCGTCAACCGCACCGCCATACACGCCAACGCCGGAGACAAAGAAGCGAAGGCAGCGCTACCGGCGCTACAGGCGCAACATGAAGAAGCTATCAAAAGAAAGAAGAAACTTTCCAGAGAAGACAAACGAGAGGATCGAAACCGCAGAATCGCCTCCCTGGCGAAATCTATGCTGGAGAGCACCAACGAAGATGAGATCTGGCGCTACATTCGATCGAGACTCGACCCACCAAAAAAGTGCTTGGGGCTCACACCAACTCTGTATAAGGAAGAGCTGAGGACGGAGCGTGCCTCAGTGAATGAGGCCTGGACAGACCACTGGACAGAGCTGCATGAAGAAGCAACTGGACACTGCTAAGACCCAATCTATTGGCACCAATATGCTGCAGAACTACCGCGCCTCGACCCGGTACCGGAATGGAACGACCCAATCTTCTGGCCTGAATCTGTCCGGACTCTGCTATGCTCAAGCAACCGCAAAACACCTGGCTTTGACGGTATCCCTACGGAGTGGATGAAACTGGTGATCCCAAAAGACGGGACAACAGGGACACCATCGATACCAGATGAACCTGACAGAATCTTAGGCAAGCGCCTTCTGGAGCTCATCCAACGCATGTTCGAAGAAGCGTACATCCCAGATGTATGGAGGACTGCCGAGGTCGTATCGATCCTCAAAAAGGACTCCGAACCCCACAGACATGAATATCTACCGGACTATGCGCCTCATCCCGTCAATCATGAAGCTACTTTGCGCCAACCTCACGAACCGGACTCAGAGGGGCCTTGAGGAACGCAACTTCCTCGCCCCAGAGCAGGCTGGATTCCGGAGCCGCGAGGAGTGCATGAGCCATGACCTGACCTTCATTGAAGTGGTGCAACGTCGCTCCATTAGCTGCCAACAACCAACTTACGTATGCTTCATCGACTTTCAAAAGGCCTTTGACACGGTCCCGCACGAGGCTCCATTTCTGAAGATGGAACGTGCCAGAGTCTCCGGAAAGTGCTTAGCGTTCTTCCGTGCGCTCTATGCAGACTCGTGGATGTGCACCCGACTGGGCGACTGCTCAAGAACCCCTTCGATAAGAATCCGCCGTGGACTGCGACAGGGCGACCGCGCATCCCCGCGCCTTTTCAACATCTTCATCAACGATCTGCTGAACAACTGCAGACAATACGGGCTTCAGGTGTCGTGGATAGACTGTGGAGAACCCGGTGAGGAGCGCCTACATAGAAACCGCCTCGCAGGCCTTCTACTTGCGGACGATGTCGTGCTGTTGGCACCCGCCCCGGAAACGCTTGCGGCTAGCATGCAACAAGTCAGCGCCTGGGCCGATCGCTGGGTTATGAACATAGGAGCATCGAAGTGCGGCGCCATGGTCATCCTTGGAGACTCGCAGCGCATTCGCAATCGCTCGTGGCGGTTGCAGAATCAGGAAATTCCGATCGTGGAAAAATATCGCTACCTGGGGGTCTGTCTCACGCCGACGCTCGACGAAAAGGCACAAGTCGACGAGATGATCGCCAAGATGCATAGACGTACAGAGATCGCACGTCCATTCTTATCCGACCCCTCTATCTGCATAGCAATCCGTACGAGGGCACTAAGGATGTGTATCATCCAGCCTTCGACCTGGGGTGCTGAATGGTGCGGCATGAAGCACACAAATGCCTCGCGTCTGCATACAGCCGCCAACAGGGCAATGCGACTCGTTGGTGTTGGATGCTCAGTGCAGCGCAGAGCGACCAACCCGCTGGCACTCGGACTTGAACTCCAAATAGCCTCGATAGAAGCGATAGCAGCAGGCTGCCGGGCATGTATACGGGCCAAAGGGCCCACTATGCGCACCTCCTTGAGTCGGATTTTCATGCAGACCCCAACGCACCGCTAGAACACTTGGATGAAATCAGCGCAGATTTGGCTGAAGCGCCTCTTACGCGAAAACACGCTACCCAATCGTTCCCCAGGAATGTAGAAGACTTCAGACGCCTCAAGCGAACGGTCCAAACAACAATATGGGAAGGTAGACACGGTACCAGTCGCGCTAGTAACGCCGGCTTGACTCTATATCGGAACTACAACCTAGCATACACATGCAAGTACTGGTGGGAGGCGCTGGAATTCCCGGGACTTGCTCGCGGTACCCTGTGGCTTGCCAAAATCCGTGTTAGTGGCATCTGGCTACCAGCACCGGCTCTAAGCCGTACGGGAACACTGGAACCGCACTGGGAGTCACACTGTCCCTGCTATCGAGACGAAATCCCCGAGACGCTGACATATTTAAGCTTACAGTGCCCGCGCTCGAAGCAGGAGCGCAGCGAGCTCCTTGAAGGACAGCAGGAGCTCGGCATCACCGTGATAGTCGAAGGCCGGACACTCACTCTGAGTGTAGCACTGGCAACTGATGGTCCGCTAACGGAGCCTCAGCGCTCATGAGTGGCGAAGAAACTCACATGCTACCTTCTAGGCAGCAGGTCCAACGAATCGGATGAGCACACGGGTTTAGTGCTCTTTGTGCCTACCCACTGTGGTGGGTGTCAAGCACAAACCCGCATTGCCAACCGACAACACATTCAATGCATGATCACGAAGGAAAGAGGCGGCTCGCACGATATATCCTAACAGCCAAGTTTCTCCAGCGTGTCGTGCAGCGAAGACAAGCCTGCATCCGCAGACTGTCCGAGCACAAACTGACGACGAGACCCGATTCTACTTCGGTTGAACCACGCCTCGAGCCGACGCGCTCTGGGGTATAGAAAAGCTGCTCTAGCTCGATGAACTATCTGCTCCAGCATTTAAGGTCCAAAGGCGGATACGGAAAGGCAGGTACTAGGCACACACGATAGGACGTATGAAACGACCAGAGTATCCGAGGTGAAGTATAGGTACTGTAGCTTGGAGGCAGGCTGTTTGATGGATACCTAACCGCGCACTGAAAAAAATAACATAAAAAAGTAAGAAAAGAAAAAGCGCACAATTGGAAAATGCTGGCACAAGTAAACGTCTTGTCCATGAAAAAAAGAATCGCGCTCGGTGAGTGCACCTCGGAGATCAGGCAGGCATGAGACAAGACGCGCGTGCCGTTTTTGAAGGGAAACGCGATCCTGATCAGTAGCGTGTTGTTCTGCTGTAAAAGTCGGATTCCCGTTCAGATCATAGCAAAGTATAGTTTTCATTTCAATTGTGTTTCAAACTTCGAACAAGTCTAATCAAGTGTTTTTTTCGCAGTATATAACAGAAGAGTTCAAAGAGCGTTCTTTCTCAAAAAAACTAAAAAAGGAAAGCTATGAAAAAGCAAGTCTACGATCCTGGAGGCCCAGTGTCGCCGACTGCCAGAAAAAAAACAAAAAACAGTGCCGATTCCAGAAGAGCAGGATAAGAAGAAAACGCAAAAACGGGGGAGGCCCTACGTCGAAAGCGGCAAGAAAGACAACTGTGCGACGAGATGGTGGTGAAAACCTTTCTTCTTGGACAGATCAAGGATCCGTACAGGGAAAAGTTGCGAGAAGCTATCGAAAAACGTGTTGCGTCGTACTCGAAGAATATTGTCAAGGCGTCGTCAGGACTGATGCATTTGGTGAGAGAGATGTATCGCGACGGGACGCACATGGAAAAGGTCGAGATTCCGGGCGAGTTCTTCGACAAGACCTTTATTCCTCACCTGATGCTTGGTACAGAGAAAGCGCGGAGGGAAAATGTGCTAGTGCATGCCCTCCACGAAAAACATTCCTTCTACAGCTTCGAGGGTACTCGGTACAAGGGTGACTGGGATATTTACAGCTATGGGGCGATGAAGTACCTCGCGAACCTGAAGAACCATTTGACAGCGAACTTCGAACGTTTCATGATACGCACCGTGGTTGCACTCTACCCGGGTCTGTCTCGCGAAGGAAAATGGGCGATTATCAATTGCATCACGAACGATCGCCATCATGAAGATGAGATCGAGTTCGTTGACAAGAAGGCGTCGAATTAGTGCACGAATGAAGCTTCTGTAATCCGTGCGGTTATACAAGAGCACCGTGCGGTACTGGGGCTGGTTAATCCAGCAGACAAGATATCAGAGTTGGAAAAGATAAGGAAAGATACTACCTCCTCATCTTGAGGTATTTCGTGTTTTTGGACCGCGAACTCGAACGCACGGCAGAGATGAGGCTGAATGAGGAAAAAATGAAGAGTGGGAGAGACGGAAGGCGTTCCTAATGGGGAAGCGCTTCAACGTGGTTCCAATGTACAATATCAAGTCACATTTTGTGACTATCGACTCTGGCGTCTTTGCAGCATCACGAGCGAGATCAGTCCTGATTTCGATGTTAGCAGGAAGGAATTCTCCGGTGAAAACCGGCAGACATACTGGAAGAATATCTTCGATTTCAAACGTCTCAAAGTCAGCAAACAAAAGGTATTCACTGAGATGATCGAAACCGATGGAGTAGCCTTGTGTATACACTATCGGCGGTTGAAGACAGATCGTCCAGTCCCTCCCTCGGCTGCGCCCGAGACGAAGGATGCAGATGAGCAGAAGGCGGATCCTGAGACGCAGGAGGTGCAAGATAACGACCTTGTCGTTGGCGCGACGATGCATGAAGATGAGAAGGAGGCGGATCCTGCGACGCAGGAGGTGCAAGATAACGACTTTGTCGTCAGCGCGGATCCCGGAAACACAAATAACATAACCATCGCAGTACCCCAGCGTGCGGAAGATGGTACTGATGGTAACTTACGTCAGAAATACATGCGTCTTTTGAGGTTCTCGAGAGCGAGATACTATCGAGAATCCGGTATAATGAATGCGAGGAAGAAAATTGCTGCATGGAATGAAAGAATGAAAGAGCATCTGGAAGCTATGAGCGAGGTGACGAGCCGACGAGCGGACATTCAGGCTCTTCGGAAATTCATGGAACTTCGTATTGCTCACTGGTATGCGCTGTGGAAAGAGTAGACCAAGCCCCGGTGGGTTCGACTGCGAATGAATTTGTATTGTGGGAAGCAGCGTGCATTCGCGAACTTTTTCAATCTGCTGAGCGCCTTGAAGGAGGATGAAAGTCAGAGACTCGTAGTAGCGTACGGAGCAGGGTGACGGAAGACCCAAGCAAGGAACTACGCCAGCTCCAACGACAAGAACGTACAAAGAGTGTGCACGGAGTATCGTCACGATACCTGTAGATGAGTTTCGAACGTCCTATACACACCATGAGCTAGGGTGTACACTTCAGAGGGTCGAGATGGAAAAGTGCCAGCGGAGTCCTGAGGTTATAAGAAAGTACGGTACGCTGACGGAAGAGCAAATGGAAAGGAGCGCGAAAGTTCGTGGACTACTTGCATTAGTGAGTACAACTCCCAACGGCACGAAACGTATGGAGTTTATGAACCGAGATTTTAATGCCCCTATCAATATAAGGAAATGAGCGGTGCTGGAGGAAAGACCCCCAGAGTAGACAATAGAAAACCTTTTTGGACAACCTCTCAAAGTCGAACTATATGAGATAAAGTTGGAACCAGTATTAGGTGGCCGATCCAAAAAGGCTGGAAGGCGTCTGCACATCAGCTGGAGGCGTTTCGTCTAGGGCGCGTTCGCCGGCACGACTGTACACGGCCGCCGGCTGTGCGTCACGTGGAGCCGCGAGCGGCGGGCTTCTACCAAGTGCCGCTTGTACCAAACGCACTTGCACCTCGTGTGGACACAGACGCATACCTGAGTGCATGGCCGATTCTGGAGATGAAACGGAGTGGGAACTTGCTGCCGAGAAGTTTGTAGCGACTGTTGCACCGAAAGAAACTACTCCGTCTCGGGGGAGGCCCTCGAGTCGGGCGACGCGCTCGCCGTTGCGCGAGGCTCCGCCCGAGGCCGCGCCCAACGCGGGAGCCGGCACTGCAGGCCGACCTGGACGCAGTGCGGGCAGCTCGGGGCCCTCGGAACCCACCGCAGACACCACCACAGGCACCACACGCGTCGCTCGAGGTGCCCAACCGAAACCTGCAGGCAAGCCGAGCGGCGTGGGTGGAAACAGAGGGAGCGACGTGGCTGCGGCCCCGTCTCAGGTTATTCAGGTTTTGCGTTTCAGCAGTGATGCGTCGCTCACAGCAACCGTTCGGGGGAGTCAAGCAAACCAGCAGGCGCTCTGGGATCGGGCGCGATCGGCGTTCGAGTCGGCGCTGCGTCGGAACGCAACACGACTGGAGCTCGATGCGCTGGCAGCGGCCCTGCAGACTGTAGGCGTCGACATCTCTCTTGGTCGAAACGCAGGCACACGCGGCGGCGGACCTGCAACGAACGGGCCCACTGACGGCAGCGGTGGACGGCGTTCGGGAGCCGCTGCGGGCGGCACGGCGTCGCGAACTCCGCAGCCAGCGCTCACGCGAGGCCGCAACGCCTGGACCCCCTCGTTTCTGACCAAAACTGCGGATACGTCCGCTACAGAGGGGGAGAATCTGGTCAATTCCTCTCGACGAAAAGCAAAAGCTATACTGAACAAACTCGTACCGGAGAAGTTCGTCACGCTAGCGCAGCAGATTCTTGATATGCCGCTCCATCATTACGACGTACTGGAAGCGGTGATTTCAGAAATCTTTGATAAAGCGCTTGCGGAGCCGTATTTTTGTGGAGTCTACGCAGATCTGTGTGAAGTTTTGAACCGCGCGCTTCCGAGCATCGCGATCGAGAGTGCTTCGGGGACCAAACAAACCAACTTTCGCAAAATGCTTCTCGCGCGCTGCCAAGCTGAGTTTGTGCAGCGCGCCCTAGCCTCGGAAGAGCGCGCAACAGACGAGCAGGAACTTGAGGTTTGCGCCCACAACCGACGCCGCACGCTAGGAAATACAATTTTCGTGGGTGAGCTCTTCAAGCGGCATCTGCTGAGCGAAAAAATCATTCATGAGTGTGTACAGATGCTGCTGAAAGAGGGCGAGAACGAAGATAGCATCGAAACGCTTGCCAAGTTGCTCTCCGTCGCCGGCAGCAGCATGGATCGCCCTGAGGCTCGGTCCTACATGGACGCCTACTTTACCAAGATCGAAGAAATGGCAAACAACGCACAAATTCGAGCTCGTTATCGGTTTATGCTCAAGGATTGCGTTGAGCTGCGTAAGCAGAAATGGAAGCCGCGACGAGCCCAAGAACGGCCAGCGACACTGGATGAGATTCACGGGAAAAAGTCCGGCCGTGCCGCTCGGCAAGCGAGTCAGTCGCTGGCACGCAAAGCTGCTCAGCTGCGCTTCACGGGAGCTGATGCAGAGGCGCCCAAGCCGGAGGCGGAATCCACAGTTCCAGCAGGGCAAGTGTCCGCGTCTGCCACTGTCCAGGGTCGTGTTGAGAACGCCCGTAACCAGAACGTTGCCGGCGAGACGGTCACGGACGCTGCACACGCCAAGTCGGAGTCGGGACCGGTCCCCGATCGGACTGTCGTTTGGACCGAAAACCCTGAACTATTGCGGACGTATATTCGTGGTATCATTGAAGACTACGTGGTGAATCCGTATCCGGCAGAGGTACAGGTGGCGCTCACCGAGTCCGGACTTGCCGCACAGCCTGACCTGCTGGCTTTGGCTGGCGTTCAGGAACTCTTCTCCATGGTCTGCAGTGCGCGCGGGCATGAACGGCAGCCGCTTGTTCGATCCTTTGGAGATGCCTTCCAGCATGTACTTTCTAGGGAGAAGCTGCTCGAGGCTCTTGTATCGATTACGTCCAATTTGCTTACCTTCGAAGACGAGCTTGATATGCCTACAGCAGGCAAAGTTCTCGGCGAGTTTCTCGGGACGTTATGCACTAGCCACTGCGCTACGTTCTTACACGACGCTGCTGATATTCATACAGTACTGGCAGCGGTTCCGCCTAATAGACAGGCATCCGTGCTGCGTTCCTTCTTGGAAACGCTCTTCCGACAGTATCCTTCAGATATGCGAGAGCGCTTCGGCGCTTCCCTGCGAGCACTACGTCCGCTTTTCGTGTCGCTCCCGCAAACGGAACAGCGCGAACTCGAAGAGCTACTTGCAAAATATGAACTGCTTGAGCTCGTTCCCGAATGGCAGCTCCGACGCCAGCTCCAATACTATCTGGAACCTGGAAAGGAGCGTATCGCAGATGCAGCAGACTGGTTGCGAAGCTTCCTGCCCAGAGTGCGGGAAACGCTACGCTCCGAGGACGCAACAGCATCCACTGCAAAGTCCAGTCTGAACGAATGGTACGCCTTTTGTCGATTCACTGCGGACCATATCCTATCAACTTATGTCATGGAAGCGCAATCGAGTAGTACGATGGATATCATGCGGCGACTACGCCTGATGGTGCCGCTTCTTCGTGAAACAGCCGGAAACATGCCCGCGACCGATGAAACCGACGACGACGACGACGACAGTGACCCCGCGGAAGACAAGGAGTGGCGTCAAGCCCAAGTGGCTTTTGCAGTGCAAGCAGGTTGTTATCGTTTGGACTTTCCCACTGATCTCATAAGCGGCATGTTCCAGGTGCTGTACGACGCGGATGTGATCTCAGAGGAGGCATTCGATCGCTGGCGGGAAGATGTACACGATACGACACCAGGAAAGCTCAAGGCGCTATTTCATGTGAATGCTTTTCTGAATTGGCTCAAGGAGACTGATGAAGAACCGGAGAAATCCGATGTGTAAAAGCGACGCGATGCTAGCGCTCCAGTGCAACGTCCCGAAACTCGATGGCGCTTCGGTCCAATGCGTCCTGGATGAACGCACCCGTTCGTCGTGCCGCGGAGCCTGCTGTCCGATGGATGCGGTATATCGAAGATCCCGCATCACCGCGCTGCACGAGGGGTTATGCGAATATACGCTTCATTGCAGAGTCGCGAATATGGTCATTCTGAAACTTGCTGTTTGCTCCGCCACTGGGACCCGATCAACCGCAGTGCTCGGGTTTCGACGCCAGTCACAGAAGACGCCTGTTGAACATTCGCTGGATGCAGCCGGTCTGCGATGTGAAACGACACCCATGCGTTCGCGTACGCATACATCTATAACATACCTCCCGTCCGGTCGACGCCTCGAGAGCTCGGTCGTAAGTCATGCAAACCGTACGTTTATGCCGTGGATATGACCTGAGCAATAACGAGCTCGACATCGCCGTCACAGATCGCTTGCTTCACCAGTCCTCCGTACGAACGCAACAGAGGTACTTGAGCGTCGCTTTTCCCGTCGATCGTATCCCGCCACGGGCGATCATCGAGGATACTCAAGACCCAGTTAAGTTCTGCTGTCATCGCAGGCCCATCACGCTGACTATCGTAACAACCCTGCAGACTCTCGATGAGGAAAGCTTCACCAGCGGCGAAAAGCTCCTCTTCAGCCGATGCTGCCTTTGCTGCTGTCTCGTTGTTCGCGTGATAGGCATAGCGCTGAAAGCGGATCCCGCGCAAGTGACCGGAGCAGCCCAAGACCACTGCTGCGTCAAGCTGTCGACCTGTAAGAATCTTCCGCACAGCAGTCATGAGCTCGGATCCCGAGCGTACCCGTGAAACGTACATGCGGCTGTTGCTCTGATCGTCTGGAACGGCCATTCCGAAAGCTACACGAATACCGGGTACTGCGACTTGCGTCCCGTGATCTAACAAGCCTACTTGCACGGCGTGCGCTTCGAGTTCGTCTACAACAGGTCCATCGTTTGGCGCTGAACAAGCAGCAGCAGCAGCAGCAGCAGCAGCAGCAGTAGTAGTAGTAGTTTCGGCGCTGGACGGCATCCGGTCCGGCTGCGTTTCTCCTGGTTCCTCGGCGGCCGCTGCCTTACTGCCTCGCGTGTGTGTTCCTTCTTCGCTGATGCTCCTTCGTTCAGGACGGAGATGTCCACTGGCAAACAGGAAGAAACGATCTCCAAGAGACCGTCGTCGACCACCCTGAATGTAGGACACAACAACCGGTTGTTGATAGCGGCTGCCGTGCGCTGTGCACCAGTCTGCTGCCTCGATAACAAACGGCTGGAATGCGTTTGCTCCTTCTAAAGTGAACGCAAGCCGATTCTGTTCTTGAGATGGGTGGGCGCGTTCTGCTTCCCATGCCTTCCACTGGGACTCGCCAACCACGTGCTCGAGACGCTGGGGCGCGTCATAGGTTCGGCACTCCTGCTGAATACCAAGGCGCTGATGGAACTCATCCAGGATGGCCTCTGGCGTCTCTGGACGCGGCTCGAGCGGTTTCCGAACTCGACCGCACGTCACCACGCCGTAGCTTGACACCGTAAACGCCATAGGGAGTGAAGCGGAGTTCATAAACTCCACGAGGCCGTTGAGCAAGTCGACACCAGGCTCCAACACGCAAAATAGAATGCGCAACGGGAGTGAACTCGGAGGGCGTACCGAGACGCGCGCTTTTGATGTTGGTGCGTCCATGTTTGCAGGCTAGCACCAGTGTGTCCCTGGGTCGCTCGAAACGAGAACCAACGCACCGTGCGTGTGTTCGTCGAACGAGCAGTCTCTGGTGGTAGCGACGAGTGAATGCGGAGTGTTCAAGAGAGTTCCTCACGATCAGCAGAGTGACTCGAGAGGCACGTACCAAAGAATAGAGTTAATCGGTTCCCTGGCCTGTCTACGAGGGGACGCAAAGGCGTCCTTGGGGTTGTTCTACGAAAACGACTCGTTCCACCTGCGCAGCGCACTTGAATGGACTCCACCAGTGGTGAAACTTTGACACCTGTAAACCAACCTGGGTCCAACGGGCCTCTCTTCGCGCTATCACCGTACCCATCGAAAAGCAACGCTCAACAGTGGTGCGCAGTACATTGCAAGTGGCTGTCAGTCGAATGCTCTGGAGAGAAACATCTCCTCGTTCCGTCGGGATTGTGCGGTGCGGTGCGGTGCGGTGCGCGTGGAGCGGCGTCACGATAGCAGGAAGGAGGATTATGTTGACGTTTAGCTCAGATAAACATGGAACATTGACCCATCCGCTATGTTCCTTTTCATATGATTTTTTCTGAGCGATCTTAGATGCACCATTGGCATTCGAGGTGCAGCAGTAGGTGCGTACGGATTCATACGTGGTTTCGGGGCTCCAGCTTGTCTATTCAGTGTGCCGCTATCGACTAGTTGGTGCTGGAATTTTTTAGTGCGCTGGAATCAAAACATTACGTGTTGCTATCGAATACGGGATCGCAACAGAATACATGTCACTGACCAAATCGTATGTACAAGCGTCCGCTCTCCTCCTTTGCTACCGTTTCGTATGCTTCAGTCACGCAATCTTCGTGTTTTCCATTTTTCCGTATCACAGAGGCTCGTGAGTGCGGCTACTCGTACCGCCAGATTGACGCGGATAATACCTCGACAACGCCCCGTAGCGGCCGCTTTGTAAGCGCATCCCCAACAGTCACTGAACCTGTCACGTCAAATGATCCTGATCGATTGAACGGCAAATCCGTCTGCCTTCGTGGGCATCGACGGAACTGCATTCACGCTCAGCTTGATCCATCTCACCGGGCTATGCTGGCAGGGTCTCCCGTCTCTCCTGCTAGAATGTGAGAGCATCGTCGACTAGGGCTTGGGTTAGCGCAGCGATCGCTTCCGGGGCGGCGAGCGCCTCACCGCTTCTGACCGAGTCAGCGTCGACGGATCGAGAATGCTCGACATTGTGCACCGACCTGGACTTTGCTGCAGATACCTCTATTATCCTGGATACGATCGCGTTCCGCATACGCTCTATCGAACGGAGCAGCGTGCGCTTTCGAGTGCAGCGGACAGCGTACTTGCCAAGCGTCCGCTCAGGAGTGGAAACAGCGGCGGGTTCCATGTCGAACCTCGTTTACTGCGAATAGCACGTACACGGGCAAAGCGTGTAGGCATCACGCGCGATAGGGCGACGCTCGGATGACGAGGGTGTTTGGCGAACACACGGGAACGACTACCGTTATCCAAGCGTCGCTGCTGCAGCGCACGAATCTATTCTGTATATGAGCAAGATGAGCGCGACGAGGGAAGCGAAGCTCGTAACGTCCGCCTGTACGTGACCTGCAGTGAGCACAGCCAAAAGCAACGAGACCGACACATGAGCGCTGCACTCCATGTCCTTCGACGAAGGAGAACGCGGCTGGCGTGAGAGGAAACGGAGGCATATGGAAACACGGAGAGAAGCGAAAGGACCGAGAGGCAGTCGCACCAGAAACCGTAAGGGCTGGTCTTGACGACGCCCGAGAACACACTTAAACTTTAGCTCGCATACCCGCATAAGAGGTGCATTTTCATACTACGCTAAAACGGGACTACTCATGCGCATACGGAGGTACAGATGTCGTGCACCGATAGCGTTCCAAGCGCATCCACTTCGGAGTATCGATTCCCGAACCGCTCTCTTCAGTCTATATATGGTGACGCCTCATCGCCCTTGTGCCCTTCTTACCGTGTACGAAAGTAACTCGGGCCGCACGAAACACGTCATCAAAGTAGTGCTGCCTGCGGCGGCTGGCCCTCGAGCCTCCACTGTCACGCGGAACGTTTTCGTTGCGACGTCGACGGCGAGGACGCGCTTGGGGTCGCTTTGACGAGAGGCACTCACGTTTACGTCACTGGACCAGTAAAGGCGCTGGTTTCACGCGAAAGTTACCAGTTCATCTTTCGCGACACGTCTGACGTTGTTTGTGAAGAACGCCCTGTCGAGGCCGTCAACAACGAAAACGCCCCTGTGTCCCATGCAGTTGTTACCCAAATGCAAGTTGTTCGCTGGCAACCCCGTCTTCCAGACACTTTCGTCGAGGAGCGGTTTTCGACGATTAGTGTGAGCGAGAGAAAAACAACACTCGTCGACACCGAAGATGCCGAGGACAGCACCACACTCTACCGACGAGCTGGCGAAACACCGGGCCTTCGACCGCAGTCCGTCGATACCGAGTCCGGTTTCTGGCTCTGGGAAGGTGCCCTGGACCTCGTTCACTACCTTAGTCAACTTGGCGAATCATGCTGCTGTAAGCAGATAGGTGTTCGTCATGGAGCGCTCGAAATACTCGAGATCGGTTGTGGTCACGCTCTACCCGCAATCTACTTGGCCCGCCAAGGGCACTGCGTCCGCGTCGACTTCCAGGATCATAGCTGTCAAGTTTTAGAGACGATTACGCAGCCAAACGTATGGCGTAACGGTATCTGGAAACAACTGCACCATGAACCGCAGTTTTACGCTGGCTCGTGGCAGTCCTGGCTCGAAGATGCGTCTATGGATCGGCGTTACGACTTGATTCTGGCCAGCGAGACAGTCTACAGCAGAGCGTCTACAAGATTATGCCTGCAGGTATGTCGGAAGCTTCTGAAACCGCACGGGATGGCTCTTTTTTCCGGAAAAACCGTGTACTTTGGTTTAGATGGTGGAATGGTTGAGTTGGTGGATATCTTGCACGAAATCGGTGGCCAGTCGCATTTGCTCTGGTGCACGAGTCAGCAGATAGCTGCGACTCGACGAGAGATTCGATCCGTAGCGTTTGATATTGGTGCAAGACCGACTCCAGCGAATCCCGCTTGCCCTATTTCCGCTGCTCCCAGCGGGGGATAAGGCTTCTGCGCATCGTCTCTGCGAAACGTGCTGAACGAAATGCATTTTGTACCGAACCGATGCGCTCTCCTGACCGGGATGAAAAATGAGCTCGTCAAAGTCCAAAAATTGCTCCGTGTAAAGAGAAATGTGATTGGTGGAAGCTGGCGTTCATGTTGAACCACCACGAAGTCGCTTTTGGCGTTGATGGGGTCGCAGGAACTGCGGCGGCAGCAGCGCGCAGCGTACGGTACTGCTGGCTTCAAAAGTAGAAAAGAAACAATGTATAGAGCTATAGCGCTCATCGTGCGAATAAATCCAGGTTTGCAGATGAAATGCTCACTGCTTATAACCATGTGTGTGTGTGTGTGTGCGTGTGTGAGGTCGCGCTGTGCACCTCGTGGACCCGCTGGTGTATCAGCATCCGTCAAGTACTGCTTTCAAACTCCTGAACACGTTCATGAGATGACTAAAGAGCGTTCCCCATGAAACATACGTCATAAACGGGAGCATCTCCCAGTGCTAGCCAGGAGGAGTCCGTCCTCGACAGCCTTTCTATAATGTAGCTCCGAATGCGGGCGCGAAACAAGAGCCGCCCTCCGCCGCTGGGGACGCAGCACGAGTCTACCGGAGGAGCTTTTCCGGGCACATGCCCCGTTGTGGCTGCTTTCTGCGCACTCGACGCTCTGGCTCCGAACACCGCATCGTTGTTGTTCGCAGCAGTCAATTTTGCATCCGACGGAATCGTTTTTAGATCAAGGATTGGTGCATGATGCCCGGAAAATCGTATCAAAGCTTCTCAGCGTGTCGATCATACTCCATTGAACACACAGGGCGAAGATGCTCGCGCTCCTGAGCATACAAAGCCGCAGGTTTCGACACGGTGGTAATGCATCTGCCTCAGATCGGACGCTACGTTGTTCTGGCCTCGTATGGTAGGCTGGATGCCTGCAACGCTGCCAAATACTCGACACCAGAGGCTGCTCTGAACACGCACATGTTCTTTTCGATGCGTCTCCAGGCAGTTCATCGTCGCGGCGGCGGTCGCCATGTTGGAATCAACGAGCAAACAAAAGCGATAATCACCAGATAGAGGCCTCGCAGGAAGCGCAGCACTCTGGTAGACAGCGGTTCCTGCCTTGAAGTCGCCGCCGCTTCGAAGGATGCGTCTCGTCCAGAGGCGGATGAGGAATTCCTGGGCACCGGTCGCGCTCCACTTTCACCAGTTGCTGGAACAAGCGTTTGCATCTGCATTCGAGCCCAGAGTTGGCTCGATAGCGACTCGACATAGCGTCGAAGCGGACCCAGCGCACCCGTTTGAAAGAGGTAGATCAGGACCGCCAACCCAATAAGGAGCAACAGGCGATCTCGTCCACCATCCTGGCTAAGGAGAATCACCATAAACGTCAGTTTGGAGACCAGTGCCCAGTCAAGTGCCGGCATCCGAACACGAATGGCAATCATCCGAACGGGTATCGCTCCAGCTGCACCAGCACGGAGCATATTTCCCGGAAGCTGGTGACGTTCAGCAGCTTCCAAAGCGCTCCTCGATATCGATGAGCGTGCCGCAGCGCCCGTCCCATGGCCGCTGGAGGCAGAAAGACCACTCGATTGGCTGTGATTCGCCAGCAGATACGACGGCGGTACCCCGCCTGCCTCATGCGTCGCGTAATACTCTGTTAAGCACCGGTTGTACTCCTCGTATGCTCGAAGCATTCGCGCATATGCCTGTACTAGCTGGAGTGTCTGCTCATCAAGCCGCACATGCAGGCTCGCCTGCTCCGCGTTCGTCGACGCCCTTGCAGCGTCGAGCCTATGCTGCAGATTCCGCGAGTGCTCAGTCCCGTTGTGCTGTTCTTCAGAAGGTTGTCTGGTCTCCTGCTCAGCAGTGGCGTTCGACAGAGCGCGCCACGCTGTCGCTGGAGTTGTTGCGGAGTCTGCATCGAGCGCGCGTTGCTGCTGCGACTGAGGTTGCGACTGACCCTCGTCCAAGGCCCAAGCTTCGTCGAAGAGCGCCGCATCCGAGGATCCCTCCTGTCTACCAGCAGCTACAGCGGAAAGCGCCGGTGAGCGCTCCGCATCAGAAACAGAACCCAGGCGTTCGCGACTAGCGTCGCTAAATGTTAAGACTTCACCAGAGTTTGTGCTTGGCGCAGAATTCACCTCGATGCTAGCAAGGCTCTCCAGCTGTTGCCCGCTAACGACTGCATCCCGCGTTATCCCTGTGGAGCGCTCGGCTGACGTTAGCCCGCGCTCACTAGTCACCACGAGATGAAATACCGCGAACAGCGGGGGCGAGGCGCTTTCACCGGTCTCCGTACCGTTGCTCCCTACGCAAGAAGATGCTCGGGCGTCGTCGCCAAGCTCCCCGACAACTGCTCGTGACATACCGACTATTTCTCGAATACACTCTCCGTCCTGCAATAGACGACCTCCGTAAACGAGTCTCTGCTGCTCTGGTGCAGGATGAAAAGGATGCTCCAGGTGCACTCGACGCTTCAGGTCCCCGACAGTTGACTCGGGCTCAACCGACAATACATAGGAGCGCCCCGCTGCGTCAGATACGATGTTGGGTGTCTTGAGCAGAACGCGAACTGCACCAGCAGTGCCGTGTGATGCGCTCCGAGCAGTCGAGGAGCACGCTCCGGGTCCCGGTGAGCCTGGTGGTCGCTCCTGATCAGCGTCGCTCGACTCGGGAGTCCCGCGGGGTACGTCCATCTGGTTCATCTTATTTGTCAGCGCACAGACGTCGCGCTGTTGCAACTGAAGCTGGTACAGCGGCTACTGCTTCCAGGTTCCAGATGCGGTCGTCGCCTCAACTCGGGGGCCAGTGTCTTCTGCCGAAGAGACCTCCCCTTGAACCTGCAGTGCCCTGTTCACAGAACTTCTTCACGCAAAGCAGTGTCCAGCAAGTGCCCTTATATAGCCCCGAATGGAAACCTTGATCTGTTTCCGTTGTCGTGCTGGTTGTCCTAGGCGTACACCCAGCAAGCTCGAGGCTTCGACTCCAACGCGTCGCAAACAACCGACCGCGTGAGGTGCTGCGGCGTCGATACGCCTGCGAACCGGCTCGCAGTTAGCCTAGAACGCTGCCGGTTTTCCTGCAGCAGAAACGAGCAGCGCAGGCGCCTTGTAGCGACCAGAGCAGTGGGCATCATCTCTGGATGCCTATTGAAGCTAACGCTGAGCAAGATTTCAAGACCAGACCAATAGCAGCGTCACTTGGACGGAACGCTTTCGAGTGGTCGTCCAGAGCGGCAGCGCGTGTCCGTACCTGCAGCCGTTTGCCACAACTGCGTCTGTGCGATCCTCTTTTATACCCAATATAAGGAAGAGGAAAGCGTTTGTGAACGTGGCACCTGCGACCCGTGAGAGCGGTGTGAGCGCTAAGTTGCAACCCGGTAGCGCTGAGCGTTTTGGAGGCGCACACACGCTTTCCGTTACGGCCTCATGGCTGAGCAGCAGGCGTCCTCTGGATCACACAGCGATGAAACCTGGACTCTGGTGGAGCGACGGAAACCTTCCCGACAAGCGGGGACGCGTTTCCCGTTGCTCGCTGGGCACCTGCGCACGAGGCTCGACGTGGCCTGTGCTGATCAAGAACTCGAGAGCTTCTGGCACTTGTTTACTGCCAAACTGGACCAAGTCACGCAGTTTTCCCGCAAAACCTTTCAAAATTTCACGTGCTATAACTTTGAACGCTTTATTGGACTGGGCATCGGGGCCTTTACCAGCGACTGGCGAGCTCAGTGGCAGTTGGCTTGGCTGGTAGCTCTCCAGCGGTACCTGAAACAGTACACACGAACGGCTGGAGTCGCGAGCGACTGGGTGCTCGTTGAGCCGCAGCTGACAAGTCTGGAAGTAACCTTGGCGAAGAGGCTGGGGTTTAGGGTTTTTCGTGCCGATCCCAATGCACCCGTGCGTTGTCGTCATTGTCGTCGATCACAGAGCGACGCTGCAGCGCAAGCTGGTGCGCATACCGACAGGGTTCCCGCGTCGTCTCGACTCGGTCGATCACAACTACCGCACAGCACCCGTTTCCATGATTATATTAGACCGGACGCGGTGCGAAGACAAAGCAAAGATTCAGGGAGCGGCTACACCCTGCTATTCATGCCACACTGTGGAATCGGTCTCATAGAACTCGTTTTACAACTTTACTGGGACCAGGATGCACTGAGTCGACTTCATTTTGTGAGTAGCGATCTTGTCGAGCTGATAACGAGCCACGAACAGCGCTCTGTCGCATTAGCCGCCGAGCGAACGTCATCTGTGCACGGGCGTGGAAACGCGCTGGTTTCGTGCTCCGACCGGCAACTGCCGCTCGCGAAGGACGCCTCAGGGTCTACGTGCGAAACCAAGGCAGCAGTAGCATCGGCAACTCAGGAATTACCTTCACTCACTGAACCTTGCTGTATGCTCGCGCTTGCTTCCCAGCACTGTATCCGATGGATCGCTCCAGTAGACCCTGAAGGCTTTAGAAATTCCAATGTGCGGCAGGCCGCGTTTCATGGACTCGGGTGGCAATGTATTGAGGATCCGACGACGGCTGCACTGGAAGCGATCCGGCCTGGTGACTGCTCCACCGATCGTGCGGATCCAGCACAACTCGCGGCCGCGATGCATTACATACCACTTTAGGTGCGAAACGATAGATCAATGGAATTCGTTGTCCATGAAAAGTACGCTGTCGTGCGTGCGGGGTATACGGCGGCGCTGGAGCGTCGTATGATGCGACACGGTCAACTCGATAGGCAGCATCATTGGGCCGCTTCTCTGGCCGCTTTACGGAAGCTTTGCTCATGACGCATCGTTTTCGTATGAATGGTGAAAGGAATATGCGGTTATTTCCTTACGATGACGACTCGAGATTTTCAATGAGTCCACAATCGTGCATGAAAGAATGTCATGTTGGTGCTGGAATGGAGGCTATGACCGGTGCTGTCGGCGTATCGCGGGTTGATAGACTTGGGAATCCGCAAGAACACCACCGCTGCTGCACAGGGATATTCAGAATGAATGAGATGTAGATGATGGAGGATGTGCTTGTCTCCATGCAGTCATGCATGCGAATTTCATGCGTGACATGGGAAACAAGGCACGCTTTACTCGGCACGCTCCTGATACCAAGCACATATTTCAGCGCCTCTTCTGGGATACACTGCATGATGAGGACTTGAACCTTGAGGGATTCCCTTTACCAGCTCGCAGTGAGTCTACATGCAGTTTCGTAGAGCAATCGAATCCGAAACATGACCCAGGGGCGTCTCCCACGTACCTGGAATGCCCACGCCCCTGTATCCCATGCTCCATACCAAATTCAGTGTTCTTTCGTGAGCGCGTGCCTGAGACCCGATTATTCTGGTGAAACACGCGCGTTCTCAAGGGCATTGCACGGTCCATTGACCTTCGAACAATGCTGTCTGGGTCGAGCGACACACGCAGTCTCTAGTGGGGTACGATCTTCACTGCCACCCGAGTGTTATCCGAACAACGCGTTGGCATCCTCTCGTGCTTATAGTCTTGTGACTCAGTTTCGTTTCGACTCCGCTGCGGCGTACAGCAGGAGACCGAAAGCACGATACCATGTACTGTATAGATTTTAGAAGCATTGCCTGTAGGATATATTGTTTACAAAGCAGCAGAAGGAAGACTGCATTTTCGCTTCAGACAAGTCATACCATACTACTCCGATGGTTGAGTAACACTGAAAGAGACATGTAGATGCGTTCCGAGCCAAAAACCGATATTCTCAAGGAATGGTTGCGGTCAATAGTAGAAAGCGACCCATCGATTACCTTACGTAAACCAAAAGCGACAGCAGTAGCCGCAAGGGGCGTCACTGTTTCTCACCAGCTTATTCTTGCGGTCCTGAAAACACCGGTATGCGGTCGCAAAAAAACAGCCTTGCTTCACGCATAGTCATCTCGCACCGATATCGAAGCTACGACAGCGTTTCTGGAAAGTCACAATCGGTATGAAGCACAAGGACGTCGGCTTGTCCTTTTCCAGCCGATGCGACGTCATTCGGACGAAACGGTCGGAGCGTAGAGGGGTATTCGGCGAGCAGGGACTCAGTAGTACGTCCGTCCGAACTCGAAGAGAACTGGGATATCAGCATTTGTTCTAGCTGCAGTGGATGCATTTGGCGGCCTCGGTTTGGCTCGAAGATACAGAAACGGAAGTCGGGGATCCTCGCAAGCTCGGTGCCGCCTGGTGCTGGAGAAAGACGAAAAATCCTCTTCTTCCCGATCATTTAGCGAAGAAGAGCAAGTAACGAAGAAGAAACAGATGAGGGGAGATGATCGAGAAGAGGTTTTCGCTCGAAAGGACGGTAACGAGACCTTCATGGCACAGCGGGCGTGAATTCAAGGAATCTTGGCGTTAATGAGTTCAACCAGAGCCAATCAACGCAGCCATCAACATAAGACGATGTCTGGTGCTGCAGACAAGACCCACAGAGCTGACGAGAGCCAGTTTCGTGTGACAGCCTATCAGCCACGAAAGCTTCTAGGACAAACTAAAACCGATGGCAGACGGTCAGTTAAAAAATGGCTGGGAGGCGTCTGCGAGTGGATAGGTATATTTCCCGTCCATGATCATAGGACATTTTGTGATTCTCTGATCGCATATCTTGACAGAGTAGTGCAATAGTCGGCTGGAGTGAGGCGGCTCCTTTTCGCTCGAGAACCTGCTATGTGCCGGGAGCCGGTTACACTTCAATGATGTAGACACATGCAGCCTGGTACGTTGGGCTGCTTTCTCGAGCCGCGAAATACCCAGGCACGTTCTGCTGCTTTCGAGCACTGGCGGCAGCGCGGAGAAGCAATCGACATCGCGAAACTGCATTGCGTAGCGGGCCCGAGATGCAAACTGGTCATCTTCATGGACGACGCTTGTGCGCGATCGGCTCGTCTTGGCATCGAGTCCGTTTACGGCAGACGCTCTTCCGCAGATTTCTGGTCTGGCCTTCATGGCGGGCGCGCGGTCAAGCCAGTGCTCTGCTTTCGTCTATCAGTGATGCTGCATGAGGCCTGAACGCAGTCACGATTTCGACGGAACTATTTTAATCGCTCAGATGGAGTCGTGTTCCACATCTCAACCGGGCAGTACATTTGCTTCATCTTGTCAGGTTTGAAACCAGATCACCAACGCGTCTGGTGAAACAGGTCACTAGAGCGTTCCCCAGCTGTCCCGGATGCAGGCTTGGCGCCACGTGAAAAGCATCCAGCACCAAAGGCTCTGCGATGAGCGGCAAGCACCTGATGATTGCGCATGTGGCTCGTGATTCCCATAGATACCGATCTGAGGCGTTCGTTGCCCCGCCGGTACGATGCCAGTCGTCAGTGCCGACCATCACATCTCCATGTACCTCGTTGGGGTCAGGATTCGCAATCTTTGGGATATGCTTACGAGAGGCCGTACGTCTCGAGCGGGTGCCGCACTCGGTCAAAGTCGTAGACACGACGTGGATCCGTGATATGCCCTGTGATGGCACTAGCAGCGGCAGTATAGGGCGAGGCGAGGAAGACCGCACTCGATTTGTCGCCCATTCGGCCTGGAAAATTCCGATTTGTGGTGCTCACAACGACCTCGGGCCCGTTCGCACGCCCAAAGGTGTCCTTCGGACCTCCCAGACACGCTGCGCAACTCGGGGCACCCGGCGGAAGGCATCCCGCGTCCTTGAAAATCTGCATCAGAGTCTTGCCGTTAAGTTTTCTGGTTTCCAGGTCTTCATAGATGCGGCGTGTGGCCGGAACAAGAAACGTAGGAACACGTACCTGACGCCCGTCGAGAATCCGCGCTGCGGCAACAAAGTCCTCCGTCTTGCCGCCAGTGCAAGAGCCAATGTACACTCGCGTAATCTTCACGTCCTCGCAATTGCGGGCAAGATCTAAATTATCGGGGCTGTGTGGTTTCGCTACCGCAGGCTCCAGTTTGGATAAGTCGTACTGTCGGTCCGTGTAGAATGAGGCATTCGAGTCGGTGTGGAACACATCAAACGGCTTCGTTGTTCGTGCTCGGACGTAAGCACACGTAATTTCATCCGGAGGAAAGATGCCGTTCTTACCACCAGCCTCAATCGCCATATTACAAAGTGTCATGCGATCGGCAATAGAAAACTGCTCCATCCGATCACTGACAAACTCCATCGCCCGGTAGGTAGCGCCAGCGACACCAATATCGCCTATGATTTGGAGAATGATATCCTTGGCCATGATGTAATCAGGCAGGGTTCCATTCAAGGCAAAGCGCATTGTTGCGGGCACTTTGATGAGGAGCTTACCGGTGCCCATTATAAAACCTGCATCAGTGTTCCCGATGCCAGTCGCGAACTCGCCGAAAGCTCCTGCAGTACACGTGTGAGAATCTGTCCCGAAAAGCACCTCACCAGGACGGCAGTGCCCTTCCTGCGCCAGTGCTATGTGGCAGACCCCTTTGTATTCAGGGTTCGCCCGAAAGTCGCTCCGATCGGTGATATCGTAGAAGTAACGGATGCCTTGTTCGCGAGCAAAATCCCGAATAATATCCACGTTCCTATTCGCTTTCTCATCCGCAGTGAAGATGTAGTGATCGGGGATAATGACAATCTTTTCAGGGTCCCAGACAGGTGCATCCGAACCGAACTCGCGTTTGAAGACTGCGATCGTCCCCGGACCACAGACGTCGTGTGTCATGAGCACATCAACGTCAACAAAGAGATTCTCTCCTGGTTTCACGAAGCTCCTTCCAGCGGCTTTGGCTATGATCTTCTCTGTTATCGTCTGCGGCGCCTTCACGGCTACACTCGGAGCTGCCTTCGTTGAGGTCGGCGCAGAGATACCAGACTTTAATTCAGCCAGGGGATTTTTGGGGCCAATTCGTACCCGTCGCTGCTCCTGACTGACTCCAGTTCTGGCACTGCAACCTTGTGCTCGGCTATGAAGTGTCACTGGAGAAACGAACATGATATTGTAAACGAGGGAAGACGCACCCGGTATAGCGTAACTGCTCCAAAGCCTGAAATCATGCGATGGTTCGCGCGCGTTCGTCGCGTGCAGCGTCGCGAGTGCCCTCCGTCGGCATAAAGAGAAATACATCCTACTGGATATAAGTGGATACAACGGACACATCCCAGGGGGCGCCCGGGCTGCATCCGGCTTCAATCTAGACATTTCTATATTATTAGGTATTTAAATGTAATATATGGACACACCATGGGGAACGCCCTTGCCAGCAGCCTGGTCGGTTTTCAGCCAAAATCTGAGCAGCGCTCGTCTCTGCTACAGGGAGGCACTTTTGGCAAACTGCTTCTGTCACAGGCACCAGCTCAGCCCCGGTTGTGGGCACCGGAAACGGTGCATGCCACTTGGCGCCGCTGATAACGATGATCTGGTACCAGCCGACGCGCCAAGTCGGCAATATCAGGAACACTTGCTGTGGTTGCGCCTCATAAACGCACTCTACGAGTGGTGTGAGGGTGGTGTCGGTGGTGGCTACGAAAGCGGCACAGAGCCGGAAACGTTCGCGCGCACGCTGGACGGCTCCACACACAAGTCGCTGTCTGCGACAGAGGAGCTCTGGTGCAATTTTCGTTTATGGAGTGACGATCGGCAACGCGAGAGCCTCACAGGGCAGCGGGATGTGCGGGCACAGGGCGCACTTGAAGAGCGCTGCGCCGCCGTGCTCCGTTGCATGACGAACCCGCTTGTATTCGACCTGGGGAAGGATGAGCCCGAACTTTGTCCGAGGCCTCGCCGAGGTTCATCAGCTGATATAGAGGTCAATGCGGATGGTATTGTTGTGCAGAGTTTTGCGGACAGGCTCCCTGTCAGGTACAGAGATACACGCAAGCTCACAGCGATTCCACCCATGTAAGACTAGAATAATACGGCCGCACCAAACTAAGTCTTGCGTGCATGCCGCATTTCGGGTCTTTTCCTGCTGCCATCAAGACAAGCCTTTGCAGGATTTTATCTGACAGCTTCCTCTAGATCTCTCTTATCTGCGGATCTAAAACGCTGTTCTCTCCTTCCTCTACACCTCCGTTATAAGCAGTCGAATGGTACTCATGGTAGCGGTCAAGTCCCACTTGAGCTGCTTCCGGTTGTTATCAACTAATTTCGTGTCGAGACAACGGTTGCGATCCGCGATTCGCTTGCCATTTCATCTCGTTTTGGTTACGGCCTTGGTCCATCCTTTGGCGGCGGTGACACTCGACTGCGGTCAGGCGTTCCCAAACGTCCACCACAGATCCTCGTACGTGCGCGGTCTTTTAGCGCGTGAGCGATTGCTTCACTGCTCACTGGATGCCCTTGACGTGCACCGGAGGCTCCCTTCGATGTCTGTCCCAGGTTCTGCACCCGGCGCCATAACCCAGGATCACGGGCTTTTTCCGGTCGATTCCCTCGTCGAGTACTTTACCTGCCGCACACGCCAGCGTACGCTGTCCCGTTCGACAGAGGAATTGTCGAACGCGATGCTTTCAATGAAGATGCACATGAAGAAGGAGTCCGGGGACGATATCGGGTTTCCCTCGTCGTTAATCAAGTGGCGCGAATGGCTACGCCCATGAGTTGCACAGGAACAGCATGATTGAAAACATGAAAAATGCAAGATTTGAGCATGCCACCCGTAAGGAACGAGGAAGGGCGGAGGCAAGCACGTATGAACTGGAAAATACGAATATCGCTCATCTTACGAATCCCTGGGTGCGGACGTCGCGGGTTGTTTCGATCCTAGTGACGTGACGAATTCCAGCGGCAGTTAGTCATAGAAGCCACACCGAAAAGATGACCGAAAATCCTAAAACTACATGTGAACCCGTAGGACCTACTTGCTGCACCTTGAATGTCGGAGATGAATATCTAAACAAGTTCAGAAAAAATCGCAATCCAGGAATAAAGCGAGCAGGTCAGTGTTCCATTTTAATATGACACTGCGAAAACGATCGCCGTCGCTAGCATTGATCCAGCGGTTCCACCGAACGACGCCATTGGTCGTCCACAGAAACCAGCGCCGCTTCCGGAGGCGGCCCCGGGAACCTATCCAGTGTGCTAATTACCACCAAGACGCGTCCATTTCCTACGGACAGGGCGCTCTGACCCCTGTACACGGAGTCTAGACTCTCGACGCTCTATTCGCGTCGCCAACACCGTCATGAACGTCGGACTACACCATGCAGCACGCACACGACACCATGGATCCGCCATGGGGGAGAACCTCGAGCGGCAGCTTCGACGAACGCTGCACAGCAATTATTTTCAGACGCACGCCCTCGTTGGCAGCGGGAAACGCATGCGTCCGACGTTTGCGTAAAGATCCCGGACACACTTCGAGCGCTTTCTCGTATGACAGGTCACTCAGTTAAACAAGTGATGGGCCCAAACGATTTTTGTGCGAAACAGTCACCTGAGCATTCAGTGCGTCTGTTCGCTCTGCTGCGTACATGTGTAAATCTCCTGTTCAGTACGGCGAGCGGGAGCGCAACGGCTTTGTTTCGTACGCACAGCTCCGGAGACGCATGGGAACCTGCGATAGGTTTTGAATGTGCTTGCATTATCCAGCGATGAATAAACGCGGCCCTGGAATCCGTGTCCAGGCACACCAGTCGGTATTGCGGATCGCGGCGCGCTTGTGGGATTCGCTTTTTAAGAACAGGTCAGATGTAGAACCACATCACATTATCGCGTTATAACAAATCACAACTGGGCTTGAATACCGACGTTGAATGCAATCATGGTGATTAATCGACAGCGTGCACCATGCATAGCATCACCGTCGACGTCGCAGCGGAGACCCGCGCTGTATGCAGCCTGTGTTTGGCCTCGGTGCTGCTCATTGGTCAACACAGCTTCTCGACCGGTGCACAGCTTGGATGTCGGGTCACACTGCGCCAGCTGGTGCCAGTCCTCGAAGTTTCCTCAGTTCGTAAGAATCCGAGGGCAGCTCGCATTTGCGCACACGCACCGGCTCATAACTGCGAAGCTTGAGGGCAGTGACAAGGTCTCGCGGGTTCCCCTCGGTTCGCGAGCGTCTGATGACAGTTCGCATTAGCGTACAAGCATCGACTCACAACCGCGAAGCCAGCAGGCGGTACCACCGCTGTCTCGAGACAACTATGTCGTCTCAGCTGGTCCGTCGCTGTCTTTCGATGCGACGCTCTACAGCGTGGTCCCTGTGGCAACTCGTCTCGATCCAGGCGAAACGCTACATAGCTCAGATGGCATTTTTGCCGTCGCGTGCACGCTCTGGAGGCTCAGCGCGCCTTTGGGACGCTTTGCTCGCGGAGCTCGCTCCCTCGGTACCGCTCGCGGAGTCGTCTGTGTCAGAATCGAGCGACTGTTGTCGGTAGAGTCGAATCATGCGGTACTCGTTGCTGTACAGACTCCTTCGTTTTTCTTCGAATTCTTCATGCGACAAACGGCGCCCACTCGTATGAGAACTCGAAGAATCTGTCGACGAGCTTCGAGAGAGAAACGTCATGCCAGCACCGTTGATTTGGGGAGCATGACGGCCGTCCGCAGATCCGCATTGGGAAGCATGCGTCTGAATGAAACATCCTCGGCCGATGTACTCGGACTCGGATCCTTCGCTTGCGGAAAGCGAACCCAGCCCTGTATGCGACTCTGCAAACGGTTCGTGATACGGTGTTTTCGGCTCGTCGATGAGCATTCGCTCCACACGCAACCGCTCCGCCTCGTTTTCCTGCAAGTTGCCCTCGTCGAAGTGGATGTGCTTCCGGTTTCGCGGTTCCCTGTGAGCCTCAGGGTCAGCGTCCGCCTCCACTGGTAAAGGCGCAGTAGCTAACTCTACCCTGCCACCGATGACGTTATCAACTTCAGCGTCATTCTCATGGTCTGTACTGCACGACACGCAGCTCTTGGAGTCTTTCAGGATCGGTCTCAGGGACTGCTCACGTTTCACTCCACCGTGCGACTGTACTGCAGGCATCAGCACAGGAGAGCCCCTTGCTACTATTCGAACACTTGACGACCAACTCGATCAAGCAGGAGATTCCCTGCCACCAGATGCCGTAGACGGCCCGTTCAGTACCCAGTAAATACCTGACTGAAGCTGCCTTGCGTCGTAAACGGATTTCACTGAACCAGCGGCAGTTCGGTGCACGAGTTCCGGACGAGATCGCCCGCAGGGCACGGCAGCGGTGACGTTGCCCTGAAAGGATAATCTGGATACATGAGGATATAAATGGACATGTCTGTACGCAATTGTAGCGCTTCGCCGCGCCGACGGCGCACCAGCGCACATCATCGGATGCGCGGCAGTAGCCGCGACGCTTATACGTCTGAACACCGCGCTCATACTGGCCCGTACTCAGTAACCTAGCCGCTTGGCGGAACCTGCACGCATTAGCAGGAAGACCTGTAGCAGCTTTGTAGGGTGATCCGTAGCTATTCTCGCGATACGATTCCGAGGCGAAAGCTGGTAAGAATGCCAACGAAGGTCAAGAAAAACGTGTCTGCGAAGAAAGCAACAACCCGCCGGTTTGTACTCGACTGCAGTGCACCAGTTGGAGACGCTATCCTTGACACGGCGTCCTTAGAAAAGTTTCTACAGGATCGCATCAAAGTCAATGGAAAGACCGGCCAGCTGGGTGATTTTGTTGCTGTGTCCCGCGACGGACGAACGCGAATCGCGGTGGTTACACGAGTGCCGTTCTCGAAGCGATACCTCAAGTACCTCGCGAAAAAGTACCTGAAAAAGCAGCAGCTCAGAGACTTTCTTCGTGTCGTCGCAACTGGACCTGACACATACGAGTTGAGGTACTTTAGTATTCATGATGAGGACGTCGAGAAAGATGAGGAGGATATGGAGGAAGATGAGTAAGTCATAACTCGCATCATCTGACGCACACGGTAGGTTTGCGAGATGGACCCGTCATCTGCACCGCATCAGCATTGAGTTTCGCGATCTCTTGAGTGATTGGGGCTTGGCGCGAACCGGGCGAAGCCCCGTTGGCAGCGCCCTGCGGACAGATAACGAGAAACGTTCGACTGCGGCCGCAAGACCCAGAATAGCTGCGTGTTTTCTGCCTAACGCTCGTGGTGCAGTGCGCTCAGAGCGCACTGGACGTGCGCATCGTGGGAGATGTGTGGTGTGCATTTGGCACCTGGGACGATGTGCCAGAGCCAGGTCGGTTCGCGACGAGAGGATTTGAGGCATTTGCAACGGTTGCGCGATTCCAAGCAGAAGACAAGTGTGACGGGGTTCAAGTCGTGGCCGCCTGGGAAACTCTTTCTCCATGTGCATCATTTTCAGTATCGATCACATAAGCCGATCATACTTGCAAGTTGAGCAGTCCAGTGCGGACCGTCCTCAGGCAACAAATCGGCGCCACAGCTGTCTGCCCGCGAGCCACGCTACCCAGTTCTTGTGGCGCCAGGCGCTATGCACTCGGCAAGCCTGGGGCCCTCTCTGGCATACCTGAGCGTAGTGGACGTTTTGCGCCCCGAACGAATCGACCCAGAGAGCGAGCGAACGATTTACACTTCGCTGGTCATTGTGCAACAGACCGCCGATCGAAAGTGCATGGCAGCAGAGGCGGCAAATGAGTACCCGACGCAAGCGAATCGCCCGTCCAGAGGATGTAGCGCTGGATGTTGTCGTTTCAGCTGGTCGGGCACGCGCTGGGCAGTCGAGTCCCGAAGCGCTTGGAAACGGTGCTTGGTGCTCGCGAGCGGCACGGCGAAAGGGTGCGTTGCTCGGAACCGGTGCGTTCTGGTACCCAACGAATACATCAAGCCTTGGCGGATTGCAGGACACTGACCGATGCCATGCGGATAAAATCATGCCAGATATCCGAGCCGGCTGCCGATGGCACCCAATTCACTATCCCTGCGCGTCCCGAACTAGTGCACATGCAGTGCGCGCATTCTCCCTGAGTTGACGAAGAATCACCAAGTGACTTACACCAAATCTACCACGCCTTGCGTTTCTCAAAGACTCCTCCGCTCAAAAAGAACCGCTACCAGAAGAAGTAGTCTCGGTTGAGTTCACGAACACCAGCAGCGCATGCGCGCTGACGTTCGCTCTGCGCATTACACTGACACGCGTCGATAGCGCACAGCGCCTAACCCGACAAGCGTGCCCTGCCCGATCCCAGGGGATGCGGCGGCATCTCGGCGAGCGCGCGCGCTTCCACGCACGCACCCATCGACGCGATCTACGACGCGCAGCTGGGGGCGCGTACGCATCCTCTCGCGGGGCGCTGATGGTAGATGGTACCGCGGAGCGCGCAGGCTATACGCCGCAAACGCTGCCGCGAGCGCCGAACAACCAGGCCCGATGCCGGACGATACAGGGAACACACACCCGCAGGGGTGCGCTGTTCCACTGTGTCCGTATCCGCCTCCCGATTTTCTCGTGAGCAGGCCGCGACGCTTCGTGTGTGCATCGCAGGTGCATTCGCACTCGCGCCCCGGGCGGCGAGCATTGATGAATGCAAGCCGCCCGGCGCCGCTCGTTGACACTGCCGAGAGCTTCCCCGCGCCCACGCAAAGGACCGACAGGCATGCCGAAGCCGCCCGTTGGCCCGAAAGTACTGGCGCGATACGCGCAGCTTTCCGGTAGCGATTCCGCGATTCAGGAACTGAGTGGCGAATTCGGGGCCGCGTACGCGCCTGTGGTCGTGACGCATGCGTCGATCTGTGACAAGCGATACCTATACGGGCTATATGAAGAACATATGCCGCCGGCCTTGATGCCCGTGTGGGTACTTTGCCGCGGAACCGGCGACACGCATCCATCGGCATATGTGCGCGTACGGAGAGGCTTCGAAACCTGAACCCGCTCAGCAGCCTTCGCTAATGTATCGCCGGTATGCGTACAGTATATAAAGTCCAGCTTTGCAGATCAGACGATGTCCACAATATACATTTATAGACAGTATTGGACAGAGAAGATGTATGCTTTTGCGCAGCGCACTACGCGCCAACAACAATTGCAGCGCTTCCATCCGTGCGAAATGAACTCAGAACAATGAACTGCTCACGCAGTTCCTGCTGTTCGACTATGTTCAAAAGTATTTAAAGATATACAGCCTCGACTCGCGATGTTCAGGAATACGGGCATACGGATCGGTACCGGTTTAAGGATTCTCGGTCATCTATACGAGGTGGCTCCTCCGACGAGTTGCTGCCGAAATTCGTTACGTCACCAGGATTAAGGTGATTGGTGGCGTCTCCGAAATAGCGTCCATAGAAAAACGGGTATCGTCATCAGGTTCGTATGTACAAGCATCGATTCTACTCCGTGCCTTGCAGATGGAATGCTCAAATCACAGGTACTTAGTGTGGTCGATCTGTTTCGTGCAAGGCACATCATCGGCGTCCTTTGGAGACTTGCTACCAGTCTCATTCAAAAAAATTAACTTCACTGGACTCGTCACGTCAAATACTCTTATCCAGTTTAAAGATAAATCCAGATCTCTTTGTGTTCATCCACGAAACGGCACTCGACCACAGCGTGATGCTGCTTCCGGGACACACTCCTAGAGGCCCTGGTCTCTTCTGCCTGCACCTCAACGGTCCCAGACTCGGATTCAAATCATCATGTGAGTCATCATTTTTAGCAGAGTGACACTCGTCGCTCTGCGCGAGCCGAGCGTAGATGGATGGATACGGCACCGGGCGCGTAAACGCATGGCATCGAGGTCAGACACGCTCGCCTATGTAGACGTCTTGTCGATTAAAAAAATCGAGCTCAGACCACTGCACCCGTCCAGAGCATGTTTCGAGCGATGAAGCGAGTGTTTACGGGCCGATGGGCGAAACTCGGTGGAGTTTTTTCGGATATATCCGAACAACCAGCCGAATCCAAATTTCAGAGCTGCAGAGCGCCCAGCGATGCTGTGTACAAAGAAAATGAAAACGGCGAGCGAAGCGCAGATCGCAACTTCCGCCTCTTCATGAAAAGCATCGATAGGAGCCGGACGCTGCGAAATCGGCATTTTAACGCGACCACAGACGTCGTTTGCCAGTTGGCAACGAAGCTAGAAGAACACGAGAGACCGGCGTATTGAAAGCCGTAAATTAGAGAGATGAAAAAAACAAGTCGAAGAAACACCCGCATGGGCTCGAAGCGAGTACAATGGGTGCAGCAACGAACCAAGCCTCATCCCTTGAAACTTACCAGAAATTCATTAACGAGCCTAGCAGCCTGTTTTCAGTCTGCCTATAACAACGCAAGAAACAAAATGATCTCCGCTTGCCGTGGCTTTCCTTCCCGCCAAGTCGTTGGGCTCGTTAGTATTCACTTTCCAAGCCAGATATACCTGCATCTATCTATCGATCTATCTATCATGAGTTTTGAACCGATTCCTGGTTACCAACAAGCCCAAAAGCCCCGACGCTCCATTGCGAGCTATGCCGGTTGACTCGAATGAGGTCCCGAAACGCTCTGTCGGGTAGCGCAAGCAGGCCCCGTGGATGCATCGCATCTATGGACCAGCCAGCGATCACGGAAACTATCACTGTCGCTGCGATGTATAGAGCACGAACTGTGCAGCAACGAAGCAGCAACTTTTCTTGCTCAAGCGAAGATTCTATCCTGTTTCTCATTTTTCCTCGGATCGAACAGAACAGGTCTGCAGGAAAGCGAGTCATCCCGAATGAGCGCGAATCGAGGATCGTCCCCACAATACCGCCTCAGACTCGCGTGCTGGCCGGTTTGGAACGCGCAAGCCGGCTGGCGCTCGAATACCGTCGCTCTTGGCTGGGTCTCGCGTGACCTAGAGACATAGCGATCACCTCGATGAGCCAGGAGTCTCTGTTCTATTGTGTCGTGTTCGGTCATTGGGTCCTTCAAGACCCGTTGGAGGTGACGAGGCGGCGTTTGGAGCGAAGAGCTTCCACTCACGTTTGTGGGCACCACGAATTTCCCGCTCCTTCTCTTCGGTCACACCTCGCCAGGTGAACCGCCCGTAAGCCTTGAGGCGTGTACCCTCCTTGCGCGCAATAATTCGTGTCAACATCCAGAACGAGTCGTCACCGTGTCCGTTACGAATCCAGGTCTTTCGTGTAAAACGCTGACCGTAACCATAGTTCGGTAACTTTCGAGCAACTTCAAAGAGTTTCAGACCACGCGCGGCGAGCAGCACCGAGGTGCTGTGCAGCATGGTGCACGAACAGTGCCCAAACGCCACCGCCCGGTCGAGTCCTAAAGTTTGTTTCACTGGCCGAGGCTTGCCTTTTGCACTAGCGGAGGCGTATAGAACCAGTTCAGGTACAATGTACAGCGCGGAGTCGTTTGTAACGAGTTTGGTGGCAGTCTCGTGGTGCTCACAAGCGCCACTTCGTACTCAGAGGCGAACGCAACGCGCAATTCTGCGCACAGCGCACGAGAGGCCGCGGACAGCAGTTCTGCTGCATAGACGCTTTGCTCGACGCTATCCGCGTGCTGGAGCTGGAATCGCGGTCTCTCAGATGGCAAGATACTGCAGAGGATCTCCAAATCGACTGCTAGCATGCGATATGGGGCGCAGCGCATCCTCACAGAAGCTAGGATACGGGCCTGGAGCTCTGCATCGGCAACAAGAGTGCGATGCGGGGTCCAGTGCGTCTTCGCAGATGGCGAGATACCGCAGAGGATGTCCATCTCAGGTGCTAGGATACGATGCAGAAAGCAATGCATCGTCATCGACTATAGGAAAGCGGTGAGGATCTCTGTATCAGTCGCTAGAGAATGATGCAAAACGAAATTTATCCAGGGCCTCTGGTGCACCGCCGCTTGGCCCGCTGAAGCGCTTCACCTCAGCGTTCTCGGCGCTTGCTTCGGTGGGCGTTTATGGTGCAGCAATCATCAACGCTTGCTTCTTGAATGACGAAATCGTTTCCGAAGAACTTGCTGAAGGAAAACGAAATCGTCGCTCAGTATCGATGGGTACCAAACGCCGCTGCACAGCTTGACATAACCGTTTCATAGGGCTTTTCTTTGCCGCAACTGGGCACCGTTGCCGTGTATTGAACAGGGAGCATCCAATGCCGGCTTGCATTGTGGACAAGAATATCCAGGGACATCAGGCTCTGAATCAGCTGGCCCGACGTGACCGATCAGTGTCAGTAAGTTTCCCTGGCAGAACCTGAATCACACCGCAGCGTAGTACATGCCGCATTCCTTTGAAAGCCGGCTGGTGCTCGTTTGCAATGATCAGACGTTCGATGCGAAGACCGCTTAGACTATACGCGAAGGGTGCAAAAATCAGATCCGCATGGGTCACGGATATAGATTCCCCGAAAGGCACACCATCAGCATGCAGGACGCTTTCCATGTGAGCTACTCGAACGGTATCCAGCTTCGCAATGCTCCAGCTCAGGCACAAAGATGACACATCCCACGATACCGAACCGATATTACTGTACAATTGATGTGATGCCGGTGCTCTGAATGATGAACCGCGCCTTGCGCTCGCAGTGGGCGTCAGCATTCGCAGGTAGACGCGCAACTGCAGATGCTCCAGCGTGACCGAACCCAACATGTGCAGCTTTATAGAGGCCACGACCCGAATAAAACATCCCTGTTCGGATGTCTGGGTGCCGCCTCGGAGGATCACCTCCAGCGGAAACACACTGCTTGAATCGTTCACCGCCACATGTGTACCTGAATGCGGGATCAAGCGCCAGAGCCAGTATGACGCTAGCCGAAAGGATCCATCCGGCGGGATGAACGACATGGTCAGCGCAGACCCCGAGGTGTTTCGCTCCGACCGAAGGGCGCACTCGTGAAACGCCATTTCACGCTCGCCAACCTGGTGGCACTGTAGTTGCATCTCAAGCTGCGGACAACCCGACAACCGGGACTGGCACTCGAGGGCACCGCGCACCGCCCATTCTACAGGAGTCCCCTGCTCGCCAGACACAGTTGCGGACAGGGTCTCGACAATATCCACAAGAAACTCTTCGGTTGCGTGCTGAACTCGAGTAGGTCGCCAGGGAGCCCGCGGTTCGCACTGAGGTGCAATGCCTCGGCGAGTATCCAGCACCGAAGCATGACCTGCAACGGTATTGGCGCTTTGGCGTTGCGCAGCGGAAGCGCTGCTCTGGATAGCGACAGCATCCGAATGCGTCCCGGAAACTCGCTCGAAGGGCCTTGGTAGGGAGCGTCTCGCAGAGCTGGTTGTTCGGTATAGATTTTGCCATAGCGTTGACGCTGCCGATGCCATGATCCCAGTCGGACCGGGGCGCTCCGTTGGCACTGATCGAACCTGCGAAGCGACTGCGCCTCGTAGCGATATAGAATGGTTCATGGACGTCCAGCGATCCAGACCAAGGCGAGTATCCAGGGCGCCAGCAACGTTCACCATGATCTGTTCGAGGGAACTGGGAAAAGTCACCAGCTGGAGCAATACACTGGGTTCCGTGACTAGCGGCAGACCTCGTGGATGCATCTCCTCCAGCAGTTCGTATACTGCGACAAAGTGTTCGCGAAGCCACTGCGCACTCAGATGACCCCTGCTGCACTCCTTGAGGAGCGGAAGGAGGTGGCGATCGAGCGAATCCAGAACAAGCGCAGCAGAGAGCCACTCTCGCGCTGAGACCGGAGGGTACTCATCGACACCTGCGAGAAACCACAGGCCGTTGACCTCTCGGTAGCAGAAGAAACCGCTCGCCCTGCTGCCTGCTTCTCTGAAACCTTTTCGCTCTGACCACGGGAGAGTGCCGGCGGCATCAGAACGCCGCTGGGGTTGCTCTTGGATGAGCTCCCAGAACTCCTGGATCACGTCGCGAGAGGAACCATTCCACTCGTAAAGAGCACTCCAGCGCTTCTCTACTAACGGAGCTCCCAGCTCGTTCAAGATGCATAGGTAGCGGAGCATGTAACTGAGCAAACAGAGAAACGTGCTTTCGCTGCTGGACGCTATCCCGCACGCCAGCGGATAAAGGCTCCAGCACCACCGAAAGTCCACTCTGCGACGAACTTTTAGCCCCCAGGCGCGTTATCGAAAAGGCTACAACAAGCCTGACGCTCCCCCAGTTCGCTCCAACTACCCGCCGGTGTCCACGAGGCCCTGCAGTAAAGCCCTTGAAAGCATAATCCATGGAATTGGCGACCTCGATGGTGCAGCAATTTTGGACACACCCTGATCGGCAACGAAAGCTTCTCTCATCAGCCGGTGCATCGTTGATGCTCAATGAGTGTCAGTAGACGCTCCGAGATACAAAGTTCGGACACGTTCTATCCAGCACTAACAGCCTCTGTCATCAGCCGGTACATCCTTGATGCTCCATGAGTCTCAATAGACACTCCGAGATACAAAGTTCGGATACGTTCTATCCAGCTATACCAGCTTCTTTCACCAGCCGGTGCATCCTTGATGCTCCATGAGTCTCAGCAGACGGTCCGAGATACAAGGGCGCCTGCGAATATCCAGCCAATTTTCCTTTGTCTCCTGCGGACGACTCCCTATGAAAATGTCTGCAGTACGGAATTCCCTATTGGAATCGATGTTTCATGGATCTGGTACTCCACAAGGCAGCCGAGCTAGCCGCGCCCAGTTGCCTCGGGTCTCGGCGCGTTTCCGCCAACTATCTGTTGAACGGTCGCTTAGACCCTGTCCAGGGTAGCTGGATAGCGGACAAGAGACGCTGGCGCTCGCTTTGAATCCCTCTCCGGCGTGCGGACGTTCGGCAGGTGCGGAACATCCGTCTCTACGTTGTAGTCAACAGGCGTACGACAGCGTAGCGGTTCAGAAGAAGTCGAGTCGCATCCGGTATGTTTGGCTCATGCTCGTGCAGGCCCGAAACCTGCTTCGTGCCTCTTGGCCGTTGGACAGGATCTCTCGGGGCAATTAATGTCTAGAGGATGCATTCGTGATTTAGGATTCTCGATCGTCTTTCCGGAACGGCTTCTATGACGCTCTGCCGCTTGAATTCGTAACGTCACCGGAATCAAGACGACTCGAGACGCTCCGGAAAAAAAGGTTGCGTACAAGAACGGATATTATTAGTCTTCAATCCATGAATGCAACCCGTCGCTCTTTTTCCCTTACGGGTTCCAAGCTGAAATCGTGTATTCTTCAAGTATCTGCTTTTTCTGCTCCGTGACAACTCGTGGGCGGAGCAATTCTTGCCGTTAGACTAACGAGGAAAAATAGCAAGGCCGTCCCTTGATGACTTGCTGACGACCACATTCCGAAAGTTCACAGAGCTTGTCACGTCAAAACCTCGATTCCGATCAAATGAAAAATCTTGATCTCTTCCTGGCCATCGAAGAAACAGTGTGCCACAGCAGTATGACATTTCTCAGGGCATACGCTCCCGGAGGCTCCCGTCTCTTCTGCTTACATGAAAAGGAGGCTTGGATGCGGATTCGAGTCATCGCAGCGATCACGTCCAGTGGAGATAGTGTCGATCTTTTGCACGAAGGGAGCGAAGGCGCATCGAACTTTTTTGTTTTCTTCTCCAGCCCGAATTCTCGTTCCGGCACTGGATTTACCATGGATAAGTTCGCGTTTCACAAATCCCGTGTCAAATGGGACAGCTTGCGCTCGCAAGAGAAGCGGACAGGGTACTCGTGGATGGTGTCGCTTAGATGAAGCCCGTCATCCTTCGGTATAGCAGGGGGCGCGGACGCGGAGGGAGGCATCTAAGAGAGCCTCCTGTACCCCTCAAGGGTATCCACCGAGCGCTGAAGCCAGCGTTCATGTGCCACAGGGCACCAACCAGACGACATGTGGTGGATCGATGCGAACGCCTGACTCTACTACATTGTCACTGCTTCAAACGGTACACCCAGGCTATTTACAGAAAAGATGCAACAGGCAAGCGAAGCAAACACCGCAACGACGGTCTATGCATGAAATTCGTCACGAACAATCGGAAGCAACGAAATCCCGACCTCAACGCCGGAAGCGACATCGTTCGAACGCTGCCTCCGGGGCTAGAGGGACATGAGCAATCAGCCTACAGAATACCGGAGATACGACAGAGTGAAAGAAAGCTGTCACAGAAAAGCCCGCAAAAGCTAGTATTCATGATAACTGCAAGAGACTCGGGCTTTAGTTTGTGCAACAGCGTTGATTCGGTGGAAACCGTTCCTTTTCATTCTCGTGCGAATGTACCAAACTCTACCGCACGTGTGCGTGCTGCTCGGAATCAGCATGACAAGCTTCATACCACTGCAGACGCTGCCATATTTCACCAGCTCAAAAAAACAGGATGTCTCTCGGGCACAGTGGCTCTCCTCGGGAATCGAGTGTAGCCCTGTACTCAATGGATACTACAGAATACGCGGGAATCGGGCAGCGCAGCTACAATTTGTACAATGCTGTTTCAGTTGCCAAGGCAGCTGCGCTCTACGTGTATCCGGACGTGTTCCGCGGGCAACCTTCAGGGATTCTTTACGTTCCTCGTATTCGCGCTATAGAGATGACGAGCCCAGCGCGGGGAGCAGTTAGGAAGCGACTTCGACGTGCCACAGCACCAGATGAAGCACTGATCGCTCCAAACGACAGTGATCCCCGCGAAGCTGGTACCGAAGCAGTGGCAAACGCCTGCAGCGATCCGGAGGTTCACGCAAACCAAGTTTGGAAACTTAAGTTTGTCCTAAACGAAGAGGACAACGCTGTGAACGGCGCTTTCTATCAGCCTTCGTTCACTCATCAAATCTTTCCGAACGAGCGCATCAGGGGCTACCTCGAGCCCAACCTGTACCAGGTCTATGACGCGGTCACGTTGCACTGTTATCTGAATTTCAAGTACACAGCAGTTGTGAACCCTAGCAAAGAGGTCACACCCGTTATGTCCACGCTTCAATCGCTGCTCGATGAGTGCGGTGGCTACACAACGGACTACGAGGCGTTTCGACAATGCAGTCGCAATGCGAATGAACCGCTCGAAACAGCTCTGAAAACCATTAGCACGTACGACCTTCACAACGAAACGTTTATCATCTCCGAGGGCGTTCTATGTTCAGAAAACAAGTCTCCCGCACAGGCGGCTCTTCGTGCGCTGCATCGCCGTCTGCAGTTCCTAACACTACTCTACATCGAAGCTGCCTCGTTCATTGACGATGAGGATCCGCGGTGGATGATTTACCTTTGTCGCTCCAGACGCGATCAGCGGCTTGTAGGGTTTGCGACAGTCTACCGCTTCCCCGCAATCGAGAAGCTACAAGAATTTGATCCCCACCGCGAGAAATGGAGACTCGCTCAACTGCTGATTCTGCCGCCCTATCAGAGAGCGGGGCACGGTACGCGTTTCTTGCATGCGCTTTACGAACGAGCTCGTTGCGTCTCTGAACAGACCGGTCGCTGCGTTCTCGAAATCAGCATCGAAGATCCAGCGCCAGCCCTTTGTTGTGTAAGAGATCTGGTGGACTTGGAAAAGCTGCTTACAAGCGATGATGCTTCTCGACAGTGGGCGCAGTCGATTAACGCATCTAGCCCAGTCCCGAGTCGCTCCGAGCTGAAGACGCTAGCCCAGCGTCTGCGTATTACTGCGGCGCAGGTGCGGCGACTCTATGAAATCCTTCGTTTGCATGCAATGGTGAGTGCCAGTGCCGCATCTGGAGACGTCGACCCCGAATTGGAGCGGGAATACCGTCTAGTTGTCAAACGGCGTCTATTTCGCGAAAATGAGGAATGTTTTGGCTTGAAAAACGATGATGAACGAAAGCAAATGCTCGCAGAGATGTATACTTCGCTGATGCAGGAAAGCTACCACCCAGTCATTGCTGCTGCGATGCGCAGAGGGCTAATTGCACCAACAAGGCTTGAAAGGCGCACGGGTTCCGAATCCGAACTGCATGTACTGGTTTCAGGCTCCAAGGAACTACTACTGCGCAATTCTGCACAAGTATCAGAGAGCGGCTCTACCTGATTTGGGCATCGATCCCTAGCCTCTAAACGGAAGCAACGAGTCCCGAGTCTGCGCGATTCGCAAATATCTGTTCTACGTGATAACAACACAGATGTCGCATCTCTAATCGGCAGCAAGGATGCGTCGTGAACACAGCCTCAGGCGATCGGGAGAGGAAACGCGTTCTGATCAGCGCCATGTGCTTGGGCGGAAACCTCGTCGCCCGTGCTCCTGAAACAGCACGACAATCACAAGGGTGACGGATCGTTCGCACGTATGACTGCAGCCAACATTTCCGACCAGAACCATTCGGTATCTACCGCAAGTGCGACATACACATTCCGCGGCCGTTGCGTATGACCCCAGACGTCGACCACAATTTTACCGTAACAGAGCGTGCCTTCGTGCAACTCAACATCCACCCGATGATGCTCTATCGCAAACTTACCCATTGCTGCACCGTACACCGCTGCGACAGCAAGCGGATCGTGCAACGGAGGGGCCTCGAACCCGAAAGCTCGTCGATACCGCTCACCATAATAGTTCAGCAATCCAGTCATGAGTCTGCCAAACGGAGACCGAACGCTTTGTAGCGCGCGCATAACGTGTTCTCCGGCGAGAACGCTGTGGGTGACCTCTAGTGGAATCAGCACGACATGCTGAATACCCGCCGTGGCCACTACATGGAACGCTTCTGGATCATGTCGAATATTGAACTCTGCAACAGGTGAAACATTACCCGCGGCAAGCAGCGCTCCACCGAGTACAACGACATCAATTAGCGGAATGAGCTCCCGATATAACGATACCAGTAGGGCCACGTTTGTTAAAGGGCCACAAGTCACTACTTTTATCCGCCTTCTTATCGAGCATGCATCCTTAGTACCGTCTGTTTCGCTGGTTGTACCGGAAATAGCACCAGCGGCACACCCTGACTTCAGCGTTTGGACTGTTTGGTTCCGAGTGAGCGGTGCGCTCGGATTCAAGCGGGCATACTCGTTCCAGATAGCTTCCGCCATGGCCGGTACAGCGGGCTTATGACTCACAAGTTCGTTTCCAAAGCTCCTATCTGGCCAGATTCCATCGGAATCGGCAAGTTCCATTCCAGAAGCACCATGAATGTGCTCCGGATGCGGTGCTGGTGCCGAGGATGCCGCTTCGTCTCCACTCGATGGACAGTCATAGTACTGCTGTCGTCGCAGAAGCGGCCCTGCAGCTCCAGCGTGGACCTGAACACCCAGAACGCCCGCAGCTTTGAGGATGCGGGCTGCGTTCTGAGTTGTATTTTCTACGCTCCCGTTTCCGTCTACTGTGGATACACCAAGGAGACGCAGGCGAGGGTGATGCGCCCCCAGCACCAGCGCAAACGCGTCATCATGTCCGGGGTCACAGTCGATCCACAGCGGAATGGGTTCGTCACGACCAAAACCACTGGAAAGAGCGTCCCAAGCACTGAGATGAACGTGGCGACTATCCCACTGTGCTAACGCGGGCAGTGGCATGCGCTTCCCTCGAAGAACCCTGTCGGAAGCAGCACTGCAGCTCTCGGGCACTGCACAGCGCAGCGCTGGAGCATCGTCGGCCACCGGTGCCTCAAGTGACGCGCTCGATGCGGTCAATGCGAATTCTGCTATCTGCGAACTTTATCAGGAAATAAGCAATGTGTTTGGGATGCTGCTTATGAAAGAGGAAGCAAGGCAAAGCGAGCGGTTCAGGTAGTCGGAGTGGCGTCAGGCGCGTTATTGTGAACGGCGTCGCAGGCACCATACGTTACGTCCTGTGTACAAGCTGTGACGCCCAGAGCTCGGGTATTCGGGAGCGCGTCCTGGAAATCGCAACCTATCACAAAAATAGATTGTGCAACGTGCGATCACAAATGAACAGCTGCACTTTCGGGGCTGCTCCAGGGCTTGCTGCGCAAAGTGGAGAAGCAAGGTTGGCAGCGTTGCAAAAGCAGCCGCCTGCTGTGTGGCTACAGTGGACAAGCGGAATGCATCAACTGTTTCTGCAACGATATTCGCTATGTTTTCATTAATCAAAAATTACGCATTCCTTCTTCCGATATCGGTGGAGAAGACTTTTGAAGCAGCGGAGACGGCATGTAGCGTGCACATGAGCACAGCGCATGGTTGCGGTTTACCTTCAGAGAAAACCTTAAAGGCAGGTCGTCACATTTCTGTGCAGGCAGGGAATAGCAGGGAAGCACGCGAGACGCTTATTCTGGATGCCGCCGTGCCTTTTTCGTTCCGATACTCTCCATGGTAAACGTAAGTACATTCGGCTTCAATTCTGAATCTGCTTGACGAAAAGGCTCGTTCTGTGAAAGCAAGCGGCGGACGCGCAGGTACCTGCAATAAGAGACCCCGATACCTCGATAGGTTGCACGTTGGGTTCACGTGAACCGAACTGGACCCCGTTCCCTGCAAGACTCGCTTTTACAGCCGAATGTGTCGGAGCGGCACTCGACACGCGCGCTACTGAGTTGAACCTGATGCACGCGCTTCCTATGCCAGCGCTAGTGCGTACTGTCCCACGAGGAGCACTGGGAAACTCGAGTTAGAGGTAAGCTACACTCAAGTAGTCACAACGATTAACAGGGAACCAAAAGGCTGCCCCGAAACGTCCAGTAGGTGCTTAATGCTCCACCAGGAGCACTGGGGAACTCAAGTTGGAGGTAAGCTACACTCATGTAGTCACAGCGATCGGCAGGGAAAACACTGGTTTTGCCTCAAACGTCAGCTCGGACCAACTGTCCGCCCCCGCACTCCCGAATACCTTTCCGCAAAAACTCAATCCCTGCCTGTTCCGTTCCAAGCCGTTCGGTAACGTCCACGCCAGCTCATACGTGTCCCGGACGCTGTTCCTTCTCCCCAGAGCGTTGCATGTCCACCTGTCGATGGGCAACAGGCAGGCGCGGGCAACTCGACTGGGACAGGTGGCGGCTGCAGCGCTCCAGAGGCATTGCCTGATTTTCAAAATTGGATTGATTTTCAGAACGCCGGCAGGCAGAGGTTTGCGACGGCTACCAGCGCCAGTCCAGTTACTGGTGCTTGACTCGAGCAGCTTTCAAAGAAACTGAACTTTTGAACCTGTTCTTCTTTATCATCGGTATCAGATACGAGACTTTGGGCAGTTTCGTTGGTTCCTGGGCTTGGCTCAGAACGGGACTAGACGCCGGAGCCTGGCACGACTGTGAAGGAGCGGGACCCCAGGTGACTCCATGCGACGTGAGTCCGACTTTAGCCGCATTCCCAAGCTTCTTCCTTTACTAGGGCTACACAACAGCAGACAATTGAAGTTCATGTTGCCGACAGTTCTTCAGGAGTCTTCGACTGGTCATTCACTGCTGCGTGGTTGGTTTCGCAAATACCACCGGATGTCGACTGGTAACTGGAAAGGGATGCGTCTCTGGCTGCTTGTTCTGGCGATGCTCGTCGCACTGTTTTGCGTGTTGCGCATTCCGCCGCAGGTACTTCTCCCCGACTACTGGAAACCGGAGTGGTTTTACGCGCCGTTGAACTTTAGCTACGAGGTGGAGCTCGCGTCCGCCGTGCCGGTGCAGGAGCCGCCAACCGTCATCCCGAATATTGTCCACTTTATTCATGGCCTGACGCCAGACTTTGGAAAACGACCTTTTGGGCTCGTCGAATATCTGGCGGTCAAGGCCGCGCATGAGGTGATCAAGCCGAGATCGATTTACCTCCACTACATGTACAGACCTGAAGGTTATTGGTTTGAAAGAGCCCTTCCCTACGTAACGCTCTCTCCGATAACGGAGCTCCATCCATTGCCGAATGTGAGCATGCAGCACTTTGCGCATCTAGCCGATGTGCTACGTTTGCTCATCCTTATCCAGCACGGAGGTATCTATCTGGATATGGATGTGCTGGTACTACGTGATTTCACACCACTGCGGACCCAGTACAAGGTGACGCTCGGACGAGAGCAGGTGCGGAATACCCCATCGGTGCGCTGGCCAGACCCGGGCGGTGTTGCCAACGCCGTCATTGTTGCTCCCGTTAATGCATCGTTTCTTCATCGCTGGCTTGCTACCTATGCCACATTTCAAGAGAAGGACTGGGCAACCCATAGCGTCACCATACCGTACGTGTTGGCTCGTACACACCGTTTCGATGCGGAGCTTCACGTCGAAGGCCCGCGTTCCTTCTACTATCCGACCTGGGCGCCAGACGATCCAGTGCACGGTCTCCCGCGTCTCTACGCGAGGGCACACCGGCGAGGAGCACGCGAGGCGTATCGTTTCGATGAAGGAAACTATGCGGTCCACTTGTGGCGAACCAAAGCTGCCGAGGTGTATCCCTCACGTGACCTGTTCTCCGTTGCGCATATCTGTAATCACCGAAATGATCCAGAGTACGCGTTGTCGACGTTTCAGCGAGTTGCGCGTGCTATTTACGGCGAGTGCTAGCAATCCTCTGTGCAGCAGCATGAATGCTGGAGCGCGTTTCACTTTTGCAAACCCGTGGTACCTCGTCAACAGGCTATGCATTAACGTAAACGTGAGTTTCGAGTGTCAGCGGTGATGGCGACAGCGACACCGCGGATCAGCAACTCGTCTCTGTTCAGTTGAGCGCTGGTGTTGACCATTGAAGACGTGGAATAGCGCCATTGCCTGGGCTCGGGGGAGGACCACTCGAAACACTCGGAAGCGTTGCTGGGAGCGCATCCCTGGGCCCAGACCGCACATTTGTCTGAGTGGATGCGGATCGCACACTCAGCAGGTGGCGTTCGAGTTCACGCGGAGGCCGTTCTTCAACTGGATAAGCCGGGTGGATTCCGGCCCCGCCGTCCTTGTTTCTGCAGCGGCGCAGGGGCCCGACGTCCGCTCTCGCTGCGTGCGATAAAAGCGAATCCTGGGATTAAGAGCCTCTCTACACGCATACGCCAGTTTCGCATGAGGGGCGCTCATGGCATACATGCGCTTCAGTTGAAAGTATGCTGCCGATAAAACGCGAAGCAGGATGCTTCGCTAGGCTACTGCGCTCAGCAGGGCAGTCAGATTTCAATAAGTCCCAACAGAACAAGGCTCTTCTCTCAAACGTTGATGGAGGAGTCGCTCTGGAATGCCACGAATGTCGGTGCACTGCAGCGCGGTCGCAGATACGTCATAGTACACTGTGCGAGGCGCCATCTCTCGCTCGCAAATACAATGTCCACGGTTTGACAAGGCGAGTCGCGAGGCCGCTGGCGACCAGTTGTCGTAGAACTCATCTGGCGGGTCGTGGAAGTCGTTCTCGGGAAACGATGCACCAGATCAACACGTATGCCTAAGTGTCTCCACTTCCTTAATTTGTCCCAAGAATAGAAACAACCAACTTGTTCTTCGCACACGTGACTTGTCTCCGCAAAGCTGTGACCCCGCGTGGATGCTCGAATCAGTCGTGAGCATCTTTCCCTGTCGAAGGCATCTCGTAGAAAGGTGCCGTTCCTGACAAAGGTTTCACTCTATTGCCCCCGGCCGCTTCACATTTGACAAATGCTGCATGCGTGTGCAAATGCCCCGGTTATCCATCACCGAAGCGCTGTGCTTGCCTTCCTGGTGTCCGGAGCTGTCATGCAGCAGCTGTGCGTGACGAAATGCGTAGGGCGAGTCCCACTCGAGAGCCAGCGCACCCTTCCCTGGTAAGCAATTCGCTAAAAATCTTGCATTTCATGCACAGAACTGAATTCCATACCTGGAATGCAAGTCTCGTTACTGCTTCTAATAGCAGCGCAGTCAAAGAGAACCTGCGTTGACTCTCACGACATTGAATATCTACCGAGCCAATGGGGTCAGAAACTCATCTCTGAGTAATACTTGAACGTATACGAGATCCTTGAACATCCAAGCATTTGCACTGGCGAAGGCGCGTGCTCTCCGGAGTTCGTCAACAGCCTCGTCAAAGTGCAACCACGGGCAATGCCCTGCGCACTGGTAGCGATGCATAGCTACCAGTCCTGATACTCAGAAATAAACCACCTCAGCAACATACATGCATGCTCAATCACTGTTCAAACTACCAAGAAGGCAATGGTTCCGGGAAAGGTGCCACGATTCCCCACGCGTTAGCGTAGCGCGAGGCACCGGGTGATACGCATCTACCATCGCTGCACCAAGTCAAGCTTCAAGGCTCTCGCATCGAGCCCACGCGTTATATGAGTTTCCTTGACCCTGCTCCCAAACAAGGTCTCTGATCAACATATCTTCACAAGCAAGCCGGCAAACGAACTACTCCTACTGCAATGAGCGCGGCATCAGCGCTTTTCAGAAGCCAAGAATTCCACGCGCGTACTTTGCCGCGCGCAAAGCATCTGCGTTGCGACGCCCGCCGGTGCTGGACGCACACGTCACCGCAGCCGGCAAGTGTAGCGCAAAGCTCGTAGAGGGTCCACTCCAGTCACTAGGGAGCGTTGTCGACGGTGCAAGGTCGTATAGGAACTCGTCAGCGGACGGATGGCACTGCTGTCCCCGAAAATCTTCCTCGCTACCTTACACCGGAAAGGACGAGGCCTTGGTTTCGTGTTTCCGTGGAGTTCATCGTTCGCGGGCCGCGCTCCCTGCATCGAATACCCGCGTGGCGGGACACAGGCGTCAGCGTCTGGGTGCTGGCGGCACGCTGAACGAAGTTTTTCCCAGACGTCGTGGTCTCGACTCCGACGACTCGTCGTTCAGAGTGCGGCTCCAGCGAACCAGCGGCGACGTTCATCAAAGCGAGGTGTGCTGTCTGCTGAGCGCGCCGCGGCCTTGTACCGCAGCCTGCAGAGTTTCAGCGCAATGACGTCGCGATCCATTGGAACACATTCTGGAACTTTTCACTGTGATGAAGCGCTTGCCTGTTACATGCTACGTTTGCTACCTGAGTTTCGTGACGCAAGCATCATCAGAACGAGGGATCCGGCGCTCCTGGCTACACTGGACTGCGTGGTTGACGTTGGAGCGGAGTATGATCCCGAGCGCTTGCGGTTCGATCACCACCAACGCTCGTTTTCGGATACGTTCTCGACATCCAAGAAAACCAGGCTTTCTTCGGCAGGCCTGGTCTACAAACACTTTGGAAGGGAGCTGATTCGGCAGATCACCGGCACGAGTGATGAGAACGTGCTCGAATTGTTGTATACGCGCGTCTACGATGGGTTCATCGAGGCTATCGACGGAAACGACAATGGCATCGATGCAACGAACGAGCGTCCGCGCTATGTCGACAACACCACCTTACCGATGCGAATTTCAAGACTGAATACTCCGTGGAACGTCGATGAGAGCGAACAGGAGCAGCTTGTACGCTTCGAACAGGCCATGGAAATGGCGGGTACGGAGTTCGTGGCGTACGTGCGTGGACTCTACGGGCAGTGGTTACCGGCCCGAGCAGTGGTACTCGAGGCGTTCCACAAACGCTTTGAGACTCACGCGTCGGGGCGCATGATTTACCTGGAGCGGTGGTGTCCGTGGAAAACGCACCTCTACGATATAGAATCGGAAAATTCAGCGCTTGGAGAGATATATTTTGTGCTTTACAGGGATCATAGCGGGATGTGGCGCGTTCAAGCAGTGAACAAGCCGGACTCCTTCGAGAACCGAATTTCCCTGCCGATTGAGTGGCGTGGATTGCAGGACGCTGCGCTTGAAAAGGTTACCGGGATCCGGGGCTGCACTTTTGTGCATGCGTCTGGTTTCATTGGCGGCAACGAGACGTATGAAGGCGCATTGGCTATGGCTTGTTTGGCCTTGTCGATGAACACAGCTCCCGTGATGCCCACCTAGTCGGAGGCTGCGCGCGACGGACCCACAAGAGCGGAGTTTCTGCGAACACACACGCAGACACGAAGTGTGACACCGACTGAGCCACTGACACTCTCCCCCGTGGTTTTGATGTCTCGCGCGATGTTATGCGCCGGTTCTCCCGAGAACGTACCGCTGTCAACGATCTGGAGCGTCACTACGCAGGCCTGCACATCGATACGTTGTCGTGTGGTGCCCCCAGATTCAGTGGGCAGCGCTGCTAGAAAAGCGCACGGCATGTCTTCTTCTGCTGATTCGAGAGACACCAGACGCAGTCAATGGCGATCCAACCCACCCCATCCGTGTTGTAGACGTGAATATCCCGGATACCCGGAATCCAAGAGCAACAGCGTCTGCGTGCCGCTCGCCAGCGTTGCAACAGTGCGCATTCGATAACCGCGGTCCGCCGCAGCTAGCGTTCGATGCATGCTCAACATCCGCAGTATCGCTGGATCGACGTAGCTTCAAACCATGGGGAACGCTCTGCTCTTGTGTTTTCGGTATGCCGAAGCGTCTCTCGAGGGGCCGAAACGCCATCCCAGTCCTCCGGTCGCATTTGCGCATCGGGGAGAAACATTGCTTGGACGCATCCTCATCGCCTCGTGAGCATATTGAGAGCCTCGCGCAGGTGTCGGCAGCGTCAGCTCCCGGTAGGCAAGCGATTCCCATGCACCTGCTGGCTGCCCCGAGCTGACGTCTTCAGTGGTACAGCAAAGCTGGTCTGTCTTCGTGCTGCGTGCGTACAGGCGCTACTCGTGCACCATTGCGGATGCTCACGACAGGTTCCGCAAGCGATGGATCGTACCAAATGACCAGTACGTCAGAGGGAAAGTGCAGTTGGCGGAACATGGAGAAGGAGACACGACCGTTCCTTTTCCGATCGTTGATATATCAAAAGCAGAATCGAGGATCCCTGGTCTGTGTAAACGCTCTGTCAAGCAAAAGAAAAATGACGTCGCTGCTGCACCATCCGTGTCGCGCGCACACGCAGATACATGCCTGCGACGCGCGTTTTCGCAGCACTGGTGGTACCGTTTTTGCCTCTTGCAAGACGTCACGCTGGGTAGCGCGTTTTGCAGTATCGGATCCATAGACAATGCACGAGGCAGATTGGTACTCATCATGCTCGACGTCTCGGTAGCGCGTTTTGCAGTATCCGATCCATAGACAATGCACGAGGCAGATTGGTACCGCCAGTTCACAGGTTATCTTTTCTTTCACAGCGCAGGATCGGGTTGCCGCATATACTCTGAGAAGCTTTTTGCCTCTATTTCTTGCCAGAATACGTTCGCATCGCTGGTTCGCATCTCTTCATGGAGAGCGCTCATCGCCCATACATGGCGCAACATCCGTTCGAGCGCGCTTCCCAGACCGGTCTGGTTGCGCTCACATGCCACAACCAAAGCATTCAGTTCATCCGCGATGTCCTTACGTCGTTCAGTTGCCATGAGTTTTCCGAGAGGACTCTTTTCGGGATTCGTAAACGCCAGTAAGACGAGGTGATCCTCGAGAAGCTCAATCCAGGATCCAGCGTCGGGCTCCGTCTCCGTCGGTAGCAGTTGCTCCCACAGAGCAACGCGCAGGTAATGTCGTGCATATGATATCGCCTGGGCTGCCTTTCCGTCTCGCAGGTATTCAACGTACTGCTGAAGGCATGCTCGGAAAGCAAACCATGGATGCAGAGATTTAATTGCGACAAACGGCTCCCAAACAGCAGGAAAAGTCACGGGAAAGCCCATCTGTTCACCAGAGAAGCACACAGCGTGACTGGTGTGCTCAGCGAGCCACATACCAGCCTCCAGTACCGTTTTATGAATGTCTCCGTCCTCCAGAATACTTGCTGTCCAGCGTCTGCGGTCCGCGAGGCTCTTATAACCAACGTTTTTCACCAAATCTACCTTTGGTGCGTCGCAGCATCGAACAGAGCTGCAGAGAGCCCGCGCCGAGCGTTCATAACCTCTTTCAATGAGGTACGAAAGAACCAGTGCGCCACGGACCGACTCGTTCGGAAGCGCCGGTCCAAGGTTCTCAGCTGCAGCCGCTTCGTTTGGCTGTTGGTCGCTATGCTGAGCTCCGAATGCTTCCGAGTTCTTGGTACGTTCCATGCTTTGGGCACGGCGTTGCTGCTTTTCGCTGACAAACTTAGACTCCGCTTGGAGAGGAAGGAATGCAGTGTGCAGCGTGCATTCGAGAACGAGTTCTCTAGTTGCACAGAAGCCGCTCTGTCGTTCCAGCGCTCAGGACGCACCGCCAGCCAGCAAGCGTAAGCCAGATACTCTCAGACGAGTAGCGAGCGACCGCTTTCAGTTGCGAAGCATCTGGTGCAAGGGCAGGGCGTCTGCAGCGCCTGCAGCCATGGCGCGCGCCCGAGATGCCGACTGCCGGCTACGATACGTCACTGCGGTACGCTTTCGCTGCGACGCCTCTGTGCAGAAAAGCTCTCCGTGATCGGGGTTTTGGGCACTTTCAAAAGAGTTGTTTCGACCAAGCTTCACGCAAGTGGCGGTTTGCGGACAGTGGTCTGTGAGAGCTCTTGAAACACAGCGAAACTTGACGAGAACTTCAAAGCGTCGCCGCCTAGGTGACCGCAGAGCTCGTTGCAGCTGGTAGTGGCGTTGCTGCTGTGGTCCGGTAGCTGCACGGTTATGCGCTGCCGTATGATTCTCGAACGACATTTGGGGGCAGGATTGGCGTCCATAAGGGCCTTAGATAGATGCGGAGTTTGTAAATGCAAGCGAATTGTCTGGGAATGGGAAACTTAGGAGCGTCTACCGAGGCGCTTTATTACATGCTCTGGATATGCACTAGATCCGCTGCCTCGGAAGAACTTTTCGGACGCATCGCCCAAGTGCCGCGAAGAATTATTCGGTGTGCTTGGAGTATCCGTCGCAGCGTCCCATGAGACAAGTACCAGTCTGCTTTATGGCTGTATGCTGAACGAGCGTCTCTCAAGCGGAGCGACATGCAAAAACGTTGCCCCGAGCGCATTCCGCTCAGGACATGGTTTGGCTTTATGGTTCTATAAATTGCTGCACCCATCGTGGTTTGCATAAGCATCGGCGGATATGCACGGAAAAGCAACCTGTCGCGCCTCTAGCTTAGCTTATTGCGGTGAATTGTTGGAAGCAACTGTTGGCGCAGAGGCATGGTATTCTCCACCCATTCATTCACGCATGAGGTCGGTGCCAATGCTACTTAGAGTTGCCTTTCATTGCCGCTGCGATCAGCACAAACAAACCGCAAACAGATCTTACGGGATCATGCGAGGTCGGCCTCCATACTGCAAATTCTTAACGCACGTCCGCACTTTCTCCGCCTCCACGGGAACGGGATTCCGCGCGATTGTCCATCGCCCGGTGCCAGAGCTGCAGAACCTGTCGTTGCGAGCGAGAACGTACTTGGCGCCTGCGCGCGCCTGCGCCCAGCCACGGAACCTTGACTCCGGTCGCCGCGCTCCGGTTTAAAGTCCAGACCTAAACACTACCTGCTACAGAGAACCTACAAGTTTCACCGGCACGTTTCCCGGAGCCAACCTGATATGCTACTCAGCAGCGCTTCATGCGCCTCCTCCAGTACTGCGATCCGGAGACAGCAGAGCCGAGCGCTTGGAACTTGCAGCCCCATTACGTAACGATACATGCTTCCCCATATGCTGATATCCATCGAACACCGAGAGATTCTCGATACGATGCAAAGATGCTACATCATTGAAGAAGTGCAGCGCCCTGCGGTTGCTGGTACTCGGCGCGCCGCAGACGGCGGCATTGCACGGCGTTTCCGGATTCGGCTGCCCCATCGCGGAAGCCGCTGACGCAATTGCGTTGTTGTCGCATAGAGTTTGGCGTTCACTCTGGCAAATGACACTGTTTTTTGTAACTTGTGTCGGTAGTGCATCCATCTCTGGTCTCCAGAGATCGTCTACAGCACGTAGCGGTTTGCGAGCTGTTCCGAGGTCTAAAGGAACTGCGTTTCGCATGCGTAAGGGTCGTGCGAAGAACGGGCTCCTCATGAGTAACGGGCCTGGTGACGCTGGATCGGGTCCAGTTGGCCCTGAGGGTGGCGCAGACGGCTCGAGCGGCTATGCAGCCGACCAGGACTATCCTTCGGACTCGTATCGCAGGACACCAGCGGAGGCGATGCGCTCTGCTGTGTTTGATAAGGCGAAAATCGCCCAAACGAAACTCAAGTTGCTACAGCTCGCTGCGTCGACGGGACGAGGCGATCTTGCGAGTACCGCTCAGCGTAACCTCGTAGAAGATCTGGTCACGCAGCTGGAGTCCATGTCACCGACTGTGTCTCCATTAGAGTCGGCGGATATTAATGGAAAGTGGCAGTTGGTGTACTGCTCGAAACCGTTGTACAAGATCAATCCGTTCTACTTGCCAGCAGCGACACCACTCGGTAACTTGGGCGTGATCACCCAAACCATCAACATGGACCTTGGAGAGCTCGTCAACGAGGCAGAGGTGCACTCTTTTCCGGCGGTGAACGGCGTCGTTGTTTCAGTCTCTCGCGTCCTGCCGGTGAGCGAGACACGGATGGAGCTGCTGGTGGAGCGGGTGACGCTGCGCGCTAAGGACGTCGCGGGGCGTTTCGACCTGGGCGGCCTCAAGCTCGATATCCCCGTAGAGGGATTCTACGACAGGCTCCAGGGTGGACAGCCAGGACGGCCTTTCTTGGATATTATCTTCATGGACGAAGACCTACGTGTGTGCCGAGGCAAGCAGCGTACGATTTACGCTTTCACAAAGCTGTCCAGATAGTGGCATAGATCGAGGTGTGTAAACCGAACATGGGACGACCTGGAAGATCTCATGCGTGAACTTTGTATACTGGCTCGCACGCAACCCTTGTGCGTCTTTCGGAACTTGCATAGATGCTGATAAGCATTGCGCGTCCCAGGATGCGGATTAGGCTCAGGGCACTGGCACCAGCGAACACCATGCCGCTGCTGGCAACGATGCTGCATATAGAGCACCGTCGATCGGTGCCAGCACCAGTAAATGAGGGCGTCGCAGCCTCAGGCTCAGCGTAAACCTCGGCGTTTGACGATGCGAGCAACGCCCTGTGCAGATACAAGTGCAGCGCCCGCGCACACTGCATAATAAGTAAACGAGCCATCTTGCGGGCGATACAACGATGTGGCTCGAGTCGCAAAGGCGTTCTATTGTTTCAGCGGGACAGCAGATATCGTCGCGATGCATGAAAGGCTAGAGGATTGCAGCCAAGACTCTATGGCGATGACGATGACGATGAGAGATACCGGCGGTTCGGCTGCATCTGCATCGTCCCCCGCCGTGTACAACGCGAGGCATGCACGCAAAAGCTGCCCATTCAGCATCATCGAAGACTTGGTAAGGACACCTGGAGAACTTTTCTGGCGTTGGCAGGTTTCACCTTGAGTAGGAAAGGACGCGGCATTTGTCATGGCCTGCATGAGAAGAGTGCTGCTGCCTAGCGCGGCACCTGGTGCGCTCGATCCGTTGCGTTCAGGTACGTAAACATTCAAGCATGCAAAAACGAAACGTTGGAGTCCTTCGATGCAATCATCGGGCCCGTGAGGTTGTTCACCAAGCGTTCGCGGATGCTCTCTCGGTGTCCGAGATAAACTTCAGGTGAGATATGTCCACGCATCATGCCGAACGTTCCTGCTGGTGCAGTCTCTTAAAAAAACGACGACCGGCAGCGCGTGCCTCGTAAACATGTGCCACGATCTGGGCGATACTCAGGGTCGGCAGGCTTGATACCGACCGGAGGCCATGGCTATCGTCCTCTCCGACCGGCGCTGACGTTCTCCGTGGGTTGCGAATACGCCTTTCGCATTCAAGCGAAAGAGATATACCAATCCCGATAGCTGAACTCTTGCTTGAGCCATCGTTCAACCAGAATAGCTGTACAGGTCATGGCTGACATGCCCGCACCTTCAGGGTGCACCTTGAAACGCCTCCGCAATCCCGTGGCATAGGCGCGTTTCAGGATAAAGGTCTGGTGCACCCGGTTGGATGCGCCCACTAGGGAACGTCCGGCTGCGCAGCATACGTACGAACAGGCGATATCCACAGCTTCTTCATCCACTCATACACGAAGAAGGCGACCCCCGAAGCAGGTGCCGCTTTAAGCAGACTAGGCACCGCGCCCCGAAACAGGCCGCGTACGCCTTCTGCTCGTGTAATGCGCCACAAGCAGTCCACAGTGTTTCTGTAAACCCGTGGACCATCGGTGATACTCTGAACCTGCATTCTTTTGCGTGCATTATCCAGCGGTAGCGTGCACCATTTTGCTGTCGTGCCTGTGAGCGCCCCGATCAGGAAACTTTCCGAGCTCCTGACTGCCTCGTGCTCCGATAGGGCACCTGATCCGGATGAACGCTGCGCTAGATTCTTACGCGCCTGGTAATGTCGCAGATGCTCATAAATGTAAAACTGGAGCGCAACATATGGCACAATTTCAATGACCGTTGGCCCCAATCCAGCATAGAAGCCGCGCAAGCCCTCCTTCCGCCAAATGGTCCGAACCGCGTCCACCAGGCCGGTGTAAAGACGCGGCTCACTCTGTACAGCCATTCGCGTTCGCAACAGGTCCAATGGGTATACCGTCACACTCGCAACCAGCCCGGAAAGCGCTCCGAAGATGACAGAGGGTGTAGCCCCCATGTATCGCTGCAAGCTGCGATTATCGCCTTCGCTGAGCTGGTTCCACCACTGCCGCAGCTGGTAGAACGTGCCAAACTGAACGGCTGCATAGGGCGCGACCATTGCTAGGGCGGGGACGTTCCCCTTGTAGAGTGCTGTCCAGCCTTCCTCCTTGATAATGCGGCCAAAAGCTTGCGAAACACTTGTGTAGCGAGCGTGCACCGCGGGGGCATCCCCGAGACCCCAAGCCTGCAGCACCCGCTGCTCATGCTGGAGCTGGAAACGTATTTTCAGCACGTCTAAGGGCGCAACAGCAAACCTCGATGCACAGCCTGCGACTGCTCCTGCGAGCAGATCTTTCCACGGCTCGAGTCTCTCGGCAGGTGCAGACGACATGCATCAAGACCGGCGGCGATCAGGGGAGAGCACGGAGTTTGGCGGCGTTCACAGCAGAAACAGGCCTGATTCGATATAGGATTCAGTAGATAGGCTACCGTTCCTGATGACTGAAGAGAGCTTTCTTCGATCCAGGAGAAGGAGCTATTGCGGGGCCCTTGGCTTCGCTGTATAGCGCAGGATGCGGACACACGTTCCACACGAGACGCCGTTGGAAAGCTACCGTTCCTGGAGACTGGTGAAAAGTGTCTTCGATCACTGAGCAGAACCTATTGCCTCCTCCTCGGTTTCGCTGACGAGTGCAGGTTCAGAAACCACAAGACTCCAAGCGGTGGCTCTTCGAGAACTCGCAGTCGCCGCCCAGAGACGCAACCTACAAGTTGTAAAGTTCTCTAATGGCGTTTAACGAGGCGAAGCGTTTTTTCATCGATGGACCGTTTGCACTGATGATACGAAATCCCAGAAACCCGATAGGTATCGTAAAAGGTGAGCGCGTTCATGATGTCGCAGCAGACCTTGAAATTCCAGGTGCTACCTATCATATTTTCTCTGATGGTAGCTGTGAAGCGTCCAGCGTCGAAGCAAGCGCCGGCAGTAGGTGTGCTCGTTGCTCCGAGAGACATGCGATCGCTCTATCGTCTATTTGTGGGGGAAGTACTGCTCTGAGGGTTGTGATACGCCGAAGCATACATTGAGGGTCAAGGGTCACCTAGCGGACCTCCATGGATATCTCAACGCATCTACGAGAGACCTGATGCAATCCATCAATCACACTCTATCAACGACTTGAGCTTCGCAGTGCTTGCCTGTGGCAGGGCTACGTGTACGGAAGGTTCAGCATCTTGACCGGGCTCCGAGTTCCCAAGGAAGAACTGGTCAAGGCTCGGTGGAGCGTGTCTCTAATCGATGAGCAGCGGTGATCGCAGTCTCGTATGTAGTCAGCGCAGTGGATTCTGGAACAACTGTTCGAGGACGCGCTTTTGTTTCGATTGCTTTTCTCGCAGGTGTTCAACCAAGCAATTGTGTACTTTAGGTTCGGGGGAAAGTCGCGAAACGTTTTGAGCTTTTTATGGCTTGCTTGCGCAAACCGCCGTCATTCTTAACTGAAGGCAACGCAATCCGATAAAGTGCATGAATCAGCTGTCTCGTAGTGCCTGTTCCTAGAACTGCGCTCCAAAACGAGAACGTACCAGACGCCACCTACAAGCCTTGCTCGTTTTCAATCCGTTCCACTCCACAGTTCCGTTCAGAAAAAGCAGAGAAAAAACCACACGATATGAAGATTCTGTACCGTCGATACCGACGGTAATGAAGAGGCACGGGTGGACGACGCAAAAGCACGTTGCTCCGTGAGACCGTCGTACGTTGAACGAGACGCGCACACTCTCATACGCACACCCGCGATCGATTACATCATGAAAAGCGAGCGGTTACTACGGGACGGACGAGTGCTCGTCGCTCTCAATGAGACTTCATTCAGAGAAGCGTGCAGACCTGGACACGGGCGCCCTAACAGGGATCATCGATGTTCGCACACCAGGAACACGCGAGTATTCCGAAAGGATCAGCAGTAGCAGCAGCATGGAAATCGTGTGGTCGCCTACTTTTCGCCAAACGGGCGGGATTGCCCAACAGCTCATTCGCGGTCGAGGCAGTCCCCAGGATGCAGAGCTGAAGTGGATGCCCTGCACGCTTGCTCCGGGGTGCGCCTTAGCGACCATGCGGCACATGCGGACGATCTTGGGGCAGGGGCACAGCGAACCGCGCTGGGGCCGCCAACGGTTTCGGTTGTATAGGCCGAACTGGCGTGCAATCGCCTACGTGGTCAGTCAGTTGGACAAAGCATCGACAGACGTGTCGCATCGTTTGGTGGAGGACGAAGGCGCTCGACGTATTGCTGCGCGCAAAGCACGTACCCGTGTTCGTTGCGCGAGAGCGCACACCGAGTGCAGGAATCGATGCGGTACGTGCTCCCGTTGATGAGTTCAAAACGACGTATACGCATCACAAGAATGTGTGCACGCTGAAACGGGTAGAGAAGATGAATGTGAAACGGAACCTGATGCACGACGTGGTGTGCGGGAAGCGGAGCATCGTCAGGTAGCGACGAGGGTGCAGGTGAGCGGCTGGCAACGGCGTGATTCCCCGAGCAGCCACGCGTGCAAGCACATTCTGCGCGGAGACTTGGGCGTCTCAACGAGCACCCGGAAACGTCTCGTGCTTCCGGAGCGTCCATCGGTTTTGCATGAAGCGAGCGCTCGAGGTAGTAATCGGTTCGACCTTCGCGGCGCCATGGTACTGGAACGCAGAAGGCTTGCGATGAAAAGAATCAGTGGCGGCGAGAGAGGGCTCTGGATTCCCGACTGGAGCTATGCACTGGTACGATATGGATCAGCAATCGAGTGAGACTCGTGTACTCTCATATATGCGCTGTGATTTGGATTCCCTGGCAGTTGGAGAAAGATCGTGCTGATCCATACTTCAGAGTTCATAAGTCTGCTGAATCGCATCGCTCAGCTTCGAGCAAATCCTCCTCGATTCGGAGTCCTTTCGGCTGGCGCAGCGTCGCAACTGCACGAAACCTCTTCGGCCATCTGTCGTGTTGCGTTGCGCTGCGAGCGCTTCAACGGACGTGGACGAACGAACTCTAGGCCTACAGGTATACGCACCCTATAAGATAGAATAGGCGAGCACACTGCTAGTCTCTGAGAAAACGCTGCGGGCGTCAGGTTCTCAAAAACTTTTGCCAGGCGCGCAGTCTGTTTTTGCGCGATTTGCTAGAGGCAACCCACTTGGCGTTGGTATCTGCTACGTTCGACCTTAAACAGTTGGCGCGACAGCTCTCGAACAAGCACTGCAACGCGGAGGCCCTTCACCGAGCCAAGGTGCTTCCGAACCTGCTGGAGGCGCCAGGAACGGACTGGCGCTCACTGCAGCACTAGGGCGATAGGGAACGTAGCGCGCCTGGCCAAAAGCCCAAACGACGGAGACGTTTTAGATCATTTCCAGAGTCTATGAACAGAGCATCCACGAATCTGACGTCTGGTGGCAACTGGTTTCAACCGGGAACCAGTGGCGCTTCCTCTGCAACTGTCCAAGCGGGACTCGCGGCACAGAACCCCGTTTGGGCGCCACCGCGCACTACTCCATGGTCCACTGGTGGAGCGACTCCGGTTACTCCCGTTGGGTCAACTGCACTGAATGCTGGCTCGTTCCCTGGAAATGTCGGACAGTCTTCCTGGGATACACAGACGAACAAGTACGCGGATGGCGCTGCCGGATTCCCGACATCGCTCTTTAGCTCCGCCAATGGAAGTGGAACTTTGGGAGCTACTCCAAACGCGACTTCTGGGACAGCGTCCGGCGCCTGGCCGTCAACTGCGGCGTCATCGGCATCGACGTCGACCCTGAAGCCAGCGACCGAGCTCGGCAACACGTCAACGTTCATGTCTTGGCCGAACAGTGCCACGACCGGGACGCAGTTCATCTCCACGGGTCAGGGGATGAATCTTAACCAGAATCCATTGAACGCTGGTACCGGAGGTGCGTTCCAGTCTGCATTCCGTACCACTGGCGGCGCTTCTGGTGCTACGACCGCGGCACCAGCACCTACGGAGCAGCGCGTTCCCGACTGGGTGAATTTTGAGGATCTGTCGCCGTTTATGCGTCAGCAGCTGCAACAGATGGAACAGCTTTGTCTGGAAATGCAACGTTTTGCAGATCATGGTGTTTCCGAGGAAAACCCACGTGCCACTACTGCGCTGCGCAAGCAACTGGCCGATGTAAACGGACAGGCAATGTCGCTACGAACTGCTCTGGCGCTTTCTAGTACACTAGTCGCTGAACTCAAAAGAGCGAAAGATGGAGCGATCCATTTTATGCAATATGTATGCGACCTGCACGAAGCTTTGCATGCAGCCCTATTCGATAACGGAACCAGAGAAAGTGGCGTCTATGGGAGCCAGCAGCTCGCTCCAGGGAGCGCAGCGCTTCCGTCGTCATCTTCTTGGTCGTCGTCGATGCCGTTGACTACGGCACGAGCCTGGTATGTTGAAAGGGACACAGCAGTGGCTCCGAGTCGAACGATCCACCTTCCGTCAAGTTTTATGGAAGCAGTTACGACGGCCTTGGAGCAGCGCGCAGCGCTCTGTGAAGAGAAGCTCACTCAAGTCACACAGCTGCTGGCAGCGATGGTGGGTTCGTCTTCGCAACCCGGGATACTGCACGCCTTGGGGATCGATGTCTCGGACGCTGCAGCTGCAAACTCGCAGCCAGAGTCTGGTTCTGGATCGGGGAGCCTGACCACCACCACCACCACCACCAACACCAACACCATTCAACGATTGCATAACACGCTCCGCAATGAGCACCTTTTGCTCATGCAACTAGCGGGCGCGGTGGCCATGCTCCACGAGCGCGTTCAAGCGCTCCGGGAATGGTTCACGCTGGTCTACCAGCAGCGTCGTCCCCGGGCACCGGATCCGCTACAGAACCCGTCGACGACGATGACGACGACGCAAGCGTCGGGGTTGGGGCAATGGCCCTTCGCCCCGATCCAGCGATGATATCATGGCTTGTGACCGGGAGCCGTTGTGGCTGGTGCGCGTTCAGGAATTGCATGTTGCTTCCAAAGGGAGCACCCACCTGCCAGAGGCGCATGGCCCTCGAAGCTCGCTTCTTGCCTTGCATCCATTGGATGTCCAGCGCATCGGATGTTGCGTGCTTCTCTTATGCCTTGACCATGGTTGCAGAAGAAAAGCCAGCAAGCGGCATACATCTCATACCGACGCGCGTGTAAGTGTGCACAATATGAGAGACGAGCGGAGAGCCTTCGCGGCGTCTACAGCAACATGAACCGCACCACTACCACCACCACCACCAGCAGCAGCAGCAGCAGCAGCAGCAGCAGCAGTAGAAGTAGTAGTAGTGTCTAGACTGTGAATGCTTCCGGATACCTGTAACAGGTTGACAGCGCTGCGGTATCCACGACGGATCCCATTCGCTTTCGAATACCACTTATAAACGTATTTGCGCACCGGCAACCGTGTCAACATCGCGAGCACCAAGCCCTAGCGATTCCAGTATTTCTTGACGAACGGTAGCGTCCCCGCAGGCGTCCAGGATGCCTCGGAGGCAGTGCCTATCCCGCGCACGTCTGACCGGGTCGAAGCCACTGAGGGACTGGACCATAGACCAGGCCTCCTGCCAGTTTCCGTCTTTCACCAGAGCGTTCGCCAGATATACAACAGCAGCTGCACGGGTTCCTAATCCAACACGGCGGCGTTCGAGATGTGCATAAAGCTGTCGCGCACGAGCCACATCCGCCTGTGCCGCGGCCATCTCCAGGATCGCCAACACCGTCGATTCGTGGAGTGATCGCTCGGTCTCTGCATATTCGCCACCATCATCAGTACGATCGCATATCCTGTACTCCTGGACGAAATCCCAGACGATGCCTGCCTGGCGGAGCGCACATCGCGCCTGGATCACGTACTCCACCGGCGGCAAGGCGTCGGGCGATATCGGAATTTCAGGGACCGGCCCGGACGCAGCGGTTCTTTCTGCCTCGCGCCCGTGCACGCTTCCCCCAGGATGCTCCTCATTCCGAGTCACGTACGCCTGCTGTAATGAATCCACGACAGCAGACCATTCTTGCATCACTGTGTTGGCCTCGCGGCAGCTGCCTGCTGAGGCAGCCGTCACATCCGCTGCGCGCTGCCGGTGAACACGCAGCGCCGCCTGTCGGATCGCCTGCAGCGCGTACATCGCCAGCTGCGTGCACCAGTGCTCGCGTGTCGGCTTCATCGAAGCGTTTCCCGCGTCCTGCGGATCCGTGCGCGATGCACACGTGTCCGCGGGATCCGTGTGTGCTGTCTGCTGCCATGCGTGCAGCATCTGCAGCAGGGGCGCGATCTGACCTGCGCTGGATAACGCGGCCGCCACCACACGTTGAACGGATAGCGGTGCGAGCCCGACCTGGGCGTCATGCATCGCAGACTGCTCTGGTGGCGCTCGTTGACGCATGTATGTCGTCGCTTGGGTATACATCGTCCAGGCAGCGTGTACGTCCCGCCGTCGCAGGCACGCTTCGATTGCGGAGCGCCAGGTGATCCAGTCTGGCTCGCAGCGTGGTGCAGCGCTCGCGGTGGCAATGCGCGTTGCCGGCGCGCGCATCATCGTGGTGATGAGCTCGAGCACGCGCTCCACTTGACCTAGGCGCGCCATCGCTTGGGCTGCAATATTGTACACAATGATGTCCAACGTCTCTCCTTTGCGTCTGGTGAGTAAATCGAAAACTACAAGGACTGCCTGATCGCAGCCGGCTCGCAGCAAGCTCGACATGATGATGGTGTATGCACCGAGGCTGTTCAGGTCGGGTCGGATGAGGCTCTCAGCTTGCTGAACGCTTGGTTTCCGTAAGAATGCCACGTGGGATGCCCAGGAGTCCTCTTTCCAGATCACTGATGCGCTGTAATCATCTACGCTTCGAGGAGCACTGAAACTGCGCAAGATGGCTATAGAGACTGCTCGGCGCAGGGTTCGTGCGTCCATCGAGTCCGATACCGCAGCCTGCGCGTACGGCTCTGTATCAATTCGTAAACTATTCGCGTTTCCTGGACTGTTTTTTCCTGGAAACTGCCCGTTGGTCAAGTGCGTGGTGTTCGCGGTGCCGCTGGAGACCACTCGATCTCCAGGATCCAAGTGTTTTCGGGCAGCGCTCGAAGCACATGTCTGAGGGAGCATCGAAACGACACTTCCCATGCCGAGTTCATGCAAGAAAGCTTCCACACGTCGCCCGTTGTTCACATCGTTGTTCAGGACACGCTGCACGCGCAAAAGGCATCGACCCAGGTGGAGCGCTTTGTTCAACGAAGGCCCTGCGGCACGCTGCTGCGCCGACGCAATGAAGAGGCGCAGTGCCTCGCGGGCTTCTTCAAGCCTTGATTCCACTGCAGATACATCCAGCAGGGTCGCTGTACACTGTTCAGGTCGTTTGTTCACTGCGTCCGCTGTCGAAGCGTTGCCTGTCGGTTCACGCGCCGAGTCAGACGCCTCCGAAGCCGTCGCCGTCATTAGATGCGTCCTAGCTTCACCTGGGTTGCGACAAGTCCATAGTCGGTAATATAGGGAAGCGTAGCTTTGCAGAGGTGGCAAATTAGGCTCTCTGATTGTACTAGGGCCGTTCTCAGTTCCGAAACTCGCGAGATACCGGGGCAGCTTCTTTTCGCGTGCGGCCGCTGCAGCGGCGGCTCTTTGTTTGGGGAACCAGTAACGCTCCAACCAGTGCTGGCGCTTTTTATCTCGTTCCTTTCGTCGAAGCTTAGAGTTCGATAGGCGCCCGCGGAACCGAACACCGCCGAGACGAGCGAAGAGCGTCGAACACAACCCCTCTTGTGAGTGGAAGGTTTGTAGAAGCCTCTGCATCCGAGCGTTCTCCAAGGGCGCTCATGCGACTTGAATCGCTGGAAGCTCGCTGCTCTGATCCACGAACTTGCACCACAAGTCCTCAGATAGCTTTTAACTTTGCTGAAAACGAAGCAAACGTCTCCAGCACGTAGACGACCGGGAGGTGATATCGACCGCTTCGAGCTGTGCGACAGCGCCCTGCAATCTCTAAGCGCCGCAACGGGTTCTGCACAGCTGCAACCTGGCAAGTCGATGTGTTTTGATGTGCAGACACGTAAAGCCTCGAGGTTTTGGCCATATTTTACGGATTCAGGAGTGATTTTCATTGTTGAACCAAGTCCTCGTACGAACAAGTCGGCAGCAGTAAGTAAATGCGCACAACAAGCTAGAGGCACCCAGGGCACCCCTTGCCGGGAAAGAACACGTATTGTGCACCGTCTAGGTCGTCTGCCCTGCCGCAGACCGTGTTGCGCTGGCTTTTCATGCTGTAACGAGGGATGCGTAGGACTAACCTTCGACTGATATCCGGGAGCCAAGTCGAAAAAGTAGGAATCGAAGCAGCGTGAACCAGCGAGTTGTTCTGGGGTTCCAGGGTCCTGCAACGAGTCGCTGCTCATCATACTGCCCCGCGTTCCCGTAATTAGCGGTCTCCATCCAGGTTCCTCAAGGCCTGAAACTCGCTGATATTTTCCGAACTCAGATCCCGGATACTTGAGGTTGAACGGTGGCGTCGGTCAGCAGATAGCTTGCGTTGAACATCATAGACGCAACCCGCGGCACAAGCGTTTGCCAGTGCGGCAGGCAGCACGTAGAGCTCCCCGTGTGCACAGTGTTCCTGGTGTCCGTACTCCTCTACATGGTGTCTGCGAGTCGCATGCGTAAGCACGCCGTCCTGAAAAGTCATGGGATGTATCGCATATCGGATGATATCTCCGTCCGGCGTGTGTGCACAGAGGGATCTTCTACGAGCACCTAACACGTGCAGTTGCAGAGAACGTTGCGTGCACCTTGGAGCGACGTATTGAAGCACGTGTATCGCTCTAGAACGTGCACTTTCTAGAGGAAGCGTGGGCTGTTTTGGAACCATGAAGCTCTAATTATGATGGTGCTGATCGACTCTGTCGAGCGACTCAGAGGTAGGCCTCGATTTCGTGCTGGAAACCTGAAACGGATGACATCCGCACGGCATCGTAATGATCCAGCTGGTCCGTGGAAGGGTACGGCAAAGCCTTTGTTGTGTCTCCGCACGACACTCGTAGCGGCGTGTTTTGTAGCCAAACCAGCACCCGCGGTGTGCTCGGCTTTCGAAGAGTCACTGGCTCTACCAGGTCTCTATCCCCAGCGTGGAGACTGGTCTAGAACTAGTGTGAATCGAAACTATCGGTGAAGGAGCTGAGTTTGCTTTCCCGGTTGCCGGCGTTCAGTACTGGAGCATCCAGGAGGACCTGCTTCGATCCAGCGATGTCACACCATTACAAACCGTTTCCTGAATATCAGCTTCGAAGCTATGTGCACCTGCCGCGAACGACTTGCGCTGGAGACCATGGTGTGCGTGATCCGCGTCCAGTTCAGCACGGAGCACCGACAAAAGCTGCCGCCACTAGCGTATGCGTTCCAGCGTCAATCATCGTCGATGACGTTCTTTTCGGAAGCATTGCAACGATAAAATAGGCTTGGCGTCGTCTGATTCGGCGCTTCCTGCAAAAGCTCATCGTCGCTTGAGGCGACCAGCATCCCGTGATGCACTGGAATCCTTGTATGCGTCACTGCAAGCACTGGACACTTCATAGGAATCCGCTTGAACAGGGTCAGCCGATTCCGCGTTCCACTGAGCTCCTGAGCAAGGTTGCGAGTCGGTTTACAGATCTCTAAAAGACGAAGCATACCAAGCCGTGGTCACAAGAGCTCTACAATACAGCAAGAATCTCCGTGGCTCCTGTCCTTCTATGCAATGATACCAAACGAAACATCGAAAAGGCCGTTGCCACGGAGCGAACGCAAAGCTGCGGCGGGCGCTCGCCACGCAAGATCCGCTCAGGTGCCTTGACTCGTTTGGAGGCGCCCTCTGACGCCTGTTCCAACTAACGGCGCTGTCCAGCCAGCATCGTTCCATCTCCATTTTTGGGTCGATCACAACTGCACGCGAGATCAGCCAGGCCTGAAGGCATGACAACCGCGTGTCCACAATAATCGTGCCCGTGTAGCCCATGGGCACGTTCAAAGGATTGCCGATTTGCAGACCGGGCACCGCGCTTTTTGCCGAAGCCAGGGATCAATGCACTGCTGATGATACTGATGAAGGCACGGTAATACTCGAATCCGTTCCTCAGGTAGAAAGAAATCTAAACAAACAACACAAACTGATGTGGTATCATCTGGTTCGGTTCGCTCCTCCTCGGACTGCAGTTTGCAACTCGATGAAGCTGGCTTGTTCGCGTCCGAGTCCGCGGTCTCGGCGGGCTTCAGGAGCGATGCCGTGTCGGTTTGTGTGGCGGCGGGTTCAGCGTGAGCCCCTGCCGTCGTCGGCTCCGTCGGTGACGCCGCTTCCGTCCGTGTTGTCAGGTTCTCATGATTGTCCATTAGTTTGGAGCGCTTGCTCTCGGATGTGGCACTTCCCCGTTGCATCCATTCCTTATACGTAAAACAAGGAAGTAGGTCTATGGCATCTTGGGGCGCCCCGTGCAAAAACTCTTGCATAGCCGCTGCACCGGAGTCCAGTTCTAGGAGCAATTCGTAGTCTTGTGGAGTGAAATCACGGTCTACGAGTGACAGGCGCTGCATGATCTGGATGTACCTTAACTCCTGGGGAGACAAGAGGTGACGCGGCGGCGTCTCCAGGGCGACACGCCAACGCCAGCCGTTCGCTTGTCGCCGTGCTGTGCGCGCTCGTCGTCGCACCGCGCTGCTGGTGCCCCAACGCCCGCTCCCAGGGCCCCTGTAGCTCGCGTAAAAACGCACAAGCGCGCCGGCCAGAAAAATGACGAGTCCCAAGAGCGCCGTCAGCTGCACGTCACGGTCTAAGAATATCGGTATAAACGAGAGCGCTGCCAGCACCAGGAAAATACCCGACACCAGCAAGCGAGCCTTTCTCACCTGATCCACGAGGAGGCTGTACTCATCTACCACGGTGCCGTGTAACGCCAGCAACGTGCAGTGGCTCTGACTCACGCCTCGCCGTCAGCTGGTGTGCGTAGCCGTTGCCGCTTAGGCCCCAACGGTTCGCCCGTGCGTTGTCCACAAAAGGTCCCCAGTCACCGCCGTTTCCAAGCTGGCCGTTCTGCCAACGATTTCGCTCTGTGCCGACATCATCCATCTTTGACGAAGGTGAAGCGATACTCCACGCTGCGCAATACAACTGCTCGCCCCGTCAGCCGCAACCTTCGGGAGACACGCACGCACACCCCCCCAACTGACGCCTACACACGCACGCTCGAACGGAATCGAGATCATCATGCGTGCCGGTGTGCGCAGCAGCAGCCGGCGCGCGATGCCTTGTCCGAATCACCCAGGCGTCAGCGACGCTTCCGCCTTCGCCGCCTGCTGATCAGCGCAAATGGCGCTTGGCAATGTGGCGAGGGGGCGGCAGCGGCGCTGTTTTTGCGCCCCTGTGCAGTAGCGCGCTCCTGCCTGGGCGCAACCGCTCAACGGATCGCGGTGTACGCCAGCGCGTGCACGATGATACGGAGCGCGCTTCTCGCCTTTCAACTCAATGACGTTCCACATCAAGGTACGTGTCGTCAAATGCTTTTCGCAGTTTGCAGCAGGTGTGTTCGAAGTATGTTCAACTAAAGCAATAAAAATTCAAGTGGGGGTTATGGGCATGGTAGTTAGGGGTTTCGGAGAGCTCTCCATGCCACGTCCGATGAAAACAAATCAAAAAAATTTTCTTCTTGCTGATCATCGGGCGAACGAAAGCAAGTGATGAAGAAGCAGAAGACGAGGAGATATGGGCGAGAAAAGGAGTTTGCCCGACGAGACAATGCCGAGGTTGTATTGATACAGAGGGCGTGAGTAAGAGGAATGCTTGCATTGTTGACTTCCGCCAGCGGCAATGTACGCGAGGAGCTTATGAAACGAGAGTTCAATGCTGGTATCAGTATAAGATGAATTGTGTTGCTGGAGACGGAACCCGAGGCGCTGACGCGAGCCGCCTTTGTAAGGTAACCTCTCAGCGTCGAAGTGTGCCTGGATAAACTGTAGCGGATACCAGGCAGTCGGTCAAAAAAGGCTGGGAGGCGTCGAAAAGTGGGTGAATAGATATACCCCCATGGTCGTGACACATTGTTCGTTGTGCTCACCACGTATGTAGATGCTGGTGCGAGCACCGTATGCTATGGCAACAGGGTAATGCTTTCCTATGAGAACGGGCCCTGGGTCCTTTGGCTCCGATGCCGTCTCGTGCATGCCCGTATGCATCGCATCACGCTCGGCAGCGTGATCGACGAGCCCGTTTGGAGCATGTCACACGTGTGTCTCGGTGCGGTATAATTTCGGAACTCTCGAATCACCGGTAGAGTCTTTATTGTACTAGAGCTCGCTTTAGCGGCACGACAGACTCGAATGCGTGACGCGTTGGCGGCCGTCAGAGCGCCACTAAGGGCTGTGGTGGCTCGGCTATCTTGCCCCGGCACATGGACATATTATTCCGTTTCCCCATCATAATCACCAGAGCCGCATGTTCCATGTCCATCCATACTGCCTGCTCAGATTGCTGCTCAACCGACTACGCTTGTATGGCATACGCATTAGGCCATCGAAGCCAATAGGCGCTTGAGACTAGAACGCAACAGCTGCAGCCATGCATAGTTGCCTCCTCGTGCGGCTGGCGCCCGCTAATGTTTGCGTTTGCGCAGTCTCATACAAGCGCGGCCTTCGTCACGTCAACAAAATGAGTCTTATTCGGCACCAGGTGGCGTAGTCGAGCGGTCTCCATCTGAGCATGCGATCGCCACGCACACCTGCAACGACCGCCGCTGTATCGATGGCGAGCTTAGTTTTCCTGGTTCAATGCATCCATCCGACACCATCTAAAACAACCAGCACCGCTGTATCGATAGCGAGCTTAGTTTTCCTGGCTCAATGCATCTATCCTACACCATCTAAAGCGATCAACACCGCTGGATCGATGGCGACTTTGGATTTCCTGGCTCAATGCATCTATCCGACACCATATATGGCGAGCAACGCCTCTGCATACCTGGAGTCTCTAGCAGTGTACACGCTTCCCTGAAGCAGGCTCATCGCGTGAGCCGGCCCCGACCAGCACCCAGTCCAGACAACGCGATCGTCGAAACGGATGATAGCTGCAGCTGTAGCAGTGGCAGTAGCAGCTGTGCGTTCGCGTAACCAGCTGCCCTATCCCGGAGCGGCCGCTCGTAGACGCGAACACACGCGCTGCCGTCGATGCCCGGCGGCGGGGCTGCGCTGGGCAGCGCGTATCGACAACGACGGACGCTTTTGTCGAGCGTCTTTAGCTATAGTGCGACTACTACTACTGTTGCTGCTGCTGCTGCCGCTGGTGGTGGTGGTGCTATCATACACAGGTTGTTGAGCTACTGGTTGAGCTTGTTGCTACGCAACGAACAGCGTTTATCATGAGAGACGCATTGTACCTCGCTTTCGTAGCGCCTTTTCTACAAAAACAGTCGACGCGTAGGTTTACCGGCTTGAAGGTCAACGGTGCGTCGTCCGCGAATCAAATGTGGACCTGGAGCCGAACCACGGGACTAGAAGGACCTTCCTGCAGAGGCCAGCAAGCCTTGCCGTTTCAAATGACAACCGCGCCTGAGACGTCCAAGGTTTCCACGCGCAGTGTTCCGGGTTGGACTGTGAGCGGGTCTACAGACGACGTCATCGAGTTACTCGTTCCTGAGGCAATGCGCCCTGAACTCGAGGCCGAAGCACGAACGTTGCCGCGCGTTGTGCTGACCGAGGAGACCGACCTGCAGTGGCTTCACGTACTGAGCGAGGGCTGGGCATCGCCCCTGCGCGGCTATATGCGCGAAGAGGAGTATCTGCAGTGCCTTCATTTCAATTGCTTGCGTTCTACGAGCGGAACTCTATACAACCAGTCTGTGGCAATTGTGCTCACGGTAGACGATGCCCAGCGACAGGCCATTGAAGCCAGCGGGCGGAACGCTATTTGCATTACATGGCACGAACGGCCTGAGGAGCCCCTTGCTATTCTCCGGAACCCAGAGTTCTACGTTCACAACAAGGAGGAGCGCTGCGCGCGACAACTCGGGACGACGCACCCCAAACATCCCTATGCAGAAGTCATCTATCGTTCAGGAAACTGGCTCGTAGGCGGTGACTTGCAAGTCCTCAAGCGCATCAAGTACAACGATGGTCTGGATGCATACCGCTTGACTCCGAAAGAACTTCGTCGTGAGTTCCACAAACGCGGTGCCGACGCTGTTTTTGTGTTTCAGCTGCGGAACCCGATCCATAATGGACACGCGCTGCTCATGACGAGCTGCCGTGAAGACCTCCTGCGTCGTGGCTACCGCAACCCGATTCTACTGGTGCACCAGATTGGTGGTCGCGTCAAGGCCGACGACGTACCGCTTCGAGAACGCATCCTACAGAACCAGGAAGTGATCGCCGAGGGCATTCTTGATCCAGAATCCACCATGCTCGGGATTTTCCCTAGTCCTATGATGTACGCAGGCCCAACCGAGGTGCAATGGCACGCCAAAGCTCGCATGAATGCAGGTTGCCAGTTTTACATCGTTGGTCGGGACCCAGCTGGGGTCAAGCACCCTGATGGCGATCGCGACCTCTACGATCCATGGCACGGGAAGAAAGTGCTCCTGAGCGCGCTCGGGCTCGAACGACTCGAGATCCTCCCGTTTCGAGTGGCGGCCTACGACAAAAAGATCGGGAAAATGGCGTTTTTCGATCCATCGAGAGCAGACGACTTTCTGTTCATCTCGGGTACTAAAATGCGGGCGTTTGCCGCACGCGGGGAATCACCACCTGACGGATTCATGGGTGTGCGTGCGTGGAAGGTGCTCGAAAACTATTACGCACAAAAACGAGAAGCGCAGGGGTCCTCTTGACAAATCAAAAGCCCTTAGAGACCTCTTGTTAGGCACTTGGCAACGCCTTTTCGAACCAACAGTTAGTATCCGCAGCTCGGGGAACGTTCATGCACGCTGTGGGTCGGATATGAGCAACGAAATAGCGCTGCTTCTGCTGCGGGTGCTTCTGCTGCGGGTGCTTCTGCTGCGGGTGCTTCTGCTGCTCCATCGTAGCCTTGCTAAGCGTCTGTGCATATGCACTCAGGGGAAAAAATTCGGCTGGCAACGTGCTCCCTCAAACGTGAATCTGCCGTCCAGAGCTTTGCTGGTCGCCTAACAGCATTAGGCAAGAATGTTGCTTTATTTGAGAGCATATCGATGGTGAGAACCCTCGACTCGACGATAGGCTCTTCAAGATGAGGTCGTCCAGCGCAACATAGCGCCATAGCGCGCACGCCAGCGTTCGTACCCGATCAGGAGTACCTCGAAAGGCCCTGGCGCTCCCCGAAAAGAATGACCGAATAACGCGTACTAGCGCTGGTTGGCCGTATCGATCGCACGGGAGTGAACCGTTTGCGTCGTAAGCCCCTGGTGCATCGCAGTCGCGAGCCTGACGGGCACAAGTCCCTTGCGAACACCGGTGGCAGATAGTCGAGGCACCAGCTCCGTCGACGAAGGCGCTAGCAGCGAAGCAGGACCAGGGGTTTCCTGGTTAAGTTCATCGGTTCTGGACCATGAAAAAGCAAAGCAGCAGGGTAAACTGGCTATCGCGGAATCCCGCCATACTTTACTCAGTGACGGCTAGGCTACCCAACGCAACATCTTTCGCCAAGACGCGGTCTCACAACGCGGTGCGCTCTGCAAGCACATCCTGCAGGTCTCGCTCCGAGTCCGTGCTTAGACTGTTATTGCACCCAAACTTTTCAGTGACTCTATCCTTAGGTGCTGAATTTACGGCAAGCATCCCCGTGACGCAGTGCGTTGCCCCCGACCGCGACACAGGCGCGGTGGCTGGCCAGTGAACAGTCAGCTAGTACCAAAACTTCGCTGAGTACTCGACATCACCCGCGTTAGAACGAAATGGTTCGGGTCGACTCGGCGAACTCACGTGTAAACAGTAGAATGTGCATTCCTTCCTACTGTCATCAACACCAGGCCTTGCGTACGTTTTCTCGTATTGCTTTCTTTTCCTCTCTCTTTCATTCCCGTCTTTAGATACGCCCGTTGGCCCGTCTCTCAAGCTCTGTTGTCAGGAGTCATAGGATGTTCGTGACAGCTTCCAACTGCCATTTTCATAGCTTGTGGCTGTTGTCGATGCATTGCATGCCATGCTGTACATAGCCATCTATGCTTCACTTGCAATTTTTACCTTATTGCGGACAGTGTCGGTGCTTCCCTCGATGCGGTTACACTCGACAGCTTTCAGATGCACCGATATATCCACAAAATCATCTGTTCTGATTACCGCCCTGTGCCGCATAAGCGTTTGCTTCAGCGCTCTCTTCATAGCCTTGATGGCTGCAGAAGTTTTTTTCAATACCCTCCTCCGTTCCCGCGCCCAATACCGTAGCGTTATATCACGAAAGCGTTCCGGGCGATCACTCGTCGAGTGTTCTGTTCGCTCTGCAGGCACACGTGCGTTGTTCCATTTGAGGAAGGATTTGTGGAACGCGATGTTGATCATGATGAAATAAGTACTGTATTGGAAATCCAGAGTGGAGATCAAGGTGAGTAACTTCGATCCGTCTATGCTCGCTTCTTGTAGAGTGCTGACGAACGCTTCACAGGAGGCAATCGCTCGGATGACTTGAGTCCGAACCCAAGACCATTCGCCATGCAAACATAAAAGACGTGTGCCTCCAGAGCATATCCGGTAGAAATTATCACGCTTCTGTCAAATAATGCTTCCACAATGGTCACAAGGAGAGGAGGATTTGTGTTTAGACCGGACTCGATAATTTGATGCGAAAGATTCAGTGCTCTTCCTGTATGACATTAAGAAGAAATCTTCAAGGAACGAGGAGCAGTCTTTTTCGCATCAATCCAGCGGCGCGAATTCCAGCGCCACGAATTGCCTCAGAAACATCGAGAACATGGCTAGAGTGTGATTTGAGCAAACTCCTCGTAATGAATGATGAAGCTTGGAGGCTTGTTCGTATCAGTTGGACGATCAAATCGGTTACACTACGAATCCTTGTTCAAATACATCGCGAGTTATTTGGATCCAGGTGGCGTAATGATGTCAACGGCAAAGAGTCAAAGAAGCGACGCCCAAAAGGTGACCCAGAATCCCCAAGCTACATATAAGTGCTATAGTCCGCATTGCAGCAAGTTGAATCTCGAGACTCTACACCTAAAAAGAGTTCGGCAAATGTCGAAATGCAAGAGCAGATCGAGTACTTCAGTGTTCCATTTCGACCCGACACGGGTGTGGAATCCATCACGCACAGCGAATGCCGCAAACCTACTCCACGCTGCACATGTAGACCGCTACCACCAACCTCAGTACGAGGCCTACGTGCGCCCTCTTTCAACGGCATATCCATAATCCGCTCAGGACGGTTTCATCCGCGCTTTCTACACGGCCTGCTCGTTTATCTCACCAAGATGATCGATGCAACTGATTCGCAGCGTCGACGTTGGTTTCTGGATGCGGCAACGTCGGCGTATGTCGTCCAGAGCGATCTGAAAATATTCCACCGGACGAGCGGAATCTAGAAACTCATCGTGATCGGCTACATCTCCGTCAACATAGTACCCGATATGACCAATGCCATTTGGTGCAAATATGTGCACGAATCCATTGGCGTCTAGTGTTATGCGCGGTGAACGGCCCACTGCATGTAGTGGATGACTCGGGCGTTCACTGGCGGAGGCGCCGTTAGTAACAGGTAGCATACGAGTGACCGAAGCGTGTGGTGCATTCGCAACCTGATAAGGAACACGCGCATCATGCTCTAGTCGCTCGGGTGATGGTAGTGGTGATGCGGCTGGTTGCGCAGTGAACGAGGCCCAGTCCGGCTCTATCTGCTCTACAACAGCAAGTGCACCAACAAAGTGCCGATGGAAATGCAAGCGGCAAGCAGCACTCCTATCCCAGTGCGGTTCGTGTGCCTCCCGCTCTGGATCTGGGTCTTGCACCGTGAAAAGACGGTAGAAATAGTCAAAGCCGCGGGCCATGATACCACCACCGCGGCACGGATGCGGAAGCGACAGACAGTGACCCAGTTCATGCAGCATCGCGCCAATTGTTGTGGAGGCCAAGGCCCAGCGTTCACCGCGACCGGCGCTATCATCGAAGAAGTTAATTGAGTCTACGCGTCTCCGATCACTAAAGCGCTTTGGCACTTCTGAGAGCGTCTGTGGCCATGCGTACATACCACTGGAGCCAAAGAGCGCTAACGTGCCTCCACCAAGTGCTGTGTGTCCATACACACGGCCTGTGCTCGCATCTTTTGACGTGAAAGACATGACAGCCACGTCGATACACTGCTGGCGGTTAGATATGTTCGAGAGCTCCTCAGCAATCATACCCCAGAGCGCGTCACCCGAAAGTGCATGCAGCTCGGCTCGTGTCCGCGACAGACGCCTTACATGAACAGGTACATCATAGGCGCAGTGAATCTCTTCGATATTCCCTGGCAACGGAGTCGCACACGCAGCGCTCATACGTTCAATGCAAAAGCTCAAATGACCGAGGCCTTGCTCATGAAGCAACTCTGCGGCAGCTGTTTGCATGAGTCGTAACGCTAACGCGAAACGGCGCACGGCGCTCGCAAGCATACAGTCTTCGTCGGGCGGAGCTTGGAAACGCACCTCCACGGCGTCTCGCGGCACGACGTAGACTGCTCGGACTACATAGTCCCAGGGGACGTCCAGATAGTGAACGCGAAACTGCAGTTTCGCTGGCCCGCTCAGCGGACCCGCAGCGACAAGGTTTACCCCTGGTTGCAGCCAGACTAACGCTCGAAACCTACCATCGCAGTTGCGCACAGGCCAAGGCGTTCGTTGCTGTTCAGCAACCAAACTACCTGGTTGAGCATTTGCCAAGTAAACGACGACGCACGTGAGGTGCTCATTGAGCGGCACCTGACCGCATATCAGAAGCAACGGAAACGTTACAGCTTCGTCTGGTCGGAGGTTCTCAACCCGCCATCGCACCATTCACGCCGTTCGAAAGTCGAACGACGCGAACGGTGTACAGTAGTGGCGGCAACCGCGCCCTAGACGAAACGTATACAACTGACGTTCAGACGCCTTCCAGCCTTTTTGGACCGGCCACCCACTACTGCTTCCAACTTTTTCGCATATAGTTCGACTTTGAGGGGTTGCCTAACAACATTCTCTCGTGTCAACTCCGGAGGTCTCTTCTCCAGCACCGCGCATTTCCTTAGATTGATGGCGGCATTAAAATCTCGATTCACGAATTCCATCCGTTTCTTGCCATCACTGGCTGTATTCACTAATGCGAGTAATCCTCGCACTTTTGCCCTCCTTTCCATTTGCTCCCCCGTCAGCGGCCCATACTTTTTTATATCCTCAGGGCACCTCTGGCACTTTTCCATCTCGACCCTCTGAAGTGTACACCCCAGTTCAGGGTGTATATAGGACGTCCGGAACTCATCTATAGGTATCGTAACGAAACGCCGTGCACACTCCTTGTATATTCTTGTCGTTGGAGCAGGCGTAGTTCCTTTTTGGGTCTTCCAACACCCTGCCCCATACGCTACGAAGAGCCTCTGACCTTCATCCTCCTTCAAGGCGCTCAACTGATTGGAAAAAATTCGCGAACGCCCGCTGCCTCCCACCGTATACATTCATACGCACTCGAATCCACCGAGGCTTGGTATACTCCTCCCACAGCGCATCCCAATGAGCAACACGAACTTCCATCAATTTCAGAAAAGCCTGAAAGTCCGCATTCCGGCTCGTCACCTCACTCATAGCTTCCAGGCGATCCTTCATTCCTTCGTTCCATGTCTCAATTTTCTTCCTTGCATTCATTATACCGGATTCCCGATAATATCTTGCTCTCGAGAACCCCAAAGTTCGCATGTCTTTCTGACGTAAGCTACCGTCAATGACATCTTCCGCACGCTTGGGTGCTGCGATGGTAATGATATTCGTATTCCCAGGGTCCGCGCCAACGACAAAGTCGTTATCCTCTACCTGCTGCGTCGCTGGATCCTCCTTCTCCTTTTCTCCATGCTTCGTCACGGGCTCAGCCGAAGGCAGGACTGGACGATCTGTCTTGAACCGCCCATAGTGTACACACATGGCTACTCTATCGGATTCCATCATCCTCTTGAATACCTTTTGTTTACTCATTTTGAGACGTTTGAAATCTAAGATATCCTTCCAGTACGTCTCCCGGTTTTCGCCGGTGAAGTCCTCCCTGCTAGCATCAAACTCGGGATTGATATCCCTCATGATGCCGTTATGGACGCCGAAGTCGATACTCACAAAATGTGACTTGATGTTGCACAACGGAACGCCGTTGAAGCGCTTTCCCGTTAGGAAAGCCTTCCGTCTCTCCCACTCTTCATTTTTTTCCCCACTCAGCTTCATCTCTGCCTTGCGTTCGAGCTCTCGGTCCAGAAACACAAAATAGCGCAGGATGAGGCCATGATATCTTTCCTTACCGTTTTTCAACTCTGATATCTTTTCTGCTAGATTCGCCAGCCCCAAGTCTGCGCGGCGCTCTTGAATAGCCGCACGGATTACAGAAGCTTCATTCGTGCTCTCGTTTGACGCCTTCTTGTCGACGAATTCGATCTCATCTTCACGCTTGCGATCTTTCGTGATGCCGTCGATAATCGCCCATTTTCCATTGCGAGACAGACCCGGGTAGAGTGCAGCCACGCGCGTATCATGAAACGTTCGAGGTTCATGTTCAAATGGTTCTTCAGATTCGTGAGGTACTTCATAGCCCCATAGTCGTAAATATCCCGGTCACCCTTGTATCGAGTACCCTCGAAGCAGAATTTCGCGAAGTTTTCGTGGAGGACGTGCACCCGCTCATTTTCCCTCCATGTTTCCTCTGTACCAAGCATCAGCTGACGAACAAAGGTCTTATCGAAAAACTCGTCCGGAATCTCGACCATTTCCACGTGCGTCACGTCGCGATACATCTCCCTCACCAAATGCATCAGTCCTGATGACGCCTTGACAATACTCTTGGAGTACGAATCGACACGGTTCCTAATGGCCTCTCGCAACTTTTGTTTGTGAGGATCCTTGTTATGTTTAAGAAGACAGGTTTTCACCACCATCTCGTCGTACTGTCTTCTTTCTCGCAGCCTTGGACGTGCGGCCTCCTGCCTTTGCTTCTTCTGCCCTTCCTGTTCTTCTTCGCCCCGCCATGTTTTTCGTGTTTCTCCACCAACCGGCGACACAGGGCCCCAGGATCCTCCGCTTCCACTTCCATAACTTTCCATTTTTAATTTTTTATAACGCTCTCTGAACGCTTCTGCTCCAAACAGCGAAAAATCACTTGAATACACTTGCTTGAGTGTTGAAACACAATTGAACTGAATAATATACGTTGCTACGACTTTAATGAAAATAAAATTTGCCGGGTAGAACAACACGCTACAGATTAGGATTCCATTCCTCTTCAACGGCGACATGCGCGTCGTGTCTCGTGACCACCTGATCCGGAGGTGCGCGTACCGACCGCGCTATACAAACGAAGAGCAAAAATGAATCATTAAATAGCGACGAGGTAACAATGTCTTTCTTCCTCTACGAGAAACGTAAAAAGGATGAAAGTTTTTCGTATTGTGGAAAAGTTTACCTTACAGGCGGAGGGTCCTGCGAGCTGGACGATTCTGCTAGGCTGGTGCTCGGTGTGCCTCTAAAGTGGCGGATGCTGTAGCGAGACCTGCGCAGCTCGTCCGCAACGCAGTTTTTTGGGACTAGGGGCAACAAAGCCGCGTCTGGGCGTCGCCCTGTTGCGGTGGTCTCCTAGTATATCGTTTCGCGCTGCCGCAGAAAGTACGTCCGTCAGCGCAGCTTGCAGACTCTCAGAACTATTATGTACTCCGAGACGATGCCAGGTGCACCACGCCTCGAGCCGACGCCCTCAGTAGTATGGCAAAGCCGTTCTGTCTCCGTGCAGCATCCGCACCAGCGGTAGGCGCTACATCTGGTGCTGACGCCAGGCACTTGCTGCACGATAGAATGTACGAGACAACCTGTATATCCTCGAGGAAGTATAAGAAATGAAGCTTGAAGGTAAGTGCATCATAGTGGACGCTTTCCCGAAAGCAAATATCCATCCCGCAATCTGGGATCCATGGTCAATATAAACGTCTTGTCATCGAAATATGCCTCCCGACTGGGGGACGCGTCAGCGTCGCAGCGCATCGCTGCTGGCGACCCGACGGCTGGACACGTTTCCTCTGCGTATCTGTGCCGCACGGCGCTGCAGTGCCTGGAGACTCCAAGAAGTGGGGTGTGCGTTTTGTTTGACGGATCGGTAGTGGTTGGGTGTGCTACAGTTCCACGAAGCAAACCGTTCTGCTTAGTTGTGTTCTCTCTAGAGTTCTTTCCGCGGAGGCCTGAGACTTAGCGAATTTATTTGTTATGAGCAAGAAAGGCGGAGACGTCCCCGAGTACGTGTACGAGCCATACCAAGGTGACGGGTACGCACCTCCTCCTCCGGCAGCGAACTCTAGTAGCGTGTATAGGTACCAGACAGGTACGAATGCTGTGCCGCCGCCGCCGCCTCCGACGCAGAACGGCGTCGCTTATGCTTACAGTCCTGCGGGGGCGCCGCCGCCACCGCCACCCCCAAACTTTTCTTATGCCTACAGCGAGGCCCTGCCGGACGGCACCTCCCGACACTATTATTACGCCCAGCGGACCTACTCGAACGCGCATGGGCGGTATCAGAACACGAACTTTGACCAGAACGACCAGCTTGCGCGGGGGTGTCTCTACGCCTGCTGCGAAGGTATGGCGGCTGGTCTGTGTGCGGCGCTGACCTTCGAGTGTTGCCTCGGTTTGTGCGGTTTCTGGTAAGCAATTGGTCAGGGGTGTGCCATGCGTCTCGTGGCTCGATCAATAGACAGCTCACACCATCATGGACGATGTGGCCGAACTTGGAGTATCATATGGTTTGCGCCCCGTAGCGGGCAGCTCTGTGCTGCGTAGACAGGTCTCTCCGAACCGTTGCATATGTCATCCAGGATTTTGCATGTTATATATGAAGAACCCCTCCTGCAGATCGAGGAAAATCACCGTCTTCGGAACGCGAGTAGTAACCGGTCTGTTCCAGCTGTATGCGGATTGTCAGCCCGAGGTTTACTGGCAATAAATCTGGTGCTTTTCGGAAAATAGATTGAGCATCTCGAAGGGTACATCGTAAATGCTGTATTTTCTGCATAAAGTTACATCAAAAACATGCCAAGTATCAGAGGCATAGCTCACGCCCCGGACCGTCTCAGTCTTAGCGGGATCTGCACCGGACCCTATCAGAAAGTTACTACGCACACTGGTGTATGCGTTGTCCGAAATTCGCCAACTCTACTTCCATAGTGCCGTACGGTGTAGAGGCGCGAAGCGTCCAATGAACCTGTGTGCGACAAGTCCAGCTCGGCCAATTTTCTGTGGCGCTGGGTACGTATCCACGCTTGTCGTACGTCGAAGGGCGGCTTTGCGATGCTTTCATTGATGTCGGCCCGAGGGATCGAGCACTCTGCCCCGTGCGACGTCATACTGAAGAGGGATCGTGTGGCTGGACGCATAGCGTTTCCGTCTTTGACATCATCACTCGTGTGACAGTTTTCAATAAACTCGAGACAGCTGATCTTCAGCATGCCTGGTTACTAGGACGCACCAAGCAACACGTATGCCGTACCATTAAGAGACTGCCTTACAAAGCAGCAAGAAGCAGAAGCAAAACGCAGCCATACAGAAGGGTGGCGCTAGCGCTGGCAGTCCACAACAAACTTGGATGCTTCCAGCGAACTCAAACGGGTTACGCCTCCATTCTTCTCCGCGCACACAAGCAGCTAGCAGGGACAGTACGAAAGCTCCCGTTCCACGCGCGAAATAGACTACAAAAGGTTCTGCTTTATGATTATGATACTTGTTCTTGCCTTTATATGGAGCCGGCCGCTGCCGAATAAAAACTATCTACCGACAAGAGAACAGACTCTGCCAAGCTAATTCCAACTTCGGATGCACGTACTTGCCAACTGCGTTCAAGGGTTTTTCTGAAGACTGCACGTTGCGACTGCGGAGCCCGGCACCGCATCAGTACGCCAACTAGCGTTTTCATGGTGCAGAATCGATGAATATAGCTAGGCCAATGTCAAACTTCAATGCAACTGGTCCACGTACCGACTTTGGGCGAAGAATCTAAAGCCTCGGCCTCATCCAATGTCATCAACGCCAGCATTTACGTATTTTTGCTGCGACTGGTCCCATTTTCTCCTTTTTTCTGGATTACGATACGCTGGTCCCTCCTTTTGCTCAAGTTCCATTGTCAGTAGCCGAAAGACCTAGATGACGGCATTATATTTCCTTTTTCACCATTTTTGGAAGTTGCCCATACAATTCATGCACAGGCGGCGGTTGCGACATGCGCGTCGTTTGCGATAAGGGAATCGTCTTGGCATACGGTCGCGCTGTACCCGCTGCAGGGGTGACACTTGAGACTGGTCAGGCGTTCCCTCAGATGCACACGAGCTCCCCGTCATCCTCCTCTTCCTCCAAGGGCCGCCCCACGGTACCTGAACGCTCCCCTCACCACCCGGTACATGCCCATGACGGGTGCAGAGTGCCCCCATGGGTGCCCGACTCCGTTGCGCGCTGTGCGCTACGTTTGCGTGCTTGTTCTGGGCGATCCCCTAGGAGCGGACGTCGTACGCTCGACGTGCAAGCGCACCATGTTCCATTCGACAGAGCCTGTATGGAATGCAACGTTGTCCGTGGTGTAACGAGTGGCCGACGGAAAACCCAGGCTGGAGATTTGTTCGAGAAATTTGGATTTATGTTCACTCATTTCGTGCTAAGCTGCGACGCGTCCTCTACAGGAAGCGATCGCTACGATCGCTCAAGTTCGAGTCCATAACCGTATTCCGTGCAAAGAGAACAGACAGGAGCCTCTAAGGCATATTCCGTGGGACTTGTGATGCTTCATTCGAATGGAGCTTCCCTGATGTCCACAATAGGGGACGATTTGTCTTCGGAACGGAACCGATCATCGGACCTGAATCGGGCGGTGGTCTTTCAGCATGAGCTTGTGGGCACGTCGCCAAGGGACGACGCGGGCTACTACGTGCTCTCGTCGATCCATCGGCGCAAGTCGCTGTGCCCAACGAGCATCCTTGCAACAAAATAAGCGAAACCCCGGGAAGTCGGTGATTTGAGCACACTCCTGGCTGTCCAATTTGACAAGTAGAGGCTTGAACGTAAGCGTTGGATAATGGCATGTATTGATTTACGAAAACTTGCTCTAAAGCGTCCTGAAAATGGCGATTTCGGTAACGTAACAAATTCCGGCGGCAGAGCGTCGTGTTTGCAAGTCCCAGAGGAAAACAACGCAACCTTAAGCTACGGTGTAATCCTTACGCCCTCACTGCTTGAATTCGAGTGTGCAGGCTGTACACCTGGGAAGGGTTCGCAAAAAATCGCTAGCCAGGTACAGGGCGGGCGTTCAGTCTTGTACTTTAATCTGATACAGGCGCAGCATCGCAGCCGGGCGTGCTGTCGCCCTGATATGAACGCTCCTATACAGCCATCTGCTCGCGCTAGTTGCAGATTCCTCATCGTCGGGGAAGGTGCTCTTCTTCCAGGGAGCGGTCGATGCCTGCTGCAAATTCACTACGCCACACAGTTCCTCAAACGAAGACCAGCCATCCCTTACGCCCTCAATAATCGGGTTACTGACCCTACTCGCCAATGTGACCCTGAGCGGGCGCCATTCTGAGCGAGACCCGAGCGCTGCGTCTTCCGATCATGCGTGGGACAAACTCTCCCCACAGTTGTCCGTCGAGTGCCTGCCTGGGGCGCCACGATAACAATCGCTCGTGATGGCCCCACCTCGGGATCGATGCTGCGCGTCATGGCACGCGTTTTACGTAGTGGCTGCCCCGGCGGCATCCCTGGGCTCACAGGATGACGCATGCACCCGCATGCACAAAGTCAGGCTCTGCACTAGAGGCTGAGATATCCGTATCCTCGCGTGGCCGGTTCAAAATACACGTATGTGCGCAGCGGTTACATGCGAGTGCCGCTTCGTGCATGAAGCAGCACCATCGCAAGCCTCCGGTGAGCCGCATTTCAGGACGTTTAAGAATCCGCTCTCGATGATTCCGGCAACCGGCTGGTGTACGAATCCTGGAGTTATTGCTGGAGAGGTTGCGGATGCTGTGGGCAAAGATGCCATGAACAGCGAAACTGCTGCCAAATTCGCGTACCGCGCATCGATGCTCTAGCGCTTCCTTAAACGACCACTGTTTTCTGCCGATCAAGCCCGGCAGGAAGCGCGAATCTGTTCCGCGCTTTTGCGGCCGTAGTGGCGGATCCACGGATGCATCGCAGAGAGAACCACCAAAAGCGCCTCTTCGGTTCGGATGGTGCGACTCCCCTGATGCGGGCAAGCATTTACGTAGGCGTCGAACAACTTTGCGACGTCCGGACTGCCATAGCTTGCTTCGAGTCCGTGGATTCCACCAAATGCAACGAGAAGCTTGCGGAAACCCCCTGGAGGAATGAATGACGCCCTCCGAGCACTCGCCCCATCGATTTCAGTTTCAGCCGCCGTGCTGTCCGTAGCTCGTTCGGCAGAGCTACCCCAGAGGGTAGCGAAGAGGTCGGTGCCCCGCTCGCTGGTACCTATTTTCACATCAGCGCCGCTCGTGGACAGAGCCTGTACTAAGTTAGCAGCCAGTCGCACTTTGTAGCCCCAGTAAAGCCCAAGCCTTTCGCGGGGCTCATCGCGAGCGACCATCACGGCCCGAGTCCAAGTCCAGCAGCCTTGCATATGTAAAGACGGATGCGAATCCCGTTTACGCTTACGGTTCGAGCCTTGTTCCGCAACATAGTGTCCACTCCTCTCTAGTTTCTCGAATCGCACTGTAACGCGCTGTCCGACGGGCAACGGCATGTCAGTGTCGACAGCTACAGGAGCGTCCCAGCCGACGTGAACGTATCGACTTCGGTCTGACGTTGCGCCAGTGTCTGGAGCGGGTACCACGACCCCCTCGCGGTACGGAGTTCCCTCGTGCCGCCGCGGATGGTGCGGTGTATCCAGCGGGTTTAACAGTCCAACGTACTGTAGTTCAGGCGTATGCGGAAAAAGCGCCTGTCGCAGGTACTGAGGGCACTCGGCATACTGCAAAAGTCTCGCTAGATGGGTATCAAAAGCCGTCGACGACGGCGATGAAACGGTGCCCGCGATAGTTGCACGGACACGCTCAGCGAAGATAATGACCTCATCTACCTCAAAGATTGCAAGTGCTCTCGCGATCTGCCCCGCAAGGTACGTCTGTAACGCCGGGGTCTGCGCGTTAGCCAGAACGGATCCAGGCAGCGCTACTGCAAGTGTCCACGAGCGCCCTTTCTGCTCGCTCTTGGTGCAGTTGGAAGCAAGGGCAGTTTCCTGGTGCATGCGTAGAAGGTGCACAGCGCCCTTTGTTTCGGTTCAGTTATGGGCCAATTAGAAACCGTCTGAGCGCCCTCTGCTCCAGTCGATCTGAGCAACGCTGGGTCAGACAAAAATGTTTCTAAGCGTTGCAAATGGCGTCGATGATCCAGTGCGCTGCGCGTCAGCGCGTGCTGAAGTGCTCGTTATTTGAGGACGAAAGCCATTCTGTGACTAGAGACATCTAAAGCCGTGGAATAATAGAATAAAAGACTGAACGCCCGCCCTGTACCTGGCTAGCGATTTTTTGCGAACCCTTCCCAGGTGTACAGCCTGCACACTCGAATTCAAGCAGTGAGGGCGTAAGGATTACACCGTAGCTTAAGGTTGCGTTGTTTTCCTCTGGGACTTGCAAACACGACGCTCTGCCGCCGGAATTTGTTACGTTACCGAAATCGCCATTTTTCAGGACGCTTTAGAGCAAGTTTTCGTAAATCAATACATGCCATTATCCAACGCTTACGTTCAAGCCTCTACTTGTCAAATTGGACAGCCAGGAGTGTGCTCAAATCACCGACTTCCCGGGGTTTCGCTTATTTTGTTGCAAGGATGCTCGTTGGGCACAGCGACTTGCGCCGATGGATCGACGAGAACACGTAGTAGCCCGCGTCGTCCCTTGGCGACGTGCCCACAAGCTCATGCTGAAAGACCACCGCCCGATTCAGGTCCGATGATCGGTTCCGTTCCGAAGACAAATCGTCCCCTATTGTGGACATCAGGGAAGCTCCATTCGAATGAAGCATCACAAGTCCCACGGAATATGCCTTAGAGGCTCCTGTCTGTTCTCTTTGCACGGAATACGGTTATGGACTCGAACTTGAGCGATCGTAGCGATCGCTTCCTGTAGAGGACGCGTCGCAGCTTAGCACGAAATGAGTGAACATAAATCCAAATTTCTCGAACAAATCTCCAGCCTGGGTTTTCCGTCGGCCACTCGTTACACCACGGACAACGTTGCATTCCATACAGGCTCTGTCGAATGGAACATGGTGCGCTTGCACGTCGAGCGTACGACGTCCGCTCCTAGGGGATCGCCCAGAACAAGCTCGCAAACGTAGCGCACAGCGCGCAACGGAGTCGGGCACCCATGGGGGCACTCTGCACCCGTCATGGGCATGTACCGGGTGGTGAGGGGAGCGTTCAGGTACCGTGGGGCGGCCCTTGGAGGAAGAGGAGGATGACGAGGAGCTCGTGTGCATCTGAGGGAACGCCTGACCAGTCTCAAGTGTCACCCCTGCAGCGGGTACAGCGCGACCGTATGCCAAGACGATTCCCTTATCGCAAACGACGCGCATGTCGCAACCGCCGCCTGTGCATGAATTGTGTGGACAGCAGCCGAACACCTCAAGCTGACGCCCTCAGTGATATGGCAAAGCCGTTCTGTGTCTGTCCTGCGATCGCACCGGCGCTTTAGGAGCCATCGCTGACGCTCAAGGCGGGCTCGGCGCACGAAAGAACTGGAAAACTGCACGGTGTCTTCGAAGGAAGCCCCGATGAGTGCAACTTGGAAGGAGGCGTAGCGATTGATGCTCCATCGTATGCTGGTATCAAGCGCACAATCGGGGATTCCCGGTCTGGGCAAACCCTCGATCAGAAAACAGCTGGAGGCGGCGATATCGAGGACTGCAACGCTACGATCAATATCATTCAACTGCGTACAACCGCGTTGGACAGACAGGAGAGACCGGTATATGTAAAGCTGAAGATATGAAAGAGAAAAATGATCAGTAACAAGAAACTTGCAAAGGATGGTGTTGATGATATTGGAATAGGCCTAAACTTAAGAGTCTTTGCCCAAGTTCAGTGAGTGAATCCGTAATACTCTCATGTGACATGGGTGCGAAGAAGATCGGCCAACGTGCATCAACTGCCCGATGCGCGCCAAAATACGCGCGCGGACGCTGCTCGAACGCGCCTCGGTCGGCAATTTCCCGCGGCAAGCTTCTTCCCGCCTGGTACTCTCTGCCCTGCGTTGGCGTGTACCCAATATTCACAGAAGAGCCTTTGTGAAAACATGTTCGAGGCCCGCTTTCCGGAAGCGCTGCTTTTAAAGAAAATACTGGAGGCTATCAAGGACCTAGTCCAGGATGCCAACTTCGAGTGCACTGAGAGTGGCATCACCCTCCAGGCTATGGACAACGCTCACGTATCGCTCGTCACACTGCTTCTGCGTGGCGAGGGTTTCGACCTCTACCGAGTCGACAAACCTGAATCGCTTGGTATTAACTTGAACTCTATGTCGAAGATCATGCGTTGTGCGGCGAACAATGACACTGTCACTGTGGACAAACTCGAAGGTGCTGACACGGTGCGCTTTCTCTTCGAATCGCCGAACGCAGATCGCATGAGCGAGTTCCATCTCAAGTTGATGGATATTGACTCGGAAACGCTTGAGATCCCCGAATCCATGTATCACGCTGAGATAGAGTTGCCCAGCGCGGAACTGCGTCGGATCGTGAGTGATCTCTCCACAATGGGCGACTCCGTGCGCATTTCTGTAAGCAAGGAGGGCGTCCGCTTTACGGTTCGTGGTGACGAAGGGAGTGGAAGCGTGATTCTGCGCCAAAGTACCGGTGTGGATAAGCCGGAGGAGGCGATTCATATTGTAATGAACGAACCGGTGGAGCAGAGCTTTGCACTAAAGTACTTGAACTTGTTCTGCAAGGCGGCGCCTTTGAGTGCGCGCGCACAGATCAAACTGAGTAAGGATGCTCCACTCTTGGTCAACTTCTCCATGAACAATATCGGATATTTGGCTTACTATTTGGCCCCGAAGATAGGAGATGAAGATATTGAAGAGTGAAACCACAGTCTTTGCTAAGTCCGGAGTCGGAAGAGTTAGGTGGACTTGTTTACTATCTGCAGAACGGATCCTCTGCGATTCTCCCCGGTGGCTTGCAACTACCTGTGGTTAAAGACTGGACCGCAGGCATCCAATGCGCATGACGCAGGTTACTGCCGATGAGCGTAGGCGCGCTGCGTTTTTAAACTCGAAATGAAAACTCGTGCACAGGTTGCCTGATCGAATCTGTCGGCACTCAATACCGCACTCGCAAGCTTTTCTTCTATGTCCAAGTTCAGAACGCCTACTGAAGCTTGTGAAGCAGCCTCAGGAAGCTGGCAGAAACAACAGCAGTGTCCACATCATCTATTGCAGCTGCAGCGCGCGCGCTGCAACGATCCAGACACATCACCGGAATGCGCCTGATCCGCAATACTTGAGGCAATGCGTCTCTACCGAAATCCTGGACTCGGAGCATACCATTCATGGATGCGCTCATCGAATTCGAAAGCATATACAGGTTTCGCTTCCATGGCATACAATCGGCGACCATGTAGCTGTTGATTTCTCGAACGCTACGTGACTTCCTGGGGCGAAATGAATGGAAGCGTTCTCCCCGCCGCTAGCGCCATGGCCCAATGCGATTTACTCGACGCGACGCGCCTCTCGTTGACCGGATCGCGAGCTGCCACCCATCGGCGCTGCACCGGTACCGCTGCCGCTGCCGCCATGTCCACGGCCTGTGCGTCCGTGGCCCCGAAGGCGTCCTGTACCACCCGATGGATGCGTATCTCGGTCAAGAGCGTACCCCAGCGAGCTTGTTCGGTACGTCAGGGAGCGTGTCGTATCTATGACGTACTCGTAGATGCCAAGTGGTTGGTAACTCATGAGCACCTGATTGCGGCGATCGTCAATTTTTGCATCCAGGCGGGCGCTGCGTACGAGACTTGCTACCCAGCGCTCTGCTCGAGCACGATCCATATTCAGTCGATCCGCGAATCCGTGCAAGTCGATGCAATCATGCGTACGACAATACATCTCAAAGATCAGCTGCAGACCGCTCTCCTGAAAGGCATCAACCGAGTCTCGCAAAAAGTAATCTTGACGCAGTGCGCTCTCACACTCTCGAAGCATATCTTCTGCTGTGCCCAGATCAAGGTTCCCCCAGAGACTTTCAACAAAACCTACAACAGGGTCTTTGGACAACTTTGCTCCGTCAAGGTCGATAGAACGCACCACTTCAGCGAACAGGTTCCGTTTCTGCCGTTTGTTGCAGATGGCGAGTGCAGCGACGACGTAGCGATAGAGATGTGCTGCGTTGGTTTCAATGGCCGTAAAGTAACGTTCGCTGGCGATGTTACCGATCGAGCCGGAAACATTGCGGTCAGTGCCCGCGCCAGACGACGAATGTAGTGAGAATACCAGGTCGATGAAATAATTCAGTGTGGTTGTGTTTTGGAAAAACACAAAGAGGCCCCAATGCAGCAACCAGGTCCGTTGTTGAAGCTGTTGCAGTGGGTTCAGCACGGGCGAACTCGATCCTGACAAGGAGGTGATAAATGCACGCAGGTTTTCAATTTCTTGCAACGCTGGTTCCCAACGATTTTCGAGGATCTCAGAGGCCAGCATTCCCCAGTGCAGCCCCAGGTCACGTTCCCAGTCTAAATCAGGCACGAGCGCGCGATATAGACGCAGCAACTCGCGTGACTCTGCATAGTTTCCACAGTCGAACTGAAAGCGAGCATATTCATAAAGGGCATCAAAGAGGTCTTCGGAAAATACGTCCCGTATTTGGCGTACTTTGTCCAAAACGGAAGCATCCAGTTGTGGCAGTTCCTCTAAGTTGCTCGCCTCAGTTTCACCGTCTATCTTCGCGGTATCGCTTGTCGATGTTGGCGATAAATCCAGGCTCACTCTCGGCGGTGCTTTATCGTCCACGATGCCAGCCTCATCGGACTTGCTGATTTGCGCCTCTTTTGCCACTTTGCTTACTGCCTGGAGCAGCGGACGCACCTCAATATGGAGCGTCTTCAGTGCCAAAACTATTGATTCTCGCCTTTCCGCCAGCGCAGCACGCCCTTCCAGACCTCTCTGCTCGTCCTCAGAAAGTGGCTGGTCCTGCTCAATTTCCTGCCATACTTCCAGTGCATAGTCGATCATGCTTGTGCGCACCAGCGTGTGCAGCAACGCGAGTTGCGCATCCCGTTTTTCCGCGCGAGTTGGCGCGGTTTCCTCCTGAAACCTAAGCAAGGGTATTATCAAGTGGCGATCGAGGCACGACGTTAATGTCGGGAGTAGATCTTGTGACCACGACATTGAATCTAGGGTTTAAACTAGCCGCTTTCGTGTTCCTAGGAAAGAGTTTGTAGAAGAGTCCAACCAGCTTGCTCCGATCGTTGCAAGCAACCCGTTGGAAGCGATCTAGCTGGCGGGTCCAGGCGATTTGGCTTAGCCTGCAGCCTGCCTTTAACAACGATTAAAGGATTTGAGCACAATAAAACCTCAAGTAAAGCACGCAAGCCTTTTCACGAAGCCGCTCACGTGGAATAGGAGTTCTGTAACAGTCTTTGCGACGATATGCACTTGCTCGAAGCGGCCGTCGCCGATCGATGGCAGGCGAGGCCGTCAACCACCCAAACCCGAGCGTCTCTAACATAGTCTGCTACCTCTATTATGTTCCACCGCAGGTGCGAGTCCTTTACGGCCTCTTCGCGGTTTACCGCAGATTCATTCGAAGCGCGTTCATCTTGAAGAAATACAGTATTCAAGGGGAAGGTATGCACGTAAAAGCCGAGGATCCTGGAGGACCGTCATCCCTGGCTGCCCGAAGAAAACGCAAAAAATCCTCTCATCGCCGATCATCGAGCGAAGACAAGCAAGTTACGAGGAAAAAAACAGAATAGGGGACACAGACGATAAAAGGTGTTTGCTAGACGTGACAATGACGAGACTGTTGTGGCGCAGGGGGCGCGAGTACTTGGAATTCTTGCAATGTTGAGCTCCACCAGCGTCAATGCACGCAAGGAGTTCGTGAATCGAGACGTGAACGCCGCCATCTATACCAAACGATGTGCGGTGCTGAAGAGGATACCCGAGGCGCTGGCGCGAGCCCGTCTTGTGAGGCAGCCTCTCAGGCTCGAGGTATACATGCAGAATCTGGAACTGATAGCAGGCGGCCGGTCAGACGAGAGAGTGAGGCGTCTGCGAGTGGGTGTCTATGTACCTATCATGGTCGTGAACCGCTGCTCGTTGTACCGACTATAAACTTAGAGCAGTGGATTCTGGAACAACTTTTCGAGGGCGCGCTTTTGTTTCGATTGCTTTTCTCGCAGGTGTTCAACCAAGCAATTGTGTACTTTAGGTTCGGGGGAAAGTCGCGAAACGTTTTGAGCTTTTTATGGCTTGCGTGCGCAAACCGCCGTCATTCTGAACTGAAGGCAACGCAATCCGATAAAGTGCATGAATCAGCTGTCTCGTAGTGCCTGTTCCTAGAACTGCGCTCCAAAACGAGAACGTACCAGACGCCACCTACAAGCCTTGCTCGTTTTCAATCCGTTCCACTCCACAGTTCCGTTCAGAAAAAGCAGAGAAAAAACCACACGATATGAAGATTCTGTACCGTCGATACCGACGGTAATGAAGAGGCACGGGTGGACGACGCAAAAGCACGTTGCTCCGTGAGACCGTCGTACGTTGAACGAGACGCGCACACTCTCATACGCACACCCGCGATCGATTACATCATGAAAAGCGAGCGGTTACTACGGGACGGACGAGTGCTCGTCGCTCTCAATGAGACTTCATTCAGAGAAGCGTGCAGACCTGGACACGGGCGCCCTAACAGGGATCATCGATGTTCGCACACCAGGAACACGCGAGTATTCCGAAAAGATCAGCAGTAGCAGCAGCATGGAAATCGTGTGGTCGCCTACTTTTCGCCAAACGGGCGGGATTGCCCAACAGCTCATTCGCGGTCGAGGCAGTCCCCAGGATGCAGAGCTGAAGTGGATGCCCTGCACGCTTGCTCCGGGGTGCGCCTTAGCGACCATGCGGCACATGCGGACGATATTGGGGCAGGGGCACAGCGAACCGCGCTGGGGCCGCCAACGGTTTCGGTTGTATAGGCCGAACTGGCGTGCAATCGCCTACGTGGTCAGTCAGTTGGACAAAGCATCGACAGACGTGTCGCATCGTTTGGTGGAGGACGAAGGCGCTCGACGTATTGCTGCGCGCAAAGCACGTACCCGTGTTCGTTGCGCGAGAGCGCACACCGAGTGCAGGAATCGATGCGGTACGTGCTCCCGTTGATGAGTTCAAAACGACGTATACGCATCACAAGCATGTGTGCACGCCGAAACGGGTAGAGAAGACGAATGTGAAACGGAACCTGATGCACGACGTGGTGTGCGGGAAGCGGGGCATCGTCAGGTAGCGACGAGGGTGCAGGTGAGCGGCTGGCAACGGCGTGATTCCCCGAGCAGCCACGCGTGCAAGCACATTCTGCGCGGAGACTTGGGCGTCTCAACGAGCACCCGGAAGCGTCTCGTGCTTCCGGAGCGTCCATCGGTTTTGCATGAAGCGAGCGCTCGAGGTAGTAATCGGTTCGACCTTCGCGGCGCCATGGTACTGGAACGCAGAAGGCTTGCGATGAAAAGAATCAGTGGCGGCGAGAGAGGGCTCTGGATTCCCGACTGGAGCTATGCACTGGTACGATATGGATCAGCAATCGAGTGAGACTCGTGTACTCTCATATATACGCTGTGATTTGGATTCCCTGGCAGTTGGAGAAAGATCGTGCTGATATACTATCCGATTTTACTGCGGATATGAAGCGAGATGCAACACAGTGTTTTGATATAAATCCGCGCATTCAAACCTATAGACTTTCAGATGAACTTTGACACTCGCAACACAAATCTCGCTCGTTGGAGCTGCTCGACTCGCGGCGTCTAGCCTTCTCGAAACTGGAATGCGACTGCCGGACAGTCACAGTTGCAAAACGTTCGCTGCGAAATCGGTCATTGGGACAGTATTTCCAACCATCCACGGCTATTTCATGTGCAAAAGCTCTCCAAGCCGTAGAATTTGCAGTGTTTTCTTTTTTATAGGCATGCACATGAGCTTTCTTATTTTGACGCTCCAAAGAACTAGTGTCTGATTCGGCGATCGTTGCGAGCACCGGAACACGCACGGTGCGTCTGTCGAGCTCAGAACGCAGCAGGGAGCGGAAGCAGCTGCCACAGGCGAAGACGGCTTGTTTCTCGCCGAGCGAGCGACTTAGAGGACGACCATTTGGCTATCTCGCGTGAAAGTCGTAGTTGTCGCTTGTTGGGAGCAGTATTCAGGCACAACTACTGCTGTTTGCGTACAAGACTCAATTTTCTGTGCGAGCTCCCGTGGAGCAACGGGGAACGCTACTACGGACCTACTAGTGTTGCTCTCGAAAGCCGACCGGGACGGCTATCCTGCTCGTCCAGGTCTATGAATGACGACTCACGACGCTATCCCAACTTTAGTGCGTACTTTCGACCAGTGCAAGACGGCGAACCGCTACCGTCTGCACCGGAGAGTTTGGCGCTGTGGGGTCAGCGCACTGTATGGGGCCTTCTCGGTGGAGCAGCACTGGGCTTTGGCCAGGGACTTCAACGCGCACGTATGCGAAAAGCGTACCCAATGCCTGCGGGTCTCGTGAACTCGCCATCGAGGCGCCTCGCCTACTTCGTGACGAGTGGCGTGGTGAGCACCAGTGCTCACCTCGGCCTCTTCGTGGCCCTCTATAGCGCTGTCGACCTCGGTGTTCGGGAATGGTTGCGCTCGGCGCCTGCTGAGCCTTTAGCAGACGGCTGTATACTCTGTAACTGGACCCGATCGGCGGGCGTTGAACAGTCCAGCGGTCTTGCTGCTGGCTCCATAACAGGCTTTCTCTTCCGACTTCCTACCGGTTCTGCCTCGCTAGCTCTTTCTGGAGCTGCATACGGCGCTGGCCTTGGTTTCATAGCAGGCTCCATTGAACGATGGCTGCGCAAACTCGAGCACGCTGCTCGTTCAAAGTGGACAGCGCAGCAAGCAGCTGACGAGGTCGACCATAAAGAAGTCGAGCAGGCTGGCACAGCTACAGCATCCTCGCCGAAGTCAGGCGCTGTTGATGCCTATATTCTAGCGCTCCAGCAACGGGTTCAGCCAAATACGCATCAGGGATTAGAAGAATGGAGAGCAAATGGCGAGGTCTCTTCTGAGGAGTCGGAGAAGAATACATCACCCGGTAGCCCTTGAAATCTTCGGAAAACTGCGAAGAGCGTACGGAGACTCGCTGGATATTGGAGACGCCAGCGCTGTGGCGCGCCGTCTTCGCGCATAGTGGCGCCGTTTCGCGCTGTTGATGACTTTCACATTCGAGCAATGTAGTGCATTACTGTCTCACACGAGACTGTGCGAGAAAGTTTTCACACAAGCTGCTGATTCGAGAGCTCCCATCACGGATGCGATAGAAGACCGGCTGCATCCTAATGAATCAGATCTATGACGAATCTCTTGTTCCTGCTCGTCATTTGAGGAAAACTTCCTCAAGCAGATGTGGTATATACCGGTTTCCGATGGCGCAAGATGAGAATTCTATTTTTTCGGTGAAATATTTTCTCGGAGGCAGATGCGGCCTGCCTTCCCAAAAGCACGCAAAACGTTCAAACTAGGAGGAGGATGTACCAAAGCGACATCGTGTGCGGAGTTTATTGGAGCGTAGCTGTGTCCTCAGCTGCGTCTGCGAGCAGTCCATCTCTCATTGCTGATGGGAAACAGGGCCCTATCCAAAGGTCAAAAAAGCGTCCTACGAGGTTTCATAGCGCTCTCCCCAATCAATGCAAACCTCTCCGCTTGAAGACGCGACATGGGAAGCTCGCGTTTTGATTGTTATCTGTTGAGGAAACGTGGAAATTCTTCAGCATTTATTGCTACTCGGGCATTGCTATCTGCAGGGCTAGTAAGCGGAATGTAGTGCATCCCTATCATTCAAGTCGCTCAACACGGGCGCACAGGCGAAACCGCGGCACCGTGGTTCGCGATCGCCGAAGGCTGCATTTTAGATTTCTTGTCGGTTTACGATCGATGAAACGAGCTTATTTACTTTGTATGCGCCGCTGCTGTCTACAGGGAAGGCAGAAGCCACTGCTCGTCAACTGCATTTTTGATTGGAGGAGCCTTGCAATCGGCGTCGGTTTTTGTAATGACACGGAGGCGTTGCGATGGAGTCCACGGGCGGGCACCAAGCCAAGCAATGTAGGTTCATGTCGGAGACACATGCGGGGTACCAGCGCCCTGGTCCACGGATTCGGTTGCCGCAGGAAGTTTCGTACGCGACTGTCTTGCGTCGCCCCAAATTTGGTAGCAGTAGAAGCCAACGCCGAGCCAGAGCGTCAAAAGCGCCAAAAAAGCTGCTGTCTTCGCGCTTTGCTGAGATGAACTGTAGACTAACGCAAGGACCAGTATAGGGCAGACTCCGTTGAAGGCTATGACGCTCCAGAATAACCCCCAGGGCGACCTTTTGGGTTTCTCCACGGGGTTTCGCTCTGACGCACCCACGCAGAGCGTACAGCCTCCCGCAGAGGTATGCTTCGGCGCCTTCGACGAAATCGGCTCCACTCCCGCTGTTCCGTACATGTTGGACAGCTTCTCCCAGTCGTGCCAAGTGACTGGAGCTCTTGCCTGCGGTGCTTGCTGTTTTCCTGGCACCAGCGATGTCTCGGTCGACAGCTGTGGCGTTTCGGGTCGCAACTACGTTATGAGCTGCAACGGAGGGCACGATCTCTGCTCTTCAGCAATTGGCGCCCTAGTTTCCAGTTCCTATTTCTGCCAGAGTAACCTGCTCGTATGGGAAAGCTGGCCTCGTGAACGCGACTCGCAGGCCGGTACGCAAGATTGCTCGAGGTTGCAGGTTTTGCAGCGTGGCACTCGCGTAGGGTGCCAAATTTTTAGCTGCGTTTCGAAGGTTCCAAAGCCGACGACTAAGCGAAGCTCTCCGACGCTCTGGCAGTTTCCAAGTACGTCAAAAAACAGCCAGCGGTCGTTCCCGTCAACAAGCATAGCAACTCGAGCACTGCGCGAGCGTTTTCATGAGCGTTTACTAGAGCAGTAGAGCACGCTTCCAAGACTCACAGCCAGTTTTACGTAACATCGTGCTATTCAGTTGCCCGCCGCTGTGCTCGAGCCCGGACTCCACAAAATTATCGCTCTTTACAGATTCCTTGGTTGAAGCAACCAGTCAATAAATAAAAATATATCGTCATTGGAACAAAAAATGTTTGTCGAACAGTGAGAGTAAACATATAAACTCAAGCGCAGACGACTTCCAGCCATTTTTGACCGGGCACCTGCTATCGGTTTCAGCTTCTCCTTATACACTTCAAGCCTGAAAGGCAGCTTCACGAAGTTCTCTGGCGTCAGCTATGCGATTCTCGTCTTCAGCACCGCACATCGTCTGATGTTGATATCGGTTTCGAAGTCTCGGCTCACGATCTCCTTGCATACATTGCTGCTAGTTAACGTTATTTATGCAAGGGTTCCTTGAACTCGTGCCCTTTGTGCCCCTACAGTCTCGTCATCCTACTGTCGGGCAGACACCTTGCATCGCACATCTCTCATCGTCATCTTTTCCGTGGTCACTTGCTCCTCATCGCTCGATGGTCGCCAAGGAGAGAATTTTTCGCTTGTTCGTCGAACCCGCAGGCAAGGGGCCTCCAGGACCCTCCACTTCCATGTCCATAAGTTTCCTTTATACAGTATGGTCTTGAAAATGAATGCACCTCTTTATGAACTCAGGTGAGAAAATTCCTCAAGCGTGAAGCTCTTGCGTAGGAGAGACGAAATGTGCCCCAGTGTGTCGTCGTGTGCTGAAAGCTTCAGCGATTCGGCCAGCGGAGGGATCATTACGTTTCACGATCCAAAACGGTCATTCGAAGACGTTGAATCACGGCAATTACGGAGGGATGAAAAGCTACTGTACCCAGGCAGGATCCGCAAATGCTCGAAACCAAGTCGAATTGTTAAATACCATGTTGATCAATGGAAGGACGTCGCCAGACGTCAGGAGTAAAGTCTTTAATGATTCCACAAACTTGGTGGCGCTGTTGTATGAGCCTTCTTCACTTGCGAAACTGAGGCCATCAAATGAATCCATTCCAGCTTGAACTGATGAAGATATCATCGTTCTCTTCGAGTACCTTCATGCATGCATCGGGCCCCCAGTCAGCGAATACCCATCCATGCCCCGATCGTTTTTCCGAAGAAGGTTTCATCGATTTGAAAAACATACCAATGTCTCTGTGCTTCATATCGATCGCAGCGTTCCGAGAATTCTGTCGTTGCGATTTCGGTGGAAGCTGACGTTCATTGAACTTTGACTTTCTTGTAAGCGTATCCTAGTGTTTTCAAGACTACACGAACAAACTGCTGAGTAACCGAGACGCCCGTGGAGACTTTCATCGTCCTTTTTGCTTTCCGTAAGGCGATTAACGGGACGTTTTCTACCACCGACAGCAGGCAATCTCCGAGAATATTGGTTTTTTGCCTGTAGTGTACATGCTTCTCTCCTTCCAGTGTTCCTGAACCATCTGAAACTGTGGTATGACTGACCTGCAGAAGGAATGCAGTATTCCGTGTATTGCTCAGTAAAGAACATATACTGGGCATTTCGTCTACATTCTGTGGGGTATCTTGCCGGGCCACTTCGATTTTTCTTTAATCACTGACGAAATGTTTACCTAAGCCAGCGTTCTCCGATTATGCGCATTTTTCGTTTCTTAATTTTTTTGTGTTTTTTGTCAGTGTGAGGTGGGATATCCATCAACCCCCTACCTCCATGTTACATTACCTATACTTCGTCTCGGATATTCTGGTCGTTTCATGCGTCCTATCGGGTGCCGAGCCTGCCGAAAGCGACAGCAATAGCGCCTATAGCGCCGGTGCAGTCGCTGCACGGAGACAGAACGGCGTTGCCGTACCACAAAGAGCGTCTGCTCGAGGTGTGCTTCACCCGACGTAGAATCGGGTCTCGTCGTCAGTTTGTGCTCGGATAGTCTGCAAATGCAGGCTTGCCTTCGCTGCAATACACGCTGTAGAAACTTGGCTGTTAGGATATATCCTGAGAGCCGCCTCTCTCCTTCGTGATCATGCATGGAATGCGTTGTTGTCGGTTGGCAATGCGGGTTTGTGCTTGACACCCATCACAGTGGGTAGGCACAAAGAGCACTAAACCCGTGTGCTCATCCGATTCGTTGGACCTGCTGCCTAGAAGGTAGAGTTTGAGTTTATTGGCCACTCATGAGCGCTGAGGCTCCGTTAGCGCACCATCAGTTGCCAGTGCTACACTCAGAGTGAGTGTCCGGCCTTCGACAATCACGGTGATGTCCAGCTGCTGCTGTCCTCCAAGGAACTCGCTGCGCTCCTGCTTCGAGCGCGGGCACTGTAAGCTTAAATATGTCAGCGTCTCGGGGATTTCGTCTCGATAGCAGGTACAGTGTGACTCCCAGTGCGGTTCCAGTGTTCCCGTACGGAGTAGAGCCGGTGCTGGTAGCCAGAAGCCACCAACGCGGATTTTGGCGAGCCACTGGGTACCGCGAGCAAGTCCCGGGAATTCCAGCGCCTCCCACCAGTACTTGCTTGTGTATGCTAGGTTGTAGTTCCGGTATAGAGTCAAGCCGGCGTTACTGGCGCGACTGGTACCGTGTCTACCTTCCCATATTGGCGTTCGGACCGTTCGCTAGAGGCGGCGGGAGCCTTGTACATTTCTGGGGAACGATTGGAGCGCATTTTCGCGTAAGAGGCGCTTTAGCCAAATCTGCGCTGATTTCATCCAAGTTTTCTTGCGGTGCGTTGGGGTCTGCATGAAAATCCGACTCAAAGGGGTGCGCATAGTGGGCCCTTTGGCCCGTATACATGCCCAGCAGCCTGCTGCTATCGCTTCTATCGAGGCTATTTGGAGTTCAAGTCCGAGTGCCAGCGGGTTGGTTGCTCTGCGCTGCATTGAGCATCCAACAACAACAACGAGTCGCATTGCCCTGTTGGCAGCTGTCTGCAGACGCGAGGCATTTGTGTGCTTCATGCCGCACCATTCAGCACCCCAGGTCGAAGGCTGGATGATACACATCCTTAGTGCCCTCGTACGGATTGCTAAGGGGATAGAGGGGTCGGATGGGAATGGGCGTGCGATCGCTGTACGTCTATGCATCTTGGCGATCATCTCGTCGACGTGAGCCTTTTCGTCGAGCGTCGGCGTGAGACAGACCCCCAGGTAGCGATATTTTTCCACGATCGGAATTTCCTGATTCTGCAACCGCCATGAGCGATTGCGAATGCTCTGTGAGTCTCCATGGATGACCATGGCGCCGCACTTCAATGCTCCTATGTTCATAACCCAGCGATCGGCCCAGGCGCTGACTTGTTGCATGCTAGCCGCAAGCGTTTCCGGGGCGGGTGCCAACAGCACGACGTCGTCGGCAAGTAGAAGGCCTGCGAGGCGGTTTCTATGTGAGGGCTCCTCATCGGGCATCTCCACAGTCTATCCACGGCACCTCAAGTCCGTATTGTCTGCGGTTGTTCAGCAGATCGTTGATGAAGATGTTGAAAAGGCGCGGGGATGCGCGGTCGCCCTGTCGCAGTCCACGGCGGATTCTTATCGAAGGGGTTCTTGAGCAGTCGCCCAGTCGGGTGCACATCCACGAGTCTGCATAGAGCGCACGGAAGAACGCTAAGCACTTTCCGGAGACTCCGGCACGTTCCATCTTCAGAAATGGAGCCTCGTGCGGGACCGTTTCAAAGGCCTTTTGAAAGTCGATGAAGCATACGTAAGTTGGTTGTTGGCAGCTAATGGAGCGACGTTGCACCACTTCAATGAAGGTCAGGTCATGGCTCATGTACTCCTCGCGGCTCCGGAATCCAGCCTGTTCTGGGGCGAGGAATTTGCGTTCCTCGAGGCCCCTCTGAGTCCGGTTCGTGAGGTTGGCGCAAAGTAGCTTCATGATTTACGGGATGAGGCGCATAGTCCGGTAGATATTCATGTCTGTGGGGTTCGGAGTCCTTTTTGAGGATCGGTACGACCTCGGCAGTCCTCCATACATCTGGGATGTACGCTTCTTCGAACATGCGTTGGATGAGCTCCAGAAGGCGCTTGCCTAAGATTGTGTCAGGTTCATCTGGTATCGATAGTGTCCCTGTTGTCTCGTCTTTTGGGGTCGCCAGTTTCATCCACTCCGTAGGGATACCGTCAAAGCCAGGTGTTTTGCGGTTGCATGACCTTAAGAGGGTCCGGACAGATTCAGGCCAGAAGATTGGGTCGTTCCATACCGGTACCGGGTCGAGGCGCGGTAGTTCTGCAGCATATTGGTGCCAATAGATTGGGTCTTGGCAGTGCCCAGTTGCGTCTTCATGCAGCTCTGTCCCGTGGTCTATCCAGGCCTCATTCACTGAGGCACTCTCCGTCCTCAGCGCTTCCTTATAAACAATTGGTGTGAGCCCCAGGCACTTTCTTGGTGGGTCCAGTCTCGATCGAATGGAGCGCCATGTCTCATCTTCGTTGGTGCTCTCCAGCATAGATTTCGCCAGGGAGGCGATTCTGCGATTTCGATCCTCCTGTTTGTCTTCTCTGGAAAGTTTCTTCTTTCTTTTGATAGCTTCCTCATGTTGTGCCTGTAGCGCCGTTAGGACTGCCTTCGCTTCCTTGTCTCCGGCGTTGGCGCGTATGGCGGTGCGGTTGACGATCTTGTTGAGTCGGTGGCATCCATCAATCTGTGCTTTTTTACGTCGTTTCAGGTACTGAGGTTTGCAACTGTTGCGTTCTGGTGCAAGCAGTCCCAGTTCTCTGGCAATCTTCTGATTCCCATCTACATACTCGCGTGCCAATTGGTCAAAAGATTTGTATGCACGGCTTTTCGGATCTTCAACGCTGTGAGCAGGTGCCTGGGTTTGGCGACGGCTTTCTTGAGTTCCAGCTGGGGTGCCCTCTCGGGGGATACCTTGTGATGAGCTCATTTGGGAGTTCTTTTTTCTATTCTTCTGTTTTTTTCTTGCTGGTCTTTTTCTTCTTCGGGCTCTTTCCTGAGCTGCTTTCTCTGGTTATTCTTCTGGTACGTGGATCATGATGCCAGCGTGTCTATCCTTCCGTATCGCCTTGAGTCTCTTTTCCTATTGTAGATCACTCTATTGTTGTCTCTTCTTCGTTAATGTACTGATAATTCGTTATCTTTTCTCGGAAGGCTGCAAGTGACTTGTTGGTTAGTATCCGGGCTTGGTATGTTGAGGGTGCAATTGCTGGTAACCCTCGCTGTGCGCTCTGAGTCGTGTCGGCTACTGGTTCAGCATTTTGGTTCCTCGGGCGCGGGTACCATCTGCAGTGGATGGGCCAGTGATCTGAGGCATCCCAAATTCGGTCAACGGCGGTATGTTGGAGTGCCGGGTCGCATCGGTCGCTTAAGATGTGGTCTATCGATGAGCGAAGCAAACGTTGGTCGGTAATGCGGTGCCACGTCAGGGGTGAACCTCTACACGGATTCACCGACAGCAATCCGCATCTCATTCGTTGTAGGTGTTGCCTAAGGTGGCCCGCCGACATGTTAAAATCTCCCATAATTATCATCGGTTCCTCATTCCGTGTGCGGCGTTTCAATCGCTGGATGTTGGAGGCCAACTCTTTGAGTGCCTGTCGGCGCATCTCACAGGCGTGTGGTATATAAATGGAGCCCACAAGCCAAGGTGCAGGCTGACCTGGAATTGTAACACTCACAAAGACCATCCATGGAGACGGGTTGCCGACCGCATAGCAAGTGAGGCGTCGATCGACAGTGAGCGCAACACCACGTGTGCGTAACGAAGTTGGCTTGTCCGTAGGGTCTACGTACGTTGGTTCAACCGTGTTGTAGCCTGGGATATGCAGACGATAATACGTCTTTGTGTTCTCTGAGTGTAGTGTCTCCTGCAATGCCAGGATATGGACGTCTCAGCGTTCCAGGAAGTACCTTACGTCGTCTAGAATCGAGGCTACCCCCAAAAATTTTCCATGATGCGAAACCTATCGAGTCGTAGCGCGTAAGGGAATAGGAATAGCGCTGCGGTACTCGAGAGATACGTTGTCGATTGAGATGCACCCTCCACGGCGTGTGAGAACGCACATGCCACCATTGCCTCCTGCATTCCAGTCGTTCAGTGAGTGTCTGCCGCAGCGCTAGCGTAGAATCAGATGTACATTAGTCAAAGTCGATTCGAATGCGACCTTTATCTTGCCGGACGCGTGAAGCTCCCCTCAATCACTGGGGATACGCTATGAACCACCCTGTCAGCGGCTTCGTATCCGCTCCCCAAATACATAGGCGGGCAAGTCGCTTATTCCAGCTTCGATCGCGAACATACTGCCAGCCGTCTTCCAAAGTATCCGCCGAAATTGTTCCCAAAGTTGAGGTAGGTACCCAATGTAGGAGGTAAACCGGAGCCCGAGTTTAAGGATCGATCCAAGATTTGCGCCCGAACCTGCAGCGTTGATTCGGGAGGGGCGGATAACTGCTCAGAATTTTCGTCAGCTTTTTCTGCTGCTGCTGCCTCCGCCCCTCCGTTCGTTGCGGTCAAGGTCCCTGGCGTGGGCTTCCTTCGCCGTCGCCCAAGCACCCCGTGTTTACCCACTTTCAGAGCTTCTCCGGAAAAACTAGACCTCTTAAGCAGGCATGGTGTGTGGGTCTTTAAGATAGTTGTTCTTTAATAAATAGTTTGCGACTAGTTTGTTTTGTTGTTTTTTATGTACGTTACGATTTTTTTTTCATTCCGGGCCACTTCGATCTCAAGCTATTCACCGCATCGAGGTTGAAACAAAATTCAGCTGGAAAAATATAATGCTGTAGGTGTTGCAGCCTTTTTGGCGTCCCGTCTTACGCAGCAGACTCTAGGTTGTCATAGGCTTTCGGAGGCACTCGCAGAACGAGCGTCATCTCGGTAGACAAATCAGTCTCAACTCCTCAATTTCTAGACGTGCATGCTTCTGACAAACAGCAGACAGCTGGGCTTCGTGGGGCCCGTCCACGGAAGGGGCTCACCAACGCGCTCGCTTGTCGGGCGTTTCCGGAGAGTAGGACGAACGCGCACTCCCCTTGAACGACTTGTTGCGACTCGAGAATGGGAGCGAGTGACAAATAGTCGCCAGCACCTTGTAGCTGTAGTTGCATTGGTGGCGCTTTTGTCAGGTTTTCCCGAGTGGACTGGGGGTGCAGCGTTCACGTCCACTTCGACACTTGCTAGTCAGGAGCGCGTAGAGGGCGGAGTCGTGTCGCCCGAGCGCTGGGAACTCCTTCCTGCACTAGAAGGCAAAGACTATGGGAAACCCCGTATGCGATACTCGGACTTTGTAACGTTACCTGATGGAGTACAGTATCGAGACGTGCGTATTGGCGACACGGAGATCACACCCCGCCCAGGTGACCGGGTGGTCCTCAACTGGAGTGGGTACACAATTGGTTACTATGGGCGAATTTTCGAGGCTAAAAATCGAGTACAGGGTGGCGCTTTTGGTGACGACCGCGAATATTCTCGCTACGTCCTTGGCCGAGGGGAACTCGTACCTGCTCTCGAAGAGACTCTGCTGACAATGCATCCGGGAGGTGTTAGACAGGTGATCGTTCCGCCCGAGCGCGGGTATCCTCTAGACGGCTCGGACTGGAACCACGATCGTGTCGGACCAAAACCACGGACCTTCAGCGGCATGCGTGCTCTCAATTTTGTGCTTGAGAACAAGGGCCTCGTAGACAAGACGCTACTGTTTAACATAGAGTTGATCCGAATTGATCGACCTGGCGAAAACGGCTTCGAAACTGTTGGACGACGGCAATGAATGACGCACTCCACATTGAGAAAGAGACAGCTCATTGTATTCGCCTTCCATGTTCGCCGCGCCCCTCAGTTGGAAGCGATGAAGCACGGAAGCCTTCAGTGGCATCTACTTTATGGCGATTGTCAGTGAAATTGCTCAGCAGAGTTCGCCCTCGCTGTGCTGCTGTTCGTACTGGAGGCGTATACACTACCCACGAACCATATCCATGATAGCATCACTGTTTGCGTTGATCGATCATTTAGCGCATTGCAGGACTGGCATCTCGTACTGACTAACATGCTACTGGTCCGTCTCGCACAGCGCAGCGTGAGAAAAATTCATGTCATAATGCGGGCACCTTCGGCGCCATTATGCCGCCGCCTTGTGCATTTTTGAGTACGCGCTGCATAGAATGTGAAGCGGTGCGAGCGACAGCTGGTTGAGGAAATATGCAGGGCTTTGTTCCGATCACTTTAAAGGCGACTGCAACAAAACAGAGCTCTGCATTATGGCCAAAAAAAGCGATGATCCCCCCGCAAGAAATGTTACATTCGTGAAAATTGTTCACGTTCAGGCAGGATTCTGCTGATGGAGCTCATACGCTTTGGCGTTTGAACGAATCGGCCAAAGTGTGAGCAATGCTTGTGGAGGTGGCGCTCTAATGCGACTAAGACTTCCTACGATGCACCGGAGGCCAGCTCTTTAACATTCAAAAACATAATCACTCTCACATCTTGACGGTTCTCCGAGAGCGTTGTGCTTTGCGCATGAGGTTTCCTGCAAGTCGCGATTATTACTACGGAATGGGTGAATCCACGAAACGAACGCTAGAGAAGTTGTGCTGGCAACACCACGAATACACAGTTTCGAAAAATGTTAACACCAGTCTCACTGGTGTTTCCGAACGTCATCTATGGGCTTCCTTTCGAGCCCAAGCGTACGTAGGATAACCAATAAAATTAGCTCCTTTGCCATGGCGAACATGATATACGGCCGGAAGAGTTGGCTCTTAGGCCGCTGGCCAGTCATGATGCGCGCCCATTCCGCCAAGAATTCATCACCTTGCTTCTCAATGCACAGCGTCGCCGCATCCAGCAGAATTGGGAAGCGATACAGAATTTGGGCGAGCCGCATGCTCGCTTTGAAGTCATAGCCAAAAGCCCGCATCCAGCGACGTTGATAGTTGGACAGGAAACGGGCGGACAAGTCCGAATGTTTGAATGCTTCTTTGAGCACCTCTGCAGCCATCACTCCGGAATCCATTGCATGATGGATGCCCTCGCCAGTCAGGGGATCGATGAAGCCAGCAGCATCACCAACGATCAGCAAATTATCCGCATAGGATCGTGGCACACCACCCAGTCGCAAAGAGCCAGCCTTCATGGGCTCTAACTCTGCCCTGGGGCCGAGCGCTCGCGATAAATAGAAGTCCTCTTTCACGAACCCGTGATGCAGGCGGCTCAAATCATCGTTACGCACCCGCGGATTACCAGGGATGATGTAACAGCAATAGTTCAGCTCGTCGTTCACTTCCCGGAAAATAGCCATGTAGCCCGGTAACAGGTTCAGATTGTAGATCACCGTTCCATCCGCAGCATAATTGTGTGAGCCGGCCTTCACATACGCGCGAGAGCACGTACCCTGAGGCGCCTCTTTCACAATACCAAGCTGCATTGCCAACCTTGATGGCGCTCCATCGGCACAAACCAACACCCGAGCCTGGTAAGAGGCCTCCTCAGGAGCGCTTCCAGTTCGCTCACCGCTAATGCTCCATAAAGCCTTTCCTGTGTCGAAACGCGCGCTCTCTACACTTACCTCTTCGAGGAGATTCGCGCCAGCGTAAGCGGCTGATCTTGCCAACTTCTCGTCCAGTACGATGCGCTTTATCGCAATGACTGCAGATCGAGCCAATTTACCGGAATCACCCTCACCGACCGAGTTACCGATATAAGAATAGCCAGCGGGCGAGACGAGTCCCCCGTTCGATGCCGGGTGGCCCTTGCCTTCGCGTAGAATCTCGTCCAGTACGCTGCCTTTACCGGTCGCACTCTCCATTCTCTCCATTATATCTTGTGCCAGCGTGCACACGGCATCACCGCAGATTTTCTGGCGGGGAAACTTTTTCTTCTCTAGGAGAAGAACACGTAAGCCCGCCCGCGCACAAAAGTACGCAGTCACTGAACCGGCCGGTCCAGCGCCTACTATGCAAACATCGTAAGCATCTTTTGGCAAAGGCGGGTACGACTTGGGACTCGGCTTTACAAGAGTTGTTTCCTTTCTCCAGGTACGCAGCACCCAGAATATAGAGAGCAACGCGACAAGCACACAGCTCAGCGCTAGCAATGGTATAGGTTTTGTTGCCAGTGCCTCTAAAACTGGCTCTCGTAGTTTTGCGAAACGAGCGCCAACGCCCTGACTGAGCGCAACGAAGTACATTTATATTCGGTTGTTGTACGAGATCAAAGCTGGGCTCTGTGCGTTCAGTTAGAGCTGACTGAATAAGTGCCTCTGCTGAGCGAAATATGCCACTGCCGTTGCAGACTCCGCGTGCAGTTCGTCCATTCGCAAATGCGTGTGAGTGTGCGTACAATGCGTACGTGCGTGTGTGCATCGCCCACAGCGACGAGCGCCAGCCGTACGAGCGCTTTGGGCCTGCGCGCCATTGCTGCGCCATTCGGTGGCTGGCTCATGATCGCCGCCGTGCGTGCAGACCTTGAGCGCACCCGCGTCGGAATAAATTGGAGAGAGGCCACGCTCCCAACTCTGGCGTAAAGAATAGAGAGTGAATCTCTTTATCAAAAAGAAGCGCATTTTCAAGCTTTTTTATGAATTCTTGATTTTTTCTCTTTTCTGTCTTGGAAAACACCGGGCTCTTTTTCCCATCTAGCTCTGTTGTCAGCAGTCGAGGGGTGTTGATGACAGCGTTCGAGTCCCAATTTTAAGGCTTTCTGATGTTGTCGACGCCGTACATTCGCAGACGGCTGTTGCGATCTAAGAGAGATCGCCATTTCGATTTCTTCGTATACGGCCTCAATGCGCCATCTGCAGCTGTGATTCTTGGTTATTTTGTGGTGTTCACGTACGTCAACTACACCTTATCTTCCTCGGGCCGCTCTGCGGCGAGATAACGTTTGCGATGTCATTCAGTGTGTGCCCCCGAGGGTAACGGCGGTTCGCCTCGATGACCTCCTCCGTATCCGCACCCGACGCCGACCTCCAGCATCACAGTCATCTTCCGGGAAATCCCACGATGGCTAAGCTGTCCGCTGGACACGCAAGCACGCGCACCTCCATTCTTTGGAGGATTTGTGGAAAACGATTTTCTCTATGATGAAAAGAGAATCGAAAGGGAAACCCGGGTTGAGAAGCAGTCAGGATTTTTTGACAAAAGTATGCTGCATTCGTGCAAAGCGGTGATGCAATCACCGCTCGAAGCGGTCGATGCGATGAATCAAGTCCGAGCCCAAGACTCTTTCCCCGACACACTTTAGAGATGGGAGCAAATGCGAGCATATCCCGTAAGAGGTATGACGCTCCAATGGAATGCAGTTAGGTCGATATCCATAAAATAGTAGGATTTAGGGTTCGAAAAGAAGCTTTTATTCTTCTCCTGAGATGTTCAGTGAGGTTTCGGCACGAGCATGTGATGATGTCGTCAAGCTTTCCCCTCATCTATCCAGGGTGCGACTTGTTCCGCGTACGAGCCTTCTTAAAAAAGACAGATCGAAAACATGAAGAATGCGTGATTTGCGCACGCAGAACGCAAGGGATGGTAATGAGCGGAGACTTGTTCGAATGAATTGGATAAGAATTTCAGTCATTTTACGAACCCTGCTTCGAAGGCGTCGAGAATCATCTTGATTTTCGGTAAGGTTATGAATTCCAGCCGAAAAAGGCAAAGAAGCGACGAAGGAATGAGAAGCGAGAATCCTTAAGTTACGCATGAATGAATAGCCCTTCTTGCTGCACTTCGAATATCGACACCGTATATCTGAGGAAAAGTTCCAAAGAGAAGTCAAGAGGGAGCAGTTCTGTTCTCCGTTTTGGTCTGATACAATTGTAAGAGCGGTGCTTGGCGATTTCTTCGACACGACGTCGCCGAGTCCCGAGCAAGTGCCCGCTCCGCCAGAGGCACTGGTGGTTGTGTGCGCCAAACTCGACTCTTCTCGACGGACAATTCACTGATTCTTTGGGCGTTTGCTTCCTTCAATACGCTTTTGAGGAGGCAGTATCAAACGCCCACTCCACCAGATGCATTCTGAGTTGATTGAAGAAACCTCGACTCGTCTCCAACAGTACTTTTCGGACTGCCGGGCTATCGACACATTTTCCAGAGGCATCCACTCATACTGGCATGACGCCCCAGCCGCATGCTGGCGAAGGAAATGAATGGATTTTTTCTCTGCATCTTAATCCACTAGCGCCTGTTCCCTGGGGGACCAAGACTGTAGCAGAAGGCGAAAAATTGGCCAGTGTAAAGACTCTATTAGGTTTCCGGACAATGATCATGCAGTTAAAAAATTGCCTCGCCTTCCAGAGCACGTCTGTTGTGTACAAATTTTGTAAGCAGTTTTGGAAACGGCTAGGGCTCACGGAAACGTTTCAGCTCAACCGCTCGTATATCCGCAGCAAAATCGGATAGTATATCAGCACGATCTTTCTCCAACTGCCAGGGAATCCAAATCACAGCGTATATATGAGGGTGCAAAAGTCTCACTCGATTGCTGATCCATATCGTACCAGTGCATAGCTCCAGTCGGGAATCCAGAGCCCTCTCTCGCCGCCACTGATTCTTTTCATCGCAAGCCTTCTGCGTTCCAGTACCATGGCGCCGCGAAGGTCGAACCGATTACTACCTCGAGCGCTCGCTTCATGCAAAACCGATGGACGCTCCGGAAGCACGAGACGTTTCCGGGTGCTCGTTGAGACGCCCAAGTCTCCGCGCAGAATGTGCTTGCACGCGTGGCTGCTCGGGGAATCACGCCGTTGCCAGCCGCTCACCTGCACCCTCGTCGCTACCTGACGATGCCCCGCTTCCCGCACACCACGTCGTGCATCAGGTTCCGTTTCACATTCATCTTCTCTACCCGTTTCAGCGTGCACACATTCTTGTGATGCGTATACGTCGTTTTGAACTCATCAACGGGAGCACGTACTGCATCGATTCCTGCACTCGGTGTGCGCTCTCGCGCAACGAACACGGGTACGTGCTTTGCGCGCAGCAATACGTCGAGCGCCTTCGTCCTCCACCAAACGATGCGACACGTCTGTCGATGCTTTGTCCAACTGACTGACCACGTAGGCGATTGCACGCCAGTTCGACCTATACAACCGAAACCGTTGGCGGCCCCAGCGCGGTTCGCTGTGCCCCTGCCCCAAGATCGTCCGCATGTGCCGCATGGTCGCTAAGGCGCACCCCGGAGCAAGCGTGCAGGGCATCCACTTCAGCTCTGCATCCTGGGGACTGCCTCGACCGCGAATGAGCTGTTGGGCAATCCCGCCCGTTTGGCGAAAAGTAGGCGACCACACGATTTCCATGCTGCTGCTACTGCTGATCCTTTCGGAATACTCGCGTGTTCCTGGTGTGCGAACATCGATGATCCCTGTTAGGGCGCCCGTGTCCAGGTCTGCACGCTTCTCTGAATGAAGTCTCATTGAGAGCGACGAGCACTCGTCCGTCCCGTAGTAACCGCTCGCTTTTCATGATGTAATCGATCGCGGGTGTGCGTATGAGAGTGTGCGCGTCTCGTTCAACGTACGACGGTCTCACGGAGCAACGTGCTTTTGCGTCGTCCACCCGTGCCTCTTCATTACCGTCGGTATCGACGGTACAGAATCTTCATATCGTGTGGTTTTTTCTCTGCTTTTTCTGAACGGAACTGTGGAGTGGAACGGATTGAAAACGAGCAAGGCTTGTAGGTGGCGTCTGGTACGTTCTCGTTTTGGAGCGCAGTTCTAGGAACAGGCACTACGAGACAGCTGATTCATGCACTTTATCGGATTGCGTTGCCTTCAGTTAAGAATGACGGCGGTTTGCGCAAGCAAGCCATAAAAAGCTCAAAACGTTTCGCGACTTTCCCCCGAATCTATAGTACACAATTGCTTGGTTGAACACCTGCGAGAAAAGCAATCGAAACAAAAGCGCGCCCTCGAACAGTTGTTCCAGAATCCACTGCTCTAAGTTTATAGTCGGTACAACGAGCAGCGGTTCACGACCATGATAGGTACATAGACACCCACTCGCAGACGCCTCACTCTCTCGTCTGACCGGCCGCCTGCTATCAGTTCCAGATTCTGCATGTATACCTCGAGCCTGAGAGGCTGCCTCACAAGACGGGCTCGCGCCAGCGCCTCGGGTATCCTCTTCAGCACCGCACATCGTTTGGTATAGATGGCGGCGTTCACGTCTCGATTCACGAACTCCTTGCGTGCATTGACGCTGGTGGAGCTCAACATTGCAAGAATTCCAAGTACTCGCGCCCCCTGCGCCACAACAGTCTCGTCATTGTCACGTCTAGCAAACACCTTTTATCGTCTGTGTCCCCTATTCTTCTTTTTTTCCTCGTAACTTGCTTGTCTTCGCTCGATGATCGGCGATGAGAGGATTTTTTGCGTTTTCTTCGGGCAGCCAGGGATGACGGTCCTCCAGGATCCTCGGCTTTTACGTGCATACCTTCCCCTTGAATACTGTATTTCTTCAAGATGAACGCGCTTCGAATGAATCTGCGGTAAACCGCGAAGAGGCCGTAAAGGACTCGCACCTGCGGTGGAACATAATAGAGGTAGCAGACTGTTAGAGACACTCGGGACTGTGCCAGATCATATGCTTTCAATCCAATTTCGTTTCAGCCTCTGCTGCAGCGTATAGCAAGATATCGAAATCACTATTGAATGAGCCCTGTAGATCGTAGTCGAATTGCCTGTAGGATATATTCTTTACTGAGCAATACACGGAATACTGCATTCCTTCTGCAGGTCAGTCATACCACAGTTTCAGATGGTTCAGGAACACTGGAAGGAGAGAAGCATGTACACTACAGGCAAAAACCAATATTCTCGGAGATTGCCTGCTGTCGGTGGTAGAAAACGTCCCGTTAATCGCCTTACGGAAAGCAAAAAGGACGATGAAAGTCTCCACGGGCGTCTCGGTTACTCAGCAGTTTGTTCGTGTAGTCTTGAAAACACTGGGATACGCTTACAAGAAAGTCAAAGTTCAATGAACGTCAGCTTCCACCGAAATCGCAACGACAGAATTCTCGGAACGCTGCGATCGATATGAAGCACAGAGACATTGGTATGTTTTTCAAATCGATGAAACCTTCTTCGGAAAAACGATCGGGGCATGGATGGGTATTCGCTGACTGGGGGCCCGATGCATGCATGAAGGTACTCGAAGAGAACGATGATATCTTCATCAGTTCAAGCTGGAATGGATTCATTTGATGGCCTCAGTTTCGCAAGTGAAGAAGGCTCATACAACAGCGCCACCAAGTTTGTGGAATCATTAAAGACTTTACTCCTGACGTCTGGCGACGTCCTTCCATTGATCAACATGGTATTTAACAATTCGACTTGGTTTCGAGCATTTGCGGATCCTGCCTGGGTACAGTAGCTTTTCATCCCTCCGTAATTGCCGTGATTCAACGTCTTCGAATGACCGTTTTGGATCGTGAAACGTAATGATCCCTCCGCTGGCCGAATCGCTGAAGCTTTCAGCACACGACGACACACTGGGGCACATTTCGTCTCTCCTACGCAAGAGCTTCACGCTTGAGGAATTTTCTCACCTGAGTTCATAAAGAATTGTGCTCATTTGAAAATATGTAAAACCCAGGAGACGAGCTGGGGGTGTACAGTTTTGAGGTGGAAATGGAAAAAGAGCCAGCGGAGCGTTTTAGCGATAGCGAAGCATGGGGAGCTGACGGAGCACCGAATGTCACGTAGGGCACGAGTTCGAGGACTACTTTCTCTGGTGATTTCCTCCAGCGGCAATTTACGCACTGAGTTCGTGAGCCGAAACTTCAACGTCGCTATCAATATCAGGAGATATGCGGTGCTGAAGACGAGCCCCCAAGACCTGACGAAATCTACCTTGGTATTGTAGCCTCTCAGGCTCGAAGTCTACATGGAAAAAGTGACACCATTATCAGGAAGCCGATCACGTTAAGGCGGAGAGGTGTTTGTGCATAGGCATTAATTTAACGTAAACGGCGGGAATTTTTTTGTTCCATTGAACGTGTATGCGTGTGCGTTTTTTCAGGATCTGGCTGTGTTTCTTTAACCAGCTCAGCATTCAGCGTCTCGGTTAGTATTGGGTGCCTTGTCTTGTTAGCGGTAGCGCACAGGGCTTAAAGTGGACAGAAACAGCCACAAGGCGGACTAAGGAATAGAACAACCAGAGAGCGTTCTTGCACAGCTTGTGCTAGGGAGGACTCGATGCGAAACGGAGCGAGTTGTAAAAGAAAAAAACGTGAAGAGGATTTGCAGGGTGGTCTCATGCCTAGGCGAACGCAACTGAAGCGTCGTACCGTGCGAAAGACGGGCGCAAGCTCTCGACCAAGTCTCCCTACAGAGGCCGAACAACGGCGTTTCAACTGCGGAGACTATGTGCTTCTGAGGGCTCCGAAAAAGGAATCACAAGATACTGCAGCGGGGGGTAGTCTGTCGCGGACAATAGCCGCCACAACTCCGAGGGGCCGCAGACGGAGCCAAGGACCTGAGGATGTCGCAGAGATCGATCTGACGACGTGTTGGATCGCTCAGATTCTCAAGATATCGAGAGAGAGTACAGGGAACGACGAGCGTATCCTGGTAAAATGGTTTTATCGTATGAAAGACCTCTATCACTGGCATACCACGGTAGGCCACGAGGAGGTCTTTGAGAGCGAGCATCTCGACGAAAATGAGTCCGATTGCGTCGTCGGTCGGTGCCACATCGTTTGCGAAATGGAATGGCGAATGCTTCTAGAAAAGCGCACCCGAAGCAGTTCTGTGTCAAAGCAAGAGGAGCTTCGGGTCTTCTTATGCCGGGAACGTTATGACTTTATCACGGGGAGCTTTGCACCGTCCACAATGACGATCCAGTGGATTCAGGAGCACCAACCAGACTCTAATTTCGTTGCCTCGAGCATTCAGAGAGACAGTTTTAGTCATCGATCATTGCTCGCTCTGCTTCGTTACATGGTTGAAAACAGCTTTCCCGTCGATAATGATGGCGACTGCGCCGAGCAGGTCGATCTTCATGATACCGGCGATGAAGACGCCTGGGATCCTGCAGAAGAGCGAGCCCTTCAGCTGCGTCTCCGCTCGAGGCAACGTGCAGCGGCCGGCAGATCGCGCGGCAACAACTGTAGCCAGGAGTCAGATATGACGCCGCGTCCAAGAGCTGGAGGTCAGCTATTACTCTGGCCGTCCGATGTGGGTGCCCACGAGCACCGCCAATCGAGGATTTCAAAGAACGCCGTTGAGTTCGCGGAGGTATCTGAGCCAACGGGGTCCGTCCCCCGTCTACTCCAAGTTTCCCGCTTCGGGGCCCCCCGCGTCCAGTTAGTGTGCCGTGACGTCGAGACTGAGCGTGTCTTGAAGTTCCTAACCGACTGTTTGCGCGGCTCTTCAGAGCGTTGTCTTTATATTTCCGGAGTACCTGGCACCGGCAAGACGGCTGTAGTCCGTTGTGCTGTACAACAACTCGAGCAGCGACGTCAGCAGGGTCAGGTACCGCACTTTCAGTACATCGAGATCAACGGCATGACTATCCCTGATCCAACAAGAGCATATAACATTCTCTTACAACGACTGGGGCACCGCAGCACAGGTGCCGCCGGTGGACGACGGCCACCGGCGCCTGCAGAGGCGGCACGTCTGCTCGATCAGCGTTTCCGTCAGCGCAGAGGCGTCCATAACAGAAAGCATCATTCATCTATCCTAGTGCTTTTAGATGAAATGGATGCACTCGTTCTGAACCATTCCGCAGCGGCGCAGAGGGTGCTGTATGACTTCCTTGACTGGGCCAGCCGGCCTGCATCAGAACTAGTCATCATTGGTATTGCGAACACCCTCGATCTACCGGAGCGTCTGTTACCTCGGCTTGCGTCCAGGCTCGGAATGAACCGTCAGGTGTTCAAACCCTATTCTGTGACCCAGTTGCAGCAGATTCTTCGCCACAAATTGGGGCCCCAGCTTTTGCAACATTTCGATGAAGACGCATTAGAGCTCTGCACGCGCAGAGTTGCGGCAGTATCTGGAGATATTCGACGAGCACTGGCCATCTGTTTGCATGCGTATGCTCGCTCGCATAGCGAGGATTGTTCTTTGAGGGCTTCAGAAAACGAGCATGATCGCCTGGTATCTGCTGTGGATATCGATGAGGCAATTAGAGAGCTGACTCCGAGCTCTGTCCAGAGTGCTGTGAAACAGCTAAGCCAGATCGAGCAGCAGGTCCTCATGAGTGCAGCACTTTGTGGTAGACAGGCAGTGCAGCAGGGCTCCGAAACTTTCCGTTTCCAACAGATATGGCATAGATTTCGGCAGTTTCACGCCTCCACAGAAGGTCATCCTGCATACCCGTTGCCCTTGCAGGACCAGATCGAAGAGGTCTGGCATATCCTCATGGGTCTTTGTGCCTGCAACCTGCTTAGTTGTTCAGTGCCGTCTTCTTCTTGTGCTTACGCTGGATTTGCGAGTACTCGACTCCCAAATCTGCACGAAAGCCAATTCGTGTTGAACCCGCTTTTTGACGATATTGCATTTGCATTTCGCGAGAACCGTTCATTTGCGCAAGCTGCTGGGGAACTTGTATGAAATTTTGAATAGTTTGTTCCATACGGCGAAATTTGAATGCTCGCGAGGAATGAGTCGATAGACTCGTGTTGCTGATTTCATTGCTATCCTGAATAGACAAAGCATGCTAATCGGAGCACCATCCCCTGGTCCTCCATCGCCTAGAGCTCAGTCTGTCGATGATGCAACGAAAAATGCATCGTCATTTCCATGTGTCAATGTGCTTATCAGGCTTATTAGAAATAGATGCCCACGAACGAGGACATATGCTATTGAAGCTTAGTAGGAGCAGTTCCCATCGCCCGTGGCAGTGTCCTTGTTAGCCTTGATAAGAGCATATGCTCAAGGCCGGTGCTAGCAGTTCAACGCTGACTCGTTCTTCAGCGCAGGAATTTCGAAGCGAGAGCACCTGCCATGAGCAAGCCGAGCAATGGCTGCACAACTGGTTGCCAAAGTATGTACCAAACATCCAACAACGCGCTGTATCCGCTGGTCAACTGAAGAATAACTCCAACAACAAGCCACGCCATGAAAAAGAACACTAAAAAAGCGTCTGCAATCAACAGGTTTGTGAGCCAGCTACGAAGCCTACCAGCGACAGGTTTTGACTCTCCAACCTGTATTTTTTCCGCGTTGCCAGGACTCTGGCGTCGGAAACGTTCGATATCCGACAGGAGGTCCTTATTGGGGCCGAGCTTTCGATCTCCGGGTCGCCTAGAGGTCCCCGGCCCGTTGCCGTTAAGGGCGAAAACTTCACGAGTTGCTGTTCGAGGCCCTCGACCTGCTCTGTGGGCCGCGCTTCTAAAAAACGCCAACGCGGCGTTCCTTTCGACGTTGTGTATTCCTGACGTAAGAAAATCTTGCCAGTCAAAGCCGCATCGCCGAGTGGTCTGCCCCTTCAGGGCCGACACTGCGATGAACATGGCCTCCGAGAGAGCGAACCGATGCGCTTGTCCAGTTCCTGAACGAAACGCAAGACTTGTGAGACCCGTGACACCATCTACCAAAATACATTTATAAGGGATTATAACTGTCAATTTACGAACTTATTTGTACACTCAGTTTTCGCATAAGCACGCACGCTGGGCAACACAGAATTCAGAATGAAATGGAAAGGGTCGACTTTATTAACTCGGTCGTCTACGCCAAAGTTTAGGCTTTAGCCCTCTCGTATGAGCGCCAGCCTTCACAGGATACGTCTCTGACTGTGTCGTCTTCGTCCCTTTTTTCCGGCTTTAAACACCCCGATCGCTCCTCTCCCTCCGTTCCGGGTGTCAGCAGTCCGAGAATATTGATGACAACCCGTAAGTCTCAATTTCACAGCTCCCGGATGTTTTTGCCGCGTGCCAGGCGATGTGTTTATCGCAACGCGGGCCTATGCGTGAAAATCATAGACTACAACCGGAAGTGGTGTAATTGAGACTTAACTGTTTTCATTAATATTCTCGGACTGCTGACACCCGGAACGGAGGGAAAAGAATGTACAGCACGTCAAAAGCCGGCGAAAAAGAGTCGATCAGCAAGCAATCACGGAAATATCCCGCAATGGCTAGTGCTCATAACAGAGTGCTAATACCCAAATTTTAGAGTAGCCGCTTTCACTCGCGAACTCTGTCGGCATTGATGAAATATGTCCATAATCCAAACAAAAAGGATATTTTAATGCGAGAAGCTTTCGTAACTCTTTCGCTCTAGCCGTGACTCCAGCGTAGAGATCTTCCACCATCACTACTGAGGTTGGAAACGAAGGTGCACTCGGGGTTAGGCGACGGGATCGTTCCGGCTTTCGAGTTCGAGTACACTTGTAGGCCGGGCTCTCAGAAGTTACTTCGCAAAGGCGATCGGCAATAACATCTGGGCAGCTTTCGAGTCCAGCTGCTTCCTTCAAGTTCTTTTGGGACGGAGAATCTTTTACGTTAACTAAGGGTGTCCGATCGCGCGATTGATATCATTTTGTGCAGTGCTTCTCTCCAAAGTACGGCCGCCAGAAACAGAGGCGCATCAGTACGATCCAGCAACCCGCTTTCGGGGTATTTGGTAAGAGACGGCTTCTCCTGAATGACGCACGCTCAACAAACCACTGGTACCGTTCTATCCGAGTCGGAAACCCGACACCTGACAGAAACGCTTCTTCAGATTCTGGAGCCGCATCTTCAATCCTTCAACAGTGCAATAACGCAGGGCCTGCAGCAGGTGCTCCACGATATCGAGCCACTTATCCTTGAAGGAACCGTTCAGCAAGCAGCTGACCACGTGTCCAAGGAACGACTTGAGGTCTGGTTTGAAGACCTCCGCCTTCAAAAGCCGCGTCTGCCCAGGGCTCGCGCGTTGCAGTCTACAGGCAACCTCAGAGCGCGCGGCTTTGCAGATGAACTCGAACTGGGTCTAGATCCTTCAGCGATACTCCCGCACCAGTGTCGCGCCCTGCAGTCGTCGTATACAGGCTCGCTAAGCGTCGTTCTCTGCTGGCGAGCGACGCGCATCTCGCACGGCTGTTACCGGAAAGACAGCACGCTATGTAATACAGCGCTCTGGACAAACGGCTCCTACGCGGAAGATGTTTATCGCAGCGAACGGCATCTGGGCGAGGTTCCCATACTAGTGGGATCCAAGTTGTGCCACTTAGACGGACTGAGTCCAAACGAGCGCGTTGCACTTCACGAAGAGGAGTACGATTACGGTGGCTACTTCATCGTGAATGGTGTCGAAAAGCTGCTGCGAATGGTGATTATGCCGCGAGCCAACCATGTGATGGTCATAGCGCGTGATGCAAACGTCCGACGTGGAGAGCACTTCACTCGCTTCAGTGCAATGATTCGCTGTCGACGCGCTGACCGAGTTCGAGTTGTTACCAATCATCTCCACTACCTTCAAACTGGTCTTCTTAGGCTTCGATTTTCCGTCAAACGCCAAGAATACTTGCTACCGTTAGGGCTTGTGCTGAAAGCCCTTTACGATCTGGCTGATCGGGAGCTATTTTTGCTGCTCACAATGCCAAGTGGATGCTGCGGAACTAACGCAGATGAAAACCTCCGCTATATCCGCGAGCGAGCGCTCATGACGGTTCGTGAGCTGCATGTACTAACTGGTGGTGAGGGTACCCAGCACGCAGCGCTGTCTTACTTGGGTGCTCGTTTCCGTTGCCTGTTTCCAGAGTACCTGTCTTCTGACGATTCCGATGAGCGCTGTGGCGCGTTTATTTTGCGTCGATATGTGCTCATTCACCTCGACGATCCACTTCAAAAACTAGAGCTCCTCGCCTATATGTCGCGGAAGCTTTTGCATTATATGACTGGCTGTCTCGCAGAGGACGATCCAGATTCGCTAGCGAACCAGGAGCTCCTCTTGCCCGGACAGCTTTGGCTGCTTTTCCTCCAGGAGAAGCTCCAAGACGCCCTGTTCGCGCTACGGGATGAAATTTCCCGGCAGTTGACTCAGCGAGCCAATCAGGGAAGCTTACTAGACCCAGATTTTGTCCGCAAATGTGTAAGCAAACCTCGCAGTGGTATCAGAGTAGGCGAAAGGATGTTGCACCTGCTATCCACGGGAACAGCGTCCCTGCGGGATGGTGCAGAGTTGCTACAGACGTCGGGTTACAGCATCATAGCGGATCGGATCAACTTCCAACGCTTCCTTTCCCACTTCTACAGCGTCCATCGAGGGCAGTACTTTTTGAATCTGCGCACGTCGGAGTCTCGCAAACTCAAGCCGGAGACTTGGGGCTTCATCTGTCCGGTGCACACACCCGATGGAGCACCCTGTGGAATTCTCAATCATCTCACGCGAATGTGCCGCGTCGTCGCGGATCAACAACAGGTACTGCAGGAGCAGAAGCGAATCGAATGGATCTTGGAGACGCTGCCACTGGAGCATCCTCTCGCTCACAACGATGCACTGCTTATGCCACCGGCGAATGCAAGACCAGTACTGGTGGATGGTCGGATTCGAGGCTATGTGCATGGAGATGTACCGCTGGGGAAGCTTTTGCGTCAGCAAAAACTCGAGCATTTCCCCCAAACAGAAATTGTGGATGTGGAGATCCCGCGTCTCTTCCCGAGCGTCATGGTGTTCTCGACACCGTCACGGCTCATGCGCTCAGTGTGGAATATGCCGCAAGCTGGCATAGAATGGATAGGCACCATGGAGCAACTTTTCATGCCCGTTGACCTGTGCAAGTCGCAGTCGATGTCTCGTGCTGGAAACGCAGCCATTCATCGTGAGCTGAGCGCAACGAACATTTTCAGTCTACTGGCCTCGTTTATTCCCTTCAGCAACATGAATCAATCACCGCGAAATATCTACCAGTGCCAGATGGGCAAACAAGCCATGGGCGTTCCCTTTCACGATTGGGATCGGAGGTTCGACACCAAGTCCTACCGATTACTGACGCCCCAGCAACCTTTGGTGCAGAATCGCTCTGAGGCCCAAGCCGGTTGGTCCAAGGTCTTCGGATCGAGCTTCAATGCAGTAGTCGCTGTGATCTCATACACTGGTTACGATATGGAGGACGGTATGGTGATCAACCGAGCGAGTCTGGATAGGGGTCTCGCCCACGGAGCGATCTACGGCTGCGAATTCGTGGATCTGGATCAGCTCAATGTCGCAAAGGATGCCCGGTTCAGCCGACTGCCAGCTGTAGGCGAGCGCATGACACCCGGCTCGGTGCTCTATAGTATTCAGGGCCGGAGACCTCATCTTTATCGGAATAGTGAGACGAGTTATGTCGACGCTGTGCTCCTCGCCGAGAATCAACGGCGCGTTGCTATCCGGACCCGGACGCCTCGGCGACCCGTCATCGGGGACAAGTTTGCCTCTCGACATGGCCAGAAAGGGGTGCTGTCTGCAATCTGGCCCGCTGAGGATATGCCGTACACGAGCGACGGGATCGTTCCGGATATTCTCTTCAATCCGAATGGCTTTCCGTCGCGGATGACCATCGGTATGATTGTGGAGTCTATCGCAGGGAAAGCTGCAGCCGTTCACGGCGCTGTGCCAATTGACGCGAGTGCTTTTGAACGAGAAACGGAGGACGCAAGTGATCGCAGTAACGAGCCACCGCACGACTTCTTTGGAAGATTGTTGCTTAATACCGGATACACGTACCACGGAACAGAAACGATGTACAACGGTTACACGGGCGAGCCGTTTGTTGTCCAAATATTCATCGGCGTGATTGCCTGGCAGCGACTTCGTCACCATATTGCAGACAAGTTTCAGGTGCGAACTGAGGGTATTGTTCACCAGACACTCCGACAACCGCTGCGAGGCCGAAAGCGAGGTGGCGCTATTCGGCTCGGTGAGATGGAGCGTGATGCGTTGCTTGCCAGTGGGGCTGCCTACACCCTCCAGGATCGGTTACAGAGCTGTTCAGACTTGCACACTGTATACGTTAGCGCTCTCGACGGATCGCTACTCGCACCCATCGCAGCTCCGAACGAACGTCTGGGGGCTACCTCGCGGATCTCGGTCAAGTCCCGGACGAACACCCGCTCCCCAGTCGTTCGCGTGCACATGCCGTACGCTTTCAAGTATCTTGTTTACGAACTAGCAGCGATGAATATTAGGGTATCGCTTCCCGTTAAGTGAGTGTGCTCGTGGAAACGATTACGTCCATGCAGAACAGACTAAAGAGGTGTCGTTTCCGAGTAAATTTGATGGCCTGTATTGACTGGAGGGGTTACGGATGAAGCGGCAATAAGGGTAGCGAACTGCTCACAGCAGGTAGGTTCAGCTCGAGTCTCACAGGAAGCCCACGGAAAGTTTTGTTGGCCTGGAGGAAACGCTTTCGCCGAATTTCGTACCGAACGAGAACGGCAGCTCGCACTTTGGTTTTTATATACACGGCAGATAGGCTGTTTTCAGCGTTGTGTGGCTTTCAAAAGTGCTGGAGAGCTACCAGTGCACGCGACAGCTTCCAGACACTGTTAGAGTATACTGCAGAAGGGTGCTTGCTCTAAAGCAGCGCGATAAGTTCGCATGCTCTTGCTCGATACGCTTCTGGCGGGCGCTTCCTTTGCATTTTTTGGGCCACGAGTTCAAATGCGGCAGATTCGCTCATGGAGCCTAGATACTGTCGAGCGAGAAGAAGAAGCTCGCGATCCTCCTGCGGCGAAAATGGTTCCCACATCAGCTCCTGACAGCGCTCGGTCTGAGCGTGTCGGGCTTCTGTACCGTCCGTCCGTGGGCGTTCCGTTACGTGACGGCTGTCGTGAACAACAACTGGAGCTGGCGTTCGCTGCAACCCCTCGCCCGACGCCTGACGTAAAGATGCCTCTTGACGTCGGCGCCTTCGACGAAGTTCCTTGCGAGCCCTGATGGAAACGCGTCTCCAAACGCGCTCGAGTAGAACCTTATCACGACCCGGAAGGAGGAAGGCTTGGATTGCATCCCAACACTCACCATAGGTCATCACGCCGTGACGCAGCAATTCTATTTCCTGTACCGACAGCGGCTGCTGTGCCTTCAACTTCAAGGTTTTGATAGGATTTGCGGGGGCATCCCGGCGAGTCAATAGTCGATAGCGACCGACGCATTCTTCGAGGTTCCTGTGCGGTAGATAATCGTCGATGTGCTCCTGCCACATAACGCCGTGCCTGCTCAAACACCGCTCCAAGAGCGTATCCTCGGCCTCAGTCCAGAATAGTTCTGCATCGGCGCTGCTAGCCAGAGCTCGTAAAATATTCGGATCCGACTCGATATCGACGCCGTATGCTAAACGGTATTCTGGTAAAATCATGCTTGGATGGCTCTCGAGGACGGCATAGGCACGTTTTGCCTCTACTGCTGTTACGAGGCCATCCGGATTCGATAATGCCGGTTTGACAAGCAGCTGCTCGATTTGTTCCAGCAAATCAAGGGGCATCGCGTCGAAAAACGTTCGCTCGATACCACCCAGCGCTCTGCGGTACTCGCGGGCGACGTCCCGCTTTCGCCGCAAGTCATCAAGCATCATCCAAGCTGCTTCCCGAGCACGTTGGCGATGAACAACATGTTCAGGCGATAGGTCAATATTCGCGCGACGTTGCGAAGAAATCAACAGAATGTGAAGAAGAAGCTGCACGTGAATGTGGAGTTGCTTCGAGAGCTCTCTTTCTTGCTCCGGTTTGAAGAGCTTGAACTTGAGCATCTGGAAAAGCCGTTCGCGTTCACATGAAGCGTTTCCGACCGACGGCGATTCCCGGTGCACTCGTGGCCGTCTTGGCGTTGCTTCAGTAAAAGCGCGGTGCGGCGTTGTCGTCGACCGAAAACTTTCTGCGCTCTCTTTCATTTCATTTCCTGGAAGCGTTCGCTGGCAGTCCTCTGCAACCAATTGGTAGAGTTCTTCAGAGCTGATGCGTGCGCCTGTGTCTGCGCGGTATTCTTCGTTGGGTTCAGAGTTCTCAAAGTCGACCTGTCTGAGTTCGAAGTCCCCATCATCCTCGAAAAGCAGCTCATCTAGTGCAGCCGTAGCAGAAGGAGCCAGCAGTGACGCACAAAACTTTTGGAAAAGTGCCTCGTCGTTATCAGCGGTCTCCGCGGAGACAGCACCAGCGCTGCGTTCGCTTTGGACACCTCCCGCCAGAGAAAATGACGTTCCAGAGCGCTCCATAGATGTCATTCGCCTAGTTCCCTGCGAGGCATCGAACCTTTGATACCGTTCCTGCTTCTGATCTCGCCGCGCTCGCTCAATCGAGTCTGGAACACCTCCCAAAGAGCGTGGTGCATTTTGCGCTGCGGAAGGCAGTTTTTCGTCCCGCTCCGAACAAGTTGCGCTCGTCGATTCTACTTCATCGCTACTATCTGTCAGCACGTCGTGTTCAAAAACGACGCCAACTTGATAAATCCTATCCCTGGACATTTAGCACGAAAGATTCCAGCCTTGTCCACTGGAGCGCGGGCCAGCTTAGAGAACTCGCCTCGTGCCTCAGCTAAGCAAGTTCCGCAAAGTTTCGTGCCTATTCTCCGCGAGCACTCCTCGAACAAACCAGTTCCGCCCCAGAAAACTTTCGAACAGAAGTCAGCAGAGCAATTGGGCTTCAGAAACAGCGCGAACGCCCTAGTCCTCACTCACGAGGTATCCCAGCTCAGCACGGACACAGGTAAACGTCCGTATCCGGTACAGGAATGCGCGGTAGCGATCCACCGGTGCGCATCGCGCCAACGCGCACTGCGTCCGCGTTCCCGCTGTGCGTGCAGTGCAGGCACTGCAGGAGCTATTCGCCCGGTTCATCAGGGCGAATGCGCTGGGTGGCCGCCCGCTGCGGGTGCCCGTGTCAAAGATCATTTGTATAGTTTTATACCGTTTCATAAGCACTGTAGAGCGAGCCTCTGCCTTCACTCTTCGATGGTGCCCGAAAGCGAAAACGACAACATCCGGCTCATGTAGACGGTACACGCGAATGTTTCACTTGCAATCGACTTCAGCTTGCGCTCTCTGATACTGTTCGGCAAGGAATGAATCTGTTCGGTGTACGACCGAGTGTCGGGAAACCACCCGGGGCCCTCTCGCGCTGGTGATGCTCCTCTGCAAGGACTTCACTAAAGCAAGGATCCGCTCAGACATGTCCATGAATGGATTCATTTGTCCGGTTCAAAGTGGAAACGGATTCGGTTGATAGGGTCTCGTAATTCAGGCGCATTACGCATAGAGTCACAGGTTGGGCTTAGATTTCCGACACGGATCTATCTATACTCGCCGAGAGATGCAAATGATGCCAAATCAGAGAGCATTCTTCTAAAATACACGTATAACAGCTTCGGCAAGCAGCCAGCAAGACGAGACTAGAGATGTTGCCAATCAGAGATGTTTAACTGTATTCTCGTTCTTATGCGCAACCGTCGAAAAGTGTCATATTCAGGGCCGATTTCAACTCCACAGACTCCAGTGGGCAGCACAGTGTGGACTAGGTGGCTTGCGGAAAGGCCAGCGAGCGCGTCCCAAACCGATATCGTTACGTGCTTGGGAGCGCCTCGCAGAAGCCTTACTCCCGCAAACGAACTCGGCCAGGCCCAAGCTCTGGAGCAATTGATCAACACTAGCGTGCATACCCAACCCCATATGCATTAAAAGGCTTGCTGTGTAAGCGTGGATCTCCGACTAGACCCTGTTTACACGAAACACCGCGCAGCCCGTCGCTCGCCTCCCTCGTCGGCGACGCAGCAGCCGCTGCCCTGGAACGGCGTCTCGGACGGATTGCCTTCCCACCCCCAATACGGCGCCTTACAAGACACGATCTAACCCAGAAGGATATTATTGATGGGAATATGGATTAAACGAATGAAGTACCCAATCAAACCCAGAAGCAGAATACCTAGCAAAACCGCCTGAGCGACACGTGCATACTCCTTCTGATCTGGTTTCGTACATCGTTTCCAAAGACGCACAGACTTTTCTGCAAAATCAACAATTGGTTTCGATAGTAGAGAAAGCGCCTCCATCCGTGTAACTGCCGCAGGGTCAACACCAAGAAGCGTTATGAATGTTCATCGTGCACTCGTGTTCGGCAGGTATGATGGCGACGATGTGCGGCCCGCGAAACCGCTCCAGGGCATCGCTCCTCAACTTCATAAACGTTTTCTTTGAGCGACGCAGCTTCTTGACTGGCCTTGGATACCCGATTGCACAAGCAATATCGACACCTGGGAGAACTGCAGAGGTGTTGTCGCAAGTATACTCAACATACCATTGGTGCTGAGTTGAAACGAACCCCAGGAATAGCGTCGGCAACCCTCTCGTGCCGTTCAAGACTCACGTGTACGCTTGCCAACTTGGTGTCTGCTGGTTTTTCTAGCACGCATTGCAAGCGCACTGCTGGAGTCACTGCAGTAATTTTGAGGCTATAATGCCCAATACACTGGAAGTTTTGCACGCGGCTTCGAAAGTAGAACGTTCTCACAAAGATAGATCGCGGTGATGCCTCGCCCAGAGCGGGAACTTGCCCGAAAGAGGCGTTTTCTTCCCTGGGTAGGGTTTGTTGTGCTGCTGTTGCTGGCACAAGTATGGTTGCAGGCTCGCCAGCCTCTTCCATACATGGACGAACTCTACCACATACCCGCAGCGAACGCGGTGTGTTGCAGAGTCGTTAGCGTAGCTTGCGAGCAAAATAAGCTATCTGTCGAATGGGGACGTATCACGACACCACCGGGCGCCTACTACTTTGGCTGTCCTCTATGCTTGCTGTGGCGGGTTTGGCGGTATGCAACATGTCCACCATGGCTCTGGCGCCTCGCAGTCGGCACGATACCTCTCGCTCTTGCCACAAGGGAATTGATGCTCTTCCCTGGGATGAGTGCCGAGGAAGCAATCACCCTGGCAACGTTTCTGCCTCTCTTTTTTTCGAGTCTGCTGTGCTACACCGATACTTTGGCTTTCATGCTCTATGTGCGAGCTTGGCGTCAGCAACGCGGGCAACACCCGACTTCGCCGCTTCAAAGCGCCGTGTTTGGGATGCTCGCTTCATTAACGCGCCAGTCCTACATCGTCTGGCATACTTTTCTGGGGCTCACCGCCCTAGGAGCTGCCGCAAGCACCACCGCGCAACTGGAGATCATCTTCGCCCACGGAACTGCGGGTCTCGCATATGTGGCCTTTTTCGTATGGCACGTTCTCATCAAAGGAGGGAGCATCTATCTGGGGGATGCTGAGCGACACGGACTTTCTACACACTGGTCAAACTGTCTCTACTTTGTCACGACCTGGTTTATACTGGCTGGTGGCTGGCGCGCCTTGTTTCTCCAATCCGCAGGCAACTCATCAGTAGGGAAATACTTGGCTGTAAGAGCGGAAGCCATTCGACAATCCTGGAGAAGATTCATTTGTCTCACAACCGTAGCTGCTATAGCTGTACGTCGAGGCACGTGTATTCACCCATTCGTCCTCGCAGATAATCGACACTACGTATTCTATTTCTTTCGGTATTTTATCATCCCGGGTAATCTAAGGAGATACACACTGGTCCCGCTGTATGCCGTCAGCATGGCATGCTGGCTGAGTCACTTGCGATCTACAGGCCGCATGGAGCGTCTCTTGCTATTTTCGGCGACTGCATTGACGCTAGTGCCCAGCAGACTGGTCGAACCAAGATATTTTATTCCACCGGTTGTCGCAACCGAGCTTCTAGCAGCGCAGCGGCAGCGTAGAACGTTGAGCACTATCCGTATGATTTTGAACCTGCTATTGGCATTCGTCTGTTTATGGTTCTTTCTCGAGAGACCCTTCGAAAGAACGCCTGATCTGCATATTTCTGATCCAAGTCCAGGTCGTTTTATGCCATAAAGCCGTCTATGGACGCCAGAATCTCGGAGGTGTTTCAGGGATCCATTCTGGAAGAAGAGCCTGAAGCACTGGATACCGCTATGCACTTCAACGCCGAGCGCCTTTGGGCATCGAATCCGTGTATTATGACTTGCAGTTTGGTGGGCGGCTTGGTATATCGCGAACATTTCTCCCGTTTATATCGTAAGCCTGTGACGTATCATAACCTCCGTCGCCATCTCCAGGAGCATTCTGGCTCGCTTTACCGCTGGAACATGTGGATTGCTGCCCCAGACACGCTTAATATGCTCTTCCAGATTCAAATTCGGGTTTCTTATGGGTTTGGGACCAATTATTCACGCTGCCCCCGATGTCCGCACGGCGCCTATACTCAAGTTCTGAGACTACGAAGCTGTTTGTACAGTAATCAGGACAGACAAAGAAGAAATGGCATTTTTCACGTACCTGCGTCGCATGTAGTTGGTAATGAGCATTTTGCTCTATCGGAGCTGACCCGAATATGCCTTGTAGTAGATATTCGTTGGACAAGCCGCTTACTCTCCTGGAAGTAAAAAACGTTCCCGTGATACTCCTTGCAGCCCCCTGGAGTGGCGTTGTAGAGTCCTCGTGAGATGTCCTATCTTGACTCAGTGTGATGGTCAACTTCTGCCAGCTATAGCCTCGAAGTTCTTTCGAACGCGTTGCAGAGGACTTCACAAAAGTTACGCCAGGCAGAGCCCCTATCATACGGGAAGTGCACTGGAGGCGGATTGCTGTCCTGAAGATCCAACCCGGTTCCCGGAGGCGCTCCACGATGATTCCATGGCCAACTTTGATGTGTAGACGAAACCAGATCTGCAGCCTTTGCGTGCTCATGCTTATCACCCAAATTTTCATCTCGTTCCTGGAACATAGACCTGTGGGAATCATCCACAAATTCTAAAGTTGGAAATGTTTCGAAGATCAAATCCTGCGGCTCAGGAGCTTCTAACCCTTCTCTAGTAGTCTGAAGCTCCTTCCAGGCGAAGAGCACTGCTTTCCACTTGTAGTACTCCTTAAATGTCATGTTTTTGCTCGCTAGATAGAGATGGAAACCAAATAAGTACACAACTACACAGAGCAAAAACGAGAAGCTAAGCACACAAAAAAATTCATCGAAATACATGCATTCTAGTCTTTGGGTATCCACTCTGCGGCTTCCTGTCCAAAACGCCTCAAAAGGCGGCCCACAGCGCTGTATTTGATCCAAGAGAGCGGAGGCGCTGATGAGAAACCCATGGATAACGGCACAGACATGCAGGAACAAAAACAAAATAAAATGGGGGCGGTTTCTCCGCCCAATATCGTTATTCACCCATAAACAATAGTGATCATGGCACTCGATGCAGCGATCCGTCACACTTGAGTGTGAAACGCGGGGCAGTCGCCCCAGTCCGCAGAACTCGCACTTGACACCTGCTACGTACAAAACGCCGTCATATCTGGGTTCCCTCTCTGCAGCCGACTTGACAGCTGCTGCGGTAACAGTACCGGGGTCACGCAAAGATACGCTCAATAAGGCCCCAAACAGCACGACTTGCCAGCAAAAAATATGCCAGTGCGCTGCGTAAGGGAAAGTTTTCTGCGGCAAGTCCCTGTCCAATGCGAGGAAGAGTACGCAGAAAGTAAGACCTGAGACTAAGGGATAGGCGAAGGGTCCGTACCTTTGCAAACGGGATTTCGGAAGCATTGAGTTCGGGGTTTCCCTGCAGCCATAACTTGACTGTTTCTCGTGAAGGTCTCAACAAGCGCAACGCCCTTCAAGTCTGGATTGGAGGAGCCGCGAATGATAGAGCCTTGGCATGATCAGAGTGACCACTAGGCCCGAAACCCTTGGCGGAATGAAATTGAGTGGATCGTCTGGCTCGGGTGTACACTCTTAAGTTTGGGTCGTTCCGATTGTCATTAACACAAGCACTTTTGGGCTTTTTTGTGACTGCTTCCTTTTCTTCTCTCTCATCTTCCTCTCTAGATACGCCGATCACTCCTTTCTCTCCAGCTTTGTAGTCAGCAACAGAAGGGTATTACTGATATCATTCAGGTGCTTGGTTCGCTTCTTGCGGATGTTGTCGACCCGTGTCATACACGAGCGTGAGCTGCGAACTACCCGGTGATTCCCACTTTGCATCTTCTCAGAATGCAGCCTTGGTGCTAACTTCGCAGCGGTGACACTTGACTGTGGTCGAATATTCCCATAGGTCCACAATACCTCCTCCAATTCCGAGGGTCAATATGTGCCCCGTGGAGGCTTGTCTCATTGCATCGTTCATGTCCTGGACGGGTTTAGAAGCCACGCCTCGATTCCCTCTCTCCGTTCCTGTGCCTCTTGTCGTGCACTGAGTTCATGAAGTTTCCTGCCAGTGGTTCCCTTGGCGAGTGCTCTGTCGGCTGCACGTGTCAGCGCTTGCTGTTCAAATCCACAAACGTATGTGGAACGAGATGTTTTCCATAATGAAACACGTATCCGAAGAAAACGATTGGCCACAAATCAAATGCAGAGATTTGGACCCATCCACGCATAGCTCATGCGACGCTGTGACGCACTCTCTACTGGAAATGAACGGTTTTATGACTGAAATCCGACTGCAAGGCCTCTCTCCATGCAAAACAGAAGACATGCGAGCACAAGGGAGAATATCCCATGAGCGGTATCACGCAGGTGTCGAACGTCGCATCGTGGCGGGCCACAAAGAGATGGGGATATCCGATAGGGACAGGATCGATTATTTGAGGTGACAATTTGGGTGGACTTCTGTCATGCGTTTGTGAATGAGCTGCCAAGGGATGACGCTGCGTTTTCTCCTTGTCAATGCACCGGTACGAGTTTATGCGCCCTGGAGCTGCTTTGCACCAGAAAGATCATAAATTTTGAGAATGCGTGATTTGAGCGCGCGACACGTGAGAGAAGGTGAGACTTAGGGACGTGTGCGTGCAAATAGGAAAACAATATCATATGCTATTTGACGCACCCTAGCTCGAGGGCGTCGCGAATAGACTTGATTTCGGTGACGCAAAGAATTCCGAGATTAAAGTTTTGGAGACACTATGCGGATCCGAATGCGAAGAAGACCTAGAGTAGGACTGAATCCGTATGCCACCGTTACTGCACACTGAACGTCGAGGCTGTCATTCTAAACCTAGTTCGAAAAAAATTTTAAGGCAGAATGAGGGCAAGCATTTCAATGTCCCATTTTTACCCGACACGGACACTGGCTATGCGCCGTTCTGTATCCTGGAGTACCTATTCGAACCATGAACCTCTTGGTGGACTAAAGTGCTCTCTAGAGCGTAATGGGGGACCTTTCGCTGGGATTTGAGAAGTCCTGCGTTGAAATCGAACAAAAGCTGGTCGGTTGCCGCCGAGCTGGGTACCACGCTCTAGACTGTATTCGGTTGAAGTGCAGTTCCGAAGGTGCTGCTGTCACACAATCGTTGCTTGCTTTCAGCAACGATCGAGCAGTTTACGTCACGAACCTGACAGGAATTAGGTACTCACTCGTTAGCCACGAAGGCATCGTAAACTGTCTGCGTTGGCAGCGACTCGGAGGTCAGGGCAACCTTTACGGCACGGGAGTACTCGTGAGTGGCGACGCAGCCGGCGCTCTGTGCGTTTGGCGCCCGCAGGGCTTGATTCATCGTTTCGACCTGGCGAAGCTATTCTCAACGACAGATTCTGCGACGGATCACTCACTCTTTTCGATTGTTTGTTTAGCAGTTCCGCCTGGTGCCGGCGAAGTGGCAACTGTTGGTACGAGCGGGCCGCTCTTCAGTTGTACTTCTGGTGGCTATCTTTATGCATTTGAGTATGCGAACACGGCATCGGCAGTACAACTTACAGCCTTGCCTGAGAGTGTAGACTGCTTGCCTTTGGGTTCTGGAGCGATACGATCGGAGCAATCTTTTGATGGATGCTATCTCGTGTTTGTTGGCAATACCATAGGTACCATTGAAGGTTTTTTGTATAACAGCAAGCACCAAACATTCGCAAGAACAACAACAATCGAAGGACATGCAGACTGTATTCGAGACGTGGCGCTGCACGTGATGGACATCCGAAATCAATGCGCCGATCAACTGCAAAATCGACGGAATGCTACTGGGCACGTCTTACTCGCGTCTGCGAGTCAAGACGGCACAGCTCGCTTGTGGCTCGTCGCGTCGAGCACGCATCAGGGACATTTGGATTTAATAGATGACCCGGAGTGCCTTACGGTGCTCTATGATCATCAGTCAGCTGTTACCACTGTGAAATTTATCCGGGGCTCGTGTTGTGCAGACGAGAGGCCTCGTTTGTTGACGGCAGCCTTTGACCGCACCGTGAAGCTCTGGGAGCTGAGTGGGGATTCAGCGCCAAGGATTCAGCGTGTTGCAGAGATGGGTGTTATCGGTGAGCAAAGCTCCTTCCATGGGTTCTACAGCGCCGCCTACGGGGAATGGGATGACGGTCAAAGCGTTGTTTTCGCAACAACCTACACTGGTGCCGTCTTCCAGTGGCGGAATGCATCATCTCAGAATCTGTGGCGTAACGATGAGCCGTGCATTAGGGGGCACAACCTGGGCGTTACTGATTTGGACTGGTGCCCCCCTGATGGCTTGATGCTCGTCACCGTTTCGCGGGATATGACGTGCAGACTCTTTGCTAAGGCGCAGGTCACCACTGCGTATCAGTGGGTGGAATTAGCACGCCCTCAGGTGCACGGTCACGAAATTTTCGCTGTTCGCTTTGTCGGAAAAAGTGGGCTGAAACTAGCATCTGCTGCAGAAGAAAAAGCGGTGCGTTTGTTTGATGCTCCCCAGCAGTTTGTCGAGGAATTATCTGGTATATTGCAAACAACGAGGCCGGAGGCCTGTTCTGACGGAAAGCCGCGTCCCGTTCGAGCGTCCCGCATCGCGCTTTCCCTTACGAACCAACCTGAGTATGAAGCATCAGAATCAAACGAGGGTGAGGAGATTCATAGGGACCTGAGCCCCAGCGCCGGACGACTCGGAAGGTTCCCTGCATCGGGCGCTTCGCCTCGAACGGAGGCGACACTTCAGCAAGACACTCTATGGCCAGAGTGCGAGCAACTATTTGCTCATCCAAACAATGTTCAGCGGTTGGATTCCATCGAGCAACAGGACGGCTCTTTCATCCTAGCCTCTGCCTGTGTCGCACAATCTATGCGGGAATCCGCTATTCAGCTGTGGGAGATTCAAGATGCGGCTGTTGAACTCCATGATCTTCGTTGCCATGATCTGACCGTGACGGACCTTCGTTTCGCGTATAGGATCGTAGGAAAAACCCGACGGAACCTCCTGCTGTCCGTGGCGAGGGATCGCTCGTGGATTGTGTGGAATGTGCATTCCCGAGAGGTTATCTCGCGGAGAAAGAATGCACATGCGCGAATGATCCTCACATGCGCTTGGGTGGATCCCCAACAAGGGCTTTTCGCCACTGGTGGACGGGACAAGTGCATTCACTTGTGGCAAGTTTCGAATTTCGATGCTCCAGAAGCAGAATCCTTGGCAGAGCCTCTTCAGTCGTGGCGTCTGCACAGTGCCGTCACGGCGATGGATGTGTTCAGTGACAGGCCGGATCGCGCCATCGTCCTCGCTGGCCTTGAGTCCGGAGCTCTTCACGGTTTCAGCGTGAGCACGGTGGCGCCTTACTGCTCGAAAGCGCTCCAGATGTCTGAAAACGTCCGACACGTTCGAGCGGTAAGTCGAATTCGTTTTCGACCCCGATCGAGAGGTGTGTTTGCGTCCTGCAGTGAAGATGGTAGCGTGATGATAGCGCGTATACTCACTACGGAAAAGAACGAGGTTGCTGACACCGTTTCTACTTTCTAACTGTTGTACCGTGGCGAAACAACTTGCTGCTATTATGCGTTTAGGTAATATGCACGAAATCATTCTTTCTTGACATCGCGGATTCGATAATCAGGCACCCGGTACCCGATCCATTCTGAAGCAGGGACGATGCAGTATCGAACCAGAATCAACTGGAGTGTGACTGCCAGAAGGCTCGTGTGCGAAAAACTGCCACCAGCGTGCGCGCCGAATGCCCACGACGTATGCGGGTCTGTCTAGTCCCGCCTGCCAACGCAACCCGACATGGCCTCCGTACGCTTGAAGGTACCCAATGTGCCGCTATCTGGAGTGCGCTGCTCCCTATAACCATGTCTCTTTTCATCAAGCGCGAGATCTCAATCAAATACTCTTCCCGCACAACTCCCCCCGCGACAGCCGCTCACTCATCCTCGTTGTCGGCGTCTTCCACCTCATGTTCAAGAAGACTACCGGCCATAGACAAGATCTCTACCTCGCCTGACTTGAGCCGTGCTAGAGTCTGGGCATATGACGACATGGCATGGGTCTCGTTGCCGCCAAGATGGTCTCGTACCCGACAGGTCTCAAGAACGTCCTCGAATGCAAGCAAACGCGTTCGCAATCGTTCAATCTGATACTTGTCTTGCACAAGGATTTCAAAGAATAGTATCGCAGTATCTCTGGATATGCGGCTGGATGATCCCACAATCGAGATGCCCTCACTCGAGATCGTACCTGCAATCCGTGACAGTAGACCAGGGCCATCGCGCGCCATCAGCGCGAGGCGCACTGGATAGCGTGAACGCGGCGCGCACCAGCGCACGCTCACGCATGCCTCGGGATCACCGCGGAGGCTCGCGAGGCAGCGCACGCAGCGGAGGCGATGGACTTCAAAGGCGGCGGGTACTCCGTGGCTTGCCGGCCGAATTCGGATCGCAACAATACGATCGCCTGGTACGGGATTGCAGCAGCACGCAGCGAAACACTCTGGGTGAATGTCCTCACACGCTTCAGCTGCATTACTTGCACCACTGGACAAGGTTCGACTTGAAGACGAATCCGTTCCAGGTTGACGCTCACGTTCAGGAAGTGAGCGTTCTAGGTATCGCTCAGCGTCCTTTTCTGGAAATTCGGCTGCTTCGAGGGTCTGGTAATTGGCTGGCGGATCGCGAGCACTCGACCTCAAGTAAAGAGGACTTGTTTCCTCTTCCGCAAATGTTCCATCGATTTCTGTATCAGGGACGCCAGTGTCAGCTGCAGCGTGCACATCGTTGTTACTTGCTGCAGTTGTATGCAGCTCTTCAAGAGTGCGGATGCGATCTGGATCAATATCCCGACAAAAATGGCATAAAATTTTTGCGGCAGCTGTTAATCCTCCGAATCGATGCACATAAACGAGCAGATCTTCCAAACATCGGATTTCAAGGGCTCGGGCCGGTGCGCAAACTTTCGGCACCAGTATAGGGAGGGCTGATTCCAAGACCAAGTCATTTGGAATCTCGTTCTCGTCCACACAAAGATGCCGCGCTGCTGCTTGAAGAAGCTCTCTACCTCGCTCGCATGCCTCCTTCACTTCACGAGATCGAAGGAATCGGCGAATCTTCTGCTTGGCAGTGCGTGAACGCGCGTAACGAAGCCACTCGCGGCTAGGCCCAGGTGCAGCCGGCGATGTAATGATTTTGATGCTATCCGCATTGCTGAGCTCGTAATCGAGCGGCACAAACCGGCCGGCTACACGAGCCCCGATCATTTGATTTCCTACGTCTGAGTGAATATGGTAGGCAGCATCTACGACAGTAGAGCCTTTCGGAAGATCCAAAATGTAATTTTTCGGCGTGAATACGTAGACTCGATTCCCCAGGAGATCCTTCTGAACCGCATCAACACAGTCCTTGGAGTTCCCCGAATATTCCTTGCAGTACTCCAGAATGTTGCGGAGCCAGTCTTCTGAGTGTTTTTGCCAGTGGTTTTGCGGTGAATGCAGCGTCCCATTTCCTGCCGCTTGTTGTCCACTTCGGAGCCTCGTTTCTGGCCAGAATTCCATAGCAATACCATATTCTGCTTGAACGTGCATGCTATCTGTGAAGATCTGCACCTCCACGGGGTGGAATCCACCCTTCGGACCCAGAAGCACCAGCGTGTGTAAACTCTGGTAGCCATTCGGTTTCGGATACGCAACAAAATCCTTCACATGCCCTGGAAATGGTCGGAAAAGCGAATGTACACGCCCCAGGATATGATAGCAGATATTTCTACCGAATGAAGGATCATAGTGCTCCTCGCTGAGTCCGACAATAATTTGCACAGTAGCGAGGTCATGGATATTTTCCAGCCGTGCACCCTGCAAAATTCTTTGGTAGATGGAGAACAGATTTTTGAGAGCTACCTTCGTGCAGATCTCCCGCACCAAGGGTTTCAAGATAGAGTCGTTCTCCAGAGAATCCACTAGAGCGTCCGCCGCGTGAGCCAGATTCATCTCAAGGTTCGTGCGATCTTTGTATATTCGCACTTGTTCGGAAAGTAGGCCATACTCTTTTGGATGCAAAAAGCGGAACGATAAGTCTTCCAACTCGGACGCTATTCGAGCCAGCCCGAGACGATGTGCGAGCGGCACAAATATCCCCAAGGTCTCCTGCGCGATGCTCTGCTGCTTGAGTGGTGGCATATGCTCCAAAGTTCGCATATTATGGAGTCGATCTGCCAGCTTCACGACTATAACCCGAATATCCTCCGCCATAGAGACAAACATGCGACGGATATACTCTGCCTGTTGCTCCTCTTTGCTGGATTTCCGAAAGTTCGGAGCTGCTCCGTTCGGCGAGTGCTCGGTCACAGTGCCGTTCGCGACTGTAGCCCTAATCTCGAAGTTCTGGTCAAGAGTTGAGGCGTCTATTTCTTCGCCTCCAGCCAGGTCATGATCGAGCCGTAAGCCCTTGAACTTGCTCCGAACTGCTGCAGCTGCGGCAGTTGCTGCCGCGGCTGCCGCTGATGCCGCTGCAGCAATCATGGAGACCGGAGCCATGAGTGCACCATTGGCACCGCTAACAGCGTTGCTCGGTTTCATCTTTCTGGCTATTTTGGAGACTTTGGTTTCCGATTCAACAATATTTCGAACAACATGGCCAAAAAGACTTTCAACAGCATCAAGAGTGAGGTCTGTGTCCTCGACGGTATCGTGTAAGAGCCCAGCGATGAGTGTGTCAACGTCCATCCGAAGTTCCGCGAGAAGAAGAGCAACTGCGACGGGATGTGTGATGAAGGGCTCACCAGACCGACGAAGCTGCCCACTGTGCGCCGCAAATGCCACTTCGAGGGCACGGTGCAGACTCTCTATGGCCTCCTTGTCAAGGTAGTTCGCCTTTTCCCGTAAGCTGTGGAAAGACTGTGTAAACAACTCCCTCTCCGCGTGTGTAAGCGTCCGAGGCTTGCTCTCTGGAGAAACACCATCTAAGCTGCCTTTCGTGATCTGAAAGTCACTACCCGAGAGCAACAGGTCCTTCAAGACTTTTCGACAACGGGGACGACGAATAGTTGGTCTCTCGAAGCGTCTTTGATTCGGAGACCAAAAGAGCGTCTTCGTTGTACTCAGATTGGTTGCGTAATTGTTGCTCTCGCGATAGCTCCTGGGAGCGTACACTGAAATGAAAGAAGGGCACTCCATAACTCAGGCCAGCAGCCCTGTCGAGAGCCAAACGTCAGGTCTTCCCAAGCACAGCCTGTCCCAGAGGTAGCGTCCTCCAAAGGAGAACAACAGTTGGATTCGAGCTCCGTCCGAGACCGATTAACTCTCTAGATTGTACATACCGCTGCGAACGGCGCTATCATGGATTCCGTCACGCGCGTCTGGGCCGCGATGGAAGCGAATTTCGCGAGGGCGCGATTTTTCTTTAATCATTGACGAAATGTTTACCTGGGCCAGCGTTCTCCGATTATGCGCATTTTTCTTTTCTTACTTTTTTTGTGTTATTTTTCAGTGCGCGGTGAAGTATCCACCAAATGCCCTACCTCCAAGTTACATCACCTATACTTATTCTCGGATATTCTGGTCGTTTCATACGTCCTATCGTGTGCCGAGCCTGCGGCATGCGACCGCAATGGCGCCAATAGCGCCGGTGCAGTCGCTGCACGGAGACAGAACGGCGTTGGCGAACTGCGAGGGCGCGATGGGGACTTCCTGTACTTCACCTCAACTGTATTCCATCCTATGTGAATGTTACCATATGCTTTTTCGCAGTTTTATAGCATATGCGTTCGAATCGCGTACATTTGAAGGGACAAAAAAACCAAGGGACGCTATGGACATGGAATTCGGGGATCCTGGAGGCCCGGTGTCGCTGGCTGCCGGAGAAAAGGGAAAATAGTAACAAGCCCAGGGAACGGTAGAAGACGAAGAAGCAGAAGCAGAAGGCCAGACGTCAGAAGCGACTCGAAAAATGACGCAACTACGAGAATTTCGTGGAAGCCTTTCTTCGACGCAATATCAAGGATCCCTAAAAGCAAAAGAAGCAAGAGGCCAACAGAAACAGTGTCGCGTCCCACTTCATGAGTGTTTGTAACGCTTCCCTAGAAAAGATGCATTTTGTGAGGGACATGTACCACGACGTAGCGGATACCAAAACAGTCAAAGTTCCGGAAGAATTTTTCACGGTTACCTCCATCTGGCACCTGATGGCTGCCACAGGGGAAATGTCGGGGAGGAACGATCCAGTGCACGCCTTCTACGAAAACTATCCCTTCTGCAGCATCAACGGTACTCGATGCAGGGCTGACTCGGGTATTTACACTTACGAGGCGATAGAGTATCTCACGAACCTGGGGAACCAAACAATCGTAAACCACGAACGGTTCATCAAAGGCTGCATCTTTGCGCTCTACTCGGCCTGTCTCATAGGGTGGGTGACCATCATCGATAGCTCGACTAGAGATCGCCAGTATGAATAAGAGATCGAATTCTTCGACGAGGAGACATCACACAGGAGCACTACTGAAGGTTCTGTGATCCGTGCGGCTATTAAAGAGCAACGTGGGGCCTCGAGGCTAGCGGATCAGCAGAAAACGTATCAGATATGAAAAAACATGAAAAGGAATTTTATCCCCTATCCTGCGCTATGTCGTATTTTTGAACAGAGAACTCGAGCGCAGGGCCAAAACGGAGCAGGGTGTGGAAGAAAATGAGGAGTCGATGGGGCGGCGGACTGCGCCTTTGGGGAAGCGCTTCAAAATCGTACTGTTATGCAACATCAAGTCATATTTTGTGAAAATCGACCCCAGAGTCCTTTACGGCACACTGAAGGAGGTAAGTTCGGATTTCGATGTAAGCAACTTGGAATTTACGGGCGAAAACCTGGAGACTCATTGGAAGCACATCTTCGATTTCAAACGTCTCAAAATGAGCAAGAAAAAGGTATTCAAGGAGATGATCGAAAGCGATGGAGTATCCATACGCGTTGACTACAGGTGCTTGAAGGTGGATCGTCCTGTTTTGTCCTCGATATCGCGGGTGACGAAGCGTGACGAAATGAATGATGCGGACCCTACGACGTAGGAGGTGCAGGCGAAGGACCTCGTCGCCGGCGTGGACCGTGGGAACACGAATATCATGACCATTGCTGTTTCCATGCATGGGAAAAATGCAAGGGCTCCCATCGCACAGGTGCAGCAAATGGAGAGCATAACCTCTGGACTTGTGACGACGCGGTTAACGACTTTTGCAATGAAACCCGCAGCGTATGGCACATTTACCTGAGCGGTTATACTCAGACCAGTGGATTTTGGAGTACATGTGCCAGCAACCCATTTTGTTATTGTTTCTTTTGCTCCCAGGCATTCAAAGAAAGCAATGGATCCCTTAGATTCGATAATTGTGGAGAAGAGACCTCAAACTGTCACTTTTAGCCTGCGAGCAATGATCTGACTCGTTCAATTCGGTCATTCTGCCATCAGCAGGTGGATGGATCACCTTTATCGTCGTCTTTGACTTGAACTTCGTGCATGAAAGGCAAAACTTAACAAACTCCCTCACATAGACAGAATCGGCATCGATCCGTTCCACTCCATACACTCTCGCAGAAATTCTGCCGAAGAACCCAAATCGTGTGGAGTCCCCAGTCCTTTGATGCGAGGGATGATGAAGAGACACGAATGGACGAAGGAAAAAGCATGCTTCTTTGGGAGTTAATTGCGTGTTTGACGGGCCATTACCGACTCTGTACCGATGTAGAAGGCTTTTTCCAGAAGCGATATGTTTCGGCCTCTTACGATGAGACCTCTTTCGGAAGAAATGCGAAAGATGTTGATGAATACTTCACGAAGAAGGACAACAAATGTTGTTCGTAATGAAGAGACAAGCTAGAATAATGACGACATCAGCCCATGCGCAGATTCCATCGAGTGGTAGTACGCAGGTCGCCAAACCTAGGGGATCCCTCAGCAACCCATGCATCCTCGGGGCGCTATGTGGCACCTCCATTGTATATTTTTCTTGATTTGAGATGAAGTTGCTTTCCATAACTCTCTAGCGATCAAGGAATAAGCAGCTGAGATAAGCGTTGAGCTGCCCTACATATCGGTCCATTCTTGCATGCAAAATCCGGTCGAGTGCGTCCTCTCGATTGCTATACGATATTTTCTCGGCCTCGAATTCATAGACGAGACGTTTGCGTCCGTAACAAAGCAGTTCTTCGATAGATCCTTCTTCAACAAGTAATTCTCTACCTTAACCAGCTTTCAAATGCCCTGTGGCTCTTCCGATCTTTCGGACAAGGGTGTGCAAAAGCGCGCTCTGGCAGTGGAAGTGCCCGCGGCGAAGAAGATGCAAGAAGGTCACGGAGCATAGTAGAGACACATCTGCATTGTGGTTAGCGTCCGTCCCGCCGTCCTTCTAGTGTATCCAAGTCCCCGGGAGAATAAGATTACAAATATAGCTACCGGATCTATGCTACTCTGCTAAGAAAAAGAAAAGGCGAGGAAGCAGAAGAACAAGCGACCAGACAGAGAAAGATACTGTCTGAAAGAAGAGGAGGAATAGGAAGGGATAACAGTAGGACACGGATTCAATCTTAGAATACCTTTAAGGTCTCTCTGCTAAAAATTGCCAAGAGGATATTTTTCCAATCGTTGAGATTAAGGACGCCGTTAGGGACCGTATTGCACCTTGCTCGAGGACAATTCACCAGGCCTGCATAACATTGACACATCTCGTCAATGAATTGCTCGGCGTTCCAGGTGCGGAACTCCAAGGTACCCGCATTCCAATGGAATTTTTCGATCAAATATTCGTGCCAGAACTGAGACCCGGGACAGAAGCTGCGATACGACCTGATATATCCAGAGCTCTAAATCATCATGAACCGGGCGGAATAGACACCAGGGGGCATACCAATATCGGGAATTTCAGTAGCTAGACCTCCATCTCGACGCTCTGCTTACGGTATTGATCTGAGAGGGATGATTTGTGCGCTTCTCTCACGGTATATGATGGTTCGGATGGCGCATGAGGACGATCCTTGGCTGGGATACCTGAGACGGTGCTGGTTTCGCCGCAAGTCTTGTTTGTATGGAGGTAAAACGTGCATTTGCGAAATTCGGGAATGGAAGAAATAGAAAATATCTGATAAGTTGCGTTGTTCGGGGGTTGCCTATGTCGCTTAACTTGCCGAAGAGCGCAAGGGCTCCACCCCTGCTCCTTCACAAAAAGCGCACAATGAGTGAAGGAATCGCTTCTGTTCGATTCCAATCGATGCTTTTGAGAGAACACTGACGCATCATGAGCTCGAGTGCACGCTGGAAAAGGTACAGAAACAAAGGGGGAAACAGAGCCGAATGCAAGTGATGATACACAGTAAGTTGATCGAACTTCAAACGGCAAGGGAATCGAAGTAAAGAGGCTTGCTATGGATAATTTCACTAGGATCCATGAGCGTAAGCATGTCCTGCACCAGGACTTGAATGCTTCGAGAATCATCCGGAAATGTCTCGTACTTTCGGAACTTCCTGCCGCTGCTGGCGAGCGACGATTCAAGGGAATCATTTAGCGCTCAGTCTGGGCATTCTGATGAAACGTTGAGAAGCACGGATGAAAAACGTGAGTCGCCCGGAGAGATTGGAAGTGATTCCCGCCTGGAGCGAGTCACTGGTATGGCACAGTTCAGCAAACCACCAAGACCTAAACTCGATATCCATTCACGGAAAACGGTTTTCCATGAGACTAGCTAAACGATATCTCGAGTTCGACTATTTGGTTTTAAATAGTATATTTTAACTTGTCCTGGCAAGCATGATCGTTTCTTCGAACGCCCTGCTGGGCATGAAGGTAGCCTCTACATACAGCGGAGCTATGAGTCGGCGAGCTTCTCTCAGCCTCGTGAAAAGCCATTCAACACAAATACGTTTCAAATCAATGGCATGCCTCAGATTATCTTCATCATACACAGGTCATCCACTACATACAGCATGAGTAGGCATTGATACTCCGCCAATCCTCCGTTTGGAGCGTCTGCCTGGAACGCCAAGCGTATCTTTCTCCGGGTGGCACAGTGTGCGGCCCAGCACGAGGACCAGATCCGACCGAAATGCACAGCGAACAGAATGTTTCGCAGCTGTTCCGCGATGTGTCGCAAGCTCTAGCAACGGGAGAGCTGTCGCAGATCGCACTTTTGACTAACTATTACTTCAATGGCACAAAATGTCGAAGATGCAAGGCTCAAAGCTGAAGAGGAGGAACAACTGCAGCGGAGCTTGTTGAGCATATTCCTACGGCGTCGCGATATTTGGGAGGAAGTTTGTGGCGACTTGCTCTTCGATCCGCTTTACGAATGGTGTGATTACCCGACAGCTAAGGACCAGCGTGCAGTTGAACGTGCTATCATCGATGTTGATTTCGGACGGGCGGTCGTGCTGCTTCGACAGAAAAGATTCACGGACGACGACGATAGCATCCTGGAGCGACGACTCGTCGGGCTGCTTCGCTGTTTATATCTGCAAGAGCCTCCATCGTCTTTGGTCCAAGACTTAGAGGCAGAATTCTGCCAAGAGCACTTCACAAGGGAAAAGCACTTTAACTTTATGGACGGTGTACTGGACTCTCGTCGCGAGCTCGGAGAGGAATACCTCAGCCTTGAGGCCAGCCAGACTTGGATATTGTACTGGATTGCACACTCGCTGAATATTTTGGGCCGTAAGCTAACTGAATCTGAAGCCCGGGGCATCACTCGGTTCTGCTTGGAATGCCGAACGGAACAAGGTGGCTTTGGTGGGGGTATCGGCCATCATCCTCACGCAGCCGCGACGTTTGCAGCGACGTCGGCCCTTTTCATTGCCGGCACTGTGTTGCCTGAAGCATTTGAGGTCTTGGATAGGCGGAAGTTCTTGCACTGGGTTCTGAGAGATCTGAAAATATCTCTGCCGGAGGGCGCCGCTTTTCGTGTGACAAGAGACGGAGAATCCGACGTTCGAGCAACGTATTGCGTTCTTGCTACAGCCTCGCTTTTGGGTGTACTAACAGAAGAGCTTGCCTCCGGAGTAGCTTCATGGATCTCTTGTTTACGTGCATTCGATGGAGGTTTCGGAGGTGAACCTTATAATGAGTCTCATGGAGGCTACACGTTTTGTGCTTTGGCTAGCCTGAGAATTCTGAACGATTCTGGGTTTTTATCCGAAAAGGAATTTGAAAGTTTGGTTAATCCATGCAGAAAATGGCTTCTCCTAAGACAGCGGCAGTTCGAGGGAGGATTCCAGGGAAGACCGAATAAACTTGTGGATGCTTGTTACGCGTATTGGATTGGAGCTTCTTGCAAAATAGTGGACGTTGAGTTCAACGCATCAGCGTTGGCAAGGTATCTGCTGCGCTACTGCCAGGACTTCGAGACAGGTGGCTTTCGGGACAAACCGGGTTCAGACCCTGATTTTTATCACACGTGCTATGCTTTAAGCGGCTTGTGTCTCACGGGTTGGCATGCTCTCGGCGAAAATGGAACCAAAGTCGAGCTACTTGAATTAGACCCCATTTATAATCTCACAACGAATGCGCTCAAACAAGCGAAGGAGTTTTTCGCAGACTAGATATACTATTATTTAGTCGTCGATTTGATTTGGGAATAGACGCTAAAGCAGCTTAAACCAACAAAACTCTAAGATTTTACTTGCCTTTCTGCTCACGGGACGATTTCTTGCTGGACTGAAAGTCGAGGGCCCATAGGCTTGGAGGAATACTGATACGCATCAACACGTAGTGAAAATCTAGGTGTTCGCAAGGTCTTAGTTCTTCTTTTGGTCTTATGTACAAAGAATGCTGACCATGTGCTGAGTATGACGACATAGCTCCAGATGCATGCAGAGTAAGGTACTCTCTTATGTAGCGTCCACTAATTTGGATAGTATGTTTGAGATTGCACGGAGACGAAACAGAAAACCAATCGCATAATTCGCGCGCGGCGTACGGAAGATTTTTGTGCTCGATCTCAATTACTGGCCGGCGCGCCAGCCCAAATTTCGGTCTCGCTGGCAATCGTACAGGAGAGAACAATATTTTCTCGACATGGGAAAATGTATTCGTGTGGTAGCACTTAGACTGAAATCTCGATCTTACCCGTAAATCTATTCCTCGTAACCAATCTCTCAAAGGTTGCGGCAGCGGATGTTACGTTTTTTTCGCTTAAAAGCTCTCACACGGAGTTTCCATTTGCTTGGTTTTTATTCGATCCATGCCTCTCGCATATGCTGCAAATTATTCGTATACGTGAAGCTTCAGCTTCTCTTTGATTTTTGGTTCTGCTATGTTTCGCTAGCAAGCATTCGAGTCTGTTCTTTGGCTCCTGCAGAGCAGCGCTTGCTAAGGTCTATGCATTGATTTCAAATGAACACTGGAGGCCCGCTTGCAGGAGTGCGGGCTGTGGAAATCCCCAACATGCAGGTGCCTGTCATACTTTGCTGAAGGCCAGTAGAATCACGCTCGGAACCGGTTACCCTTTACTGACGGCAGCAAGTATCCTCTTGAATTCTGAGATTTGGTACAGTGGAGCATAAGCGTCGGCGATGAGCTCGTAGCCGATACGTGCAGCCCTTGAAAAAATCAGCTTTTTAGAACTCAGTCAACCGCCTCCACACGCCTTTCCCTGCTTGTTTTACTCACTCCTGACAGCGAACGCATGTCTTTTCTGTCTCTGGCTGGAAGCCAACGTCTGGATAGGCACTAGCCGCGTTGCCAGGAAGCGAGGATTCCAACAGAAGTTCGTTCCAGAGTTTGAGAGTAAAGCATCAAATTTTGGGTTCGGATTTCTGCATTACTGCTCACTTGAGAACAACATCCGACCTTGAAAAGATGCCATACATTCGCGGCCTAGAGGGCATTTCGCGAGGTGATAGATTTGTTGAAACGTATTGAGACTGTCGCATGAGCCGAATCCTTCTCGAGTGCAGGACAACCAAATCCGCCGCGCACATAGAACTCCTGCTCGGATTGCTCGCTTGCTTGAGTTCCATCCTCGTCTGAGCCTTCATCATAGACGCTATCTATGTCGCACCTTTCAGAGGCCTCAATGTCGTCAGAGAAACTGTCTTCCGAATCTAAGAAATCTGTTTGGCTTGCGTCTGAAACGATGTCAGTACTGTCTCGGTCTTCACCGCCGAAGATGAGCTCCAATGCATTGTTCGTTCGGGTAGAGGATGTTGGGCCGTGCAGAAGCCCTTCGATATCATATGAATACAGTTTGCACCATGAAATAATTTCGCCGCGGAGCTCCTCTGTTCGAAGCAATATTCGTGGAGAAAGTTTCATGAGCCGCTTATTCGCAGAGTTGTCAAAACTGCCGACTTCAGTGAACGAATTAGACATCTTTGTTGCTTCACATAAAGTTTCACACAAGTTCAGCGCTTTCGCGAAAACGAAAGCGATCGCATCGCGGACGGTGACGAGCTCCATCCCCTGTGGCGGTTGAACACGATTGAGGCGGTCCAGTCGAGAACGTAGTACAGGCAAGACTGCGAGAAGCTCACTGAAGAAGACCACCCTACAGGTTTGACGGTCGGATCGAGCATTCTGTACCACCGCGAATACCCGCCTGCAAACCTCAATGCTAAAATGGGAGGATCGAAGTTGATTTCGCAGGTGACCGTGTGATTCTCGAATGAGCAATCGAGGGAGGCATAGCGCAATCCACGGGATTGACGCATTCGTCACACAGTTGAAACGAGGATGCGTACTCGGTGAGCTCCAGTTTTCAAGTACATCTAGCAACTGCCCGACCTCATTCGGTAGGCAACTTTCCGGCAGACTGTATAACCATTTCCAAACGCGATAGCGCTCCGAAAGAAAAGGATGTCGAGAGTTGCCCCCACATGGCGAATTCAAATACTTCCGAACTATCTTAGCATTCGGTTCTGCATCGAACTTTCTGGTAAGCGCGTACTTCCGAAGCATTGTACAGCGCTCCCGCAATTGCAATGCAAAGGAGCACGATGGATGAGTTTGTTTCCAGTGCTTGATACGCAGCTTTGCACAGGTCTCGAACACGTTAGTGGCCAGGATAGCCTCCAGGACTGTTCGAGCACCGTGTGTCAACGTCTCAAAATATTCAAGCACATCGAAAACCAGATTCTGTTCGATCTCTGTGCCGCCGGCGCCTATGTAGTACCAGACAGTCAGGTGCCAAAGACGCAGGAGTGCCGGCGCCAACGCCATACACAGCGGACTCGTTTCACGCATGCATAGACATGTTTTCTCGCACAGGTAGCTCAGCCAGGCGGGATTCCACAGATCTGCAAAGTGCTTCAATCCGCCAAGATCTTCAGTGATACCTGTTTCGAGTTCGTCTAGGAGGCAGAAAATCTGACCTGTGCTATGCAAGAGATCAGACTTAATGATCCGCTGAACTAGCAGAGGGACATTTGTCTCTTCAGAAATGGATCTATATAGGGCCTCGATTCTTGTCATGGCATTTCTAGAATCAGGAGCGCGCTCAAGGAAAATGAAGATTCCAACAGCTATCGCCCTCTCCAGCTGGTCTAACGCATGAGCAAAGACCCAAGCAAGCTCAGGTGGAACGGGTCTGCGACAATGTTCCATTGCACCTAGCAGAATTTCCCGTCCGTGAATTGCACATTCCACAGCTTTTGAGACCTCAACAGTTTGCATAGAGCATATGTCGGTCGCAAGCTCAGTGAGGACACTGCTGAAATTCTCAGAGGGGCCTGTAGGCTCCTGCTCGTATGCCGCAAAAATAGATGCCTCGTAGAGTTTGAAAACGTTTCGAGGTACAGCCACCTGAAAGTCTCTCCATGAGCTATCTGTGCACGCAATATACGCACGAAGCGCTTGCCGCGTGAAATGAGGCATGCTCTTCGAGAGTGATTTCGTCCGAAATATTCGACAGCCATGAAATATGTCGCTTGGGATGATTTTCTCTAGTATAGCAGCAAAACCATCCGGATTGATTCCATGTTCAGCAGAATCAGCAATGAGGCCGAGCAGGCTCGCCGCGAAAACTTCTTGAGCATCCATAGGAACGTTTTCCAGAATACTCCTGAGAACGACAAGTCGCTCCTGCTCGTCGCATCCGCGCGTAGTTGCTCGAACGTACAGTCGAGCCATGCTGCAAGCAGTATTCCACTGCCATAACGCTTGTTTCCGTATCAGCGAGCTTAAATTTGAAAGAATCCTCGAATCCTTTTCCCCCAGCGTTTGAAAAACGAGTGCGAACATATCAAGCATTGTCTCTGTCTGCAGCATGTGCGAGAACGAAGAGACGCGATCCAGAATGAGTGGGGCGAATGGTAGCATCGTTTGCGTACGCGATCGACATAGCTCAAGTAAGGCAGAGGCGGCCTTGATTCTAAAAGCTCCCCCATGCTTTCGTGAGCTGCGGTACTTCGCAGATTGAAGAGGTACTGCACCACTGAAACACACTCCAAGAAGGTCTTTCACGATATCGGATCTTATGGACGCGTAAGAATCAAAAAATGTTGGCAAGCATACCTCAAGAACATCCCAGGATTTCTCGTGGGAACACAGAATTCGCAGAAAACGCAGCGCCCCAGTCGGAAATCTTTCAAATGCCGACATGTATGTTGCTAAGATACCGCGCAAGCACATTGCGTTCAAGCGTCGTGCAATCAGACTCTCTGAGATAGCAATCTCAGCTATCCTGTCCATCCGAATTCGAGAAAGCATAAACAGCCAAAGACAGAAATCAAATGGCGAGATTTGGTCTGGAGACGGCCTATATCGAAACCTATTACGATGCCCATTCCGCGCATTCGAAGCCTTGCGTGGATGCCCCAGATCATCAAGGCACTTTTTCTCATCGCGCCCTTCGGTAAAACTATCACTGAAGATCCTCTCCAGAACGTAACGGTCTATTCGTGAAACATCATCCAGCACTTCCACGACGAGAAAAAGAAGTTCAGGGGATGCGTCTTTCAGGTACTCGCGGATACGCTTGAAAAAAAGACCGCTCTTGGAACCTGACAGTTTGAGAAGTGCTCGAATAAGCGACGGAATTTCATTCTCTTCTACGTTGCCTAAGGACTGCAGCGCAAGTTCGACTACGCCAGCGTGGAGTTTTCCTGACAGAGGCAACTCGCTGGCTGAAGCCAGTACTGGCACGAGCAAACTGCGGTCTAAAGCGACGAGTTCCTTGTAGACTAGGAACGCGTTGTTGACGTCTTCCTGGCTACCAGATATAATATGCGCGGAGTAAGGCAGCAAGGTCCTAGGGTACAACGGCAGCAGCTCGAGAAAACGCTCCGTTACGGCTGGGGACGGTTGGCAGACGTGCTGCTTGATGATTTTGCAAGCTTCATCGAGAGCTTCTTCCTCTCCCAACTCCGAGGCAATCTCTAGCAGAAACAGTCCTGCTTCAGAACAAGTATCCCGTTGAGCTAGTAGTGAAATAGTTTCAGTAAGTTGCGCAGCGCCTATGGCCCGTAGCAGGTTTTTTGTGCTCATGTGTACTAGAGCTCATGGAAAATAAATGAATTTTTCGCGCGCAAATTTCTTCGCGAAGCGCAGTTCTCGTTCGGCAGTGTATGCCGTCGCAAACTTTAAGGCACTGGAGCGGGCGTGCCGACAGTCCAGAGTTTTTGAGTTTTGTCAGACAATTGGTAGAAGATCAAGGCGAAGTTGAGAAAACAAGTTTAGATCAGCTCGTAACCGAGATTTCCAAGGTCTTTGTTGGTTTCTCACGTCTGCCTACCCGGGCAAAGTTCCAGGCAGCCGCGAAAGCTCTTACGCTCGTGCAAAGTGTCGAACAGAACGTGAACACGGAGGTTTATCGTGCCGCAGGTTGCGCTCGCCTACCTTCCAAAGTTGGATCGCGGATCCCTGATGGTAACCACTTCGTCACTTCCGTTCAGGAGAGTTCCCGTGAGACGACAGCATCAGTAAAAAGGCACCGACAAGTAGACCCCAACATGCCCCATACGCCGCCGAGGGCGCCCTTAAGTCGGAGTTCTTTTTTAACTGCCCGCCCGAAACAACGATATGAAGACATCGGAGGTATCGAAAGCATACTGAGTCATATTCGTGAGCTTGTAGAATGGCCGCTTCGGTACACAGAGCTCTACAAACATCTCGGAGTTGATCCACCTCGAGGTGTGCTGCTTCACGGGCCCCCTGGCTGCGGTAAAACTCTCCTTGCCAATGCAATTGCCGGCGAGCTCGGTGTTCCGTTCTTGCGATTGTCGGCGCCAGAACTTATTGCGGGAATCTCGGGAGAATCAGAGCAACGTGTCCGTTCCTTATTTGACGAGGCGAAGTCGTTGGCGCCTTCACTTATCTTTATTGATGAAATCGATGCAGTCACATCAAGAAGAGAGACTTCCAGCAGAGAGATGCAAAATCGTGTTATCGCCCAGCTTCTTTCGTGTTTGGATTCTATATCTTTGCAGGAGACTGGCGACCGGTTGGTGATCGTTATCGGCGCAACAAACAGAGCTGAAGCACTAGACCCCGCTCTTCGACGCGCAGGACGATTTGACCGAGAAATTGAAATAGGGGCCCCTGATGAGGAAGCACGTGAAAAAATACTGCGGAATGTAACCAGGAGAATGCTTCTCTCCGAAGATTTCAACTTCAGAACGATTGCGCGCCGTACCGCCGGATACGTGGGTGCGGACCTCGCAGCACTGGCCACAGAAGCGGCGTCGACGGCGATAAGACGTATCGGAAATGACCTATTGCCGACTGATACCACAGTGAACGGCGCCGCCTCCGTGGATTTTGCCAATATAAGCATGTTGCGTATAACAATCGATGATTTCCTTGTTGCCATCGGAAAAGTTCAGCCCTCGGCGTTGCGTGAGGGATTCGCCACCGTGCCAGACGTTTCCTGGGAGGATATAGGAGCTCTGGATGACATCAGAGAGGAGCTCGAGATGGCTGTGATTGAGCCGCTTCGAGAACCGGAAAAGTTCGCGAGGTTCGGAATCGGAATCTCTGCTGGTGTGCTTCTGTATGGCCCGCCTGGGTGCGGGAAAACTTTGTTAGCCAAAGCAGTTGCAAATGAAAGCGGCGCCAACTTTATCTCCGTCAAAGGTCCGGAGCTTCTCGACAAGTACGTCGGTGAGAGTGAGCGCGCCGTCCGTCGACTTTTTCAGCGAGCCCGCTCCAGCGCACCATGCGTGATCTTTTTCGACGAATTGGATGCACTCGCGCCGCGAAGAGCATTCGGTAGCTTCGGTGCTTCAGCGAGCGCCGATAACGATGCCGGGGGAAGCAACGCTAGTGAAAGGCTAGTGAACCAGCTACTCACGGAGCTAGACGGCATGAATCCCCGCCGACAAGTTTTCGTCATTGCGGCAACGAATCGGCCGGACTTAATCGACGCGGCGATGCTCCGACCTGGACGTTTCGACAAACTTCTTTACGTTCCACTGCCAGACGAAACTGGAAGACATGCGATCCTGCAAACTGGCCTTCGGGGAATGCCCCTGGACTCCCGCGTGGACCTGAGAGCGGTTTCTGGTGCAACGAAAGGATTCTCCGGCGCAGACATTGCTGCACTCATTCGAGAAGCGGCTGTACGTGCACTGCGTTCTGAGGCGCCGGCGATCGGCGCTGAGCATTTTCGCAAGGCTCTCGAAAATATATTTCCGTCAGTGAGTCCCGGAGACGCCGCCCGTTACGATTCTATGAGGCAAAATTTACGCAGAGCAAGAGGGCACGTGAACGAAAATATTTTCACGATATGATTTGCTTGAATCTTGATGCCCATCTCTACGCGTCATCGTCCATCAAAATGATCGATCTTATGGAGCGTCCATTGTGCATTTCTTCGAACGCCCGATTGATATCATCCAATTTGTAGGTACCGGTGACATAGTCATCGATGTTAATCACGCCTTTCATGTACATATCTACGAGTTCTGGAAGCTGGGTTCGGCTTTTTGCACCGCCGAACGCGGTTCCCTTCCATGTGCGACCAGTCACAAGTTGGAATGGACGAGTACTGATTTCCTCACCGCTGGCAGCGACACCAATTATAACAGAAACGCCCCAACCTTTGTGGGATGCCTCTAGGGCCGCACGCATAGTCTTGACGTTGCCGATGGCCTCAAAAGTGTAATCTGGTCCACCATCGGTCATGTCGATGAGCACCTGCTGGATTGGTTTCTCTCCGAATTTCAATGGGTTAATGCACTCAGTTGCTCCGAGCTGTTTTGCTAAAGGGAACTTTGACTCGTTCGTATCCACGCCAATGATCCTGGACGCGCCTGCTATTCTTGCGCCCTGCACGACACTGAGCCCTACTCCGCCAAGACCAAACACTGCTACTGTGGAGCCCTGTTCAACCTTTGCCGTGTTAAGGACCGCACCGATACCAGTTGTTATCCCGCATCCGAGCAAGCATACCCGGTCTAGTGGCGCATCTTGGCGAATCTTCGCTACAGCTATCTCCGGCAAGACGATATACTGCGAAAAACAACTGCATCCCATGTAGTGAAATAGGCTGCGACCATTGCACGAATAGCGTGTCGTGCGATCCGGCATGAGCCCCTGGCCTTGGGTAACTCGAATCGCGCTGCAAAGATTTGTCTTCGTTGAGCGGCAGAACTTGCACTGACCACACTCTGGAATATAGCAAGGAATTATGTGGTCACCCGGCTTAACACTAGTAACACCTTCCCCAACAGATTCAACAATTGCTCCTCCCTCGTGACCGAGAATGACCGGAAATACGCCTTCCGGGTCGGCTCCTGACAACGTATATGCATCTGTATGGCAAACACCAGTAGCCACGACCTTTGCACGGACCTCCCCAGCCTTTGGAGGCTCCACTTCTATCTCCTCGATCGAAAGTGGTTGCCCTGGCTTCCAGGCAACAGCCGCTTTGCAGCGAATAACTTTCCCCTGGGTGCTTGACATATGAAGACAACAACGAAATTCGCAGACCACTAGCGACCAACTTGAATTACCAAACGGTGGGTACTCAGCGTACTAGACACTTGGACGAACGCTTCGCGGTCCTCGGAGCTCACAACAGAAGCTCACATGTCTGGAGCGCACACTGCCGTCTCAAAATGCAGCCGCCGTTGTGGCTGCACTGCACAAGCTTCACACCGGGCATTTGCGGCGACTAGAAAACGTAGAGGCTTTGAGGCAGCAAAGGAAAGAACAGAATATGACCGCTAACTAGCTATTCGCCAACACATTCTTCCCGCCTCTATCGTAAGGTTTTCAAGTGGGAAAAGGTTTTCGTAGTTCAGAAAGCTTACCTTCTATGCGCACCGTCCGGCTAGTGCTTCATGCTACCAGTGGCGGGTGCAGTGGCGCGACCTGATCAGCTCGTTTGCAAAGCAATTTCACCTGGGACTAGCAGTGGGTAGGCAGCGTATCTCCGTCACCGTGGTCTCGGTGGTCTCCTAGCATAACGCCTCGCGCTGCAGAAGGCAGCACGTCTTTCTACCCAGCTTGCTGGCTCCCAGAGTGACGATGAATCCCTATTCCGTGTCGGGTGAACGACGCCTCGAGCCGACACCCTCAGCGGCATGGCAGAGCCGTTCTGTCTTCGTGCTGCATTCGCGCTAGTGGTTTAGGCGCTCCGGAGGGTGCGCACGGTAGGATCGGCGCACGAGAGAATGTACGGAAAATTCCAAAGGCGGGCGTTTTCTCGTAGCTATTTAAAAAAGAGGCGAGAAAAGGAAGCACTTGAAGTGAGCTGTGAAGTTGCATCAAGACTACTTCAAGTATATGCATCGAACTTCATAGATCGTGGTTCTAGAGAAATCTTACCACAAAATGAACCGCTTCGTTTCCTCTTAGTTTTCATTTTGCGAAACGCTTTTCCTTGGTATGCGGAGAGTTCCGCCCAGGTTTTCTGGGCATGCTGATCTCTCGGGGTGGGATCAATGAGGGTAACATCCGAAGAAAAGAAACGTTCCTCTTGAATCCTCCGGAAAGGTGTGTTAGCCTGGGGGACTCTCTTCGCTCTGTCGGATTTTGGGGCAGCCTGTGGGTGAGGATTCAGCTTGGAGCTAGAGGCACCAGCCACGTCGCACTGACTTTTGTCACCAGAGCCTTCTACAATGATGCTTCCTGCTGAGTCATCTCTGGGGTCGGACAAAATGGTTTGCGTGGATGACTGACTTTTGCGCCCCATCGCAGACACGGGTTTCGTTACCCGAGGCGCCATATCAGTAGATTGCGCTAGCATTCCTGGATGGGAATCAATTTGTGATGCACTGAAAGCGCTCCCTATTTGTTCGTTTGAACTGCAAGCGCGCAGTCCATCAAATGCGATCCCATTTCCACCGTCTTCCATCGCTGCGCGCGGCTTGTATCTAGGATCCGCATCTTTGCTAGAGTGAAGTCTCTCTGGTTTCCTGAAACCTGCGCAAACGTTTGACTTTTGAGCTTTCGTATGGCAATTCTCAGTTAAGGAATGCCAGCTTGAACAAGGAGATCCGTGCTCTCTACGCGTTCGTTTGTCTAAAGGTTTCCCCGTATCTCTTTTCTGATGATTTTGGATCTGATTTGCACAGACTGGCAAGTCTCCTCCGTCTTGCGCATGAAACCGATATTGCTCTTCTAAAGAATCCCATTTCATCGTTTTGTTCTGGCCGACCATGAGGCTAGAGTTATGCGGTTTCGACGTATTCGAGGGTCCACACTGGACGTCGTCACTTATACATGATTCCGTAACAGCAGCCGGAGCTGAATCCGTGCCTATTAGTACTTTTCGCTGGGAAGTACGCTCAGTGCCTTCGGCAGGGTTCTGTGATTGAGCAACGTTCCCTTTCCGAGAGCTCGCATCCCTAGAAGCTCTGCCATTCGCGATTTCACTTCCAGCATGGTTTGTCCGAACCCCGCGATTCCGAGGGGCCTTGCCCTCACCTTCAGGGATGTGTTGCGTTGCATGTCGTCCTAATGGATTCCTTCCATGGAGCTCTCCATGAAAATATTGCGACCCGCTGGACGCAGCATTCCCTGTTCTCTGTTCCTGCACTTTCCCGGAAGCAAGATCTTCAGCATGGTAGCTGTTCATTTGCATTTTCATCTCACGCGATTCTAATGATGGACTTATTCCATCAGTATTACCATTCGCGAGAGATCCATTGATTTCATGATAATGCCTAGATGGCTCGCATGAGCTGCCTCCAGTGGAATGCACTGATATGTTATCATTTCTGTCACAATGAGATGCTATCAGCTGATGGTCTGAGGTGTTGGGAAGGGAATCCTGGAATCGTTCCTCTATCCTGCCAGGAGCCGTGCGACTTGCTGATATCTTTCCAGGCGGAACTGGTAAATTCGGCTCGCTGCTGGTTCCAAAGTCACTCATATTCATACGCGCTGAGCATCTACTGCAGCCGCTGCTCGATGACGACTCAGAAGTCGACTCCGAAGTGGAGGACGCAACACCTGCCGTCCTCGGTGGCACCTTTCGCGCCTCCGTAGCCTCTAGTGAGCTCGATGAGCTCGATGAGCTCGACGATGTTGCCGTCGACGCTAGCGCACGCTTCGCTGAGGCCCGATGTGGCGGTTGGACGCTCCCAGCGCGCCTTGTGACTCGCTCGCCGTCGCTCGATGACGACTCAGAAGTCGACTCCGAAGTGGAGGACGCAACACCTGCCGTCCTCGGTGGCACCTTTCGCGCCTCCGTAGCCTCTAGTGAGCTCGATGAGCTCGATGAGCTCGACGATGTTGCCGTCGACGCTAGCGCACGCTTCGCTGAGGCCCGATGTGGCGGTTGGACGCTCCCAGCGCGCCTTGTGACTCGCTCGCCGTCGCTCGATGACGACTCAGAAGTCGATTCCGAAGTGGAGGACGCAACACCTGCCGTCCTCGGTGGCACCTTCCGCGCTTCCGTAGCCTCTAGTGAGCTCGATGAGCTCGATGAGCTCGACGATGTTGCCGTCGACGCTAGCGCACGCTTCGCTGAGGCCCGATGTGGCGGTTGGACGCTCCCAGCGCGTCTTGTGACTCGCTCGCCGTCGCTCGACGACGACTCAGAAGTCGACTCCGAAGTGGAGGACGCAACACCTGCCGTCCTCGGTGGCACCTTTCGCGCCTCCGTAGCCTCTAGTGAGCTCGATGAGCTCGATGAGCTCGACGATGTTGCCGTCGACGCTAGCGCACGCTTCGCTGAGGCCCGATGTGGCGGTTGGACGCTCCCAGCGCGCCTTGTGACTCGCTCGCCGTCGCTCGATGACGACTCAGAAGTCGACTCCGAAGTGGAGGACGCAACACCTGCCGTCCTCGGTGGCACCTTTCGCGCTTCCGTAGCCTCTAGTGAGCTCGATGAGCTCGATGAGCTCGACGATGTTGCCGTCGACGCTAGCGCACGCTTCGCTGAGGCCCGATGTGGCGGTTGGACGCTCCCAGCGCGCCTTGTGACTCGCTCGCCGTCGCTCGATGACGACTCAGAAGTCGACTCCGAAGTGGAGGACGCAACACCTGCCGTCCTCGGTGGCACCTTTCGCGCCTCCGTAGCCTCTAGTGAGCTCGATGAGCTCGATGAGCTCGACGATGTTGCCGTCGACGCTAGCGCACGCTTCGCTGAGGCCCGATGTGGCGGTTGGACGCTCCCAGCGCGCCTTGTGACTCGCTCGCCGTCGCTCGATGACGACTCAGAAGTCGATTCCGAAGTGGAGGACGCAACACCTGCCGTCCTCGGTGGCACCTTTCGCGCCTCCGTAGCCTCTAGTGAGCTCGATGAGCTCGATGAGCTCGACGATGTTGCCGTCGACGCTAGCGCACGCATCGCTGAGGCCCGATGTGGCGGTTGGACGCTCCCAGCGCGCCTTGTGACTCGCTCGCCGTCGCTCGATGACGACTCAGAAGTCGATTCCGAAGTGGAGGACGCAACACCTGCCGTCCTCGGCGGCACCTTCCGCGCTTCCGCAGCCTCTAGTGAGCTCGATGAGCTCGATGAGCTCGACGATGTTGCCGTCGACGCTAGCGCACGCTTCGCTGAGGCCCGATGTGGCGGTTGGACGCTCCCAGCGCGCCTTGTGACTCGCTCGCCGTCGCTCGACGACGACTCAGAGGTCGACTCCGAAGTGGAGGACGCAACACCTGCCGTCCTCGGTGGCACCTTCCGCGCTTCCGTAGCCTCTAGTGAGCTCGATGAGCTCGACGATGTTGCCGTCGACGCTAGCGCACGCTTCGCTGAGGCCCGATGTGGCGGTTGGACGCTCCCAGCGCGCCTTGTGACTCGCTCGCTGTCGCTCGATGACGACTCAGAAGTCGACTCCGAAGTGGAGGACGCAACACCTGCCGTCCTCGGTGGCACCTTCCGCGCTTCCGCAGCCTCTAGTGAGCTCGATGAGCTCGATGAGCTCGACGATGTTGCCGTCGACGCTAGCGCACGCTTCGCTGAGGCCCGATGTGGCGGTTGGACGCTCCCAGCGCGCCTTGTGACTCGCTCGCCGTCGCTCGACGACGACTCAGAGGTCGACTCCACCAGGACCACAGATTCAGGAAGCAATTTCAGAGAAGATGATGAGAATACATCTGGTTGGGGTCGTTCATTATCTAAGACGCTGCCTTTTTTCCGGGGAAACGCCGACGCGTAGAATCGCGACTCGGCTGAGCCGACAGCACCGGAGTCTGCTCTCGCGCGCCTCTCACGCTCTTGTGGAGCTGACTCGTTTTTTGAGATCGCCACTGCTTCCGAGACAGCGCCCGGCCCACCAGAATCTGGAATAGACTGAGCAGGGGCCCTTACTGAAACCTTTTCACTTCGCCTTCGACCGGTTAGGGCCGCACCTGCGGCTGACAAACTCAATACAGGAGACACGCTCCATTTCGCATCTGTTTCAGAGGCCCATTTGTATGTCCGAGCGTCGATCCCACTTTCTTCCAGTAATCTTGCGTCTAACTCTTCTATTGCAAAGCTCAAGCGCTTTGATCTCTGTATCGAAAGTCCAGCAGTATGCGAACTGCTCGAGTCGCTTGAGTTGTCTGCAATTTCAGAGCTTGATTCGGCTCTATGAATAGTCGCATCACATTCGCAGCGTGCACGCTTCTTTGCAAGCTTTTCCGCTGATTCATGCGCCAAAGATTCAGCTGTCCGTTTTAAACCTACACTGTGAAGAAACTGAAACAGCGCACCGAGAAGGCCACTGTTTCGCAAACGACCTCCATGCAGTCGGGAATCGCCAGCTTCCTCTTCTGATAGGTGCTTGTCCCCTTGAGAACATTTTGATTCCATGACTTTCGGAACTATGATATCTCAAAAGGACGAGTATGTGCACGAAGTGCCTTCTGAACAGGTTTATGTACCTCCTAGGGTGACGTCGACTTGGTATGCACCGTCTACCAACGGCGATGTCGACGCCGACGTCTCCCGGCGACGCCGTCGCATGCTACCGGCGATCATCGGCGTGGGGCATATTGTTGCAAGACGTGAAGATCGGATGTTCAGCTAGAGCGCCTCTCCTGGAACATGCTCTAGAGGCAAAAGTAGCATTGCACTGCATCCGCCACATACGACGTCGTCTATCGGGACGTGATTGGGTGTGGAGGAATACGCATGCGCTTTTCGACTGTAGTCTAAGGTTCGGCGTCTTGTACGAAGCATCCTGTCTTTCTGCTGACTGCGGGCAGTGAAAGGTAGTCAACGAAATAGAGCTGCAGATCAGGCAAGCACTGGTCAGTTGTTCGTTCGTTCAAGCCTCTATACCCGTGCCAGACGAAACAGGAACACACTGATCCTCGTTCTGTTACCGTACGTCGATATTTTCCAAACCTTTGTCTAGAGTTACAGTGTAGATATGTGAAGTGGATCACCACTGACTTACAGATTCGTACGTATGTAAAGGATTCTCCGTCGCAATTTCGGTCTGGCTCCTTCGACTCCCTTCGGCCGGTACTTTTCCAGTCTAGGGATTCAAGATGATTCGCAACGCAATCGAACGAAGGCTGCTAGAGTAACAGATATCAGCATCCAACCCATGCGTACAGGCCTGTAAGCTTTTCTTTTGCAAACGTGTAGCGTGCAGGAATCACGCACCCTTCGTATGTTCGATCTGTCCGTTCCGAGGCGATTCTTGGGCGCGACAAGTTGCGTCGCTGTATTCACGACGACGAGAACTCGGCTTTAAGCCCTGACGACCTGCTCGCATACTCACTCCGCAGGTGTACTGAACGGATAAGGTCGAATAATCGAGTATGGTCGAAAGACATAATCTCCTCTTTTTTCGCCATCGAAGAAAAAGCATTCGACAGCATCAGCACGATACCTCTCAGGGAGTATGCTCCCAGATGCATGCGTCTCTTCTGTTTGCTTGGAAAAGTGTCTTGGGATAGGACTTCAGTCATCGCAGCAACAGCTGCCAGAGAAGGGTGCGTCACCGCTTGGGGCAAAGCGATTGCAGACGCAGCGGTGCAGTCGACTTGCTCCCCAGTCGGGATTTTCCTTCCGGTACCTGTTTTATCGAATGGAATGACGCATTCCAAACAAGCCCCAACTGGAAGGTGCGGAGTGCGTACGCGTATGCAACGGACAGTGTTCTCGACTAGGGGATCGCCCAGGAGAAGCCCCTGATCGTAAGGCACAGCAACGATGACGAAAACGGATGCAAACATCGCGGGGAGCGTATTTCTACAGATTAGCGGCATCTTCGGAGCTGCGAAGCTAGCCTCCATGCGCCAGAGAGCGGCCTTTGTAAGAGACGATGTTGCAGGCACGTGAGAACGCCTCAGGGCAGCCAAGCGTTGGCGCCGCTGCGCGGGCTTCACCGAGGCTCTCCACTACGGAGGTGCAAGCGGCGAGCGAAGCGCAGCTCGCAACTCGCGCCTGTCCGTGGTATGCGTGGACATTTACCGGAAGGCGCGAGCTCGGGACATTAGCGTTGCCATCAAATCCTTCGGCGCTCACACCCGAGCTGGATGGACCGGTGAAACTGGCGCACCTCAGACCGGAAATAAGAGAGAAAAAAGGGGTAGGCGCGGAAAAATCCCACAAATGCTTGTATTGTTAACAGTTGGATGATTTTCAAACTTTGTACTGCATGCTCGAGTCAGGTTTGCGGACCCGTTCCGTTTGACTCTAAGATGCGCGCGGACTCGGCGGCGGACGCGAAATGGTATACATCTTGAGAGCTTGAACAGAAACAATTAGATTCTTAACTTCCTGAGCGTCAAAATTTCCATTCGGGGCGGAATGATACCTCCCGCAGGAACGGCTGCTCGAACCTTCCGCTTTTTCGATTGCGGGTTCCCGGTCCCGCACTAGCGTTTCCCGTACTATCTTTTGACTAAGGAAACGCTGCTTGTGGTTCTGGTGCATGCTCCGCGATGGCTTACTGGGGTTCGCTTTTGGCCCACTGGTTGATGAATTCCCGAACCGAAATGTATTCTATCTAACACATGCTATACGTTAGAATTGCTGTAGCTGTCCCTAAATGCCTTCTTGCCATGCAATGATGATCAAATTCCTGCGGTAGTCTGGTAAAATCTGCACATGGCCAGTTCGTAAGAACATGGTCTTTTGGTCTTCTCACTTGATCAAGACAGCAAAGTCACGTAGGCTTGTGAAAAGCAATCATACGTAAGCGCCTTGATCCATGAATAGGTGACGAAAATCTCTCGTTTACAATGAAATGTCGAAAAATCCGGAAGAGATGATGATGTTGTGACGCACAGCTCTGCTATAATTTTGAGAAGCCTCATCTTATGATCAGCCGATTAACGGTTACACGCTGTTTTGCCGTCCCCTGGACTACGTGCGACTGCCTTGCGCTTATTCGGATTCTTGTTAGTTCAGTGTCATTTATTCTTGGCGATGGAGGCTAGCGTGGGGTCCAAAGTACCTCCGAAAGAACACTCTGGCTTGACGTGCCTATTACGCGCTCTTCTGAAGCTTGAGTACACCAGCGCTAACTTTTCCCTTGTATGCAATCCAGCACGATCGTTGCTGCACAGGAAAGGATCGAATTCGACGACGCGCAGTTCTCATTAGCAATTCGAAGGACTGTGCGGTTGGGATTTGTCCTGCGATCCGCATATCTATTTCAGGGGCATCTCGCCTGATGCAACACCAAAAGAGCAGCACCTGCTGCTGTGTTAAAGATCATGCTCTTCCTTTTTCGCCTCTCCAACGTCATGGTTTGGCTCGATTTCAAGCGTTGCCCCGCTCAAACTTTCCGCTTGTTTGCTAATGCGCACGCGAACATCTTCTCCGTGCCGCACTGTTCCCTGCAAAAGGTGGCGAGACAATGGCTCGAGAATTGCCCTCTGGATCACCCTTCTTAGCGGCCGTGCGCCATAGACAGGATCGTATCCATGTTCAACAAGCCACTGTATTACATCGTCGGAAATGTCTAGGCGGAGATCTGCTCGCTCGCGGAGTAGTTTCTGCAGCGCGTCAAGCTGTACACGAACCACATCTTTCAAGATTTCACGTCCAAGTCGATTGAACAAAATGATGTCATCAAGTCGGTTAATGAACTCCGGGGGAAAGAATTGCCGGACCTGAACCATGACTTCGTCACGTGCGAAGCTGCTCGGAACACCATCTGGCAGAGAGGCTAAAATATCTGCGCCGATATTACTCGTCATCACAATAATCGTGTTTCGGAAATCGACCGTTCTTCCTTGACCATCTGTAAGACGGCCATCGTCTAGAACTTGCAAAAGCACTGTACATACAGCCCGGTGAGCCTTTTCAAATTCGTCGAAAAGTACCAATTGATAGGGCCTGCGCCTCACCGACTCGGTGAGTTGTCCGCCCTCCTCGTAGCCGACGTAACCGGGTGGTGCACCAATGAGACGAGCGACTGAATGCCGTTCAGAGTACTCACTCATGTCCAGGCGACACATTGCATCGGGGCTGTCGAAAAGAAACTCAGCCAGACCTCTACAAAGTTCGGTTTTCCCCACGCCAGTGGGCCCTAGAAACAGAAATGATCCTATTGGTCGATTGTGAGCGTGAAGCCCTGCTCGCGAAAGACGAATAGCAGACGCGACCGTGCGGACGGCCTCAGGCTGCCCGACTACCCTCTTCGAGAGGTGATCTTCGAGATGCAGAAGTCTCTCTTTCTCGCTCGACATTAGCGCCTGAACCGGAATTCCTGTTGCTTTCGAGATCACTTGCAGAATATCTTTCTCAGTCACAGCCTCTGCTACGAGTTTGCCCGACGTTTCTGCCTCATTCTGAGCGACGTTTAACGTAGTCGCGGTCGTGCCTTGGGCGGAATCCGATAGCAGAATCGTTCGATGCTCAGCGGGAATGCGCGATTCAATCTCTGGTATCGTTTTGTACCGCAGCATCGCCACTTTCTCCCACTCGCCGCGTCGCTCAGCCATTTCCATCTCATGTAACGCCTTTTCCAACTCCTCTTTTGCTTGTTTCATCGCCTGCAGTTGAGCACGCTCACGTTCCCATTGGAGAGCCAGTTGTGACCGTTGGTGTTCAAGCTCCCTGACTTCTCCCTCGACTGCGCTCAGCCGCTTTCGCGAGACAGGGTCGCGCTCTAGGCGCAGTGCTTCTAGCTCGACACGCAGTCGGATCAAGCGGCGATCCAAATCGTCAATAGCTTCAGGTTTGCTCTCTTGCTGCATTTTCAGCCTTGCTGCGGCTTCATCAACCAAATCTATTGCCGAGTCAGGTAGTTTCCTCTCTGTCATGTAGCGATGTGCGTTCACTGCCGCAGCAACAAGAGCTCGATCCGCAATACGGACACCGTGATGCACTTCATAGCGATTGCGGAGGCCTCGCAAAATGTTGATCGTGTCTTCGACAGAGGGTTCTGCGACGAAAATCGGTTGAAATCTTCTCGCTAGTGCTGCATCCTTTTCGATATACTTGCGGTATTCAGCGAGGGTTGTCGCACCAACGCAGTGAAGATCGCCCCGGGCAAGCGCAGGCTTCAACAAGTTGCTCGCATCCAGGCTACCTTCGGCAGCACCAGCACCGACGAGCATATGCAACTCATCAATAAAAAGAATGACGCTTCCTTGGAGCTCCTCGACGTCTCGAAGCACACTGCGAAGCCGCTCTTCGAACTCTCCCCGAAACTTTGCCCCCGCAACGAGTGCGCCTAGATCCAGAGCTACTACGCGCTTATTCTTCAAGGACTCGGGGACGTCACCCCTCGCAATACGCTGCGCCAAACCCTCGACAACAGCCGTCTTGCCGACTCCCGGCTCACCTATAAGGACAGGGTTGTTCTTTGTTCGGCGCGATAGCACTTGGATTGTTCGGCGAATTTCCTCATCGCGCCCAATCACGGGATCAAGCCGATTCAGCGCAGCCGCGCTAGTAAGGTCTCGCCCGTACTTTTTCAGTGCTTCTCCAACTGGAACGTTTTCCGGATGCACCCAACCCGGCGGTTGTCCCGTCGCTCCGGTGCGATCGTTCGTGTGCCCCATTCCCGTGGCAAAACCCCTGATACCAACGACACGTTCCAAGTTCCTGCTGGAAACATTGAACCTGTTTAAAACGGCGCCACGCAAGCTCTCTAGCCTCCTGCACCGTTCCGACAACGCCAAGACGCCGGCCTGATGATTGAAAAACATAGTCAGGCGCCTTACAGAATGCCACCTTCGCAACGAACGGGACGCATGCAGCAGAGGCCCTGCAGGAGCATCCCCAACGAGCGCCCTCGGCCAACTCTCAGACCTGCCAACTGAAGTCCCGAGAAGGGCTGCCCCTCCCCAAGGCGCTTTCGACGAGTTCCTCAAGGTACGTAGCACTAGAGCCACCATTGTGACAGGAGACGTCATAGCGAAGCTGTACGGTCTAACTTGCGAACAAACCGCTCATTCCTTTTCTGGAACAATCTCGTGGTGGAGGTCAAAAATTGCGGGGCTCTGCGAGGCGCACTGGCCCCATGCCATATCCTATCTGGGGGGTATTGCAGCGCTCGGCGGATGCACGCTGATCTCGAGTGTCAAGCACGGTGCTGAGTTTGTGATGATGCAGGTATTTAGTTTTTGAGCGAGACTCATATTCATCGATACGTACTGTGTGTAATTTCACCGCGAATGGCGTGTTTCTTGTCGACAACTTCTGCATCAAAGCAAGTCATTGAGCTCGAAACTGGTAGGACTTGTGAGCTGTACGAGCGCCGTAAACATCGAACACCTTACTCTGGATTCAGCAGGACACTCCGGTTACGTGAAGCACCTGCTGGAGAGAAGGGTTCAGGGTCTAGTCCGGAAGAGCACGTGGATGCTTTCGGACGCGATCCAAAGAAGGAGGCAGAGGCCTGGAAGGAGACGGCGCGCGAGCTCCTAGAAACAGATACTGTGCAGGAAGCTATCCACAAGCACATCGAGCGGGAACATTCGGGAGCGCAAGACGCTCCTGTGGATGTAACGGAAAAGCCGCAGCAGAGCAACTAGTTTTAGAAGGACAACTAGGGGTTAGAAATAGATTTGGAATTTAGCAGTTAAGAGTTCCGAGCGCCTACGTGGATGCACATAGCTCTCGTTATTCCGCCCGGGACGTATGCTCGCCAGAGCCGTGTCGATGGGAAAAGGAACACGGAACTGCAAGCTCTGCTCCTGTCTTTGCATGTTTGGAAACTATAGATGTGCAGCCTCGGCACAGAAAGTGCGGCGCTCTTGGCTCACGGTTTCATACGACGTGTAAGAATTCTCAATCATATTTCTGGAGTGGCACCTTCGACGCTATGAAGCAGGAATTCGTTACATCAATGCCTGCAAGATGATTTTCGACACCTTCGAACAAGGGTCCGTAATATAACCAATACCATTATCTAGTCAATTCGCACAAGCCTCAATTGCTCTCCGTTCTTCACGTGCAGTATTCTCAAATCACGCGTTCTTCATGTTTTAGTCTTTCTTCTTCAAGGTACTTCGGGGGTTCTGCAATGTGCCCCGATGGATTGGTGAGGAACAACATGAGATGTCGACCTTTGACGACTTGTTCACAAGGTCATGCCGAAAGTCAGCTGAACCTTCCACGCCAAGTAATAAATTCTGTACGAAAGACATGTCCTTCTCTATTTGCAAATTACGAAGAAACCGTATTTTACAACAGCACAATGGTTCCCAGAGAATATGCTCCCAGCGGCTTTCGTCTCTTGTGCTTTAATGGAAACGGGTCTTGGACCCGGGCCTCTCTCGAAAAGGCATTTGGGCCATCGTCACTGCCATCACCAACGATCGGCAGCATGAACAGGCGAAAGAATTTTTCGACAAGAAGACATCACGCAGGGGAAAGAATGAAGCTTATGTGATCGGTTCGGCTATTCAAGAGTACCGTGCGGTCTTGGGGCTAGCGAATCTCGCAGAAAAGTCATCAGATATGAAAAAAAGGTGATGAAATGCGCTGTCCCCTCATCCTGCGCTATTTCTTGTTCTTTGACCGAGAACTCGAAGACAAGGCCGGAAAGGAGCTGGGTGTAGGAAAAAAAGAAGAGTCGGAGAGACAGAAGGCTGCCCTAATGGGGAAGCGCTTCAAGGTCGTTCCGTTATGCAACATCAAGTCATACTTTGTGACAATCAACTCCAGAGTCTATTTCGGCATCATGAGGGATATCTATGAGGAGTTCGGCGTAAACAGGGAGGAGTTCAGCGGCGAAAATCGGGACACGTACCGGAAGAGTATCTTCTATTTAAAAAGTGTCAAAACGAGCAAGCAAAAGAAATTCACATGGATGGTCGAAAGCGATGAAGTATCCATGTGTGTACACTTTCGGCGCTTGAAGGCGAATCGTCCTGTTCCGTCCTCGGCTTCGCCCCTGAGGAAGCATGCAGAAAAGAAAGAGGCGGATCCTGCTACGCAGAAAGTGCAGGATAACGACTTTGTCGTTGGCGCGGACCCAGGGGACACGAATATAATAGCCATCGCAGTATCGAAGCGTATGGTAGATGTGACTGACGGCAACTTACGTCATAAAGACATGCGTCTCTTAAAGTTCTCGAGAACGAGATATCACCGAGAATCGGGAATAATGAGTGCGAGGGAAAAAATTTAGGAAGAGAATTCAGGAGTGAAAGAGCGCCTGGAAGCTATGAGCGAGGTGACTAGCCGAAAAGCGGACTTTCGAGCTTTTCTGAAATTCATGGAAGTTCGCGTTGCTCTTTGGGAGGCGCTGTGGAAAGAGTATACAAAGCCACGATGGGCTCGTTTGTGAATGAGCTTGTACTGTGTGAAGCAGCGGGCATTCGCCAACTTTTTCAATGAGTTGAGTGCCTTGAAAGAGGACGAGAGTCAAAGGCACGTAGTAGCATTCGGAGCAGGGTGCTGGGCATCGAAAAAATGGTGTACACCAGCTCCAACGACGAGAACGTACAAGGAGCGTGCACGGCGTTTTGCCACAATACCAATAGATGAGTTCCAATCGTCCAGTATTCACCATGAGTTGGGATGTACACTTCAGACGGTCGAGATGGATTAGTGTCAGCGGCGCGGTGACGATATAAAACAGTACGGAGCGCTGACGGAAGAGCAAATGGAAAGGACGGCGAAAGTTCGAGGATTGCTTACGTTAGTGAGTACAACCACCGGGAGGAAACGTGTGAAGTTTGTGAACAGGGAATTTAACGCCGCCATCAATATAAGGAGATGTGCGGTGATGGAAATAAGACCTCCAGAGTTGACAAGAGTGAATTTTTGGGAGAACCTCTCAAATTATACGAGAAGAAATTGAAGCCAGTAGTAAGTGGCCAGTCTAAAAAGGCTGGGAAGCGTCTGCACATCGGCTGGAGACGTCTAGCGTAGAGCGCGAGGCGCGCAACTACTGCACCGCTGGTGGCAACGTCTGACTTTTGAGGCGTTCGTTATTGCCAGCGTTGGCTGTGATGGAGGGCCCGGAGGCAAACCCTTCGTGTTCAGAGGTCTTGACACCCTCAAGCGCACTGCCTAGAGCTGAAGCGACACGCACGGCGCTCGGGTGGTTCTGGTTCCGGGTGCGGACGTGTTTTGGACAAGGTGACGCTGCGACTCAAAAATTAGAGCAACGATCTTTCGTTCAGCGACTGTTACCTCTGTGCACACTAGTGCTCACTTTGTGCTTAGCGTTCACGCTTTGGAGGGCTTTGGTCCTGTGGACCTACTCCGAGTCCCCAGTCGTTGTGGTGCTCAGTGGCAGCATGGAGCCAGGTATTCACCGCGGGGATATCCTATTTCTTTACAACCGCACCGCAGCTGAAAGGCCTTTACGTGTCGGTGATATGGTTGTTTACAGTTTGCGTGACCGCAGTCTGCCGATAATCCATCGCATTATTGAAGTTCATAGACGAGCTTCCGAGAGCATAGGCGATGGCACAAGGGCATCAAACTCTAGTATCCTGGAATATTTCCTTACAAAAGGGGATAACAACTTCGGTGACGATCGAGGTCTCTACCCTGCTGACAAGAAATGGCTGCTACGCAGTGACGTCATTGGACGGGTTATCTTTACTATCCCGAAAGTTGGCATGCTGACGATCCTGATGAATACACACAAATGGTTAAAATACGCCCTGATAGGACTGCTGTCACTCACCCTGCTCTTCATATCAGAGTGAGTCAAAGAGGCAGGCCGCCCTTATGCAACTCCAGGGCCACTGTGTGCTTCAATCGGTGTGAGCGTTATGATGCTCAGTGCATGGATTCTTCTGGAATTAAGCTCCTCGCTCAAAAGAGCATAAACCAGCTTGTGTCGTTTCACCTCGGGCATGTCTTTGAAGGTATCGCTCACAATTTTGATTGTAAAATGCGTCTCGCCTCGTCGCTCATGGGCACCTTCGTGACCTCGATGCTTTGCGGAGTCATCACGAATTTCAATCAAGTCTGGTTTCAATACCTGAAGCTTGTTTTCGATGACCTCCTTCATGGATACCTTGCCATTTGCTGTGGACTGCATAGAGTTTGCCTCACCCATGCCGAGCATTCTGGCCTTTTCTTGCATTGTCCGTAGCATGTTCAGAAAACCGTTCGTACGGCCTGGAGTCAAACTCACACCCAGACCCGACTCTTTGATAAAGTCAGGCGTCACCGCACATACCTCTTCCACACTGTATCCACTGAGGCCTCGAATAAGGAAAGCAACAAGCCCCTTGGTAAGCTGTGAGTCAGAGTCACCAATAAACTCAACTTTGCCTTCCTTATCCAAGAAGGCATCTACGTGCACGACGCTGAGACAGCCCCGTACGCGGTTTGCGAGCACTCTGCGCTCGCGCGGAAACGGTGGCAGGGTCGACGCCATGTGCAAAAGCTGCTGAACCCTCAGCTTTTGGTCGCCAAGTTTCTTGAAGGCATCCACAAGCCCTTGGAGTTTTTCAGTTGTCCTGCTCTGTCCACTGTGGTTGCCGGGGTCCTCATTCCCACAGGCTCGCAAAAGAGCGAGTCTTGCCGTTCGCCGCCTTTGCGCCCGCACAAAGCGCGGCTGAGAGAAACTCGGACGCTCTCCAGAACTCGAACAACCTCGAAACCTTCTCTGGGTTCGCAGAGCAGTTGGATTACAGGCAAAAGCAGGACCTGAACAGCCGCCACCGCATAAGCGCGCCATAGTGGGTGCCTCACGAGAAAATAAGCGCGCTCCGCTTGACGAGTTTCAAGACAGAGTTTCTTTGTCGCAAAAATTTATACGCTACGATCCGAGGTCTTTCGCGAGGAGTCGCTGTCAAGAGACGCACCCCCAGCCGCGTAACGCATGGTATTTTAGATACTTCCGAGCGATACACGGTTTAAATCAATCATGAGGCAAGGGGGTTAGATATTCGACGTTTGAGCAGCAATGATATGGGCAGTTTTTGGAGAGTGAAAAATGCGTCCAAGGGGCTCCTCTATACGGCCATAATGATGGTAGTGCTTTCTCTGTGGGTGCCATGCACTGTTGACGAGGGATCCAGAGCTAGCAGCAGGACATTCGTGGCGAGTATTCAGGCGAAGGACACCTTCACGATCATAGGCGATCCATGTGCTATGAAAGACTCGTACAATGCGCAGCGAGCTTCGATTGCAGACTTTGCTACGCAGCCAAGCATGCCGCTGGCTGCCGCGCAGTATGCGGGGTTCTTTTTCGGAGTCAAAGCCCCAGCACATGCGATACTTGGATGCAAAAAATTCATTGTGTTTATAGAAGTGCGGGCTTGTTCGTACCTTGGGGAATTCTCATAGCGCCTCTTAGACAAACCTGACGGCTACTTGCTTCAAAATTCGAGGCAGAAGCATTCATTCTAGACAATCTTTAGAATTGCGGAATCGAATCCAGATCTTTGTGGGCGCCCTAGATGGCTTCCCTCGTCGCTGGAGGTTCAAAGCGCAGCGCGATCTCCGGAGTATCTTCGTTTGGTGGGGCATCGCGCCTGGCATCCATTCCGCAGTCTTCCCGGTCTGTGAAGAATCGATCACTGGGGCCAGTCCCACAGGCAGACAGGAAAGCAGAAAGCCACGCGCAGAAGTTGGGCTACCAGGTAGGAACGCCCGCAAGCCTGCGCGGATGCAGACATGAACGTAGGCACGCGTCCGTGCATTTACACACACTAACGGACATAAAGGCAAACAGCAGGATAAAAATCCTGGAAGGAGGGGAGTTCAGCTCTTGGATAGCCCATGTGAAAGGAACGAGGCCGAACTCGCTTGCATATGCATCAAGCTGAGGGTTCAGCGCACAATTCGGAACGATTTGCCGAGGCCAAAACTGGCAGCGTTGCATACTGGCTATCAGCCATGCCGATAGCTTCCGCAATACCCCGGAAGCTCGGTTCTTCACCGTTGAGAACCGTAGCAAGAATTTCTCGCGGTTCTTTGGAAGCGCCGAAACGGAAAAACCCATTCCGTAAAAGCTCCCCTGCAGCCGCCATAGATAACTTGGAATCACGAAACAGCCGATTCCATACTTCTGCTGCGAGTATTCTTGCCAAAAGGTAAGAATAGTAGCATCCTCCATAACCAATGATATGCGGCATATATGGGATTCCATCCCGATACAAGACTTGTTCCAAGCGCCCGTATTCCCGAACGACCTCAGCGATAATTCTTTTGATCTTCGATCGCGCCTCATTACCCCATCCAAAATGATCATGGGAGTGGAGTGCCAGGTCCAGCGCCGCGAAAGGCGTCTGCAGAGCTATCTCCGCGACAACGGCCTCCTGTCTCGCCTCTTCAAGTTCTGCCAAAAATTGACGTGGCCCATTTGGGGCGAAACGGCGCATCCAAGCAGCATCCCACGCAAAGTTTTCCATGAGATGGCTCGGGATTTCCACAAAATCCATTGGACCGCGAGTTCCAGAGAGGTGCTGGAAGCGCGTTCTCGACATAATCGTATGTAAAACATGTCCAAGTTCATGCAGGAGAGTCTCCAACTGATAATGTTGCATCCCCGCTTTTCTTATTATAGGCGGAAAATCACAGACAATGGCAGCGCTCGGCAGCTGACTGGAGCCATCACGTAGTCGACGACTCCCTCGTAACGCGTAGTGCGCTGCTCCCGGCATCTTGCCATCGCGAGCAAACAAATCAAAAAACACCTCGCCGACGAAGTTCCCGTTCCGCGCGTCCACCAACATAGCGTGCTCTACGCTTGGATGCCAGATGACTCCCCTGACTTGGTTTTGACGGAGCCGATAAATGCGAATTCCAAACAACTCACAGAGTAAGCCGCTCAACACTTCTAGAACCGAATCAACACCAAGATATGGCTGGAGTCGGCGAGCCAGCGAGCTGCATCGTGAGCGTTGAAGGGAAAGGCTATCATGCTGGCGCTTCCTTCGCACCTCATTCAACATCGAAGAAACTGAGTTGAGAAACGATACTACGCCATGGGGGTGGCGAAGCAACTTGTCGAGAGCTACGAAGTGAGCATATGATGGGTACGATAGCACCTGTGCGAGCTCTGATCGCTTATTTAGCAAAGCAGTGAGCGAGTTCCAGGCGATGTTCACATTTGCGGACCCGAAACGCTTCCCGGGGCTTTTCTCCGCATCTCGGAATACCGCTGTGACGCGCATGCTCCATTCGAGGATTTCATTCTGTACTGCGGCGACGTGTTTACGCTTTGATGGCGATAAACTTGCTCCTCCGCGCAAAGCAAAGTCGCGTTGCAACGAGCGGACCAGTGCTTGCTCCTCGCAGGTTACTGCGTCCTGCTTGCGGAGCAGTGCTCCACACAGATTCTCGTCACAGTTCAGCTCTTGCATGTATTGAGAGAGTTCCCTAAACACACTCTCGCTCGCCTCCACGTGTTCAGGCTCCGCTGATACGTTCCGAGCCAGTTCGGAAGCATCGAGTACCTGGCAGAGAGTGTCTGAGAGCTCGTCGAAATCCTGGAGCACGCTGCCTTCGCGGTTAGAGAGGATCTTGTATACCAGATCATTGCACGCTTTGAGTGTCTGGTGCTTAATTGTTTGCCAGTCTTGAGGCACGTGTAGACCTCTCAAGCCAAACAAGCCTCTGGAGCATAGCATAGGCGTGAGTGCTGCTACCGCGCTAACTAGGTACGCTACTTTGGGTTAAGCGTACTCGCCGCGTCACAGGTGCACGTCCGAGAACCTCAAACGGCAGTCACAGGAGACATATTCAAAGAGACTGGTAAACTAGTTTCATTTTGCCCTTATTTCGGCCCAGTAGGTGCTTTCTAAATACGAAACTCCCCGGACGCAAGCACAGCAAAAATAAAACCCACAAGCGAAAGAATCTAATAGATGCTAATCTGAGGAGCGAAAATCGTATCAAAACCATAGTGGTCAATAAATGTATTCACGCGCAGACGATTCCCAGCCTTTTTCGACCGGCAGACTGCTGTCGGCCGGTCGAAAAATGTACACTTCGGGTCTGCGAGGCTTCCACACGAAGTTAGATCGCCTCAGCTCTGCGGCCCTCGTCTCCAGCACCGCAAATCGTCTGATATTAATAGCAGTGCTGAAGTCTCGGTTCACAAACTCCATGCGTTTGTTGCCGCTGGTTGAACTCACTAGTCTAAGGATTCCTCGAACTCGAGCGCTCAGTGCCATTTGGTGCTCTGTCAACTCTGCGTGATTTTCTATCGCCGAGCCGCTCCACCGGCTCCTCTCCATCTCGTTCTTCTGAAGTATACGCACAGTTCATCCAAAGGGTTTTTTTCCTGAAACGAACGTACTTCCTCCCGTCCTTAAGTCAGGAGTTTCCCGGAGGATCGAAAGACTTGGAAAGTAAAGACAAAATGTGTCCCGATGTGTTACCGTGTGCTGAAAGCTTCAGCGATTCGCCCACTAGAACGATCACTACGTTTCACGATAGAAAACACTCCTTCGATGAGCTTTAACGACCGAGCGCATGCAGAGATAGAAAGCAGCTCTTCCCCGATTGCATTGGTAAAAGCTCAAACGCAAGAAGAATGGTGAAATACCACGTTTTCCAATAGAATGACGTCGCTGGACGTCAGGAGAAAGTCTTCAATGATTCGCCAAAGTGGTCGGTGCTGTTGTATGAGCCTTTTCGATGAGCGAAACTGAGGCCGCAAAATGAATCTACTGCAGTTAGAACAGATAATGATGTCCTCGTTCTCATCGAGCTCGATCGTACATACAATGCGATTCCTCTCCGCAAATACTCATACACGCTTCGAGCGTATCGTTTGAAGTAAGTCATATTGACTGAAGAAACAAACCGACGTCCCCGTGCTTCATACCGATCGCGACGTGTCAGGACTTGTGTTCGAGCGATTCGGCGGAAGATGGCCATGCATGCATTTGGACTTTTTTTGCGACTGGATCTCAGTATTTTGATGACCACATATACAGTCTGGTGTGAAACAGGAACACCAGTAGTAAATCGTATCGACGCCTTTTGCTTTCCCTAGAGTGATCAACGGATCGTCTTCTAGCGTTGAGAGCAATCATGCTTTAAGAATATCGATTTTGGCACGAAATGCTTTCAATCTTTTCTTTCAGTGTTCCACCACCATCTGTGTTCTCCGCTACGAATGAGCTGAAGGTAAATGCAGTCCTCGTTGCAATTTTCAGTAAATGATATATCTTGTAAGCAATTCGTCTGTGATCTATGCGGTACATTGATCTGTAATATCCATCTCCATCTAGACAACACAGCGGAGCCGAAACAGAATTGAGTTGAAAGCCGCTCGCGTACGGCACTGAGCGCCGCGCACGCAATTTCGGGATTCCTTGCGCGTTGCAGACCGCACTCTGCAGTTGAACGCGTTGAGGCCAGTGGACGCATTCATAGTGTCGAGTGCGTGGACGTATTGTTTGCATAAAAAGCGAGCTCTCTATGAGGTGTTTACGTAAGTCACTGCTAGATTTGTAGCTCCTGGACTCCTCTATTCGATGGAGAATCTTAGTTTTAGGGAAATTCGAGAGAAGAACGCTTCCAGAGGTGTTCCTTCCCGTACAGTTCGGTGCACAACGAGGTGGACCGAGGCGCCTCAGGTGAGACGGCAGAGTTTTTCAACGCCTGAAGCCGTCTTTGCTTCAGAAAAGACACGCTTTTGTGGTGAGCGTCAACTACAGCGCCGCCGCAGGACGCAGCTGTGTGCGTGGGGACTCGTCGAGGGCTCCGCTGTGATTGGAATTCTCGGAATCCTTGTAACGCTGAATATTGTTTCCCGAATTTCGGACTCTGCCCGAGGGACGCGCCTCTGGTCTCGGGAGCAAAGAGGCCTCTTTGTTCGCCGCAGGCCACCACCACGTGAACGCTGCACAAAGTGTGGTGGGTTTGGCATCGTTCGGTGCTCTTTGTGCCGTGGTTCAGGTTTTGTGCTCTACGAGAAGAAGCTCCAGCATAGTGACCCGTGCCCGCTATGCACTGCTCGGCGATACATACGTTGCGGCATGTGTCATGGCAGTGGACGGCGGAAACTAGTCAGAAGGCATGACCCTGCGCTGAGCAGCATTCGCCTCAGCGATCCGACTTCACTGTACAATGCGTTTAGGGCGTGGAGAGAAGAGTTTGTGCGCCGCGGATCGCTTTCAGTAGGCTTTCTGAATCACGAGGGCCTCTTGAACCGTGCGTTCCGAGTAGCTTCGGCATTCGCTGACTCGCTCAAAAGCGGTATTGGTCGCAGCTGGTGCACAGTCCAAGAACGTGTTCGTGCGGGAATTGAGCAACATTTAGAAGCCCGCAAAAAAGCTCGAATGAGTCGAATTGCACGAGCACGCAGTTTCCTTGAAGAGCGTTTACAAAAAGAGTCACAATGATCTGAGCCTTAAAGTGCAATTTTCTTGTCCTGACTAATAAAAGGAATATAGCTTTCGCTTCTTGCCTGCATTGCGCCACCGAAGGCAGGTTACCGCTGCGGAAACCTATCGGAAAACTTGGCAGCGAGGGAGACCCTGGGGCCATATGAATGATCAGCTGCGTCGCCTTGCACGGTGGCCCACTGGAGCGAGGGATGCATGCGCATAGAGGGATGTTCCCTTGAGCCTTCTAGATGAGATCGGAGATATGAGCATTACAAGAGCGGCACTGTTGATATCAATGCGCAGGAGCATTTGCTTCCAACGGGTGCATTCCCCCTCGATGCATAAACATAAACTAGTGGCCGACATTCGGCCAGAGTTTCCAAATCCTACTCGTTTCGCACAGCGTTTGAAAAGAAAAGCTTCTTGAAGTAGCTGCATATCGGCAGCGAGAGCACGTGAGCCTGCTGCAGAAGCGCCACGTCGAAAGGAGCGGTCCCGCAGCGCCTGCGGACGTCGACAGGCCCACTCGCTTGACTGGTTACAAAAGTTTGATGCCAACGCCGTTGAGATTATTCAGCCAAACACGTACCTTCTGCCTCGGAAAACAACGGGCTTCCAAGACCTCAAATCACATGGCGATGTCTCATTTTTCTAACCATACAACAGGTAGTTTGCACTGCACGAGAAAGGAATGCAAGATATTTGCCGTCATCATCTTGTTCTTTGTTGCACGAAAGGACGAATCCTCATCTGGGAATGCTCCAGCGGGCCACCGCCAGTTGGGATCTTGAGCTGGACGATTGTAAGCGCCCCGTCCCACGAATGCGCCTGGGAAACTAATCTTCTCCTCTCGACGAATTTCTGGCTCAAGGCCTGAATCTCGCGCTAGGCTCGCTCGCCTGCAATATCGATTCGCCGGACAGACATCCGCAAAACGCATGGAAAGCATCTTCGATCAGAAATGAGCCCTTCGCTCCGGCTCCTGCACCAAGTCAGGCCATTCGGAAAATGCACTTGAAGCATCATCAATCAGAAACGAGTCATTCGCTTCCAGTTAAGTGTCAAAAGTGCTTCCACGAGGAACGCTAGAAAAGACTAAACAGCTGGCGAACCACAAGGCTCAGGTCCTGTCTAGTTCTCTGCTCGGTGTTGTTTGAGCCATTGCGCTACAGCCAACCGCAGAAACGCAGGCACAGACTGGTGCGCCGTCGCAACGTTAAACGCCTGATTGGTGTTCAGTAAGTCGGAGGAGAGCCTATCCGTTTCCAGGTCGCTGGTTTCTAGTGATAACGGGTAGTCTATGCTTCGCAACCGAAAGTTGAGCAGGTCCTTTCGTGTCCATGCAAAACCGATACCTCGCGCTACACCCGATCCAAACCCTATCCCGAATGCAACTCCACAAAAACACCCAACAACAAGCCCATCTTGTGCAAATGGTTCAAGAGAAGGCACCACAACGCACTGCTGCCTCCGAAAACGGTAAGGCCTCCCCAGGCCGAAGCAAACCCCGTAGCCAGCTCCCACGAAGCAGCCTACGGAAAGACCCACCCCAGCTCGGGGCCAGAACCGTCGATAGTTGTCCCGTGGATCGAACTGCACAGGCCACACCTTCTTCGGCTCATTCATGAGAGCCAAGCCTAGCCAACACACACCACAGTTCAAAGGGAGGCAGTTCAGAGACTCGTACCTCTTCCGTCCAGTGCAGCATCTCTGAGCGCGCTCATCTGGACGGCGGCGCCAGGCATCTCGCACAAGCAAAGCGCTTGTGCTGTATACTTCAACGCATCGAGTATTCTCGCTTTCGCCGTGCGAATGCAAGTCGACGTATGCTGACGTGCAACGTATCAAACTTGCGTAAACTATGAGCAATGGGGGTTCTCCCGATCGGAACAGTCTGCACACCGTTGGTAGAAATGTGGTGCTGCGGGTTCGACGCGTAGGAAAAGGAAAACAGTCCGTGTCGGCGGATGAACACAGCTCTGCAGGACACGAAGAATCTGAACAGCCCTCTGAAGTCTCAGAATTCTTGCCTAATAGTCTTTTGCTGATTTTAGGACAAACGAACAGCAGTTTAAGCGCGGGCGGTGCGTTTCAACCTATCCGCGAGATGCAGCGGACGTTGTCCGCTCACGCTGACGTGGACTTACAAGTGAGCATTACTGACGACGAGGCGGCCCCGACGCACAAGTCCCTGAAGCTGTTTCCGCTACGCCAGTACGCAACCGATATACGATGTGAGGGACAGCCGGAATCAGTTGAGCCTGCGCAGGTAACCGGTGTACAGTGGACAAGGTCAGAGCGAGCTCGGATGAAACGTTCGCCGTCGGGTTGTGCGTCCTCAACAGAGACTGGTGCTCCCGCGAGCAAGCCTCTGGAAGTCGAGGCAGAGCGATCCCTGGAGCATACTGTGGATGCAATCGGCGCTACGAGAAGCTGGAATTGGCAGGAGCAGCGCTTTTACCGACTGCGAAATCCGCGGCTCCTCCTCGATCTTGTGGGTCAACCGCTGTTTGTGGATATTCAGTTGCCGCCCAGTGGTGCGAGCTATGGTCAGGTGCGCAGGCGTGTCCAGTTTGCGGATGATGATTATGACTATTATGTCTCATGCGATTTGCTTTCTTCTGTGCAGACGGACTCTGCGGATCTGGATCATTCAGATGCCTCGGACTCGGAAATCGTCATCATGGTAGACGAGCCTGTTTCGACCGCAAATGCAGGTCAATCAGCGTCGTACGGGCATTCCCATGAGCAGTCGAGCGTTGAAACCCAGACCCATCGGAGCGCTTCGGTAGCGCCGTGGTCTTTGCTCCGCTCCAGGATTCGGCGGGCGTCTTCGGAATGCGGCGAAACAGTTGTTACTCAGGATGCGGATGCGGATAAATGCGAGACATCGACACAAACTTCGGAAGGCTCTAACACGGACTGGTGGGAAGATTTCGAATACAGGGGCGAGCCGTACCAGGCAGATGATCTTCAGCCTGTTAACGGGATATCGAGGGACGCTGCGTACGCACCAGGGCAAGGTCTCGCGACATCGACCTCCACGAGCCCGTCTATAATTGCCGCTGCTGTGACGCACTCACTGCGGGCATGGGCTGCATATGGCTCTGACTGCCACGATTCCGAAGAGCACTCGCCGTGTAGCTCGCCCGCGTGGTCGCCCGACATTGATAACTAAGCGCCGGCGCCTGCAGTGCTTGGCTTTCTCGAGTAGCTGCTATGTGCTCCGGGCAGAGGTGGCGAATAGAGCAGGAACCAAGCTCGCCAAAAAACGGAAGCGAGCTCCTGAGTTATTTCCTGGTTTTTTACGAACACTATGGAGGTATTCCAATTCTTTGTTCAGGTTTCGGATCGTGGCCAGCACTGACGGCGGCAGCAGTAAGCCCGTGCGCTCAGCATAGCAATAAGCGGGCTCAAGGTCGTCATCACGACTAGATGCTCCCTAATCAGAATAATGACTTGCTGAGCTGATAGCCTTCACTGCATTCACCCTCAATATTGGATGCTGACTACCTCATGCACATCGTCGCCTCTTTGATCGATGGGAAAGCGGCGCTATCATACTGCTGTCCCATGGATTTCCGACGAGAAACTCTCGAAAGCGGTCCGGTTTCGTGAAAAGATAGAATGGTGCATCTTTTTGACGGAAATATGATGCTTCCAACACTTGCAAGGCCAGACGTTGCGACATTGTTTCAGACGTAATCCACACGGGCCGAGCAGCATCTGCAGAAAGCTGGATTCGCGCAACCGACCAGAGAGACATCTTCTGTACTTCTGTCCCTTCTCGGCTGAATCTGGGAACCCACTCACACACTATATAAAGTCGCTTAATTGGGATCAGGCTTTCTTAGATTCTCTTGATTGTTTTAATAAAACGACTTGCAGCTCGCACTAATTGTGGAGTCGTTTGCGTGGCTCTCCGTTGCAGAGCGGAGTTACGCGACAGCCCAAAACATTCATGATGTTCTACATACAGCTGTGAGTTATAGAACGCGTCTCCAAATAAACCTTGTTCTTTTGCTCGTTTCTCTCACAGATATCGAAAACCAGGAATGCATCGTTGGACTGAAGAATGGACGCGGAATTTTTTTTGCTTTAAGTGCTGGCTGGCAGTTGAAAGCCTCAGATTTTCGAGTACTTCGTGCTTCGCTCAGCTAGTGGATGAGCGAACCTTCTTGTTGTCAATCTCTTGAACATTGTCTACTCTTGAAAAAGATCAAATCAAAACCTATCCAGATGACTGGCTCCTCAGCAATCCATTCCACCCCAGACTCTCGCTCAAAAAAATAAATGCGAGAGGAGCCACAGGATCCGAGTTTTCCCGTTCTTTGACGTGAACCATGATAAAGCGACACGCTTGGAGAACGAAAATGGGACCCTTCTATTCGAGACAGGCGCGCGTGAAACAACACACCATCGACTTCGTCCTGAAACGCGAATGCGTATTTCGAGAGGCAAGGGCGGTGATCTCGCTCAACGAGACTCCCTTCGGAAGCGATGATGGTCCTTTGCGTGGGCGCCCAGAGGGCGGCAAATTACTGTTCATGAAGGAAACGCTGGCGGGAATGATCGCAGCATCAGCGCTAGCGGGGATTCAGTCGAATGTTCGCCGCCAAATCGCCAAACGGAAAGAATCGTCCAACACCGCATCATAGGTTGAACCACTCTTCGTGGCTTCTTTTCCGCGAACTCATCCATCCTGCTCTCGCACAACATAGCTTTCCACCGCCCATATGGTGTCGTCTAACACGCTGCTTGCATTCATGTTGGGCTGCTCCTCGTGCCGGTCTCTACTTCGTGGTATGATCGAGTCGAACGCGCATTCTATGGCATCAAACGCTCTGTTGACGCTCACGAATCTCTAGACATGTCACTCGAACCGTCGCACCGTTCTTAAACAAGTCGTGCTCTCCCTTCATCTGCCATGAACTGCTGTGTTGCTTTAGTGCTCGTGCGCGGTATGGAGGTGAAATACGCTCCACGGTCCGTGAATATTCTCGCAACCGAGCGGATCACCAGAGGATTCCTGAGGAGGAGGAGTAGATACATATACACCTACGCAGCAGAAGGCGGACTCGGTCCCACCGTCCATCAAGCGCGTCTGAGCTCCTAGGGGACAAACGTCCATGATATACAGCGCCGAAATCCAAGCCATCTCGCCGAGCAGATGTGAAGAAGGGAAACGCCACTGGGCAGAGAAAAGGAGGGTTCCCTTGAATAGAGGACTACGAGGGAGAGGACGGAAAATCTGCCGGAGCTGAAAGACCAGTCTGAAAGCGTTGTCAGGTCTTTTTTACCAAAACATATTAACCTGGAGCATTCCCAGAAATTGAAGAGAATGACTTCAGTGGGAAGAGCGCAGCTTCACACACAAGGAAGGCTCACCTGATATTTCTCGCATTGACGCACGTCGTCAAGCAGCATATCGTGGGAGTTCCGGACGCAGTGCTGCCAGCTGTCCACATTCTTATCGAAAGTTTTCATCATATCTTCCTGAGAAAATGCAGATGATGCTCTTGTCAGAAGGTTCACTGCGCTCCGATCGTTGGATCCGAGTTTTGGACACCCGCTATCCAGCACGCCTACAAGCATCCCCGCGCCAGTCAACGATCGGAACATCTAAAGCACAGGTACCAGAAGCCATCGAAGCAATCTCATGAAACGAAACCATTCGTGGGTTAATGTCGAGCGCTTCATGAGGCGGACACTGTTGGTATTGTTGCAGTTGTACGCTTATTCCACTGGTCCGGAATTGTAGGAACTGATGCAAAGGGTTCCCGAGGTGTCGATAGATGAGAATGACGAGCTCGTGACGAAAGAGCTCGTGACGGTCGCGAGTTCTGAAGGGATATCGCAGTGAGAGAGAGAGAGTCGCAACGATGTTCCAAGCTAGCATCAAATGGCTAAGGTTTGTGGCACTTGTGCCCATCGCACTTGCTGGTGTCTCTCAGATGCTGCATGCGCATGCCCATGAAAGCTTTTGGTGCAGAAGCAGCCTCAAGAAGATCCGGAAAGTATACAATACGACCGATAGAGCATCAGGCGTCTGCAAAAGTGGTATATCAACAAGTATCAACTATGCTCGCGAACACTGGAGCTTCTTGCCTAGCTGCAGCTTTGCCGCCACGTGCGAAAGACAAAATTCGATCGACTCGAGACGAATCTTCTGCGGGGTACTGCGTCAGGGAGTGCAAACCAATTACGCAGATATAGAAGCTTCTGGGTCAGGGGCAGCCTTGCCGATTGCGAATCCGCAGGTGCTCGAATCTAGCAACACCCGATGATCAACTTTTGCAGCGGCAGATTGGAGCGCACTTTGCGCATCACGAGAAGGTTGTACGGAAGCGATCATGCTAACAACTGACTTAAGCCCCGGAGAGTTGTCTTAGAAATCGAGGGGCGGTTTCGGTGGAACCAGGTTTGCTTATTTACACAAGCAGAGCGCATGTCTATTTGCGCGGGGAAACGCGAAATGCTCCGAAGCTGTGGTGCCCAGGATGCCGTCGAAGGCGGAACTCCGGCAACTTTGCCAGTCATCCGCCGTTGCCGCGATATGATGCATGCATGCATGCACGTAGCTCACGTGTCTTGTCTGTTTTTGTGATGATGCCGGGTAGGACCTCATTTTTTAACTGGATTATTTCCGGAAATGAGTGGCTTTCAGTGGCCCCCAATTCTTTGTAGGATGCGGTGGAAAACGAGGCTTCTTTGCGCCGGACGATGATGAACTCGCGGTCGTTCGCCTCGCAAAGTCGGCAGGTTCTAGTGGAGGGTCGAACTGCACGTCCGCGGTCGCCTGCTGAATACGCTCGCGAACATCCTCCGGGCCTGGCGTTCGCTTCGTTGGCTCCAGCTGTGCCCACGTCCTTAGGATACCCCAGAGCAGTCTCAGAGGTGCGTTCGTCTTTAGAGCTAGCGGATCGTGGTGACTCTGGGAGCACCGGTACCCGAAACGCCTCTCCAAGATGTGACGAATCGCACTCAAAGGCGGCATAGAACAATGTAATGCTTTGCACGCTGTCGGCAAATGCAGGTAGAATGGTGGCGTATCGAGCTCCTCATGCGCCAAAGTGAGCAACGCCTGAACGCGCTTATAAGCGGCCAAATGGGGGGTGAGTTCGCGCAACGGCGGCCTCAGCTCTCCGCTGGCGTCATCAGTACCGCTCTCGAGCGCTTGTCTCAAGGCCCTGACCCAGTCCAAGGAGTGTAATGCACCCAAATAAAAAGGCCCACCTAGCACCATACGATCCCTAGCGTTGCACACAGTGCAGTGTTGATGCACGGGGGGTCCCAGTGCAACCGCGAGCCGATCACGCTTTGCATCACAGTTGCTTGTTGCACGTGCAGTCTTGATTCGGCCCAAAGGCTGTACCCAGTAGGAACTGCAATCCATGCAGTGATAAATGCTGCCCGTCTTTGCTACCTGATTGAGGACTGCAGCACGGTCATCATGAATACGGACGAATACGCGCACGTAAAAGTCAATGTAAAGGCTCAGCAGAGGCTCCATGTGACGGCCATGGCGATTCGCTTGTTGGGCTATCGCACCGAGGACGAGTCGGATGGCCTCCTCGTGTGCGTACGGTGCCGCGAGCGATGTCGCATGATACCTAGCAAAGCATACTTCTGGCTGAGTCCCACAGAGAACTCGCGAATCCGTGCAAGTTACACATAGTAGACCTCCGTGCCGAATGGCTCGCACTGCAGGATCCAAAAAGGAGACCGCGGAACCAAAAGGGTCTAAATCGATGACATCAAACGTATCCGAGTGGCTTGCCATGTATGCGTACGCATCTGCACAGTTCGGAACAAGAATTTCGTTCAGGTCAGCGTTCTCCTGCAAGTTTCGGCAAATTATAGTGTGGGCTTGCGGATCAATATCGTTGGCTACAATACGCTCGATGCAGTTTGTCTCGCGACAGTAGCGCAAAGCGCGCAGGCCCGTTGCAGAAAGCGCCTCCAGCACGTGAAGCTTTGCTGACGCAGTTCCGTTTTCGCCGTGCTTTTCGCGCTCACTACGTACCAGCTGCCAGAACTGACGAATCACTAGCACGCTCAAGTCACGATTCACGACCTGAGCAGGATTGATAAAGTTCTCGCCTTTGCGATAGAAGACGCTGGCGAGGCCTTCACGAAACTCTGCCAGTACCGCTCCCCCGCCAGACACCATTCCGTGCCGTATACAGCGTTCTGCAATAGGCGGCGGCGGCGGAACGAAGCTGTCCAGCAAGAAATAAGTTCTTCAAACCTAAGAAACAGATCCCTTGACAGAAGAAGCTCACTGGATTGGACACCCGTTTCGTCAGTGAGCACCCATGGACCGATGTTATACATTATTCCACTGTTTGCAATCGTGGAGGCGGTTGGCTCAGCACCCGTCGCCGCTGCGGCAAACCGCTCGGTCCGATGGGAAAGACTTGCCTGGTCCTGATGGGACACACGTGCGACTGGAGAGAAGAAGTGGACTTTTCTATGATTACCGGTAGCGTTTGCGTATCTCTGGCGGATCTTGTGCGATGAATCGATCTTCCAACAGAAAAAATGCGATTGGCAACCCCAATGCCATAAAGTGGAAAGGATCTACGTACGTTAATCGGACGCGCACGACAAAGTTTGGGTGTCCTCCTGCAATGACCTGCACCAGCCATTGCGGTTATTTCTGCGACTGCCTCATTGCCCGCCCTCCTGTCTCTATAGCTCCGTTGCCAGCGGTCGAGGAATCCTGATCGCAGCGCCAAAGCTCCTATTTCGAGGCTTCCGACTGTTGTCGATGCATTTTATAGGCGGACGGAGGTGGCGTTCTGCGCTTCGCTTGCCAATTTCATTTTCTTCGTGTATAGCCTCTGTGTGCGGTTCGCGGCGGTGACTCATGAGGCCGGCATAGTGTCCCCAGCTGTCCGCGACACTTGCACCTTCGAGGACTTGCCTGCAGCGCGCGAACGCTTGTTTCATCGCTCGGCACATGCCCGATACTAGTTCAAGAGGTTCCCATAAATGCACGCTGTCGTTTCCGCACACAGTTTCTACTCTACGATCACCGGCCTCGTCGGGGCGATCCCGTCAGCGGCTGCGTCGTTCGATGAACACGCAGACGCACATTGTCTCGCACGATGAAGAGATTTGTGGAACGCGACGTAGTTCACGTTGTAACAGGTGCTCAGATGAAAACCTGGGCAGGAGAACAACTCGAAAACCTGCGACCTGTCTCTGCTCCCTTCGTGCACATTGATGACGCACTGCCCACCGAGCGCAATCGCTGTCACGACTGACGTCAGAGTCCACAGCGCTGTTCCATGCAAGACGGTGGCGACGGACGCCTCCGAGAGCACATCCCGTGAGAGGAATCACGGTGGCGTCGACTGCCTTCTCATCGACGGCGACGAAGAGAGGGCCATTTGCTTTTCGAAGGGAATCGATGATTTGACGTGACAATTGCAGTGAACTTTCGGCATGAACTTTTTGTGAACAGGTCGTCAACGGCCGACGTCGAGTGATTCTCCACGCCAATGCCGCAGCGCGCATCGCTGCACCACAAGGTGGTATGGTACAGTCGATCGAAACCTCTAACCATGCGCGATGTGAATATGCTTCACATGAGAAAATGCGAAGCGCCGATGTTGATGCGTACAAGTTGGATGATGATATCGGGTAAGGCACGAATCCGTGCTCGAGGGCGTCGCGAATGATGTCAATGACGATGACGTGACGAATACGAGCGGCAAAGCATCGAAAGAGCTACTCCGAGGACACGATCCAGAATTCTGAAACTCTATATGAGTACGTAGTGCTTTATTGCTTCACTGTGAACGCCGAGGCTGTAAAGCGAAAGCGTCCAGACGGAATGAGAGAGAAAGGCGGGAACAGGGCAAACATTTCAGTATTCCATTTTACTCTGCACGCGTTCGGCGTTTCTATCACGTCCGTTGTGACTAACGAAGTACAGAAACGACTAGCATTATACCATTTACGTACTGCTCGAGCGCATCGACATTTCTCGCGCGTGCGCAGCGACGCAGTTGAGCAGGCCAACAAATAACCGCCACGGGTTTAAGCAACGCTTACCGCAAACGCGTCGAGCGAGAAAGACGCACCATCGAACGGAACCATGGCAAATGAACTACAAGTACGTCAGCGCAGAGCGCCACAAGATACGCAAGTCGTCGAAGCAAAACCAAGAGCTGCCGCTGTTTCGACTCAGAGGACGCCTGGTGCGAAACGACACGGCCTGAAGCTCGGGCCGACCGCAGTGCTCGCAATTAGCCTCGGTTTTGTCGGGACAGTCATAACGCTACATATCATCGGAAAACTTGCCGGAATCTAAGACCCAATCACTAGGTCTTGGTGCTTGCACAGCGTATGACCAACCAGAAGCCTGGCAGATCTGATCAACGTTCGGAACCGGAGCTGTACGCGTTCCTCGCGCATCCGGAAGACTGCTGGTGGGGAGCAACTGTTCGCTCCCCTACATCCATGTCGCTTTCGGCTTGTGTGGTACGACGCTTGATCGGTACGCCTGCCGAATCGTAAGGCGCGTCGCGCTCAGGGCAGCACATGTTGCCGATGCGTACGAAACACACGAGTGCTTCCGAGCGATTTTCTGTTTCCTGAGCAGTGATGCGGATGACGAGCGGCTCCACCCCGGTAAAAGGATTTTGCGAGACTTACCTGTACGAGTGAATCTCTCAGGTTGGTACGTGATTTCGGCGAGTCCCATCGGCTGCCAGCACCATGTGAACACTTTCCCAGCGAACACCGAGTTCCGACTGAAATCAAATGGTTTCTCTGGGCTAACTCGGGCGTCTACTCTAAAGTTTTGGTCTCTTCACACTATCGTCAACATCAACCTTTCCCGGATTTTTATGTGACTGTTTCCATTTTGGTCTATACTTCCTCTGGCTTTATACATGCTGGTCCTATCCTTTACTTCAACTCCGTTGTCTACATTCAAAGCACGTTGGTGGAAGCATTCAAGCCCCATTTTCGTCGGTGTCAGTTGTTCCTCACGCATTTCATGCAGAGGCGGAAGTTCCCATACACATGTCGCTTGCCATATTTATCTTCTCTGTAGATAGACTCGATGCATCCTTTGCAACCGTCAAAGCTGACTATGGGCAGGTGCGCTCATATGTCCAAAACACAATTTTCTCCAAGGGCCGCTCTGACGCGTAAGAACGCATGCCTCACAGCTCGATACACGTACATGACGCGGACAGAGCGCTCCACTCAATACCCTGATCCGTTTACGCATCCGGTGCTGTACGCTACTAACTTGAGATTCCGTTGGTACATTCCCTCAGCGAGTACACAGTCTGCTGCATACGCAATCGAACGCTTTTCTATTCGATTGTGTATTTATGGAACGCGATTATGTTCATAATGAAACAAATACCGGAAGGAAGATTCAGACTGGAGAACAAGTCGAGAATTCTCAGTCCGTCTGCGCTCCATTTATGCAAAGCTATGGCGTAATCTCCACTTGTAGCGGTCGCTGCATTGGCTCAAGCCCGAGTCCAAGACTCATTCCCGTAGACAGAGAAGGCTTGGGAGCCTCTGGGAATACTTCTTGCGAGACATATCATGTTGCTGTAGAGTGCCATTTGGTCGATAACAGCAAATAGGGGAGGATTTGCGTTTCTCATGAAACCGATCATTTGACATGTCAAAATCTCTAAACTTTCGGAATGGCTTGCGAGCAAGTCGTTTCAGGACGACGCCAGGTTTCATTCTTCATCTATCCAGCAATGCGAATTACTGCACAAGTGAACGGTCGTGAAAAGGAAAGATCGAGATTTTGAAGAATGTATGATTTGAGCGAGGGATACGGAAGAGAAGGGGAACACTAGAGGCCTGTGGATACGAGTTGCAGAAACATGAATCTTCATTTACGAATCCACTTTCGGGGGCGACGGGAATCATCTTAATTTCGCTAACGCAACGACTTCCAGCGGCAAGGAGTCGAAGAAGCCACTCTGAAAATATAACTCATAATCCTAAACTATGCATCAATTCTTGATGCCCTTATTGGCGTGGTTCGTACTTCGAAGCTGTGTATCCATATGAATTTAGAAAAAAAAATCGATACGCAGGAAGACAGCGGTTATTCAGTGCTCCGATTTAAGCCGGCACTAACCGAGAATACGCGTTTCTACCCGGGATATTCACGACTCACGAGTGGATATTTTGGCTCCGGGGAATCATAGAGTCTGATGAATCGAAGGGCGCTTGGCAAATGTAATCGCATCTCGATATCGCAACTCCTGGTCAAGAGATGCATCCTAAATGGCCCGAAGAATCGCACTTGGGAGGCGCATGCACGCGAGAACCTCTTCCCTGACGAACGCCTACAGCAATGAGCGATCGTGACAGTTGAGCGTCAATGCCGGAAATTCCAGATACGAACGATTCCTGTCAGTAAACTCATAACCACGTGCACAGAAGAGAAATGCGAACGGTAAGGATTTTACTAATTTATGCTGCACGCGGGGAAGACAACAAATGACCCTGAGTGCACTGGGCACCTGGAGATGCTCATGTTTCCGAGCGGCTTCGTCTCTTTTCGAGACGTTTTCGTAACAGCAGCACATTGGCCTCTTTGGATCTGGAGAAGCGCGGATTTGTGGGATCAATAGCGAACTCGTGATCCTCGTAGATTGCCCGAAAGCGCTCATCATCAGGGTTGAAGGGAAGCATTTCCAAGTTCGTGGCAACATCAGTCGATGCCTTTGAGCGCTTCTCTTTCCGGCGACGTCTGCGCTGCCCCGCATTAGCATGTGCGGAATCGTACTCCATGGAAAGCGCTGCTTTCGGCGGTTCCGTAGAAGCGTCTCGTTGCTTTGATCGTCCCGGATGCTGAGACGAGAGACCGGAAGCTGCGCTAGAAAGCAGGTCGCTCCTCGTTGCTGGTTGCGTTTCTGTATCAGAAGCCGCGTCCTCACGGGAGGAATACGCTACGAGCAGTGGATCTCGGCTAACGTTACGATTCATAAGGTGCTCGTTGCTTTCCGTTCCAGACGCACCTTCGTTCGAGTTGCGCTCGTTCTGCTCGGATACTTCAGTTGTTGTACCTGGTACTGCTCTCCGCCAGGCTCGCCGCGACCGCTTGTTCTCGCGCGCTAGCAATCGTGTTTCTTCATGCTGCAATTCTCGCTTCTCCCTTTCAGTAATGATTCGCTGGCCAAGCCTCTCCAATGACGGGATATAGGTCACCTCCATATCCACGTCCGAGTTTCCATCGGATACGTCCCTGTCCGGTTTCGAGCTTTCGAATTCCGCCACCGAGCCGGCAGATTCCCCCAGCTCGTCGCTGCCTAGCAAACGTTTTCGATAGGCATCAATCCACGCTGCGTCGCGGTCATGATCGCCTTCGGAATCTGTCGAGCTCGCCAAGTATGCTTTGAAGTCTTCATCTTTTAGTTCGTCCTCGGTGAATCGCCTTTTCTGCAGTTTCTTCAATCGCCGCTGATCATCTGCATCCCACGTGAGTTGTACGTTAGAATGTTGGAGTGCGCGAGTGGCGAAGGGCTGCGGCGCGTAGTCGAAAGGTACTGTATCCGCCGTATCGCGCGGTGATCTGCTTTCAAACTCATGCGACAGGTCTGGAATGAATCGCAAATCTATGAAGTTAGAACTTCTTTCGAATTCGATGCCGTCAGCTGCGTCATAGAGCGCGCTGGCCGTCACCACCGAATCGCATTCAATCACAGCGAAAAAGTACCGCATGCGCAGCTTTTCATATCGTCGAATGAGCTCAATCTCTCGCTTCTGCTTTTCTTCCAGCTCGTGAGTAGTTTTAGGCATAAGATCGTCGTCAGAAGAGAGATTCTCAGCGTCGTAGTCAAACTGTGGTCCATACTTGGCTTCCTTCTCGGCCCTGCTCAAATACAAAGCCGTCGGATACACGCTGACGCGGAGCACCTTACCACCAGCTGGCGCCAGGGAGCGCATGACTGCCAGTATATCCACAGCACTGATATGGTTCCAGTCCATGTTCACTAGAGCGAGCCTCCTTGTTGGTTCGCCCCGCGGAACGGCTTCCCCCGAGTCGTCCGACGCCGACGCCGACACGGCGAAGGCGTCAACACGTGCGTCTGCTCGCTCAAAGGACACTTCCTCACTACCTGTGGAGTCCCAAATGTCGACTTCAGTGTAAAGCACCCGCTCAGCGTCCTCGTCGCCAGGACGTTGTGAAGGGTGCCGTGGCGCCGCCGCCGGTGCACGAACTGGCCCCGCTGGCTCAACCTCCAAGGGTACTCGAAAGCGCGGATCCGCGTCCGGAACCGTTCCATAGTCCGTATGTTTTATCCTTCGAAATCTTCGGTCTGTTACGACTTTCGAAAAGCGAGGATCTAGGTTCCGCATTGCACGAACGCTGACTTTGAGCAATGAATACCAGTGCAGGCAAGTGCTATGCTGAAGAAGCCTCGCTGATTGCGGCGCACGAATCCAGCAGCAGGTGCTTCGATGGTCAACGATTAATGCGTTGAACTGGAAAAATCAGTAGAGCTATCATCACATAGGAACCGTATCCTATACTGGAAAATCCCCGAGAAGCGACCATCTCAGTGGAACTGTGAAGATCACCAAATGCTTCAGAGTAAGTCCATGCTGCGCTCCGAAAGACTTGTTCCGACTATGTGCAAGTGCAATCGAAATCTTGCACAAACGTTGAGGACACCCACACGCCGATGCCGCTTGATCTGAGCGCGTCAGCGATAGAGCTCTGTCATCCATCTATTGGGCAGGCTTGTTCTCCATGTTGCTGCTTGCTTGTGCTCCTAGAAAAGTTGACTCGGGAAGTACCCTGCGCAGAGATGCGACGATAGGCGGGGGCCCTGAATCACTTGTGTCACTCTGTCCGAATTGTTGTTTTATCCTGTCGTTGTATGCTTGCGCTCCTGCATGCATAGATGCAAGGTTGTACTCTGGAAAGCTACACCAAAAAATTAGCTTGAATTTCGGAATATAGGTAGTGGTCATTGTCTACGTCAAACGCATCTTGCCCAAATCAAAATGCGTCATCAACGAGAGGATCGGTCCGCGATGATTTGAGGGTACTCGTTCATGGGCAAAAAGGTGTGGTGTTCGATACCCACCAGCCACGAGCACCTGGCGAGGGTGTCTCACCAGATGCGAAGTCGGCCATGATTGCTTGAATGATTTGCGTTCGTGGTAGCTCCACAGAGAAGCTGGAGCATCTTCATCGTGCGCTGCTGTATAGCGCTCATCGTCAGCCCCTTTCGTGACGGCTACCGATGCAGATGCGCGGCGTTATGAAGGTTGCTGCCCCGTGCTGCACAGAAACCGCTCCGTCCTGTTTTCGGCGGCAGCAGGTACCCTGTGGAACAAGAATCCTAAAGCGCGGAGAACTGAGGATAGCGAAGTATACGTGTATCGCTGACTCCTACTAGCTTGCTGCGCGGCGTGACCTCTTCGATCCGTGGCTAGAATATCGACGCTGCGGAGCGTCCATGAGTCTACTCCGTCCATTTTCTCTCACGCTGCTCAGCCTGCTTTTGACGAATGCGCTCCCCAACGACGGTCTTGAGACGCGCCATGCCTTTGCGGAGTTTCCACAAATCACTCGAGCCTTTCCAAAGGAGCTGATTTCGACGGCAAAAATCTCGTTCGCTCAGCAGGGCCAGCTTTTCTTTCATCATCACGAACCACAATCGATGCAGATCATCCGTGGACTTTAGTCGTAGCTCAGAAGCCTTCCACGCTCGTGCATTCGTGCTCGGTCGCATGCCTCGCGTACTTTGTGTCCATTCTTGCCCGAAAACACGTGCGGTAGCCAGTTCAGCTACCGCATCGTGGGATGCTTTGGATACTGCGGGTCCATCGGAAGCACTAGCGCTTGACTCTGCCGCGGGCGACTCAAGGTTGCCGCTTTTTTTCGAGAAATAGAAAACAGACCCGTATCGGTTCCAGGGACTCTTGGTAGCAAGTGACGTGCCGCTGCTGCATAGTCCCGGGAGGCGTGTAATGCTGCTGCGGCACGCACAAAGCATCAAAGAAAGCGTCATTCCAGCAGGTTCCAACGCGAGGTCAGCGCTGACGCCTGTACGACCAAAGTTTCTGCTCTACACCAATGAATCCGGCGTCCCGGAAAACCAGTGAACGCACTCGAGTCCCAGTGAACAACGATCACGACTTAAGTTGTCTCCGAGGTACACTACTTTGCTCGGGAAGCGTCTCTACACTCAGAGCTTATTTGAAAAGATAACCGAACGTTGCGCCTGCGTGCGCTTCCGATAGCAGTAAAGTCACAAACTCACCCACAACCTGTGCGCTCTTGTTATCCAGCGTTTGGTTTTCTCTAGTCCGCAGGCGCGCTGCAAAGTTTCCTTCAAGGGCACTGAGGCGTCGACCAAAACGCGTGTACTGGACTCGGGCGGTCTCGCACGCGTCGCAAAGACGTTCCAGTAGGCGGCAACTCCGGTTCGAAACCGTGCCTAAGAACACGATAGAGTGCTCGCTAAAACGAACCCGGACAGCCCCTCGTCAGCAATGGAGCAGTACACACCTGGAACAGCGGCAGATATTGCTTCCAAGTCGTGAGAAACGACAGACAACGTTCGACGATGTTGTCCCACAGACACGGCGCATTGGTTGCGAAACACTACCCACCGAATCGACTATGCAAGTAGTTCCGATCCAAACACGATTTCAATGTGAAACGTAATTCCACGGAGGCATCAACATACATCCTAACACTTGCGTGCATGTCAAGCGGTGCTGCAATACTGTGGTATTTAGACTGATCGAAGCAGTAGCTGCACTCTTTAAAGGAGCCACAGTATGCTCGAAGATGTCTCTATGTTCTCTGAGGGAACCTCGCTACGTTCGACTTCTCCAGGCTTACCAGGTACCCCGAGAGCATTGCAAATCGAATACAGCGGTGCCCGTGTTTCAATGAATTTTTTGTGACACATGATCGCTGCATGATCACTGGAAGCTCAGATTCTTCTATGGACGCATATTCGAGAGCACATTGGCTCTCGTGCCTGGTCTCCGCAGATTTTGTTCCGCCTCCTTGTGTGCACGGAGTAAATCTCTACATATCTAGTCCAGAACGTTCTCTGGACTTTGTCTTTTGCCTCAAACGACGGGAAACCCTTGCCCTTGCGGCAGCGAGTCGATTCCCACGCAAAGATACTGCGCGAACTCGGAAGCAGGAATGGTTCAGCCGTTCTGTGCATATATTCTTTTTCGTCGTAACTACTTTGCATGTAGGGGCATTTAGTTTGGCGCACTTAGCTTCGGAATCGTCTCTATGCAGCGAAATGAGCCTCGCTGCGGAATATGGCGCTAGCGGCGGCTCAGGAGCGATCGCTGAGACTTATAGACCCTGGACGCCACCAGCTAGGGTGCGCAGCCATGGACGATAGCCATGTACAGGCTCATGGTTGGTTACGGGCCCATGACTAGACGCTGCTGCAGATGTGTCGTGAGCCATCATTCAGAAAGAATTTGATCAATATGTTTTCTCCAGGATTGCAGCGTGACGATGTATCTGTTATCCGCGCGTAGCGATTTCGGCGTGCGATGTGTCCTCAGATGCCTTGCGACATCAAAATGAATTGAGGCGAAAGAAGCGGTGAGAGTGTCCCACTCGTACGTCCCATAGCGAAAACAGCGACGCGGCTGGCAGTTTGAGGCCCTTTTTCGGAGACTCCGAGGCACCCATACCATTCGTATCTAGAAGGCAGCTACTGCAGGCCTGCAGAGGTACTCCATTTTCGGCAAGTCGTTGAGCAGGGTTCTAAACAACGCGACAAGCTTGAATTCTTTCCGAACTGTGTACGCAGGTTTCTCAAACAATGGAACACCCTTATTGCTCGCAGACTGTGCACCGAAATCGTTCCCAATATGTGTCCAGAGGGCGCTCCAGCCTTTATAGTTTGCCATCCGCACCGAACAAATAGCGTAATCCAGGCGAAAATCCAATGCTCGAGCTCCTGGTCACAGATACTCTGCACCGCAAGTCGTCAGCATTCCAGCACAATGCCTATTCTGAGTACGAAACAAGTTCGTCGAAACTTCGCCGACACAGAGCCACTGGGGCGCTCCGGAAGCACGAAGCATCTCCGCTTCTTGATTGAAACGTTGAAGTCGCAGTGGGGAAAGCGCCAGCTCGTATCGTTGCTAGTGGAAGTACCCCATGGGCATTCGCTTACCTTCGAATTCATCGCCATCTGACGTTCAGTCTCTTACAATACAGCACCGCATGCGTCCGTCTTCGCCTCATGCCCTTCGTCTCTGGATGTTAAAGCGTTCACCCGAGCTCATTCTTCGTGCACACCGACTTGAATGCATCCGCTGGAATCGTGCAGAATCGATTCCTGAACTCGTTCTACGCTCTAGCCAAAGGAGCGAGAGCGCGGTCTGCGCGCGTTACAGCACGTCCGGCTCCTTGGGGTACTACGAAACCGCTCGGATGCCCGGTCATTTTATGTTCCGACGAATCCAGCAAGTCAGCGAATGCCCACTTTTGATCATTGTACACCCGAAACCGTTGGTGACCTCAGCGCGAGCGCATGCATTCCTGCGAAAAGTCGTCCACATGAGGGATTAGGCGCTCCTATTTGCTCTGAATGAAGCTTTGGACGCACTCTGTCAGCTCGATACGATGATCAGCGCGTTGAAAAGGGTCCAGGTGCCGTCGTTCCACTTGCGGATGCGCCTGCTTGCGTTCCTGCTCCCGACCCGAGATACGAAAAGGCCCGCGCAATCTTCAGCAGCTTCATCTGGTTTCTGCTTAGTTTTTTTGGCTCCATTCTCTTGAGTCAGGGGCACGACGGCGGTTACGATGCTCATAGACGTGGAATCTTCGCTCACCACGTGGTGCTCCGCTTCGTCTACGCTGAGCAGCGAGGCAGAGTCTCGGTGCTCGACTCTGGCCTGGGATGGCACAAAGTGCTTACAGATCGATATCATCGAATAGACGCCTGAGGAGGCTAGCATGCTCGCTTACGTGGCAGGAGTCTGTCTTTCTCTGGAAGGCTCTGTTCAGCGGAGCCTAGTCGCGCAATTGGCAGTTCAGGAAGACGTCTCCTTGCAACCGTCCACTGGAGACGTGACTTGGGTCCGTCCGAGGCCAACAAGACGACGACGAGCTTGGACAAGCGGAAGCGACACAGACGCTCTCTCTCGCTCGCCGTGACTTGTCATCCGATATCGCCACCACACTGAGCTCTTTCTGCCACCACTAGCGCTTTATTCGCTTCCATCGACGCACCAAGAATCCCTTAGATTCGTCCCAGTTATCCTTGGGTGGCAACACGAGGCTGCAACAACCAGGTGGAGCGCCCCGCCAAGCGCTCGAGGTCGATCTGCATTTCGCTGTTGAGGTTTGTTTGATCATGGATGACACTTGCGCTTCAGATGCTGCGATCGCCGACGTAGTGAAGTGATATCTCACGGTATTCTGGGGAGCTTGGGTGCAAATCTCGGATCCTGCGATCAGTTCGTAGTGCATCTTCTGTCCAGAGCACCATCTGTGTGATCACAACAGGGTCTGACGGAAAGATTCCTGTGAAATGTGGACAACTGGTAGCGCTGCGTACGCAACTGTTATGAACATCTGCTTGACGAGGAGCGTTAAGGCGAAGAAAGCCAGACGAGACGTCTTTGACAAGAAAGGTATGCGATTCGGAATGGCTTGTAACAAATTACTTTTTGGAGAATGCTATCTTTCCTTGTGATTTTGCAGGGAGGCATTCACAGTTGCTCCATACTGATATTTTTCGCTCCGACAGGTTTTCGTCCCTATCTCTGCTTATCCTTTATCGGATCCATCTTTTTGTTCATTGTCCGGTGGGTTCTTCTCCTTTTCCTCCACAGGCGAGACGGCTGTGATACAGTTGCTGTTCTCTAAAGGTTTTTTCCTCATGATAGAAACACATTGGGTACAAGACGGAAGAGAAATTTCTGTCTTCTGAATGTATGTATGCATGCATGATTCTATATGTCCCTTTCTGTCACGTCCATCACCCGAACGCGCGAGGACGGATTCCCACACTTCCGCTCCAGCTCGGGTCCGAGCGGAGAAGCACCGTGGCGGCTCAAGGATGGTGAAGGTACAGAACAGTTGTCGAATAATCATATCAAGAATGCGAACCAGTCTTCTGTTGATCTATGAGTGAAAAGTTCACAGTTGACAACAGAGAGGCAGCCTTCGACTGGACTGCATCCAGTGGGAATGTGATGACACGAAGAGCCGCTGGACGCAAGTCTCAGCCGTATATTTCCTCGACCAATGTTGAGAGAACGAAAATGACCTTTTCTTGGAGCAGGACTGAAGAATGTGTGATAGACAATGCACGAAGTCTTTCGTTTTAGGATGAGGTGTTGAACGGCCGTGTCTGTAAAGCGCTTATAATGCGGCCACAATGTAATCTGCGTTAGGGCACTTGTCGTCATTCTCGCTCGTCTTTCATCTATGATCAGCGGTAATACCCTTTCTGAGCACCCATCGTCAGCTCTGCCATTTGTGTCGAATACAGTCCTATCGATTGAGATGAGAAACCGTCACTTTTGCAGTACGCGTCTGCTTTCCAGGACGAAATCAGTGATGAGTCTCTCAGCGCCCTTTAGTCAACGGTAGAAACGTGCTGTTCTCTTCGTCTATCCGCGTCTCTCTATCCTTGTTTTCGTCAACAGGGGGGGGGGGAGAACTTCACATGGGGTGCTTCTATTTTAGTAGTTCTCAACGAACATATGGAATAGAATGGAATATCGGGGAGGCCGTCGTGCAGAGAGAATCTGACAGGTTCTGCGTGGGTGCAAGAGCATCAGCATACGGACGGCGGAAAGCGTGGATCATCCACTTGCTTATCTAAGACTAACAAAATTATTGAAGTAGGGCAGTTTATTACAAGATAGCTGGTACCGCATAAAACCTTTCCCCAACCTTTCCTCAATCTGCATGACGTCTTCCAGATGTTGAACACCTGCGAGCAAACAAACACACACGAAAGCGTTATGGGCGTGCAGGTGTTGCGGGCTGTACTGCTCTGGGTATAGCTTGAGCAGCTCTGGTCCAATAGACCGTGAAAGGTCCATGTATCCTCTTTATTAGGGCCTGAATGGCCACCAGCAAGGCGTTTCTTTCAAGTGCCCCGCTCCACAGTGCGATGGTGCGAAGCGCGCGCGCCCCATTGGCCAAACGGCCAACTTCTTGGCCCTCATGAGCCCCGAGCACGTGTAACCAGTAGAGACTGCGTTTTCAACGTGAAACTACAAGTATTTGTCGGTAGAGCGATCGTTGTCGTACTTGTTGATCAGCGCCCGTCTTCTGGAAGCGAGCCCGCTCGTGCTCATGAGTACCGACCTGGAAGAGCTGTCAGCAGCGTGGCAACATCGGCTCCTAGAAGAGTTCACTGTTGTCGACGCTGTTTTCAGTCAAGTCGTTGTTTTGGTCCAGGCGGGTGTCCCGGTTGGCTCGCCCGTGTTTCGCCGCCTCATCGGTCACATACTAACGACGCTAGACGAAAATGTCGCACGAAGCCGTGCTTTGCTTTGGAGAGAGGCTGTTTTGAGTGCCCGTCTGAGAGAGCGTGCAAGGAAACCTGTTGTGAGAAGAGAACGCCTGCGACAGCAGTTGATATCGGAAGCTTTCAAGAGAGCTCCGAGCACCGATCACGGCCAGCAGCACAGTGTCTCGCTAGAGTCGTCCTTAAAGTTTGGTTTGAGCCTGCTAGGCTGGCCAGCGGCTGCGGACCACGAAGACGAAGAGAACCGCAAACTGAGCGAACGCTGTACATACGAACGGAGTACCTACGGAACGCGTTTTTTCGTCTCGCTCCTTCGGGCGCTGCTCAATTTGGGTTTGGGAATAGAGCGTCTCAGTGAAAATACGGATGCCCTCTCCTTTTATTTAGCAGATGTGCCGGTTGAGCCGACGGAGCTCGGCTGGTCGCCGCCATCGACCTCTTCACCAGAACGATCACCGATGCTTTCGATATCACCACGACGATTCAATGACGGACATACCGCTGCTCAGTTGGCAGAGCGCAGCCCCGTTAAGGCTAGAAATGTTTGTAATGGGGCGGTACGGAGTTGCAAGACTCGCTCTGAAAATACAGAGCACCCAGCTATCTTAGGCGCGAATCGGCTAACGAAAGAGCCTATGGATCCGTTGCAGTGGATCGATATTTGTGCGAGTGGTTCCTCCTGGAAGCAGCTCATAGAGCAGGAGATGGTGGTGGTAGAACATATACCACGGAACGCATCCATATTTCTGGAATGCTTGCTTGGTCTCATCGCGAGAGGTGGCGAACACCAAGAGACATCAGATGCCCATGCTTCGGAAACAGAAGCTTCCAAGCAATGCGCTAGCTTGTCGAGAACGCTGACCGGCGTAACGTCGTTACAGATTCTTTTCGCTGAATCTGTCCGCATGGAGTGTTCGCGGAAAATGCGCTCTGGTTTCTTCCAAGCGCTCCCATCACTCCTTCTGCGCGCTTTGGAGCGCAACACCGTCTCGCCTGTTGTGGTGGATTATGAGCTGGAGCCGCAGGCCGTTCCCCTGGTAGCGCATCATGGCGAAGAAGAAGCGCCTAGCAATGGCGCTGAGCAGCTGGACGGGTACGAGAAACGACAATCATATCAGGTCGCTGCGCACTCGCTCTCCAAGCAACTGGACGATGAGCTTAGCGGCTTGTCGGCGCTTCTCGCTGGGGTCCTGGACCTCTGCCTGGCGTTTACGGATACGCTGGCGACTCAGCACTTGCGCCTTTCTGGGAAGAAAGGTCTGCGCACCTCGTTCTTTGACGAATCAGCGGCGCTCTTGATGGAGCGTGGGCACAGCTTTGAAAGTGTCGCGGAGCGTTTCCAGGACGACGTTTCCGCTGCGAAAGACTTCCCAGAAAGCGCCCCAGTGGTGCTCGTACCGCGTTCAGCATTCGCGGTGCTGATTTTGTATCCGGGGAGCGCCTCGCTGAAACTGCACATTTGTGATCGTATCTTGGATACGTTTTTTGCAGTGGGTACTGCGAAGATGACCGCAGACTCTTGGCGTTTCAAAGAGCCCTCGATCGAGAAACTCATCTGGCATTCAATGCGAATTCGACCGAGGGATCACGAGGGCCCCATTCGGAACTCAGACTTTGGAATGACAGCGACCATCATCGCCGATGCGGGCTCGTCGACACAGGCGGAGACGTCACACACCGACACACTGTGCGTTGGTATCGTTCCAGATTCACCAATTTCGTCAGCCCCGAAACTGTTGGAAGAGTACCTGCTGAGCATGATTGGTCTGCTCAACGGTTATTTGGGAAGCGTTCTTTCCGAACGGGAGGCGAATAGCGCTTCGCCAAACATCCGCAACGCTTTTCTGGAGACATCCTCTTCTTTGGCAGCCTTTCTAGAAGGGTTAATATTTAATCCAATTTATGCATCCTGGAGATGGCATATCACTGATTTACTTGAGAGTCTGGAGCGCGAACTGTGAGTGTGCTATCGATGTGGATGGCATTTTCGGAGAATACGTAATTCGCCGTGTTCGATGACGAATTACCGGGAGTCGATCCTCGTTTTGCGATCGCTCCACAGTGATGCTGGTGAGCGACACAGTAGCTCCCGGCAATATTATTGATTCGGGTCGAGCGCCAGTCTTTTCAGAAATGTACAGGGTGCTATCCTGATGTTGCCAAAATCTGCTGCTGCTAGATTTATATACATGTGCTTTGGCACGGAGCGATTTTCGCATCGAATTGCGGATTTCAGCCTATGAAGACGGTTCAGCTCGCTTGTGCCAACTCGACACAAATTTGGTCACTGCTGTGGGGCATACTTTTACGGCATTTGTGTAAAGGGCGAGGTCTCGCCACAATAGCTCTGCTGGGATCACAGTCAATGCTTTGATGCTAAACGGGCACCAGCGTCAGCACGGGCTGGAAACGTGTATACCCTGGTACGCGGAACACAAGCGCACTGGGCGGGCTTCTCGCAAGTGCGAGTTTTCGCAGTCGCGGCCCTAGGTATCGAGATTTAGTTCGCCTTTGGAACCCGCCTCAGTTTGGCTGCGAGCCTTCGCCACCAATCCATGCTAGAAAGTCGGCGCTGCGGAGCCTGACAATACTTGCAGCTGCAACTCTGGCCGAATCTGCGCCGCACGAGGACGCTAGAAAGTTCGTTGATTGGGCGACGCAGGCAGCAGACTCTTCCAGATGCAACTGTCGTGTGCCCGGAAACCTGCTAAAATGTTGTGGAAGCTCTGCTCGGGCGTTTTCAAGAAATATTTCCATGCTTGGTGCATCTCCAACCGCGACATCGCATCATGTGAGCTTGTCATGTTCGGGCTCAGTAAGAGGGAAAGCCTCAACAAGAGAACCTCCTTGATGCCAGCGGGGAGGCAAGCAGCGCTTAGTGCTCGATGAACTTTGCGCCCAGAGCAAGCGCATAGGGTACACACACAGACGCCCAGTGCAACAAAAACATTCCACGACCGTGTAGGGGTAATGAATACCCATGGGCAGACGCCTCCGGGCGTTTGTCGGCCCCTCCCCTGCTCCTGGCTTCAGCTTCTCTTTGTGCACTTCGACCATGACACACTGCCCTGCAAATTTGAGTAGTGTAAGCTCCTCGAGTCTCGTCCTCAGCACCGCATATCTTATGATATTGATGGCGTTGTTGAAGTCTCGGTTCACAAAGTCCATGCGCTTGTCGCTTCTGGTGGAACTTTGCAATGCGGGGAGTCTTCGAAATCGCGACCTCTATGCCGTTCGCGGCTTTGTCAGCTCGCCGTGCTTTTGTATCCTCAAAACGATCCGTTGGCTTTTCTCTGTCACAACTTTCTGGAGTGTCCACCTCAGCCCAATCTTTATATTTTGAAAATGAATGCACTTTTTTATGCAATTTGATGAGTACCTTTCCGAAGGGAGAAGAACTTGCGGAAGAAAGACCACATATGCCCTGGTGCCACCGTGTGCTGAACGCTTCAGTGGTTCGCCCAGTGGAGTGATCATAGCGTTTCACGACAGAAAACATTCCTTCCATGGTGTTGAGCCACGAGGTGTGCGGAGGAATCAAAAGCAGCGCTACCCCGATAGAATCGGCAAATGGTCGAATGCAAGGCGATGGTGAAATGCCGCGTTGTCCGGTAGAAAGACGTCGCCGGACGTCAGAGAACAGTCTTCAACGGTTCGACAATGTGAATGCAGCTGTGCGAGCCTTCTCTAAGAGCGAAGCTGAGGCGACCAAATGAATCCGCTGCATCTAGAGGAGATGATGGTATCCTCGTTCTCTACGAGTTCCATCGTTTTTAGAACGGGTTCCCTTCACCCCGAATATTTATGCACACTCCGCCGGCATCAACTGAAGGAATTCCGGGCGACTGAAGAAATAAAGCCACGTCACTGTGTATTATACCCATCAAGACGTTCCAGGAACGCTTTAGTTGCGATTTCGGTGGAAGATGGCTGCGCACGGACGAGGACTCGTTTTTTCGACCATATCTTAGTGTTTCCAGGACCACTCGAACAATATGTTGGGCAACAGAGACACCTGTAGTTCCTACTATCGCTGCTTTTGCTTTCCTTATGATGATAAACAGGTCGTTTTCTACCATTGATCGCAGGCAGTCTTCGAGAATATCGGTTTTTAACGCGGATCGCGAAACCTCCTTTGTTTCCGTATTCCTCAATCATCTGCCTACTGTGGTAGACTGACCTGAATGAGGAATGCAGGCCTCCTTGCAATGTTCAGTAAACAACGTATATCCGTCAGGCAACTCATCAACGATCTATACAGTCCAATGCATGGTGATGTGGATCGCCTCTTATCCACTTCAAAAAAGCATTCAACGGCACGCAGCCGAGGTGAAACAGAAATGAGTTCAAGGTACGCTTCGTACGCGCGCCCTGCCTTTACAGCGTCGAGGATCGAACGCTATATTTTATTACTTTTTTGTCGTTTTCTGTGTGTGTTCGAGGCAACGCTTGCTGGAGTTGAACTGAACGCTCAGATATGGCCCTTGGTCGTTTTCCAAGCTCGTACACAACGAGCGCCGGCACCTCTAGAGGTAGCGGCGGGGCTGGCTTACTACCGTTCTCTCAAGAGCCGTTGGTTGAACCGCGCGTCCTACAGCGGGCGATTCAGAACCGAATAACACGAAGGCGAATTCGTTTGGTTGGAGATTCACTCGTGCTTGTGTGCTCTGTTGCTGTAGCCGCTTCAATACTTGGGAGGACTTACCAACTGTACTCAGAAAGTAGTAATAGGTCGGCAAAGTAGAAAGTCGACGCCTCGCCTAGATCAGCATTTGCTGCAAAACTTTCGTTCTTGATGCGCGGCAGGTTGTTGCTGCTTTCATCCTGCTGTGCCTAGGCAACTCAACGGCTAAAGTATGTTGAACTATACGCGTTTATGTTTTTGTTGCTCGCGAGCTGGTTTTGCGAACAAACCTGGTTTTTTCAGAATAGTTGAAGGATCGTTTGGAAGTAACACTCGTTCGTATCCATTCGAAGCAGATTCCGGTGCAGGGTGCCCACATGAAACAATTCGTTCGCTTCGCATATTCCTGCTTCAGATGGAGTTCTGCCACGCCTCGACACAGAGGCGCGTTTCGAGTTCGGCAGAACTGGTCTGCGTTGCGACAGTACACCCTGGAGTCGCAACTGGCATCGGAGGCATCTCGTAGGCGGTTGTTTTTCTGCCCGCGAAGTGAACGCTTCTGCTCCAAAGTCTTGGGTACCCAGATTTCGACTGGAGTGTGAGCACTTCTCAGCGAGAGCGACATTTGGCCCCTGGTTCTCCATGAACTCGAGTAATCGTAGCTGATAGACATGTAAGTGCGGCGCTGGCTGTCTGGCGAGCGGAAAGCTGATGTATAGAGCGCGAGCCGTCTCTGTCAGTTAGCACTGACTTGGCATCTCTGCGTTCAGCCGATTCTCTTCTTCAACTTTCACGAATGTCAGACTTAAATAGAATGATTCCGCACAGGGCACTTCAGCGCTTACACTAAAGTTTGGGTGTCCTCCTGCAATGACCTGCACCAGCCATTGCGGTTATTTCTGCGACTGCCTCATTGCCCTCCCTCCTGTCTCTATAGCTCCGTTGCCAGCGGTCGAGGAATCCTGATCGCAGCGCCAAAGCTCCTATTTCGAGGCTTCCGACTGTTGTCGATGCATTTTATAGGCGGACGGAGGTGGCGTTCTGCGCTTCGCTTGCCAATTTCATTTTCTTCGTGTATAGCCTCTGTGCGCCGTTCGTGGCGGTGACTCATGAGGCCGGCATCGTGTCCACAGCTGTCCGCGACACTTGCACCTTCGAGGACTTGCCTGCAGCGCGCGAACGCTTGTTTCATCGCTCGGCACATGCCCGATACTAGTTCAAGAGGTTCCCATAAATGCACGCTGTCGTTTCCGCACACAGTTTCTACTCTACGATCACCGGCCTCGTCGGGGCGATCCCGTCAGCGGCTGCGTCGTTCGATGCACACGCAGACGCACATTGTCTCGCACGATGAAGAGATTTGTGGAACGCGACGTAGTTCACGTTGTAACAGGTGCTCAGATGAAAACCTGGGCAGGAGAACAACTCGAAAACCTGCGACCTGTCTCTGCTCCCTTCGTGCACATTGATGACGCACTGCCCACCGAGCGCAATCGCTGTCACGACTGACGTCAGAGTCCACAGCGCTGTTCCATGCAAGACGGTGGCGACGGACGCCTCCGAGAGCACATCCCGTGAGAGGAATCACGGTGGCGTCGACTGCCTTCTCATCGACGGCGACGAAGAGAGGGCCATTTGCTTTTCGAAGCGAATCGATGATTTGACGTGACAATTGCAGTGAACTTTCGGCATGAACTTTTTGTGAACAGGTCGTCAACGGCGGACGTCGAGTGATTCTCCACGCCAATGCCGCAGCGCGCATCGCTGCACCACAAGGTGGTATGGTACAGTCGATCGAAACCTCTAACCATGCGCGATGTGAATATGCTTTACATGAGAAAATGCGAAGCGCCGATGTTGATGCGTACAAGTTGGATGATGATATCGGGTAAGGCACGAATCCGTGCTCGAGGGCGTCGCGAATGATGTCAATGACGATGACGTGACGAATACGAGCGGCAAAGCATCGAAAGAGCTACTCCGAGGACACGATCCAGAATTCTGAAACTCTATATGAGTATGTAGTGCTTTATTGCTTCACTGTGAACGCCGAGGCTGTAAAGCGAAAGCGTCCGGACGGAATGAGAGAGAAAGGCGGGAACAGGGCAAACATTTCAGTATTCCATTTTACTCTGCCTCATTTTTGGGCCAGCGGGTTCACGCCCTGTCTCTAGACAGCGCCAAAACCGACGTAATGAACGGATGCAATCGCCATGGAAGGAGCGTTGCCGAGCCTCCTAGTTTCACGATACTGCTCCCGGGCAGCGAGGACGCGCGAAAGGCGCACTCGAGACGCAGCACGCACGTCAACGGTGCTCAGGTAGACGGGGGTGCAACCACCACGAACATAGCTTCATTAAACCCCACAAGTCCCCATTCCTTATCACAATCAAACACCGTGACGTAGTTTCACGAGCTCCTCGACGAGCTCAGGGGTCGTCTTTATACCGTGCTTCTGCAAGACGCCCTGGATGGCCTCTCTCTCCTGTGCAAGCTGCTCTTCAGTCGGAGCAACCTGGCGAGCCATCTTTGCTGCAAGCCGCTTCAGCACCAGTTCGTCCTCTTTACTAAAATACATATTCTCTTGGGATGTCTCGCGCTCCTGCCAGCGACGTCCAAGGCTCCCGGCTGCAATCCTGGATTCGTCGCTGCCGCCAGCGTAGTGGCGCCGAGTTTGTCTGGGTTCAGCAACTACAGCACGCTCGCTCCGCGCGGTCCAAACTGATCGCAACGCTTGCAAAGACCGCACCAGTTGTCGGTTCCAAATCGATGACCGGAGACTCATGACACGGTGCTCTGTTGGATATATCGTCAACGCAGTTCTATGTGCAGCGCAGCGCTTCATCGAGAAGCGCCCGACGCGGTTGCACGATTCGCGTTTGTGTCGGGCTGCTGATCGTGGCTGAGCATCGTCCGCAAGCCCATGTACTAAATTTTTCTCCCAGATTGTAGAACGGAAGCGTTCATGTCGGACAATCTTCGAAGGCAAGTACGGGCGGTGATAAATGATAGAACTTGAGGGTATGGTTCAGAATGATAGACAGTCTCAAGGATTCCGATGATAATCACGTTGTAGGTGATCCGCTCGTTCGTGTCAACGAGAGCTTACCCACGAAAACACATTCGAGTCTAATGCGCTGGACGCGCATGCTCTGCCAATTTCTGGGACGCAGGTGTAATATCCCCAACATATCACAGACTACATTCTTACTCCCCGACGGAGGCCATCTGCAGAGAACCAGGCTCTACTCGTCGACAATCTGGGCACTCGCTGAGATATGCAGTATTGCGCTTCACCGACAGCGCATCTTTGCGAACTGCGAAAACTGTCTCTCACAGCGCGGATCTGGAGCGTGCCTTTCGATGTAGACGGCTGAGTCCGCACATGCCAGCGGCCGTGGGATGAGCAGGGACGTTGTTGCCTTGCTGCACAGACGCGAACCTGCCATCCAATTGGAAAGTGATTGCTGAGCTGCTCGGCGAACTGGGAATGTCCACTGCCGACACACTAGAGCTGAACGCCCTGGACAAGCACCGTCGGTACAGGATTGACGCTCCTGCGGAGTCGAACTGACAATATAGAACTGAATCCGAATCGGTGCAGGCATTTCTAGAGCGCGTCGCACCAAAAGCACGCTTCTCGGAAATGCATGGAGCACTCGAAAGTGACCGATAAGCACATCTGCGCGCTCTGGCGGCTACGTACGCTCCAGTCATGAATCGGAATCCTCTTTGTGCTTGTCATCCTGCTGCGTTCGCCTGATGCCCGCATCAGAAACGCGCCCCAAGACGATTACGCATCATCACAACGTCCAGATGCCGTCGTCCGAAGCTGAACAGCGCAGCGACGCTCGTCTGTGTATCATGTACGATTTACGACCAAGTCACGCCACTGGGAACGCGGAACCTGCTGTCCGCTTCGTCACGAGTGCATACTGTATCGTGCCAGGGGCTACGGACGAAAAGCTTTCGTAGAGACGTTTCTCGGGCGCTTAGGATTCGACCAGGCACGAGTGATAATTTGTTTGGAGAGCGCTTGTGCAAGCACGGAGCAGACTGCTGTTTTCTCATGGGTTTACACTCGAAGCGTCGAAGACGCTGTTCTCCGGATTCGTGGACGCTGCCGGCTGACAGGGCACTCGCTTCATGTCAACTGCGGATACATATACTCGTTGCGCTGAGCGCGTGGAGTCCTCGCGTATTTTACGCGGCCTGAATAAACGAGTCTTGCCCCGTGTCTCTGGATTTTCCGGGTTTGTAGAATGGTTGATGCGAACCAGGAAACTCTATGCTGCGCGATATTTATCGGCATCCGGGAGAGCGCCCGACATGCTGTACTAGACCTTCAAGTTCTGAACAGCACCACCGCCAGTAGCTCCCTGCGGAAATGCTGGTTTATTCATATAATCCTTCGCGTGCCGAACACCTCTGTCGAAACGACTGGTGACGGTAACCGGGGCGCCAGGCATTCGCGGCACCAGAGCGTGCATCGCTGAAGTGCGCAGCGCTGCAGCTTCGTCAACGCTCCGCTAAAGTAAAACGGTTTAAGCGACATGGACAACGTAGATAGGAAAGCGGACGGATCTTCGCCCGCTAGCCAGTCTAGAGCGACCGTGGCGACAACAGCAAAAGAGCCGAAACCAGGGTTCCAGCAGCCGTTCGCCCGTGAGGACGCCCATAAGCTCCTTTCGCGGGCCAAGCTAGAGGCCCTGCTCGAAGAGGTGGCGCCCGGTGAGCGCCTGGACGACGACGTTGTGGCTCTCTTGCAAGAGCACATAGAGGACTTTGTGGAGAGTGCACTCGACTACGCATGTCGTCTGGCGAAACACCGCAAGAGTCGGACGATTGAAGCGCGGGACGTGCAGCTGTACCTGCAAAAGGCCTGGTGTCAGCGCGTGCCTGGCTATGGAGTTGAAGAGCGTGTTCGAAGACGAAGTGAGGTGCCGGCGCATGTCAAGCGAATGGCAGAGGCGCGCAAACAACGGAACATTTACGCTTCAAGTCGTTGAGTGCAGCTGCTCGTGCACCACACCCGAACGCCTCAAGCTGCCGGCTCGTGTGTTGGCGTCTATGCTTCCGAATTAGATCACTCTAAAGAATTTCATCATTTGGATGAGCGAGAGGAAACGCGAATGCATTTTTTTCCAGCTGCACATGCGGTGGTCTTTACGCGCTGGCGAAAGACCGTATGGGATCCATATGTTTTTGACTGCTGCTAAGAGCAACTGCACTGCACAGGCGGCGCGAAGACGGAGCAAAGCGAGTTCGCAAGATACGCCTCCTCGTGTGAACTAGCAACAGAGTCTAGTTCCAATCAGGGAACGTGCCCAGTTCCATACGGAACCATCTGTGGACCTCTGAGCACGCGCATACTGTGCAACCGGAATGAGACTTGTTTTGCGCAAGCGATTAGTCCTCGATTTCGTGCTCGTCTGCGGTGCGAGCGTGTAAAGGGTGACGCACTTCGGTGACACCTTGCCGCGACATCTCGACGGAATTCAGTTTTGCGAGTTCGGATTCGGAAACCTTCCGCGCAACGAGATGTCTCTTCCAACGGAGAGATAGCCAGGCCGACTGACAGCGTTCAGGAGTGCTAAACTCTATAAAGTCAAAGCCATCCACATTGCGAGCGATGATGCTGTAGTTTCCGGCATGGGAGCGGAAGTCTTTCGACCACAGCGGCATGTCGTTCGAGGCATCGTTCGCCGCACCGCCGGTTGTTGAGCGCGGCCCGGTTCTAGCTGCCGGGATAAAGGGCGAAACGCGGACAGCGAGACAGCGACTAGCCCGGTCTCTCTCCTTTTTCAACTCCAAGAACTCCTTTTGCTGAACGACTTGGGTGAGAAGCGGTTTCGGTACGCGAGACACTCCATGCAGATGCGTAACGACGACGTGGCGGTCTACGTGGCTCGCTGCCGAGCGGGTGTGGAGCTTGTAGTGCAGCGAGGCCAACTCATGCTGAGCTGCGCGCATGCGCGCGTTCGTTGCGTTGAGCGCCACAACCTGCCACCGTAACTGGGTCGCTGTTGCAACCATGCCAAGCAAGCGCTCCAGCTCGAGAAATTCCTCCCAGTGATTTCGAGCCATCTCTAGCAGAAACAGAGAGTACGGTGTTTCTGCCTCAGCCTCCTGACCATCGCGCTTCCTATTCATTGTTGGACTCGATCCCGGACACGACTCCTCTCTGATATCTTCAACGACGACGCTGCCTCCGGTCCATACGGGAGCGCTGCAGGTACCTGCGACCTCGCCTGGGGTCGCGGCGGGTTCATTCGCATTCAGTTCTTTGCACACCGGCTGCGAGCGCGCAAATGCGTCTTCTGTTGGCCTGTCCGCCTCCATGGATACGTCCGATATACTCGGACCTGGACGCACCGCGGAGAGTGCACCTCCCTGATGCATCCCCGAGTGGCCGCACGGCAGCGCGCAGACTTGCCGTGTATCGGACATGGGCATTTCGCATGGATGTGTCGGATCGCCTTTGGTGCAGGAGTCGTCTGGGTTTCGCCAGTCGTGGCAGCGCCGCTTGCATCGATGGCGTCCACAGGGCAGCAGCTGATTGCAAGCTCTAAAACAGCGGAACGGCTTTGCACTGCACGGTATCTGACGGTGCTCTTTGTGACCTCCAATGCATTCACGTAGCACTAAATGTAGACATTTCGGACAATCACCTGCGTGACAACGGCCCAGCGCGCACGGATGTCGACATGGTCGTTCCTTTTGGCAGGGCGCATTGCATATCGGTGGCAGTGTACCGCATGGTACTGGAGGTTCAATGCGCTGTCTACCGCAGGCACAAACAAGGGGCTCGTGCGACACAGTGGCGCACGGTGGACACGCGCCCTGGTGGCAACGCAATGGACATGGGTGCGAGCATCGTGCGGAGCGTCTGCCGTCGGCGGCGCGGTTGCAGCTCCGCATACATTCATGACGGGTATCATTACAGCATCGCTCACTGCACCGGTGACGGTTGCAGCTCAGAAGTTTCCCACACAGGCGATCGCACAGTAAAATCCCCGGATCATACGCTACGTCCATGAGATCGATGCAGGTCAGAGAGAAACGCTCTGAGCCGCATCGACAGTGATGCTGGAGAATTTCAGTACAGACAACGGGCGAAGCGTGGCGCACTCCTGGGCAGCGCATCGGAAACGGCTGGTCGTGCAGAGCGCATTGCATCCATACGGTTTCGTCGCAGGCCTCGTCTTCGGCAGCAGCGCCGTTGTGCGCATTCATCGGATGACAGATTTTGCTACAGCGGTGTCCGCAGCTCTTTTCGAAGCCACAAGGCCGACCACACTGGAGTCGTTCCGTACAGGTATCGACGAGCTGCTTGCGGTACTCAGCACAGCGATACGTAAACTTTTCACGTCCGCAGCGACATGATACCTCGATTGTGCCTGGACATGGCGCGCATGGGCCTGGATGGCAAACTTGAGAACAACCCCCATGTATACATAGCTTTCTCCCACAACGACGCCCGCACGAGTGCGCGTTCGCGCTTGGTGGTCGCCTCTGACCGTCCAGGACAACCTTACCACAGAAACAACGAGGCTCGAGCAGCAAAACCTGCCAAGTCTGACAAGCAGGGCAAGGGTACTCGTCTTGCACGTTCCTCTTCGCAACTTCGGGAACCTTTTTAGCCCAGCGCTGGAAACAGTTCCAGTGGACACAGTTCCCGCACTCACAGCACGTGTGGATCGGCTCCGTTCGCCCTATCCGACATAGACAGATAACACACTCAAAAGTGCCTCTGTTCAGAGACTGCTGTAAGCTCTCGTCGACTTGAACAGACTCTCGGGAGCTCTGACAAGGCATGACTTGTATAGGACGTCCACGGAAACAAATAGAACCCAAAACCCAAGCAAACCGTCACCGCCGCCAGTGTCTAGGCGACTGCCTGGCAACCGCGTACCGCTTTTGAGCGCGGCGAGCGGGTGCGCTTTTCGGCCGGGACGCGTGTCCGAGCGCGCATGCCAGCACAACCCGCCAAGCGCTGCCGCCAGCGCGACCCGGACACGTGCGCAGGCCGTAGCGCTGCACGTGGAGGTACGTGGGACGCTATGTACCAGTTTTGCGCAGGATCAGGAGACTAGGAAAAGCGCAGCGCCTTTCCTACAGCGGGCAGTTAATCGCTGATGCAGCTGGCAGCGTACGTTTCCCAAGCTACGAACCTAGCTTCGCTAATAGCCAGTAGCGTTCGCGCTCCCGGGAACTTTGGGTTTGATTCATCGATCTTATACCGAAAGAAAACTTATACAAGTGCACAGCGACTGATTTTCAGGCAAGCACCACACCGTTGAGGAGTAGCGAGCGTTCACTCCTGTCGGAAGCGGGTGCGGGCGTTTGAGCGTCTTGACACCGGGTGCGCGTAGGTGAAGCTCGTACAGACTCCGGCTGTGGCAGGCCTTCATGACCTTTGTGGAAGGGCTTTACGTGAGAAAATACCCTTATGAACACCAGCTGTGCCGTTTCTCGCGAGCGCTCTGCGTCTCAAGAGGAACGCGTTGCGGGCAAAGCGTGCGCAATCGTCGCGCATTTTCCCAGCTGACTTGTCTGTTCAGCGATCTGTTGGACTGGAGTGAAACCGAAAATATCGTTGTGCACTGGGAAGCCGGTGAGCTTGCACGCGGCAGTTTTGGTGTAGTGTACGCTGGTGAACACCGCGGCACTGGGACCCCTGTGGTCATCAAAGCCGCACCAGCCGATGACGCCTTTGCGCGCTCCCTCCTCGAGACGGAGCGGTATATTAACCGCAAACTTAGAGACAAGGCTGCATCGAATGGGGTTGTAGAGTCGGTGGAGCCGTTTCGCTGGGCTCGTTACGTCGGCGATGTGCGGCTGCCGAATATGTCGCCACCGACGGCGGTAGCCCGCCAGTGTGCACCGATGGCCCTCGTCTGGCAGAAAGAGGGTTCGGGTGAGACGCTCGAGGACTTCTTATCGGGAAAGCCTGCAGCGGCGCTTGCTCAAGCCCTCGGCACGAGCGATACATCGCCTGGGTCGGTGCGACTATTCCGCTCCACTTTCCGGCGCGTCGTTGGTGAGCTTCTCAAGGCGCTGGTACAGCTCCAGGAATGGGGTATTATGCATCGAGACGTGAAACCGGCGAACATCTTGGTCGTGCCCCGAGCAGCGGATGATGCGCCCCTGAAACTCATTGACTTTGGTTCAGCTTGCGACTGGCGCTCCTTCTGGAAGCGTGGTTTCGATCCGGATCGAGCTACCTGTGACCCGCTCTATGCGGCACCGGAGCTGTTTATCTCTCCATTGAGACCAGATCGCTTCGATGTTTTCTCTGTTGGCCTCATTGGCCTGCGAGTCCTCGTGCCAACACTGCACAGTGAAGACCGCTTGCGAGAGTGCGTTACCCTACTGCGAACTCGTTACCAGTGGGACATAGAGGCCTGGGTCGCGGACCAGGTAAAGAAATCAGCGCGTAGCAGACCAGTGCTGCAAGCACTCAGCACCACAGACAACCTCGCTGAGCAGGTGGCACTCATTGCCGAGGATCCTGCGCTTTTGCAGCTTCTGCGTGCCATGTTGCGGGAGAGTCCTTTCGCTAGAGTGAGTGCTGGTCGAGCGCTTGAGCTTTACAACTTTGATGCCGCGCTATACTAAATGGTGGTCGACGCAGCGTAGATATCAGCGCGCTCCACAAATGCATATATCCGCCTCAGTTTCCATGCATCTAAATCTAAAAACGGCATGTTTATCAGCAGCCTCGAAGCGATCGCCGGCTGCATGGCATGGGACGTGGATCGTCCTGAACCTCAGCGCTTTCCGTCATAGAGTATTTGCGCAGCAACGGGAGCGTACGCACGGCAGCTGTCCATGGAGCTCAGAACCGGGAGCATCCTTGCAGAAGCATATATGCGATGCTCGTACCTTGATCTTGACGCAGAGCAGTTCACAGCATACGGGATACAACTTATCGCCATGCACAAGATTTTTCACGTTTTACACTGAACCTTGGTGGATGCGAAGCCACTTTTTCGGGCAGGTGAGACATCAGCGATGATGCGAAAGGCAACAAAGTCGTGTGCCGGCCACAGATCTGTTGTTCTGAACCTGAAACCATAGAACGGATGGCATGGATTTGGATATGGCAAAAATTGACAGGCAGCGATTTTCTTTAGTCGTCCAAAGAGCAGGCATAGCGTGAGGATGTCGACCGGGCACACGCAGCAACGAATGGTTTCCTCAGTCCACGTCCGCGCATCTATTGTAATAAACCGTGTTGTGATCAGATCATATGTGTTGTCTGCGATTTAGGCCAGCTGCCGCGAAGAACATTGCATGTTATCAACTGGCGGTAAAGCGACTTGTAGAATATCACGACCTCCGTTTGCCAAGATGTTGATAGATGGAGGGCATCCCCGTGCCTATGGCCATGCGCACACTCTCAACACGACCAACCGAACTCCTTCAGTGATTGGTGCTACGAGCCGTAAAGGATTTACGCAGTGAACATCATTTCCCGACGTGCTTGAGTGCAATGTCGAGTTACACGCGGTGCATACTGCTGCTATTGCTGCTACGAGCCGTAATCGATTTACGCAGTGAACATCATTTTCCGACGTGCTTGAGTGCAATGTCGAGTTACATGCGGTGCATACTGCTGCTATTGCTGCTACGAGCCGTAATGGATTTGCGCAGTGAACATCATTTTCCGACGTGCTTCAGTGCAATGTCGAGTTACACGCTGTGACAACAGCAGGAGCAGGAGGAGCAGCAGCAGCAGCACTAGTTCCTACGGCTACTGTTCCAGACTGCAGATTTTCGCTGCAAGTCTCAAATTCCCGACCGACTTCGACGCGACTGGCGAGCTTCACTCAGCGCTTGCTGTTGCCAGTAGGTGTAGATTTGTTCAGGCGTCTTGCTGGGAATGCGATCCGCAAGACGTCGCCAGTCCGCTCCGAGCTCCGAAAAAGCCTCTGCAAAAAGTATCTCCTCCTCTGGAGTCCAGATTGCAAAAGCGCTACCACGACCAGAACCAGCTACAGCCGTTCCTCGACTGCCACTCCACTCCAGCGCTGTGGATGCAGCAACGTTACCCCGCCGCTCTGCCTGCTTGCCGTGAACAGAGGTGTCGCGCTCTCCGTCGCCTTTGGTGGGCGCTGCTTCACCCTCGGGTCGTTGGGAAACTTCGGGCTCGCGCTCCTGCAGTGGTAAGTAGCGGTCGAGACCCAGTCGCCTTCGATTCATTCGAAAGAACTCTGCACATTCGCGAGCAGTGCGTGTACCTAGAAACGAGGCAATGGCGCGAAAGTTTGTTCCAAACTGGGACAAACCCTGATAAAACAGACCCAGTTCATCCTCAGTCCATGGACGTTCAAAGGCTGACAGCACGCCCACCACCCCACTAGAAGCTGCTACCGCCGGAGTTTTTGTATCAGAAGCAGGCACCCAAAGTGAAATCGGTTGACTTGCGTACACCAGAAACGGCACCGAGTCAGCGTCAAAGCAGAGTTGCACGGGAACATTGGCCCGCCGCAAGCGTTGATACGTGCGAAACGCGCCCCGTAGTCCCAAGCGCAGTTTGTTCTGAAAATAGAAAAGAACGCAGTCCGCTGTCGTCTTAAAGTCCAAAAATGAGGCAATGGTCCTAAAATCCTTGTAGTACATTAGAAACTTTTCAATAAAGATGCGTTGTTCCCAGGCTGTCCAAGGATTCACCAGCTGTGCCTCCTGATACGCCGCAACTGCGTCCTTCACAAGCACACTGCCTCCGTCATAACGAGCTGTTGAGCAGGGCAGCCACTCTTGGTCAGGAATGGGTGCCAGGTTACGAGACCAGCGAGACCGACCTCCTGCGGTTCCACCATCCATTTCGATTTCGAAGAGGTAGGTATCCAGGTCGGCCAGCACGGTGGTTCGCTGCTGGGATAACGCACTGGTATCCAAAGAACGAGCAGCGAGGAAGAGGTAGCGATCGCGGTACTGAGTCCGAGCCCGCTCTCGCTCATCCCGTTGACTCTCAGCACGTCGAAGGCGTTGCCGCCATGCCGCGGTTAACGCGTCATACTGGTGCCGCAACGCTCGAGCATACTTTCGGTGCCATCGGTAGAGGTCGCGGAATACTTGCATCAGCACCGATCTTTCCGCTGTGAGTAGCGAAGCATCCTTTGGATACGAAGTGAGGCTCTCGCTTGGATGCCTCTCCCGAGCGCCTACGTTTGGGCTAACGCCGGCTGCCCCTGAAGCCGCTATCGTGCCACTCGGCACGATTACTGTGCTCCTCATGGTATCGCTCCAGTACTGTAGGGCATGGTCCGCGGCGTGTTCCTGTTTGTGGACGAGCAAGTCCGCAACAGCTGTAGAGCCAGCAACAAGTGCCGTTTCCCATTCCAAAGCATCGAGCTGGTCTGTCCCCGGCAAGTGCTGTGCTAGCCGCTCGTGCGCGGCCGCTACGGCTTTCCGACTATCGCCCAGAACTTGTTCCACAATATCAGCTAGCTCTCGACACTCAAGCACTGAGTCTACGGGAGCACTGGGTCCTCTCGAAGCACCAACATCAGCGTACGACTCGGTCGCTACAGACGACTCCTGCGCTGTTGCAGCACGCTGCTGGCAAGTTCTGAGCTTCTCCTCCGTTTGACGCAGCGCCTCTTCAATCTCCTGAATTCGACGAAGTAGGTGCGCCTTCTTTTCTTTGTATGAAGCTTCCCCAAAAGGTTCTGAAGCACGCTCAGTTTGTCCTGGGTCGCCTTTTGGCGCGGCAATAGAGACTGCCCTCGCCACGGAGCCAGTAGCGCGTTCCATGTTCTGGGACCGTTGACCTTCGAAGCAACATACACGCCCAAGATGAACACTTTGCGCCCTACAAACAGTAGCGAGGAGCTAATTCCGGTGCAAAGCAGCCTGCGCTATCTTTGGAACGCTTCAACGGAAATAAGGGCACGCGTTCAATGCACTTGTGAGCGCACCCATTCAGGGGCCGGTGGAAGCTCACCACATACGCAAGTGACCACGATATATGCTTGAGAAAAGGCCACGGGTGATCACAAAACGCAACCTATGTGCAGTTTGTCTGGAAGCGCATATTCCCCTACAAACTGCTGAAGGGACAGCGCGGACAGAGCGTGTTTACGAGTACAAGAGTAAGCGCGGTCCCTATCAGAAAACACAACAGAGTGTTGTCTGTGAAAGCCTCAATCACTACTCTTCTAGCGCATACAACGCCCAGGTTGACACCTGCCGCAACGACTCAGAAAGACAGGGGTTATGTTCCTTGAGAGCGACCGAGTGTCCAGTTGCACTGCGTCAAACGCCCGCCCAGGGTCACCGTTCTCCGCTCGGGACACCGAGCACCACGCCTCAGCACTGAAACCCACTCGGAAAGTTGCACTAGGGCGTCTCGGGTTCTGTGGGTAGTGTATCCCACTGCACCAAAGCGTCGCTATTCGATGCTGTGGCAGTGACGCTTTCCCGTTGCAGCGCTGTTTTCCACTGGAAAAAGTTGCAGCGGCCGCCACGTTCAATCGGTCCCGCTGGTCTGCGGCAAACATAGAATTGGCGTCCCCGATGTGGACCCTGTTTCACTGTACGAAGAACAGCAGGTTCCTGGTGGCCGTGGCACCGCGGAGTACCCCGTCGTGGGCTGTCTGCACTCGGTACTGCAAGTAAAGCCCGCCACGCTTTCGTATCTGTCTTGCGCACCGACGGACGACTCGACATCTCATCAGCTTGAAGCGGGTCACTGAGCTTTCGCTGAGCTGAGACAACCAGAGGCGTCTCCCGCGTAGTTGTCGCCTGGGGCTGCGTCCGCCTTATGTATCGCTCCAGGGTGAGCTGCTGTGCGCTCGCTGGTGCGGGGTCGGCAGCTTCTTTGGACCCAGCCGAGGCCTCATGGAGTTTGGAAAGCGTGGCGTTCTTAGTCCTTGCACTTCCAATCGTCGGTAACGAGGCTGTGTCGGTGGGAGTCCCAGCAGCAGCAGCAGCAGCAGCAGCAGCAGCAGCAAACTCAGATGCGTGAGGCGCTTCGCAAGGCTTGCTACCGCAAGGCAGACCATGTGCCGCGGCACTCCAAGCTGCCTGAACTGGGGGCGAACACGCACGCCGTCCTTCACGTTCCAGATGGAGCCGATCCATATGGTGAGGCACTGATACCGGCAGTTCTTTGCATGCGGCGAGAGCGTTCGTGCTCCGCTTGAGATGCGGTGACCGCATCGATACATCCAACTGGCCTTGTTCGGATGATTCTTGCCCCTGACCCGTTGTAAGTAGTTCCGCGATTATCGCTCGCGTCGTCCTTGTCGACAAGCGAGAGTTCGTTGCTTCGGAAGCGCTGAGCTCGGGCTTCTGATGCTGCTTCCAGAAACTGTAAATATCTGAAGATATTTGGGGCTGAGCGTCCTGCGAAGCTGCTGCTGCGGCTGCTGCTGTATGAGCATCTGTGATGATGCTCTGTGGTGAGTTCGCGGCGAGCCCCTGGATCGCCTTTTGCGAAACTTGCCGCTCTATTGCTTGCACGAGGGAGACACTTGTACGATGGGGCTTCGTCCCGTGATCGCTCAGGCTGTTATCGGAGTCTGCAACACTGCATAAGGCTTCCTGTGTTTCGTTTCTGAGTTGCGCTTCTGTGGATTGTGTACTGGATTCCTCTGCGACGTTGCATACGCTTTCGCTCTCTTCGTTTCGTAGATGCCCTTGTTGCATACGATTCACGAGCCCATGACGTTGACGCTTGCCCGATCCGGTTGCGGAACGTATAGAGTTCTGCCAGATGTGCCGCAAGGAAGTTTGTTTTTCATGAAAATGATAAGAGTACCGAAGAGGGACACATGGATTAGACACTGTCCATGGCCACTTTTCCGTATCGATCACGGGGGCGAGTTCCGCGACACACGGACAATGGTCAGATCCCATCACGTTAGGCAACAAGTCACATGCCGTGCATCGAAGGTAAGGGCCCGCATTGCAGCTCAGAAGAATGTAGTCTATCCTGGTGCCGTAATTCGTGAGACGCGCTTGTGTCTGTGTATTCCAACAACTGTATGCATCTCGACGATTGGGCCATTTTTCGCGGAACAAGTCACGGAAAAGGTCATCCGAAAGCATCCTGTGCAACCAAACCCGTGATGGATGTGTTTCGAAGACGATACGATCATTCGGTGCCGACACCTTCTCCGTTGATACAGCGCTAGCATCCCTTGACGTCACGCCTGCCGTATGCGAAGCTGATCCTGGTAACAGCGTTCCAAGCAGGGCGCTTTGTTGTTCGGACTCGGCTCCGTCTGTGAAGCGGGGTGCATGTGCCGGGTGCCCAGTGAGGATTCCGGCTGCCGCCTTTCTCAAAGAAGGCGACTCCAGCAGCTTAGGATACAATTTAGCTGCCTCGCGCTCAGCTTCCTGCGGGTTGCAATGGTCAATGCGCTCATGGGCAGTATTCAAATCACCGAGAATGACTACTATTCGGTTCTGGGTCCGGACCAAGTGGAGACAACGATCCTCCAAACATGTTAGGAATCTTTGCTTGTAGAAGAGACGTTCTTCGTTAGCGGCATTTGGTACATAAACATGTACGAGAATAAGGCCGCATACATCTAGGACAAGCGCTCTTCCTTCCTCGTCGAGTTGGCGATGCTCTTCGCGCTCCGCAGTACCTAGCGCTTCCCCAGATGAGGACCATTCCTCGGGATAGTCTCCGACGTGTAGCTCTGGTAGTGCTCGCCAAGTTGGCAACTGTTGTTCGCGTCGCATTGTCGATATCTGGCCAGACCGGAGGCGCTCGAGAAGCTCGCGAGCGCACGGTGGTGCTGAAGGCCACTCCAAACAGCGAGCAGGGAGCTCGCCTGTGAGACCCTCCTCAGCTCGCCAAACCTCCCAAGTACAACCATCAAACTGCGACGCTCTCCCCGAGCAACGAACGTAAACGGCAACACCAGCGTACCCGACTGTTTTGCCCTGAGTTTTCGACGCACAGAACGAGAAGTAGCCCTCGAACCAGAACGGGTACGAGGGGTGCTCCAGCCTGGCCAGATGATCAGGAAAGTCTTCCGATCTTGTTTTCAATTCCTGTAAGCAGATAACGTCTGGTGGCGCTCCGCTGGGCGCCAGACGAAGCTCACGGACGAAGCACTCGAAGAGCACCTGGTCGTCCGAGAGCTGCTCACGTCGCCAACCATGCTCGCGTCGTTTCCGTGCTATGAAAGCTCGGAGCCCGTTGACGTTCCAGGTTACGAGCCTCAACGGTAACCTTTTCATCAGCGAGAAGCTGAGTGCCCCTAGCGAGCATCCCTTAAGCCACCCAGGGTTTTCACGAAAGCCCCACAGTACGTATGCGGAGCAAACGTGCAACCCCGACACTGGCAACGCAATACGCAGTGCACTTTGAGCCGGTTTCTACTCGGGGCAGAACATGGTGATAAACTAGTTTTTATGAGCACAAGCCCTAGACATCAGGGATTAAATGAGATACTGCAAGTTGAAAAGGTTTGCTTTAGAGACTCATCGACCGAAGCGTCACTGTCTCCGTGTTCCCAAAGCAAGCTGCTGCATGGGGATCCTCTGCTTTTGCTGCGTTGCAGAAACTCCAAATTCGTATCCCCCAGATGCGGCGTTCGACTGTATAACAAACGCTTGCAACACCGGAGGCTCGCGGACGTGCTGCACCACAACGTGCAACCTGTCTCTGTGTCGTCCAGAGCGCGTTGTTGTAACCACGTGGTGCGATACCGAGATCCTCTTACAGAGAGCGGCTTGCCCAGAGTGACCTATCTCATTCAGAGTATTGAAAAACAGCGGTCCGAAGTCTCTGCTGCACATCTGTGGTAGACTCTTCACGAACGAGCAATTTATAAATTCCTCTGGGTAGAACGCCAGACTCGGCTCGTGCAGGTACCTTATCCGGTGTCGAACATTCGAGCATGAGCTTGGGAGTCCCGGAGCATTTCGCTCTCGGCTTGGGGGAGCATGAAAGTTAGGCTACTAGCCGATATCAGAGATGAGCGCAGCTGGCGAGGTTGGAATATTGTCGCTCGCAGCAGGCATACTGAAGCGTGCAATCGAGTTCGGCTCATTCTGGTCAGTTTTTAATTTGTGGATGACGATTAAGTGTCGATGCTGAACGCTTCCGTGTGATACAGCGCTCAGGTCTATGACCGCAAGCACCAAATCATCGGCGCTCCAGCGCTAAAGCTAGTCTTGTTTCGAAACCTGCTCTCAGTGATGGAGATCGCATGCCTACGGGGACTTTTCGGTATCGGCAAGTCAAGGGCGCCACCTCTAATCGTGCCGTGTAAAATATGGAATACCAGACTGCTCGCTTCCCTCCTGCCTTTCGAGTTTTCCGAAATTTTTTTCGATATGCAGCCCCTATATTCAAAGTGCAACAGCAAGGGCTTCGGAATGCATACATAGGATTTGGATTCTCGGAGGTTCTTTTTCAGAGCGGCCGCTTTCACGGTTCACCTCTGGAATTGGTTACGTCATTTGAATCAGGATGATGCGCATTGCTCTGGAACAAGGGATCGTACAGCATCCGATGCCAGCAACCAATTCAAAAGTACATGCCTCAAAGCTTCTCCTTTGCTTATTCGTAAGATGATAAAATTGCGCATTATTCAAGTATTCGATGTTTCTTTTCCAAGGCAAATCGTGGGCGTCGCCATTCGCACGGCAGTACTGATAAGGAAAACAACGCGACATCGTCCATAGACGACTTTTTTAACCAGCTCATGCCAAACGTTCACTGAACTTGCCACGTCATACAATCGATTCTTTTCAAATGCCGAATCCTGCTCTCTTTGAGACCATCCACGAAATTGCATTCGACATCTGCATGACTGCACGTATGGGGTAATCTCTGAAAGACTCCCGTCTCGTCCGGTTGCATTGAAACGAGTCGCGGACTTGGGATTCACCCATTACTGTAATCGCTTCGGATAGGGTATGCGTCACCGCTTTCCGCGAATAGAGCTTGAATGGATTCGAAGTTCTCAACTTGCTCTCTAACATGGATTCCCCTACCAGTACTTTTTTCAACATGAACAAAACAGCGTTCTATAAATTCGTTCTGAAATGGAACAGCTCGCACCTGCATGTACTGTAGAGAGCATGCCCACCGACGGCATCGGCCAGAAAACGCTCTTGAGTCCAGAGTATGGTACCGGGCACGGGAAAGTACCAGTACATAGGGGGAAGCCCTCTGTACCCGTCATGTGCGTGTTCCGAAGCATGAGGCAAGCGTCTGCGCATCATGCAGTGGTCCTCGGAAGAAAAAGAGGTATGGTAGACATATGCGCACGCCTAGTCATGGTCAGGCATCACTGGTGCGAAGCGCGCGCCGACATTGTACACAAAGAAGATGAATATAGGAAAAGAAGCAGAGATCGTATCTTGCGCCTGCGCATGGACTGCTTACCTACAGGTGAAAAGAGCGTCATCAATACTAAGACGCCGTGATCAATATCGTTTGACCGTTGACTACATAGCTCGAGGGGAGTAAGCGACCGCCGTATGTAAAGCCTGAGATATGCACCTGGCGAAGGACGCAGTGCCAATGAACACCAGCAAAGCTGATGTTCATGACACTGGGAAGAGACTTGTACTTTACTACGCGCGCCCTAGTTGAATGATCCGTTCGTTTTAATCCACACAAGGATGTCTACTGAAATGTCGTTTACAACTCATGCAGGCTGCTCTATACAGAGAGCCCCAAACGACATGAAGCCAAGACCCCATTCTCGAACGCTTATCGCTGCAATGCTCATCGGAACTACCACCTGCGGGAAGCAATTCGATTCTTGCAATTGTGACGAATGGCCTCGCAATGAAATGCAGAAACATTCGCGTCTGTACTTGCGCTTGCAAGGACGAAGTGTCTCGTGTCCTATGCAGCAGCTGTTGCATATGCACGTGAACAGCAAAAGGAACAACGTTCTTCAACCATGTTCGGTACACGTATCTACTCACGCGCAGACACCTTGCAGTCGTGTTCGGGCCGGCCTACCGCAAACGGATTCAACTTCTCCTTGTACTCTTTGAGCAGGAGAGGCTGCCCCATAAAGTTCATTCGCGTCAGCTGCGGGGGTGTCCTCTTCAACACCACACATCTGCTGATTTTGGTGTCGGCGCTCAAGTCACGGTTCACGAACTCCATGCGTTTCTTGCCTCTGGTGGAATTCAGCAATGCGAGGATTCCTCGAACTCGCGGCCTCAATGCCACTATATTTTCGTTGCCGCACCGTCTGGTGAACATCATTTCTCGCCCACTTCCTCATTTCGTCTTCTTCTTCGTCACTTGCTCGTCTTCGCGCAATGGTCGGCAATATAAGGATTTCTCGTCTTTCTTGTTCCGGCAGTATGCAATGACGGGCCTCCGGGATCCCCAGCTTTCATGTTCATACCTTTTCTCTTAGATTATTTATTTTTTCAAATGATAGCGCTTGGGATACATTTTCAATACCTGCGAAAACGCAAATGATTTTACGCTCCTGGGCCTGGAGTATCATTGAGATAGGAGCCTATAAGAAGCAGTCGGGGTTGAAGCACTGATGCGAGACACACGCCTGTGGCTTTTTTAATGAACAGGCACGCAGAGGCTATGCAGAAATATCATTGCTCACATGAGATCCCCTGCGAATCCTATGCTTCCTAACCAAGTTCCGAAATAGGAAGATCACAAGAAACAGAAAAACGATCAGGAGCTGTGCAGGACGCAGAGATTTGCTGGGTACTCGCGTTCTCGAGACGCTCTACATAGATATGGATTTCCAGCAATGCCAAGTCACAATCGGAAGCTAAATCAAGAGCCATGAACTCTCAATCGATATCATGGGTAGGATCTCGCCATCCAAAGCGACCGCTCTAGCGAGCAATCACCATCTGAGGTCGTACCAAGCGCCAAAAACATCTCGCTAGCTACCGTAAGGAAGCGCTCGCCATCACCAAGAGGTCGCCCCGGCGAGCCGCAACCCTCCAGTGCAGCACCGGGGGTATCCACGACGGCTTTTGTCATCGACGCTGCGTTCGGTGTCGAATCCTGCCTCAAACAATGCTCCACCACACTACGTGGGATTTCCGACGACTCGTGTGGCACTTGTGGCTCGTGCCACATCCAGTGTCGACTCCGGCCCCAAGTGACGCACCAGAACACCAGTTGGAATCTCTGACGACTCGTGGATCCGTTGCCAACGCCACGAGAGGCGACTCGAGCGCAACTCGCGTTGGCATAGAGGAGCGCGCGCCCCTGGGCGAGCTTCCCCTGTCGGTTGCTGCGCACTACCAGGTGCTTCAGCAACGTGCTGTGCCATGACATTGTTGTCCTTACCATATGCAGCAGTATCGCTGGCGACATAGTCATTATCACCAGCGCCTGGTGCATCATGTGCGGCAAGATTCGCTCGCGCTTCTGCTCCCGCATCAGCGTCATGGCCATCATTGGCTTCAGCCCAGGAACTAGTGCGGGCAATTGTGGGCTCCCGGCTGAACGCTGGCGTGAAGCTCAGATGCTTGCGCTCAGATTGCCGCTCTAGTTCATCCACATCTCGCAAGACTGACAGATTTTCCACGCTCGTTTCGAGCAAAGCATCAGCATGTTCATCCTCAGATACGACGATTCCTTGTTCGTCTGCACTTGCATTCAAAGTTGTGCTCGAACTCGTCGATGCACGCAGGTTGGCTTCGGGAGTACTCCAAGTGAACGAACCGCTGGCACCAAGTTGACGGCCCCATCGGAGACGCTCCAGTGCCCAGTGACGGGCCCTCTGTTGATCACTGTGTTCCGCTAGGAACTCTAGCCACTCCTCGTAGAGGCGTAAGGACTGACGTTCTGCCCTTCGTCGCCTCAGTGCCTCTTTGGCCGCAACTTGGCGCCACTCTAGTTCCCGGGTGATACCGCTGGGGCTCACAGGTGCACTTACCGGTCGTATGTGGGTATCCGAAGAAGGATTCCGCCAACTGATATGGAGATCAGGTGTCTCTGCGCTCCGTTCTCGAGGCAGCGATTCCGTTTCAGACGGCGCTGTGGTGTCGCGAGTGTCGTGCTCGGTGCTTTCTGTGTCATCCAAGAGTGCGAAACCTGTTTGGCTGTGTACTCGGCCGCCCTGTGGCGAGCTCTCCTCAGGAGACTGGGTCGGTATCGGCTGCTTGGCAAGCACCGGGGCCTGATCGCCCGCAATCCTTGAGGCTCTCAGCTGCAACGCAGGCTTCTTCTGTCTCTCAGTGAGCGTCCCAAACTGAATGTAGTTCCAGAGTCTTTGTTCTAGCACCGCCCGTTGTATTCGTTCGCGTATGAACAGCAACAGCAGGCACGCAATAAACCCTAGTTGTATGACTGTCCAGTGGGAAAGCATGAGCGGCCAGCCTCGGAACTCCAGTGTGCGTCTTCGTACGAAAGACCCGCTTCAGGGCGCATCGACCAGAGCTTTGACAGGACGCTCGATGTTGTTCACGAGCGAGCAGCTCTGCGGAGCCCGAAACTACTGCAGCGTACCCGAGAACCAGCTGTAAACCTCTGCGAGTCCACAACACCGAAGACAAGTCAACGTTTCGCCAGACAGGACACTCTAATAGGGCCGGATACACCCGTTAAACAGGACGAGAGAAATACGCCTGGGAACAACGCGCTTTGTATCGTGAACGCGAGAAACGAAGGCAAGACAAGCGCAAACGTCAACACTGACCAAGGCGTTCGTACCACCTGGGGAGGTTCGATGCCAGGGGCTTGAATGGCGGCAATTATTTTGAAGTCTTTCAGGAGAAATTAGATGCAACATGACACCGTAAGATACTGATAGAAGCATTGCCCTTGGTTTGATCAACGAGCAAACTTCACCGTGGATGCAGGCGAACCGCACCGCCAGGCAGAAGTTCCTCGCAGACTGATGTACTCAGTTCTAAACAGAGCGCAGAGTTCTGGGACACCTGTACGAGAACGGTCTTTTTGTTTCCTTTTGTTTCTCTCGGGGGTATTGAACAGAAGCAAAGTATCCAGTAGAGCGGAGGAAGATCACAAAAAGTCTTTGTAATGCAAGTGCGAGCTCGCGAGCAAAGGACCTTACTTGTAGAAGTAAGCTATTCTCAGGTAAGCAGCTGGATGAACCACCCTTCTGGAAGTCCTTATTTTGAACGTCGTGCATCGGAGAGCAGAACCTAGAAAACGCAGTCTAAACGATCGTCTTCTTGTTAAACTGATACAGTCCATGAATGCTCAAATAAATACAATCAAATAAGTCGCAGAATGGTAAGGTTCCGAACCGTCGAGACAAGCACCGCTGAAGAGATACGCATGGACAAGGGAAAAAGCAACCCTCTATGAGCGAGCATCGCCCGTTGAACAACGAACTCTGGATTTCGCGCGGAAGCACGAAAGCTCCGGACTAGTGAAACTATTGCTCGTTTTACTCGATGAGACTTCATTCGGGAAATATGGAGGATGCGAATACGCATTTTCGAGGAAGAAAAACTGCTATTCATCAAATAAGAGGCAAGCGAGCTTTCCAACGAGATCAGTCCGAGCTGTGATTCAGTCGTTTGGTCGAAGGCGTTTTGAAAAATGCACGGGATCGATAAGCGTCACATGCTTCGTCGGAACACTCGTCGTGGCTTCTCCTCTCCACATTCTTCTGTCCTGCGCTCATACAGCGTCGATTTCAATCACTAAAAAACGCTTCAGGAGTATGGTACTGAATTTTGCATTGCACTGCTCTTTGTCTCAGTGTACGGTCACCATCCCAGTCTATTAGCAGGAGTGTGCTCTGTTGTCAAACGTTTTTATGTCGGACACACAGATCAGCAGAAGAGGCATTCGCATCCTTGATACCCAAAGTTGCAGAAAGTAAATAGGAAACGTCTCGTCTGGCTTTCTTCGCCTTAACGCTCCTCGTCAAGCAGATGTTCATAACAGTTGCGTACGCAGCGCTACCAGTTGTCCACATTTCACAGGAATCTTTCCGTCAGACCCTGTTGTGATCACACAGATGGTGCTCTGGACAGAAGATGCACTACGAACTGATCGCAGGATCCGAGATTTGCACCCAAGCTCCCCAGAATACCGTGAGATATCACTTCACTACGTCGGCGATCGCAGCATCTGAAGCGCAAGTGTCATCCATGATCAAACAAACCTCAACAGCGAAATGCAGATCGACCTCGAGCGCTTGGCGGGGCGCTCCACCTGGTTGTTGCAGCCTCGTGTTGCCACCCAAGGATAACTGGGACGAATCTAAGGGATTCTTGGTGCGTCGATGGAAGCGAATAAAGCGCTAGTGGTGGCAGAAAGAGCTCAGTGTGGTGGCGATATCGGATGACAAGTCACGGCGAGCGAGAGAGAGCGTCTGTGTCGCTTCCGCTTGTCCAAGCTCGTCGTCGTCTTGTTGGCCTCGGACGGACCCAAGTCACGTCTCCAGTGGACGGTTGCAAGGAGACGTCTTCCTGAACTGCCAATTGCGCGACTAGGCTCCGCTGAACAGAGCCTTCCAGAGAAAGACAGACTCCTGCCACGTAAGCGAGCATGCTAGCCTCCTCAGGCGTCTATTCGATGATATCGATCTGTAAGCACTTTGTGCCATCCCAGGCCAGAGTCGAGCACCGAGACTCTGCCTCGCTGCTCAGCGTAGACGAAGCGGAGCACCACGTGGTGAGCGAAGATTCCACGTCTATGAGCATCGTAACCGCCGTCGTGCCCCTGACTCAAGAGAATGGAGCCAAAAAAACTAAGCAGAAACCAGATGAAGCTGCTGAAGATTGCGCGGGCCTTTTCGTATCTCGGGTCGGGAGCAGGAACGCAAGCAGGCGCATCCGCAAGTGGAACGACGGCACCTGGACCCTTTTCAACGCGCTGATCATCGTATCGAGCTGACAGAGTGCGTCCAAAGCTTCATTCAGAGCAAATAGGAGCGCCTAATCCCTCATGTGGACGACTTTTCGCAGGAATGCATGCGCTCGCGCTGAGGTCACCAACGGTTTCGGGTGTACAATGATCAAAAGTGGGCATTCGCTGACTTGCTGGATTCGTCGGAACATAAAATGACCGGGCATCCGAGCGGTTTCGTAGTACCCCAAGGAGCCGGACGTGCTGTAACGCGCGCAGACCGCGCTCTCGCTCCTTTGGCTAGAGCGTAGAACGAGTTCAGGAATCGATTCTGCACGATTCCAGCGGATGCATTCAAGTCGGTGTGCACGAAGAATGAGCTCGGGTGAACGCTTTAACATCCAGAGACGAAGGGCATGAGGCGAAGACGGACGCATGCGGTGCTGTATTGTAAGAGACTGAACGTCAGATGGCGATGAATTCGAAGGTAAGCGAATGCCCATGGGGTACTTCCACTAGCAACGATACGAGCTGGCGCTTTCCCCACTGCGACTTCAACGTTTCAATCAAGAAGCGGAGATGCTTCGTGCTTCCGGAGCGCCCCAGTGGCTCTGTGTCGGCGAAGTTTCGACGAACTTGTTTCGTACTCAGAATAGGCATTGTGCTGGAATGCTGACGACTTGCGGTGCAGAGTATCTGTGACCAGGAGCTCGAGCATTGGATTTTCGCCTGGATTACGCTATTTGTTCGGTGCGGACGGCAAACTATAAAGGCTGGAGCGCCCTCTGGACACATATTGGGAACGATTTCGGTGCACAGTCTGCGAGCAATAAGGGTGTTCAGTCAACGAATGGCAAGTCACGTATTTCGTGGGCCTTCATTTCGGGAGATTGTATGCACCTCGAAAGCGGCCAGATACTGTATCGCGCCACTTCCATTGCGTTCAGGAATCTGAACAAGCTTTCCATGCGACCTGGTATTCGCCGTCGGTTGCGACGATTCGCTTACAGCGTGCCCTGTGAAGAGAACCAGGCAGGAAACACTGATCCATAATATTCACATTTTCATATGGTTTATGATCGGAACGAGAGCCGACCAGCACTACACAGGCTCTTCAATGAATCCGAGGAGATGCGATCATCTACGTCACGTCAACGAATGGCCTTAGTCCTGCCCATCAGCCGCATCGAGGTTCCCGTTTTGAATGCGTACCATAATCGAAACGACTCAATACGCATCGCACCGATCATCCATATACATACACAAAGAATGCTTCCTCCAGCGGCGGACACGGCGAACGCCAAGACTCGTGACGCAATGCAAAAATGATTCATATGCGGATTACATGCGTATCCTTCCACCAATTCACATCCTGACTCCAACTACGAGAGTAGATGCCGATCCGCCATAAGCCGGACGTCAGCGGAGAGGTCCGGTGTCGACTCACTCGATGACGAAGCAAAAGTGTTTGCATCTCCAGTGTCCAGTGCAACATGCCCCTCGCTGGGAAACGTTGCCAATCTCACTGGACCAGAGGATACGAAAGAAGCGCTCTGCTCCCGTTCAGCAGTACGTGGCGCCTCCGACGCTACCCGAGCCGTCTCTGCGTTTGTCTCCACAGACGTGATGGAGTCTTCGGCTGGAAACCGTGATAGCGGTCGTGAGCGCAATGAATCCTCGAAAAGTGGATCCGAAACACCTCCGGGACCCACACCAAACGCTGCTACCAAGTCATGAATCCGAGGATCCGCCGGATCAAACCATACCAAGGTAAACTGCTCCGCGGACGCACTCGCCTGCTTTGCACGTGAGCTGAGCTTGCGCTCACCACTGTATAGATCCAATGGTGATGCCAGACGTTTGGGCACTCGAATAGAGGCCTGTCCGAGCCGTCCCATGGATAAACTTCTCGAATTCGCATCGGACAACAACGATGCTTCCCCAGTGGTACCCGTTCTCGCTGCATTCGTCTCTGGTGCTACCGACCGCGGCAGCGCAGGTGCTACATCCAGTCGGATTAATGCCGGTGCATCCACTCGCCGTCGCAGCAACGTCCCAGAAGACGCACCCTCGGACTCGGCAACAGTGATCAGGTTTGGGTCTGGCGGGTGCCAACGAAGACCTCCCGAGGACACCGTCTGGGCTGCTGCCGGATTCGCAGCAGCCGTGGAGTGCAACAAGGACCAGAGGGCTTCATTTTCGGCACGTTGTTCATCGTAGAGGCCAGCTTCCCCACGCTCCTGAGCTTTGGTGTCAAAGAACAACGGCGTATCGGAAGGCGTGACTACGAGCACTCGACAGCGCACCGGCAGCGTCTCACAGGGCGCATGAAGCTCACTCTGGTACTGTCCCAGACAACCATAGCGTTTGCAGAGCGGACGAGCGTGTTGCAGTTGTCGGGCTCCCTCGCCGTCGCAAGTCTGGAGGTAGACGGTTCCCTGGAGAAGGATGACGACAGCGGAGCGAAGGCGTCGTGCAATACACTGACCATGCAACGGCCCGGAGAGCGTCCCTGGGAGTAAGCGCGGCATTGCCCACACAACGAGCGTAGCTGTTCGCAACGGCAACAACATGGCGTCTCGACGCTTTTCGTAGTCGAGCGCCTCGGGTGGAAACAGCATTGTCTCGGTTGCTACTGTGCCTGGGTTCTCGTACATTGCAAAAGACGCATCTGGGAGGCGACTGCTTGTATCGCGCGTCTCGACGTGCGCTCGTGTGCCAGGACGCGTCACTTGAGCGCTCTCTGGTGCAGCGTTATCCGCTCCGAGGGTATCGGTACGAGCAGCGGCGAGTCCGTTGCTCTCTGGGGGCGTCTCTGCGTCATCGGCAGGCGACTGCACCGACGTCGACGACCGCTCTGGTTGGCGCTCCGTACTGGGTCGATCCCGTCGCTCCAGTTCCATGAAGCGCATACGCGTTTCCGTGAGGTACTCTTCCACGTTGGGCACGAGGTTGCGAGCACACTCGCTAGCAGCCATGCGTACGGCGAGTCGCATCCAGTCGTCCCGACTGCTCATGAGATTCCTGAAATTCGATGCTGGAATGAAGAAGACATGGGCCAGCTGGGAGACAACCACCAGCTCCAACGCCGACGTATACCTATACAACGAACCCGCCATGCCATAGCTCTGTCCGGTTACACTGTTGCTCAGGGTACGCACTTCGTGGGCGTCCTCTCGGGGGAATCCAGAGGCCGGCGCAGAAGCTTCCAAGTCTGGTGGTATGTGTTTGTGCTCGTGGTTGAGCGCTCCCGATGACGGTGCTGCGTCTCTCAAGCCGTGTGGAAAGGCACCAGCTTCCGCGGAGGCAGCGTGCCAGACGACTTCCTCTGCGTCCGCTGCTATCGTTCCATCGTCAGCAAAGTCGTCATCGTCATCGTCGACGACGTTGCTATTGCTGGTGTAGCGATCGTCCCGCTCTCGACGACCAGCTATTCCGAATACGTCGCTGATGAAGGCTCGCAGACGTGCCTCGGCAGCGCGTCGACGCGACGGCAGCGTGGCGGAAGGGACTGCTTCTTCGCCGGGGTATGGAGGCTCGACCATATCCCGAGGCGTTGCAGCGGTTTCTTCTGGCTGACGCCGTTGCCACCATCGCCATCGTCGCCAAAGTGTCGACTTGCGCTCACGCTCTTGTCCAAGATGACTCGGCAGTGTCAAGGGCGCCTCGGTGGACCGCTCAGAACTAGCAGGGGCAACGACACCCGCCAGTGGCGCTGCGGACCCAGTCTCTGCTGTTTCCACTGCTTGTGGCCAGACTGAGGTGGTTGTTGGCTTGCGACGAAGCGGTGGAAACTCCTCCTCACTCAGAAGGTTCGCAATCATCGCTGACTGCCGTTGGATGCGATCCACGGGTGTCCGTTGCACCGCAGGGTAACTGCTTCGCAGTCCATTGTGGCGCCCTAAAGTGCCGTGTCGCGCCTGGTGGTCCACTGCCTGCATGTCTTGTCGCTGCAGCAGTAACTGCTCGTCCAGGTCGTCGAGATCATCACCAGCGAACTCGACATGCTGGGTCCGTACCTCGATCGCTCCTCGAATGACGTAAAAGACACCCACCACGAGGGTATCCATCCGTTGCACGACTTCGCCATGTGCGAACGCTCGTATTTGGCCTGCAGCTCGCCAGGCAGCGAGCAACTGTTCCAGTGCGTGTTCGAGAGCGACCCTCGAGCGATACTCCACTTCCAACCAAGATGCAAGACTGTTGCGCAAGCAGTCACCGATGGTTGGCAAAGGAAAACGTATGCTCACGCGCTGCAGTGCCTCGCGACGCATATCCAGCTGGTCCAACAGTGCCTTGGACTCGGCTTCGGTAAGCGTTCCAGTCGCATACAGCTCCTCGATGAGGCGAGCTTGTCGACTCAGCAACACGTTCGCGGCATGCAGCGAGTCGCTCGCGCGTACCGTCTCCGGTGACAGCACCCGCGACGAATGCAAGTAGCTCTCGCAACGGGCAACTTCCGCTTCCAGTTCAATAGCGACTTGCAGGTCTGCAATGAGCGTCAGGGAACCGTGTGGATCCGCGGATACCCAATCAGTGCTGTGGACCATAACCACTGCCGCGGTATCCGCAGCGATGGTGGCTGCTCCCGGCGGGCTGCGCTCAGCCTTCTCGAGTGCCCAGCGTTCAGCTTGCTGGGCATGCCGAGAATGCAGTGCATGAACCAGCGCTACGGTCAAGCCTGATACAATGTCATAACCGATAAAAAGCCGGCGATAGATAAGCCATCGGGCAAAGCGATGAAGAAAGCGGAAACGCCCACAGATCCCTACGATAAACTGTTCGAGACGGGAGAGGCCCCAACCGCCGGCCTGCGTGTGACTGAAGACCCGAATCTCGTCGGTGTTCGTGGGATTGCTCACCTCGTCCATGGAACGATCAATAGCGGCATTCAAGAGCCGATAAGGTGTCATGGACATGGAACCAATTAGAAACTGTTTCTGGACAGCAGCGCGCATCGCTAGGAGTGCTCTGCGACGTGACTCGTTCAGCTGGTGCAGAAACACAGCAGTTGCAGGAGGCCTGCGGTAACGGCGCGAGTGCTGTTGTTGTTGTCGTCGTCGTCGTTGGAGGATGCTGGAGCGCTCAACAGCGCTGCGTTCAGGTCCGATGTTCGTCGTCGCTGTTGTCCAGCGTACGCTTCTGGGACGGGCGCCCGCAGCAGCTGCAGTCATCCGCCGAGATCGCCCAGTTCGAGGCTGCTTTCGATCAAGTCGCAACCACCAAGGTCGTTGAGGAAGCCAACGGTTTCGCGCTTTGGCTACCTGGTGCTGCCGTTCGAGCTGAAGGCTCCGGCTGAGGCGTTGCATCTCGCGAGAATGGCGCTCCCGCAACGCCTGTGAGCCCGACATTCGATACTCCACAGAGGCACGCGGTACCGCTAGGGAAACTCGCGGTGGTCGAGCCACAACCAGTTGTGGCAGTGATGACGAGCGCGGCAAACTCCCTTGGAGGCGCGCACTGACCCCGGGCATGGTGCCGTCACTAGTCCTCCAGGCTGCTGATGTTGCAGTAGCAGCAGCAGCAGCAGTAGTGGCGGTGGCGGTGGCGAGGATGGTGTTTCCTGCACTATTGCCCGAGTTGTTTCCAAAAGCGCTGTTCATCGTGTTCCCTGCAGCGTTACCAAAGCTGCTTCCAAAAGTGCTACCCATGGTACTCCTTGCAGTGCTCCCGGGTGCTGGCATCGTGACGAGATTGCCAGTACTTTTCGGATTTGTCGAGGTGTCACTTGTACCCGGTGTGATACTGTTGCTCGGGTTGCTGTTGGTATCCATTAGTTCGGGCCCTGCTGCTGATGCTGTCCAGTGTGCTTCATCTGGTTTTTGGGGAGGCAAACGCTCCTCCATGTCGGAACTGGACGAGACGCCCATCACTTTGTTCGTGTCGCTGGCGATCGATATGGAGTCGGGGTGCTCACTCATGAGCACCGGTGTGCGAGTCGCCTTGCTCACGAGCGCCCGCACCTGACCCACCCGCAGCAGCAACCTGGATAGCTCTGCGGGCAGAATCGCCACTTGCCCCACAAAGACCCAATCCGCAAACGTAAAGCGACTCGTGCGCTGCATGTCGAGCAGGATATCCAGCGCCTTTGCATGTAACCGCCGTACTTGGGCGCGAAACGTTCGCACCTGTGCAGCGGAACGATTCAAAAGACCCAACCAACCGGCAACCGTTTTAATGGTTGGTGCCTGAACCATCAGCGTCATCAGTACAATGGTAGCCGTCCAGAGTTGAACTCGTGCATTCACGTAGGTTCCGCCCTGGATATTAGGTTCATGGAAGACAATCTGGGCTGCAATGAGCGAAATAGCACCGCGGAGACCGACGTGAACAATCAAGAGCGCTTCCCGCCACGTGAGTCCGTAGCGACTGCGTCGTAACACCGGATAGAGCACCACCACTGCGATCAGGCGACTGAGGTAGAGCACTGGGTAGAGCACGAGGCCGTACGCAATGGTCTTGCCGTCGATACCGTGACGACCCCAGAATACGATCAAATTCACAACTGCAATGAATCCTGCGTATGTAAAAGCGATCGCATTGATGATCATCGAAATGACGGACCAGAAAGCGAGCAACGAATCCTGGAACTCAGGTGTCAACGAAGCAAAGCGATCCGCTCGAAGCACCAGTCCGAAAGAGGCCACAGCGACAATGCCAGAGACGCCACAAGGACTCTCGCCGACATAGAAGACCAGGTACGAGAGCACAAATGTTGAGCCAATTTCGATTGCCGCATCCTTCCAGACTCGACGGAGGAAGACAAGTGTAGGGAGCGCGAAGGCAATTCCCAGTGCGAGACCTCCACCAGCGAGTCGCAGCAACTGCACAAAGATGGCTCCAATCGACTGAGACGCATTCGGCTGCAGCCGCGTCAAAAACAGCACAAAGAGCGTGAACCCAGAGCCGTCATTAAACAAGGATTCGCCCTGGATCATCACCTGCAATGGTGTTCGAATGCCGCTTCCTTCGAGCGCCATGTTTACAGCCAGCACGTCAGTTGGCGAGATGAGCGCTCCGAACATCCAGCCAGCGTTGAGGCTCCACGGCGAGTCAGTCAATACATACGTGGTAAAGAAGGCGAGCAGGGCGGCGTCAATCACGACGAGAATCATGCTGAGGGCGAAGATTTGCAATAAGAGGTTGCTGACGGTCCACCAGTCGATGAAGAGGGCGCTCTCGAGAATCAGCGGTGGTAACAGCACATAGAACAACACCTCGGGGTTGCGCACGTCGACCCAGTAGTTGAGCGAGGCAGACAACTGGGCCAAGTTCAAATAGCAGCCAGCAACGCCAAAGATGCCACCTGCGATGACCAGAGGAAAAGTATACGGCACGGGTAAACGGTAGTGATCCAGCACGCTCTTGAAAGCGTATGCCAAGAGCACGGCTAGGATCGGAAACAATAGGATCATAAACGTTGACGGGGTCCATTCGGTGAACCCGTGACATATTGCAAAGATTTCCTCACCTACAGGGTCTGTTTCTGCTGCGGAGGCCGCCAGGTTTGTTCGAACGAGGGTAGCGGGCCCACGCAGCAGGTCGCTTTCGCTCGGGCACCAAGCACTCGTGTTCATGGAGAGCGACCTGAGCGACGCCCCGGGCGTGTGTTACAGCTTACCTGATTTTCGTTCAAAATTCAAACAACAAAGGTGAGCATCCGTTGTTCATGGCTGTGCGCTTGAAGCCAATGTGCCAACCAGGAGGATGAGGAGCAGCAGCAGCAGCAGCGCAGCAGCAGCGCGATACGGACGAACGAACGGCACCGGTGGCGTTCAACGGCATTCATGCTGGGCTACCTTTCGAAGCTCTGCTGAGGAACGACGAGTTACTTGGCGAGAGAGTTGCAATTCGTGGACGGAATTAGTTAGGAAAAAGTGAAAAGGAAGATTTGGATAGCCCAATAGAGCGAGTGCGGGAAGAGTGTACGGAATAAGCTGAAAGTAGCAAGCTCTGGAGAACCGGGAGAGTGCCTTGAAAGCTCTGGATAGTCGCATAGACGAAGCGCACGTTGGAGTGTTAAGGTCTTTTACAAGTAAAAAGCTCAGAAAACTAGAGACACTACGTTGAAGGCTCTGGATCGTCCAACTGAATTGATGCAAGCCTGGGGGTATTAGCGTAATCTGAAAGCTCAGAAGATTCGAGACACGACGTTGAAGGCTCTGGATCGTCCAACTGAATTGATGCAAGCCTAGGGGTATAAGCGTAATCTGAAAGGGGAAAGCTCAGAAAATTCAAAATACTGCGCTGGCGGGTTTGGATAGCCCAGATGAAGCGATGAAGGTCGAATCCGTTGTCCGATCTGAAACGAGCACTTCGCTGCTCGCCTGCACCTTGACTATCGCTTTTTTCCGACATTTTCTGATGTACAGCCTCGACAATTGAAGTATAGCAATAAGGGCTTCGGGATGATGCATATGAAGTTCCAGGATTCTCGTTTGCCTTTGCGGAGTCGCAGCTGTGACGCTGCCTCTGGAATTCACGAAACCATGGACGTCAAGATCATTCGCGACACCCTAGAAAACGGGTTCGTTCTGTACCCGATATCAGGATCCAGTTCAAAAGCGCAAGCCTCATCGCTGCTCTCTTACTTTGATGTAGCATGCTCAAATCATGGATTCTTCAATGTTTGGGATCCTTCTGTTGCAAGGCAACTTGGGGGCGCACCAATTCGCGCCCCAGCGTGGACAAGGCGAAAAACTCGACATCTTCTCTCTTGAGGACGTCTTCACCAGCTCATACCGATTGTGCACTGTACTTGCCTCGTCAAATACTCGACACCGTTCGAAAGCCAAACCGCCATTTCTATGTGGACATTGATGAAACCGGACTCGACAGCTGCGTGATGCCTCGCTCGGAATGTGGTACCCGAGTCTCCCGTCTTCTCTCTAGGGATGGAGAACCGTCCAGGACTCGGAGTTGGGTTGTCGGAGCGATCGCTTCGACCGAGGCGGGCTCCACCGCGTGGTACAACGGCAGCGCTCAGGGGCAGGAACTTCTCGGTATCTACTCCAGCAGGATGTTTCCTTCCTGTATGTGTTCCATCATGGACAATACCGCATACCAAATTCCTTGTATCCAATGGAAAATCGTGCCCTTGTGCGTAGAGCGGACAAAGCATTCGCCAGAGGGATCACCCATAAGCAGCACGTGATCCTAGGATACGGTGCCAGGCGTGGAGAAGCGGGTACGGTATCGAGGCGCGTCCGCGCTACGCTTCATGGACGTGTACAGAGCGGCGAGGCAAGGCGTTCACGCGCCACATGGCGGCTCCTGGAGATAGGATGTATGGCGGACATACGAGAGCACCTGACCGCAGTCCAGTGTCACCGCTGAGAAGCGCACACTGAGGCTGTTACCATGGACGCTGAAAATAGCGTGCGAGGCATAGCTCGCAACTACCGCATGTGCATCAATTGCGTCGATCATAGCAAGAAGCTGCGAAATGTGCATTTGAACGCTGCCACCAACATCCCCGCACTGCTCACGAATATGCTGGAGCGCAAGGCGCGATCGGAGGACTTCAAGCCGTACATGAATGACAGGGAAAGCAAGCAGAGGCAGGAAAACCCGCAACAGCTGGTTTTGATCACATCTTCAGCATGGGAAACATCGAGATTGAACGCCCGAGTTTGCCAACGGGACGATTTCAGATGGAGTCTAACAGAGGCGTCAAACAATGTCGCGGCCATGCCCTTGTTCAAAAAAATGTCGTTCCACAAGCGTCTGATGGACAAGCACGGCGAAGCGACGCTTTCATAGAAAGCAAATGTAATGCTTCTTCCTGGACAGAGACGCGTCATCAAGGAGGCTCTCGTTCCATATCTGGATGCGAAAACGTCTTCAAGGATCTCGTTGTCTACTCCTAGAACATGTGTTCCCGTGCCATGAGCTCTGCATCCCGCTCTAGCTGACGCCGATCCGGTGTATTCGATTCAAGTACTTCAGAAGCTGGATCCGTGACCGCAGGGATGCTCCCTGCATCTTGTTCTGCAGAGAGGAAGGACGACGAGCCTTCCAGGACGGTGTCCGATACGCTGCGATGTGTCTCCCGCAGGTCTCTGGTCTGCCAAGGCGGTGCTTGGCCCGTGCTCCCCCCGCGGTACACCACCGGAGTGCCAGTTGCAGATTCCTCGAATAGCAGTTGCAGGCCTGTATCCTCAACAGGATTGGCGACCTCTTCACTGTAGTTCGCTAGGATATCGACCAGTTCGGATCGAGAACGTCGCGGTGGGCGAGTATGTCGGTGTCGCCAGAGCTGCTGCTCAAGTTCCGTTTCCGTTTCCGTTCGGTGTTTCTGCTCGAATTGACGCATCCAAGGGCCAGCAATGGATCCAGCATGCCCTCTGGTCTGTTCCGAACGTTCCCGGTCAGCAGACTCGGACGGAAACGTTTCGGTTAGAGAGACCATTCCGGACGGCAGCGTCCAGCTGCGTAAAAGCCCAGGACGCGTGCCACTTTCGCCAGCCGCTTGTCCGATAAAGCGCTCACCACTGCTGCCATCTGAACAGGTAGGATGCAGCGCATCCGTCCCAGCGCACATGATATCAGCGGGAACAGTGTTTCCGGGCTGGTCTACTTCACTCGGTTTCGAGATACGCGAGGTGTCGCTCATGGGTGCCGTCGTCGTCGAAAGTCGCTGTGCTCCTCTCCCGCGCCGACTGCTGACCCGCTCACGAGCCGCAGCCAAACGTTGTAACCGTAATGCACTCTGTACAAGGCGCTTTCGCTCCTTTTGGAGAAGAGGCTGGTTCAAATCCATCCACAGGAAACAGGGAGAAGTGGCGGTTTTCGATACAGCCGAAGCAACTGCATCGTTTCTGTCTGAAGCGGCAGCAGCAAAGAGCGCAACATCCTCACAGGGGCGAGCGCAACTCGCAGCGAAATGGTCCAGGCGAAGTACTGCTGGTGCGGAGACTCGACCCGCCCAGGTTTGCCACTCAGAAAGCGGTGACGGAGCATCGCCGCTGAGACTGCTCCTGTTGCCACCGCTATCGGTGATTTTGCCAGTCCCTGTACTGCCGTTTCCGTCGCTGCTGGTGCTACCAGGTCGTAACCGCTGCTGCGGCAGGGTTGCGTCATTTGCCTGGTGTAACGCCACTGAAGCAACGGACGCTTTCTCGTGATTGCTCAGAAACTGCAAAAGTGAAGGAATCGCGGCACCACGCAAAACAAGAAGCTTCGCAGGGGGCATTCCATCCGGCAACAAGAGCCAACGTCTCGGTTTTGTGTCTACTCGACGCGACGCATCCGCGCTCCGTATACCGCCAGCAGGCTGGACATCTGCTTCCCCTGTTACGGCGCTTTCGTGTTCGCGCTCAGCAGCGGGAGACGCTGACCCGCGCTCAACACCAGTACCTGTTTGGGAACTCGCTGTCGGCATCAGTGGCGCTCGATATCGCTGGAGCCACGGCCCCGCAGGTGTATCTGAGCCAGTCTCAGGAACGAACGCATCCTGCAGGATCTGGGCACCGTAAGCACTGGTGGGACGAATCTCCAGCGTTCCCGTAAGGAGTATCAGAATAAGGGACGGGGTTGCAGGTTCCAGCAACGGCACGTTCACAGCGCAGATGCCCTCGTGCACATGATAGACGCGTTCGTAGAGGCCGTACCAAGCCAGTGCACCCGTTACGTATACCTGATAGCGCAGGTTTGCTCGATCATCAGTGGAGCGTGAAGCGTCCAGCCACCACGGTGCTGCCTGATCCGAACGCTGCAGATAATCATACATCGTGAACGAGTCCTGACGTGGTGGAAGCAGAGGTCTTCGTGTTGGGCGCGCTGCGGCACTGTGCGAACCTGCTTCAGTGGATGCTCCGGTTTCTGGGCGCTCTCCAAGCACCAGCGGTTGACGATCTACCAACGTTGTCGGAGCGGGTGTTGTTGGTTCGGGTCTCGTGGGCGCCCTGGTATCCAGCGGTACGCCAGATGCAGCCAATGGCGTCGTGGCTATTGCGGCATTACCGCCGGCGCTTTTCGAAGGTATCCCCGCAGCTGCCGTCGTCGTCATCGTGACAAGTGCGGCTGCTCGTTGTTCAGACTCGGTTAAGGCTGCATTCCGGAGTGACAGCTCTGGACAAGTAACCGACTCTGCCATGTGTTCAGAATGTGGCCGTTGCAGCGCATGAAGGCTGTTTCCGTTACCGTCTTCCGTAACTGCAATCTGGTAGAGTTCAGAGAAGAACGTCTCCAGGCCCGGGATAAGGGCATCCACGAGCTCCGCGGCGCCTAGTCGGAGCGCCTCTTGCCACCAACCTCGCTCACTGCTCACCAGTTGCTGAAACGCTTGACGAGGAATAAGAAGCACGTTGGCCACCGGACTGGCAACCACGAGCTCGTAGGGGTACCGGTGCGCAAATAGGACGCCACCGACACCATGCACATTGCGCAGAGGATCATCGTGACGAAGGAGCGACACCACCTCGTATTCTGGGAGAGGGAGCAGGCCCTCCGCAGCTGTGCACTGCGAAGGCGAGGTGGCAAGCGTCAGACGCTCTTGTTCGGGCGCTGCAGCCGACCAGGAAGACGCAACGAGCAGGGCACCAGGTGTCGCATCGAGCACAGCGGACTCGGTTTCGAGCGCTTCACCTTCCAGTGCATCTTCACCTTCATCATCATCCCATTCTACGAGGTCCGTTCCAGGGCGCATCGCCGACGGCGGTGTGCCAGTCGCGCAACGTGCTGTGCTCGAACGCGACTGGTGTGCCCCAGTGTTGCGATGATCCCCACAATGATTACGATTATTGCTGCTGATGTTGTTGTTGTTAGTCCAGGTTCGATTCGATCGCATGGCATCCGCCCGACGGCAGGCAGCGCCCTCGCGCTTGCCATCAGTGACACCCGAAGCATCTTTCCCATCTCCGCTGATCCAGTCATGCGGAGCAACGGTGAGCGCTTCACTGGACGTTCCTGGAACAGCATGTTCAGCATCCCGGGAAGCAGGCTCAAACAAACGCGCGGGAAGCTGTTTTTGTTGGGCATCACGTTGCTCGCCATCTCCTTGAGATGACTGACGACGACGACCACGGAGACGCTCCCACCAGGGCCACCTCCTCCTCCACCAACGCTGCTTCTGATGATGTTGTTGTTGTTCCTGCTGCTGCTGCTGCTGCTGCTGCCACCACCGGCGAAGGCCACTAGTGGCCGGGGCACCGTCCGGCACTTGTCTCGCAGCGTCCGCTGCAGGTGCTTTTGCAACGAGCACACCAGTCGCCGAGTCCGTAGCGAGTTCACCAGTAAAGGTGGCTGCGGCAACCGCCAAGCGCTCCGACGTTGCCCGGAGCGCCTCTTCCGCCTGGTGTTGGTCTCTGCTGATGAGGCGAGCAATCGCCTGTGTCATTGGCATGTCGATCGCTGTACCGCTCGGGGAGAGCAAGCATGTCGTCGCTTCAGTGCATGTCGACTGCTGCTCTTCGTGGACATGACACGGCGCAGTGTCTCTGCATCGGGTGCATACCGGAGATACGGCAGGTAGCGCGCTTGTCGGCTGCGCTGCCTCCAGGTCCGGCTCGGAGAGCACCAGGTGAGGCGCTGGGCCCGGGTGCGCGCTGCGTCGCTGCTGTGAATGCCTCCTAGAGTGCGTCTCCGGTGCCTGGCGCTGCTGCGGAGGATACGATACCGCTGTGCGTGGTCGTCCAAAGCCAAGGGGAAGGCGTGCTCGCCCTGACGCTATATGCTGCGTACGGCTCCAGTACCAGCGGAGCTCTAGAACACCGTGTGCTACGAGAATCACCGCATCTGGTAGCTGAAAACTCGCCTGGAGACGCTCGCCTAGCAGTAACGAGCGCACATGGCCAGCCTGGCGAAAAGCGACATAGAGGCGATACGCCTGCGCAGAGGCGGAGTTCAGACCACCATCCAGAAGCCTTTCGGTTATCGATGTTGACGTTGTTGCTGCTGTTGCTGCTGCTGCTGGAGCACTCGTTTGGACGCTCGTCGCTCCCGCTGGTGCGAAGGATGCGCCTGTAGTGGTGGTGGTGGTGGTGGTGGTTTTCGGGGTGCCCCCTGCTGACGACGACGCTGTCGCTAGCACAGGTTTGGATCCTGGCGACTGCGTCTCGTGGAACATTGGTGCCGCGGGCTGGAACCAGCGCCGAATACCAGCCTCAATGCGCTTCTCAAACGACGGAGCCGGAAATCGCACAGAAACTCGCTGCAGAGCCTCTCGCCGCATATCAATCTGGTCCAAAAGACCTCGAAACTCGCGTTTGGTCAGGAGACCCTCCGCGTACATGATTTCCAGGAGACGCTCCTGTCGACTGAGCATTACTGCGGCTGCTCGCAACGACTCCACAGAGCGTACCGTTTCGAGGCTGAGGATTCGCATCGAACGAAGATGCTGCTCGCAGCGCTGTAGATCGTGCTCCAGCTCTTGCAAGACTTGCGCATTCGCATGCAGAATCATGGTGAGCAAAAGCACCGCTCGCGGATGAGGTTCACTTTTCTCATGTCGAAGCAGGGAATGGAGTGCTCGCATGCATTCGGAATAACGGCTCCGCCAGGCTTGGGCGAGCGCTACCGCCAGTCCCGACAGCACGTCATAGCCAACAAACAGACGACGGTGAAGCAGTGCCAGAGCCAGTCGATCGAGAAAGCGCACCCTACCCAAGACGTGTATGGCGAGGCGCTCGTAGCGACGCAAGCCCCAGCCGGCTTTCTGACTGCCCTCACAGAGGCGCAGCGTACCGGTGTGCGGCGCCAGGCATACCTTATCGTTGACGTAGTCGGTTACTGAGTCGAGGAGGCGGTACGTGACACGACTAATCGACCCAATGAGGTGCTGTTTCTGCACGTTCGCACGCACAGCAAGCAGCGTGCGCCGGCGACTCTCCATGAGGAGGCGACTGAACGCCGGGGAGTCCCCGAGCTTGCGCTCGAGAGGGAAACGCGTTAGCCAGTGCGCTAGACTTGGAAGCGACTCTTCGGGAAGGGGCTCTGGCTCTGGAGTTCGGACTGCCCTTGCAGGATTTCCTGTATCCGGCACTGGTCCCGGAGGCAATGATGAGACGCGAGATGCCCCAGTTGCCGTCTTGTCGGGTGCAGGAGTGCCAGCAGCATCGGGCTGACGTAGACGCGCCTTCCAGATGGCTTCGGCATTCGACCACGGTACCGGAGCGCTGCTGCTTGTCGTACCGGAGTTCGCGTCATCTCCAGGATCCAGAGACGACGACTCGGGAGAACGGGACGCACAGTCTGGCTCACGCGGCCCAGTTGGTGGCGTGGCTTGTCCTGGGGGCGCCACTCCGTAGCCGGGCGCCTGCTCCCCGTTCAAGCTCGCTGGAGGATCGTTCCCGGCAGCGGCCTTCGTGTAGCGCGCTGCCAAGTGCCGAATACGGGCGCGCACCCGCCCTGCACTTAACAGCAGCTCATCGAGTTTGTAAGGTAGAATGGCAGCCTCTTCCACGAATCCCCAATTTGCGTGAACGAAGCGACTGTGCTTCTGCATCTCCCGCAGCGCCTCTTTGGCTTGCCGGTGAAGACGGCGTACCTGGAGTCGAAACAGTCGCACTTCAGCGGCACTCTGGCTGAGGAGGCCCAGCCAGGCAGCGACCTGCCTCACTGTCGTTCCCTGGAACAACAGAGTCAGGAGTACGATCATCGAGGTCCACAGCTGAACCCGAGCAGATACCACTGTACTACCGCGAATGGAAGGCGTATGGAAGACAATCTGGGCGGCAATGAGAGAGATGGCTCCGCGTAGGCCACAGTGAACGATGAGGATGGCCTCTCGCCACGAGGCCCCGTAACGACCAGTGCGCAGAATAGGAAACAGCGCCACCACCGCCACAACACGACAGAGGTAAGTGACAGGATAGAGCGCTACTCCGTAGCCAATTGCCGCGGCGTTCACGCCACTCTTTCCCCAGAAAACAATGAGGTTGACCACGGAGATAAAGCCAGCGTACACAAATGCAATCGAATTGATGATATGCGATATCGCTTCCCAGAATGCATCCAGAGACTCTTGAAATGCCGGTGTGATCGAAGCGATTCGGTCAGCGGAGAACATCACGCCGAACACGGACACAGCCACAATGCCGCTGCAGCCGCAGGGCCCGTCTGCAACGTAGAACACCAGATACGCCATAACGAGTGTACTGCCGATCTCGATGGCAGCATCTCGCCAGACGAGGCGAAGCAGCAGCAACGTCGGGATGCCCATCGCGATACCGATGAGGAAACCGCCACCTGCAAGACGGAAGAACTGCTCTACAAGGTAGCCAAAGGAGAGATTCGGATTCGGCATCAGACGAGAGAGGAAGACAATGAAGAGAGTGAATCCGGAACCGTCATTGAAAAGCGCCTCGCCCTGGATCATGACCTGGATATGCTTCCGCACCGGCGTTTGGGAAAGCGTAAGCGCAACCGCAAGTGCATCCGTTGGCGAAATGAGCGCCCCAAAGAGCCAGCCAGCATCGAAGCTCCAACCGGCTGTACCGAACACGTACGTGGTGAATGCCGCCACAATCGCCGCCGAAATGAAAACCAAGATAATGCTTAGCGCGAATTGATGGGGAATGGTATGTTTCACGACCCACCAGTCAAGATACATGGCGCTCTCGAAGAGAATCGGCGGGAACAGGATGTAGTACAGGATCGTCGGTTTGTCGACGCTTACCCATAGCCGCAGTGACTCTGACAATTCACCCAGAGGTAGGTAACAACCAGCGACCCCGAAAACACCGCCAAGAATGACAAGCGGAACGGTATACGGTAAGGTCAGTCGGTATCGAATGAAAAGGCCGCGAATGATGTACGAGAAGAGCACTGCCAGGAGTGGAAACAGCAGTACCGTGAAAAGCGACGGTGTTCCGGTACGAAAGCCGCGGCAGGTATTGAATATGGCTGCATCCTCGCTGGTGCTATTCGCGGCGTGAATCACTTGTGTTTGAAGTGCGGTGAGCTTCGAAGCCAACCCCTCAAACGACGTATGCATTCGCGCTCGGTACGCGGGTGCGGTTCTTTGACCGGAGCGCCGTCCTCGCTGCGACCGCTTCCACCCGAACGCGTCGCAACTCGCGAGAAGCAGTGCTCTTACCCCTCGTACGTGCCGTTTGCGGTGCAGAACGCGCCTCGATGAGGCGGTGTCTCCAGCGAGACTTTTGAAAAGGACAGCGGTCGACTGCTCGTTTCGAGTGCTCGCTTAGTGAAGACGGTGACTCCGGTCGTGATGAACGCCCTGATTTACAAACGGAAGTCGTCAAGCTGTATGCACAGACACACTTGGATAAAAGTGTGGGCGCTTTATCCGCGGGTCCTCTTTTGACGCTGAACGTCGAGGCTCCAGTCGGTGCCGATTTTGCGGCGTTCCTCGGCAGAGCAGTGTGCGCGGGTACGAGGTGGTACGACGGGAACGGGCCTCAACGATGGCCTCGTGCTGCTTGTCCAATTATAGACATTTGTGTCCCAAATAGAACAGATTTATCCGGGATCCAGGTGAGCCAGCAGCGTTTCGTTCATACAATCATGCGGGCACCGTACGCCATCTATCCTCGTTCAGGTCTATTTCGATTCGTCACAGAGGCCGATGATCCTCAATGCTTTCGTTCGCTGGCTTGTTCAGGCGTACGCGGTTCGTACTGGCCATCTCGTGTGCGAGCTCATGCCCGAGCTCTGGCGCGGGATGCGCGCACTGCGGATACATGGTGCGTCGACGAATGCTGCAAATGCAATACGCTCTTTTTGCTCAAGGATATTGTATGGAAGCAACGGGAATTGATGAAATTGTATACGATTCATTGCATCGGTGTTCGTTGACCGCGAAAGAAATCTCTAACTAGGGAATCTTTTGTAGCTGCCTCGGTGGGGCAGCTACAACGACCTGGGAGGTACGACAGAGTGGCTCCAACTGGAATCTAGAATGTGCAGCGTGCACCGGGCGCTCGTCCAGCGTTTTGGAACGCTTCCTATGGCGTGGCGTACCGGAGACCAGCACCACTGAAGACTCTGATACGCATACGAGGCAGCATCGCGACACCAAGCGATGAGATTCGGACGGTAGATATGCGCAGAGCAGTACAGCGAGCGAGCCTTCGAGACTCGTACGCTGCCGCTGGTCGTTGGCTAGGATAGATAGCATGTGCAGCTGCGCCGTCCCGACACCGCCAGCCACGAGACGCATCGGTGCGCGCCCAGGTTGGAGGCGAGGCTCGTGCGCAGCTCGAACACCCCCACGGCTTTTCGCAGGGCCTCGTACCCATTCAAAGTCGCATACGGAGCAGCACAGCTTCGAGCTCTCCAGATGAAAGCCAGCAAAGAAGGGAGCTCTTCCCAATTGCGTTGATATCGCTCTATGAGAAGCCTCATGGGACGATGCCCGCTGGTCGCAGCCCGGGGCAAACGAGTCTGGTTCACACGTGACCTGATCCCCAGCAGATAACCTAGACGAATCCCATGGGCGGCGAGAATCTCCCTGAACGTACGCATCAAAGGCGCCAGTGTCTCGCCGCATCTCCGCGCTCATGCGATGCACCGTGCCGATCACGCGTTCGTCAACACGCATCGTTGCGTTTGAGTACATAATTTCGTTCTTTTCCGCCAGACAGGGATAACGATCATCCGGGATTCTACACCTCCACTTTCATAACTTTCTGTTATTTTTTTATTCATGAAAACGAACCCACTTCGAACGCGTCTACTATAAACCCCGAAAAATCACTTGAATACACGCACTTAAGGGTTGACACACAATTGAGATCGAAAAATATCCTTTGCTATGGCGTTAACACAAATACATCGTGAACGTTAGAGCAGCACGATAGTGATCAGGCTCGTGTTCTCTTCAATGGCGAGACGCGCGTCGTATCTCATGCCTGCAAGACATAGAGGTGCGCGTATCGAGCGCACCATAGAAAAAAAAGAACTGAAACGAGTTACTAACTAACAACTCGATGAGACTTTCTTTCCCAATCTATAGTAAACGTTGAACGGAGAAAAACCTTTCCGTATTGTTGATAGTTTACCTTATAGGTGGCAAGTCCCGCGACCCGAACGAGTCTGCCGGGGAAGTGGCTTACGCGAATCTGCAGCGGCGGGTGCAGTGGAGCGACTTGGCCAGCTCATCTGAAAAGCAGTTTATCCTGAGACTAGGAGCTGGTAGCCTGCGTCTGGGCACTGCCCAAGTCGCCATGCACTCCCAGCAGCAGATTGCTTCGCGCTGCCACAGGCAACACGCCTGTCTGCGCAGCCTGCTGGCTTCCAGAATGCTTACGCGCTCCAACCCCGTGTTAGATGAATGACGCCTCGAGCCGACGCCCTCAGCATTATGGCAAAGCCGTTCTGTCTCCGTGATGCACCGGTTCAAGCGGTTTAGGTGCTGACGCGGGAGCAGCAAGACAGATTATGCACACGATACAACGCACAAATCGACTAGTACATCCGACAGGAAGAATGGGCAATGGAACTTGGGGGTAGGTTGCATCATGATGGACGCTTTCCCGAAGGCCAATACCCAATTCGCAGCCTCGGCTCCATGGTCTATGTAGACGATTTTATCGAATCGAGAAAAAATCGCATCGCCGCCGCCGCCGCCGCCGCGATGCGTGCCCTGCCAAGGCACGCTGTCAGAACAAATACAGCTTTGACTCAAATTTGTTGGACGTAGCGCCATTCGTGGACACGTGTCCCGAAGGCACGCCGGAGCGCGCAGCCCGATCACAAGTGGACACGAGCAGTTGCGTCGCACCACCGCCGTCGCCATGCTGAACCGCTAGGCCGCGCGAGCTGTTCCAGGTGGCGCTGCATTCGCTTCTTGGAGAAGGCATTGTGCTCGTGGTCAGAGTGAAGCACAGGTACTCCATAGACACAGATGGCTAGCTCCGGACCTGTATGCAACACCTTGGGGGTGAACAACTACAGTAACCCCTTGCATATCGCTGGTCTGTTCGTGATTCTCTGCGGAGGTTTCCTCGGCGCCTTCCTGCCAGTTGCTGCCAAGCGTTACCCGTGGCTGCGAATCCCTGGTATGGTTCTCCAGCTTGGTCGTGCTTTCGGTACTGGCGTCGTGATCGCCACAGGGTTTGTGCATATGATGCCGCCTGCCTTGGCAAACCTGAGCGACGCTTGTCTGCCGGGGTTCTTCACCGACACGTACAACTCGCTTGGAGCGGCGATCGCGCTGGGCGCAGCGCTCTTCATGCAGTTACTCGAGTTCAGCGGGCGAGTTTATATTGGACGCTACATGGATCGAATTATTGCTGAGCACGCAGCGGCTCGAAAAGCGCTGGCGTTTTCGGCGAAACAAGCGCACGCTCAAGTGCCTTCGGAGGAAGGCACGCTCGCAGCGCTTGCGCCCGACCCCGAAGCCGGCACACTTCAGGGAGCCAGCGCTCTGCAACCAGACAACGCTGAAAGCATTCAGCCGTCACCAGGCTCTGAGTTGTGCGCCTGCGCGGTAGAAGAGCCGGTTGTGAAAACGCAATTAATGCACAGCGAAGGTTCGGCGCTTTGCTCCCTAGCACTGAGCGACGAGGATCGCTCGGATGAAAAGAAGCTTCTCGATAAGGCAGAGCTGCGCAACCTGAAGCTCATTGTGATTATTTTCGAGTTCGGCGTCGCTGTGCACTCGGTCATCGTGGGGCTGGACTTTGGCGTCAGTACTGGACAAACGGCGGTGACGCTCTTTGCTGCGCTCATTTTCCATCAGTTTTTCGAGGGTGTGGCGCTCGGAACGACGATTTCCGAGGCCGGTTTCGCCTGGTGGCTCGTCATGCTCATGGTGATATCGTTTGCGCTCGAGACTCCAGTTGGAACCGCGATCGGCATGGGCATTTCGCGGGCCTACAACCCGAACTCGGTGGCCTCGCTGGTGATCCGCGGCGTTCTCGATGGACTCTCCGCAGGTATCCTAATCTATACAGGTCTGGTGGACCTGTTGACTTACCGGTTTACGCTGAACACGGAGCTCCATAAGCAGCAGCTAGTCTGGGTTGTTCTGACGATCGCGTTCGTCTGGGCCGGGGCCATCGGCATGAGCATCATTGGGGCTTGGATCTAAGAGTAGCCGCTTTGGACGCTTTACGCAGACTCACACGCTGTGTGTGTGTGTGTGTGCATCGTAGTCCAGGAACGACGGAGCAAACATGCTAAGCGCAGCAATACGGAGCGTTTGTCGGGAGTCTTCAATGAATCAAGGAGGAAAAATGCACCGCGTGGCTTCCGGTCAGCTGTTTTCGATCATGGACCTCGGTGCGCAGTGGACGCCTGCAAGCTGCCGTCGCTTCTCGGGGGTGTTCCTTCCTGTGCGTCCGATTGAATCCATCCTTCCCCATGAATCCATTTGAAGAAGCCGGAAATCGCCCAGGTCGGCACGTGCCTTTTCTCATTTCTCATCGTCGTGAACAAAGTGCAGGCTTGTTTCTTCGGAAACGAAAGGAGGCTGTGCGAGGCCGCACAAGTCGCTATGTCGCGAGGCGTGCGCGCCCAAGCCCACGATACTACTTCGTTTGCAAAATACTGAGTAGCGTTGTTTTCTATGAGAAAGATCGTTGTATGGACAGATGTATGGAAGAAGAAGACTTGATAAGTTCGAGAACATTAAACTGGCGCCCAACGGCCCGTTTCGGAATGAACACGATATCACTTGGTAAAGACGCAACGATTGGCTATGGACAATAGACTCCTAACTGGAGCAATCATCGCTGCATGCCGTACATCTCGGGTCGTGCAGGCTTCGGCGTTGGTCCTCGCCACCAGGAAAGCACGCTGTCGAGCGTTGTTCTCCCCGTCGTCGGAACCATGCACTTGAAGAAGCCTTCCAAGGACAGGGTGCTACTGCCGGAGCATGGTCGACCCGATGAACCTCAGCTCAGTCCACAAAGGCAAGACTCGCAGCACGAGACACCGGACCAGGCCCTCCTGGTACCACACCGGAGCTGCTCGCCACCGTTGCTGTGCTAGACCTCTACGACTTGTTCACTGCGTCACATACGCAAAGTATGCGTGCGTTCCTGAATTGAGGCGGGAAACTCTTTTCCTTCTCGTAGATCTTTCCTACTCAAAGACGAGCTGCCAGGGAAACGCAGGTAGACGTCGATCCGCAGGCAGCGCGCAAGCTGTGAACCACCACCATCACCACAAAGAAGCACAGAACGAGCTCGAGCGGCGTGGAGTCGAATAGCGGAACGCTGCACGTTGCAGTGCAACTCGAGTGCGGTCCGGTGTACAAGCACAGCGCTGGCAAGCGTCTTGCAGAGTGAGGCGTCGCAAAGCAGGTCAACGAAGTGGTTCAGCGACGTGCGACCACAGCGACGAACCGCTTGGCTCGCCAGACGAACGCTGCAACGCACCTGGCGCTTTGGAGCAGGTATCAAACGAGCTCGTCACCATTTACTCGATAGTGTCAAGTTTTGGCAGAGGACGCGTCTCAAGTCACGAGCGTCAGAGATGAGACGCTCGTTCCGGGCGAGCCCGTCTCTACAAGTTGGTGTTGTTCCCGGTCAGTAAGCAACAACCGCTCTTTTCGGCGTTACGTATAGGGTATGCAACACCCCGAAACGACCCGCTACGGATACCACGCGCGCCGAAACCCCACGTCCACCATTCCTGCACAAGTAGGGCCCTGTCATACCATTCGCTTGTGGAATACAGCGACCATGTGGATACTTGCGCTTCGCTCCTGCTAGCTCTGGGGAGCCGTGCGCACGCCCAGCATGCCTAGGATACGGGCGGGAATACCTCAGTTTCAATTTTGCGCAGCATGGGTTCTAGCTGATCATCGCGAATACGGTAGAAGTCGACACTCTTCTCCGCGAGAAATCGCACGCGATCGCTCTCTACGGCCGCGAAGCAGACCAGAGATGCGTCAATAATGGTCGGCGCGTGGGTAATGATATACTTTTGACGCTGAAGCACGTCCGCTTCTGCTTCCCGAAACCGACTCTCCGCCTCGTACATGAGATCGCGCAATGGTGCCAATGTCTTCTCATCTGTTTTCGCTCGTTCTTTATCCTCGACGACCGCGCGGCGTGCATCGTAATCCTTAGCAAGCTTCTCCAGCCGGACGGAGCGCTCGCGGCATTCCCGTAAGCGACTCTGGAATTCTTTGATGTACTGCAGCAAGCGGGTCGATCCTTTCTCGCCCGCCCCAAGATGATGGTTACGCATCTCTTCCGAGATCGTTTTCGCTAGTGAGGCGATACGATCAGCGTGCTCTCTTCGCTCTGAATCACCCTGTTGGCTTTCCGTCTGCTGCAGTTCGTTCGCGTAAAGCACCGTGAGCTCACCGATACGCACCCAACTCGTCTGAAACTGGTCCAGGAAACGCACCAGTTTGCCAAGTTGGGTCTCGATTTTGTTCACTGTCTTTTTATTTTCCTCATATTCTTTCAAAGGAGTACGGTCGATTCGCGCAAAGTTGCGCTTCCAACAGAAACACGAGCACGCCATATGCGTAGCTGGTTGTTCGCCAGCGCAGCCCCAGCGATGCACGTATCAGTGGGGGCAATGCGTGCGCACAACCCCAATGCGTGTCTGCGTGCGCGCGCGGTGCTGTCCCAATGGGCGATGCGAGGCGTCGGCGCGCCGGCCGCCACGAGGCCACGAGGCATCCAGAATGGTATTTGCGAGAACATGGACAAATGGGATTGCAGCGTCCCGTTCGCCCTGCGTCGTCACGCCCGGTCGCCGTGCATGTGCTCGTCTCCGGACGGGTTGATGTGCGGCCTGCGCGCTCCGAGCGCGAGTTCGATGGGCGATTCAGGATGCCTTGGGTATTTTTGTTCTATCCAGTGCAGCATGCAATGGAAAAGGTCGCGTCATTCGGGTGTCCAAGGTAAAGTTTTCGTCTTTTTCGATCTTCATGAACACCAGGCTGTGCGGGATTTTTCTCCAACTGACTCTTTTTCCTCTTTCTCGTATCCGGCATGAAACACGCTGGTCACGGTTTCGCTCCAGCGCCGTTGTAGGCATGCAAACGATGTTGATGGCAGCGTGCAAGTCCCGATTTCGCCGATGCCGGCTCTCGTTCAAGCATTTCATTCGCACTCAACAATACCGCAAGCAACAGATCCTCTTTGTGTACCGTGTAGACGCGCAGCTCGCACCGGTGTCACTCGACTGTGGTCAGGTGTTCCTGGAGGTCCGTCGCAGCGCCTCATGCTTCGAGCGCTGCACACGCGCCGGACCGGTGCAGAGGCCTCGCTTCGATGCCGTCCTCCGGTTCCGCGCCCGGTGCCGTACCCTGCGATCATGGGCTTCTTCTGGGTAAGACCTTCGGCGAGGACTCTGTCTGATGCATGCGCACGAGCACGCTGATCCCGTCGATAACGTTTGCGTCGGACGCGATGTTGCTCATGATGAAACAAGCACTGAAATGGAAATCGACGCTCGAGGATACGTCGACGACTTTTGCGCTGTCTACGCCGCCTCCATGTTGGGCGCTGACGCATGCTCCTTTGTGAGCGATCGCTGCGATGACTCGATTCCGATCCCAAGGCTCTCGCCGATGCAACCAGAAGCGTCGAGCGTTTCTGTGGGCGCATCCCGTGACAACTGTGATGCTGCTGTCGGAGGCCTTTTCGATGAAGGCCACAAAGAAAGAGGCACTTGCGTATCGAACGGAATCGATGTGTTGAGGAGGCGAGCTCCGCGAACGCTCGGCAACAGCTCGTCATACAGTCGCTTACGGACGACGGCAGTTCTTTTGTGTCGTCGTCACCATCATCGTCGTCGTCGTCGTCGTCGTCGTCATACCAGCAGCGCAAATCGCAGTGTCCATGAGTTGCTTTGAGGGACGCGCACCGAATCGCTGCAGAAAGCGTGATTTGACCAGAGCAACCGTTAGGAAACGAAAAGAGTGAACGAGCGTGCGGATACATTGGATCCTGGTATCGATTGCTTTACGGTGCCCTGCTCGAAGGTGCCGTATGTTGTTTTCATGACGATGACGGAAGGAATTTCAGCACCAAGGATTCGGAAAAGCACACCCCGAGAAGACGCCCCAGAGTCTTAAACCTGCGTCTGTATCCGTGAGCCCGTATGGCTGCGCTGCGAATATCGAGGATTGTGATGTAGAAAAGTTCAATGAAAACATCAAGGCAGGAGCAGAGCGCGCACTTCAGTGTTCCCTACAACCCTTATACGAGTGCAGGGGTATCGGCTCGAGGCGGCAAGCGCATAGATCGCGCAAAGGTGCCGTCTGCACAATTGGAGGTTGCACAGCGGTGCTGGCGGCTAGAACAAATCGCAAGCAGGCACCAACTTCTAGGCAACCGGCGCTGAGCGCTAGCGCACGCCAAAAACCCTGCGGTACTGGCGGCACATGACGGGCTGCAGCGCCTGCATCAGCTGCGGACCCGCACCTATGATGCTGTGGTTGTACAGTGCGCCCGGAGTGCACCTCTCCCATACCGTTTACTGAACAGCACCTCCCATATGAAAATCATACACGCGAAGAACTATGGTACATGGATAGCGGAGAATAGGCGATGCAGGAGACCACGGCACGCTGGCGTCATCGAAAAGTAGAGAATGCTGCGTCGCGATGGGTAACGCTGAAACCCTTCTTCGCTGATGCACGACGCGAAGCACCCGCCCTGATTCACACGTCCAAAACATGAAGGTTACCGGTAACCACGCAGTTCTCGAGCCGAGACCCCGCCGGAATATCAATAGACGCTCCCGGCTGGGCGACAATGATGACCGTACCGCTCAGTTTGCAGCGTTTGCCGAAGCGCACACTGCCACTGACAGTTAATGACTCTAATTCTAAAATATCCGGCATACTCTCGAAACGGCTACTAAAGTCGCTCACTTTTTTGAATTCTGGACCCAACCGAATGACTGGCGTGCCGAGTTCAGCCGGACGCTCCGGATTCATACTAACATACCCCGAGACGATATTATAGAGATTACTTTGAATCAAGAGCAGATCGGATGTTGTCTTGACGGGCAGGAAACGGCTCCGTGGAACGTTAATACCCATGACGCGCTGGAAATGGGTAATGGCAGCACCCATAGCCGTCTCGAGCTGCAGCACGGTTTCGCCTTTCACAGTCTTCGTGTTGGGGATAATATCCAGCTCCATGGAGCCAGGTCCTCTGTCCATGATTCGCTTGAGCGCCTTGAGTTGGATCCACAAACTATTGGTATTGAATACTCGGAATTTGGATATGTTCTGGAAATCTCCCAAGTGCTCCTTATCGACCTGCGCGACTTCTAGCAACCTCGGCTTGCCTTGGTACGTGATCAGCGTGCCTCCTTTCCGATCGGAGCGAGTTCTCGTTGCCATTTCGATTGTAAATTCAACCTGATGATCCGCGATTGCTTTGAGAATCCGCGTATCCAAGGACGCTCCAAGGTTGTCACTGTTACTCACGAATATCCATTCCTTGCCCTCGGCGAGCAGCCGATCCAGCATGCCCGATTGCAGAAGCGCATCATACATGTCGCCGTGACCCGGCGGGTACCAGTCCTCCTTGTCGTACACTTCAGAGTCGAGGCACAGGGGTCGCAGTGTGTCGCGCACCAGACGCGGATACCTAGACTGCTGAAACGTACGAATCGGAATGAGATCCTCGTACTTTCGAATGACTTTCAGTGTATCCGCATCCGTGTTAAAACTATTCATTAGGAGAAGAGGCACCTTGATTTGATACCGCTTGTTGATGGACTCGATCTGCTTCACGATAATGTCCAAAAACGTCTGTCCCGAGCGGATTTCGATCACGGACTTGGGGCCCGAGCACCCCATCGAGGTGCCGAGGCCTCCGTTCAGCTTCAGTACAGCGACGCGGCTTAGAAGCGCTCGCGCCTCAGTTTCGTTCGGTTCGGGTAGTTCTGCGTAGGGTCGCAATAGCTCCGCCGATGGCGGCTGGATCTGGTCCCAATCCAGTGCCGCGGACGCACTGGAGCGCGTCTCCAGGTACCGACCCAACAGGTGCACAAAACCCTGTTGTTCTGCTTCGCTCATGCGTGCACGTACGTCAGTCGCCCTTTCATTGATTTGACGTATTTCCTCCAACAGTGCCTTCTCCAGAGACTTGTCTGTGAGGTGAGCGAAGTTCGCAAAAGAGGCATCGTGGCTGGTTCGCACCAAAGGCATCGTGTTCGGGTAAGAGTGTGGACACCGCTCCAGAGCTCTTCACTCGTTTCAAGCACGCACGACGCTCAAGTAAGTAGACTTGTCTTGACCTTGCTTCAAATTAGAGCAGTAAGTCACCAGTAACGAGCTTGCTGGTGCCGTTCACAGTGATACCACCTACTTGAACAACGAAGAACACGTGTGAAGTCTCCGTCGTCGCCTGCTATTTACCCGGCGCGTGGCGCATTGCGCGCATTATTGCCACACGAGCGCCTTTGGATCGCCGCGCATTCGCTGGCTGCCTGCCTGCCTGCGTCGCAGCGAATGCCGACACGTATACGCGCCGTACGCAGGCACGCACGTAGACCACACATCGCGCGGCGCCCGAGCGGATCGCCCGCCAGCTGGAGCGCGCGTTGATCCGCTGAATGCTGGAGCGCGCGCTAAGCGTACCCCGAGCACACCAGTGAACGAGACGTCCATTTCATGTCCGGAACGAGAACGTCACGTCGTTCTGTCTGCGCTGTGCAGGGCACTGATCGTCGCGGCGAACGGCTGGGATACAAACGAGACATCCACAGTCGTTGAGCGGATGGAATCTCGGACGCCCGGCTTGCAGACTGATCAGGCGCACGCGGAACGGCAGATTCACTGTGAATGTGCTGTAGGCTTTTGTTTGATTCGCGGGAACATGCATGCATGCATCCAGGGCATCTCCCTTGGAACACGGACGCTAGACCAAGAACAATCGTAGGCGGGTGCATGCGTGCGCAGTGGCAGCACGCATGGTGCATTGCATGCGTGCATGCATTTCCCGCGCAAACGCCTGGAGCCGGGGCATGCCAGCGCTGCGCTCATAGACGCGTTCCGTACAAAGCAGCGCGCTTCAGGGCACTGCACGCTCTCCGGGGTGCTCGTTGGGGTCATTCCGTCGCGGTATCCTGCTCTTCCCAGCGAGTAGCTGCCCAAAGTCGAATGCCTGCGTGACGTCTACGTGAGTTTTCAGCGGCAGCGCGTCAGGTGACCTCGGAGCGCGCTGCCTCGAGGGTGCAACGGACAACTTGGCAAGAGGCGCCACTCGCGTCCGGTGCTCGCATCAACAGCTGGGTTGAAGCTTGAGCGGAGGCGTTTTTATAGCCGCGTAGACAAGAATCAGTGACAACAACACGTCGTTTAGGATGATGCGCGGCTGGCGTGTGTGCAGCCTAAAGGCGGGGCGTGCACGTTGCACGGGTGCCGGCACCCTCGTGGACGCTTCGATTGCACTCGGACGCGCTTGCTGGTAGCGGTAAGCGCGGACCGCTCCACGCCGACTTGCACGTTAGCTGGGTACGTGCGCAGCGCTACGGGTCAAAGCCCAGGGCCTTGCGATATGCAGCCTCCTCGCGCCAGGTGAGGCGATCACGGACCCAGTCGCCGCTGGAAGTGCGACGTCGATATCTCGGACGATTTGTCCCGCCGCCGAAGATATCGACCAGGTCGCAGGTATGGACGCGGGGAAATATGGTGTCTGGATCGACACGCGTTTGCTCGATTAATGCTCCATAGAGACGATGGCTCCGCGCCCATTCCGGTATGAGGTGCCGCTTAGCAGCGGGCACCGCAGCGCTCTCATCATCCGAGGCATCCGCCGAGTGGTGTCGCTCCGGAGTCAGCGGGTACTCCGCGGGAGCCTCGTCCGCGGCGGCAGCAGCAGCAGCAGCAGCAGCGGCAGCAGCTATCTGGGACGCTGGCTTTGTCCCATGCGACTTGAGCAGACCACTCGCTACGACCTGTTGTTGACGGAGCGGCGCAAGACGTGCCTGCTGGCGCTCGGTCTCCAGTGCGAGCCTTCTTTGATGCTCCAAAATGCGGCGTCGTTTCTCCTCGCGCCGTTGGCGGTATGCGTCCTGGACATCGAGGGGCGCCTCTGCATCCACGGGAGCTTGCCTTGGAGATGGATTCCCGTTGAGATCGACCAGGGGCTTCACTGCTGTGCGCGAAGGCGTCGCTGAGACAGGCGTAAGCGACGTCGTGTCCACTGCTGTGGGTTGTTTCAGCGAAGCTGGGACGCAGTTCGGCGAGGCGCGCTGATCCATCCGACTCTTGAGCGTCTCGGGGCTGGGCGAAGCCCCGCGCACGCGCTTGCTCGATTGAGGCATTGTGGCTATGACGATCCGGTAACGAGACGGGCTGCTCCTTGCGTGCCCCAGCGTTGCCCATGCTTTGTTTGGTGACGGTTTCAGCACCGAATTTGTGCCGGTGGCTTGCAGCTCAGTGGCGTTCTGCAGCGGTTCTACTTGCATGCGCGCTGGTGAATGCGTCTGACGAGTGGAAACCGCTCCAGCGGAAATTGTAGCGGATGCGGTGGCGACGGCAGCGTTCCCCGGCAGACCATAGCCGCTGACATCCTGCTCCAGCGGAGGCGATGGCGCAGCTCTCGACGTGGAGCGCCCGGTGCGATGGCGATCCTCGCACATTTCGTGCTGGACCGTCGAGCTTCGGTCGCCGGCAGCTCCCACAGCTTCGATCCGACTGGGACTGGGGCACACCGGGAGCGCTCCAGCACGCATCGCGCGCAACCGCTCGATGCGCGTGCGCAGGGCCTCGGTTCTCGAGAGCCTGCTAGAAACACCGCCAGGAGCACCGCCAGGTCCCGGCTGGCGCTCACCACCAGGCGCAGCTGCAGCGTAGAGGGTATGGTGCGGCATGGGCGTTCCACTGGCGTGCGCTGGTGGCATGATCGTTTCGTCTACCGCTGCGGGAGCGCGCTTCGGGTCTGCAAGTCGCAGTGCGTGAGCGTCGTAGCCGTCGTATGCGACGCTGGTTGACGCTGCCGGCGCCCTACGAACGGAAAGCAGCATCTCCGTCGCAGTTTGCGAGCGCTCGAGCGCATGGAACGACCCGTCTATCGCGTTCGTGGCGTCAGATGGACTGCGCGATCGTGAGCGTCTCGCTTGCTGGTCACTTGCACCAGCTGCACTCAATGGCGAGCGAGGACGGCTGGGCCTCGCTAGTTTGGCGTTGGCAGTCGTCGCCTGGCCGGAATCCGGTACCAGCGACGCTGCCGCTGCCGCTGCCGCTGCTGATGGCGCTAGTTCGACCGGCGCCGCGCAGCTCGGCATCGCTACCGAACTGGAGTCGCTCGCCACAGCGGGTTGCTGTGCCGCGTCCGCCGCGCAGTCCGGGTTCCCGACTCGCCCATTCGCTGCATCCTGGCCACATGACCCAGCTCGGATCGCATCCGCGTTTTCCGCAAGTGCGCCGTTGTCGTCGCTCGGTACTGTGGCCAATTTTGGGTCGCATTCGAGCGTCTGTTCCAGTTGGAAAATCTGGCCTTCAATGTCGGTCGCATTCACGAACGAGCCGGGGCCGGATGCGGTTGGCGAAGCGCAGCGCGCGCGATAAACCTGTTCTGGGCTCGCAACCGAGTCGATTGGCGCCATCGCGAACGCGGCAACTGGCCGATGCGCTGGCGCAGGTGACGCGGACCCACGGCCCGGGTGCATTGTATGCCGCCCGGGGCTCAGTGAAGCCGAACGCTCGCGTGTACCCTTCATCTGCGCTTGAGATGCCGTCACGCCCTCCATTGTGTAGGCGCTGTTCTCGGGCAGAGCGCTGGACGTGCCCAGCTGGCGCATCGCCGCCGACGCTTGCGCATCAACAGCCGAAGCTTCCGTGGTAGCATTGCCACTGGCACTCAGGGCATGCTGCGCTCGCGCGAAGGTTGGCAGCGGCAATGGCGTTATCGGCGCGACAGCTCCTCGATGCACAGACGATCGGCGTCGTGCCCGAACCGTCTCTGTGGCATTCTCCGTGGAAAACGATTCAGCATGGTCGCTCGGGTGGCATTCGGCGGCGAAGTCGCTGCAGGTGACGCTGCCGGCACGCTGGGCGCCATTCGTCAAGGCCATCATTGTGCGGATCGCCTCTGGCGCCGCAACCTTTTGGGGTTCGTTGTATTCGAGCTGTGCGCTGTTCCGCTCTGGATCCACTAACGACCGCCGCATTGGCGGTGATTGCGAAAGCATTGCGGAGCTACGTCGATTCGGTGCTGTTCGATGCACCGGAGACGATAGATGCGATGCCGGGGTACGCAGTGAGCGCTCCTTGGTCTGGGAGCACGCTGCCGGTGTTCGGGGCAGGGCCTCATCGCCCGCTTCGGCAGCGTTCATCCGCGGCGAATGCCCTGAAGCGTTATCAAAAGCTGGGCGCGTTGCGAGAGACCCTGGAGTATGCCACTCGTTGCCAGCAGGGGCCTGTAGCGAAGCCTGAACACCCCTGATGGTCTCTGTGGCAACGTCTTGGCCGGGATTTGTCACAGTGCAATGTGTGCGACTGTTCGCATCGATAGTGACTGATGCGCGCGACATCATCTGGCTCGGCGACATGGTGCCTGACCCTGAGCGATGCTTACGAATCGAGTCAGATGGCACATTAGCCGCAAAGCGCGTCTCCTGCAAAGACGCTGCACGGCGTCTGCTGGACATCGATGGCGATACACCGGTTTTTGGTGTCGGCGCTGGCGACGCCCTTATCGACATTCGTTGCCATCGCGCTCTATCTGCGATATTCTCGGTGACGTTTTGGAGGCTGGACCGCGGAGCTGCACCACCCCCAGACGCTGCTCTGGATTCGGCTGGGATTTCGCAACTGCTCGCCACGGTCCCGGTGACTTGCTCGAGCGATGACCTCACTCCTGGACACCGTTCACCCACATCTGGTGCCATTCCATCGACGTCGTTCTCGGATGGGGCGTGTTGCGGACTAAAGCGCAGCGCGGCAGGCAACTGACCCTGAATGCACCAAGAGAGAGGGTTCAGTGGTGAATCAGCAGCGCTGGGCGATGGCGACTGCGCTGCTGCAGGCTGTTCAGCGGCAGGTGCGGGCATCGATTCGCAGCGAAACGCAGATGACGGATCAGTAGCCAGAGGTATGCTCGCGGCCTCCGTGCGCATAGCTGTGTCCTCGTCCGCGATGCCATTATCATGCGGTTGTCGCGGTGATGGCGGCGAGACGTCCCCGAGCACCAACGAGCGCGTCGGAAGATGCTTGGGGCAGGGACTGCATGCCTCGACTGCTGCCCCGCTGGATGGAATATCGCCGCGCGGCGGCGTCCATTGCCTGTGATGCATATCGCTTGGCGGCGTTTCCGACACTGCTGCAGCTTTTTGCGATACGAACGATGATCCGTGAACAGCTAGCCTGGCGCTTTCGACCCGAGGCGTCGTTGGCGTCGTACTGGGCCCAGGCAGGCGCAGCGCATCGGCCGCTGCGGCTCCAGAGGGATCCACAGATGTCGATTCCGCGGGCGCGAAATTTTCGCCTTGCGGGTCGCTCAGGGCCGCGGGCGAAGCTGCCAATGCTGCAGCTGGACAAGCACTGGATGTCCCTGAGCCATGTACGGGGTCTGAAGCGGCCTCCGCAGGGTCCTGCTTCACCAAAGCCGCCGCCGCCGCCGCCGCCGCCAAATCGATACGGGCTTGGCTCGTCGACGGTCGACGTTCTGGATGCGACTCTGAATGTGCAGCAGATGTCGAGGCCGGGTGATGCACATCGTACCGCGGCGAAGGCAGCGCTTTGCTGGCACTCCCTGCAGCCGATGCCGAATCGTCGGCTTGCGCGGACGTCCAGTTTGAATGAATCTCTCCAGCAGTGGACGGCTCTATGGGCACCGGCTCCTGCTCGGTTGCTGCTTGCTTCTGATGTATTCCAGCTGACGCATGGGGCGCATCCGCCGCTCCGTTTCGTGTTCGAATGATGCACGGGCTCGTGAACGAAACGTTGTGCGCATCGCGAATTTGCACTCGAGTCTGAAGCCCTGGCAGGGCTCCATTGAGACTTTCCGATATTGCCACCGGAAGCGAGGGACGCGATCGATTGCATAGGCGGGCGCTTTTTTCAGGCAGCGAAGCGCTTCGCCTGTTATTCGCGCCTCGGCCCTGATCCGGTGATATGGTGTCTGGAGCCCTCGATGTTGCGCGCCGAGCACCATGCATCGACTGCTGCCGCTCCGCTCGTTTCGACGACGCTGTTCTTGGCGATGCCATGCCTCTGGATACCGGCGGTAGGGACGTGTTCTGCAGAGCGTCTTGGGGACGGCGCCGACGCCGTCGTGTTCGGGTCGGCATTCGCTCGGGACTAGCGGGCGCTAGGCGCTTGATTACCGACGACTCCCGCGCTGCTTTGTCCGCACCAGAGCGTGACCTGGACGGCGGCGCCTGCCGTTGACGGCGTCTCGGCATTGGCGCTCGCGGTGCTCGTCGCGTTTGCTCTGGAGTGCTCTGGCCCAGCGATATGTTCGTCATGGGCGTCATTCTGCTCGTGTTGGGTTGGTCGACAGCTGCGCTCAGGTTAGGAGCGCTTGGCGCGCACTTTTCGCAGAACCAATCCTTCTGGGGCACCTGGTCCAGCGGCGGCCTACAGCAGTACGTGTGGAAACAGTCATCGCATCGATCACATAGAAGCATCAGATGGGGGTCCTCCATGCCCTTGCATCGTCGGCAGTACGTCTCGTCCTTGTGCGGGGTTCGATTCTCCGCCTTGGCCCGTGAGAACGGCGACAGTAGCTCTAGGGCCAATGCCCGCGCACGATCTGCAGTGCTTTGCTGATGCCGTCGAGCAGTCGCACGGGGTGCTCGTGTGGCGAGGTCGTTCGCGTGCGTCTCAGACGATGGCGCTACTCGAGCCAGACCAGAATCTCGCCGTTTTTTCGGTCGCAACGGTACAGCGGATGCACCTGAGTCTGCCTCTGCTCCATCAGCGGCACATGTGGAAGAGGGTCGTGAGAAGCGCGCGCTTCCAACGCGCTGCACGGGCGACGCGCGGGCACCATGTAAGGCCGGTGCTGCTGCATTTAGCACCGCATCGCGCTTAGGTGAAACGGGTTGCGCTTCCTGCTCAGATGCGTGCTGTGGCGGAGCACGCTTTCGTTGCACGCGTGACCTTTTGGTGGCTTGCGAGGTGCGACCGGCTGTCTCTCTCGTTGATCGCCCGCAGGCGATACTGAGCGCATCCGTTTCCGCTGGTGCTGCCCTTTCGGCTGCCTGTATCGAGGGTGACCGGTGAGAGCGGCGGTCTTGGCGCTGTGCGCGCTCTCTTATGCCTCGTCGCTGGTTCGTTTGACGCTGCCCTGCGTTGGAGGCAGGCGATCCAAGCGGCGACTCTGGCGGTGCAGGTGTGCGCTGCTGTTCTCGGGTGCCAGCGTAACGCTCCGATGGAATGTTGGGGCGCTCGTCTTGCATGAGCTGTTGATCATTGTTCTCGTCGTGGAACGCGAACTGATCGGATTCTGCTGCAGCGGCACGTTCCAACGATGACGACGACGGCAGTGGCGACTGGGCGCCAGACCTGATCGGGTCTGGCTCTTTTCGTGGCGCGTTCAGTACGACCGGTATCTGGGAATTTTGTCTAGAGTCATTGGTTTTGCGCTCGTGTAGTGCAGTGAGACGACGGCGTCGGCGCGCGCGAGCGTCCAGCATCATGCTCTTTCGCGATGCCGCGGGCGGCCGCACAAGGCCTACGAGCGAATGCCGCGGGTCCCAGGTCTTCCATCCCTGGCCGGGTGGCCTCGTGCCCGGTGCGACTGACTCGCACATGCTTGAGATGCTGTGGCTTTCAGCACGACGGAAGAGCGAGCCGTGTGAGCTGGTGTCTCGACAATCGTCGGACGGAGCAGCAATTGAGGGTGTTTCGCGACTTGGACCTCGACAGCCATCGGATGATTCACTTGCTGGCAAATGATATGACGCCGCTACCTTGAAGCGTTGCGGTTCTGCTGGCGATGCAGCGGCACTGGCGACGTTGTTCGTGTCGGGCATTGTGGTGTTCCCCAGCGAGTCAATGGCGTGATCAAGCGCGCTTCTTGCCGCCGCCGCCGCCGCCTCGTGACTGCTAGTCGGAATCTCTGGCAACCTTGTCGCACACGCGCGAATCGTCCGTTGGAACCGAACGATTTGTGCTTCATATTCGCCCAGTAGAACAGCCTGCTGTTGCTCTGCAATGTAGTGGAGCGCATGAATGGCGTCCAAAACTGTCCGCTTTCGAAAAGCGTCGCGCGTAGACATTGGCGCTCACAACTCGAAAGCCCACTAGCGTCCTCTTGTACCGCGTAAAAGGTATGTTTCTCCTGGTCGAAAGCCGGTTGCTTGGACAAGTTCGAAGCACGTCACTCCGAGGCGGCGCCACGGTACTGCTGCCAAGTCCCGATAGCACAGCGAGGTCGAGCGGTGCTGAAACGACACGCAGCGGCGACGTGCAAACGCGCGGCCTTACACAACTGTCTTGTTCGCTCCCGTGCCCTGATGACTCGGCACACAAAGCTGCCTCTGATGTCTGCTGCCCGTTCACGTTACGCTCGTGCTCGGCGAGCAGCGCGATCCCAGGTCGCAGCGTCGAACAGTCCCGGAGCGCAGCGATACGCCCACACGTGGCGTTGGAAGCGCCGGCTCTCCTGGAGTTTAGCAGGCGGTAAAACAGGGCGATAACGCCCCGGATCAAAGAAGGGCTCTGTCTGGTGCAGATAAACTCGACAGGCCCGTTCAGTGGGGGGAGAAGAGCTCGACGCACGCGCTCGATGCCGTCCGAGCGCGGAACGTGGCTCGCCTTCTCGGTGCAGGGACACACTGGGTGCCGCAGCCGGCAGCGCGAGGCGGCCGTCTCCCACGATGATGCGATCGCGTCGGGAATTCAAATCGACGGATGCGAGGTTCAGGAGAGGGTCTGGTTTATTCATTTATGTTCGCTTATGTCTAGTATGCTCCCAGTGATGCGAGGCAGCCGTGGTGGTACGCGTTCAGCGTGGCTGCGTGATCCACGGAGCGCGGGCCGATATTTCTGATGACGAAACGATAACCATTGACCATGGATCCCAGAATTCGGGATGGATGGATGTATAATGGCTCTTGAAAAAGTGTCCATGATGAACCACCTACCTTCAAGTTCCAATAGCTATACTTCCTCTCGGATTTACTGGTCGTTTCGTATGTTCTATCGAGCGCCGAGTGCCTGCTGTGGGCACCCGCCGAAGCGCTTCCACCGCTGCAGCAGATGCTGCACGGCGACAGAACAGCTTTGCCATACCACTGAGAGCGTCGGCTCGAGACGTGGTTCATTCGATACGGGGCCGGAGTACATAGTAATTCTGGGAGCCTGCGACAGCGCGAACCGATCTACCAGGAGTCCACTGCGACCAGTGCGATGCCCAGATGCAGCTTTCCTGCGTCTAGTCCCAGAATGAACTGCTTTGCGAACGAGCTGCGCGGGTCTCTCCACAGCACCTGCCACTGGAGGGAGCATGAAGCACTCGTCTTGCAGACTCGTCCGGCTCGCGGACCTTCCGCTTAGGAGATTCACGTTCGGCAATGTAGAAAGCTTTCCATTCTTATAACGTTTATCGTAGCGCGACCCGATGTCGTTGGTGGTACTGGCGCTGCCAAGCCCCGGAGTCCCGACTGCTGCCCCGGTATTTTCGGGACGACGGGGATCGATATTCAAGGAGCATCTGCAGTGTGATCATGATTTTGAACAGCGAGCCTGGCAAGGCCGCTTTCGAAGTGCCCCCAGCCGCTGCACCGTGGCACGGCTCGCGAATCGGCCGCTCCAGACGTTGCCTCTGGAGGTTGCGTTGAATAAAAAACCGCAGTTCCTGTCCAATATCCTGAGAAAATCAGGATTATCACGAATCGCATGTATGGTTGCGTACAGAGGCGCTTGACGCAGTGTTCGGCGACTGCTCCTGCGTCGTCGTGGACCTAAGAAGCGACGTTCGCAGCGCCTACCGCCGCGACTAGTATGGATACGCATCCGGCAGAGCGATGAATCCCTCGTATACGGGTAATCGCCAGCCAGCGGCCGGGATCCAATCATTACGATGCTTTTGCAGTCGACTCCTGTGGGCGCTCCCAGGGTTCGCATGCACTGTGTATCGTGCACATGCCCCGGTGCTGATGAGCGCTGGAGATGCCAGCAACTGGCAGCGTCCATGCATGCAAGGCATTCTGATCAGATTCAAGTATTTTTGGAAGATGTGCGGTTGCGGAATCGAACGGGGGATCTGCAGGTGCGCGATCTTTATCGGCATCGAGGGAGGCATCTATCATGCAGCAGTAGCGCAGAGTTTCATGGATCACCACCTAGGCTTCCACTCGAAAAACATAGTCCATTCATACAAGCTTGTAGGTGCCGAGCCGACGATGAGTGCGTATAAAGACGCCAGTAGCACCGTTCAGGACACTGCACGGAAGCGGAAGGGTTTTGGCGTTCCCGCGCTGGTGCGTCATCTCAAAGAGATGCGCGGATCCTATGTTGTAAACGTGACTGTGCAAGTATCGCAGCAGTTTAGGCCAGCAAACGGAACGACACGCGCGACTTTCGAGCATTTACACCCATACCAGATAAGAATGGTATGGGTAGATTCAATTCACAAGGGCATCTACGCTAGAGTCCGGTCTCCAAGCATTGTCATGAACACCAGGCTGTGCGGGATTTTTCTCCAACTGACTCTTTTTCCTCTTTCTCGTATCCGGCATGAAACACGCTGGTCACGGTTTCGCTCCAGCGCCGTTGTAGGCATGCAAACGATGTTGATGGCAGCGTGCAAGTCCCGATTTCGCCGATGCCGGCTCTCGTTCAAGCATTTCATTCGCACTCAACAATACCGCAAGCAACAGATCCTCTTTGTGTACCGTGTAGACGCGCAGCTCGCACCGGTGTCACTCGACTGTGGTCAGGTGTTCCTGGAGGTCCGTCGCAGCGCCTCATGCTTCGAGCGCTGCACACGCGCCGGACCAGTGCAGAGGCCTCGCTTCGATGCCGTCCTCCGGTTCCGCGCCCGGTGCCGTACCCTGCGATCATGGGCTTCTTCTGGGTAAGACCTTCGGCGAGGACTCTGTCTGATGCATGCGCACGGGCACGCTGATCCCGTCGATAACGTTTGCGTCGGACGCGATGTTGCTCATGATGAAACAAGCACTGAAATGGAAATCGACGCTCGAGGATACGTCGACGACTTTTGCGCTGTCTACGCCGCCTCCATGTTGGGCGCTGACGCATGCTCCTTTGTGAGCGATCGCTGCGATGACTCGATTCCGATCCCAAGGCTCTCGCCGATGCAACCAGAAGCGTCGAGCGTTTCTGTGGGCGCATCCCGTGACAACTGTGATGCTGCTGTCGGAGGCCTTTTCGATGAAGGCCACAAAGAAAGAGGCACTTGCGTATCGAACGGAATCGATGTGTTGAGGAGGCGAGCTCCGCGAACGCTCGGCAACAGCTCGTCATACAGTCGCTTACGGACGACGGCAGTTCTTTTGTGTCGTCGTCACCATCATCGTCGTCGTCGTCGTCGTCGTCATACCAGCAGCGCAAATCGCAGTGTCCATGAGTTGCTTTGAGGTACGCGCACCGCATTGCTGCAGAAAGCGTGATTTGACCAGAGCAACCGTTAGGAAACGAAAAGAGTGAACGCGTGTGCGAATACATTGGATCCTGGTATCGATTGCTTTACGGTGCCCTGCTCGAAGGTGCCGTATGTTGTTTTCATGACGATGACGGAAGGAATTTCAGCACCAAGGATTCGGAAAAGCACACCCCGAGAAGACGCCCCAGAGTCTTAAACCTGCGTCTGTATCCGTGAGCCCGTATGGCTGCGCTGCGAATATCGAGGATTGTGATGTAAAAAAGTTCGATGAAAACATCAAGGCAGGAGCAGAGCGCGCACTTCAGTGTTCCCTACAACCCTTATACGAGTGCAGGCCTGCGTTACAAAGCACCCTTGCATCACGCAACGGAAAGGATATGGAGTATCCACTAGTTAAAGGCTCTTTTAGCGATCTTGAGAAGAATGTTTTCACTGATGTAAAAGCTCGGTTACGGTAAGGCATTTTCTATCAATTTGACGAGCTATTGGAATATCTGCAGCTGAAAAGGGAAACACGCTGAAATCCGGCATGCAAGACCGCGTTTCCAAAATCGTTAGCTATGATACAGGATGAGAAATCCTCACAATCAATGATGACAACTACCCTCTGCACTCATCGACATACCAAGGGACTGTCACGAATTGAGTGAGCCTATGGGAGTCGCGGACAGGCCTGCTCGGCCTGGTCCGGGTCATATTCACGTGCTTTCAGAAATATGTTACGAGCTGGTGCCAACACGTATCCAGGCAAAGCTCCAAGCGCATGAGCAATATCTCACGAAAGCGCGGGGCACCTGGATGTCGGTAAGGTCGCGCCCTGCACGCCCCGGTCATGCACTGACGATTTTGCCGTTCACGGGCGTTCTCGCATGCAGACCAAGTCAACAAAACAGGAGCACTTAGCTATGATCAGTCGGTACGATGCCCTCTACCGATACAGGTTTTCCGTCGCAGGTGGCGGCTTCGGCGGTCCGCTCTCGCTCACAGGACGCAAGCTCGCTCTTGCGTACGAAACGGCCCTTGTAACGCGGTCGAGCCTCTGCTAGCTCTTTGCGGCAAACGTAGCGAACAGTTTTCCAACATTTCCGTTGCCGTTTCTTCTCACGATACCGGATGTACGCTCGGTAACGATGTTCTCGAGCAGTCCATGGGCCGCCCACACGACTACTGCTGTCCACTCTGGGTACCAAGGACCGAGCCTGCTCGCTGCCGTCCGCAACGTCTCCGCTGCCGTGACATGGTCGACCGTTCTCAGCCGAAAAACATGAGATCGATGCAGCCGTGTAACTTCGACGTGACTCGCCGTCCGAGGCACCTGAATCTAAAGGCGCCGAACTGAACGAACGGTCCCCTTCAACGACGCCGGCTACAGCGGAGCTCACGAGCTCGTCAAGCAACGGCGAAGTTGGCGCTAGCCAAGGCACTTGCTCGAGACTGAGCGGCGAGAAGCCCCTGCGGTCCATTCCACTTCCTTCAGGTTGCGCGTCGTCGGCACGTACCTGCGAGCGCGGAGATCCCTCGACGCTGACGAGGCTCGCGTAGCTACCGGCTGTCGGACGCGCAGCTGCGCGTTCCAGTGCATGACTCTGAGAAGTTAGTCCTTGTGAGGGTTTCTGGTTGGCTCCGGGTCCACTGGACTCATGCAACACAGGCCCAGCGGTGCCCTGGTTGTCTCCGGGCAAAAAAAGCGACTCCAGGTCCGCCCAGTCAAAGTTTCCGGTGTCAACACGTGGTGTGAGGAAGTCGTCGAACCCCGTAGGCGTTATCCACATGTTACCCCAGTGATCGTGCTTGCGTTCGGTACCAGGAAGCAGCACTTGCGTTCTCCCGTAGTGAGCAGGGCGTTGCACAGTGTACCAGCGCCTGCCGCTACGTCAGAGGCCTCCAGACGCGTTGACCCCTGGGCCGCGTGCTGCTGCGCAGCAGGTTGCGCAGGGGCGTGTGTCGCGATGTCACGGAAGCGATCCGAGGAGTCACATTCGCGTTGAATCTGGCTGTTGAGCGACGTTGTACATAAGGGACACAGCGTCGTCCGCACGCAAGCAGGCGTATCGAGCGCAGCGGAATTAATTTTACGCCCCGATGGGCGTTCAGTGCCAGCTCTTTGAAGAACACGGTATGAAACTGAACTTTTTTGTCCTGATCCTGGTGACAGTCCTCTGGTACACGATTCATCTGAAAAACGGTATCATCATGCACATTCTTGGTCGTGATCCTGGGCGCAGTCGCCCGGTCTACGATCCTATTTGATACAGTGCTGCCAGCAGCGGTCTTTGGTCTGCCATCCGACTCGTCGAAACGCACGCCGGGCCGACGTATCAAGATCGTCCGGTGATATCGCTGCTGGTGCAGTCATGGTGCATGCATCCGCGCGTACTGGTCGGCATAGGAGGTTCGGTCGCTGCGTCTCTGACGTTTACGGACGAATATAGGTCAAGTGGTGATTCGAAGAATCTTCTGGCGGAAAACACGTGCCTTCAACGGGACGTCTCTCGATGTGGGTTACCTTTGTGCGAAGCTATTCGTATGGATGCTGTTCTTCGCCAATCCTTGTGCAAGGAATCTGCGCTTATCGTGCAACGATGCAAGGACGGTTCGCGACCTGTATGTGCGGATTTCGTCCACAGACGCTTGCACGCTGAACCACATCAATGGAAACTGCGGTTGCGACAAATGTGCACCAACTGAGCCGCGTGGTGCTCATGGTCAGGCCCCTGGAACCCTGGACGATCAAGATGATCCTATTTGGTGACAGGTTGATATCCAGCGCATCTCTTTGCGCGAGAATGACTTGGTGGCACTTGCATGAGGCACGCTAAACGTAATCGTTCGCGGGAATCCAGTCAGTTGGACGTGCTGAATTTCGAAGCAGGACACTATGCAAAACGAAGCAAGTTCAGGTGTTCGGTTGTAGATCAGGACGACACACGAAACATGGGTGCTGCATCGCACACGTATCTACTCTGTGGCAGCCTTGGACAAGAGTCGCCATTGGTTTAGCGTGATTGCTAGAGAGCGCTTGGATTACCAGGATGCCGTAGCCGGCATTCGTTGCTCCATCGAAGGTACACGGCTGGATTTCGCCAAGGCATTTTGCGGAGGCTGCGCTCCCGGCTCTTGACCCGCGAGCAGCGAAATGAAACAGCGAAACCGGTGATAATGGCCTGTTTGAGACCTGTGTAACAGACGCTGCTGGGAGCAACGCGGCAAGGCGGCCTCCTGCAAAATTCAAGCACCGATTCTGGTTGTGCGTCGAAGAGCTGACGAAGAAGTTTCTATGTATTCTTTGCGCACATGAAGCATACGGCATCCACAGGGAAGGAGACCAAGGCTCAGATACACGAAAAGCATCGCATAGTGTACCCATAATGCATACCGTTTAGAAAATAGAGGAGATCAAGGCTCAGGTGCACGAAAAGCATCGCATAGTGTACCCATAAAGCATACCGTATAGAAAATAGAGGAGATCAAGGCTCAGGTGCACGAAAAGCATTGCATAGTGTACCCATAAAGCATACCGTATAGAAAATAGAGGAGACCAAGGCTCAGGTGCACGAAAAGCATTGCATAGTGTACCCATAAAGCATACCGTATAGAAAATAGAGGAGATCAAGGCTCAGGTGCACGAAAAGCATTGCATAGTGTACTCATAAAGCATACCGTTTAGAAAATAGAGGAGATCAAGGCTCAGGTGCACGAAAAGCATCGCATAGTGTACCCATAAAGCATACCGTATAGAAAATAGAGGAGACCAAGGCTCAGGTGCACGAAAAGCATCGCATAGTGTACCCATAAAGCATACCGTATAGAAAATAGAGGAGATCAAGGCTCAGGTGCACGAAAAGCATCGCATAGTGTACCCATAAAGCATACCGTATAGAAAATAGAGGAGATCAAGGCTCAGGTGCACGAAAAGCATCGCATAGTGTACCCATAAAGCATACCGTTTAGAAAATAGAGCATAGAGGCGATCGCGCTGCCTCCCGAATGGCAGCGTTACGCCCGGCGATGAGCCTCATGTTCTTATGAGTGCTGATCCAGGATTGCCGAGGAACCTCCTCCTGAGCCAACACCGGCGTTTGCACTACTTGCCCTTGTACGTCTGAAAACGGATGGGCTGCTGAATTGCACATGAAGGTAGCATTTCTCAAAATCTGTAGGATAGCTAGGACGTTTGTGGCTGTTTTGTGGGCAACACTGCCTCGAACGCCTGCATGACTGCAAGCTTACTCTCTCCGGGTATACGCAGGCTTGCGTACTTCGTTTCCGTCGGAGCGCCCTTGATTACTGGTTACTTGTGGGCAGACTCTCGGAAAAAGGCCTACGGCGAGGCGAGCGTGACAAGTCATCGGTTGGAACCGTCGTACGATACCTCTGTGTTCGGAGCGTATCGCAGGTTCGCGCGCTCTGCGATAACGGCGGCAGCGATCGTTGCCGACTATAAGCTCACGCTGGCGCGACTGCCCCCGGAAAATGAACATGACGAATTTGCTGTAACGTTGCGCGGGGAGAAACTGGAGGCGACGCATCGGCGTGCCGCTGCAAAGATTCTCGAGCTCTGCGAGCGCAACGGTGGCATCTACATCAAGCTGGGCCAACATCTCGCGCAGATGGATTACCTGCTTCCTGACGCTTATTGTGAGGCGCTCAGGCCACTGCTGAACGCCTGTCCGATACAGGAGTTTGCCGTGGTTGAACGGACACTATGCGAGGACCTGCAGGTGGAGCGCCTGTCGGAGGTGTTCTCGTTCATTGAACCTACACCCGTTGCTTCAGCGAGTCTTGCGCAGGTGCATCGCGCTCGCTTGCGCACCGATTACAGGGAGCAGACGCAGCGGATGCTCTCTCCAAGAGAGCGAGCCTGGCTCGAGGAGCAGGAGCGCCTCGCACCCGAGGGGCCACTCGTCGCCGTCAAGGTGCAACATCGCGGTCTAGCGGAAGCGCTCCAGGGCGATATCGCTACGGTGCAGTTTCTCGTAAGCGCAGCCGAGCGCCTTTTCCCGGGCAACTTTGACATGCAGTGGCTGGTAAATGAGATTCGAGAGAATCTTCCAAAGGAGCTAGACTTTGAACACGAGCTTCAAAATGGGGAGCGCTGCCGCACATATCTCGCGAGCGGCTGTGGAGCCAAGGGCCAGCGTTGCGCTCGACCACGCCTGAACGTCCTTGTGCCAACGTTTTTGACGAGTTTGTCGACGCATCGAGTACTGACCATGTCGTACGAGACGGGAGTCGTAGCCAACGATGTTGCGGGGATTCGGCATCTCGGCCTGCGACCGCGCGACGTCGCATCCATAATCGATGACGTGTTCACAGACCAGATTTTTTGCTTCGGTTTCGTTCATAGCGATCCGCACCCGGGAAACATTCTAGTGCGACCGAGCCAGGAAGACGCTTCAAAACCGCTGGTGGTTCTGCTGGATCACGGCTTGTATCGCGAGCTGGACGATGCTTTCCGCTTAGCATACGCTGCGCTGTGGCAAGGCATCGTTGAGGGCGATGGCGCCAGCATTCGTCGGGAAGCCCTAAGGATGGGGGTGCCCCCAGAGGACGTCGAGCTGTTTACAGCCATGTTAACTATGCGTTCATGGCAAGATGTGGTGGACCAGACCGAACAACGAGGCGATCGCGGGCTACGTCTCTCCAATGAGCGGACGTCTGCGAACAAGCGGCGCGTGCAGGACTATGTGCGAGCCCATATCATGGCGATGAATCGTCTGCTTGGTCGCATTCCAAGGCCCTTGCTGCTGTTACTAAAAACGAATGACTGTTTACGAGCGCTCGATCGTCGCCTCGGTGCGACGTCCCTCATGGTGGAGATGATTGCGCGAAAGACGACCGCAATACTCGCGGAGCACCAGCACACACAGTGGATGGAGCCGTTGCACGCGCAGCGGCACCAAGGGCTTGTCCGCGGCCCCATGTATTCGTTCTGGGAGCGAATACGACTATCGTGGCGCAGGGTACGTCTGGAGCTGCGTCTACTCATGTTTCGCTTGCTGGTGTGGTGGCACCAATTGCGCAGGTCAGGAGATGCGCTTCTGCAGCGCTTCCAGGCCACGTTCCGCTCAAAAAGCCCGGATATACGCTGAGATGCGACATCGCCGATGCAATTCACTCCAGTTCGAGCTGAGCTTCCATGTAGGTGCTCTGTTCTCGGGTATGCGTCTAGTTCAAGGTGTCATCGTACGCTCAATGGTTACGGGTGATCGTATCAATCGAACACCGAGCGTTGCGAACACAATTGCGAAACCGAAACGGAGCACCGACTCATCGACGAGCATGGCAGCTCGACTGCCGATTGCCGCACCGGTCAGCGTGCCGAGGATGACACCCGGCAGGTGGAGGAAACTCACCTGACCTCGTCGGGCGTAACCAATCCCAGCAGCAGCAGCCGGGAACACCATCGCAAACATGGACGTTCCGATGATCGTGCGCACGCCGTGCTTCTCTGGGTGCGCAGCTGCAGGAGCGGAGGGTACGGCGGCATCGTTACGGTCGCTTCTAGCAACCCGTTCTCTGTCCCTGTCTCGTGATGCGTACAAAAGCGCTAGTGACGGGGTGTATAGCGTGCCACCGGACACTCCGAGAAGGCCAGAGAGAAACCCGACACAGGTTCCAGTCCAGAGCAGCGCCTGGTCAACGTTTGTCGTGATAATTGCCAGCAGGCTCTGTGTCTCTTGATCAGCACGCGACCACGCACGCTGACTCGCGGGCGATCGAGAGCCTGACACTGCTGTGTGCCCTGCAGGGGCCGCATCAGACGCAGCGCAGTTCGTGGATGTATTCGAGGTACCAGTGAAGTTCGCGCCAGCAATGGGGTCTGTGGGTGCCACTGCGGAAAGCAGACGATCTCGCAACGGCACCAACGGTGCAAGCAGGATCAGTAAAATACCGAGTCCTCGCCGCAAAAGACTCGCGTTTACTCGCTGACCAACGGCGACACCGATCGGCGCCATGATTATACTGCACACCATGAGCTGCAGCGCAGCAGGCAGGTCGACACAGCCCGCTGCCGCATAGTTGTACGCACTAGACGTTGCTGTTCCGCAGGATGCAAGCAGTGCCGTGCCCTGTGCAACTCGCTGTGGAAGATTGACGTACCGCACCAAAGCCGGAATCATGAAGATCGCGCCACCGGCACCGGCACAGGCGCCCCCGAAGCCTGCAGCGAAACCGATGGGAAACGCCGGCACCAGGTTGCGCCACCACTGCGGACGTCGCGGTGGCACTGCAGTGGTGCCAACAGCCGATGGACTCTTCGTTGCACGTGGACTGCTACCACTACTGCTGCTGATACTGCTATTAGGGCGCTTCAAACACGAACCAGAAGCCCTTGCACGGTACTCACAAAGCGTGCCTGCACCGAGTCTGGCAGCTAGAGCGTTCGACGCCGTAGCCGCGCTTCCGGAACCTCGAAACAAACTGTGGAGAAAGCACTGCCCTGTGCGGACAGCGCAATTCCCAAGAGGATGCCTTATTACGTGCGCAAGGCAACCCGACGGCATCGAGGAACCTAGGAACGTGGCGAGTATGCAGAGGATGCCTTCCCAGAGGCCGTGCGCATCCAGAATTTGCGGCTGCGCAATGCGCATTGCGGCATCGCGATACGCGCATGCGGATCGACTGATCTGGAATGCTAGTGACCTGGTATTTTATCGATTAATTGATTGATTGATCAGGTACTAGATAAACTGATGAATGGATACATGGATCAGGTATTCGATCGATTGCTAATGTATTCGATGATTCGATTGATTGATCATGTACTAGATAAACTGATGAGTGGATACATGGATCAGGGATTCGATCGATTGATCCAGAATGCTAGTGACCTGGTATTTTATCGATTGATTGATTGATTGATCAGGTACTAGATAAACTGATGAATGGATACATGGATCAGGTATTCGATCGATTGCTAATGTATTCGATGATTCGATTGATTGATCATGTACTAGATAAACTGATGAGTGGATACATGGATCAGGGATTCGATCGATTGATCCAGAATGCTAGTGACCTGGTATTTTATCGATTGATTGATTGATTGATCATGTACTAGATAAACTGATGAATGGATACATGGATCAGGAATTCGATCGATTGCTAATGTATTCGATGATTCGATTGATTGATCATGCACTAGATAAACTGATGAATGGATACATGGATCAGGGATTCGATCGACTGATCCAGAATGCTAGTGACCTGGTATTTTATCGATTGATTGATTGATTGATCATGTACTAGATAAACTGATGAATGGATACATGGATCGGGGATTCGATCGACTGATCCAGAATGCTAGTGACCTGGTATTTTATCGATTGATTGATTGATTCATCATGTACTAGATAAACTGATGAATGGATACATGGATCGGGGATTCGATCGGTTGATCTGGAATGCTAGTGACCTGGTATTTTATCGATTGATTGATTGATTCATCATGTACTAGATAAACTGATGAATGGATACATGGATCGGGGATTCGATCGGTTGCTAATGTATTCGATGATTCGATTGATTGATCATGTACTAGATAAACTGATGAATGGATACATGGATCGGGGATTCGATCGACTGATAAACGATTCGGCTGATCGATTCTAGGATCGCTATACGCGAATGCCGGGTACCGGTGACCCGGAAAAGTGTTACAGTTCCTCTTCGGGTGCTTCTGCTTTCCAATAACCCCGCAGCAGCATGTCCTTCATGAAAACGTACTTGAGCGCTCTGGAAAGTCTTCGGCCGCTGTACAGAGCTGACACGGTTCAGTGGTGTCTTTGTAAGCGTCGACACGACCACAATAGCAGTGGACAGACTCGCGTCTCGCGGACGGGCTCCAGGGCGCACACGCCAACATCCGAGACAACCCTTGAGCGGATGCGGTGCATCCACATGTCGATGCTATACAGGCGTCACCATAGGCACACGAGTTCGCGAACCACAGCGCTGCGACAGCGCTGCGGTGCACAGGGTGTCGCATCAGCGAGTGCCCTGAACAAGGACAAGTGCTCAATCTGCCTTCTATGTCTCAGAGAAAGACGACGCTGTGGACTAACCTTTTTGTAACATCGCCTTTCCCGAGGACGATAGAGGTCGTTTCCACAGTTTCCCCTAATATAGGCGCATCGCGGGTGAATCTTGCTCGATTCGTCGTTCTCCGTAGCACCACCACCACCACCACCACCACCACCACCACCACTGAGCTATCCTGCGCATCGCTGCCACAGAATCGGGCGCATCGCGACGGACGCGACGCCACGAATGCGTTGCTAGAGTTATTCTTCTTGCACTGGATGACTGTGTTGGACCTGCGGAGCCATACTGGCGAAAGTGCTGAGCGAACTGGAACCAATGAAGCTGTTGCATACTCTAGGTTGAGTGCAGAGGAAGATAAGTACGGGGTATTTGTGGATGTATCTAAGCGCGTTTCGGAGGCAAACGGGGTTCACGCGCTGAGCGCACCGCGACTGGACGAGCCGCTGAGCGCTGCTGCCGCTGCACCCGCCCCGTCCAGCAACCGTGAAGAAACGCTTCCATGCGGCGAGCCGCAGGAGAGCCACTGGCACCAGTACGTTCCGCGACGCACCGTACTCTTGTTGTACGCACTGGTGGCCTCAGATGCATGCACGCTCATGGTAATTGGGCCCTTCTTACCTGCTTTCGTGGAGCAACGACTTGGTGTGCCGCTGCGGAACGGTGCTTCCACGGTGGGTATCATCAGTGGTGCGTACAACTTTGGGAATAGTTTGCTGGCACCACAGCTGGGAAATCTGAGCGATCACCACGGACGCAGGCCCTATTTATTGTTCAGCGTGGTCGTTTCGGCGACGCTGACTTGTTGTTTTCCGTTCACACGGCGAGCCTGGGCAGCAGCGGCGCTGCGCTTTACCACCGGCGTGCTCAATGCGTCGAGCACTGTGAGCAAGGCCTATCTCGCGGACCTAACGAATGCTGAGCGCGGTGTGCCAGCCAGCGAGCGAGCGTTACTCTTCGGCTACTTCGGTGCGGTGTGGGCGATTGCACGAAGCACCGGCTCAGCGGTAAGTGGCGCGCTCACTGGAGTCTCACTACCTCTCCTCGGGATCGATGCGAGCGCGAATCCTTTCATTACTCCGTGCCTGGTGATGTCCACCTTCCTGGGAATGGTCTTCCTGGTGGCAGTGGTTGCCCTGCCAGAGTCACGGACGCCGACTGAGCGCCGTCCTCGACGAGCGACGGACGTTGTCGGTCTCCTACCGCGGGCTCGTGTGATTTTCGAGGTCGGCGGCCCGTCCTTGCGAAGACTGCTCCTATGTAATGCTATTCATCAATTCTGCAACGGCGGGCTGCTCATTATCCTGGTGTTGTTTGGTTCCGAGAGCCGCCTGCGAGGCGGTATGGGGTTTGGCCCCAATGCCGTCGGCATAAGCTTCTCTTACTTTGGGCTCACTGGTGTTCTATTCCAGCTAACGTTCTTCCGTCGCGTGTTGCGACGCCTTGGTTCGCGCCGCATGTACCTGCTCGGTACAAGCCTTCTTGCGATAGGTACCTCTCTGGTGCCAGCTGCGCTGCCTCTGAGCGAAGGCGTTCGGCACCTGTTGGGCGCAGCGGCCGTTGCAGACACGCGAGCGTCCTCCATTGGTACCCAAATGAGTGACTGGCTCCCTCTGCTGGTATTGCTAACGCCTATAGGAGGCGGTTTCATGGCCGGCTTGCCGATTCTGAATACACTGGTTGCGAACGCTGCCCCGCTCGAAGTGCAAGGGCTTGCCCAAGGGCTATCGCAGTTCTCGGGTGGTATCCTGCGGACGCTGGGCCCCGTGCTCACGGGCACTGCGTTCGGTTACCTGGCCGCACGCGCACACCTCTGGTTCAGTTTCTTTGGCCTGTCGCTTCTCTATGTGCTTTGTGGGACAATTGTTGCATCACTGCCGCCAACCATTGAGCGCAGCTACGAGGAAGCTGCTCAGATACATGCCGAAGAACAAGCACTGCGCCTAGCTGTTCGTGAGCACGACGCCGCTCCGAACGCAGCTGCGGGTGACTCGGTGCAAAAAGGCACTGTGGTTGAGGCATCTGCGACGTCAGTGCGAGTTGCCATGTAAAGCTCTGTGTGTATCCAGATAGATGCAATGATCCAACGTCAATACTGATGCTTCCGTGACCCTATATTCATATAATTCTATAAACTAGGCGTACAACTTGCCAACAAACAAAGACAATGATCCAGCGTCTTGTGCAAAAGCACGGCCTGTGCAGGCCTCCGCGCGACTAGCCATTTGGTGCACATCCAGGGATTGACGTTCTTTTGAGGTGACGCACGGTTGTGCGGATCCTCTCTCGAAAGCGAATACTTCTAGCTCGTGTACAAACTGGTAACTGGTATGTTTGTAGGGCCTAGCGGTGCGTTCGCTCCAGGAGTTCCCGGAGAGCGCTTGAGGCGGCAACGCCTGCGACCTGAAAAGCTACTTGGCTGTGAGCGACGGTATCGAGAGGGCTTTGCCACGTTCGAGCTTCCAACAGCAAATGCGTTCTACAGAGCCGCGTCGAAGCCAGTTCGCGACCTTGGCGTACTTGCCGCACTGGTCTGGAGCGAGGCAATAGGTGAACGTCTTCGAATAGCCGACCTCCTCGCTGGACCAAGTGCGGTGCGCGCCCTGCGCTATGCCACAGAGACTAACGCGAGAGCGGTGCTGGTGAACGATGCAATATCGGGGCCCGGTCGAACAGTGCTTGAGAGGAACACCACGGGAGTCAGCGAAGATACGGTGTGGATTCGTCGTCACGATAACCTTTTCGAACTCGCGCAAAGCGAGGAATGGATTCACTCCTTCGACCTCATTGATCTTGATGCTTTCGGCACCGGTGCTGATGAAGTCGCCAGTGGTGTCCTGAATATGCTTCGCTGTCGGCGAATGAAGACCGCATGGAGCGGAAACGACGACTCCGCGGCTGAGAAGGATGCAACTGCTGGAGCGCTCTTATACTGCTGCTCGACTGCATCGGTGACTGCAGCGGGTCTGAACCCCGGTAAGGCACAAAAGACGTATGGAGCGGCACTGGTGCGTCATGCGGCAGTCCATGAACAGGGTTTACGACTCCTGATCACTGTCGTTCGGAAACACGCCCAACAAAGCGGATTCATAGCGCAACCGTTGTTCTCATACTTCCATCGTGCTGGTGGGACGTTTCGCGTCATGTTCCGCATCCTGCAACCAAGGCACGATGAGCTGGCGTTAGCGTCGACCGCAGCTGCGGATACAGGGCTCCTGCATCTTTGTCAGCAATGTGGGCAGCTCTGGTGTGTAACATCAACGATCAAGGATGCAGTAGCGAGCTCCGTCTGCCCGGGCTGTGGCAACGACGCCGCTGCACCACAGGTACGCACGAGTGGACCCTTCTACATGGGACCTCTTCACGACGGTGATTTCGTGGAGCGTATGCTTACCGTCAGTCGTGAAGCACCGGCCGGTCACTTCGATCGGGCAGCGATTGCAGCTCTCAAGCTCATGATTCATGAGACGAGACTCAATGCGCATCCGTTTTATTACCGCGTGGGTGATCTAGCTCGACGAGCTCGCCGTTCTCCGCCGCCGATTTCGAAACTCATAGAGCGTCTTCAATGGTACGAGCGTACCTATCGTGAAACCAGGCGCATGCCCGAAGCAGTTGTTCGGGCCCAGTGGCAGGCTGCTCGCGCCTCCGTGGACCCCCAAGGCGTTCGTACCGGTTTGCCGATACCGGCGATTCTCTCGGCCGTAGCGGAGGCGAGTGCCTTCCGACAGCAGCAGCAGCAGCAGCAGCAGCGTTCTCGGGCTTTGCTTTGAAACGGACAGCTCAGGCAAAAGTGCTCGCTACCCGCGGCAGCACCCATGCGCCTCTGGCTGCTGGGTGTGCACGGCAGCAGGAAGCTGGGTAAACGGAGCCGTCGCCAAGAAAACGGCAATGGCTTCACTGACGACTTGGATGGCGGTGGTGACTCCTGGCGTTGGTCACGTCGCAACTGCTGGAGCATGTTCGCCACATCGCGCTCGTCGATGCCAAGCATGCTGCGTAGGCTCCAGATGCATGCCCCCCAGCCGTAGAGGAAGAAGCCCCAGCCAAACCCGACCTGAAGCCCACAACCAACGCCCACGGAGAGCTGAACCGAGGGCACGTAGAAGGCTCCGAACGTCTTGCCGACGCCGACCCCACAACCCACATAAAACCCAGAACCGACACCCAGTCCCGAGAACACAGTTGTGGCCGGCTCGTCACGGTACCGTACTTGGCTAGTCATGCAACCTGCCGGTATGCAGCCCGCTCAAACACCTGCCCGGTACCCGCCACTACCAGTAGTTTGCGCTGATTCGTCTTGTGGTTCAAAGCCTCGGCCGAGCAGAATTTCCAAGTACCACGTGTATCCTAGGGTACTTTCCGCCACTACCGGTAGTTTGCGCTGATTCGTCTTGTGGTTCAAAGCCTCGGCCGAACAGAGTTTCCAAGTACCACGTGTATCCTAGGGTACTTTCCGCCACTACCAGTAGTTTGCGCTGATGCGTCTTGTGGTCCAAAGCCTCGGCCGAGCAGAGCTCTCACGTACCACGTGTATCCTAGGGTACTTTCCGCCACTACCGGTAGTTTGCGCTGATTCGTCTTGTGGTTCAAAGCCTCGGCCGAGCAGAGTTTCCAAGTACAACGCTTGTTTCAAAGTACTCTCTGTCGCTCGCTGCGCGTGCTGGCCAGGTACTAGGACATCTAGTGCATGTTGCGGTACGCGAGTTCCGTTGACAAGTGCAAGATGAATGTATTCGATCAGAGTTCATCAGGAGGTTACGCATGCGGTTTCAAAGGTGTCGCACTCATGTACTGGACCAGAGTGTACCATGAAATGGAAACCTTGCCCAAAGCAGGGCAGGGACCTCAGTTCATTCAGACGCATGCAGGATTGATGAAATCCGACAGCGTCTTTCCCTCGGGAACAGGGGCCGGCCGCAGTGTGCAGCTACGACTACGACTACTACTACAGCAGCAGCAGCTGCTGCTGCTGCTACTGCTGCATGTGCCAGTACCGCAGTAATGGAGCAGCATCGCAACTGGTGTTGACATCAACACCTCCCGGTGCCATTTCATGACAAAATGGAATGAGTCTGATCAGGTAAGTCGCTCGAGAGCAGACGGTAAAGTCTGGGTACCTTTTCAGTATGATCGATACCTGCTTCCGCCGGCTATCTCTGCAGCTTGTGCGTTTTGCGCGCTCTGTGCTCCATCTTTCCTCATGCCGAGTGCTGCCGCTACCTCAACTCTATTGTCAACAGGCGAAGCATGGTGATGCCCACATGAAATTCCCATTTTCGCAGCTATGGACTGCTATTCACGCATTTCATGCACAGGTGAAAGTTGCCATGCACACGTCGCCTGCCAAATTCATCTTCTCTGTCGATCGAGTCGATGCACCCTTTGCGGCCATGATCCTTGCCTGCGATCAAGTGCGCTCCTGTGTCCGACGCACATGCTTCACCAAGGGCCGCTCTGTTGCACAAGAGCGCTCGCTTCACTGCTCGTTACGTGCACATGGTGGGTACGTAGCGCGCGACTCCATGTCGTGCTCGGGTTCCATATCCGGTGACGCACGCTACGATGACGGGCATCTTCAGCGGAATCCCACGGCGAGCGGTTCTTCTCTGTTGCACACGCAAGCGAACGCTATTCCATTCGAAAGGGCGTTTGTAGAACGCGATCATGGCCATGATAAAATAGGTTCCGGAAGGAAGACTCGGGCTCGAGAACAAGTCGCGCGTGCGCAATCCATCGACGCTCCGCCGGTGCGAAGCGGTAAATGAACGGATGTATTCCGGAGGTGATCTCTGTGTGGTGACTCGAGTCCGACTCCAAGCCTCATTCCCATACATACAGAAGAGACGGCATCCTCTGGGCGCAAATCCTGTGACAGGTACGATGCGACTGCGGAACGCGCCTTCGACGTCAACCAGAAAGAGCGGAACATGCTTCTATCGAAGCAAATCGATTACTTGAGGAGACGCGTTGCGTGCACTTTCGGCATGAGCTTCTCTACGCACTGTCATAGGGTGGTATCGGGTTTTCTGTTGTTTCATCGTCGTTCCAGCGTCGCGAATCGCTTCGCTGTCGAGTAGCCTTGAACCGGAAAGATCGAACACGTGCAGCAGGCGTGATTTGAGGACGCTCGGCCTAGGGACAAGAGACGAGTGAAGGCCTCTACGTATGCACCGCATCATGATATCGGTTATTTTAGGATCCGTTGTTGCGTAGTGTCGCGAAGCATCTTGGTTCGCGGGACGTCATCAGGATCATCGGCAAAGCGTCGAAGGTACCGCTCCGAAATGACGACCGAGCTAGAAGCCCTAAAAGCTACGTATGCACCCGTGAGCCTTCGCTGCTATATTTTGAATGTCAGGGCGGAATACCTATGAAAAGTTCCGGATATATTGACGGGGAGAAATACAGCGAGCTGTTCTATTGCTCATTTCCATGTAACTCGTGTGGATGCAATACGAGTCACCAACAACCGTTGCGCCTAGAACGGTCTTGGAACTGTTGCGCGCGGCTACAGTCCAGCGCAGCTACTCAGCTACCGCGAACGTTACGCTTGGCACGTATCGAGGCGAGTGATGCAGTCAACTTCGCCCTGTAGATAAAAGGAAAGGATATGGAGAGAGCGCGTAACACGTCAAAGGGCAAAAGAACGGCGTCGGGGTCGATGCCAGCGGCAAGCTCACTGGATCCCGCTTACGCCGTCATTCTCCCGACGTACAACGAACGGGAAAACTTGCCGTTTGTAGTTGAGTTGATACACCAAGCGTTCTCAAGCGTTAGTCTTGCGGATCGCTATCACCTTGTCATCGTGGACGACAACTCACCGGACGGCACGCTACAAGTTGCCCGGGCGCTGCAAAAGCTCTACGGGGAAGAGCGTCTGACGCTTGCCCCACGCAGCGGCAAACTCGGCCTAGGGACAGCGTATCGTCACGGACTACAAAGAGCACCGACGGCTTGCAGCAGGATATTTTTGTTCGACGCGGACCTTTCCCATAATCCACTCGCAATACCCGCCTTCATAGCGTGCATGGATAAGACCCAGGCGGATATCGTGACCGGTACGCGCTACCTGGGCACCGGTGGCGTCTGCGGCTGGGGCTGGAAGCGGAAAATCACCTCGAGCGCAGCGAACCTGCTCACGCAGTGGCTCTTGGACCCCGGTGTTAGCGATGTGACTGGAAGCTTTCGCCTTTATCGTCGCGAGGCATTGGAGCAACTCCTGGAGGCGGTGCACTCGCGAGGCTATGTGTTTCAAATGGAGGCCATGGTTCGGGCGACTCGCCAGTTTCAATACCATGTCGCTGAGGTGCCCATTGTTTTCGTCGATCGAATGTGGTACGGCCAGAGCAAACTCGGCTACCGGGAAATCGTCGAGTACCTTCTGACGTTGTGGCAACTCGTGTGGCTCGCGTGAACGTCGCCTCTCTGCACTCGAACGTGATGCAGTTGCCGCATGCTGCCCTGGAATCGAAGCACTGCGAGGCATGCTGGGATACCACATACAGCAGCGCGACGCCTATTCGTGGATTCGTGGACCGTACGGTCATCACTGACGCACCCATGAAGACTGTACGATTCGGAGTCGGAGCGAGGCCTGGACGTCGCGTTCGTGGACTGCGCTTCGAACGTGACCGATGTAAGCGCGCGCCACCCGGACCGCCACTGCTTGCTGATGAGTTCCCAAGCGGCTCGTGTTCGGCCTTGGTTACGCAAGAGGCAGCCGGCAAGCGATCCTACAGACACGTCGCAGAGGTGAGAGGCTCGCCACAGCGCTCTCGAGCGTGCACGCCGCCGCCTCCGCCGCCGCCGCGGCCTCCGGAGTTTCAAAGATGCAGCGTATCGTCTTGATCGATACGCTCACGTCCGTATCTTGTGCGCTGCAGCGCCTGGATGAGTGCTGAAAACGTGCTTCCTTGAGAGAGCACCAGTTTCTGCGCTCTTGAACAGGTCGCGAGATCGAAGAGCGTCGATCCCAAGTCGAAAGGCAAATTTCGTAACGTAGCCGGAATCGCCTGCTTCTCGAACAGCTCCGAAGATAGGATCACTTTTGAGGCCAGCTTGGCTGTTACGAGCGCTCGTTGAATAGACCTCGCCTCTGAGCGCGGCATATCTGTGACGAGCATCACCGGTAGACGATTTGTACGCAACGATTCACGCAGTCCAAGCGCGTCCAGAGCCGCTTCCACATCGTGCTGCTTCTTTGCGTTCTGGAATGCCTCGCGGAGGCGCGTGCGAAAAGCACCATCGCCACCGCGGAGGTGCACACATACAAACGCCGGGGATAGATGCCTCCACGAGTGCAACGTACGCCGCAGCAGTGCTTCTGCGATTTGCTCCGCCAGGTAGCCGTAGCGACCCCCGAGTCGCGGTGACATAAAGTCCAGGCGTCCACCGAAAGCACGCGAAGCAAGCGGCAGCTGCCATCCGCCGGTCCACGGTGCAAGCGTTCCAGCGTAATTCACGAAATGAAACACCGAACCGAGGGCAATGACGGGTTCGTCACGGAGTCGTCGTTCGCCGTCGACACCGTTATGTAGCATCTCACAGACGCCATGAATCTGGGGTACAGGGGCCTCTACGTGCTGGCGGCTCCGCAGCATCATTCGCCATGTCGCTGCAAAGGCACTGGGTGGTATCCAGTCGGGGGCTCCGGCCTGCTCGGCATCTGCACAGGTTAGCAGGCCGTGCGGCACATCGATGACAATGCGTACCTCGTGGCAACTGAAAGGCCACGCCCAGGTGCTGCGCTCCGCTTGTTTCATCCAGTCTCTGGCTTCTACTGCGCCCGCAAGGCTGCACCGCCTACGTTCCCATGCCACTGCCCGAGCGAGTGTTTGCGCTCCATCGACGCGACACGATGGAGACGCCGGGCCCGCGAACAGGTCCGACAAGTCGAAAATATCCCCGAATGCAATGTAGGTTCCCTTGCGATCCAGGTCCTCCCAGATCCTTCTATTCTGCTTGCGAAGAAAGGCGGCGCTGGCAACCGGCGCTACTTGCTCGCAAGACCCTAATTTGAGGGCAAAATGAGGCAGCACAGGTGGCACCACCAGTGTCCTATTCAGCACCCGAGCAACATCAAACGCCGACACCAACTCCATAAACTGGTTTGCTAGTCCCGAGTGCGGAGCGTACGTCAGGAAACGCGTCGGAACGAAGGGCAGCGTAGGTTGACTTTGCGGCGCTGGAGTTGGCCCCTTGAGGTGCAGCAGGCCAGCGAGCACGTTTCCCTTCCTCGGTGCCTCCAGTCGAGGTTGCTGCTTCAATACCAGAACTAGGCATAGAAAGCAGCCGACGATCGCCCCGAGGCTGTGGAGCAGCCGAGATCGTCGACCGAGACGCTCCCACAGGAGTCGTCGGAAACGCAGCTGCGTCCGCACTCGAGCCATGTGCAGGAGAAAACAAATGCTAGGCTCAACGACTTGCACGGCGGCGACTCGTCCAGTTTCGTGAGCGGTTAACCAGTTGCTGTTGCTGTTGTTGCTGTTGGCTCGGGGACTGCAAGTCGACGCTTTTATGGATATTTCAGAGTTGACCTGGGTATGATGGGCACAAAAGCGCTTGCCCGTGCAAGACCTGGCATCGGTGGAAGGCTCGATACCTGTCGCCTCGCACAGCGGAGCCGCTGCTCCTCGGGCGACGATCGCTTGGTGGCCTTTCCCGCTTTGGTGACAGCTGCAGAACGTTATGGAGAGAGGTTACATGGGAATCGCGGGCGACGGCGGTGGCGGCTTGTTGTTGTTGCTGCTGCTGCTGCTGCTGTTCACGAGCAGTGCATACACGCCTGGCACCAGCGCGTTGGCGTTACAGTTGTCATCGCCCGCGGAGCTGCGTTCACTTTGAAGTAACCGCTGGTCCTGTTGTTGCTGTTCTCGAGGCACATCATCGGCTGGTGACCTGCCCAATCCGACCGGTGCCGTCGCTGGAAGGGTAAGAGTCAGCGACGTGGAGCGCTGATGGTGCCTCGCGAAACGCTAGCCAGCAGCGCACGTGCTGCGTTTGTGCCTGGCAGGATCGTTTTCATGACGTATGATGAAGCAGTTGTCGCTGCTTCTAGGAAGGTGGATGCCTGCGTGCAGCTTCGCAGCTCGAGCACACTTGTTCGCCACAGACGACAAGCCGTTCGCACCAGGGATGACGCGTTGTCGCTGGTGCCTGTTGCAAAGCGTCGGTACACGTGCAACTGCTGATCGTGCTTTCGAAACTCGTTTGATGAAGGTTCTGGGTATTGCGGTGAAAAAAACACCCGAGTTCGATGCTACATCTTGAAACGACTGCATACTTGTTGTCGTCGACATGAAGCTGATGCGTGAATACAAGTACGCGACCCAAGCAGTTGCCAAAGCCGGAGCACCTGATCGAAAGCATTCGCTTCCGCGTTGCAAGTCTGCAAGATGGACACGCGAATGGGTCTTGTTGGACTCGAAGCTCGCGTCGTCCATGACGGTGCGTAAACAGCGGGAGCTCAGGGCGCTTGTCAAGCTCGTCGATGGACGCACTTAGAGACTGCTGCACTCCGAGCAGCGTGCAAGCAGGATGTATGGAGCCTTGCGTCTTGGTTATATAGAGACGGGTGTGTGTGTGTGTGTGACGCCTTGCATGCAACAGGCAGGTAGCGAGCTGGTGTATAGCAGGTTCTCGCGGTCCAGTTACGCGTTCGAGTCGCTTTACAGATACAGACGAATTCGCGATGTGATGGTCACTCGACACATGGGACACTCCGAGAGTTGCTCTGCGCATGGTTGACAAGTACAGTGTCCACAATTGTAAACAGTCCATTGAACGCATGGACCAGAATCAGCACACACGGCACATTCAGGTTCCATGTGTGCTCGAGTGTTATCGGCTTCGATGCTATGCGTCGAACGCATGATGTCGGACTCGTCTAGCACCAGAACGCTGTCTGCCGCGGAGCGTGAACTATCAAACGGTGCCGAAGGGGCAGCAGATATCTCGGAATAAATGTCGCTACTGCTGCTTGCCCTCGAGTGGTGGAGGAGGCGGGAATCCTCGTCCTGGTCGGCACCTTCGGTATCCAGCGGTGGTGCACTTGCAGTTGCAGTAGAGCGCACCGGCCACCAGTCTCTGCTCAAGAGCCGGGGTAAAAACGCTGAACGTCGGTAGCTGGACGGCTGCGCACCGCTCTGGCGAAGCGACGTCGGCAAAAGCGTATCACCGTCGTCACCAGATAGCGCCGTCAGCTGGTTATCGAGCGATACCTCATTCGCGGCGGCAGGAGCGCAAATCGATGATGACGATGACGACGTCGACGGCGACAAGTGCTGGTGCGCAGCGCTTGCGGTTCTCGTGCTCGCCGAGGTGAGCACAGTCGCGGTGATACCATAACCATCAACACCACCACCAGTTACTTCCACATGAGATGATGTTTCCATCGAGTCGCCACCGCTCTGTGACGTGCTCGCGTTGGTGATTTGGGAGAACAGCGCACTGTTGTTGCTCGGCGGCGCAGGTGCGTCATCAGCAAGTTGTTGTTGCATCACAAGCGGATCGCTCTCAGCAGACCTGTTGTACCTGAATTCCACCATTGAGTCCCGATAAATCGGTGCTGTACTGAGCGAGGTCATGCTGGACCCTGTCGAGCTGGTGCCCCGCGCAGCCGACGGGGTGCGTTTGCGCAACAGCGGCGGCTGTGTGCTCGACGAGGTGCCTGCGTTAGCCTCGAACACGCCTTCGAACGTCCGATCCCCAAGATGAATGCTCCGCTCGTAGGCAAACGAGTTGCCGGTTTTCGTATCGGGCGTCGTCGCGTCCATGTTCTTGTACACATGAGAAGCCGATGCCGTCGGCTTCGACGTTTCTCCCGCTGAAACACCGTCGACGACGCCCATGCGAGCGCTGTATGCCGCGGCAAGTCGATGATTAGGTTCCCCAGCCAGCGCTGGAAATGCATTCTCGCAACCCGCTTGCCGGGCCTGACGCGTCCCCAACAACGAGGTCAGCACAAGGTGCGCCTGCGTCTGGCCGGTTTCGCGGGCGATATCCAGCGGGGTCGCCCCGCGGCTGTCGCGAGCGTATACCAGATCGCCTCGGGGAGCACCGAGCTCCACAAGCGCCCGTAGCACGCTTTCCTGGGCGCCAGCTGCCGCTGCGACATGAAGTGGCGTCCGTCGGCGTCGATCACGAGCCCAGGGGTTGCTGCCTGCTCGTAGCAGCGCGAGGACAGTTGCGGCACCTGCATCCTGCTGCGCCAGCGCACAAGCGTAGTGCAGCGGCGTCTCGCCTCGGGTACCAAGGCCAATGGTGGCCGTTTCGAGCGCGAGCGCCCCTTGTTGACCGCCCCCAACAGCTTGTACAAACGCCTCGACGCCCTCGGCGTTTGCAAGCGCTGCAGCGGTATGCAGCGGCGTTCCGCCGTCAAGCTTGCGCCGGATATTCACATCAATACCCAGTGACACCAGACGACGAATGCAGACAACTGTGGCAAGGAAGTGACGATCCGGGCTCTCGTCGAGAACGCCGCTCAGCACTGCAAGTGAGCGGAGCTGCGCCTCGACAAGCGCCGCTCCAGGCGGCCGCACAAGGGCCGTGTTATTGGTGCTGGTATTGGTATTGGGATTGTTCGCGATGCTAGACTCCCACCAGCGCGTCGCCAGATGATGCATCAGTTTCCGCCCGATCACGAGGCGGCGCTGATCTTGAGGCAAGCGGGCTCCAAGCTGGAGAAGCCACAAGGCGAGGTCATAACGCTTTGCTGAAAACGCGATGGTTAGCGCAGTTTCACCGCTGTGGCTCGCCTGATCGATGAGCTTCGTTGGTGACAATGAAACCAGCAGGTTGCAGATGTCGGCGCGATTGCAGGTCGCTGCTGTATGCAGAGCGGTACGACCGGCACAGTCTTGCTGGAACGGTGAGACGCCCGCCTCGGTCACGAGCCATAAAACGATGTCCGAATGCCCATACCGAGCAGCAACGTGCAGCACAGACGTGCCGTCGTGACGCGCGATGCTAGGCTTCGTCTTGCCCTCTTCGACCAGGAGACGCAACGCGACGAGGTGGCCAAACTTTGCCGCTGCATGCAGGGGCGTCCATCCTTCACCATTTGCGGCGCTTGGATCAGCACCATGCTGTAAAAGAAGTCGAATCATCTCGATGGAACCCTGCTCAGCAGCAATGTGCAACGGCGTCCATCCGCGGCGGGCACGAACGTGTTGTGGACGGATTTTGCCCACTTCCAGAAGCAACCCGACAATCCCCAGCTGGTTTCCAGACACCGCAACCATGAGCGGCGTCCAGTCGTTGTGGTCACGAGCGCGCGGGTCCGCGCCCGCTGCAAGCAGCATCCGACAGACCGCTTCGTGCCCGTTCCACGCCGCGATAAACAGCGGCGTCCAGCCGATGCTCGTGCGGCAGTTCACATCGGGCGGCGGTGCCGACTGATTGCGCTGCTCTGGGGAACGATATCGCAGCATCGCACGCAAGGTCGCAATGTGATCATTTTGCGCTGCTAAATAGAGTGCCGACGGGATGGCTCTTTCGCTTTCATCGAGCGTTGTGCTGGGTACGTCTCCTCTGCGCACTAGGCTAGGAATCATGCCAGACCTTCGCGAATTGTCGGTCGGCCCCGTCGTCACAGCGAGCTCTTTCCAAGCACCGAACTCGAGCAGCAGCTCCACAGCAAGCGTGTTACCGAAATATGCTGCCTGCTTGAGCGCGGTCCAGCCCGTCCTGGCTTTGTCTGCGCCCGGTTCGTTTCGATCCCATTCTCTGGTGAACGCTTCTAGGTTATCTCGAATCCAGCTGCGCAGCTCGGCGGCATCGGCAGGGCTGCTCGCTCGCTGCAATAAACCAGTCCAGCGGGGCGGTGCTTTGAGGGCGCTGCCCTCACCAGATGAAGGTTTGCGCAAGTCGTCACATGTCGAGGAGTGTTCCGCATCAGCAGCGTCATTCCTGCCATTTGAAGAGGCTCTATGCACGCCCTCGACCCGCAGACGTTGATCTTCACGTGTCTGGCGCCAGTTCGAAGGCTGCTGCGTCCGATCTGGTTGGGTTCGGTGCCACCAACGGAGACCCTGCGTGCGAAGAGGCTCCGCCCGCGAGTCCCGTCTCAGCGTTCCAGCACGCGGTCTTCGCGAGAGACCCTGCTCGGTGCGAGGCACCTCGGAGTCCGCTTCGTCTGTTGGCGCAAGAAGCTCGCGCCAGCGCAAACAACGAAACATGGCCGGCGACGTGTCAAAGGTCAAGCCTCTGGGGTCAGATGCAGTTCCCCTGTGCAGCTGGACGGAACGTACGCCCTAAAGCACGATTTTGACGCGTTCAAGCGGTTGCTTTCGACGCTGTGGATACTGGCAACAGCCACGGCAACGCTCGCGCACCGCAAGAGGCAGCCTCCAGCGCCGTCACGCTCCAGCTCTGAGTCGTGATAGCTCGGTGATGATTACTCGACCGTACTCAACGTGCACAGCGGCCTCCAACTTTGATCGAATCAAACGCCAGGTAGCAATCAGCGACAACGTCTGGAGGCAACGCACAAACCTGTCGATAACTGCGCTCACCTTTGTGGACTCGACTGAACACCTGAATAACAAACACCAGCTATCAGTCAACGGCACTTCCCGGACACAAGGTACAAAGTACTCGATAAGCGGCGCCACCGGGTGCCAAGTCCGATTCGAACCTGGATCAATAAATACCAGATAAGAGAGGCAAAGTTTTTGCAAGCACAACGATCAAAGTGCTCGATAATAATAATGATAACGATGAGAATGATGGGAATGATGGGAATGGACCTCACTGATTGCCTCGGATTCGAAACTGGACGCCCGCGGCCGCGCCGCGGGCGGATGACACGCAGCGCGCGCCGCGAGCGTTCCCCCGCGGGGGGAACCCCGGGTGCCGTGCGACGCCCACGAAGTGATCTTTTTCGATAACAAGACGTTTATATGGACCATGGATCCTTTGTTGCTGGATCGGTAATGATATTCGAAAGAGCATCGATCGTAGTGATGCAGATCATTTCCAAGTTCCATTACTTTTACTTCCTTTCCGATATAATGGTCGTTTGTGCGTTTTCGCGTACCGCGAGTACCTGCAGTATGCATCCGCTTTAGCGCTTATAGCGCAGGTCAGGATACAGCACGGAGACAGAAGGGCTTTTCCGTACCACGAAGGGCGTCGGCTGGAGGTCTAGTTTGCCCGACACGGTGTTGGAGTCCATGATCATGCTGGGAGCCTGCAAGCTGCGCAGACGGACGCACTGCATGCGGCAGCGTGAATGGATATCGTAGGGGTCCACTACGACCAGGGCGAAACCTAAACGCAGATTACCTGCTCCTAGTCGCTGAAAGAACAGCGTTGCGAATGAGTTGCGCACATCTCTCCACAGCACCTGCCACTGGTCGGGAGCACGAAGCACAAGCTCGGCTGACTCGTCCGGCTCGCGAGACCTTCGGCCTAGAGGGTAAACATTCGACAATATGGTAATCGTTTCCCCCGTTTAACGTATATCGTAACTGGGGAAATAAATTGGTATTGGATTGCCAGATAGTAGTGAGTTTCGGTTCTTTGTTCGATACAGTGCGGTCGACAGGCGCACCTGGGAGATCTGGCAGTCACGAGGGAACGAAAGCCACGCAGATTACCGCCTCAACGGTACTCGATACAGAGATAACGGGGATATTTATGCCTGCGGGGCGATTGAGTGCGTCACGTACCTGAAGAAACATTTGACCATGAACCCCGAACGTTTCATGATACGCTCCATCTTTGCACTCTACCCAGGTCTCGTTCGCAAAGGGATATGGATTATCGTCGATGGCATCTTTAACGATAGTAAGAATGAAGAGAAGATCGAATTCGTCGACGAGAAGGCATCAAGCAGGCGAAGGAATGAGGCTTCTGTAATCTGTGCGGCTGTTCAAGAGCATCGTGAAGTCTTGGGGCTGGCCAATCCAACAGAAGAGATATCAGAGTTGAAAAACGATGAAGAAAGATACCATCCCCTCATCCTGTGCTATTTCGTGTTTTTGGACGGAGAACTCGAACGCGAGTCCGAAACGGAGCTGGGCGTGCGGAAAAATGAACTGTCGGAGAGACGAAAGGCTCCGCTTCTGGGGAACCACGTCAGTGTCGTTCCGTTATACAGCATCAACTCGCACGTTGTGTCTATCAGTTCCAGAGTCCTTCATGGCATTATCAGGGAGATCTGTTCGGAATTCAGCGTAAGCAGGGAGGAGTTCACCGGCGAAAATCGGGAGACGTACTGGAAGAACATCTTCGATTCCAGACGTCAGAAAGTTAGCAAGCAAAAGGTATTTACTGGGATGATCGAAACCGATGGGGTAGCCATTTGTGTACACCATCGACACTTGAAGGTGGATCGTTCTATTATGTCTTCGGCTTCGCCCGTGACGACGAATGAAGATGAGAAGGGGGCGGGTCCTGCGACGCAGAAAGTGCATAAAAACGACTTTGTCGTTGGTGCGGCGAAGCATGAAGATGAGAAGGAGGCGGCTCCTGCGACGCAGAAAGTGCATAAAAACGAGTTTGTCGTTGGCGTGGACCCTGGGACTACGAATATCATAACCATCGCAGAATCCAAGCGTGCAGAAGATGGTATTTACGGCAACCTACGTCAGAAAGACATGCGTCTGTTGAGGTTCTCGAGAGCGAGATAGTATCGAGAATCGGGAAACATGAATGCGAGGAAGAAAATTGCTGCATGGAATGCAGGAATGAAGGAGCACCTGGAAGCTATGAGCAAGGTGACGAGCCGCGGAGCGGACTTTGACGCTTTTCGGGAGTTCATGGAAGTTCGCATTGCGCATTGGGATGCGCTGTGGGAGGAGTATACAAAGCCCCGGTGGGCTCGTTTGCGTATGAACCTGTACTGCGGGAGGCAGCGTGCATTTGCGAATTTTTTCAATGCGTTGAGCGCCTTGAAGGAGGACGAAAGTCAGAGGCTCGTAGTAGCGTACGGAGCAGGGCGCTGGAAGACCCAAAAAGGGACTAGGCCAGCTCCAACGACAAGAACGTACAAGGAATGTGCACGGCGTTTTGCTACGATACCGATCGATGAGTTCCGAACATGGTATACACACCATGAACTGGGGCGTACAATTCAGAGGGTCAAGATGGAAACGTGTCAGCGGAGCCCTGAGGATATAGCAAAGTACGGACCGCTGACGGAGGAGCAAATGGAAAGGCGAGCGAAAGTGCGAGGGCTACTTACATCAGTAAGTACAACCAACGACGGCAAGAAACGTATGGAGTTTGGGAATCGTGAATTTTAACTCCGCTATCAATATAAAGAGATGTGCGGTGATGGAAACAAGACCTCCGGCGTTGACACGAAGGAGTTTTGTGGGACAACCTCTCAAAGTGGAACTATATGAGAAAAAATTGAAGCCAATTGTAGGTAGCCAATCCAAAAAAGCGGGGAGGCGTCTGCACCTCAGTTGGAGACGTTTTATCTGAAGCGCGTTTGCCGCCACTACCGCATACCGCTGCGGCCAGTGTTTTTCTTTTGAGAGACGTTTGTTTTCAGGGGTGCTGTCCCTAGCATTCCGTTTCGGGAGCCGTTCGTAAGATAGGTACGTTCTATGGACGAGGAGGTTGGTTCTGCTCGCGATGGCGACGTTACGGCACTGCTCCGTGAGAGCTATGCGCTCCTACATCAGGCGACGCTCGTGACCGCGGACGAGCGGCGGAAGTGCGCAGAGGCATTCACAGAGTGGGCATTGTCAACACATCGGTCAACGCCCGCAGGCACTGGGACACCAGCCTCAGGGGGTCACAGCCGTCTGGAACCAACCCGCTCAGTCGAGGGGTTAGTTCCCGTGCTCAGGCGTCAAAATTCTTTACCGAGAAACGTAGGACTTGGGCGCGGCGTACGCCCACAGCAGAGCAGCAGACGTGTCCGGCTCCGAGGTCGTGGCAACGGTGACGGCTCGCCGCTTCAGGAACGCTCGGCACACGGGGCGCAACCGCCGCGAGCCTTGGAGCAAGCTTCAGAGTCTGATAGCTTCATCAGCGACACTGGGGCCCAGAGCGACCATGACACTTCCAGCTACGAGAGCGACTCGAGCGCGGTTTCCGCGGGCGTGCGCATACCTAGAAGGAACGACCCCGGTTTCACTGCAACGCGCCCCTGCAGGGCGGAGACAGTGCACCAGCGACGTCTCCCGCACGCACCAGCATTGCGTACTACGAGCGCTGTCGCAGCACAGCGTGGGTACAGCACACCTGACCAGCGGCAAGTGCCGTCGGATCGAGGACGAGCCTACAACGCCGCCCGCGAACTGCGTCCAGCAACGTTGCTTGAGGATTTCGCAGCCGCAGGTGACTCTCTGGGGACGACGCAAGCGGAGAATGCTCGCGCAGCAGCCGCAGCAGTGCAAGCGCCGGCAGCACTGGCGGCAAATCCCTCCATAGAATGTCTCGCACGAAGGCGCCAGTTGCCTGGACTTGACGTCGGATCAAGCGCGCTGGATGAGTCTGCGCCGCCAGCAACCAGAACAGTTTCTCTCGGTGCTGACTGGCTCCTGGCGAGTTTTACGGGCGCTAGCTCCAGCTCGTATGTGGACAAGAGCCCAAGTCGTCACTTGCCGCGATAGAGGTGCGCACGCCTGAGCATCGCACCGGTGCAACCTAGGCCTGGTCCGAGAACACGAGCTTACCTCTGCGTCGGAGTTGAGCGCTTGCCCACATACGACTGCGGTGCTCTACATGGGCATAATATGCCGCAGACAGGGACCAAAATCGTTCCAAACATCAATGTAGCTTGTTCGGTTGCTGTGGTGCCGCGCGACAAGGCGACGTCGCTATCCGGCTCCTTCGAGGCCCTGGCAGTCTGGGCGTTTACGCAGACGCAGCATTTTCTTCGATGGATGGGAACAGATGTGAAACGCCTTTGCGATCGCGGTGTGGACTCTCGTCGAGCGCCTGTGTGATGTCGAAATCGTGCATGCTGGAGCGCATGCATTGGCTCGTGCTGCTGAACGCATAGGAGCGCCTTTGGCGTAAAACACTTTGGAAAAGGAGTCGATGACGCTTTCTTTTCTTCGAATCAGTCGTCTAGATGAGCGTGGCGGCATCGGCTGCGACCTGCAACCGGTTCAGGCTCGTGGTCGCTGCAGTGCGACCGGCTGGAATGCCAGACACCCTTCGAGCGTGCTCAGCGCTGAACTTTTCAGCGCCGGTGCTGCCAACATCGCGTGTACCTCTGTCAGAAACGACAAATACCAACGCGCCCAAACATCTGCAAAGCTCCTATCCTGAGGCGGGACTATTACAGAGGAGTTGCTCAATGAGGTCCGGAGAGGGCGGCTCCAGCGGTGGTAGCTGCAAGTGCGCTGCGCGCAGGCTGATCCAATGGCAACAGGTTTCGTGTCCGACAGCGTCGCTACAGTCGCGCAGGCAAACCAGGTGCTGGTCCCGACACACGTCGTACTCGCGAACGTAGACCGCCTGCCAAACCCGCAGCCGTGCCAGCCAGAGATGCAGATGCTGTCCAGTGAGCGACTGGCGCTCCAGCGGACGTACCACCTCCGGGCCCGATGCGGCCTGCCTCGAACCTGGAGGAGTAGCGACGACCGCTGATCCGTTCGAGGGCGCCAGGGGCACCGGCGCGCACCCTGCGGCGCGTCCACCAGGCGCGCAGTGCGCTGCTGCTGATGAAGCGTCCGCGTTCGACATGCGTACGCGGTTCTTGCGGCAGAAAACGCGTTTGGGTCGGCAGTGCCCCAGGGCATGCTCGGCGTGGAGCAACTCGTCACGGGATACGTGCCCCCATTTTACGAGCGCGCTAGCCCGATGGCTGCATGAGCGCGAGCAGTACCGGCCCGCGCCGAACGTGCCTGCATGCATCGTTCCGCAGACAACACATGCACGGCTACCTGGCCCAAGACGCGGAAGCCTGCGTCCACGCGCTGCTGCTGGGGCGCGTGCTGTACGCTTCCGCTGCTTTTCGCGATGTTTCCGCGGCTGCTTGCGCCGGTTCTCCATGGGTGCTGGTGCAGAGCTCTGCTGAGAGTGCGTCGGAGAGGCCCCGGCGACGAACCAGATGTCGCGTTCAACAGCATCGCACAAGCTTTCATCCTGATAAGCATCCAACCATTGTTCCACTGGAGTCTGATCTGTAATGGGCGTTGCACGTGACATATGTGAATCCTATAGAAGACAAAACACAGGAAGAGATACGCGCGCGCGCTCGGAACCTGCATGTCGTCCGCAGGGGTGCACGCATGTTGTGCGCGTCACGGATCGTGCTGTGATGGCGCCATCTGCGTGTAGATTGCGAACGTGACATACGGATGATACGCTTTCAGCTCAATTGTATTCCGCATACGTGTGTGTGTGTGTCATGAAATGCTTTTTCATTGTGTACGGCAGATGCCATGAAACTGGGATCATTTGGTGAAATAAAGTCTTAGGGAGGGGTACGGACATCAAAGTCGGGGATCCTGGAGAACCCGGCGTTGCCGGCTGCCAGAAAAACAAGGGAAGAATCGTCATTTTGTCGAGTATCGAGCGAAGAAGAGCAAGTGAAGGAAAAGACGCAGAGGGGAAATATGCGAGAAAAAGTGTTTGCCCGACATGACGGTGACGAGACTCCAAAGGTACAGAGAGCGCGAATTCTAGCAATCCTTGCACTGGTTTGTTGAAATAGAAGCATGAAACGCAAGAAGTTGGTGAAGCTAGACGTCAACGCCACAATCAATACAAGACAGTGTGCTTTGCTGAAGACGAGATCCGCGGAGCTGAGGCGGTCCAGCTTCGTGGGACATCCTCTGATACTCGAAGCGGGCCTGGAGAGAAAGTGAAGCGGATACCACGCGGCAATTCAAAAGAGGCTGAGAGGCGTCTGCGCCTCGGTATTCATTTATCCTCCATGTTCGTGATCTATTCTTTGTTTCATTGACATGTCTATAGGATAGAACACGCAGACGTTCGCTGTATTTCTCCCCGTCAATATATCCGGAACTTTTCTTAGGTATTCCGCCCTGACATTCAAAATATAGCAGCGAAGGCTCACGGGTGCATACGTAGCTTTTAGGGCTTCTAGCTCGGTCGTCATTTCGGAGCGGTACCTTCGACGCTTTGCCGATGATCCTGATGACGTCCCGCGAACCAAGATGCTTCGCGACACTACGCAACAACGGATCCTAAAATAACCGATATCATGATGCGGTGCATACGTAGAGGCCTTCACTCGTCTCTTGTCCCTAGGCCGAGCGTCCTCAAATCACGCCTGCTGCACGTGTTCGATCTTTCCGGTTCAAGGCTACTCGACAGCGAAGCGATTCGCGACGCTGGAACGACGATGAAACAACAGAAAACCCGATACCACCCTATGACAGTGCGTAGAGAAGCTCATGCCGAAAGTGCACGCAACGCGTCTCCTCAAGTAATCGATTTGCTTCGATAGAGGCATGTTCCGCTCTTTCTGGTTGACGTCGAAGGCGCGTTCCGCAGTCGCATCGTACCTGTCACAGGATTTGCGCCCAGAGGATGCCGTCTCTTCTGTATGTATGGGAATGAGGCTTGGAGTCGGACTCGAGTCACCACACAGAGATCACCTCCGGAATACATCCGTTCATTTACCGCTTCGCACCGGCGGAGCGTCGATGGATTGCGCACGCGCGACTTGTTCTCGAGCCCGAGTCTTCCTTCCGGAACCTATTTTATCATGGCCATGATCGCGTTCTACAAACGCGCTTTCGAATGGAATAGCGTTCGCTTGCGTGTGCAACAGAGAAGAACCGCTCGCCGTGGGATTCCGCTGAAGATGCCCGTCATCGTTGCGTGCGTCACCGGATATGGAACCCGAGCACGACATGGAGTCGCGCGCTACGTACCCACCATGTGCACGTAACGAGCAGTGAAGCGAGCGCTCTTGTGCAACAGAGCGGCCCTTGGTGAAGCATGTGCGTCGGACACAGGAGCGCACTTGATCGCAGGCAAGGATCATGGCCGCAAAGGGTGCATCGACTCGATCGACAGAGAAGATGAATTTGGCAGGCGACGTGTGCATGGCAACTTTCACCTGTGCATGAAATGCGTGAATAGCAGCCCATAGCTGCGAAAATGGGAATTTCATGTGGGCATCACCATGCTTCGCCTGTTGACAATAGAGTTGAGGTAGCGGCAGCACTCGGCATGAGGAAAGATGGAGCACAGAGCGCGCAAAACGCACAAGCTGCAGAGATAGCCGGCGGAAGCAGGTATCGATCATACTGAAAAGGTACCCAGACTTGACCGTCTGCTCTCGAGCGACTTCCCTGGATCCTTGCTTTCGTGGACTGGCATAGGTGTGTGAAAATCGTGTCATTGCTTTGCGAGCCCGCTGGGTGCGCGCAATAGAAGTCGCACCCGCACTTGCTGCAGCGCTGAAGTTTGCAGCACAGTCGAGCTTGCAGGACGGAAACTAGACCAGAGTTGCCTCCAAGTGAGTCGCGCCCTACTGGCCGGGCTGCAACTGCTTGTCCGCCGTTCACAGCTCGCAGGTTCGCTGCGGCTATGAACGCAGAGGACGGACCCAGAAGAGCGCCGTTGCCCGGGACTCCAGGTGGCGTCGCTCGAGAGCCCAGCGGGTCAGCTGCACTGTCGTTCCAACTGGCGTCGCTGCCGATGGGGTCACGAGGCGCCGGAGTAGCTCCTCCGCAGCCGCCACCACAGCAGCCCTGGGCCGTGCCCAAGCATCAGGAGAGCTTTGTGCCGTCTGGGGAGTACGTGTCGGCGGGGGTACCGTTTTGGGCGGCGATACCGCCGGAGCCCCCAATGGCGGGCTCCCTCACCTGGTGGGCTCCGGACGCATCAACCGCCACAGCGCCTCCCTTCGCGTTAAGAACTGGAGCCTACGCGAACTTGCAGGGCTATCCGGTGCCGTCAGTTGCCGTCGAACCGGCGGGGTGGTACTGGCCACCGCCACCGCCCCCGCCACCGCCACCGCCACCGCCTCTGTCTGAGGCTGGCTTTCCGGGCGGAGCGCCAGACTGGGAAGAAGAAGAACGCCGAGTCGTCGCGTTTGCTTTGCTCGGTCTGCGTGACGGCGCAGCAGTGAGCACGGAGCTAGCATGGACGGCTGCTGCACTTTTGCCTCGCAGCGCCTACTCGTCGACCAGGATGCAGCACCGCCAGAGTCGCCGGCGCCTTCGCGAAGCGCAGCGCCTTTATCGCGGCGATGCCCCGCTTTTTGGTGTACCTTATGGCCTACCTGGTGTCTTCTGGCATGCATCAGCTCCAGACGCGTCCGACACGGCTGCGGATGACCACGGCATCGACGACGCGGATGGCAACGCAGCAGCTACGGAAACACGCAAATGCCCCGCACCCGCCGAAACTGCACAGCTCAAAATACTCTGGCGGGAGGAGGCCAATCGACGAACGATGCCAGGCCGTGGCTTTCTCACGGTATTTCGGATCCTCGGCGGACAGGGAGAGTTTCTGCGGCTCTTTGAAGATATCCCCGATTGGGCCGTAACCGACGAGGCGCCTGGATCACGAGATGTGAGCGAACCTCCCGAACCCGACGAACGCGATACGTACCCGGTACCCGAGGCGGGTGTGCCGCCACCGCCAGTGCCCAAGTCTGGCGCTGGCGGGCGGCGTCGGGTGCCAAACCCGGCACCCTCGGGAACAGCGCCAGCGGCCGTCCGCGGCCGTGGCGGCAACCTAGAGCGACTCCTGGGGCCTGGCACCGATGTTGCTTTCCGAGTCAAAGACGAAGAAGGCGAGTGGAACTGGATCCTAGGCACTGTTTGCAGTTATCTGCCAGAGGAACGGAAGTACCGCATTGCGGACCGAGGCGAAGAGATGGTCGAGGCATTCGAGCAGCGCGGTGAGGAGCTGAGCCAGCCAAAGCACCGCCTGGACAGCGGCAAGTATCGGCTTTATCAGGTTGCCCGTTCTCGCGTTCGTCCGCTACCATCTGCGGCAGCCGCCAATCTCCGCCTTCGCCCATCGATGAAAGTGCTGGCCCTGTATCCAGGGACAAGTGCGCTCTATCCAGCAACGGTCGTGGAGTCAGCAGAAACGGTTATGCAGGAAACAGATGCTCCCCACGGCATGGCATACAAGCTTATTTTCGAAAATGAGGACGAAGAAGAGGGATCTGAGAGCGAGCATTCTGGCGAAGAGCTGGGATCTAGGGATCTCATGGAGGCTGTTCCCTACAAGTACGTGCATGCGCGTTTTGTTCTACCACTGCTTTGATCTGCCTTGCTTTTCCCGCTCATGGACTGGGCATCTAAACGCCGTACGAGCCTGCCAGATTTTGTTGTTGTTGTTTTTGGTTCTGGGTACGGGCTCCACCGCTGTATACAAGACAAACTCGATCACGTGCATCAGGGGCATGCATGCAGTGCCCCGAACTGCGTCCATTCCCTAATCGGGTAAAATTACTATTTTTGGCGAGAGAACGTTTTCAGTAGAAGCGAAGATGATTTCCGACCGAGGAAGCACGCGGAACTGCGACGCTTTCCGCCGGACTACTGAGCGGCGCGCAAAGCAGCTGGCGACGCCCGCTTGGCGCCTTTGGGACGCACGAAGCAATGCGTGTAGACGCGAGTGCATGCACGGATGTATGTACGAACGAATCTATGCATATCTGCTCTTTTCGGACAGACAAATGCATGGATGCATGATCAATGCTTCTCTGCACGGATCTATGTACGAACGAATTTATATGTTTTTCGTCTTTCGGGACATCGGAATACAATTACGTTCGAATATACGCACGAACGCATGCATTTCTGTATGTATCTATGCACGAATGTATCTATGCCGCGGACGCCATCAACGGTCACGCTCCGGTGTCGATATCCAGCCAGTCGCCGTACTTGTCACGCATAGCCGTCCAGGCGGCAATAGCCGATGCTCGAAGGCGCTGTCTATCCACGTCGACTGCAACCGAGGATGCATCGGGACCGTCCACAATCATATTGAGGATGATGTTATCATCGGCATCTAGCCACCGGATGCTGAAAACTGTGGCGTCTTCGGCACCTCCATTGGGGTCAGCGGTCTCGCCAGCGCCGCGGGCGTGATGTGCGCGCTCCGTCGTTCCTCTGGGTCGTGTTTCTCGAACAAACTGCACCGACTTAACCCGAGAACTGTCTAGGTGTAGCTCGAAGTTTCGGTCTGGAGTGAGCACGCTCACCACTTGACTTGTCGTGGGATCGCCGCCAGCGTCTCGGTTGATAACCGTTTCGAACGTACGCACGTGGGCGCCCTCCGCCAAGAGTGGAAATGTGGTCTCCAGGACAGCTGCCCCGGTTTTGCCTGTTGCTGATACGATACGCACCTGGTCGAAAGAGAGCACTATCTCGGTGACGAGGTCTGTGATGGCCACTCGTTGACGGCGCGTCCCGACCTGAGCGACAACGTTGCAATATCGTGTGTTGGGTGTACGCGCACGCCGCCTACAACGAGCAGCTCTGAACCCTGTATTCGTGCTGTATAGTGTTTGAGGAGCAAACGAAACGAACAGCATCAGGTTCGACGAACCCGGTCTGAGCACGGAGCCCCAAGCCTCGCAGCAAGCGTGTCGACACCTGCGAGATACGCGGAAGCATTCTGACGAACGCAATCGAAGCGTCGCCCTGTCGGTCCATCGAGGCGCCGTGGAGCGCGACGTTCGTGTACGGGGCGCGCCTGCGATCCCGCCGTCTGGGCGTTCTCGTGTCGAGACGGGATGCACGCGATGCATCGATGCATATTACTACGGGTGCTCGATACGTGATGGTTTTACGGGGACTATTGACGGCTCTTCTCTTGACATGCCTCAATTCCGTAAAGCACAGACGAAACGTATTGGCGGGAATGGGGATCTGCATACTGAGCAATGCCGTGTGTGTGTATGCGTGTTTGTGTATGCAGAGCCTCCCGTGAGCGCCGTCCATGGCGGCTGGATGCGCCGCGTTCATCGACGCGGTTCCTGCGTCATCGCCAGTGGATGTGCAGTAGAGCGGAAAAACACCCCCAATGGAGCTGTGTTGCTTCGTGTGGTTAGCGGTAGCAATCGTGTGGGTGGCGAGTGGCGAGTGGCGGATCGTCATCCAAAGGAACTCGTTGCTTGTATGAAATGGAATGGATAGCATCAGTGACTCAGCCCGAGCCAAACCGGCCGAGTCGCGCTCTGGATAACAGAGACGTCATGTTGACGGAGGCGGCGGTGGCGGCGTATCTGACGTGCTTTCGTCATCGCCATAATGGAAGGCAACGGATAAAGACGCGCACCATGGGGCGCTGGCACCGCTGAGGTGCAGCTTTACAGGCCGCGGCGCCACGCATACGCATGCACGGCTGTAGATGCGCAGTAGATGCTGCATATTGTGGTGCGTTGCTCCATTCATGGGATCGTTTCTGGCGGAACGGTCGCTTGGTAGTGGACCCCATCGCATGCACTGGATGCGACGGATGCCGGTCCATGGGCGTGCCATTGCCCCAGCGGGAGCTTGGCGGATGTAGCGGGTGCTGAAGTGAAACAGCGCCGTTTTCTGGCTTGTAGCGTGTTCCCGCTTCACACACACACACACACACACACGAACAGAACACTGTACGCAATTGGGTGGATACAGCTCCTGGACACCGGCGAAGAACCTGACGAGAAACGTGCACAACGATTTGGATGCGGGGCAGCGCATTTGCAGCTCGCTGCATCTGTGCGAGCGCTGCAGTGCGCTTGGATTCGAGAAGCGGTGCGGCGCTCTGCGATATCAGGTACGGTACACCGGGGTCTTGGTGTCTCCCAGCGTCAAGTGAATGGTGAAAGATTCATATCCCGAGTGTCGCACGTACCTGCGTTGAGACAGGATCGCTCAGCAGCAGTGGGAGCACCGAGCATCGACATCGTGCAAGTTGTCTTCGGCGCCCGTGTTGCCAGATACAAGTGTACTCTGACGTGTGCTCCGCATGGACCATGCACAAATGTTTGGAGTGGTATAGCGTACATGGAGTCAAGGGAACGACGCTGCCCGCATTCATATGGAAAGCGTGTTTTAGAGGAGTGCAGCTGAAAAGGCACCGAGGCATACGCAGTTCTGTGTGTTGCTTACTGGGATGCGTCGCAGGGCTCCGTACCGCATGGCGTATTCTTGGAGATATTCGGACAAGTATATTTTTTCTCAGCATGTCATGCAGAGATCGTGACGTCACAACATACGCTGAGATATTCTCTATATCAGCATTTGCACAGTAGATAGGTTAAGAGAGATCTGCGTGATGAAAAGCAGCTCTACGTATTCTTGTCGTCAGCATTTGCGCAGTAGGGTATTCTAGGTGTATAAAAAAAGAACAGAAAATAACCTCTAACTGGCAATGCGACAACAGTGTCGCTCGACCTCTGTGGTAAGCGTTGAAAGAGGGAAAGGTTTCTATATCTTCGAAAGTTTACCCTCCAGGCAGAATGTCCCGCGAGTCGGACGAGTCTGCCAGACCAGTGCTTCATGCTCTCCCTCAGTTGCGGGCGCTGTTGTGAGATCTACGCAGCTTGTCCGCAGCGCAGTTTATTCTGGGACTTGGAGCGGGTAGCGTGCTTTTAGGCTTCGCCCTGGTCGCAGTGGACTCCTAGTGGATCGCTTCGCGCTGCCGCAGGCAGGGCGTCTATCTGCGAAGCTTGCAGGCTCCCAAAATGATTCTGTACTCAGACACCGTGTCGCGCAAACTACGCCTCGGGCCGATGTCGTCAGTGGTACGGGAAAGCCGTTCTCTCTCGGTGAAGCATCCGCAACAGCGGTTTGTGCAGCGATCGCGGACGATCACAGCAGGCACTCGGCACACAAGAGAACATACGAAACGACCAGTATATCCGAGAATAACTATAAGTAATGGAAGTCCGAGGTAGGTGCAGCTTCATAGAAACTTTCCCGAAAGCCAGTATCCATCGATCCTGCAATCTGGGGTCTACGGTCAATGGATACCATGTTGTTGATTGAGAAAAACGGCGACCTCCTGGTCGCCACCAATACATTCAGAGCGTTCTCGTGGACTACACTTTACAGTGGACTCAGCGTTTCTATAAACACCAGGCTTGATCCGATTTGGTTCCACATTTGCATGGGTCTCTCATGACAGGACCACTCGAGACGACAGACCTCAGTTCAGAGTCTTGGTTAGCGACTCGCGAGCAAGAGCTCTTAGCGGTACTGGAACAGCTCCAAAAGAAACTTGATGCTTTGCGGCGATCGCAGCACTTTGGGCGTCACCCTCGGTTATGGAAAGAACGCGTCGCGTCGATGCTGGCATCGCCAGAGCGGAATACTTTGTTCCGCTCCAGCTCCGAGGGAATAGAGAACACCACCGAGGGCGGCCTCGAAACAAAGCTGTACCCGATCCAACGAATCATTTTCGTGTCGCTGCACCTGCCTTCAAAAGCTGAAGTCGACCTCAATCGAGCACTATCCGTCACAGCGCGGGTTACAAGCGCCATTTTGACGGTGCTGGCGAGCGATCCAGAGGTGCCAGTCGTCTGGGTGGGTCTCGAGCCGCCCACCGGGGACGCACCACCCGAGACGCCGGGCGCCGGCACACTCACGAGCTATGCTTTGACAGATGCTTTGCAATTGACCGGAAGAGTGACGCATTCGCCACAACTCGCTCGAACGTTTGTATGCGTGCCCATGGAGCCCGCACTAGCCAGTGCCTTTGTAGCTTTTGCCGAAGAGCAGCTATGGTCACTTCTACACTATGATTTTGCGGGCCTCTTCTGCGGAGATCTCTCTATTCAAGATGGGTGGCGAGCGTACTGTACGGCAAACGCGCTCTTTGCCGATACCATCAGGGGCCTCGATATCGGTCCGGGTGATCTTCTCTGGATACACGACTATCCACTGATGATGCTGCCGGGGCTGGTGCGCCGTCACCTCCCCCATGCACGTATCGGTTTCTATCTGCATACCTGTTTCCCGTCGACGGAGATCTTTCGTATTTTCCCGTATCGGCGTGAGATGCTTGAGTCGCTGCTCCAGAGCAACCTGATTGGCTTCCAGGCGTTTGGGTATGCGCGGCACCTGGTGACCGCCTCGACGCGATTGCTTGGAGTCGAAGGCACCTACGAAAAAATCGTCATCGAACAGCGACCTGCGCATGCCTGTTTTCTGAGCATCTATCCTTTGGGAGCTGGAGTCCGTATGGTGAACACCATCCTCGAGAGTCGTGCAGCTCGCCGTCGCATTGCCGAGTTAAAGGAACGTTTCCAGGGTCGGCGAATTATTGTGGGTCTGGAGCGGCTTGATGATCGTTTCGGGGGCATCGACTTGAAGCTTGCCGCATTTGAAGAATTCCTAGCACGGAATCCTCTCATGCGTAACCAGTGCGTTCTCGTGCAGGTTGCCGTGCTCGAGGCGCACGGTCATCGTGGTAAGGGGCGCTCGGCCTTGCCCGCTGAACGCAACAGCATCGACCCCAGTGTGTTTGCCACGAGTGTTTCGACGTCGAAGCGTCTTCGACATGGAGCGCAGGCCCCGAGCACCCGCTCTGGGTTCGGTGCTGGTGGCGATCATCATCGACCAATTCTGTCGCAGGGGAACGGACAATTCAAAGCGAACCGCTCCCGCACAAGCACGGGCCTTGTTGCCGACGAGGACGGCCGCCGGCAACTCATCCGCACGGTTTGCTCCCTGGTTGGGCGCATCAACGCAGTGTACGGCTCTCTGGACGCATCGCCAGTGCATTTCGTGAACTACGAGCCGAGTTATGAGGAGCTTCTCGCACTGTTCGCAGTCGCCGATGTATGTCTGGTATCCTCAGTGCGTTCGGTGATGACCCCAGTCGCCTACGAGTGGACACTGTGCCAACACGGGCGCGGCGAGGGTCCGCTCGTTCTTAGCGAGTTCAGCGGTGCGAATCGAACCTTTCCCTCGGCGATGCTGGTCAATCCGTATGACATTGAGGGCGTGGCGTTCGCACTCCAAGAGGCACTTAGCCTGGACGCCCGCGAACGCAAAGTCCGGCATGAGATCGCGTACCAGTATGTGATGCAGAATACCGTCAAGACGTGGTTCGATAACTTTGTGGAGGATCTGCAAGTTGCCGCCGCCACGGATCACCAGCATGCGAACGACCCAGTGCCGCTATCTGTGTCCGAGTCGCAGGTTGCCGGGTCGCTGGCGGCAGCCCGCCTGCCGTCTCCGGAAGCTTCCTCAGCGGACATGCACCCGGAGGCTGTGCTGTGCTCGGGTGCGGCAGGAGAGCGTGCAGAGATTGCGGTGGTCGCACGGCTCCTTGAGCTGAGCCAAAAGAAAAGGCTTTTTATCCTCCAGCACGACGGAGCGTTGATGCCGTTCCAGGCTATCGCGGAGCTGGCGGGGCCGCATCCGAACGTGCTTCGCATCGTCAGTGTCTTGGCAACGGACCCGCGCAATGTCGTGTATCTGTGTAGTGGCCGTACGCGAAGGATTGTAACCGAATGGTATCAGCCGTATGCCCACAAATTTGGTTTCATTTGTGAGTTTGGATTGTTTCTGCGTGCGCCTGGAGCAAACAACATCTGGACGGTGAATGCCGAAGGCGAACTGTCCGATCCCGACGAATGGAAACCGCTGATGCTGCCGCTGATGCGGACGTTTGCGGATCGAACACCTGGAGCGATTGTCGAGGAAGCTGAACACACACTCGTTTGGCACTATCGGGACGCGGATCCGGATTTCGGCAAGTGGCAAGCGCTCGAGCTCATGGAGGAATTGGGACGTATTCTGCGCTCGCCCCAGAACAATGGACTCTCTCTGGAGGTCGTCCACTATGAAGCTGTCCATGCAACGGGCGGCAAATGGGTCCGGGTTGGACCACGGGGGGTGCGCAAGGCCCGCACAGTCGAGCGGCTTCTCTCGGAGCTATCCCTGCGTGAGTTCGATTTTGTGCTGGCGTGCGGCGAGGATCGCCACGACGACGAGATGTTCGAGACGCTCCAGCACCGCACGAGCATGTCGAGCGTTCTGGTACGTATCGGCCGCTCATCCAGTGGACGTTCGCGAGCTGCGAACCTGCAGCTAGACTCGTGCCGCGAGTGGCTCGATGCACTCCAGCAGATCGTTCTCGGAACGCCAGGTAACGCGCCGCTGGTGTCGACTGCAGCGCTTTCGCCACGTCGCCAGGAGTCACTACCGCAGTTTGCGAGCGCTGAGCCAGTCCAGTCAGGCGAAGCGACGGATCCGAACGTCGCATCATCCGCGGATACCCTGGTGTACCGGAGGAGTGTTTCGGAACCGCGAATCGGGTCTGCGGAATCAGAGCCGTCTACGAGCACCGCAGTCACAGCATTGCTGGCCGTAGCGTCGAGCGCGAGCGGAGCTGCCGGGCCGAAGCGACCGCCGTCGCTGCCCCGGATTCAGGAATACGAGACCCAGAGCGAAACCGAGTCATCCTGAGGGCTCGTCGGCGTCTCTGTTGGGTCTGTGTATGCGCTGCGTACCTGGCCCTGCATCGAATACGGTACTTGGACTGTGTGGACGCACCAGCGCTTTCTCGTGTTATTCGCCGACGAGCGCATCCATGGATCGCTGTTTCGCGTTGCGGTATCGGGAAAGGCGGCCACGATCCGCATCACGACCTGTTCGAATGGACGCCTGAGACGAGTCTCGGCTATAGCCAGCATAGAGGCATCTCGAACGAAGCATCTCTGGAGCAGCAGCGGAGTGGCATCGCAGCACACCAGCATCTGTCTCATCCTTAAGCAGACGTGCCGCGAGACGACACGAAACGACACGATGCTTGCAAGTGCATGGGAGCATAATTAGTCGAGTTTTACCACAAGGCAGGATACGTTATCGGTGGAGCCGTCTTCGAGGGCCCGCCGAACGAGGCGCTCTGCAGCATACTGAGCGTTTTCGCGCATCCGCGTGTCGCTCAGAATCATTTGCGCAACCTGTTCGTCACTTAGGACGTCGAAGAGCCCGTCGCACGCCAAAACGACATGCGTATCGACGCCCTCTTCGATGACATGCGTACTGGTAAAGGGTTCGGAGATCACCACGTGTTTCATCGCAAAATCACCAAACGCCCGACTCACAGCCAGAACACCTAGCACCCGATGGCAGACCACGAAACCACCCGAGTCACTCACCCGGCGCGCCTCGTTCTCGTCGCTCGCCTTGTGGTCGTAGGAGAGCCGCAGCGCGTTTCCGTCACGGCGAACGAGGATGGCTCGCGAGTCGCCGGCGTTCGCCGTGTGCAGGTACCGTCGTCCATCCTCGTCGCGCCGCAGCAAACAAGTGATGGACGTTGAACCAACGTAGAGACAGCGTTGCGTTTCTAGCTCACTATCCATTCGCGCGTATGCTCTCTGAAAGCAACGCTCGGGATAGCGCGTACGTTCCAGAGACAACGGCGGCGACGCTGCGCTCGAGCCGCTCGCTCCCTCCACCGCTTGCCGTTCCCTGGAGAGCTCCTCGGCGAAAACCTCGTGAAACCTGCGCTCTACTTCGGAGACGGCTTCCCGTCCGCCGTGGCCGTCGTAGATAGCGAAGAACATATCGTCGGCTCGACCAGCGAACCCGAAAATGAACTTGTGTCCGTCTTCGTTGGTTCGCCTGTATCGCTCGTTGGTGTCCTCGGCGAACCCGTAACTCAGGGTGCCCAGCGTCATGGCTGGCGTCAGGCCGTCGCCACTGCTCGTGGCGGGTGTCACCGGCACCGGTGCCGCAGCTGCAGTGCGCTCGACCTGGACGGTGTCGCCCGCACGCCTTGGCAGGCTGCTGGGCGGGCGACTTCGACCACCCACACCGACCTGCGTTTCCTTGTACTCGACGCCGTCAAACTCGACGGCCTGCTTCCGATCCTCCACCGCATCCATACCAGCTTCAGCTTGGGTTCCAAAACCCTTCACCAACAAGCCAATAGCTTGGTGCAGCGGCCTATTCGCCCAGAAAGGAAACGTGGCTTTTCACGCTACGTTATGATTCAAGCGCTGCTGCTGCTGCTGCTGCTGCCCCTACTGCCCCTGCTGTGAATGGATCGCCTGGTACAGCCTTCGCGACAGCGGCCGTCTGAGATGCGTGCGCGCGCGCGCGCACGCACACGCGTACCACACCGCCCGGATGGCCGCGGCAGCGCACAGCGTGATGCGCCCGCGCTCGAGACAGCGCATTGCGTGCATGGATACGTGCAATGCGTGCGTGCGTGCGTGCGTGCGTGCGCATCTCAGGCGCTTCAGCCGCGATGATGATTGTCTTCTTTTCCGATGACACAACACATTCACAGTGACCACGGATTCCAGACTTCGAACTGGATATTGACATTCGGGAAAGCGTCCATCATGTTGCCACACCTTACCTCCAAGTTCTATGATGCATACTTTCTTTCGGACGTGCTGGTCGTTTTTGTGCGTCCTATCGCGCGCCTAACCCTCTTTGAGCACCCGCCCCAGCACCTAATCCGCCAGAGCAGATACATCATGGAGACAGAACCGCTTTGCCATACCACGGACGATATCGTCTCGATGGTGCGGAAACCGAGGCGGTTTCCATTGGCCCGCACCCAGGTTGCAGCGGGTGCTGTTCTTCAATAAAATTGGACCCAAGGCAACGCGTTCACTTGCAGATGAAAATTAAGTTTAGATCGCGCATAGGGATCCGAGACCTCGACCCATGCCTCGGAATCGTCCAGATCAAACAGAGTGAGCGGTGCATGGGCCCGCGGTGGTGCCAGCGCGTTCTTACCGCCGCGCTACATGAGTTCGGCGATACTGCAACGCACACCGCCGCCGCCAACTACTTCAATCGTGCGAATATCGGCGTGAACCAAATCATCTAGATGTTCACGAAGAACCTGGCGCTGCTCTGGTGTGAATGCGTGGTAAGCACCTGTGCTCATCGCCATCACCGGTCGTCCGTAGCGCGACTCGATCTCCAGCACATTGCCGCAAAAGTGACACATCTGTTCACGGGTTATGGTGACGACCTCATGACCGGTGGAACGGAGCCGGTCCAGAATGAGTGCCCGCTCCCGTGAATCCTCCACCGATTCCGCACAGAAGACGGCGACGTGCGTTCCGATACACATCATCACGTTGGTGTGGTAAATTGGGCGCCCGTGGCCGTCCGTTGCGTGGAATGGAATCACTTCGTAGCCCATGACCCTGGCCCAGGTACGGGCAAGTTTCTGGTCGGATCGCTCACTGATCGCCATGTATGCAGTTCGATGGGGTCGGTCGAGGACCAGCGAGCCGGTGCCCTCGAGGTAGCGCGGCGTCTTGCTGACTTCCTCTCTCGTCAGGTCGTAGACATGCGTATACCGCCGGAAAGAGTGTAAGCGCGAAAGAAACTCTGGTCGACGCTCACGGCGACGATTCGGGGATTTCATGGGATAGAGCACGAGGGTGCACTCGCCGACCTCTAGATCCGTGTGCGTGCTGAACCAGTTATTCGGAAACACCGAGTCCGGTGCATCGTGGTATTTGTCGTGGGTGAAAAGGTGAACTCGGGCCCCGATTTTCTGCACGATTTGGTAATAGAGCTGCGCGAATTCATTCAATACCTGACGACGGATCGAGACGAGTTTGTCCTGTGCACCAGTGGTGCTGGTGGTCTGCTCTGCATCATCAGGCTGGTGTTTCAATCCAGCGACCACGGCGCTCGGATCATGCATGAAGTAATTATCATGTGCTGCGTATAGATTCGGCTCAAAGGCAGTTGGCGCAACCATAAGCAGATGATTGGTCGACTGCTGAATGGGAATCGTTGCTGGCTCCATCTGGTCCAGCTCCGTCTTGTTCTCCACGGGCACAATCCTGATGCCCAACTCGTGAAGATATTCCACGAAATCTACATCATGTCGGCCGAGAATAAACTCTCCCATGTGCGGAGTATTTAGCGGCCCGCTCTGATCCGAGAGAAAGCGCGCGGCATCCGTCATTAAGTCTGCATCGTTCGGCGTTTGTTCTGCAACAGTCGGCGCCGCGTTTTCTTGCCCCGCTGCGTCTAGCGAAGAAGATGCCGAATGCTGTCGCGATGGCAGCGGCGTCAGGTTCGCTGGAAGCATGTAATCGTTCACTAGCCGCGCTTGCGGAGGTTCCTGTATGGAGGTCAGCATCGCAGCAACGTCATCGGTGACGATTTTGAACACGTCCTGCAGCGTGGCGCGGTCTTTCGTGTTGCGGTCGAAGATGTCCCGCACTGCAGCAACTCGTCGAGCTCGGTAGAGGCGGCGCGACATGGCATACCGGAAACCGGCAAAGTTTGTCAAGAGTCCGACACCAACGAAGCAGAGGTCGTCCGAGACCCACACGACATCGCGTGCCTCGAGCCGACAATGAGGTGGCAGTTCTTCGTGCATGATACGGCGGATTTGATTTTCTATTCGAGCCTGCTCCTGACGCCGCCGGGCCTCACCCGTGGTGCCCCCCGCGAGCGACAGCGCCTCGGTTTCAAACTGCGCCCGCTGCAGAATCGCATCAACGACTGCAGCGGACGTTGGAGAGCCGCCCCCTGGTTCCCGATCCCAGAGCGTCCCGATGCGCGACGTCTCCGAAGCGTTCTGAGGCACCGGGCCCGAGCTCTCGACGGAGGATGCGCTTTGATCAGAGCCCTCTGGGGTTGACGTCGAAAACGCCGCCCTGCAGAGCCCACGTGGCGGCGAAAACACGCGCCTCCACACTGCACCGCGTAGCCCAAAGACCGACCCCTCGAGCACACCACCAAAGCGGCAACCGAGCATAGTGCTCATGACACGCCACGCTGCCGCGGACTCGCTGCGATGAGGGTGCGGGTCAGAACCCGACGCCAGCAGCTTGCGGGCGCTCCTCCTAGGCAGTGGTGGCGGGGTAGCTCGAGAATGAGACGTCTGCGCCCGGCTCGCGAAATGGACCGCTCCTAGAAAGCGGTCCATTTCGTCTGTCCGTTATGTCAAGAAACGACTGGTTGATACTCGCGCACTCATGGAGCCGCCCGCCAGCGTCCGATCCGCATGCTGCCGCTGGCGCTGCGCACACGTATGCAACGCCAGGATGCGATCCTCGCAATCAATTTACGCAAAAGCGCATTGCCTTGCGCTTGCCAGCGCGCTCGCTCTCCAGTAGCGTCTTGTAAGGGACCAGGGTGATCGCTCGAGAGCCTGCTCTGATGTCGACAGACGGAGAAACGCGCAAGCTAGCGTTTATCCTAGCGCCTCTGTTGCGAACAGGCCAGTGGCAACTTGCGCTGAGAACTGCTCCGCGTTGCCGGCTGCGCGCTGGCGGCTGGAAGCGTTCGGCGGGACGGGGTGCACTCCGTGCGAGTCTCAGTCCTGAGTCTAGCGCATCCGAAAGCGGAGGCTCAACGCGTAATGGTTCGCAGGGAACCGAGGGTCTGCTGCAAGACAAATCAACGGACGGGACGGGGGCGCAGCCGGCCACCGACCTGAGCCCCGCAGAGGCTGAACAGCTGCGCAAGAAGCAGGAAGCGGACGCGCTGCGTGCAGCAGAACGCTTCATGGAACGAGACGAGGGCAACTTTGCGTGCACCTCTTGCGGCTATGTCTATACGCCCCAGACTGGGGAGACGTTTCTAGGTATACCGCCGGGCACGCAGTTTGAGGATATCGATGCGGGAACGTTCCGTTGTCCCGTGTGCCGCTCGCCAAAGAGCGCGTTCCAGCCGGCACGAACAGTGGTCGCAGGTTTTGCGGTCAATCAGAAATATGGAATCGGTGCGAATGCGCTGACGCCGGCGCAGAAAAATGCGCTCATATTCGGGGGACTTTTCGCCGCCTTTCTCTTGTTGCTTTCGGGCTATCTGATGAGCTGAATCGGCATGAGCGCGAGTGCAGGCCTCATCATCGAATTCTTGTCGTTTTCAGACGTGCGATGCGTATCTCAGCGATCGACGGGATGAAGCGAACGCATCGCAGCCGGGTAGCAAGGCAGTGCTCGAAGCGTCGCAGATACTATGTGATCCAGAACTGATTGTGGACGTTGGATTGGCGTCGAGCACACGCGAAGGTGGCGGTCGCAAAACGCACCTTCATCGGAGATGGCGGTTTGTTGGGTTTTCATCAGAATATGTAAAGCGAAATACGACTGGTCGTGCGGGATGAGATGCTTCACCATTGCTGCGGAGCGTTGGATGACACGCCGACTTTGGACGTGCGCAAACTCTAAAAGGAGTACTTGCGCTGGTGCGCGGCAGCAGCGCGAGTTTTGTTTGCATATGATTAGGGTAGCGCTGGCAATAGTATAGGGTAGCACCCAGATGCTGGAACGTGTTAGAATGGAGCGCCTCTGCCATAAATTGACCAACTTGTATGCGCAGACAGTCTCCATTGTGAATCACGCCACCTGCTGCAGGCGCTGCAATTCAGCAGCTCGTTGGTGCCGAGGCACTGTCGCCTGATCGACCCCGCCGGGCGGTTCCCGACTGCGTGCCCCGCTGTGCACCACTCGGATTTGTCCAGCGGCACGTACCGTGCGGTCAACGTCCAAGACGACCACCAGGGTCCAGACGGATCGCAACCTCACATATAGGGTGTTTCCGTGCCGTGGACATGATGCAGAACGGCTGCCACTGGCGATGCCACATAAGCGAGACCTCATGAGAACGCAGTGTGCGATGCGATTACAGAAGGCGGCGAGTGCCTTGTCTGATTTTGATTGATGCACGCACGAAAACTGCTTTGCCGAAGAGACGCTGGTCACCAGATATATCTCCGGGAGCGATAACACGGAGAAAGAGTTCCGCCAGGATATCGATATGCCGTGGACACGACGGAAAGCATGCCGATCACCTGAACGTGCATCGGCCGATTCCTCGTCTTTTGTGTTTCCCAGGATTTCCAGCTGCTTCACAGTGCTTGCGTCTGAGACGATACCATGATCGCATGATTGAGCAGGTCTTGTCGACGGGACGAGCATCGTCCCATGCGTTTACGTTGAATCACGCCAGCTCGACCATCGCCGCTGGCAGACGTCCGTAAACAGGAAACCGCAGCATCAACAATACGCGTGAACCCATAGGACAGATACGAAATCGACCAAGGCGCTGCGTTCTGACGATGGAGAGCGCCCGACCGGCGCCCGTTCCAGAGGCGTCCAGCGGTTGGACCGATTATTGGAGCCGCGCGCTGCGGATCCGCAGCGCATCCAGCGCCGAGCAGCGCGTTCCCCCAAGCCAGTGCAGCATCAGCTGCAACAGGTCACAAGGCAAGCGATCTTCCAACAAGAACGCGCGTAAAACAACCTCAACGCGCGTGCTCTCTGTTTGAAGGCTTTGATGGCGTCCGTCGCGAAGAAGCGTCGACGCGCGGTGCTTCGTTTCCAACAACGCAGAGTTTTCCTTAGGGAGAGGTTGTGTAAGAAACCTTCGCCGCAGGCGGCACAGCGTGCTGGACGCCGCGCAGCTGATGAAAAAGCGCATGAGAATTCGACCAAGCCCCGCAGTTCTGCACTTACAACAACGTTCGATGCAATCAACGATGCATTGAACTTGATCCAGGAAGCGCAGCGTGCGACACAGGTCACGTTGGACGGTGCCGCTTCGGCTGCGCGGGCAGCGAGTCGCGGGTCCGAGCTAGGGTGGCGCGTAGGCACGCGCGGGACAGTGCCTGTGCGTTCGTCTGAGCACGATGCGCGGGCCAGTTTGGACCCTATCCAAGCTCTTATGAATTCGGAACGCTTTCGTGTGGACCCATTCAGAGCGTTGACTGAAACGCTACAAACGCGGGACTGAGCAAGGACGACGTGCTCTCTTTTCCTCCGAGTTCCGCCACTGCGCACGACTGGAAGAGCGCCGCTCGGCACGCTTCGCGGATATCAGCGTTTCCGCGCACCGACTTTGAAGCGCAACGGTATGATATCGACTGAGCGTGCCCAGCGCGCGACGATTCTTGCGTCGCCAGGTGTCGACCATGGACGAAAGTGAAACACCTTGTTCGAATCAACCATGGGACAAACGAGAACGATTCTGTGGCCTGTTTCGCAGAGCATCCTTGGATTATGGGTCTTAGGTGGCATGAGAGCGATAACAACGCCGCAACCGGCATGTCGTATCGAACGGACGCTGCACTGGGCGCTTTGGACGATAGCAGCGGTGTCGAATGCAGGCGTGTCGTTCAGATGCTGGCTGGCTGGCTGGCTGGCGCGACACGCATGCTCCGGATGCTTCGCGCGTGCGTGCAAATGCCGCTGGCCGGCCGATGCGTGCACGCGTTCGTGGCGAACACACGAGATTTATGATCCTCTCGTGGAGTGCGCGAAAGACTCGAGGCAAAGGATGCGAGCGAGTGTTCGCGCCTGGGTATTGCTTGCTGCTTTCCGCGAAGCGCTGTTTCGGGCGAGACATGACAAACTCGCTCTAAGCCTGGGGCGAGATACCTTCCATCTATGAACATGGTTTTCTGCACGGGTGAAGAGAATGCGTAGGTGCGTGGGATGTGCTGCACGCAACTTGCGCTCATGGAGTACGCATGGATCAGTGGAGATGCACGTCTGTCGGCGCTCTTGTCTCAGGGTTCCGCCTCCAGAGCGCGATGATCGAACGGGATCCCGACGTTTCGACGAATGCGAGCGCCCAGGAGCTGCTATCCAACACGGCCTCGGTAACCGAAATCGCTGCGGTTGTTGTGGAGCAGTCGCTCGGTTCCAAATTGGGAGCAGATGCCGCACGCACTGCAGATCGAAAAGGCTGGTGCCTGCATGATGCATGAACGCCTTCAGCTGTGGCTGGAGAGCGTGGTTGCGTCCCAGTGCACACGAGCGACTCGAGGGGTCGCGTGTATCGACCATCATGAAAACGGGACACATTCGCGAGCGCGCTCTGATGCGCATGGATGGACGTCCGAATTGGTGACTTGCATCGCCTGGTGTCATGCAGTGCACCTCATATGCTGACCCTGTGCTCATGCCGGGATCACGCACATCAATTTCTGGCTTGATAGGAGACCCCGTCGTCGTACGATCTGGCGGCCAAACGGTAAGCGCCGGGCAGCATCATCGGTGGTGCTCGGGTGCACGAGCGGAGATGCTCGGAATCTCTGCACCCGCCAGAACAAACGCCGTGTTGAGGTTCTCGCGGGCGCCATTCCGCCTGTCGCGTGCGTTCGCCAAGAAATCCCACCTCTAAAGTGCTCCCACATTCGACGTTTGTATCCGCGTTGGAGATGCGCTGGCTGCCGAGCGTTCGCGAGTCATCTCGACTGCAAAGGCTCGCATGCACGCTGCCTGATTCCTTAGTTTTTTTGCCCGGTGCCTCCGAGGTGTGGCCGTTCTGCACGGCCTTCGTTCTGGTCTGGCCGCATTCTTTGCATATTCGCATAGCTGGGCCACCTGGGGGCGCGTCGCGAACTGACCTGCAGGATTTTTCGCAAACGGCAGCAGGCGTAGGCAAAGTCAAACACATGTTTTGTGAGCTGCAAACGCGCTGTTTCTGTCCTTGAATGCTGGACAACTCAAGAGCGCACTTGAAACTTGTCCCTGAAAACCCGTTCCAGACTGTGATGTGTCAACCTCGTATCGATATTTCTTGGAGCTAGAGCGTGTCATACACGATAGAAAGGCGTCCTGTAGAGCCAGAAACGGCTCCAAGGGTTCCGCACCAGCAACCGCCCAATCCAACGCACCGCGAGCAACCCATTATATGCCGCGCGAGGAGGTGCACGCCTTGTCCGCGTCCGTTTTGAGCTTGCAACGTCTGCGAGGCGGCAGCGTTCAGATTCGAGACAGGGCACAAGTGCGAGAAGCACGCAGCGCATTCCAATGCAAAAAATTTCCGTTCCGTCGGCACGCCCGCCGGTGTACACGACGGCTCAACGCGCTCGCCAGGACGGATCTGTTGCCACCAGCGTTCCCGTCACGGGGTCCATGAACTCGAACGGGACCCTGTTGGCACACGCTGGTGTGGATCGAGTACAAGCGTACCGCTTCGTCAACGAACGAGCGCACGCACTGCACTGCATCGGTCGGAATTTCGCCCCTGGTGCAACGCGCTGTGCAGTGGAGATAATGAGTGCTCACTGGATGCTTGGAGGCTTGGATGCTTGGCAGGCAGCCAGCGCGCGTCCAGCGCTGGCATCACGCCGGGTTCCGCCGCTCTGGACATGCAGCGGCTCGAGGCGCACCACCGAAAATTGGCGCGTACCTCGCACGCGCTATCGTGCATCTGGCAGCGAGCGTCAACATCCTGGTAGTCTGCGCCACACACCAGTGAAGATAATGGTATTCGTTTCGATACCCTCACAACCTGTTACATCAAAAAAGTCGAGGATGTCTCGGCTGGCTTCCGAAAGACCGGTGCTGCGGTGTTCCAAGGGAACGCGACTGGAGAACAGCGGTGAACCGGCACTGCTTACGCGTCGAGCGTTTCTGGGAGCTGCAGCTGCAGCTGTGTTCGGGCTGGGCAGCGTAGTTGCACCTTCAGCGTCTGTGGCAGCACCTCTAACGCTGAACCCTTTTGCGCGGAAGAAGGAGGCAAAGTCTTCAAAGGGTAGCAAAACACAAAGTTCGACGGAAAAGGGTTCGGACACGCAGGCCACTCCGCGGCGGAAGAAAGACGCCCTGGAGACGCTCTCGCCTGAGGACCAGGAGGACATTGATGAGCTCACGAAGCGCTTAATGTCACGTAAGTCGAGCTCAGAGGAGGCATCGCAGTAACGCATTTGGTGCGTATTTGTAACAGCTGAGTTCGGATATAGCGTGCTTTGCTGGATCCTTCGAGAGCGCAGCGTATCGCGCCCAGCACGGAATCCAGCGGGTGCGCACTGCGCGACCACTGCAGTCCTGCGCGTCGACACACGTGCAAGCGTTGTCGACGAGATGCCTTGGCTGCGGCTGCGGCTGCGGCTGCGGCTGCGGCCCGGGTACCGCATTCGTCAAGGGAAACGCGAGCGTTACCGATGAGCGGCGCGCACCATTGGGCAAGGTGCGGTTCGAGGTGCCGCACCGCAACGCGCCGCAGAAACGCTGCACTTGGAGCGCTAGGGGACCTAAGATACTCGTTTAAACAGGGCATAGGGGGATTGATGGATCGACACCGGCCAGGAACGAGTCGCGACAGGCTAGAAATCGGGCGGCATGCCATGCCTCGGCCCGGGATTGAAGCGTAAACGTATACAACCGGTTTTCGTGAACGATGACCGAACATGCATTTTGCCGGTGCCAGCCCATGCGTCCGAAAACTTCAATTTCAAAGTCAGCGTAGACGCGTTGATCGACGTGCCGGGTATTGCGAGCAGACCGTACGCGAGCCGAGGCGACAGCGGGTCGGCTGCGCAGCGTGTTCACGAACTTGTTCGCGAGGATATCGGCGCTTTCCAGGCCGGCCCCCGAATCCAACCCGGCGGATATAACTGAGAGATGATCAGACTCTGGAAACAACGGGGACTGGAACGCTGCCAAGACCAACATACCCTGGTTTGGGTGTCCTTTCGCGGTTGTCGTGATGGCCTCCCTCCGTAGCAACGTGTTCCGCACGGCTTGCTGTCGGCGCAGACGGTCCTCTGTCCAGTCTTTCGGGCGCCAGAACTGTATGCTGTCGTCACGATAGCAGACCAGGCTATCGTTTGCGGTGCGGGGCAGCGTTTCCGCGCGTGCGTTTGTGCCGCGTCCGCCGTCGATTGAGAGCAGCAGCAGTAGCGCGGTGCAGAGCTCGCGGCGGGTGTAGAAAACAGCGTTGGTGCTCGTGTTTGGCGTATGTGTACACCGGATGTGGCTCGTGCCAGTTTGCTTCGTGTGCCGCCCGCGTACTTGTTGATGGTGCAGGGCTGGTGGTGTCAAAAAGGTATACCTCGAGACGATTGTCCGCATACTTGCGCAGTGCGGAAGCTGATCATCTCAGTTTGTTATCCATGGAATGGACGGCGCGTACCCCTACCGACGATTCGGGCAAATCGCCGATAAAGGCGCACCGCGTTTACGGCCACAAAAATCCATATATAAAGACTTTGGGATCTCGTATCGGAACTTGTTCCGCTGCGCGCGCACGCCACGCCGGTGGTTATATCTTCTGGGGCAGCTACGCGAGACGGGGTACAGGGTGTCGCGTCCGCTCCGTTTGACGATTTTTGGGTATGCTCTCGAGCCTGGAAGGTGGCCATTCCCGGGAAGGTGTTGATGGAGATTACGACGCGATCTTTTTGCGGCTTTTGGAGGACGAGGAGTCCTACACTGGGCGTCAACAGCACCGAGGCACAGTGCTACAGGCACCGCCGGCGCTCAGAGCGCGCCTTTCACAGGAGGCGCGCACTGGTGCTGCGCCTCAAACCGAGACCGCTAGGGAACGTTCGGCCTTCGACGTCGACCGCTGGGAAAGTGCATACGCGGACACGAACAGGGGTCTTTCCTGTACGGAGCAGCGCAAGCCTCCCGAGAACGCGTTGGCGCCACGTGAAGTCGCAGCGAGTGCCGGTATCTCGACCAAGAGTTCAGAAGCAGACCTTCCCGAGTGGATCCGACGTGAAATTTACGTCAGAGATGGGGAGCTTGTTATTCTCCGTGACCGACTGGAACGTCAGCAGCGGGAACTGATTGCCTTAAGAAACGCGCAGGCCGCAACTACAACAGGTTCGCAGCAGCTTGGGCGAGCGCGCGCCCCCAGCTGGACCGCTGACGCCCAAAGGCACACCAGACCGAGCCAGGGTCTGCCCAGTGGAAGCGAGCAGGAATTTACGAGTGCTGTCGTCCAAAGACTCGCCACGGAAACTGATCGTTTGAGAGCGCGATTGGCGTTCCGAGAGCGCGAAATCTCCCAGTTGCGAGAGTTGCTCGCAAAGGTGGTATCCTCGCCAGCACAGGGCGTGGCGGATGGACCAGTGCATTCGTCGTCGTCGTCGTCGCCGTCGCAAGGGCCACCGCCACCGCCACCGCCACCGTATACATGCAAGAGCGCTGTAAAGCGAACCGCGAACGTATCCGTGGCCCCAACAACGCATCCGAGTCGGAGTAAGCGGGCTGGTGTCTTTTTCGACGAGAGCCTGCTGTTACTGAACCAACAGTGTGGCGATTCGCTCGCTTCGCAGCCGCCGAGCCCCAATGCAGCAGCGTCACAGGCCAGGGTCACCGTCGACTGGCGCCAACACGAACCTGGAGAACCCTCTTCCGCTCCTGCATTGCAGCATTCGCGGCCATGTTCTAGGACAACAAACCTCCAGTACAGTGATCGTACCCAGATCTTCACGATCTTGACGGCTTGCGAGGATTCATGGCGCGAACTGCTACGCCATGCAGCGCCAACAAATCGCGAGAATCCCCAGGTGAAGCTCGATAACTTTTTCGCTCAGCAGATGCTCGCATTGCTTCGTACCGAAGCAGACCTCCGGGAATGTGTGCGGCCGATTCAACAAGCCATGCTCATGAGCTACGCGGCCTGGAAACGCACAGCAGAGCCGTCTCAGGCACTGGACAAGGAAGCACGCTTCGCTGCTGCGCTCACTGTTCTGGATGCACTCCTGGAGCACAGCACCGCATTCCGGGATTACTTTATGGATGCGACCAGTCAGGAGCGTGCGGACGGAGCCTACTCTGCCTCGAATACGAACGGTCTTATGCTCGAGCATCTCATAGAGCTCGTTGTCGATGATTCCTCCTGGGTATTTTGGCAAAATCACCCAGGTCTGCTGATCGCATGCTTCCGCATCGTGCATAACCTCCTGCGCGGCTGGTGCGTGCGTGTGCGTGAGCGTACCTCACCGCGGGCGCCATCTGCAACATTTCAGGTTCAAATACGGGTACTCATCGAATCCCCCGTTCTTCGACATATTTTCGCGGAGCTAACCCCTGATCATGCATCGTTACGCGAAACAGCGTGTGCAGCCTTGGGCTCCGCATTTGCCGTAGAGAATGCGCTGCGCATCTACACCGGAACTGGTTCCGCGGAAGCTCAATGTTGCGGTTGGCAAGCGGCAGCCGTCCAAAGCGGTAGCATCTGTCGGGTGCTGCGACTCGTCCAGGACGCGCCGCTGCCGCTCACCCTTGACATGCTTGGCCTGGTGGAAGCCGTCTTCCTTGGTCCGTGTGCCGATACCGCACTCGACGAGTGGATCACACATGTTCGCCCCGAGGATCGATTCGAAGCCCTAGAGGATTTGGTGATCGCCTTGGAGCGGCTCTGGATGCCGCTTCAGGAACTGCAGATGTTGTTCCATGAACCATCGGTTGCCGTCCTTGACGAGCGGTATCAAGCGTCGCCTAAACGCAGTGGATCCGCTTTACGAGGAACGCTTAGAAGCGCGCTGGAACGCTGGCAATGCGTTGCTGCTATGTCCATGCCTCGGAGCGACTCTGGAACAGCAACAACAGCAGTGACAAAGAATATGCCGCTGCCAGAGCCATTTCAGTCTGCAACAGTGCAGCAGCTTCAACATGGCATCGTTGGCGTTCTGGCGCTGCTTTATCGCTGGACGCAACCTCTAACCGAACGACCATCTGAACCGGATATCCAGCGCCAGTGGACCATTTCGGCAGACAAGGAGAACCGAGAGCGCTCCGAGGGCACCTCAGTGAACGCTTCCCAAGTCGGAGATCGTCCAGCACACGACTGGCCACATCGACCGGAGCATCTGCGAGCGTCGGTCAGGGCTCGTCTACGCGATCTGCTCCGTAGTTTGCGCCTTGCCGCTGCTGATCAGCAACGCCAGCGTACACCCGCGGCCGACAACAACTCGTCCGCTGACGCAGCAGACGAGATGGTCGTCCCTTGGATCCACTGGAGCGAGGCGGCGGACGCCCTCGAGCCCCTGCTCCGGGCGATATGGTGTTGGCTGCACCCCGCAGACGCCAGTTCGGCGACGGTTCACGCAAACGCCAAACCTGCAGCCGCGATGCCTGCATTGGAATCGACGTCTCTTGCGCCGTTCCGCTGAGTCATCTGTCGGCACCTCGGGTATCACCGGAATGCATCTAGTGACGATGCTCCATCATTGAGAAATACCCTCTCATTCCTACTTTGAGCGCATCATCCATCAGCGCCTCAGCTAGCACCGAAATGCATGCCGAGTTGGAGCTCCATCATGGCCGAAAGACCGTTTCGTTCAAAAGAGTCGCGTGTAAGCCAAAATCGGTGCGCTGCATGATCAGGAATGTTTCGTACGAGGGTCTGTAGACCAAACCAGCCAGTGTGCAGGGGATCTGGTGTGTCAGCGTCAGCCTCTGACGTCATCGCATCGATTCGGCGTTCGCCGATCCAAACCTGAACTGGAGTCCAGGCTGGTAAAAGGCTCCGCAACTCTTGCTGAAAACGCGCCGCAAAGCCCCTGAGACGCACGTTACCTCCGATGAGAACCACATGTTGGAGCAAGGCAGGCCAGAGCGCTTTGGGTATGCGCTCTAGGCTCTGGAGAACAACCTCTGGAATGCCAGCCTGTGGGATCTGAATGGTGTCTTGTGGTGCGAAGAGCGACTCGGGTGCGAGGAAATGCTCGTTGGTCAACGTTAACACCGAACCCAAAGTCGCTGTCTCGTCAGCTCCGTCAGCATCTGCGTCTTCTTTGTCGATTGCGGCTGTCGTGGTGATGCTGGTATGCTCCGGAGCCAGCACTCGGCCGTAGCGAAACTCGCCGCGGTCCGTCTCGTTTGGTAGCAGGTACCGTATCCGAGTCTCTTCTGAATGCAGGCGACTCCGCTGCAGTTCCCGCTCAAGGTCCGCACACACGTAGCACACGCGCTCCTTGAGCCGCTGTACCAGGAAGCTCTCCTTCATCAGGTTCCAGGAACGGTAACTGATCAGTTCCTTAAGATAGTTATTCAGGAGCCGTCCGCCTACATCGAGGCGACGCACCGCGTAGTTCAGGAGCTGTCCACCAAAGACCGGTACAACATGCGTAAAACTATGACCGGAGTCTATGACAAGACCAGTGGCGCGACTCCATGGGCTCGGTGAGGCTGCTGTGCCCGTCACGAGCGTCTCGTGGTGCATGAGCGCTGCGTAGGCGGTGCAGGTGACGTAGACCGCGGATACGTCGAAGTAAAAGAATGCGGTTTTCAGCATCCGTTCTAGCGCTGGTAGCGGACAAAGCGGGGGCACCGTCAATACGAGGCGTTTCCTGGTCAATGATAGTTTCTCCTGGGCGAGCACATCGCTCCAGATCTTGGCTTGCAGCGCCAAGTCGGTAACAAGTCCGCGATCGATAGGTCGTCGAACCCGCAGACCCAGTGGAGAACACTGCTCCAGTGCTGCCCCGCAAAGCGTCTTGCGCTCTGCAGGCGAGTGCGTTACCCCAGAGCGCTTTGCACCAGCGTCAGTGTCAGCACCAGTTGAATGTTTCACACGAGCGAGGCCGTTCACGTGGACTCGCGGTGCGGCGTCGCCAAGCAGACCGATTTTCACAGTGTCTGCACCGTTATCCAACAAGATTATGGACGCGTCAATAAAATCGCTCATAAGAAGTGCCTTTCTGCGGAACACTGCGAACTGTTATGGGTCCATGCGTCCACGCTGCACACGACCGTCGGTAGGACACGTGGCTGCACCGCGTTCCCCGTTCCAGTCCGGTCGATGCGGTACCGTCAACAACCGCACTGGAGACGTGCTCTTCCAGAGTTCTACCTACGCGTAAACTAAGACCGCGGCGGGTACGTGCGCTTCTTATGGACCCTCTGTGGGTACCCGGCAGAACTCGCTAGCGGTCGGGTAACGAGCGCACCACTGCTACGGCTCCTGTACAGGGGCTTCGGCGACGGTGCCTGCGCACTCTCTTTTCTTTTCGCTCACCAAACGTTTATGTTGTACCTGGATCCCTTATCGCGGGACGAGAACTGGCTATCGGGAAAACGCCCATCGTGATACGCCTCACCCTCAAGTTCCATTCCTTACAATTCCTTTCGGATGTACTGGTCGTTTCATAGGTTGTAGCGAGCATCGAGTGCCCGTCGTGCTGCATCCACCTTGGCGCCTAGACAGCTGGTGCAGATGCACCTTAGAGACAGAACGGCTTTGCCGTACCACTGGGGGCTTCGGCTCGAGATGTGGTGCACCTGACACGGATTCGGAGTCCATCATCATGCTGGGGGCCTGGAAACTGCGCTGAAAGAGCTACCGTCTGCGGCAGCTCGAAGCGACATGCCGGGAGTCCACTGCGACCAGGGCGACGCCCAGACGCAGCCTAACTGCTGCTCCTAGTCCCAGAGTCGACTGCGTTGCGGACGAGGTGTTCAGGTCGCACCACTGCACTAGGCACAGGTAAGGGCGTGAAGCACTAGTCTTGCAGACTCGTTCGGATTGCGGGACGTTTCGCCCTGAAGGCAAACTTTCGAAAGTATGGAAACCTTTTCGCCCTTTTAACGGCTACCGTGGAATGGGACAGGAATCGTTACATCGTTTCTCGTGAATCGTTCGTCTCTTTCCTTTTTTTCTCCGAATAGCGCGGTCGATAAGCACACCTGCGAGATCACGCAGTCACGAGAGACGACGCGCATGTCGCCGATGAAGGGAAACGCGTTTCTAACTATGCTCTGACCTATTGCCCTACCGTACATGTTGTATTCGAATTACAGGCGTAGCGGAGTACAGTTTTTTGAGTTCAATCGCGTTTGAAACGTCAAGTAAGCATATTCAAGTGATGCTGTGCGGTGTATAGGAGAAGCGTTCAATGTGCGTTCTTTCGCAGAAAAAATTCTAAAAAAGGAAAGTTATGAGAAAGCAAGTCGACGATCGCGGAGGCGCAGTGTCGCCGGCTGCCAGAAAAAGAACGAAAAACGGTGCCGAGCCCAGGAGCACAGGCAAAGACGATGAAGCAGAAGCGGGAGGCCCTACGTCAAAGGCCGCGGGAAAGACAACAGTACGACGAGACGGTGGTGAAAGCGTACCTTCGTAAACATATCAAGGATGCCTACAAGGAAAAGTTGCGAGAGGCCATCAGAAACCGTGTCGAGTCGTACTCCACGAGTACGAAGAAGGCTTCGTCAGGACTGATGCATATGATGAACGAGATGCACGACAACGCGACGGACACCAGAACAGTCGAGGTTCCGGGGGAATTTTTCAACAAGACCTTTGCTCGTCACCTGATGGTCGGCACAGGGGAGCCGTCGACAAACAATGAGCGAGTGCACGCCTTCCACGAAAACTTCGCGGGATTCGGCTTCGAAGGTGCATCGATACAAGGGTTACGGGGATATTCACATCTACGGGCCGATCGAGTACCTCGCGAACCTGAGGAACCATTTGACCATGAACCTCGAAGGTTTCATGATAAGCGCCGTGTTTGCGCTCTACCGGGGCCTCTCTCGCGGGGAAGAGATGGGCCATCTTCGCTGCCATCACCAACGATCGTCAGCATGAACAGGCAATAGAATTTGTCGACAAGATGACATCACGCAGGAGCATGAATGAAGCATATGTGATCGGTGCAGCTATTCAAGAGCGTCGTGGTGACACGGAGGTAGGGGGTTGGATAGATACTTCACCTCGCACTGAAAAAATATCACAAAAAGTAAGGAAAGTAAAATGCGCATAATCGGAGAACGCTGGCCCAAGTAAACGTTTTGTCCATGGAAAAAAAGAGCATCGTGAAGTCTTGGGGCTGGCCAACCCGACAGAAGACGTGTCAGATATGAAAAAAGTGAGAAAAGATGGTACCCCCGCATCCTGCGCTACTTCGTGTGTCTGGACCGAGAACTCGAACGCAAGGCGGAGATGGTGCTGGGTGTGTGGAAAAATGAAGAGTCGCGGAGACGGAACGCTTTCCCAATGGGGAAGTGCTTCAACGTGGTTCCAATGAGCAACATCAAGTCACATTTTGTGACTATCGACCAAGGCGTCCACTACGGCAACATGAGTGAGATCAGTCCGGTGTTCGGTGTCAGCAGGGAGGAGTTCACCGGTGAAAATCGGGAGACGTACCGGAAGAGTCTCTTCGGTTTCAAACGTCTCAAAGTGAGCAAGCAGAAGGTATTCACGGGGATGATCGGAACCGATGGCGTAGCCACGTGTGTACGCTATCGGAGGTTTGAAGGCGGATTGTCCAGTTCGGCCTTCGATATCGCCCGTGACGAAGCATGAAGAAAACAGGGAGGAGGATCCTGCCACACAGAAAGTGCAGGATAACGACTTTGTCGTTGACGCGACGAAGCGTGAAGATGAGATGGAGGCGGGTCCTGCTACGCAGAAAGTGCAGGATAACGACTTTGTCGTTAGTGCGGATCCCGGGAACACAAATATCATAACCATCGCAGTACCCAAGCGTGCGGAAGATGGTATCAACGGCAACCTACGTCAGACGGCCCTGCGAGTTTTAAGGTTCTCGTGAGCGGGATGCTATCGAGAATCCGGTATGATCAATGCGAGGAAGAAAATTGAGACACGGAATGCAGGAATGAAGGATCACCTGGAAGCTTTGCGCGGAGTAACGAGCAGAGGAGCAGGCTTTGAAGCTTTTCCGATATTCATGGAAGGTCGCGTTGCTCATTGGGATGCGCTGCTGGAGGAGTATACAAAGCCCCGGTGGGCTCGTCTGCGTATGAATCTGTACGGTGGTAAGCAGCGGGCATTCGCCAAATTTTTCAGTCAGTTGAGTGCCTTGAAGGAGGACGAGAGCCAGAGGCTGGTAGTGGCATACGGAGCAGGGCGTCCACAAAAGGGTGCACACCAGCTCCGTCGACGAGAACGTACAAAGCGTGTGCACGGCGCTTTGTAATGATACCGATTGATGAGCTCCGAACGTCCTATACACACCACGAACTGGGGTGCACACTTGAGACGGTCGACATGGAAAAGTGCCAGCGGAGTCCTGAAGATATGAAAAAGTATGGAGCGCTAACGGAGGAGCAAATGGACAGGAGGGCGAAAGTTCGTGGACTACTCGCATTAGTAAGTACAATCAATGGCAAGAAACGCATGGAAATTGTTAACCGCGACTTTAACGCGGCTACCAATATAAGGAGGTGCGCGGTGATGGAGAGAAGACCTCCGTACTTGACAAGAGGGAATTTTGTAGGGAAACCTCTCGAGGTGGAATTATACGAGAAAAAGTTGAAACCGGTAGTAGGTGGCCGGTCCAAAAACACTGGGATGCGTCGACAAGTCTGTAGAAGACTTTTCGTCTAGGGCGCCGGTCACCACTACTTTGCACTACCGACCACAGCGTTTTTCTTTAGAAAGGCGTTTTTTGTCGGCGATGTGAGGATTCTTTTACATGCTTAAAGTACTGCGTCAACCAGATCGAGTCCGTGTCTCGAGCTGAGCACTTCCGGTAGCGTCTGGTCGTCGGCCATTTGGGAGCACGCGCCCTAGACGAGCATCGTGTGTGTGGCATTACCTGTGTGGACCAGGTTTGTCAAGGGAAACAATTTCACGCTGAGTTCCAAAAGTTCGGTCCTTGTGTATTTTTGCTTGCCAGGAGCACAGGTCACCAGCAAGGAAGTTCGTGATCAGATACTGCCAAGATCCGACGAGTCGTGTAGCATCGTCCCGGAGATGTTAGGGCAGGCCCCCGAGCTACCACTCGCAAGCCACGCATTCGCCTCGCAGGTACGTGAATCATCGACAAGAAGCCGGATTCAATGGCACATCCTGAACATCTCAGCAAATCGTGATCTCATTCCTGATCGTCGACGGGCTCGGTCTCAGAGGAATCGTGCAGGCGCTCATCCTGATCTGGTGAATGTGCCCTTTCGTGGCGATCCGTCCATCGACTCCGAGGCGAGGCAGCTCGTCGTGATGCCAAATCAACGCGCTGTCGAGTTGTAGCGTTGCTGTTCTCTGGGCGAGGTCTCAGTGCTGCCTGGGTGCCTTCCCCGGGGCGTCCTTCGGGCGAGCGGAAGCGCCGCCAATCCTCTTGCTGGAAACGGCCTTCTCGTCCAGCGGACTTGTCCAGGAACGGTCGACGGGGGTCTGCTGCATCGCGTTGGACAGTTCCACGAGCGTAACCGATACTGATTTCCTGCCCCATGATGCAGGTGCCTTGGAGTTGATTAAGCGCTACCCGAGCATCTGCCTTGGAGGTAAAGCGAACGAAACCGTAGCCCAAGGAGTGGCCCCGTTGCCGATCACGTATAATGCGACAGCTCAACAGATCTCCATAGGGTGAAAACGCCGCAATGAGGTCGCTTTCCGTTACCATCGGAGCGAGATTCCCCACGTACAACATGACATCGATGTACGCATTGCCTGCGGAAAAGGTATCCGCGTCAGCTTTCGTCGCCCTCGCTGCCTCCGCGGCAAGTGCATCCGCGATCACTTTGCGAACAGGCTTTAGTCGTGCTTCAGCGCGTGCAGTCGCTTCAATGCGGGGAAGCGGTCTCACTCCCATGGTCGGCCGATCCGATACCAAAGTGTCTGCGGAAATGAGATCCATTGCGGATGCTACGAACTCGTGCAGGCACTGGGTGCACCGGCAGATGCGTGCGGTCTCAAAGAGAGACGCCTCAACCTGATAGCACATCGCGCACTCTGGGCACTGGAGATACACTGCATCCGGATCGAGAAGCGGGCCTACATACTCATCCGCATCTTCGGTCTTAGACTCGGGCGAATCCAGTGACGGATCCGTATTCGATGTAGCAGCAGAAGCAGAAGCAGAAACCGGCGGCTGTATCGGATCTGTTTCTTGAGCGGGGACCTCTTCGTAAACCGGCTGAGATGCAGATTCGGGCGTACTGCTTTGCTCGGCGTAATGGGGCGCATCCGGTGGACTGTCCGTAAGCGCTTGGCTCGAATTTGCAGCGGTGGTGGGGAAAGACGCATGCGGCCCAGCAGATCCATGTATAGTTGCGGATTCGTCTTGCGGAGGGGCATTCGGGTACCGCGCTGGTGCTGCCGAAGGCCTCCATAACTGGTCGAGTTCGCTTCCAATCCATTCGCCGTCATCCTCATCATAAAAGGCGCGATTTTTGGTGCCTTTCATTCGCATCATCGGCTCAAGAGGAGTGATCCGCGGGAGCGATTTTCGCGCAGCACTCGTCGATCGGTGGCAGTGTACAGTTCTGTGGAGCGCTCGCCAGTTAGCGGCTTGTGCGCTCGGTTTCAGAGCGTGCTGCTGCTGCTGCTGCCGCACGAGCAGCGGAAACCCAAAGCCAAGCATGCGCGAGCTGGCGGCTCCGTGCGAGAACCATACGGGCGTTGGGGCCATGCATTTCACGCGACCCATGGTATATGCTGAAGAGGCAGTACGAAAAGATGCTCCTTGCTCTCGCAAAGAATGCTGCTGACGTCGCTGAATACGCTTCCCCACGCTACGGTAACGGCCGTGAAGAGCTCCGGCCGGTGATCGGTCCCGCCGTCCAAGGAAATGGAGAGACGACGACCTGCAACAACAGGCTCTGTTGAACAGCGTCAGTGTTTGTGTTTGCGGAGGCTCCACTGCGGCCCAAGAGGGGGTCGTCGTCTCTCTCGCTCGTCGCTCGGAACTACGCCGTCGACTCGCTTGGGTCAGGCAACGGCACCAAACTGTGATTTCGGCACCAGATCCTTACGGGTGCAAAGTCTCCGTCGACGCCCACGACACCGTTCCACAGCCTGAAGCGTTTGAAACGCTTTGGAGTCCGCCCAACACCAGCTGCGCTAGGAACTGGTGAGACTCGGCTTCGCGCCCAGTGCAGCGACGCCCTTCGCCCCTCGGTGACACCGTTTGCGCTCAGTAGCGACGGCACAGAGCACCGACTGTTGTTCCAAGCAAGAGCAGAGCGATACTCGTTGACAGCGGAGACTCCTAGTAGCGCCGGTCGCCTATCGCTCCAAAGTTTCCTCAGGGGCTACCCGAGCAAGGCAACGGGACGGCGTGCTGACAAAACGCAGATGTTGTCCGCGTAGAATGAAACTGGAACAATGTTCCGCTCGCTCTGCACTCGTCTTGCGATTTGATTCGCAAAAGTTCTTGGATGCACAGCATCGATACGCCAAGTGCAGCAACAACGGCTTACGGACTCAAACGTAGTTTTCGGGATTCTCGGTCGGGCGTTTTTCTCTCGGAGTGACCTGTTCGTCGTCCATTCACCGCTGGAATGCGTTCCGTCGCCAGATTCATGTTGAGTCGCGCCACCCTCGAACCAGCGTCCCTGGCATAACCTATTTTATGATCGAATGCATTGGGGCAAGCATCCATTCTTCTGATTTTTTCAAGTATGGGATGCTCAAATCGCGCATTCCTCAATATGTCGTATCTCTATGTTTCGGGGCCATTGGTGGATGCAGCGATTCGCGGCCCCGGATTCACGACGGCTCAAGAGACGCGATGTCGTCTCCTGGACGCTTGTGCACCAGCTGATGCCCAGAGTTCGCCGCAATGGTCTCAGGTCAAACGATCGCTTCCGTTCGAAGCACGAGTCCGCCGCTCTGCACGGCTATCGACGAAACATCGTCCGGCAGCAACACGAGCCTCTCACGGGATATGCATTCGAAGGCTCCCATCGCTTTCATTTGCATGAACAGCGGTCTTGGACTCGGAGTCGAGACGTCGCAGGAATCGCGGCCAGTGGAGCGCTCGGTACCGTACGGCACGAGCGGGACGTTGACGGATCCAAGGCGTTTTGGCCTGCTTGCCGGCCTGGACTTGACGCTTACGGTACTTGTTGCACGGTGGACGGCATCGCGTTCCCTAAACCCTCCTTCGGATGGAACGCGCTGCACTTGCGCGTGCAGCGCACACCGTACTCGCCGATGCGATCTGCCCTGACTAGCGCCCGTGATCGTAGCGTACGGCACCGGGCGCGGAAACGGCGGAGCGCATACAGGGGATCCCGCGGTACCCGTCAAGACCGTGTATCGAGCGATGAAGCGCGCCTTCAGATGACGCAGTGCAGGGTGTGGCGGAGAACGTGCCGCGCGCACACAGGAACTCGTGATACGAGTCAGGAGTCACGGCTGCACCCCAGGAAGGCTCGTGAATCGCAACTTGCGCCTGTACATGAAGTGCGTCGACGATACCGGGGAGCTGCGAAATCGGGACGTGCACGTTGGCCTCAACATCGTTCAACAGCTGACGTCGGAGCTGGATGTGCGGGAGGTACCGGCGTTTATCACTCTGCAGGGAATTCGGAGAAAAGAAAGAGGCAGGCACAGAAAGCGCACGACGACGACGCATGGATACGTAGCAATCGGAAGAATCGGGAAAGATAGGTTGTGGGCGCGAGATTCACCTCGTGGACCTGTCAAGATACATACTAGATTGGGTACTCTTGCATGATCCTGAACGCGACAGCGCGGGTGGCGTCGCCGGTGATTGCCCACATCTGGAGGTCGCCGCGGCCGCTGCGGCGGCGTGCAGCCTTCCGCCCGCTTCCGGGCGAAGCGCGACGACGCCCCGACGTCCAAGAATGATGACGGAACGAGGCATCGCCGCAGTTTCGTGCATAGCGGACAAAAGTTTTCGCCATTGTGCACTATTTCGGAACGGGCTGGAGCGCTTACGATAAAAGTATCGATCAGGTGATATCCATGTTCGTTCAGGGTAGCATTCTGCGACACAGTTGCACGCTCGGAAAACGGAACTCGAGCTTCGCTGGTGGTGTTGCGGTAAGCACGGCGGCGCCAACCGCAGGGCTCGCCGCTGCCCGGACGCTGCGGTTGCGGACGCGTGGCTTCCGGTCGCTTGTTGCCGTGCATCAAGCAACGAGTGGCACGCACTCTATCAATTCATATACGACGGGCGGCCCAGTCCAGGCGCTCGGGCGATATGTACTTGTTCGACTGGACCGCAAGGAGACACAAACCGTTGGTGGTATCGTGCTGGCGGAGAGCGCACAGGAGAAGCCTTCTCGGGGCACAGTGGTGTCTGTTGGCGGTGGTGCTTGGCACCCGAACGCACCAGTCAAAATGCCTATGGCTGTCAAGCCGGGTGATGTTGTGCTCTTTGGAAAATATGGAGGAACCGAGGTAAAAATGGACGACGAGGATCACGTCTTTGTCTCGATGGATGACATCCTCGGTGTATATGATGGAGGCAAAGTCGACGACCCGCAGGCTTTGAAACCTGTGTTCGATCGCGTGCTCGTTCAAATGGAGAAGAAAACCGAGAGGCGGAGTGCAAGTGGTATTATCGTTGCACCCACAGCGAGCGTTGATGAGGACGCCAAGGCCGGCCGAGTCGTCGCTGTTGGCCCGGGTCGTTTTATGGTGAACGGCGAGTATGAGCCAGTGCCCGTCCAAGTCGGTGAGTGGGTCATGTTTCGCAAGTACAGCGGCTCGGAGGTGAAGTTTGGCGACCAGGAATACAACGTTGTGCGGATTGCAGATCTGCTGGCCAAATGGAAAGCGTAGAGCAGGTATTGACTTGCCGATGAAGAATGCGCCCTTAGGAAATTGAGTGCACGCCCACCTATCCAAGAACTTAGCCGTGACCGATGCGGCCTTTGGAAAATCTCACGTAAAGCTGGATGTCCGGTTCAGGCTCTACGCAGGAGCGAGCTGCGCATTCCTGTGAGGTGCTGCACGCCCGTACGGAGACTCCGGTCGGCGGACTTGCCGTCGCTGGTGCATACAGGGAGCCGCTTTATCTGTTTTAAAAATGCGGTGCAGCATGGTCTGGTCCGGTCTAGAGCAGGGCGCTCCTCGGTTAGAAGCGTCTCCTCGTCCGCGCACAGGACGGCGCTGGCGAACCGTTACCGTAGCAGCAAGTCGGCCGCAGTGCCTCACCAGACCAGTGTCCCCCACGACTGACCGAGACGCAGTCGGTGCTTTCGTCAAAAAAGCTGCGGACAGGCATTGCCTATCAAGCAGATAATCCAAAGGTTTCCGCAGCTGCATCGGATGCGCAACTGAATCAGCATACTTTCTCTATCTTATGATTCAGATTCCAACAACCGGTGCATCTGCCTGCGCAGTCTCCGCCTGGAGTGAGGCGGCCCCGCTGATCGCCGCGCCCTGCTCGAGACGAACGCCAGTATCTTCGGGAGCATCGCCATGCACTTCCATGAGCTTGGTCAGGTCAAACTTCGGAGCTCGAATCAGTTTGCATTTGCGAATGTATACGTTTTGTAAGGGATAAATGTTTTTGCATGCCTTTTCGATCTCCTTCCCAATAGCCTCTGGAATGATATTGGCAACGAAATCTCGTAGAGTGCCCTTCGATGTCTCTTGGACCATGATATCCACCATCTTCTTCCGGATGGCGCGCTCCTGTGACTTTTTGCAGTAGCTTGTTTTTCGAATCTGCCCCTGCCGCCGCTTTGTGAAACCAATACAGAACAGACGCAAAACGTAGTCATCCAAGGTCTTCACATCGACATGAGCTTCGATGGTGGTCTGCCACTTTCGCATCATCGAAGACAGCTTATCGCGCGTAAAGTCGAAACCATAGAACTGTGTCAAGCAGTTCCGTCCCTGAACATCCTCGCAACGAAGCTTGATCTTGCGATATGCGAGGTCTTCATCTTTCTGCAGGTCCGCCAGTGAGATCTCGAAGACACGTCCTTTGAGTGACTCCGATGCTATTCGAGTGCCAGAGGTTTTCGACACGATTGTCTTTCCCGCCTGTCGGACAGAAAAGTAGGAGGGCGCCTTCACGTCATACCACTCCTTGCGGGAGTAGGGATCCAATATCTTTTTCTTGCTTCCCTTCTTTCCCTTGGAGAGACGCTTGTTCTTGCCCTGGGCCATGGTGTTCGCTTATTGCCTCTGAGCGAGTAGTGATTCGTTCCGTTAACAACACAGCGTTGCCGCGGACACAACGCTCGATCGTTGGTCTATCCAGAAAGAGGAGATCCGCCAGCCTGCAGCGAAGCGATGTTTCCTCCTGTCGTGTGCAAACACTCTGAAGCGCAACTCGTGGACGATTGGAGACCGGCGCGAATGCGACGCTGCGGACGGCACGACGAGGCGGTGTGTCCATTTATTACCATCTCGTACCATCTTTTCCTTTTATGGACTTATTTGGATCAGATGGAATCGTCCTGCACGACGAGGTGTCGTGTCCTTTGATTGCAAGTTTATCTGATTTGTTTCGTTCATTACAAAGATGTAAAAGATATCTTTCGTAGTCCCTGCATGTGCGTTCCGCTTATGCGTGTGTGACACCAAATTCATGCCGACCTGTGAGCTCAGATCGCGCACTCGATACCCGTGGTTGGGAAGGTGTCCATGATTCTAAGCCCCGCCTCCATGTTCGATGACCTACACTTCTCCTCGGCGACACTAACTGTTTCGTATGCTCCATTGTACGCCGGGCCTTCACGAAGCGGTCTCATGAGCGCCTAACAGCGCCTGTGCGGAGGTTGCTCGGAGACAGAACGGCTCTGCCGCACGACCGGGGAGGCCGGCTCGAGCATACATGTTTCATGAATGGCTCATTCGGATCCGCATTCGTCGCTGCGATTGCCCATGAAGAGCTGCGCTGCGCTTGGTGACTGATTTCTATGCACTCTCTCCGCAAACTGAAGAAAACACGCCTGCAAGGTTGCAGTGACGGTGTCGCATTGATAAATAGCATACATTCTACTTTGCACCCGTCAAGCCGTCACAACGCAGATGATGCCGTACCGGACACCTGAGGTCACTGGCATCAGGACGCATAAGGAGCGTGTAGCTAATCTCAGCGCGCTATGCGCAACCGCGCGGCTCGCCAAGAGAGCACCAACGCTGCACGAATCGGGAAGATGCGGCACGCGGGTACACATGCACGTGGCATCGCGATGACTCTGTCCGCGAGTGGACAGATCGAGTATGGGGAGACATGCCCCGCCATCGCACCTAATGCAAGGCCTGTATTAGGGATCAATACCCATTTCTGCGCCCGTGGAAGCATGTGCATATTGTCCAGGGCGTTTCTGTAAAAGCTCTGAGAGCGCACAATTGTGCAACCATCCTGTACATGAAGTCACCAGTCAATAAGTCCCAGTACGAAGTATCGACCGAGACTCGAACTGTGCAGGATCGTACATGCTATTGGCGTGTTCGTCCTCGTTTTTCGTGCGGCAGAGCCGTGGAACTTGCCTCACGAGTATTCACGCTGCCAGGTACATCATATCTGCGAGGGTTCCAGTCAAGCCCAGCCTACATCTATGCCGGGATCAATCTTGACAGGTCCACGAGGTGAATCTCGCGCCCACAACCTATCTTTCCCGATTCTTCCGATTGCTACGTATCCATGCGTCGTCGTCGTGCGCTTTCTGTGCCTGCCTCTTTCTTTTCTCCGAATTCCCTGCAGAGTGATAAACGCCGGTACCTCCCGCACATCCAGCTCCGACGTCAGCTGTTGAACGATGTTGAGGCCAACGTGCACGTCCCGATTTCGCAGCTCCCCGGTATCGTCGACGCACTTCATGTGCAGGCGCAAGTTGCGATTCACGAGCCTTCCTGGGGTGCAGCCGTGACTCCTGACTCGTATCACGAGTTCCTGTGTGCGCGCGGCACGTTCTCCGCCACACCCTGCACTGCGTCATCTGAAGGCGCGCTTCATCGCTCGATACACGGTCTTGACGGGTACCGCGGGATCCCCTGTATGCGCTCCGCCGTTTCCGCGCCCGGTGCCGTACGCTACGATCACGGGCGCTAGTCAGGGCAGATCGCATCGGCGAGTACGGTGTGCGCTGCACGCGCAAGTGCAGCGCGTTCCATCCGAAGGAGGGTTTAGGGAACGCGATGCCGTCCACCGTGCAACAAGTACCGTAAGCGTCAAGTCCAGGCCGGCAAGCAGGCCAAAACGCCTTGGATCCGTCAACGTCCCGCTCGTGCCGTACGGTACCGAGCGCTCCACTGGCCGCGATTCCTGCGACGTCTCGACTCCGAGTCCAAGACCGCTGTTCATGCAAATGAAAGCGATGGGAGCCTTCGAATGCATATCCCGTGAGAGGCTCGTGTTGCTGCCGGACGATGTTTCGTCGATAGCCGTGCAGAGCGGCGGACTCGTGCTTCGAACGGAAGCGATCGTTTGACCTGAGACCATTGCGGCGAACTCTGGGCATCAGCTGGTGCACAAGCGTCCAGGAGACGACATCGCGTCTCTTGAGCCGTCGTGAATCCGGGGGCGCGAATCGCTGCATCCACCAATGGCCCCGAAACATAGAGATCCGACATATTGAGGAATGCGCGATTTGAGCATCCCATACTTGAAAAAATCAGAAGAATGGATGCTTGCCCCAATGCATTCGATCATAAAATAGGTTATGCCAGGGACGCTGGTTCGAGGGTGGCGCGACTCAACATGAATCTGGCGACGGAACGCATTCCAGCGGTGAATGGACGACGAACAGGTCACTCCGAGAGAAAAACGCCCGACCGAGAATCCCGAAAACTACGTTTGAGTCCGTAAGTTGTTGTTGCTGCACTTGGCGTATCGATGCTGTGCATCCAAGAACTTTTGCGAATCAAATCGCAAGACGAGTGCAGAGCGAGCGGAACATTGTTCCAGTTTCATTCTACGCGGGTGTAGACTCTTGATAATGCAAGGATCGGATTGCGCGCAGATGTGCAACGCGATACAGCTCGAAAGGCGCCGCATGGATACGATGAAGACGAATCATAGCGCAATCCGCTGTTTCATGTAAGCAGCACTCTGCTTCGACTCCCTCATGACGTCGGGAGGCAGCATTCTGTGCAGAGATGACAGCGGCCTCTGAATCGCATCAATTCCATACGAACGCAGAGCACGATTCGCTGTGCAGACAAATGTTATGAAGGGTGTTGAGATGCTTGGAGGCGTGCTGGGCTGCCTTTGCTAGAGTGCTTACTTCCGTGCTGGTATCGAAAACATCATACACATTGTGTGGTGAAACGCAGTCTTGCAGCACCACTCCCTAGGCGAATACACATTCTGTAAGCGCGAGGCATCGAGTCCGTCTGGTGCACCCGTGGATGCACCCGCTCATCACCATAGCGCATCTTGTGTAGGGACACGGTATAGGGGCGGGGGTTCCGAACGCGGTGCTTTTGCTCGATTGCCACCGTTTCGCGGATACGTGAACGTAAACTGGTCAGATCGACGAATTCGATGTGCCTTGGCGGTCCGGTTCAAAACCAATATTTGCTGATGCACAGCGGAAAGACCTGTCCACAAGAACCAATCCTAGAAGGTGTTTGAATGAACCCCGAGGCAGACATCCAAGACAGCTCGCAAAAGCCACCACCAAACATCACTAGGCATCTTATTTGCAATCTTCATCGCATCTTGCATTCTACATTTGACGCAATTCAGTACCGACGCGCATGTCATCCCGAGAGACATGCAATCGAAGGAGCTGGACCCAGGTCGTATAGAGACGAGCCACTTCGCCTTTGCCCCATGGGAAGGACTAACGGATGCTTCCGTTTGTTTTCCCGAACTCATGGTTGGACTTCCGATACGCTCGATGCCTCCGCATGACACTATAAAAACCAGATCATGACGTCTCCGAGCGCGCACCTCGTACGCAGGGCTCCATACCGACCTCCGGCGCCAAGAGAGAAGCTCACATCTTCCAGGTCGCTCGACTTGGATCCGATCGTCCTGCTCCAGCCTCCATAGTTTGCATGGCGACACATGGGTGTATCACGATTTTCGTGAGCATTTGTGGTAAGCTGCGGATCCGCATCCAGATGTCTCTGCTTGTCAGACGTTTCGCAGATACTCCATGGCCGCTTCCTGTGAGAGAAACACCGGAATCGATCGACTTGCCGAGACGCAGCCAGGCGGTGGTTCTGCTGGGCCTTGAGCCGGCATCCATGACCATTCGACCGTCCATCGGAACGGGACAGCTTCCTCGCGGGTAACGCTCGGCTTTACCCAGAGACAGAGAAAACGCACACCACAGCAGGCAGCGTGTCGCATCGCTACCGCAAATGCCGGATCGATCGACTCTGCCGGGCAGAGCGCTCGCGGCGGATCACTGCGCTGAACCACAAAGATGACCAGAGCCTGCACCGGCATCTCAGGTCGTGCTCTGGGATATTTCGCTGACCCACGGGCAATGCTCGCAAGTTCCTGCAAATGGCGACTCGCTCTGTCCGATACAGCATCTGGAAAAAGCACTAAACCCTCTGCGGAACCACGCATGGTAACCGATTTGACCTCGATGAAAATGCGATGATCGAGGCAAAAGTCGCAACGACTTGTTTTCCTTGTTTTCGTTGTGGAAGCTTGCCATGCTCCAGTGTCTGGAGGAGCGTTTTCGCGTCGTCTGCGTTCAGTATCCGGATCCTGGCGTGGGAGGCTCGTCTCGCGTTCGACCTCATGGAAATGGAAACGTGGAACGGCACGCGGCTCCATGGCGTTATCTCCCGCCTCAACATCGGACAGCGCTTCACCGATGGCCTCCATGAGGCATGGAGCACGACTTTCGAGCGCCTCCCCAATGAGTCGGTTCGCCGCCAATGTGTGGACACAGACCAAGGCCCCTGTGCTCGGCTCGGTGGCGATAATCCAGCGAAATGGATGCTTGGCTTTCGCTCCGCGATCAACTGCCGCCAGATAGACAGCAGACTCGTTCGGAACAGCGTACCCCTTGGCTGGAGCGCCTTCGTCGCCACCGGTCATGCGACCTGGGTTCAGCACGCTGGCAGTGACCTCCGTCCCGTCATCGAGGCGCACTCGTGCGAGGAAACGTTTGTAACGTTCGAGAAGAACGCCCCGAAGAAGCGCTGACATTCGCGTGGTCTGCATATTGGAATCACTGGAGACTACCGGCGAGAGAGCAGCTGGGCACGAAGCCCCGGCACGCTTGAAACTCGTTTTGGTCAAACGAGGTGGCCCAGTCGAGTTTCGTTCAGGAATAGGGTGTTTTCGTATTCCACGACATCTCTGCATATAGTTGGTGGTGTTTTCAAGCGACCCTTCTCCTTCACAGGCACGATTTGTGCACTTGTTTGGCTCAGGTGTTTCAGCGTGCCGCGGCGCCAGCGCCCCGTGGGCACCCAAACAGTGACGCTTGGGTTCTCTGTTTAAACGTTGCCCCGGGTACCAGTCCTGTTTGGGATATTGTTCCACTCTGCGGAGGCGTTTCCTTCCCAGCCGTTCGGTGTTGCTCCCGAAAAGATTCCCTTGTCAGCGACGTACACCGACTGCATACTCTAAACTGCGGCAGCAACAGTCGACTGTACAGAAGTCGCATCAGAGCCGCTGTTCGGTCGTCCCGCGCCAGCCATGAAGTCCGTAATGGTGACAAGAACCCCATGGCGCGGCGATATGCCTTTTCATCGTGGAGCATTGATCGTTCGATGGATCTTATCGTCTTTTGCCGAACACGCGACTGCTACCCCAGACCAGTAGGTAACCTCGGTTCTTCAACTGACGATTGGGCGTCTTTTCCAGCAGCTATTTCGACTTGAGAGCTGCAGTTTCAACCAACGCTGCTCTAGGCAGCGCAGCATGGGTCGCGTTTCGCCACTGTAGTCAAGGGCGCCATCGCTAACGTGCTCATATTCGGATGCCACACTTGCTGCGGGGATGCGCCTTGATTCACAGGGTGCGCAAAACGACACAGAAACGTTTCGCATCACTGGATGGGCTTCACTTCAGAGATACCGTACGATACTTTCTGGTAGATTCACACAATTCATTCATAGAAACGCACTGTGCCTAGCAAGTGAGTCATCGTGGGCTTTCAAAGTTTTCATCACGCTGAGGCATGAGGAATCTGAGCATGCCCCTATCCCATTGGCGCTGATACAATCGAGCACGGCGATGAAGAATCAGCCCTCTGTATTCATGGCGACGGGCATTTAGCGTAGGATTGCCGCCTAGTTCGTGACTTGTTGTTTCACGACTACCTGCGAATGCAAGCGCAGGACACGGTACCCAAGGATGCGAGCTGCCAGGGCACCAACTCGCACGAGCATCCTCGAGCAGCTACCATTCCTGGTATTGCAAGTGGCCCTGCGCCTGAAATGCATTCGCTGTAGGCTCAGCAACCGTGCTTCTGCTGGATCGATCAACTCTCTGTTTCTGAGACGAAGACGGTCTCACACTAAACAACAAAAATGTACAAGAATCGGGCGACGCAGTTGAGTGCACCTCCCCGTTGACTTGTGGCATGTGCTCATCCGCAGGGGTGCTCAGTTTCCGGATCAATCGTACTCCAGAGGAAATGTCGCGTCCACGCGCGCGCCGCATCGACGGTCGACGCCTTCCAGAAGGCGACTCTGGATGAACGTTGCATCACGACCCGCGATATTGACGGCTTTCGTCCGTTCTATTCTAGGAGTCATTGTTTACTTTCTAAGGTTTGTTCGCTTATTGAGGAACTTAAAAAAGTATTCACTCGTGTGTACCTCGACTTGAAAATGACCTGCCGTGACAATAGCGACCTGTCACCTGATCAACCGGTATACTGGCGTGACCGCTGGGAGAAGGGCGTAACACCGTGGGACTGCGGCTGTGCGCACCCGTTACTCGTTCACTTGGCACCACGCTTGCCGTCCGGACGCGCTCTTGTTCCGGGGTGTGGCTCTGGATACGATGTGATTGCGCTGGCTAAGCAGGACCCGGCGCGTCAGGTAACCGGCTTGGATCTTTCGGAACTCGCGTGCAAACGTGGTGAGTCGATGCGCGACGAGGCAGGCCTCTCTAGCAAGCAGGTACAGTTCATCGAAGGTGATTTTTTCAAATTCGATTATGAAGAGCCCTTTGATCTCGTGTACGACTATACCTTCTTCTGCGCGCTGCCTCCGCATCTGCGCAAGCAATGGGCAGCTCGCATGGCGGAGCTCGTGAAGCCAAGCGGCATCCTGTTCACGCTCATGTTTCCTGTACGGGATTCGGGGACGGGCGCGGAAGGAGGACCCCCTTTCTCGGTTTCTCATGAGGCGTATGCCTCTGTGCTGGAACCAGCCGGTTTCAAGTTGCTCGAATGTGGCGACGTTCCATCTGCGTATAGACGTCCGAAGACACCCTCACCGGGTGCTGAGCTCTACGGTCTCTGGCAGCGCGTTGGTGCGTAGGCGACGTCTACGTACCTCGCCGGGGAACCAGCAGCAAGCATCGTTGTGGTGTGCGTCGGACCGAACGCTTCTCGATAGACGGGCTAGATTGGGTCCGCAGCGACGCCTTGCGAGCACCTTCACCAGCGGTATCTGGACATTAAAGGTTTGTATTCGGGAACGGAATGTTTGGATTGTACAGCATGCGGAGAAACTGCTGCGGCACGTATAGGGCTTTGGGGATAAGCGCAAAGGCGGGACCTTTGGTGCCGTTGCATTAAGAATGATAGTTTATTTTCTTATTTGCCGCGAAGGATTTGTTCTCCGTGGCCTAGGATGAGATCATACGATCTGTAAAGCTTCACACATGTTGTGCATGTTTCCAGGGCGACCGTGCTCGAGCGCCGAAGAAGGGTTTCGCAGGGTACTTGCACCGCAGCATGCATGGTCCGCGCTTGCTGCTCACCAATATTAAAAACCTCATCCATTGCCCATAGTGGCGTTGAAGGATCCAGAAAAAGCAAGTCCTGCTGTGTGCGTCTTGTGCCGATATGCTGCGGACGCGAACCTCCATGAGGAACGCGCTCAGGGAACGGAGAAAATTGCCCTTGCTCCGCAGTCATTCTAGGAAGGATTTATGGTTTTGGTCTTTCTGGCCTCTAGGTTGACACCTTTTGAGGATGAAAGACCTCGTACGCACGGGTCGTTCTCGCGGTGGTCCATGTGATTACCATGTCCATAGGTGGGATCGTTCCAAATCCAGCATCCCTTTCGGATGCGAAACGCTGCGGTTCGGAGCACTGATCTGGTGGTATGCATGTGGATACCGCGTTACCCGGTGACAACCAGGCTGTGAATTTTCACTTTATGAAATCTGGCTCAGCATAGCACGCGAGTCGCTCATTGGTGCAGACGCTCACCCACATAGGTTCAAGCCACGTCAGGCAGCAGTGACGAGAGCGTTGCAGGCTATCGCGGCGGGACGCAGAAGCTGATGTGGCATAAACGTCCGGGAACGGCCTTGATGCACCGATCAAGGCTCCGTAGGTCACGCGTGGTAGATATGTATATGAAGTTGTAAAAGTTGCGAGTCTGGCGTCCGTGATCCATCTACAGCAGCGCCAGATTTGCATAGAAGACTGCACCGCTAGCGCTTCTTCTGCTTTTCGATTTTTCCGAACTGATGTTAGATGCAAAGCCTCGATATTTGAAGTGTAGCAATGAGGGCGTACGTTTTCGTGCGTAGTGCTAGAGATCTCTGACCCATTCACGGAGAAGCGCGTTCGACGCTTTGCTGGCGGGATTCGTCACGTCACCGCTATCACGAAGATTCGCGATGTTCTCGAGCAAAACATTCATATCTATGTGGTGCAATTATTCAATGCATACGCACAAGTGTCCACTTGTCTCCCTTGAGTACGTCTAACATGCTCAAAACATGCATTGTTCAAGATTTGACCTTCTGTTTCAGGGAAACTTGAGGGCGCAACAGTTCGCACCGTTGGATTATCATGGAAAAAATACTCGACGTCGTTTTTTGAGGAATTCCTAAAAAGCTCATCCCGAAAGCTCACTGAACCCGTCACGTAAACTGCTCGATTCCGTTCGAAAAATGATTCTCTTCCCTTGGTAGTCATCAATGAAACGGCACTCGACAGCCGTATGATACCCCTCGCAGGGCATGTTCTCAGAGACTATCTTCTCGACTGTTTCCATGGAAACCAGTCTTGGCACCAGACTTTGATCGCAACGATCGCTACCAGTGGAGCTATCGTTACTGCATGGCACGAGGAAAGGGTATACGGATCGACACTTTTCGACCTGTTCTCTAGACTGGATTTTGCCTCCGGTACTTGTTCCATCATGGACAACACCGCGTTCCGAAAAATCCGTCATCGAATGGAACGGCATGCGCTTCCATGTGCAGCGAAGCGTATACTTGTTAGGTGAATCGTCCAGAAGAAGGCCACGATCGCAGGGCACGGCACCGGATAAGAAAACAGATCAGAGCAATGAGAGCAGCTTTCTGTAACCGTGAACTGTGCGTATCGAGCAATGGAGCAAGCGTTCACGCGCTACATTTGGGCCGGTTTGGAGGAAGTTTGACGGATATACTGTAGAGCTTGTCCACATTCAACTGTCACCGCTGTGAACGGCGCACCGAGGCTATGCATAAAGGAGATCGACCTGACGAACGAAGCATAGACCACAACTACCGCCTATCCGTGGTATGCATCAACAACCTCCGGAATCAGCGTCATTGAAACCTGAGCGCTACCGTCAACTTCCCTCGACTGCGGGCAACAGATCTGTAGTGGAAGAGGCGACCGGCTGATTGAATGCCGAAGATAGTAGGGTTGAAGCGCAGGCATTCTTAGAATAAAGCTCTTAAATTCTTATGTTGATGATAGTGGGAAGATAACCACACATTCGTGTGTTCGTCTGGGGAAGAGCCTATGTCCTAGTTTAGAGTAACATGGCAGTGAAGCGAAAAATGTACCATGACGATATGGGGTAAATTAATATCCACTCACAGGCACCCCGCAGCCTTTTTCGACCAGCCCCCTGTTATCGGCTTCAGCTTCTCTCCGTACACTTCGAGCCCGAGAGGCTACCCCACGGAGTTGGATGGCGCCAGCTCCTCGGATCTCGTCTTCAGCACTAGACATCATCTCATCTTGATGGCGGCGTTGAAGTCTCGGTTCACAAACTCCTTGCATCCATTGCCGCTGGTGGAACACATTCATGCAAGGATTCCTTGAACTCGCGCCCTCTATGCCATTACAGTCTCGTAATCCTTCTATTGGGCAAACATATTTTTGTTTGCCTATCTCCCCTCCCCCTCTTCCTTTTCGATATATGCTCTTCTTCACTCGTTAGTCGGCAAGAACAGAAACGTTTATGTGTTTTTCCTGCAGCCCGTAATGAAGGCCCTCCACCATCCCCGACTTCCATGTCCATACCTCTCCCTTGTATTTTTCATTTCTTCAAATGAACGTACTTCGAACACATCTGCTATAAACAGCGAATAAGCGTTTGATGATACGCTTCTTGAGATGGAACCTAAATGAATCGAAAGAGTAGAGGAGCCAGACGGGTATGAGGTCGAAACTAATCTGAAACAATTTAGTATAAAATTTGCAACTGCGGTACGCTGGACCCCCGCGATCGCTATGAAGCGTTCCCCGAAATCATTTTCATACCAGTAATTCTCTTACTTTAACCAGAGGCCAGACTTGGCGCGGTACGAGATTCTCAGGCTCTTCCTCTAAGTTTCTCAGTGGAACAGGGACCGACGGCGTCACTGTTGCTGTTGCGGAAGAGTCCGAGCTCGTGCTTCGTCTGTGGCTTTCGGACGCGAAACACTTGTTGCTAACAGGCAGCTCACACACACGCACAGGAGCGTACCAGTGCTCCGCGACGTACGGTGATACTCGACTGCATGGAGCAGCGTGCAAGGGGACTGGCGGCGCAGCAGCCGTGCATATCGGGCTTTGTTTTGGTAGCACAAAGTCGAATGCCCTTTTTGCGAAGTCTGACGGGTCCGCTGCAGCCCCGAGGGGCGTTGTTCGCCCGCACTGGGTCGCCAATCGCACGGAGCGTAGCACCACAGGCGGCGCTTCGCTTCGAATCCCTCCGTGGTACTGGTACTCGAGCAGTAATGGGGTTTGCCCCTGTCTCAAGTGTTGAAGCGGCTCTCCCTAGACCACCTTCAAGGTACGCAGGCAGTATCGCTGGGAGCCGATCATCGTTTACAAGTTGCGAAGAGCTTTGCAGGAAACCCGTCTGGACTAGGCTTCCGTCGCCCGCTACTTTAGGCAGGATGCCGCGATATGCATCGATAATAGTGCGTTCCCGCTCCAGCAATACCAACCGAGCCCTCCGATTCTTGGACATGCATCGCGGCGGTACCGCTAAGGCCAGCCAGGAAGTGACCCCGTGGTATCAGTATGATGCTCGCTGGTCCCAGGTTTTATCGAACCCTACGAATGTTCTTGAACTTCCGCCGCTGCCGCCGCATCTGGTGCGGGTGCGCTTTGCGCCATCCCCAACAGGGAACCTGCACGTCGGCGGAGCCCGCACCGCGCTCTTCAATTGGCTCTATGCACGCAATCAAGGAGGTTATTTCATCATACGGATCGAGGACACTGATCAAGCTCGTTCGAGTCGTGCCTCTGAACTCGCCGTTCTGCGGGACTTGCGATGGCTTGGCCTCGACTGGGACGAGGGTCCAGCTTATCCCGATGAGCCGACCACCGAGCCGTACCGCGGGGAACGCGGCCCCTACCGCCAGTCCGAGCGATCTGCCATCTATGAGGCTGCAGCAGCGAAACTCATCGAATCGGGAGCAGTCTATCCCTGCTTCTGTACCGAGGAACAACTGGAACGGAAACGTCGTTTGGCTGAGGCAGAACATCGTGCGCCCCAGTACGATGGTACCTGTCGCGATGCAGATCCAGCCCTTATCCGCAAACGGCTGCAACGCGGGGACCCGTACACCTTACGGTTCCGAGTACCTGCTGGGACTCGTGTGGAAATCAGGGACGTTATTCGTGGCGATATTGCCTGGGACGCGAACGCAACGATTGGTGATTTTATTATCGTGCGTTCTTCAGGTCTACCGGTCTATAATTTTTGCGTCGCAGTAGATGATGCGCTTATGGGTATCACCACGGTCATCCGTGCAGAAGAGCATCTGACGAATACGCTGCGACAGGCTCTTATTCTGGATGCGCTTGGCTATGACCGACCCCAGTATGCGCATGTTTCGCTGATTCTCGGAGCGGACCGCCAAAAGCTCAGCAAACGGCACGGGGCCACGTCAATCGATCAGTACGCACGTGAAGGATTTCTTCCAGAAGCCATGATGAATTACTTGGCGCTCCTTGGATGGAATGACGGTACGGAAAGGGAAATCTATTCGGTGGAGGAGCTCATCAAGGCGTTCTCCCTTGACCGCATCACCAAGTCGGCGGCTGTTTTTGACGCAAACAAACTTCGATGGATGAATGGACTTCATTTGAGATCCATGCCTCCGGAGAAATTATGCGGTGTCCTCATTAGATTCTGGTTGGATGCGAACGTCATTCAGCGACCTGCAGAGGAGATTGACGTTGATGTGCCAACACGAGCTGCCGCAGGTGTTGCCCAGTCTGCGTCTGCGTTGCGGTTCTGGGTTTTCACGAGCAGGGCAACGGAGCTGTTACGTGGTTCCATAGAATTAGCTAAGGATTGTGTGCCCTTGCTACAAGATATCCTGGAATATCCACTGGAAGAAACAATTGAAAGTGGCGATTCGGATGAATTGCTCACTCCACAGGGCGGATTCCTTGACATTGCCACCGCGGTGCTGGAGCGTTACAGAAAGGGCGAAATTCCTTTTGGAGATGAAATTGAGCCTGACCCTGAAATGATGGTTCCAAACGCGCCGTCCCTGACCTCGGAGGATCCCTTTATCGAAGACTGGAAAGCGTGGGTCAAAGGTATTGGTACGCAGCTTGGGCGCAAGAGTAAGCGCCTGTTTCATCCTATTCGCTTGGTCATGACGGGCCGCATGACTGGCCCGGACGTTGGTGAGATCATGCGCATATTAGGACTTGCGAAAGGGGTTGTCCAAGTGCCATATGTACCACTGTCAGAGCGAATGCGTATTCTGGAGCGCGTCGTGAAGAAGCTACGGACTGAACGTGAAGCGACTACGTCAAGCCCAAGTTCACCGAACGCCGCGAGGTAGGCAGGCAACTTGGCCGTATGCTTGATCATATAAACGAGTCTCATGGTACCGAATAGCTCATTGTTTGACTCGGAATAATGAATTCTGAAACACCTGCATCAGCACGCCCTGTTTGTTTTTTCTACGGGTATTCAAGAGGAGTGTATCTTGCACACCGGAGAAAGGTCGCCGAACGACCTTATGTCGTCACTGCTTCCTCATGAGAAAGCCCGCTTTACTAGTGCACGGCAGACATTCTCCGGACAGCCTCGCTTCACACACGAACAAGGCTCTCTGCAAAAAGAAGCCCTTTACAGCAATACAGACCCGTCCCGGACTCCGAGCGCCCTCGCGCCCCCATCACTGGCATCGGGGTACGACGGGCACCAGGCGGCACACCGGCATGTAGAGTGACGGTGCAAGGACCGTTCTCACCGGCCTGCGTAGCGTATCCAGCAGAGGCGCACGCCTTCTCGGCTTTATTCAGAGGTCGTCCGTGAGCGTCCAGACGTCTCATGCGGACGCTCTTCGGCATGTATGCATGAGACTGCGCTGGGCGGTCGCCAATGGTTTCGGTTGTACGCAGACAAGACGGGTGCGTTCCCCAAACGGCTCAGTGACGTGGGAAAGGAAACGACTGAGCAGTCGCGTCGTCCGGTGGGGAGCCCCATCGAGCGGCACCCGACGCGGCGCACGAGGCCTGTGATCCCGCTTCATCGACCGGAGCTTCCCGCGGGAGCAAGCATCGACGCTGCACTGTGCCCATCGATGCGTTCAGGGCGTTATGCAAGCGGCACCAGCACGGGCACACGCTGAGGCGGGCACAGAAGAAGAGCGCGAAACATGCGCGCTCGGATGCACCGGATGGTAAGCGATAAGCAGCGTGCACGTCAGACGCAGAGCCAATCGCAAGTGAGCGGCTCGATATCGCGTGATCCAGCAAGCAACCATGCGCGCAAGCACTCTCTGCATCACGACTTTAATGCCTCGGGCGACATCCGGGACTGTCTGATGCATCGAGAGCATCCAGTGAGTATTACGTCGAGCGAACCTTGCGGCAATCGTTTGGTACCCAGTGGGCGCATTCTGCTGCAATGCTGCGGATATCCGTCAAACAGAATACGAATCCATGGGAGAGCGGCATGTTTTGCCTTGGTGGATCACGGCACTGGTGTGGTGCTGCTCAGCAATGCGGAAAGCATTGAGCGCGGTACGGATACTCTGGGGACGATTTGCGTCCGCAATATCTGAAAGACAATAATGTTTCAATACTCTAGAGTGTTGGGTGTATACGATGAAAAGGTGCTCAAACCGGTGCAGGCTTTCTTCATTTCTAGCGGATTCGATCACAAGACGTTGCCACTCGTTGACATCTTTCAACATTCCGAGAACGTAATCCCACTATGCTGCATGCACGATAGTGCGACATGGTGGCAAGTAGCCTCTAATACGCAGTCGTTTCTTGCGCTCGCGAGGTCGTGCTAAATCAAGCATTCCTGGAGGCAGGTCAAGCACGGCAAGCTTCGTAAGCGATGGTGGCTGCGTCTCTGCATCCGCGGCTCCTTCATGAGCAGCGATATCCATTTCCTGTACAAACGCTTCTAGAAAGGGAACCTCGAGACTCCGGTTGCCCTCGAAAAGAAGCAGCTCCAGTGCGTCATGTGCACCGCCATGCTCATTTCGCAGGATCACACCCGCAACTCGTCCCAGGCAATGCTTAAACACCCACTCTCTGGTCCATAAGAAATCCGCTTGCGCCTGAAGCTTTTCAAGAGTCTCTCGTAAGATAGCTGGTCGTCCAATCCACTCAGTTATAATATACTCATCGGCGCCCAGTGACTGCGGTCGTTGCTCGCTTTCATGGACATAGAGACATGCACCGCGAAGTTGGCTTGCCGCATCACGATCTTCGACGCCGCGAACCCGAATAATCCATACGTTTGCTTGCGATGCCGGGCGACCATCCTGAACCCATACAGGTCGAGGATAGACCCGGTGTGCAAGTTTTATATAACGCTGTGCAGGTTCTTTGGGAAGCCGTTCCCTCGCAAAGTCAGTATTCAAACGAACCTTGCACTCACCGCGAACCCCGTGAGGCCCAGCAATGGTTCCAATCTCTATAAAACCGAAACGGGAAGGATCATAGGCTGCTGCTGCTGCTGTCGCTTCCGATCCGATATCTGCAGCAGCAGCTGCAGTCCCGTCATCGAAGTCCAACTCGTTCGGGGTTCGCGAATGACGCCCATCGAGCGCGTCTGGATCGCTGTAAATCACCAGTGACACTAGTCTTCGACGTTGCATGGAGCTCAGGCACCTCTTCTGGTTCTCCGATTCCAACACCACGGAACCAAATGTCAGTTTTCGGCGCTGTACAAGCTGAGTCAAGTCGCTCCGGCTCTGACACCCGATACGTCCCCCGCTTGAACAGAAGCCGTTGACGTGACTCCAGCACACCAGCGTCCGCGCAAGTTTCCTGCTTACCAGCAAGCTATTCACGTCCCGCATGCAGTGTAGGTGCTAAGTCTAATGAGACCCGCCTGGTATACGTTTGGGGCTCGCTTGTTCAGTGTTGCACCCAAACCGTTCAGAGAAACTGGGGCTACAGCGACTGGCGCTTCGCAGCAGCAATCTCGGCAAAGCGCCGCGATGGCGATACCCATCCGGGATGACTGTATACCGGTGGGTAGTGTACACGATCCTGGAACCCAAAACTTTCCTGCAGAGACGTTGCGGGTGTGCTCGACTTCTCGCTTGACTGGCTCAGTGCCGAGGCCAGGGTCCACGCACTGCAGAAACGTCGCGGTTTCGAAGTATCATGGTACCGGCGGGCACCCAGCAGGACTTTGCCGAGCAGGAAAACGTTTTGGTATACCACGGGCCCCTACTCTACGAGGCAAAAGTGCTTGAGGCCCTGGAGAGCCGTACAGAACCTGGAGCTCGTTGCTACTTGGTTCACTTCATCGGGTGGAATCGCTGCTACGACACCGTCGTCTCTCGAGAGGCAGTGCTTCCACGGACGTCAGCCAATCTGGAACTTGCTGAACAACTTTATGTGGACTTTGTGGAAAAGCGCGGACCTGCTGCCACTGCTGCTGTTGAAGCAGCATCGCATACAACGCAGCGAATAGAGCGTGTCGCTCAGGGTAATACCGAAGCACCCCTGAGCGCGTCTACGACAGGATGTGAGTCGGCTATCTCCGCTGCTCATGTGCGTAACGATGAAGTTGTTATCGATGGTGAAGATGATGTTGACGAGCACGTCGCCATCTATAACTGCCGGGGGCTGCGATCGATCCTAGAACACGTGGACCCAGACGATCCCCTGAGATGGTTCGAGTTGCCAACGGTGCTGAAACGTACCGTTCTTGACGATTTCGAATACGTTTCCGAAAGTGGACGACTCTATCCTTTGCCAGCCCAAGTGACTGTGGCAGCCATCCTGCACGCTTGGGTACGACATCGAAAGAGGACCCAGGATACGGATGCTGGTCAGATCCGAGCTCTTGCAGAGAGTCTCCAGCGCTATTTCAATGAGGCGCTGAGCAGCATGTTACTCTATGAGGATGAGCGACCGCAGTACGCAATGGTGACGACGTCGCATCCGGGAAAGCGTGCGAGTGAGATCTACGGTGGAGAGCATCTTCTTCGACTTATGGTGAAGCTGCCGTGGTTCCTCGAACAGTTGCCGATCACCAGAGACGAGGTTCGTCAGTTTGCACGCCTTTTCCAGGACCTCTGTCGCTTTTTGTTGCGCAATCATTACAGATTCTTTTCCGTTGTCGATGGAAGCGCCCTGGAGGAAAGCAGGTGAAGTTGATTTCGTTCCGATGATGCCCGACGAGGCAGCATCGGAATCGAAGAGATCAATATGGCTGCAGCACGTGCGCTCTTCCATGCTTGGTGGCCGCATCCAGGGCAAATGCACTTCATGGAATGCAGTAGCAGCGAATAATACATCATAAAATAGGGGATACAGTATCTTTCATGCTTGACGGGGCACGGTATGCTAAAGTCTCGATTGCAGAATGTTTTCTATTCGACAGACGTGCACCGTCAGAGAGATACCCTGAGCAAGCTCACAGTCCGCACCACCTGATCCCTTGGCCTGACTATAGTAGCCATCAGAGATGGTCGGGCAACTTTGTGATTGTTTGACTCGGAATAATGAATTCTGAAACACCTGCATCAGCACGCCCTGTTTGTTTTTTCTACGGGTATTCAAGAGGAGTGTATCTTGCACACCGGAGAAAGGTCGCCGAACGACCTTATGTCGTCACTGCTTCCTCATGAGAAAGCCCGCTTTACTAGTGCACGGCAGACATTCTCCGGACAGCCTCGCTTCACACACGAACAAGGCTCTCTGCAAAAAGAAGCCCTTTACAGCAATGCAGACCCGTCCCGGACTCCGAGCGCCCTCGCGCCCCCATCACTGGCATCGGGGTACGACGGGCACCAGGCGGCACACCGGCATGTAGAGTGACGGTGCAAGGACCGTTCTCACCGGCCTGCGTAGCGTATCCAGCAGAGGCGCACGCCTTCTCGGCTTTATTCAGAGGTCGTCCGTGAGCGTCCAGACGTCTCATGCGGACGCTCTTCGGCATGTATGCATGAGACTGCGCTGGGCGGTCGCCAATGGTTTCGGTTGTACGCAGACAAGACGGGTGCGTTCCCCAAACGGCTCAGTGACGTGGGAAAGGAAACGACTGAGCAGTCGCGTCGTCCGGTGGGGAGCCCCATCGAGCGGCACCCGACGCGGCGCACGAGGCCTGTGATCCCGCTTCATCGACCGGAGCTTCCCGCGGGAGCAAGCATCGACGCTGCACTGTGCCCATCGATGCGTTCAGGGCGTTATGCAAGCGGCACCAGCACGGGCACACGCTGAGGCGGGCACAGAAGAAGAGCGCGAAACATGCGCGCTCGGATGCACCGGATGGTAAGCGATAAGCAGCGTGCACGTCAGACGCAGAGCCAATCGCAAGTAAGCGGCTCGATATCGCGTGATCCAGCAAGCAACCATGCGCGCAAGCACTCTCTGCATCACGACTTTAATGCCTCGAGCGACATCCGCGAATGTCCGGTACTTCCAGAGCATCCAGTGAGTATTACGTCGAGCGAACCTTGCGGCAATCGTTTGGTACCCAGTGGGCGCATTCTGCTGCAATGCTGCGGACATCCGCCAAACAGAATACGAATCCATGGGAGAGCGGCATGTTTTGCCTTGGCGGATCACGGCACTGGTGTGGTGCTGCTCAGCAATGCGGAAAGCATTGAGCGCGGTACGGATACTCTGGGGACGATTTGCGTTGGCAATATCTGAAAGACAATAATGTTTCCATGTTCGGTGTTTCTGCTTGTATACAGGTCACGTCTTTTTCTTTGTTCGCGATTCGCCCAGTATTCATGCGGTATGCCAATGAAAGCAACTGGATCATCGAGTCAGGTACTCGCGGAAGCCGGTCCAAGAAAACAGAGACGAGCTGTTCTTCGACATGAACAAGGCTAGGATCTATCACGTCGCTCTGTATGCTCCTACCTGTGCTCTGCTTGATGACGACACGAATACTGCCAAACATGGTATTCGAATGTTGCTCAACCTGCTAATTGCACTGGAAGTACGCGAACGTTCCCAACAAACCACATGATGCCCTGAGGTTTAGCTTGTATATGTTGAACATGATATTTAAGTCGCATTGCTCAGCGTGTTTCGCAAAGATTTGGTGCGCTTTTGTCCGAATCGGCTGAAGGATCACGTCCCCGAAAACGTCACGAGTGAAAACTCGGTACGGAGGCACGCCCATGCTCGCGCACGGTACGGAGAAGGCGGGGCTCCCGACGCGTGGCGCCCTCAGGAGCTGCACAGTAGGCTGGCGTCAGTGGAACCTCCTGTTTCGGGCGCAGTCGTCATCGACGTCACCCTCGGTGATATAGCGTATCACTGATGACGGCACTAGCTATCTTTGGGGTCGATACGGGCACGAGTGCAGAGCTGGAATCATCAAGACGCCCTTCAACCAGCGCGAAACGATCCCAGCATTCTATCTGTTGGAGCGCTCCACGCCCAGGGCCAACTGCATCCGGCACGCGCGCCGCTACGCCTACATTGCTAGTGTCCACGAATGCATAGTGCCGCGCTTACCAAGCGATGCCTTCATCCAAGCAGAGTATTTATTGGAGTCAATGGTGCCATGAGTCCCTGTCGCGTTTGTACTGTAGTGCTGACACCCCAGATTATCAGTACTCTCGTAGGTGCTGCTCGACCAGCATCCATGGATGAACAGTGACGCACGAACCAAGTACCGTCTTGATTTAAGCAGAGTATGCATTGGACGTGGTGGTGCCCCCAGTTCCCGTCCAGTTGGTATGGAAGTACTGATTCTCCGGCTTATCAATTCTCTCGTAAGTGTGCGCACCGAAATAGTCCCGCTGTGCTTGCAACAAGCTCGCCGGCAGGGTTTCCGCTCGGTATCCATCGTAAAATGCGAGCGCAGTGCTTATTGCCGGACACGTGATGCCGCGACTCACAGCAAACACCACAGCGTCGCGCCAGCTCTGCTGCGCAGCAAGTAGGGCATCGCGAAAGAAGCGATACAATAGCAAATTTTCCAAATTCGGCTCATCTTGGTAAGCTTCACGAATTTTGCCCAAAAAGCGACTGCGAATGATGCAACCCCCTCGCCACATGAGGGCAATGCCTCCATAGTTGAGATTCCAGTCTTCGGCTGCGGCGGCCTCTTTCATCAGCATATAACCTTGGGCGTAGGAAACGATTTTGCTCGCGTAGAGCGCGAGCCGCAGCTTCTCGATCATGTTCTGGCGATCCTGCTCATTCAGGGGCGGCTGCGCCGGCGGCCCCTGCAGCACCTTGCTTGCCCGCACGCGTTCTGCCTTACGAGAGGAGAGCATCCGCGAGAATACAGCTTCCGCAATTAGTGTCACAGGAACGCTGTGCTCCAGGGACGACTCGACTGTCCATCGACCGGTGCCTTTCTGCTCTGCCTTGTCGAGTATAAGCGATACCAGCGGCTTACCGGTTTCATCGTCCTTGTACTTGAGGATGTTGGCCGTTATCTCGATCAGATACGAACATAGCTCCGTTTCATTCCATGCGGCGAAAATGTCTCCGCACTCCTCGACACTGAGGCCGAGACCCCGCCGCATGACATCATATACTTCGCTGATCAACTGCATATCGCCGTATTCGATGCCGTTATGGACCATCTTAACAAAGTGACCAGCGCCGCCAGAGCCGACCCAGTCACAGCATGGCTCGCCATCCGCTCTGGCCGCTATCGCCTGGAGCACCGGGCGCAAGAGCGGCCAGGCCGCTTCCGTTCCGCCAGGCATGAGTGACGGACCATAGCGAGCGCCCTCTTCGCCGCCCGATACACCACACCCCACAAATAGCAGCCCGTGTTCGGCGCAGTGCTTCATCCGCCGGGTGCTATCCTGGTAGTATGAGTTGCCACCGTCAACGATGACGTCGCCGGGATCCAAGTGTGGCTGGAGCTTCTCGATAAAGTCGTCGACAGCGGGACCTGCTCTGACAAGCAAGATCACCTTGCGGGGCTTCTTAATGAGTGCACAAAACTCTTGTATCGTTCGGGCACCAAAAATCGTTTCTCGGTCCTTCGCAACGGTTTCCAGAAACTCTTGAACCTTGGACACCGTGCGATTGAAAACGGCCACTTTGAACCCGTGATCTGCCATGTTCAGAACAAGGTTCTGACCCATCACAGCAAGACCGATAAGACCTACATCAGCAACGGCCTGATTAGGGTGATCACTGTCCAACGCTTTGTTCATGGCTTGATCGTCACCAGTTGCTACCAGTACGCACTGTTGTTCGCCAAACGATCGAGAGGCGACGTCGATGAGCGCGTCAGCATCTGGCAATCGCGCCGACGCGCTCGAGTCGGTGACTTTTTTCGCTCACCAAACGTTTATGTTGTACCTGGATCCCTTATCGCGGGACGAGAACTGGCTATCGGGAAAGCGCCCATCGTGATACGCCTCACCCTCAAGTTCCATTCCTTACAATTCCTTTCGGATGTACTGGTCGTTTCATGGGTTGTATCGAGCATCGAGTGCCCGTCGTGCTGCATCCACCTTGGCGCCTAGACAGCTGGTGCAGATGCACCTTAGAGACAGAACGGCTTTGCTGTACCACTGGGGGCTTCGGCTCGAGATGTGGTGCACCTGACACGGATTCGGAGTCCATCATCATGCTGGGGGCCTGGAAACTGCGCTGAAAGAGCTACCGTCTGCGGCAGCTCGAAGCGACATGCCGGGAGTCCACTGCGACCAGGGCGACGCCCAGACGCAGCCTAACTGCTGCTCCTAGTCCCAGAGTCGACTGCGTTGCGGACGAGGTGTTCAGGTCGCACCACTGCACTAGGCACAGGTAAGGGCGTGAAGCACTAGTCTTGCAGACTCGTTCGGATTGCGGGCCGTTTCGCCCTGAAGGCAAACTTTCGGAAGTATGGAAACCTTTTCGCCCTTTTAACGGCTACCGTGGAATGGGACAGGAATCGTTACATCGTTTCTCGTGAATCGTTCGTCTCTTTCCTTTTTTTCTCCGAATAGCGCGGTCGATAAGCACACCTGCGAGATCACGCAGTCACGAGAGACGACGCGCATGTCGCCGATGAAGGGAAACGCGTTTCTAACTATGCTCTGACCTATTGCCCTACCGTACATGTTGTATTCGAATTACAGGCGTAGCGGAGTACAGTTTTTTGAGTTCAATCGCGTTTGAAACGTCAAGTAAGCATATTCAAGTGATGCTGTGCGGTGTATAGGAGAAGCGTTCAATGTGCGTTCTTTCGCAGAAAAAATTCTAAAAAAAGGAAAGTTATGAGAAAGCAAGTCGACGATCGCGGAGGCGCAGTGTCGCCGGCTGCCAGAAAAAGAACGAAAAACGGTGCCGAGCCCAGGAGCACAGGCAAAGACGATGAAGCAGAAGCGGGAGGCCCTACGTCAAAGGCCGCGGGAAAGACAACAGTACGACGAGACGGTGGTGAAAGCGTACCTTCGTAAACATATCAAGGATGCCTACAAGGAAAAGTTGCGAGAGGCCATCAGAAACCGTGTCGAGTCGTACTCCACGAGTACGAAGAAGGCTTCGTCAGGACTGATGCATATGGTGAACGAGATGCACGACAACGCGACGGACACCAGAACAGTCGAGGTTCCGGGGGAATTTTTCAACAAGACCTTTGCTCGTCACCTGATGGTCGGCACAGGGGAGCCGTCGACAAACAATGAGCGAGTGCACGCCTTCCACGAAAACTTCGCGGGATTCGGCTTCGAAGGTGCATCGATACAAGGGTTACGGGGATATTCACATCTACGGGCCGATCGAGTACCTCGCGAACCTGAGGAACCATTTGACCATGAACCTCGAACGTTTCATGATACGCGCCGTGTTTGCGCTCTACCGGGGCATCTCTCGCGGGGAAGAGATGGGCCATCTTCGCTGCCATCACCAACGATCGTCAGCATGAACAGGCAATAGAATTTGTCGACAAGATGACATCACGCAGGAGCATGAATGAAGCATATGTGATCGGTGCAGCTATTCAAGAGCGTCGTGGTAACACGGAGGTAGGGGGTTGGATAGATACTTCACCTCGCACTGAAAAAATATCACAAAAAGTAAGAAAAGTAAAATGCGCATAATCGGAGAACGCTGGCCCAAGTAAACGTTTTGTCCATGGAAAAAAGAGCATCGTGAAGTCTTGGGGCTGGCCAACCCGACAGAAGACGTGTCAGATATGAAAAAAGTGAGAAAAGATGGTACCCCCGCATCCTGCGCTACTTCGTGTTTCTGGACCGAGAACTCGAACGCAAGGCGGAGATGGTGCTGGGTGTGTGGAAAAATGAAGAGTCGCGGAGACGGAACGCTTTCCCAATGGGGAAGTGCTTCAACGTGGTTCCAATGAGCAACATCAAGTCACATTTTGTGACTATCGACCAAGGCGTCCACTACGGCAACATGAGTGAGATCAGTCCGGTGTTCGGTGTCAGCAGGGAGGAGTTCACCGGTGAAAATCGGGAGACGTACCGGAAGAGTCTCTTCGGTTTCAAACGTCTCAAAGTGAGCAAGCAGAAGGTATTCACGGGGATGATCGGAACCGATGGCGTAGCCACGTGTGTACGCTATCGGAGGTTTGAAGGCGGATTGTCCAGTTCGGCCTTCGATATCGCCCGTAACGAAGCATGAAGAAAACAGGGAGGAGGATCCTGCCACACAGAAAGTGCAGGATAACGACTTTGTCGTTGACGCGACGAAGCGTGAAGATGAGATGGAGGCGGGTCCTGCTACGCAGAAAGTGCAGGATAACGACTTTGTCGTTAGTGCGGATCCCGGGAACACAAATATCATAACCATCGCAGTACCCAAGCGTGCGGAAGATGGTATCAACGGCAACCTACGTCAGACGGCCCTGCGAGTTTTGAGGTTCTCGAGAGCGGGATGCTATCGAGAATCCGGTATGATCAATGTGAGGAAGAAAATTGAGACACGGAATGCAGGAATGAAGGATCTCCTGGAAGCTTTGCGCGGAGTAACGAGCAGAGGAGCAGGCTTTGAAGCTTTTCCGATATTCATGGAAGGTCGCGTTGCTCATTGGGATGCGCTGCTGGAGGAGTATACAAAGCCCCGGTGGGCTCGTCTGCGTATGAATCTGTACGGTGGTAAGCAGCGGGCATTCGCCAAATTTTTCAGTCAGTTGAGTGCCTTGAAGGAGGACGAGAGCCAGAGGCTGGTAGTGGCATACGGAGCAGGGCGTCCACAAAAGGGTGCACACCAGCTCCGTCGACGAGAACGTACAAAGCGTGTGCACGGCGCTTTGTAATGATACCGATTGATGAGCTCCGAACGTCCTATACACACCACGAACTGGGGTACACACTTGAGACGGTCGACATGGAAAAGTGCCAGCGGAGTCCTGAAGATATGAAAAAGTATGGAGCGCTAACGGAGGAGCAAATGGACAGGAGGGCGAAAGTTCGTGGACTACTCGCATTAGTAAGTACAATCAATGGCAAGAAACGCATGGAAATTGTTAACCGCGACTTTAACGCGGCTACCAATATAAGGAGGTGCGCGGTGATGGAGAGAAGACCTCCGTACTTGACAAGAGGGAATTTCGTAGGGAAACCTCTCGAGGTGGAATTATACGAGAAAAAGTTGAAACCGGTAGTAGGTGGCCGGTCCAAAAAGAATGTGAGGCATCTGCACGTCGACTGGAGGCGCATTGTCGAAAGCGCGCCGCGCTCCCGTTAAGCGCCAGTGCGCAGAAGAATTTCCTTCGGTTTCGAGGTATATTGAGAAGGGTCGCGTTCGTTCTGTGTAGAAAGCTGGACTGTGGCGACTCTCTCGGTCAGTTTTAAAGTTATGCATCGAGTACGCTCCCGTGCGTCGTTCTCTAACCGCTCTAGTGAAGACCTCGTTCAGGTGCCGCCGGGTCTTGAGTTGGACGAAGAGGAGCTCGCGCTCCTGGAGCAACAGCGCCAGCTCGAGAACGCCTTAGCACGACACGAGCACGGCAATGTTCCCCGATCTCTTTCTCGACGCATCCTGGACTATATGGTCCAGAGCAGCGACGGCGCTGATCTGAGAACGAATCAGTCAATTCTGGGCACGGAGTCGAGGGCGTTTCCGGAATGGAGCACGTTTCAGCGCCCGGTAGCACGGAAGGGTCCACGATACGACGAGCTTCGACTGGGCGAGCTACTTGTACGACGTGGTCACCCGTTGCCGTACGGCGTGAGCCTGAGCCCGGAGGGCACGAATTTCGCTATTTTCACAGATGAGGAGGAGCATGTGGCCCTGATCCTTTATCCGGCCAAGTCGCGGCGTCAGCTAAGGCACGAGCGTTTGCAGTCTGCAGCTGCTGCATCTATCGAAAGCGCCACGCCTGTGACCTCGAATACTGAGAAGTCCGCACCCAAGACAGACTCTCACAGTGGCGAGCATGTCATGGACAAACAAACCGAAACTGCACCACCCAGCGACGCATCGCAAGAGACGGGTGCGAGAGAAAGTTCCGAGAGCACGCCCGCTAGGACAGAGTCTGCTGCTTCTGCGCTGTTGCGCAGGAATCGGGCGCCGTTTATCGTTCGCGAGAGCAGCACGGACGACGAGGACCGCTTTGAAGACGTCCGTTCGAACGCTGGTAGCACCGGCGGAAGCACACCGCGAGCGATGAGCGAAGGCCTCGAAGATCCCAGTAACAACGATGCGGTGATGACCACGAGCGCGCTCCAGAGCAGCACAAGGCAAGCAAAGTCGGTACTGGCTACCGCACAAATTTTACCGCATCAGAGCGGACTGCTCTTCCCGATGGATTGGTTTTTACCGGTCCCAAGTATTGACGACGCAAAACCTCTAATTATCGAACTTGATCCTGTCATCCATCGAACAGGCCATGTTTGGCACGTACAGATCGCCCCAAATGTGGAACATTATGCCTATGCATGGCGCATCGGCGATCGACCAACGCGCTGGGGCTCAAACATCGTCCTCGATCCATACGCTAAATGCGTTTTCTCTCCACCGAGTGCGGATTTCAACCGCCCACCGGGACCTTATCGGCCGATTTGTGGTGTTCCCGCTATTGGAGAACTCGATTTCGACTGGGATGGCGTCCTTCCTCCACGGTATCCGTTTAAGGACTTGATCATCTATGAGCTGCATGTGAGAGGTCTCACAAAGCAGACTACTTCGCCCTATGCGGGTACCTACCTGGGCGTCATTGAAAAGATACCGTACTTGAAGCAACTCGGTATCAATGCAGTTGAATTGATGCCTTGCGCCGAATTCAACGAGACCGAATGGGACATGCGAAATCCGAGCACCGGCGAACGATTGTGTCAGTTCTGGGGCTACTCACCGATCTCTTTTTTTGCGCCCATGAATCGTTATGCGATGCAGGGCTTTACCTCGGCTGTGCGGGAATTCAAAACCATGGTTCGCGAGCTGCATCGCCACGGCATCGAGGTCATCCTTGATGTGGTTTTCAACCACACCGGGGAGTTTGGAGACGACGGACCGCCGCCCCTCTTTTACCACTTCAAAGGCCTCGCGCTGAGTACTTATTATATTCTGGATAGGAAGAATCAGTTTGCAAACTATAGCGGGTGTGGCAATTCGCTCAGTGCGAATCACGTTGTCACTGCGGAGTTCATCCATGAGTGTGTTCGGTACTGGGCTCTGGAGATGGGTGTCGACGGCTTTCGCTTTGACTTGGCTGCAGTGATGTGTCGAGACCCGCAAGGTCAGCCCATGGCGAGTCCGCCGGTAATCGAGCGGCTCAGCAAAGATCCCTGCTTACGGCACTTGAAACTGATCGCAGAACCATGGGATCTGGGTCAGTACCTGGTCGGACATTTTCCACATTACGGGTGCTGGGCGGAGTGGAATGGTCGCTTTCGAGACACGGTACGGCGTTTCATTAAGGGAGATCCGCATCTGATCGGTGACTTTGCAACCCGTCTATGCGGCTCAGAGGATCTCTACGCGAACGGACGACGTCCGTGGCACTCCATCAACTTTGTCACCGCTCATGATGGATTCACCCTCTACGACCTGGTTTCCTACGCCGAAAAACATAACTGGGATAATGGTGAGGAAAACCAGGACGGTGAAAGCCACAACAATAGCTGGAACTGCGGCTTCGAAGGCGACGGGACCCCGAATCCGAACATTTTCTTCCTGCGGCAGAAGCAGATGCGCAACTTTCTGGTAGCGTTGCTGATATCGACGGGTACCCCAATGGTGCTTATGGGTGATGAGTATGGCCATACACGTCGCGGAAATAATAACGCCTGGTGCCAGGACAACGAGCTGAACTACATGGATTGGGATAAGGTTGCTCGCGATGAACGGGGTCTGGTTCGGTTCACGCGCCTCATGATCCTGTTCCGGCGGGTGAACACCTTCCTCTGTCGTCAGAACTTCGTCACCAGACACGACGTGAGCTGGATCCATGCCGACTGGAGTAGTGCCTACAACTTCCTGGTGATGAGAATCATCGATCCCGGAAACGATGACTTGCTGGTGGGGTTTAATGCCGGTCCCGAGCGGCGCACGGTCACTGTACCACCGCTGTCGAGCGATCGCCAGTGGCTCCGCATCGTGGACACCAATCTGGCTCCGCCGTTGGATTTCTGTAACGGAGATAATCCAACCAAGATCTACGGCACCTACGTCATGCAACCCTGGAGTTCGATTATTCTCCAGAGCCACCGCCGCAGCGTGCTCATCCAGAGCTTGGAAGAACACCTTCGCGGACGCGAAGCAGCCTCCTAGACACTGTAAAATGTTGATGAAACCTCGCTGTGAAGTCGGATGGCTTGATTCAGGGAACAAATCCCTTGTACAGCGTCGCTGTCGATATCGAAGTGGTGCCTCATGATCCAGAAGCAGGAATGCAGCATCAGCGGACCGTTTCACGTGCCACCAACTACACTACGTGCACATGAGGCAGCTTTGTGGCGGGGGTTTTCCAGCGCCGTCCGCGATCGCTACCAACGGTATGCCTGCTGCGCACCGGTAAATACCAACGCAGTAGGCTCAGCTGTGTTCGCTATAGCAGTGGTACCTTTTTGGGCAGTATCATTGAGAAATTCCTGACCACGGTGAACGCGACGGCTGCGTGTCGCCGTGAAAGCGTCGTATATTTGGACAGTGCGAGTAGGAAACTCACGTGTGCAAAACGAGGTATATACGTATGGGAATGCATGCATGCATGCATGCATGCAAAAACACGTGTCTATGCGAATGAAAGCACGCATGGTATCGAAGCTTTTCACGTATGTGAGTGCATGCATGCATGCATGCATGCACTCACAAACGCGTAGCCATAAACATAAAAACCAATAACACTGAGGTCTACATGATTTTACCGCAGCGGCTTCGAGGCTATCGGCAAGCGCAGCAAGTCGTAGCGGTATGCACATGGTACATAGCCACAAAGCGCGGTATCAGCACCGGCTGAGACGAGAGCTGCTTTCGCATGCCCTTCTCTCCTACGTCGATGTTACCTGCTCCACTGGGGCACTATCGACACACAATTGGAGAAGGGCGCGATTCTCGTCACAAAGTCGCTCCAGGGTATCCCGATAGTGCAGAAGCGCTCGATGCAGTGCTAAAAGCGCAGCGTCCAGGCGATAGTTGCGCCCGACACGCAGCTGCCGCCGAGGCACGGGCTCGCCCTTCGTCCCAGTGGCCCGGGTGGCAGCCTCTCCGTGCCAGACGAGCAATGCACTGCACCAGCGCAGGAGATACTCCCAATGGCGAGAGCGCTTCAGTCGCAACGAACCAACAAGCGCCTCGGCCAAGAGTGAGATGAGGGTCGGTACGTGGACAGCGGAAAGCGCGCGGACAACGATGTCGACTTGGTCCGCTGGAACATGCCCCAGCATGTCGTAGACGTAGCCTGGTTCGTTGAGCCGAAGCGCGAGCGAGAGCGCCAGGGCCCAGCGACCCTCGCGAATCGCTTGGAGCATATTCGACGGCGTGACGTCCACGGCCAGATCCACGGGATCAAAGGCAGCTCCGAGCGAGCCTCGCCAGAGTGGAGCCGCCGTCGCAAAACTTCCCAAGGCGTGTGCAAAGAGAAACAGCCCGTCGGTGGTCGCAGCCGCCCAGGTTTCCGTTCCGGGTGCAACCTGGATGCTCTGGACACGAAGCATACGCGCAGAACGCTTTCGATCACGATGCTCGTGCAGGATTCGGAGTGCTAGGCGATGCGTTCGTGTCTCAGATGATGGGGTTTTGGCGGCGAGCGCACGCAGAAGCTTGTTTTCGGAGGCTGGTGCTGCCGAGGTCGCTGGTGCTGCCTTCGCCGCTGATCGTCGTTCGCATATAAAAGTCGGAAAGAGTTCGATCCGGCGGATGCATTGCAACGTCGCACGGCTGTACACGAGTACACCAGTAGCATCGCCGCCACTAGCAAGCAAGAACTGCCCATCCGTTGTGTAGCAAAGAGTGGACACGTAGGGCGCGTCTCGGGCTCCGGCTGCCTCACAGTCTCGGCGCGTTTCAAGAGTTGCTCGCACGGTAGCGAGGCGCGTATCCCACAGGGTGAGCGTCCCATCCGCTGTCGCACTAACCAGCTCACGCCCGTCGGGATGGAAGGCCATAGTCAGAACCTCCTTCGCGTGACGCAGCACCTGCGCATCAAGACGGCTCCCGGTCGCGAGCAGCGCCCAGAGTCGCACGGTGCCGTCCCAGGACGCCGAGGCCAAACGCAAGCCCTCTGCTTCCGCTGTGACGCCGTTGAAAGCGACCGCAGAAATTGGAGCTTCATGCCCAGCAAGCGTCTCCAGGAGCTGCCCCGTGCGCACATGCCATACGCAGACAACGAACGGCTCTTTGCAACCGGCAGCGACCAGATCTCCGCTCTCATCTGCCGCAAGGCAGGTAAAAGGATAGCTTACACCGCTGGAGGCGCCAGCTGGTCCACGCAGCGTCCTAAATGCTCGATAGCGCTTCAAGTCGATCGCTCGCACAGTGCCGTCTGTGGAACAGGAAAAAAGGACGCCGCTCCGTTGGGAAAAAGCAAGCCCCGTTAAGCGTTGCGTGTGCAAATCATCCAGGGTCAATGCACAGAACCCGGTGAACGTTGACCAGAGTTTCACAAGACCGTCCGCGGCACCAGTAGCGATCACATCTCCTCTCGGTGCGTAGGCGAGGCAGGTTAGGTCCAGCCAGTGCCCCTGCTGTTTCAGCACGTACTTTTCACTGGTCCATTCCCAGACAATGAGCGCCGACGTCAAAGCAGAAGCGAGCGCAATCCATTCTCCATCAGGATGAATGGTGATCGCCGATAATGGTGCTGCCGAAACCGAAAACTGCTGCACAAGCCGCGTCATCACCCCCGGCTCGGGCTGGGGCTCAAGCTCCACCAGCATAAGAACGCCATTCGAAAGACCCAGGGCAAGGAGCCGACGCTTCATGAGCGCATGCGCACATGTGACGCGCACATGCCGCGGCTGACGACTACCCTCGCTGCCAATGAAGAGGTTCGTCTTGTTCAAACAACGAACCAGCTCTCGGTGTGCATTCCGGCGGCGACCGGAGCGCGTCCGCGTTCCTGTACCGTTGCTGGCGGTTGCATCGTTTCCACGCTTCTTCGCCAGTGTTTCGCTGAGACCGTTTAACGCAGGCAATGGAGGTGCATCCTCAAGGATGCCGTCCGGCTCGTGAACGGACTCCATTGCTCGTTCCCGCTCATCGATGGATGCTGTGGCCTCGCGAGCGATTCGCCAGGTGATCAGTGTGCCGTCCACGCTCAGAGAGTAGGCTTGGGTATCATCCTGCCCAAAAGCAGTCCACAGGATCACGTCTCGATGGCCTCGCAAGGATATCGGTGCGTCAAAGCCACCGTTGGCGTGCACAAGCCGCAGACTGTGGTCTCGCGCACCCGACAACAGCAGTTGCCCCGAAGGCGACCACGCCAGTGCAGTCACCTGATCAGGGTGTGCAGCTATCGTTTTTACGCGAACGAACGGCGCAAACTCCGGAAGAAACGCTCGGTCCGTGGGAACCTGCCAGATCTGCAGGCTAGAACCGACGCCTACGGCTAAGCGCTCACCGTCCGGGGCAAAGAGAGCTTGCTGGACGGCCCCACCGCAGAAGCGAAAGCGGTGCAGGACAGCCCCTGACACAAGACTTATGAAGAGCGCTCGGCCATCTACGTCTACTGCAAGCAGATAATCACCAGATGCTGCTGAACTGAGAGCAAGGACTTCGATGTCAGCGCGAGAGATCGCATCAAGTGTCCGACTCCCGGCAGAAACGAGACTGAACGCCACCACACGGTTGCCGACCGGTGACAAGATTGTCTCCCCATCAGGTGTAAACACTAGATTCCCACCAGTGAATGACTTGCCTAAAACATTCACCAGTCGATACCCGAACGCAACCATGGAACGCTCGCGACAAGGCGTTTTCCCGGTGTCTCTGAACGTTCCGTCTAGGCAGCGTCGCCGAACAGCGCTTCGTGCGGATGCCAAGCAGCAAAAAACAGAGCTGTTCGGTCACTATCCAGTTGCTGAGAGGAAGGTTCTTTCCTTTCGGTATCACTTTGGATATTAGAGCTGTATATGAACGTTTACGTTGATCTAGAGAAGGAGTACAAGTACAGCACTTTATTGATAGGGTTGTCGGGAGGGTTTGAATCGTCTGAACTTCACAAGTTTACAACGACAAGTACAGCGAGCTTTGTGCAACCTGTTCACGACCGAGAACAGGACAGAGAAAGAGGGCGTGTGCATGTTGCAGACCTCGGGACACGCCACTGAGGCGTAGAACAATAGCACGTCACTTGGCGGAGACGTTAGTCCCAAACGAACAAGGCGGGAAAGCGTACAAATGCCAAAGTATGCCGACAGCTCTTGCCGTTCGGTGTGGAGCGCATCGTTGGGGAACGGACGAACACGACGGTCAGCGTTTCATGGAGAACGCAACAAAAGAAGCCGCGACTGACGAGTAGTCGCTGCTGTGGCCGCGAGTGCAACTAGAGACGCAGGCTCTTCAGTAGACGCTCTCGTCTTGGCTCTCAGGTTTCGTTTATTACCGCTGGCTCATTCGGACTTGGCCTCTTACAGGTTGTCTCAGTGTACACACTAATTAGCCGCACACATGGAAGCCTACACGGATGTACCCAACTACGACTACAATCTAGCTCAGACGACTCGCGGTGCTGCAAGGATCCGCATGAAAACCTGGTACACGAGTCATCGCATAAGGTGTTCTATGTACCAAGCTTTACTGCGCTGGTGCGGATGCCTCCTGAAAAGGCCAGCCGAATTGCTGGAACACCTGGGAGAAGCGAGCTCGAGCATCTCCAGATACCGCTATTGAGATATGCCCGTCCAAATTCAGACGCAAATCAACTAGATCAGTGAAGAGGATAGTCGACTGCAGCGGCTCCGAAATGAGCCCTTCATGTAATCTTGCCGTCTGCACGTTGCAGCGCCTCAACGACGCACACTGCAGCGTGAAACGCGCCGGCGGGGTCAGCTCCCGCGCCGGTGACGCTGTGCTCAGGTCTATTGCCCGATGCAACGCCTCTGCGGCGTGACGTGGGTTTCCCCAAGTGGAGCCCAGGGGGCACACCAGGAGTCGCAGCCGACTCGTCTGGTTATCATCATCAGGTGATGCTTGATTCGGTGCACTGCGGATCGCGTCTTCGGCAGGTAATCGTTCACAGGCGAGCGCCTCCACGAGTGCCCGTAGAAGCTGAACATCGGAACCGGAACCGTCATATGCTACCAAGATCACAGGCAACGTCGGACACTGCGATTCTGCAGATTCACCATGCAGGGAAGTAGCGAGGGCGAGACGCAATCCCTCGAGCCAGTCTGTCACGACCTGCACAAGTTGCGGTTTCCATGGATACGATTCTAATTCACGCAGAAATCTGCTGACAAGATTTGCACGAATCATGCCATCGAACCATCGGGAAGCATCCGTACCGAGAAGGAGCAAACGCACTGAAAGCAGTCGCTGCAGAGCAGCCTGTGCGGGATCTTGGCTCGCATGCCGGTGCTCCACATGCGCTATAGCAAGCTGCTGAACTTGATTCTTCGTCTTCTGCTTTCTACCGCATCGCTCATCCTCATCCCGATCTAAGTGCGTAAAGTCATCGAAAAGAGCGCTTTCCCGGCGCAGCAGCGGGTTGCGCTCGGTATCGCTCACTCGTCCGATCGAAGTGTAGCCCGCATCGTACAGACTACAGTACTCCAGGTGGAACGTCCGCAAAAAGCGCCAAACCGCCCGATATGACCAGTGCAGGATCGGATTCACGCGCAGAAACGAGGGCCATTCGGGGCTCGACGGGCTCAGATGCTCCTGGCTGGGTCCGTCCGGGTCTATCCAGCGCGTTCCCAGAAGAAAACAACGCACACGCGGACGTATCTCTGTTAAATAAGTCTTAAGACCATGAAAAATTCCCCCGGGTACTCGATCAAAAACCAGCTGGTCGGCGTAGCGGCGGGACCAGTCTGCCACAAACTCGAGCACTTCGGGAAACTGCTCCTGAGGATCCGGTTCCTCAAAAAATACTGCTTGAATGTGTGGTGCCGGCTTGCGTTCTTTATATAGAGACTGAAAGGCTGCTCGTGTTAAATGGAAAACAACAGTGGCGTCCTTGCCTCCATTAAAACTCAAGGCAACCTCCTCCGGTTCAAAAATGCGCAGAACGCCACGCAGCAGTTGGAGCGAGCTGGTAACCCCAGGAGCCAGATCGGGTGCGACCTGTTCGATGCACTCTAATTGTTTCCATAGAGGCTCTTCATTTTCTGTTTGACTATCATCTTTACCGACACCAAGCATACGGCTGTTGCCCTGCGCGTCCTATTGTACGTTCCCAGGGCGACACGTCCCGCGAACCCCGCTGGCTCACAGAAGCAGAAACCGGAGGGGTGCGCTCCACGCTGCCGGATCCGCCTCCGCGTCGAGCACATCGCTGCGTTTTTGCTCAGTTTTACAGAATGTTTCCATGGACTAGGGATACCAGATTGCGGGATGGATATTGGCATTCGGGAGTGTGCCCATCATGATGCAACCTATGCTCAAGTTCCATGATGCATACTTTTTCTCGGGGGTGTACTGGTCGATTTGAATGTTGTATCATGCGGCGAGTACCTGCCTTGCTGCAGCCGCTATACCGCCTATACCGCTGGTGTGGATGCAACCTAGAGACAGAACAGTTTTGCTGTATCGCAGAGGGCTTCGACTCGAGAATGTAAACTTAACCTTCTCAAAGGCGCCTCTCGGCCTTTTTCGACCGGCCACCTGCTATCGGATTGAGTTTCTTTCTGTGCATATCGAGCCTGAGAGGCTGGCCCACAAAGCTGAATCGCATCAGCTCCTGGGGTCTCGTATCCAATACCGCACATGGTCTGATTTTGATGACGACGTTGAAGCCTCGATGCACAAACTCCATGCGTTTCTTTCCTCTGATGGAACGCAAAAGTGCTAGGATTCCGAGAACTCGCGACCTCTCTCCGATTCCAATCGCGCCATCGTCCCACAGGGCAAACTCCTTTTCTCGCCCATCTCCCTGTTCTTCTTCTTCTTCGTCACTTGCCCTTCTTCGCTCGATCGTCAGCGATGAGAGGTGTTTTCCCCTTTTTTCGTCTGCCAGCAATAACCACCAACCAGGATTCCCGACTTTTATGTCCATATCCTTCCCTTAGATTGTCACCTTCGTCAAAATGAACGCACTTTGCGTATATCTGCTATGAGCGGAGAATAGACCTTTGATGACACGCACTTGCAGGTTTTTTCATGGACAAAACGTTTACCTAGGCCAGCGTTCTCCGATTATGCGCATTTTTCTTTTCTTACTTTTTTTGTGTTATTTTTCCAGTGCGCGGGAAAGTATCTGTCGAACCGCACGCACTTGCAGGTGGAACGCAATTGAGTTGAACGGTCATGAGCGCAGCACCTGGACGCCGCTTCCGCTGCGCTCCGCAGCCGCTGGCGATCGACGGCGGCTGCGGCGGCGGCCAAATGGCGAGCACAGCAGTCTCGTTGGCGTGAAGCGCGAGCATTTCTTCTCTCGAAGAGCTTTTGTTGGGAACGTTGTGCCCTTCCTGGACGGACATGAAAATGTTGTGTTTCCTATATACAACACCGGGAGGCTTTTGCGCAAACACCGCGACTGATCTTTTCGTCTCAAACTGCACCGGACGGAGGCGTCACGCACCGCTTGCGCGTAGGTGCTGGAACGCGCATCACAGGCAGCCGCAAGCAACGCTGCTGGCGCGGCTGCGTCTTTCAGCAAATGAGGGCGACTTTCGACACGCCGACCAGGCACCGCTGGAACAGTCTGTGACTCGCCCAGCGAGGCTGTCCAAGGCCGTTCTGGCCCTTGCGCTTGGTCTGTTCGGCGCTACACTCGGTGCGCTGAGTGCATACTCCGCGCCTAAGCGCTTGTCCATGGAGGGGTCGAACGCCGCGCTAGCCGTAAATCTTTCGTCGTTCCGGCGACGTCGTTCTGGTGTGGAAACCGTCCGGCTGGTTGCCGCGAAAAAGTCCGCCCCTGTGGAAAACCTCACACTGTACGACCCGGTCGGCGAGCAGATGGCCAGGAACCGTTTCATAGCCAGTATCGTTGTTGGGGTGACCGTCGCTGCCCTCTACCTCTACTCTACTGAACGTTGCAAAAGAGATAACGAGGAGGAAGAGAAACGCATTCGGGCTGAGGTGGCTCGTCTGGAGAAATGGAAGTCGGAGTTCGTGGACGCACAACAAAGCAACGATGTGAATGACGAGGATCTCTTGGCCGCACTGCGTGAGCGTCTTCAGCAACAGCAGAAGGGAGGCAGCACCGATATTGCAGATCCTGATCAGCAGAAGCAAAATACGTCCGAGTCCGACGCTGACAACGACGACGACAACGACATCAAACTACGAAGAGGTGACGATTCCCCCAGCGAGCATCCTGATTCCGACAAGCGCGGCGGGAAGCATGGACCATCCATGCCGCCTTCGACCGAGCAACCACGTGCTGGCTCCGGCGGAGCCGCAACACTCGATCGACCTGGAGCTGATCGGGGAAGACGGTCCAGTCGCGGACGCTCCATGGACAGTCGCAGTGGACGGCACAGCTCGAGCGACGATAAGAACCCCAACGCCAATGACGGTCGTGCGGGTAACGACTCCCAGCGGGACAGCACTGCGAATTGGGACCTCGAACGCGAGCGCCTTCGCAAACTCTTTAACCTTGATAGTGGCAGTAGCGGCACCGGAAGCGACGATACTCGCAAAGGCGATCGCTAAACAACAGCATTTGGGACGAATTCGCGCTGCTGATCTGGACCGTTCCTGGGAAGCATACCATGCTCTGGACACGTTCGTGTCTAACACGGCATGAGCGCCTATGAGGCAGCGCATCGGTGTCCGCAGGAGACGTTGCACACAGTCTGTGTGTGTGTGTGTGTGTGCTTGCATATATTCGCCGGGTACCCGTTGACCAGTGCTCCGTTGGCTGCTTCGCTGGCGGGTCACGAAAGCGGGACAAGTGCTTGCTGCACGGATGCAGCGCCTGATCACCTCAAGAGTTTGACAAGAGATTCGTCGTAAATGTTGCTGCCACTGTATGGAAACAGACAGAGAGAGAGTTTACCCGCGTGTGCGAACGCGCCTCACGAATTCATGACGCATGATATCCGCTGGATTTTGTCTGGGGCCACAGCCCGTGCATCCTAAACAGGCTCTGATCGCAAGTGCACCGCAATACCGATTCCGCCAGTGAAACCGAAATGTCTTTTTGCTGGAAGCGGGCCAACGTATCAGCAATAGCAACAGCAGTACCAGTATGAGCTATTCCTTGACACATTTGACCCGCATGCCCGCGTTATAACAGGTAGCGAACACGGTAGTAAATGCTGCAGCGAGACGCAACTGGTGAACCGTCAGCGGGTATTGTCTTTCCATCACGGCTGACGAGCTTCCAGTGTCTCGCAATGAAAGCGGTGGTCGGACGCGACCGCGCGGCATCCGCATCGAAGCCTTTGTGGAGGGCGGCATGTCCGCCGTCACCGATAACCAGAATGATGCATCTACTGCGCCATTTATCGTTCATGTTTTGGAGACGGCAAACCGCCGATCCGCTCATTGGGTAAATGGACAGAGGAACGTTTTTCAGGGCGCTCGAATCTGCTCGGTCCGAGGCGTTGCTCGTGTAATGTCTCGTACGGCTCTGCGGGCATGTGAAGCGTCACCCTGCGCATCCTTCAAGAGCGCTTAGAATGCGCATTCGTTACGACTTGAGCCGCCTCCGTAAAACCCTCTTGCGCCAACATGTCGAAGAGTTTGCGCATACGGGCGCGGTTCGTGCCCATGTCAGACCGCCCAATGCGCGATGCACTACGAAAGTGGATCACGTGTGTTGCGTCATCCACGAGACATTCCACATCATCAACGAATCCCCAAAAACGAGTCTGAAACTCGGCATACAGATATTTGCCCGGTTTGTATGTTATGATCTTGCTGGTTTCCGGTCCAGGATATCGTTGAACCGCTTCGTACACCCGCTGCAGCGCCTGCAAGGCACCCATCGTCGATGGATAGCGCCACGGAGGCTCAAAACAACTCGTGTTCGGCATATCGCGACTAGAGACGCAGTTCTGAGCGTTCGGCCGACAACGACTTACCGTGCCATGGCCAACCGTGGACGGGCGTGGCGCTCGCACAGCGAGTCCGTAACGCCGCGGTCCCCATGAGTTTTCGCTTTGCTCGGCACCCCGGCTCTCAGGCGGCCAGAAAAGCAGGCCCAAAAGTGTCACGGCGCTAAGGCCAAGAATGTAGAGAAGGAACCGTCGCTCGCGCGACTTTCGTTGTACACTTCGTAGAACACGGTCTGAGGTGCGCGGCAGCGAGTCCACGCCCGGATGAGGCGCCATGAGCGGCTGGTTCTTGCTATTGGCGCTCGCCGAGAGCTCGGAGACAGCGTTTACCTTCGATTTTAGCGGCCGTACGTGCAACCGCCTTCCATGCTCCCCTGTACGAAAGCGCTGCCTCCGTAAACGCACACCGCTGCAACGTCTGCGCAGCGTTTGGCGCGAGCCGCTAGGCGAACCGTGCCGGCCCTTCCAGAAAAAACGTCCCGGAATCCCAAAGAGTATACCAGTCGTTCCAATGACGCTATTTAGAATTCGCTGAGTTGAAACGTTACCCGTGGACACGTCCAGTGTCTCCGTTCCGGAGCGAGTGATAGAAGCGCGCTTCGAGCAACGCAGTCGCCAGCGGAGGCACTGCATACAAAAGCTGCAATACAAAGGATTGTCTGCGATGCGCAATCGCCATGCGCTGTGGAGTCGTCACAGAGAAGGACAGGCACTGCCCATTTACTAATTGCGACTGTTCCAAATGAAGACAAGTCGCCAGGAACTAGCAACTAGATAACATTTCGTTCCACCTTCATGGTAAGCGTTGCAAAAGGGGAACTTTTTCCGTATTTTCGAAAGATTACCTTCGAGGCGGAAAGTCCCTCGCGCCAGACGAGTCTGCAGGGTTGGTGCTTGAAGCTATTCCCAGCGGCGGGTACAGTGCCGAGACCTCATTAGCTCGTCCACAACGCAGTTATTTTGGGACTTGGGGCGCCAAGGCTGCATCCAGGTATTGGCTTGGTCGCAGTGGTCCCCTAACATATCGGTCCGTGCTGTCGCAAGCAGTATTTCTGGCTGCGCAGCTTGCAGGCTCCCAAATTGATGTTGAGTCCTGATTCTGTGACTTGTGAACCATGACGCGAGTCGAAGCCCTCTGCGATACAGCAAAACTGTTCTGTCTCCATGTTGCATCCACACCAGCGGTATAGGCGGTATAGCGGCTGCAGCAAGGCAGGTACTCGGCGCATGATACAACATTCAAATCGACCAGTACACCCCCGAGAAAAAGTATGCATCATGGAACTTGAAAGTAGGTTGCATCATGATGGGCACACTCCCGAATGCCAATATCCATCCCGCAATCTGGTATCCCTACTCCATGGAAACATTCTGTCAACCAAAAGAATCGTCGTGCGGTCGATTGGCGCGCTGGGGCGCTACGAAGCACGCATCGCATGTCTTGCGGGATCGAAGCGTCCAGCCAGGAATCCCCTCAGTGCGCACTTGACATCGGCAGCGGAGGCAAAAACCACCGCTCCATTCAAATCCAAAGCTCCCTGGTTCCATCACTCACCACCAAATAACCCGCCATGAAGCATCCCGATACCTATTGCGTGCCTCGTGGTCCCGTTGCATCGTTTGCAGATGCAGGATCGAGACATCGACCGAGATTCCCCGGCGGATGCGCGATTGCTCTCAGAAACCACATGATAGAGCACCGCTCCATCCGAAACACCTCAAGTTCCGCAAACCCTGGGCCAGTACGCAACAACGGACACTGGGATTCGTTCCGTTCAACAACATGGGTCCTTCCAGGTATCGCGCACGCCTCAGGCGCTCGCTGTGACACAGTGCATGGGCCTGCACCACGCGGTTGCGCGGCGGTTGCACGCGCACCGAGGCGCCCCGACGAGCGCCGACTCGGCGATTCTGGATGCGTGCGCTGGTGTCGCATTCTGCAGCGATGCATCCGTGCCCTGGGCCTCGAGACACGTGTCCGGCATACAACATGCATGCACGCATGCATGTTGCACAGCGCCAAGTTTGGCATAGCGCGGGAGCTGCTCTGAATGGACAGGCACTCGACAACACAACTGCCATACCTCTGCAACTGGTGCTTGGGCCAGGTCTCTAATCAGGACCAAGCGGTATTTACTGACTGCGCATGCTTGTTTTGCTCTGGAACGTGTGCTTCCCAGTTGCGTCGGGGTCCGCTGTGTAGCGTCTGTGCGCAACCCGGTTGCCGCCTCTATCGCGTTGGAAAAGATGGGAGCGGCCTGCCGCTAACCCACCGACGGTGTCTATTCGCCAGCGCTGCGAGCCTTATCGATGAGATGCAGCGTGCACTCGCTTTTCGTGAAGCACAGCTCCAACGATTGCGGGAGCGCATCCTGGATCGAGGCGTCACCGAAGGGATGCGCTCGACAGCGCAAGCAGAGAAGCGTGCGCAGCGCTCGAGTCGTGCTCCAGAGGCCAGTGTATTTGCACTGGGGATGCCCGGGCATATCCATCAAATCCACGCTGCCGTGTCGCAAAACGGATCGAAAGACATCGCCCACTGGGAAGCGCAAGCCTCTACTGCCACGCCTATTTCCAGAGCGCAGCAGCAGCAGCAGCAGCAGCAGCGTGCAGCCCTGTCATGTGTGAGACGTAATGCAGCTGCGGAAAAAGCGGAAACGCTGCGTTCTGCGGATGTACGTTCCGCCGTGGCAGCACTCGAGCGAAGCACACAAGCATCCGGCGTATCGTCGTCGGTGCGGACGGTACGTTCGCAGCAAACGGTCCGCTCGTATGGCGACCGTTTGGAGCGTATTCGAGAACAGATGCTGTATGGACCCTATCGGCGGCAGCTTCAGTCAGAAAGAACACCTCTGGTGCCGCCCGTGCCTCGTTCAGGAATTTCGTACATCGGCCGTGCGCGCCTTGGCCTGCCACCGGCTGGCGATCGACGCCAATCCGCTCTTCATCGAGCAAATATCCCTGGACTGGCCACCAAGCGCATATGGAAACAACGTTCGGCTTCGGCTTCGAACTGGATGCATGCTCCCGGTTCGGCTGCTGTCCAAGCGTCTTCGTCAGGCGCGGGTTCTATTGTGTCAACGCACTGTCAGGGGTCCAGAGTTGTATCCTCCGAGGTACAGCGTGTACCGTCGGAGATCTCGACGATTCGCCCGACCGCATTGTCCATGAATCCATTGCACTGGTTGAACTGGAAGAGCGCTGATCGTCGACCGGCGAATGTGCAGCATCAGGCATACGAAGAAGAACAGCAACAGCAATCGCAACAGCAGGATGCATGTGCACAGTCCGTGCAGACCCCACGATCCGCCTCGAGCACAATTCGTAGCACCAAGCCATCACCGACATGCGAGCACCCATCTGCAGCGTATACCGCTCATCGTAGTCCGTAAACTGTAAACCAAAATCGCGCATTACTCGCAAGGAAACAGTAGCGCTGAAAGAGAAACGTTTCAAGGGCCTGCCGCACATCATGACTGCGGTTTGCATCCAGCCAGATGCAGGAGCCGGCAATAGCCACAGGAATTGTGCGCGTGACGCCTACATCCCGGGTCTCGCGACATCGACTTGTTCATAAAATGAACGAGTTCGCCAGCTAACCAACCAGCCAGCCAGCCAGCCAGGTTATTGTACCAGGCTTAAGTGCTCTATAGGATCCCGCATTTCTCAGCATGACGATTGTTGGGTGTGGTACCAGTCTAGTCACGGTAACAATTCGACCGGAAACAAACAGACACGGAAACCCAAGAACCCAGCATGCTAGCAGCAAGTTGCGTTTCCGGTGCGGACGACAAACGAAAAGCCCAAGCACACCCATGCATGCCCGTACAGGAACGTTGTGCAAGTGCGATTCGTGTCTGCACGCGTTGCATTGCCACCAGGAATTCCAGCTCTCACAAGAAACACGATGGCCAATCGAACGTTCTTTCTCAGCGAACCGCGTACATGCCAATACCGCCGATGCCTCTGATTAGCATCAGTCGTCACGGTACCGCAGCGAGGCGATGCCGAAGGAGCGGTTTGAATCATCAGGTTGCTCTTCTGACAAGCGTGGCGGTACCAGACCACTGCCCAGGGCAGTCTCTCTGATCGTCACCGCTCGCGTTAAGAGCTTCTCCGGGTCCAAATTATCCGGTAGCTTGCCGAGGTAGGTAACGACCTCGGGCCCGTCCAATTCCGTTATTTCTTCCTGCAGCAGGTCGAGTACCGCCAGGCAGACATATGGATGCATTTCAAGACCCGATGATAAATAGAAATCCCATATGCGGAGCGTACTCTCTACCGGCATCTCCCCGCGTGAAAACAGACCTTGCAGCCAGCCGTGTAGCCATCGCTGGTGCTCGATCTCCTCAGACTCAAAAAAGTCCGCCAAGTCCGGCAGCAAGGTCCGAAACAGCATCAAGAAATGCGCCGTAGCTCGAGTCAGACCATCACCATGTGTAGTGAACAGCAGCACATGTCCGAATCGATGCATCAATGCGCAAAACCCATAATACACATCCATTTCTCGAGCAGATGTGAATACCTGCACGAATACATGCACCAGGGATACCATGGTGGGTGCGTACTCCACCGGCGTGCCGAGGCTCATCAGCACATCATTCACTTTTTCCAGTTCCGTAGTTGAGCCGTGTTTCGTATCAAGCGGCATGATTAGCGGCAGGGCCACCATATGTCGCACGCTGAGCTCCACGACATAGAGATAGGTACAGAGCACGCTAACGTAACATCGAACAAGTGCAGCATGCGGTGTGCGCATGGCGGACGCCAGCCCTCTAGTCGTGCTGATTCCGGTTGTGATGCTATCACCGCTGGCGCGTTCCAAGCGACTTCCCGAACAAGTTACATCATTCTCAACAAGTACCTCGGTGCCAGCAGGTACCTCCATTCCGTCCCTCGCTTCCAGAACACTGCCCTCGCCGATCGTTTGGAGTGTTGCAGCTTCAGCAGATCGCATGGAATTGGTGGCAGATGAGGTCGACTCTGGACTGGAGCATAGGACCGCCTCATCATGATCCAGCTGTTGCGGTAGCGTGTACTCCATAACGCCACTCTGCGTCGGAGCGGAGGGCGGGCGCGAAGGTGCTTTCACTGATTCGTCACCGTCCGATAGGCCGTGATACGGCCCAGCCGCTCGCACCAGTCGCGGATTCACCAGGTTGGTCTCGCTACCCACATTTCGCAACGAGCGATCTTGTTGCTCTCTGGGCTTGTCCACAACCTGCACATCTGGAGCTCGTTTCTGACTCGGAAACATGCGACCGTGTTGGGAGCTCATGGTTAGCCGGCTTCGACGCCACCGACTGTGTTCGATTCGAAGGCGCTCTCGTTCGATACGTCGTTTCGCGTCGTTTCGGATTCGACGGGCGAGGCTTCCGTCCCAGTTGGTACTCTGCTCCAGTGTCAGGGCAACATGCATCTCGCCTGCGTCATTGAGGAGCGCGGGCTCCGGTCCTTGCATTCCCGTATATTCGAGGCTGCCTCTTCCAAATGCATTGCAATCAGTCTCCAGATCGGAGTGACCAACCGCCCGTCCCGCTCGTGGGGACGAAGCCTGAACACTCAGGTAGTCACGACCTGTATCCTCGGATACAGTCTGGGAGCGTGGCAGAGCCGGCAGCGGTGCGCTGGCGGCAGCTCCACCGGCCGAGAGGAACCCGCCTCTTTCCGAGACCTCAGCGCCGTGCAACGTCTCCGTCAAACCTTGACCGATCTGCCCGAGCGCTGCGAGCGCCGAACGCCGTAACCGCTGGTATGCTGCTGCGAGCTCCTTTTCGTGGGTGAGCTCCTCGGACTTGTCCGCCTTGGCGACTCCGAGGAGGTAACGCCAGACATCGCCGCGAAGCGCGGCAGGTAAGCCTCCGCGAGCGATTTCTGCCAACTTAACCAAGTCTACGTGCGACTCATCCTCTATAAGTTCTCTTATTTCAGAGATCACACTGTCCGCCAGAGGTAGAGGTCGCTCGTCGGGCGCCCTGCCGTAGGCGACTGGCTCAGGCGAAATCGTAACGTGAACGTCGTTCCGTTCTACTCGAAATCGTTCTTGTTTGCCGTGTTCCGGGAAGTTGTCTCTGGTTTTAAGTCCCCTGTCGACATCGCTCTCGGTGAACATGGAAGACGGCGACGTCGTGACGTCCGCTCGCAAGACCCCGCAGGACGGCTTCCGCAGGTGAGCGTCTGCAAGACTGCGCGTTTGTACCATTCAGATAAAATGTCTATTTTGTCCAGAGAACGCAGTGAATGCCGGAACATCTGAACATGCACACCCTTTTTGATCGTATTTGCTGTTCTCGTAGGTATTCAACAGAAGGAATCTATTCTGTGAATTGGAGAAAAGTTGCGAATAGAGTTTATGCAACCGTCGCCAGCCGGCGTGAAAGAAGACTTTTCGAGTCAGTCATTCGACGGTTAGAAGCTGGTTAGGGCACGATCCTCATCGACCTTTTCCTAAGCGTCATGCACCCTGGGCAGAAGTTATCAAAGTATACGCATAGAAAAGAATCCTCTTGAATCCGCACGCTCTCTATGAAAAATCAGTAAAGATGCCAGAGGATGTAGAGCTTCTCTGGCTTTCATACAAACCGGAATAGATACGGATAGCCGTTGAAAAATGCACGTTTCTGTGGAAGAACGTCGTGCGATATACCACACGCGATCGACGTGGCATCGACACGCGAACGCTTCGTATACCAAGGACAGGTGTTCGTTTCCATCGATGATATATTGTGTATTATAATTGGTAGATCCGTATATACGTACTCCAAGATAGGCAAGCGATCGTCCGTAAACAAATGATCAGCGAGCATTCCAGCAACTTCTGCACCAGCGGCGATCCAGCGGGTACTCGCCTGGAAATCGCAAAAAGGGCAGGGTCGTTCCACACCTCATTCCTCGTAGAGGCACCCTGCGAGGTTTCTCTTTGTTGCATTCCTCCGTCCTGCTGTTGGACAACAAAGATTTCCACCACTCGTCAGCAGTCAAAGAGTACGCACCTGGCATTGTAGCTGAGCTGCACTTTATGCAAGCCTATTCTCCATAGTTCTTACCAGTTGAAGGCATCTTCTGTGGTTTCAAACGTCCTTTGTATGTTCACAGATCAATAGACGAGCGTTTCGTATCCGCGGCACTGAAGCTCTCCAGTAAGCTAGTATCTGCATTTTGCAGCCCTGAACTTCTGTGTGGCTTGATCGCTCGTGCGCGCGACGGTACGGAAGCACCATCTCGATACCCTCCTCCGTTTCTGCGCTCAGTGTCGTACCCGACGATCAAGGGCGTTTTCCGGGCGATGACCCTGGCAAGCGCTCAGTCCAATATAGGTGCAAGCGTACGCTATTTCATTCGATAGAGGATTTGGGGAACGTGATGTTTTCCATGATGAGACAGGCGCCGAAAACAAATTCCAGGCTAGAGATCAAGTCAAAAAGCTCGATCCCTCTACGCTTCCTCTACTGGGCGCAACCGCTGCGGTCACTAATGTCCGCGTCCCAGGCTCTTGTCCATGCAATCCGAAGAGATGAGAGCCCGTCACGGCCTATACTGTGCGAGGTACAATGGTGCTGTCGAAAGCCATGTGTCCTATGCCCCAAAATTAAGAAGGATTGGTCTATCGAACATAGGGACTAAGTTGACAAGAAAAATTCAGCAATCTTTTGGCATGAGCTTGTGAACCAGCTTTCAAAAGTCCGTATCGCGTTTTTCGTTCCTTCGTCACTCCAGTGGCAAGAATCGCTGCGCTCACGAGTTGCCTAGAAACAGCAAGATTGGAAACGTGAAGCATGCATCAATTGAGCACACCATATGTATGGAATGGGCAAGCATAGAGGCTCTTACATGAGCGTTGGATCATGATATCGGTCATGTTCTGATCCTCTCTTGAGGGCGTCGGGAATCATCCTGATGCCGCTGACCTACGTCTTCGTGAAACGAGAACGGTTTCACGACCGTGGAGAGCAAATTCGGACTGAATCGTAGGGATGCCTCCCAGCCGTTTTTGACCGGCTGCCATATTCTCGATCCAGTTTTTGTCCAGGTAAACTTCGAGCCAGGCAGACTGCCCCACAAAGTTACATCGCGTCAGCTACGCGGGTTTCGTCATTAGTACCATAAATCGTCTCATGTGGATGATGTTCTTCAAGTCTAGGATCACAAACTCCATGCGTTCGTTGCATCTAGTTGAACTCACTAGTCCAAAGATTCCTCGAACTCGAGCGCGCAGTGCCATTTGGTGCTCTGTCAGCTCTGCGCGCTTTTCTGTCGCAGAATCGCTCCGCCGGCTCTTCTCCATTTCGTTCCTCTGAAGTATACGCCCCAGTTCATCCATTAGATTTTCTCTTTCGTCAAGCGAACATACTTCCTCACGCTCTTAGGTCAGGAGTTTCCCAGAGGATCGAAAGTCTTGCAAAAGAAAGACGAAATGTGCCCTGGTGTGTCACCGTGTGCTGAAAGCTTCAGCGATTCGCCCAGTGTAGCGATCATTACGTTTTATGAGAGAAAACACTCTTTCGATGGGCTTGAACCACGGGGCGCACGAAAGAATATGAAAAGCAGCTCTATTCCGATAGAATCGGCAAAAACTCGAACGCATGTTTAATGGCGAAATGCCACGTCGTCCAATAGACGGACGTCGGCAGACATCAGGGGAAAAGTCTTCAATGATCCAATAAAGTGGGTGCTGTTGTGTGAGCTTTCTCTGAGAGCGAAACTGAGGCCGCGAAATGAATCCCCTGCAGCAAAAAGAGATGATATCCTGGTTGTCTTCGGGTTCCATGGGAGATACAACAGGTACCCTGCTCCGCGAATACCCATACGCGTTCCCGCGTTTCGTCCAAAGCAAGCCCCATCGACTGAAAAAATAAATCGACGTTCATCTGCTTCATACCGAACGCGATATTCTATGAACGCTGTCGTTGCGAATTCCGTGGAATACGGCCGTCCGTGAACCACGACTTGTTTGCGACTGCATCCTAGTGTTTCCAGGGCCACACGAACAAGCTGTTGAGAAGCAGAGACGTCCATGGCGGCTACCATCGTCACTTCTGCTTTCCGTAAAAGGTAAGCAACGGGCCATTTTCTACCATTGACCGCAAGCAGTGTTTCAGATTGTCGTTTTTCGACGCTGAGCGCATTTCCTTGTTTCTTTCATTCATCTGATATCTGCGATATGACTGACCTGAGAACGCAACGCAGTCCTTCTTGCACTGGTCAGTAAACAGTCTATCATACAGACAATTTGTCAACGATCTATTCGATACAATGCATCGTGATTTCGATCCCCTGCTCTACAATGCACCGGGTTTGAAACAAAACCGAGCTGAATGACTTGAGCGATTCATATCGGCAAGCGATCCACGTCGTGCGTCTGCGATCAACTCTAGCGCCTACTCGCTTTAGCGCAAGGCTCGGTGTCGAGAGGCTTTAGTCGCGTACCTAAAGCGTCCGTGGATCGGACTCCTGTGAGAGGTTTTCTTGGACAAACAGTTCACTTGCAGCAGAGCGTCGACGCTCTAGACGTTGTGGCTAGCGGAGCTAGGAGCGCTCGAGCGGGCCGTGATCGCTGCTCTGGCTAGCAGTAACTGTGACGCACTCGGCAGAGCCCTGGGCAAACTCTTCGATCTCATACCATAGAGGAACTAGGGATTCAGAGGGCTCGCAAGAAACACTGAATACCAGCGATCTTTCAACAAGCGCCGATTGGTGGCGGCTTGCGTACACACGCATAACCGAGCGCATAGCTTCCACAGCTTAACCCATGGAACACGAAGCGAACTTGAACGATCTATCACTCGACGACAGGGGCAAACGAGAGCGTCCAGCACCTGAATCCGAAGCTCCACCCTACGTGAACCATCGGATCAGCTGCTGGGAACGTTTCCGCCAACACAAACAAGGCACACTGCTGGGATCAAACGGCAGCAGCGACGAGATTTTGATCAAGCTACCCGATGGCACGAGTACTCGAGGCAAACGGTACGAGACCAGTCCCTGGGATGTGGCGCAGAGCCTGGGACGTGACCTTGCAGAGCGCTCGGTTGTGGCTCTGGTCGACGGGGAGCCCTGGGACATGAACCGACCGCTAGAGGCTGACTGCAGCGTCGACTTTCGCTCGTTCGATACTCCCGAGGGTCGAGCTGTGTTCTGGCATTCGACAGCGCACATGCTCGGAGAAGCGATGGAGTACAAATACCACGGTGAACTATGCATAGGGCCTCCTGTTGAAGACGGTTTCTACTACGACATCTTTCTCGGTGAGCGAGCGATCACTCCGGAGGACCTCGCCGACCTGGAGCGAAGGATTCAGCGCATCATGAAAGACAAGGGGCGTACCTTTGAACGCATGGAGCTCACCAAGAGTGAGGCGTTGGAAATGTTCGGCTACAATCGGTTCAAGTGCGAGCTCATCGAAAAACTGGGCGAAGGGGAAACAATCACTGCGTATCGCGATGGGCCTTTTATCGATCTATGCCGAGGGCCGCACGTCCCATCCTGCGGCCGTGTCAAGGCAGTGAAGCTCACCCGCCTCGGACAAGCGTACTGGCTGGGAAAGGCCCAAAACCCGTCGCTTCAACGAGTATACGGTATTTCTTTCCCCGACAAGCAGCAGCTGAAGGAATGGGAGCGACGGATAGAGGAGGCAGCCAAAAGAGACCACCGCAAAATCGGACGCGATCAGGAGCTGTTCTTTTTTCACCCGTACAGCCCCGGAAGCTGTTTCTTTCTGCCACATGGGACACGCATCTACAATCGCTTGTTGGAATTTATGCGCCGCGAGTACTGGAATCGCGGCTATGAAGAGGTGCTTACCCCGACCGTCTTCGATTTTGCGCTGTGGGAGGCCAGCGGCCACGCGGCGAACTATCGCGAGAACATGTTCAGCTTCGAAGTCGAACAGAGAGCGTTCGGCCTCAAGCCCATGAATTGTCCTTCTCACTGTCTGATCTATGCGTCTCGTGTGCGATCGCATCGGGAGCTGCCGCTTCGCCTGGCCGACTTTGGTATCCTGCATCGCAACGAACTGAGCGGAACCCTGACTGGTCTCACTCGTGTTCGCAAGTTCGAGCAGGACGATGCGCACATATTCTGTACGCCTGCACAGGTTGAATCAGAAGTTCTCGGTTTCCTGAAATTCCTCGAGCACGTCTACCAGATATTCGGCTTCAAATTTGAGCTCGAGCTCTCTACGCGACCAGAAAAATTCATGGGCGACCCAGCGCTCTGGGACCGAGCGGAGTCCATGCTTGCGCAGGCACTATGTCAGTTCACAGGCAAACAACGCGACGAACCTGGCGGCTGGCGCCTGAATCCCGGTGACGGTGCCTTCTATGGCCCCAAAATCGACATCAAACTCTTCGATGCGCTGCAGCGGCGACACCAGTGTGCTACCGTTCAACTGGATTTTCAGTTGCCAATTCGCTTTGATCTTCGTTACACGGCTGCGGGTGCCAGCACTGAGGACGGCAACGCGGCTGCAAGCGGACCGGTACTGGCACCAGTCGCGGAGCGCAGCCTCGACACCACCGATGCCACGCCCGAGGACGCCAAAGTCGTTCCCGCCTCGCACGACGTTCATCGGCCCGTGATGATTCACCGCGCGATTTTCGGCTCATTCGAGCGCTTCATCGCGATCATCACGGAGCACTATGGAGGAAAATGGCCGTTCTGGCTTTCACCGAGGCAGGTTGCTGTCCTGCCAGTGAGCGATCGATTTCTTCACTATGCGCAGCAGGTGCACCAGCGTATTCACGACGCAGGCTTCTTCGTGGACGTCGATAGCTCCGATCGCAAACTGGCGAAAAAGATTCGGGAAGCACAACTTGCCCAGTATAACTATATTCTTGTGGTCGGTGAAAAGGAGCAGGCCGACGGAACTGTGAATGTGAGAACACGGGACAATGAGGTTCACGGTGAGCGTACGATTGATCAAATCATTTCCGAGTTTCGCCAGTTGACAGAGCGATTCCAATAAAGCATTTCGAGTGTATCGCAACAGTACCCATCCGCTGGACAGCGACGAACCGGCGTGCATCGGATCTAGCGACTCGAGCCGGTCTCGTGCATTGACGCGTTTCGAGTACCTAGAGACGATAGCGTGTGTGTCTGTACACCGATTTGCAGACGCCCCCCCCCCCCCCCGGGTTTTGCTCTAAGGGCCCCATGCCATCGGCTTTAGTTTCTTCTCGTGCACCTCGAGCCGGAGAGGATGTCCAACAAAGCTTGATCGCCTCAGCTCCTCGGGTCTTGTGTTCAGCACCGCACTTCTCCGGATATGGATCGCAGCGTTGAAGTCTCGGTTCACGAACTCCATGCATGTATTGCCGCTGTGGTTGAATTCACCAATGCAAGGGTTGATAGGACTCGTTCCCTCTGTACCAGTACAGTCTCGTCATCTACCCGTCAGGCAAACATCTTTTCTGACATATCTCCCCTCTTCGTATGCTCATTCTTCCTGCTCTTCTTCGCTTCATAGTCGACGAGAAGAGGATATTTTTGAAGCATCCAGCGATGATGACGGCCCTGCGGGATCCCCGACTTGCAAGTCCATACCTTTTCCTTGGATTTTATTTGCACTTTAAATCAACGCACTTGGAATGCACCTGCTGTAACTCATGAAACCGCTTTTGATACCAGGCACCTGGATATGGAACACCATCGAGTTGATAGCCTAGAATCGGGGAATGGATCTCAGGGCAGCCGCCGTCGCCGCCGCTGCCGCCGCTGCATCGATCCACTCTCAGCGCAGCGCAGCAGCAGGGCGATGCAGTGCTCATCTGCAACCTCCGAAAACGTCCTACAAGGTGTTGCGTGAAGTACACGAGCACCTGTTTATCCTGGGGAATTTTCGAGGCAATCGATAGGTGTTTCTTTTTGGGGGCGGCTGCTGCGGCGATCGCTTGCTTTTTCATAGCGAGCACGGAGAGGCAGGGCTTGTCATCGGAGGGTACCGCTTGCTCCGCCCCCGTCACAATGAGTGCGGGAACAAGTCCCGTCTCACGCAAGTCTGAGGAAGCAGACGTGGTGAAACCGAGACTTCCCCCGAATCTTCAGTTTCCAGAACGAAATCCTTCAGAAAAATTTGCTGAGATGGTGTTGGAGTCTTGCGCATTCAAGGCCGTAGCTGCGGCAATCGCTGGTGGCGGTCTTGGCGTTGCCCTGGGACTCTTCATCGGCGGCTTTTCAGCCGAGTTAGATCGGGCTGTCGAAGCGCAGTCGCCGTGGCGAGAGCAGCTTCGAGCATACGGGAAAGCGCTTGCGGCCCAGATCCGAACGTATTCGAAGAACTTTGCCCTCTGGGGAGCAACATACACTATCGCGGAGTGCTCCGTGGAGAAGTACAGGGCGCGTCACGATCTCTGGAATAGCCTCATTGCCGGCTGTGCGACTGGTGCTGTGCTAGCTTCCCAGCCGCGAGCGTCCATGAGTGCTCGAACGCGCGGCCAGCAGATGTCGGTCGGCTGCCTGGGCGTCGCAGCGTTTAGCTGTGCCATCGACTACTGGCTAGAGCATCGGCACGCGTGAATGAATATGGTGAACTAGGTGTTTGCTGTCCGTAACGGTCACTCGTTGCTGGACCCCGCCAAGTAGGATGCGTTGGTGTTGTCGCTGGTGCGGCCAGCGCGCGACGCTCGAGAAAGCTGCACCAGGAAAAGCCCCTGAGCGATCGGAGCACATGGAGTATACCGCGGGTACCTGGTACGGAGCGAGAGCGCGGACCCCGCTGTGGCTGTGATTCGGGAATCAAAAAACGAATGCGGCCTTTGGTAGGCAGAGGTGACTTGTACCCAGTGAACGACTGTGAGGAATTTTGGAATCTGCTGAAGCATCGGAGGCACGCGGCGGACGCCCAGCCAGGACGCTGTGATGTCTTCCTCGTGCGCCATGGAGCGGGCGTGTGCGAATGAAAGCGTCTAATCCGCTCCTATATTCGATACTTGGACGACTATTTCAGGTCTTTGTTGTTGTACGCAAACGTCACAGTGGTTTGAAATGTGCGCGCTTGCTCGTTTCGAGCAATGTCGCAGTGGCGAGCATGTCCGATCTGGAGCATTGCCCGATGCCCGGGAGCGTTCTGATCGCTCGATCTCTGCTACACGTTTTTGTTCTGAAGCACCGCTTGCGCTCGCAAATGACCATGAGGAAAAAGGGTCCTCTACGGCCGGTCTTGAACGACGCTGGTGCTTTCGATTCCCGCAGAGACGTCGTACTTTCGAATCTTTCCTTGTGACAGGTCGCGTGCGTGACGAACCGTGTAGGAATGGGATTTCGATCCAGATGATCAGCTGCGAGAGAACACAGTCTGAACCCGACGTCCGATTCATGACATTTCCCTGGGTGCTTTGCAGAGGGCTCGGCCCAGCGTCCAGTTCAAGTTCGATGCGACGGCATCGCGCATTCCTCGCAGTTCTTGGCGAGATGGGTCATGCCAATGACAGCAGCAGCAGTAGCTGCTGCTGCTGCTGCTGCTTCGGCACACACGGTAGATGCGATGGTGAAGAGGAATCCTTGCCTGAGCGCCTCTGCAATGAGCAGCGTCTGAAGCGGCGTTGGCTTCGTTCCAGAATGAATGCGGGCGAAGCGGCGGCATCCGTGGTTCCCGTCGCAGCATTTGCACTGCTCTTCGGAGACGATATCCATTGAAGCTTCATCACGATCATGATGATCCAAGAGTTTTGTTTTGTATCTCTGACGCATACGCATTGTCGAGCGCTGGCTCTCGTGCGAGTTCGAATTTGCAGCACTAGATCGGCAGAGCATGTCTCGTCTTCCACAAGCGCCCTGCTATTGCCAAGGCTCCATGCGGCTTCTTTGCGTTCTCTGTCAAAGAGGCGCTCGCTAGATCACCGCCAGCAATGTAAACTTGGTGTTTGGTGTTGCGACTCTAATGAAAACTAGAGGCGGCCACAAATCGCTGCACAGAAAAGAGGGAAAGCGTGTCACACTGGTGCGACCCGTGTGCTGCCGGATAGCGCCCGAAGACACAGTATCCTGGGAGGCTGCACGAGCCACCTCACGGTTGCCAAGTGTTGCGGAAACGTTCGCGATGTGTACTGGAGAGAATTCGACGACTCTGCCAAACACGACTTTTCGTGGATGCTTATGCGTCAAAATGCAACCGCCACTTCCCTTGAGCCGCCTCCGAACGACGCAACAGCATGTCAGAGCGCCCAACGATCCGCATGCCCTTCTTTACCTACAGCAAGTGCGCTGTTCCTAGGAGGTCTGTTCGCGGATAGAACCAACGTCTTGCAACCAGATTCATACGCTGCGGTCAACAGCGCCTAGCAAAGGATACTCATGAACTTGTGTGAATGCCAGCACCAACTCGTTACCAATGTCTTTGCGCGAACCAAGAAGTCCTCCTAAAACCAAACCCAAATGCGACTGTAACCCACACCCAGTGTAGAATCCTTAAATCCCCTCTTTACCCGCAGCAGCCCGGCAGTGATCAGGGTCCTTCTCGCGAACAAGCGCAACTCTGCCCAAAAAGAGCCCTTCTTCGACGCTAGACTTGCCTCGCAGACATAAAGCACGCACCGGCCACAGTTTCCCCAGCAGCTTTACTAGATCAAGGCGGAGCGCCACAGACACCAGTTCAATCGACGTCCTAGACGTACATATTCCATGCGAACACCTCTTCCGTATTTTACAGTGCTCCAGCTTTCGACTATGCTACCGCGAACCTTACGGATTTGCACACGCTCCCCGTATCCACACAAAATCCTGCCAATAATATCACACATTCATCTACGCCCTGCTTCGATTCATCGATCCTGCACCATCACCAATAAACACGAAACAAACGAGAGAAACCTGCATGCCGCTGATGAAAGCGCCCCACAGGCACGGAAGCGAATCCACGCGCAGGTTTTTTCATGGACAAGACGTTCACATAGGCCAGCGTTCTCCGATTATGCGCATTTTTCTTTTCTTACTTTTCTTGTGTGTTTTCTTTCAGTGCGCGGTGAGGTATCCATCAAACACCCGATCTCCAACGTACATTACCGATACCTCTTCTCGGATATTCTGGTCGTTTCGTATCCGCATGCAGATCAACGCCACGCGCGGCTGCGCTCTCGGATCGATCCGCTGTGGACGGCGCGAAACGGCGGCACCCGGCGCAGCGCCACCATAGCGGAAGGGGCGAACGCACCGTACCCCAAGTAGGATACCGGGGGCCTCCTTGTTGCGAACAGCGGCATGACAGCGTGGTTACTGGCTCCCTCACCTGTCCATGCACGAAAGATGTTCAGTGCGAGCAGCCGGGTATGTGCGCTTGGAACGGGAAGGCAGCTGCCGGTGCAGGTGCCGTCGGCTCCGCAGCGAGCGGCACGGCGTACGCGCTCCCGGAAACGCCTCTCGTGCTCAACGGAGACGCACGTGCATCTCGTAGGTTTTGGTCTCGCTGGGGCAGCGTTAGCGTTTTATCTTTGTGAGCGCGCATCCCAGAGCCAACGGCTGACGATTAGTGTTGTCGACTCGGCCGGTGCGGGCTGTGCTGGTGGTGCAACGCACGCATCCGCTGGCATCCTGCACCCGTTTACGCCCCGCGGACGAAAGATTTGGCTTGGCGACGAGGGCCTCATTTGCATGCGAGAAATCCTAGGGGTTATATCTGAGAAAGACTCGTCGCCGGTTGCGCGGCGGAGTGGCCTGCTTCGTCTAGCGACCACCGACCGAGAAGCTGCGGACTATGCCGCAGCAGCAACGCAAATGTATCCGCAGCAGCTGTACTGGGATGCGGCTCGGAGTCAGCTTTACATTCCCGACGCGTGGGTTGTTGATGCGCCCGCGTACGTACGTGCCATTCGGCGGTACCTCGAGCGTAACCACTCCGACAAGCTCACGCTCTGGGAGACGCGTGAAGTGCGCTCGGTAGCCGACGAGTGCCGGCGGCTGCAGAGCCTTGCTGAGGCCAGCTGTGCAGCGGTTACTTTCCTGGTGATTGCAGCTGGCGCCAGCAGCAGGCTTCTGATTCCTTCATTGCCGCTGACATGGTGCGGTGGCCACAACCTTGTTTTCCGGAGCCAGGACTTGACGTGGCCGTCGCCCGAGTTCGCAGCGGCGAGCACGCTCACTGCCGGGTTTTCGTCAACAAGTGCACCAGGCTCCGTGCCCCTGATCGGTCATGGGTCGTATCTGGTACCGACACCTGACGGCACTCGTGTCATTGGCGGTGCAACGAAGGAGTACGGTATGACGGCAACAGAGGTGCTCAAGGCGCAGTCTCGTTCACCGTCGGAACAGATGGCGCGAGCCACTTCGGCGCTGAGACAGCCTCTCAGTGCACTGCTTGGCAGGTATGCAAACCTCGCAGAGCGCTACGCTGCCGGAGAGTCGCCGCTCTCGAATACAGGCATCCTGCGCGATCCGCTTGAGGCGCTCTACGGCGTTCGAGCGCTTCCGCCACGCAGTGCTCTCGGAGCGGTGCCTCTGCTTGGAGAGATCCAACATGAAGCGCTTTCCATGTTGGCAAGCACAAGCATACCAGAGAATACTCGCGTCCTGTATTTCACTGGTCTCGGCAGCCGCGGCTTAATCCATCACGGCATTATTGGCCGACTTGCAGCTGATGCTGTACTTCGCGGAGAGTCTGTCGTCTCGCTTGGCAGCGTGGCAAGTCCCACGGTACTTTCCTCGGTGCGTCGCGCGGCAGCGGCAGCTGTGGCCGCCTCCTGACGGCGCCGTTCCGAGCTGCCAAAGTTCTCGACCACCACAAACCGTTTCCGTCGACTCAGCGGGCGGCAGAGTCGAATGGTGACCTTGTCTCCAAGAAGACAGCGATCCTCCTCGTCATGAGCCATAAACCTACGCGTAACGAAACGGTACGTCTTGATTTTGGGCTCATATCGAAGTCGACGCGCGGCAACGACAACCGTCTTCTGCGGTGCGTTCGAAACCACGACGCCGTGAATGCACTGCGCCCGACGTCGCCTCGTGAGGCTCAAGAGGCGCTTACAGAGCACCTCCTGGTTATCGGTGGGTCGCACCAAACCCCCGTAGGCCCGTAGCGCCTGCTTTAGTTCGTCGAGGCTCAGCGACTGAACTTGTTCGATTGGGGCGCCAAAGTAAGGCGCCGTATACACGGGACCCTGAACAACGCCTCTTGACTTGGTCGACTCTGAACAGTACCGAGGGAGCACAGCGTGATTCGTAACCAGCAGAAGGCCTGCTCGCCGCGTTCCACTGTCGCACAGCGGTCCAGTGCGTGGCCCCTGCAGACCTACGCCACTCGCGGAAGCGAGACTGAGAACGTTGCGCCTGACTATACGAGTCAGAGCAGTAAGCGCGCTGTACATTCCGTGTCCGTACGTGGAAACCAAATGAAAACGAAAGGATCCCTACGTGTTTGTATGCACGCGTCGAGCCACCACAGTCTATCCACGTACCTATGGAAATGCGTACTTGCGGATACAGGCTTTTGCGTATCCGCCAGCGTCCTTGCCGGCCGCCGCGAGTGTGTCCGATCACCGATGCTGGAGCGCGCTCGCTGCCTCGACGCGCTCTGCTCAAGCGAAGCGCCTTGTTGCGAGTTGCTTGCACCTGGAGTTGACGAGTTTGGGGTACCAGCTCCCGTGGAGGGGCACGACGGACGTGTCCACTGCGAGCCAGCCAGCCAGCCAGGTAGCCAGCCAGCCAGCGTCTCAGCGGAAGGTGCTTCGCGGTGGAAACCCAGTTATTCATGTCCTGCCAAACAGCGGCAGACTCGATAGCAACAGGAGTTGTGGGCGTAAGTCTATTGCTTCTGGTGTACTTTTTAAACCTGTTTGGGTACCTGCATGTGCAGCGCTGGCCTGATAGCGCAGTCTACGCGTCCCTCAACGCAATCGGGAGCGGGCTCTCCGCTGTGGCTAGCGGTCTGATCAGGTACTGGCCTTTTGTAGTATTGGAAGGCGTCTGGTGTTTGACGTCTCTTGCAGGACTTGGACGCATCTTGTACAGACACTGGAAAGGAAACCATAGCACAGCGAGCGCCGACGGAAGCAACACGAAAGACACAGGTTGAGTGAGCGCAGCTGGTACCCGAGACACCCGCGCTGCGACCGTGTTGGCAGTAACGCGAGTGCATACATATACACCAGCGGGCCTTTCGAGACGAACACTCGGATAGGCCCCCGGTGCAATGATATATACGCACCGACCGTGCGCTGTTTGATTCAGGGGCGACCCTTTGCTTGGTCTCGTGGTGACTAAGTTTTGTTCCTTGTCGCCGGCACCATGGCTGTCAGCGTGTGCCGTGGAGGCCGAGCTATCGATTGAAGTTTTTCTGAACGAGCGCCTCGTAGGCGCCTGTCTACTGAACGGAACACCAGCCCCGCGAAAAATACGGTTTAACAACCTCCGCGGTCGTCGCCGGTTGCGCCACCGTGCCAGTGCTGGAGCCACTGGTTCGTGCTGCTGCTGCTGCTGCTGCTGCTGCTTCCTTGCTGTGGGGCAGCTTTGACCCCTTGTCCTTCTTCTTCGGTTTGGAGGCCCCGGCTCCGGTGCTCTTTGGTGCTTTCTGTGACTTGGGCTTTTTCTTCTCTATTTTGTCCGGACGACGCTGCGCCGTAGCTTTGCTTTTCCGCGACAACTTGGACTCCCGTTCTAGTTTCAACGGTATGGGCTCCCGTTTCGCTGCGCGGGCGGCTGCGGCAGCCGCGGCGGCGGCACGAGCCGGTGTTCGTCGCGGTGTGGGTAGTGGCGCCTCAGCCGTCGTGGGGCCGGCGGGTGCCGCCCTCGAAGGCAGCGCCGCCGTTGCCGCTTTTTTGTGCGGAATTTTTTGAGATTTTTTCTCTTCAGACTTGGTGCTTGATTTCATTTTCACGGTCATAGAGGGTTGAGAGGGCCTTTCGTTATAGAAGAACGCGAAAACGTGGACCAAGCGCGCGACGTAACGCATTCGTGCGTGCGCGCGCGAATTCGTGCTTGTGCGCGCGCATTCGTGCGTGTGTGCGCGCTCTCGTGCGTGTGTGTGCGCGACGTAACGCATTCGTGCGTGTGTGCGCGCCTAGCGGCGACATCTTTTTCATTGACAAAACGTCTCCAACTGACGTGCAGGCGCCTCCCAGTCTTTTCGGACCGGCCACCCACTACTGCTTCCAAATTCTTCTCATATAGTTCCACTTTGAGAGGTTGTCCAACAAAGTTCTCCCGTGTCAGCTCTGGAGGTCTATTCTCCAGCACAGGACATCTCCGTATATTGATAGCGGCGTTAAAGTCTCGATTCACAAACTCCATACGCTTCTTGCCGTCATTGGTTGTACTCACTAATGCAAGGAGTCCACGAACGTTCGCCCTCCTTTTCATTTGCTCCTCCGTCAGCGGTCCGTACTTTGCTATTTCCTCAGCGCTCCGCTGACACGTTTCCATCCCCACTCGCTGAAGTGTACATCCCAGTTCATGGTGTGTATACGATGTTCGAAACTCATCTATCGGTATCGTAACGAAACGCCGTGCACACTCCTTGTACGTTCTTGTCGTCGGAGCTGGCGTAGTTTTTTTTGGGTCTTCCAACACCCTGCCCTATACGCTACTGAGAGCCTCTGACTTTCATCCTCTATGAGGGCACTCAACTGATTGAAAAAGTTGGCAAACGCCCGCTGGTTACCACAATACAGATTCATTCGCAAACGAGCCCATCTGGGCTTTGTATACTCCTCCGGCAGCGCATCCCAATGGGCAAAACGAACTTCCATGAATTTCCGGAAAGCTTCAAAGTCCGCTCCTCGGCTGGTCACCTCGCTCAAAGCTTCCAGGTGATCCTTCATTCCTGAATTCTACGTACAAATTTTCTTCCTCGCATTCATTATACCGGATTCTCGATTGTATCTCGCTCTCGAGAACCTCAAAAGGCGCATGTCTTTCTGACGTAAGTTGCCGTCAGTACCATCTTCCGCACGCTGCGGTGCTGCGATGGTGATGATATTTGTGTTTCCGGGGTCAGCGCCAACGACAAAGTCGTTCTCATGCACTTTCTGCACCGCAGGACCCGCCTCCTTCTTTTCTTCATGCTTCGCCGCGTCAACCATAAAGTCGTTATTCTCCATCTCCTGCGCCGAAGGATCCGCCTTCTTCTCATCTTCATCCTTCGCCACGTCAACGACAAGGTCGTTATCCTCCACCTCCTGCGTAGCAGGATGCTCCTCTTTGTTTTCTTCATCCTTCGTCACGTCAACGACAAACTCGGTATCCTCCACCTCCTGCATCACAGGATCCTCCTCTTTGTTTTCTTCATCCTTCGTGACGGGCGCGGCCGAGGGCGGGACTGGCCCATCTGTCTTCAACCGCCGGTGGTGTACACACATGGCTACCCCATCGATTTCGATCAACCTAGTGAATACCTTTTGTTTTGCTCGAATTGAGAAGTTTGAAATCGAAGATATTCCCCCAGTACGTCTCACGGTTTTCACCGGGGAACTCTGTCTTCCTTACACCGAACTCCGGACTGATCTGCCTCATGATGCCGTGAAGGACTGCGGAGTCGATAGTCACAAAATGTGACTTGATGTTGCACAACGGAACCACGTTGAAGCGCTTCCCCATTAGGGCAGCCCTCCGTCTCTACCACTCTTCATTTGTCTCTTCACTCAGCTTCATCTCTGCCTTGTGTTCGAGCTCTCGGTCGAGAAACACAAAATATCGCAGGAGGAGGCGATAGTATCTTTCCTTGTCTTTTTTTCAACTCTGATATCTTGTCTGTTGGATTCGCCAGCCCCAGTACCGCACGATGCTCTTGTTTAGCCACACGGATTACAGAAGCTTCATTCGTGCTCTCGTTTGGCGCCTTCTTATCGACGAATTCGACCTCATCTTCATGCTTGCGATCGTCCGTGATGCCGTTGGTAATCGCCCGTACGCCTTTGCGATAGATGGCCCGGTACGGCGCACACACGGCGCGTATCATGAAACGTTCGAGGCTCATCGTCAATTGGTTCTCCAGGTTCGTGAGGTACTTCATCGCCCCGTATGTGTAAATATTTCCGTCACCGCTGTATCGATTATCCTCGAAGCTGTAAAAGGGATGTTTTTCATGGAGGGCATCCACTAGCACATTTTCCTTCCGCGCTTCTGCTGTACCAAGCATCAGCTGTCGAATAAAGGTCTTGTCCAAGAAATCGTCCGGAATCTCGACCGTTTCAATATGCGCCACGTCTTCGTACATCTGCCTCGCCAAATGCATCACTCCTGACGACGCCTTGACAATGCTCTTGGAGTACTAGTCGACAAGTTTTTCGATAGCGTCTCGCAACTTTTCCGTGTACGGATTCTTGATATGTTTAAGAAGACCAGCTTTCACCACCATCTCGTCGTACAGTCGTCTTTCTTGCCGCCTTCGACGTAGGGCCTCCCGTTTTCGGTTCCTCTTCTCTTCTTTTTCTTCTGGACTCGGCACTGTTTTTTGTTTTTTTTCTAGCAGCCGGCGACCCTGGGCCTCCAGGATCGTGGACTTGCTTTTTCAAGACTTTCCTTTTCTAGTTTTTTTGGAAAAGAACGCTCCTTGAACCCTTCTGTTATACGCTACGAAAAACACTTGACTAGACTTGTTTGAGGGTTGAAACACAAATGAACTGAAAACTTTATTTTTGTTCGAATCCTACGCGAATACAACTTTTACAGCTGAACATCACGCTAGAGATCAGGATCGCGTTTTCCTTCAACGGCGGCATGCGCATCCTGTCTCATGCTTGCCTGATCTCCCAGGAACGCTCATTTAGCGCACTGCGTGCACCGCGCGAGACGCCTCACCGATCGATGAAGGACACGTGTCCGACACCCCGCCTTGGCACATGCGTGTTCGCATCGCGCTGGAGCGAAAATCAAGTGTCCTAGATCGTGAACTCACGTAGAACGATCTCTTGCTGTAGGCTCTGTCGCTGGTGCCGACGCTACTGCCCATCGCAGTACCGTCCTGACATACAAGGGGATGCAGGGGCCTGGTACGATACCCGTCGACGCGTCTATCAAACGCGTAGCGTTCTCTGCGGCTTACGCTTGTGCGGATGAGATATGCATCACTCTACTCATTAGAAATTTCGTTACATTTATTGATCGTAAACAAACAAGGTACGGTAGTGTTCCCCAACACGGATACAAGTTTATTTCATTTGCTTGTTATACATGCCGCACGGACGCTGGAATAAGGAACTAACCTGAATTTTGCTTCCACCCGGCGTCACGGGCTGGAACTGATGGCGCTTCAAGTCATTTCCATGCTGCTGTCGTTGTTCAACTTATGGTGCCTGCATCGTCCTCCGGATCCGGTGATCTTGGCCGAGGCATACCACACATATAGCGTCCAGATCTGCCACGACGTTTGAACATTGCATCTCGCCTGGCATGATCGACACGCTTGAGAAAAGCGCATACTGTATTCTGGTCTACTCTATCAGATTATATACAATTGCCTAACCCGTACATCGACGACCGCAGACCAACAACAAACGCCTTCCAAAAGAAAAACGTTTTCGCCAGCCGTGTACAGTAGTGGCGCTCTGCGCGCCCCAGACGAAACGTCTCAATCTACCAGTCCGCAGACGCCTCTCAGGCTTTGTTGAACGGCCGACTGGTATCGATCTCAGCTTCTCCTTGTACAATTCGAGACTGGGAGGCTGTCCCACACCAAAGTTGACATGCCACAGCGCCACGGATCTCGTCTTCAGAACCGCACATCCCCTGATATTGCTAGCAGTGTTAAAGTCTCGGTTAACAAACACCATGCGTTTATTGCCTCTTCTTGAACTTGTCCATGCAAGGAGTCGTCGAAGTCATGCCCTCACTGCCATTTAGTGCTCTATCAGCTCTCCGTGCTTTTCTGTCGCCGAAGCGCCCCGCTGGCTCTTCTCTATCTCATTCTTCTGAAGTGTACACCCGGGCTCATCCCTTGATTTTTCAAAATGAAGAAACTTGTTTATATCTTTAAGTTGGAACCCTCCCGGAGGGATAAGCACTTGCGGGGAAAACATGACATGAGCCCCGTAATGTCACCGTGTGCTGAACGTTTCAGCGATTCGCCCCGCAGACAAAGGACTGCTTTGCGGTACCTCTACAGACGTTGAATGCACGAGTGCGTGCATGCTTTGCATCGCCCCACGTCGCCCTAGAACCAGACCCCAGTTCAAGGCTCCCGACAGCGGCAGCGAACGGAACACTAGCCTGCTCAATCCTTGAACAGTTCGCATGCTTTGTTCTGCAAATGTTCAGGTTGAATCGCACGCGAGAAAAGCAGACCTCATTGGGTCCCAGGGTAGCCTGTGGTTGTCACCGATTTTGCAGATGATCGGACTGATCACGCACGAAGCGCAGCGGCACGGTGCGCATCATGATCCATGGTGCGATACACCTCGCCATCATGTCGTCGGTCCGCATCGAACGACTCTGAACGAGTCTAGATGCTTGCTAGCGTTTCTTGCGTACAGCTGCCGACAGGACGAGTCATCGTGTTTCCCGCGCGTGCATGGCTAGACCTGCGTAGCGGTGCCTCTATCAAAGATGGTATCAGAACGGCGTAAGAGCGCACGATTGTTCTCAGGCGCTAGACCGGAGTCCAAGTACGATGCGTTGCTGCGGCCTTCAGACATGTGCAGTCCTGAACCGTCATCGTAACGTCTACGAAAGCATCTCAAACGACCGAATCATGTTTGGTAGTCCATGCTTTGGCATCGCCTTCGACAATATGCTTCGTTTCTAGGTTCTAGGTACGCGCTGCATTACGCACAGCTGCATCCGCTTCTGCTGCGAAAACATGCAGTGCCGTGAACGCGTCGCGGTGCACCGCAACCTGCGTCCCGTGCCTCATCCAACAGATCCTGTGTTTCCTCGTGCTCATCACTCAGACACAGAGTTGCGCTCGAGCGCGCCTGATCCATGCGTTTGGATCGAAGCCAGCCGCTTTTCGAGCAGTCTCGTTTCGTACGAGCGGATCTGGATATCGTTCTTCGGGACTCTGAGCGATGTCAAGCGCTCGTGCACTGGGCATGTCGACCACGATTCTTTTCCCGTCGGTTGGAGAACGCTGGTCAAGCGCAGACCCGCCTCTGCTCCCTTGTGCCGGATGCACGTTGACGCGGACCTTGTCGTCAGCGCCCAGCTGTGGAGGACGCTGTGCCCCGGGCGCCTTAGAAAGCGCCGACTGCTGCGCTCGCGTTCCGCCCCTGCCGGTGTCGTTTCGGAGCGCTGCCTGCAGCCGACGTGTTCGTTCGTGCTCTTCGGCTAGGCGCCTTTGTCGCTCTTCCTCCTCGTCTTCCCGAGCTAGTGCTGCTAGACGAGTCTGCCGTGCTCGCTCATCGGCTGCTAGCTGGGCTGCTTCGGCCTGCTCTCGCTCCTGCCATTTCAGTTGGTTCCGGCGGATCAGTGCTGCGTTCTCCTTGCGGTAAGCGGCGATTCTTTCATTCGTCCGCTCGACATCGATACCGTGCACAAGATTGAAGATGAGCTCTTCGACCATTTCCAGATAGTCCTCGTATTCTTGATCGCTAGTAAAGTCGTCCCGCAACTTGTTGAAATCGCGCAGAATGCGCCGGCGGATCGACTTTTCGCGTTCCAGTTCCTCTTCCAGACGAGACACCCAGTCTGAGGTCTGCTCCGAGCCGCCGACCGAACGCTCCATTTCGCCGCTGTTCACGCAACCCGAACGGACTTTTCTCGTTCCACTGCTTGTTTCAGACGGGAATCCCAGCCCGAAGCCTGAACTGAGCCTGCGGCGCGGCACTTCATACAACCGTCGTTCAGGTAACTGTGTTCGATGGATACCAGCGGTGGGTACGTGCGTACATCGAGGCGTTCGCGTTCCTCACGACGGTGTCCTTGGTGCCTGCATTGTTCGCCACGCTCGTGTCGGCATAGAATGCAACGGATCCGGGAACTCGGGCGCACAGTCTCAAGGATTCAGTGCATTCCATGATGATCAACACCAGCATTTGCCGGTTTGTTCTGTGACTGTTTCCGTTTCCCCCGCGCTTTTCTCAGGCTTGGAAAATACGCAGGACCTGCCTGTCCCGCCAGCTCCATTTTCCGTATACGAAGGATGTTCATTGCTGCATGAAACCCGCGACTTCTCGGCATCTGGATGTTGTCGACGCATTTCATGCACAGGCGTAAGTTGCGGTCTTCATACCGTTTGTCATTTCCATTTTCTTTGTATGCAGCCTCGGTACGCGCTTCGCAGCTGCGACTCTTGGCTGTGTAATGGTGTTCCCGTGTGCGCACCATGACTTGCGGTCCAGGCGCCGTTCCATGAAACGTGAGCGCCTGCTTCATCGCTCGTTACATAAAGTAGACGGGCACAGGAGGCTTTATTCCATGCCTTGCTATGGTTTCGCTTCCGGTGCCATGCCCTATGATCACGGGCTTTCTTCAGGTGAAGTCTTCGACGAGTTCTCTGTCCGCTGCGTGCGCGAGCACACGCTGTTCCCTTCAAGAGAAGATTCGGAGCACGCGATATTGTCCATGATGGAACAAGTATTGAAAGAAAAGCCCAGTCTCGAGATGCGCTCGAGATATTTCCATCCCTCCACGTTCGCTTCGTGCAAAGCGGTAGCGCACGCTCTATTGGAGGCGATCGCTCCAATGAGTGCAGAGCGGGTCCAGGTACATTGCCCATCCAGGCAGAAAAGAGGGGAGCCTCTCGGGAGCATAACGCCCGAGCGGTACCGTGATGCTGATGAATTCAATTTTTTATATATTTATATAGAGAGGATGGCATGTGTTTCGAACGAAATCGAATATTTGACGTGAGACGTTCAGTAAACTCGCGGTACGAGCTTGTGGAAACGCCTCCAAAGAACAACGTTGACTCTATTTTCCTTCTTCCATCCAGCGATGCGGATTGCAGCGCACGCGAGTTGCCATGAAAAGCAGAGAACAAAAACCAGAAGTGCGCGTAACTCGATCTTGTTACGATTAAGGAAAAGAGAACGGAGGAAGCGTGCGCGTATGCATCGGATAATGATATCCTTCATTTTACAAACTATTGCGTCGAGAAACATCTTGATTCCGGTGACGTAACGAATACCAGCAGCATCAAGTCATATGAATCACCCCGAAAACAAAACCGAGAGTTCGGAAGCGACAGATGAGTCACCAAACCCATATTGCCATTCTTCGAATATCGAAGTTGCACATCAAAAGAGAAACGTTCGGAAAAATCGCAAGCCAGGAACGGAGCGCGCAACCCCGAGTTCCATAGTAAAGTGGTAGGTGTGGAGGTCGCTGGCAACCGTTGTCCGCTGCTTGCCACGCTAAGCACTCGCTGATCCATGCGGAGTGAGTGGCCCTTCGACTATGCGTCGGAGGCTGACGCCATGCTCCACCGGATAACGCCGGAGAACTTTGAGAAACTGGTGCGGTTTGCTGCCCGTTTGTTGCGTGTGGGCGAGATCATCGCCTTGCCGACCGACACGGTTTACGGGTTGGCTGCAGCGGCTCGCAACTCGCACGGCATTGAGCTGTTGTACCAGACGAAGCAGCGAGACTTGCGAAAGCCGCTAGCAATTGCAGTTCCTTCGGTAGAGGACGTTTCGGTATACCTGCACACGGAACACTTGCCTCCGGGACTGCTCGAGGCGATCTTGCCGGGGCCACTGACGCTGCTTCTGCGCCAGCGAGAGGACTACGTGGGCATAGACCTTCAAGACGTGCGTATCGACCAATACAGGGGCTGGGAACGAGCCAAGCGGCTGGCGCCGAACCTAAACCTCAGGCGGGACGGTCTACTGGGGGTGCGCGTCCCGGACGCTTCCTTCGCCTGCGCGGTTTCCCGCGAACTCGGTGACCCGCTGGCGTTGACGTCTGCGAATGTCAGCGGTCGTGGAGACTGCGGCAGTGTTGATGAGTTTCGTGCGCTCTGGAGTGCATGCGCTGCAGTATTCGACGGAGGCGCTATGCCGAAACCCGTTATGCCGAGCACCGTCGTGGACCTGAGCGTACCCGGCACATTTCGCATCACACGTGCAGGCTGGATGGCGACAGACCTCGTTCGTATTCTGGAAAATAAATTCGGGCTCACGAACAAGAGCGCGAATACGAGCAACTAGGAGACAAGCTGCACAACTATCGATATCTGTGCTAGAGACAAGACCTCGGGCCTGGCCCAGCGCTGGTATCTGGCACCGAGGGTGGTGCCAGTGGCGCCCGCCCTATCCATGTGCTTCATGCATCGTGCATGGATCTAACACAGCAAGACATTGTGAGAGCGTAAGGCTTTGTCTTCTGGTCGATTCATCGTGGACGACGAGCGCCAATCGTCGAAATACCTACTTGGCCGTAGCGCCTCAACGACACACATGGCTGCGGAGCAAAGCACGCACCCCCAGTGCACTGTTCTCTGCAGGTGCTCTTGTCCACGGCATCGACGCCAAGAACAGCGCTCGCCAAGGCGCCTTGTGTACCTTTAGGGCCGACATCCCGACCAGATATAGAAACTTCCTATCTGGACGGGTGGGCACGTTCGAATCTCCTGTGCTGCAGTGGTCGCCTCCAGCCTCGGCGCTCCAGCGTACGAGCGGTCGCTGCCCAGCAACGCACCGAGGCTCATCGTTGACCACATCGTGCTCCTAGCGATGTTCGCCGAGCGCGTGCCTCAGGAGGGGCGCACTCCAACCTAACAGCGCTGCATTCTGTAGATGCGTATCGGCAATCATTTGAAAGAGTTCCCGGGTGCCGTGGCGTGACCTTTGGAGCCACAGCTCCAGATCCCCACGCATTTCATCGCCCGAGCGATCATACGCGGGCAACGCTCGCATAAGACAGGCATCCTCGAGCTGTGATTGCGTAAGAGTCTGCAGCCCGTCCCGCTGGAGCGCATCATCAAGGCACGCGAGTTCCGTAAAATGTCGTGCAAGCCGCTTCCGCAGCGAACGTGAGAACGATATCGGGAACGCGGGTTGTGCGAACAGCCTGCAGAGGGCGATCAACTCTGGTCGGCTGCACGAGCGCAGAGCACCGTCCAGCGTCTCCGCAGCGATGCTTTCAACACACGGAAAGGTTCCTAGGGCGTTCGCACTCACTTCTGGGTCGGTACGGGTAGCGAGCGCACGCCACAGCACCAGATGGGCCTCAATGTAGCGGATCCCTTGCATCCGCAATTGCATCTGGCGGTCCTCTTCGGTGGTGAATGTTGTCGGTTTAAAGCCCGGTATCGCTTCGGCTAGGACGGGGATCAATGCCGTCGAGATGAGGCTCACGGAGAGCAGCAGGAACGCTCGCAAGCGATCGTGACGGGTCTGAATGAGGAGCAAATGCTCCGGATAGGAGAGCGCCTCGTGGCCTCCTTTCGATAAACGCTTCTCCAGTTGTCCCGCCTGCTTCATATTCCGATACAGTTGTAGAGATCCGCGAGTGTAGGTGCGTGCACCTTCTCGAAATGTCTCCCATGCTCGTTGGAGGCGACGCCACCACGGTGCTGCGCTATCGCGTCCCGCGGGAGTTTGCTGACTCGGCTCTGTAGCCACTGCCTGACTCTTTTTGGCATCTCCCTCTCTGCCGCTTGCTTCACTGAGAAGTACCCGACCAGAAAACTGCCTTTCGGTCCGAACAGGACAGAACAGGCGAGGGTTCCGCAAGGACCAGCGTCCGCTGTATACCAGAGCGAGCGGCCTCCGCTGAACAAGTTCGGCACCGCGTCGAGAGCCACAACCCTCGAAACTGCCCACAACGAGCCCCAGCGCCCACTGATGGACGAACTGCCGTCGCAGCCTTGCCGTCATAGACGAAAAGCGCAAACCCTGGACAACGAGTCGGGGAACGTCAGGGAGACAATCGCTGGGAGCTCGTTTACCGCTGTGGCGGCGAGTCGCTGAGCGCTTCTGCAACGCGGCAGCACTGCTTCGCGTTCAGGCGTCACTGCCAGAAATCGCGGACGCGCTTTCAGGTCGACACCTGTTTGTTTGCCAGAGACTGTCAGGAAGTGAAACCATTTCGGGACGCAAACCTGCTATCCGTCGATGCCGAGACGCAGTCGAACCGCAGCGTTCACTGTCGCTGGCTCCGTGGGGCGTCGCGTGAACGCCCTGCCAACGCGAAAACGTCGTCGACGAACTGCACCAGCGACTGCACCCGAAGCGAGTTCCCGAGCGTTGTTGGTACCCGTGCGACACCTGTCACTATGTGGCTGCGTAAAGCACCCGGACTTCAACCTCGCTAACCTGGAGCAGCGCCTTCGATATCGGTTTTCCCGGTATCCGGAGCTTGCGAAACTAGCTTTCTCGCACCCGGCGAGTTCTAACGGTGACGGACACCAACGCCTGCTGAATAACGAGCGCTTAGAGTTTCTGGGCGACGCAATCTTGAGCGCTGTTGTCGCCGATAGTCTTTACCGACAGTTGCCAGAGGCCCGAGAAGGCGAGCTCTCCGTCATCCGAGCCGCCGTGGTCTCCCGCGACGCCTGTGCCAAGTACTTTGCCAGACTGGGCCTCGAGGAGTTTCTCGAATTCGGCCCGGTTCCACCTCCAGTGTACGAACGCCTTTCACGAACCCAGAATATTCGAGCAAATGCTTTCGAGGCGATCCTAGGGGCGATTTATATCGACGGCGGTTACGAGGCTGCACTGGAGTTCTTTTTGATGCACTTTGCAGAGGATCTCATTCATAAACAGATCCACCCTGTGCCAAACTATAAAAGCGTGTTGCAGGAATGGGCGAGTCAGCAAAAGGAAGTTGTCACGGAACTACCTTCGTACGAGATTTTGAAGAAGAGCGGTGCAGCGCACAGTCCGCATTTCGATGTTCGCGTTTGCATGCGCGTACGCGGCGCTCCGGAGCCCATTGAGTGCCACGGGAGCGGACGCAGCAGGAAACAAGCGGAACAAGTCGCTGCTAAAGCGCTGCTTCAATTGATGGGTGTCCCGATAGACAGAAACGAACCCAGGGACAGTCAACATGAAGCTCCGTCAGCGCTCGTCGAAGCAACAGCGCCTCTGCTCGGGTCTGCGGCTGGCACCATGCATCCATCGCGCTTGTCGCACAGCAATGGTCAGCAGACGTCCAGCGCTCGAGAACAACGCGTGCTCTGGGACGGTCGTCAGCGTCGCCAGTCGATCGACGACGTTCGTCGGTCCACGGATTTAGAGATGGTCATTCCAGCGGCGTACGGAGGAGCGGCAGCCTCCTTGGCCACGGTATGTCAATGGATTGCTGATGCGTATACGGTGCCGGTGGCAATGGCGTGTTTGTCTCACTTTGCGCTCACGGGAAGCATTGCCGCCAACCAGACCTGGATGCAACACCCACTCATTCCGCAGCTCTTCTGGGCTGTCGTGCTGGATCGGAGTCTGCTGACGCTGGCAGACGATGCACCGGTGGAGACGGTACAAGAGATGCTGCCTTCGGGGCAACGCATGATACGAGTCTACAGTTCGTCGGACGCTGGGGATGGTGCACTTCAGCTGGACCCGCTTGCACCGGGAGCAGAATCGGCGAACTTTTTCGTTGCTCGTCGCCTGGTGGTGCCGCGCTCGGAGAAGACCTTGTCCATGGGAATGTTTGTTCGATTTCAGGGGTGTCTCGTTCCGCAGCGGAACGATTTCGAAACGGATTTTATTAGCGATGACATCACGCAGGCTTGGCTAACGGCGCTCGTAGCGACTGTGGCGCTCATGTTCGTCAACGAGTCGTCGTCGGCATCGGAGACGGCGGAGCGCACGGAGCCGACGGTACCGCATTCGCACTGGACGGGCACGTTCGTACGAGAAGCAGTGCAGGAATGGAGCGATGCGCCTGGGCAGCGCGCTTTGGCGCGATTACGGCTGGCGTGCTCGCGCATCCTTCAAGAGCTGAGCGGATACGGGTTGTTGCGCTGGAATCGTCGGAACACGGTTCTCTCGTTGCATGCATCATTGTTGTTGCAATTTGCGAGGACCTGGTTATTGATTTGAATGAAGCGATGCGTTGCACGGCGCGTAGGGTTCGGTGGGGTTTCGGCTTCTCCCTGTGGATGCAGGCACATTCTTGCTGTTCTCGATTTCCGTTGCGATGCGGTAGAGATGTGGACGCATTACGTGTGGCTTGTGGGCCTGCGCTACACACCGGGTAGAGAAGCGCACCGGGCTACATCGGGCGAGCGCGGCTTGATCAACGAAGATGCAGGTGTTTTGCTGGCAAGTGCACGGTATGTTCAGCTGGTGTCCCGTACGCTTTGCGTCTGCAGGTGGGCGCGTTGCCAAGGCAGCAGCCAGCATTGGTGATCAGTAGCTTTGCCGGCCTCTGGGCACCGTCTCGCCGTGTCGCTGGGTGCATCTGGTGTATAGGTCCAGCAGCTTGTTCAATGGATTTGTCTAGCACGCCCAGCATTCGTAACGACTGCTGCGGCGCTATACGCTCTGACGAGAAACTGCAGGGCACTGCAGAAGCCGAAACAGATCGTTAGCATACGGGGCACCCCTGCGACCTCGCGTAAGGGTGTATCCTGCTCGCGCGTACGGACCAAGAGGTTTTCCGGGGACGCGCATCTGATGTTGAATTGGCTGCGAATCGTCCCGAATGCAAGTGCGACTCCGAATGTAAAGTTCGATATACCAGGCGTGCGTGGTATCGGCCGCTCGAAGTAGCTGCTAACGCCCGCTCGCTAAACCCCATTCGTGCAGCATGCAGCGAATCCTTTGCGCTTTTCTTGTCCAGGTGTAGTTTCTCCATCATCAGAATCAACCGCACAACCTGTAGAATCTCGCATCACAGTCCAACATGATCATCAGTCAAAATTCGAGGGACCTGCCACGATTCATGCGGCGTCCAGATGAGCGGGAACGTGTGATTCGCACGTGCTGGTGCCGTCTAGCCTGCAGGTTATATTCCGCGCCGCTCGATGCAGTGAAAGAAATGTGCATTGGGTTCTCGTCCAAAAGGGAAAGGTCGGCTTCGAACACGCCACAACAACAATACGAACAACAGAGCCGCATGAGATCCCTCTGCAGCGCAAGTTCTCGCGTCCTTTCGTGATCAGCGCCAGCGTACCGACACCTGCCCACATGGAATCAGACATGCGCGGTGACGCTGAGGCCATGAAAACTACCACGGAACGCGTCCGGCAAAAGTGGTGTGCGCTTGAACCCTATGCAGAGGCGCTACGACCGCTCCTCTGCAGAGCGAGAGTAGAAAAGGATTGATGTAAAAAGTTCGCATTGGCTGCGGCTTTGGCACTCTCTCGACCAAAATCACACGAACCCACGCAGCGACAAGAAACACAGGGCGGTGAGCGCGGCGGATACCGGAACGGTAACAAACCAACTAAGGAGAATGTTCAGCAGGACACGGCGATTCACGGAGCCACGACCCGTCGCCAGTCCCATCGCCACAATGGATCCAATGAGCGTGTGTGTTGTCGACACGGGCATGCCGATCTGCGTGGCCATGAGCACCGTCAACGCTGTGGATAGCTCGACACAAAAGCCTCTCGTCGGTACAAGGTGCGTGATCTTCTTGCCTACAGTGTCCATCACGGGACGTCCCCAGACGCCGAGTCCGAACGAGATTCCGAGTCCTCCAAGAACCAGCGCCCACGGCGGTACCAGTACTTCACCGGAGACCGCAGCGCTGCCGCCACTGCGATACACCGCTAAGATGCTCGCAAAGGGACCGATGGCATTCGAGACATCATTGGACCCGTGGCTGAAACTCACAAAACACGCCGTAAGCAGCTGAAGAATCGAGAACACCTGTTCAATAATGTCATGCTGACGCTTCCGAGCATACGTTGTCAGACTCAAAGACGTTGACGACATCACGATATCCATGGTCGTTGGCACGTATTCACAGGTTGGCAAGAGCTGGATATCCTCACTCCAGTGCGCTCCTGACGAATACTCATCTTCATTTGTGCTCTCCTCGTTCGCTTGAAGCGCACCGAATGCGGCTAGCGCGACTGCGGCGGCCTCACTGGCGTCAATTTTACGCCCATTGCCGCGAATATTCTCCCGTGGGATGCTTCTCCGCACAAACTGTTTGCTGTGGATGAAGCTCGTCAGAGCGCCGGAAACTCCAGCCCCCAGCGCAGCCACACCGAAGGAGCTCGCAACAGCCTGAAACAATGTCCATCCTGTCGAATGCTCACTCTCCAGTTGCAAGAATAGAGTCAGGATGAAGAGCATCGAGCCGCACAACGTCGGCAGCCAGCGACGCATCGCTCGAGTCGGACGCGGCGCATCGATGATCGTTTGCCGGATGAACCGGAATAGCAGCCATGCCACAACGCCGCCCATCAACGGCGAAATGATCCAGCTCAGAACGATACGTAGAACTGCTTCCCACTGGATTTTCCAGCCAGAAATCATGCCGAGGCCAATAAGTGAGCCCACAACCGAGTGTGTCGATGACACTGGCAAGCCGTAGCGAGTAGCTAGACCCAGCCACATGGTGCATCCCACTAACACACAGAGCATTCCCAACATGTAGAGAGATGGCGAAGTTGCAACAGCACCAGATATGGACACTACTCCTGTAGATATGGTCTTGGTGACTGTCGAACCAAATAGGACAGCACCAGCGAACTCGCAAACAGCGCCTATGGCAAGCGCCTTGCCAATAGATACCGCCCCGGTTCCTACTGATGTGCCAAGGGCATTGGCCACGTCATTTGCTCCAAGCGCTGCAGAGAGTAAGAACGCTATGCAAAGCGATAAGCAAACAAGCACAAAAGGCGACAAAATGTGACCGGATAGAGTACCGGCAGCTGCACTGGCAGCATCCGCCACAAGCGAGGCGTTTAAACGGAAACCACGCTGCGTCGTCTGCCGCGGTGCGGTCCAGCGAGCACGTTCCCGCAACGACTCTCGCACTCGCAGCCATGTCGGTGACAATTGAGCTGCTCTGATACCATAATTTCTACAAGAAAAGCACGAAATGGAAGAACGATGAGCGCGAGTCGACCCCGAAAGCTCGCTCCTAACTGCAAGGCGACCAGGATGCACAGGCAAACAAAGCGCCCTCTGAGCTGGTCCACTGACCACGTATGCCAGGTGAGGCGGTCGCCCGCCGCATTTACCCGGTCTCATGGACACCTGTAAGCGCCTATAGTTACCGCAAACGTCACGAATCGCGCCTAGGCCCCTTTGGTGACACACAGCCAAACGCTTGTCCTTTTGCACGGAGCACGCACGAGACACGCATGTATGCACGCAAGCACTGCACGCACGCACGCACGCACGCACTGCGCGCAGGACGCTCGTACCACTGCCTGACGCTTTGGGTGGCGCTCGATTCGCGCGCGATGAGGCACCCATCGTTCCATCTACTTCCAAGTTCCATAACCCATACTTCTTCTCGGATATTCTTGTTGCTTCACGTCTTGTTTTGTGCAGCGAGTGCTTGCAGTGAGCTCCCACGATAGCACCTATATCATCGGTGCGGTCGTTGCACAGAAGCAGGACGGGTTTGTCGTACCACAGATGGCGTCGGCACGAGCGGGTAGACTGATACCCACGCACAGGCGCCTCGCAGTGTTTTTTGACCGGCCCTCTGCTATCGGTAGTAATGCTTGTCCGTGCACGTTTCGAGTCTGAGAGTCTGTCCCATTAAGTAAGATGGCCTAATTTCGTCAGCACTCGTCTTCATCCCCACACATCGTCTGATATTCATGGCGGTGGTGACGTCTCGGTTCACGAACGCTATTCGTGCATTGACACTGATTGAACGCACCAATGCAATGATTGCTAGAACTCGCGTACCCAGCGCCACTGACGCCTTGTTGTCGCCCCATTCTACAAATACCTTTTCTCGTGTCTTGCCCTTCTTCTACTTTTCATCGTCATTTGCGCTTCTTCGGTCTATTGTCGGTGGGAAGAGGCTTTTTTCGTTTTCTTCCTGCAACCGGCGATGGTGGCCCTCCTGGATCCCCGACTACCATGTGCGTACGTTTTCCTTGGATTTTTTTTGTTTCATCAAATGAAGACACTTCGAATGCATCCGCTATACACCGCGAAAAAGCATTTGATGACATACACATTGACCTGGAACTCCATTTATGTGAAGGACTGTAATGATGGCGCTGTCGTGGCGAACGCTTTGCTTGACTATGCGATGCGCAGCGTCAGCATGCTCACCGGTACGTCATCGACCGCCGTAGCAGTGGCTGCTGTATCAGAGCGTCCTGGAAACAACAAGGCGCTTCTGCTGGCCTCGTTCTCGAGCCGCATTTTGTGTCCCGGACGTATGGTGCCTGCAAGCAACAGTCGTTTACGTTGAGACTATCTGCCCATAGATGCCGACTGTCTAGACTCAAAGCTCGGCTAGGGCGCAAGTCCCATGAAACTCGCTGCTCTCTTGCGCCTTGTCCTCTTTGCGAGGCGCTGGATTGCCAGTCGCCGTCGTTCCACACTCAATTACAAGCGTCTCGAATGATGCGGGCAAGCGCTACGACTCAAATGGACTACAGTTCCGTAACTGGGTGACTCGCATGCCGGTATTCGACACGCGTTAGATACAGGTGCTCAGGGATGCCCCGAGCATGACCCCTTCAATACATCACGTGACGAATGCATTGAAGAAGAATTCTTTCGATTATTCCCCAGTAGACATGAGCATGTCGTCTCCAGCCGAACCTTTCGCTCACTCACCATTTGCTCCGATGCAATTCACGTCATGCTCGGATGTGTATATGCATTCCAGCACATGTCCAATTCGTGGCGTTATTAGATTTTATTCCAGTTTAAACAGAATCTTTCCCTTACGATCCGGGGCAAACTGTGCCCGAAAAGCGTCCTCATACTTTTCGAGTGTATATTCTTGCTCCACTTGCGGCCGCATTTCACCTTTGCGAATCATATCAAGTACTTCCTCGAAAATCGTCTGCTTCTGCTTCTTCAGCCAAGTTGCGAGCCAGAAACCGCGGACAACGATGCCCTTAAAGATCAGATCACTGTTCATGACACACGTCGGTTTGCCGCTCTGCAAGCCGTACCCGACGAAAAGGCCGCCCGGGGAGAGCGCTGCCAGCGCAGCCGAGCCCATCTCGCCGCCAACAGCGTCAACGACGGCAGCGAGCCCGCGTCCATTCGTTATCGCGTTGAGACGCTCGGCGAGGTTCGGCTCCTCGCCAAAAACGATCACCTCGTCTGCCCCGAGCTGTTTCAGTTCCGCAACAGATGCTTTCGATCGCACAAAGTTCACCGTGCACAAGCCCCGCTTTTTCGCCAGCTGGATGAACATACGACCGAGAGTCGAGTTCGCCGCTGTCTGTCCGATCCACGGGTTGCCGTGAACCGGCGCCTCCGCTTCGATCTGCTCCAACATGCCAACCACGGTCAGCGGGTTCACTATCAATTGAGCGGCCTCTTTATCACCGATATCCTGTGGTACTTTGATACAGAGGTTTTCGTCCACCACGAGGTACTGTTGCCAGCAGCCCGAGCGATCCAAAAGTGTTGGAATCACACGCGTCCCGACAGGAAGCGAGGTCGCTGGACCTTGCGCCACAACTTCTCCGACACCCTCGAGGCCGCCAACAAACCCAGGACGACGTTCGCGCACTGCGGCTACCCCAGGGTACACGCCTTGGACGACAAACACGTCGGCAGGGTTGAGGCACGCATACCGCATCTTCACGAGCACCTGACCCGGACCAGGCTTCGGGACAGAAGCAGTGGTGTTCAACCTAAGTGCTCCCTTCAGCGGATCGCCAAAACTTACAATTTCCAGAGCTTTCTGCGTTGACGGTATATGTGTTGCCATAGAGTTTGCAAATCGGTTGCGTCTTCCAGCAACGACACCGCCAGGCCTGTGTCTGGAATCAATTTTGGGGCAGGGAGTGCGCACATCAGGCTGGCCGCGTCCACCCGCCACACCTGGACCCGTGCCGCGGTATGCGAAAGAATCTGGACTGTGGGAGGCAGCGTGCATTCGTCAACTTTTTCAATCAGTTGAGCGCCTTGAAGGAGGATCAAAGTCAGAGGCTCGTAGTAGCGTACGGAGCAGGGCGCTGGAAGACCCATAAAGGGACGAGGCCAGCTCCAACGACAAGAATGTATGAGGCGTGCACACGGCGTTTCGTTACGATACCGATAGATGAGTTCCGAATATCCTATACACACCATGAACTGGGATGCACACTTCAGAGGGTCGAGATGGAAACGTGCCAACGGAGCCCTGAGGATATAAAAAAGCACGGACCGCTGACGGAAGAGCAAATGGAAAGGAGGGCGAAAGTTCGTGGACAACTTGCACTAGTGAGTACAACCTATGATAGTAAGAAACGTATGGAGTTCGTGAATCGTGACTTTAATCCTGCTATCAATATAAGGAAATGTGCGGTGCTGGAGACGAGACCTCCAGAGTAGACAAGACAGAATTTTACTGGACAACCTCTCAAGATTGAACCATATGAGAAAAAGTTTGAAGCAGTAGTGAGTGGCCGGTCGAAAAAGGCCGGGAAGCGTCTGTACGTCAGTTGGAGCCTTCTCGTCCAGGGCGGGTTTTTCGCCACTACTGTATACCGCTGGCGACGTTCGACTTTAGAACGGCGTTTACTTTTGGTGAAATGAACCGCTTTACACGCTCTCTTCTTCAGAGTGTCTACGCTATACCGCAAACCGGCTTGTCGAGGTGCTGTTTTGGGAGCTGGTCGTCGCGAGCTGTGCTGGACGCTGGCCAACGCGTCAGTGCGAGTCTGCTGGGCACCAGGCAGGAGCTCCGTCTAACGCAACAGCGGGAGCAGCGCGTTCTCCGGCACTCGTTCTCGACGCAATTGAACCCTGGTGGAACAGAGCGCGCGCAGCGGTCGCTCGAGTCCCTTCTGGATCGCCCAGCGCAAGTGCTGTTCCTGACGGAGCTCTGGAGAGGCCTTGGGAACCTGCTCGACATATTCTTCGACCCAAAAGCGATGTACACCATCAACTATCCCCAGGAAAAAACTCCTGTCTCACCGAGGTTTCGGGGTGAGCACGCCTTGCGACGTTACCCAACTGGCGAGGAGCGCTGCATCGCCTGCAGTCTGTGCTCCGCGGCGTGTCCGGCACTGGCGATCACCATCGAGGCAGAGCCCCGACCAGACGGCTCCCGGCGAACAACGCGCTACGATATTGACGGCTCCAAGTGCATTTACTGTGGGTTATGTCAGGAAGCGTGCCCCGTCGACGCAATTGTGGAGTCCCCTACGCTCGAGAGCGCCGTAGAAACCCACGAGGAGCTGCTCTGGAACAAGGAGAAGCTTCTCTCAAACGGCGATCGATGGGAGCCCGAGCTCGCCCGAGCTATCGAGGCAGATGCCCCGTATCGCTGAACGCGGTGGAGCGGCCACCTGGCGACTCCTGAACACGCACCCGAGTGTTTGCTGCTCGCCATGCATTGCGATGGCTGCATCCGATTCGACGGGAGTCTGCATCCGCAGTGCACTGCAACGACCGCTTGTAGCGACCAGTACCGATATCATTCGCAGACAGGAACAGGGACACGTCGCGGCATCTACAGCTTAGTCGCGGTCACTGTGTCGCTTCGGGACGATGCGGGCGTATCGCGATCCTGCTTGCCAAGTTGTAAAGATGCACGCGAATTATGTCGCGTGAAGCGCGGCAGCAGCCTCGGATTCCTCCTTCAACAAGAGCGAGCGTTATCAACTGCTGTGCGCGGGGTTCATCGGAAGCCGCACGTGTCCCGTGACAGTTCCAAGTCGTTTGGTACCCGAAACCAACGACCTCGGAGCGCGTCTGTTGACGGGCGATTTCGCTCCGCCACGCAGCAGCACTGATGGTATCTTGTCCGTTGTGCGCGGTGGACGGACACCCAGGCACAGCGCTCAAGCAGTGCTGGTAAGCACGATACCTTGCAGGCGTCTGTATGGTACTCCTGCGCACTGGGGCTCGTGCTCAGCTGCAGGCGTTCCGCACCAGTCGTTGGCCCGCAAGAATGCCACTCAGTACGTTTCATCCTCGGATGTGTCGATCGACCTGCTCTCGCCAACGACCAAGGATCGCGTTCTGGGAGGCGACTTGCGTCTCCAGGCTCGCTGCGGATGCATTGCGAGGAGCTGGTAAACGTCATGCGTCAAGCGCTGCCGCGCGATACCCAGCGTCGTTCCGCCCATCATCACAGCTAGCACAGCAAGAAGCATCAGGCACGCGACGCTCTTATAGGAAATCGAATCCATGAAACCATTCACGGCCTCGGCGAGTGTCTCCATGATCAAGCTCGCCCTATTCATGACGAGCTGCGTCGGTGTCTGACCTGCGCACCGTTCCCAGCTTTGGCACTGTTCCCGCATGTGCGGAACAACCTGTGCATCATCGAAACAACGATTCATTTGAAAACTTCGTTGGCACTGCTCGATGTGCCGAGCTGCCTGTGTGTACTGATGCGCCACTTTTCGCGAAACGTCCGTGTAAAAGCTGCGTCCGAAAAACACGAACACGAAGAGCAACACAGTGAGCAGGACTATGTTTAGCGCCAGCTGCACGTATCCAACGACAACATACGGCCAGTAGACTTGCTCGACGAGGGCCAGCACGGAAGGCTCGCGAGTCGGCCTTGCTTGCGACGTGCAGGGGTCGCGTCGACGGCCTGCAAGACTTCGCTCACCCGGATACGAGGCAGGAGGAGTCAGCGTGCTTCGTGCACCGGAGCTGTTGAGGCGTTCCACTGGTACTTGATCTGGTTCACGGCTCGAAAAGGGACGTAACGCAACGTCTTTTAAAACTGGGTTAGCGTTGGGGAAAACGCCCTGCTCAACCAGCCCAACCGTTCTTCGCGGAGTGCTGATTACTCCAGCCGCAAGGCCGTACTCATCGACCAGAGTTTCGTCTCGGTAGGTTGCATCTTCATCAACATCCATCCGCTCCGTCATTGTTCCCGCTGCGTTTCGACCTGTCCAAGCCCAAGTCGCGTAACAACCCGGTAGACGTCGCAGGGCGAGCAACTCGCAGTCCAGCGTTTCCTGTGGCTGCATCTCGCAGGGTGCAGGCGATGCGCTGCTCTGCAAAGCGTTCTTCTCATCGGGTTGAATCGACGAATCTATTCTCAGCGGTATGGAGTGATGGATACCATTATTTTTCACGACTTGTGTATAGGGAAACAGTCCTTGGTGTATACATCATGTGCTACGGCCCTGCCGCATCGCTGAATCTTTCGATATGAATGCTTTATCCAGATGAGAATCCAATGATCTTTCTCATGGCCAGTGAGTTTTCATCAAGAATCTGTAGCATTTCAGCACCAAGCAGCAGTGAGTGCGAAACGATATCCTCGAAAACATCGCCGGTGACGTCCTTTCCATGGTCTGAAAGCATGAGATGGTTCCCAGTATTGATCGAGGAGTTCGTGCCTCGGTAAAGGAAAGTGATGGCGCGCAATGTTGCTGGTGGAATCATCCTATAGCAAGCACATCATCTTCGATTTCGACGCCATCTAAAGTTTGCTCTGGTTACCCTACACCAGCCTGTACATGCCTCTCTGTTTCTCCACCGGTTTGACGACGAACGTTTGCTCTTTATGGGTGTGGCTCTTCCTAAACGCATCGATAGGAAACCTGCAGAATCCATTCCAGCGTTCGTCGTACGCTGTCGTCGAAGGAGCGCATGTTCAGAGGTTGCGCACGACAGCACGCCCAGCGCCCGAGGCTAACAATACAATGCGATGCTTGTCGTCTGTCGTTCCCGTTCCCAGCTTATTGAACGGGTTGGTTAACGCACGAGCCCTGCGCCGTGCAACGGAAACCATTGGCGACACCAATACGTTCTTACGATCGTTCGTCAGATATCACCCGTATGCGCCATTTGGACGCTCCTATACCCTCTCCGAATGAAGAGTACCAGGCATTCCCCTGCTTGATGCAATCCTCAGATGGCTGGTACATATGCGGCCGCGGTCATACAATCTGTACCCGCACCTCCTGGCGTCCGTGATACCCGGCTCTTGATACCAACCAGCCTTTAAATATGCAGAACCGCTTCATCTGTCTTCCGTCCAGTTTTTTGATTCCGCTCTCTTGATTTGGAGGTACCGCATCAGCTAATACGCAATGAAACAAGGGATGCGAGCACACAAACCAGTCTCGCTCTTCATCTACTTTGACAGTCGAAAATGCTTCTCGTTGCTCGACAAAGGCTGAGGTTTCATAACGGGCATGCGGATGCGTATTCCGCTGGTCACAGTCATTCCTGAAAACTTGTTTCTAATTCCTCCAGGCAACTGAAAAACCTTGAACGAGCTCCGCTTCTGCCCAACTCGACGTTCAACGATTCCTATGTACTTGCTCGCAGAGACGGGCAATAGCTCACTGAGGAGACCATGCATAACAAAAGCGTCCGCGGTGGTAGGTCTTGATCTTGAATACGAGTGTTCTATAGAGTAGACGCTTCAGAAGGCGAGCGCGCTCGGATTCCAGAAGCGGACCCCGTTTGCTCTAGAGTTCTCTGTTCTGAAACATGTATTAGCGAGAGACGAATGCAAGGTCGGCAGTTGTCAAGTTTCAACGAATGTTTTAGATACGACATCCATCGGTGCACGGCCGAGAGCAACACAGCGGGCTTGGATGATCAGAGGCGACTATCTCACTCTCGTTACGACGTCCTTTCCGACCCTGTTACAGAGTCGATTTCTTCCGTCATCAACGGCTGGCTATTTGGTGGCATCAGCACCTCAGGACTGTAGTTTCCAAGTCCGCACTTTTCTAGGCCAGTGCGGAGAGCGTGCAGAACCCGCAGTACGCGCTTCAAGGAACGTTCGAGATCGATCCTCATATGGTGATGGAGGTTGATTTGATACTTTTGGCACCTGCGTTGGGCATATGACGATCGCAGATGTGGCACGGGAACGCGTCAAACCATACTGAAAAGCGCCTCTGCAAATCTCTGATACTGCGATCAGGCCGTATTCCAGCCTCTGTGCGGAACATCAGCAGCGTCTTCACACCAAGGTCTGACTGAGAAGTTCTGGGGGAATGCGGACAGCTGCCCGCCCCACGTCCGAAACTCATACAAAAATCAGCTTCTCGAGATGCTTCAAGGCGTGAGAAGCTGGGCGAGGCCTCTGTGGGTAATAAGACGCGTGATCAACAATGCCATGCCGCATATAGCGTTGTCCCGAATGCGAACGACTCGTCAATGGATCCGTGAACGTCGAAATGACGTCTGGCAACGAATGACAGTTTTGAATGCATTGAACCAAGCAGAATAGGCTCGCAGCCGCGTCCACCTTGACAGTTTGGGAGGCATGGAAAGCGACGTCTTCTAGCGGCAGGACAGAAGAATGTGGGCGGTAGACGCCAAGAAGAGTGCTTCGAGGAAGCATGAGGTGTTGCGCGATCCTGTACATCTGGTGAGTTTTAGGCTAACGCATGATATAAATCACGCCCCGGCTGATGTTATCGTCTTTATCACTTGTCGCTGCTTTACAAATAGCAGTTTGGAACCCGTTGAGCACCCAAATACACGTCTCCCATCTGTCTCGAACAAAGTCTCATCGAACGAGACGAATACCCGTCAATCATGGGTGAAGCTTTCGGATCTCAATACGATATCGAGTTTAGATTATCCAACGCACGACAGCCTCCCGTAGACGCGTACCCGTTTCTTTCATCATCCTCGTCTCTTCGCCAACGCTCGTATCAAAGGTGCGAAAACCTCAAATCCTGTCGCGTCTTGCATAGTATTTCATAAAGAGCACATGGTTTCGGATGGAAACGTGTCGAGATAGTCCTGGAGATGGCGTTGGATAAGCTCCGTGTATGGTAAAGGTCGTTCAGGATTGGGACAACGAGACCGGCGGTTCATCCGCCTGGTCACTCCTGAATAACAGATTTGTACCATTGACGTCTTTTCTTTCGCAATACAGAACTGAGGGCATGAAATGTTCCCGCGACATTTCTCCAACCTATGGGGTACAATCCGTTTATTGAATGCCTATGAAGAGAGCGAAAAAGAACAAAGAAGCGCGCTGCTACAAGTGCTCCAGAATTGACTCCTCTGTGTATAACAGAATCGCACCGCTTTGGAGGACAAACTGCACAGCCGACGTTATCCTCGCGCCCACACGGTTCCTCAAGAAGCCGCACCTGATTGAGGGACGACGAGTCTACCACACATTCGGGTTCTGGCTCGCTGAAACCCATCACATACTAGAATGGAAACCGTCCATCAAGCTAGCTCGGGAGTGCAATCTAAAGTTTGAATCTCGTCCCGTCGTCATCAGCACCGTCATTTACGGGCTTTTTGTGTGGCTGCTTCTGTTTTCTCTGTTCTATCTCGCGCTTGGGATACACCGGTCACTCCATTCCCGCTGGCTCGATTTTCAGCAGGCGGGCAATGTAGAATACAGCGTCCAAGTCCCTATTGCACAGCTTACGACTGTTGCCGACGCATTTGATGCACAGACAGGAGTTGCGATCTGCGCTTCGCTTCCTACGTTCATCACCTTTGGGTACAGCGTCGGTGCGAGCCTCCGCAGCGATATCACTCGCTTGTGGTCATGTGTTACCGCACAGGTCCACTACAGCTCCTCTTCATCCGAGAGCCTCCTGGCGGCGAATGAACACTTGCCTCATCGCTTGGTACATGCTCTTGACAAAAAAGGAAGGCTAAACTCGATGCCGTTCTCCGTTTCCGCACCCGGCGCCCTACGCTTTGATCACGGGCTCCGTCTGGGCGACCTCCCTGGTGAGTAGTCTGTCCGCAGCATGTACGAGCACGCGCTGCTCTACTCATTAGGGCATTAGCGGAAGGCGATGTTCTTCGTGATCAGACGAGGGCTAGATGGCAGATCCAAGCTGGAGGACAAATCGCGAAATTTCTACCCGAATATGCCGCCGTCCGGCAAATCGGTTACACAGGCCCAATAGAGGCGATCGCTGCGATGACAGAAATCCACGATCAAGATCATTTTCCACGCAAGCACAAGAGCCAGGAGTCTGTGCGAGCGGATCTCGTTCGAGACATCATGCTGCTGTTGAATGTCGTATCAGAGATGTACACAAAAGAACCACACATACATGTAGAGCGGATCCATCTACGACGTGAAAAGTTCAGTGAACTTTCGGCATGAGCTTCTGCGAAAACTCTATAACGGCCGACGTCGAGATGATGTCGTCGTCAATACAGCAGCACGACTTGCTGCGCCCGCGATTTGCTTTCAACAAGAACTTCAGCAAACTTGCAGAATGTGCGGTCCCAGTATGCTATATGTAAGGCATGGAGCAGAGTGGCGGCTTGCGCCCACGACTTGATGATCAAATCGTTCATTGTACGTACCGTTGATCGAGTGTATCGCGAATCATCTCAAATCCGGTGACTCAACAGGTTCTAATCGAAAAGTATCGAAGCAGTCACTCCGAAAACACAACTTGGATCCGAACTTCAGGTATAAAATCGGATACCTCTGTTGCTGCACTTCGAATGTCAACGCTGTATATCTACGACAGGGGTCGGGGGAAACGATAAACAGGAACCGATCGCGTATTTCTGTGCTCCATTTTCATTTTTCTCCGTAGAGGTGTAGGATCAGGAATCGTGGTCAAAACACCTCTAGTGCGTGAACATTACGAGTCCGTAGCAAAGTGACCGTAGCGCTTCAAGAGTCTCGATCCCAGTCCACCAGCCTCAGCGCAGTGTCCCCCGAAAGCACGGGCTTGGCCCAGCGATCCTCGTGATGTACGGCCTGCTTCAGCGCCTACTGTGCCGCCGGACACCCCGACCCCGACACACGCACCATCTTGAAACCAAAAGCGTAGCGGTGCGTTGCAGCTGTTGGATCCCAAGCGGCAACCGGACACGGAACGCGAGGCGTTTCAGATGACATGACGCAAATCGCAATTTGAATCGCATCGGAGTTAAAACAAAGCTTCAGCAGTTGCCTGGTAGTGCGCTGTCGTACAACTGGGCTGCAACGGATCCGCAGCTGACTTTTGAACGTTCTGGATGGGTCAGTGTGTAAGTGGCGCTTACAATCATGAAGACGACAGCTTCGTATCCATGAGGCAGCTCCTGGAGCGATACGGGAAGTATCTCTACGAGGCACGGCCGGATCCCACTATTCAGGATATTGTGTTGTTCTGCAAAGTTTGTAAAGTTCTACCCAGTTTGAGAATAATCTTTGAAATCCCCGTAAGCACTGGGAGAGACGTTTGGACACAAGAGACATCAAAGTCGTTTTCTGGAAGGCCACGACGAAGACGTGCACTGGCAGATGAGGAAACCGAGGTATGGATAGATGAAAACGAGCACGTCGAGACTTGTACCCGGCCCGGAGGAAAAAGCGCACGACTCTCCTTCGATTCGAACCACGCAAACAACACACCGTTGTTCCGTCGCGTGCGGGCAGAGCTTCGTGGTCTCTGCTTCGAGGCGCGTACAAGCTGGGTGGCCACGCAGATGCATCACGTCCTGACGCAATTGCTTCCTTCTCAGATGATGGCACAGCTATGGATCTCAGCATACAAATTAGATGGATCTGTGGTTGCGGACGTTCTCAGGCTCGAAGACCGATTGCATATAAACAGAACGCTGCTCGTTACTGGTTGGGGATGCCTGCACCCCAGTATGCGAAAAGAACGAATTCTGGAGGAGCTCGAAGGATATGCGAGGCGGCATCGATGCGGAATCTGGGCGTTCCCGAAAGAGACGAAATCGTTCAACAGCACGCCCCGCAAGCACGTCCCCAGATCACGTTGTCGATCCCTAGCAGAAAGTCAGCATCGAGCACATTTATACGCATGTGAGCAATAAAACGAGAATCGTTCTACAACTATGCAGGGTAAACATATATGTATCCATTCACAGACATCTCCCAGCCTATTTTGAACAAGCGCATGCTACCGGTTTCAGTGTTTATCCATGCAGATTTCGAGCCTGAGAGGCTGCTCCACAAAGTGAGATCGCGTCAGCACCTCGGATCTCGTCGTCAGCATCGCATATCGTTTGATATTGATTGCGGAATTGAAGTCTCGGGCCACGACCTTCATGCGTTTATCACCTTTGCTGGAACCCATCCATCCTACGATTCCTGTAACTCACACCCTCTGTGCCACTACAGTCTCGTCATCGCCCCATCGATCAGATATCTTTTCTCATCTATCTCCGTTTGGTTCTTCTTCCTCTTGTTCTTCGTTATTTGCACCTCTATGTTCGACGTTTGGCGCCAAGATGTATTTTCAGGTTTTTTCCCGGGAAACCGGCGATGATGACCCTCCTGGATCCCTGACTACCATGTCCATGTCTTTTGCTTGGATTTTTTACTTGCTCAAATGAACGCACTTCGAATGCATCAGCTACAAACCGCGAAAAAGCATTTGATGACATGCACCTGGATGTGGAATGCATTTGGCGTCTCTGAGCATGTAATACGATCTTTGTCTGGGATTTGTTGGCGGCCTTTACCCCTGCTTGGGGCTGCCAAGCCGAGTATGTCTATATATGTAGGTCTTTTTGCGGTCACGGTAGTGCTAGGCATCGTGTTGATCTTTTCCAAGGGCGTGCTGCTCAGTTCCGCGAACTTGTCGCGGCGCTCGTGCTTCGCACGGGAAGCTGAGCGTCGCCGAACGCAGTGCAGCAGCCCAAACAAGCGTGTTTTTGAGGAGCTCTGGGCAAGGAGACCTTTCGAAGAGCTGCGCATCGGAGCTGATCAGCCGTTGCACTTGCTGGTCGTGCTAGGATCCGGCGGGCACACAACAGAGATGCATAGGCTTCTCAGTCGTGACGGCGGCTTGCTCAGCGAGCGCTGGGTCGACGCCCCCGTCTGGGTGACGTTTGTATATGCAAAGACTGACAAACGCACCCCTCGTTGGATAGAGCGTTTTCAGAGTGACCTTCCTCCAGGCTTTCGCGTTCTGAACTGGGTGGCAGTGCCTCGCGCTCGTGAAGTTGGTCAGTCATGGATAACAAGTGTATTCACCAGCATCCACGCTTGTGCCAGTGCGGCGGGGTTGTTTCTTTCCAGCCACTCACTGGCAACGAACGATCGCATGCGAGCACCAGCACCTAATGTCGTACTATGCAACGGACCAGGAACCTGTGTGCCTTTTTGTCTGATAGCATTTATCGTTCGAATCTGGAACTCGTTGACGAGAACCAGACCTGCTAGCGCGTATCCAAGAATTATTTTCATCGAGACAGTCGCGCGTGTTTACAGCTTGTCTCTCACCGGGAAGATCTTGTACAGATTTGCAGATCGTTTTCTTGTGCAGTGGCCAGAGCTCGCCAGGCGTTACGTTTACGCTGAATATTACGGACGTCTGGTGTAACACGAGCATGAGGCAGCGCACGTCGCATGTGGATGCATGCTGCTCCTCCAGTTCGCATGGCTGGATGCCACAGCACAAGCGCTGCGTGCGTTCGCTCGGCAGGCGACGCGAGGCTTGGAGTCTACTGGAGTGTTCCCAGGCAGAGGGGTGCGAGCTGCGTTTGTTTCGGCAGGTACTCTGAGGTGACGGCCAGCGGAAGACCACCATTGCATACATGGCCGCCATGGGTGTATCAGCACCCTGGATTAGGAGAATAGAGCGGTCTCGACTTTCCGCTCGCGCGAACGCGCCAAGGCATTGAGAGCAACGGGTCAAATGAAGTCACTGGGCGAAGGCGGGTACATTTTACGAACCTGAATGCGAAAATGCTCTAGTAGAACGCATTCGACAGGCTCACCACGACTTGTGCACGGCACCTTGGCTCGCTAGAGCCTGGCAGATGCAAGTCAGTTCCCATAGCGGCTCGGTTGGTTGGAATGCCTCCCGTGAAACCGCATTTGCAAATTGCCGAGAGAAGACTGCGCAAGCGAGAGGCTGATCATTATTGCCGACTTCGAAGGCGCTGACTCGGGGCATTCGACGAAAGCAAGACGTACCGGCACTGGCGCGCGTGTTCAGAAGAACCTGGCTTTTGCTCAGAGAGGCTAAGCTGCATCGCGTCAGAACCTTATCGGATCATTTTACATGCCATTCTGCGGATATCCGCCGGGAAACGTTCGGCGAACCGGAAGTTGTTTTGTGAACTTAATCGACCAAACAATCATTCAGCATTGGCTAGAGAGAGCATGAAATATGTGCTGGAGTTGCATACTTAGGCGGATTGCCAGAAAGCATTTGCTCTCAGAACGAAATGCTTGCTAGCACAGCTCAAATTGCGCGATGAGGAGAATGTTCACGCCTAGGCGGGGCCTTCTTCATTCCGGGTGGCTCTTTCAACGAGCAGTGCAATGTTATAGAGACGTGAACGTCAATAATGACCCATAGGATGTGTTATGCCTACGAGATATCTACAGGCTGCAGCCATCCGTCCCAACGCAAAGCTCAATCCTATATCTAAGCCCAACCAGAGTTCGATGCGATCACTGCGCATTGTTTTGCGCGTTCGCAGAGTCTCTCGTGTCCGGTTTGTAGACGTAGACATGCGGCATAGACGCATCCGGCTGCTCTGGGATATCGCGCACAATAGGCATGCAGAAATGCTCTCCAGGTGACGGGGCGAGTTGCAAACCTCGAATACGGCGAGCTTGTGCGAGCGGATCGCCTCCGTCGAGCATGAACAGCTCATATTCATACTCTTCCCTCATGAGCGTCTTTTCAAACAGAGATTCCTTCGTGTCTTCGGCGTACCGCTGGAAAAGGTCAGGCCAATCTTTTTGCGATACCTCTGTGGGATATAGCATCTTTGTATCCATTTTGAAATACTTTTTGCCCATCTGCAAGAGTCGCTGTTCAAAGCCGCGACACAGGGCGGCGTGTTCCGCCTGCATGAAACTCGTCGAATACCCGCACACGCTCAGCGCCTTTTCGACGCAGATCATTTCTAGAAATCTCAAACGTTCACAGATGTCTGCGGGTTGATAGGCGCAACGCCGCTCCTCTTGGTCGCGATACTGCAAGACGCGGACGGTCGTACGCTCAAGATCGAGCCGTTTCCGTTCAAGCGCATAGCGCCGTCGGCGATGCAGCGTCCCTGTCTCTCCAAGATACGAAGCATGCACGGTGCTTATCTGAGAACTAGCCGCTCTATCTAGAAAAATAGGCTTGAACATTGCACATTCGGTGTAGTGTTCACAGGTAAAAAGATGAAACCTGCGCGGAGCGTCCGGTGTGAGAACAGATATGAATGCCCCGGCTCGAATGGTGTGCTGGGTATCGCTCGCCTCGGGAAGCACCGACGAGGGCAAATCATGCTCTCGTACCATCTGGATCAAGCTGGCCAAGTCAAGCGGACTCAATGCCGCTCTAGATTTCAATTCCTTCATCCTATTCACGGAAGCGTTGAGATCACGTGATGATTCAGCCCCCGTCGGATGGAACAACATCCGAAAGTTGATTCTGCCCCGGCCCGATGCAGACGATGAAGATCCCACCGCAACGAGGGATTCTAAAGAAGTCGAATAGGTTAGAGGTTCCTCAATGTATAGCTGATCCCTGTACAAGCATATCTCCTTCGAGGTCTTACTGAGTGCCCAGAAGCCGCTGGCTGTTTCTAGGAGCCAGGCACCGTGCGCGTCCACCAGGACGAAGCCTGGGGACCACTCCGTGCCTGCAGCACGCGCTGCGGCCTTTACACCTAGCAAGTCGACAATCTTCGAAAGAAGCTGGGCGGCGTGTAGAGCGGTCTTACCGAACCTAAGTGCTAGAAAGGTCAAGCACTCACCGGTAACTTGGCCCTCCGGGGGTGTACCCATTGGCCTTGTTGCCGCAAACTTGAGTGCGACTGCAACGCCGTTCTCGTTGACACCGCTTACGACACCATGGTCCTTTGATCCCTTATACGTCACGCACCGAAATGCTTCACGACCTTCGAGCAGCTTGGATAGGTGGGTGTTTTCGAGCTCTGGCAACAGGTTCCCTGTAACACTGTCAGAGTCTCCCGAAATCGATTTAGCGCAATCCTCAAAGAAAAGAACATCCTCGGGGCAACATAAAGAGTCCACTGCGAAAACTGTAGAGCACGGGTCTCTCAAACTAGTTCTTTCACCCGGAATAACCCATAGAGTTTGCGCTCTTCGCAACATCGTATACCGCTTGTGTGTTTCCGCAGGCTCACATGGAGTGCGCGAAAATCGAACATGCGCATCTGGCTGGCGCCGACCGATCGCCGTCGCCAAATCAACCACCCGCGTTGCTGCCAGTGCGCCTGGTGCTTCATCGAGTTTCAGGAAGTTAGCCTCGATCCTGGTAATGTCAACGAGAATCATTGAAACAAGCGAAGCCGTGTGGACAAAAACCCTCCTGGATAACGCTAGGGTAAACTTTCAGCGGAACGATGCAGGCGCGAACGACTGCAAAGCAGTTGTCCGATATCACGTGGAAGCGTTGCCTATGATAGCCTCATCTATCCGGATCTGACTCGAACGATGTGCAAGCCTTGTTTCACCATCACACTTGAATAAACGTTGCAGCAAGTGTTTCATATGTGTCATCCAACTGAAGCACAATACCGTGCATTGCGCACGCGCTTGCATACTAAGCGACTACACTCGAGGGTGGCGCAACCCCAGATGCGTCTCGTTCATCGTTCCGGGGCGCGCTTTCCACGTGCCAAGGCGCGTCAGTCGAGCTTCGCGATGGCGTAGCGCTCGAATTCACGAACGCATCCTCCGGAGCAAGCGCCGCTGCCTCTACAGAGGCCTGTTTCGGCGCTGGTTTCGCTATGATGAGCGCGGGACCAAGTCCAAAAGGCGCTAGCCGTTGAGCTCGTATGGTTTCAAGACAGCATTCATCACGCATCGCCTCCAGAAACTCATCTAACGGTGGGAAGAGACGTGCGCTCCTTTGCAGATAGCAATATTCCCGAAGCCGCAGGGAAAAGAGCGCACCGAGCAAGGGTACACATGTTCGCAGAAAGAAGCGGGCGATAGGTGCTGCGATGCTGCGGCCGCGCGGTTCCGTAATTTCCAGCACCACCAGACGGCTAACAGGGTCAGTGGGGGTCGCTGTTGACGCCTCAGCTTTTTTTAGCACTCTCCAAACTTCACAGAGACCTTTCTTTCGATCTGCAAAGTTCCGAACTCCGAATCCAATAATGCAGACGTCAAATCTGTTCGTCCATTCCTGCGGAAGTTCCTCGGCAACACCTTTCACGAGCAACACCTTATCGGATACCTGAGCTCTGGCGAGCTTCCTGCTCGCAATGTCGAGCATTCGGGAGCACGGGTCAACCGCAACAACCTGCTTCACATAACTGCCGTATCTCTGAGCGATATCTATGGCGAGATCAGCGGTTCCCGTCGCCAGGTCAAGGACCTGGAGCTCTGCTCGCTCGGAGCTGGCTACAAGAAAAGGTTTCAGGGCAGCGTCTACTGCAGTTCGCTTCCAGCCCCTGTGGAGTCCAAGACTGATCACGTTGTTCACAAAGTCATAACGCGGAGCAACAAGCTCAAACATCGCACCGGAGCCATCGCGAACGGTTTCCCTAGAGAGTCTTTGCCGCGCGGCCCGGCACTTGTCGTCCTGCAAACGGTAGAAGAGCACGGCGAGGAACGCTGCTAGGGCTACCTTGCGGCCCTCTGCCTCGTTCGGCATACGCAGCGTGTGTTCAAATAGCTCTTCTGCGGGACAACGCTATTCCCTAGTCGAGCGGTAAACACCGTTCACTGAGCCGAGTGCGTTAGCGATGCAACGCCTGCGCGGAGCGCTAGCACCGACGTAACTGTTGTTGGCTACTGCGCTCAAGCGAGCTACCCCATGCGCAGTGACAATGCTTTGGATAACATCGACAACGCTTTTGTCGCTCGGATCCGGTTCCATTGTATGGAGCTTTCAGTTTTCCTCATTCGGCAGTCTCCACATCATGTCCCAGCAAACTGAATAGGCCTGGGCCGAGCTGCAGAGACCCATGCAGGGTCATGAAGCAGATACGGGGCGGGTGTTCTCAGGCGTCACACAGCAGCATCGAACAGCACCACATGGCCAGCTAAATTGGGTGCGAGCATACAGTTCCATGTGTCGAACGAGGTCATAAAAAGCGGAGTTTAACGTAACTGGAGCCTCTTGCCCTGGTGCTCCGCTCCGATATCGCGTTGCCCGTGCAGGACTCTCGGAAGTGGACCCAAAGACCTCTGTCCATATGCGTGATTGCTTTTCCTGCGAAACTCCTTCGTGCGTCCCGGAGACGACGTGATGGCTGTAGCTGGCGAATGTTTTTCGTTCCAAGCACAGCGCTGTGCTGCTGTATGTTCTTCATGCAAACCTTGACCGTGAATCTCAACGAGACCGTTCATAAAAATGCAGGATGATGATCACGCTGATCACTGTCCTGGAAAAAGATGCTTGCCACGAAACCAGAACAAGAGTGATTCCTGGTAAATGGACAAGAGCTCTCTGGACAATCTGTGGTGGAGGAAAAGAACGCACTTTGTTTGATACATGCACAACTCGACACTGCATGGTGTTCAGTTATGCATGATTCGCTTCTTCTAGTAGTCCAACGCAATCTTTTTCCGCCGGCGATGCGGTGTCTACCACGAGATGGACATCACGTTGCAATGTACCGTATAGATCGTAGACGAGTTTCCTACAGTATATACTATGTACTGAGCATTGCAAGGAGGACGACACTCCTATTGAAGGTCGGTAGTACCACACAAGTCAGATGGTTGAGGAACACCGAAAGAAACGAGTACATGGGTTGCGCGTCAAAAACCGATATTCTCAAAGACTGCTTGGAGTCAATGGTAAAAAAGGACCCATTGATCATCATACGGAAAGAAAACGCAACGAGGCACACCACGGGCGTCTCTGTTTCTTTACTGCTAGTTCGTGTGGTCGTGAAAACACGGAGGTACAGTCGCAAAAAATATTCTGTTTCACGCACGGCTATCTTGCACCGAAATCGCAACAACAGCGTTCCTGGAAAGTCACGATTGGTATGAAGCACAGGAACGTCGATTTGTTTCCCCAGTCGATGAGAGTTGCTCCGGATGAAACGATCGGAGCGCGAACGGGTATACGCGGACATGGAGGCCCGCAGAATGTGCGGTCCAAGTCGAAGAGAGCGACGACATCATCTGTGCTGGCGGGAGTGGAGTCGTTTGGCGGCCTCAGTTTCGCTCGTACAGAAGGCTCATACATCGGCTCCAGCCACTTTGTCGAATCATTCAAGGCTTTTCCCTGACATCAGGCGACGTCCCTCTATTGGCCAACCTGGTATTTCAGCATTCCCCTTGCAGTCCAGCTTTTGCCGATTCTATCAGGTTAGAGCTGCTTTTCATTTCTGCACACTCTCTGAGGTCCAAACGCATCCACGGAATGTTTTCTGTCGTGTAACGTAACGATCGCTCCACCGTGCGGATCGCTGAAATGTTCAGCCCACGGTGACACCAGGGCGAATGTCGTCTCTATTTCGCAAGTCCAGTTTGCGCCGGAAGGGTTCTCTCCTAACGGCATGAACCAATGCGTTCATTTCCAAGAAATAAGGAATGAGCTGGGCTGTATACTCCAAAATGTCGAGATGGAGGGAAGGTAGCCGACCGCTGCGGCGATAGAAAACCATGGAGAGCTGATAGAGCACCAAATGGCCCAGAGGGCGCGAATTCGCGGACTGCTTACATTGACGAATTCAAGAACAGACAATAAACGCATGGAACTCTTGAACCGAGACTTTCAAGGCGCTATCAATATCAGACGATGTGCGGTGTTGAAGACAAGACCCGAGGATCTGACGCAATCCATTTTCTTGCGGGGCCAGCCTTTCAGGGTCGAAGTGTACAAGGAGAAGCTGAGACCGATCGCAGAGGGTCGGTCAAGAAAGGCTCGAAGGCGTGTCCAGGTGGGTAGCTATGTTTACCCTCCATGGCTGGGAAGCTTTTTTTTGTTGCAGTGAACGTCTTCTGTAGAACGCCAAGAAACGTCGCTCCGACACAAAGCGATCTAATACTACGCACGTACTCGAAGGGTGCTGATCGCAAGCAAAGCGTGGATCGCTACTCCCGTCTGTGCATGAAATGTGTACGCGGTATCCGGAAGGCGCAAGACAGGAACTTTAACGCTGCCGTGAACGTCCTTCGATTGCTTGCAATCGATCTAAAGCGAACGTAAGAAGACAGTCGGCGTGAAATTCGGAGATAAACGAGAAGAGATGGAAGCATTCACAGATAACGGCCACAAAAGCTCGCGCGTTTATGACAACGGAAAGCGCCCCAAACTTTAGGATTCGTGTCCGAGTTAATGGACATGTTCCATGTGATTCTGATACCGGTGAATAGACAGCGTAGGCAATCGTGAAATCGTTAGTAGGTATTTTGTGTGCCTCTCTCCATGCCATTTGCTGGAAAGTCGTTTTTTCCGTAACATCCGATGGAGTAATGTTTGGGCGGTTCTGTGGGCTCCGTCGTCGTCGCTGACGAAAATTTCAGTAACCACAGCAGATACCAAATCGTTCGGAAATAACTGGGTACTTAACAGTTCAGGCGGATGCGGTCCGTATCGCTGCGTGGTGCGCGCCCAGCTTTTGCCCGGTGTGGAACAGTGCTTTCTCTCCAGTGCCGCAGCGGCCGGGCGACTTGCGAGTCACGGCTGGTACGAACGAGAGTGGGTCACTCGACCAGCTACTTCGGCAGACCAAAGCTTGGGTTGCCAAGCGTCGTTTCTGAACGTGTGTTTGTGCCACGAGACCCTGCTGCAAGAAACGCCCAAAGGCTCAGGTTGAAGAATGGGAAAGACAGACTTGGAGCAAGTTGTACACGCAACTTACTACTTTCCTAGCCCAACGCCTAGTGGCCACAAGCTCTTTGGTCAGGCTTGGGTGCCAGAGAGCTGTCTTCTCGACCAAGAGAGGACTCGAGCGGAAATCGAGCGCTCGTTGGCGAAAGCGCCACCGGCTCAGAAGACTGCAAGCAGCAACAACGCAAAAGCTTCAGACTATGGGGACTTTGGGCGGACACTGTCCGTGGATGAGTTGAAGGTTTTGCGGCACGACCCGCGAAATGTTCGCGCTTATGTCCTTTTCCTCCACGGTTTGCACTCAAACTCGAGTTTTGGGACCATGGATCCAATTGCACGAGGCGAGCTCCACCGTAAGTACCAGGGCAGTGTCCCTCATCGACTGAACGAACACGGCATGGTGGTCTTCGCACACGACCACATGGGACACGGGCGCACGCTGACGGCTTCTGGCAAACACGACCATCGTGTCATTGATCGTTTCCAAACCCTGGAACTGGACGCCCTTCAGCATATTGAACTGATTCGATCACTGGCGTCCTCTGATAGCGCTACTGAAGACAACGCAGCGATGCAAAACAAACCGCTCTTCATCATCGGAGAATCCATGGGCGGTCTCCTGGCTGTGTGTCTGGCGTTGCACCATCATGAGAAAGTGTTCCCCACGCGCGAGTCTACCGGCGGCCTGGTTTTGATCGCTCCAGCGGTGCTGCCTCCTAGTAACATGTTCGGCATTAAGGGGCGCATTTTATACCCACTTTCTGGACTTGTGTCGGCGCTTTTTCCTCGTCTCGACGCCGTCAAGATTCCAGGATGTGGTTTGTTTCCGGAGATTCAAAAAGAATTCGATTCAGATCCGTGGACAGGTCGAGGTATGCTGAAAGCGCGACTGGGACGTGAGATCATCCAGGCACAGAAACAAGTTGAGAAACACATGAAGGAGCTGAAATGTCCTTTTCTGGTTCTTTATGGTACAGAAGATACCTTAACCGATCCGCAAAAAGGAGCGGAACTGTTCCAGCAAGCCTCGAGCTCGGATAAGCAAACCATCATTCTCAGTGGTATGTGGCACATCCTGCTTTATGAGCCCCGCGCAGACGAGGCTCGGTCGGCAGTGTATTCCTGGATCTTTGCACGATGCTAATAACGCAAACACATTGCGGGCTCCGTGATCGAGAAAGTGTCGCGAATATCTCCACGCTGCGACGTCTCGAGAAGCGCATCCAAATGCGTGACATCCATATGCTCCACGTATTTTTTTCCGGACCATAGATGTCACACTGGGCCTCGTTGTGAGCCCGATCATGTGCCGACATATGCAAACGAGCACGGGAGACAAGCCGCTTCGCACTCTGTAGCAGACGCTGGCCTGTGAACTGATGTATGCAAATTCGCTCTTAAACACATTCCCGTAGGTCTCTCAAACGTCGACTCTTAAAATAACTTTCCCAATATTGCTGGATTTTTCCACGTAAGTGTGCGCGGCCTCCGACTCGCTCAATGGGAAGATCCCATTTGCATCGACGACCGGCAGCAGCACACCGCTGGCGAAGCGCGGGCTCGCAAATGTGGACCATTCTCGCACGAGGGCCTCGCGGTAGGCTAACGGTCGTGCACGTAACGTCGTTCCGACGAGACGAATATTTTTCCGGAGGATCTGGGAGAGATCCAGATTACCACGGGTACCGCCGAGGGTTCCGAAGAGGACCCATCTCCCGTGCCTTCTCAGTACCTGTGGATGAATCTCCACATACGATGATCCTACACAGTCGAGCACAATGTCGACCGACTCAGGCCCACCGCAAAAGTCAACCAGCATTTCTACCGGCTGGGTGCGATACACCCATCCACGCGACGCTCCGAGCTGCATGCATGCCTGGACTTTTGCCTGAGAGCCCGCTGTCACGAGAACCTTCAATCCTAATTCGCGAGCTGTTTGTATGGCAGCGAGTCCAACACCACTCGCTCCCGCGTGAATGAGGACGGTCTCACCTGGAGATGCGTTTCCCAGACTCGGGTCAAATTTCAAAAGCTGGTACGCCGTCAGGAAGGCTTCGGCGATACCAGCACACGCTGCAACCCTATCAGGACCTCGGCGCTCAAACTTTCCCAAGCTAGCATCGAAAGAAAGGTAATACTCTGGATATGGGTCCAGTTTGATAAGCGTAGCGCTGTCTGTCACCGCGTAGCTCGCATAGCCGCCGCCTTGGAGAAGAGCGATAACCTCGTCACCAGGGCGAAACGAGTCGACGTTGGAGGCCTCCACTTTTCCGAAAGCTTCAAGACCGAGGATTTCCGAAGCGCCCGGCGGTGGTGGATAGCGCCCGCGCTTCTGCAAAAGGTCTGCACGGTTGACCGCAGTTCCGAGGACCTTTAATAGAACTTGGTTCGGTCCTTTGAGCTCAGGCACAGGCACGCGCTGTAAACGAAGGACGGGGGCATCGGAACCTGCGCTCCCGTTCTCAGTTGTCGGCACAGCAGCTTGCATGACGCGAGCACCCGCCGCAGTGGTCGACATTGCTCTCCCAACAGTCTTGTCAAATGACTTGTGAGCGGAACACGTACACCAGCTGGACGCGTACGCAGAGCTTCCGGTTGCAAGTCGTCCTGCGTAGAGTCTCAGAGGTGTCGCACTGCAGGACATACAAGACTGCGATCTGGACGCGTTGCGATGTTGTGCCTAACCAGCACCAGCTGCACCGCCCTCTGAACTGTACCGTCGGTAAGGCACGTTGCACTGCTCGCGAACGTGTTACCCAGCTGGCTATGCTTTGGACTCTTTTGGACCGTGATTTTCGTCTGGGCACCGGTTTCGAGCGCAACCGCGTGATCACCTTTTTGAAGTACGCTGCAGGTAGATGATCTTTACCCAGCTCCTACGAGCGAACGACAGGAAAAACCTCTGGGGTAGTCGCGCAGCTTGACGCCGTGTTGCAGAGACCAGACAGGGTGAACAAGTCGCAGCGACGAAAGCCCGAGTACCGTAGTTGTCAGTCGCCGTTTCTGTCCGAGAGAGGCATGGACATTCGTTTGGAAAGCAGGGAACGACTCTGTGGCCTTCGAGAACACGCCGGCGGCTTTCCGCTGGAGGAACCAAAACGAGGCCGCTTCGACGGGCCAGGGAAATCCGGGCTCAAACGCGTCTCGGAAAGATCCAGCTCTTACGCCGTCGATGTGGCTAGAGAAATGAATAGCGAACAGCAGGAAATTGATGAATAGGTTTAGGTCCTGGGTGATGGCCTCATGCTAACCATCCGCATCCATATCGGGGTTCAAGGCCCAGCTCTGATAGTTCAGCGCCGCCGCAATAGTGGCCCATACCTGCGTCGGTGCTAAGAGTGCGGCTGCGGTTGGATTAACAGTCCAGTACATGCCTATGCTTCCAGCCAGTGTCGCATAGAAACCTCCCATAGCGTACAACGACTTGCGAATCTTGTGTTTCCCAAAAAACAAGTGATTCCATAGCGTCCCCAAACTGATATGGATGACATATAGACCAGTTGCAGTCAATCTTTTGAGTAACGATACATCCTCGCTTGTCCAGACGAGGTAAAGTGCTCCCGTCTGCAGCGCCTTGAGTGGAATCCACACTGCCGGAAATACCCAGTTCGGCGGGTGAAACCACGGCTTGCGCAGCGATCGGTACCAGGGATCCGTTGCCGGTGACGCAACCTCGTTCATTGTACCGTTCCCTTGGGTAGATTTGCCTTCAGCTTTCTGTCCACCTCGGCGGTACATGACCAGGTTATCGAGGACAGAGGTACTGGACACAACAGCGGCTGCTGCTACGGCGTACAGAAACTTCTCCTTCGACGACAGGATGCCCGCAAGTCCATTGGATCCTTGCTCACTGGCAAACCAGCTCGACCACTTTTCACGCAAAGCTTCCATGTCGAAGCTGTGACGGCTCTGGTAAAAACTGCGTAACCTGAGGTCGTGAAACCTTCCGTTGTGAGCGCCAGCGAATGAATCGAAGCCAAGCGTGCAGACGATGAGGCCTGCGCCGCCTCATCGGCAGCGGATCCCGTGTACCGCGCTTCGCGACAATGTACAATATATGAAAGAATGGTCTACTTTTGTCGTAAATTTTTGCTGCCGACGGCCGCCGATACCCTGCCCGGTGACGCGCCGCAGTGGGCTGAATTCTGTGCGAGCTGGCGCCGCCGCCGCCGCCGCCGCCGCCGCCGCCGGACACAGGCGTCGACTCAGAGCACCCGGATGCGCGATCGTCGCAGGCAGGCGCGTCCAGCGCACAGTCATACCTGTTCGAATATGAATGCGTACGACAAGCTCCAGACCTGTCATTCTTTGAAGCGTAAAGAGGTTATTCGTCGATGACGTTGGTGCCGATGTTGTTGCGGATACCTCTGTTGGAGCTGGATGCACCGCTTCGGACGAGGTACGGAATCAGAATCGCCGTGCAGTGTCGATGTGGGGTGTCGGCTCAATGTATCTCGATGTGGCATGCATCTCCGGCAGGCGTCCGTTGACGAGCCACCTTCATTCAGGCTGCGGCGAACTGCGGCTCTCGCGAATCCAATTTGATATCGACGGGCGTCGAGGCAACATGCCATGCTGTTCGTGTGGACGGCTGCCTGCGTCTGTTACCGGAGTGCACGGGTACCATTGTCCATACGCATTTTGCGAATGCGAGGTTAGATCAAGTGCATTCGACGTGAGTGATGTATGTCAGCCACGAGAAACATGCGAAATGAAATAGCGGTCCGTTCATGGAATGCAAACATCATCGTCGATTCTCGTCTGCGCATATGGAGAAGAGTCGTCCCAACAACACTGCACTAGCGCAATCAAGTGCCGCTCTGGGGAGTTTTCGTATTTAGTGAGTAAGCCGCATTCGATTACCTGGTTGCTAGCCAGGAAGTACTGCCTGAACCAGTGGTGTTGTCGTGACGGACGCGCAGCACGAGACCAGGGTCCTCGATACTGGCAACGCTACGTACTCGAAACGGCATGGCTGACCCCCAAAGCTCGAATGGAATCGAGACGTTGCCAGAATGGTCCATAAGGTAGATTTACCAATGCGTACGAGCGGGAAAAGAGGCTTTTCTAGCTGTAAACTTCGGCTATTTATCCCGCATGCCCGCTGTGTTCACGTCAGGAATGTACACAAACATGTTCGCAAACTACAGCTTACATCGTAGTGAAACTTCTTGCTGGCGGACCCTGCGTGAAGTGACGCTGCGAAACGCTGATAGCGAGAAACCGGCGACCGCGACATGGCATGTTCAGGTTTTACCCCAGTGAACCAGGCTACCATCACACCAGGGCGGCCACGGAGTGCACTCGTCTCCAAATGCTTCAGCATGGTCGTCTGCAACGCTATTGTTCGTGTACATATTGCATAGGGCAACCTGTCCAAGTAGCTGGAAAGCGGTGATTCTGAGCACAGGACCAAACCTCGCACCTTCTCGGACTTTATTATCGGAAGACACACAAACACCAGTTGTGGACGAAGGTTGCTCAGCGCCGGCTTGCAACGCATGCGCTGCTTGTTCCTGACGCCGCCTGTGGTACTATGCTGCCGCTTCTGGGCCACAGATTCCCGCCACGATCTGGACGCGTGCATGCTCCATTCTCTCGAGCGCAATCCAACAGGTTCGCAACCGGTTCCACTAATCAAGCCACTTACTTTCCCATATTCGTACATGTACGTTGCTCATTTCAACTTAATGCGGTACGCTCTCTTCCAGCTTCTTCGTGCACGCTGCAGTCTCCTCCTCCGAAGATACGGGAGATCACCCGCCTGCGTATTTTTTTTTCGAATCCAGCACGCCCTTGGATTTTGTAGTCTTTCGATTCCACAGTGCGCCCCTCTGTATTGTAGAGTTTTCTCTAACACAGCGCACGCTCTTGGATTTCGCGGTCTTCATATAAGGCAATGGATTACCCGGCATGATGCTTTTTTCATCTAAAGCAGTGCATGCTGTTCCGCTGGTCCGATCATCACGTACAACGCACGCTGGTGCCTCGCCATCCGTGCAGCAGGAGGCAGCGCAGTGCGCGCGCACGCGCCCTACCTCGGGACTGGACTCGATGCACACGCGCACGCATGTCGCCGCTGGATGCATGCGTGCCGTGTCGATGCACCGCCGGATCCCGCAGTTGCCGTCGCTGCTGCTGCTGCTGCTGCTGCTGCTTCTGACGCTGCAACCAGGACACTGTGCATGCCAGTTTGGTCACCTTCCGCGTTCATCCCTCAGGTGAGCCCTCACGGGTCCTGGCTAGCCACTCAAATAAAGTACGGCCTAGGTAAGGATCTTGTCTGCGTGAGGAACGGCGTTGCCAAAAGACCAAAACTGCGCAGAGCTAGCCGTGTGCGCGACGGCGGGGCGCTTCCGGTCCGGTTGACAGCAGAGGTCGGTGCTGGTCAGCGTGAACAGGAATTGGACGCTTTGATCGTGAGAAATGGGAGCTCGGGTTTGAGGCACGCCCTGACTGCTGGGCCAAGAGTTGGATATGCAAACTTCAAAGAGCTTCTGCTTACCCTCGTTTGTGGCATGGTTGTCGCACTGGTGCTTTGGCCGACGCGCAGGCCCCGGTTTGTGCACAGTGCGCGAGAATCAATATGGACCAAGGTTCTCTTTTCGTGCAGATCTTCGGCACTCGGTTCTCGGAGAGAGCCAGTGGCTACTTCACGTCGCGTTGAAGTTCCGAAAAGCCTACTGGCGTGTGCCTCGCCAGCGCCGACCGCGATACAAACCACGGATATCGCGAGCGAGCGAACGCTTCGCGGGAAGCTGATCAAAGTGGGGCGAGAAGCCACTCATTTTGAAATGCATGAACCTGTCGCAGACGCATTGGCGGTGCTCATTGCGACGGTTATTGTGGTACCGATCATGAAGCGATTGAGAATGTCGCCGATCTTGGGGTTCCTTCTCGCTGGGGTGGTCATGGGCCCGAATGGTTTGAAAATTGTGAAGGAAATCGGTGCGAGCAAAGCCTTGGCAGAGCTTGGAGTTGTCTTCTTCCTTTTCGAAATGGGACTTGAACTCAGCGTAGCGCGCCTCAAGTCACTGTTTATGGATGTGTTTGGTCTAGGTCTTGCACAGTTCGTCGTGACTGGTGTTGCACTCGGATTCGCTTGTACAAGCGCAGGCCTCGATATTCGCGCTGCTTTTGTAGTAGGAGGTGCGCTTGCCCTATCTTCATCAGCATTCGTGCTTCAGATGCTGAACGAGAGAGGCGAGATCGGAACGCGCTTCGGCCGCGGTGCTTTTGGCATCCTGCTGTTTCAAGATCTCGCTGTGGTGCCGCTTCTTGTTGTAGTGCCGCTCTTGGGCGCCAGTGGAGGCGGCATGTCGTTGGCGACAGCCTTGAGCGTCGCAGCAGCAAAGGGTCTTATCGCTCTCGTGAGCATCTACTTTGCCGGGCATTTTCTATTCGATCCCGTCTTCAATGCGACTGCCGGGGCGAAATCGCCTGAGGCGTTCGTCGCCACCATCCTTGCCACTGTTCTCGGTATGAGCGCGCTGACCGAAGGCTTTGGCTTGAGCGACACACTGGGGGCATTTCTCGCAGGCACGCTTCTGGCGGAAACCAGATATCGACACCAGATCGAAGCAGACATTATGCCCTTTCGCGGGTTGCTCTTGGGCTTGTTTTTCATGACTGTTGGCTTCGGAATCGACATGCGCTTGCTGGTGGGAAATCTGCGAGTGGTTCTGCTCCTCATTCTCGGTGTGTTAGCGCTCAAAGCAGGGATCATCACGGCACTCGCTCGACTATTCGGTTTCAGTTTTGCCAATTCACAGCGAACCGGTCTCATTCTTGCCCAAGGCGGTGAGTTCGCGTTTGTCGTCCTCGGACTTGCGCAGCGCAGCAGCGTTCTGGATCCTGCACTGACCCAGCTTCTCAACCTGGTGATCGCTTTAAGCATGGCGTGCACGCCGATACTTTTCGCTCTGGGACTTCGAATCGCGTCTGCAATTGAACAGCGACGAGGGTTAATCGGCACCCGCTCCGAAGATGTTAGCGCTGCCAGTGATTTCGTGCTCGTGGCCGGGTACGGCCGAGTGGGACAAGCGATTTGTGACATGCTCAGCGCGCGCTTCATTCCATGGGTGGCATTCGATACGAGTCCCACACGTGTTATTGAAGCGAGAAAGAAAGGTCTTCCCGTCTTCTTTGGTGACGCTTGCCGTCCTGATGTTTTACGGACTGCGGGTGCGGGAAAAGCGCGAGCGATCGTGGTCACTGTGCGAGATCCGGATGCGGCTTTCCGTGCAGTGACCGCCATTCGCCAGGAATTTCCCGAAAAACCGGTCTTTGCGAGAGCGCGCGATGAGCGCCATCGAAAAATGCTGTCTATGGCCGGAGCGACAGCCATTGTACCCGAGATTCTCGAATCCAGTCTCCTTCTCGGAGGAGCCGTCCTTCACGCCTTCAATGTTCCAGCGGAAGAAATTTCTCGTCTGATTGAGGATGCACGCAAACGTGCCGTCAGCGAATTCGGACTCGAAATGTTTGGTGAACTGTCTTCAGAGAAGATGGGCATGTGGCGGTACAAGGCGGAAGAGACATCACGCCAGAGCCCGAATGGCAGCATCTCGACAGCAGCTAGTGCAGTGGGCTCTTTACTGGCTGCCGCACCTACTGCACAGGCACATGGCGACCGAGACGGTGACTTTTCTGAAAGCACAGATTCTCAGCTGGAAAATGAAGGTAGAGACAAGTCCCGCTCGACTGATGATGAGCAGAACGGAGCCGACTCCGATGCTGGCCGTGAGCGAATCCGAGCAGATACGCATTTGGACGTAGAAACGAGCGACGAGGAACTCGAGGTCGATGAGGGTGAGCTCATCCCGGAAAGCGCCCTTCGCATGCCTGGACCCATCACACCGTCAAGCTCCAAACAAGTTCGTCACGAGGATGAATATCCCGAATACCCTCCGTATCCACTGGACGAGGACATTTCGACAACCGGCAGCCCGGCCGACGCACGTCGAGAAGGAGGCAATTTGTGAGCACAGAGTCTGCGTTCTTAGAGTGCTCGCACTGGGACTTGTACGCGTGCCATCGGTTTTGGAAAGCGGTCCAAGGTACGGTCCTGTGATGTATATGCGCGCGCACCATGTGATAGCTTTGGCGCAGGCTCTACGAAGCGCAGTCAAGTCTGGATCACGATGATCTCCATATCGCGTGCGCTCTCGTGTCTGTCGTGGTGATTTTCGCCTTTGTAAAAAGTGTTCATGCAATGCCTTTCGGAGATTCGTCGCTTCTCAGCCGACGCGCGCTCATATGACCTCACAAGAACTGCTGCGGCCAGAGAATCCGCACTGAACGCTCCAAAGGCTCCGTGTCCGCTTGCAGAATCTGTACGTGACCTGCAGGCCGCAATCCCGCCGAATGATGTTGCAGCACGGGTAAAGTAGCCGCTGCGCTGCATCGGATTTTTTTCATTGACAAAACGTGTGCATAGGCCAGTGCTCTCCGATTATGCGCATTTTTCTTTTCTTTCTCTTTTATTTTGTGTTTAACTTCAGTGCGCGGTAATGTATCTATAAAGCCCCCTACCTCCAAGTTACATTACCTATGCTGATTCTCGGATATTCTGGTCGTTTCATACTTCCTATCGTGTGTGCCTAGAGCCTGCCTTTCCGCATCCGCCGTTGCGCTTGAACCGCTGGAGCAGATAGTTCATAGAGCTAGAACAGCTTTTCTATACCCCAGAGGGCGTCGGCTCGAGGGGTGCTTCACCCGACGTAGAATCGGGTCTCGTCGTCAGTTTGTGCTCGGACAGTCTGCGGATGCAAGCTCGCCTTCGCGGCACGACACGCTGGAGAAACTTGGCTGTTAGGATAAATCCTGGGAGTCGCCTCTCTCCTTCGTGATCATGCATGGAATGCGTTGTTGTCGGTTGGCAATGCGGGTTTGTGCTTGACGCTCACCACAGTGGATAGGCGCAGAAAGCATACTAAACCCGTGTGCGCATCCGATTCGCTGGACCTTGCGCCTAGAAGGTAGCATGTGAGTTTATTCGCCACGAATGAGCGCTGAGGCTCGGTTAGCGGACCACCAGTTGCCAGTGCTGCACTCAGAGTGAGTGTCCGGCCTTCGACTATCACGGTGATATCCAGCTGATGCCGTCCTTCAAGGAGCTCGCTGCGCTCCTGCTTCCAGCGCGGGCACTGTAACAGTAAATATGTCAGCGTCTCGGGGTTATCGTCTCCACAGCAGGGACATTGTGATTCTCAGTGCAATCCCAGTGTTCCTATACGGCTTAGAGTCGGTGCTGCTAGCCAGAAGCCACCAACGCGGATTTTGGCGCGCCACTGGCTACCGCGCGCAAGTCCCGGGAGCTCCAGCGCCTCCCACCAGTACTTGCATGTGTATGCCGGGTTCTAGTTCCGGTATGGAGTCAAGACGGGCGTTACTGGCGCGACTGGTTCCGTGTCTACGTTCCCATATTGCTTTCTGGACGGTTCGCTTGAGGCGGCGGGAGCCTTCTACATTTCCGGGAAACGATTGGAGAGCGTGTCTTCGCCTACGGAGAGATCAGATTGCGCGCACGCTCATCGCCGCTGATTGAAATTGGCCCGTTCGCGCGTCATGACCCGTATCGTTGACACGCGGGTCATTCTGAAGCGCGCATCGCGCCTGCGCCCGCGCCGCAGCGGCCGCAGTGCTACGTGTCCACGTATCGAGCGATCCGCATGCGTGCGGTAAACGGATCAGCACGTGCGTTCGTTCGTGCGTGACAGGGCATCGAGCGAAAACGGATCCCCGCTGAGGCCAGTAACGTCGATGCCTGAAGCAACATGTCAATGAGCCTGGTCCGTCGATGACGTTTCGTCGGAGGTGTTGGCCTCCCCAGAACGTCGTTGTATGCTCATGTACGGGTTGATATTGGGTTAGGTTTAGGTTCGAGGTCAAGTCAACTGTGCCTGTTATCTGGTTCGCCATTGACGTGTGGCTCGGTATCGCTGAGCGGTACCCAGCGCTGTGGGCCACTGTGTGCATATAGTTGAGGTGCACTTTGGGGTCCTCGAGGTTCGGTGGAAGTTGCCTGTTTGCAACTTGTTACTTGCACACAACGATTACGCACCGTTTCGAAGGCGAAACGCCCTCGTAGCGCCACAGCGAGTACGCGCTTGTAGAACAAGTTCACGGAAAGCGTCTGCAGCCGAGTCGTCTGGTGCCTGTGCGCAGTCGGCTCCGAGTCAGAGCCACCGGTGTGCTGCGTTGACGCGTGCGACAACGCCGATCGCCGTCCTTCTCCGCGGAAACGACTCGCCACGCTATCGCAAGTTGTGTCGGATTTTCGTTGGAGCTTGCCCACTGGTACCGCCACCATGCAGCTACGCGAAAACGCTGCAGGCAGCGGACTACTCACGGATAATGCATGTATGGAGATCCATCGACCGGTCCCGGGTACCGCAGGGCGAGCATCGCCAACGTTTCACATCCTCGTGCCGCTAACCGATCCACGGTACGCTGACGCAGATCCGGGCGGCTCGAAGCAAATGCGGCTGCCTCTGGTGGTCGACGAGGCGACCGCGTTGCCGACACCACCGCCAAAGTCCGCGATAACCTCGCCAGCGACCCCACATTCGCTGCAACAAGAGACCTCTGATGTCGTCGACGCCCGTTACCAAAGCGGCCCGCTGCGTCGTTCCCTGAGATTGTCACCGTCGGGCAGCCTCCACGGCGATGAGCTCCTCGACAAGATCCTGCGGCACGCGGAATGGCTGCAGGCCTTGGGCGCCGGCGCAGTTGGCCTGGTGCTCCTGTCTCGGTGGTTTCCACAAGTTGCGATCAAAGTATCTCTCTACGAAACCGGATTTCGAACCGCACTCTTCATGCACCCCACGCGAAGCGAGCCGGCTATGATGCGTCTACTAATGAGGACGCTCCTGGTAGGACGGGCAACCTCGCATCTTCCGGTTCTTTTCGGGGAGCGCCACGATGTGCCGTTGTCCGCGCTGCGCATCCCCGAGGCCTTCTGGCGAAGCGGTACCGCCGCAACCGAGCTTCGTCAGTGGATAGAGCGGCGTTAAAACCGCGATCCTGAGCGCTGCAGTATTCTCGCATGGAGCGTTGCACCGGTGGAACGCTCTTTCACGCCCTCTGTCGGGGCACTGCACCGGGAATCGACATTTCGGCCGTGCGTGAGCTCACTTTTCAGATTGTGTTCACGCTTGCCGTGCTTCTGCGCTTCCATCCGAACTGGAAGCATAACGACCTCTCGCTTGCCAACGTTATGCTTCGACGGCGTGGTTCGCTCACGACTGCGTGCCTTGGCACGTGTCAGGTCTTGGTTGGTCTCGCTGGCGCTGGTGCACGGACACCAGCATCGACGCTGCAGCTGGTGCGTCCATCGAGCGCCCCAGAGGCTGGCCCTGTGCGTTACCGCCGATACGCGTTTGAAGGTCACATTTGGTATCTTGGGTTGCGCCCCGAACAACCGTACGAGGCCGTGATCGCCGATTTTGATTTTGCCTGCATCGAGCCGCTCATCAGCAACGCCACAGTAGACTTTTTCGAGCGTCAATCCCGTTACCACTGTTATCGGATCAACAGTGAACGAGACTGGTATGGCGACATCCAAATGCGGTTAAGCAATCTCCGTGAGGTCGTCCAGCACTTGATTCGGCGCCGCTGGGAGACGCAGCGGCCATCAGGGACCTCGGCGCTGTCGACCTCGGTGGAGCGAGGCGCTCAGGACATGCTCTTGCCCGAGGAGCGTGATGCCATGGAGTTTTTCGAGCGTTGCGTTCATCCCAACTGCCGCGATACAGCAGATCGCTCACTCCGCGGTCGCCTACCGCCGAATACTGTAGATCTCGACGAGCGCTACAACCCGATCCATATGCTGCTTTTCGATCCGTATTTTGATCCATTCTTACGAACGCCAGAATGGGGTTCGGGAGCGATGCTCGAAGCATCTTACGCTTGGCCAATCGAGTGTGCAGCGAGTATCGATGCCAACGGGGCAAGCCGCGTCGAGGGTGCCGGTCTGAGGACTCATGCCTCACTTTGGAGCGCATCCTCACCGATTCGTTGTGACTGGGAACACATCCGTGGCTCCTGGGCAGCCGACGGTGCCTAGCGCGCTAGCCCCCGTCTCGCACGTCAATGCAGCAAATCAGCTGTAAGGCGAGTTTGCTTGGCGCCGGACTGGGCGATATGCGCTGACGCAAGAGTTCTGTGCTACGGGCAGGGGTTTTGTGTCATCGATTGCATGTCGCAAGTGTATGCTCCTGGGGGAACGCACAGAGCATCCTCGTCGCCGTCTTCGCGGGTGCTTCTCCAGGAGACATCGCGTCCATTAACCGCCTTGATGTTCAGCGACAGGAGTCGTCGTCGTGGCGTTCATAACAGTGCAGCCTGATTGTATCGCGTTTGAGCGAGCGCTCTCTGGAATACGCGCGTTCTTGACGCGTCCGTGACCAGGGACAGCCCCAGACACGTGTAGCCTCAAAATACGGTATGGGCGAGCATAAGCCTCTGGCGGCTTTTCCGTGCTATTTGATCAACAAGTCCAGTATTTGAGCTCTATTTGCGCAAACGGTGTCAGTTACCAGACGATAAACGCTACCTCTGCAGTGCAGGCTTCCATCTCTCACGACTAGTGCAACCACCAGCGGCACCGGCGCGCACGCACGACAATCCTGCGATTCGACAGCAGCCGCAGCAGCCGCAGCAGCCGCAGCATCATCCGCTATTGGTGAGTTTCGCTGGCGGGCTTGCACACGTGAGCGTGGCTGCTACCCATGGTGGTATCAGAGATCATCATTGCTCTGACCGTTGCATATTTGGGTCCAAAAAGATCATATCGACTGGTTCTCAAAGGAGAGCGATACCTTTTCCACAAGAGCTTGCTACGGAACTGGTTATGCCGGCGGCGGCGCGAGGGCGGACTCGCCGCGCATGCAGCCTGCGACTTTCCGCAGTGTCAGTGTTTCCCTCACTTGTTCATTCGTCGAATATTTCATGGTGCATATAGGTTGATGAATCGATCGCATTTGCGGCGTACCGCGTCCGAGCTCAACGCTGATCGCGGGCCTGACGGAAGCGACTCCAGAAAGGAGTAGCGCGCTGTGTGTTCCAGGGGCGCACGTCCGAGTGCAGCTGCAAGTTTTGTCTTTCATCTAGTCATATTAGAGCCCTTTGATATTCTGCCGAGCACAGTGTACGTAGCGCTCTTGGGGCCGCAGTTGCACGCCTACCCAACGAACGCGTCTATGCCACTGGCGAAGAGGCAAAGTCGCTCCTGCATAGCACGAGCCGCAGCGCATCGCTCGATATGCGTAGACATTCTTCGTGGTCTGTTGCGATGTCATGGCGCTGAAAGCGAATATCGACAATCGAAACGGACCCATGAAAAGGTGTTGCATGTTCAGAGATAATCGCTCGCATGTTTAAGAAACACTGAGTTTTTTGGAATGTAGACTTGTTGAGATACGAGACGGTGATCCCCGATTCCGCAATGGGTATCGGCGTCCGTGAGAACACGTATCGCCGAGAGGTTTTGTAAGCGTTGCGAGAGCGCACCATATCGGCATTGGGACGTGCAACGATGAAGCAGTTTCCAGCTTGCGCTGCTGCTGCGCATGCGGTTGATGTTTGCAAATGGAGACGGCGTATTACGTCGCCTCACTGGATACAATGCTGTTGCAGCGCCCCAGAGGTAATGCGCGAGATGCGTGTGTGATACCTGCCTTCCGAGCACTGCGCCGAAGTGCATTCCACTCGAGACCATATCTCGTACGGTAGGAATCCGTTCTCAGGGTTTTAGGTATCACTGGATTCACTCGCCCAGAGAATGGGACATGGGAATTCAAGAGCGCGCCGACATCCGTCGCCGTTTCGTTTTGGAACCGGATCCGAACGACGTCCCTGTGCCGTCCATGCATTCCGACGTCGTTCGCAGCATGAGTTCCTCGGTTTCGGCTAACAAACTCAATGCCAAAGAATCATCGTCTCGATCGCCGTTAGCATCCGGTGGTTGCTTTTCTGCACCACTGACCTGTGATGCTCCTGCGCTTAATCCATCGCAAGCCAACTTTCGGACGGCATTCTGAAGACGCGTTGAACGAATACGTGCAAAGCGATGCGGCTGGAAAAAGGAGTCGATGCGTGTCTGGCGCTCACGATGTCGCTGAAACGCCTGGACAACAGGACCAAGCGCTTGCTCTAACTTGGCCGAGTCCCAGCCGAACAGATCATGACAAAATGCCCGCAAAGCGACTGGATCCGGTCCGCAATTCGGAAAAAGTTCGCGACGCCGATGAAGCCAGGAGGTGTCCACTTGCGGCCGCAAGAATGCTTCAATGACGTGGCGGTTCGGAAACGTCTTGTCAAGTAGGTTCCAATTGCGCTTCATGTTGATGTGGAGCTTTTTGAATGCGGCGCGTCGCGGCTCTGGATCGCTCACACTCGCTGGATCATCGCCAAGATGAACAGCGTCTAGCCATTCGCGAAAATCTTGCAGTCCGCGAAATGGCTCGCGTTCGGGACTTGTGTCTGGACAAGCAGGGTCAGGGTCTCTGCAAAACGCCTCCACGATTTCGGTTGCGTTCACAATCCCAACCCCGTAGACGCCGTCACTGTAATCGCTGCCGAGCAACAATCCCAAGCAAATAAGCTTGTCACGTGATAGGCCCATGTTCCGTTCAATGCGATTCATCTCGTACTCCTCTACATATTTTGAGTCCTCAAAGATGTGCCTGTAAACACGACTAGCGCCAAAGAGGAAAGCGTCAGAGTCCTCCGTCACGACGGCGTCGACGATGCCAGCGCGATCGAGGAAAGCGCACTGTGCTTCCGCTTCCATCGCTGCCTCAATATACGGGATTCCAAGCAACTGAAGCAGTCTCTTGGTGTCCGCGAACATTTGCTCCGTTACCGAGTCAGCGTGTCTGGCGGCAGCGGCATATTCCGAACGAAGTTTGGCGAGATCCATCTCCTCGTGCTCAGCAAACATGGGCTCCATGCGCTGGCGCTCAGTGGCGTCATCCGCCCGAGCGTTCATCGCTAGTGCACCACGATGCTCACCGGTTCCGGCGGCGTTGTTTGCCGCTTCCGTTGTGTCCATCAGAAACGACCTATGCGCTGGTATGAGGCCTCTCGCGGCTCCAAATTTGGCGCGTTGCTGCGAGCGCCACTCGGAATGATCGCACTCGTGATGCGTGCGCGCTGCGATGCCGCCGTCGAGCGTGCCACACGCATCGACCGAGGCCTCTTGTCTTGAATCCTCTGAGCGGTCATCAGGTGATATTCCAGCATCCGATCCAGGTGGCAGTTCTTGCGATATTGAATTGCGCCCTGGTTCGTGATATGCGGCGGCATCCGCGGGCGCTGCCGAGTTCCAAGTGTTAGCGGCGACTGGGCGGCGACAATCTATCTGTTCATCGGCAAGCAACGGCACTGCACGGACGTTCGAAGACTCGCGTGCAGGCTGCGTCGCTTCGAAAGCGGCTGGTCCGACAGCATCGTTTGCTGCGCTACCGATATCGATGCTGGGTGTGTCCGCAGTTTCACGTGGCTCGATTGCGGGTCTGGTGAGCGAATCTGCGTGTTCTGTGGATACCATCTCAGTATATTTTGCGACAGAGGACAGCTTTTTCATTGGCGCTTCTGTGTTTGACTCTGCACCGGATCTATCCAGCGTAGCGTTGCTCAAGTGCTTCGCTTGGGCTGTTCGTTTCTGAAGGTTGTGCTCGCTCGACAGGCGTCTGTCAGTCAGTTCCTCCGCGGACGCAAATTGCGCTTCCTGATCAGAGCCCTCGGTAGATACTTCATTCCATTCAATATTTTCCAAGAATTCAGCATCGCTCTGTTCATCGGCTCGGGCCGGTTCCAAGCGGCCGTCGGAAGAGGGCGCCTCGTTGCTCGTCGTGAACATCGTTCGACGGGTATCCTGGGGCATGCCTACGACGTCCGAGGCGCTCAACTCGGCGTGACGCACTCGATGCCTGCAATCGGCTGCTGCATCTCCATCACGCGCATCGTGTGGCGTTTTCAGTGCAAAGCGAAAGCCGCTCGAGATCTCGCTTGCCCATTCGGTACCCGAAATTGCGTTCACCGTCATCGACTGCACCGCAGCGCTCCGCGAAGGCGCATCAGGAACGCTCGCACGAACGCATGCACCGGGGCGCTCCGTGCCGCGCGCATCTGCGGCTAGATCCCTGTTTCGGGCGGTATCCAGATTGCGCTCATTCTCTACAAGTACGTATTCACGAGTTGCGTCCGATGCAAGGCGCCTTCCGAGATGCGTCCCATGAGAGGCCCTCTGCCGAGCGTCCCGTAGTTTCGACCTGAGTTGGCTCGTACGTAGAAAGCGATCAACTTGCAGCTGTGAAAAGTCACTGGGCGAGCGCAACTCATCCAGATTTTCGACAGTTTCAACAAGCTCTGTATGCATGCGTCTCCGAATCGAGGCTATAATCTCTTTCTGCACCGACGCGGGGAGTGCCACGACGGCGTCAGCATCGATGTTTTCGAGGTCTGGTAACTCGAACGCTTCACAATTGGAACCATCATCTGATATGATTTCTTCTGAGGTAGCGCACGGGAGTCCAAATTCTGTACTGTCCCCTGCCATGAAGTCAAGCTCGTCACGTTGCCTGCCATTGGTGTTCGCGTAATGAGAGCGCTGCACTTCGGGCTGGTTGCCATCGCTGGGCACGCGCGTTTCGTCGCCGGTAAGGCGTTTCGCACTTGTTCTACGGGGCATCGTTGGATGTTTTTCACGTGCAGTATCCGATTGCAGGGCAGTTTCCAGGGCATCTGCTGGCGCTAATGATGCTGACGCCTGCTCCTTCTGCCTCGCAGTACGAGTGAGATGCAACTGAGCGAGGAGTAATCGCTCCGCAGCCCGTCGAAGCCGCGCTCGGTGTCGGTTTTGAATGTGCCTCCTTCGCTCCCGTGTTCGGCGCTTCAACGAAGGCACTCCGCCATCAAATACGAAGACCGCCTCTATGCCGTAATAAAGAAGTTTGCAGCAGCGTCTAAATATGCCCAGAAGGTGAGCGTTGCGTACCGTGGTCATCGCCTCGGTATCTCGGACGGCTCGAACAAACTGGTTCAGCCAGATGCTCGCATCAACAGCGACTCGCCGCCCCGAGAGCGTTTCGATACCGACACGCTGGCCTGCTGGTGCCAGCAGTTCCCAGAGGCCACGAACGCCCATCCTAGCAGAGCAAACCGCGTCTCTGAAACGCTAAACAGTCAACAAGCAGGCACCCCTACCCAGGCGACGCTGAGTGTGCGATTCTGGCCCGCTCAAGGCAACGGATTGGTAATTAGCTTAGAGAAAGGTTGTTGGCACTGCGTCGTGGCCAGAGCTACCGACACGCAGCCTCACGTGTTGATGGTCCAGAGCCAGCGCAAACGAAATCCACAGCAAAATTTAGCGACACTGCCCCGAAAAACTTTACAATACACAGGAACTGGGGAAAGTTGATCAGTACCCCACACGAGTGAACGTGCACAGCAGCATATATTCGTGCTTGCCCCGAGAAGCTCCGCGCCAAACAGGCTGCTCGCTGACGGGCAACGAGACGCTGTTTCTTTGTAACGGTACGTTTTCAGGGGCAAAGCCTAGGCGGGCGGCAGCGCGCGAGCCTGCCTCACGGGGCACGTATTCTCGCAGGAATGGACAACCTATGCAATGCTGTTGTTCTATCGATCTGGATGAAGAACGCGTTCCGTAGGTGTCGCGGGATCGCTAATCATGCCTTTTAGTGGATGTTATCCGAGGTTTGCCCGGGAACGGCACCGTTCGATCCAAGTCAGAGAAGCCTGGCGAGGCACGAATGCACGCACAGACATTCGGTTGGCAGAGAACTTCTCAGCGTGCCTTGAGGGCGTCTCTGAACACGAGCCATCCCTGCTGGTGGAGCATACCAAAAGAAACGCGGGTCAGAATGAGTGTAGAAATATGTGTTCCACGGATTCTTCTGGCAATTTTGGTATGCAAAAGCAAACGAAACATGGTGCCCAGAGACGCGCCAATGCACCATATGTGTAGCGCTGAACAGACACTGTGGCACAAGAGTTAGATGGGGGAAACCTCTGCGTAGAAATACAAAAACCCGAAGTTCAGGGGCACATCAGAACACAGCGCCACTACGGCATTCTGGGCTATCCCAGCTTCTGGCGAGCGCCGGGTCGAACTGGTACCCACAAGGATACAACAAAGCCGTTCCGTCGCTGTGCGGCATCCGCACCAGTGATCACCGCGCCATCGTCGGCACAACCGGCAGACTCAGCACCCGCAGGATCGTTTGAACGAAAGAGCACCTACGACGTGATGGCCGTCTCTGGTTAGAGATGGTACCCGTAAAATGATGAAGGTTCTACGAGTACAGAGGGTAAGTATATACACACCTGCAGACGCGTCCCAGTCTTTTTTGATTGGCTGCCTGCTTTCGGCTGCAGTTTCTCCCTGCGCACTTCGAGTCTGAGATGCTGCCCATAAAGTTCAATCGCGCTAGCTCCTCGGGTCTCGACTTCAACGCCGCATATCTACTGACATTGATGGCGGCTTTGAAGTCTCGGTTCACAAATTCCATGCGTTTCTTGCTGGCGCCGCTGCTTGTACTCACCAGTGTAAGTCGTCCTCGAAGTCGTGGCCTCGGTGCTACAGCAGTATCGTCGTCGCCGTCCCGTCGGGCAAACACCTTTACTGGACTATCCCCCTACTTCGTCTTCGCCACTTGCTCTTTTCCGCTCGATGGTCGGCGAAAAGGGGAATTTTTTCGTTTCCTTTCCGGGAGCCGGCGATGATGGCCCTTCAGGATCCCCGGCTTTCATATCCATACCTTTTCCTTGGGGTTTTATCTCTTCAAATGAACGCACTTCGAACGCGTCTGCTATAAACCGCGAATAAGCATTTGGTGACACACATCTGGATGTGAATCACAATCGAGATGAAATCCATAGCATTGAACTCCTGTGCCATCGGAGCACCGCGAATGTCTGGCACGCGAGGCGCCCAGGGGACTGAGGTCCGTCCGCCCTACACCAGGGTTGCTGACCCGAGGTCTGCGTACCGGAACCGCGAAGGAGCTTGCCAACTCCTTAGTCAATAGTTTGGTTGGGTTGTATTGGCGTACGCCATATTCGCCTGACTGCGTTGCAAGGTAGCGTAGCTGCTTTTGAAACGGAGCTAGCCCTGGTCCACGGTTCGAAAGTTGCGGGCGTGATGCGCGGCCCCATGCCCCGGAGGTTTGCCATTGAGGGCTTCAAGTTCTCGCTGTATTTGATCGTACCGTTTTGCGCTGTTGTGTTCTTTGGTTCCAGCGATCACTCCTGGCTCGAGCAAGCTGTCGAGCGGTGGCGCTACGTCCAGTATCCCGTCAACGAAGAGTCAACGCTGACCTCCGCTGAAATCACAAGAAGGGTGTTTAAACAGCCGAAAACCGGGGCAGCTGAGGACCATCGAAAGTGAGCGAGTCTCGCGAAAGGGCGCCGCCCTTGCGCCTTCCGGAAGACACCCGTCTGGTCACTCTCGATGAGGTTCTGCAATGTTGCTGACGATCTCAACAGCAGGATGCGTGGATGGAAGCGTGGGCTTGCATGCTCGTCGAGACCTGAAATCGAAGAATACCCAGGCCTGCGCAGATAACAGCATCGGTTCAGAAGCCAAAGTCGCAGTCTCCATAAGCAGATAAGAAATGACATCGGAACGGCCGGCTGTCAGACACAGGCACAAGCCATCGCATATCGAAGAAGCTCGCTGGCCTCTATTAGACATCGTCATCTTACCCAAACGCTCACATCATTCCTTGTGAAAAAGCCATGGACAACGTAACGCCGAGATCGAGGCCTCTGTGCTGCATAATGCCTGCAACGAGCACGTTGGTAATGTCTAGTGTCAGCGATTTCTCCCATGCGCCACAAGAGATAAACGATTGCATCTCAAGAGCTCACAAATAGGGAACGGCTTGCCTCGTTCAGCGCTCGCTTCGAAAAATTTTAGCCCTGTCTGCGAGGCGACAACGCGTATCGTAATGCAGATTTTTCTCTTCGACAGAACCTTGGCACAACCTAGCTATCCCCGATCGCAGCGCCTGTTCGCAGCGCACAGGGAAGCATCAATCGTTCCACCTGCTTCCAAGTTCCACACGCCGTGCTTTCCCCCGAAGGAACCAGTAATTTTTACGCCATAACGTGTGCCGAGTGCATGCTATGAACACCAGCCGTAGCGCCTAAACCGCTGGCGCAGATGCATCACAGAGACAGAACAGCTTTTCCATTCCACAGAGGGCGTCGCCCGAGCAATGCTACACCTGACACGGAAACAGGGCTAATTATGATTCTGGGATCCTGCAAGCTGTGCAGACGGACGCACTGCCTGCGACAGCGCGAATCGACATTATAGGAGACCACTGCGACCAGGGCGACGCCCAGGCGCAGGCTACCGGCTCCTAGTCCCAGAATGATATGCGTTGCGGATGAGTTGGTCAGGTCTCAATAAAGCACCTGCCACTGGGAGGAGCATCAAGCACTAGCCTGGGAGACATGTCCAGCTCGCGGGAGTTTCCGCCTGTAAAGTAAACTTTCGAAGGTATGGATGTCTCTTCCCCAGTTTGCAGTTTCTCGAAGAGGGAAAAGAAATCATTATATCGTTGCTAGTGAATCGTGAGTCTCTGTTCTTTGTTCTAAATAGCGCGGTCGATATGCGCACCTCGAGATTTGGGAGTTACGAGACACGACGCGCATCTCGCCATGAAGGGAAATACGATCGTGATCATTCGTTGTCTTCTTGCTCTAACGACAAGTTGCATTCGCGTAAAGTCCTAGCAAAGTATTGTTTTCATTTCAATCGTGTTTCAACTCTCAGGTTAGTGTACTCAAGTGATTTTTCACGGTTTATACCGAATGCGCTCAAAGTGCGTTATAAGAAAAATTAGGAAAAGGAAAGTTACGGAAAGGGAAGCGGAGGGTCCTGGAGACGCGGTTTCGTCGGCTAGCGGAGAAAAACGAAAAACAGTGCGGAGCAAAGCGGAGCACGAGAAGACCAAGGAGCAAATGCAGGAGGCCGCACGTCAATGGCTGCAAGAAAGGCGACACTACGACGATATGGTAGTGAAAGACTGACTTCTCGGACATACCAGGGATCCATCCAAGCAAAAGTTGTGAGAGGCCATCAGAAACCGTGTCGATTCGTACTCCATGAGTGTTACAAAGGCTTCGTCAGGGATCATGTATTTGGTGAGGGAGATGTATCGCGACGTGACGCACATGGAAACAGTCGAGAATCCGGAAGGGTTTTTCAACATGGCGTCTATCCGCCACCTGATGCTCGGCTCAGGGGAGACGTCGATGAAACATGAGCGAGTGCACGCCCTCCACGAAAATCACACCAAATATCGCTTCAACGGTATTCGATACAGGGGTGACTGGGGTATTTACACCTACGGGGCGATGAAGTACATCACGAACAAGAATAACCACATGATCGTGAACCTCAAACGTCTCGTGATATGCGCCGTCTTTGTGCTGTACCCGGGCCTCTCTCCAGAGGAATGAGATGGGCCATCGTCAGTGCCATCACCAACGATCGTCATCATGAAGATGAGGTCGAATTTGTGGACAAGAAGACCTCACGCAGGAGCACGAATAAAGCTTCTGCCCTGCGTGCGGCTACTCAAGAGCATCGTGCAGTCGTGGGGCTGGTCAATCCAGCAGAAGAGGTATCAGATATGGAATAAAGCATGGGAAAAGAAGTAACAACCAAATCCTGCGCTATTTCGTATTCCTGAACCGAGAACTCGAACACAAGGCGGAAATGGAGCAGGGTGTGGGGAACAATGCAGAGTCAGAGCAACGGAAGGCTGCGCTTCTGGAGAAGCGCTTCGACGTCGTTCGTATCTGCAACATCAAGTCACAATTTGGTACAATCGGCTTCAGAGTTCTTTACGGCATCATGAACGAGATCTGTCCGGAGTTCGATGTAAGGAAGATAGAGTTCACCGGCGAAAACCGGGAATTCCATTGGAAAAATATCTTCGATTTCAAACGTCTCAAAACGAGTAAGCAAAAAATATTCACGAGGATGATAGAAACCGATGGGGTATCCATGTGTGTACACTATCCGCGCTTGAAGGCAGATGGTCCTGTTGCGTCGTCGGCGTCGCCCGTGACGAAGCATGAAGGTGAGAAGAAGGCGGATCCTACGACGCAGAAAGTGCGGGGAAACGACTTTGTCGTTGGCGCGGCGAAGCATGAAGATGAGAAGGAGGCGGATCCTGCGACGCAGAAAGTGCAGGATAACGACTTTGTCAGTGGCGCGAACCCCGGAAACACGAATATCATAACCATTGCAGCATGCAAGCGTGCGGGAGATGGTAAGGACGGCAACTTACGTCTGAAAGACACGCGTCTTTTGAGGTTCTCGAGAGCAAGATACTATCGAGAATCCGGTATAATGAATGCGAGGAAGAAAATCGACACATGGAATGCAGGAATGAAGGATCACCTGGAAGCTATGAGCGGGGTAACGAGCCGCGGAGCGGACTTTGAAGCTTTTCTGAAATTCATGGGAGTTCGTGCTGCTCACTGGTAGGCGCTGTGGAGAGAATATACCAAGCCCCGGTGTTCTCGTCTGTGTATGAACTTGTACTGTGGGAAGAAGCGTGCATTTGCCAACTTTTTCTATCAGTTGAACGCCTTGGCTGGAGGACGAGAGTCAGAGAGTCGTAACAGCGACTGGAGCAGGGCTCTGCGCGTCCAAGAAAGGGAGCATACTCCCTGTATCGACAAGAGCGTACAATGAGTGCGCTCACCGTTTTGTTGTAATACCGATAGATGAGTTCCGAACGTCATACATACACCGTGAACTGGGACGTACACTTCACAGGGTCGAGATGGAGCAGTACCAGCAAAGCCCTGGAGATATACAAAAACACAGAGCGCTGACGGAAGAGCAAATGGAACGGAGGGCGAAATTTCGTGGACTAGTCGCACTGGTGAGTGTACCCAACGGCAAGAAACGTATAGAGTTTCTGAACCATGACTTTGACACAGCAATCAATGTAAGGCGATGTGCGGTGCTGGAGAACAGACCCCCCGCCCCACCCCCCGAGTTGACTAGAGCCAACTTCGTCGGGCGACCTCTCAAGGTCCCGTTGAACGGAAAGAAGCTGAAACCAATAGTAGCTGGCCGGTCGAGAAAAGCCTGGGAAGCGACTGCGCGTCTGCGTAGAGACATCCACGCTGTCGGCGTGATGTATGCGCGTTGGTAAACCTGATTTGCCGGCGGTAGTTTCTTCAAAAAAAGCGCTCCGCAGCCAGCCATTTTGTGTGCGCAGCGAGCGTCACTGCCCCTTTCAAAGCATATATTTCATATCCTAGTATCATAAAAGTGAGGGAGGTGTATTCTGAATACGAATATTCTGACGTGAAGAGCTCTTGATTTTTTTAAACACGACAGCAGCCCATACACGGAAGGGTGACGGCGACGGTGCGAGCGTGACAGGTTCGTGTACTTATCGAAGCAACATATCGCCCTCTAGGCCACTGTTTTGCGCGGCGATATTTCCGCACTGAGGTGGGGTGTTCGTATTTTCTGTTTACAGGTGCCATATATTCCTTCATACGGTGCTAAGCTGTGATATATTTCGGAAAATATGGATCAGGAAGCGGAGGCGCCGAGGATCCAGACTCCCAACGACCGTCCAGAGTCGGAGGGCGCGCCAGGCTCCGAACAGGATGGGAACTCCCCATACTATCCCAGGATACATATCAAGTCGTTTGCTTTTGAACAAGAGCCTCATAGCGACATGGGATCTGCATGTTCGCTGTCGCCAACTGCCAAGACGGAGGTGAATAAGCATGCCGTGCCTGCTGAGCAGCCCGCTGGTGCCGTTCACATGCAACCAGATGACCAGGGCAAGACACAAAGAAGTGTACAGAAAAATGATGATCGTCCATCTGAAAACAGCGGTGGCTCGGAGATGAAACGAGCAGGCGTGGAAACGACGCGCCCCAGCCGAGCAGCGAAATATCGCACGGCTTCACCAACACCCTCCACGAAAGGGCACAATCGTGGCACTGGAGCAACAAGAGGTAGGCCGAGAAAATACCCGGTAGCTTCAAGCCCATCAGCGGCGGAAGCCAGAATCACAAAGCGTCCGTATGGGGCATCGAACTCCATGCAACAGCACCATACCGACCGACACGTTGTGCCGGCGAGCGATGCACCGCAACCAGAGACCCCCACGGATATCGTCCTCTGCGCCTGCGGCAACGTGATCGACTTTGGGCCGATGATTCAGTGCTCTCGTTGCAAGGGCTGGTCACATAAGGTCTGTACGGGCCTATCGGACGCGGAATGGGAGCAGCTGCAAATGCAGCACGCCCGCTATCAGTGCTGGCTTTGTGCACCACGTAACGCTCGACCGAACTCCATCGCTGCAGATGCAGTGCAGGCGTTGGCATCTGTTCGAACCGGTTCCAAGTGGAATACGATTATGGGCCGCATCATCGAGTCGGCGGCCATGGAAAACGCGGAGATTGTCGGTATGCCGCTCAGCAAACCGCGAAAGCATCGCATGGTTGAAAATATCATGACGGGCACGGGTCCGGGTCGAACGCATCGCTCGTCGGGCCCTCGAGTCGCGTCAACCGAGGGTTCAGTGCCGCTTGTGCGAGATAGCGCGAAAGAGAACGAATTTTTCGAAGCGCTCGCTGCACATTGGCAGCGCAAAACTGGGCAACCGTGGCAAACCCCTATGTTTCGGGGGAAATTATTGGACCTCTATGCTTTATACTGGGGCGTCAAGGCACGCGGGGGCATTGACGCTGTGATCGCGTCGAAGCGCTGGCCCGAGATATGGCGCACCATGCGCAACTACTACCGCGAGTCTACGGATCACTCGTTCCGACTTCGCGTAGCGAGCCAGCAGTACTTGGCTGACTTTCTGAGGCAGTACGCCGGGCCTCAGCCTTGGGATGTTGAGGTGCTGCACTCTGAGGAAAACGCGGACGAGGCCGTTACCCAGCAAAAAAAGCGAGCACCTAGCGACCTGGTTCCAGCAGGCTATAAGGCGAGCCGGCGTGAGCGGGTCGTTACCACGGAGGAGTTTGTCAAACCTGAGCTGGCGCTCCCGAGCTCTGAACCAGGTCAAACGAGTGCGAAGAAGTCTGAAACGAACGGCCCGCGGTCAGCACGGAGCCCAGCGGGTTCTGCTGTTCGCAAGGCAAGTGATGCAGTGAAACCTGCGCCTCCGCAAAGCGACGACGACGAACTGAGCCTCGGGTGAGGCCTCGACCCCCGCAAAGACAGGCGTGCCGGGGCTGTTTCCACCTTATCTGGCTTCAGGTGCCGTAGCGCGTTGTCCGGTCGCTTCCTACGTCTGCCAGTCTCGATAGACAGACTCGGTCGTTCGCTTCAGCCGTACACAACGGGCTGTGCCCACACCGGAGCACGTTCAAGTGTGATCCGGTGGCTTAAAAGCTTCCTCAGTGGGGCGCTGAACGCCGGCAGGCTCCAGAGCACGCTTTCCATACAAACACAAACACACACACACACCGCCAGCACGGGGTCACTCGTCACAAGCGAGCACTCGAACGTGTGTAAGGCGGCCGCACTGACCACATGTGCACGAGTTCCGGAAAAACCGCAACTATCAGATACACGGTACTTGAGGTTTGCAATTTCGCCTGTCTTCGCGGTGGACTCTGCGACACTGGAAACGATTTCCAAGCAAAACCGCAAATATTAGGTCTGCTGTTGTGCTTGTGCATGGCAGCTTTAACACCTGTTTTCGTGGTGAATCTTGAGATATTGGATAACCGCAATCGCAGCGCTGGAGTGCACGCTGGCGCTCCTGATTTCGGTGAGCTTCGCGCGAGGCCCCGAATGACTCTCTGGTAACCGTGATGCTAGCCCCGAGAGCTCCGAGCTGCGAGGCGCCCGGGGTCCTCGGCTTTTCTGGACGGTATGATGCTAGAGTCTCTCGACACTAGATGCGTCGCGGAGCCGGAATGCGCTCCAGCGTCTGGGGTGCTGCGTGCACGCCCCGAGACGCGACACCTGCAATGCATACGCTACATGCAGCGATTGGCGGTGCTCCAAAGTCGAACGGTACCGTCATCACTCGCAGACGCAAAGAGCGCGAGATCCGTTGGACTCCACGCAACCGCATTCACTGTCCCAGTATGGCCTGCAAGTCGAGCACAGAGCTGACCCGAACGTCGTTTCCAGATGTATACGTGGGCATCTTCGCTGCCGCTCAGCACGAAGCATTCGCGAAAACCACCGAAACAGCTTCGGATCACAAAGCGACCCTGTTGATGCCCAATATAACGCTGAACTAGAGCGTTATGTTCAAAATCCCATTCGTGGATCTCAGGTCGCGGGCAACCGTCGCCGGAGGTGCTCACAAGCACGACCGGAATCGACTTTAATCGGGAAACGCAGAGTGCTGTCATATTCTCGGACTCTTCGATGCAGGGACCTAGAGCGGTTGCCCCATCAGCATCATAGCGACAGATGCACCGGGCGGTGCAGATTCCCACGATCTCGTTGTAAAAGTAGTTCACCGCGATGTCGTTAAAGATGCGTCCATGAAAGGCGAGTACAACATGCGCTCGAACGCGGTCCATGCCGAGCGTCGTGCGCTCTCGCAACCCGTCGACGCGCCAGACGTAGAGATTGGAGTCTGTCAGGCTGGTAACGAAGCGCTCGCCGTCATGAAGCCAGGCACATGCAGTAATCGCCTGGGTTTGTCTTTCACTTGCGAAACGACATCGACCGGTCCGCGTTTCCCACAGGCGCAAAACATGATCACCCGCTGCCGATAGGATCATCTCGTCGTCCGGCGACCAGGATACGGCACATATCGCGTCGCTGTGGCCGTCGAGCACCAGACAACCGGCGTGTTCGAACGCATCCGACCCGTTTGCCGATGATGCATCATCGGTGGCGGGCTCGACACCATTGGAGAGAGCACGAACATCGGCAGCGGCCAGGTCAGCACGATGCTCGACGATCTGCTCATTGGATTGGCTGAGTCGCGCAACATCCCAAACGACAATAAGGCCGTCTTTGCCGGCGGAGAGGAGCCAACGACCACTGTGGGAAAACTGGACAAGCCAGACTTCATCCCGGTGCGCCTTGAGAATGCGCCATGTCTCGCTCGGTATGGCCATCGGTTGAAATACAAGATCCTCCAGTAACGAGGGACGCTCCTGATAGGTATATGGAAAACAAGCCTGCTGCAAATTCTCTCGCAGTGCTCGTCGCAAAAGCGTCTCCAATCGCCACTTTTCAATCGTTTTTTCCTTGCGGATGTACGGCTGCAGCTTGTGGAAGAGTTGCTCGCGCATGCAACGCCGCAACTCCACTCCATCCGTCGCTCCAAGTGGTACAGTCTTGGTCGTCTCTGGAACATCCTCGCCCTGTAGCACGGAGCGTAGAGACTCGCGGATCGCCTTGGAAAGTGAGCCCCTCGCATGTGAGACACGCAGCACAGCGATGGTGAGACGGTGCAGGCGCCAGGCCTCCTGCTGCGCTACGGCGTTCGGCGATAGCTCCCGACACAGGCAGTCAACAGCGGCTTGCTGGAGCGCTTCCAGGCGCTGGCAACGCAGCACCCGCGCTGGTGCCGCTTCATCGCCCTCTTCGACTTGCCCTAGAAGTTCCAGTAAAATTTCATACAGTTTTTGGGTATAAATGAGGAAGCGAGCCTCATCCACGAGCCTTGAAGCCTCAGGGGAAAGCGCTTCTTCTGGTGTTTCCGCAGCGGCCTGCTCTTTTTGGTAAGTTGTCCGACCAACCAGTCCAGGGAGGAGTTCTGCTGCTTGTTCCCACTCACCGGAGAGCAGCAGTGTTTTCAAGCGACGCACGTCTGGTGAGCGTGCGAGAATACCTGCCTCGCGTTCGAGTGCCTGCGCTGTGCGGTGGTAGCCAAGGTCCTCCAGTTCCTGGAGCATAAGTCGCGTTATCTCTCTGCGATCGAGTTCCATGTCAGCGGGGTCACTCCAGCGCTGGCTGAGGCTCGCTGCCCTGCGTGTTACTGTACCCGCACTGTCGTGAAGCTCTTCTCTCGGTTCGTTCCGTCCGTTGCTACCTACTTCCGTGCCTGACCGCACATCTATCTCCATCAACTGGTCAGGAATTGGCGCTGCAGTGTGCGTGTCCGTCATTTCACGTTCAAGGTGCTAGGCAGCAATATAACGCCCGACTCGAACGTCGTGTCGCCGTCCAAAAGAAAGAAAGCGCCGCACTTGGGAACGTCCACGACCTGCACCGAACAGCGCTTGTGAGCGGAACGGTCTACTGGACATCTCGCGGCCGTTGCTGCGAGGTTGTATGGTACGAGTGCTGCCGCGGTTTGCGAAGAAACTCGGAGATGGAGACGGGTGCCATGGGTTTTGTCGGTTCCTGCTTATGAACGCGTCGAGCTGAGCTTGGACGCTGTAGTAAAGTTATGGAGGAGCGTTCAAGCGGTCTGCGGGGAAAACTGGTGATCGGCAGGTGCATCGCCTACGGCTCGTCTGGGCTTGTCTATGAAAGCGTCGACTTGAGTTTCGACGCTTCGATCACGCGCCGTGAACCGTTGTCAAGTGCACTCGTCTTGCAAGCTGCATACGACTAGGCATGTTTACACATTTTATACCGCAATCGCTGTACTGGCGTCCCGAAACACTCACTTGCAGATGTTTCTCTTGGAAAACGAGCTCGAAAACTCCTCGTGAGCTCGATGAGCGATAAAGCTCGGCTGCGGGCTCCGTTCAAAGGCTGCCACGGTCCAGCTCGGTGCAGTGGTCGCGGTGCTGCCTGTCCTTAGGGCGCTCAAACCGTTCCGAGCGGCTAAAGAGCCGGCTCGCTGAAAAAGCATCAGGTAGTGTCACTGTATTCGCGACTCGGTGGCTGAGTTCTTGTGCGATGTGTCGAGCGAGAGAATCGGAGAACGTCTGCCGGTTTCGTCCGTCAGGGAGGTTTTGGTTACCGGGGCAGGTCGCTGCAGTGCCGACTGCTGAAACGCGGCCTTTGCATGCCCATAACAAAGTCCAAACTTTCTGTGAGCCAGTACGCATCTTTGTCCTTCTACGCATCGGCGATTGATTCGGATATTGTCGTTTACTGAAACGGTTCAATGCCAGCAGCTATTCGGATTTCATCCTGGACAGCACCGAAACTCGACCTGCATCACATGCTCTGAGACTTTCAGAGCGTGCGCTCGATGCGGAGCATGAACCTGTGGAGCCGCTCCACCGCTGTCGAGTGCGGCAGCATGCGCGCGTTCATGATGCACCCGGCTTTTTTGCCCCGTGACGAGCTCTTTTTTTAGATGGGCTATGAGGCGCCACCGTGGACAAGTCGCAGCATACCACGCCTCGGGAGACGCATCGTCAACTGCTTGCTCCGGAGAGCGGCTCATCGTGACCGTCCTGCAATCGCACGGTTCCGGTATTCATGAGCCAACGTACGCGACTTGACGTGATGTAGGGCGCTTGACCCTAACCAGGCAATTCTGGAGACGCGAACGCTACGAGCAATCAGGGAAGAGACCATCACGACTCAACGAAAGATTTCACGTTCCGCGAAGCGTAGGATCATATCCTAACGCCGCGATGGCTGGCGCTCTCAAGGACATCGTTTGCTCGCATGCCTCCTTGCCATTACGGACAGGCGGACTGGAAGCCTATCGGTTTTGTCTGCAAAATCGTTTAGAATTCGGGTTTCGTGCTGAGCTGAACAAGGCTACACGCTTGGATGGTCTATGCGATATCCTGAAACGACTTGTGCAGTCATCATCCCGTAGAGTTCAAGTAAACATCGGCACCGCCACGTGATAAACCGCCGCACTTGTCCTGTATGTGCCTCCGCGCCAATCTTGCGCTAAAAAGCTTCATGTACAGCACTGCAACTTCATATTTGCTCCGAGAGCTTTCATAATCCACCGTGCTCTCTACGCGAACACCCCCTCATCTCGGTACATGCGCCTTGGCTCTACAGCACACTCTTTCTCACAAAGGTTTGCCGATCTTCGCAACAAATACAATGCAAGTTGTTCCCGCTGTTCGGGATCCTTGTTACCCAGCGCAGCTGCGAGCCTCAAACGCCGACGCTTATGAGCGCTGGACAAGTTGCCGTCGCGGCACAGTCGTATATGCTGTGCTCCGCGCGCGCGCACTAACGCAACCTCCCTCGTCGAGCCGGAGCCCACAAAAGTCAACCACGCGAGTCCAAATCCCAGGCAGGTGAAGGCATCGGTTCCGCTTCGCTGCCGTTCGTGAAACTTACCTGCGCAATACGATCTCCAGTATCGAGTCGCTGTACGTAAACACCGGTAGCCCAGCGACCCTGAATGGGGATGCTATCGCACGGTACGCGCACCACAGTACCCCGCTCAGTGATAAGAATAATCTCTGAGTCCGGTTCTACGCAACGCAGGCAGAGCAAACGATCCTCCGTATCCATCTTGAAGCTGGTCGCACGCTTACCCCCGCCGCCTCGCCTCTGAATACGAAACGCATCCACATGGAGGCGTTTTCCGTAACCCTGTTCGGTAATCGCCACCAGGTAGCGCTCCGAGGTGGTGACGTCTGCACAGCCGTCGACCACATCCATATCGGCTATCGCGTCGTTCTTCCGCAGCCGCATGGAACGCACACCCTGGGTTCGGCGTCCCGTCGACCTAAGCTGCGCTTCCGAGAGCGAGAAACGAACCGCAAGACCAGTTGTCGATGATATGATCACCGAGTCGTCGTTACCGCAGAGACGTACCCAGCGCACCGTGTCGGTATCACGCACATTCATGACAATCAGACCCCTGGCGTTCATGTTCGCAAATGCGGAGAGCGGCGTCTTTTTCAGCCAGCCCTGCTGTGTGAGTAGAAGCAGATAGCGATCCGGGGTAAAGGCGGATATGGGTACCAGCGCCGCGAGACTTGTCTCTGCATTGCCGATGCTCGCATCGAAAACCGGTAACAGAGCGCTCAGCGGTGCACCGCGAGCTACGCGCGACGCCTGTGGTATCTGGAACGCTCGAATCGCATAGGCAGTGCCTCGTTGGGAGATCGCCAAGATGGTATCGTGATCGCGGCAGGAGAAGAAGTGAGCGACTTGGTCGTCTTCGCGAATACGCGCCGCAGCCTTGCCCCGAGTACCGCGCCGCTGCGCTTCGAATTCGCGCATCGCCATTCGCTTCACGTAGCCTTGTTTGGTGGCGATGATCACCGATTCCTCATTGGGAACCAGGTCGATATCGGAGAGTTCTGGCTCTTCGGGTGAAATCGCGGATCGACGTGGTCGTCCAAATTGTGACTGGATTTCCTGCAGCTCCCGAGTGATCATGGCCATAACGAGTTCACGTCTCGCGAGTGTATTCTCGAGCTCCGCGATTTGCGCCAGGAGCTCCTGATGCTCCTGATCGAGACGACCCATCTCTAGTTGGGTCAGGCGACGTAGCTGCATTCCCAAAATTGCATCTGCTTGGCGCTCGGAGAGTCCAAAGGCACCATCAGGGTCAACGAGTGCCCTGCGGGCGAAACTCACGTCGCGGGCGTTCCGCACGATGCGAATGACGGCGTCGATATCGCGGAGCGCAAGACGCAGGCCCTGCACGATGTGCTCTCGGTCTCGTGCCTTGTTCAGCTCAAAAGTGCAGCGTCTTTGAATCACCTGCACTCGATATTCGAGGAAGACTTCGAGCGCACGTCGTAGACTCAGTTTTTCAGGGCGTCGCCCTACCAACGCAAGCATGTTACCATTGAAAGCCGCCTGCAGAGCAGTCTTCTTGAACAGCTGATTGAGCACAACGTTCTTATCTGCATCACGCTTCAGTTCAATGACGATGCGCATGCCGTCGCGGTCACTCTCATCCCGCAGATCCGCAATACCGTCCAGTTTCTTCTCGTTCACGAGTGTCGCCATTCGTTCCAAAAGTTGCGCTTTGTTCACCTGATACGGAAGCTCGTGGACAATAATTGCTTCACGCACGGGGCGGTTTTTCGCTCGAACCGTTTCGAACGAGGTACGCGCGCGCAAAATAATAGCTCCCTGGCCGGTTCGATGCAGGTCGCGGGAGCCGCGGAGACCCATGATAATACCACCGGTGGGAAAGTCCGGTGCGGGAATCAGCGCTTCTAGTTCCGCTTCCAGTAGTTTGGGATTCTTGATAAGGGCAATGAGCGCGCTCACGAGCTCGCGCAGGTTATGTGGCGGAATGTTCGTAGCCATCCCGACGGCGATCCCTGAGGCGCCGTTCAAAAGTAGCTGTGGCAGGCGTGCGGGTAGCACCACGGGTTCCTGGTCCGAGGCATCAAAGTTTGGCACCATATCGACCGTGTCTTGGTCAATGTCCGCGAGAAGGACGCGTTTGCTGAGCGAGGTCAGGCGACACTCGGTATAGCGCATGGCAGCTGCCTTGTCGCCATCGACAGAGCCCAGATTCCCTTGGCCATCCACCAGGGGCTCCAGCATCGAGAAGGGCTGAGCCATGCGTACCAGTGCATCGTAGACCGCGCTGTCGCCATGCGGATGATATTTTCCCAACACTTCACCGACCACGCGAGCACACTTGCGATACGGGCCGTCCGGATCCAAGCGCAGTTGATTCATTGCGTAGAGAATGCGGCGATGAACGGGTTTCAGCCCATCACGCGCGTCGGGAAGCGCCCTCGCGTGGATCACGCTCAGAGCATATTCCAAGTACGATCTCGCAAGAACGCTACTCACCTCCGTGTTAATAATGCTTTCATGCGGGGAGGCTTCCAGAGTACCAGCTGAGCCTGCTTCCGAAGGCTCTTCGCCCGCCGCTGGTGCAAGTTGCGCCCGAAGCTGATACGCACTGGCGCCTAGCGAGCGGCTCGCTCGGCGCCGACAGCCACCGCTCCCGACGAATGAGGAAGCGCCTGATCGCGCCGGGATAGAGAACCAGCCTAGGGCTCTCGGCTGTCGCCCAAAAGGAGCGGAGACACGGCCTTGTCTGAGCGTCACACGACAAGTGATGCCGCGTTTGACGCTCAGGTCAGTTGTGGGCAAGGCGCCCAAGTTTCGTTGCTCCGGGCCAGCGAGCACCCCCACAAAGACCAAAGCGCAATACGAGCAACCATGTTTGTAAGAATCAAGTTCCTGCATTGCCAGTAAAACCTGCAAGGAAATATATAGGGCAGCTCCGAGTTATAAACCCCGCAACGAGCGCGCTATGGCTTGAAAGTCCTCGCGCCGCGGTGTCCAGTGAACGGCGCTGGTGCGACACCAACGCTCTCGCAGAGCAGTTATCTCCCAAACATAGTCTTTGAACAAGTAAATCACCTACTGGTGGTCAATGCAGGCGCTGGGTCACAGAATGCACGGACTGGAGCTTTGAACAAATTAGTTGCAGGAGTTGAAGCACTGGTGTTTGCAGCGTTTGGTGCAGACGCAGGCTCAGGGCCGAGTTTTCCGCGCTTCGTTGCGTACTAAGAACAGTAAACGCGTTGTACGCATGTATTCCGAAACTAGAGCACTCCGGACTATTTGGTTTGCACCCTGTGAAGATAACTTGTTGTGAGTGAGCAATATGCCCACGAGTTAGCATATACAATATTTTCGATTCTTCAAGTTTTCACCGGCGAATACCAAGCGCGGTAGCTGCACCGGTTCGCTCCCAGGCCGAATAGACTAGTCCGCGTCTGTTAGTTGTATGGAGCAGAACCTGAAACGAACCGGATTTCTCCCGAATCCACAGAAAATCCTACGTATCAATTCATGAACCCCATGTCGAGTGCTGTCTACTATTGAACTGCGCAACTGAGCTGGCACTGCCGGTATCGTTGGGCGGCTCACGCCACAGCGCCAGCAGACACCAGTCTCGCACAGGACGCTTGTTGCAGGGCAAATATGCAGAAGGCTAGCACCCGTGCTCCGGTGCTGTGTGGGAAGCTCAGTCGCGTCGGCTTATGCGTTGAACTTGCGGAAGATGAAAATGGCACTTTTGACTCAGACATCCGAGCGAAACCTGCAAGGAATGGGATCTCGGAAACCCACGTACCTGTTTCGCTGCACCAACATGTCTATGCAGCAAGCAGCGCTTCAGCGATGCGCTCTGGTGGCGGCAGTCTGTATTTACGTCGACGCAGGATCGAACAACAGAAACCAGAGACTGGATATGACCCCAGGAGAGCCGCGTTCTACGCTCGTTCGGGCATTTCCGTGCAAACGATCAAAGCAGCGTCGTAGACTGCGTTGCATCAGTGTGAACGACCCGCGGCAGTGACGTGAAATGCTCAAGCCGTTTGCATCCTGGTCCCATACAAATGCATGGTGTGCGCGAAACCCCACGTAACATGAACGTGGAACGCTGAACCGCTTGCAACGTTGCTGGCATTCGATATTTTCCGAACTTTTCCGAAGATATGCAACCTGAAGATTCGAATTGCATGAATGAAGGCTGGCGGATCCGTATGTAGTTTCAGGATTGTGGGTCATGTCCAGGGAGTGGCTCCCGCGATTTCTCGGCACTGGAATTCGATACGTCACCGTCATCAAGATGATTTTTCGTGGCGCGCTCGAACAAGGGCTCCTAAAAGAATCGCTATCAGCATCGAGGGCACGCGCAAAAGCCTCTGCTCGTCCATTTCCGTACTCGTAATAGGTTCAAATCACGCATTCTTCAAGGTTTCGATCTTTGTGTTGCAGGGCGCCTGTTGAGTGCAGCGATTCGCACCACTCAATTGACGACGATGAAGAACATTCCACGTGATCCATTGACGATGTTTTCATGCGCTCACGCCGAAACCTCGCTGACCGCCTCTCGGCATATCATCGATTCTGTTCGCTAGATCAACCATCATCTGTTCCGTGTCATCGATGAAATGGCACTGGGCTGCAGCATGATGCTTTTTGCGGGAGTTGCTCCCAGACGTTCAAATCTCTTCTATTCCTTTTACACGGAAATGGGTCTTGGACTAGGAGTTCAGTTACGGTAGCGATCGTTGCCACTGCAGTGTGCGTCATCATGTCGCATAAAGGGAACGGAGACAATTGAAGACTTCTCGGTGCGTTCTCTAATCAGGCGTTCCCCTCCGGTACCCGTATCACCATGGAAAACATCGCGTTCAAGATCTCCTCTGTCGAATGGAATAGCATGTGCTTGCATATGCAGTCGATAGCGTACTCACCGAGGGTATCGCGCAGACGCAGCCCGTGATCGATGTTACGTCAACGGGCGCGAACATGGAGCAGAGCACCCTGATGAGCTGCATGGAACCCCAGGGGGCACGTATCAAACGATGAAGCAAGCCTTCTCGTTCCAAGGGGCGGCTATCGGGGAAGCATTTATAATGGATATACGGAAACACCTGATCATTGCCAAGTGTCGTCCCGGTGAAGCGCGCAGAAAGGCGGTATGTAAAAAATGAGAATAGAAAGCGATGCGCAGATCGCAGCGTTCGCTTTTAGCATAAAATACGTCGACAACTGCCGAGAGAAACAATGTAGAGACTTTCAGGCTGCCATCAGCACACTTCGACTGCTGACAATCAAGCTGAAGGGAAAGGAAAACCAAGCAGTCGCAGAAACGGCCCCTGGAGGCTGGTCAATACTCGTGTTGATGACAGTGAGAGTCATCCAAAACTTGAGCGTTTATGCCAGGGCCCGACGCCCTTTTTCCATTTCATTCTGACATGGGTGCTGATGGAAGCAACCGAACGCATCAGCGTTCACCTCATGCCGGGGATGCCAGTCAAGCCCTATAGACACTGATCAACGGTACCGTTTTGCGGGGCAGCAGCAGCGGCAGCAAGTCCCTGTTTAACATTCGTGTCCAAATGCTTTGCGGACACGTGCCGTGCTGCTGCGAGTCGCGGCACTCGGTAACGGGTCGAAGACCTCGTACCCAGCGAATTGCCCGAAGCCTCCCGAATTCAAGAAGCGAAAAAGATTGCCACCGACTCTCCGAAACAGCAGCGCATCTGGTGCACGGAAGCAGCTCATGTAACAAGCGACAGCGTTCCAGCGCTAGACCCGGGGCCAATGGCAGTCTGGTTGCCTTTTGCAACATGCCTAGGATTTGTATTTGCCATTTCGAGGTACTTTCATCGAGCAAGCATTTTCTCCAGTCTTCGTTGCCACTCCACAACCATATCAAAGGAAAGCGCGCCTCCGAAGATATCCAAAGCGGAACCGATTGTGACATCTACTCGGCCGCAACCAACAAGTCGAACGCGTTCCAGGTCGGCTAGGTCTCGAACGCCACCCGCATACGTTGCCGGTACTGGGGACCCGACAGCCAGCTCATGCACCAATGCTTCGTCGATACCGATTTGCTTGCCTTCAACGTCCACGGCATGTACTAAAAACTCTGCACAGTATTCGCTGAGCCATTCCAGGAGCTGGCCACTTATTCGCAAGTCAGTTCGTCTTGTCCATCGATCCGTGTAAACGTAGTATGCGCTTTCGCTCCCCGAAATATGACTTCGGCAGCTGAGATCAAGAACCAGACGCTCTCTGCCAATACGGTGGGCTAGGCGAAGCAGTCGGGACTCATCCAGCCGACCATCCCGAAACACGTACGAAGTGACGATCACATGGCTGGCACCGGCCTCCAAAAACCGTTCTGCATTCTCCTCCGTAATGCCACCTCCGAGCTGCATTCCCTGCGGATATGCGGCAAGAGCAGCAAGCGCAGCACGTTCCGATGCTTCGCGATCCCCTCCGAGGAGGATGATATGGCCTCCAGGCAGCGCATGCTCGCGGTACAGCGAGGCGTAGTAGGCCGCGGGTTGCGTCGCTTCGAAGTTCACCACTGACGCCCGGCTCCCGTCTGCTGATAGTGATGACCCGACTATCTGTTTAACCTTTCCGTTATGAATGTCAATGCAGGGTCGAAACCGTGTCACGCGTTCAGCAGTCGCACGAGCGGTCGGCGTCCCGGCTGTGAGCCTGGGTCGCGCTCGAACACGGGCAACTGGCGGGTGCCTGGCGCCCTCCGGGGATATTCCGGTGATTCGTCTCGTCAACGGCGGAGCGTGAATCCCCGAACTGGTGCTTGGAAAACAGAAGAGGAGCATGAGAACGGCTCAGCAGGTGTAGGCTCATGCGCAGTGCTCGACGGCTGTCACAGGTACCTCGACGACTGGAGACTCAAGGGTTGTGTATGAAAGTCGTCCGGAGACACGAAAACACGCGTTTCAAAAACTTTTCCCTGAGGTCCACCACGCTCCGCTCTTCACCACTGGGTTTCGGGAATGCGCCTCGCAGCTACGCCAGAGCAGTTCAAGCCTTGTGCACGCCAGACAGGCACAGGCGCGCTGCGTCTTCCACGGCAACACCCGTGTCGGATGAAAGTGGAACACTGGGCTGCTCGCATTGGTGCAGCTTTACGATTTTTTCCGAACTTTTTTAGATGTAAAACCGCGGCTTTCGGAAAGAAGGAATATCGGCTTACGGGTTTATACGTAGTTTTAGGATTTTTGGGTGTCCTTATGGAATGGCTTCTTCGAACTTTGTCCGCTACAGCTCGTTTCGTCACCGGAATCCAGATGGGATTCTAGATCAGAATCTGGATGATTCGCAAAGTCGCCGAACATGAGTTCGAGAATCAGTCGACATCAGTTCCCGATTCATTCGAGCATGCCTCCAGTCTTCTACATTCCTTTCATGTTTCATGTTTAAACCAGATTTTCTTCAACTCTCCGATCTATGCCTTGCAAGGTGTTTCGTGGGCGCAGCAATTCGCACTTCTGGATTGACGACAAGAAAAACTCGCGGCCGTCGCTTGACGACAAGTTCCAGAGCTCATGTCGAAAGCTCACCCAAGTCGTCACGTTTCGTAAACGATTCTGCTCGAAAGACGAGTCCTCCTCTATTTGTGGCCCTCTACAAAACGACATTCGACTCCAGCACGACATCGCTTTTAGGGCTTGCTCCTAGAGGCTCCTATTTCCTCTGTTTGCGTCGAAACCGGATTCGGAGTCAGACTTGAGCCATCGCACCGATTGCTTCTAGTGGAGCGTTTGTCACCGCTGTGCACGAAGAGCGTGAAGACGAATCTTAATTTCTCGACACGTTCTCTGGTCTGGCTTTTCCTTCCGGTGCTCGTTTCATCATGGAAAACATCGCGTTCCACAAATCCTCTACCGAATGGAACAGCGTGTGCGTGTGTGTGCACCCGGCATCCTTCTCACAGAGGGATCCTCCAGAAAACACCTGTTACCATAGATTACGTCACCTGGCACGTAACTGGAGCAGGGCATCGAGGGGAGCCCCCTGTACCTGTCAAGGGATGTATCGAGCCATGAAGCAAGCCTTCTCGCATCAAATGGCGCTGGCCGAACGAACGAATGAGCGTGGTGAGCTTGTAGGAACACTTGACTTGGTCCAAGTGTCACCGATGCGACGGGCACATTGAGACTGTACGCATCGAAGAGGAAAATTGCAACTGACGCGTAGATCGCGACGACTTCCTGTGCACGAAATGCGTTGACAATAGCTGGAAACTGCGAATTCCGGACTTGAACGCTGACATCAACATCCTTCGACTTGTGAGAATGGAGCTGGAGAGACTAGCACATTTAAAGCCGGGTATGAGAGAAAGCTAAAGTACGAGATTACAGAAAAAGCCTACCAATTCTGGTATCGTCGGCAATTGAGCAAGAAAGCGCTCCCAGGAGCCGAAACATCCCTGTTCGGCGCTGTGGACCTTCACACACACACACACAGATATACAGCGGCTTTCTGCATTTTTCTCAGCCCAAAATGAGGTTTTAGACGAGATAACCTACCTCGGGATACGTTTTGGCAAAGTACTGCGTCCACTGCTCCAGGCTGTGACGCTGCTCAGATGTGAGCATCTTGATATCGAGCGGTGGCTTCGTCGGATCCACCATCTCTGCGGAGAGGTCCGCAAACACCAGTGCTCGGCTGGCGTCGCGCCCTGCTAGGATGTGGTACGGCTCGCCTGCTCGATAGTGGTGCGCGGCCTGGGTCACATCGAACACCCGTCGATTCACAGCGACATAAATAGGACGCTCCGACTGAGATCCGTCAAACATTGCCAGTTCCTCTGTGGTGAACGGCCGAACGGATGGCACCCTCTCCAGTGGTGAAGCTGTGCGCTCCCAAGCGCCGGCATCGCGCTTCGCAATCGTACCGTCGGCGCGGGGTGAACCCTTCTGGGCCAGCAATTTGCGAAAATATGTCCAACTGGTCTCGTTCGGTGTCATGTAATTCGACGGTGCGTGCATGTACTCTGGATGGTGTTCCTCGACGTATGCACGGACGTCCTCGGGTAGATCCTGGTACCCGTTCTCGAGCTTCTTCGTGAAGCAATGATACACGAGACGGCCAGGGCGTTCACCCATCTCCATCCAGGGTAGCCACTGACCCATGCGAACCCAACTGCCCTGGCATGGAACGGATACGAGATTCGAATCATGAAGATCATCCACGCGTGCGTAAAGTTGGAAGAGCTCCGCGCTCTCATAAAAGGGGCTCGCTGACTCAGCGGGGAACTCGGATGGCGGCAACGGATTCGGGTAACGGAGGAAAATTTCAATATGCCAGCAGAGGTCTGCCCCGACGCGTGTGAACGGAACCAAGAATGGTTTGCCATCACGCGGATTCTTCTCCAGAAACTGCAGGTTGACCGGGTCGTTCCAAACGTGAACGACTTGATTCTCCATTCCCGTGAACGGGTTGTTCCAAGTTCCGTGTAGAATTCGACGATTGTCCGGATCCCTATACAGTCCTACTTCGCGGGTGAGAATGCGCCAGCCGCCTTCTACTTTCACGCAGCGCGCGATATTGTAACCCTCGAAGCCGAGGATGTGTCGCGCACCCGCGTCAGCGATGTAGGCGTGAATCTCGCCGCCAAACCAAAACACGACTTCTTGATCCGGAACTAGGGACGCTCGAGTTTTGATAAAGGCTCGTAAGTTTTCCTCTGAGCTGTTGCCGATCTTCTCAACATCTATTTGCGGGCGTAGTGCGAGCAAGTCGCGAGCGCTCGTCACCAGAGCTCGTTGCTGCCCCTCGGGACCGTTCACCTGTTGTGCAAGCACCACTCGATGGCGTCTTGACCCCGCTTTTCTGTACACGGCGTCGTCTGCGTGCCGCAACGAACGACTTGGTCCATAATTCGTCCGCCTGAACGAACACGGTATTGTTATGTACATAGTCTGAACCATAATTTCCTAAAACATGCCACAACGCGAGTCACCTTCCCTGAGGGTTCTCTCGACCATCCGTTGTACCGTTTTGCCTGGCGATGATGATGCTGATGGCGCTGGCTGCGGCGCCTATCGAGCGGTTGATGAAAACGATGCGCAGCGCGAGGCAGGCCGCGTACCGCCGCCTCCATCACCGTTCACGGGGGGAATGGATGTGAAAAACGCCGCCCTCGGGCGCGCGAGGCGTGCGCCATGGAACGCACCGGCATCGCGACTGGCGGGTTTACACGTTCACCTGAATTGTGTTCCACATCCAGATGCGTGCCATCCACTGCGTGTTCGCAGTGTACAGCAGATGCGTTCGAAGTGCGTTCATTTGAACAGATAAAAATCCAAGGGAAAGATATGGACGTGCAAGTCGAGGATCCTGAAGGGATTTCAAAGCTACCTGCTTGATAAAACCCTCATCTTGCTGATTATCAAAAGGCGAAGAAGTAGAAAAAGGAGGTAGGTGAGATAACGTGCGTGCTCGACGGGATGATGTCGAGACTGTAGTGGAACATGGGGCACCAGTCTGAAGACTCCTAGCGTTGACGAGTTCATCTAGCATCAATATATGCAAGGAGTTCGTGAACTGCGACCCCATCACCACCATCAATATCAGATGACGTGTGGCGCTGAAGACGTGAGACCCCAGGAGCTGACGCGATCCAGTTTTATGGGGCAGCCTCTGATGCTCGGAATGTGCCTGGATAATAACTGAAGCCAATAGCAGCGGGTGCGCCGGTCAGAAAGGTTCGGGGGCGGGCAGGCGGCGCCTGCACGTCGGTATTCGTTTACCCCATATGATCGCGAAAAGGTTTCGCTCCACTGAGCGTATCTTGAATCTGTGATTCCACAAAATGCAACCACGATTCCATTTCAAGTATTCGCAAAAGCTCATCGCCAATATGCAGCGACACCACCACTGGAGGACGGTGGCGTTTAAGCGCTTGGAGCAGTGTTGCAGATGCATCTTATGCACGCGCTATTGGTACGTTCGTGTGCGTCACCCGAGCCAGGAAACAAAATGCTTTGGTAAAGCGTTCTTGATTCCGTGCAGCGTCCACACAGGCGTTATACGTGGTATGACACACCCTCACGTCAGGCTCGGTACCCGGCGGAGCACGCGAACGAACCGCTGTCTCTGAAGAGAAGTTTGTGGCAATTAGAGAAACCTGTCGATGGAGTGCGGCGTGATGGGTGCTCCCGCGACGGCGAATGCCACCTGCTCTGCCGGAGTTTTTCCAAGATGAAAGATCTTCCGATAGAGAAAATTCCTTCCACGTTGGATATCGCAAATTGCGGGCAATCGAGCAATTGCCCGCACGGAGATAGCGAGGCTGTCCCGTCTCGTAGCTAGGTGCGCGGTATGCTCGGCACGCAGGGCACGGGGTTTACCACACCGAACCTGTACTTGCAACGAGAAGACCGGTCTGGGGCTTGTGGAACGTAGAAGCAACTGGAAGAGGACCGCGGTCTCTTTCCTGGTAAACGGCGACATTCGTGCATCCGGATGTTCTGGTTTGAATCGTCGATCCCTTATCATCCAAAATACCGCCACTCGTTGTGCTCGTTGCAGTGCACGCGAACGTGCACACCATGGCTCGTGCTTCGCTACCAACCGCTGCGATGACTCGAGCGACGCATCGTGTGCTTCGACCCGAACGCCGAACGCGATGCAGCCTCGCAATCACCAATAGTTGATGCACACATTGTTCTCGGCATGCGGCTCCGAGTACAGGATGGCGTCGTTTGCGCAGGAATGGTAGTCAAAATCCAAATGGAAACCTGTTTGCGGCACGAGTGCCAGCGAAACGCGAACGCGTACCGCGAGGATTATACAAGAGCATCACCCTTCGAGCGCGTCTCTTCTCCCCAGTGGTATCGGTGCTCTTACTAGGTAGCCTGCGTCACGCGTCATGCAAATCGCATATCTTCTCGAGATCACAGAAGCCGCCCTAATCGACTTTGGCGCTGGGCATTATCAAGAAGTGGCTTGGTACACCAGTCCGGCGGATCGCTTGAAGGTGACCATGTGAAGCTCACGGTTTCGATCAAGCACGTACAGTGTAGTGTCCACAAAAAATATCGCACATACCGGAGCTTGAATCCTATCGTACAGACGTTGCAATTCAGAGCGACTGCCCCGTTGATTGTGTGCTGCAGCGTCGTGCGATAAATAGCGGGTAACTCGTCCAGACCAGCGATCAACGGCCAGGATGAGCAAACCTCCATCACGCGGCAAGAGCATGCCTATGCCAACCACAAGAATGCCCAATGCAGGGCTAAATGCGTGGTAGCGTATTCCAAAGAGCGAGACCTGACGCACTCGGACATCGCGCGCAAGGTCCAGTGCCGCGATGCGCTCCGGATGTACTGCATTAGGGTGCCGGCGTATCCGCCACACGGACACAACGCTGCCGGTGCCAATAAGCCAGACGCTTGTTTCCTGATACGCCCGAATGTGCCCATCGAATGGCTTTTCTGTTAGAAACCCCTGGTGAACATCATCGACGGCAGCGGCGATATGGGCCTGCTCAAACGCATCCAAACAGGTGTCGATGGCGACGAGCTCGCTGGGTGCCGCCTCCGACGCCGACGCCGGCACCGACGCTGCAACCCTTGTATTCGCAGCCGCCTCGGGAGAGAGGAGCACGATTGCACCGGCATGCCAAAAGTACCACGGTATGGGTTCAATGAACCAGCCACCATCCCGCTGCATCCCGCCGGTGCCCAGCGAAACTCGAAATCGAACGCTTCCACGGGACTCGTGCGGTGGATCCCGCTCCACACCAGGCACAACACTAGTCCAGTGCGCCGTGCAGTCCAGAGACACCGAAGCGACCATACGAACATGCGCATCATCCACTGCAAAGCATTTCGCTCCGAATGAAACACAGGGAATGTTGTGTGCATGCTGTGCAAGCACCCTGCAGCGAATACGAATCTGTGAGGCGACGTACGGCAGGCACGATGCGTCGTTTGGCGCCATCGTTGCCGGCATCACCCGCTCAGCCTCATACGCACATGTCTGCGTTCCTTCGGCACCTGCGAGACTAAACTCTAGCAAATTCACCGTGTGTGCATTGCTGCCGTACACCAAGAGCGGAGCTTCAGCGCAAACTGAGGCCGACCAAGTCGAAGCCGCCGTCCGAATCTTCACTGGAAAACAATCCCCGGATGATTGCTCGCTGGCATAAGGCCGAAAGATCACGATAGAGCCAGCGTCTTCCAAAAAATCTCCACAGCAGGCCACGACGACGAAACCGAGGCACGGCATCACGCCACAGGTCAAGTAATTGATGGCCTCGACGAGGCCAGCAACCGGACCCTGCTCGGTCTCTTCCGTGCTCCTGCCTGGACCCGACGCTGATACGGGAAAATAATCCACCGGACAGCGCAGGATGCGCCGCTCTCGCATGAAATCTCCATCGCGCTCAAACTCTAGGATACACGGAGCGATTTCACCGTTGAGAAAACGGTGACCCGCATCCACCCCATAAAATCGTCTTCCATCCGGACTGGGGCCGGTAAAGCAGCTCAGTCGAAAAGCATCCGGAAGACTATGAATCGCGTCCAGTCTTTGGGTATGCAGTCGCACCTGGATGCCACGCGACGCCATGATTGCTCCATGCCACCTACGAACAGCGATAGGTTGGTGTCCGTCCGAGGCGCCGTAGACAGACGCTCGACGCATAGACCGTACAGAGCATCAAAAGCGGCGTCTGTCTTTCAAAGTACGAGCAGAACCGTACAGACTCGAGTCCGTTCGGCCTTACGGGCTGACGCAGGCCTATCGCACACCAGCGACGCACTCGGCAGCAGCTGCGCGGAGAGTCTGGTGCCGCCAGCGGTGCGTACAAGCTGGCTTTTGCACCAGTCCGGAACGCTGAAGCCTCTATGCAGGTATTCTATGGTTGATTTTCGAATTGCTCAGTAGTCTTCGTGCCGCTCTGGCTCGCAAATCGTCCAACCTTTGCATTTTGAAGCAGAAACGAAGCGAGCCGATGAACGCCGAGGCCGCGTTTCCGGAAAGCCGCTACCGCCGCCGCCGCACCTGTTTGCCGTCCCTGTTGAACGCGCCAGCAATGCTGTTCTGCGACGGAGAACCGTACTGAACGAACGATTGCGGTACCAGGCACACGTCCAGACTGAGACTCGTTTTCGTTGGTGCCGCTGTCGACACGAACGGTGTCGTGCGAGCCCCACGAAAGTCCTCAGGGCAGTGGCTGAGGCAGTGTGGCGGCGGCGGCGGCGGCCGTCCGCCCTCGGCGTTCATTTCCACGGAACACGTCTGGTGCCTGAGACTGCACCGTCGCGAGGCAGTTCACAGAGACGTTGTGGTCGTGAACATAAAGTTCTTCTCTGTGGAACGCTCTCGACGCGATAACTGGGGCCAGTTCGCGTGTCTGGTGCACCTGAACGCAATCCCTCCAGGAGTAACAGCGTCGCACGCTGCACCACCGTGGTGTGGCGTTGGGGTCCACGACGCCCGAGTACCCGCTGACGGAGGTAGTGACCCGAGATGGCGGCTGCTTTTGCTGAACTCGGGCTCATGCCCGAGCTCATTCAAGCTATCGACGATATGGGTTGGGTTTTCCCGACACCTGTTCAATCGGAGGCGATTCCGCTGATCCTCGGCGGTGGTGATGTTTGCGTCGCCGCTCCGACCGGCTCCGGAAAGACGGGCGCTTTCTGTTTGCCAACGCTCCAGATCGTTCACGAGACACTAAACTATACTTCAGCTGCCGATCAATCGCGATCGGGAGCCTCCTCGAACCCTGACAGATGGAAGATGAGCGCGCTTGATCGCGCACCGCACCTGATCCTGGACGCGAGCGGCTTGCTGTGCGCTTCCACAGAGCTCCACCAATGGAGTGGCGGTCGGGCGGCCTTTGGCATGCTACCATCGGCACGGGGCAAATGGTACTATGAAGTGCAGGTCCTTGGTGATGGACTTTGTCGGGTCGGTTGGAGCGCTGCTTGTTCGACGCTTGCGCTCGGCGAGGACGACTTGTCGTACGGATTCGGGGGCACTGCCAAGAAGTCTCATTGCGGAAAATTCGAGTCCTACGGGGGGGCATTCGGAAAGAACGATGTTGTCGGTGTGGCACTCGACTGGGAAAACGGTGAGATTTGGTTCTCAAAAAATGGTGAGCCGCTCGGTCGTGCGTTCAGCATTAACCGCAAAACTCTGGGCGATCGTGCACTATACCCGCATGTTTACTTGAAGAACAGTCAAGTGCGCGTCATCTTCAGCGACACGAGCTATTTGCCTGGAGCTGGCTTCCGAGAAGTCGGCTCCGCAGGTCCACAAGAACGAACGACGCCTGAACGAGAAGGCGCTGTTGACTTGCAAGGCACGCACCGACCCTCGAATGCACCGTTGATGCTGATCCTGGAGCCAACGCGAGAGCTGGCACTCCAAGTGCATCAGGAGCTGCACCGCTTTAGCCGCTTCCTCGACGAGGACCAGACGTCGTCATCAGAGAAAGTACAGTGCGTCTTGTTCACAGGCGGCTCCGCGAGCCAAAACGAGGCACTCGGCGCTCCCCAGTCGCGAATCGATATTGCAACCTGTACACCGGGGCGCCTGTTTGATGCGATACGTACCAAACAACTAGATGTACGGGCAGTGCGCTTTCTTGCCCTTGATGAGGTAGACGGGTTGTTGACAATGGGATGCGGTTCCCAGATTATGCAGTTGCTGGGCATGATTCCTCGTCAGGGTCGGCGGCATCGGCTCCAGATCATCATGTTTTCGGCGACCGTGAACGCACCACGGGTCCGTCAGCTCAGTGATCGAATCCAGGAGCACGCCACCTGGGTCGATGTACGCGGCCCAGAGACCGTTCCATCCACGGTGGATCACCTGGTGGTGCGTATCGACCCGGGGACTGCCCTCCAGCTGGTACAGGAGGAGGAGGGGATAGCACCAGCACCAGCAGCATCGCTTCCAGCCACGGATGCGGTTCATGTTGGTGTGGACTATCGCGATGCGGAAACGGCCTCATTATCGCAGAGGATCAAACTTGCGAAACCTATTCTATGCCTGCGACTTTTAGAGGTCTTCCAGATGGACCAGGTGATGATCTTCTGTCGCACGCAACTCGACTGTGACTTGCTGCAGCAGTTCCTGGAGCAGCACGCAGCGATCCGAGGAGCGACTGCAACGCTGCATGCTGGACTCGCTGACCAGCAACGGCGGCAGCATTTCACTGCATTCAAAGAAGGCCAAGTGCGCATCCTGATCTGCACGGACGTTGCCGCCCGAGGTATTGATATCAGCGGTTTACCGTTCCTCATTAGTATGACGCTACCCGATGAGGTTGAAAACTACCTGCATCGCATTGGACGCGTCGGTCGCGCGGATCGTCTAGGTCTCGCGATATCGCTCGTGAGTACTGTCCCTGAACGCGTCTGGTTTCACAGCTCGTGCCGCAAACGCGCCAAGGGCAAATGCCAGAACCGAGCCTTGACCACTGAGGGCGGCTGCACGATCTGGTACGATGAGTCGGAAATCCTCCGACGCCTCGAGGCCCAACTCGGGGAAGCGAACATGCCCGAAATCCTGGACGTGAACCAGGTATTGCAGGCGAAGGATCCGGCAGCGTTACAGGCGTATGTACGCGGCCTTGCCCAGTACGGTAGGAAGCGCGGAGAAATCGGAGCCGCCTGTGTCAACGCTGTAGATCCAGAGCTAGAACAACGGCTTCACCATACGCAACAAGTGGCCAGACGAGTGCAGGAACTAGAGAAAAACGTTCAGTGGCGTTTCCTCCGACGGCTGCAGAACGCTCGCTAGGGAGTCAGCGGTGGCGCTGCGCAAACGGCAACAGCGACCGGCACCAAGCGCACCTGCATTAGACCATACGAGTTGACGTCTCGTCCAAAACTCGTGATGCTCATGGTTCGCGTCGCTCACAAACGCTAGTCCGAGAAACTATGCTGAACGATGCCCCATGGGCTGTCCTCTTTCCGAATCCGTGAAAACGACGTCGTGTGTTGCGAACGCCCAGCGCGCCACTGTAGACGCGCACCAGACGACACTGAAGGCGGCACCACTCGACCAAGCCGCTGCAGCAGCATATCCGAGGATCGAGCACCAGCAAAGGCGCCCGACCTGTGTGAATGTGTACTAGGGACGGTGCATGTGGTAAAGCGCTCTGCTGTACAACTGGTGACAGCGAAAGCATGGAGCTTTTCACGCTCGGGTATGGAACGCGGCCTTTTGTCGCCTGCAGCGTGTCTGCACGCAGCGACACTCGTTTACACGTGAAGAAGCACGCCCACCGATGAAAACCAACCATCCCGTGGTCTGCGAGAGCCCGAGAAATCAGTTCCCTCGCAACTCACCGCACTGGACTGCACTGAACGTTTTGTACAATGCTGCAGTGCTGGCGCTTGAAGCCAGCTAGCACCAAAATCCACGTCCGTACCAAACCATCTACCGTGATTGCCTCTGGACAAGGCGTAGTCCGGTGAATCTGGGCAGAAAGAGAAAGCCCCTGCGGTGACGGGCCTCGTTGTCTGCAGCTAGCTCCGTGACATTCGGTTGATGCAACCGATCCAACGCACCAGCGCTTGTCGCCGCGTCTCCCGCCAGAGCCGGTGCTATCCGCTGATCAGGCCTGGAGGTAGCAGGGTCTGCAGCAGGCTCCTGCACGCTCGACCGCTCCGGTGCCTGGCGTGCGGTTTTCAGGCTCGACAGGTACGCATCGGTCGTGAAATGCGGGTTCGATGGTATCAGAAACGGATCTGAACGTGAGCTTTTCTGAAAGCGTTGCAGGAACGAGGTACGCCGCAGCCTCGATAACGCCAGTGCATTCCGCCGCACACTGCGTCGATATTTCAGTGCAGTTTCGCGAGCGCGGAGAATTTCGTCCAGTTTCTCGTCGCTGAACACTCTTGCTGCGAAGCGAGCGCCATCACCAGCCGGGCGTTGATACGGTGCTACCAGCATCTCGTATGCAAGCCCAAACCCGTAACGCGTAGCCTCGAAAATCACCTCAGGTCTGGTTTCCAGCTGGCTTATTTCGGGATCTCCACGCGGTGGAGCGATCGCCAGAATCGAGGCCTGCTCCGGCAGCGCCGAGCACCAGCGTTCTTTCAAGATGCTCCGAACATGGACGTGGCGAGCGCTTTTCCTGTCTTCTAAGATGCGAATATCTTCCAAATACTGTTTGAAATGGCCTCCCCGAACGATATAGTCACGGACGTGCGGAAATGCCTCCAATTCGGGTGCAGCTATCATACGTTCGTAGAAGCCGGCGATCCGCGGAACACGCGTACCCACCGGGCGCGTTCGCAATACCAATAAATGCGTACATCCATCCGCAAGAGCGCTTCGAAAGGGGATTGCTTCGAAAAGAATCCCGTCCGCGTAGATATCGTCACCAATGGGAACGAGCGGCCCCGCGATGCCTGGAACCCGCGCGCTCGCCCTGAGGCACTCGCGCAGCTCCGCGTAGGTACGGAACCCGTCGAACGCTACACTACGTGCGTGCGTGAGGCTGCTCGCCACCGGTCGGAGCGGCTGCACCGCATTGTTTTGGGCGAACTTGTTCCAGTCTAATGGTTTGATATGAACCATTACTTCATCGAGAAGAAAGTCGAGATCGAGCACCGGTCGCGTCCGGCTTGACGAACGTAACGGTTGCCAGAGCGCTCGCTTATTGATGAAACGATCGTTCGCAATATCCTCAAAGTAGACAGACGGTCCATAACCTGGTAGCTGCCGCGCAACGACGTAGGCACCGCAGATAGCCCCGGCGGATGAGCCGAAGATCACATCAAAAGCGTCCGCGAACCCGAGGTATCCCAACGCAGCACACATCCCAGCGGCAATACTCCCGCGCATACCACCACCTTCGATGACAAGTCCAATGCGGTAGGGATCGTGGCGTTGTCCGGGTCGCGAGCCGTGTGCTCGTCGTTGGTGCAGGGCCATTAACACCGGATCATCTGCGTAGCTTTGCCAAGGATGATGCGGTTTGTTGGGGGCTTTTTCCCGCTGCAGCAAGAGACGCGGAATGAGACTCAGACTGGCGATGCGTGCTCGTCGCAAGAGCGCTGTACGCAGGGGCGCTCCTGGTGCTGCTGGTGCTGCATCACTTGATGTGGCTGTCTTGTTAGCGCGAGTCGCCGTCTTTGGTGGTGCCGGGTTCGGCTGCTCCAAAGCCGCTTCCGGTTTCAGCGCGAAAACGAGAGCGCCTCGAGCAAGAAACTGCCGCTGGATAGAGAACCTCGTAAGCAGCCTGGACTGTTCACGTGCTCGGTTGCAGGCGTTGCTCTTGGGCCAGCAGCTGTGCCTCGTCTTTCCAAAAGCAAGGCTAGTACCCTGGAACTGAAAGCTCATTCGTGACAGCGGCCGTTGCGTGGCTCCAGTAGACGCTTCCGGTTCGTCCAAAGTGACTCGTGCTGCAAGGATATGAGCGCTCATTCGTGGCGGCAGTGATAGCGTGCTTGCCGAAGATGCATGTTTCTTGTACAAAACGGCTCGTGCTTCTAGGTGGCGCTCGAGCGACTGCCTGCTGCCGTCAACTGCACGCTCTCTCGCCATGCGCAGTCCATCTACGACCAGTGTCAAACTTGAGCCTGTATGCTTGTTGCTGGATGCTCGCGCTGCTATCCGCACAACGAGCACCCTCCTGCGGATTGATATGTCTTTGTTCTACAAAGGTTTTCCGGACACTGCCTCACGCTGGACCCGTTTCTGTCGAGAGCCGTGCCTGCTGCTGCCAGCGCACTTGGCTTCGGATCTGGACGTGTTGGCGCAACCGCATCCGGCACCTGCTCTCCGTTGGCAGGAAACGGCGGGCTCGAATGCTCGCCTCCATCGCTGTGGTTGTGGAATCGACACGTCTCACGGGATATGCGGATGCGCGAATGCTACCGATATTTAGCCAAAAGAAGTAGATCCTTGGCAGTTGCTCCTGTACCCAACGAGGCCCAGCATGGTCGTCACGTCGCGCTCGGCGGTTCGATCCGGCGACAAGCCTGGAGCAACGCTTGGCGTGGGCGCTTGTCGCGCCGCTACATCTATGACTGATGAAAAGCGAACACTCAAGTGCGTATTCTGTTCCCGTCTTTGAGGTTTGTACGAAGTTGCTTTTTAGGTGTACAGCCTCGGCGTTCAAAGTGCAGCAACAAAGGGTCACGGATGTATGTATCGTTTTCGAGGATGCTTGGTTGTGGTTTCGGAGCGGCGCGTTAGGCGCCTTGCACGCGGAATTCGCGACGTCATCGTAATCAAGACGATTCACAAAGCCCTGGAACAGCGCTTCGTAAAATAACCGGTCTTGTTATCTAGTTCATACGTACGAGACCGGGCTCTTCGCCCTTGCTTCCGTGTAACACGCCCAATTCACGCATGCTTCGAGTTTTTGGTCTATCGGTTTCGATGCCATATGTTGATGCAGCAACTCGTGCCGCTGCGCGGACGACGAAAAGCACCCGGCAACATGTCTCGACGACCTCTGCACAAGCGCAAGCCGGACACACACTGAACGTGTCACGCCAAACAATCCGTGCTGTTCGAAAGCCAAATCCTCTGATCTGAGTGGCGATCAACGGAACGGCATGCCACAGCGGTAGAATGATACCTGGCACGGAACGCGACTGCAGAAGCACCCGTCGCCTATGTTTGCGTAGGAGCGGGTGCTGGACCCGGACTGGACTGATCACAGCGATCGACTCGGGTGGAGCGTCGACGGATCGACGTCTCTCGAATTGGTTACAAGCCTGGATTCTGCAGTCTGTAGGTGTGTCAGCATGGACGCCCTCGTACTCCACAACCTGTTTATCGAATGGAAGAGCGTGCGCTTGCGTGTGCAGGTTACGGAGCACTCGCCGAGGCGATCGCCCGGACGTGGCAAGTGGTGTTACGGTACGGCACCAGGCGCGTAAACGGGGGATAGCACCGAGGGCAGCTTTCTGTACCAGCCACGAGCACGTACCGATCGACGAGGCAAGCGTTCACGCACCGCACAGAGCAGCCCTCGGAGGACAAGGGCGACAAGCGCGAGAAGAAGGAGGAAGATTCTTGGATGTTCGGTAACGTCCGACCGCAATCGCGTGTCACCGTTGCAAAGCGCGCACCGAGCTAGCGTACAACGAAGCTGAACACGGCAAGAGAAGCGTCGATCGCCAACTCCGTCTGGGTGTCAAATGCGTCGACAGCAGCCGGAACCCGCGAAACCGGAACCAGAACGCTACCACCAACATCCTTCGAGTGCTCACAAGGGAGCCATTTTGGAATGAAAGACCTGCGCACCTGACTCTGGAGACAGACGAGCGGTACCGGAAGCAGTCCCCGACAGCCATTGCCGCAGACTGTATCGATGCCATCGGGACGAGACCCAGTCCTGAGCGGATCCGCTTCTGGAAGTGAATCTGTCCAATTGTGCTCTAAATTGGATGTAGGGCATTGCCGCAACACGCAACGAATACGCCAGACCCAAGACTAGAACGGAATCGGCCCAGCTCGTCGATTCCCATACGCGCAACTGCTTATCGAATGCATATTCTTTACAAGTGTCTCGGCAGACTGCCGCATACACACAGACTTGCATGCACTAAGTAGAGCTACGGCTCGCATGCATCTCCTCCGCACAATTCTTTAAATCTACTGGGTAACCGTTCTCTATCGTAAAAATCAAGCACCCATAGATTCATACGAGCCGCATCCCTACCTTTTGCGGGTAATGGCGCACTGCACTGCACTCAACTGCACTGCCCGCTCGCGACTCGTAACCGCCAAAGCATGTTGTGATGCTCCAGGTGCCGAATGCCGTCCAGGTTCATGCAACGGTGCCCGCGTCCAATATCTTGGATGACATCGCCCACAGAGGCCTAGTCCGGCGCACTGAGCTTCTTGCGATCTTGCGGTCTTGCTACGAGAAAGACCTTGCGTTGCGCCACATTGAAGCCGACGATAGCGCCGCAGCGTTTGCAGCGCCGCTCGTCACGCTTTCTATCCGAAGCGCTCGAGAAAAGACAGGTCACATCGTTTCCGCAATTAGGACAGGGTCCCCGGACTACCTCCGGAGAGCCCAAATCCAAATAGCTCAGCATTCGTGGCGTCAGGTAGTTGCTGAACCACGCAGTTACGACAGCGATGACCACGAAGAGCACAGACGCTCGAACGGCGACCTGATCATCGAACGTTAGCTGAATATGGCCGAGACAGATGAGATCAAGGAGCGCAAAACCCAGGATACTCGATAGGCAAAGCAGCACGGCGGGCGCGTAAAGAAGCAGCAGCTTGAACCGATCCTCCACTGCGTCTCCGAAAAGCAGATACATAAGTCGTTTGTCCATCGACGAATCAGACTTGAGGATGCTTTGCATGTCGAGGGTGCTGGTTCGACTCGCTCCCAGCTTGGCCTTGAGTCCGTCGAGCTCTTCGGGACTTAGACGCAGCTCGTTCAGGAGCCGTCTGTCCATGTCGCGTTGCTGCGCAGCTTGAATCCAAACCTTCTCCAAGTCATTTAACCGAAGAGAACTAGAACCTAAATGTTCCAACTCGTCACGGAGAGTCTTGAATTCGCCGTCGGTGAGAACCGGGTTGCCTTCATAGTATGAGCGCAGCGCTTCAATAAACAGGTTCTCTAGGGCGCCTCTGTACTCACCGTCGTTATTGCCGTCGATGCGCCGAATCCATAAATGGTCGTCGTTTTCGAACGGTTCTCGTGATATGCTCATATGGTACCGTCGTGGACGCGAGAGCAGTCGCACGCTGGCACCACGGCAAACGGGAAACCGCGCAATACCAACGGAACACGCAAACGGGGCCGCGCACCGTCGAAAAGGCACACCTATGGTGCTTGTCAGCCAACACAGCGGTGCGTTGGAGCGGGACCCGGGCCTCCGCATGGCAGCGAGAACAACAACTGAAACGTTTCTGGCCTAAGTACAGCAAAACGCGGTGCACGTTGCCCAGCTTTGCGGAGAAGATCTCCTCTTGCAAATGAATGAAAGGTGGTCGACGACCTGCCTACGGTGGCTGGCTGAGACTCCCGCGCACAGATTATACCCAATTTAGAGCACAATTGGACAGATTCACTTCCAGAAGCGGATCCGCTCAGGACTGGGTCTCGTCCCGATGGCATCGATACAGTCTGCGGCAATGGCTGTCGGGGACTGCTTCCGGTACCGCTCGTCTGTCTCCAGAGTCAGGTGCGCTGGTCTTTCATTCCAAAATGGCTCCCTTGTGAGCACTCGAAGGATGTTGGTGGTAGCGTTCTGGTTCCCATTTCGCGGGTTCCGGCTGCTGTCGACGCATTTGACACCCAGACGGAGTTGGCGATCGACGCTTCTCTTGCCGTGTTCAGCTTCGTTGTACGCTAGCTCGGTGCGCGCTTTGCAACGGTGACACGCGATTGCGGTCGGACGTTACCGAGTATCCAAGAATCTTCCTCCTTCTTCTCGCGCTTGTCGCCCTTGTCCTCCGAGGGCTGCTCTGTGCGGTGCGTGAACGCTTGCCTCGTCGATCGGTACGTGCTCGTGGCTGGTACAGAAAGCTGCCCTCGATGCTATCCCCCGTTTACGCGCCTGGTGCCGTACCGTAACACCACTTGCCACGTCCGGGCGATCGCCTCGGCGAGTGCTCCGTAACCTGCACACGCAAGCGCACGCTCTTCCATTCGATAAACAGGTTGTGGAGTACGAGGGCGTCCATGCTGACACAACTACAGACAGCAGAATCCAGGCTTGTAACCAATTCGAGAGACGTCGATCCGTCGACGCTCCACCCGAGTCGATCGCTGTGATCAGTCCAGTCCGGGTCCAGCACCCGCTCCTACGCAAACATAGGCGACGGGTGCTTCTGCAGTCGCGTTCCGTGCCAGGTATCATTCTACCGCTGTAGCATGCCGTTCCGTTGATCGCCACTCAGATCAGAGGATTTGGCTTTCGAACAGCACGGATTGTTTGGCGTGACACGTTCAGTGTGTGTCCGGCTTGCGCTTGTGCAGAGGTCGTCGAGACATGTTGCCGGGTGCTTTTCGTCGTCCGCGCAGCGGCACGAGTTGCTGCATCAACATATGGCATCGAAACCGATAGACCAAAAACTCGAAGCATGCGTGAATTGGGCGTGTTACACGGAAGCAAGGGCGAAGAGCCCGGTCTCGTACGTATGAACTAGATAACAAGACCGGTTATTTTACGAAGCGCTGTTCCAGGGCTTTGTGAATCGTCTTGATTACGATGACGTCGCGAATTCCGCGTGCAAGGCGCCTAACGCGCCGCTCCGAAACCACAACCAAGCATCCTCGAACACGATACATACATCCGTGACCCTTTGTTGCTGCACTTTGAACGCCGAGGCTGTACACCTAAAAAGCAGCTTCGTACAAACCTCAAAGACGGGAACAGAATACGCACTTGAGTGTTCGCTTTTCATCGAACATTCATCTGCGCTCGCTTCGACTCTGGAACGCAGGACAGTCGCGTCAATGAAACAGTACTGTTCGTGGATTTGTTCAGGATGCGTTCCAAGACATCGAGCGGAGCACTGCAGGAGTTTGACGCGAATCGGCCGGTAGGCTTGGCACCTGCAAGGTCGCAGGATAGATCTCGCGTTGGTTCTTAACCAAAATACTGCACTGGGGTCCCGAGTGCGCGGGAGCTTACCTTTGCGGACGACTGTCCCCAACCTGGTCATTGATCGCATTTGCGTGTCTACGCGGGCGTCTGTTCACATTCATGAGACTCACACCTTCAAATAAAGCAAATCGGAGGCCGAGTAGCCTATACGGTAGCGGCAGGCAGGCCAAATGCTGATTTGGTGAAGCTCAGCCTCAGAGTGCCCGCGCGACTGAGGCCTGTATTCGCGATCGAGCATGCGACTCCGACATCCTGGCTAGCAAATGAGTGTCGGATAATCATGGAGGTCGGTCAAGCGAACACATTGCATTGGGCATCATCGGGGCTTATCAGATCATCATCGGGTCGCTGACGAGGGGCCCAGTTCGCCCAGCGCTAGGGGAGCGATGGCAGCACACCCCAAGAGTCGTCCGCCAACGCGCCGACTCCTGGGCTACGCTCCTCACGAACCGCTCGCAGTGCTGTGGGCTCTATTGATTCTGTGCACTTTCGTCGCTCGCGAAAGAATCGCCGAAGTAATGATGCGGATTCGTTCGCCAACACCCCGGGAATGATCTCCGAGAAACGATGGAACGGATGCGGTGGTGCTACCGTCAATAGTGGAACATACGATTCAATAGCACCTAACCGCAGACCTGGTGCTCCATAGACCAGTCGCGTTACTCGCGCCAATTGCATGGCGCTGAGACACATAGCGCACGGCTCTAGAGTACAGTAGAGCGTCACATGATACGGAACGGGATGATCTCGACTGCCAGCGCGGTTCAGTCGCCATGATCGGAGCCGTGCCGATGCCGCCCGTAAACATTCGATCTCAGCGTGTGCTGTGGCATCACAGCACTCCTCAATACGATTCCGACCGCGTGCCAGAATCACGTCCGGTGCGTCAGTTTCTGGTCCATTTCGCACAACCAAAAGAGCACCAACTGGCACCTCATTGTTCGTGTATGCCTCCTCGGCGAGCGCAAGAGCCATACGCATGTAGTGCTCGTGCGGTTCAGCTGCAACATTTCTACGAACGGACCCTGCACTCGGCGCGGGTATGCGATACTCGAGGCTGGTGGGCGTGCTCCGAGCAAGAGCCGCACGCTTGCAGGTAAGCCGGCAGTGCGCAGCCTCCACGCGTTCTCCGACTGCGTGCAGATGACCCTCTGTCTCTCGCGGCAAGTTGAGACCATCTTTTCGCTCGTTAAATTGAGGATCAGAAATGCATAAGCTAGCGCTGGGGCGGCGATTGATCGACGCCCTCTTTGGAGTCTGCCTTGTGCTGCTGCTGCTGCTCGTGCGCCGTCTACAAGCAAAGCTCAGCGTGCTCACGATAGAGAACGAGCACCTGTGCACTTTCGGTAACATGACACACCTTTTAGAAATCTTAGAACAATTATCGTCACTTTTCCGCGCCTAGCACACTAGCGGCTACACGGGACGTTCGCATAGACGATCGTCTTGAACGGCCACGGTCGGTCAGCGGTAAGCGCTCAGGTTGCCGCATGCGATCGTAGGCGGGCTAGGCGAGGCGCCACGGTAGCTGCCTCACGAGTCTGGGTGCGGCGTACGCTTCTTGCGTTTGTGAACCGTGAATCAACGAGACTGGTGGTGGAGCTCCATGAGCATGAGTACATCATGCGGATACGATGATGTAGACTTTAAGAGCGCGCTCCACTGGTTGGCAGGAGAGCCCCGTAAAAGAAGTACCGGGAGAGAATGGGCGGGTACGTTTATCAGCTCCGAGCGGTATCCAGGGAAAGGTCATCGAAGCGCGGTAACGATGGAGTAACGCGACTGTCTCGATTACGGGTGTCGCTACCTGTCCTTGAGAGTCTCCGTGAATCCGTAATGTTTGTACAATAGCGTGGTAGGTCCGCAGTCCATGGAAAGCTCCTGTTCATCGCGAGTAGTATCTCTTTGTTTTGCAGATGCACAGACAATCGGTTGGATGCTTCGGCTTTAGTTGCGGGAGATCTGCACCCAGGAGAGTCATTTGCGCCAGCCATGCTCCATTCGCCCACGTTCTCGTGCGGTGCGAGTGTGGTACAACCGTTGCATGAGAGCTCGCAGCGTGCCCGCAGCGGGTGCGCATTGCGAGACCTTGATCCCGCTTCCCGTCTTGGTCTTGTGAAGCGGTTCCTGTAACAGAACGTGTCATGCTTTTGCTTTTCGTAAAAGGTGATCAACAGATCGCCATCTCCCATTGACCGCAAACACGTTCCAAGCATTCCGGTTTTTGGCGCAGCATGCACATACCCCTTTCTTTCCGTATTGCTTTGCCATCTGCGTACCGCAGTACGACTGGCCTAAAGTACGAATGCAGTCCTGCTTACACTGTTCAGAAAAGAATACATATCCGACATCCAATTCGTCTTCGATCTATGCGGTGTATCGCAGAGCGATGTCGATCCCTGCTATGCCTCGCGAACTAGCATTCGATTCTACACCGCGAAATTGGAATGAAATTGAGTTGAAATTCTAAGGATGTTCACCGTGGCGGCCGCGCGGCGCCCAAAAATCTCCGGGCACAACGTCGCGTGGAGCGTCCGCCGCCGATAGCGCCACCGCCGCTGCCACGTGTGCGGATTCGCTGCTTCTAGGGTGCACGCCTCTGCAACGGAACCTGTTCCACTGGATGCAGTCGCGGCAGCTGCAACTGCTACGTGGACGCGTTTAGGAGCGTTCTATGTGTTTCATGGTTGATTCCGTCATGATCGCCCACTGAGCATATTGGGACGAGAACGTTTGCCCCTCTCTCGTATTCTCAGTTCTGCTGGGCACAGGCAGTACTGCTTGAGCGTGTGCGGGACAGGCCCGAGCTGGGCGCTTCGAGGCGTTGAGGAGGAGCTCGGTGCCAGCGAGCGCTTCACGAGGGCGTCTTGAAAAGTTTTCCTGGTCTGGTGCGAGAATCTTCATTTATGGTGGCGGTAGGCAAGTTTCTCGTGAGGAAAATCCGTAGTTTTTTTGGCGCGGTTGACCGCGCGCTCTTCTTCATTACGTGTTGGATCTCCGTGAACCCGGTACGCGAAACGAGCCTCTCTGAACAAGACGAGCTTGTCGATGGAGGAAACCTATTCCTGACTCGGCTGGAGAGCGGCCTAGAACCGAAGCTACGTCATTCTTCCGTACAGAAGATACGTGGTGATGAGGCGCTAGCTGGAGGCATCGCACCTGGGCACGATGTGTCAACCAAAGGGACATGCTCGGGGCCACATGACCTGCCCCAAAAGCCAAGTGATGCCGCGCGTTTTCCAACGTTTCGTGCTGCGCAGAAAGCGACGAAGGATGGACGGGGGCCGTCTCTCGACAAGCACCCGGTTGTGGACGGACGTTCCTCGCCAGCTGCGCACGGCGCGCGACCAAAGCATGCGCGTACCCCCACGAGAAAAGTGTGGCGCCAACATCGCTTTCGACGTGTCGACGCTGATGCTGTCGACGATGCTTATCCCAGAAATAAAGCACCGGCTGCACCGAGCGAGACATTTTCCCGTACGGACACCAAGCAATGGATCCGAGAAATCCGGGATATCTACGCGAGTCGTATTTCGTTTCCGCGGCACAAGTACGAGGTATTCCGCCCTTCGCAGCTGAATTTTGTAGTCATCACGCTTTGGGGGCTCATCTTTGTAGCGGTAGCGCTCGTGATTGCTGTCATTATTTACACGCGCGCGGTGAACTCCGATTACTTTCTTTATTCAACAACGTTTCTCTATGTGGCAACAATTGGCAGCATGACCGAATCTGCAATATCCCTTCTGCTTTACCTGTTCTTCTACGCGCGAGTCGCCCTGGTGCCGGCACGGGAACGCACACGCATCCAGTACGTCATCGCTGCGATGACGCTGGTGCTCTTCTGGCAAACTGAGCCGTTGACTGCTCTGCTCCGACTCGCTGATAAGGGTCGACTGACAACCCGTGTGCCGCGAGTAGTTGTCGCGTTCCAGTTAGTAGGCAACTCTGCGTTTTACATCGGTACCATTGGTTTCATGCTTGTTGTCTGCCACCTTTACCGAATTCGCGAAACGCTGCCTCTTAACTGGCTGATCTTCTTGGGTCCCAAACTTGTTCTCGTTTGCACACTCCTGGCGCTCAGCTTTGTACTGTTTTTCGTTGGTCGTGTGATGCCGTCACGCTTGCCGTTGCTGTCGCTCATCGCTCTAGCTCGTGCGGGACGCGCAACAGGTCTCTGGGCTCGGAAAGCACTCAGCATCGTTGCGGTGCTTACGTTGTGTGAGCTCTACGCGCTCGTTGCGGTCCTGTACGAGATCCGCCGCACCTGGCGCTGTTTGAACACAGAGCCGTACACCACGTCGCGGGCGCGACAACTCGGATTCCGGCTCTTTCTCTACACCACCGGCTTGGCGTATTTTGTTTTATGGATACTCTTAATCCTTATTGTTTCCATTTGTCCTATGAGTTTCAGTATCGCTTACTACTACATCATGCTCTCATATGATCGGCTTCCATCCTTCTACACCGACAACAGTCGAGTAGAACGCTTTCTTGCCTCTGTTTACTTCAATCCGCTCTTTTCGTCCTCTCTGTACTTTATTCTGAATTCCATCACCATCGCGATAATGATTTGCAATGTACTGATTTACTTGCCTCCGGAGACACCCGCACTGTTCGCGAAAATCGTCTGTTGCCTCGCTACGAGCCGCAAAGACGTTCTGTCTAATTATCTGTGTTGTCGCGATGAGCCGCGACCGTTCTTCCGCTGGGGTCCACGCCAAACCTCCCACGGTACCGTAGATGCACCGCCGTCGATCGCTTCGTTGCCAACTGGACAAGGCGTGACGCGCTGCGACGCATACCCGGTCTCGTGTCCGATCGAGGCTCAAGTACAGGCACCGAACATCATGGCACCGGTGGGTTCTTCAAAGCCCGTTGCCGGAACTTCATTGGATACGCTGACGACGAATGATGCCACCATGGCGAGCACCAACGAAAACCAGTTGCATCGGGCTCAAGCAGGACTCTGGAAGCCCAACGGGGATACGCCCTCGAGAGACTCTGGTACTGCGGGCGCATTAGCAACCCGTATACCCGTGTTGCGACGCTACGTGTTCTCTGTCGAGACCATGGTGGAGCAGTTCAACCTATCGTGGCTCGCCTACGTTCTAGATCCTGCAAGGTGCTCTGGGCGTTTCATCCAGTCGCAACGTTTCTGGCGCGACTCGCTTGAACTCTTCTACGACGCCGCCACCGATACGCTGGGATACATCCTGGAGGCCGACGATCGCATCGTTCTTTCGTTCCGCGGGACTCGTTCCCGCCGCAACCTCCAAACAGATATGCAGACTCGTCTGGTGCCTCTGCGCTTCCCGAACGGGGATATGGATCACGCTCTCTATCAGTACCTGCTCCGTTGCGGAAAGTACTACAATCGAAAAGATGCCCGCTGGAGTCCAGTAATGCACATCTCCGATACGGCACTGCGACTAGAGCGGTACCTTCGATTTCGCGCTCGCTCCGACCGACCGCGGGTGCACGAGGGTTTCCTTGCCAGCTACCTCACGTTGTGTGAAGCGCTTGAGCGAGCGCTGACCCAGCGCTATCAAAGGAATCCCCGGCCGGTGCTCATCTCTGGTCACTCGTTGGGCGGGGCACTCGCGAACCTCGCTGCGCTGCATCTCGCCATTCACCTGCAGCTTGGTCAAGACTCGTTGATGTTGACGACCTTTGGCTCACCACGAGTAGGCGACCTCCATTTTGCGCGACTGCTGGACTATTTGGTGCCCATTCATTTCCGTGTGACGAATGCTGCCGATGTTGTGGCACGGCTGCCGTTCACGGGCCTCGGTGGATGGTTCGCCTGCGGGGGCGCAGCGTACGCCCACGCTGGAGTCCAGGTGCTCTTGAACAAGCATGGACTGCTGCGGGTGGATCCCTCGGTCGTTGAGCTGGAGTTCCAGTTTCGAGTTGGAGCCTACATTGAGCCCCATCTCAAGCGCGGATATAAGCGCAGCATCGAAGCCTGGGCGCAACGCTCCGGGAATGACGGATGGCAACCCGACTTGTGGGTATTCCCCAAGAAGAAGAGGATGTTCGGCCTTGGAAGCGGGCCGCAAGAAGAGAACGACATTGTGCTGGATACAGGTGAAGATGAAATCAAAGAAGATGAAAGCACGAGCAAGGTTCATGAAATGATCGAAGCGGAAGCGGCACTTGAGGAGAATATGGACGTTCTCGCCAATGAAGGAGAAATTCGAAACCTTGTGCGCGGCATGACTTGGCGTGTGCTTTCTCAGGGCTGGTTGTCATCGTCCTGATCACCGGGAATGCAAGCATGATCCCGAGTGCGCCTGGCTTCTTGTGGACCGTACGCTTGAACCCGGATATGCCGCCCACGATGCCTGTTGTCAGTTCGCACCTGGAGGTTGGCCTCTGCCGACATTCGGCTTGACACGCAAGCACAAGAACGAAAGGCATGCGCGCTGGTGTGAACAGTGTTACTGGCGTCCTTGACGACAACAATATTCGCTGTGCTCACCACGGGCCGTCACCGGCGCTCGCGCTCACACAGCGAACATCCTTGAGCGTGCAACGCAGCGTTGCTGTACACACACCGGCGTGCTGCGAGCAGGCGGCTGGAGACAAGTCCGCGCGTCAACGATTTCAGCAGGTCATACCTTCTAAAGCACTTGTTTGCACGCGTTTCCCAAGTGACGCATCATGCCCAGAGACTCCAGTTGTATCGGTGTTCCTTCGACAACGAGGATTGCGTTCAGATGTTAGCGAAGCGCATAGGGTCTGCTTCGGATGCGCAGCGCCGCATTCCCCCGTTTGGGGATCGCTCGAGTCCAGCGGCCTTTTCTCACATGGGACAACGCGTACTCCCCGAGTTCACGAGGCCACGCTCCACCCTAATCGCTCAGCGTCGCAGTCGAGTCCCCGTTCGAGCCGGTATCCTGTATGCTTTCGCCTGTGAACGGCGACTACAGGCTGCGACTTTGATGCCGTCCGCACCAGCCAGCACGAGCAGCGACCACAAATCACTTCGCCCGACGCTGACTTGCGCCTAGCCACGAACGATATCGACGAGGCACGTGTCAGTACTGGACGGAAACCCGCAGATGACGCCTCCTGTGAGGTATGCGCCGCTTGATGACAGTGATCGCGTGGAGATGTCCTCAACGACGCTGCAACGATCGCGGCAATGCGTCGCTGCCCATTCAGCGCACACACCGCGTGATCAACGTAAAACGGCTACGCATTCGGACGATGCCTGTACATGCCAACGAACGAGACTGGCATCCTAAACGATATGTCTGGGGGAGCTTGCGCTCGTGCAGGCGTCTGACGCCGTGCTCAGCGTCTGCCGGGTGCGCCTATAACTCCATACGGCATGCGTCGCTTTCAGTGCACAAGACCGCGTCATTGTAACAACAAGCTCCAGTGCGAGTGCAGAATACATGCAGGTCCATGGATGCTCCTAGGGTTTTAGCATGGATAGATTGCCTTCGAGCGAGGCCAATTCGAGCTGCATAGACTTTGGCAACAGATCGCGCGGACGGTGCTGTTGTCGATCTAGCAGCTGCCAAGCCTCTTCGTCTGCATAGGAGACTAGGAGCTGCAGCACGGGCATTCTTGCTTCCGAACACGCGACATGGAGCACATTCTGGCCTGTTTTCTCGTTGACGTTCGAGATGCGGGCTCCGAGCTCCAGCAGCAGCTGAACTGCTTCCAGGTGCCCGGCACTCGTCGCCCGCATAAGCGCAGTGTTTCCGTACGTATCCGTTTTTTCGAGGTCAACCGGGACACCACTCGAAAGCAACTCCTTCAAAGTGTCCAGGTTGCCCTTCGATGCCGCGAGCAGCACAGGCGTTGCGCCTGTGTGCGTCTCTGCGAGTAGCGCTGCGGATAACTGGCGACGTCCAGCCAGCGCTTGCAGCAGCGCTCGCACGACAGCTACGCCCTCGGGTCCGGAAACCGTAGAAGCGATATGAAGCGCACTCCAGCCAGCGTCGTCTTGCAGCAGAGCATCTGCCCCGTGGCTTAAAAGCAGTGGAACGAGTCTTCGTCTCAGGGCAGCGGCCCAGTGCAACGCTGTTCTACCTTCGGTGTCGCGGTCGTTGACGCTTTCCGGTGACGTTTCCAAAACGTTTTCCAGACCCGCAGTGTCGTCCCTGTTCAGCGCATCAAATATTGCTGGCAAACCTTTCGTATTCACCCAGATCGGATTTGACATGAAAAGGTTCCGCGGGCAACGTTTATCACATCAGTTTGACCCAAGTGCCTCGCTCTCGCTACGAAACGCAGTCCCGGATGCAGCGTCGACCGTACAGAACGCGACCACTGCACTGGAAGCGCAGACGCTGCGCTTCGTGGAGTACGTCTTATAGTGCGTGTAGCTGCTGGGGTGTCCAGTGCGGGCGGACAACACACGCCTATGTCATAGACTGTGATGGAAAACTCGAAGCTGGATGATACGAACGAAGCCGTGGAAGATGAAGCGCAGCGTCCGCGAGCAGCGGTCGTTGACCCGACGCTTCAAGGAGCACTGGAGCGGCATCGCAGACTCGCCGCTGGGATGCATAGTCTGTCTGAACTCTTTCTAAAAGCACGAGTTGTGGTTCAGAGAGCGCTGGAGTCCGATGTTCTGATGAAAGAGTGTCCGCAGCTGGGCGTAACCGCCACGCGGTACGACGCACCTGGACAGGCTGGAGGTGCACCTGCCGCGGCCCCAGCTGCTGTGGCTACCGCTGACGGCCTGGGTCCGACAAACGTGGTTCACGTTACGATTTCAGAACGGGAACCTGATCCCAGCTGCACAACACCAGGTCTAACGGGAACTCCCGACCAAAACGGAGACCGTCTAAGGCACGACGCTCGGGCGGAAGCGCAGGCCCCGGTCGTGGTGTGCTCTCGGGGTATCACCTTGAACTTGGTGCTTGCTGCGCTGGAGGCACAGGAAAAGCCCCCCCTGAGCTTCGCCCTGGGGGTGCTCGGCTGGGACTTGCAGCAGACCCCTGACTTTGGAGACAAACCCAACGAGCTTGTGGACCTGCAACTCGTGTTAGCGGGTCGTCGCTGTCTCGCTGAACAGTGCGCGAAGCTGTTGCGCGGGGCTGGACTCGTTGCCGAACACACCAACGGGGATGTATGTCAAGTTGCCAGCATGCTGGAGTTGCGCATCGATCTTCCGCTAGGTAGCCTGCGTTTTACCGATGGACCGGTCATGGACTGGGAAGCATGGTGCGGGGCGCTGCCTCTGGACCGGTGTTTCCGATGGCAGTCATCGCAAACGGCTCTGCAAAGCGCGGCAACTGCTGCGAGGGAGTCGAGTCGGTCTGATCAGCAGTTGGAGCAGAGCGAGACGAGTCCGAAGGCTCCGTTGTCGCCACAGCGTTCCGCAGACGGACGCCAAGCGAAACGTGGACTCGATGAGACGCACGTCTTCCCTATGACCGATACCGCTGCACTAGCACCTGAAAAGCAGCAGCGATCAGCGCGTCGATATCGTTCCTCGCAGGGAGCCGCAAGTTCGCCACATAAATCGGCGCCGAAACAAGCTGTTGAGACCTTGCGGAAACGCGGTCGCTCGAGAGCATCACCGGTCGCAGCAGCGGATCCTAACCACGACGAAAGCACCCGATCCGCACATCAGTCAGAAGTTCCTGAACTCGTCCACAAGGCATTCCCGTCAAGCGATGAACATGCATCCTGGCGAGAAACAGCCCGAGTCTGGCTCAACGAGCTCCTGCATGACCCTACCTGGGAGCCGTTCTGGGCACCTGTATCCAAAGAGGAGGTACCTGATTATTACGAATATATTCGGAAACCCATGGATTTAACGACTATGAGGCAACGACTCGAAAGCGGACAATATCCATCTTTGGAAAAGTTTATGGAAGATGCGAATCTAGTCTGGCGCAACGCAGTCTCTTACAACCGTCCGCGGAGCGCTGTTTGGCACACAGCGAAGCAGTTCAAAAAAGTTGTCGCAACACAGCTTGCGTCGATGAAGGAGTCTGCTTTGACGCAGACGACTCGCAAAGCGCGTTCCGCACACTCGCTAAGAACACATGCGGTGCAGCAGGGGCCACCCGGCTCAGGTGCCAGCGGAGGCATTCATCATCAGAACATGCCCCGCAAGTTTCGTGGCGATCGACACCCATCCACGGTAGAGGCGGAAGCGCCGGCTCTCAGCAGCAGCCCCGTTCATGGTGAGAGACGCCCTAGGTCTGCTCGAAAATCCTCCGCAACGCAAGCGGATCCTGAGCCAGCTGCGCCCACGGGCACAACTGCTCGCCCGGAAGCAGGTACGCGGAAGCGTTCACCGGACACATCTCGTACGGAGCGGCATACGATGGCGACGCGTCAGGATCGGCGCCTTCGCAAGCGATGAGCATTGCAGCATGACCAGTGAATGGACGCTCGAGGCCAGTCGCGTATCGCTGCGCTTTGTGTGGCGGTCCATGAAAGCATACTTTACGGCACGCTGGCGAGGCGGTATTTCACCTGACAAGTCGGAGCTCACGGCAACGCCGGGCCGTACACCTCACAGACCGTACTGGGAGGCATGGTTCACTTCGACACGCGAACGGGAATCCGTCGCTAGTGGACGCGCCTCGTAGACCGCAGCCACTGGTGCTCTCCGATAGCCAGTGGCCTTGCCGTAAAAGCCGATGTGCTCAATCGCGGTGCTCCCGTCGTCCCCGCTGAGGTTCCCCGGGAAGAACAACGTCACACGCTGAACATTCTGGAACTTTGCTGGTCGTGTTGCGTAAAGTGGTTCCACCTCTGGTCGATGGGGTCCAGCCAATTCCCAGCTCTGAGTGCACGCCATCTGCTCGACCGTTGCAAAGTCCACATCGTCTCGATTCACGTAAGCGCGCATGGTGGCGGGCCAGCGAGCCTCCTCCGCGGCTGGTCCAGTGACACCGATGTGTGTGATCTTGACCGTCACCGAAAACGGCACGACGATAATCAGCTGCTGGTCGGCAACGCTACGGCAGAGGTAGGTCTCACCTGGTCTGCGCTGGTGGTACGGAACGAGAGCGCGCGAAGCAGCACCGCCGTCGTTTAGCGCCGTCACCCGGCTCAAGTCTATATAAGGGTAGAGGTTCGACTGCTGAAGCAGTGAACGCGCTTCCTCCTCCGTCGGGGGCGGCGGAGCGTGACCATCGGTACCGTGCGTGCTGCAGCCGCACCCACTGTGTCCTTCTGCCCCGTGATGTTGGTGGAAGTGACCGTCGTCGGCCATTAGTGGACCAAAGTACCTGAAGTTATGCCGCGTACCTAACGCTTTGCATTCGCCGGCTTGAACGCAACACTGAACAGCTGTTTCAACCCTGCTCTTTTGAATGCAGGCAAGGGAAACAACCAGTCAACAAGCTAGCGTCTTCAGACTCGGTTACGCTCTCCGACACCAGCACCGACAGCTTCGCGAAGCACCAGCACTTGCACCAGCACTTGCACCAGCACTTGCACCAGCCAAGGAGGAGCTGCAGCTGCGACTGTGTCTCTCAGCATCTAGTTCTGTCTCATAGTATTTCACATTGTCTCATCGTACACCATACGCGCATGCGCGATTGCTATCGATTGCAAGCAAAGCGGCGAGTACGCCTCGCGCTCACGAAAGCGCTGCAATCGATGGAGCTCGGAACATGATTCTCGTTGGGAATGTTGACCGATAAATCGTTTGCACGGGCGCCGCAACATCGATATATGATAAAAAGGTGGCGAGTTGACGCAACGCATCTGCCGATTCTTGCTTATCCGTGTGCCGATGAATACAGCGGACGGCTCGACGAGCCCCTGACACCAGAAGTCTATCGCAGACTAAAGGCGTCCGCCGCACCCAGCTCTGCTGAACGGAAACTCATGAACAGCTTGACTGTCTCTGCAACCAACGCGAAAGCCGACTCTGCCGAGTCAACTGCTCTGGCAGGTCATTGAAGAATAATACCCGCATGCAGCTGTGCGCTCACAAGAATCGTAGCGCCCAACGTTGAAACCATCCAACGCACGCGACGCTGTACGGGATATTGGCGTAGCGCGCGCATCCCAAGTGACATGTGCACTGGCGAAACGCGTGCACTAGCCATGTGTCCCTTTGGACAGCGCGTTACGTCGCAGGCTGATGGCGATCTGCAAGGCACAGACGCCACATGACACCAGCGCATCCCAAGTGACATGTGCACTGGCGAAACGCGTGCACTAGCCATGTGTCCCTTTGGACAGCGCGTTACGTCGCAGGTTGATGACGATCTGCAAGGCACAGACGCCACCTGACACCAGCGCTCGCGACAGCTGCACGCTTCTGCGCATGCCCGGCGACTGCGCTGCTCAACTTGACCTGCTTCGCAGTTGCGCGGATGGGGCGAGCAGACGGCTATCGCGGCGGCGGTTCACGCTTATATGCATGCAAGCTCGTATGCAATCCGTATCCGAACCATGAGTCGCTCACCAGTGAAGCGCTGAGACGTCAGTCCCAGAGACCATCCAGCGTCATTGGATCTCCGCAATCGCCTTAGGCTGCTTTCCAAACGTAGGGATCGACGCGAGGTTCTTGATCTGCGCCAAAACGTTGAGAGTGAGCTTTCACCGTTGCAGCGCACGGTGACTACGTGAGCTGGCGAGTCTGCCCTACACTGGTCAGCAGCGAACGCAGACAATATGCGTACCTAGGACACTGCTCGTGAAATTGGACGATTCAGAGTCTGCGGCATCTCTTGAAACTGGCTTTGACGTTCTACGGTTGATGCAAGAGACGCTGGCGCCCTGTATGTTGCGCGTATGTGCCATGTCGCGTGCACTCGCCGCAGGCTTCTCCAGTGCTGCACCGTGAATACTAGCAGGTTATTCTGGAAAGCCATACGCATATTGCAGTCATCGTTGCGGCATCGGGCACCCTTAACGTACATATGATTCCAGCGTAGTTCACGACGAGTGCATATCGAGCTGGATGCTAGGCTGCGGTACGCGCAGGAGAGCGCAAACGAGGCTATCAGGGGCGCTTCCAGCGCAGATGCAGCGTATTGGGATTAAAATGTACAAGTATGGACATAGCACCCAACCGTTTGAATTTTCAAAGCGCTTCATCACAGCGGCGCGCGCGCCTTGCAAGCGGCGCTCCTGTGCGATACGGAACAGCTCCGCAGGCTTTACAGCGTCTGCGACACCGTGAAACCAAAATACCCACAAATTCGTCACTTTTTTCTACCTCTGATTTAATTATCAGGCGTGTGCACCACAGAAACTCGGACGCACGTACGGGAGGCCGATGGTGAGTGCAGACGCCCCTGCTTCCCGGCGAGTGTGGCCCCAGCGTTTACAGCCAACTGCGAGCCATATCGGTGGTTGTGCTGAGCTCATTTCAACGTTCTTCGGTCCCGCTGGGAAGCCAGACCAAGACAACTTTGGCACAACATTGAAAAGTGGATCGATTCGCCCCACGCACAAACTGGAAGAGGCAACGACTTCAAATGCTGGACGAGGGCGGCGTGGCGTGCTCCAGCCGATCGCGCTCGAGAACACGCCCTGTGCGACGGCTTCGCACCCGAGGGCGCTTGCCGCTGAGTCGGCCCATGAGAACAGCGGACTCTGGGCCGGTGATCTCGTACTAAGTCCCGGAACAAAGGCGACACTGCAGCGGGCAGCGCTGCTTTCTCGAAATGCGAACCGAGAAGCACCGATCCCGGCTAACGACCCTGCTCCGAGTGCTATGGTGCGTGCGCCAACAGGCCAGTCGGACGCACCGCCCTCACCGCCACCTGAGGAGGACTTCATCGATACGTCGGTGGTGGACGACAGCTCCTCTTTGGAGAGCAATATGCTCATCCAGACCACGTCGTTCACACAAACCACTATAATTTTATCGGAGCGCAAACGAAAAACAACCAGAAACCGTAACGAATCTCCTCAGCGAACGCACAATGGGTGTGAAAATGTCAGGCTATCCCAGCAAGATTTTCAAGCAGCACAAATCCTCAAGGATCAGAACAAGAGCGATCATACGAACAGCTTGGCGGTGACAATCGGTGACTCGAGCGCCCCGTCTTTGACTGGCATCAGCAGCCCGGGTCGTCCCGACACGCTGGAGCAGCCCAGTCTGGGTGACAAAAAAGAGGGTTCCAACCGCCTGGAACGCACCAAGGAGACGCTCAATGCCACAGCCGATATGTCTGCGATTCTTGCTGTTCACGCAGGATTGGTTCAAAAGTACGCCAACATGCCGCCATGTGACAGCGATGCCCTGACACGTGCGAAACACAACGAGTCCGAATTCTTGATGGACAACAGCATCGCTGCGAAGCAAGAGAGCTGTCTGTCCACAATGTCGCCAATGCTGCACGGCAATGCTGTACACACGGTATCGGCTGCATGGGGCGCGTCACCGGTAGTTTTCTGGGAGTCATCGGCGCTGCGCAGTCGCAGGGAGTCCCGCGGCCCGCTTACAATCCTGACGTGGAGAAGCAGGCAGCAACTGCGTGATAACAAGCTTGCTCTTGCCCAGGTTTCACCGGACGCCGTGCTCAATGCACGTGCGCCTGTCGCAAGTTCAACGTCATCGGACGGTATAGCGCCGCTCTCTGGAGTCGCCCTGGACGCAACGCATCACGTTCAGCGTGTGGAAGTTGCTCGGAGCGCGAACCTGGCGCCGACGAGTGCAGTCCACGTTTCCGTTCCGCGACGTGTTGCGCAGGTGGTGTCGAGTCCAGCAGATGCTTCGCCACCAGAAGAGCGCCGACGAGACCGCAGCAGAAAAACGCTTGAGCGGCGTACCGGGTACCTCGCGGACGAGTACGGCAGCGAGGCAGTTGCAGCACTGACGCTTGCACCAGCAGCCGTGACCGAGGATCAGGAACACGGTCTCGATCATGAAACTTACGGGCACACCAAGACTGACCGCATTCCAGTGCAGAAGCGGCAAGGCGCTTCGGCTGTGGCCCTGAAGTCCCATGGCGGCATTGTGCGGCGACCCGAGGTCTGCACGAACGCCGACGCCCCTGCAAACAAGCGCAGTGGACTTGCACTGCCAGCGACCCGCGGGTTTCCAGAGCGCACGTCCGATGCAGCCGAACCCGTACGCAATAGGGATCTGTCACCTCGCGCTTGCAAAGACGGAACCAAAGACCCTGTATCCAGCCCCAGAGGCCGTGCATTGCAAAGGCATCGAGCACTGGAGCCGTTAACCCTTCCGCCGCAGGTCTCTAGCGCAGCGCAGAAGACTTGCATTCCTCCCAAGACATACCAAGGTTTGCCACCCAGAATATCAAGACGTCCTCCAGGGGATGAAAGAGCGCCACCGCGCTTGCCAGCGTTCTCAAAGCACCTTGAGCATGAACGCTATCGAGCCTCGGCTGAACAAGCGCTGTATCGAGTGAGCGTCGACGCGGCTGCTGCGCGTGAGCGGCCTCCACCACGACGCCATACGCTACCCCCAGGGGCGGCGCACCGACCGCCCACGGTCGCAAAGACGCCGCACTTGGAAACAGAGCGGCGGGCGAGACTCCGAGCTGCCGCCGATGCCGCCGCCAAAGCTGCTTCCATTCATCAAAGTCGCACTCAGGGTGCGCGTGAAACGCAGAAACCCGCAAACAGCTGGAAACCGCGCATCACCGTGCCGCAGACCCCAAACGTGCTCCGCCATACGAGTGTCTGCCGACGCGAGCGCCCAAAAACTAAGGAGGAAATGGATCTGGAGGAAATGGAGCGAGGTCGACAGGCAATCCTACGAATGCGGGAAGCAAACGAGCGTTCCCGCCGAAGATGCCTCCGCGTTCAAACGTGCACCGTTTACAGAGGAGCATTAGACGAGCAAGTCATGCACGGATCCGACGACTGTGCCAGTGCGGCACCAGGCATGAGCGGGCAGTCCTCGCGTGCACGCTCCGTGGGAACGGGGGCACTATTCCCGCCGTGGTTCGACAAGCCTTCGACGCCTGAACCTCGAAGGCGCACCATGCCGGCCCCGAGCGACACCACCTACCGCACAGCCTCTCCGCTAGATGCCAACTGGCAGACGTCCTCTCCGACGAAATGCGCACATCCAGCAGCACCAAGCACCCTGGGGTTATTCCGCAAATGGAGATCGTAAAAGCGCCATCAGGCCTGCAGACGACGCACCCCAATGTCTTGGCCATATGACGCAGCAGTGCTGCCTCGTCTTCCTAGGGACTCAAGTTGCGGCCGGTGCCCGCGCTTCTCGGCATAACCCGGGTATCTAGGCGATTGCTGAAGCCGCTGAGGCGATCTTCGGCCAAATATCCGCTGCCTCTTTCGCTACCGGTCCGGTGATCGCGCTGCCCTTCATCTCGCCTTTCGGATTCACTATAACTCCAGCGTTATCTAAAGTCGCTCATATCAGCGGCAAGTGGTTAGTTTCCTGTTCTCGTTTGGTATGACCAGAGGTCACGATAAGCGCAAACCCGTGCTCAGCCCCGAAAGATGGTTTGCTGACACTATCCTCTTCATCGCCATAGCTTCCGTAAGCGTTTCCCAGACTCACGGAGTTCGCGTCAACTCAGCGTTGGATTGTGCGTATGAAGCTTTCATCATCGAACGCGGTTGCACTGTGAAACTTACCCTCAAACATTATGTAGGTGCCATCCTTCCGCCGCCATGCTTTTCGTTGTCTCACAACAACAGCTGGCATTACTTTCTTCCGCAGCTCCGGTTTCCCTTTTTTCACCGTAACCAGGACCATATCGCCGATGCTTGCAGCAGGGAGCCGGTTCAAGCGACCGCGCACACCGTGCACCGCGATGATGTACAAGTTCTTCGCTCCGGAGTTGTCGGCACAGTTTATTACTGCGCCAACTGGAAGACCAAGCGTACAGCGAAACTTGGTGCCTGCTGCACCACCACGCCCGCGTTTACTCATGATTCAAGTTGATGACGATGATGGTGACGCTGGTGATGGTACTGAAGCCGTCCAAGACGCGTTGGTAATGCGCACCCGACAATGCTGGTACGATCCTCGATTACGAGTCGTGCCGCTTTGGCGTCGACGGGACGGGCGTGACCCCGGCGAGGGTGTCAGAGTCTGAACAATAGCGTATATTTTGGTTTGTTTGAATCTTTTTTCGGACATATCTTGACAGCGCTCATCGCGTCCATCGCAGTGCGGCCGAATCCCGTGGCGGTGCATGATGCTGGCGCCCGTCCAGCGTTCACAAGTATGAAGCAGCGCGCCCGGGCACGCGCTGGAATCCGCAATGAGGGTCGTCGTCGTCGTCGTCGCCCAGGCATGCTGCGGCTGGTCGGGTACCGACGACACTGGGGTAGCGGTATCGCCAACACTGCGATCACGTGGCTAGCTGCTGTAGTCACTGTCAGATATCGCGTCACGTCTCGGGCAGATGCGGTTGCACAGGCGGGGACTTTCCCGAATACAGGGGGCTTGCTTTCGTGTTCAGATGCATTGATGGAGACGATGTATGCGCGAACTGGGTCTCGCCTTTCGTCGGTAGGTATGCGGTGATTCGTCGACATTATCAGTTTTTTTGGACTCAAGAGTGTTGACCAATTTGGGCGTGAGCGGTATCCCGAATGCAGCGGATCTTCCGCTCGAATACCCCCGAGCTGCGTCGCTCCAGCGCCAACCGATGCTCGGTTGCCTCTTCTTGGTCGACTCGCCAACGCGCACATGCATACCTGCACATCGCATCCTGAACCCTTGAGGCCATCCATTTTGTCTGGCAGGTGTGTATCGAGCAGCTTTGCAACTCCCTGCGGTTGTGATCCGCGCACTCCACTGCACACTGCTGTCAGCGGTGCATGGAAGATACACACCCTAGAATCTGCTGCAGCGAGCTGCGAAGCTTTCAGCGTCAGGCGAGGGAACGCCTCGTGAGCATGCGAGGCCCGACAGGCTTGCCAAATGGACGTCGACGTCTGCCTGGCAAACACCAGGCATGCGCCCCACCGAGATATCTACCTGTTCCTATCACTAGTGGCGACAGAGGGAGACAGAAAGACGCTGATTGGGCTTGTCTGATGCAAGAGTTGGGCATCGTCATCAAGTGAACGCAGCAACTAGCTACGTATCGTTCCAAGCGTATCGAGCAGTCACGTGATCAGTCATTTGCGTGGATCGAACCAACACATCCGCAAGCATGCCGATACCAGCCACGCTACATATAGCGAGGGCGATGCTTCCCAGTCCATATAAACGTTCTATCAAACGAGAAAATAAGAATACAAGTAACTCGCTCCCAAGCTCGCATTGCCGAGCGCCCAGGCGCGATGTCGTTCCGTATCGTACAGAGACTGGAGCTGTGCGCTGCTGAGCGCATTCACGGCATATCGCTTTTGCGCCTGCGAACTGGGACCGTTCATGGCTGGGAATCACACGCTCAATTGCGGTACTGAGTGCCCATTCACTGCCTCTGCTGTGGCTGGAGCGAACGAGTCTGTTGAGCGTCTCGGTTTCCAACTGCCGCCCGGAGGCCGAGCAAAGGCGAACACCCCGACCCTGAGGCGAAGCGCTCGGTGCCTGCTGTCTTCGAGCGAGCACAGGTGCGGTACCTGGTCCAGTCAGCTAGACGTCCAGAAAGTGAAGCGTTGCAATACGAACCGTGTTCGACGACAGCGCTTCGCGGGTGTTCGAATGGACCACCGGAAACCCACCAGTGGCCCTGTTGTTCTAGGCCTCGGTGCAACAGCGCTCGACTACCTTGCCACCGTTGAACGATATCCACAACCAGACGAGAAGATACGAAGTCAATCCTTGACAATACAGGGTGGTGGCAACGTTGCGAATACGCTCACGGCACTGGCACGCCTCGGTGTCGCGACCAGACTCGCAACGAAACTGGGTGACGATGCGATCGGGCGGGACATACTCGCAGAGTTGCAGCACGAAGGCGTCGACACAAGCTTCGTCGCTATAAAGACGAATATGAACTCGCCCATAACCTACGTGATCGTCGATGCGTCCACACGAACACGAACCTGTATCCACACACCGGCCGCGGAGGAGTTGCTCGCCTCGGATGTCGTGAACCGCGACGCACTATGGGAGCGTGTTGCACTGGTACACCTCGACTCACGTCATACGAGCGCCGCACTGGCTCTGGCCAGAGAGGCGGTCCAACGCGGCATCCCTGTTGTCTTGGATATCGAAAAGGATCGCCCACATGCGCTTGATTTGGTTGCTCTGGCAGACTACATCATCACGAATGCGACGTACCCGCTGCATTTTAGTGCACAGCCGGGCATGAGCGCGAATCGCCTAACTGCACTGAGCGGCCTTGTCGCGATCATGGACTATGGAAGGGCAGCGTTTGCAATTAGCACCCAGGGTGCAGAGGGATCGCTCATGGTTCGTCGACGTCATAATGTCGATGGTCTTTATGCATTGGGTCATGAAACCGAGGAGCCGGCGCCAACTGGCCTTCCGATACTGGTACAGAGCGATACGTATCCGCCGGCAACGGCATGCGGCTCATGCGAGCCCCAGTACGACGTGCTGCGCTGTCCAGCGTGGCCGCTCTCCAGACCAGTTGTAGACACGACAGGTGCAGGGGACGCGTATATCGCGGGTGTAATCTACGCGCTATTGCATGGGTTATCAGACGGGCAAGCGATGGCGCTAGGTTCGTTTGTAGCTGCGGAGAAGCTTGCTGGACCAGGGGCCCGCTCGGCGCTACCCCGGCTGGAACAGGTGCCTCCAGCGTTGCGCGCGCGTGTTCAAGCGCCGTCGAACTGGAGGTCAGGCTGAGGGCTTTGCAGCCCAGCGTTGTCGCAGGTGCGCGATGAAATGGGTGCCCTTACTCCTCGATAACCATTGCGGTGAAGGATTTGGAGTGAAGAATGCTGCTAGTGCCGATGCCCGATGCCCGATGCCGTGACCTCCTCGATCGCCGCTTCTGTGACGTATGCGGTGTGAAGGATGCTGCTGATGCTGCTGCATGGTGCAGTTCCCTGCACACACACTTGTGCTGAGCTGGGCGTCATGCCAAGCATCTCGACTGCGGCATGAGCGCTGCTATCGTTTCCCTGGCAATTGCTGGACAGCTGGGCGCTTAGACACGGATGCTAGTAGGGCGCTGCGTTTCCGCCCAGGTCGATGTGTACAGGTGTTGTGCACGATACACTTGGGGATAGCGCTGCACTACGATGAGCATCAGCGTATGACAGCCGGTGGTCCGAGCCTCGATATCGCTCCGACCTGCGCTAGCAGGCACGAAAGCACGCGCAGCCAACGGACGACCGAGTCGGACGGGGGTGCAAGCGGCGCGGTCACTGGAGCGCGCGAGACGCACCAAAGGCTCGTGTGTGACGACTTGTGTATCGTCGTTCCGAGACAACGTATGCTTTGCTTGCGCCAAAAACCATGTCGGTTGGAAAGGTTTACCCCGAAACCAGCTCGAAATCCGACCTCATCGCTCGCAAAGCATTGATCCAGTACAGCAATCATGCGGGTTGTTGCAGTCGTTTAAACCATAGATGACAGCAGCAGCAGCAGCAGCAGCAGCATGTTCACAATGTGCCGGGTTGTCCGTTGTGCCAGTAAGCGCCTACTGGACGCGTGCTTGTTCGCAAAGCGACCAACTTTGCGTTGGATACTCTATTCAATGCGATGCTTTCACGTTAAATAGACTGGCGAATCTCGTCCCGTAATCGTCGCTCAGTGTCTCGAGCAATCAAGCGATGGAATCTAACGACATAATAGGCAACGACACAGCGCAAGATCGGGAGAAGCGCGATCGATAGCACCCCAAAGTTGCCTGGAGCGAAACCTGCGTTCAGTGCACCCATCAAGTACCCATCAAGACCGAAAGTGATCCAGAATTTTCGTTTGGTGATGCCTCGCAGTGTCACTCTGGCGACCTCATCAGCTGGCAGAGCAGCGCCAGCGGACATTTCCGTGCACGCTCTGGTGGCAGGCGGCTTGCGTCGATTTTCCACGTCAAAGCCGCGTGTCAAGGTATCCGGCGGAAATACCACCGAAACACCAATACCGTAGGGCCTCCCCTCATATACCAGCGTTTCTGCGAGACCGCGCAAGGCATACTTTGCTGGTGCGTAGGCGCTGTATCCGAAAATCGCTGCGAACGCTGCCATCGACGAGAAGAACACGATGTGTCGCGGTCTTTCCGAGCAGTACGGCACCCGTATTCGAACATCACCGCGTCTGTGCGTATGCTCCGCGACGATTGCCTCAAGAACCTCGCGTTTCCATTCACGAAAGGCAGCCTGAGCGACCAGAGCTGCAGACATATAGTTGCACTCCATTTGCGCCCTAAACTCTTCCACTGTGAACTCTTCGAAATAACCCGGTAGTGCACCGCCAGCACAGCAGATAACAACGTCATAAGTCTCGCGTTTGTTCCCAAAGACACGGGCAACACCCCCTGGAGTTGAGACGTCTGCTTGTATTGTTTCAATCACCGGTTGGTGTCCCGAATCGCTGCCTTGAGCTGCCTTGGGGCGGCTCGAGAGCAGCACCTGCTTGGCAGTTTCCAGTCGCGACGCGTCCCTTCCTACGATAGTGAGGTGTCGCGGCGGCCCTGGTGAGACACTAGCCTCACAGAGCATGCGCGCTATCTCGAAACCAATGCCGCTCGTCCCGCCCGTGATCAGTACCCGCAGGTTCTCCCACCGAATCGGTTGCGAACAGTCCCAGCGTTTCCTCTTCTGAGGCTTGCTCCGAAGGCCGTCGCGGTCAGCGCGACTTGATTGAAATATTCGGAAGCGGTGGAAGAGTCCCTGAATCAGGGCCATCAGGAAAGATGCAACCACAAACGCAAGCAGTAAACAGAGAGCGTTCCCCGCTCGTCGTTGCGCTTCGGTGAGCAGTTCCCGTGCTGCTCGGAGAGGCGGTGCGTCGAGCCAAGACGGCGTACGTTCTAGAAAAGTGAGCTTTGGCAAGCTTCCCATCTGCAGCGACACGAGAAGACCCGGTGCTCGGCAAGGAGTCGCGGTGTCAGCCACAAGCGAGTCTCTACTTTGTACAACCTGAACAGAGAGGCGTAACACCTCCGTCTATTTGGCGGCGACTCCGCCAGGTCTACGACGCCTCCCATCCCTGGTACTTCAGCGCACCTGCGCCACAAATGGCGCGAAGCGCTCGGCGTCGCCGCAGGACACCGGCAAGCTGGTGTGCCATAGGAGTGTGGTATAGGCGTGTGTGCCACAGGAGTGTGGTATAGGCTTGTGCTATAGGAGTGTGTGCTATAAGGGTGTGCTATAGGCTTGTGCTATAGGCTTGTGCTATAGGCTTGTGCTATAGGGCGTGTGCAATGAAGGTAGAGCACGGAGCAGGCGTTTGGTTTCTGTATGTCGACGTGTTTTCCGGGCTTCTTGTACCTGTCCAGTCCTGGGAATGGAAATGCAATCGTAAGTTCATTCGAATTGATTCATAGGTCGAGGATGCTTGGTGGTGTTTTTGGAGCGAGTCCTTGGACTGCATGCAGCTGGAATTCGTTGCGTCACCAGGATCAGGATGATTCGCAATAGAAGAGACAAAGAGCTAGGAAACTGACCGATATCATGATCCAGTGTTTGCGAAGACGTCTCGGCTCTTCCTGTTTCCTTACGTAGCGTATGTTGAAAAATCACGCATTGTGCACGTTTTTGATCGGTCTGTTTCAAGGCTAGTCATTGCCACAGCACTGCGCGTCGCTGGGCTGACGAGGAAACGAAAACTCGACTTGGTGCACTGGCGAGTGCTTCACAAGCTCATGGCAAAATTTCACTGAACGTGTCATGTCGAATAATTATCGGATTCGTTCGAAGGACAAAAGCTCATTTTTTTGTGACTATTGACGAAACTGGATTCGACATCCGTACGCTACCGCTTACGAGATATGCAGGCAGTGGTTCTCGTCTCTTCTAATTGCATGGAAATTGGTCTTGGATTAGCACGTGGGTCATTGCGTCGATTGGCTCGAGTGGGGCGTGCGTTACCGCGTTCCACGATGAGCAGGTAGACGGATCGAACTTGCTAGACTTGATCTCCAGACCTGACTTTTCTTCCCACACTAGTTTCAACACAGACAGCACCGCTTTCCACGAATTCTAACTCATATGGGACATTGTGCGCTCGCATATCCAGCTTACAAAGTACTCAGCATCGGATTACCCAAAAGGAGCTCGTCATTGGAGGGCACGGCACCGGGTACGGAAACGGAGGCGGACATCGAATGGAGTCCTCTGCACCAGACATAAGCATGCACAGAACGATGAAGCATCCCGTCGCGTGTCAACGAGCAGACCTCACCGGAGCAGGTGCCGTGGACATAATGGAATACCTGACCAAGGTCGAGTGTCGACGGTTCTCCAGCGCACCAAAGTTGTATACAAAGATGATGATGAGACTAGCAAGCGGTGCGTAGCTTGCAGCTTTTGCGAGTGCATGAAATGCATGCACAACAGTCCGAAGGACGGGAAAAGAGGACAAAAATACCGAAACGAGTTACTAACAACCAACGTGCTACCAGTTTCTTTCCTCCTCTTCGGTGAGCGTTACAAGAGGAAAAAGTTTTCCCAATTCTCAAAAGGTTACCATCTAGGCGGAAGGTCTCGCGAGCCGGACGAGCCTGCCGGGCATACGCTCTGTGCGCCTCTGCAGCGACCGATGCTGTAGTGAGATCGCCGCTGCCCTTCGGCAACGCAACTCAGTCTGGGACTCGCAGCGAGTATGCTGCATTTCAGCGTCGCGCAGGTCGCAGAGGACCCCTAGCATATCGCATCGCGCTGTCGCAGGCAATACGTCTTTCTGCGCATCTTGCAGGCTCCCTGAATGACAATAAATCCCGATTCCATGTCGTGCAGAACACGCTTCGAGCCGGCGCCCTCAGCGGTATGACAACGCCGTTCTGTCTCCGTGATGCATCGGCATCAGCGGTGTAAGCGTTAAGGCGCGTGCTCGAAGTGGCACTCGGCGCACGATAGAACGTACGAAACGAACAATATACCCAAAACGAAGTACAAGTAATGGAACTAGAAGGTAGGTGCTTCATCATGGGCGATTTCCCGAAAGCCGATACCTATCCCGCAATCTGGGATCCATGGTCCAGTTTAGACGTTTTGTCATCGGAAAACGAATCGACGCTTAGCGAGCGCACCTAGGAGATCTGGCAGGCATGAGACACGACGCGTACGGTGCCGTTGTTGAAGGGAAACGCGATTTTGATCAGTAGCGTGTTATTCAGCTGGAAAAGTTGGATTTCCGTTCAGGACGTAGCAACGTATAGTTTTTCAGTTCATTTGTGTTTCAAAACTCAAACAAGTCTAGTCAAGTGTTTTTTTCGTAGTATATTGGAGAAGCGTTCACAGAGTGCTTCTTTTCAAAAAAACTAAAAGAAAAGGAAAGTTATGAAAAACTGAGTCGACGATCCTGGAGGCCCAGGGTCGCTGGCTGCCGGAGATGAACACATTGTTTCGAGTCCAGAAGAAAGAGGAAGAGAAGAAGAACCGAAAGAAGGAGGCCCGACGCCAATGGCAGCAAGAAAGACGACGATACGACGAGATGGTGGTGAAAGCCTGTCTTCTTAATTATATCAAGGATCTCTACAAGCACAAATTGCAAGAGGACATCCAAAACCGTGTCGACTCGTACTCTAAGAGTATTGTCAAGGCCTCGTCAGGACTGATGCATTTGGCGAGGGAGATGTACGGAGACGTGGCGCACATGGAAACGGTCGAGATTCCTGACGAGTTTTTCGACATGACCTTTCTTCGTCACCTGATGCTTGGTACAGCGAAAGCGCGGAAGGAAAATGTGCTAGTGCATGCCCTCCACGAAAACTTCGCGGAATTCCGCTTCGAGGGTAATCGATACAGCGGTGACGGAAATATTTACACCTACGGGCGATGAAGTACCTCACGAACCTGAAGAACCATTTGACGATGAACCTCAAAAGTTTCACGATACGTTCCGTGTTTGGACTCTACCCGGACCCATATCGCAAAGGGATATGGGCCATCATCAATGGCATCACGAACGATCGCTTTCATGAACAGGAGATCGAATTCTTCGACAAGAAGACATTACACAGGAGAAAGAATGAAGCTTCTGTGATCTGCGCGGTCATACAAGAGTACCATGCAGTACTGGGGCTGGCGAATCCAGCAGACAAGATATCAGCTACGAAAAAAGATAAGAAATAATGTTATCACCTTATCCTGCGCTATTTTGTGTTTTTGGACCGAGAACTCGAACGCAAGGCCGAAAGGCAGCTGAGTGGGGGAAAATGAAGAGTTGTTGGAACGGAAGGCTGCCCTGATGGGGAAGTGCTTCAACGTCGTTCCGTTGTGCAGCATCAAGTCACATTTTGTGAATATCGACTCCGGAGTCCTTCATGGCATCGTGAGAGAGATCAGTCCGGAGTTCGATGTAAGGAAGATAGAGTCCACCGACGAAATGCGGGAGACGTTCTAGAAAATTATCCTTAATTTCAAACGTCTCAAAGTGAGCAAGCAAAACATATTCACTGGGATGATCGAAACCGATGGAGTAGCCATGTGTGTACACTATCGGCGGTTGAAAACAGATCGGCCAGTTCCGTCCTCGGCTTCGCCCGTGACGAAGGATGAGGAAAACAAAGAGGTGGATCCTGCGACGCAGAAGGTGCATGAGAACGACTTTGTCGTTGGCGCACACCCCGGAAACACAAATATCGTAACCATCGCTGTGCCCAAGCGTCCGGTAGATGGTACTGACGGCAACTTATGTCAGAAAGACATGCGGCTTTTAAAGCTCTCGAGAGCGAGATACTATCGAGAATCCGGTATGATGAATGGAAGAAAGAAAACTGAGATATGGAATGCAGGATTGAAAGAGCACTTGGGAGCTTTGAGCGAGGTGACGAGCCGCGGAACGGACTTTCAGGCTTTTCTGAAATTCATGGAAGTTCGCTTTGCTCATTGGGAGGCGCTGTGGGAGGAGTATGCAAAGCCCCGGTGGGCTCGTTTGCGTATGAACTTGTATTGTGGTAAGCAGCGGGCGTTTGCCAACTTTTCAATCAGTTGAGTGCCTTGAAGGAGGATCAAAGTCAGAGGTTCGTTGTGGCATACGGAGCAGGGCGTTGGAAGACCCAAAAAGGTACTACGCCAGCTCCAACGACGAGAACGTACAAGGAGTGTGCACGGCGTTTCGTTACGATACCTGTATGTGAGTTCCGAACGTCCTATACATACCATGAACTGGGCTGTACACTTCAGAGAGTGGAGATAGAAAAGTGCCAGAGGAGCCCCGAGGATATAGCAAAGTGCGGACCGCTGACGGAAGAGCAAATGGAAAGGAGGGCGAAAGTTCGTGGCCTACTCGCATTAGTAAGTACAACTCCCAACGGCAAGAAACGGATGGAGTTTGTTAACCGAGATTTTAACGCCGCTATCAATATACGGAGATGCGCGGTGATGGAGAAAAGACCTCCAGAGCTGACAAGTGAGAATTTTGTTGGACAATCTCTTAAAGTGGAACTATATGAGAAAAAATTTGAACCAGCCGTGGGTGGCCGGTCGAGAAGAACGGGGAGACGACTGCACGTTAGACGGAGACGTCTTGTCTAGGGCGGGTTTCTCGCCACTACTGTAAACCGCTTGCGGCAGCGTTTTTCTTTGAAAGGCGTGCGGTGGTATCACGTGCACAAAGCCACACGCTATTGCCTTCTCGTGCGTGCTGCGTTTCAATATTTATAGCCGAGTTGGCCCGCTTCGATTCCGTTGCTGAAGCCGCGGTCGATAAGCGCAGAGCTGATGAGCGATGTTTCGCTCCAAGGTGCGGAAAACGTCTCTCCTGTGCGTGAGCAGTTTCAGCAGCCTACGTCTAGTGCAGCAGATCCGCGAGAGCCCGCGGTCGGCAGCCGAGACTCAGCCGGCTACCCCCGAGAGCACAACGTTACCCCAGGTGTTCGGTCTAGTTCGGGTACGCAGCATGAGCGTCAGCGGACTGCGGCTTTAGCGGCCTGTGTTCGAGCGCTCGGCTGTTTCGGTGGTGCGCGAAACTCTCAATGGACGCAGGCCCAGGCGAAGCGGGAAACGACGACAGGCGCTACGGACCAATCAGCGGAACCGTCGGTCCCGTGCGAGTCGAAAGTCGGGTCAGCAGTTGCGACTGAAAATACTGAGGACGTGCTGGGTGCTGTTGACGGCGACCACGGCGCCCCGGCCGACGTGGACGCGGAGCGTTCTTCAGAGGTTTCTTCGGCGAGCGAGGAGCTTCCATTTCGCTCCCTGTATCGGCGGGCGCAGGTGAAATGGGCCCGCCGGCGACTCGAGAAGCAGGTTCAGAAGCTGCTTGCATTTACCTCCACACAGCTTAGTAACCTGCAGCATGTTCGTTCCGGACAAAAGTTGGATGCCGAGTTTGCGATCCTCGCACGAATATATACCAATGCACATATCGACGAGGATTTCGCAAGGTTTAGTCGTCAGGAGTTTCGAACCTTCGCGGAGCACTTGCCGCTGTTTCTGAATTACTTGTTGCATTCGCGGCCGCTCGATGCGCCGGCGACGAGCGCAGCGCAACGCAACGCCTGGCGAGAAGTTGCCTCTTCGACGAGAGAGCGCATCCGCCGCCATCAGAATACTCGCAAGCTAATCGAGACGCATTTGTTGCGGCGCTGTAGCGAGTCTGTGCGTTTCGCCCTATTTGTTTATTGGTATTTGGATGGTTGTCTGCAGCTTGGACCTGAATCGGACCGGAAGGATACCCTCCGAATTATTATTGAGATTGAGAACATCATGTCGAGGAGCATCACATGCGCGACGCCCTCTTCACAGGTCGCTGGGGCACGCCCCCCGGTCAAGTCGTTCATGGCGTCGGATACGCCGGACGCGGCGACAGCGGACTCGGCCCCGGCGACATGGAGCCCCGGTGCTGCGCTTGCGGCTCCCGCCGGTGAAGTGCTCAGCCCAGCAGACGCTGCCGACGTTGGGTCTGTTGAGAGGATCGTGCACCAGCGCGCGATCGTCCATGAGATCGGTAACGAGTCTCGAGGCGAGGGCGTCTTCAGAGATCGCATGCTGCAGGATGAGACATGTTTGGCAGGCATCCTACCTGCAGAGCATACGATCGCAGTGGATCTCGACGCGGATGCAGCTGACTGTGCAGTGCGCTCTGCGGACTGCAGTTTTCCAGAGGCGCCTGGCGTTCAGTCAACGACAGAACAAGAGCCGCGCATGCTCGCCCAGTCAAGCTTGATGTCGAATACGCGCGTTTTTCCACGAGAATCCATAGAAACTGGCCCTGAACGGGAGATAAGTTTCGCATATGTTTCCCGTGGTAATCTTTTTCATGCACAGCTAGATTTTATGCGCGCGCTCATATCCATCTCCGAATTGGCGCTAGGCCTGAATCGATCGCAAAGATCACGATTCGTCGTGAGGGAACTAGGCCGCCTGAACGCGCTTGTGGAAGCAGAGCGGCGATATGTTTTTCTGCCAACGGAGCGCATTCCACACCGGGTGCTTCGCATCCTCGCAGACGAGTCACATGTGTTCTCGACAAAGGAACATGCGCCGTACCTGGCCATTGTCGAAGTGCAGGATCTGGAGTCAACCAAGCTCGCAGAGCGCGAGCCCCGCAAGACATTGGCACGCACCATTGGCGATTGGCTGCATCGGGCAGGAGAGTATCGCCCGCGAGCGCCCCGCTCCGAACAACGACATACAATGACCTGGTTCGCTTCACCACGCGGCACCGAAGCCGTCAAATCCCCTGAAAGCGGTCTCGCAGCAGCAACATCACCAGCGACGACTCCCGATCCACCGACAAGCCCAGCGTCGCGAAGCGCACCCGCTGTCGATACGCCTTCACCTGCAGGAGAGGAGCTTTCACAGAGCCGTGGCGGGAAAAACGCCTCCGTGTCCGAGAAACGCAGTGCACGCACGCGATTGCACGCACAGGAGCGTCACGCACGGAATCGCGCCCTGCATGGCGTCGCGAATGCGGCGGCGCATTCACTGACGTTTCCTGGCCCTAATCAGGCGGAGGCACCGTTCCCATTCTCAACGCGAACAGGCACGGATGCCGCTGAGCTACCACCGATGACCCATCGGTCGCAACAGCAACAGCAACAGCAACAGCAACAGCAACAGCGTCTACGAGCGGACGGCGTCGGTTCCAGTCATCCAAATCTTGAGACTGCAGCTGCTTCGGCGACGGGTGACGGGATGACTGCATCGATGCCTGCATGTAGCGAAGCACAGGATGCGCGGGATCTTGGAGCGGAACTGGAATCTGGTGAAATCAAAAACGCTTTGGCGGAATCGCGTGAAGCATGCTCGACACCGACCAGTGTTGGCAGCGATCGTTGGCGACGTCTCTTTGGGGAGCGCTGGGCTGAAAGGGTTCAGCGTTTGCAGCAGACGTCACCATTTGGCCGCATGCCCGGTTGGCGACTGACCTCTGTAATCGTGAAAAGCAAGGACCAACTGCGACAGGAAATGTTTGCAACCATGTTGATTGCTGAGTTTGCGCGCATCTTTGAGTCAGCTCGTCTTGACGTTTGGCTATGTCCGTACCGCATTGTTGCAACTGGGGCCGATTGCGGATTCGTGCAAGTAATCCCCGATGCGCCCTCCATTGATCAGATCAAGAAAGCTTTCCACGGTAACATGACGCTTTCTGGCTATTTTGAGGAACGGTTCGGAGCGCGCGGCAGCGCTACACATCGCTTGGCGGTTCGCAACTTTGTGAAAAGCATGGCCGCATACTCCGTTATCACATATCTCCTGAACATCAAAGATCGACACAACGGAAACCTGCTCATTGATGCTGAAGGCCATATCATCCACATTGACTTTGGATTCTTCTTCACCAATTCACCTGGTGGCAATATCGAGTTCGAGAAGGCTCCCTTCAAACTCACCTGGGAACTTGCCGATGTGATGGGCGGCCCCGACTCGAACGCGTTCCGCCTATTCCGACGACTCTGCGGGCATGCTTACGCCGAGGCCTGTGCGCATCGAAACAAGATCATGCTCATGGTAGAGTTCATGATGATGGGAAATGAGTCGCTGCCGTGCTTCCGCGGCGGGGCCGACCTCACCCTCGAGCAACTGCGAGAGCGGTTCATGCCGCGCCAGACCCGTGTCAAACGCATTGCGCACATGAACGCGCTTATCGATCGAAGCAGTAACCATTGGACGACGAGATTTTACGATCGCTATCAGCGGTGCTGTACTGGAATTTATTAGCTCCACGGTAAATGAGAGATCTCAATGGCTGGTATACACACTGGACAACGAGAACGGTCACCGTTCGGGTCGGGTCCGACCCTATACCGAAGTCCTGTCGCACGATACGCTGGACAGGTGCACTGCTGATGCGGACGAAGGCACCCCAGTCGAGTGCTGCACGTCGCGACGGTATGGCAAGCATCACCAACTTGCCGTCCAGTGGGTGCTCGGATTTCCGCTAAGCGAATCATTTAGATTTGTCGAGCGGCTGCGTCGCAGCCAGCGAAGGCAGGTCGAGTAGCAAGCGAATATATCGCGTGGCTCGCTACCCGGATGCCCGGACCCCAGTGCAGGTATCCTGTACGAGCGCGATCTGCTGTCGCAGACGCTCGCTACGCATGGGCGTTAGGTTCAGGCAGAAAAGCGACAGGCCAGTTCTCGATACAGCGACACGGCACAAGCAACGGAACGGAACACAAGCGTACTTACCGAATGACGAGGCCCGAAGCCATGAGTCGCCGCTCTTGGTTCGGAGCACGCACGCACGCACACCATCACCCGCAGCAGTCTGACAACGATGCGTACGGCGTTGCAGTGTCCTAGTCGGGGCTCAAGGACACCCGCGGATGACCACTGGGAAGTGCAGGCGTCGTTTACGCGGAGCTGCTCGCGGACTGGCGAGCGGTTTGCCGGGCTCGTCGCGACACTGCGCGTGCCAACATGGACTGGGCGCCCGTCCGACTTGCGCTGAGCCTCGAGCCTGGTACAGCGCCGATGCGAACACGTGGAACACAGAGGCCCACTCCTCTGGCAATGCTCGTCAATAGCATCCGCATGTAGACGGGTCAGCTTTGATGACGTTTTCTGAAGGCTGCCTTCCACAGAAACACTGCCCGCTTCGATGTACTACCCTGAACCAGATCGCAGTTTCCCGTGCCAGTATCGAATGCAAGCACTGTACCAGACAGTGCACCGACTGCAATTGACTCCAGACTATCCTGAACCAGATCGCCGTTTCCCGTGCCAGTATCGGAGGCAATCACTGTACCAGAAAGTGCACCGACTGCAATTGGATGTGTCTGGGTGCCGAGCAACCACTGCAGCATATAATGAACTCGGAGACGAGCTCATCGCCGCACCTCCCTGGTAAGAACGCCCCAAGCAACAATCAAGCACTCTGATGGGCAAAGCGATATGAAAACAAGCGGGCTCCTCTTTGAAGCTTCAGTACGAGCATCTGTATCCAAGCGTGTGTACATCGACGCCCGCTCGTGATGCGGCGACTCCGCATGAAAAATTCCAACTGCATTACAGAGACACCGAGGCGCTGTGGGTGCCCATTGTCAGCAGGGGTATCTCAATGGACGCTCAGAACATCGAGCATCGGGCGACATCGTCATGCATCCGGGCAAGTGCCGTTTCCGAAGCACAGAAGCGCTCGCATGCCGCTGTCCAGCGGATAGACGACGACAGGTGCAACTGCGGATGCCGCGCGCAAAAGATACAAACAAGACATATATGCTCCAAATTAGATATAAAGGACCAAGCTGTTGACGGGCGCATCTGGCGCGCCACCACGCCGCCTTCACGACCGCGCTGGGTGCTACCCGACACCCCCGAACGTCTACCTCAGCGGCTGGGATTCCCTGCCGGAATCCTTCGCAGGTTCCGGACCAGAACAGAACGATTCACCCTATCTTTGCTGTCTTCGTTCGCTTACTTCTTCCATTCAACGCCACAAAGAGGTGACATGTACAGAAACTGTTTTGTAAGTCAAGGTTTCGCGGGGAAGTGCAGCGCCCCCGCAAAGCACCGCACGGCGAGCGCGTGGTGCAGGTGCCGTGGTGCACGTGGCGCCAGCTGGGCACCCTGCTTCAGAAACCGGTGCGCACCGCGGCGAACTGCGCGTGAAACTCGGCTCGGCCGTCTCGCAGCGATGTTTCCGAGCGAAGACGCCGGAGAAAACGTTTTCGAAAAGCACATCGGGAGGCCGCTCTTTCACGAGAACCCAACCACGCTCCAAATTAACATCGGTTTGACCTGCAACATGGCGTGCAGTCATTGCCACGTTGAGTCGTCGCCAAACCGCAGGGAAACCATGTCCTTCGAGGTTGCCGACAGGATCCTAGAGCTCCTACGGAACTCCTGGTTCATCGAAACAGTGGATATTACTGGCGGTGCGCCCGAAATGCACGACGCCTTTCGGTACCTGATCAGGCAGATACGCACGCACATACCGCATGTGCGAACCATCTACGATCGCTGCAACCTGACCATTCTTCGACAAATAGAACAGTACGACTTGGTGGAATTCCTCAAACGACACCAAGTGGATATTATAGCTTCACTCCCGTGCTACGTTGAAGAGAACGTCGATCGACAACGTGGAAACACGGCTTATCGGAGGAGCATTGCGGCTTTGCTCGAGCTGAACCGTGCTGGATACGGTCTGCCCAATTCACCACATCACCTGCATCTGGTTTACAACCCGCTGGGTCCGTACTTGCCACCGAATCAACTTGGACTGGAAATCCAGTACCACGAGTATTTGTACCGTAATTTTGGCATATTCTTCAATCGACTGATCTGTATCACGAACATGCCCATCAAAAGATTCCTCGACGATCTCTGTCGGACCGGCTACTACGAAGCGTACATGGAACTGTTGGTCAACAGCTGTAACCTCGCTGCAGTGGACGGTGTCATGTGTCTCGACCAGATCCATGTGTCTTACGACGGGACGCTCCATGACTGCGATTTCAACTACGCGCTGGAGATGCCGGTGTGCTGGGGTCATCCTGATGACCCTGGTCCCCAGACCATCTTTGATTTGCAGCGTAGCTTCGATGAAGTCGCCGGAAAACAGATTCGAACGGGTGTGCACTGCTTTGGATGCACGGCGGGGAACGGATCGAGCTGTACCGGGGCGATCGTCACTTAGGTTCGCGTGCAACCTTGGCGGGCGATACGAGCGCGCACCGAGTGAACTGGTGAATGCAGAACCGCTCGCGCGCTGCCGGATCTGCAACACCAACCTTGTGGGGTCCAGATGCCTCTTGTGCTTCATGTGTCGACGCGACGCCATAAAGAGGGCTATGTACCGGCATGTCGCTTCATGAATATGATGCAGAGCGTGTGAGAGCATCCGTACGAAACTCTGCATGCATCACGCGGATGAGGGACGCTCCCCCATCGATAGCTGCAAGCCTGGTGCCGCTGTGTGACGTTTGATGCCTGGAGCGTCGCTTTCAAACGAACAAACGAACGAGCGAGCGAGTCCCGTTGACCTTGGACAACGCGCCGCCGACTCTACGCGTGCGAATAAGAAACCGACCGGTATGCACTGGACGTTGAGGTCGAGTCAGAGGCAGGCGCACCTTGCATCCGTTTCCAGCGTTGCTTTCCCGGTCGTCGGGTATCCAGGGATTGCGTCCCTGGTTATTCACGGTGAGGCGAGTACGGAAAGCATCAGAGGTTCTGCGCTATGGGACAGAAACCGCGCACGGATGAACAGCCGCCATCATGTTTACGCATCCGCAGTGCTATAACCCGCTTGTTCCACCGCGGCATCCGAACGAACCCAAACGAGTCCCTGTTTCGAAGTAGACGCGAACACCTACGTACAAAGCGAGCGAGGCGTGCACCAAACTGGACGCATCCACTGCTTGAGCAGGCGCAGTCCCTCTGACGCAGACTCAGCGAGTCACCACAATATCATCAATTTTGAGAATCATTCGCGCTGCCTCGGTGGCCAAGGTAAAAGCGCTCGAGCTGACCAGGGTCGGCTGGACGACGTGTTCGCTCAACATGTTGGCAACGACGCCGCCGCTCCGCCGAATATGGATGCCAACGCTCTTCTCACCGCGAACGTGCCGGTTCCGGAGCTCGGTGATTACCTGGATCGGGTTGAGTCCCGCGTTCTCCGCTAAGGTGTACGGGATCGTTTCCAGAGCTTCCGCGTAGCTTTTCACACAGTAGGCTTTGGCGCCACTCAGCGTTTTCGCCCATTCTCCGAGACGCACACTGACTTCGGTCTCGACTGCTGCCCCGCCGGGAACGAGGCTGCGTTTCCGAACGAGTGACCGAACCACACAGAGCGCATCATGCAGGGAACGTTCCGCTTCGTCCAAGATGAGTTGATTGGATCCTCTTAGCACAATGGTCATCGTCTGTGGCAGATTCGAGGTTCCAGCAGGCAAACTCGTCCAGAAAGCTGGCCGCTCCGACGAGCCATCGGGCAACATCGAGAGGCCGTTGGTATTGCTCGCGAGCGCGGCAGCCGTTGCTGCCGCCGCAGGACCCTGCACGAAACGTACGATCTTTTCGTCCCCACTGTCAAGTGCGACCTCTTCAACGACGTCGACTTTGGCGAGCTTGTCCGCGGTGAATGTGTCCAGGCCGGCAATCGGAACACAACCTAGCGTCTTGCAGATAAATCCCACTTGATCCCGTTCAATATCGCGCACCACCATGATTTTCATTTTGGCAAGGTAGTGTAGACTCAAATCGTTGGTCGCATCCCGTAGAATCGATTTCTGAATCAACAAAACGTTGCAGCCGGTAGCCTTGATTTTCTTGCACATTTGCAGGATATGCTGGCGCTCCTCTCGTAGTATCCGATCCATTGCCGCATAGTCCTGCACGACGACGTTGTTTTCAATATCCGTTTTTGGAGCCGACAAGCAGAACTGGATCAATGCTACTTGCGCGTTCACGATGCGGCTTGGCCCGCCCGCGGACTTGACCACCGACTGCGTCAGGATCAGTCCTGGGTAGAGGAAAGAGTCCTCGATGGTGGAGCCGAGTTTCTTGATAATGCGGATCCGCGAGAGGTCCACCGCTTGCGGTGGTGCTTCGGTCGCTTCCGACTCGATGAAGCGACGCTCGGCTACATGCAAAACAGCATCAACAGCAATCGGTGCGAGCAAACTCGCATGCTGAGAAACTATCTTGGAGTTAAGTGCCGTTGTCGCAAGTTTCACCAGTTCGTCTCTATCCGAAAGCGAAACCGGTACCGCAATCGAATCGATAATACGGAGCGCCTCCGTGCACGCAGACTGGTACGCGTCAGAGATCGTCGTCGGATGAATACCTCGCTCGAGGAGAAGCTGACTCGCAGCAAGCAGCGCACCGCAGATAACGACGACGGTGGTGGTTCCATCACCCGCTTCTATATCCTGCGACTTTGCCAGGTTCACCAACTTTTCGTGACGAAAGTAAGCGTCCAAGGTTAGTTTTTGTTCTCAACAAGTGCGGAAAATGCACAGTCCTGATATCAACGACAACGCGCTCTACGCGAAGCGTGTCAGCGTACGCGCCGCAGAGGAAGCACACGTCGCCTCCGACGGCCACGGAACGGTGGAAGGTGCCGCCACCGGCGACGCCGAACGCCTAGATTGCTCTCGCAAACGCGTTTAACAGCCACCCCATGAATAACAGGCTCATACTATTTCGCAGTTCGAGCCCGAACAGGGGCGCTGCAAAGATTCATTTGCAGTTGTTCTAGGTGTTATAACGCTCAGAGACCTGAACGTCTCCGTATTTGATAGATCGGTGATCAAACTTACCATTTTCGCAGCTGGTTCCTGCACACCCAAGCGATCCAGAATAGTCGCACCGTCATTCGTGATCAAAACGTCCCCGCGAGCACCTTCGATCATCTTGTCCATGCCTCGCGGGCCGAGGGAGGTTCGCACCGCGTCCGCCAAGGCTTTCGCCGCAGCGATGTTCGCGACGCGCACATCCCGCGCTTTAGCAGTAGTTGCAGAGGTCGAATTATCACCAGTTCGTCCCTGTTGTCCCGAACGAATCAAAGCGGTCGCTTGGTGGTTGTTCATTGGCGTCCTATTCGTTCCGCTGCGCTCGAAGAAGAGCGATACACCCCAGCGCAACGGTACCGCGGAGTACCGCGGCAGGCGCGAATGCCGCGATGGCCTCGGAAGCGCACAGGCGCGCTTCGCAGCGCTGCTGGCGAAATGCACCAGGGAAGCTGCTTCTGGGGCAGGCACTGGAGCAGTCCACGAGACCTGATAATCAGGCACAGAAGCTCGGTACGAGTCACGTTGATGTTTGTACACGCAACGCTTTCCTTTCCTCGTGGTTTCGTGGGACTCGTGCGTCCATCCGTACAGCGAACGCTTGGTGAGACGTTCAGACGATTTGCGAGTCCAGGGCGTGGAGAGAGACCTCGCGTGGCGCTGGGAAGAGCGCACCAGGCGCTGCAGAGGCTCGCACGTCGACCGTTATGTGCGCTGGCGGGACGGCAGACTTTCGGTTCCTTCGACGAGATGTTGAAGGCAGCGCCAGAACCGGCGCTCGTTGACTTTTACTCGAACACTTGTGGGCCGTGTGTTATGATGGGAAGAACGCTGGATCAGGTCGCTGGTAGGCTCAAGGCTATTCCCTGTCGGGTCATGAAAGTTGACGTGGACAAGTATCCGTCGATTGCAGACCGTTTCCAGATTCAGGCTCTGCCAACGCTGATTCTATTTCGGGACGGCAAGGAGCTGAAGCGCTTTTTAGGCTATCGGGATGGTACCACCCTGGAACAAGAAGTACGCGAAAGTCTCGCCCAGACATCGCCGGCAGCATGAGTCCGAGCCTGCACGCTGAGCTCGGATAGCATCGAGCGTGGCTGATACCAGAGCTCGGAAACGATATGCGGGCGATTCATTCTGAGATCGCGTGTGGACCCTCGTGGCGTCGCGAAGGATAGGCACACAGAACCTATTCCGAGAGTGCTCGCAAAACACTCGCACACTGCAGCGTGGCCCAAGCACTAGAGCGATTTCGTTTGGAGCCGTTTTGCGCTCCGGCAAAGTACGCGGGTAAGGACGTGGCTGAAGGCACGGCTGCAAACAGGTTCAGTTGCGTCCGCGCCCCTGTGACTTGTCGTTTCACCCCAAAGGTCTAACGCAATCTGCGGGAACGGTTGGATTACCGGAATTCGTAGTTCCACTGGACCAGACTTTGTGCGCATACCGTGTGCAAGTCGTGAGAGATTGATTGATTTTGGATATCACTGAATTTCCTCTGAAAAGAAAGTGTCCGTCGTGAGCCAGTGCCCTTCAGTTTTGAGCGTAAACCACATGCAGGCCTGGGCCGCAAACGACCAACAGTCGACTTCATCTCTCGTTTCTATTCATTCGCAAAACAATGATCAGCGCGCAAACGCACACCGCGAGGAGACTTCACGTTTGCAGCGCGAGCACCCGGTCCTTCGGGCTTTTTCGAGGATAGACAAATGTCGGTTTTTTCGTGTTGGTTGAAACCTAGAGCTTACTGATAATGGCTTGCGTGTACTCGGAGCACAAAGCCTTGCCTCCCAGATCACGCGTACGTACCTGACCCTCGCGCAGGACCGTGTAAATAGCATGCTCAATACGATTCGCGTGTTCCTGCAATCCCATGTCACGGAGCAGAAGAACGGCTGAAAGCAGCAAGGCGGTCGGATTCGCAAGGTCCTTTCCCGCAATGTCCGGCGCTGTTCCGTGCACGGCCTCTGCCAAAACGGTGTGCTCGCCCTTGTTCAGGGATGCCGTCAGCCCAAGGCCACCTACGAGTCCCGCAGCCAGATCGCTGATGATGTCACCCGCAAGATTGGTCAAGACGAGGACGTCGTAGCGTTCTGGCTGGCTGATCAAGTACCCGGAACAGAGCTCAATCAATGCTTCTTTGAACTCGATATCCGGGTATTCGGCTGCAATGCGTCGGCAGCAATCCAAGAACATGCCGTCGCTTAGCTTCAGAACCGATGCTTTGTGGATCGCCGTAACGCGACGACGTTTGTTCTGGCGAGCGAACTCGAACGCGAAACGGGCAACGCGTTCACTCGCAACACGCGTGATAACTTTCAGAGATTCCACGACGCCGGGCACCACCTCGTGCTCAAGGCCAACGTACTCGCCCTCTGTGTTCTCGCGAATAATCACAACATCAACGGCTGGGAATTTCGTTTGGATGCCCGGGATTGTGCGACAGGGGCGAACGTTCGCATAGAGGCCGAGCGCCTGACGCAGCGTCAAGTTCAGGGATTTGTGACCCTTGCCGATGGGCGTCTCCAGCGGCCCCTTGATGCCGTAGCCGAGGCGGCGGATGGAATCCAGAACATTGCTCGGAATGAGATCTTGACCTGGAACCACGTTCTTCGTGCTAATGGGATACTCTTCCCACTGAATGGGAACACCTGCAGCCGCAAGTACCTTCTTAACCGCATCGGATATCTCCGGACCAATGCCGTCCCCCGGAATAAGAGCAACCGTGCGCATCGTGTTCGCCGTCGAGAGCGTCCTCCAATGGTGTCGTCTCGCGAGCCCAGCATGTCCTTCGCTAGTCGCAGCTCTTATCGGAGAGCCCTCCAGGCCGTGCCGCCACCTGGCCACGAAGGCACGTTGGGCGCAAGCGCGCAAGCAGGTCAACGTGCGCTGCAAAGTCCGCATTTTTCAAGGTCAGTGCCGATCCAGTGATATCCTCGAAAGCGAGCTTGGTCAGATGATCTGCGCTATGGACACCGACAGGGAAAAATAGTAATGCGTTTGCAGCGCTAAACTATTGACGTAGAGCAGATCGTCTCAGAAAGAACGCCTCCTGGGCACTCGGTTTCACGTTCTATGAGGTGCAGCGCTATGCGCACGCTTAAGTTATGGTGACTTGAGCGTCCAGGTTCACACTGATCTGCCAAGAACAGTTTCACAGAACAATACGTGCAACCGCAGTTCTTTGGGGTAAAGAAAGCGTTGCCCCTCAAAAGCACCTATACGTACCGTCTCGGAACGGTGGACGCTATCCCGCCTGCCGATAATAACCACACACTCAGGAAAACACTGGCTCGCGGAGAAGATCCGACACACACACACACACCCGCTGCCCAAAGAAAAGCGCGTATCGTCTGTTGAACAAGTCGCGCACGTACAACCCGCGTGCACGCATTCGATACGCGAAGCGCTGCATGGATCTTCGCCCTGCCAGTCGGGGGTGTATGTTGGATAATCTTCGAGCTTGATCAGGGATACCTGTGCTAGGCTCTGGTGCTTTTTTCCAGCGTATGCGGCTGGCGATACACTGCATGCGTTTACGAGTCGAGCCTCCACAGCGCCGGCGCATGCGCGTCCACGGAGGTGCATGCGTGTCGGGGTTGCATGTGCGTTACACGTACACCCTTGCGCGACGACGTCCATGGGCGTCTACGGTAGGCGTGCATTCAGGGAGCTTGCGTATTTATCTGCATATCAAAGTTAAACTGGAACAGGTGGACTTGCGAACTCGAGGGTACACGCTGACGTTTGCATCACGTCGTACTGTCCTTCAAAACAGAGTGTGCGGGATTTCGTTGGGACTGCTCCTGTTTCCTGTCGCTTACATCCAGCTGTGAACAGGCCGGATTTTTTTTCTAGAAGCGATCGATGCGATATCCAAAGTCCATGGCCGTGGCCATTTCGCATCTCAACCGCAGCAATGGGAGCCAATCGGGAGGAATCCGCTTTAGAGGTATGGTGCAGGTGCGGAACTCCTTTTCGCTGATGACCGAAAAAGCGAGGAGGAATTGTCTTCGGGACGGCATCCATTATTTGACATGACAAGTTCAGTGAAGTTTCGGCATGATCTTGTGGAGAAACCGGCCAGGGGTGACGTCGAGTTTTTCGTTTTCATTTTCAATCCAGTTGCGCTGGCTGCTGCGTCCGCGAGTTGCCTCGCAACAGCAGGATCGGAAACTTGTACAGTGCGGCATTCGAATATGTGACACGTAAAGCAGCGGAGAAGCGTAGAGCATTGCACCTATGCATTGAATAAAGACATCAATGAAATTACGAGACTTTGTCGGAAGGTGTCGCAAATGACCCTGATTCCGGTGACGTAACGGATTCCAGCGGTATGGCGAGGAAGCGGCTACCCCGGAGAAAAAAACGACCGAGAATCCCAAGACTTTGCGTACATCCATAAGCCGTTATTGTTGCGCTTCAAATGACGAGACCGAACGTCTGAGAAAAATTCGAAAAATCGAAATACAGAAACAGAGCGAGCAGTTCAGTGTTCCATTTCCATCCGCCGCAAGTGGAGATGAACAAATGCGCTCATTTGCGGGTGATCACGGTGCGAGACATCCAGCCGGTTTGGTGTAGGTTTCGCGAAACCCGCACGAACGAAAGCAAGCTACTGTGATTAGCTGGAGCGTTCGAATTCCTCACTGAGTAGCGATTTGCCGTGTTTCTCGACAGCATTTCATTCCACGATGGCCGTCGAATCGAGCACGTCCGATAAGACCTTCTCCGCTGCTCGATTCTCAGTGCACCATTCTTCCAAGAATAGAACCCTTCTCTTTCCGGAATCCGTCTCCACGCAGGTCACTAGTTTCTGTCAGCGCGGCGTGCCCACTGCTGTGACACGGGGAACAACGCTCCATGCTGCGGCTCCATGTTTTTGACATTCCCCGTACCGATTCTTTCGACCATGCCGAGCACGCAGATTTTCAACGATGGACTCAGCGTCGGATTCGAGAACTATAAGGAATATCCAGTATGGCGCAGTAAAGTAATGAGCTTTCGATGAAATGGTAGGTAAGCGTCCTCCTGCTTCGGGGACAAGGTCTAGAATTCATCTTTGGTGCTGCAGCTTCCGCAAAAAGCGCGCATGCCATGATTGTCCAGGGACTGTAGACCTGCCAATTCTTACGGTCTTACAAGTCAATTTTGTTTCCGTACTGCCAGATATCATCGAATGCTTTTTCGCAGTGTATAGCAGGAAATCGAATTCGCGATTCAACGCACCGTATACATCGGAGAAGAATTGCCTCCAGGATATATATTCTTTACTGAACAGAGCGAGCAGGACTACGCCCCTTCTTCAGGTCAGTCATACTATAGTTCTCTCATGATTGAAGAGCACTGAAAGATACAAATAGATGCACTTTGCCCCAAAAACCGATATTCTGACAGCGTGCCTGCTGTCAGTATGCAATATACGACACCGTGATCACTTTCTGGGGAACGCAAAAGCGAAGATCGTGGTCACCACGGGCGTCTGCACAGTTCAATAGCTTGTTCGTGTAGTCCTGGAAACACTGAAATACAGTTGCAAAAGAGTCCAGGTTCACGCATGGCCATCTTCCACCGAAATTGCAGCAACTAGCGCGTTCCCCGGAACTCACTGCCGAATCTCGTGCTACCGCAGACATTCCATCGAGAAGCGGTCTGGACTGAGGCTTCAGTGTGGACCCTGTTCGGGAGACGACGGCACGCCTGGGCTGGCGGCGTCTGTTGCTTTGCACGACAGGCGAAGAGGTATCGTTCTATTCGGGAGACGGTCTCATCAGGCGGGGGGCGGACCACGCCAAAACACACGCTGGATAGCGGCAACTGAGGCGTGCTCGGCTCGCAACCAGCGTACGCCCACAGCACGTTGTCGCGTACGTTGAGCGCTGGACACTCGTCGGCGCGAGACTTGACCTTTGGACGCTCGTGTGTGGACCGCTACCCACCGACTAGACAGTTCGTCTGGTCGTGGGTCGGAAAGCAACGTGCGTACTGCGTACCGACGCGGCTACGTGCAGACAGTTGCAAGCGTTCTCGTAAGCGCTTGCGGGGTCAGAGGCAGCCGTTTCATCCCCGGCTTTTTAGTCACAAAAAAACTTTACGTTTTGAAGAGGAGGAGGGGTAGGATCCAAGAACGTGTCTGGTACAACTAAAGCCGTCCTGTTACCAGCGAATCCAAATTGATCACGTACAGCTTGATGGAAGCGAGGAAGCGAGCACGCTTTCTCGAGCGCGTGGCCAAATATGGCTTTCCGTGTGTGCTGTGCCCTCATCGTGGCGGTGCGCTGAAACCGCTCACAGCATCATCGACTACCGAGCATGAAAACGAGCCCGAACACGTGACTGGTGCGTCGAAGCCGTGCTTGCCGGTCTCTACTCCAGAGACAGAGAAGCACGACCCCGACGCAGTGCAGCGCCGTTCGCAAGCATCGAGATGGGAGCACCAGGATCCGCGCTTTGCCCACGTTGCATGCCTGTACTGGCTCCTAGCGAAGCCAAAGGCAGATGAAACTGTCGCAACCAGCGTACAGCGATTGCTCGAAGAGTTAGCAGCCAGCGAGGATCCGTGTCTAACACAACGCATTCGAGCGAATGCGGCAGTACGCTGCATTGTCTGCAAGCAGCGGGGCGTAGGTCTCTGTATGCGCTGTAATGCCCCGTCTTGTGATGTTGGATACCATATTACGTGCGCACAGCGCGCCCAGTTATTCATGGATGTGCATACGCACCAAAGCCTGTGCCCCAAGCACACGCAACTACGGGTCATTGCCGAAACAGGAAACGCGCTTTTGTTGTCAACGAAGACATCAGGAGGCATTGCCCCGGAAGGGATACCGCCCCGACAACGACGAGGTCGATCGTCGCGGACCGAGTTACAGCACCGCCACCTGAGCGTACATGATGCCCCAGACAGAACGCGGATGACAGTGCGCGTGCCGCAAAGTATCGAGCTGGGCTTTCTGCCGACTCGCGTTGACGCTGTGCCGCTTTCCGAAGCTGCAGAATGCTACGCAAACCTTCGCCAATGCCGGCAAAGTCTGGAACACCTACGCACGCTTGCGGACTTGGTTTGGCGGCGAGAGTCCATGAAACTGGGCCATACCGAGGTTTTCTTCAAGCTTCTGAGGCGATCCATTGCAGCGTTTCTTGCTACCGAGCGCATACTAGGTCACGACGCCTCGGCTGCTGCAGAGCTGGTGTCTGCAGCGCGGCTCGCGGAAGCATCGAATACTGATAGTCATGGCAACTCCGCAACTACCGAGGATGTTGTCGTCAGAAGGCCACGTCGCCGCGGTCGCCGAGCGCGTCAACCTATGCCCTCCAGCGTACGAGAACGAAACGAGTCACCAGCAGTGCAGACTTGCCTGGACGCATCCTCGCCGACGTTTCCGCGTGCCGAGGCTGCGGTGCCAACAAGCGATAGTCCGATGGACGAGTCGGAGGCTGCTGGCTGTTCTGAAGAAGCACGGCCAGCAGCAGGCGTCGGCATGCCACCGTCGCTTCGCTTTTCGGGTTTCGTTGAGAACGCGCTTCGTGTTGCCGGGGCGGCCTTTCGGTTTAGCAGAGGAAACGGTAAACAAGACACGTAACCCCTCAGTTGACCGAGTGACTGGAGCATGACACGACGCGAGATCATCACGCTAGATCAAGCGACTGGCCTGCTCGCGTGACCTATACCCCAGAACAGCACGGTGTTCGTGGAGTGGCCATACTCCGCGGTATGCGTATGGATTGGTGTGTGTGTGTGTGTGTGTTGGAGCGGGTTCCGGAGCCATAGGAAAGCAGCCAACGCCTTAGGTTACCTGCACTTGCACAATCTCGAAAACGCAACGCCATCCTCGAGGACTCGTCACCGCCGAAAGACAGTGCTGAGCTGTCAGTGAAAAGCCAGCGCTACTTGCGGACGCTTCGGGGTCAGGTGTCATGCGCCGCTTCCACTACTACCACTCGTCGTTCTGCTGCTGCGATGATGTCGAGTTTGGCTGGCGCTATTCAGACGCTTACGCATCCAAGCACTAGCCTCGGAGAGGAGCGCTCGCGAGCTCGACCGCCACGCGGCTTAGGTTTGCGTCTCTACACGCACGCACACTCCAAGGCGCTAACCAAATACCTTGCAATAGGGAGCACCGGTGTCAAGGCGTGCTTGCCACATAGACCGGTTTTGGTGAACGCAACGCTGCTGCCGTTGCCCCCCGACGTCGCGAAGCAGCTACGTCTGCGCAGCACAGGCGACTTGTTCAGGAATACGCAGCGGGAAGACGTGTGCACACTCGTGCGCCTCGTGTATCTCGCAAAGTGATGCATCACCCGAGCAACAGAAGCAGCAGGCGTCACAGCAGTACCTGGGGCACTTTACGCGTTACAAGAACTCTACTGAGAGGTCTCCTGGTTTACGGCAGGACGGGTGCGTTAGCCTCAAGGTGGAGCAGCACCTGGCAGGCGTCACAAAACCAGTCGCCTGCGGGGATTTCGGTGACACCATAGCATTGCTGGTGGACACCAACACCGCATCGATCACAGAGGATAATATCGTTTTCCTTTCCATCGCAGTCACCGTCTCCACAGACATCGCAACGCGCATTCATAGCAAGAAGCATTCGTGCATCGCTCGGCAAACTGACGGTAGCTTCAGTTGCACCGGATAGACTGTCCATGAGACGCCGATGCGGTGCTATCGCGCGAGCACGTTCCAGCTGATGCAAGGCGAGGTCTGCTTCGACTTCGGCAAGCGTTTGTGGTGGACACGAGTCCAGATTCGCGAGACCGCCATGGCGAATTGCCGGTGGAGCTGGTGCAGAGGCGGCAACCGCAGGAGCTTCGCGCTTCAAGCCACGCACTCGGATGCTTGTGGAGTCCATCACGCTACCGTAACGCCGGATTCCACTGATTTGGTTCAAACGCTGGATGTGCGCTTCGAGTTCACGTTCGGAGGCGGCAAGTTGCGCGCGCTCGGCCTGATCTGTCTTGGAGCGCTCCAGTAACAAAAGCCGATACGCGTGATTCTCTGCGTTCACGCGTTGCAATGCTTCCCATTTGGCGCGCAGCAGGCATTCCAATGACGACGACGATGATGATGATGATGATGACGACGACGACGACGACGCTGGAGACGAACCGAATGTTCCTGGGGTGGCATCGGGAGCCAGGAAAGTCGCCGCGCCAGCAGGCGATGCAGGCGGCACCAAGCGGTACCCGAGCAGCACGAGATCGTTCTGTGCTGAAGACGGTGTTTCAGGGGCACCAGAAAGGTTTTGTTTCTGCCAACGATAGGCGCCCTCAATCGCCAAGCCACTCTGGTCGAGCACCAGCCGAAAGTGAAGTGCGGATAACGTGCTATCCGCATTCGGTGGTTGCTTCCGCATGCGCTTCCGTGGAGCTCCTGCCAGTTCCGGAGACTCGTCATCGGCGTGATCGTCTTCGCCATGGACCCAGCTGCTGCTTGTGGGGTCGTCCAGTTGCTCCCAGCGAGCGTGGCTGCTCAGCCAGTTCAAGGTATCCGTCGCACTGAGCGCGTCCTGGCTGACAGTACCTGGTGGAGCGCCTCCTTGGGGCGACGACGGTATCGATTGCCCGGTGACTGCATCCGGTTTCTCCATACTGTGTAGCATGTTCTGTTGCGAGAGCATTTCTTCAACGCTGCTTATGACGGCGGCGAGCCTCTCAAACGCAGACAACCCACGAATACCTCTTCCAACGGCGCCACGACTTGTCTCGAAGGTGGCCGCAACGCGGTTGAAACGACAGAGCGCATCGTAGAGTTTGCGGCTCATACTTTTGCAAAGACATGCCTGGCACGAGAAACCGTTGCTGTGAATGTGCCTCATGCGCTGCTTTGCTTTCTCGAAAGTTTCCAGACCAGCCATGGTCCGCATACGAAGCAAGCGCAAGTAGGCACGCAATTCGTTGCGCCGATGCAACTCTCGTAGTTTCTTCAGTGACGGGCTCGCTTCCCAGTATGTCGATTCCCGCGAACTGGAGTGCTGAGCATCTTTCACGGCGCGGTGGACGACTTCTTCCGCAACATTCGTGCGCTGGGCGGAAGCAGAAATTCGGTGTAGAGCGCTTTGCGTATGTTCACGACACAGACAAACGGCTACGATGGAGCCGCGCTTCTCCAGGACATGCCTGTCCACAACCTGCACTAGTTCCGTCTTTTGCAGAAGTTTTCGTAAAGACTCGCGTTCACCGATGAGAAACAGATACCCGGCTCGTCGCCCACAACTCGCATGAAAGGCTGCGCTGCAGTGCAGCCAGTGGCAGCGAACAACGCCACCACAACCCGTTGATTTGTGACAAATGACGCAACGGAGATGCCGCCGCTGCACCGGAATCTCGTCAAGGCCGAGAATAGGTTCCATTTCGCGTATTTCGCCAATAGTTGTATCCGGAGCGCAAAGCGCACAGAAAATATGGGCCCATTCGCCATTCAGGCCCGGCTTGAGGGCGCCCGCAGCGGCACCGCAGAGCGAGCAGCGGATGCTTCTGCGAAGAATCGATGCTGCTCGGCGCGAGGGTGCGTTCATGTACGTTTGCTGACATGGCCGACATAGCCAATTGAAATCCACGGTGTCGTTTTGGGTCACTGAATCCGCTTGAATTCCGTAACACATCTGATGCACGACCGTTCCACAACCATTGCAACGCCACAGTCGGTTCTCCGGCGAATATTCGTCCGACATGCATACGTCGCATGACCTTTCAGCGACCTCGACTGGGTGGTTGTCTCTTGCCTGCTTCAGTTCAGTACCCGCCATTTCAGTTATGCTAACCTGCTTACTTCGTGGAAAGAGTGCATGCGCGTTGAAAAAGACCGCATGGGTGAAGGCGCTTCCAGAGCGTTCCGAACCGAGCCACGACTCAGTGGCTTCATAGCCCACACTGCCGCCACTCGCATTGCCGCCGCCACTGCAGCGAGCTGTCTCCAACCGGAATCGCATGTTTGGTGCCGGCTCGTCAGGGCGGCTATCTTGCTCCGCATGGAGCCGAAGGTTCAGGCGAGACTGCTGTGCTCGGAGTCGGCTCTGGAGGAGGCAAGTTTCACAAACGATACCCCGACGGTGATCGTGTTTCGCACGTGTCGTCGTCCCCAAGAGCTGAAGCGTCTCTGTGGCCGACGCAGCTGGCATCTTGGGCTCATTCAAAATTCGTCTCGCATGCCCCGTGGCTTGAACAAGCTCATGAGCATCCTCCGTGAGCCATTTCCAAAGATACGGTACATCGGCGGGGCTTGCGAGCAGTGCATTCTGCATATCTGAGGAAGCCAATGGGATCTGAATGATCTGGAGGTCGGTCGCGTCCAAGGATTTGAAGCAAAGGCTCACTGGTTGCCATTTCCAGAGTTCCTCACAGCTCGAGGGCCAGTGCGACTCGGCGAAACGTGAGAGCCATTCTCTATCGGCGGATGGATCCTCGCTCATGAGAGCGTTGTAGGCACGCAAATAGGCCGTTGCTGCCTTCAGCGAGCTCGTCTTCAAATCAAGGTCATCATTTGTCGCTGCTGTATGGCCGCCGCGGCCGCATGCATTGACAGTAAATCCGGTGCTTCGACCAAACCGCGATGAGACCGAGCGCTCGGGCGCGTCGGTCGCGTCCTTTGCCTTTGAGGAATCAGCTTGGCTCATATTCCTATCGTTCGAAGCTGAAACGCGGGGATCCATCGGGAACGCTTGCACTGATGAAGTAGAAACACTAGACATCAACGTAGCACAGGACGAGTCTCTGCTCGGTCCGTGCCCAGCGACTATTGGCTCGAGCACGTTGCCTCGCTCAACGTCTTTCGTCCTCGAGGTCTTGAGCTCGGCTGCATCCGTCTGTGGGGCGCTCTCGAGCTCTTCGACCTTCCTTGCACTTCCTGGACCAACTCGCAACGGCCGCGTCTGCCAGCTCAGAACTGCCTCTTCGCGGTGGGCGCGGGACCACTTGGGTCGTCTTTTGCACTCGTGGTTTACCTGGACTTCGTGGGGCTTACTCACGGCTCGTGGGCGTCCCCGACGTCTACCGCGCCCTGCTGACATGTCCGTTGGCCGCACGACAATCAACGACGGGATGTACGATCAGTGGCTAAAGTTCGCCAAACTGCAGCCAAACTGCCCGTTCAGAGTTTCCACCAACGCGAGGCGCTCCCGTCGCACGTACCGGCCTTGTGCAGTCCAGTGGATGTGCCAAGGCAATCAACTCCCCGAAGCTTGACAGGTCGACACTCGAACAAGACCCGCCCCAGAGAAGCATAAACCGACACGTGGACAAACCTTCGCGCTCACTAGCCTCCTCAAACCAGCCTCAAACACTTGAGCCTCACAAGAAAGGCTCCCGCGTTTACGACTTTAAGCCTCAGCAGCGAGAGAGGCACCGTGGCGTGTCAAAAGCGTCTTGTGTAGCGTTTTGTTCGAACACGCACGCACGCAGCCGAAGATCGAGCACGCACACATCTGAACCGCGATGCGTGCGGACGTAACGTGACGCATGCTTGCGTGACGACACGAAAAGCGACGCGCCGGCCGCCGCGCCTGTTGCGCGCTTGGCGCGCTCAAGAGCGCTGTCCCAATCTAGGACATAGAGGACGCCTTTCCAGGCGGCTTCTCTGCGCCATTCAGTTGGCGGCTGCGCGGTTGCGGGTGATGTTTTTCGCGATTCCATTGGCCAGGGATCTCTGATTCCGCGCTTCGCATCAGCGCGCAGTGAAACAGGTATCGTACCATGGCCTGCTTCTAAGTTGCACGATCCGTACTTTTTTTGTCGGAGATCGTGGTTGTTGTCCGCGTTCTGTCGTACGCTGCGTGCATGCCGTGAGCGTTCGCAGTGAGCCCTATTGTGCCGCCACGGTCGCAGCACGGAGACAAAGCGGCTTTGCTACAGTCCTGAGGGCCTCGGCTCGAGGCGTGCTGCCTGCGCGAATGCTCCAAAAACGGGTGTCAGGCGCGTCAGGTATCGGGGGCGTCTCGAACAACTGCGGCTGTGCGAAGCAAGTTTCCCTTTGGACACCTTTTCATATTAATGCGAAGAAAACTCTGGGCGCTGCCCTCGTTCAGTGTGGCTTTGGCAGTAAAGTATCTTGCGTTCATGGTTCTTTCACGCTAATTATTACTTTGCTGTATATACCTGGATTCATTGAGGAAATAGTACTTTCTATTTAGCAGTTATTCTTTGACCTAGGCTATTTTTAGGGCTAAACAGCTGCAGCAGTCTCGTTTGCATCTATTGAATCGAAAGCTCCATGTCCGAAACTTCAAAAGCAGACTTGGTTGACGTTTCTGCAGCGTCGTACCTCTCCAGACGCGGCACAGATGAAACGTACAGTTCTGCAGTTGGCATTGTGGTTGCTGCGCGCTTGTGGAGCATGTTTCCGGGACAGGTGCGCATGGTTCTCATGCGTGACGTCCGATCGAAGGGAACGCGCTCGAAGGAGACGGAAGCGCGTTTGACGGAGGAATATGCGGATGTTGTTGCACCACGTTATGGGACGGAAGAAAAGTTCATGGCAAACCTGTGGCTCTTGCGATGACCCGAACTAGGTGTAGAATGGTCTCGGTATGCTGGTCTGCAGTGGACAACCGGCGGGCTCGCTTCCTTACTAAATGTAGTATGGAATATATCCTGAGAGAAACGAGTAGGGTCCGATACCAGATCTGCTTAAAGTGTTATGGTGGTTACTTCTGCTGCGAAGCGCTCGCTGGCAAGTCGTTTTCAAGTATGCTGCAGAGCGCGAACTCTATTCTGGACTCGGTGCTGCTTCTGTGTGCTACAAAACGGATCTAGAAGCTCTCCGCATTCCACTGACTTCGACATGGCGTGCTGTACCCCAACTGCAACCAAGCGTTTGCGAAAGGTTTCGCGTGCTGCAGCATGGGAAACCCAAGTGAACAAAGCTGAGTCGATCGCAGAATCCGTACATGATTTGGATCCATCGGCGATAATATCTCGCCACGTGAAATCAGAAGATACTTTATGGGAAGCGCTGTGAAGTCGAACGGCCAGTTCTAGCGTCCCGGAGCATGAAGAGACACACATACGGGATGAAAGCACCTTCCTTGCAGGTCGTAGACTGCCGCAAGTACATGGCATCGGCGTAAGGTACGAATACCTCCCGTTTTTTATGATGCTGGATCCATACGTCAAAGCAGAATCCCCCGTACTGGGAACGGTGCCGATAACCAGGGCCGGGACCCCCGCTCGCCTCAGCCGATCCACCGCACCACAGGGTCACCTCGTGTATACCCTCAGAGCCACACATTGGACCGATCTGGTGAGTTCATCCGCACCGGGCCTCCAGAGTACGCTCGCCAGGACACACGATACACCTTTGAAGTCGTTCACACAGGTGGACAGGACGGCTTCGCGCTGCCTTTGCTGAAATTCGTCCAAGGGCATATCGCCTGACCCTCTCCAGGCACCCAAATCGCGTTGGAGCACGTATTGCAACTCGCTTAATCTCGCAGAATCTCACCGAGCGCATCCCGCGAAAAACACACTTTGCATCTTCAGATCAGCGCTACCTAGCAGAGCTGAGGTTCATTCTAGCACATTCTAGAATGTCATTTGGCGAGAGGACGCTTTGTCGGAGCTCTTGTAGAAAGCGCCCCGAATTCAGAATGCTCAACTTTGCAGCGCAAACACTCGGGAGAGCGCCGAGCCCGTCGCTTGTCCGTGCAGATACAGGTCTCGGTGTTCATGCTCGCAGCGGCTCCTGCAGCTTGACTTTCCGCAAACTCGCACCGAACCAACGGTGTAAACTCGGTCTCGACAACGGATTCGGCCACTGTACTTTTGTACGCGTTTTTCCTTGCATCCGAGTTCGAAATGGGTGTAACACTCAGCGGCACGGTCGGTGAACGGTACCTGCTGTTGGAAAAGCCAACGCACGCTGCATCTGGTTTCGAATATGCTCGACTGCACCACTCTCGCCGCAGTCTGAATTCATAAACAGCTACGCTACACGATTGAATCTGAACGGAAGCCCGACCGGCTTGTTCATTGCAGTAACTGCTTCGGACTCGAGGGTGCACACACGGATACGGTACCAGAATAGAGCATGAGAAATGCCCTGATCGGCCTGGTCGTTGTGGGAACTGCTTCGGTAATGGCACACGGTGACGAGGTGCTTGAGCAAGCCCCCGCGCACCCGCACCCCTGATGGACACCTCTACCAGAATCGCTCGCGTCACTGCAAATGCAACAGGAACCAACCAATACGCCCATATAACTAACAGCATACGTTTACATACACATTCATGAGAACGATAATCGAAAGCACACAAACAAACATCTCGCTGCGAAACGCTTCCCAGCACGACAGTACCTGGAATGAACGAATCGCACGCTGCAGGTGCTGAACGCAGCAGGTCGCCAGGGCCTCGGCCCCCGCTCCGAGGCGTCGCAGCTTCGGAAGGCATCGATCGCTTTTGATGCGTGCGCGCTTGGGCGCGGGCACCTGCATACGTGCACGCTGCGCACGCCGCTTGCGTGAGTCGACTTGCCGCGAAAACAACCTCAAGGCACACGCTGAACGCAAAAACGCTCCACTTTTCCAAACAGGTGCCTAGTACTTGTGGTGTGAGTTCTGTGTTAGGGCAGGTTTCGGTCTCCGTTGAGAATAGTGCAGGTTAGGAGCGACCTTATCCAGACGTGGCGTTCCTCGGTGTTTCCAGGCGTTTCTTTCGTTGCGAGCTGGTGCGTGCTGGTGAGCGCGCCCCTCGGAACCTATGGCAACCTCAGATGCAACCTTTGGGGCGGTTGAATCTGATACAGCGGGATCGCTTCTGAACTTTGAGCTGCCAGATCAGGACTTTTTGCTGCAGCTCGAGGCAAAAGTCCAGCAGCTCTATGGGGCGCGGTCTGAAACAGATCGCAAGTCGGCCCAGGAGGAGCTGACGGCGCTCCAGATGCATCCACAGGCGTGGATGCGTGTCGATAAGATTCTCGATTCGAGCACGACTAGTGAGCCCTCCAAGTTTTTCGCGCTACAAATTCTCGAGTCTTTAATCAAGTATCGTTGGAAGACTTTGCCGACCGAGACACGAGAGTCCATCAAGCTTTATGTTCAGAACAAGGCAATACTCTTGTCGTCGTCGGCGGAATCTCTGGTACGTGAACGCACGTTCCTTTCAAAGCTGAACCTCATCTTGGTGCGAATAGTGGCCCAGGAGTGGCCCTCCCGTTGGCGCTCGTTTATCAGCGACGTTGTGAACGCGAGCAAAACGTCGCCGACACTTTGCGAAAACAACTTGCATATTCTCCGATTGCTGAGCGAGGAGGTGTTTGATTTCTCAGCTGGGCAAATGACGCAAGACAAAATCGACGAGCTCAAGACGACATTCAACCAAGATTTTAGTGAGGTTTACGACCTCTGTCAGTATGTATTCGCACAGCGAGTAATACTGCAGCAGATGCAGCCATCGCTTCTTGTGACTACGGTGCAGACGCTAGAGAAGTTTTTGTCGTGGGTTCCTTTGGGCTATATCTTCGAGACCGACCTTTTGGAGACGCTGCTTGAGCTGTTCGATTACTCTGCAGAGCTGCGCAATAGTGTGATGCGTTGCCTCGTTGAGATTGCAACACTCTCTGTTGGTCCCGAGTACGACGAAAGATTTCTGTTTCTCTACATGACACTTCTATCAAAACTCGCCGTTGCGGTACCACTGGAGGTCGACATTGCTGCGCACTACGACCAGGCCAGTGAAGCAACCCAGTCTTTTATTATGGACTTGGCGCTGTTCCTCACAGGCTTCTTTGGGGCGCACGCAGCGCTGCTCGAGCAGTCTTCGGACCCGGCACATCGTCAGGCACTCGTGACGGGAAACATGTACGTCGTGAAGATTGCTCGAGTCAACGACGTGGAGGTTTTCAAGGTCTGCCTCGAATGGTGGCGGAGCCTCACGGAGAGCCTATATCGGGCTCTCTTCTCCATGTTAGACTACGCCGTGGGAGAGCGGACGCCACTCACTTTGGACGCGGATCGACCCAATTTCGAGCGACTCGAAGATCAGCATGCACGTCGCCAGCTCTACGCCAGCGTACTATACCAGATTGCCCTGGTCATGATCCAGAGAATGGCGAAGCCAGAGGAGGTGCTCATTGTAGAAGACGAGAACGGCGAGATCGTGCGGGAAACCACGAAGGACACCGATGCGTTGGCGCTATACAAGACAATGCGGGAGACGTTCATTTTTCTAACCCACATTGACCCGCTGGATATTGAAACCATCATGATTGAGAAGCTCGATCGTCAACTTGACGGAACCGAGTGGAGTTGGCAAAATCTGAACACGCTCTGTTGGGCCATTGGATCCATCTCTGGTACCATGAGCGAAGAGTCCGAGAAACGCTTCCTCATTCATGTTATCAAGGATCTCCTGCGATTATGTGAGGAGAAGCGAGGAAAGGACAACAAAGCCGTGGTCGCAGCGAACATCATGTACGTCGTGGGGCAGTACCCGCGCTTCCTGCGAGCACACTGGCGTTTCCTGAAAACCGTGGTGAACAAGCTTTTCGAGTTCATGCATGAGCTGCACCCAGGAGTCCAGGACATGGCGTGCGACACGTTTCTGAAAATCGCGCAGAAATGCCGAAGACAGTTTGTCATCGTACATGCAGGTGAACATCAATCTTTTGTGAACGAGATGCTGGACAATCTGGAGAGCATTATCGGCGATCTGGAGCCGCATCAGGTGCACTCTTTCTATCAGTCTGCCGCAACGATGATCAGTGCAGAGACGGAGAGTAGTACGCGGGAACTCTACATCCGCCGTCTCTACGACGCGCCGAATCGTCGCTGGCGATCCCTTTTGGAGGAGGCGACGCTTGACCAGAGCTTGCTGCGGGATAGGAATCGCATGAAGGAGCTCGTTCACGTTTTGCGCCTGAACGTGCGAGGCGCGCAGGCTTTGGGTCCCCTCTTCTATCCCCAGCTGGTGCACATTTACATGGATCTGCTCGCGCTGTACCGGCAATTTTCGCAGATGGTCTCCAATGCGGTCGCATTAGGGGGCATGATCGCAACACGAAGCACCGACGTCAAGAATATGCGCGCCGTGAAGAAGGAGGCACTCCGTCTGCTAGAGACATTTTTCGAGCTAGTCGATCGTGACCCCGAGGTTCTGCACGCGGCAGCGGAGCAACTGGTGGAGCCGCTCTCCGGCCCCATTCTCGGCGACTATGCGCAATCCGTACCGGATGCCCGTGACGCGGAGGTGCTTACGCTCTACGCTGTCATTATCGAACATCTGCGGCCGTACGCAAATATGCTGACGCCTCTCATACCAGTCATATTCCGATCGTGTTTCAATGCGACGCTAGAGATGATTACGACGAATTTTGAGGATTTTCCGGACCATCGAATAGGTCTGTTTCAGTTGTTGCGAGCAATTAACACGTCTTGCTTTTCCGCGCTGTTCTCATTGGATCCGGACCCGGCAGTAGCGGAGCAGTCGTTCCAGCTGGTCATTAACGCTATAGTATGGGCGTTCAAGCATACGGAGCGGAACGTTGCCGACACAGGACTGCAGACGCTGCTCGAGCTCCTTCGGAATCTGGATAGTAGCGGTTTCACCGAGTACTTTTACGAGCGCTATTACTTGTTCATTCTTAACGATATTCTTGCAGTGCTTACGGATACCTTGCACAAACCAGGTTTCTCGCTACAGGCACAAGTGCTCATGCATCTTTTCACGGCAGCTCGTCGGGGTCAAGTTCGATTGCCGCAAACCGATGGTGGCGAAGCGACTGGCTCCACCACTGCGATGGCCTCTGAGACGATGGTACGCGAGCATTTGCAAACGCTCCTGGAGAACGCCTTTCCGAATATGGGCCCTGTGGCAGTGCGTCAAGCGGTTGATGGCATGTTCCTCTTCCTGGACGACGAGCGCCTCTTCAAGCAGCACTTGCGAGATTTTCTGGTCCGGACCAAAGAGTTTCTCGCAGGTGACAATACCGATCTTTACGACGAGGATCGCCGATCACTAGAGACGAATGCCCAGAGGGCCTTAGCTGTGGTCCCTGGCATGTCCAAGCCCAGCCAAGCAGCCGATTCAGACGACGAAGACTGAGTATCTTCCTCGTCCGAAAATCGCAAGCGCAATTCGAATCAAACGGAAACGCGAGCAGCAGAAACCCAGGAAACGATGTTGTTGCTGGTGATGAACGCGAGACGCAGTGCGGACCCTGCACCAGCACGCCCTCGACATCTCGTATGCCGCCGTCCATCAAAGCGTTTCCTGCTCTCCGGGCAATGGCAGTGCAAAGCTACGAAATCCGGATTCGCTGACGACAGCGAACGCCTTTCTAAAGTCGAAAGCAGTCGTCAGCGATACAGTGGTGGCGGCGAACGCCCGCCCTAGACAAGACGTCGCCCACTGATGTGCAGAGGCCTCCCAGTCTTTCTCGACCGGCCACCTACTACTGCTTCCAACTTTTTCTCATGTAATTCCACCATGAGAGGTTGTCCATGAAAATTCTCTCTCGTCATTTCTGGGGGTCTTTTCTCCATCACCGCACATTTCCTTATATTGATAGCAGCGTTAAAGTCTCGGTTCACGAATTCCATACGTTTCTTGCCATCTCTGGTTGTACGTACTAATGCAAGTAGTCCTCGAACTTTCGCTCGCCTATCCATTTGCTGCTCCGTCAGCGCTCCGTATTTTTTACAATCCTCAGTACCCCGCTGGCACTTTTCCACAGAGACCCTCTGAAGTGTACACCCCAGCTCATGGCGTATGTATGACGTTCGGAACTCATCTACAGGTATCGTAACGAAACATCGTTCGCACTCCCTGGACGCTCATTCCGAGTCGCTGTAAACCGGAAACGAAACTCTCCTCGACAAGCCATGAAAGTGGTGTTGTGGCTTTCCGCCAGACACGGTGGCTGTATTTGCCGTGCCCGTGGCCCTGCAGGCGTGTTTCGGGGTGCGCTGACTGCACAAAAGCGGCGAGTTCGCGCTGCTGCCCTAGTATCTGGATGCTGGCGACTCCCCGGCACAGATACCTTACGATGTGCGGACGGAGCATGCTGCTTCAGCACCGTAAGAACGACGCGCTCTCATGCGCGTTCCCTTGTGATCCAAGATATGATCCACAGAGTGATAGTGGCGGCTAGCACGGAGCGTCTTCCGCATCGACTGCCGATCTGGGAACTGCGGCCCAGGGTTCGGAGTTTCACGTCACGAATGGTCCATACGCTCACGAGCGGTACTCGAAGCGGGCGCGCTGGACATTACACACTGCTTTGCTGCACGAGAACAGTGCTATGCTCGGGGCCGGCTAGAGTACCTAAAGAAAAGTCAGCGTGAACGTCGCTTGCAGGTACGGTGCATGCCACGGGCTAGGCGAGCGTGATCCGATTGCCCCTCATTTCGTAATGCGAATTCGCTGTGCATGAGTGTCTTCCCGTACTAACGCCTCTTTACTTCAGGTCAGAGGCGCGCCTGTTCGAGCTGGGTTAGCGCTTGCGTTCTAGCGCGAGCGCGCCACCCAATTTGTCGATTATATGCAGTAAGAGGGAATATACAGATTTGCGTTGGCCCTACACACATCGCAAATCTACTCCACAAACGAGGCAAGGATATGAGGATCGCCTCATCGATCGCTGGACACAGCTTGTGTCTACATCACCTAGAGATACGCAGCACAAGCGGCAGCCCAAGCGGCAGCCCAAGCGGCAGCACAAGCAGCAGCAATCTGCGTCTGTGGACCGAAATGTATAGACTTGGATTCGCCCAACGGATTGGCCAACAAAGTGGCCTTCGGTGGCGTTTTGCGCGCGTATTCGCTCAGCATACTGTGCGTTCAGGTCTGTTTCAATCCCTGCGTACGCTTTGGGAGCTGGTGGAGCATCGCTTTCTTGTGCATGGTTTCGCTTTGTTATCTGACAGGTGTATGGACAAGTGATTCAGACTCGAAAAAACGATGCTGGCGCTGTGTACAGAGAAATGAAACCGTGTTGCCGTTTGTAACGAGACTCCAGCGCAACAGCCCAGGGGCGTGCCTCGTGCCGCGCAGGCGCGCTGGCTTGCCCCAAGCTGGTGTTGCGGGAGCGACCTTTTGGACGATGAACCAGTCCATGCCCCATGAAACCGGTTCGGAACTTTTGGAAAAATTGTGTGGACTCCGTTTGGCTCAGCCTTCTGAGGCAGAAAAACGGAGTTTCGGACTGAATCTTGCACGCCTCCAGCAGGAGCTGGACTGGCGACGAGACCGTTTGAGTCTTGCGCAGCTACGCGCTCTACTCGACGCATCCGAAACCTTGTTGCCCGCTGAAGCACTTCCGAGTCTCCTGGACTGGGTGCAGGGGTGTCTGCACAGCACAGTGCCTCGCGCGGAGCGAGACGCGTTGTTCTGGGGCCTGGTAGCTGCCTGGGAGCGCCTCATAATCCGTCTGCCGGTGTCGTCGCTGGTGCAGGTGTTGCAACGGAGCCCAACGAGCGCAACTACCTACAACGCCCTGCTATGTGCACTCTCGAGGCGCTCGCGTCGCTCAGATGCCGAACAGCTTTGGCGTTCGCTCCTAGCGAAACGTGTTCCACTTGCGCCCCATGCCATAAGCTGCGTTCTGGAAATGTATCTGCGCGCCAACATGCCCGAACACATTCCAATGCTTTTTGAAAAGTTGGCGGTGCACGGTGTCCACCTCGATACCATCGCCCTGAACGCTTTATTGCACTGTATGTGCCGGATGAGCCGAGTACGGGAATCGCTGGTGCTCTTTCGTATCATGCGCGCGCACCGCGTCGCAGACACCCCTAGTTACAATATCCTGCTGAGTATGTGCCGGCGGCTTGGGCTCGTCTCCAGTGCGCTGGCGCTGAAAGCGGATCTCGATAGCCAACCGCATCTGGAACCGGACGCGCTGACGTATTCGCTTCTGATGACGCTGTTGACTACTGCTGACCGACCTCTGGAGACACTGGCACTCTACCGTGAGATGGAGGCGAGGAAACTCCCGCTAACAGGACCTGCCCTGAACGCCTACGTTGGCTTCTTGTTTGGAAGGGGAAAATTCGAAACGGTTTGGATCGTGTACGCCAAGGCCGTTCAAGCCTGCGAGGCGCGCTTGCAAATGCAGCGAACCGAGGAACTCGGGCATGGTACTGCGACTGCAGCGAACGATCAAGTCGTTTGGAAGCGCCCAGTGCCGCCCGCGTCCTCAGACGAGACGGATCCTGTTCCAGATCGCGAACGTTCTGGACTGGCGAAACTCTCTGAACCCGCCGCGCGTCGACAGGCAGCTCTTGCAGGATTAGGTGCATCCGCTGAAACTTTCGCTCATGTTGTGCTGGCTTGTGTCAAGAGTCTGCAGAAACCGGAGGCTGTCCAAGCGTACAGCGACATGCGCCTCTGTGGTTATCGTTTGAACAGCGGAGGCTACAATGCCCTGGTAGAGTTGTGCTGCCGCAGCGCTGATATCGCTCGTGGGCTGGAGCTTTTCGCGGAAATGCGGCGTATTGGCCTTGAGCCAAATGTGACGGCATATACTTTGGTCATCAGGGATATGGCGAATGTCGCCACTGATGTGCAGCGACAGCTCAACGCTATCTCGCGTGCGGATATCGCAACGCAACGCTCCGCTCTGGATGCAAAGGTGCTCCAAGAGCGGGTACAACTTCTTGTCAAGCAAGCGCTGCATTATTTTGCCGAAATGCGTTCCCGTTCCTATGCACCGAGTCGAATGCTATACAAGGCACTGGTACGCGCGTGCGCAGTGTCCGGACAGAGCAAGCGCTTAGCAGATCTCTTGCTGGAAGGGGATTCTGCAGCGCCAGCGATCGAGCAGCTTGTTGCAGGTGAACTCGTGGAGTCGCTTCTTGATGAGGGACACCACGCAACCGCCGTGCAACTTGTCGAACACTTTGCTGCTCTGGGGGTGCGTCTTAGTGTCATAACCTGTCGCACGCTGATTCACACGCTGTATCGTATTCGAGATGCCCAGGGCATTCTGCGTATCTGCTCGCTGATGCTGCAGCACGGCGTCGAAATCAATCATATTACGCTGCGGATGATCGAGCGTGCGTTGATGCACCATGAATTACCTCCGAATATACCAGCAGAGATTGGAGAGCGAGCCCAAATCCTCCTTAGTCGACTGAGGGCCAGTCAAGGCTATGCTCGTCCGTAAATTACCCAGAATGCCTGAAATTGTTGGTGCCCGGCACGTAGATATCGGGGTCGCGGACGCATTCGTGGATCCATCGCCAGCTCAATGACTAGTGCTCTATACTCATTTACGATTAAAATGGAGCGGGTCCACAAACACAGGCGCGTATGCGAAAGTCGGGGCTTCTTCCAGTTTTCATCAGTATTAGCCATTTTGGGCTTTCTCTGCGGCTCCTTTCCAATCTCTGTGTTATCTTCGAGTTGAGCGTGTGCAGGTGACCTCTGTCGTTCGAGCTCCGGTGTCCAAAGTCGAAGAACGTACACGACAACGTTCAAGTCCCGGTTTCGCTGCTTCTAGCAGTTCTCTATGCATTTCATGCAGTGGCGGATGTTGAACTCGACGCTTCGCTCCGTATTTGCACCTCCATTGTATACATCCTCGGTGCGCACTTCGCAGCGATGATATTTGGCTATGGTCAGTGTTCCTCTTCCGCGTGGTTACGCGTACCTCTTCGGCGTAGTGGCACCCCGTGACGCGTGAACGCTTGCTTCAGCGCTCGCGAAATGCCCATGACCGGCAGGGAAGGTGCTGCCTCATGTCTTGTTTTGTTCTCGTGCCCAGTGCGGTACTCCGCGAGCACAGGCTTCTCCTGGACAGTCCATGTAGCGAGGATGCTGCCCGCTGCACACATAAGTGCGTGCTGTCCCAGGTCATAGAGGAATTAAGGAATACGATATATTGCATCATGAAACAAGTACCGAAACAAAATCTAGGATGGAGAACAGCCCAAGAAATTTCCACCTGTCTATGCGCTCTCAGCGCAAATCGATGACGCAAGCTCCGCGCAAAGTCATCGCTGCGACGGCTGAATTCCGAGTCCAAGGCGCTTTTCCATGGAAACAGAAGAAACGGAACCTCTGGGAGCATATCTTGTGACGAGTGATATACTGCGCTCGAGTCCTGTTTCACCGATGGCCACGAAGGTATGAAAATTTGCCCTGCGAACAGAGTCGATTTGACTTGACGTGAAGAATGAAGTCGACGTTCAGCATGAGCTTGTAAACCAATCGTCAAGGGATGAGGTCCAGTTGTTTTGGTAGCCAATCCATTGGCGCCAGTTGCAACGGCCAGAAAAGCCTTGAATCGAAAGCACCGAAAAACTGAAGCATTCATGCTTTGGGCATGCCACACATAAATAAAGAAGATTGTCGAGACATGTACGTATGTGTTGCATAGTGGTGTCGATGGTTTTACCAAGGCTTGTTCAAGTGCGTCGCGAATGATCTTCGTTCATTTGACATAAAGAATCCCAACCCAACAACCTCGAAGAAGCCATGCCCAAAAGCAGACCGAAATTCTTAGAACGACGCAAAGACTCGAAAGTCCTTGTTGCTGCGCTTCAAGTATCGAGGCTGTACATCGGAAAAAACTCCGCGTACAACCGGAACGCAGGAACGTAGCGATCAGTTGGGCATGCCATTCTAATCTGACACGACAGGAAATAGATGAAAACGGCGCTTTACGCAAACTGACCACAGCACGCGCGCTACGGAGCAGTCTTGTTGAATCCACCGATCCGACATCCCGCGAAAGAATGCTCGGTGAATGGGGTTCGCACACACGCGCCATCCAGGCGCCCTGCGCAAACCGGCAGCAACAGTTGAACGCCTTGAGGCTTCGCGGACGAAACCGCGATACAACAAGCGAGCCGACACTACCGGATGCAGAGTCGCGCTTGTGGCGCTGCCCAGACAAGCCAGACGCCCTCTGATGCGTCTCGGGAGAGCGCCTGCGCTTCTTTCGGACCGAAAGGAACACATTCCATGCGTCCAGCAACGTTACTGAGGTTCTTTCCGCACCGACCAGGGGCTCTGGATTACTCGTAGTCGTCTGTTCTCCTAGATGCTCGCAGAATACGCCATCCCTGTCGATTCCTTACGTGTCCAGAAGGCGAGCAATCCAGTACCTAGACGTCAAGCTCAAGTCGTTCAGGCATCGTCGTGATCGTTTGCGAAGGAGAGAACCCCGAAAAGAATGAAGAGAATGCCCCCACAAAGCGCAATAAAGCGCTCAGGAATCTTGTGCGCTACCAGACGCCCGCCGACTACCGCTAAACCCGTACAGAGCAGATGACCCAATACCGCTCCGAGCACAACGCCGTGGATATTTCGATGGGCGGCAAGAGCGATGGTTGCGATTTGACTGCGGTCGCCCCATTCAGCTAAAAAGGTCAGCGTAAACGCCCGTAAGAACAAGGGTGAAAAGCACAGTTGCGCCAGTGTCTCTATCACGCGGATTTTGTCGCGAGCAATATTCAGCCAGGTCGAAGGGCCCGGCATTGAGCTCTGCTCTGTTCGCGTCCCTGCGTCGGGCAACGGACGTCCATCGTCGCCTGGTGTCCAGCTCGGGCGCTCTCGATCCCGTGAAAGCTTCTCTTCGAGCGCCTGGAGGTCGAACTCGCTTCCATTGGCGCCCTCGGCAGCGACTTCACAAGTCGTGCTTCCATCGTTCGATTCAGTATCGATTTCTCCTCCGGCACGGTTCCGTTTCTGACAAAGCCGCCAATAATCCCGTAGCATCTGTACGCCAAAATAGACGAAAAGGACACCAGCCAGAATACTCGTATACTGAGGCGAGAACAGGGTGGGAAACGTGCGCCCGAGCAGCGCAGACAAAACCGTCATAATGACGAGCGCGCCCAGCGCACCCTGCAGAACAGTGAAACGGGAGTGGCGCGCAGCCAGCACCGCTGCAATGAAGAAAGTTTTGTCACCAAGCTCCGTCACTAGAATCATCCCCAGCGACTGGTAGGTAGCTACAGAAAAAGAGCGCGCTTTCAGCTCTTTCAGAACCGACCTGCCATGAGCGTGTTGCTCTCGTTTGGCAAGCGTTATATGCACCCCGCTCTTCCTCGTTAAAGTATCCGCAGTCTGCACGGGATCCTGCATATCGTTTCTTGCCCGAACCGAGGCGCCAGACTCAGAGGCGCTGCCCCCGGCCGCAGTGTTTTGTGGAGCTGCCTCCACATTCAGCAAACAGACAAGTGTCAGAGCACAGATCAAAAGCCCAGCCAGGATCAAGCGATAATTGCAGGTGCGCTCTAGGACGCTGGCTGCTGGTCTCTTGCGTACACGACCCGAACTTGGTTGTGGATCGAGATACCCGCCCGGGCGCAAGTGCTCGCCGCAGCAACGAGAAGCGAGCTGCTTGTTCGCTTCAGACGTAGCGAACGAGTCCCGGTTCAGCAGCTCGTTCCCGCTGCACAGCTTTGCTCGTGCAGTGCACCGTGTCATGGGCGAGCGCAGGTCACCACAACCGTAACTGCAGACGACAGCGCCTCAACCTTTGCCTCAACTCGGCAGACCGGACGTCGGATCCCTGTCGTTCTGCTGTGCACGGGCGATACGCTGCAACGGACTTGCGGATGCGCTGACGGACGAATCGGACACCCAGATCAGGTCGATACAGCGTCATTCTGTGTCACATTGTGTCACTATATATCAGTGCGTAAGGCTACATGGCGCGATGTTTCTATGTAGTTCGCTTGATCATGTTATGTACTAATAAATACCATTTTGTTCCTGGTGGGATGCGCGGCTGGCGCTCTGTTCACTGCGCGCCACGTCTTCACGAAGCAGATACTACGCATGCCGTCTTCGACTAGACAGTACTGGATACTGTGAAAGCGTACGGATCCGATTTATTTTGTTTGACAAAACGCTGCCGTATATAATGGATCCCAGATAGCGGGATCGATATTGGTAATCGAGAAAGCGTTCATCATGATGCACTCTACTTCCAAGTTACATTTCCAATGCTTCCTTCCAGGTACACGAGTCGTTTTGTACGTTCTGTCGTGCACCTAACCTGCCTTACTGCGTTCGCAATAGCTGCTAGACCGCTGGTGCGGATGCAGCACGGAGACGGAACGGCTATGCCATAGCAATGAGGGTGTCGGCTCGAAGCCTGGTTCACCTGATACGGGGTTGGGGTTCATGATCATTCTGGGAGCTTGGAAACTGTGCGGACAGACCTAATGCCCGCATCAGCGCGAAGCGATATACCATCAGGCCACTGCAGTCGGGGCGACAACCGGATGCATTCTTCCCGCTCCTAATCCCAGAATAATCTGCGTCTCAAACGAGTTGTCCATGGATGGTCACAGCACCCGTCATAGGGTGGAGCGTACAGCACGAGCCGCACAGACCCGTCCAGCTCACGCGACCTTCCGCGTAGAAGGTGGGCTTTGGGAAACACGGAACAGTGTTCCCACTCCCAACGCTCACCGTAGACGAGGAACGATGTTGCTATTTCGTTGCTACCCAGTGATTAGTTTCTGTTCTTTCGACACAGTTACAGCTAGTAAGTCGTTCGTTTCTGTAGTTTTATGCGCTCGCCCATAGAAAAGAGCAACCGCACTGATCCGATGCTTGGGGTAGCCACGTGCCTGCTGCATGGGTCAACCTTTTCCGTGCAGCGGATCCATACCGGGCATACAAAAGTCCTGGCGTGACTGAATCGAGACCAAGTCTCGTTTTTTTACATACTGGTATGGAAGATATTGTTGGCTGCGTTCGGATGTGTCAATGCTGCGAGTAACTGGGCTAGGAACTCGCCATCAGCTGATCATCCCATAGATCCCAAACTGAAATCCATTGGTATGCGGCGAATCTGCCTGCATGACCGGTGACGGAGAACGTAGTCGCCGACCTCGATGCCCGCCAAGACGCTCACGCTGGAACGAGCGTGGTATCCTCTAAAGCTGGCGGCAAGCGGTTCTTTCGGGCAAGCCCCGCCACAAGTTGCGATCAGCCTCAGCGCAGTGCCTGTATCCAGTCGTGAGAGTCGGTTCCGAAGTACCACTCGCTCGCAGTAACCCGAAACTGAGTGCACCTTCACCAGAACAGGAAACTTGTAAAAGTTGCTGAGTTTCGAACAGCGAGCAACGTGAAACGCAGCGCAGCCGAATAGGTGCATGTGCCACACACACACACACACGTGCAGAGTCGTTGATCGAAGATTTGGAAGCGTTGCGCTCCTCTCGCTCGATGTCTTGCCTTCCTAGAAGTGTATCAAGCATGCCCCACCGCCATCATCCGACGCATGGAGCCATTGTTCGAGACGCAGCGTGGCAGCGCTGAGCCCTTTCGGCAAATGCCGCGCAGCTGGAGGCAAGTTTGTTTGCCAATCACCAACAAGCTACAGCGACGCACCACGAACGAGGTCTCGTCATTGCGATAACAGTCCCTGCAGATAGATGCTCGATTGGTTCCGTCGTCATTCCTCGCAGCAACCAGGCTCCAGCATGATCTGGCGAGCCCCACGGGCAGCGTACCGTGTCGAATGTGGTCGCAGCATTAGTCGATCTCGTCCCAGAGGTCCGGGCTCGCGTCGACATCTACCCATTGCCGCTGAACGCGTTCGGCGAATACGGTGGCCAAATACTCGCCCGGGTGACCATACAATTCACCGGTATTCGCCTTGCCCCAACTGAGAATAAATTCCGGATACTTGTCCGGCAAACCGGCATTTTCGCGCTGACGCCGCATGAGCTCCAGGTAGGGGTTCACAGAAACCAAACAGTAACCTTCAGCGCGCAACTTTGACGGGAACCGCAACCGCAGCCGCTCTTCGAGCCTCCTCGGGACAAAGTCGCCAACCAGATAAACATAGTTTCCTCCGAAATACCGAACGACTGTTTTTGGAGTCCCCAAACACAGCAGAATCTCAGGTTTGAGAAAGCGATCGCGCTGGATATCGGGAATTCGCGGTCCCCGAAGCACATCCCAACCAGACGGTACATCGACACTGATCAGCGGCAGTTGCGACTCCGATAGCGTCTGAATGAGCGGCTGGAACGCTGCCGCTGCGGCTTCTAGACCCCCGATGGGATCACTCCAAGTTGCGTCGGGGGTCGTAGCACCGGCATCGCCCAGTTTTTCAGATCCGTACAAATCCATATCAGCGCCAACGAGCGCATCGATAACCAGGTCGAAGTAGAAGTCGAGTGTGCGCGGTACAAAGCCCAGCGTGTCAACACCGACACCGCGGGCGTTCGCCAGCCCGGTTTCCCGTCTCGCTGGAACCTGCCACAATTCTCGCTGGGCGGAGAACCATTGCTCATCCTCTTTGGAGAGCGAGACGCTAAACCACGGAGCACTCGGATCAAAGTCTGCTATCAAACACACCGCATGGCCAGCGCGAGCGAGTGCAGATGCCAACTCAATACCGTAGAGTCCAGTGAGCCACGGGCCAGCACATACGAGGATGCGCATTTTGCGGGTCCCAGCAAAGCGTTCTATAACGGGCAACGTTCCTTCACACAGCTTTTCGAGGAGTGCATCTAACGAAATTTGACTTGGGACCAGTTCACGCAGGATGAGGCTGTGCTCTAAACGCGTAAGCGATCGCGGCAAAGCATCAACCACAGTACCTGGGGAGCCTTGCTTGAAATGCAGCTGACGAGGTTCCAGTCGGGCTGCGACCTCTGCGAACCCATCCGGCTCTCCACCGCTGACATCGTCTATGTTTTCAGGCGCTGCCCGAGCATAGACGCCAATAGCTCGTTTCTGCACCAGGGGCACTGCGGGTGTGTCGGAAACTCGCCGCTGCAGTTTGTGGAGGCAGGCACCACGTCTCTTGTTTGTCAGGTGGCGCTGTGCCTCTCGCACTGCCCGTTTCCAGCGTGTAGTTGCAGAGCTACGAACCCTGCAGGCGTCGCTGTTGATACGCAGCTGCCGCTGCGTGGAGCTTCCGTCCCCCTGAACGCTGAACATCAGCCTTTGCAGTCGTCGTGCGTAACGCAAACGCAGCTGCGTATCCTGGGACGAGTCGCTGGTCACTCCAGCGTCACTCAGATGCAAACACGACGAACAGAGGCTTTCCTGAAGATACCCAGCAAACTCGCCCACAGACCCGAGTAAACGTCGGGCGCGCTTCGCGTCCCGCCTCGGAGTCGGCTCTCGGAGCGACCCGCCTCACTCGATTGAAACCCCAGACGCGACGAGAGGAAAGATTTCGAGCCTCCACTTGACTGGGCTTTAGGCAAAACGACTAGTGAAGACGCTTGAACGCGATGCTCCTGAACGTTTCGAAAACCGGGAGCCTCCCTGGCACAGGAGCGCGTTTCTGGCGCTGGGGAGCGCGAGTCGTTTGACAGCCTCCGGTGACGTCTCGAGTCGTGGCAAACCCGGTGCGTCAATTCCAGTACCAAGCTTCACTGGAAACTGTGGAATCCTAAAAGTTTCTGATCCCGCCAGACTGACTATCTCATAACGATTTCTGCACTAACCCAGGAACAAAGGACCTCTAGCACGGGTTGTCTTGAAGCAGGTTTGACCGTTGCCGCGGCAGCAACGCGAGTACAAGCGTCTCGAGCTCCATCTCGAGTGGCGGTTGGCGTTCGGGGATCCCGCGGTGAGCCTTTCCCAGCATAGGATGTATCTACAATATATCCAGCCCATGAAATCAATATAAAGTCTCGATTATTTATTATTAGAATAAGATGAGTGCCTCTTTATCGCGGAAAAGAGCGCACACTGCTGCAGCGCTCGCTTCTGCAGGGGAAGTTTCGGTGAAACGAGCAGCTGCGTTTGAATCTTTCGGCGATTACATGGCGGTGAAGGAGCATAAACTACGTGAACAGCAACGAAAAGATGCACAAGCTGCAACGGGGTGTCAAAACCTCGATAGTGGTCCGATGAGAGGGGTCTGCATCTGGGTGGACGGTCGCACGGATCCACCACGTGAGGTCCTGCGCACCCTCATCACCCGTGCGGGTGGACGTTTCGAGACCTACCTGCACCGCGACTTGGTAACGCACGTAGTCGCTACGCACTTTGCAAAAGGCCGAGCAAAGGAGCTTCGCAGAGCCGCTCAAAAGCTCGGTGGCGGTGCTGGTCGCGCGTTGAACGTCGTCTCGCCCGCCTGGGTTGTCGATAGCGTCCGAGCAGGGCGACCGCTACCAGAATGGAAGTACAGCGTTGACGACGTCAGCAGAGACGCTCAACAAACGACGCTACCTGGTCAGACACTGCGATCGATCGATGCACTAGTACGATGCGAAACGAACGTAGCATCGCACGTGTCGGCTGCAACAACACAGAAGCAGCAGCGCGAAACGACTGTCGATCCGAGCGGTGCGCTGAAAGCGGATGAAGTTCCATCTTCACCTCTGAATACTAGACTGGATCAGGTTGCGTACCCGGCCAATCATGAAGAGAGTTTCCCACATCTGGGTGAACTGGCGCTGCCAGAGACAACCATGCGCGGCTTGCGCTCGAGCCGAGAGACTCCTAACTTTGTCCGCGAATTCTTTGCACAGTCACGGCTTCATCTGATTGGCTCTTTCCGAGAAACTTACGAAGGAATTTTACGCAAACTTCAACGAGATTTGCATTCGATAGTGGCCGATGCACCGCGGACCCTACCCCATAGCTCTTGTTTTGTCCTCCACGTGGATATGGACGCTTTTTTTGTGTCCGTTTCTCTGGCGAAATACCCGCATTTGCGCGGGAAACCAGTAGCTGTATGTCACTCGGGCTCTGGAGAACACAGTCGTGCAGAGATTTCGTCTGCTTCGTACGAGGCTCGCGCTCGGGGTGTTCGCGCGAATATGTTCTTTGGTGAAGCGCTGCGCCGCTGTCCCGACCTGGTGATGATTCCGTACGACTTTGCTGCATACAAGGAAGCCTGTGAGCGATTGTATCGAATCCTCTTCACGGAAGCTGATGTTGTGGAAGGCGTGAGCATTGACGAAGCCTATCTATTGCTGCAGCACTGCGAAAACGTCACGCAGGCGGAGGCGATGGCAGCCCGAATCCGCCAGCGCATAGTCACTGAAATTGAAGGTTGCACAGCGTCCATTGGCATCGGAAGAAACAAACTTTTCGCTCGCTTAGCGACCAAGCACGGAAAAGAGAAACTCGGTCAGGGTTCTCAGTTCGTGCTCGTTGATCGAGCGCACCCGCTGGGGTTCGGAACACCAATGGGTGCAGACCTGCGCTCCTTTCTCGACGAATTGCCGGTGAGGTTCGTGTCCGGGGTCGGCTGGAGCACAGAGGAACGGCTCAGGGCAGCCGTCGAAGCTGTTGCACCCGAATCGCTGCAAGCGCAACAGCCTTTGAAGGTTGGCACCGTTCGTGCACACCTGACTCTGTCGATGTTCGAGAAATCGCTGGGCGCTGTTAACGGCAATCGAATCTATCGCCTTCTTCATGGAGAGGATCCGCGTCCGGTTCAACCTATGGGACCGCGCAAGTCTGTCAGTGCCCAGATTGGCTGGGGTGTACGATTCCTGGCCACGGAGGAGGACAAGGTGCGCAAGTTTATGACTGACCTTGCTCTGGTAGTAGCGGAACGATTACGAGAAGCGCGTATCGCTCGCTGCAGTGTGGTCACTGTCACCGCACTTCGTCGTCAAACTGGCGCAGGTATGCCCTACAAACCGCTCGGGCACGGGCTATGTGATGAGTTCTCCGCAACGAGCCCCGTAGAATGGTATGTTTGTGCAGGCGATCCATGTCTGCAGTCGAAAGTGGATGCCGATTTTGCAGACATTGTCTGGAACCTCTACCAGGGCCTGCAAATAGCACCTGATGCCCTGCGCGGTGCTGGCGTGCACGCCCGCAAACTCGTAGAAGTGCCCGCTCACTCTGGAATCGTACAGCCGGCCTGTGCTTCGGGCAAAGATGGACCGCTGTCGAATGTGCCGCAACAGTTGCCGCTACCTGCTGCCTGGCGATCGCGTTCATCGACAAACGCAGCGGATATGAGCTGTGCAGATGCTGCGGACAAGCAGCAGCCTCCGCCTCCGCCTCCGCCTCCACGAACGATTCCATTGGCGATGCCCGCGGCAGTGACTCCACGCGACCGCAAGCGCTCTCTTGCTTCGTTGCCTTCGAATGCAGTATCGATGCGCAGCACTCGCCGGACCCCGGCATCTTCCGGTGCTTTTCATATCGCTGACGCAGCGTCGGCTGATAAAGCCGGAAACTCAAAAGAAGGGCAGAAACTTTTCAAACAAGCCCATGGTGGCGAATGGAACGAGGCGACAGGGATCAGGAACACGCGGCCGCCGACCCCGCCTGATGTCGATCAAGAAGTATGGCATGCTTTACCGATAGAGGTGACCCGTCAAGTCTGGAAAGAGAATCTCGCTCAGGAGCAGCTACGTCGATGGAAGCTGCATCGTTCACGTCATGCAAACGGCGTTCTGGATCCCACGGTGCCTATGTTTCAACCTTCATTGCCGCTGTTTTCAGAAATAAGATCTAGACAAGTCGCGCTCAACGGGGCAGTGCTGTACGCTCGAGATCTCCAGAGCTTCTGGCGCACCACGAAACCCGTCCGAACAGCTGAACGCCCCAGTGGTAAGACCTACGGGTTCGAGGACCGTTTGCGCGGGCGTGTTCCAACGGTAGCAGCAGCAGCAGCAGCAGCATCTGTAGCAACTGCAACGGAACCGATGCTATCACTGGCGCAATGGTCCTCGCTTCTGCATGCATACCTGCAGAAGCTCTCTTCACAGCGGGCGTATGGCAGCGACCTGGGTTCATCGTGGCACCAGTTCCACGTCAAAGTGCTGGCGTTTGTTGAAGAGGTGGCCTATTCTCGGCGCTGGGCCTTTCTCTGTGCGTTCTTGGAGCTGCTTCGCGGAAAACTCTCCACTTTCAGTCGAGATATCCGGCCAATCGCCGCTCTTTTGGTCAAAACCTATGAAAAGTGTGTAGAACTCGTACAGATCGCTTGGATGAAGCACCAAAGCGATCGCATTGTTCCCGGGGCAAGCACACTACCGCCTCTGGCGATTCAGTCGTTGACATCCAAGTCCGAAGCACATGACGCGTGGAAATTTTTGCTCTTGAATACACAGATTCCCGAGTAAGTCGCGTAAACCGAGCGTTCCATCGGTTGCCGGCCCTGGATGCATGACAAGTCCCGCGTTGAACTGTGTCAGTCGAGCTTGAGCTGCTCGTTTCAAGTCACATTCCGAGCATTTGACCTGGGACGCGTCATCGACGAGTCCCATACCCACGGAAAGCAACGCTTGCTCTGAACGAATGCACAAAGTCAATAAACCCAGATTCTGTTGAAGAGTTTCCGGATTTCTCGGGCACGATGTAGCTCGACTGACGATTGGCTGATCGCTGTTTACGTTGATCTCAAAGCGCTGTGACAGAAAGGCGCACCGCTCCATACGGCCACTCCCGGGTTTGTGTATCTATGTACGTATCCGTTTGCGCGTGAAAGCATCCGTAAGCATCCATATGTGTACGTGTGACCGCGAGCGTGTTCACGCGTCGGGCGCCTTCCCCTCCGGAACCGTTCGCCAGGGGATTTCTGGGCTTGGACCCGCTTTCGTATGCCAGCTTCGTTCTTCGTTTGCACCTGTCGCAAATATCTTGTCTCCCAGGTTCCAGCGCTTTTTCGACAAGGCCCTGCGACAAGATTGTGCAAGCAACAACGCACTGATGTTGCCGCACGACGCTTTTTAAATGCAAACACTCTACGCATACCGGATAGCATGCGGAAAGCGTCATGGGATGCGCCTGCGTTCGGGCGCGTTGACCGAGTTCAGGCGGGTGCCACTGCTTCATGCGCTGATATCTGGATCCATGAAAAGACCTCGAAAGCGATGGCGTTTCCAAAGCGTTTTTGATGTAATCACAGCGCCCACGGAACCGCAATCAGATGTGGCCCATGCCAAGCTAGTTTCACGCTGTGCTCTGTACAAGCTCGTGGCTCCTGCTACCGTGAAGCATTTTAGTTGCCTTGCAGGTATGCTTTCAGGTCACGATTCTTCCGAGTATGCCTACACCAGACTTGAAACGGTTTCCGGATCCATTGTGTTCACGATACCTGCTTCCGATACCATGGTGGCGATGATATGACAGAGTTCCTCGTAGCGCTCTACAAGGATTTGCTCTAGCTTCTGGTGGTTGTCAACGCCAGCACCCAAGTAACCGACGCTGGTACCGTTTTGGGCTTCCTCAGACGTCCCAGACGAGAGGAGTGGTGGTTCCAAAGTTGTCGCGACGTTGCTCCGTGCCTGAGACGCCGTGAAAGGCAGAACGCTGCCTCCCTCGAGGTGCAGTGTACGGCGGAGGCACTGTTCGAACCTTTGGCCAAACTCCAACAGCAGAAGAGACTCATGTTCTCGCTCTCCAATGATGACCGCAACTACATCACCCAAGCGTCGGACAAGGATCGTATAGTCCTCGAGGCGGAGGACCTGCTCGCGATCAGCTGCGGCTTCAGATAAACCCAACTGCGCCCACACCGGTGGCAGCAACTCCTCCAACGTGCGAAGCAGGCGTTCGTTTAACTCCAGGGGACTCAGTCTGGCGCTCAGGATGTGCGCAGTTCCCGGAGCGGAACGCTCTCCAGCGTCGCTCGCTTGCCGGGTAGGGGTCAGGTTGCCACTGGTCCGTCGCTCCACCCCGAGGGCGCTGTGTGCAGGCCGAGCCGCTTTTCCAGCAGGAAAGTCCCCGAAGATGCTTCCATAGAGAATTCCACGAGTGTAATAAGATATGAGGTACAGCGCCCGAATCATGCGGCCCCAGACCTGCAACACGTTCGAGAATAACGTCAACGAAAGTACGTTGATCTGCAGCGCAAGCGCTGCGCCTGGTAAACTGCTTCTCATACGATCTTCGACGTGCTCTGTGAACGATGATTCGCTTCAGGCGACGTTGCGTTCGATGCGGGCTACTCAGACGCATAGACCACCAAGGGAGCTACGAGCTTGCATTGAGGAGCGTCATCCAGGAAAACGTCTTCCGATCACGCGAGCAGGTAGTCTTCGGGAACAGGTCGCTTGTGCAGTTGTCACGCTCGAACAAATCACCACTTTCTGGTCACTCTGAGCCGTTGATGGAATCTGCAATCAAAGCATAGGACGAGCTGGTAGAAAATGAAAGGAAAACAGCGCGAAGAGCGCCTGGGTATACCTCTATCGGACGGTTTTGTGTTCTCTACCAAACGACATACGTTGTTGTTGACGAAACCGAGTTTCCGCGTTCGCACCGCGCTCGCCGTTTGCTAGACTCATTTCCGTGTTAAATAGGGCAGAGCCAATGATGCGGGCGTACACTCGAAAGTTTGCGTCTCATGTGACTTTCATCAATACCAGCCTTTGCGGGCTATTTCTCCTACTGCGTCCTTTTCCTCTTTCTCATCACTGTCATGAAGGATGCCGGTCTACACGGTTTCCCTACCTCCATTGCTAGCTTTCGAGGGATGCTGATGTCAGCGCTGCAATTCTGATTTCACCGCATCCGCCAAGTGTCGATCCATGTCATGCACAGACCATCGTTGTGAACTACGCGTTGATTTCCATTTTCTTCTTCTTGGTAAACTACCTCGCTGCGTCCTTCTCGCCTGGGTCACTTGACTGTGGTCAGGTATTCTTATGTACGTCCGTCCTGGAGCGGACACCCTCTGGGGTACGCGAAAGCCGTTCTGTCTCCGTGTCGCATCCGCACCGGCGCTAGAGGCGCTATCGCAGACGACCGGGGCAGGTACTCGGCGCGCGATAGAACGTATGAAACAACCAGCATATCCGAGAAGAGGTATGGGACATGGAACTCGGAAGTATGGTGCATCATGATGGGCACTTTCCAGAATGCCAACATCCATTGCGCAATCAGGCAACGCGAGTCTGTGTCAACGTTTCGTCTGATGCAACGAAAAACCATCGTTTGGATTGCGCTGCAGGCGTCACGACACGAGCTGTGACACATGATGCCGCCATCGCCGCTGCCGCCTAGCGCAGCACGCGCATGGCGCAGAAATGACCCGAAAATATACAAATCTCCCTGAGCCTCCGGCGTGCACCGCGCACTGCACTGCAAGCGAGCGCTCTCTACGCTGTCTTCCGTATGGACAACTGTTGCGATCCATAGAACAACGCGCGTTGAGCCGCTGTTCTTAGAGAAACGGACCCGGGCGTGTGAATCTTGTTTCTTTTATAGCCCTAAACACCGGGTTTTCTTGGTTGCTATAGAGAAGCCGTCAGACAAGACCAGCACACAAAATGCCTCCAAAAGGCGACCCGAACGCTGTAACCATCGTCTACGTCAGGGTTGTTGGCGGGGAAGGTGCGGCTGCCTCCAGTTTGGCGCCCAAGATTGGTCCACTCGGACTCTCACCTAAGAAAGTTGGCGATGATATCGCAAAAGCGACAAAGGATTGGAAGGGTCTGCGCATTATGGTCAAGCTCACCGTTCAGAATCGTCAAGCGCAGGTTGAAGTCGTCCCGAGTGCTGCAGCGCTGATCATCCGCGCTCTGAAAGAGCCGCCCCGAGACCGAAAGAAAGTGAAGAACGTGAAGCACGATGGGAACTTGACTCTTGATGAAATCAAAGAGATCGCTCGAATTATGCGGGAACGATCCTGTGCACGTGAGCTCAGTGGAGTGGTACGTGAAATTCTCGGGACCTGCCACAGCATCGGGTGCATGGTCGAGGGACGTCATCCACGAGAAGTCATCGAGCAGATCCGCTCTGGCGAGATCATGATCGAGAACGTGTAAAAGCTGATGTGGACAAGATAGGTCTCGCTCTGTCGACATAACGACCCGTGCATCGCCGGCACGATACGCGGCGCGAATGTCCCCGAATACGCACGAGCGATCGCGCAGCCTGCACGTAACCGGATGACGAGGAGGCGCTGCCGCCCTTGTAGATGATGGTACACGATTTTTCCTCGATGGACGGCAGGTGTCTCGTTCAGTCCCTTACACGGGAAATCCTTGAACGAAGCCCGCTTCCAGGTCAGTTGAACGTTGATGCAATGCCCATGCATACAAGAACACGCGGAAAGGCATGCGAACGTGCACCTGCATACCGCAGGGCACTTTGATCGAATTCGTGTCCAGGGCGATGATGATCCGCGCGCCACAGGGGCATACGCTCGCACCGCACGCAACGTCAGGGACTAGGCAGATAACAACTCAGAACGATCACGCTGAAGAAGTCGAATTGCGCCTCGACTGGCTCGTGCTAACTCGTGCACACGTGCGCCAACGGTCTACACACATCCGTGTCATCAAAAATAGACGACGGGTACGCCTCCATGACGACCAACATGAATCCTGACACATGATACCCACAGCAGAGCCGAATGCATACACCCGCATCGCGTTTCCAGATCCGAGCGCCAATCCAAGCCACGAAACGCAACTTGTCGACAGGAGACGCCACAGTTGCCGCCGAGCAGGCGACGATGTCGCCGCCAGGAAGTCGCATCTCGTGACGCGCGCCACAGCCACGGCCTCGTGCGATCGTTTGATCTGCGTCCTGCGGGACGACTCCAGTCCGAGCGACTTGTTGTTGATAGCGATTTCGCGTGTTGGGCTTCTCTCTAAAACACTTTGCGAGTTTCACTGCAACTCTAGCTGCATCTATGAATAGGCTCTCTATAAATTCTAACTCATGTGTCTGTAGAAAACAGATTGATTTGGCAGCATCCGGACGACACGCTCTGCGTCGGTGCGAGGGGCTGCGGCCGGCCACAGCACGGCTAGCACAAGTCTGCGGCTTCGTCGCGGGCCCAGCAACGACATGGAACCGGGATCAGGGAAAGACCCAACAGTGTCGGACTTGTGCCCGTTGCTGTTTCAAGTATGGGCTTCGGGGGGCGAATTTCTCGCTTGCTGCTCGAGCCCGGTCCCATTCTCGACTCGTCTGCTGCGAGGGCCAAAGCGTCCAGCACGGGCGCACTGAGCGCTCCCCCGTCGGGTGCAGCAGCGAGCTTCGTCGAAACAACAAGGGCGGCGGATCAGGCCCCGAGACCGAGATCACCGTAGAACCCGAGGTAAGCACGGCAACGATCGCACGCGAGGTTGAGCGATCGTTTGATACGGTTCTCCAGGAGCTGGCGGCGATTCAGTCGGACTCGCCGCGAAACGTGGCGATTCTAGGAACCCGCCATTGCTCATACTTGCACCAGCAAATCATTGAACTCCTGACGTTTGCCAACGTGCTCCTGGGAAACCATGTCATCACCTCGGGGGGTATCGGTAGCAATATGGCCGTGATCCGTGGGGCGCTGCGGGCCGACAAGCCCGAACTCTTGACTGTCGTGCTGCCGCAGAGTGTCGAGAAGCAGCCTACTGAAGTGCGCGAATTGTTGGAACGTGTGACACAGGTTGTGGAAATGAAGCAGAATGATAGCTTACCGTTAGATGTCGCGAGTAGACTATGCAACTCAGATATCATCAGCAGAGCGGATCGTTTCATAAGTTTCGCGTTCCACGATAGTGAAGTGGTGCTGGAAGCCGCCAGGGAGGCTAAGGCACTGAACAAAGTAGTCACTTTACTGTATTTGGACTAGGCGTTGGCTGTCCGTTCTCGGGGTCCGACGGCACCTGCCTCGAACATGCCGAGCGCGTGTTCGGGGCCTCTCTCTCTCTGGTCGCTGCGCTGCGGCCAGATCATCCACGTTCTTCATGGGGATGGATCGCTCGCTCGCCAGGATGAAAAGCGGTGCGTCGGTCTGACAAGTTGCATCCCCCGCGACTGGGCGCCGACCAACGAAGATGGCGACCAGAGAACGAGGACTCCATCATGCGCCAGTCATCTAAAATCGTCTGTTTTACGGAGCACTCATATGCCGCACGCTGTTTCTGAACGAGTCCCCGGGTTGCTGTAGCCGTGCTCGTTACCCGTCTCTGGAGGCGAACACCGATTACCTAACGTCATGATGCTCGCTGGGGTCCGAATGTCTCCCCAGCCGTCCATGAGCTTGGCACCGAATGGCACCCCATGAAACGGCCATCCAGGGTCCAGCCTCACACAAAACTCATTTCATCATGTATGTGCAGGTGCATCCTCGCCGGATGACCAGCGATCTCGTCTCAAGTGCTGGCTCGCGTACCCAGTCCTTGGTGTGTCGCTGATGCGCCACAAGGCCGCTTGCTTGCGCAGCGCGCGTTCACAATTTCTCTGTAAGGAATACAGCGTAAACCATGGCGCCTGACCCAGAGCTAACGTTTACAGGGGTATCACAAACCTGCGCTCTCCGCGGATATTACCAGGCGGGGCCCTGAGTCAAGCCGCCCGTTCCCTACGAGCACGCCTCTCAACCGATAGGCTCTGAGAGTGCCCGCAGCGACGTTCAGCCGAGGTATACGCCCTGGTGGGATCCGCGCACCCCAGGGCGTACGGCGACAAAGGCCGTCTGACAATGCAGCAAAAGGACAGCAGCATCCGCGGCCTCTGGTCCATCCGAGCCACCCGCTTATCCTAACTTTGCGTGCCGCGTATTGCTAGAAGCATGGACGAGCCATTCAGTGGACAGCCGCCTCTGCACCGCACTCGTCAATCGAAGCGCTTGACAATCCAGCGCTGGTACGGATACGCAGCGTTGCGTCGCAGTCCGATCACGTCTTGATCGATAGACACTTTTGCGGCAAGTCGTGGACGCACCGTCGCCGGACGGGGCAAGCACCCGCACGCGCAGCCTGCGTTACACGACTTGGTGGACGGCGCTGCTCGCTCGCCGTGACTTGTGTTCGGCAGCGTTTCGAGCGGAGCATGAAAGGGCACGATTGCACTCGCACACCTCCAACGACCCGTCCAGAGTTGGTTCAGAAGTCGGTGCTGCAGCTGCGATGCAGTGCGGTCTGTAGTACTCGCGTACCCAGGAAACTGGTACGAAAGCAGCGATCGAGATGCGCTCGCAGTACCCGAGGAAACGGAAACGATCGACAACGTCTCTGAACTGGTGTCGTGCTTGCTTCCCATCGTGCCGGTGATGTGTCCAGCTGTACCCGTCCGTGTACCCAGTTCGTCCAAGCAGCTCCATATTGAGCGCTGGGCATCCCGTAGCGCTGCAAAGCAGCAACACTGGACGGATGCATAGGTCGCTGGTGCAGACGCTGCAACTTTCCGAGCGCTGCTACAGGTCTGCGCTGGCCGTGAAAACGCGGCCTCCAGAGCCAGCGCGTGTGCACACCCCAGCGTTAAGCACGTCAGCACTGGACGAAACCTGCTACTGCCGTTCGCCGTTCGGGGTTCACGTTTCCGTTGATGTCTCCGAACGACCTCTGGTCTAGTATCGCGTTTTGCGGACAGTGTGCACAGTTGCTGTCGTCGACCGGAGCGACGGGCGAACAGGACCCTTCAGCTGGTGGGGCTTCTGCCTCGTCCGCTGCGGGCTCGGGCATGTCGCTGGGGTTCCTCACGGACCTCCCTCGAGTGCCCTGCTTTCGAGTGTCGGTCCTTCAGGGAATTCTAGGAGGTTTCACGCTGACAGGGTTTCGTGTCTTCCACGAGTTCCGCAAAGCACGACAACAAACAAGCAGCAACACGTTTACGCAGGTTCCGGTGCTCGCCCGGGTGGCTGGGATCGGCACCGTTGACTTTGCGGTGCGCTCTATCCTGGTTTTTTCGGCGTTGAGTTGGTTAGTGTGCCGCTACAAGTACCGCCAGAGTCGTGAGCAGATTCGTCGTGCGATAGGACAGGCCACGTGGCAACCAGAGCCAAAGCTGCTGCCTGCACGCGAAAGCGACCCGCCAGAGGCAGCTGTATCCGAGGTTCCGAAGGAAGAGCACACGCCCTGACAGGTATACAGTCGGTAGCCGGTCACTGGCCCTCGAGGGCCGCGCTAGGCTGCAAGCTGAGGCGGGCTCCGCAGTGAAAACTCACCCGAGTCTGCTGCCTGCTCGAGAGCGCCCCCTTGCCGTTCAATGAACCAGGACAACGGCACAAGAAAGCTTCCATCGCCAGCGTTTTCACGCTCAACTCGTCAGGATATTGTCGAGTGCCCGCTGCGGCAGACAGCTTTGCCCTCCGAGCTCTACTGGTCGGAAGTATGCCCGCTAGCCGCTGGTGCCTCAGGCGGGAGACCTGACGTCTCGAGCACGGCCCTGAACTTTTTCAGAGCGTTTTCCTTTTCACGTCCAATGTATTCGAGGTCGTAGACATCGTATAATAAACGCAGTAGAAACAGGTCAGGGTTCTCGCCGCGGTCCAGCCACTGCAGCAACTCCAGTGGAACGCGCCAGTTCCCTGGCTCCGCCAGAGAAGCCTCTGTAGCGCTCAGCGTGGCACACTTGGTCCGCTGCTCCATGCAGAGCGCTCGAAGGCGTTGGTACGCTCCCGCCAACGCTTGGATCGTCGCGGACAACGCGTCAGGCCCCGCTTGCGACGAAGCCTCGCGGTAGAAGACGGCAGCACGGTTTAAGCGTTCCCACAGACGGATGCACTCCACCAGCTGCTTCTCTACCGCAGCATAGTCGTTGTCACTCATCAACGAAGCAAGCGTCTCCCGTTCAGACGCGAAGACAATCCCTGTGGCAGCGCGGTGGCGCTCACAACAATACCGACAAAGCGACTAGTTTGCGGTATCCAGCCCGGCATGCCCAGGCAAAGGACTGGCAAACGATTCGCGTACCGTCGTGAATGCAGCCCGGACTGCAGCGCGGTCAGTCATTGGCACTGACGAAGCACTGTCCAGGTGTTACCGATGTTCACGTTTTTGGCCTCATCGACGATCGAAACGAATACGTCGTTTGCATCTTTGGTACTGGTGAGCGTTGTCGTGCTGGCAAGCGCTTGGCTATGGCACCGGTATAGCAACCGCGCTGGCGAGAGAGCACCTGCCCTTAAGCCTGATACGTTCACCCGGTTCCGTCTGGTAGCCAAAACCGTCGTGTCCCATAACACGCGTCTGTTTCGGTTCGCGCTTCCGTTCCCTGATCAACTACTTGGTCTGCCGCCAGGGCAGCACGTTGTGCTACGTGCGCGCGTTCCTGACGCCGAGGAGCCAATTCTCCGACCGTACACACCGGTGTCGAAACCGGAAACACGCGGTTACTTCGAGTTGCTCGTGAAGGTCTATCCTGCGCCTAGCGGAAAAATGGGTCGCTATCTAGACGCTCTGGAACCGGGAAGAGACTTTGTGGAAGCACGAGGCCCAAGCGGAACCTTCAGTTACCAACGGAACATGGTTGCAGAACTTGGTATGATCGCAGGCGGCACGGGGATCACGCCCATGTGGCAATTGATTCAAGTAATCCTGAGTGACCCTTCTGATAAGACTCGAATCAAACTGATCTTTGCAAATGTGAAAGAAGAAGATATTTTATTGCGTTCTGCGATCGATGCTGCAGCAGCGCAATACGCGGAGCGATTCACTCGTTTTTACGTCCTAAACGAGCCGCCTGCTGAATGGAGCATGGGCATAGGTTTCGTTACGCAAGAGCACATCCGAAGTTTTATAGGTCTCCCGGATGCGAGCAAGATGGTGCTCATCTGCGGCCCGCCGCCGATGAACAAGGCAATGCGCGAGCATCTCGAGGCCCTTGGCTACGACAAAGCCGCTGTGTTTCGGTTCTAAAGTATCCGGTACGCAACAGACGATGCGGTGTCTAGGGTTTTGCGTCATCATGGAGCAAACGCATCCGGCAGTCGCACGACGCGCTCTGCAACGTACACGCTCGCAACCCGAATACGCACCGCTGGACACGGCCCTGGGACGCTAGGTACCGGCGCATGCTCCATGGCGCCTGTCGTCTGCGTAGGCGCGTTGCAGCGATCCTAGTACCAGCAGCATGCGTTGACAAGGGTGCGTATCTAGACGCGAGTCCATGGAAACCGCTGCTCTGGGCGTGTCGAGCGTGAACGCGACCATTGATAGAGAGAGACAGGGCAGACGCTGGGCGCCTGCTTTGTAAAGCATCCTATATAAGTCCACAACAAGACGCAGCACGGTCTCTTCCAGTCCGCTGAAATCATTTTCATCTGCTGGCGAATAGAGCCTGGTGTGGGCGGATCCACTGCGTCGCGCGATTCCCGACGTGGTCAGGTTCTGCTGCACCGTCCGAGGTGAAGCGTTCTAGACCAATCGATGCTAGTGTCGTCGATACGCAGCTGCTCTGTCATCTGTGCAGTTTAAAGCTCGCGGGTGTGACACGACGCCCGATGGTCCCCGTACGTGTCGCGCCGCCGATACCCGCTTTCAGACGGAATGGCCCCCGCACCTAAACCATGCCATGCTTCCCCTCGATTCGCTTCCTATTCTGAACTGTAATGTGCCAAAGCATAAATTCGTAGACCTGCAGCCGTAACACAGCGGAAGCTGCCGATTGCTAGAGTTCACGCAACCCCCGGCGCTGTCAAGCCCCTGTTTCAGCAATCATCTGTCGAAACGGCTCCGATTCTCGATGCCATGCAGCGTGCGGCACGCGTAGCACGGGAATCCCTCATACCACCGCGACTACCGGCATCGTCGCGGGTACGCACGTCGGCTTTTTCCATGGTTATACGTCGTCAAGGCAAAGCAAGCATGTTCCGGTGTTCATAGTAGGCATAGAGTCGCTCAACGAGGGGGTCGAGGCTGAGCTTCACGCGGCGCATATACTCGTCTTTGCGGGACGCTTCCACTCCAATGGATGTAAGAAACTGTTCGATGGGAGGCAGGAAGAAAACCGCTGCACGAACCGCCGCAATAACGACGCTCCCGTGGTGTTCACGCAGCGCCTCCTGGTACGCGGTCCAGACGCACTCGCGTGTCGCCGCGCGTTTCGAGTAGGACGCTGCCGGGCAGCGCGCGAGCTCCCGCATGAGTACCTGAATGAACTTGAGGCACCACATCATTCGCAGAATATTACGGGCTGCACCTTGCTTACCACTGCCGGTTTCCAGACACCCTTCTCGGGTTTCTCGCTCGATAACCTTACGAATAGTGGCGTAATTCTCTGGGTCGCTCCGGTATATGCGGTACAGCGTGTCACGCTTTTCAACAACATCCTGGTGCGCGAAAGAGAATGCAGCACCGAGGTGCTGAAACATGCCCGCAACTGCGGACAAAGCCGCAATAAAGTCCAGCAGGTACGGCAGCGGCCAAGGCTCTTGCGCAGGCGGCTCGTCGTAGCGGATTCGCTCAAACGCTTCGAGAAACTTTTCGAATGAGAACGGCGTACCAGCGTCAGTGGTAATTCGATCAAGTTCGTTTCCTTTCGCTGACAACTCGCGAACGTGCATCCAAGATTCACTCTGTTCATCCCGTTGAGTCATAGTGTCGACCTGTCGGGAACGAGTGACCAAACGAGATGCGCCGTACCGCAGGTGTTCGGCGAGCCGCATCCGTCTTCCTCAACCGGCGCTATCGACGCTATTGCGGCCGCTTTCGGCAGGCACTAGCACCACGATAGGACGTATGAAACGACCAGAATATCCGAGAGGAATTATGGGTAATGCAACTTGGAGGTAGGGGGTTGATGGATACCTCACCGCGCACTGAAAAAAACACACAAAAAAGTAAGAAAAGAAAAATGCACCAAATCGGAGAACGTTGGCCCAAGTAAAAGTTTTGACAATGAAAAAAATCCGTCTGCCTCACTGGACGTCGTCGAGCGATGGAGAGCGCGGGTGTACAGCGACAGACGCAAGCACTGGCTCTTCCATTCGATTGCGAATGTCTGGATGGCGATACGGTCCGTGAGGAAACAGGTACCCGAGACAAAGTCCATACTGGAGGAAAAGTTCCGCAATTTCGACTCAACTACGCTCCCTTCGCACCCACACGTGACCTATTGACCACCGGAGGCGATCGCTACGATGACTGCAATCCGGGTCCTTGGCCGTTTTCCATGCAAGCTGAGGAGCGCGGAGCCGCTGGGAGCGTGCTCCCCTGTGAGCGAGGTATCATGCTGCAGTCGACTTTGGTATCGTGGATGGCTACGACGAGATGCGGATTCGTGTTTCGGAAGACATCGATGATCGGACGCGAGCGGTTCCGTGAGCTGCCGCCTCTGACAGCCTGTGGTCGACTTGTCACTGCGCGACGTCGCGATGCGCTCGATGTGCACCCAGCGGCGCGAGTCGCTGCGTCCACGCGGTGCCTTGGCGGGGAACCATCGAACACGTGAAGCGGGCGTGATTGGAACATGCTCCGCATTCGCACAAGAGCGTCACGGAGGCTTGGACGTATGCACGGGATACGGATATCGGTTGCTTTATGAACCGTACGCGGGAGGCGTCACGAGTCGCGTTGATTACGGTGACGTGCCGATGCCAGCGGGAGAACGTCGAACACGTCACTCTGGACACTCGATCGAGATTCCCTGAACCTCGTATGAAACCGTTGGCTCTGACAACTGCCATCGGCATGTCGAGGCTATGTGTTTCTGAAAACCCAAGTCCGGAACAACATCCGAATACGTGAACCGTACGATCATCAGTATAGTGTTTGAGTCTGAACGCACACAAGTGTGGATCCTCTGCGTACCGACTCGTGTTCATAGACGCACAGACAATCCGCTGAATTCATGGGTGTTGCTCCGTAACCAAAGGCCGCAATCTCTGCGTTTGGTATCTACCTGCCAGGAAGACTCTTTTACTCTTTAGATGCTTCTTGTGATCGTGGATGCATTTCGAATAGGTTCGGTGCCGCGCCACTGCCGCATCCCAAGGTCACCCGGCATCGTGGTGCTCTCAGCGCTTCAGTTCGAAGGTATCTCGGGTGCGCTGAGGCGCGTCCAATAACCACATGTCGACTGTGGACGCTGCATATCAGTTCAGCTCGTCTGTTGTGTGTTCCTGTCGCGAGAAAACCGAACGTTGACGCAGCGTTGTCGCTTGCTCACCATTCACGGAAGCACGCTGTGCAAAGTTTCCAGTCAGTCGGCCGGCTTCACGCACCAGACATAAACACGGGCGAACCGAGTTCGAGTTCCGCGACGACCGCAACACAGCACCTGTCGCTGCAGAGACACCAGGCGGACTGAGTCGTGACCCGCTCGCCCGCCGGAGGCACGCGTGCTGCTCTCGAGGCCGGTACAGCGTTGTTCGTTAACGCTCGGGTGCTCGTTGAGTGGGTTACGGGGATCGGGCACGAGAACAGAGCTTCCTCGTCTGCACAAGCTTTGAAGCTCGTAGCGTCAACAACCGTACAGCGGGCTTTGCAGCCCCGGGAGTTGTCTACAGTTGCGTCTGGATGACGTTCGCGTTAACCTGGCACCGGTTATCGTTCAGTGCACGAGCGAGGCAGGTTCTCGCCGAACGTCGCATAGCGAAGCGGTGGCACCTGCCTCGCGATATGCACCAACGCTGCCAGCTTCGTCAAGCACCGTAAACTTTATGCAAACTTGGGAAACGACTCGCGCAAAGTCACCGTTCTGTTGAAAACGAGGTGAGGTGGCGAGGCCTCAAGCTGGGAGTCCGGGTCCACGCAATAGAACCCGACTCTCTCGAACTGAAAAATAGCGCCTGGTTGCCAATCATCCGCGGATTCGCACCGAGCTTGTTGCAGAATGCGCTCGCTCTTGGGATTGAAGAAGGTCAGCCACCCGTCGCGCTCTGATAGGTTCTGCTCGGCAGCGGCTTGAAGCGGATCTTCCACGCAGAACAGGGGCTCGTACAAGCGGCATTCACAGGGCATGCTTTTCTCGGATACCCAGTGCAACACACCTTTTGGACGAGGTTGCGGTAATTGGGTGAGAATCTCGGCATGCAGCAACTGAACTTGGTCATCACTTGTGGCGGGCGCATGCTGGGCAGTCAAGGCGGCAAGAACGCGAATCGCGAACCCAGTGTGACGCAGCAGGGCTGCTTTCCCTGGTGCAAGCCCGTAATAGTCCTTCGCATCTTGTAAACGAAAATCAGTTCGCTCCAAGTAGATCATCGGGGTAAATTCGAGCGTACGCGTGCCCAACTCGGGTCGTTTGGGATGGTTCGGCACCTGCACGGTAACTGCTTCCGCTGCCGACAGCGCCTGGGCAAAGTTCTTCAGCAGCACGGGCAACGGTTCGAGCACCACCATGCGACGCGGAGCATGCTGATCCATATACTGACGCACACAAGCCTCTAGCTTGCGCAGATGCACGTTGTTCTCCGCCCGTGAAAACCCTACACTAGCCACAAAGTGGTTAATGGCGACTGGCGTGTAGCCCCGGCGCCTCATGCCAATCAGGGTCGGCATGCGTGGATCATCCCAACCGCGCACTAAGCCGCGCTCAATGATCTGGGTTAGTTTGCGCTTGCTCAAAACCGTGTGTGAAAGATTCAAACGACTGAATTCAAAAACGAACGGCCGATACATGTCGAGAGCCTCTAGCAACCAGTAGTACGAGTCCCGTCGTATCTCGAATTCCAGCGTGCACATCGAGTGCGTAATCCACTCCAGCGAGTCGACCAGGCAGTGCGTAAAGTCGTACGACGGATAGATGCACCATCGATCTCCGACGTGCGGATGCGCTGCGTACTTGATGCGGTATGCGACGGGGTCTCTCATGACAGGATTCGGATGCTGCATGTCGATCTTCATACGAAGAACGGCGGCACCCTCATCGTATAGTCCAAGACGCATCCGCTCGAAGCAGTCAAGGTTCTCCTCGACGGAGCGATTTCGCCACGGAGACGGACGCTTCTCTTCGCGATCGCGCGCCATCTCCTCAGGCCGCTGATGGCACACATAAGCCTTGCCACGTCGAATGAGTTCCACAGCGAGTTCATGCAGACGGTCGAAGTAGTCGGAAGAGTACGTGATCTGGTAGGGTTGATAACCCATCCACTGCACTGTCTCGATGATTGAATCGATAAAGGCCTGCTCTTCTGTGTCGGGGTTGGTGTCGTCAAAGCGCAGGATGCACCGGCCTCCGTTTCGCATTGCGTAACCAAAGTCGAGCAACATCGCCTTGGTATGACCGCAATGAAGATGTGCGTTCGGCTCAGGCGGGAAGCGCGTGACAACAGAGCATCCATCCGTATTTGCACGTTGCAGAGCGAGCAGCTCCGGTGTATTCCGCATGGAGTCTAACGATCGTGCGTCGAAATAGGCTGGTAGCGCTGCAAATGGATTTTCAGCGAGCTGCGCGTCCGTTTCGTTATCGATAGCCGATCCCGAGCCGATACCAGCGTGCCCGTCTTTCGTCTTTGGTGCGGAACTCGCAGACGTCGCGGTGTTGAGCATGCGTCGGTTGGTTTTGCAGCGATCATCTGATGGACGATCTGCCGCCTCTTTGCTGGTGGTCGTTGAGGCGCGCGATCCCGCTCCGGCCTCTGACGAGCGTGGGCCCAGCAACGCAAAGAGTTTTGCATCGACCGCTTCCTTGATGCGGCGGCCTTCAACAAAACGAACACGCCGCTGAACACCAGCGATAATGGGACCAAGTGGATACTTGTAGCCCCGCACCAACAGGTCGTCCATGATTGTCCGAATTTCTTCGTCGACTGCAGCCGACAGCGTACTGTCGTCAACAACAACGCCCGCACCCACTGCAGCATTGAAGTCGTCGCGGTCAACTTTGCCCTCGGCAGCTGTGCCCGGAGCCGACTCGAGCAGCGCCTCGAGGTAAGCGAACGCCGCTTCGAGCTTGGCCGTGTTGTCGATGCGCCCGTCGCCAATTGCTTCAAAGATGAGCTCGCGAAAGCAGCGCAGTTTTGTCGGGAGCTTGCTCACAGCCACATAAAGCAGCGAGGCTTTCTGCGGCGTGAGTGCCTGCTCCTCAGGCAATCGATCCGCAGTCGACTCCAGCGCTGAACGTTTGGCCACTTGCACGGCCTCAGTTAGTGCCGCCTGGACTTTAGCCGACCGTGCGACCGCTCGAAGGTTTCGATCCTCAAGACCTAGAGCTCGCAACTGATCTAAGAGACCATCGTCACCGGAGGCAGCTGCAGCGACGGCGTTCGTCTCCATAACTACCAACGCAGCCGCAACGCAGCCGCGACACAGCACGACGGGCGCTAACGGGAGAGCCGTGCGTAGACGCCTGCGAAACGCCAGGCGTGGGAAAATAGCCCCAGCAGGGCGCTGCTGTCCAGGCGCTTCGATGTCCGGTTTACGGCTGCGTTGCGATCCTGGCGTATGCACTCGGGTGCAGTGCATCGATTCCGTCTAGGCATGCTCATTTTTCGATGTCCACGACAATTGGAGGCTTGTTTCGCATCTATACGAGCTGTGGTATCTGTATCCCGGATCTATATACAAAATAGAGGATTCGATGTGTAAGACGATTAGAGGCTTGTTTCGCATCTATACGAGCTGTGGTATCTGTATCTCGGATCTATATACAAAATAGAGGATTCGATGTGTAAGACGATTAGAGGCTTGTTTCGCATCTATACGAGCTGTGGTATCTGTATCTCGGATCTATATACAAAATAGAGGATTCGATGTGTAAGACGATTGGAGGCTTGTTTCGCATCTATACGAGCTGTGGTATCTGTATCTCGGATGTATACCCAAAATAGAGGATTCGATGTGTAAGACGATTAGAGGCTTGTTTCGCATCTATACGAGCTGTGGTATCTGTATCTCGGATGTATACCCAAAATAGAGGATTCGATGTGTAAGACGATTAGAGGCTTGTTTTGCATTTGTACGTGCTGTGGTATCTCTACATCAGATACAGGTACAGTCTGGAGAATCCGATACCCGCCGGTGGTCTGTTTTCAAAAGCCCTCTGCCGGTCGACAGCACGCGACATCAGGCTGCCAAACTCGGTTGCCACGCTGGACTTGTCGCCGGCATTCCAGACCGCATCGCTCTCGTTAACGATCTCAATCTTTCAAACAGTCGATTCAACGAAATTCACCAGATTCCCCCAAACGAGCGACTGCTGTCACGAATCCGCTGGAAAACGCGCAGTTTCCGCGCACTGCGTGTTTGGCAGGCATCTAAACTAGAACTAATTATATTATTAGGGACTAAATTACCATGTGGAAGCATTGGCGCTTCGCTGGACGTGGCGCGACGGCTGCCCGCCAGCCTCCCGCAGCACCCGCAACGTTGACGCTTCAGACGAAACGGTGTATGCTGGTATGCAGCTCGGCTGCAGTCGTTCCCGCTACTTCACGTTCGGGTTGCCTTCAGGGTCTCGAGACCTATACCACTAGTTGATTGCGGATAGTGGTGGCTTGACGTGTGTTTGTGTGTAAGCCGTACGGTGAGCGCGCTCTCGCGAGGGCGCGCGCCCTCATCGGACGTACAGTGCACGTCTGACACGGTGCGCTCGTGATGGCGTGTCGAAACCTGTGGCGCCTACCGCTCTCGCGCCGCTGGACGGGGCCTTCTTTCGCTCGTAGACGTGCGTTGAGTTTCGAGTACATTGCAGATGAAGCTCCCGGTTGTTTTGAGTGGTTTCTTGACTGGACGTCGCAGTTGAGTACGCTCTGCGCTCGGTACACAGGTCCTGTGTTCGTCTGTCTTGGCCTAGCGCTGATAAGTTTAATCGTCTTCTCCTATTTTCGTCACATGTTACCAGCTCTCTATGAACTTGCGACGCGAAGCCCCTACTCAGGTTGGGCGCAGACGGCACTCCTCGTTCATCTCGTCATAGCACTCTACCTCCTCTACTGCGTCGTGTATGCGTACGCGAAAACGGTGACCACGGACCCCGGATCGCCGCCGCTCGCCGAAACTGTTCAGATGGCAGCACTTGATCCCCACATCGACGTCGCCGTCGTCGACGCAAAGCAGGGACGCTGCGCGGCTCGTGCTGCCACACCAAACTGCACCTGGACTGTCTGCGGACGATGTCGTCGGTGGCGACCACCGCGCACACACCACTGCTCCGTTTGCCGCCGCTGCATCCTGCACATGGATCATCACTGCATCTGGATGAACGCGTGTGTAGGTTACCGCAACTACAGGTTCTTTCTCTCGACACTCTACTTTCTGGTCGTCGGGGCCGCCGATACGGTCGCTACGGTTCTCTTTCTCTGGTGGCGGGCATCGCATCGGAGAGAACTGCGCACGAACATCTGGCTCCTCTATTCCTTCGCACTGGCGCTTTGCCTCGGGGTCGCATTGTTGCTGCTGCTGGTGTTTCACATTCGGATTCTTTCGCTGGGCCTCTCGACGATCGATTATCTCGCTGGCGGTGCGCGTGGCGCTGAGTCCGTAGCTGCACCGGTCGACTCGGGCGAGCGCATGCAGCCGGGCTCGCAACTGGACCCCACGATCGGCAGGCATGGGCGTGCACCCCGACAAAGTCGCTTTTTCGAGCGGCTGCGGTTGAATGCTCGCAAGGTATTCGGCATCGAAAGACCATTGTGGTCTGTTTTTTTGTTTCCTCCCGTGCGTGGGGGCTCGAAAGAATCCCTTGCAGGCGAGCGACACCAGCCGGCTTTGCTTTCAGGCCTTGTGGTCTGAGCGAATAGTCGCAGCCGTGGCTGGCGTTCGGTGCATGCGTTGTTTCTCGAGGTTTGCTTGCAATCACCTGCTCTGCACGCCACTCAGTTTCCCGCAGGTTCTTCGAAACAAGGACTTGCGATCTTGACCGATGAGCTGTTCGCTCGCTTGCTTCTCAAATGCTCTGAGTATTGTGCGCTGCTCCGCGCATGTACACTCGTCATAGCACAAGCCAATTTATGTGTACGATATCGAACGCGAATGTTCTCCCTACGAAACGATCCTGCAGAGCGGCTGCGCAGGTCCACCACCTCGTCCGTTCGGAAGAACGAGTGCATGTCGCGTTTTTGCAACATGGGACCGCTTTGAACGCGGCCGCAGCATTGCCCTGCCGCTCCCAGCACCGGTGCGATAACGTTCTTCATGCTCCTCTACGCAGAGCACGGATGCAGTCGCGACTAGCTCGTGCGAGCCTTTTCGCCGCCGTATTCATTCCTCTTCCATGGGTACGTCGACCTGCACCAGCTCGATATCGAAGATCAAGAGTGCATTTTTCGGGAGCATTTGTCCGAACATTTCGGACATATTCTCGCAGCTTTCCGGGTGCACGTAAACGGTGCGCGCCTCGCCCTCGTGCATGTCGAGAACGATCTTTCTGAGCGCAGGCGGAGCGTCACCCACGCGCATGGTAATTGGATTCACCATTTCTCCGTTTTCATCGGACGGGCACGTAAAGAAGAAGCGCCCATCCAATAGACGGCCTTGCAACACCATCATGACGTTCACGTCATCGCTTTCGCATTTCTTGTGTGAGCCCCCTGCGGTCGCAGACGGCTCAGCGTCGTCGACTTCCTCCCAGACAATACGATCCGGTTCCAGGACATTAAACAGTTCTGGCATTGTCTTTGCGGTCTCGAAGAAAGCTTCCGCCTCTTGCAAATTGATTTCACCAACGACATCATTCGCGATACCTTGTAGGATGCCCATCTGTCGCTCGTATTTTGCGATATTAACCGGAAATTCTTTGCCGGCAAGCGCGTCACGAAAGCCGCGAATCACAAGCTCGTGATCGAGGCCGAATCCCGAGTTCAACAACGCCTGACCCAATGCAAAGCCATAGCCTATGGATAATTCGTTGAGATTCAGTCCCTGAGCACGTGCGAGCTCGCGCGTGCGCTCATCTCGCAACCGAGCACTCTCCTTGGCGGGATTTTCGGCCTCTGCGTCGTCAGCGCGTTCATCGTCTCCGGTATCCACCATGAGCCGGGATGAAGTCTGATGCACACCGTCGTGATGCCTGCGGTCGCTACCTGCCGCTGCATGGAGTGCGGAAGCTGCGCGCGCTGCGCCACTCGTCTGACCTGCTGCCTCGGTGGCGGCACTCAGACCTCCCTGCTGGGCGAATAGCTCTCTGGCAGCGCGCATAGACTCAGCCCATTTCTGAGGATCCTCCACAACTTCACGAAATTGCGGATCCGCATCCATCCATTGACGCAGAAAAGGATTGTTAAGGAGCGCTTGGCGCGACTCCTCCTGCTTCTCCGCAGATGAGAGGTACTCCTGCATTGCAGGCGATTCCCATAGTCCGCCCATTAACTGGGTCATCTGCTGCAACCAGTTCATGGTATCCGCCTGATCGCCACCTGCGGCGCCGCTGTTACCAGCGAGGAGCGACTGCAGGAGCGCGTTCGGATCAGCCATGGCTGGGTTGGCGCCGCTGCTCCGCGAGCCTCGACCGCTGCTACCTGTGCCCAGGTTGCGCAGTTGCCGCGCAAGTGACTCGACGTCAGCAAGGCCAGCCCGTGAGCCTGAGCCTGCTCCTGCTCCTCCGGTTCCGGCTGAGGCCGCGGACGCCGTCCCAGACGTGGCTGTACGCGAGTTCCTCGAATCGCTTGAGGCGCCCGCAGCTGTGCTCTTCGTCGCCCGACTCGACGACGACGACGACGACACTGTGGCACTGTCAGCCGTGATACCGGGTCTCACGTTCCGCACTACGCTCATAGTAACCTCAGTGAGCGCTTCATCAATGCCGTACGCTGATAGCGTTTGCTGCGGATTATCGAGTACCTGCCCACGGTACATCAGCATCTGATTCGTGACCGGGATCCCGGCGCTCTTCTCCACCTCATTCTGGATCTCGTAGACAGAAGTGTGTACTCCCTTCTTAGGTACGACACTTATCTTCTTGCCGTTAAAGCAACGAACTTGGAGCGTAAGCATCCGAGGAGACTCGATACCGACTGCACCTCAACCCGGGATGAAGCGACTCGAACGACGCCGGCTGCTCGTGAGGCGCACTACGCTGGCCGGGCGCAGCAGCGGGGCGTGCGCAGCAGCGGGGCGTGCGCAAAGCGCTTGGGCATCGACGCACAGATGCATATTACGGCCCTAATTGTTCTATTTTATTCTGGATCTTCCAGGGCCCTGCATGCGCGACGTGCCGCAGCAGGCGGCATTCCATGGTGTGCAGGCTCAAGATGACGCTGACCTGCTCATGATGCAGTTTTATTACGGGGGATCCCTGGATCGAACGGGGTATTTGGTAGATACGTCGTTGCTTTGCGCAGATGGTCAGCAGAAGGAACAATGCTCTACGACCATAGAGTGTACATCGATATATATCCACTTAGAGACGCTTTCCAGTGTTTTTTGACCGGCAGAATGCTCCGGGCTTCAGTTTCCCCCTGTATACTACGAGCGTGAGACGCTTCCCCGCAACGTTAAATCGCTTCAGTTCCTCGGTTCTCTTCTTTGGCGCTAGACATCGTCTTATATTCATGGCAGCGTTAACGTCTCGGATCACGAACCCCACGCGTGCATTGCCTCTGGTGGAACTCATCAATGGAGGCATTCCTCGAACTCGTACCTTCTGTGCCAATACGGTCTCGTCGTTGGCGTGTCGGGCAAGCACCTTTTCTCGTCTACCTCTCCTCTTTCTCTTCTACTACTTTACCACTTGTTCTTTTTCGCTTGATGGTCGACGAGAGAGGATTTTGTTTCGTTTCTTTTTCAGGCAGCCGGAGACACCAGATCCCAAGATCCCCTACTTCCGTATCCATCCCTTTGCCCTGAATTTTCATTTTTGAAAATGGACGCACTTTGAACGTATCTGCTACAAACCGCGAAGACGCATTTGATCACACTCACCCTGGGGTGCAACACCATTGAAGCGAAACACTACAGTGGGTGCATCCATGATGGCACACCAGACCGCCTGCTTCCACCGGGCACCATGCAAAAGTACCACGACCATCAGTCAGACTTTCCTCTCCGAATCATGGATAGCTCCAGAGCTACGTTGGACGTCGAGCCTGGTGTTGGCTGGAATCGCGGCGCTCAGCCAACGCTCAGCTGCAGACACCGCACAGAGACGGGACGGCTCTGTGGCATCCGCATGGGCGTCGGCTCGAGACCTGTACATAGTGGCGGTCCCGAACGCAAATTATAGGACGCTGTGAGATCCTGGTGAAGCATCGAGCAGTGTTTGTCGCAGAAGCCGCTACACGCGCACCTATATACCTATGAAGACTCATGTCGGTGTGGATGGAACGTGTCCACTCACTGGACACGTACATTCCGGAGGTTCAATCTCTTCCAACTGATATCAAGATCAGCCTCTTGGGAGCTACTTCTGCGACTGCTTCCTGTTCCCCATTTGTATATCTGGATTTCAAAACGCCGGCTTCTCGCGTCCTTTTAGATCCATTCTCAGCAGTCGAAGGATTTTGGTAGCAGCGTCCAAGCCACGGCTTCGCTGTTGTCCTTGTTTTTCGCGCCCAGGCAGGAGATGCGATGTATGCTTCGGTGCACCGTTTGCAGAGCCGTCAACGCACAAGGGTCAGGTATTCCCATGAATGTCCCATGCGCATCATACTTTCGAAGGCTGCTCTGTGGCGCCTGTGCGCTTGCTTCATCGCTCACTTCATGCTTTTGACGGGTACAGAAAGATCGCCTCGATGCCCTCCACCGGTTCCGCGCCCGATGCAGCAGCGCTCGATAACATGCGTCAGCAGGGCGAAACGCCTCGGTGCACCGCTGACAGCGACAGACGCAAGCACTGGCTCTTCCATTCGATTGCGAATGTCTGGATGGCGATACGGTCCGTGAGGAAACAGGTACCCGAGACAAAGTCCATACTGGAGGAAAAGTTCCGCAATTTCGACTCAACTACGCTCCCTTCGCACCCACACGTGACCTATTGACCACCGGAGGCGATCGCTACGATGACTGCAATCCGGGTCCTTGGCCGTTTTCCATGCAAGCTGAGGAGCGCGGAGCCGCTGGGAGCGTGCTCCCCTGTGAGCGAGGTATCATGCTGCAGTCGACTTTGGTATCGTGGATGGCTACGACGAGATGCGGATTCGTGTTTCGGAAGACATCGATGATCGGACGCGAGCGGTTCCGTGAGCTGCCGCCTCTGACAGCCTGTGGTCGACTTGTCACTGCGCGACGTCGCGATGCGCTCGATGTGCACCCAGCGGCGCGAGTCGCTGCGTCCACGCGGTGCCTTGGCGGGGAACCATCGAACACGTGAAGCGGGCGTGATTGGAACATGCTCCGCATTCGCACAAGAGCGTCACGGAGGCTTGGAGGTATGCACGGGATACTGATATCGGTTGCTTTATGAACCGTACGCGGGAGGCGTCACGAGTCGCGTTGATTACGGTGACGTGCCGATGCCAGCGGGAGAGCGTCGAACACGTCACTCTGGACACTCGATCGAGAATCCCTGAACCTCGTATGAAACCGTTGGCTCTGACAACTGCCATCGGCATGTCGAGGCTATGTGTTTCTGAAAACCCAAGTCCGAAACAACATCCGAATACGTGAACCGTACGATCATCAGTACCATGGTGTCCTACCACGTTCTCGCCGGCGTCTAGACGCGCGCCCGTGCAGTGTTGAGTCTCGGATGCGCGGGCGTGTGCAGTTCCATCTGAATCATGAACAAGTCTGAACTTTCATAGATAATCTTGAACGGAGCGTTTCTTCATCCGGCATGCGATGCGATGCGCTGCGCCGAGCCCCAACCAGAAACGCCTCCAGCTCCCGTTGATCCGCGAAACACTCGTACTCGCGGCTCGCCGCGCGAACAGCCATTCATGGTGTGCCGCAGAATTCGCAACAGCTCCTTGACGTCCTGTATCCAAAACGTCTGGAGCGCTAGCACGGCGCTTGCGTACAAGTCTCTAGCAAGGCAGTTGCACCTGCAACCGCGCAAAGCCTTCAACCGCGAATGGTAACACCTGAAGCATGCTGGAACGTTTTGTCGTGCAAAGGCTCTTGCGCTTCCTTGGTGACTTTATCGAAGGCGGCCTCCAGGAGGAGCAGCTCTCGCTTCTCTTCGGTACCGGGAACAGCGTTGAGCTGCGGGATGTGCGTATCCGCTCGGACCGTCTGAAAAGTTTGCTCGCTGGAATCGGTTCGCCGGTGTATGTCCTGTGCGCCTCTGTGGGTACTTTGCGCGTGTCCATCGACCTGCGCGGGCGCGTCGCTGTAATCGTCCGTGACCTCGTCGTTGTGCTCGCTGACCAGTACCCCGAGGCCGAGACCCGCCGGTCCACTGCCAGAGAACGCTATCGCAAAGCGATTCTGCGGATCGATCAGGCGCAACGTCATTTGCGCCTGCAGCAGGCTTTTGAGGCAAGACCGCAACGCTCCGCCGCTACCGCCTCCGACGATGACAGCACCACTGTTTCTTCTTCGTCTTTAGCGGGACAGCGTTCGAGTGCATCCCCTCGTCGTCAAAACGACCGCCGCGATTCTCAGACGCAGCAGCAGCAGCAGCAGCAGCAGCAGCAGCAGCAGCCAGGAAGCGGGTGGGCCTTCTTCGGCTCCGGTGTGATCGAGTCGCTTATCGCGTACGTAGCGGATCGTCTCAGCATTCAGGTGGAGCGTGTGGTGCTCGGCTTTGCCGACCAAGGCGTGGTCATGCGCCGCGCCAAGGAGGTCTCCCCTCGCGGTTACCACTGGATCACTGTAGCATTCCTGGATCGCATGCTGACCTCGGACTGGTCCCCGGAAAAACAGGAAGCCCCGTCCCTGGAACCCGCAAACGTACCAGGAACAGCTGCGAATCGGAGCAAGAACTTATTCGGTTCCGCACAGACAACAATTGTTCGAAAGCGACTTGCGCTCTCGGGGCTGCGTCTTAGCTGGATCCCCGACGGCAGCAAATCCCTCCGCAACATCAGCTGGAGTGATCCAGAGCTGGTACGCGAGTCTCTTTGGCGAACACGCGAAGAAAATGATGCCGACATTCTCGGACCCATAGAATTCGGCATTGGTCTCTACGTGAGCGGCTTCCGGGACTCGTTTCGTACCTGCATTCAAGCCACAGGGAACAACCTCGACTGCTCGCTGTCGCAGCTCCAGTATCTCGATATGGTGTCGGCAGCGCTGCGTCTGGGTGTTGGTCAAATAGCCAAGCTGTCTCTGTTGAGTGAGGAAATGACACGTGGCTCCCAGGAGTCCGCTGATCTTGGCCCAGGGATGCGAAAAACCGCCAGAGGCGAAGGAAGCGCTCCTGGACGTGCCGCAGCCCGCGAGCGCTGGGTGCAAGTCGTGCGCCATGTGCGACAGTCTGTTCGCCGTCGACACGTCCCCTGGACCAGAGAGCACCTTTCCATGCAATGGACAAGACGCAAGCAGTACTTGGCGACATATTTAGCAGCAAATGTCCGCAGCGACAACCATTCCTGGCGTCTCGTGCAAGCGCTGGAGGAAACGATGGATTTAGAACAGATTCTGGCTCTGAGGGCCACCGCGGAAGCGTTGGTGCAACGCAGTCCACAGGAAGCGCTTGCGCTCTGTGATGAGGTGTCCATAGCCGCCCTGGTGGTGGTCAGTACACCGCGTTTCCAGCGTCTGCGACAGCAACGCCTAGTCTCCTGGTGCTTATGGATGCTCTCCTGCATTTGGAGACTCGGCGCGCTGCTCTGGAGTGTACTGGAACGTCGCATATGGGGTCTGCGGCCGCTAGCCCACAAACTGGTACAGATAGGGCGCACGCTGCGGCCGCCAATTCTCCAGGTATTGGCCGGTCAGTGGCTGCTCTCAGCGCCGACATTGCTTCCCGCAACCTCCGAGGAGGACGCCGACCTCAGCCAGACAACAGAACATATCCTGGGTTCACTACATTCCTACATCCACACAGACTATGAGCGTTTCCTGCAACAACGCGACCTTCGCAGCAAACGTGCAAGTTCACCGACAGCCGCGCTAGCACCAACCCGAACATCGTCAATGCTTTCTGGCGAGCACGGAGGACGGAGAACTGCATGGGAAAGTGCGCTTGCTGCTGAAAGTGCAGTATTCCAACTCGATGTATCCGTGAACCGCGTGCAGCTGGCACTGTTCCAGGAACACCAACTAGTGGCGTTCACAGGAGCTCGTGCGTTCGCGGCACGCAGCAAACTGCTCAGCACCGCAGCAGTGCAGCACATTGGATGCCAGCTGTTCATCTCGAGTGCCCAGAACCTTGCAGTACGGGCCTGGCTGGCCCAGCTGCAACTCCGGGACGAAGCGAACAGGATCCTGGTGTGCAACCGCTATTGCCCTGGAAACCATGAGTCCGCTCACGGGACGCAGCAGCCACAGGCCCGGAACGCTGAAGAATCCGTTCCGGAAAGTGACCTCTCGTTAACTGGGCGCGATGAAGCACCCGAGGCTTTCCAGTTGCGACTGTGGAATCCTCGCCAAGGACTTGTTGATCTGGAACTGGATTTTGCGCCCTTGTCCGTTCGGATTTCCGCTGTACTGGTGCAGGCTTTGCTCCGGTTCTGGATACCTGAAACGCTGGCCTCCTTTGCGATGCAGGGCAGACGGTATGCTGCGCGCGTCCTACATGGTCTCCAAGAACGCCTGGTCCGCTCTGATGATGCTACTCTTGTTCAAAAGCTGAGCTCCATGTTCATGCAGCTTCGCTTTGGAGGTATGTTCATTGTTTTCGATGAAGACTTCCGGCTTCTGGAAGGCGCTGCAGTGACCTCAGCGGAACAGTCGTCAACGTCACCCGAAGCATCACCTGCGTCGCTGGTGCTTTGCGTACAGCTCGCTGGAGCAGAGTTTCTCATGGGCGAGGAAACCGCCTTGACCGCTCACAGACAACCAGCGGATCAAGCGGTGCTCTTGGGCATCGACGCATTTGCCTCGTCCGTCCAGAAAGCACAGCAGGTGTTTGCCTTTCTGTCATCGTCATCATCAGAGACGCGGGTGGACTTGCAGGGTACGGGCACCGACGAGCCCGCGCAGCAGACCCCACCGGAGACGCCCTATGTGGTCGACTCTCGCGTGGTGCTGCGCTTTCCGGGCCTAACGATCGGCTGGTGCCATGAAACCTCCGTTGAAGCGGCTAGCGCAGTTGTGCCCGTGCGAACGCTCTTGCAACTGGGCACCTTGCGGATTGGCAACACGATCGAACACTGCCTCGTAACGCAGGATCAACGACCCAAACTCCTAGCGCGGATTCTGGTGGGCATCCTCCTGGAACGACTCGCAGTGACTGCGGGCCTGAGCGACATCTGGGCGCTAGTGCAGGTCGCTTTGCGTTACCAACGTGTCATCCAGGATATACAGGTGATTTTGAGAGAAAACGATGCAGATCTATCCACGACGAGTCACCAGAACAGTTTGGACTCGCTTCGGGAGGCAAGCATATCATCGAACGCTTCGTCATCATCACCAGTAAGGAGTCGTGAAGCAACCAACTCGATATCGCGGGAGCTCGGTGCTGCGAAGATGCATCCGCCGCAACTGCAACAAAAGAGAATGCGAACACGCGAACGTGAACCGCATTTGCGAACCGCGTTATCGTTGAGACTGAACGAGCCCCTGCATGTGGAACTAGCTCTGGATCATGGCAAGTCTGCGACGATGACCCGTCACTGGCTACTGCGTTCCCGGATCGGCGTTCAAGGGCGACTGCTCCTGTACTCCAACCAGTCGATGTTGAGCCAGCTGCAGGCAAGCGGTATCAGTGTGGAAGCGGATGCATCAGGAGAGCGGCCCCGTTCCTGCCAAGTGCTGTTGGTAGCTCCCTTCCAGGGCGAGTTGGAGGCAATCTTCGAAGCCGCTGCTTCTACTTCTACTTGTACGACTAGTGATGCTACCGCGCTGCCGACACTGGACTGCGCACTGCGCTTGGATGCGATCGATGTGGTGCTCCCGTTCTCGTTTATCAGAGAGCTGGTGGATACTGGACTTGCATTCGGTGCCCTGTTGCACCAGGAAGTGACCCGCGCTGCGCCACCCGGGTCGCTGGAGACTCCGGTTACCATCACCCGGACAAGAGCAGCGGATGATCAGGAGCCGTTCCTCTGGAGCGCAGACTTGAGCGCCCTGCCTGGCAACGCGAGCCTTGTCTTCGAGTTTGCTACCTCGGATCGAGCTGGCTACCTGGGAGTCGACCATCAGGGCCGCGTCCACGGTCCGGTACCCCTGGAACAAGCTGCGCGTTTCCGCGTTCAGCGGGTGCGACGCAAGGGCGCTCCCGTCGGTGTGATGCTGAAGCTTGAAACGGACCAATCCTCGGGCATGACCAGCACTTTTACGGTGCAAGTACTCGCGGACTTGTCGGATGTGTCGTTCGATGGACGTACCACGAAGCCGACCCCAGCTGGGCCACACCTGGGTATCCGTCGCATTGCACCGGAGCTCCGGGACGAGGTTTGCCAACGCTCTCTGGAGCGGCTTTCCACGAACGGTACGGAATCTTCGGTGCTGGAAGCAACAGCTGGTTCGGAAGCAGGTGAATCCTCGGGAACGCTACCAGCAGCAGCAGCAGCAGCAGCAGCAGGGACTCTCGGCTCATCCGGAAGCGCAGGTAACCGCCCGGAACGCAGCCGCTCCCTGAGACGATGGCTCGGAAACTCCGACTCGAGTACTCGATCCAGTACTGAAGTCGGAAGCGCTGCAGCAGACAAGGCGGATCGTCGCCAGCAGCGAAGCATCGCTACAAGTGCAACCAAACGAAAGCGTTGGCGAACCCGAGTAGCGGCTGGCGCTGGTGCTTCCACTGCTTCTGCCGATGATGATGATGCTGATGCTGATGATGATTTTGGTAATGAGCGCAACGATCAAGTGCTGCGTGCCTGTACCTGGGAATCTGTACCTGTTCATGGCGTGGCGGAAGCAGTCCTTCTGAGGCACGAAAAGAGCGGCCACTGGATAGGGCGAACACCAGCAGCTGGACCTGTTGAAGCGCACGACGCATCCAGTCCGGATGAAGCGCTGCACCTTGACTTGTTGCCCGGCGCTAGTGCAGCGCTGCCGTTGCGTCCGCTGCTCCTGCAACGGGCCCAGCACTTGGCCCAGTTCCAGCCGCTGATACGGATTCGTGCACAAGTGGCTGCCGCGGGCGTGCTCGTTCGGCTCTACGAATGGATGGACGAGGCAGCTCGCTATCGACTGCCGTTGTTAGCGCTCTCCGCGGTACCCATTGATGTACAGTCGGAGGTTTGTGTGTACCCCAGTGCGGCTGGCGTTGAACCGGAGCTCTCACTCGCGCTCTCGTTGTGTCCGACGGTGAGCAGCTACCGTTTGGCACAGAGGCGATGGCGCGACCTGCTCGAGCCGGTGCCACTCTCTATGCAGGCGAGTTTGCGGGGAAAGCCTCGGTTTGTGGCGTTCCAGCTGCAGTTGGGCACTGCCGAACAACCGCTTCGGTTGCATGCGTACCCGCGTGGTGTGCACCTTATCAGCCAGCTGCTGATGGACCTCATGGATCGGACTGCAGCTTCGCGACTCACCACGGACTGGTGGTATTTCCACAACGAGACCGAAGCGACCCTGCAGTTGCAATGGGACCTCAAAAACAGCACCCAAAACGTCGACAACGATGATAATGTCGACGTCGACGAGCCTGTTGTCGTCTATCCGGGTCAATCGGTGTGTTTGTATCCGCCACGAGCCCTGTTGAGGCGAGCGCTGGTGCGCCTTGCGGACCTGGAAGCCGCCGCTCGTCAAAGAAGCGACGTTCCAGAGCCGTTCACTGCGCGTATCCAAGTCGTGGGCTTCGGAACGCTACCTCCAGTACCGCTGCAAACGTCGGATGTGGTATCGCTGCCGCTCGAGCCGGACCCGGTTTGTACGACGAGTGCCACGCCAAGCGCCCGAACTCCGGTACCTGCAGACACAACCGAGAAGCAGACGCGTGGCGGTCGAGTCACCGCAGCATGCTCTGCACCTGCTGAGCGCTCCGTAAGCATTGCACAGCGCTCTGGAACGGAGTATCCGGCTGAGCGGGCTGGTGCAGACCCGACCACTTTGACAGCGACACGGGCGGCATTGTCCCAGCGAGTGTCCGCCGAGCAGCGGCTACCGACGGATGCACCTTTTGAGGTCCGGGCAAGTATCGACACGATGCAGCGTGGAAACGCAGCTGCACAACCACGTCTGCGTCTCCCAGGAGCAGCAGCAGCACCAGCAGTAGCAACTGACTCGACTCGTCGTCGTGTCGACGACAGTGAACGTGCGGCGCCTGTTGTGCTCTACTGGGTGCGCCTTAGCGATGGCTATCGTGACCATTTCTACCTGTACAGTCGGACCAAAGTCGCGAACCGTTGTCGAAGCATCGCCTTGTACGTACACGGTTTCCTACCCGAGCACGAACGCCGTCATGCGGAAACTGTGCTTCGGAGGCAGGGGCGATCACCAGCGCTGGTGCTTCTGCAGCTGGGACGCACAGCAACTGCGCTTCGTTCAGCATCGAAGGAACCTTGGCGCAAACTCGGTCGAGGATTACGAAGCTTTTTCGGCATTCGGTCAAAGACACGGGCGATTCCCGAGCGACCAGCACCGCTACCCGGCTTGCCAGCGGAATCGTCTGGCTCTTGGTACGCGCTGATGCCGGTGAACATGCCGCAGTCTGAGTCCAGTGCCTCTGCAGCACCGGTTTCGGAACCTGCTGCAGGTGTGCTGGAGCCAGAGCAGGCACTCTTTCTGGGGACTTTCCTGCGGCCGACGCGCCTACGCCTGCTCCCCGTCACATCGACAAGTCAACGCGTGTTCAATGAGGAGGCGTCTGCTATCGGAGGTCTAGAGTTTCCGCTCGTTGCTGGCCAGCTATCGCTGACGAGGAGCTATTTCCTGGTAGCTGCAGCGGTGGACGCTTCGTGTCAGCGCTTTCGCGTGATGGAGGTGGGTGCTCGTACTAGCAGCAGCAGCAGCAGCAACAGCAGCAGCAGCAGTCAACGGCTTGCGAACGAATACAACATTCGTCCGGCATTGACGATCCTTCACGAGTTGCCGTACCCAGCTAGTCTGCAAGTTGTCGACGCCGACGGGAACCTGCACTCGACCTACGCCTTGGACGCTTGGGGCTCGGTGGAAGTTTGTGAGCTCTGGGGCCCGCCACGCGAAAACCTCTTGGTGCATCGCCTGCTGGGCAGTGCAGGCTCGACACGAGCGCCAAGCACCGAACCCAGTCGCACAGACGGGAATTTCGCACCAGCACCAGCACCAGCACCAGCACCAGCACCAGCACCAGCAGGAGATGATGATGAGGATGATCATGACGATACTGATGTGACTGCCCGCACCGTCGCCATTGTGCGTCTCCAGAACGCCAGTTCAGCAGGTAAGCGGCCCAGTACACGTACTGGGGCGACTGGAAAGGCCTCGCTTGCCGCAAACTTGGCCTTACACTGCGAGGTGGAGCGCCATACCCTCTCGTTTCGCTTCGGCTACTTTCGTGCTCGCCTTGTCCGCAGCGAAACCCGCGGCCGTATCCTGGTGCTCTATGCTCCGTTTCTCCTATGCAACCAGGTTCCGGGTATTAGCCTCTGTTTCCGCCATGTGCAAGGAAACCGTAAGCCACTGCCTTCCGCACAGCGTCAGCTTCGCAGGATCGGCAGTCAGGCGACATCCGCAGTGCAGCGACTAGCGGGACAGGCGGGAGCGGCTCCAAAGCGACTCGGAGCACATCTCCGGCCAAGAGAAGAGGCAACGATGCCCGAGCGTGGAACGAGTCGTCACCCGGCTCCAGTATTGTCGTCGCCGTCGACGTCGACGACGACGACTTTATCATCGGCTGCGGCCTCGGCTCCAGTGGACACTGCACGCCATCTGGGCACTGACGTCCAGGCTGATAACGATGATAACGATGGGACTGTTCTGACGAGTGCATCGGCAGCGTCTCCCGAGGTCGTTGCTGCCGACGACCCGGACCCAGAGGCAGTCACCACAGAGATTGCACCTGCAGCGTCAGAAACAGCGGTCGTCTTCGATGCTGCTTCGGAGCCCGAGTCAGCGAGCACGGTTTCCGCGGACACGCTGACACAAGCGACCCGCAGCGATACCACAGCGGTCGCCGCTACCCTGAACAAGCCGCAACGTCTGGTGCATCGAAAGAAAGCGGAAGCGTCGCGACAGTTTCTGGTGCCTCCAGTCAACCTCGCCGAAGAAAGCGGTGCGCCCAGCTCCGATGCATATCTGTACTGCTGGAAATCACAGCAAGCGTTGATCTGGGTGAACGGAGCACCCCGCCGCAATACCCAACATCCCGTTCGACTGGCACCGTTTGGTCGAGGTAACAAGGGCTTTGGGGTGCCGGATGCGCTCGTCGGACACCTGCTCGAGCTTGTGACCCAGGTAACGCTGCACAGCTACCGAGACCGTACTGCCGTCCTGGATACACCGCTCCCGAACGCGCGGATCCTACAGCTACGACCGCGGTTTGAAGTGCGGAACACACTGACGGAGACCCTGAGTCTATGCGACGCCGTAGACTGGGAGCGTTTTCGCCTCGAGCAGGCGCAACACGAAGAGCACAAGGCCACACTGCCGGTATGTGCGGTGTCTGGGCTCGTGCCCGGCATGCAGCAGGTGCCGGCAGCAGTCAGCAGCCCAAAGCAGCCCGGACGAGCAGCGGTCACTTTTCATGAAGCCAACAAGGGACGCTTTGCACGTATTCGCCTTGACGATACCGGGTGGTCGGGTCTGATCGACTTCACCGACCTGAACGGAACGAGCGTTGCGCTGCCGCGAGCTCGTCGTAACGCTGACCAGTACTGGGTCGACGAGCACGTACCAGTGTATGGGAGTGTGAGGATGGATAATGGACGACTGATCTGGACGTTTCAGAGCAAGCACGTCGCTGCCAAGGGAATTCGCTTTGTGAACCGGACGCGTTTCGACCTGGTGGTGAGGCAGAAAGCGAAACGCGCTGATCGGTTGCGCTCTTTGATGCGTTCAGCAACACGCGATGCCTCCCACATGATGGTACAGACGCTACGCGGGGTCACTTCTGGAGCAGCGAGTGCAGCAGCGAGTGCGTTCGGTATGGGCATGCGTAACCGGAACACCGGAACCGGAACTGGAACTGGAACTGGAACCGCAACCGCAACCGGAACTGGAACTTTGTCAACAAGTGGCTCTCGTACGCTTGCCGCCGGTGAGCAGCAGCAGCAGCAGCAGCAGCAGCAGCAGCAGCAAGTCACAGCGGAAACGTCTATCATGCCGCAGACCCCGCAGGGGCAACGAACCGACCCGGGCAAGCCGCTGCGTATCACACCGGATACCTCGCTGGATAATGCCGCTTGGATGATATTCCATGTGCCACCGAAGAGCGAACGGGTTTTCTACTGGCCTGAACCGCTGGGTTCGTCCAAGCTCCTGCTGAAACTATTGCCTGGAGAGGCAGGCCTGGCGACGGCGTTGGCGAATCCCCAGCTCTTTGCGGATGCAGTGGTGGTACCAACGCGTCAACTGCACCCGGAACCGCGCTGGTTGGCACAACGACGGGGACACCAGCCAGCGTTCCTGTATCGAATGATAGCCCAGGGGCCGGAACGACACCTCGTGGTCGACGAAGGCACCACCAGTACATTGGCGAACGAACCTGCCTGGATACCGCGCTTTCGATTGGACGCGCAGCTCAGCTTGCCGACGCTCTACCTGAACTTGTACAACTTGCAGGCGCGTCCCTTGCTAGAGGTCCAACTGCAGCAGCTGGAGGTGCTCGCGAATGCCGGACTCCGACCTGACCAGCAGTTGGCGATCATGACGCGTCTCGACGACCTGGTGCTTCTGAACCGCATGGACCGTGCTCGTTCGCAACGCGTTGTCAGCAAAACTGCAGGATCGTTGACCAGCGGTGATGACCGGAGCACCCCAGCGCCCGCTACGAACAACAAGGGCGTTGCCAACGAAACACCGAGTGAGCTGCTGGTCGTTGCCCTGGTACTACGACATGTCCAACGCGATCTCCTACATGTGAGCGCTTTGCAAGTAGAGCTCACGCCGCTCCGAGTGAACCTGGAGCCAGCGCTTCTCTATGAAACCGTGCTTACCCTGGTGAGTTGCTATGATCGTGCACGGTGCTCGTCGTTGACTGCAACGCAACGCAGAAGCGCCATGTCGTCGTCGTCGTCGTCGTCAACGAATGCAGGTGCTGGAATCGGCAGCAGCGTTACCAGTCCAGGTTCATGCAGTGTACACGAGGCCCAGACAGGTCGCCGGGAAGTGCGCTCTACCAGAGCTGTGAGCAGCGGCGCCCTGGCATCGCTTGCGCTACCCGCTGAACGCACTCGTTCACTACCGGCAGTCTACATGGAGCAGGGCGCCATCGGTGACCTGCAGATCCTGCTCACCTGGAGAAAGTCATCTGCGAAGTTGCTCCTTGCACGCGTGGAGGCAGCAGCGAGTCCGCGTCTCGCCGAGGCTGTCCAGCAAATACGCGACCTCCTGGCATACGTACCCGCAGTGCGTGACGCGCCCATGCGCCTGAGTGGTATCATGCTCACCGAGTACCTGGCTACCATGGAGCAACTCGTGCATCGGATCGTGCAGCACTACATATGGAGCGGGATTCGTAACGGGTATGCACTCGTCGGCTCGCTGGATATGCTCGGAGCGCCGCTCAATATCTGGGGCCACACCAGCGGTCGTGTGCAAGCCATTTCACAGGATATTTCGCATGGACGCCTGGGCAAAGCCGGCAAGCACATGGTAACGTTTATCGGTGGCACTGTAGGCGACGTCGGTCAGTCGTTTACCGGTGCGCTGTCGTCGTTTGGTGGTATGGCGTGGCGGCGGCTAAAGTGGCTGCAGCGCGCTCCGTCACATGCTATGAACCCGTCGTCGTCATCGTCGTTGTTGCCTACCGACTGGGGAGAAGGCGACGACAACGACAATGACGACGGTGCTGGTAGAGATGCAGTTGAGAATGCACGCCCCGGTGGTAGCTTACCGCTGCGTGCTGGTCAGGGCGGCTCGCGTGGTGCCAAGACGCGGCAGCGGGCACCGTGGGCAGCACGTTTTGTCGCCCGCTGGTTGCCTGGCGGTGCTGGACGGCGACCGGCTAGTGCCACCACCGGAGCACCAGCACCAGCACCAACAGCAGAGCCTAGCGTTCAGCCGACTGTACCTCCGTCGCCACTGGACTGGCGTCGAGCGCTTCTGGGGTATGCATCCGCGAGCGACGCTCGTTCGGGTAGCACCTGAGCCCCTGCACGGTGCAATCGATACCACACGATCCCTAGTGATGCACCAGAATCACAGGTGGACACAGGTACTTGCCTTGCGTTGTTCGGTTTTTCCACAGCAACCGCGCTCCGCATCTATGTCGATGCGAGCAGACTTTGTGGGTGTTTTGGTGATCCTATCACAAAACGGCTGGTGCAGTGCACAGGGAACGTTTACGGGACGTACCAGAAGCAATAAGGTCGAATCACCGTAGCAACAACAACAGCAGCAGCAGCAGCATACTACCGTATGCGCATGGAGCGCAACGCTTACTCAACCCAGCCAATGCGATTAAAGGGTGACTGCATGATACGCTCGTATCGTGGCATGTCCGTGGGTGACGGGAGAATCCATCGGATGTGGTCTTCGAGTAAGGTGCACGTCATACGCGCCCCGAGTGCCATCATCTCGAGCCCTGGCGCCAGTCGCTTGATCATTGCCGGATAGAGCAGGCGTGCACCGAGCACAGTAGCGAGCGCTTTGTTGGCATCAGCGCTTCGACGTACTGGATAGCAGCGGAACGCATGCAAGCGGCTAAAATAGACTCCATAACATGTAAAGGTGCACTCGTGTGCGGCGCTGGAGGCGTCACCGCATGTCGATTCAGCGAACAGCGGGCGCACGAATCCATTCGTGATACGATCCGCGAGCACTTCTTCTACTTCTTCTTCTTCTGGTGCAAGGAACAACAACCGATACAGATAGCGCTGGATGTCGCGTTTCGACGATCCCGGCGATGCAGACGTATCGAATCGTGCGAGTCGTTCCAAACGAACGAGACCAAACTCGGATGCGGATGCCGGGCGTAGCCTTGGACCACGCTGTGCGGTATGCGCTGGTGCGTCCTCACTAGGCGTATCGACGCTCTGTGGATCGACGCAGAGCGGCGTCTTAAACGTAACTAGATCAGGGAACTGAGCTTCGGTGTGATAGCCGCACTGCCTCAGCACTGAATTCGCGAGTCGTCCAACCACAAGGGCAACTGCGCGTACCCCAGAGGCGGCCGATGTTCCAGGGACGCGCGCAAACGCCGCAGCGCTGGAAACCACTGGCGCCTGCGCTGCGTTCGAGTGCCCAGTGCCGGCATCGGAGGCGACTGTGGCAGCCTCGGCGGGCATCGTTGCGTCGCCAAGTGGCGGCTTTTCGATAGGTGCGAGGTCGACGCTGTCGACTGGCGGCGGCTCGGAGCAGGCCAGCACCACCGCGTCGAAGCAGACGTCGCACGAGGGCGTTGCGTCAGCCGGGAACTCGAGGCGCCAACGCGGCAACTCGGATGCCGCCGCATCAGCAGGCACCGCGTGGATACGGATTACCCTGGCGTGGTGCATGACGCGTGCCCCGCTCTTCTCCACGAGTCGCTGACAGAGGCATTCGAGGCCCTCGAGGGCACCATACTCGTCTGCGTCGCAGAGATTGAGGCTCGCCATGGCCCGCAGCCCAGCGAAGCCATTCACTTGCAACAGCAGGCATGCGTCGCGGTCGTGCACTTGTCCAGGAGATGCGGTACCGAACACCTCGCGCAATGCGACCGGCTCCAGAATCTCCTCGGCGAACGCGAGTCGGATGTGGGCATCGCGGCAGAGCTGAGCGACGTTGGTCACTGCCCACGACCACATATCAGCCGCTTGGAGAAACTGTGCAACCGACCAGCAGTACGCTACGCCTTGTCGATAGATTCGTCGCCATTGGTCCGCGAATCCGGCACCCAGCTGGGTCGCAAGCTGAGCAGATCGACCAAACCGTCGCCGATGCTGCAGACGCTGCCAGGTACGCATCAGAAACTTGTGCCCGTACGTGATGTACGGCATCTGGCTCAGCGACATCCACATCAGGCTGATTCCAATCAGTGCCCAGCCCAGGCGCAAGAGCCAGCGCGTGTAGCGCAGCGCCATCCGCAGCGCCAGCATTGCCAGCACAAAAGGCAACAACTGGGCAAGGCCGGTGTCCTCGAGACCGCTGGTAAGCGCGTTTAGCCACGGCAGACCGCCAAACGCGCTCAGACGAACCAACGTGCCAGTGTCTGTTTTCGTAGGCCAGTCCAGCACTGCTGTGGCGTATAGACCACCGTGTGCTGGACTCGCTGCGCGTCGGGGCTGAACGCGCATCCCGCACCGCTTGATTAACTCCAAGACACGCAAGTCATCTGCTGTGAACGAGTCCCAGAGCCCGACTTCTACGTTGACCCCCTGTACGGAGACACTTCGAACAGAGCCACCCAGACGATCGTGCTGCTCGAAGAGGACAACTTCATGATCAGCCGGCGCTTGGTTCGGATCACACTCGCCGTTGTCTCTCAGGGTTTTCAGTGCACGAGCGACCTGGTACGCGGAAACGCAGCCACAGAAGCCGCCGCCAATGATCGCCACACGCATACCGCTCCACGACACGTTGCTGCGTCTGCGGTGCCGCACCAGGCTGCACAGCTTCGCCCTAGTACACAATCCGTACCGGTATCGTTTACACGGGATACGGAATCAGCAAGTGCCGCGAATACCAGAGTGCTTCTGCGAAGCTCGTCAGGCGGCAGCGGTGCTGGTCTAGCGCCGGCGCATCGAATCGCATCGCATCTCCTGCGCGCATCTTCGACTGGCGCGCGCAGCGGCGGGATGCAGCATCGTTGCACGAATTCGCGACAAATAGGACATTGGTAGGTGCTGTGCTATCTCATCGAAGGAAAGCCCTTGTTCTCCATAAAGCGACTTCTTGCTTGTTTGATGGGGTTTCCCGGCACTGCACCATCATTATTTCTATGGGGAAATGAGCGTGTTCGTCTTGACTGCTGGCCTGGTCGCTGAGAATTCAAAGCGGAAAGCTGCCGTTCTGGGAAGCGCAGTGAATGTGGTACACGCTCAGGTCTTCTGATGACACCACTTGTGCCCGCGATAGCAGCGGCCAAATGCCTCGCACGAGACCTGTCGCATGCGCTGTGCGTCGAGCGTCGGACCTTGAGCGAGCACATGGAAGCGGGCAGCGCGAAACGCTCACCCGTTTTCAAACGACGCATGCGGCGAGCAGTGCGGTATCTGCAACGTGACTGTTTGGATCAAGCTCCAAAGTAACAGGAAGTTTTCAGATACGGTATGGTGCGATTTTAAAGCACTTGGGCTACTGGCAAGGAGTGCAGCATTCGCAGCGTGACTATTTGGATGAAACGCTCGTGTAGCGGTATGTTTTCGGATACGGTCTGGTGCTATGGAAAAAACCTGCATTCGGAGTGAGGTATCGCATCATCGCTCACTAAGCATCCGTGCATGTTTGAAGCTGGACACGGATTCGATGCATCGATCCTGGACATGAAGGAAACACGCAGCAGCAGCAGCAGCAGCAGCAGCACACGCACCACCCCGGGAATATTTTCCCGCGCTGCTGTTGTTGCTGCAACGTCGTCGAGCCCAAATTGGACACGCAGTACTGGGCACGTGTCCGCGACGCACGGCAGCTCCAGTGCGAATCGACAGCGGCACGCGACGCGACGCCACAATCACGGAGACGTGTCCGGGGCCGAACAGCACGGCGCTGGCCCTGACGTGTCCACGCACCGCAGGCACCGCACGGTAGGCCGTGCAGGGGGCGCGTTCCCCGGTAGAGCGCAGAGAAATACTGTTTCATTTCTCCTGCGACGTGGTTTCTTTTTCAGAGGACTCTGCCGTACCGAACGCTGTCGCTATAGGCTGAATCGTGTTGATGCACGCCCCTATTGTCCAAGAAGCAGGAGATATTAACAGGTCTTCTAAAACGTTTCTGGTTGGTAACACCAAGTTTACCGTGCCTGCCCACTATGAGCTCGTGCGACCTCTAGGGCAAGGCGCGTACGGCCTTGTCGTCGCTGCGCGGGATACTCGCAACGGTGCTGGTGTCGCTATCAAAAAAATCAGTCGGGTGTTTGCGCACGTTACAGACTCGAGACGGACGCTGCGAGAAATCAAGTTATTGCGTCACTTCCACCACGAGAACATCATCGACCTGTTGGACTTGTTCACGGAACCAGGTGCGACAGCCGCGACTTTTGACGACGTGTATCTGGTTAGTACGCTTCTCGACACGGACTTGCACCAGATCATTGCCTCTGGACAGAAACTGACCGATGATCATTTTCAGTATTTTATTTACCAGGTTCTACGCGGTCTGAAGTATATCCACTCAGCGAACGTGCTCCATCGCGACTTGAAACCGAGCAACCTCTTGGTGCGTGCAAACTGCGACCTCGTGATTGCCGACTTTGGTCTCGCGCGCGCTGCACAGCCGCGTGTCGACGACACGAGTCATCAGATGCTGCTCACCGAGTATGTCGCTACCCGGTGGTACCGTGCACCAGAGATCATGCTATCGTGGCGACACTACACTTCAGCGGTGGACATTTGGTCTGTGGGATGTATCTTCGCCGAGCTTCTGGGTCGCAGGCCGATTTTCCCAGGTCGCGACTATCTCCACCAACTGCAGTTAATTACGCAGGTACTCGGGACGCCCAGCGAGGCCGATCTCATGGAAATCGCCAGCGAACGGGCGAAGCGTTTTATGCGCTCGCTACCCGTTCGAACACCGCTGAAGTGGAAGGATTTGTTTCCGAGGTGTGAGAATCCACTGGCCCTTGATCTTTTATCGCGTATGTTGTGCTTTTCGCCGGATCAACGGATTACGGTGGAGGAGGCGCTTGCGCATCCCTATTTGGAAAAGTGCGCCGATGTCAACGATGAGCCTGTATGTGATCGTCCCTTTGACTTTTCGTTTGAAGAGCGCGCTGATCGAGGTGGTGCTCCCGAAATTCGCCAAATGCTCTGGGAAGAGATCAAGGAATTTCAATGCATTAGGCGGGAAAAGCAATGAGCAGCTCACGGCGACGCGGGGCGATACGCGTTGTGCTCGGGTCGCGCAGGTGCAGAGCGCCTTGACGGGCGTCTGTGTCATGCTGCAACGCTGCGCGGGTTCGTCCATGTTCATGGAGGGTTTCGCGATCTTTATAGCACCGTGGCGGGTCTCGCTTGGATGCTGTGAAATAGCGAATCATGTGATGCCATGATCGTTCGGCGATCGCACAGGAGACTCGTTCGCGGCATACGAGGATGGCGCTCCCGCCTCGCTGGATTGCTGCAACGTACCAAGCCCATGTGTTGTTTTTATTTGATCACCAACATGAGACGAGGACGCACATGGTGATGAAGGAAGCTTGAATACAGTTCTTGGATCCCATGCGCAGGTCGTAGTGCATCTCTTGTCTAGAGCATCGGGTGTGATGCAGCAAGCGAGTTTGAATGATGGATTCCGGGGGAATGTGGACAACCTGCAGCACTGCATGCGGACCGCTTACAAACAGTTGCTTGACGAGATGCGTCAAAGCGAGAGCACCCGACAGAGCCGTGCTCGAGTAACAGGAGACGCAATCCCTGATGGCACCTTGAATCAACCGTTTTTAGGTGATTCTCCCCGGACCATCCGTTTTACATTTCGGTTTCTCGTCATCCGCTTTTGGGGAGAGGTTTTGTCTCCTTTGTTCCATGATTTGCTCTCCTTCTCGTTTATTCGGCAGGGTAGCATACATGTAACCGCTCTCATCCATATCCGTTTTCTCGCACCCAGACGCACTGGGTGGCCTGTGGAACTAAACCTCCATCTTCTCATGTATATATCTACGGTTTCTCAAGTATCTTCCCGTCAACCTCTCTAAAGGCGGGGCAGCATACATGGAACCGCTATCATCCATATCCGTTTTCTCGCACCCAGACGCACTGGGTGGCCTGTGGAACTAAACCTCCATCTTCTCATGTATATATCTACGGTTTCTCAAGTATCTTCCCGTCAACCTCTCTAAAGGCGGGGCAGCATACATGGAACCGCTATCATCCATACCCGTTTTCTCGCACCCAGACGCACTGGGTGGCCTGTGGAACTAAACCTCCATCTTCTCATGTATATATCTACGGTTTCTCAAGTATCTTCCCGTCAACCTCTCCGAAGGCGGGGCAGCATACATGGAACCGCTATCATCCATATCCGTTTTCTCGCACCCAGACGCACTGGGTGGCCTGTGGAACTAAACCTCCATCTTCTCATGTATATATCTACGGTTTCTCAAGTATCTTCCCGTCAACCTCTCCGAAGGCGGGGCAGCATACATGGAACCGCTATCATCCATATCCGTTTTCTGGCACCCAGACGCACTGGGTGGCCTGTGGAACTAAACCTCCATCTTCTCATGTATATATCTACGGTTTCTCAAGTATCTTCCCGTCAACCTCTCCGAAGGCGGGGCAGCATACATGTAACCGCTATCATCCATATCCGTTTTCTCGCACCCAGACGCACTGGGTGGCCTGTGGAACTAAACCTCCATCTTCTCATGTATATATCTACGGTTTCTCAAGTATCTTCCCGTCAACCTCTCCGAAGGCGGGGCAGCATACATGGAACCGCTATCATCCATACCCGTTTTCTGGCACCCAGACGCACTGGGTGGCCTGTGGAACTAAACCTCCATCTTCTCATGTATATATCTACGGTTTCTCAAGTATCTTCCCGTCAACCTCTCCGAAGCGCGGACGCCCATAGACCGAAGCTTGCCTCGACGTTCTCTCCCGTGCTCGATCAGAGCCGCAACATATCCGCATAGTGTTGGTGCAGGTTGATGACGAGTTGTCAAAGGACAATGTCATGGCCGCAACCGATGTGTCTATGGACCAACGAGCATGAGAATGGCGTTCAACAACAGACAAGACGTCTTCGTCTGGATTGAGCCAGGCAGAACAGGAGTGCACGAAAAGCATCCCAATGCTGATATCTGATGAATGCCCGGGGACCGCTTTGGGGTAATAGAAAGCGACGCTGCCTAGGAGTTGGACAAAAGAATGCGGTATGAAGATCCCGAGAACTGATTTGACAAAGGATGATCTGATCCATGCGTCTGTGCATTTGGCGATTTGTAGACGATAACCCATTTTCTAACAGCAGCCAGGTCTAATGTTATCGTCCTTTCCGCGTTTCTCCTCTTCATCAGCCGCGGTTGATAGCTCTCTGAGCCCCAGTATACAGGTCGGCAATGTCTCCCGAGTTTATTCTAATCAAGCGAGGCGAGTATCCGGCCGGCATGAGGTACGCGTTCGTGCTCCAGAGCGACATCGACGGTGTGTTGTTCAACGCGCGTAAGTCTTCCACAAAAGCGCTCTCCTTCCGTTATCCATCCGTGTCTCTTCATCACAGTTCGTCTCTAGGGAAATGGAACTTCACATCCTGCAGATTCTCTGGTTGTTGTTCTTAAAGAACGAATCGAATGAAATTCATTGACGAGTTGACAGACGTTTATATAGAATTTGATATGTTCGGTTTTGGCAACGCGGCGTTTAAGATACGGACGAGGTTCAGGTTGGTTCATGCACTTGCTGGCCTCAGAGTGGCCGACTTGTATCGCTGTGCCCGTTCCGCGCAAGCGAACAATCATTGCCAACCGTCCTTCCAGCGCCTTTGTCCAATCTACCATACACATTTCTGTTATAATGTATCTGCTAGACAAACAAACAAAAACAACAAGCCCATGTCTCTGAAAGTGTTCCAGCATTCACTGTTCTCTATTCAACCCTGAAATACGCGCAACAGCCAATGTCCGAGGTCTCATCGAGACTTGACTTGTTTTCGTTGCTTATACGCCAAGTTCGTTCCGTATACCTCATCGCAATACGTGAAGATACTGGCATAGTTGCCACTGTACAGGTAGTGATGATAATCATGATGCTCCGTGCCACCGTAAAACGGTAAATATGCATTAAGGTTCCAGCGAAACTCGTAGCCACTGTGAATATCAATGGCCTCGTACTGCCGTAGCATCATCCAGATCAGGGTCGTGAGCAAATGTGACGACAAAAGCACGGGTCCCGCAATGGTAGGTATCCCCAACAGGATGACCTCCAGTGGATGCGCATCGGTAGCTGCGAGGCTGAACGGCGTATTCCATTGGTGGTGCCAGTAGTGGATATGTCGATAAAGCCAGGGTGTATGCAACCAGCGATGGATCCAGTAGTTACCAAAGTCCTCGATCACGAAACACGTCAGCACATGCAGCACCACTTCATCAGCACGGGGCAGGGGCGGCTCCCGGCGCACGCCCACCCATCGAAACACCGGATACGAGAACGCAATCAGCGGGAGCATAACGCCAAAGAATAAAAAGAAGAGCGATAGGAAGCAGCGTGATAGAGCGCGCGCATCTGGATACCATTGTTTTTGGACTTTAGCAGCGCGTGCGGAACTTGGTCGCACCAGGTCCAGTATCAGGTACGGAATGCAGCCCAGAAAGTATCCCAGAACCAGTGCCGCGAAAAGGCCGCCCACTGTCATTTGAAAGTCTGTTGTCCGTTGGTATACGGCGAGCCAGAGGCGCTGAATGGCGCTCCACCGCGTAGCGATAGCAATGACAGTGAACTCGAGGATCATTGCTCAGAGTTGGGGTCAGATGTTATCGGTAGACGATGGAGCAGGCCAGGGAAGCGATGAAACAACGCGGGCAGATAAAGCGCAGTACTATTCTTGCTCGTATTTCCTGCTGAAAATAAAATTGAGCGTTGCAAGAGCAGCAGACACTGTAGAGTCGATGCAGGTTAAGTGTTCCCAGCACCGGGTAGCAGTGCTCGCGTCGTGGAAAAAGGACGCTGCCCAGCACAGGAGTAGCTGTCTGGCTTCAGGAGACCCGCTGCAGATGCAACGCGCCACAGTCGAAATTTTTTTCCTCAGGGGCGCGCACCTCAGTCCAGACGTCGGTTATCGAAGACGCAATACGACACGTTCAAACTGCAACGCAGTTGGTTCTTTTCCAAGAAAACCCAGGGGTGTTAGCCCCAACTGCCGTAGAACTCGCGAGGTAACGTACGTTGAACGATGCGCTTACGAGAGACCCACAGACTTGCTAGCAGCACTGGTGCTGGTGATGGTGCGCCCGCAAGTCGTAACACTGGAGTTGCTCGTACAACGAACCCCACTCGAATAGTGTACAGTCACTTGACGAAACGCGTGGTATCGCTTCGGTTCACGCAACCGTAAAGTTGCGTATTAGTGGCGCTGGCGCACCGAGGCGCGTTGCCATGTGACGTATCATTTATGTACATAAACATACATCTATAGACCAATTATTCCTATCCCTCGCAACCGCCGTCTTGCGATCGTATCGATGATAGAGGTGGCAGTCAGTAGCGCACGGAGGCGCGTTGCCATGTGACGTATCATTTATGTACATAAAAATACATTTATGTACCAATCATTCCTATCCCTCGCACCCGCCGCGTTGCCATCGTATCGATGATAGAGGTGGCAGTCAGTAGCGCACGGAGGCGCGTTGCAATGTGACGTATCATTTATGTACATAAAAATACATTTATGTACCAATCATTCCTATTCCTCGCATCCGCCGTCTTGCGATCGTATCGATGATAGAGGTGGCAGTCAGTAGCGCACGGAGGCGCGTTGCAATGTGACGTATCATTTATGTACATAAAAATACATTTATGTACCAATCATTCCTATTCCTCGCATCCGTCGCGTTGCCATCGTATCGATGATGCGCCCGTCACCCCGATGCCAGATGCAGAGGAAACGAATTCCATGTACGGAACTCGGGTGTATGCGCTATCGTTGGAGTCGCTGTTCCCGGCATCATCGACATCTGCCTTTGGAGGCGTTTTTCTGGCGCTGTTTCCTTTGCGCATCTCATGTATCTGGCTTTACATACGAAAGTCTCTGGTTTCCTTCAAGTTCTGCAATCAGAGGTCAATGGATGCTGGAGCCAGCGTTCGAGTCCCGATTTCGCAGCTTCCCGCTATTGCAGACGCATTTCGTTCACAGCATGTAGTTACGATCTACACTGCTCTTGCCATTGTCATCTTGTTGGTATTCAGCTTGGGTGCGCTCTATCTATGGGTAACAAGCAGCTGTGGCCTAACATTCGCAGGTAAACGCCAAACATCTGTTTCCGAGCACCGTCCTGTGATTCGCGAGCGCTAGCTTTATCGCTCGGCGCATGTCTTGGCTGGTACGCAAATCGCTCCTCAATATCCTTCTTCGAGTTCGCGTCCAGTGCTGTACCCTACGATCACGGGCTTCTTCTGTGCAAAGCCGTTGGCGAGTATTCTGTCCGTCGCTTTCACACACGAATGCTATTCGATTCGACACAGAATTGGTGAATTTTCATCTTGTCCATTATGCAACAAGTACCGAAAGGAAGATCCGAACTGGAGAACGAGTCATAATTTTCGATTCGTCTCCAGATCCACCGTGCGAAGCGGAAATCCACACGCTACTGGTAGCGATCGCTGCGATCACGCAAACCGTTCTCTTCGATCCTTTTCCAGGCAAGTAGAAGCGAAGGAAGCGTCTGGCAGCATATCCCGCGACAAGTATCATACTGCTGTGAAATCTGGTTCCATCGACGGCCACTGACATGGGAGAATTTATCTTTCGGAAGGAATCCAGTATTTGCGTTTCATATGTTCACTGATCATTCGATATGGACTTGTGAACAAGTCGTCAGTACATGACGGTAGAGACTTTTCCTCCTCCATACGATTGCGCGAATAGCTGGGCCGTCTGCGACTCGCCTGAAAACAGAGCGATCGAAAGCCTGAACCAACCATGATTCTCGCACAGCACACGTACGGACAGCGCAAGCGTCGAGGCTTGTACGTATGCATTGGATCATGACATTGGATCGTTTACGAAACCCAGTTCGAGGGCGTCGCGCATCATCTTGATTCTGGTCAAGTAACGAAACCCAGCGGCAACGCATCGATAAAGCCACACCCCGCAACCAAAACCGAGCATCCTGAAACGAGGTCCACATCCCTGGTCCCTTCGAGCTGCACTTCGGGTCACCAGACGCTACATCGAAAAAACTTTGAAAAATAAACAAAAAGCTGGAACAGTGCAAACACTTCATTGCTCCATTTTCATGCGTCCGAGTCCTAGAATACCTGCAATACCTCATCAATCGTACCGAATATCGCTTCGAAAAGCGCTTCCTGAGGCATGCCGATTCTGCGCGCGATCTCCTTCCGACGCGGTGTATCCAGAGACCCGTACAGCTGCAACACATCGCCATCGAGGATAGAGCGCTTCGGTTTCCGAAGACCCGCCGCCACCGTCAAGGAACGCATCACTCGCCAGGAACGGGCGTACAAACACCATTTGCGAAGCTCCGGCTCCAGCATGAGATCTTGGGCGGCGAGCTCGAGTTTCTTCGCCACGCCGCGTAACAGTGGAGAAACCATGGTAATCATCCCGTCAACGGTGCCCAGCAAGATCACATGCGTATTCCAGAGTGACGACGGCTCGTTTGGAGGCGGCGTCTCAGCACTCGGATCATCAATGCGTACCCGACGCACCGCGTTCGGCCGCGACCCAACATGGAAACCGGCCTCAAAGGTCATACGCGTTCCACCGGCTGACTCGGGATCCACTGGACTCGGAATACTCAACTCAATGATGTTGCCAAGCATGTCCGCTGAGAGTACATTCGCCTTGGTACCGTGCATCAACCATTCCGATGCAACCAGTTCACGTTGCGCCTCATCGCGACAGAGGAAATTCTGCGAAACGTTGCGAGACCTCCAGAAGAGAAACGAAACACCATACCGCATATCCGAAGCGAGAATATACTGTTTCAACGTGCCAACATGCGAAAAGAACAAATTAATACCCGGATAAAACGATATACAGGACATTTCGTCCTCGATCAGTTTGTAGACTTCGAGACGCGGTCCAGCGCTGCAGCACACGAAGCCGCCCTTGACCGGCGCAACCGCCGAAACTGCTCCTTTGACTTCGGTTGCGGCAAGCGTCTGCATCTGGTAGAGGGTTCGCTGGTGCTGATGGTGCTGGCGGCCCTCTTGTCGACTGATTTCAAAAACAAGCAGGCGACCGCGAATGCTGGTGTCCTCACCCCGCAGGAAGCACGTCCCAACCACGAGCACGTCTCGCTCTGTGAAACGTGGTGCCTCGTCGTCGCCGGTGCGCTGAAAATGCCGGATTCTGGTTGCACACATCGCCAGCCCGACCTCGGTCTGTTCGAGGTCGTAACGCGCCAGCACCTCCAGAGAGTTTCGTGCAAGCAATACGACCGCATGCTGGTCGATCAGCAGCGGCAGATCCCGCTCTCTACCCGAATCGAATGGGCGAAGTTTCTGCTCTTCGAAAGCCGCCAGCGCTTTCGGTGGATCATCTGCGACATCACCCGCTACGGACTCGTCGACGCTACGTGCGGTCGTTGACGGCCAAGGTGTCTCTGCGGTACCGTTAACGCCTCCTGGTGTGGTCATTGCGGATGCACCATTCGCGACGTCGTCCATATCCATGGGCTCCGCCGTCGACGAGTCGCCACGGGCCCGTATCCCTGCAGTATCACCGCGAGACGCTGGTACTCGACGAGCGTCCGCGTTCAGTAGCAGCGGCTGCGGAGGCTGCATCCCTGATGAGCGCGTGACTCGGACAGCAGACTCCTCGGCTTCTTGCAGCCCTGGCTCCTGCTGTTGTTCCTGTTGTTCCTGTTGTTGTTGTTGTTTGCGTCGTGCATGACGTAGCATTGACTCATAGCGATTCCCCTCTAGCAAATACTTGACAGCTGCTTCGGTTGCGGGCACCATACGTCCCACGATCGCTAGAATCGTGTCCGTAGAGGGATCGTGGAGAAGCCGCTCTACGTATTCGGGCTGCGGCCAGGCGTGCTTCTGCACGAGAAAGTTGCCAACGGCTTGCGCTCGGGCGAGGACTGGCCACTGCCCAATACGGACGGTACCGTCCGTCGCCACCGACACAAAACCTTGCGAACATACACCCTCGTGGTGCAGATCCGCGAGCGCAAGCAGCCCAGGGCCTCGCACCGGGTGGATGGTCGGGTATCCGGTATCTCCGAGCACCAGAATAACCCGTTGACCGATGATGCTGATGCCAGACTTGCCCTGGATACGCCGGAACGGCATCAGACGAATGGATACGGAACGTCGACTGCTTGCTTTGCTGTCTCGTTCAGGTGCGGTTGTTCCTATTGACGTCGACAGACTCATCGGCGGCGCATTCGCGGAGACACCGACACTCGGAGTCAACACCGTGCTCAAGGCATCGCTACCGACGCGTGCAAAGCAGAGGATCCCCCGGTTCACAACGTAGCCGCGATAGAGCACCACCTCACCCGAGGCAAGCACAGCCGCCAGAACTGGACATGTGCGCTCGCCGATGTCGACTAGACAAACGTCGAGCACTTTGCCTTGTCGGGTGCGTCTCGGGCCAAGCTCTCGGCCGTTCGCAGGCATAGAGCCGAGGCCTTTCGGTGCGTCCTCGCCGGTTGTGGCAGTACGCTTGCGAGGCATAGACGACGACGACGACGACGACAAAGAAGTCAAACCGGCGCCCTGGCTGGGCGTCGTGGTCCGAGTCCCGCTCTCGAGTGCAGACACCTCGAGCGTTGCTTCACCGGGCATGCGATGGAGCATGCCCGTCGTACCACCCCTGGGTGATGTCGGCGGAGTCGTCGTTATCGTTGTCGTTGCCGCCGAGGACTCTGCTTCAGCGTCTGCTTCTGCTGAGGCAGCATCTGTGAAGGACGCAGCTTGTCGCGATCGATCATCCAAAACCTGGTGGACGCCCAGAAAGAAACGCTTGCATCGCAGCAACAACAAGTTCTTTTCGCTGCCAAGCGCATACAAATACAGGGCACCATCCACGGAAACAACTGCAAGCATGCTGTGCAACGCGGGAACGACAGGCTCCTCGGGTTGCGAGCCTCGCGCAGTCGTCTCGGGGGTACCGTTGCTGGCTCCCTCGGGAGTCGCATCTGAAACCGCGTCGCTCAGTGCGAGCGCTCCATATAGAAATGTCTCCTCTGCGCCCAGTTCAGGGGGTAGATCCGCTCCTGCGAGCGCTCGTTGACCTCGACTCAGTGCAGAGGGCGGTACTGCTCGATGTGTCTCGCGACTCGACTGGGTTGCTGCTGCAGTCGCCGCTGAGCCCGGTGCTGCGGACGCCCCGCGTCTCCTCAAACGCATTGGCCGTCCAGACGTCCGCAGGTTTCCAGTGCTTCTCGGTGGTCTGCAAGCGGCCTGAAAATCCCGACACAGCACGCCATCGTAGAGGCTTGCACAGAGCACATGCTCCCTACTGAAAACCAGACTCAAGCGATAAGTCGTTCGTTCGGCCTCCGCCTCTGAAAAATGCTCCAACCTCCACACCTGTAGACGATGATTCGTGAACCACACCGCAATATACGGATCGACCACGCTCGCTCCACTTACAGCTGTCCCCGGCTCAAGGGCGGCCAAGAGCATATCCTCTTCGTAGACGACGTCAAGGTTGGCGTCCAGCAGGCGGATACCCGTACGATGCACTTGAGCGATCAGACGTCTCTGGGCTAGATTCCCGGCCGCTATGGTCGGCGACGGAAGCAGCACCCGTGTATCTGCGGCCTGTTCGAAGCCACGACGGATATCGAGAATCACACTGGACTTGGACAAACTCAACAGAAGGAACGCCTGCTCTTCTTGATGCATCCCAGTGCCGTCGTGATCCGCGTACAGGGACCAGACTCGCCGACATCCAGCGGAGGGAATGCGTTGCCACTCCCGAGTCTGCACCTGATAGGTGCAGCGTGCGAGGCAGCTCTGATGTTGATGCCCTGTTGCAGCCAGGATCTCACCGGGATCCAGCAGCGTACCCGCTGGTGGACTGTAACGCGGGGGAATCACCACCAAATCAACAATCGGACCAAGTTGAAAGATGGTGTCCCGTTGCTGCAATTCCCATTGTGCTTCTTTGGTAGTCGCGTTTTTGTGCAGTGTCCCGTTCTCTGCAGCTGACGTTCGGGTCCGTCGTCCATGCGGGTGCACTTGCGTCATCCGGTACAGTACAGAGGAGCCTAAATGCGCCGCCACAAACAGCAGGTCTCGGCTAAGGAGCTTGGCATCCAGGGGAGCTGGCGCTAACCGCGACTCTCCGCGAACACGAAGCGCTTCGAGTCGCAGCGGGTATTCTGCATCCGCGTGAAGCGCCAGCTGGTAGACGTTTCCGTCGGCGAGGAAGAGCCCGTAACGGTGCAAGCGCACCGGCGCGATACATGCACCTCGGAAATGGAGCACTTGTGACGTCCTGCAGCGGCTGATGATGTCGCTGTCGGTGCCCCCGTACAAGGCGCCCGGGAGCTGGCAACCATCGAGCTCCATGAAGGTATCACCAAAATGATTTCCGCTTAAACTGGCACCGATTTGTCCATTGCCACGGATCCAGAACAGCACATTGGCGGCGATTAGCAACAGACCCTGCTCTGCTGCACGATCCCATTCAACAGACGGCAGTGGTACGACTTTTTCTGCGTCGAATGGAAGGCCTTGGATTCGCCAGGCAACGAGCGGCTCTTCACCGGCTGCGCCTGCCGGCAGTGGAGGTAGCACAATCGCCGCCAGCGCACACGAGTTGCTCACTGCCTCGACGCGGCCTGCCCAGGTCGGTCGTTCTTCGTAGAGCATGACCATGGTCGGCAGTGCGGTTCCGGTTAGGAAGCAGCAGTCCAGAATGCGAACATGACCAAGAAGCGCCTCCAACTCGACCGCGTAATAGTAGACTCGATGCGCATCCTGAATGCCTTGATCCCGCTCGGTGATGAGCAGTTTACGGCCACGCGTCTCTGCGGCGGGTATCCCGGGGAGGATGCGCTCGCTCACTGGCGTTTCTTGGACATCCTCGGTCCAGAGCATTGCTCCTGGTCCATAGGAGGTTCGTGTATGCGCGTCGCGACCTGCGGTTGGGTCGGCATCGAGGGCGCCTTCGTTGACCACGTCGTCGCGGATGCCGCAATGGGCTAGGGCAGCGCCCGTACCACTGCAAAGCGGCGGTGCGAGGATGTACGCTTTGCGCCATGCAGGCACAACCAGTGCACCACAGCGCCCGTCGTTCCACTGGAAATTCGATTCTCTGGACGATTCGTTCAAAAAGTCGACCGCAGCTTCGACGGCGTCCACGCAGGTCAGGGGCCGCTCCTCGCCGTAGCCGCCACCACGGCGCCACATGCCGTCACCGAGGACTGCGCCCGCCCTCAAGACGACATGCTCTAGGGCCTTGTCAATGGTCAAGGCGGCATCACGAATGCCGTCATCCTGGAGAACATAGACACACTCCTGTGCAAAACTGTAGACAGCTTGCGCGTACCAGGTCGCAAGCAGCGGTTTGAACTCGACGATCATGGCAATCATGGATACTTGCCCAGCACTACGCGCAACGGCACCGCCGCTGAAGCCACTATCAATAGCGACTAGGAGCCAGTCCTTGCGAACTGGTTGCTTCTGGCCCGAAATCCAGACTGGAGACGGGAAACGACTGATGGAGCCGATGCGCGCAGCGACCTCCGTCTGTGCCACGAGGGTCAGTGTCCCGCGTGCGTCGACTCGGTACAGTTCCAGCCGGTTCAGGTGCGCTACGACCAGATCAAGCGGCTCGAGCTCGGTTGCCTCTTCCGCGGACTCGGACGCTGGGCTTCCCGAGTGCACGAGCTCGGGGGCAAAGCGCCCGCTCGCCACCGCCACGGCACGCGACGCGGGTATTAGTGATTTGTGGATGAGGTCCATTTCGCTGTCCTACTCGTATTCAAAGGACACGAGGACCGTTCCCGATCCGCAGCGGAGCGCCCTGCCACCCCAAGAAGCGACGTCAGTAGGAGATTGCCGGGAACATGAGCATACGCGTCGACCTGCGCAGCCGGCAGGCACAGCAGCGGCTTGCGCGTAGCGTCCTGTGGAGAGGTGTCCATTTATGGAAGTAAAATCCCTAAATGTATACTATAATCCCAACTCCCTGGATGAAACGGCCAGGTCAGCGGCTGCTCTGCTAGACGCTTTCGCGGTACGCTGGGGTGCAGCGCGTCTCGGATGGGTAGTACGACTGACGGATGCTTCTCGTCACGGATCGGCGAAACGAGTCCATCGACAAGGGATACATGATCGCGCTATTGATATGGGCATCGCGGGGAGCGCTTATCACTCTTGATTTCACCGTGAATTTCCATGTGCTTCCATGCGTACTTGGCCTGGAATATGATGCTGATTTCATTCGCTCTACCAGTACCTGGACAAATGCATCGACGAATGCACCGCACATGATCCCCAGCGCAGTGTACCCGTTTGTGATGCCCGATCCTTTCTCCCCAGCGGCAGCATCATCGACGCACACCATGGCGAGGTCAGCGGTGCGCTGATCCCGCTGGTTCCGTTCGCAGCAACTCGGAAGCGTTCATGGTGCAGTTGCTGCCCGGTCGACGTGCTGTTCGCTTGATGCACCCTGAACAAGAGCGAGCTTTGCGTGAACCTTCAAAGAAAGGGAAACGAGTGCCTTTCAGGTCAGACGCGTTGCCGTCTTGGAGCCCTGGCACGCACGCGGCGTTTGTTTCAGGTGCTGGCTTGCCGAACGCTGTCCGCAGTTGGGTGCGTCACGGGAGCGCTCGCTGCTCTTCGTCTACGTGCCTTCTGGCGCGAGGCCTGCAGCTGTGCTTCATAACCAGGGTACCTGAAGTGCCGCTGACGGGCGTGTACTCGAGGCGGAGTCGGCGAGCTGCGGGAGTTGCGCTGCCGCGCCTCGCGCTACGGGCTGCTGCGAATGAACTGCCGTCCCAAGCGAGGACACGGGGTGCAGAACTCGCAGAGGCGGTGCGCCGCGAATACCCTCAAATGTTTAACCCGAGTTACACGCCAGACTGGGCTCTCTACGACGAGCGTATTGTCTTCGAAGACCCGATCACCCGGCTGGAAGGTATCGGGGCGTACCGGCGGAACATTGAGTTCCTTCGCCAGTCGCCAGTGTTCGGAGACGGGCGTCTCCTGTTGCATGATCTGAGCATGCCGCAGCCGTGCACGCTCTGCACACGCTGGACGCTCTCTCTGCGCGCGAAGTTTTTTCCTTTCCAGCCGCTCGTGACTTTCACCGGCACATCCACGTACGAATGGGGTGCCGATCACGGACGCATCGTATCGCATATTGATCGCTGGGATAGTATACAGCGGCAGGCGTACTTTTCTCCAGAGGGATTGCGGGATCTGCTGATGCAGCTGTTCCGGCAACCGTTCCGCAATCTTGAAGGTACAATTCTGTACCGTTTTCGCGACATCATGATTGTACAGCAGCGGGATGGCGCGGTCATCGCCCGAGGGGTGTATCGCGCGCTTTCGCTAGCGGAGCTAGAGGCACAGCTAGAGAAAACATTCCCGGTGCATGGGTATCGCGCGGTTTCTGAGGAAAACGATGCCGAGCGGAGCAATGCAACCGGTCGCGTTCGAGTTCAGGTGCGCAAGGCGGATCCATCACGAAAGCCTTGAGTGCTTTACGTGCCGCTTCTTTTGAGTAGAATGAACGAAACTGGAAAAGCTGGGTGAAATCCAGTGTGGCCTGGACGCCAAATCTCGCGCTCACCACAAGACGTAGCGTATTCTGATTCAGACTTCTCGACAGGTGCATACGCTGGCCGTAGCATCGCCAGGCCTAGATTGGCGCATTCCCATTGGAGCAGGGAGCAAGGACATGAATTCACGAGATCTGCTAGTTTAAAACTGCTAGCCAATGGACTGGCGCTCGTACTAGTGCGCATACTGGATCGCATCGATCAACGATGTCTAGACTCGGAGAGCGAGCTTGGTGCTTAGCAGCATCTCCCAGGACTGCTGAGGCAGGTTTTCTATGTGCAATAGGAAAGTATACCGGGAGTGTACCGCGATACAAGGCACATACCTGGACTAGGAAGCGCACACCCTTCGACGTGCCGCTATGAAATTCAAGGCATAAGTTGCGTTCATATCAAGCGTGTAGGTTTCAGTACAGACGAGGCCTGTGAACTGGCAGCGAGCTTGCTGGTTCTCATGCGCTCGTTTCTCTGCTGTTTTGCATACTTGTCTCAGCAGCGTAAACGGAACACGCCCTGGGGCGCTCAAGTCGTCGTGCAGCGCAGCCGCTGTGTATGCGGACCGCTCGCCGAACGGCTGCTTGCCGCGATGGATGGATCACAAACGGCCAGGTGCGGTTTGGATCAGACCGTTCAGTCATCGATCCGGAAACTCCATCTCCCGACGGATTTAATCTGGGTCAGACCCTCGAGCGCCGCTGACGCTTCCGCTATCCAGTACCCGGGGCGCATGACACTGCGCGCACCACCTACAGGCTTTGCGCCGGTTCCGTACATTCACCTCTTCATTCCAGGACTGGTCCAGTCGAGCCGTGCTCTCCCAGGGCAAATCCGACGACCACCTCGCACGCAGATGCAGATAACCAAACGATCGGCTTGCATAGCACCTTTATGTATCAGCAGGCAACTTGTTCTACTTGATGCAAAGAGCGCGCGCCTCCGACTGAAACAGATAAATTCGAAGAGATGCACAGGAGTGCGCGTAGTATATCGTAGTGAGAGACCCTGTCCGTAAACATATACATCCAAAAAACTGTAAATAGGGGAACGCGTATTCCATCAGAACGAGCCTACGTCCGTAAACATAACCATCCAAGAATGTATGAATAGGAGCAAACGTATTCCGTCAGAACGAGCCTATGTCCGTAAACATAACCATCCAAAAAACTGTAAATAGGGGAACGCGTATCCCGTCAGTCAGAGACCCTGTCCATAAGCACAACCATCCAGGAACGGATGGATCGATGCACGAGCGCGTCGACGCGATCGAACGGCGCGCAGCCTTCGTCGAGCACCGCGGCTCGCACGCAGCGGCGACGATGCGTGCGCATGCGCGGCAATGCCGCGAGACGCTTCCTCGAAAAACGCGAGAGAGACAGAGAGCCAAAGCGCTGGCTGGAGAGGAACCTCGTGCACCAGGTGTGTCCGCAACGGTTCTTGGGTAGAGACTTGGCTCAAGACGAACTTGAAGCCGATACAAAAAACGTGAATCTTGGTTTCTCGGACGAGAGTTAAGACCTCCCGGAGCAAACTCGTTGCACATTCTTATCGCCAGGCATGGAACAGTCGAGCGCATTCATTGCAACACTTGGGGCCGGACGCTCACGAGGAAGCTATGCGCTTTCGCGTCACGCTTGCGCTACAGCCGGGAACAAAAACCTGTGGCAACGAAAAAAGTCGCTTTCGATACTGGGTTTGAAAGTCGGACGGGGACGTCTCTGTCTCAGGGCGCAAACGAGTACTGGCGCCGTCTCCAACGCAACTGAAGCAACAGCTGAACGGCCTTTCAAAGTTCTCATTGCGAACCGTGGGGAAATCGCTATTCGAGCGATTCGTACCTGTCAAGAGCTGGGCATCCGAACGGTGCAGGTGCACTCCACAGCCGATACTGACTCGCTTGCGGTGCGCATGGCCGACGAGCGAATCTGCATTGGACCACCAGCGCCTCGGGAGTCGTACTTGAATATTCCGGCGATCATTTCCGCATGTGAAGTTACGGGCGCGGACGCAGTCTATCCCGGATTCGGGTTTCTGAGCGAAAACGCACGCTTCGCAGACCTTCTCGAACAGCACGAGATCACGTTCATCGGACCGAGCGCTCGGGCGATCGCGCTCATGGGCGATAAGAGCACCGCCAAAGCGACCATGCGCCAGGCCGGGGTGCCTATAGTGCCCGGGTCCGACGGTCTACTCCGTGACGTTTCCGAAGCCCGACGAGTCGCACGAGAGATTGGCTACCCGGTGATGCTCAAGGCGACCGCCGGTGGTGGCGGTCGCGGGATCCGGCTTGTTCGCTCGGAGTCTGAGCTGGAGAATGCCTACGTTACGTGTGAGCAGGAGGCGAAGGGTGCGTTTGGCAACGGTGCTCTGTATATGGAGAAGTTCATTGAATCACCTCGCCATGTTGAAATCCAGGTCATTGGAGATAGCCATGGAAATGTTATTTACCTTGGAGAACGCGATTGCTCTGTGCAACGGCGAAACCAGAAGTTGCTTGAGGAGGCACCGTCACCTGCTGTGACCCCGGAGATTCGTCAGCAAATGGGTGAGGCGGCCTGCAAAGCAGCCAAAGCCATCGGCTACTGCGGCGCGGGCACCGTGGAATACATCATGTCGAGCACCGGTGAGTTTTACTTTATGGAAATGAATACTCGAATTCAGGTTGAGCATCCTGTCACGGAAATGATTACTGGTCTGGATATTGTGGCATTGCAGATTGCGGTGGCCCGCGGCGAGCCGCTCCCGCTCCGCCAGGAGCAGGTTGGCCTCAATGGCTGGGCGATGGAAGCGCGAATCAACTGCGAGGATGCGCTCCAGGCTTTTCGGCCAATGCCTGGCGTCGTGACGAACTTTCTAGCTCCTGGTGGAAATGGTGTCCGTTGGGACGGTTGCATCTATCCGGGGTATAATATTCCGCCGTATTATGATTCTATGCTGGGCAAGCTTATCTGCTGGGCACCGACACGCGAGGCGGTGATTCGGAAGCTTCGGCGAGCGCTCGGTGAGATGCAAATTGAGGGCATCCCCAGCACCGTACCCTTCCATCTGGCGCTTCTGGACAATCCTGCTTTTCAAGAAGGAAAAACAGTATATACGAATTTCATCGAACGGGAGGGTATCCTGGACCAGCTCAAGGCTCGGGTACAAAGTGCAAGCCAGCCTTCAGGGCGAGATGCAGTGGCCGCTGTACCTGCTGCTGCTTCCAAGTGAAGCTTTGGAATAGCCCGCCGGATCGCCGACAGTACAGAATGCCACGTCGTCACCAGCGACGCAACAGCAATCACGTCACGAACACGCATCGACAGGTCAAGCGACTCGCGGAAGCGGCTCGTCGCTATCGACGTTGTGGTTAACTGGCGCTCTGTACGTGCAATTTGCTGCTGCAGCTGCTGTACGGGTGGCTTCGTATTCCCGGATACGTGCGTATCCGCTGCAGATGGTAGCGCGCGGATGCGGAGCAGGAATCACTGTCGGAGGTGCTGCAGTTTTAGAGGTAGGGACCATGAATCTAAACACAGTTCACCAAGTATGTTATTGGTGTCGGCATCCAAGAAAGCGGACACTCCTCTGCTCCAGGAAGATACTGCGTGGAATGCGAGCATCGGGAGATGCGCTCTAGTCCGGTTCGCAGTCATAACAAAAACGGGCCGCTGTTCGAAAATGGTGCTGGTACGCGTGCTGCCGCCGTCGTGCTCATGGACTGCTGAAGCGGGCGGAAGGCCCGATTTCAACGAGTCAAGCACTTTGTCGCGCATATCTTCAAGCGAACCTTTTTGGCGTATACATGTGGGTTGCGGGTACTCGGTCTCAGACGCAGCATTGCGCAACTGCATGGGCAACGACTTCGAGCTGCGGCTGGCGTTGGTACCTGGCTGCCTCCGAGGTACGCGTTCGCTCGCCAGGTGACTCAGGCGCCGCGTTCATCCCTATGAGCAGCGTCGAGAATCTCCATCTCAATAGGCTCGGTGTTGTGCACGTACGATCGAGGTGTCATCAAAATGGCCAAGCAGCTGGTAGAAAGGTCTCAAAGAAGCATTGCGAGTCATCGTGTCACCAGGTACGCCATGCGAAAGGCGCACGCTGTGCGGGACGTGTCCCCCGCAGCGTTGTTCAGAAGCGCCCTGCGGGAGCGTTCGCCTGCTCTGAGGTGCACACACCCCAGTGTGCAGTACCTCGACGATCTCGATCGAGAGTTTCCATTTAGATTGATCATACACCATCCAGTTGCACCGTATGCGCATACACGGATATCAGCTAGCGAATAGAATTCGTCACTGCGGCGCGAGACTTTGGCTACTAGCTAGTCTGGGGTGCAGACGCACTGCCCGCATCGAACGCAGCTCAGGTGGCGTCTAATCCGTGTCAAACTAGAACTGAACAGACCGTCCGACACGGGCGTATGTCGTAAAAACTAGGTCTTTCCTCAGTATCATCAACAAGAGCCTTTGCGGAACGTTCTATGACTGCTTTCTCTCCCTCCGTCTCATCTCCGACTTTAAATACACAAGTCTCTCCTTGCACCCCGGATTTGTTCGCAGCAGTCGATGGATGTTGATGACAGCGTTAAAGTCGCGATTTCAATGCTTCCAGCTAGTGTCGACGAATGCGATGCATTAGCGGGGGCTGCAATCGACGCATCGCTTGCTATGTCCATCTGATTTTTATGCAGCCTCGTTGTGCCTGTCGCAGCGCTGGCCTTTGAATCCAGCCAGATGTTCCCAAATGTCCAGCATTTCTTCTCCTCCATGCACCGTTCCGCGGAATGTGAACACCTGCTTCATCGTTCGGTACAAGCCATAAATGGGTACAGAAGTATCCCTTCGATGCCGTGCTCCATTTCCACATCCGTAGCTACGCCCCATGACCATGGGCTTCCTCTCTGTGCGCTGATCCGCGCGTTCTCTGTCATCGGCATTCGCAAGCGCATGGCGCTCCGCTCGATACGAGCTTTGTAGAACGCGATGTTGTCCATGGTGAATCAAGTACCGGAAGGAAACCCTAGGCTGGAGAACGAGTCGAGAACTGTCGAACTGTCTACGCTTCACACGAAGCGATCGCTGCGATGACTCAAGTCGGTGTCGAAGACCCGTATCCAAGCGAACCGAAGAGACCGGACCTACCCATGGAAGCATATCCCGCCGAAGGCACCATGCTGCTATCGAGCTCCTTTTCGGTCCGATAACCATAAAAAGAGGAAAATTTTTGCTTCGAACGGGATCGACTAGGTGACGTGAAGCGCCCAGTGCGCGTTCGGCATGTGCTTGGGAACACGACGCCAAGAGACATTCTCGAGTGTATTTCCAGGTGCGTCCAGCGACGCGAACTTCTTCGTCCATGAGTTGCCATGAAACAGAAAGATCGAAAAATTCAAGAATTCCTTATTTGATCATCTTATATGTAATGCGAGGCGATGCCTGGAACCTTGTGCGTTTGCGTTCGCTGGTGATATCGGTGATTTCACAAACCTTTGTTCAGTGGCGTCGCGAACCACGTACGTTCCGTTGAGGTAACGAGTCCCGGCGGCAACGCGTCGAAGCAGCCACTCCGCTAACACGCCAATGAACCCCAAGACAAAACATGAATCCGTAAGCCCTTATTGATGCTCTTCGAGTCGCGAGACAGTACACATATAGACTTGCAGAAAAATGAACGAAGAGCAGGAACAGAGCGAGACGTTCAGTGTCCTATTTTGTATCTGATACGGATAAACACGCGGGCTCGGCGCGCGCACTGCCTACCGTTCGTCGCGGGGCCGCGAGTCGTTGAAACGAACCAGCGATCCACAAAAGCGAGATAGGTTGTGGGTTTTTCTCCCAGGGTCTCGACTCGTTGATACGAACCCGGGATCCTCGACAGCGCGACGGTTTGCGTGCTGTTGCGTCTGCGCGTCCAGCGGTTGCGCGAAGCGCGAGCTGCACATATCCGCTCGCGGCGCATCCATTGCCAGAATCCATATCTTATCGAAAAGGACGCATTTTTACTGTTCATTTCGGATAAGCTGCATTCGTCAACATCGGTTCATCCGTCACTATCCCGTTCGTCGATCATGCTTCCAACCCAGTGATCGCCACCTTTCGAAACACCGCTCCGTCCATGATAGCACAATCTACAACATCGAATCGTTGGGGCCCTCCTCGCTCTCCGGTCGCTGCTGAGGTTGCTGTGAGTCTTTCGAGTCGTTTGATGGCAGGTCAGAGATGTTCTTCGGGTCACGAGTTCCACCGAGGGATGACAAATCCAGATCTGGTTTCCACTCGGAGGTAGCTGGGAGGTTCGGATCATTCTCCAGTTTCCAAGTGATGATTTGATCACGGATGCGCGCTGCATCATCAAATCGCTGCTCCTCGATCGCCTTGCGAATGGCGTCGCGCATCGCGTCCAACGGGAACAGTCGCCGGAGCTCGTCTCGGATGCGTGCCGCTTCCATGTAGTCCTCCCGCGCGATGCACTCCTTGAGCTCGCGCTCCAGCTTGTGCACGGCATCGGTCTTGAACGGCGAGTTGTTCCGGAAGAGAGCAAGGATTGTTTTGCTCGACATGCTTGTCTGAGGAGGGTTCAGGATCGGATCGTCGGGGCCGATGACCGGTCGAGGGTCAAACAGGCTGCGCGACTTGCGTGCGCTGGTACCCAGACTTCGGCCGCCTTCCGGATTGGCTGGGCGCACCACGTAATACTTTTCGATGGGACAGCCCGAAGAAAACAAAACCTGTCTCCGAACCCAGATAGGTACCTTGAAGCGTAACGCAAGCGCGATGGCATCCGAGGGCCGGCTGTCGATGTTCACTTCTTTGACTGCTCCCTCGGCACGCAGCCAGATCCGCGCAACGAAAGAGCCGCCCAGAACATGCGTCACGGCAACGCGAACTACGCGGATATTGCACGCTTCCAGAGCGTTCTTGGCAAGATCATGCGTACCCGGCCGCGCTGTCTTCTGACCACTGCGAACGTTTTTGATCGCTTGCGCCTCTGTGTCGCCGATGAACATGGGCAGTATGTAGGAGGGTGTGAGAAAAGGCTGAAGGACAAGCAGCCAGCAAGCGCCGTTTTCGATTAAAGTGAGCACACGCGCCTCCAGAAAGTCCTGGTCGTATTCGGGTAGCCACTTGGGGTCGTCGAAGTTGGGCGGGCGACTAGCCTCCTCGTGCGGTGCTGCCATGTACAGGACTCCCGTCCGCGCGTGTTGCCCCCTGTGTAACCTTTGGGTTCCACGCGCCCAGCCTAGGCGCGAACGAGTTGGTGTCACGAAACGGTGCAGGCAGCTGCCGCACATTGGCAGCGACCACAGGGGAGCCTGCCACCCTCGTAGGTGCGCATCTACGCGTGTTGCCGACAAACGCTCCCGAGATCCTCCGGAAAGACCACCAGTCGCGCTAACAGAGCGTAGGAGTGTCACGCTTGTGAATGTAAGTTGAGAGGCGAACATAGCTCCGCTCGTATGATGTAGCGGTTGCAGCGCGGGCTACAGCACAGGCAGCCCCAACTGACGTGCGCAGCGCGCCTGGGCCCGCCTCCCGCGCCAGTTGAACGATCTCGGTAAAATCTCCGCAGCGCATGCATGCGTGTTCGCGAATGCATGCGTGTGCGAGCGTCACGCGCGCAGCGCGGATGCGTTAGGGCATCGAGAGGATGCGATGTGCGCAACGCATCTGCGTTGGCGCCCCGCTGCGATTTTCGCGGGCAGGTTAGCATGGGATCGTCGGGGAGTAGTGGGGATCCTTCATGCGAGCGAGGAGGTGCTCGATCGCGAGATTATTCATTGCGTCCGTGATTCCGCAGCATCTGTTCAAGTTTCAGTGGCCAACGTCAAAATCACGACCTGTACTTTCCTTCGGAGGTCACGCACAATTCGCGTGTGTCCCAGCTGCTACCGAGCCTGGAGTGCGTGTATGTGTGGGTGTTCGATATGGGCGGCACGGTGCTGGCCAAAGCGCTCGATCCATGAATCCCACGTATTATCATGAAACATGGTTGCTGTCGGTACCAGATCGCTGGTATGACTGGGAAGCGATGTGTCGCGGTCGCGGTATCGGCTCGGAGTAGTCCAAGTCTGGCGGCAGTTGTGCGCTCAGTGCGGCGCCACGGGAGCGGGCACTGCGCGCCTGGAATCAGAATCCTGCTGCTCAGTCCGGGGCCCGTGCAGAGCAGATAGCTGCGGCGCATGCTTCTGGAGTATGCTTTTGATGGAAGACGACGGGCTGTCTCGTTCTCTTCGGCTCGCTGGGCAAGTGCATGTCGCAGGAGCATCAGGAGCACGCAGCGAGGCTGGTCACTATTCTCACGCCCGCGCACGATAGCTCTGGAGCATGATCGCCCTGAATGTGGTGACGCCAGCGACGACACAAACGCCCAATTCACGCCCCGTAGGTTGATGCAGAGGTCTGGTGCGCTCCTCCGGTGACCGCGGGTGTTGGACATTTGACGCGTTTAGGAAGCGTTCGACCGCAGGCGCATCCAACAATTGATATATCCATATATGTTCATATAGTTACATCTTCGTCGCCAAGGCACAGAATCGTCGCGATACGCTGGGGCGCGACGCAAGCCGTGGCGCGTTCGCGCGCACTTCCGCTGACTTTCCTTCAGCGCTGCTCAACTGCGCCAAGCTCTCCATGACCAGCAGACGTAACTGGAAAGAGTAAAACAGTCGGCCAGATTAAAGCTTTCAATCATCTCTCCCTAACAAACCTTAGATTTTCAGCGCACACCAGCTGCAGCTCAATCAAAAACAATGGGCATTGCCTCGTTTTTTCGGTGGGTTGTAGCACGCTACCCCAGGGCGCTGCAGGCGGCCGTTGAGGAGGCCCCCGTCACCGATCAGGCGGCGCTCGAGAACGGGAACTACCTTGACGACAACGATTATCTTCACGTCGACGTCAGTCTACCTAATCCTAACGGAGAGGAGTTCTCGAACCTGTACTTTGATCTGAACGGCGTTGTCCATATGTGCACGCACCCCGAAGACCGCCCGCCTCCGGCAACGGAGGAGGACATGTTTCAGGACGTCTTTCGGTATATGGACCGCATTGTTGCGCTAGTTCGACCTCGTCGTCTCATCTACATCGCTATTGACGGCGTTGCGCCGCGGGCGAAAATCAACCAGCAGCGCACGCGGAGGTTTCGGGCCGCCAAGGAAGCCCGTGAGAAAACGGAGGAAGAGGAGAAGCTGCGCGCACTTTGGCGAGAGCAGGGCCTTCGCGTGCCGCCGAAGCCGAAGAAACCCTTCGATAGCAATGTCATCACACCTGGAACGCTGTTCATGGAGCGACTCGCTGTTGCGCTCCGGCGCTACATCCGTGAACGGATTCGCTCTTGTCCCGCCTGGCGTTCACTGGTCGTTATCTTAAGCGACGCCAGTGTTCCCGGCGAAGGCGAGCACAAGATAGCAGAGTTCATCCGAACGCAACGAGCGCAACCGGGTTACGACCCGGAAACGCGCCACGTGCTCTACGGACTGGATGCGGACCTTATCATGCTTGCGTTGGCAACGCATGAGCCCCATTTCTTCATCCTGCGCGAGCGCATATACTTTGACTCGCGGGCCGACAAGGCTATACAGGCTGTAAAGGCAATGAACGCACAACAGACGCCAGCGGGCGATCGTATTGATCACAAGACCGGGACGTCGGCTGGGCCTGGTCTTCCATTGCCAGAGCGGCCCTTTGACTTTTTCCGTATCGATCGTTTACGAGAGTACCTGCAAGCCGAGTTTCGGGACGCACTGCAGCATGACGCTGTGCGGCAACCTCGTGAGCCGCTTGACGTCGAAATCGCTCTCGACGACTTCGTGTTTCTGTGCTTCTTCGTGGGCAACGATTTCCTACCGCATTTACCTTCGTTGGAGATTCGTGAGGGTGCAATCGACTTCCTCCTCGAGGTATACAAGTATAAGTTTCAGCGGATTGGTCATCTCACGGATGGACACGGTGGCATCCATTTCGATCGAGTTCGCGAGTTGCTTCGGGATGTTGCGCATGTAGAGGACAGCGTCTTTCGGGAGCGGGCTCGCGCCGCTGGCGAGCCCCCGACGCCGGTGTCACAGCATGCTGCGGTCGTGTCGGGAGCTTCCACGGCAGCTGCGCGGACCCATACGGTTCCGGAAGTGAGCGCCAAGAAAGAAAGCGTTTCCGCGTCTACCCTGAGCATCAAGGCAGATGCAGAGACACCGCCGTCTCCTGGTGTGCACGTAGACGAACTCGACGCAGGTGTCTCTGCGCCGCATCGACAGAAGCGACATGCGTCAGAACAACATCAGAAACGAGCTGCAACAGAGGCCGATCCTGGCCTGGGACTTGTACCTCTGCCCCGCAAACACGTTAAAGAGAACAGGGCAACTAGTTTGCGCGACTGGAAGCAGCTCGAGCATCATCGATCGGAAGCGGCTGTCTCGAACGAAATCGACAAGATCGAAGCGGAGTCCTCGCGCATCACTGCTGCTGGCGGGGATGCCGAACAGGCACTACAAGCACATTGCGAGCAGGTGCTCGCGTCCGTTGCAGCACCCGTTGAACCATCTGCTCGAGACGATGACAACGATCACGATGACGATGGTGTTGATGGGACTAGAACAGCAGCAGCTGCTGCAGCTGAAAGCACGGGAGACAGCAACAGAAAGCGCGCTGACGGTGTCCGAGGGAAACGACGACGAATCGTCGAAGAGGACTCGGAGGATGCATCTCCGCTGGGGCACGGAACGCGCCAAACGAGCACCCTCTCGCCCTCTGCAAGCACTGACCAGTGCTTGGCGTGCCCAGATGACGCAAACGCCACAGACACGATTCGCACCGCACTCGGAGATCATAGCAAAACAAGCAAGAAGAGCGGCGAGGGTGTCGATGCGAGCCTCGCGACGGGTCGGTTAGCAGCGGCGGAGGCGAACACTGCAGCATCGCTGGAGACAGCGACACTGCCGGCTGCCGCCGAGAGGCATCAGTCGGTAACCGAGGCGTCCACCGAGACGCTCAGCGTTCCCGAAACTTTTGGTGAAGCGCCCGAATCGGACGATACTGATGATGATGATAATGAGGATGATGTTCTCGACGAGGTCCTCGATCATTACACCGACGCTGCAGGTCGACAATTTGAACACATCCTGCGCGAGCGTCTCAAACAGCGACAAACGCGACCACCAACGGAAGAGGATCCTGTCCGATTCCACTTGCCTGGTTGGAGGGAGCGCTACTATCAGAGCAAATTTCCGCATTGGCCGCCGCTTGACACCGAGGCCGGAGCCCAGGCGCTGCAGCGTCTCTGTCGTGCTTATTACGAAGGACTCTTGTGGGTATATCGTTATTACTATGCGGGATGTCCCTCATGGGGCTGGTTCTACCCCTATCATTATGCACCACTCGCGAGCGATCTCGCCCAATGCTGCGTAGACCAGAAGGATATCGTGTTTGAGCGCGGTGCGCCGTTCACGCCCCTGGAGCAGCTCATGGCAGTTTTGCCAGCATCAAGCGGCGCCCAGTGCCTTCCGCGGATTCTCTACGAACTCATGATCAATCCGCATTCTCCGATTATCGAGTATTACCCGACAGATTTTGCGATCGATTATAACGGTAAGAGATTCGCCTGGCAAGGGGTTGCGCTCCTGCCTTTTGTCGACGAGCAACGTCTCCGTCTGGCTATACAGAGCGTTCTCCAGGACGGTAGGGCGGCGGATCGTGAGCACGACCCCGACAAGCGGCGAATGCTCGAACGAGCCGACCCCACCAGAGCGTTCGGTACGGCGATACTGTTTGCGCATCGAGACTCGGAACTTGGTCTGCACCTTGCCCGGGTCTGGACGGATGCCACTTTGTCGCGTATCGGACTCAAACTGAACCGCAGCGTTGGCAATGGCGTCTTTGGACGGGTGCTACCTCTCAACGAGACACCAGTCGGGGATCAGCATCAGCACGAGGCACAGCGATGCGCCAGTGACTGTACACCAGACGCAAACGATGAACACCAGGAGCGCTCCGTTCTCCAAGGCATTTGGACCAATGCGAAGCATCTACCTCACGTGCCACAGCTGTTGCCTGGTTCCAAACAACCGCCGTCGGTGCTAGGCGATGCTGACTTGCAAGCGCTTTTCGCGGGCCGTGCTGGTTGGAAATGTGCTCGTTTTGGGGTTCTGGGACATGCCGCCGAAACGTGGCGCCGCAAGCGCCTTGCGGAAAGCGCGCAAACGCCAAATGTTCCAAGCGTGGACACTGGTATGCGCGCGGCGCTATCTGGTACCTGGTCCAGCGCTTGGCCCCCAGTGCCGGAGAACGGCACGACGATGACGTGGCCTTGGTCGACAGGCGCGTTTCCGCAGGCATCGGCATCGAGCTCTTCAGGTGCGGAGACTGCGTCCATGCAGTGGTGGCAGCAGCAGCAGCAGCAGCAGCAGCACGCCATGCCGGCGTTTGGCGCGGCTGCAAGCGCCTTGATGCCCCAGTATAATCCGTCGGGTTTCATGCCTTCGTACACGGCGGCGATGAACGGAACCATTGCATCTGGATCTGCAGGATATCCAGCAAGTCAGGATGCGATCCTGGCTGCCTACTACGGATACGGAAATCCATGGATGCCTCTGGATACGAGGACAACAACTACAAGCAACCAGGCAATGTCATCCGGATCTGTTCTACCGCTGGGCTACGGAGCGACTGTTCCAACGTACAGCGGCTGGGGCGCACCCCATGCACTGGGCGGTATCCAGGGCTCGCTGCACCAGGCGCCATACGCCTCCGCTTGGCAACCAGCGGTGGAGACGCAGACGGCTACGACGCGACGATCCCGTCCAAGACGTGGAAGGAGGCCCTCAACGAACAACGGAGGCCGGCAAGCTCCCTGAACCTGCACGTCTGCTTGTCGGGCATCGTGTCAGGCGTACCGTCAAGTGCGCACGCTACGAGCCCCTAGTCCAAGTGGATACTCGAGTTGATGCTGTAGATGCCTACATCGCATGCAGAAGGAGCCCTTCGAATATAACTGTAAACCCTGTACAGCGCCGCTCGTTTCCATGAATGATACAGAACATATGCTGGATACCACCTAGACAGGAGCTGAAGCCCGTGTGCTGCAAAGTGTTGCACTCGGTACGACCATGGTCTTTTGGTGCAACGCAGGAGCATCCGGTTGTTGTTTAGCGAGTGCTCGACACGCGTGCGGCTTTCGCACCAGTTCCCCGCTGACGTGCGGTGCTGCGCAACCCAGGGATGCGAGCACCGGAGCACTCGACTTTGCCGGCAGCTCGATGAGTCGGTATTTCAACGAAGCGCTAGCGATCCAGCGCTCTGCAGGTGCTCCTGCAGAGTCTGTGGTGGCCAAATGCGGACCAGGAACTGGTAAGGACGCTGAGCTGCAGTGTTGTGGACCTGATCTTGGTGCGGTGCGTCCGCCTCGCTTGACTCGTGTGGATGTACTCGCGAGAACGGGGCGCGTGCGTCCCCTGTGGTTAACCGTGTCACTTGCAACTCTGAGCACGTGGGAAAGCCTCAACACGTACCGGGAGTTGTGATTGTATCGCGTTTCTTCTCAGGTTTGGTTTTGCGGAACGCACCGGTGCACTCATACCGGCAGGACAACGATCGTGAAAGCGTTCCCCGGGGTGTTTTACGAAAGCTCCAGAGTTTTCCGAGTCTTGCGAAAGAGCCAGCAGCTTCCACAGCTACCAGGGTTTATCGTTTTACGTGCTGGGCTCGAGTCGTTCAGAAGCAGCCCGGGGGCTCTTTCTGCTCCCACAGCCAATCGCACTCACCGTATCGAGTGCTGAACTCTAGTCACCCAGAGACAGATTGGGAAGTTTTGCCTCACCAGGGAAGAGAGAAGAGTGTAGCAAAGGCTCCAGTATGAACGTCATGGTAAACATGAACCCAAACAGACACACCTAGTCATGTGGCCCTGCAACGTTCAGTACAATACAATCAGTCAAGGCGAGCGAGTATCTGGCAGATACGAACCAGCAAAACCTGGACTCTTGAACGACGTATCGTTGTACCCTGGTGGGACCCTGGCGTCGACGCGTTTACCCTCGAACCCGAAGCCGTCTCTGTGCTGACAACTCGCAAGTCGTCTGTCGTCGATCGACTACGCAAACAATCTTTCTTTTTACGAACAGTCTGCGGAGGACTGGGGCGTTCCCCTTCGTTCACGGAGACGACGCAGTGCTTCACGGTGGTGCAGCGGGTCGCTGGGCTGCGGCGCTGCCACGCACCGGGCACCAGCAGGTGCCATGTTCACGAACGTTGCGACTGGAGCGAGCGAGAGGTTCACACAGCGAGCGAGCTCTGTGAAAGCTCACTCTGAGAAACCAAGAACGCCTCTGGTCGGCAGACGTCCGAGGGTTGCTCGCTCGCGGCGACCCGGAGCTGCTGCTGCTGCTGCTGCTGCCTCTTGTTTGCAGGTCCAGCACGGCAAAAGGATACTGAGGCTGGTACTGGTCGGCGGAGGGCATGCTCATTGTCACGTTGTTCGCGCGCTTCGTCCACAGCAGATAGGCTTCATCGGTGTACTGATTTCCGTAGAGGAGCATGCGCTCTATTCCGGGATGTTACCGGGGAGAATCGCGGGACAGTACGAGAAGACAGCCGTGCGCATCGACTTGCTCCAGCTCACGCATACTACGAGTTGGTTATTCCTTCGTGGGCAGGTCGTTGGTATTTGTCATCGGGAAAAGTGTCTCGAGGTGGAGCTTGTGGCGTCTGGTCCCTATCCAGAGCGTATTCAGTTGTACTACGATGTGCTGTCGATCGATGTAGGGAGCAGCACCCGCGTTCCAGCAGGTCTAGAAGAAGTACCTTCTCAATTCGTACAATACACGCGACCTATTCTAGATTTGGAGGCTTTTTTCGAAACATCTTGGGGAACAGATGTGCCCAGCAGGCAAGTGACAGGGTCCGCGAGCGCATCGCAGCGCGTCCTTGTCATGGGCGGCGGCGCAGCCGGTGCGGAGCTATGTTTCGCGCTGCACCGGCGTTGTCAAGTCGTTGGAAAAAGTGCATTTCGCATATATTGGCTGGTGACGGAACCGCAGCCTTTTCCGGCCAAAGTTCAGCAGCTGGTCAGGAAGCTCGCGCGAGAACGCGGGATCCGTTTGGTTCAGGTCCCGGCTGACGCGCGCTTTCGTTTGGAGCCGAACTCCCCGTGTAAGGTGCAACCAGTCCATGATCTGAGCGCTACAGACGCGCTTGTCACAGAAGCTCGAGACTCCCGCTTTGTTCTGTCGTGGTCTGCAGATGGGTCGGCGCTCGAGCGTCTAGCCTGCGATGTTTTGATTCTGGCAACGGGTGCCGCTGCTCCAAAGTGGTTAGCAGAGCAGACGGATTTGGCGGTTTCTCCAGACGGTTTTGTACTCGTCCAACCGACACTACAAACTCTGAGCTCTGCTGATGTATTCGCCGCTGGTGACTGCATTGCGTGGAGCGAACACCCCGAGATGCATTTACCCAAAGCCGGTGTGTACGCCGTTCGCCAGGCACCGATTCTGACGGAGAATTTGCGCTGCCGCTTGGTGCAGCTCATCCAACAACACTTGAAAGAGGAAAGCTCCCGAGAGACACGCAACTGCAGATTGCGTGTTTACCGACCTCAGAAACGATATCTTAGCATTTTGAATACTGCTGATGGACATGGGATCGCTTTTCGCGGTCAATGGATGGCATATGGTCGGTGGGTATGGCTCTGGAAGAATATGCTGGATCTACTCTGGATGGCGAAGTACCCGAAACCTGCGTCCGCCGAGATCTTCAAGGCCGACCAGCACCCAACTTTGGATGCATCGCATGGCGCTTTGCAGGCTGCAGTTGAAAAGTCGCATGTCGAGCCCGGTAGCTCCCGGCAACGATCACTCCGAGCGCAGGTCGAGTTGGCCTTGATCCTGTACTTTTGTGCGACTGCAGACGCGTTCCCGCCGAGAAACATCGGTGACGAAGCGCTAGAGGAACAAATTGGGGATCAAGCGACACGCGCCCTCTTCGAGTCGCTGTGGCAACGAAACGAGCCTGCTGAAGCGTGGCACCGGGAGCTTTCCGTGCTGACTCAACGTCTTCGTCTGCGGGTTCAGTACCCGATCGGCGGCAGCGGATTGCAAATAACGCACCAGCAGTTGACCAGACGCAACGAAGAACCTCCGTTGAATGACTCTGGATGCAATCGCTAATGATAAAGTGGCGTTTAGGGCGATCAAGCAGGACATCGACCAAGAAACAGCACGTACGTGTACATGCGCATGTTGTGAATCGTTCTGTCGCATGCGCGATGCAGACATGGATCACTGGAATTCTGGATAATCCCTATTTCTGAAAGAGTGAACAAACCCTTTCCCAGGCTGTTATCTCGTGCAGATGATTTCGGCGCAGTACCCATGTGCAGCGGCACCGATGCACACATTCTCCCGAGCTACAAGATGCCGCGGTGCGCAGTGCCGTTCATTGCGCATGCACGAACGTCGCTGATGAGGCGTTATGAAAGCATCCGCCAAGGACGAAGCTTCAGAGGCGCTTGAGACTCCGACGCTTCTCGCGCATGCTTGCGCTCATGGCGCCTTGGTTTCCGAGGCCAAAACCACTGGGACTCGAGTGGTGCTTCGAACCGGGTGTTGTTCCGGGAGTCTTGCGTTCGCTGGCAGGCCAGGATTTGGGTGCCATGTCCTCGCGTGTTGCAGCGGCACCGCCGCCACCAGTCCGCGGGGAGGCATGGACTTCCGTCCAGATTCGAGCTCGCGCTGCGAATGCTGCATAGTCCTCGAGTAAGAGTCGACCGGCTTCCTCATTCAAGGCGCTCTCTGGATTCGGATCAATGAGCAGACATCGTATTACCGTGAGGACGTGCCGAATCCCATAGCTGCTCTGCCAATCGCGTTTCAGAGTATTGACGCAGATATCCCCCTGTTCGCTAACGTTGGGATGAAAGATTTTCGTCAAAAAGTAACCCCGAGGCGGCTGGTATGGGTACTCTCCAGAGAGTACGAGCTTGACTCGAAAGGAACCTGCTTCATATGGAGTATCCTCCGGACCGGTTATGACAGCATGGAGCTCGGTCAAAACGTCTTGACCGCTGTCGTTCAACAGCTCGACGCCGTGCACCGGTTCATCCCTCAAGCTCTGTACTTCCCGAAAGAGTCTCGTGATGACGCCTGGGGGTAGGTTCTCGCACAACGACATGTTGATTTTTCAAGTACAGTGAAATCGATACGCGTTCCGAGCGTTGCAGCACCAGACGTTTCCCAGACGGAACGACACAATTCACGACCTGGTCGCACAGGCAGCAGACTCGAACACACACACACGCACAGCAGGTACACGACGTCTCGCTGAGAGCCGCTATTGAATGCAAGCCCAGGTACCAAGCAGACCTGGTACACGGTGCCGTGCGCTTGCGGTCGTTGACTGCAAACCGCAACAGCCGTGCCCAAGACCGTTGGCGAACACCCAAGTCCTTGCGTAAACGAACGTGCTCTGCTTGCCGCACGTCAGTTGCGTAAGACCCTGTTGTAGACGACTGCCGACGGGATCGAGCACCCTGCGATCGTTGATGCGATTTTCGTAACCGCCGTTGCGAATCGAGCGTGTGGACGGGGCTTGCACTTGTGGGAAGTACGCTTGCCGTTTACAAGTAGAGGAATAGGATCGGAGGTTTGGATCTTGAATTTTAGGAAACAGACGGCAATTTTGTGTCCTCTACCCGTGTTCGTACAAAATGGAACGGGTGCGCGAACACAGGGGTGCACGCTAGAGCCTTGGTCTCTAGCTAGTGGTATCGACACCAGCGTCTGTGGCAACGCTGTGTGCGTGCTTCCTTTTCTGTTCACTTTCATGCGGTTGTATATTCTCCAGTGTACCCTTTTTTTGCAGATCCGTTCATAGCAGTCGAGAGACACTGCTAGTACTCTGAAAGTCCCAATATCGCTGGTCTCGGATGCCGTTCTCGCACCCTAGGCATAGAATGTCGTTGCGATCTAGACGCTGCATGCGAGAGTCATCGCCTTCGCATACAGACAGAGTGTACCACGCTCAGCGGTGACACGTCGCGGTACTCAGGGATTCCCGTATACCCACAATGCATCCCGTTCCGAAGCGCCGCCCTGTGCCGCGTGAGCACTTCCTTCGCCGTTCCGTGCATGTTGTTGACTGGTAAAGAAGGCTTCTGTCGATGCCTTCCTCCATTCCTGTGCCCGGTGACATGCACGATGATCACGGGCTCCATCTGGACGATTCCCGCGGCGAGTACGCTACCCGCTGGGCACGCAAGCGCACGCTGCTCCATGCGGTAGCGCAGCCATGGAATGCAGTATTGCCCGTGATGAAACAAGCACCTGAATGGAACTCCAGAATCGGGATCCAGGCGAGAAATCCAGGACGGTCCACGCTGCCTTCGTATGCGGCCGTGACGCGCTCATTAGTGGAACCGGTTGCGGCGATGACTGCAGCCCTCGTCCAGGACGCTATTCCATGCAAGCGGAATGCACAGAAGCTTCTGGGACCATACTTCGTGATGGGCAATGCTTGTGTCGGATCTCGGTTCGACGATAGCCACGGAGAGCGGCGGCTTTGTTTTTTCCAAATGGAACAGGCTTCCTGACGTAAGCGGTTCCATGAACTCGCCGCATGAGCCTGTGAATACGTCGCCAGCGGACATCGTCGCGTATTTTGTTTCCTCGTCAATCCAGAGATCCGCATTGCTGCGTCCACGAGTTGCCTGAAACAGACACATCGAACACCTTGAAGAATGCGTGATTGACGCAGAGGCCAGGCAAGCAATCGAGAGGAATCGAGGCGACTGCACATGCGTGGATGATGGTATTGTTTTAATGATGCGAAACCCGTGATCGACGGCGCTGGAACTCATCATGATTCCGGTGGTGAAATCGAATTGCAGCGTCAGGGAATCGAAGGAGCCTCCACGAAAACACGACCGAAAATATAAAATTCCGCATGCATCCCCAAGCTCTTGTTGCTCTACCTTGAACGTTGATGCAGCCCAAGTAAAAAAGATCGAAAAATATCGAAAGATAGACGCAAAGCGTCTAATCCAATCGTCGATTTTACACCAACATAGCTTCTAGCGAGCGCGTTCCTCATACCAACTGAGCACACACATAATCGCCCGCAAGGACGACGACACCGGTATGATCAGTAAAGCGATAAGCATTCTAGGACCATAGAGTCTATATATACAATCACTTACAGACGGCTCCTGGGCTTTTTCTGACCGGCCGAGTACTATCGGGTTCAGTTTCTCCCTGTACGCTTCGATCCTGAGAGTCTGACCCATAAAGTTGGATCGCCTCAGCTCCTCGTGTCTCGTCTCCAGCGCCGCACATCGTCTGATACTGGTGGCCGCGTTGAACTCTCGGTTTTGCGAACGCTTTGCATTTATTGACGCTACTTGAATGTACGTTTGGAACGATTGCCCGCACTCGTGCCCTCTGTGTCACCACAGTCTCGTCATTGTTCCGTCGGCCAAACACCTTTTCTCGTCTATCTTCCTATTCTGCTTCTGCTTCACATCCCCTTCTTCGCTAGCTGGTCGACGAGATGATGATATTTTCGATTTTTTGTCGAACCCGGCGACACAGGACCTCAAGGATCCTCGACTTTCATATCCATACGGATCCCTTAGATTTTTTATTTCTTCAAAATGAGTACATTTATTGGTGCCTTTAGGCGAGTATATTCCAGGAATATAAAGCACTTGCATAAGAAACACGTAATGTACCCCAGTGTCACCATGTGCTGGACGCTTCAGCGATTCGCTCAAGGGAGCTATCATTACGTTTCACCATACAAAACACCCCTTCTATGAGGTCTAAACACGCAGAGCGCGGAAGAATGAAACGCAGCAGTATACCGCTAGAATCCGAAGAAAGCTAGAACGCAAGGACAATGGTGAAATACTACATTGTCCAATAGGAGGGCGTCGCCAGACCTCAGGAGAAGGTCTTCAATGATTCGACAAAGTGGTTGGTGCTGTTGGATGAGCCTTCTCGACGAGCGAAACTGAGGCCGCCAAATGAGTCTACCACGCCTAGCACGGATGATGTCGTCGTTTTCTTCAATTTTACGATCTTACATACAACGAGCTCCCTCTCCCTGAATACCCAAACGCTCTACGACCGTTTCACCCGAAGCAAGTCTCATCGACTGAAAACACAAACCTACGTCCCTGTGCTTCATACCGATCGCAACGTTCCAAGAACGCTGTCACTGCTATTTAGGTGGAATATAATCGTAGGTGAAATTGGATTTTTGGGATTGTATCCTAGTGCTTGTCGAACTACACGAACAAGCTGTTCAGAGACAGAGACGCCCTTAGTGGCTACCATCGTGACTTTCGCTTTCTGTACGGTGGTCAACAGGTCGTTCTCTACCACTGGCCGCTAGCAGTCTTTGAGAATAACCGTTTTTGGCACGGAGCACTGATACTTCTCTCTTTCAATGTCCCTCAACCATAAGAGTACTTTGGTATGACTGACCTTATGAAAGAATGCAATTCTCCTTGCACTTTTCAGTAAATCACGTATCCTACATTGAATTCGTCCACGATTTAAACGGTACACTGCATCGTGCTTTCAATTTCCTGCTCGATGCACTGGAAAAAAAGCATTCGATGACAGGCAGCAGTTGTGGAGCACATCTGAGCTGAATGTGAAGTTAAGATACGAAGCATGCACCGCGCGTGCGAACATTTGAAGATGGCGCTCGTGGCTACCCGCCTCGAGTACAGGTCAGGTCATCGCTCAGGCCGTTGCACACTGGCTACGCGCTTGACGTGCGGGCAAAGAACTGGAAACCGAGGTTCACTGGTGAGTGCACAACTTTCGTCGTTCGATTAAAAGGAACTTGAGAAGCGCGCACGTGACGACCGGTTTGGCGTCGCCTTCGGAGACGCTTCACCAGGGCGATATCTGCTCCTAGATGGTTATCGGTGATGACTCTTTCGGGAGCGTCGTCGTCTAAGGAAGCCCGCTTGCGGAGCCTTCTGCTCAGCTATGAAGACGCTGAACGCAAGCGAGGAAACCCGGTTCCCTGGCTGAAAACGGAGGAGTTGCGGTCACTCCTGGAGACTGCCGGCGGGGAGCGGCGCGTCATTCTTATTGACGTTCGTGAAGAGCCGGAGCGTCGGGTCTCTGTCCTTAGAGGCGCGCTCTCGCCTGCACAGATAGAAGGGCTCTTGAATACCCCAACGACGAGTGAGAACAGTGCCGCGCGGAACAACCTCTCCACGGATACGATGCTTCTGGTTCCGTACTGCACTGCCGGCGTCCGCAGCGCAGCATACGCCAAATCCCTAATGGCGCAGTACCCTCAATGGGCCGCATGCGTTCGGAACGGAGAGGGTATTATCCGTGCAACTTACGTGATTCCCGAATATATTGTGGATCCTGTATCTGGGAAACCCACGAGCAGCGTGCACGCTTATGGGGCAAAATGGGATCTCGCGGCGCCATCGTTCGAAACCGTCCTCTTTTCGCAGTGGGAGCGACTAGCGCGCACCCTGCGCCCGCCGAGTGGTCGTCTGCATCTGTGACGGCACCAGTACCTTAGGGCCCGTTATCAGGTGAAAATCGACGATTGGATTAGACGCTTTGCGTCTATCTTTCGATATTTTTCGATCTTTTTTACTTGGGCTGCATCAACGTTCAAGGTAGAGCAACAAGAGCTTGGGGATGCATGCGGAATTTTATATTTTCGGTCGTGTTTTCGTGGAGGCTCCTTCGATTCCCTGACGCTGCAATTCGATTTCACCACCGGAATCATGATGAGTTCCAGCGCCGTCGATCACGGGTTTCGCATCATTAAAACAATACCATCATCCACGCATGTGCAGTCGCCTCGATTCCTCTCGATTGCTTGCCTGGCCTCTGCGTCAATCACGCATTCTTCAAGGTGTTCGATGTGTCTGTTTCAGGCAACTCGTGGACGCAGCAATGCGGATCTCTGGATTGACGAGGAAACAAAATACGCGACGATGTCCGCTGGCGACGTATTCACAGGCTCATGCGGCGAGTTCATGGAACCGCTTACGTCAGGAAGCCTGTTCCATTTGGAAAAAACAAAGCCGCCGCTCTCCGTGGCTATCGTCGAACCGAGATCCGACACAAGCATTGCCCATCACGAAGTATGGTCCCAGAAGCTTCTGTGCATTCCGCTTGCATGGAATAGCGTCCTGGACGAGGGCTGCAGTCATCGCCGCAACCGGTTCCACTAATGAGCGCGTCACGGCCGCATACGAAGGCAGCGTGGACCGTCCTGGATTTCTCGCCTGGATCCCGATTCTGGAGTTCCATTCAGGTGCTTGTTTCATCACGGGCAATACTGCATTCCATGGCTGCGCTACCGCATGGAGCAGCGTGCGCTTGCGTGCCCAGCAGATAGCGTACTCGCCGCGGGAATCGTCCAGAAGGAGCCCGTGATCATCGTGCATGTCACCGGGCACAGGAACGGAGGAAGGCATCGACAGAAGCCTTCTTTACCAGTCAACAACATGCACGGAACGGCGAAGGAAGTGCTCACGCGGCACAGGGCGGCGCTTCGGAACGGGATGCATTGTGGGTATACGGGAATCCCTGAGTACCGCGACGTGTCACCGCTGAGCGTGGTACACTCTGTCTGTATGCGAAGGCGATGACTCTCGCATGCAGCGTCTAGATCGCAACGACATTCTATGCCTAGGGTGCGAGAACGGCATCCGAAACCAGCGATATTGGGACTTTCAGAGTACTAGCAGTGTCTCTCGACTGCTATGAACGGATCTGCAAAAAAAAGGTACACTGGAGAATATACAACCGCATGAAAGTGAACAGAAAAGGAAGCACGCACACAGCGTTGCCACAGACGCTGGTGTCGATACCACTAGCTAGAGACCAAGGCTCTAGCGTGCACCCCTGTGTTCGCGCACCCGTTCCATTTGGTACGAACACGGGTAGAGGCTCAAGTGTACGAAAAATTCGCACAGCTCCTGTGCCGAAGATTATATATATACCTAAAAATACATTTTAATTCCAATTTATACAGGTTCTGCAAGTCGACCTCGTCGACCACACGGCACCATCGGCGCGCGCACTGACGAACACGTGGCTCAACTGCAGCGTCCGCATGTCGGCCGCATCTGCACAACGCCGCTGCATTTCAAAACGAGCCAGCAGCGCTCCTGGCATGGGACGTCTGCATCGCCGCTTCGTTGCGACGTGGCAACGCCTGCGCGAACCCGAGAACGGGACGCGAGGTGCTCACGCGTGCGCCGCGAGCGCTCCTCTGTGAACAGCTTACCTCGTTGAGTGATCTTTTGCGTCTTCTTGACTTGTACAATGGATACCTCGCTCGTTTTCAGTAGCTCAGCTGACGTTTTCGGTGTGGACGTTAGGTACACGTACAAAGTTGATGACAAAACGAACTTTGTACTGCGTGGACTAGCGAACAAAGAAAAGCCTAAACCTTTCGATCACCACTCGGGAGAGTATATCCGGGGTTGCCTGGTGCATCACTTCCGCACCGTTCCCGACTGGCCAGTGGATGTGAAGCTAATTGCCTGGGCTGCGCAGGGTAAGAACCAAGACCGCTGGGGCGTTAAAGCCGTCGCTATGAAAACGCTCGCCGTTGATGAAGATACAAAAGCAGAAGCGCGTTTGGTGTTTTCAAATCGCCCCCTAGCGGAGAACCGCAATAGTCTGCTCTATGGAACGCTGAAACGTACCTTCCGTATTGCCGACGATGAATGGGTGGGCGGCCTCCAGTGTCGCACGGACGGACGTTGCGTTCTCGGGGTTCGGAACGGAATGCTGAGCGTCCAAAAAGTGCTTTCCCAGGGTGGACCGACTGGTGAGCCTGGCGAGTGGCGGGCCAAGTACTCTCTCAGTGGTAATGCACCTAGGCTCTTCTTCTAAATAGCGGTGGGAACAAACCTGGGTAAAGCGCACACCCAGATGCGGATGAATTTTCGGGGGCCAGTCTCCAAAGCGATGACCGAGCCGCTGGCTATGTTTACGAAAGAATGCATTTCACTGGACGCATAGGTCTGGGGGCAACGCCCTGTTTTGTCGAGGAAACGGCGATTATGAGTCGTAAAAAACGAAAATAAGTCTTATGTTTATGATTGGTGCAATGTTTGCCTGGACGCTTGCCAGAAGACCGTTTTTAAATGAAAATCTGCTCTTCGGGAAAGCATTGGGTAGCGGTCCTCGACCGAAATCGTGTCGCTCTTGGCAACCCGGGAGTGTCCAGCGGTTGCCGTTGCGGCCTGGTGATCATGCTAGGTAGATGCCATTGACGCATCGTATTGGCAACCACATATGCAGCCTCGCATAGCGCTTGTTCGGTACGACATCGGACGCAGGTTGGAACGTTCATAGACTGGGCATCCCGTCGACTAGCTATACCCATTTGTAAAGGTGCCTAGCTCGCTCAGGTCTGTGGGAGTTTCAGCATTGGTTTGGTCGCAGCGTGCTGTTTTGCACGCCGCTGTGGTTTTACGCGTGAGTCACTCATCTTGGGCGAGTCTGGTGAATTGTGCTCGCGCTTCCACTGGGCAGTATCCACGCTATGAAAGTACTACCCGCGTGTTCAATAGCATGCCAAATCAAAACGTAGGATCAACGAGTTTTTTCGGTTGGCAAAAAGCTCTTCCTGGGCCCTTCTTTGGATCCAAAGTACGTCGTCGAGCAGCATACCTGATCACTCTTTCGTCAAGGAATTGAACCATACTTGAGATACCTAGGGCATCCTGATACTCGATAGACCGCTTGGACGACGATCACAGCGCCGCCCTCTTCGTCTGTCTGGGGCCGAGAACCCTGGTCGCAGCGCGCACCTCGCTGGGGGTCATATGCGGAAACTGCAGCCTTCTAGTGCACAATCGGCGCGTGCTCCATCCAGGCAAATGAGACCCGAACGAACGCCTCTTACAGCGTTATCGGCGTCGATGACGATACCGGCTGTCGCCTGGAGGACATCGGACTCGGCGAAGGAGAGCCCTGGTAAGACTCATCGATGCTGCTCCATACTGTCAACTGATGCTCAATACGGTTTATCCTTGGTAAGATGCATCGGTGCTGGCCCATGCAACCAAATGGGGCTCATGACGCTCGTCCGGACGTCATCGACTGCATGTTTCTGCAGCATGATGGACGTTTCCCTCGGACGTGAGCTAAAAATTGCATCACCAGAGGCTGCCGAGCTCACCTCAAGGATCTGTCGATCGAGAAGCGATCCGCCGTAAGGCGCATCGGCATCGATGGTAGATCCCGGTTGCAGTGGCGAGTGAATGCGGCTGTTGGAAAAAAGGTCATTCAGGAAAGCGTACTTGCAAAATGAGCGACAGGGAACTTGGTCTCCCGGCGCTGATGAAAGCACACAGTAGCTTGGGCTACTTGAGTGGAGGCGTCTGTTTGCTCGCAGGTACGCTCGTTGCGCGCTACGCTCGTTTCTGGCGGCACTGGTATGTGGCACACGTCGTTCTACAAGTCACAGGTTTCCTGCTAACGCTACTTGGCTTTTGTTTGACGGAGATATGGCACCAGGGTTTTTTGGTTATGCAGGATTTGCATGCTTGGAACGGATTCGCTTTTCTCTGTCTATACTTTGGTCAACTGTGGCTGGGGATGCTCCGTCCACACGCGGCGAGTCGTTGGCGTCCTCTGTGGCGTCGAGCGCACGCAGCTGTCGGGGTGTTGCTTGTGGCTGACTACATCGTTCAGCTCTACAGTGGTATCCATCGACTCTTTCGCATGTTCAACTTACCAAACGCAAGATACTTTATTGTGTGGAGCGTAGCGCTGGGCGTTTTTGCGGTGTCCATCGTTCTGTTGGAACCGACACGGTGGCCACCCAGCCGTTCAGTGGTGAAGCACTGGCGCCTTGACGCACAGCGATACGCGTACCGTACTCGTGTGTTATTGATTACAATCACTGCACTGTGTGCTGCTTTCCTGGTATTTCTGGTGCTTCTGTTGACCAACCAGAGCTTCGCTCCATGGAGCAACGATGGCGGCATGAGCGGTATGCCGGCCATGCCGATGCATACGACCTTTTTCTGGTATGATGAACGCGGCTTCAATCTATGGTTCTCTTCGCTGGTTGTGATCGGTGTTGGTCGTCTTATTGCCGCTGGGATTCTGGTGGCAACGCTTGCGTACACTGCGAGCTTTGCCCTGCACGTCGTGATGCGAAGCGGTTCACCAAGAGGACCGCAACCGGCGCAAACGAATGCACCGAAAATGTCTTGGGTTGCACGTGCGCTCGTTCACGTGTGTTTGGTTGCATTGCACTATCTGCTGATGTTAGCTGTCATGACATACAGCGTTCCGCTCCTTTTGTCTATTCTAATAGGCCACGGCCTGGGTGCGTTGGGGTCGAACTTTTGGCGTTCGAGCGGCGACACAGCGGCGTTCAACAGCGACACGGAAGAGAAGCTCCTGGAGCCAAGCGCAGAGCGTTATGCATCGCCAAAGATCCCAGATGGGAAACAGGATCTGCGGGTCTTGCTCAATGCAGACTGCTGTGCTTCTTCGACGTGTTGCGGTTCAAAGTGTACCTGTGAACCTGGTCGCTGTTTCTGTGGAATCGAGGTGTGCAGCGATAAGCGCTCCAGCTGTTGCACCTGATCCAGTACGTCAGGCATCGAGGTCTCACGAGGGAGCCCTTGTCGGCTTGAAAATGCATTGCATCGAGCCGATGCTCGAGCAGGCATCGCGAAATTGGTGTTTCTTTCTAGGACGCGGACGGCAGGACGCACGATGCCGTAACAGTATCCGGGGATAGGCTTGGATCTTGCAGGGTCGGTCGGTCGATCGGTCGGTGGGTCGACTGACCCCTGATGCAATTGGAGAATACCGCCATTGGCCAAGAGCATGGACGCGTCCGCAAAAGAGGTGAGGTCGACGCCGCGTTCACCATCGGCTCTCGGGGACTCTTGTGCTTCTGGTTCGCACACTTGATCCTGCGGCATCCGAACTTGGCTCGAGTGAACAACGCCTCGAGCCGACGCCCTCTGTGCTATAGAAAAGCCGTTCTGTCTCCATGCAGCGACCGCACCCGCACTATAGGAGCCATTGCGGTCGCTTTCGGCAGGCTCGGCACACGATAGAACGTATGAAACGACCAGAATATCCGAGAAAAAGTACAGGTAATGTAACGTGGAGGTAGAATATTTGATGGATACTTCACCGCGCAATGAAAAAACACAAAAAGAAAGGAGAACGCGCACAATCGGAGAACGCTGGCCTAAGTAAACGTTTAGTCAAATTTACATCCGACCTTGGCTGCTCTTGCTTTGGGAGAGCTCTCAACTCGCACAGGTGATATGGAGCACGCAAGGAAGAGAATCACTGGCATCCCTGGTCGTGTCGGAACTTGCATCCTTTCGAGATGCAGGCACACAGATACCGCATTCCAAAGTCGTTGCCAACGGCAAGTGATGCACAGATTTCTTTGTGACATCTCGAGTATTCGACGGATCCTGAACCTGTAACGGGAAGTTTGCAGCTCTGGGATCGCTTCGAGGCCAGGTTGCGCCCCCCTCCCGGCACCGTTTCTCATGAAGGCATGCGCAGGCGCTGCCTCGCACTGACGAACATCATGGGCACTTTGAGCCGTGCTCTCTCTGTACGGCCGCTGGTGCGGCCGGCATCATAGTCAGGTTCGGCATCCTCAGGATCTGGGTTGTTGGACCGATGGAACCCCGTGTTCCTGACCGAGAGGCTGGACTTGAGCGTATGGAACTTAGTCATGCCAGGAGGAGAAGGATGGCTTATTCCCTGCTCGCCGGTGTATACTGCATGTCCAGGGTTCCCGGCTAGGTGTATCGACCATGAAAAATGCTTTGACCCTCGTTAGGTCTCAGCTCGTAACCCAACCAGCGTCGCTACAAGAGCGTCGCGCTCTCCATGATAGGAATAGGGGAACAACTGCCCATGAGCATCAGAAACAGGATTCAGGGATCCTGCGTAACATTCGTTGATCCCGTACCATGAAATAAATCCGCCCTTGAGCCGTACAAGCGGCAGATGAGGCGTTGCGAATGCCCGCAAGCCGGAAGAACAAGGACCTTTGAGATATTTTATGTGGGCACGCGGGCTAGGGTACGAGACGCTGTGCATTCGCCCAGAGCGGAGGGGTTCCGCGAACCTGCCTTGCGCGTTGAGTACACTGCTACATAACCCCCGGATGCAAGTTTCGCTTTGTATTGGAAGCGACGAATCCAGCGAATTCGGTACAACAGAGCGAGGCGGTATTGCCAGGCGTCTTGCGGGAGCTGCTTCCGGCAAGACGCACGCCTACGCTGCTCGCGCATCCACATAAAAAGTCCCGCGTCTTTTTCTCCAGCTCAGTACTCTTTCCTGATCTTTACATTCAACCCTAAAGTCATCTGCGAGAAGCAACAAAGTTCCTCATAGCCGCACAGCGACACGAAAATTACTCTTTGACTCGCGAAAATCTCCCCCGTAACTTAATTGGGCATACAAATACGCACCAAGGAGCGAGACGACGAGATTCAGTACCTTGAACGCGCCGAGTAGGATCACGAGCGAGGACGCTCTCTAGGCTGCTCGCTGTGTTCGACGGCAGTGACTGCATCTGCGCTGCGGAAACAGCCTTCGCTGTAGCTCCGTACCGCGACGCTGCGCGCAAATGAGACGTAGCGTGCTGGTCCCAGACACGGCACGCGTGTTTACTTTCGACGTGCCGCTTTGGACTCAGACGGCGCATGCGTCGGTACGATGACGCTTTTCGCATAATCGCGCACCACGCCGTTTTTGCGCTCCTCTTCGATCTGCTCTTTGATCCAAAGGTACGTTCTTCGGAGCCCCTCTGCGAGTGGGATTTGTGGCTCCCACCCGAGCACTTTGCGACAGAGGTCGTTATTCGAGTTGCGCCCACGAACGCCTTCTGGCCCAGGAATATGCTTGATCTTCAGCTTCTTGTTCTCAAATGTCATGATAAGCTCCGCCATATCGTTCATGGATATCATCTCCTCGGAGCCGATGTTCAACGGCTCCGCGAAATCGGAATCCGTTAGACGAATGACGGCCTCCACCGCATCGTCGATGTAGAGGAAGGAACGCGTCTGCTTGCCGTCGCCCCACATTTCGAACTCACCGTCCGAAGCGATCACCTTTCGGCAAAAGGCAGCTGGTGCTTTTTCGCGACCACCTTGCCAGGTTCCCTGCGGCCCGTACACATTGTGAAAACGCCCAATACGCGTCTCAATGCCGAAATCTTTCCGATAATGCATGCACAACTGCTCGGACATGAGTTTCTCGAGTCCGTATGCGTCCTGGGGTTGCGCCGGCCACGCATCCGACTCTTTGAGGCCCTGCTGCATATCCTCTTTCATCTGAGCGTACTCGGGATATACGCAAGCGCTTGAAGCATAGTAAAACCGTTTCACACCATTGACACGGGACGCTTCAAGCATGTGCAGACTGATCAAACTGTTGTTGTACAAGATAACACTATGGTTGCTCTGGATGAAGCCCATACCGCCCATATCTGCCGCAAGGTTGTAGACCGTATGACAGTTACTCGAAATCTGCTTACAGTTTTCGTACTCACGCAGGTCCACCAGGTGAAACTCATCGCAAAAGTCCTCCTTGCGCATGTACTCGTTTTCCTTCCAGTCCGCTGCGACGACGTAGTAACCCAGTTGCTTCAGTCGCTTCGCCAGGTGCGACGCAATAAAACCGCCTGCGCCAGTGACACAGACCCGTATCTTCCCATCGACTTTCATAGAGTCAGGCACTTGGCTAGGATGCGGCGCAGGCATACTTGTGCGTGTTTGTGAACGTACGTCACCGACGAGCAACCCTAGCACGCTACCAGTGGATATCGATGGGATGCCTGGACGGCGGACGCGCTTGCGGTGATCGATGCATCGATTTTCCGCCTAGCGCAGACAGCCACTTCCGCCTCTGCCAACGGGGTGGCGCATCGACAGAGCGACGACCTCACCGCCGCCGCGGCCGCCCAGCGAACGTCCACAAGGTGAATCCAGCATGCGTTGCTAGGTGATGCGCTGGAGGCGTTTTCGCCAATCGCATGCAGCATCGCGTGTTTGGCGCAGCCCGATGCCGCAAATCCCTTGAAGCAATGGCGGTGGCGGTGGCGGTGGCGGTGGCGGTGGCGGCGTTGCCGCGACGCGACGCGAGGCGACGCGATGCAATGGATGATGGGCGATGCCTGCGTGCAGTGCTTCGTGCCAAAATCGTCAAAGCGCTGGCATTCAGGGATTTGTAAAGGCGAGCGTCGTTGTAGACGAGTATACTGACGGACAGAGCGTCACTTGAGACCTAGAATGTTCGAGAATAGTAATCTAGTTCTTCCACCGTACTACGGGTATGTGCTACTTGACCTTGTTGGCGTTTTCATGGAGCAGATGTACTTTTCGGTACAGGTGATGCGAGCCCGGCGTCGGTATAACGTGCCGTACCCGAACCAGTTCGAGCAGAAAACAGAAGGTGTTTCCCGTTTCAACTGCATCCAGCGGGCACACATGCAGTTTATGGAAACCTGTATCTTCTTTGTTCCAGCGCTGCTGTTTGCTGGACTTGAGCATCCTCGAGAGGCAGCTGCGTTCGGCTTGATCTTCTTGATCGGACGTCTCGTGTTTTTCCACGGATATGCGAGCGGCGATCCTCAAAAGCGTCTGCGCGGTGCATTTTACGTCATAGGCGTGCTTGGAAACCTGGCTTTGTGTGTGCGGAGCGCGCTCAAGCACCTTGCGTAGGAGGGCGCGTTCCGTGGCAGGCTGTTGCGCACAGATAGGTTGCTGTCGCGCGCCTGGCTCTGTCCCAGGTCTCGGACGATGGAGTGGAGCGTTTCGGTTGACCCAGTGCTATCGCAATGTCTCCAGGAAATGTAAAGCAATAGAAAACTTTTGAGCAGGTACCTTCAGGAATCCGTAGAGCCCTTGCTGCTGTTTCGTGATCCCACGTCTCCCAGATGACAGGTCAGGGGGCGGTTGCATCGGGAATGCGGTGGCTGAACAGGATGCCGGTCGTCGATCCGGTGGATACGCTTGCCCGCTAGCCGAGTCCAGATCCGAGTGAACGATTTCGTTTGCAACTGGAGACCGCCTTGCACTGCATTCATGCTGTGACAGTGAAGATTCCGGGATTCCGTAACTGCGCTCGATCGCAGTGATGTTGCAGCTCGCGGCAAAAGACGTCTAGCGACACCACCACGGACGCACGCTCACGAATATCGATGCTGAAAGAGCAGCTGTGGTTCCATGTCGGTTTTTCGGAAGAGTTCAAATATGGCAGGCGACGAGCGTTGCCAGCGTTGGATACCCTAGAGAGAACGACAACAGGGAAGCATACGAGTCTAGCGTACCGCGAACGAATATCAAGTCCGTCCCTGGCCTATCCACTATTGCGCAGATGGACGTGGGCACCAGATCGTTACACCCGTGAGCAAATACTTCTCCATGTCGTTGTCTGTAAAGCCTGCGCCTTATAATTCTATCAAGAACCATGAAAAGACATACGCGAAGAAATCAAGCCTTACAAAGGGCCGCAAAACATCAACGCCATCTGTGTCGTCGCAAAGCACCTACGCAGAAACCCGTCATGGCCATAGCACGATCCTGTGGCACCGAGACTTGGCATCCATTGTTATGTGAAGGCAGATATTCCATGAATTCTACCAGACCCATGTCAGAGGAACATGGAACGTGTCTACTCTGCTGACTCGGGCGTACAATCGAAAGTTTGGGACTCTTTTTAATGCCATCAGCACCAATATTCGCCGAATTTTGCGTGACTGCTTCTTTTTGTGTTTCATGTCCCGATTTAGATACGCAGGTGTCTCTCGTGTACCGCCAGATCCATTGCCAACAGTCGAAAGATGATGTACGCTTTCAAGTCCTGATTCCGCTGCTTCCGGCTGCCGTTCATGGAGTACGAGGACCAGGGAAGACAACGATTTTCGCATTGCTTTTCATCTTTCATCTCGCTTGTATTCACCCTCGGTGCGCCGCTCACAACCGTGACACATGACTGAGGTCAGCAGTTCCTCTGCTGCACAACACGCTCTCCTCCGAATGCCGCCCTGGAGCGCGTGAACGCCTCGTTCATCGCTCGCGAGATGCCCATGGCGAGCACAGAAGGCCACCCGCGTTGCCGTCCTCTGTTTCAGCACCCAGTACGGTACCCTGTGATCACGGGCTTCTTCGGGATGATCCCCAGTGTACCTGGTGTGTTTGCGGTACGCGCAAGCACATGCTGTCGCCGTCAATAGATGGTGTGCGGAACCCGCTCATGCCCCCGAGGGATCACGTGCCGGAAGGCGAATCGGGCCCGGAGACCCGATCGAGCGGGTGTCGCAACGTCGACGCTCCCTTCGTGCAAGGCGGTGACGTGTGATCGGTTGGATGCATCCGGTACAACGAATCAAGTCCGAACTCCAGACTCTTTTCCGTACAAGTAGATTAGCGGGAAGCCTCTGAGAGCCGATGCCCTGAGAGCTATCACGCTTCTGTCGAGATCCGTTTTGTCGCTGAGTTCACAGAGACTAGGACTTGCGTTTCGAACGGAATCGTTGATTAGATGTGATTTGTTCAGGAAACGCTCGGAATGCACTTGTGCACACATCGTCAGGGCACGACGTCGCGCTCGTTCCCCAGTGCATCCAGCGCCGCGCATTGCCGCGCCCACGAGTTGATTCAGAACTGAGAGAAGATCGAAAACGTGCACGAACGCGTGAGCCTCTCATGCAGCATGTGAGGAATGGAGAAGAACAGAGGCTTTCGCGTACGAGCTGGATGACGACACTGGTTATTTTACGAATCGCTATTCGATGAAGTTGCGAAATATCTTGAGTTCCAGTGACTCGACGAATTCCAGTAGCAATGGTTCGAGGTCATTTTGCGGAAAAACGGCGACTGGGAACGCTAAACTTACGCATGAGTCCGTAAGCCCTGCTTGCTCTACGTCGAATATCGATGCTGTTCATCTAGAACAAGTTCGGAAAACAATCCCCAGGCAGAAAGAGGTCACCCATTCAAGTGTTCTTTCCGAATGGAACACGATTGTATGCTCTGCGCAGCGTTGCTGCAGCCGTTTGCTGTACGCGCCAGTCGTACCTGCATATAGCCGCATGGCATTGCGCTGGATGCGCCGCTTCAGCGCACAGCGTCTGTTGCGCAGATCGCCAGCTGCGGCGACACAGCGAGATGCGGGGCGCGCACTCAGGCCGATACCTGCGTCGCTGTGGTACCCGTTGAACGAGGAGCATGTTTATCAGTTCGACGCCCTGTGTACGAGGCTCTGTGAGGAGTTTGAGTGTGCATTCACTTTCGAGACAGCTAGGTACCCGGTATTTCGTGCAAAGCAAGCACCAATCCCGTGTACGGCTTCGCACTTGCGTTATCCCCACTGGTCCCGGCTCACTCCAGCGGACGGTGTGGTGTATGGAGCTCCAGGTGGGAGACGCGGCACCTGATTTTCAGATGCCGACTGACCAGGGCGGTCAAGTTTCACTGAAAGACTTTCGGGGGCGTCCAGTGGTACTCTACTTTTATCCGAAAGCCAATACACCGTAAGTTGACGTGCAAACTGCTTGACGACGCTTGGCACCAGAACCAGAGACTAACCGCAAGGGAGCACTTGGCTAGGGCTGCTTTTGCAGCACCGGGCTGGTACGCGAAATCGCAGTGGTTGTACGACACAGGCTTGTGACTTGCGTGACAATATCGAGGACCTCAATAAAGTGGATGCCGTGGTTATCGGAGTTTCGCGTGACCCTGTCGCTGACTTAGCCAAGTTTCGGAAAGATCATGGCCTCAACTTCTACCTCGCGTCCGATGCAGACGGATCCGTCACGGAAGCTTACGGAGTGTGGAAGTTGCGTAAGATGATGGGTCGCGAGTTCATGGGTATTGAACGCAGTACATTCATCATTCAGGACGGCGTGATTCGCAAACTGTGGCGCGGCGTGAAGGCCCCAGAGCATATCGCGTGGGTAAAGCGCTCGTTAGAAGAAATGAAAGCAGGTGCGAAGTAGATCGTCTTATGTGGAACGGTTGGGTTGCAAATAGCTTCCGAACGGCTTTGTGACATGCGTACGTTGTTCACGGTGCGCGGGAACATGTCATCGCGATGGTCGACGATTTCGATGCCGACGGCGGAAGGTGCGGTCCCTGCTCCACTTTACCGGTGACCGCCATGGCCGGGGCTATGCGGAAACGCGTGTGAGCGCACTGCAGTGGTCTGTTGGAGCATTTTACGGACGTGTTGCTGCATTGCAAGCGACAAAAGTAAAAAGGAATGCGAATTTCTCCGAGGAACTTACCTTTCTTCATGCAATGGGTCCCGTTCTGCTGTGAGACTCGTTTCCTCGTGCTAGAGGCAGATGCTTGGAAACAGGAGTTTTGTTGGATCAGCGCACAGCGCCTATTCATAGGATATGCTTCGTCTGGACACCCCTTGCGTTTCCGGAATCAATGAGAACGACTGTCCACATGATACAGCTGCTCATCATCGGCGCCAGGTTCTTGTAAGCCCCAGGAAAATCACCGTCCCAGCTCACGGGCTTGCCCCGGCATGCCAAGTCGTCGTGTGAACCGCAGCGCAGCGCTCCGATCGGCAATCGAAAGCGCAGCAGTGCTGGTGCTTACCGTGGCGCGGCGCGCGCGTTGTGCCGCAGCAGCGGATAGCGCTCAGTCTCTAATGTGGTACATATCAGAACAAAGAGGAACGGGTGACTTCAAACTGCTCGTTGCTCGCGACATCCGGAAACAGCTTTGGCGTCGCCAGCGCTACAGCTGCAGCTGTTTCTGTGAGCTCGACGCAGCCGCCAGTCTCGCTCATAAGTGCTTCGTCGTCAATGTGCGAGCGACGAAGCTCATGTGTGCGGGTGCTGCCCCGAAGGCTTCTCGTTTTGCTCTGGTGCTTCGTGTACCTATGTGACGCACTGCAGCCCGCAGAGAGTGAAAAAGTTGATTCCAAGGCACTTTTCGACCAGGTTGGAACGACACTTGTGTCTATAGAGCGGGTTCAACGCAATCACTTACGCACAGAGTACGGCTCTGTGCTGCAGCACTGCAAGGTGACCCTAAAGACGCTGGATAACTTTTGCAGGCGATCGTATGTAGCTTGTAACCAGACGCGCACGTGTGCGGAGCAATTAGAACCTTGGAAGGCCCGCGTTCATGATTTAAGCGTGAACCTAGAACGGCTGACAAGCGAGAGAATTCGCGAGCGCGAAGCTCACGCGGTTCGCGTGCGCGAGCTCGAGGCGAAACTTTCCGCAGCGCGCCAGACAACCGTCAATAGTATCGATGAACAGCGCTTGATGCGAACAAGCGGCACCGCTGCTCTGTTCGGCAACAAATGGATGCCCACGGTCGGCAATAGGCTCCATTTGCCAGCCGTGCTGCTCCTCGTCAGCTTCGGCTACCTGCTATGCGTATTTGTAGGAAGGGCATCGTCGTGGCTTCGTTACCAGAGATCCTGTGCTGTTGTTGGTCATTTCCGAGCACGAAACAGTACCCGCTTCGACGCTGCGTTTCGCTGGGTTCGAGCCGTGGATTTGTTGTGTGCGGGCCTTTTTTTGATGGCCGTGTTCTTCCCAGGACCGATCGCGCGAACGATGATGGAGTCTGAACGATCCTTGCCGCTGTGGAGCTCCCTGTGCTACTGGGCACAATGCATCGCATGCGTATCCGGAACGTCTTTGAATGCATTCGTCTTATTTTCCGTGTTTTGGAGGGCACGATCTGTTGGGGCACTTTCAGCCTTCATTTCTCTCTGTCTCGTTCGGAGCATTCACCTTGTTGCATCTGTCAGTGTCTTATACCATTCCAGCTTCCACTGGCGCATGCCAGCGACGACCGGTCTCTTCAATACCACCGTTGAAGCAGCACATTCGTATGACATGATGACGCATCGCTTGCGGATCTACTTTCTCACGTATGGTTTCATTTTCATGTTGATGGCGTGGGACACGCACCAGCAACTCACCGATCATGCACCGCTCAGAGCAGCAGTGCTCACTGTCGAACGTGTACGTCGACTTTCGAAGAGCCGTCGGCCACGAGCCGCCCCCGAGAAAGCGTTATGCTATCGATCCCTTGTATCTAGTCCCAGAAGAGGCATGCAGCCATCCCTGGAGTCAGGGTCGTCCAGATCATTTTCAACTCTTGAGTCTGGCGACTGGAAGACGCCGCCCTTGCGCCGCGTCGTTGCTGAAAAGCGAACTTGCGCGCGAACGGTTGTAAGTACACCAGACTGAACCCGCCATAACATTGGACATTGTCAGTCATGTACAACGCTGAAATGAGGCGCCAGATGTGCATGGAGTCCGCAAACAACATCTGATAGCGCTCGGGACGCTTAACAAGAGTCAGCGACCAGGAAATCATCCTAGTTCTTGATCATTTCAAAACATTTGTCAACGAAACCGGGTCCTGCACGCTGGTTATTTTTCGCGCGAGGCTGTACTCGCTCCATGTACTGTTCCGTTGCAGCGTCACGAATGCGGAATTTTCACGAGCGAATCTGAACAGTCTCTGTGCGATACACGGCTTTCAGTTAACCAGCGAGCTCTGTCCGTGCACTGCGCTTGCTCTACGCTTCACGGACTGCGCAGTCGGCCAACTGCCGCCGGTGTGCGTTCAAACTTTGGGTGAACAGCGCAAGCGACCAGCGTATCAGGCATAGTGCTGAAGTCAAACTGAACGACGCAACGCTCTGTAACTGAGAATCAGCTCCGCCGATTCAGGGAGATGCACCCAAAGAAACGGTGAAAACAACGTAAAGAATCGAAGGGCTCTCAGACCGACGTGGCGTTGGTACGCACTGGCTTGATGAAGCGCTCGTAACAGTAATCGAATGCAGTTACACGAGTGCCAGACTACAAGGAAAACAGTTCCGCTTAGCTAACTCGGGTGTACGAGCGAAAGCTTGCGCTGTTTCCAACTGTCATCAGCGTCAGCCTTGCGAGCTTTCTCTGCGACCGCTTCCTTTGCCTCTCTTGTATCTGCGGCTTTAGATACGCAGGTGTCTCTCGTGTACCGCCAGATCCATTGCCAACAGTCGAAAGATGATGTACGCTTTCAAGTCCTGATTCCGCTGCTTCCGGCTGCCGTTCATGGAGTACGAGGACCAGGGAAGACAACGATTTTCGCATTGCTTTTCATCTTTCATCTCGCTTGTATTCACCCTCGGTGCGCCGCTCACAACCGTGACACATGACTGAGGTCAGCAGTTCCTCTGCTGCACAACACGCTCTCCTCCGAATGCCGCCCTGGAGCGCGTGAACGCCTCGTTCATCGCTCGCGAGATGCCCATGGCGAGCACAGAAGGCCACCCGCGTTGCCGTCCTCTGTTTCAGCACCCAGTACGGTGCCCTGTGATCACGGGCTTCTTCGGGATGATCCCCAGTGTACCTGGTGTTTTTGCGGTACGCGCAAGCACATGCTGTCGCCGTCAATAGATGGTGTGCGGAACCCGCTCATGCCCCCGAGGGATCACGTGCCGGAAGGCGAATCGCGCCCGGAGACCCGATCGAGCGGGTGTCGCAACGTCGACGCTCCCTTCGTGCAAGGCGGTGACGTGTGATCGGTTGGATGCATCCGGTACAACGAATCAAGTCCGAACTCCAGACTCTTTTCCGTACAAGTAGATTAGCGGGAAGCCTCTGAGAGCCGATGCCCTGAGAGCCATCACGCTTCTGTCGAGATCCGTTTTGTCGCTGAGTTCACAGAGACTAGGACTTGCGTTTCGAACGGAATCGTTGATTAGATGTGATTTGTTCAGGAAACGCTCGGAATGCACTTGTGCACACATCGCTAGGGCACGACGTCGCGCTCGTTCCCCAGTGCATCCAGCGCCGCGCATTGCCGCGCCCACGAGTTGATTCAGAACTGAGAGAAGATCGAAAACGTGCACGAACGCGTGAGCCTCTCATGCAGCATGTGAGGAATGGAGAAGAACAGAGGCTTTCGCGTACGAGCTGGATGACGACACTGGTTATTTTACGAATCGCTATTCGATGAAGTTGCGAAATATCTTGATTTCCAGTGACTCGACGAATTCCAGTAGCAATGGTTCGAGGTCATTTTGCGGAAAAACGGCGACTAGGAACGCTAAACTTACGTATGAGTCCGTAAGCCCTGCTCGCTCTACGTCGAATATCGATGCTGTTCATCTAGAACAAGTTCGGAAAACAATCCCCAGGCAGAAAGAGGTCACCCATTCATGTGCTCTTTCGGAATGGAATCCAATCGGATGGGTGGCACGGCCGCGCTGCTGCTTTTCCAAAGAACAGACAACATATGCCTCCCCCCTGCTTCAGGGTTCTAGTTGGCGTGAAAAGAGTTGTTGATTATGCAGTCAAAGTTAGGATCACACCAGATCACAGTGGAGTGGATACCGCGAACCTTAAAACCTCCATGAACCCGTTCTGTGAACTCGCTGTTGAGGCTGCAGTGCAGCTGCGCGAACGCCTCGGTCCGGAGCGCGTGCCCGAAATCGTCGCTGCCAGTGTGGGCCCCACAGCGTGCCAGGAGACCCTGCGGACAGCGCTTGCCATGGGAGTCGATCGTGCCGTACTCGTGAACACCGACGCAGCACCAGTGTCCGACTCCAAAGCGGGTAGCGCGCTGCAGCCGGAGCCGTTAGATGTTGCGCGGACGCTGGCGGCGCTTCAGTCGCGACTCCAGTCGAACTTGATTCTGCTTGGGAAGCAAGCTATTGATGACGATTCGAACCAGACAGGCCAACTGCTGGCTGGAATTTTGAACTGGTCACAAGTAAGTGAAGCTCGATGAGCACCAGGTTGACGCCTCTGCGCCTCAGATGATGAACGCATCAGCCGCTTTTCACGACGGTCTACTGAGTTGAGAACGATGCGGATAAAGGCTTGCATCGTAGAGATGCTCTGATGAGGCGCACAGATAATCGATCTACGACGGGGCAACTGTCGCGGCGATGAGACGCTTGGCAGCGATGAGAACCTAGATAACTAACCACGGCATGCAACGACGCTGATACCCAGGGAACTTTTCTCTCCAAGATCGAGGCCGAAAAAGAGCAAGATTTGCTGCAAGTCGACCGTGAAGTTGATGAAGGAATTGAACGGCTCCGGCTTCGACTGCCGAGTGTACTGACTTGCGACTTGCGCCTGAACAAACCACGATACATAACGTTGCCGAACCTGATGCGAGCGAAAACGAAACCGATTGAAACGCTCAGTACGAGCGACCTCGGCGTTGCGTTGCGAACGTACTGGCAAATTGTTCGCGTCGACGAACCACCCGCTCGCCGTCAAGTCACGATGCTCAAAACTGTCGATGAGCTGGTGGCGAAACTCCAGCAACTAGGCGTTTTGGACCGCGCTTGATGTACTATCACAGATGTATCCGGTCATGTTGATGCTGAGGACGTCACCGAAAAACGTGCATACGTGCGTGCGTTCGTGTGTGAAACCGAGCGAGACATTGCATGCATAGCGGCTGCAGAGTCGTTCGTGATGCACATGGAGGCTGGTATCTGATACACTTCATTCCAGCCGACAATGATGTCGGGATATCATATCCGCAACGCGGCGAATCGATATCCGGAGGCTTGTGCGGTTGCTGATGCAGAGCGCGCTCTTGTGTGCATGAGGTGCACTTCAGGATCCAGTGTTTTTCATGCTGGTATGCTGTACCAACGATGGGGACCATTGGAGTTCATGAAAATGATAGACCTCTACCAACGGCTTCGTTGCCGCACTGCTCCGTATTCCAGGACATTTCGGGCGGTTTTGGCAGTGTCGAAAGAGGATACATTATCTGGCGCTGTCTTGTGGGCTTGTTTACGGGGCAGAGCAGCATCGGACAGCGACTGCTTGGAAACATATTTGCCTCACATGGCATGCTGCATCGATGAGCATGCGTTTCGGCTCTCGCTCAATCTAGCTCAGAGCGCTTGCCGCCCTCGCTAGGAGCGTGCGGTACCGTACGCGAGGTTGACCCGTCTCGCCGCGCAATCAGCTAGCGAGACACGGCTTCCGCATGGCACCGGGGAAATCCCTACAGCTACCATTGTTACAGCTGCCTCTTCAGTTCATTTACGACGAACGCAATTTCCGCTGGAACGGTGCAAACATTCGCACATGCAGGCTTACTGGACACGTGCTTTGGAATGTGTCCACACGCCCCGGGGCGAGCATTCCGTCGACACAGACGCATCGCTTCTCGCTACCCGGCGAGCTGTGCTGCTCGCGTTAATCTCCAAAGATTCTGAAGCGTGTCCAATCGAAAGCAGGCCATGTTTGTCACCCGCCAATGACGCCGTGCAGCGAAAGCGCCGTAGATTCAGCACCCAACCTCGAGATGCAGCGCACGTCCCGAACGACCCCAACTCCTTGTCGCAGAAGACTCCGAGGATGCACCTGTTTCCCAACTTATTCTAACTTACACCAAACTCTGAGCCTAAATACCGACTTTCGGGGAGTCTCCGACACCACTCTGGCGCAGCGAAGACGCGCTCACCTGGATTGATCTCCGGGAAACCTGCGTTCCACAAATCAACATCTCTACGCAGTCAGTTCTTCTCTATCCCGTTCCAAGTCTCCGAGATCCTAGCGCGTCCCTGAGTCCGCCAGACTATAGATATGAGAAAAATGCTGCGTTTTGGAAGCGATTTCTCAGAACTTAGGACCCCAAGTCCTGAATATGAGCACGCGTCGTCGCAAGAAGCAAAGTTGAGACAAAGCGTCCACGAACTGTACGCAAGCGTTTCGTGCCACCCGCTGCAGCAGCTACCCAACTTTATCCCGCCAGCTGCTAAAAAACACTTGCCTCATTCACCCTACAAGCGTCCTGTTTCGAACACGGCTCGAAGACAAGGCTCCTCGGATAGAACTATCAGCTCCATACCGTGGGCGTGTTCGCGGTGGGGCAGACGGCGCCCGGTGCACCGAACCTGCGTCCGCGAACATTCGCGCTCGGCATCCGGTACCCGAATCCGAAACCGCTTTCCTCCTCGCTGTCGTTCTACAACGCGTTCAGAGCGATTGACGCGAACGTCTTCGATATTTTTGGGACTATTCAGGTACCAGCGTATGTCTAAACACTTGAATCGAGGCCTGCGTCAGGCGAGCCTTGTCGCTTACCTGGTACCACTGACGCAGCAGCTGTGGCGAGGGAGAAGCGCGCGCTGTTTATCGTGCTCGACCCGTTTTGCCTATTCGGACTTGACTCCAAACCGGTATTCAAAAAGTCTCTACGGACTTGATGGGCGTCAGCAGTTTCGTCGCAAGTTATCGGCGGCGCAGCGAGACAGGGAACTGCGCAACGAGTCTGCCCGTATGACTGCAGACGGCGCCCAGCAACAGGAACGAGTCCCAGCGGCGTCACGTCAAGCCGTAACCTTCATCCGAGCTCGACATATCCTGCTTGAATCGCAGCAGATGGCAAACACCATACTAGAGAGGGTTCAGCTTGCCGAGCCGGGCCCTGCGCGAACGCAGTTGTTCGCGTCCCTAGCGCAAACGCTGTCGACGTGCGAGACGCGGACCCGTGGCGGCGACCTTGGCTGGTTCCGACGAGGTCAAATGGTGCCCGCTTTCGAAGAAGCTTGTCTGGCAGCCGAAGCGAACGTCCCGTTCAAAGTTCGAACGGAGTTTGGCTGGCATGTTGTGGAAGTTCTGGAGTTTGGCCACCAGCGTGGAGTCATATCGGTGAAGGAGTTTGCGGAGCTATATCAAAATTCGGAGCGACGGAAGCTCTATCAGCTGATTGATGTTCGCGAACCCGGTGAACTGGAGATCGTTCAGCTTGAGGGTTTCATGAACTTGCCGCTCAACGAGTACTCGCGATGGCGTCACCTCGTGGAGGGCTCCGAAACCCAGCCTCCCGTCCTCGATCGCAATCGACCCATCGTGGTGATGTGTCATCACGGGATTCGGAGTGCAACCATGTGCGCTTATCTGTGCCAGCAGGGGTTTTCTAATGTGCTGAACTTGCTTGGAGGAATCGACGCGTATGCAGCAGAGATTGACCAAGGCCTGCGACGATACTGAGCGCGGCGGCAGGGTACCGCCTCGTCGTCAGCGGACTGGTGCTCCGTCCGTCGCCGGTCAATTGTGCCGCGTCAGCGATCTGATTTACTGGCGTACCCGTGAACGAGTGCATCAGCGAAAGACACAAGCATGCCCGAGGACGTCTGCGAATACGTTCGATTCGCGGGCAGACACCACAGACGTCATCGCGGATGCACAGACCACGGGTACGTTACGTTCGTCGCTGACCCGTCAACGCTGATGTATTCGCGGCATTGGTGACGGGGTTATTCCACGCAGGGGCAAAGCAGAATCGGGTCTAGAGGGGTGATGTTCGAGGGTTCACATGCGATCGTTGCAGCACATCTGGGATCATATCTGCTTTGAAAGAAGCTGTTGATGTGTTGCTCATGCGCAGAGGAAGTGTAAAAAGACGGGAGCGCTATGGCCTTATCGTTCCGACCCCGACGCACGTGCGTGCCGCGAACGGTAGCGGCATGGGCGCACATGTCGCGCTTTGGATGCGAGGCCGTCAGTGGACGCGTGTGCTTCACAGGGCGCGCTCGCTGACATGCTACGGAGGATGTGCAGCTCTCTAGGCGGGATTCTCGACGGTTTTGCGTCGGAGACACATGACGGGGCGAGACGACCCAGCCAGTGCCAAAGGCTTTGCTGGTGAAGACGTTTCACTCGATACAACTGTGCTTTGTGTTCGTGTAGCTGGGCATGGAGCTGCGCGTTTTTGTACTCGGCTGCCTTGGCTTCCCAGGAGAGGCGCTCTAATCGTTCAACAAGCCCAGTCCTTTGTCGTGAAAGAGCAACGATACATTTGGTGGCCTTTGTACGCTGCTGTGCCTCGCGCACGAGGCACTGCTGCAGCCGTAACCATAGGCTGTAATAGTGGTTTGCGTAAAAAGCCCAGGATATGTAGAACAGGAGCCACATAGGCGGAAGAACGCGTACGTGCTGTTCGTGATCCTGTTTGCCCAGCAGCGGCAACTGATGCCGGCTTTCCACAGATGGCAATAGCTCGGGACGATTATGCCCACGGCGTATGCTCCGATGTGTGCAAACCGCGGGCCAATCTCGTGAATTAGACTGGCTGAGGTCTGGGGCGTCTGCGCTCTCAGAACGCGAGCTCGACTGATCCGTAACGAAAGAGTTCGAGCCGTCCGGATCAACAGGCACCGCCTTTCCGACCCGCTGCCTCGTCGTCCATAGCGCCTTCTCGAGCTCTGCAATGCGTTCGTCGCGCTCCAGGAAGCGAGCTTGCATACAGAGTAGGTGCGTTGAAAGTTCCTCATTGGCAGCGCGAAGGGTGTCTACCTGTTGAGCCCGCATTTCCGCCTCCACATAGGACGATTGCAGCATCCGTATTATTTTCTGTTGCTGTTCACAATGAGCTTCCATCGAACTCAAAAGACGGCTCATCGCTGATTCGCGCTCGTTGAGGCTCTCCCGAGACGCACGGTACTCTCCAAGTACCTGAGCGATTTCACGGACCTCTTTCATCTTATCGACGAGTTGCTCTCGCAGTTCAACGTATTGCCGTCTCGACGTTATTAGAGCTTCTTGCAAATTGTGAATCTGCTTATAGAGCGCTTGAGTTTGTGCCTCTGTAGCATCTATGGAAGAGGTTTCCTCCTGGACAGAGACCGGAGGCCACGCAGCAAGCGCTCCGGCGGACGCATGAGCGAGCGCCGCTTTGTGCGGCTGCCCGAGGGATTCGTCCGTATCAGCGCGTGGCGTTGACATTGCCTGCAGGCACCCGATCGAGGCATGCTGCAGACTTGTGGTGGGTATCTGAGTTGCGTCTTTCGTGCCCTTGGCTGCATCGAGCGTGTGCGCTTCCGGGATACCGCCGGATGACGGCTGGCTACGAGCCGAGTCTCCAACTTGATCGCATATCTCAGCATCCGCGTGAAACGAGTTCGTCCAATGAGATGCGTCCTGCCCGTTCTCTTTTTCGCAGTTTGACAATGGATGCACATCATCTAAGTCTTTCATGATCGCCGTGATGAACTCCTGATCCGTGCTCCCATCCAGGGCGCTAGGATCTGGTTTCGCATCCCTGGAGACGGCCGGAGGTCGTAAAAGCTGCTTGATCCGAAAGCCGTCCACGCGTGTCGAGCAGTTGGACCCCTCTGAAGTGCTCTGGTCTTTTTCTGGAACTTTCGGAGCCCCTGTGTGCAAAGCAAGCGCCGCTGTCGTCATCCTTTCTAGATCAGCGCTGTCTGTGATGGATTCTGAACCTGAGCAAAGCTGCTCTCGAAATACACGCTCGACGCTTGCTTCGGTACACTCGTGCTCGAGCTCAGTGATTCGACGATCCTGCGCTTCAGCTCGTTCCAGGAGAGCCGCAGCTATCCCCAGAGCCTGCTTTAGGCCGGCCTCAAGTAACAGAGCAGCCACAAGTGCTATCTGAGAGGCAACCACTGGACGATGCTCACGTTGAACAGCGGTCCGATAGTGCTGCAGACGCCCTGCTGAATCAAGCAGATATGGTACATAATGCATGGTCACGAGTTGTCGTCTAATGCTGTCCAGTGTCGGGAAACCAGTCAGGTCCCTTCGTTGCGGGAAAAGCTCCCGCTGAAACCCAAGTCCTGCGCAAGTCAAGGGTTGCATACAAATTCCTAATCTAGAAGGGTTTCCTATCTGTTCGGGCCCATGTTCTGCGAGCAGCACCAGAAAAATTTCTTGATCATGGAGTGATTCTGGTATGCTGCTCTCTAGGCCACGAGCCAGCTGAGCGAGCGCTTCCGAGCGCTCCTGCAGCGGTGGTGCAAGCAACAAATTCAGCGGCTCACCGCGGTTCTGTTTCTGTGTGTTTCCCGAAAAACCAACTCCGGGACTTGCGCCAGGTTCATTTTCTTTCTCGTTAGTGCGGTAGGCTTCCAGGGTCTGAACGACACCATCGAAATCCGGTCCCATGAAAGACATGAACAGACCAACGCCCGAGCGGAGAAGGATTCGAAGTGCTCCTCAAAGGGCCCAACGAGACACACACACACACACACACACCAAAACGTGCAACTCCTGTCCTGTAGAAGTTAGCAACGCTTTCGTTTATCCTTTGCGGAAGGCGCGTGCGCGTCGCTTCACGGGAGCACGACAGGCGACCCGCGTATCGACGCCGGCATCGCGTGTTGCGCTGTGGCGATTTGAAATCAGCGCGCGCTGCCGTGCCTCGCAATGGACGTGCCCTGCTAGACGCAGTTGACAACTCGATCTATCTGTATTTTTCTCGAGTTCCTTGAGGAACGGAAAATTCAGGAAGCAGACGGGACGTCCTGGTTTGGATTCGCATCCTAAGGTGTAGCATTCATGAGTCGCAGTAGAGGGTGGTATACCGCGCATGTCGACGTTAGACGGTAAAACGATCTTCGTTGCCCTCTGAATGCTTCTGCGAAGTGCGAGCCGCGGCGCAAATATAGGTCCAGGAGCCGAAGCAAACGAAAGAACTATCGAGTCTTAAAAAGCGAATTTCGATGAAAATGGGGCAGTGAACTGCTCGTTCTCTTCGTGGCTATCGATATTTTTAGACATCGGTTTTCAAGAACATCCTCGATATTCTATGTGCAGCGAATAAGGATTGTCGGATTCAGATGCAGTTTTTTTCTTCGGATTCAAAGTCGAGTTTTTGGAGTGGCTCTTTCGATGCTTTGTCGCTAAAATTTGAGATGCTGCCAGCTTCAAGGCGATTCGCGACGCCCACGAACAAGCGATCGTAAGATGACCGATGCTCGTTTCCAAGTCAAATGTCCTTGGCTCTGCTCTTTTCCGTTCCTGACGTGTCCCATGCTCAAAGAACGCATTCTTCTAGGTTTCAATCGTTATATTTTCAACGAAACTCGTGGACGTTGCCATATCCGCTCATGGATTTCCGAAGGAAACTATGCAACGTCGTCTCGCGACGCGCTTTTGATAAGCTCACACCCAAAGTTCATGGAGCGCGCACACGTCAAATAAACGATTCCGTTCGGAAGACATATCCTCCTGTGTCGGTGGCAATTGCCGAAACTGCACGCGACAGCAGCATTATCTCTCTCACCGCTTACGTTAGATTAGGCTCCCGGCTCTTCTGTTTGCACGGGAAATGGCCGTGGACTCGAACTTGCGGCCTAGCAGCGATTGCTTCCAATGGAGCATGTGTCAGCGATTGCAGGAAATTAGCGTAGACGGATCGGAATTTCTGGATTTGGTCTCCATCCAGGTTTTTCCTCCCAGTACTTGTTTCATCCTAGACAGCATCGCGTGCCACAAATCCTCTGTCGAATGGAACCTCGTTCGCTCGCAGCAGACAGCGTGCTCGCCAACGGAAGCGCCCTGAATACACCTCTGATCATACGATATAGCGCAGGGAATGGAAGCGAAAAGCCTTGAGTAGCGCCCTCTGTACACTGCAAGGGCATGTATCGCGTGACGAAAGCGAGCCTGCCCAGGCCATGGGTGGTCCTCGGAGCAGGAGCACGTGCGGTGGACCAATTGGAACACCTCACAACTGCCAAGTGTCACCGTTGCAAAGTGCGCAACGAGGCTGTACGCAAAGAATATGAAAATCGCCAGCGGAACATAGACTGGAACTTCCGCCCGTGCAGTGTATGCGTCGACAGCCGCCAGATGCTGCGAAATTCGGATGATAACGCTGCCACCAATATCCGTCGACTGCTGACACGCGAGCCGGACTCAAACAAGCGGGTGGTTATTGAAAGCCGGATCTTTGAGATAAGAAACCGAAGCTGGCGTGGAAATCCGCCTCAAAGGCTGGTGTTGACGGCAATTGCAAGACATCCAAACGTTGTTATGCACGCTCACATTGGGGGGGGGGACCTATTCCTTGCTACTCAGATGCATTTTTGTTGTGGACGCCCAAGTCAGCAAAGGGGACTCTTTCCATTTTATTCTGACGTGGAAATAGGTTTGGGTGAGCGAATAACGCGCCGAAAGTCGATATTAATCGCGTACCCAGGTCAGTCTGGCTCGGTGCATCGTTTCTAAACCGCAAAACCAGGACCACACACCTGTGGTATCCGGGGGAAGCTGCTAGTGCCGCAAATCATTTACACCGCATAGAATTCGCCGGGCAGTCTGATACGTATGTTTCAGGGCCAGAGCAGGGGCTCTTCTGTGCCGAAGGCTTCACGGACATTACCTAACGAGACGCGAGCATACCACCCAGACACGTCCATGAAACCCATTCGACACGTAATGCGTGGATACCTGTCCCAGTTTGATTCACCCCCGCATGCACAGCATGCAATACGGAGCTGGTATCCGCAAACCGCATCCTCGAAAGCTTCTTCTTCTTCGTTGTCCTATTCACTTGTGAAAGTTATACAAAAGCGACCCGAATACTCCAACGCCTTGTTCTTCAAACGAAGGTGCAGCTCTCTTGTCCCGTGCTACGATCCGGTAAAGACGGATATCGCTCGAATCCGATGCAGCGACTGCAGGCGCCCGCGTTAGGAGTGCGCTCTCTCCATGGGACCAGCGTAAACGCAGCATCATCTTGAGGAGCATCGCACACTGGGTGCGTAAAGCGCGGGATACTGCAGATTGCCGCTGGTGCGAATCCAAGCCAATCTGGGCAATGATACGTGGTCTACGAATTCAAGTCAGGATGGAGCATGCTTCATGTGTGCTGCTCCCGAAAAGTCGCTTTTCTAACGCGGTCACTCGGTGCACCTCGTCCTGCAAATCGGTGAAGCGACCCAGCGGCATCATTCCTCACAACCCTCTGGTCCTAACTTGATTCATTTGGAATCAGCGATACCATCGCCAGTGACGCGCAACAAGCGCTTACACGTTCTACCGGCAATACGAGCAGCGAGCAGCTCTTCCGCGCTGCTACGTTTCACGTGCTAATTACCGCTCTCAGGGTGTTCGCCGGCGCCACCGAACGAGGCACGGAGGTTTGGGCCCCACCACCATCGCGGAATAGTCGGGAAGCGGCAGCGGACCTACGGGTTCCAGATCATAGTCCCGCAAGATGACACTCCAGATGGTCTTGATCTGGAGATAAGCGAACTGTTCTCCCATGCAAGCGTGACGGCCACCGCCGAATCCAATATGACTGAAAGGCACGCGCTTATCCTCCTCGCGAGGCGGCGCGTACCGATCGGGATCATAACGATCGGGATCAGCGAAAACCTCCGGCAAACTCATCGCCAACGGAGGTGAAACCACCACGATGTCACCTTTCGGAATGACGTAGTCACGGTAGGTTCGCGGAATGACGACCTCACGCATCAGGAAAATCAACGGTGGATACATGCGCAGTGCCTCTTTGATACACCGGTGCATCACATCCAATCGTAGCAGTGCATCGTAATCGATTTTGAAACAGCCGTCATCGTCGTACAATACCTGCTCCTGTTCGGCGCGCACGCGGGTAACGAGCTCCGGTTTCCGAAGCATCAATAATCCTGTCCAAGTGCCTGTGATGGTGCTCGTGTGCTGGCCCGCGAAAAGCACGGCAATAAGCAGGCCAGTGATTTGGTCGTCTGTGAGCCGCGAGCCGTCTCGATACTGCGAGTCCATAAAAACTTGTAAGACGTCGACTTCTTTCGCGGCCTCCAGCGCCTGTTGCGGGTCCTGCCCCACGCTCTCTGCCTGTGCTGCGATTTCCTGGTACCTCTTTCGTCGATTCGCGATGATGGACGCGAATAACCGACGCATCTCACGACGGGCTCGATCGCGTTGCCAGTGCGCTTTACAGGGGAAATGCGGAGCGAAAACCGAAAGCGGCTGCATCCCTTGATCTAGCTGATGATAGAGGGTGCTCACCTCTTCGAACAGTTGCTCGCGCACTTCCCGGCCCATTAGACAACGGGATGCAGTGAGAATGATCAACTCAGATAAGCTTTTCAAAAGATCAGCTGTACCGTCAGTTCCATGCCAATGCCGCTTGAAGTATGTCTCTGCTTCCGCGACCATGAGCGGCACGTACTCCCGCAAACGCGCAGCCCGCAGAGCGGTTGATACAAAGCGGAATTGCTCAAGGCGGATGGCGAGCGGCGCATCGTAGACGACTCCGCGGCCAAAGACCGGAACGGAGAACCCGTAAACTGGACCCTGATCCAGCTCGTCGTCATTGGCTCGGAAGAAAACCTCGTGCGCTCGGGGTCCCACCAGGAAAGTGAACCGCTTGGGCCCAACACGGAGCGTGAACACGTCCCCGAGTTGCGCATAGGCGCGCTTCGCCAGTTGGAGCGGGTTACGCGCAAACGCCGCGACGTTGCCGACAACCGGAAACCCTTCTGTGTACAGTGGCGGATAAGCAAGTTCCAAACCTTCGGCAGGTTTCGCTGGAGACAGCAACGTCGCCAAGGCCTGTGCTGCGCGAGTCATCAGCCAAACAAGAGCCGCTACACCCAACGCCAGCCAGCCGATAGCGTCGGTGTCGCCGTCACGGGCCCGAGCGAGTAACGCCTGAAACTGATTCGCAAGTGCTGCGAGGATGGTACCCATGATCTATCTTGGCACTCAGTACAAGCCGTGTTCGACTATTCTGTCGTTCTGTGCGTCGATTACTCGCTATTTTTGCAGCGACGTCAATCAGACTAAGAATACCTAGTTGCGTAGGCAGGTACAAAGAGCGATACAGAACTGTCAAGGCCAGGGCCTCGCCTAGTGCCGATAACCAGTCGATACGAATGGTGCGGTGCGCGCTGTCGAGCACTGCTGTGCTGCGCTGCGCTGTGCTGCCGCGGCGGCGATGTCCACAGATGTGCGAAAAATTCCAGAGCGCCGCATCGAAAGCACAGCGGGCGCGCGTCTCTCACGAATACCGTACGGGATCGCTGCATCTTCGGTGCGGAAGGCTCGAGTGCGCGCGATGGCGATCGGTTTTCAGGGCAGTCATCACTACTGCGATCCAGAACTTCAAAGTTCCACGATCCGCAAACAGGGCCTCATTTAGGACAAAGAGGCTTTAAGGGTTGCGCATTCGATATAGTATCCACTGTGGAGGAATTCTGCATCGGTGGGCAACCAAAGCACCTCTATCGCAATGTTCGTGTTCGTACGCGGGTTGCTGGGAGCATAAGCACCCTCGCAGTGAGCATACTGCGATTCCTGGACCCTCCAACGTAAATATTGGATCTATATGGAATTGTCTACCTTGACAAACTATCCTTCTGGAACGGCTTCCGCGGGACTCCGCGCGTCACCCACTACGCTGAGAAGCAGCGGCCTCGAATGAACTTGCGCTTGCACGAAGCGCCCTGAAAACAAACATCCAGCCGCGGCTTGGAGTCAGCCGAGCAGGCATAGAAGCGCATCAAAACTCGATCCGTCTAGGCCGCGAGCGCGTGTATGCATGATTTTCTTGGGCAGAGTGGCAACGTCCTTCACTTTGGTGGAAATGTTACGATTTATAGTGCAGACGAACGGAGAAAGCTGTTCTCCAGTGTAAGTCCTGTGTTAGATAGTGCCAGTAGGCTTTTTGGCGCGAAAGAGTCGAATGGCGCGCTCGAATGGCGAGACGAGGATCGAATCTGCGATCACAACACACCAGACGAGCGCTTTGGAGCATTTGGGAGCATCGGCATCCTCGCGGGTGCTTCTGTATCCGCAGAACGCGTACTGTGGAGCAGCTCAGCACGCAGGATGCCGCTGAATACCACCTCTGTTCTTCGAAAGAGAGTTTTGCTGAGGTTCATGGAAGCATGCAGCGTCTGTTAAGGAGAGATTCCAAGTTTTCCCTGGTTGCCTGCAGTATTCGCGCACAGGGAAAAAGGATTTGACTGATGGATCATTCACCGTAAAAAACTGCCTGTGCAGCACGCGGACGTTGCTGGGGAGCGTCCAGTTCCATTCGAAAAAGCAGCTCGCTAACAGATTCCGGAACCGGAGGACGCATACGGCAATATGTAGCGAAGGAATCCGAGATCCTGTATTGTTTCTGCCATCGCATTGATGCGTCTGTGTTCGTGTCGATGACCGAGTCGTAGACACGGTATTCAAGTATGAAGTATACGCAGTAATAGAGAATCATGGGGTACCGTTGTCGTTCACCGAGTGCCCAGGACATATCCCCCAATGGAAACAATCGTCGCTCCGACCCCGGTTGGATTGCTGAAGCGCACCTAACCGGTACTTCACTGTGGCGAGAATCGGATTCCTTCGCTCCTGGATACTAATATTTAGCACCGAACGCCGGCAGTCGCTCAGCATGATGCCCACGCTGCTCGCTAAACCATTCCCTGAAAAGCTCACTCGACAGGACGACGATGCGGAGCGCCCCTGCGAAGACTGGATATCGCTGCATGGGTGCACGTGCACAAAAATGCCCAACGCTGTGTATGTATGGTACCACACCCTGTGGATCGCGCAGCACCAACAGGCACTTGTGCGCTTTTCTGCTTTGGTTTGCAAGATGAAACCGTTTATATAGACGAATGCTGCGCGCGGCCCTTTGCACAACCAAATACAATGCTCTTCATGCCGTGTGAGAGACGCTTCGCTGTGTGTATTGCCATGAAATGAAAGCAATCGACTCTATGATGGTGAAGCTCGTTATGCTGATCGTCGCGGCTGCGCGGAATATTCCCGACAGCCTTGGAAACCGTGGCAGCGATGCGGTCTCAGAACTTCACGGTTCGCGAAATGCCCAGGTGACCATGAAGCAGCATGGTGTGACGAATGTGCTGTCGAATATGTTCGTCGCTGTTCGTGCTGGGCATCATCGTGACGCGATTCCGGTCAAGGATCCCACTCGGGGGGAACAGCACTTCCTGTACAATGCCACAGGCGCCCGCGGATGACGCCCACAAGGTGTCTGCCTTTCGTGTCTGCCCGGATACGGATTTCTCCGGGCACCCAGATCCACCGAGGTCATACTTGGGGTAGCGAGCATGTATACTCCGTTTCGTATCTTCATCAAATAATCGGCATCGCACAGGAGTCCGCACGTTTGACGCTACGCGGGAGCGTCGGTATCACCGTTGTGGAGAAGCAACGACATCCTACCCTGTGCTATTCAGGTAGAGCTCACGGAGATACGTCAAAAGCCCGTGGTGGGCATCGGGAACATCCTTGAACGACGGGAAATAATTCAAATCCACAACATACAACGCACCGTCAACAACACTTCGAAGAACATCGAGCCCAAAAAGTGTCACATGCAAATTCTGCATGACGAGTCGTACGAGGCAGGCAGCGTCAGCCGGCGTCGGTGGCTCGGGATACCCACCGTCAGTGGCGATGCGGTCCGTGGCTCGAATTTGCGGCTCGGAGACAGCACACTTTCCAAAGTCGTATGTGTTCAGGATTCTATAACCTCGATCGGTGCCTCGTGGAATTGGCAACGTGCTTCGCGCATGAATAGACACCTGTTTGTCACTGCCAAGCACGTAAATCTTAAAGACAGCCTCACCGTGCGGGACGTACTCCTGGAGGTACACCTCATCACCAGCAAAGAGCCTGCTCGCATTCGAGTCTCGATGGTGTCGGGAAGCAGGCTCTGAGGTGAGAAGCCTCTCGAGACCATCCTCATCATAGACCAAAGCAATGTCATGGGAGGAACGCGGTCCACATGCAGTTCGCCGTTTCACTACAAGTGGAAAATGCATCTTCGCTAGTCGGCAGGCCTGTAGCCAGGGTATCGCACGCTGGAATTCGATGGTTCCCCATTTCGTTTCGTAGAACGAACCCTCTATATCAAGATCCGCATCACGTCTCGACGCTGTCTCAGGACAAGGATTTGTTGCGGGATCAGTCAGGCCGCCCGATACAGGGCCCTGCTCACAGCCAGCAGGCCCCGCGGCTCCGCCGTTGCCAAACCTAGCATTCAGCGTCGTACGCTGTTGTCGGGTGAACGCTTCACTAGCTGCTCTGGAAAACGTCCGTGCACCACGGTCCGCGGAACCCGCACACCATTTTGTTAGGCGAATCACAGAGCTGTGACCGTCTAGAATACCGCTGGCACCAGCAAGCGTCCCATGCTCATCAGCGGCCTGCTCTGATGCGAGCAAATGGTCCAAAACACTGCTAAATAGCGTGCGATCCGTCAACGTCCAAACAGCGTCCACAGGGTCGACAATAACTGGTCTTCGACCACGAATGCGCTTCTGTACTGCGAACGCTTTGAAGCTACGTTCGAGCGCTGCCAGCCTCCGCTGTGCGTTCTTGTCGCCTCGTTGCGCCATTACCATATCATCGGTACGTTTGTGGATCACCATATCCCAACATTCTGGACAATAAGCAAGGGGTTCTCGCTGTTTCTTTTGATTGTTTTCGAGGGCATACGGACCTTCTTCGAGATCCATCTCCACCAGGAGAATAGGTCTCAGAAAAGCTCTTTGATACTCAGTATTCGCGTTTGCCTCCGCTGATGTTTGAAAGCGTTCTTCCTCACATAATGCAAGCTGTTGAAGAACGTCGAAAAAAGGCTTCTGCTTCTTTGTGTTGCAAGTATACGCAACAACGATGGGAGCCTGGACCCCTTCAGTGCGCACCAAACAGGTACGCATATGCCCTTCCGTTTTAGAAGCCTGGCTTGGGAGCAGCGTCGCAGGTTTTATCGCTTCGGCGCCAGGTACAGCTGCCTGTGGTGAGGTATCCGCGTTTTCACTCTTACCGTCCTCGTCTGGCGTTCGCTTGACCAGGTCGGGGCGCTCGCGGCCTGTTCGACAGCGCTCTAGCGAGGTACGCGCTCGACGCGCCTCTGCAGACGCGCCTTCTCGACGCCGCGACAGACCCGTGGTGGCCGGCATCAATGAGCTCCGCTTCCGATGTAAACGTTATCCATAAAAACTTACAGAGTAAAGCCTCAAGTGTGCTGAAAGGTTGAATACGACCTCACTTTCACTTAAAGTAGGATCAAACCCGCAGCACCGGTGCGCAACTTGTCAAAAATTGTCGAGCTCCGGGAACTCACCACGGCTCTGTTACAGTGAGCAAGATGCGTCCGTGCGTCCAACAAGAGACTCGTGGTCAAGTTGTTTATCCGATCGAGTAACGAAGACACGCTCGGGCGAAAGAAAGCGCTTCAAGAAGAGGCTGTGTATTCGGGATATTACAATTGGTGTACACCGTTTTGAAGGGGCATGCGCGATACCGATACCCATACAGCGCGATACAGCGATGACGAGAACCTGGTGCGTCGCTGAAGCTAAAGTTTGGGCCTCTTCAGAGCTGTTCACTAGTGCTGCTTGCTTGCACTATGGGGCATGCGTCAGCGAGACATGAGCAACTGCTAGGCGGGAGCGCGCTGAACGACGACCGCCATAGACGCTTTACGGTTCGTGCACTTCCCAGCTTGTCTTACGCTCATGCGAGACTATGAAGGGATGGGTCCAGCAACTCGGATACACACTCTAAAGTTGGTATCTCTTGCTATTATCGTCAAGACAAGGCTTCTCGGGGTTTTCTGAGACAACATCTTTTTCATCTTCCTTACCTTTCGGTGTATATTCTCCAGTGTACCTTTTTTTTTGCAGATCCGTTCATAGCAGTCGAGAGACACTGCTAGTACTCTGAAAGTCCCAATATCGCTGGTTTCGGATGCCGTTCTCGCACCCTAGGCATAGAATGTCGTTGCGATCTACACGCTGCATGCGAGAGTCATCGCCTTCGCATACAGACAGAGTGTACCACGCTCAGCGGTGACACGTCGCGGTACTCAGGGATTCCCGTATACCCACAATGCATCCCGTTCCGAAGCGGCGCCCTGTGCCGCGTGAGCACTTCCTTCGCCGTTCCGTGCATGTTGTTGACTGGTAAAGAAGGCTTCTGTCGATGCCTTCCTCCATTCCTGTGCCCGGTGACATGCACGATGATCACGGGCCCCTTCTGGACGATTCCCGCGGCGAGTACGCTACCCGCTGGGCACGCAAGCGCACGCTGCTCCATGCGGTAGCGCAGCCATGGAATGCAGTATTGCCCGTGATGAAACAAGCACCTGAATGGAACTCCAGAATCGGGATCCAGGCGAGAAATCCAGGACGATCCACGCTGCCTTCGTATGCGGCCGTGACGCGCTCATTAGTGGAACCGGTTGCGGCGATGACTGCAGCCCTCGTCCAGGACGCTATTCCATGCAAGCGGAATGCACAGAAGCTTCTGGGACCATACTTCGTGATGGGCAATGCTTGTGTCGGATCTCGGTTCGACGATAGCCACGGAGAGCGGCGGCTTTGTTTTTTCCAAATGGAACAGGCTTCCTGACGTAAGCGGTTCCATGAACTCGCCGCATGAGCCTGTGAATACGTCGCCAGCGGACATCGTCGCGTATTTTGTTTCCTCGTCAATCCAGAGATCCGCATTGCTGCGTCCACGAGTTGCCTGAAACAGACACATCGAACACCTTGAAGAATGCGTGATTGACGCAGAGGCCAGGCAAGCAATCGAGAGGAATCGAGGCGACTGCACATGCGTGGATGGTGGTATTGTTTTAATGCTGCGAAACCCGTGATCGACGGCGCTGGAACTCATCATGATTCCGGTGGTGAAATCGAATTGCAGCGTCAGGGAATCGAAGGAGCCTCCACGGAAACACGACCGAAAATATAAAATTCCGCATGCATCCCCAAGCTCTTGTTGCTCTACCTTGAACGTTGATGCAGCCCAAGCAAAAAAGATCGAAAAATATCGAAAGATAGGCGCAAAGCGAGTCATTCCATGTTCCATTATAATCTGACATGAGTGTAGGCAGGCACTGGTGTTCAGGTACGCTCCTCCGAATTTTATTCTGAACGCTCCGGCTCTGGCTACCTATACGGATCACGTTTTCGATGAGATGAAGCGCTCAGACAACGGAAAGCGACCAGCGGTTTCCGCTTCTGCCAAGAGAATCATGCAGGAACTAGCAGAACTAGCTCGCGAGCCTTCAACGTTGTTTGAGGTGCGTGCCCTTGACGATGACCTTTTTGAAGTGCACTTTACCATCCGTGGCCCCGCGGACTCACCCTTTGAGGAAGGACTCTACCACGGAAGAATACTGCTTCCTCCCGAGTACCCGTATAAGCCGCCGGAAATCATGCTCCTGACACCGAACGGTCGCTTCGAAACGGGGAAACGCATCTGCCTCAGCGTGACCCAGCACCACGTGGAGACCTGGCAGCCAAGTTGGGGAATACGTACTATCCTGACGGCGCTGATTGGATTTATGCCTACTCGCGGAGATGGTGCTGTCGGGGCCCTCGACTTTACTGAGGAAGAACGTCGTCAGCTGGCGTGCGCCTCGCGACGCTGGTCTTGTGCCCGGTGTGGTATGGACCATAGCAGTTGGAAGAGTTCAGCGTCCACTTCGGCTGAAGCCCACCGGGTCTCATCTGAAGAGACAAGCAACGAGGGATATGTGGGAAACCTCCCGGGCACTGATGGGCACGAGAGCCGGTGCATTTCGCACGAGCCAGCTGCCTCACCGGGAACCGAGCCAATAGCGTCTGCGATGCCCACGACGCCTGCAGCTCCAGAGGAGCTTCCAGAGGCGTCGACCTCATGGCATCATGAGAAAGAAGCGCAGGCGTCTGGGAGCCAGCTGATGCTGCCAGCGATGCAAGTGCCCGAAACGGCAAGGCATTCGAGCGCATCAGACTGCAGCTCGACAGAAAAGAGCATGCCCCACGATTCGCGGACGACAGCTACGACGGAAACCATGCTGGAGAGCGTCGATCGACTGCTAACCTACGTCATTATTGCACTGGTCTGCGCATTGACCACAGTTTGGTTTCTTTAATGGACGTGCCAGGCTCCGTGTGATTGTTGCCTTGAGCCAGACGCATTCTCCCGAGGCACCGTTGCGGTGCAGTTCCAGTGATCAAGTTTCAGCACCGGTGCAAAGGCGGCAATGGACGTATGTGCGCCGCAGACTCCGCTCACAAGTTCCTAGCATTTCGGCAAGACATGCCATGTGATGCGGCTTGGGGACAAGTGCTTCCTCGCGCGTGCAGCCCACAGGTCCCGGTGCGAAGAGCCCTGTTATCGAATGATCGATTTCCTCTATTCATGTACGCAAACGGTGCTCGCATGGACGCGCATCCATAGCGCTGCACGTATCCTTCGACACTTCGTGGACGACCGGCCTAGACAGCTGCGTTGCCGGCCGTGTTTGTGTCCAGCGGAATTTTCTCGCCGCTGATCACGCGTCCCGCTCTCCGCCTTGGCTGCATTCATTCTTGTTGAGGCATATCGTCGCCACAGGTGGCGTCACGATATAGTTGTAGAATGCTCCCGCGGGAAATGCAGCTGCAGCAGCTGAGCAACTCTGCTTGTGCGTTGTTTCTTTTCCAGTGTTTTCTTCCGAAAACAGGAACGATGCAGCCAATGCATTTTCACATTGCCCGCCTCATTCCAGAGAAACGGGAGCAGTCCACAACCTTAACAGATTGTGCAGGGAAATCCGGAGCTAACATGAGCATCGAACGTTGTGCGACATGGTGCCTGACGCATTTTTCACGGAAGGTCTTCCATGCACACCGAGTCAGACTGGACCCGTATCCATAAAGCGAGACAGAGCGTCCGCGTCCCCCAAATCTGCTAGACTGGTCGTGAGCACTCGCAAGGCTGTAGTTTTGGTGTAGAGTGCCTTGGCGGTCGCTCTCGTCACGGAGCATGCCACTTAAACTCAGGCTGGGCTGTGGGCGGTGTTCTTTGAAAGGAACTCGAATAGCGCTGCCCAACTCGCGTTCGCTCATGAGCTCCAGATGGAACCACTTTCGCAGGTTTTGCAGCACCGCGGGTATAACGTGCGTCCAGCTCCAAGCACAGCGACCGTGGGTTGCTCGTTCCCTACTACCCAGCGTCAGGTCGCTGTTTTCCAGACCCGTTCGCGTTCGCCGAGTGCACCTGTCGTGCGTGTTCAGAAGGAAGCTTCAGGCTCTCGCCTTGAGCACATCGCTGGACTTTCTGAAACTCGGAATTCAAGCGCATGTCTACGCTCAGCAAGACAAGAGAAACTGGGTATCTATCGGTTTCAACGAGCGGACAACGTACCCGACGTTCTTAAACTTGCTCCTCAACGGAAGCGGGGCACTGTCAGGCAACGGCAACGGCAACGGCAACGGCAACGGCGGCGACGGCGGCGACAGACGTTCATGGACACAGCTGCGGCGTGAGGATCCGGCTACGTTCACGTGTAATAGTTCGCAAAGCTTGCTCGGTTCCAATGAACCAAAGTGCTTCCATTCTTCATGAAAAGTGAGTGGTAAACGAGAGCCACAGCTAAGAGCTTGAATGAATACTACAAAAGAGTCTGCAGCAGGGCGCCGGCAGAGCTGGAACTTGCACCACTCACGGCGAAAAAGGTCCAGCACTGCAAGTCTCCTTGAGAGCCGCGAGTACACCGACACGAACCACTTTTCGAAGCAAACCGCTTGGACAGCCGAACAACTTCACCGGAAAGGTTTTCGTCGCCACAGTTATGATGTACCGACACCGCCGTGCATTTTCCGGCGGTTCACCCCGAACGGACGATTTCTCCTTGCTCTTGACCGAAACGGAACGGATCTGCTTGTCTTCCCTTACGTACACTGGTCCAGTTCTGTGCCGTTTTCTACGCAATTGAAGGGCGCTGACTGTTGCAGTGCGGAAGACCCGGCCAACAAGGTAAACCTGTCCGAGTCAGGCGGTTCGGCCTCGTTTTCCGACTTTTTTCGTGAGCCTCTACGGATAAGTGTAGTGAATGCCTATACGACTGGCTTCCTTGCGTATAATAGGGCACGCGCTTTTGGTATGGATACACCACTGGAGGCAGAATGGGACCCTACTGGTGTCTACCTTCGGGACTTGCTTCTGTGTACACCCTGTGGTCGATTTGTTCTCCTGGGAGCGTGGCGAGCTCCGTCAACACCCGCACTGACGCACCGAGGCGAGAGCCTTCGTACTGGATCACAAATAACTGCCGCTGTATCGGAAAATTCCCACTCGAATCGTGAGCGGTCATCTACAGACAGCCATATGGAAAGCGCAACAACCGGAAGCGGGCAAAGAGGCAGCTTTCGGCGACTCGCAGCGCGCCACGTTGCCGATTCGAGTTCGCCTGCTTCTTTAGCAGGATGCCCTGTAGTACCCTCTGTCTACCTTTTTCTGGTCGACATGGAATTACAGCGAGTTGTAGATGTCTTCATGTTGCGTAATGACCTTGTATTACTCGACGGAAACTCCGGTGTCCAGCTATTTGATGCGGACCTCGTGGCAGTGACCTCCATGGCGCATCAGGCAGTGCATCTGTTACGTATCCGGCAAGGAATCGGTGGTCTGAATCAACAGTGTGGATGCTTCCAGTACTTGACGAGCTTCGGACCGCACTGTTTCTCCGATGACGCGTTACTCATTGCCAAACAATATCGCCGGGAGCGCGATTTTCGCCGACAAGGTCGACGCGTCTTTGCACTGCAGTTACGTGATCTTTTACAGACGGAGAACTCCAGTGCAGAAAGCGAGCCGCTAGATGACGTTCCAGTTCAGCCGTCCGAGGCCAACAATGACGCCTCAGCAGCCGGGGCATGCATTTTGCCGTCGCACCCGCAGGAAACATCGGTGTTGCCTGTCGGCATGCAGAAGGAGCCTGTCGGCGGCATCGTGGAGTCTGGGATACCCCAGAGACGGTGCCGTCGACAGCGCCCCCAGAGCGATGACAATTCGGAACGCGAGGCTTCCCCCTTTGTGATGCCATGTACGAGTGCGGCCGCTGTAGCTGGTACTGCTATGGCTGCAGCGGCGTGTCGTATGGCGTATCGCCCGCAAGAAAAGGAATGTTTCATCACGGGTTTGAAGCAGCGTCTGCTAACCTTTCTGTATCGGAGCTACACACAGGGAAAGCCATGCTCATATTATGAGCGGTTTGCGGCATCGTTCGAGAGCCTGCAGTCCTTCGTTATTCAGCGCGCTGCGCTGATCAGCAAAAAGCATTTCCTGGTACGCATGGTTCCCGCGCGACTCGCCCTGAAACACTTTCTCGGCCGGACGGCTTGCTCTCTCTTTCATCAGCCATGGTACGTTTCGGGCGTTGCGGTTACGGGACTGGTCGATTCTGACTTGGCGCTACTGCACGCAGCAGAAGCGCACAGCACTGCAGATTCTGAGCAGATACCGGCGAGCGCGGAACCAGGATCGTACAGGCAGCAACTTCAGCATCTATTACACGCCCCCTGTCCTGTACTCGCCGACAACATTGTTGCCTCAAAACGCCGACAGGATGCTTTGAGTGCTCTGGTGGCTCAATTGCGCACCACGTTTTACGTGATCTACGACTATTTGAGCACACAAATTGAGGCAGTGTTCTCGCCCGGCTCGGTGGAATTCCTCGCACTCGCACGTCACCATCCGGAATGGTTCGGGTTGCGCTCCGGCGTGCCGCTGTATCGCATAGAGAGCGCCGTGGAACGACTCGAGGAATTGAAACTAGTCTGTGGAGCGGTCTACTGTCCAGTGTGCCACCGGGAGCACCGCTGCGGTAGCGTTGCTGCGCGGAACACGCCACGCAACATGGCTCATGGAACAGACGAACGTGCTGCTCTTGTCAAGGCAGAAATTGCCCTATTATCGGCGGGCGCTCCGCTTGATACATCACAGAGGCACGAGCGCTGGTCGATGGCTGTGAAACCGGAGGCAGGTGCTGGTGAAACTTCTTCGACGGGTAAGCGTGCCGACACTAGAGCGGTTACCGGGAACTGCACAACTTTAGGACAAGATTTAACGGAGCGCGGACCTGTCATGGATGTCGCTCACCTGTACAGGGAGCCTTTGCTAACGATGTTCTTGCTGCTGCCGTTGCCGTGCCAACCGGCTATCTTTTCGCCCTGGTTGAACCGACGGTTCTTCTCCTACGATGAATCAAAGTTGTGGAGTAGAGACCTATTCCATCCAGCCGTATGCGACGAGTATCCCATGGTGCGTGTTTTTCATCGCGTACGCGGAACACTCTCTTGGCGTATCTATCCGGCAGCGAAGAATGAGAGAGAGAGATTATCTGCTCGCCCGTTCGTGCAGCAGCAGCAGCAGCAGCAGCAGCAGCAGCGCTTGGAAGCTTCACGAACACATACGCCCGTGGAAGGCGCGCGTACGTCGACGACGCACGCTGGTGCACCAGACCACAGCCAAAGAACCGTCACTGACACCATGTTGCAAGCAACGGTATCGTACTTGCCGGATGCGGAAGCAGAGCCGCGTTCCAGAGTTCGCCAATACGCATCCTATATCTTTCACCCACAAGATGCTTTTTGTCTGAGTATTTTATGGTCATCAGAACGAGCACCAGTTGTGAATCTGCACTACGCTTGAGGTTTGTACAGGTCGCATTGGCCCACGAGGCAGCCCGCGGGAACGCCGCTTGTCATGCTCTACACATACATTCCGGTGACGAGGCAAGTCGGCAGCCGCGGCTAGCGTTGATGACCATCGCAGCGTGTTGTGCGGCGCTTTCGTGCGTCGAATGTTTTTCTTACCGCGGATTTTGAAAGCAAGAGAAGCGACGCGGGTGAGCAGCAAATATTTTGGGTGTCTCGCAGTTCCATCCAGATTCCAGGTTGATGCAAGGGCCCTGATTCACGGAATCAGCGATTCAAACAACAATTGCCTTGCAATCCGGTGTATCGTTTCTGATGGTGCTTGGCATGATGCATCGCTGAGACAATCCGCTGCTCGTCATCATAAGCATCAGCTTCTGCGGTTGATATTGATGTTACTGCTGCTGCTGCTGCTGCTGCTGTTCAAGGTACGCCATGAGCAAGCATGAACACTGCGACAGCGCTCCCAAATCTAAAATAGTTGATCCGCTTTACCATTTCCGGGCATGCAATAGAACAGCATGCCATCCATGCACCCTAGATACGATGCGTCTATGATTTCGTAGCAGGGCTTCCATTACCGCGTAGCGCCTTCTCGCTTGCTGGTCGAAAGACGGTCGACTCCACTGCGAGCGTGCGAATCACCGAGTCGAGTCGCTTTCGAAAGCTCTCACTCACGATCGATGTGCCGAGTGTGTAGAGCGGATTGCGTATTGCACATTCGACATACGCTTCGCGATAGACGCGCTGCAGAATCCGGGTTAGGTCGCTTGCCGTTGGCGACGTTGTCAGTACGAAGCGCAGGCCGGTGCTGCTCTCAAAGCAGTGCAACTGGTATTTCTCCGTCGAGTAACTGCAAAAGTTAGATGGTCCTCTCGGCATGTACCGAGTTGCTGTGTCGATAGGAAGAGAGTCATCATTCGCGGGAGCAAGGCTTCGGCAGAGCTGTTTCACGGCGAAGAGAAGACCAATGAGGTTCTGTTGTTCTTGTTGTGTGTCCGAACCGGGGCGTGTTCGTTGCCATTCCCGATAGTAGAGACATGTGCCATGTCTACTAAACAGGTAAAAGTTGTATACCTGCATGAGGTCAAACAATGAATAGCGCGTCCCAGCACTGTGGCGGGCGTTGCTGTTGACAGTCTGTTTCCAACGGGAACTATCCTGGACGCAGGCGAACGCGTCAACTCCAAGTCTCCGACCAGGTATGGTGCTATCGCTGCTGCTCAAGTGCAGGATGGTGGTAAAGCTATCGCGAATCTACGACGATGACACTCACAGCGTCGTTCGCAGCGGAGAAAAACCGTCGATACTGTGTCGAACGCGAGCGTTCAACGAGAAAAACTCACTGAAACGCGAACAGTCGTGATGAACAGGTGCTCAGCGGGGTTTCCCGCACGGCACGCCGCGAGGCGCCTCACCCGAGTGAAGTGCCCGAGGAGCTTTTCGGTCACCTAGCTGCCTCCTAAACGCCACCTTTCAGCTAGCTTCGTAGTCAGTGCGAACTCCTTTCCGTCAGCGTTGCCGGAGCCCTGTACTGAAGCGCGCTTTCTAGCTTGACCACGAATGGTCGCCGCTTTTGGAAAGCACGGCTGCAGAAAGGAAGATCACGACCGCAGCCTGCCTTTGTGCAATCTGCGTCGTGCTCGGTAACAACCTGTATGAGCTTGGGTTAGAAATCCGCTTTAGCAAGTGAGACTCGAGTCTCCGCGGTACCGGGGATCACGAACCGGTTAGCGAGCTTGGTGTGCTGAAGGCGCCTCGTAGGGCACCAGGCTCCCGAAAACTGGTGTTCCTCTTCCAAGGCAAAGGTAGCTGCAATCGTTCGCTATGGAAAATCTCTCAAAGTCTTTGCGGTGGAACAGGACTCGCAACCAGTTTCGAGACGATCACGCCCAGAGAACCGGTGATAGAGGCAGGTCCGCGAACCGCGCCTGATAGACCAAAACCTCCGAACGAGAGCCAAGGGGTTCCTAGTCTTGCCGTGACCTCCTTCAAGAAAGCGCTTTTGTACGCTTGCGTATTCACTTTTTATACAAAGGTATGTTGTTCATCTCGAAAACGAAGAGAGAAGGGTCAGAGTGATAGGGCCAGAGGCCTTCTCACCGTCTACATCCATGTCAGATCATCATGGAAAACTGCACTAGTCGTTCTGCTCGTGCCTTATGACTTTTTTGATTTTTCTGCAGTACAATCTGGGTATTCATAGTCCAGCGATAGAGGGTTACGGAAACAGAGGTAGGTCTTGGGTTTTCGTCTGTCTTTTTTGGACGGCTCCTTGGGATTTTTGTCGCTGGACTTTGTTCCATCATCGGAAGCAACCTGATCCACGATGCACTCGTACAAGGGGTTCCTCAACTGATCGAAATCAGCATCCTATGCATTGTTAGATGACTCCACACTTGTTCGATCTTTACGGTTAGCAGGTCCAAATAACGCGTTCTTTCAACTATTCAATCTTTCTGGCCGAGGCAACTCCTGGGCGCAGCAATTCGCTCTGCGGGATTCACAAGCAAACACTCCATAATGTTGCTTGATGCGTCGTTCACACGCTCATGCCGAACGTTTACTGAACTTGTCACGCCAAATAATTGATTCTGTTCCGAGTACAAACCCTTCTATCTGTGCGTCCGTGTACAAAACGGCAATCCACAGCAGCATGATTTGCCTCATGCGATATGCTCCCAGAGACTACCGTTTCTCCTGCTTGGATGCAAAAGGGTCACAGATTCGCACCTAATTCATCAGAGCGACGAATATCAGGGGCGTATGTGTCTTCGCTTTGCCCGAAGTGACCATGGAAGGATCAAAATTTTGGGACTTGATCTCGAGCCTAGATTCTCCTTCCGGTACTTGGTACATCGTGGACAACATCATGTTACAGAAATCCTGTTCTGAACAGAGCAGCGTGCGCTTTTGTGTGCGTCGGACAGCGTACATGCAGGGCGGATCGCCTGGCTGAAGCTCGTGATCCTTGGGTTAAGCAGCAGTTGTGGAAACCGAAGAACGCGTCGCGAGGAGCCTTCAATACCCATCAAGAGCATCTACGGAGCAACAAGTGAGGCGGCCGTGTGGCACAGTTCGGTCTCCGGAGGAGGCGCAGAAGTTGTGGTGGACATACGGGACCACCTGACCATACGCAGGTGCGACAAATGCGAAGGGCGCACACAGACAGTATCCAAACGACAAGATGAAAGTGACATGCGCAACGTTGATCGAAACTACCGTCTATGCACGGAGTGTGTTGACTATGGCCAGCAACTACGAATTTCGGGTTGCAAACCTGCCAACAACATCCATCGATTGCAGACAGCGTAACCGATGGGAACGCAGCGCACTGGGTGTTTCAGGCACGGGATACGAAAGGGGACATGACATCAGTCACAGGAAAAGCCCTGGAAGGCCGCAGGCGATAGCAGCGGGAAACCCCCGAAACGTTAGCGTGCACGCTCGAGTCAGAGGACCCATTCCTATGCATCCTCGCAAATGCAGGGATGCTGCCTTACCGTACCCTCGCCGTCGACCTAGGGAAAAACGATTGCAAAATCCGTTCGAGAGTCATACCGAGACATATTGTTCACTCGTGGAGGCTCGTGTCGCGTCAGCCACAGCTCAAAAAGCCACGTATTGGGTTCATCGTCTATGCTCACTCGATGGAAGCGCCGTCGACCGACGACTAGTTCGACTTCACCTGCAGCCGCTACGTACCATTGAATTCCGCTCCAGACTGGGCCCGCACAAAACTCGCTCACATATTTGACCAGATAAAAAAGCGTGCTTGAAACCCTGCCTCGAAGCTTCTCAGGCGTCCATCGTTACCAGCGGCACTTGTTTCGAACGCCCACGCCTGCATTTCTATTGTTCAGAGCATCGCAACGAGAGCGTGTTTGTCTATACACCGACGTGCAGACGCCTCCCAGCCTTTTCGACCGGCCCCCTGCTATCAGCCTCAGCTTCTCCTTGCACACTTCGGAATGAAGAGGTTGTCCCACAAAATTCACTTGCGTCAGCACCGCGGATCTCGTCTACAGCATCGCACATTGTCTGATATTAAGAGCGGCGTTAACGTCTCGGTTCACGAACTCACTGCGTTTCTTGCCGCCGCTTGTACTCAGGATCGCGAGGATTCCTAGTACTCGTGCCCAGTGTGCCACAACAGTGTCGTCATCGGCCCGCCGGGCGAGCGCTTTTTCTCTTCTATTTTCCCTGTTCTTCTTCGTCATTTGCTCTATTTCGATTGATGGTCGGCGAATATGGTATTGATCGTTCACTCCCGGCAGCGGGTACTGGCGGCCCCGAAGGATACCCGACTTGAATGTCCATATCTTTATTTTTTTAAAATCGAACCCAGTTTGAGCGCGTATGCTATAAACCGCGAAAAATCGCCTGAATAGACTTCCGTGAGGGTTGAAATACGATTGAGACGAAAGACTATACTTTGCTATGACTTCAACGCAAATGGACCGCCTACGTTACAGCCACACGCTAATGATCAGGATCGCGTTTCCCTTCAACGGCGATAGACGCATCGTATCTCATGCCTCCCAGATATGGAGGCTGGCGTATCGACCGAACTATCTAGAACGAGGAACGGAGACTAGGCACTACATGGCAACTCGATAACAATTTCGATCCTCGCTACGATAAGCGCTAAAACGGGAAATCGTTTCCGAAGTGTCGAAAGTCTACCTCACAGGCGGCAGGTCCCGCGAGCCGGACGTCTCTCCCGGGCTGGTGCTTCATGCTCCCCCAGTGCCCGGTGCTGTTGCGAGGCCTGAGCAAATCGCCCGCAATGCACTTGATCCTGGGACCAGGAGCGCGTAAACTGCATCTAGGCGTCGGCTTGGTCGCCGAAGTATCCCAGTATATCGCTGCGCGCTCCACAGGCGGGACGTCTGTCTGCGCAGCTTGCAGACTCCCCGAATGCTTGTGTTCTCCGATGCCGTGCGGAACGGACCACGCCTCGAATCGATCCACTATGTAGTCTGGCAATGCCGTTCTGTCTCTATGCTGCATCTGCATCGCCGTTAAGGGTGCCAAGGCAAGTGCTCTAGGTACGCAAAGCCCCCGATAGAACGCACAAAACGACCGGTACATCCGAGAGGAACTCTATATGATGGTACATGGTAGTATTGCGCAGCATGATGGAAACTTGGTCGTTTACGGGTACCCATCGATCACGCAAGCTGGGACCCATGGTCAATATAAGCGACTTTTATCATCCGGAAATCGTCAAGCGTTGCGGTCGGTGCGCAGATGCGTTGCACTGCGACACGCCCAGAGGCCGGTGCGTTCCAGGCTCCGCCCGAGTGCTGCTGCTTGCTTGTCTGTTTCTTCTCTCGTACTTCATGGATCAAGTGAATAGTTCTAACTCACTAACAATTGCAATAGTTGGTTTCGGCAACTTCGGACAGTTTTTGGCGAAAGCGTTTGTTCAGGCCGGTCACCGGGTGATCGGACATTCGCGCACCAACTACGAAGCGATTGCGAGGCAGCTCGGTTGCGGTTTCGAAACCAGTGCGGATGCGCTGATGGACCTCCATAATCCTGACATTGTCGTGTTATCGACTTCGATACTCTCAACCGAAGAGGTCCTGCGCCGATTCCCGACAGCGAAGCTTCGGAGCTGCCTCGTTGTCGACGTGCTGAGCGTCAAGGTGTATGCACGGGAGCTCATGCTACGCTACGCACCTGAAGAGGCTGATATTTTGGCGACGCATCCCATGTTTGGTCCAGAGTCAGGACGTGGTTCATGGCGGGGCTTACCATTTGTCTTTGAGCGCACGCGAGTTCGTCAGCACGAGCGTTGCGAGGCCTTTCTATCTATCTTTCGGGAGCGTGGTTGCACGCTCATCGAGATGCCATGTCAAGAACATGATCACTATGCGGCGAGTACACAATTCATCACCCATACGACAGGTCGCATGTTGGCCGAGCTCAAAATTGCCTCCACACCAATCAACACCCGCGGCTTTGAAGCACTGTTGGCGGTTGTAGAGACGACGGTGCGGGATTCTTTCGATCTCTATTACGGTTTGTACCGCTTTAATCCGAATGCAAAGCAAGAGTTGGAGAAGATGCAGCGAGCACTCGAGCAAGTACGAGCCCAACTCGAAGCGTACGACCGCAAGTGTCGCGAGGCTGAAGCACGCTCAGCCTGAAACCCCAGTGGACGCTATCTTTCACGAGGTGCGAGACATGGACGGGATATATGGCGCGCTGTGTTGGGAACGGCCGTGTAAGCTGGTCGGCTGCTACCGGGAGCATCGCATCGAGATGCCCGTGCCTGCTCTCGAGTCCGTGGGCTCGGAGACCGGACGCTCCGGCGCTGCCAAGACAAGATGTCGATATGGGCGATACGTACACGATTGATGAATTTTCTGCAGAATGCTGAGAGGTGCCACGGCATTACGCGACGGTACTGTGGCGTTGCAACGCCCATCTTGCCACGGAGCGCCCACAGGCGCGCGCGCACACACACACACACAAAGGCCTTATTTTTCTGCTGACCCGATAGGCGCCGAGCTTCGCACAAACGCTTGCTACGGAGCTTGTCGGGTCAGCAGACAAATGAGGTCCTCGTGCTGCGACCTGTGGACGTCGGAGCGCAAGCCGGATCCGGCGATGACGACTCCCCGTCCGGATGCGAACGAGAACATTCAGCTGCCGCGCAAGGTTCCGGAAATCGCGTTTTTCATGGCATTCGCCATCGGGATGTTGCACTCGTTCGCTGTGTGTTGTTATTCCGGACCAGATCGCTGGTCATGCTGAGATTGTTCAACGTGTCACGCAATGGTGACGAATGGGCTCCTGCTGTGCGACATGAATCATTTTATACTCGTCATTGGGATTCTGGAGCCCAACGCATCTGCGAGCTAGGCACGTCGCCGTGATTCACCGGTTAAAGGTTTCACTTTTGCTCAAAGCGTAGTGTGCACTCAGTACAGCTTCAAAAAAATTGACAATGTGTCTGCGATACATTCGAGTCGATTCCAACGCTTGCGGCCTCTTAGGGACTGGATGCGTTACTCCAGCCGCAGCACATGTGCCTCGGAGGTAGCAGCTTGCGAAAGCATGGTCGTCGCTGGGAGCGCGCTGCGCGTTGAACCCCATGGCATCATCGCTGCGCTCACGATTGGCCAGCGAGGACAGCGGCTCTGTTGGCAGCCGCCTCCAGCCCTGGCCGTGAACACTGGCGTCGCACTGCCCGTTTCACATCATCTACAGACGGCAAGGCGCGCTCTTCCAGATTCTTTGCATAGGGCATGACAACATCTGCACCAGTGACGCGCTCACACGGGGCGTCCAGATAATCAAACGCTGGAGACTCTAGGATTCGCGCACAGATCTCTGCCCCGACACCGCTCTGGGGGAAGCCGCCCTCCACAGTCACACATCGGTGTGTGTGCATCACGGATTCAATGATTGTCTGGTCATCAATGGGTCGAATAGTTCGCAGATTAATAACCTCCACCTGGATGCCATCCTCGGCCTGCAATTCTTCAGCGGCCTGCAGCGCAAGCCCCACATACCGACCCAGTGCAACCACTGTGCAATCACTGCCCGAACGCGCAACTTTTGCCTTCCCCAGTGGTACGACAAAATCCGGCTTCATGACTTGTTCCGAGACCTTAAAGCTCCGTCCATACATGATTTCATCTTCAAGCACACAAACGGGATTGTCGTCCAAAATCGCCGCTGTGAGAAGTCCCTTGGCGTCTTCTGCGTCGAAGGGCATCACGACCTTCAGGCCTGGTACGTGTCCGTACCAGGCAGCGTAGCACTGCGAGTGTTGACCTGCGACACCCGCAGCGGCACCGTTCGGCCCTCGAAACACGATCGGCACTTTAATGCGGCCTCCACTCATATAGTGTGTTTTCGCTGCTGAGTTCACAATCTGATCTATTGCTTGCATAGCAAAGTTCCAGGTCATAAACTCCACTACAGGGCGCAGCGCACCACCTCGCGGCTCTGAACCTCGCGTCGCAGTGAACGCGGCACCGACACCGAGACCCGCGAAACCCTGCTCCGTGATCGGCGTGTCGATCACACGTTCCGTACCGTACTTTTCGAGTAAACCTTTGGTGACTTTGTAAGCGCCCTGGTACTGCGCAACTTCTTCGCCAAGGATGACCACGCGCGGATCACGTTCCATTGCCTGATCCAATGCCGTGTTTAACGCTTCCCGAACGGTGACTTCCACGTCACCTCCAGTTGATGCCCATCGCCGCACAGTTTGACCCAACGGTGACCTATGAATCAAAGTGTTCGCCCGACCAAATCGCGTGATAAACTGTGTCGCCACCATGGTCGCGTCTCGAAACGCATAAAGCGTTGAAACGCCACAAGCACCAACGATGCACCTATTGCTTCGAGTCGCTTGCGTGACGCCGGCGGCGATTCTTTTCCTTCATTGACAAAACGTGTACTGAGGCCAGCGTTCTCCGATGATGCGCTTTTTTCTATTCTTAGTTTTTTTGTGTTGTTTTCCAGTGCACGGTGAGGTATCTATCAAACCCCTACCTCCATGTTACATTACCGATACTTCATCTCGGATATTCTGGTCGTTTCACCGCCGATGAGGATGATGATCGCCTTTGTCGATGCACGCTGCATTCGTCAACTGAAAACCGCACCGGCGATGGGCGCGCATCGAGTGCGGCAGCGGCAATCGGCGAACGACGTATCGGGAGGGTATCCATTTGGATCGTTGGGTGATATTCTCGGTGAACGTCAAGTCGGTGTAAAGCGTTTCGTTTCATTTCACTGAATGTACGTACTCGTTGGTTGGGTTGGTTCCATATCTTCGAAATCACGTACCAGACGCTTTCAAGGAGGTGGGTACGATTACCTATGTTTTGAATTGCAGAGCCGATGCGTTGCCAGGAGCCGCGGGCGACAGCGTGCTCCTTGCCAGCGCGCGACCGCCAGGGCGCCGTGGTTGATGACCGGTGGCACAGCCTCGTCGGGCAAACCAGAACCATCCGATGAGCGTGAAGGTAAATCGTCTAGTGAGCCCCCTGCTCCGAAATATCGCGCGGAAGAACTGTTGGCGTGGTTGGAGTCTGCGGACCCGACGACGCGCCTCCGCGCGGTGCTCGCGTGCCGCCACCTGACCGCTGTTGAGGCGGCGCCTGTCTTGGAGAAGGCAGTGCGAATAAACGAACCCGAGGTGCAGAACCGATCCTTTGCGGCTCTCGCGCTGGGTTACTTGCCGAATGAGCGCTCGTACGAGTTGCTGTCCGGGATACTGCGTAACGATATTTCGGGCGAGGTTCGCTCGAGCGCAGCAGCAGCACTGGGGTATCTGGGCGAACGACGCGCGGTTCCCGAGCTGCGTATTGCGCTCTTGGAGGATTTTCATTGGTCAACACGGATATCTGCGGCAGTCTCCCTGGGTTTGCTCCAGGATGAACGCGCGTTTGATGCTCTGGTCGATGGTCTTCGGCTGGCGCGACGTTATCGACGCGAAGAGGGAAACGCTTTGAAGAGAGCTTGCCTGGGATCGCTGGGCGAGCTCGGGATGCCCCAGGCGGTGTCGCATCTGGTTTTTTATGCGCAGGAGCGCGACTTTTTGACGCGCCAAGTGCTAGCCGAAGCACTCGGGCGATTGCTTCATCGAACCCGTCGGCTGGAAGCTGATCGAATGACCCAGAGGCAACTGCAACTCGCACGAGAGTGTTTGGAGTATCTGGCCCGTGATGATCATGAAAATGTCCGCCGCGCCGCCCAGCTCGCTTTGGCAAATCTTTCCGTCGTTTCCGACTGAAAACCCTCTGACGCTGCACGCGCCGGTCTATGCCCAGAATCCGTATTGAGACTCTGACGACATGAACCAGATAAAATATCTTTTTTGGCTCTGAACTCGCTACTCACATGGACCTCTGCAAGTCCCGAGCCGTCTCCGCTTTACGCGTTCCCAGGGCATTGCCCAGCATCGTTCTGGAGCCAGCGCCGGTCACCCTGTACACGGAAGCATCCCAGAAGCTTCGCCGGAGGTGTGCAGCGTTTCCAGCGCAAACACGCGACCGGAGTGATGCAGATCGGAATGCAGCAGCGCAATCATTATCGTGTTATTGAAAGGTTGGTAACGGAGGCTTTTCTATCCTGACCTAGAATGCCGTTAAACCCGTATCAGATGAATATCGAGAACTGAACTGGTTGTTGTGGTGCTTTCGTGCGATATTTTTCCATGCTCTTTTCAGATGTACAGTCGGGATATGCAAAGTGCAGCAACATGAGCTACTGGATGCATGTGTCGTGTTACGGCTTTCGATCGTTTGTTCGGTTGCGCTCTTTCGACGTTTTGCCGATGACAATCGTGACTTGATCGGAATCAAGCGGATTCTCAAAGCCTTCAACCAAAGCTTCGTAAAATAACCGATATCCTTATCTGATAACAACGCAGAGGCCCTTGCAACACTCCTTTCCATACTTGAAACATGCTCAACTCATGCATTCTTCATGTTTGCAGTCTTTCGGTTTCAACGCACGTCGTGCGTGCAGCAATTCGCACCGCTGAATTGACGAGAAAATGGACGGGACGTCGTCCCGTGATTCCTTGTTCAACAGCTCATGCCGAAATCTGACGGGACTTTTTTTCTTTGATTCCTCACATAGGATATATGCTCCCAGAGGCTCCCGTCTTTTCTGACCGCCTGGATAAGCGACTTGGACCTGGACTCGAGGCACCACAGCGATCGCTTCCGATCCCGAGCGCGTCAGTAATTTGCGCGAAGCGAGCGTAGGTGGATCCAAAAATTTCTCGACGTGATCTCGAGTGTGGATTTTCTTTCAGCTACTTGTTTCATCCTGAACAACATTGCGATCTACAAATCCTATATCGAATCAAACAACATGCGTTTGCAGCGGAAAGAGTACTCGCGGAAGGGATGGCCCAATGAAAGCCCGTGATCGTAGGGCACGGCACCGGGTGCGGAAATGATGGGCGGCATCGAGGCGAGCCTTCTGTTGAGGTACGGGTATGCAGGGTGGGATGAATCAGGCGTTCAAGCGGCACGGGTCGGCCCTCGGAAGAGGACAGGTTGGTAGACTTATAGGTGCACCTGACCACGACGAAGTGTCTCGGCTGCGAAGTGCGCTTCCAGGGATGAGTGCAAACAGGATGACAATTCCAAGCGACGTTTGTATTGCAACAATCGCATGTGGATGAAATGGGTCAGCAACAGCTGAAGGGATCGAGAATGGGACTCGAACGCCACCACCAACATCCTTCGACTGCTGGCAACGAAACTCGAGGGGAGTGAGAGACCGGCTCATTGAAAGCCGGGAATATGAAAGCGGACAAGGAAGCTGTCGGAGAAAAATCGCATCATAGCTGGTTTTGATGGCATTAGGAAAAGACGCAAACCTCAAACTGGACCCCCGAGTTAGCTGAGTGCACTCATCGCATTTTATTCTGATACGGCTGCTGTCTGCGATCAAGATACCCCTGTTGATTGTTTTGTTACCGTATGCGCCTGCTCGTTTGGATTCTGACCTGGCTCCCTTGCAACCGAGAAGCAGCCGGTGCTGGCGAAAACACAGATGCTGGCTCGCCGCGCACCGAATAACCTCGATACGCTGCAACTTTGGCAAACGTTTGACGCACGTCGCTAAACCGTTGAACCAGCTGCCGCGTATCCCGTCACTGTACTGCGAACAGGTCGCGCCCATGCGTTCATGGCACGAGGCACTCGCAAAGTGAACAGTTCATCGAAAACCGGCTCCAGTTCGGTTGGCAACGCCGGCCCCGGTACTCGAGTGGCGGTGGTTATCGGAGGCGCGGGCTTCACCGGCCAGTACCTCGTGCGTCGCCTACTTCAAGGTCTCGAGAAACCGTTTTGCGAGCCTTATGGTGAAGTACGGATCGTGGACACCCTGCAACCTTCGGCGGACGTAGCAGGTGACGCTCGCGTTCACTACTTTCAGGGCGCTGTTGGCGCTGGTACCGACGACTTCCTCCGCGAGGCGTTCGCTGGAGCCACCTCGTGCTTCTACGTCGCTTCGACGGACTCAAGAACGCTTTCCCGGTCTCGGGCGTGGCGGACAAACGTCTACGGCGCGATGCAGTGTCTCGAGTTCGCTCAGTGCTCGGGACTGAAAGCGTTTGTGTACACATCAAGTCACAACGTGGTGTGTGATTTTCGCACACCTATTCGTGGCGCCGACGAAGTCACGAGCCGCATTCCCTCACGACACTGCGACGTCTACTCGGCAAGCAAAGCGGCCGCAGAACAGCTCATACTCGCCAGAGACACACCCGGCCAGCTCCGCGTGTGTGCTATTCGACCGGTGGGTATATACGGACCAGGGGAACAGGTTCACTTCAATCGACTTTTTCAATTATCGCGGTATCTGGGCATGCACTGGATAGAGACCGTACCTCACGATCCGTTCTGTATGGATTGGGTCCACGTCGAGTCGGTTGCGGACGCGTTGCTGCTGGGAGCAGCGGCTCTGATGGATCCCGAACGTCAGCCACTGGTTGCTGGCAAGGCCTTTTTTGTCACCGACGACGGCGGACCGACGAGTGTCCAACGAGTTTTCGATCCCGTCCTGGAAGCCGCAGGCATTCGCCTGCCAAAGCAACGCTTTCGCGTCCACTGGCGTCTTCTGTATGTGTTTGCGCTGATGTGTGAGCTCGTCGCATGGGTGCTGGACGATAAGCCGCTGTTGATGCGGATGGAGATCCGCAAAGCGCACATCGCCCACACCTTCCGAACAGACGCTGCTCGACAGGCGCTTGGCTATGCTCCACGGTATACAACCGCCGCCGGTATCCAAGCTTGGGCAGAACTTGTTCGCAAACAGTTGGCTGGTCGTGTGCTCGAGACAGATCCGATCGAGATTCGGCGTCTGTGTCGTCAAGTAGCCTCCATATCGAGTATATTTATCATCGTTACTGCTGTAGCAGCTTCGGTTGCTTAATTGCGTTGCGTCGGTATGTAAATCTCGTGTGACTCGTGAACATGCGCTTTCACGTCGTCGTATGCGTTTGGAATCGAGGTGCGGCCAATACGTAGCGGAACGTTCATGCTGCGTGTCAGTCCATGAGCAGCCGCAAGCCGCTGAGGCCAACCAGCAGCGTACCCCCTTCGTGGAGCAGGACGGCGGCCCAGAGGGGCAGACCACCCGATACCGCCCCGATGGCGGTACTCACGATCAGAATGAGCGCAATGGCTACATTCTGGGTCATGACGCGCTGCGTCTGGCGGCTCTTCTGCAGATACCATGCGATGCGACGAATGCCTTCGGGGTAGCCATCGACAAGCACCACGTCGGCAGCGGAAACCGCTGTGGCACTGTGAAAGCCGATCGAAATGCCGGTAGTGGCGAGCGCAAGCGCCGGAGCATCATTCATGCCGTCGCCAACCATGACCAGTCGATCTGGTTGTTGTTTCACAAACAGCATTTTGTCTTCGGGACGAAGGGCGTAGCGCACGCAGTCGGCGGGCACACCAACTGCCTCGGCAATCGCCAGTGCAGTTTCTTTCGAGTCGCCAGTCAGCAGCTGCACGGAATAGCCTTGGGTTCGGAGCTGTGCGATGCACGCCGGTGCCTCTTCCCGCATCTGGTCCCAGAAAACCAGCATGGCAACGGTGCCGTCTTCGCAGCAAAGCAGGGCCGTGGAACGCCCTAGCGCAGCCTGCTCGCGCTGATACGCTTCCAGCTTTTGATCAAGCTCCCGAGTAGTGGGCGTCGGGCTCTGGGGTGCGTTTTCGTGCTCCAAGAGCGTTGCGGCAAAGTCGAGACGCCCCAAGCGGACGCGGTGACTGAGTGCGTCAGCGCTCGCCGCGTCTAGGTGCTGGTCGCTGCCCCCGCCGTTGCTAGTGACCTCGCTCTCGGAATGCGGGGCCTGGAAAATGCGTCCTTCCAGACCGGCGCCGGCGCATACCTTCACGTCGTGGACAAGGAGCGGCTCGATGCCAAGTTCAGCGACCGAGGCAGCCACTGCGCGTCCCAATGGGTGCACCACATGCGCTTCAAGGCCAGCTGCTAAAGCCAGTACCCGCGCTATAGCTGAGGCATGCTCCGCTGGCGGGTGCTCAGCTCGCAAATCCCAACGATACGGCAGATCCTCTGAAGCAGTAGAAGTATCTGTAGCAGCGTCGCCCGTTGCTGCCATAGACGCAACGGTTACTGCTGATTGCCTCGGCACCCGAAAGACCTGGATCTGGTGGAGTTCGGGTTCTCCCTTGGTCAGCGTACCGGTCTTATCGAATGCGACTTTGTCACAACGCGCGGAGGCTTCCAGGGTGCGCGCTCCGCCCTTCACGAGCACACCGCGACGGGCCAAAACGCCCAGCGCCGATGTATACGCAACTGGTGCCCCAATGATCAGCGCACAGGGTGATGCCACGACCATAAAGCCAAGGGCGCGTTCGAATGCCTGCCGCTGAGCGCGCCATCGTACCGGTTGTTCCTGGGGCGCCACCGCTCTAACCCCGTGCCCAGAGTGTTTCGGTGTGCGTACCGGGGTCAGACCCGCTACGATAAAGACAAGCAAAGCACCAGTGACAACAAATCGAGAGTAGAGCTGCCCGAAGCGATCGATCCATCGCTCCAGCGTCGGTTTGTTCTGCTGTGCGTTCGTCACCAGACGGGCAATACGCGCCACTGCTGACTCGTGCACTGGTCGCTGCACGCGGAGGTAAAGCGACCCGTCGACTGTTCGAGCGCCGGCTGCAATGAGTTCCCCGTCGCGAACACGCCGCGGAACGCTCTCTCCTGTGATTGGCTCTAAACTCACATAGGCATCACCACGAGCAATCTGGCAGTCACAGGGGACCACTTCTCCGGCCTTGACGAGGATCAGGTCGCCTGGAGTCAGCTCTGTTACCGGAACTTGATGAGCGTCGACGGTATTCAGAGTTCCATTCTCCGCAACTAGTTCGAGCGGGGTGTCCGTATCGCTGGCGCGACGCAGCCGCCACGCGTACTCGGGTACGCTGTCTCGGAGAGCGTCCAGGTCGCGACGCGCTCGAGCCCGGATGGCACCCTCTGCTGCTCGCGATACCGAGAACAGCACGAATAGAAGGGTTCCTTCCAATAAATGACCCACGGCTAACAATAGTAAAGCGGCGAGGTTCATCAACACGTCCACCGATAGAGACGGCTTACTCAACAGCGTCCACAGCATCTCGAGTAGCGACGGCAGTCCAGATAAGACAAGACAAGCAAGAACAAAGGCGCGTTGCATGAATATCCAGCTAAAGTAGATAGCAGCGCGCTGGGTTACTCGCGGAAGAGCGTGCTGAAGCAGGGTCAGTGTGCAAGCGGCGCACCAGAGACCAGCAGACAAGCCTTGCAGCTGGAGCGAGTCCCGCCAGCCAACAAGTCGCTCGAAAGTCGGCTGCAGCGGTCCAAGAACTCGGAGCAAGCCTGTCGTGCGTGAACCAGCACCAACTGCGTCCTGAGCGCCGCAGCATGGAGCAGCGTAGGCCTGCGCTTCAGACGAGCGTGGAGACGCGGTTGCGCTTCGCGTGCCACTGCTCTCGAGTGCGTGGCGTTTCTTTGTTGGCTCAGAATCATTGTGACACTGAACAGCGTACCGAATCGTAACAGCGCCGCGTCGTCTACTCAGCTTCGTGGCTGCGGTTGCGTGCTCGCCGTCAAGTCGCGTACGCCGCTGGTGAAACGGGTGACACCCACGGAACCTCCTTCGATCGAGTTCCCAGCCGCAATGAAGACGGGATATCGGAACCCATTTCACCTGAAAAGCCCAAGTTGACATACTCGATAAAGAGCGTGCCACTCGGCAACACACACTCGTTGCCGGGCCCGTGAGGAACAGCACCTTGCCGCACTGTCGCTAGGGATGCAGTTTCTAGATAACGTTTCCAGAGGGCAGCGATGAGTCTCCGTGCGCGGATGCGCGTCCTCATCGCTTGAGCATCGTGATCGCCCGCCGTTGTACCACTGGCGATCATCCGCTGCGCGTACACGTATACCAGTGCGTGTCCATGGATGCTTTTCTACATGCATGCCTATACGTGTCCAATGGTATGTATCCATGTCCATGGGTGCTTTTCTACATGCACGCCTTTACGTGTCCAACGGTATGTGTCCGTGTCAATGGATGCTTTTCTACATGCATGCCTATACGTGTCCAATGGCATGTATCCGTGCCCATAGATGCTTTTCTACATGCATGCCTATACGTGTCCAATGGCATGTATCCGTGCCCATGGATGCTTTTCTACATGCATGCCTATACGTGTCCAACGGTATGTGTCCGTGTCCATGGATGCTTTTCTACATGCATGCCTATACGTGTCCAATGGTATGTATCCGTGTCCATGGATGCTTTTCTACATGCACGCCTATATGTGTCTAATAATATGTGTCCGTGCCCATGGGTGCTTTTCTACATGCACGCCTATATGTGTCTAATAATATGTGTCCGTGCCCATGGGTGCTTTTCTACATGCATGCCTATACGTGTCCAATGGTATGTATCCGTGTCCATGGGTGCTTTTCTACATGCACGCCTTTACGTGTCCAACGGTATGTGTCCGTGTCAATGGATGCTTTTCTACATGCACGCCTATATGTGTCTAATAATATGTGTCCGTGCCCATGGGTGCTTTTCTACATGCACGCCTATATGTGTCTAATAATATGTGTCCGTGCCCATGGGTGCTTTTCTACATGCATGCCTATACGTGTCCAATGGTATGTATCCGTGTCCATGGGTGCTTTTCTACATGCACGCCTTTACGTGTCCAACGGTATGTGTCCGTGTCAATGGATGCTTTTCTACATGCACGCCTATATGTGTCTAATAATATGTGTCCGTGCCCATGGGTGCTTTTCTACATGCACGCCTTTACGTGTCCAATGGTATGTATCCGTGTCCATGGGTGCTTTTCTACATGCATGCCTATATGTGTCTAATAATATGTGTCCGTGCCCATGGGTGCTTTTCTACATGCATGCCTATACGTGTCTAATAATATGTATCCGTGTCCATGGGTGCTTTTCGCTCTGGATATCAGAGTAATTTGGATGACAGGGCCGAGCGCTTCGCTCGAGTCCGTCGACGAGTTCCAGACGTCCAGCGAGGGTGTGTTCGTTTTTTCAGTACAACGTGCATAAAAGATGAGCAACATGCCGTTTACATAGCGGACGTCCAAGCATCGCCTTCAACAACGAGCAGGAAACGGACGAGGGTACCCGCCTTGCCATGCATCAACCGCGCCTGGGGCGATCGCGCGTCTAGTATTGTTACGTTTAGAGTCAACGCGTCGAGGCAACTCGTCAGTCGCCGCTGCGCATTGGAGTGCTCTCTGTGGCGAGCCCCCGGACTCGCGCAGAAAACCCAAGTTCAGGGCAACAACTCGATTTAGAGTATGTAGTAGACCGATGATCGCAAACCTATCAATCTTCTTTGCAAAATCAAATCCGAACGGGAATGACAGAAAGCACCCAATTGGAATCACCCGAGCCATTTGCAGTACTTGGAGGCGGAAAAGCGCCAGCCGTCACCCATCCCGATGCGTAGCTACGTGTTGCTGGCGAGCTGCCCTGCGACGCAGCTCGCAACGCGTACCCTGAAACCTTGAACACCCCCGTTGCTTGATCGATGACATGCGGAAGCGTCCGTTCAGTAGATCGATCCGATTTTTCACCGCTTCATCGGCTGGGTTCGCGCAGCACTAGGGGTGCGCTTCCGTGTATCGATGGTATCCTAAAGAGACTCGGAGAGCAGCGCAACACCATCGCGGTCGATGCTGCCAATGCGATTCACGGGGATCGCCTGCGGATGCACGCGCCAGTCGGAGATCCCGCCTAGAGACGGAGCGCTGCACATCGCTTCCTCGTCCTGCTCCTCCGATTCAATGTGCGGCTGCAGGCGCGCCTGCCTTTGAGGTTGTCGCACCCAACGCCTGGCTACGCTAGGCAGAAGCCAAGGCGTCTGTACTATCGTGCAAATCGGCCGCATTCATCAAAAAAAGGAGGCTGCCTTAGCCGAACACGCAGTGCATGAAGCGCTTCTCCTAGCCGTCGTGCGGGGTACACCATTCGCGAGACTCGTATCGCCCCAGAATCCTGAGAATAAAGTACCGAAATTTGGTCGGGAGCTCAACATACTAGGTTCAAGACGAGATTTCCAGATCTAGTGCATCGAGCGGCGCTCTGAAGAAAACAGGCTTGGCGATGCCCCTGGAGATGACGTCTCACGCAGCGTAGGGGCGTTTTCGCGGTCACTGTGCGCCGGACTCGTGGTATCCTGTTCCGCTGCGCTCGGATGAAGCTGCCGTACCGCACTGGTGGCGCAGTGAGTTGATGCAACAGAACGCTGGTCGGGCTCATACTCGTAGCCAGCAATATTCCAGCCGAATGTCGCTGCCGGAGCGTTTGTGAAATTCGGTGCAGCAACACCATCACCAACGCCAACACAATCACCAGCAGCAGGAGTCTCCGTCACCAAATTGGCAGTGGCGCGTATCGCTGACTCGCGCGGGTAGCGTTCGACATGCTCAGCTGCGAACGCAGGTGGTGCTGCAGTAACCTCAGCAACAGAAGCGGCCTGGTCCACCGGCCGTCGCCTGGGTCGGCGCACCCGTAGCCACCATATACCAGGGCCGTAGCTCGCTGCAACCCACCAGTGTCGACGCCTGCTCGGGCGCTTACCGGGAGCACACGCTGCTGTTTGGGATGCGTACAAGTCCTTTGGCGTTTTTGAGAAGAACAATCCCGGGCCATAGGACGCCGCCACAGACCAAGACGGTCGTTCTGGCCTGATCGCAACACTGCCATCGACGCGGTTCCTAGCTTCGGAGTCCTGGGGTGTGCGTACGCGCGTTTCACCGTCGCCAGTCGCTCGGGTGTCAAAACGAATAAGAATACGAGGCTGTTGCTGTGAGTGAGGTCCCTCGGATACAAACGGCAGCGCCGGTGCCCAGGATGCAACGCGGTGCCTCTTCTGGGCGGCTCGTTGTTGAGAGCGCAGTTGCCGGGCACGCTCGCGCAGAGCGGCGGCCTCGGTCTCCCGTCGCAAGCGGCGCATAAAGGCATTGTCTCGCATTTCCGGACGACCTAGCATCTCCGCTTGATTCAGTAGGAAACGCGCCTCGGCGATGACCTCTTCGGGTGCGTAGCCTCTCATTTCCCCGTAAGGTAGCACGAGCAGCTTACTGAGATTCCGGAAACTGCACGCCTTAGAATTCGGAAAAGATGCACACAGGATACTCACGCGTATGGACAACTCGAATTTGCGTCTAGTGGTGGCGAAATACGGTTCATGGGACGGATGCGGTGTAACAAGCTTGTACCACGCCCGTGCCGTTCGTATCCAAATGCATACTTCACCGTAATCGATGCACCATTCGAGAATACGACTAGTTCGAATCATCGTTGGTCGGAGCTTGACACTTCCAGGACCAGCGCCCGGGATCAGCAGACCTTCGGCGACGAGCGAATTCGGCGTTTCCAGAGCTCCCGGGCCGCCGCCAGTGTTGCGTTTCGCGGACGTCTGCTCCAATTCCAGGGCATCCAGACAGGCGTGCTCTCCCGTACACTCGTCCAGGATGCGGAACCAGGTGAGAAGCCGCTGCGGGAGTGCGCTTTCTGTGTTCGTTGCATCAGCAGCGTTATGATGAGAGCTACTTGCATCAGTAGCCGGCAAGTTCATCTCAGGTGGAATATGCTCCTCTAGTACCATGGCATCGTCGTTAACGCTGCTCGATGACTTTGTTGCTGCCATGGTTTGCTCCTCTGCTACACCATTTTCACGTTCCTGAAGACGAGACGATGTTCGTTCCCTTCGCTGCAGTTGCGCTTCAGCTTCGGCGCGCTCCCGTTCGGCTGCACGAAGCGCTCGTTCGATTTCCGCTCGTTGGCGCTTTGCCAGACGCTCTATTCGTTCCAGTTCGCGCCGACGTTCCAACTCCTCGCGTCTGCGTTGGCGTTCCAGTTCCTTTGCTTCCTCTTCACGCTGCTTCCGCAGCTCCTCTTCCCGCTGGCGAGCAAGTTCCAGTTCTTGGACCCGGGAGGATGTCCGTTTTGTGGCAAGCAGCCGCTCGAGACGTTCTCGACGGCGTTGCAAACGCTCTAATTTGCGACTGTGCTCTTCCCAGACGGGAAGAAGTTCCTGCTTGAGCCATTGTCTCAAAGCGCGTTCTCTGGAACGGGGTCGAGCATCGTCCAGCGTCTCGATGAGGTCTCGCAGGGCATCCGGCCCCTGCGCAGCAACGCACCACTCGTAGTGCGGCGAAGGTTTTGCGCCCCTGCGTCGGCCTTTCGTGGATTTCAAAGCGCTCGTTTCTGTGTCGTCAAGCAACTCCCTATACAAGCGGCAATTGTCGTCAAAGTACCAATATAGCGCTCCGTTCCTATCGATGCCCACTGGCAGGATTCGCAGGTCGTCATGGTGTAGTTGCCGCAAATCCTTCAAGTAGCGGTTATCTTCGTTCGGACTACAGAGTACGAACTCGCAGAGCGCGTACAAAATGAGCAGGCGTTGGCTTGCCCTCAGCTGCAGGAACGCTTCCCAGCCACCGGCCTCGAGCGCATCCATGATAGACGCTGCATCTGCAGACTCAGTGCTGGTGGAGCGCTCCTCCGGATACAGCCCAAGGTTGATCATTTCCGCCAGATGCTGTTGAAAGAAACGAACGAACTGCGGAAACCATAAAGCATCCGCTCGTTGGACCCAGTCCGCACGCTGCAGTGCTGCCACTGCGCGACTCCCGTCATGCTCTGTTCTGGTGCCACTGCCAGTGCGATACCCAGCCAGGCTTGCCATTATTTCTGCCAAAATGGGCGCATATTGTGGCGTCTCCAGAGCGTGCTCGAGCTCCATGGGCGTCACGTCAGGAATGCCGAGGCGTTTGGAGAAGACTTGCAATAGACGCCAGGTCGCCGGCAGCTGCCACATCGCCGAGGGTTCTAACCCTTCTAAACTTCGCTCGTCCAACTCGTGCATAGAAATGTTTTCCAACTTCCGCAACCCTGAGGTGTAGATCAGACTCTGCCGCGGTTCTGTCGATATCGAAGCCGACTCTTTGACACGTTTCCGTCGCTGCCCCGGTGACCAGGTCGCTGCCTCTTCCGAGTCCTCCTCTGGAGTCGAGACCTCACTCTCTGTCGGTTCCGATGCTTCATCGGAACTTGACGAGCGAGACGTTGCTGGCAGGCGCCAGCGCGCCCTGCTGCTTACCACTGAACTATGCTCCGAGGAAGATTCCGAACTTGAAGAGGCAGCAGCCTCCTGGTTGGTGCGTCTGGTGCGAGCAGACCTCCGTAGCTGGCCGTCGACTTTTCGACTCCGCGAGCCATACTGCTCCTCCTGGATATTATCCCCACCTTTGAGCACGCCTGTGATGTTACGTTCGGCTTCTCGTGCCGCTTTACGGCGCGGACGCATATCCAGTTTAAAAGAAGCTGCGTTTGGCCCGTCTCCTAGCGTTGCGTTTCGCCAGCCCCGGTTGAAATGTTCGCGGCGGCGCGCAGCAGCTTTTGATCGTGTCGACCCTGCATCAGATTAGTCGTGAAGAGGAAGCAGAAGCAGAAGCAGCAGCAGGTTGAGCTAACGTTCATCAAGGCAACTACACACTGATCTACCTTTGTTTGATGACTACGGCAGTAGAAATGTCGCCACTAGGAAGCAGTAGCAGGAGGTTGAGCTAACATTCAACAAGGCTACTACAAACTGATCTATCTTTTTTAGATGACTACGGCGGCAGACAAGTCTCCACTAGGAAGCAGCAACAGGTCGAGCTAACGCCGATGAAAGCAACTACATGCAATACCCTTGATAAGTGACGACTGCAACAGTTGTGCATTCAATGGCACAGCAGGCACCTCTACGCTCGATACCCACTGTATTGATCCAAGTCTCGATCAAACCTCGACTCTAGTGAGGAACATGGGACAGGATCTGGTAAAGCGTCGCATTATCCTCAAAGAAGCGCCCTCATTCATTCCCTGGTCTACGATTGCCTTCGCACCTCCGCGAACGTCTGACTCGATTCGTAAAAAGTGCAGAACGTGGAGCATGGTGCGCTGCGCGGGCTGTGCGCCAGCTGGACGTGGCCAACCGCACTGTACGAGCGCTGCACTGCGCTGCGAAGCGAGTTCGGTAGAGCGCACGGCTGTTTAGAGCGCTGGAGCACCTGCAGGGCTACTCGCTTTGGAAGCAGCTGAGGCATGCAGCCAAATGGAGCAGCACCTCTGAACTGTTTGTGGCGATGGGTTTTACCAGAGTGCTGGGGTCCTCTCGGAATCCTCTTTGAGCAGATATCGCCGTACTGGTTTGCGTACGTTGGTGTGGCCCTCGCGATAGGACTCTCTGTGCTTGGGGCCGCGTGGGGTATATTCATCACGGGGTCTTCGCTCGTGGGGGCCTCGATTCAAGCTCCGCGCATCACTTCGAAGAACCTCGTTTCGGTCATTTTTTGCGAAGCGGTCGCCATATATGGAATAATTGCCGCTATAGTCATGGCGACTCGAATCGGCTACGCGTCTGTGGCTGAAAGCGACCCTGTCACCAAGTTCGGTGGATATGCGCTTTTCGCGGCGGGCCTGGTCGTCGGGCTGAGCAACCTGTTCTGTGGGTTAAGCGTTGGCGTCACGGGCAGTAGCTGTGCGCTGGCCGACGCCCAAGATGCAACAATCTTCGTGAAACTGCTTATCGTTGAGATATTTGCGTCAGCACTGGGTTTATTTGGGGTCATCGTCGGCATTATCATCAGTTCTAAAGCCACGCTCGGTGGCGATGCAAGCGCTGGTCGCTGACTAGTGCAAGGAAACTCGGGCCAATACGATTCTCAGAGCAGTGCGTTCTTGAACGCCTGCACCAGCAAACCTTTTCTGTTTTCTCGCAGGTATTCAATGAAAGGAATGTGGTCTATAGATTGGGGGAAGGTCGCAGCGGGACATGATGCTGTGAGCCCTACCTTACGAAGGAATAGTCATGCTCCTACGAGTCAGACATTCACTGGTCTGCATGTAGATGAAGCACTCTCATCGTAGTCCGTTCTGAACCTTGTGCATCCAAAATGGAGCTTCTCAAATTTTGTATAAAAAACTATCTTCTCGTCAATCCGTCATACTCCATATTTTCTCTACGATACGCTATCAAAGAAACCACACGGTGTGAAGCTTCCGTGGCATTGATTCGGAAATTGATGGAAAGACTCGGGTGGATAAAGAAACTGTCGCGTTTATACAGAAGACCATGGCGCGTTGGAAGACACACCACTGACTTTGCACTGAAAAATGGGCGCTTATCATACGAGGCACGGGTGCTCGCCCTATTCGATAAGGCTGAATTCGGGGGAAACGGTAGACCTGTACATGGATACACAAACAGGGGAAACCGCCCTTCCCAAGGAAGAAACAAGCGAGAATGACGACAACACAAGCCCTAGCGGCGTTTTGAATACGGTTTTCGCCTACAAAGCCCCGGACGGCAGAATCGTTGAAGGACTCATGCTTCGTGGATGCACTTTTTGGATCCTCCATTCCACATGCCTCTGTCATTTTTATAGAGAACGTCAATTTCTATCACTTGACAGCGGCCGAAGAGTACGCAAAATGAGATTGACATCCAGCTACTCATCATGCGAGCGAATTCTCCCTCGCTCAGTCCAATCGAAGGCGTCTTTTCTATTCTCAAACGTCATTTTAGTGCTCAGAGATCAGTAGACGAGTTGTTCGCATCGATATGACAAAAAGATGCAGGGTGTCATTCCGGATCGCGCAATTCCCGACTCGAGAAACGCTCGCCTAGCTTCCGTCACCTCGACGCACCGGGCCTGGCAACTCTCACCAGAAATTCCGGACGCATGATTTCAAACGGTCCATCTCAATCCGAAAATTTTCGATCAAATATTCGTACAATAACGGAACTGATATTCGGGACAGAATGTGCAATACGACCTGATCGCGTGGTCAGAGACACGCCTCCGCGCTTCCATGAATATGTCGAGCGAACTTTCGAGGGAACCTTTCGCGTTCTGCGTAGGCATTCTGTTGGAATGCTAGAGAGTTGCCATGAAAAAGAATCAGTGGCCAGAGGATAGAGAGACACTGTAATTTCGCCTGATTCAAAGCACTAGTCTAGCGCGGTTCAGCAATCCAGAAAGACCGGAGTGCAGTATGGATTTACGGGAGGATGGCTTTCTCCAGAATATTCGTACAGCATAATCGCGTTCCATTATTCAACATGACTGAGTATAGCGCGGTGATTCCGGGTTCGCAACGCGACACCTGTGAACGCCTACTGCATTTTTCAGACACACGTCGCATCCATACGACTCCTTGGGACGCTACACGTCAGCCTCCTGGGCGTATTCGATAGCAAACATCGATTTGTTTACAAGCAGATTGCATTTTTGCCGGTCGATGCGACGGTGCATCTGAGGATCATATGTAGAGCGCGAGAACCTCAATCAGTCCACGAGGTCACGTTTCCTCACGAATCCTCGACGGGTACATGAATCTGTCCATACGCTGAACGGCGCTGAACGCAGACGTCCGGCGCGGCGATCATCCGGCGGATTCCAGCGCACCCTTACGCACACACACTCGGTGCTTCTGTTGTGCGCGATGATGCACAATTAAGCATTGCTTGGGGGTGCCTCCGACGCACCGCGATGAAATGCCGAAAACGTCTCAAAGACCAGACACGGCAGCGCCTCTTGCCAAAGCAGAAGAACCGCGCTACGAAAAGGCACCACGACCTCGGCTTCCCCAAGGAGAACGCGTGAGATTCCGTAGCGCGCAAGCTTCGCGACAACTGCCCGCAGTGGCGCATCCAGCGCTGCATTCGGGGGCGCATCAGCAATGGCGGTCGATACAGGCTCAGACTTCGGTGACGTGTCCATCATCGAGCGTGTATACGTGTCCGCAAGCGCTCCGTGACGATCCAGCACGTACGCCGCAGGCGCCGTGATCACCGCCACTCGCCCGGAGACAGCGCGATCGAACCTGCGTGCGTCACGCGCATGCATGCGAGCAGCGTTCCATGCGTGCTCGATCCACACATCAGATTCTGAAGCGGTGCCGAATCGTTTCGTTGTTCCAGTAATGTAGATGATCTGGCCGTTTGTGTTGATGAGATCTGTCGCGATGGATCCAGCGAGGACAACTCGTCGGTAACAGAGCTCCGTGGCCGTGCAGATGGTGTCCAATCGGGAACCACGCTCGAGGCGAGGCTGCTCGTCGAGTTTTCCCAGAGTCGAGAAGCTCGTCATCGCGGATGCACCAGTCATACTGGATAATGCTGGTGCGATGACGACCAGATCGAAGGTGCCCAGCTCTTCTCGCAGGGCGAGCACTGCATGACGAGTACCGCTGCTCTGCATGTCTAGATCCGTGAGGTGGAGCAAGCGAAAGTGCAGCCCAGGGGCCACCTCCGTACAGACGGCACGCGCCTCTTCAAGCGCTGCGAGGTGACAATCCACCCAGCTGATGCAGATATTCGAATGCTGCGGTTTGCTTTCGTTGGACTGTTCTGAGCGTTCACGCATAGCCTCCATGCAGATCACTCGAGCCATTTCCTGGAGAAATGGCGACGCGGCTCCGCCGAGAAAGCACACGCGGCGCGGCCAGTGTGGCTCTGTCCAGAGCACACCCGCCTTGTATCGCGGGAACAGACGCACCCATACGTAGATGATTGGAGACAAGAGCGCTGTCATCATGAGCACCAACAGGCGCACACCAAGAACCAGCATGAACCAGGCATATTCCGCAAAATATCGCCGCAAAATTGGGCCTCGTAGGGTCACCAGTACACACAACGCTGTCCAGAGCCGGAGCGCCATCTGCCGAAGTTGGTGCATGACTACCGCGATCGAACTGAAGAAGCCTCTGGCCTGTTGGCTTACGGATCTATCGATGCCGTCCAGAGAAGCTGCAGGCTGCGCAAACGACGCCGCTCCGGCCGATGGCTCTGAAGACTGTCGCTCCGAGGTATTGTCGGCAGCGTCCTTGCCAGCGCTGGCAAACCATCGAAAACGGCAAGTGCTTTTTCGTTTGAGTACACGAACAAACCTTGGCACACGTCTTACGCGCTGTTGTAGCTTCAAGTCGTTCAAATCAGTTTGACGTCGCCTAAGTAGCGCCCGAGCCGGTAACCAAGCCTCGACACCACCAGAATGCAACGCGTGGCCGTGAAAGAAACCCTGCTGAAACGACGCTCTCCGACATGAACGCCATGCTAAAGTCACTTGAGTGAATCCACACCGCAAGTTATTCTGATTGGATCTGGGTGCACGCACTGACATGAACGGTGTCCAGTAAAGTTCTCGCTAATAACCGCTGCGCTGTTTCACTGCGTATATGCCACTCGACGAAGCGCCTGCCTATCGGCGAATCCGCACCAAAAGCGCGCTGCTTACACGTCTTGCTCTTCTGAACGATGCCGCAGGGTTCGCTGTTGTCATCGTCATCGGCAGCATCTGCAGGTACTTCAGTCACTGCACATAGGGAACCGACTAGATGGCGACGACGATGGCAGCGGCAAGCATCAGACAACGAAACAGAACACCACGTGAACTTGGAGCTCCAGTTACCCGAACCGCCAAGCCCCGAGGCAGCAGAGGCGCAGCTGGTTGCAACGCTGCTGCAGTCCTGGGAGCGGTCCTTGCAGCGCCCGGTTCCCGAGTCGAGCGATGATGAACCTGCCTGGGTGCAAACTGACTTTGCGTGCGTGCATCACTACCGCGAGTACTGGATACGCCGCATAGAAAACGAGTGGGTTGCAGCAGTCGCAGAAAGCGCTGCGCTGAGGGTTGAAGTGAACGCTTGGGCAGTGACCATTGCCTCTGTAGAGCCGACCTGCACGGACTACGCTGATCGCGCTGTTCTTCAGTGGGCAGCCGGCGTCGATCCGCCACCAGACCTGGATTCACAAGACGTATACTTCCTGCAAGTCGAACGCGGGCGCAACGCTGCGTCTGGCGCTGGGCCCATCGTTCCTGCTTTACGGTTGACTCGATTGGGCTTTGCGAGCTGTTCAGGGAACGTTCATGAGTTTAGCGTTTGGATTCCGCGAAACTGCCTCCATATGCAGCAACGCACTGGTACAGTTGCCCGACTATGGCGAGCGTTCTCCGATGAGCGCGAATGGCGAACTGGGCTTGTACCTTTTGTGCGACAGCTCCAAGCGGTAACCCGGCTAGGCCAGATCCATCGACCGCTCTTGTATGCGCTGATCAGGCCCCAGGAGCATTTCAGTAGCGGGCGTAATGTGCCGCCGAACGCCTTGCCAGGTTTCCAAACACGGAAGCAGCAGCAGCAGCAGCAGCAGCAGCAAGAGCGCTATGCGAACATCCGGGAGATGAATAGTGGCGGGAGCGTCAAACCTGATTTTTCTCTTGGTTTGTTGAATGATGGACAGATGCGAGCGATTACAAGAATTGTAGAGGCTCGCCCCGGCTCTGTGACGTTGATCGTTGGCCCGCCAGGAACGGGAAAGTCGCGGACCATCATCGGGGCGCTGAGACGTCTCACGGGAGAAACACCAGCGCCGCGTCTTCTTGTATGCGCACCGTCAAATCATGCGGTGAGGCTGCTCTACGAACAGTTCCGGTCGCAGTCCGATACTACGCGGCCGGTTGGTATTGCGTGGTTACAGGCGCAATCCCAGCGACAGGAACATGCCAATAATGCCCCAAACTCCAATAACGATGGCCAAATAGGAATCGAGTGGAACGCTCTTGTTCATGACGTTCCCATACGGAACGCGGACGTTGTCTTCGCGACTCTGAATAGTGCAGCTGGGCTAGGGTTTCAGGGTACGGGGAGGATGCGAGAGCGACCCTTCCAGTACGTGATTGTGGATGAAGCGTCTCAAGCTGTTGAGCCGGATACGCTGATACCGCTCATCCTCGAGTCTTTTTGCCCGACGAATTTCCCGCATGGTGATCGGATGGAACCCGAAACCATCGCTCCAAGCAGACTTGTGCTTGTAGGCGATGCTCGACAACTACCCGCCACAGTGCGATCGCGCTTGAATCAGGCTAGTGGATATGACAAGTCGCTTTTCGAGCGACTTTCCGAGGCTGCAGAACGCGTCCACGGAGCTGCGCTGTGTTGGCTAGACGAGCAGTATCGCATGCATCCGTCGATCGCCGCGTTTCCGTCACATTTTTTCTACGGGGATCGTTTGCGTACAGCTTGCCAAGTTTGTGAGCGTCTGAGAGGCGTCGACTCTCCGATAGAGCTTTTGGACATGTCAGGCGACGCCGAACATCGAGAAATTCGAGTGGCCACTAGCCTGGCAAATCCGTACGAGGCAGCTCGACTTGTACGATGGTTAGCTGAGAATCAACCGAAACTTGTCGGAAGTAGGAAAGATCCGCTGACTGTTTTGTTGATCACGCCGTACCGGGCTCAGGTTCGTTTTCTGGAAGAAGCGCTTCAGGAGTTCCATCTTTGGACGCCAGCAGCTGCAGCATCGTCGCAACCAACACGAAGCCGTCAGGAATATCGAGTTGCCACCGTGGATGCCGCCCAGGGTGCAGAGGCTGACCTCGTGATTTTCAGCCCTGTTCGGAGTGCCCGACACGGAGTGAGCGCATGTACAACGCCCCGAGCGCTGAGCATCGGTTTTGTGGCGGATACCCGGCGACTCAATGTAGCGCTCACAAGGGCACGATCGCAGCTCGTTGTTGGCGGCGACCTGCTTACGTTGGTTCGAGCCTCACCAGTTTTTGCCGCATGGATAACGTTTCTGTGTGAGCGCAAGCTCGTTCCGAACCCGGAGGCACTCTGGGAACGTCTCTGTGAGGGACTCGAACACCCGCCAAACGAGCGGACAACGCTGGTGGATACATCGGATCCTGTGGCGTCCGGCTTCGCGGATGCATCCGAGGCTGCAAAGGCGCGCAAGCCCGATGTCGTCGCTAGGCAGAACCGTCGTAACGAGGCGGCCTGCGCGCCCATCTACCCATGCAAGATCTGCCGGCAGGCGTCAACCCGGATCTCTGCCGCAGTAGCTCGGAAACAGACACTGGGGTCCTTGCAGGAGCCGCGGTCTACGCGACACAGTCCTACCGCTGGCTTGCCACCAGCAGTGGCATCGATTTCCTGCGCAAAAATGAAACGCACACAGAAGGATGCGCGGATAGCTGCAGCGCGTGCCGAGGCCGCCACTGCACGCATCATTCACTCCGATGACGACGCATCATCCGACGCGGGCTCGCTGCCGACCAGAGGCGGGAGAGCAGCGCAGCTGTTGCGAAGGCATCGCACCAACGGCGGCGGGTATGCTACAACGCGACCGCAGCCAGTGCACAAGGGTGTCGACCGGCGCTGGCGCTCCTCGAGCGATGCTATTGCCGGCACCAATGCGGATCACTTTACGAAGCGGATACGGGCAGCGAGACCAGCGCCATCGTCAGTTCCAGGACTGACTGGGGGATCGGCACCGTCGGCCGCCGCGTTGGCGACTGTTTTTGAATCACCATGGCCCCGTGAACGCGTTTCTGCCGAGCAGCAACGCCAACTCGATCGCGTCTCCTCTGTGCAGAGGTTCGCTCTCGGTGGAGCCACGACGACACCAGTAACGCTGGCAGTTGGAGATCGTTTTCGCGAGCCCTCGCTGCACACTGGATCCGTCGCACGAAACTCCACGGCAGTGCAACGCATCGCGAGCCGACTTGCCGAAAGAGCAAAAGACACATTGGAGAATGTCCGCCGTTCAGCGATATTCGACAAGGAAGGCTCTGGTGATGCGCGCTGAGCGGTAAACGTTCGTATGTGTGTGTGCATCGACGACGCGTGCACGCATGCACAGACTGCCGTGCGGACACGCATGCTATGCGTGCACATGGTGATGCACGCACACGCATACGTGTCCGGACACGTGTCCGTGTTGCAGACACTTCGAGGCTGGCATTTCCACGTTTCATTTGCGTTGTTTCAAGTCGTCGTTGGTGCATCGCGCACAACGAGTGTCACTGAATGGCATCGCAGGCGGTGTGGCGCGGCCTCTTCCTGTTGGCGGCTACGGAGCCGCGTGTATGGTGCGCGCCCTGGCACGCTCCACGCAACCACATGGTGCCGTTGTAATCTAGGTCTTCCCGCTAGCCATTGTTCCTGTTAGCTGCCAGAATCTCTTCCCGGCTGACGCCGAGAGCATAGTGCTCACGTCGCGGCGCGCGCAGCCGTGCGACTCGGTTGCGTGCGTCTGCCGTGGCGCCGTCCGAGATCGATTCCAGGCTGCTTCCAGAGGTATGCCACGTGCACCGAGCCCGGACTGGTGCAGACGTTGCCGATGCTCCGCGTCTGGAGACGGTAGCTCGTTCGGTGTATCCGTTTCGAGTGCTGGTAACGAAAAAATGAATCTTTATCTCCGAAACGCGTTTGGCTGCACAGTTGGATCTATGGCTGCAGCGATACGTATCCATGACTGGAAGCAGAGCGATCTCGGTTGCAGCGTATTCTGTTGCAGGACGACTCTTGTCATGGGATCTGCATGCACGAACGTTGAAGCGACTCAGCGAGCAGGTACCAGCGGCACTGTGAAGCGGGCGTCGAGGTCGCTGCTGCTGCTGTCGTCGTCGCAGATTCGACGCCATAGCTGCGCGTTCCAAAGTGCCATGCGGGCTCGTTCACGAACATCAGGCGCTGCGTCATGTTCCGCAACCTGACGCAGCAGTACTAGCACCTCCAGTTGGGCGAGATGGTTCCGAATCGTCCTCATGACTTGCTTCGTGGTCTGATCGGGTTCCTGCGGGGGCTCCGCTGCACCAGCCGGGGGCAACGGGGCCGCTGTGGTTTTGCGGTGGAATCCCTGAACGCTCAGCGTGTCTAGGCGATGCGGCATATACCGCAACAAGTTGGTAAAACACCAGGAAGCAAGGAAGCGTTCCAGTACCTCGGACGATTTGAGAAAGCTTGCCAAACGTTGTAAGAGCTCCCGACGCGCCAGAACTTGCGCTCGCAGTGGAATCGCATCCGCAGCCGCCACAACCGTGAGAAAATTCAATGCATGGACGCGTACGTCTACGTGCGTGTCCGGGTGCAACGCAGCGTCCAGGCGTTCGGACAGCCCCATTGGGCTCTGCAGGACCAGAAACAAGCATGCTTCGTGCTCGCTCTGATCGCCGTTGGAGTAGACGATGTTGTGAAGCAGCGCCCACGATTGCGCACAGACGTCCGCGGCTTGCCTTACGTCCGTGAGCATGTCGAGCGATCGCCATGTTAAAAGGTCCATCAGCGATTTTTTCTCGGAACTCGATGCTGCAAGCGCCAATATTCGGATGATTTTGATAATTTTCGCCACAAGGTGTTGTTCGGTACGTGCAACCGTCTGATGTCTTGCATTAGGACCGGATTGCTTGCTCTCGGCGATGCCGTGTCCGACCGCGCTGCCTAACGCAGGAGAGCAGCCACGCCAGACATCGGCAGCATTGAGCGCTTCGGGATTCGCAGCTCGCGCGCCGGAGTCATGCGAAAGGTCCCAGCGATGCAGGTAGTCATGGACAAGGGAGACTAAATTCTGGAGAGCGCGCTCTTGATTCATCAGCGCTGTTCCCAATGGACACGGTGGCATCGCACACTGCGCAAGCGCATCACATGCCGCGCACCGCACGACATACGGCGCCGAACTTGTCAGAATCATGTCGAGAAGGCGCTCACTGAGGCTCGGATGCAGACCCTGACGCTGTCGGTTCGGGATCAATGCCATGAGCGAAGCCAGCGCCTGGGCGGTTGCCTCAGCCACGCCGAACGATAGCTCTGGGGGCGCCCGCCGTACCCATTCCAGTAATTTCAATAGCAACGCCATAAGTTTGTCGTCTACAAGAATAGGCTGAGTATGCTCTCCATTTGAGGCGATCAGAGCCAACGCTCGGAGCGCTGACGTGCTTTCACGCTCGCTCTGGGCGCCCGGGTTGGCTGATGGCAGCGAGGCAGCCGCAGATGTGCGTCCACATCGCGTGGGACTTGCGAGTTCCAGCCTAGAGCGCTTGCTCTCCTGGGAACGCACGGATTCCGGTAGCGATGCCAATCGATCACAGCTCTGCTCGATAACATTCACAATTACCGGAATGGCGCCAACATCAAGGGCAACTCGCCGGAAATGCGAAGAGCTGGCCAGGAGCTTTTCCACAAGCTCTACGACTTCTGCTTGCCGCAGCTGCTGAGCGGGCACCTTGGGATCGAAATAGATGCCGAATTGCGTCCAGGATTTGCCGGGCTGCGGCTGGCTCGGTGACGCTAACAGCGCGAGCAATACCGGCAGTGCGGTGGCGGCGAGTTTCGATGCGTCATTCAGCATCCCGGCAATGTACAGGTGCGCCAGAATCTTGACACTGAAGAACCTCCGCAGCGGTACCGGATCGTACAAACCCCGCCAGAAGCGTTTTGCACTGCGAGAGTTTCGCGCAAAGGTCTCCGCAAGCAACGCTGCGGCGGCGGGGGCGTCCTCGATAAACGTCGATATCAACTCTAGCATGGTCGTACTGAGCGATCCTGGGTCATCCGCATCCTCTTCAGAGCCATCAGAGTCCACGGTACGCACGTCTGCGTCATTTTCGGTGTTCAGGTTGGAATCTGGCATCCGTTTGAGATCCGCGACGATGACATCCATCGCTCCCGCCTGTAGCAGCTGTGTGCGCCCTTCGTGGTGCCGTGCCCATACCGCAATGGTTTTCAGTGCTTCCAATCTGACCAAGCCCTGATCCTGTTGGACACAACGGAGCAGTGCCTCCGCGTCAGCACTCCGCCAGGCAAACCGCGCTCGATCGCAACCAACGCGTAACCTAGCGGCCGTGAACTGCCGCATGGTGCGCAACGCGGCGACTTTAAGAGCATTAGGCGACGACTGCTGCAACGAGTCGGCAATAAAGCGCGGGAGACGCTGTTGTTGTGAAATCTCGGCCTCTGCAGGTGGACAGTCGCCGTAACACAGCGTTCCCAGGAGCGCCAGCAACGCTTCCTTCACGGAACTGTCCATTCGAACAGCATCTTCAGCGCAGTACGCAAGCAGCTTCGCGAGCGCACCACTTTCCACGACCCAAGCTTTCCGTTCGGTATTTCCGATGAGGAGATTTTTCAACGTGTTGAGCACTGGGCCTTTACCACGGAGGGTACGCGTTTCCCCAAGCTCCCGGAGAGTTTTCTGCAACGTGTAGCTGAAAACATCCGAAACTGAAGCGAGTTCCATCGTTCCCACTGCTCCAGTGTGCATTTCGCTTCGCCCGAGGTGCTCGGTCCTCGGTTATGTGAACACTGGAATACCTGCAGAAGTGCAGCAAGCAAAACGCAGTGACGCCTCGTTTCCGAGCGCACGACGCCGACCGCAAACTCCGTTGCCTCTCGAGATGCCGGGCCCAGATTTCGCATATGTTGTGATTGTTTCGATGACAAAACATCCATTTACCATATATCCCCGGTTTCGGGATGGATGGATAATGGCTTTCGGGAAAGTTTCTATTATGATGCAACCTACCTTCAAGTGCCATTAGTCAGACTTCCTTCCGGATATACTGGTCGTTTCGTATGCTCTATTGAGCGTCGAGCGCCTGCCGTGAGCGCCTGCCGTAGCGCTCATACCGCTGAAGCAGATGCACCGCAGCAGCGAAACAGCTTTGCCATACCACTGAGGGCGTCCGCTCGAGGCGTAGTTCACTCGACACGGGGTCGGCGTACATCAGCATTCTGGGAGCCTGCGAGCTGCGCAGACAGACGTACTGCCTGTGGCAGCGCGAAGCGATATACCAGGATACTTCGGCGACCAAGGCGATGCCCAAACGCAGCATACCTGTTCCTAGTCCAAGAATAAATTGCGCTGCAGACAAGTTGCTCAGGTCTCGCAACAGCACCCACCACTTTCGAGGCACACTGAGCACCAGCTTAGCAGACCCGTCCGCCTCGCCGGACCTTCCGCCTAGAAGGTAAACTTTCGACAGTAAGGAAACCTTTTGTCCGTTTTAAAGTTTATCGTAGAGAGGGAACGAGATTTTTATTTCGTTGCCTGTGCATCGCTAGTCTCTGTTCAAAAATATCAACGAATCCCTGATCAATGCCTCGTGTTCCTGGACGGATTTCGCAGCCACGACGCACAACATGATCAAACTGCACGTGTTCCGAGTCATGTTTCGGATGTTTACAATTCAAACGAGGAACTAGTACATCTTCGTTGCGGCTGGAGGCGAGTGTTGTCGCATGCAGTGCGCAGGTTTTCGTCCAAGTTGTGCTGTGCAGCGTGTAACGCTAGTTGAGGGCCCGCACGTTGCTGGCGCCTATCGGAGTGCCGCATGGTGCGCAGCGACAGCTCGTTGCCTCCGCAGGCTATCGAGCGTCTCACGCTCGCATCTGTCAATAACCGACGCTGACCCTTGGTCATGTTCTTGGTTAGACAGCCCGCACCATCGATGCCATCGCGTGCTGTAGCGATCGCTCGGATGTTCTATCGCGGGGCTTGCTTGCTGTACCCGTCATCGATAGACGCGGCTGCTTGGTACGAAGTCTACGCGTCTTCGCCATCAGGCACTGCTTACGGTGTCAAGCTGGCCTGCTCCTTGCACTGGGTGCGTTTCACCTTTCGTTTTTCTTCGGGGGCGAACATGTTCTCCATTTCGTAGAAGCGGTGCAGGAGGGCGATGGATTCTTGAGCAAAATGACCCCCGCTAACACGCAGCGGTTTGCGGTTAGACGGCAATCCGCAGCTCCCGTCGTGAACTCGGAGCACAGTACCACAGCCGCCAAATCGTTCGTTTCTACAACCAAAGTAGACGTAGCCACCAACGCCGTGCGCAATCAGAGCAGCCGTGCACATAATACACGGCTCGCAGGTCACGTAGACATCGGATTTCGCTAGCAACGCTTCTCGACGTTCCATATGAGGGTAACGGTGCAGCACATCAACCAAACCTACCAATTCGGCGTGTTTGGTTGCATTTCGGAGCTCGTTGCAGCGGTTCGCTCCGTAACCGATAATCTCGCCGGAATATCGCTGAACCAGCAGGCATCCGACGGGAACTTCCGCGTGCCTTTCCATTGCACGCTTTCCTATCTCTAGAGCAATGAGCATGAATTTGGGATTAAACGTGGTATCCGTTGGATCAGCCGCAGTCAAGTTCCGGGCCAGCTGTGCTGTTCTCTGTGCACACTGGGCAGGTCGCACCGCACCATCCGACAGTGGAGGTCCCAGCGCTTCGCCGTACTTGGCCGCCGCTGTCGCATCCGATGATGAAGAAGCTACCAGTACTGGTGACGTGTCAGTTCTAGAGTCTTTGTGTTCTGGAACTTCGGTGAGACGTCCCCGGCCGCTGTAACTCGGGACGTCGACGCTAACTTGAGCACACTGCAGCCGCTGCGATTGTTCAGGAAGAATTGGTCGCGAGAGGACCAACTCACTGATCCCGTTAGCAGCTGCGTCTTCGCAGCAGTGACCGTCCGCAACAGAGCACCGCGTAGACGGAGGACTCAGTCGGTGCAGCGACTCCATTTCACTGAAGCGGTAGTCCGAGCGACCTCCAGACCGGATCACTACCCACACTGGACGCGGCCTCGAACGGCTCCAAGTCTAGAGTCGACTCACTATCTTTCGGTTACAGCACGCCGAAAGGAAACCGTATGCGTTGCGTTGTCTCGTTTTGACACTACAGCACCGTTGACTTGCCGTTTTTCCAAAACCCAGCAGGAAAGCGTCATCCTGATCGCCGTCGAGCCGCGGCGCAGACGAGCCCACCGACTGTTGCTATTCTCGTACACAGCTGCTTTTGCCGTCTACTTCTGCCTGTCTCGTCTGTTTTCATATTACTCAATTGCCTCTGCCTTTCTTGTTTGCCACGAATTTTGCCTGTCGCTGTGATACGACCGGAGAAACGCTACGACTCTTCTGTATACACGAACGACTCGGACTCGTTTCCAAGTCTACACCGAGGGCGGCAGCAGCAGCCAATGAGCATACCTTTAAACTTTAGCACCTACTCAGCGCCATGGCCGAGTCATCTGTGCACTCAAAAGCCACTGTTGGGAGGAGCCACTCTGGTTCCGCCTTGAACGAGCGACAAGAGGAACTACAGGCGGACGTACCTCGTCTGGAGCGCTTGCTGGAACTAGGTGTTTGTACCAGACTCCCTGCCGCACGACAGGAGGCGTTCGAGCGTTTGCGTCGCTGGATAAACGGCAGTGCGAACCAAGATGCTGCAGTAATCGCTGCCTGTGCTGTCATTTTCCGTCAGATGCAACGTTGTTTGAGGTGCGAACTTACTCCGAATTCGAAACGAAGGCGAACTTGTCATTCAGGTGCGTTCACTTCCGATCCAGATAGCAGGACGCTGGTCCACTTGCTCACGTTCCTCGCTCGTATCGTAGGCTTGTACGCACGTCGACAAGGGACACCGACAAGCGATGCCCTCAGCGCTGCATCGACAGTCGAGTCAAGGCCGGCACTGTTGCGATGGCTCGCTGCTCGACTTTTCCACCTCATCGACGCCATTATCGTTAGTGGTGTTGAGCGAACGGCGCTTGCGTCCCTGCCCGGCCCGTTAGCGTTTGCCAAGGCTGCTCGAGACCGAGTCATCGCGTTGGTTTGCCGGTGGCGTGATCTTTTTGCCGATGTAGATGAATCATTTCAGCAAGCGTATCTCTACACGTTTGAGATCTTACGCGTGCCGCAGCTGCAGTGTACAGAGGCTATTCTGCGACCACGCTTCTTTCGAAATCAACAGGAACTAGAAGCCTCGTTGCGGGTACAGATTCCGGCGCTGATCGAACGCCTAACTCGAGAGCACCTCCACTACAACGATGAAAACTTTCTGGGAACTCTGGAGAGGGAGTTCGGCATGCGCACGAGCGGATATCTCGGTATAGATGACGCTTCTGATCCAGGAGCCATGCAGCGCCTCGTTCCGAATCAGCAGCTGTCCGCAAATCAAGAGCTGTTGAAATTGTGGTCCAGGCATCGTGATCGTCTTCGAGACACACTCAAGTGGGTGAAAAGCGCTCGAACAGACCTAGAGCAGCGTCAACAGCTGTGGACGGGTCTTGCGACGCCTCATATCACCGCTGATGAAGTCTCCGTACACACATCACTGCGTGGGCTGGACGCTCGACTGTCTGCGTTCGAGACCCGGGTCCAGCTGTTGTGGTCACAAGCGGAGACGCTTGGCATCGAGCATCCAGCTGCTACCAGCGCCGATGACAATCCAACCGAGAATAGAGTACCCTCAGGGTATGCTTTCGATGATCACATGGCGATCAGCGAGCAAGAACTTGATGCGAACAACGATTTCGCCGACATCGATTTTATCGCTATACAAGAAACGTTCACTGGGACCGAGACATCCGAAAATGCGCTTACCTTTTCTCCGATTCATTCTGAAGGGGCTCGGGAAAACACAATAACCGACTCAACAGAGATATATGATGAGCGTCTGCCGCAAGATGCGCCATCATTACCTACTGATGCCTACGCGACCAGCACAGCGTCGAATCAGCATGCCCTGCAACATGCTGTAGATTTCACGCTTCCCGAGCAGATCAATCAACGAGGCTTCAGCGAAATCGAGCGTTTACTCCAGCGCCGAATCAGCAGCAACAGCGAGAACGTGAATGAAGAGGTCTTGCAGGCGTTTGAGGCTGCAGAGCTACACTTACTACGAGCCCAGACTACAAGTGACGCCACGACTACTGTCGCTGTCGCCGCGGACCCCCTTGAGGGATTCTTGCCCGCAGACCTGCGACCCAACCGCCGACGGTCGACCGTATCGTCGAAAGTTTCCGCTCAAGCGCGCACTGCTTTGCGTGCGTCTCGACATCGCTTAGAAACGCATCTTCGGCGCGTGCTTCCCCGTGCCCAACGTCAACGCATGCAGCAAGCAGAGTCGATATTCGAACACCGCCAACGAGATCGTCGCGCGTGAGCTTCCCTGGATAGCTGGAAAGTTTCTTGACGGCGATGAAACAGCTTCAGGGCCGCCATCATCTGTAATTGTTGAAAACGTCGTGCACTATATGAAGTCTATCACGTGAGGGATTGCTCGCAATCATTCGATTCCCGGTCCGGTTCCGGTCTCATGTCTGAGACTTGACACACCAGTTTGGGTTCCAAAATGTCCTTCGCTGATTGGATCAGTGCGAGTTCCGGTGGGACCCCTGCTTCAACAATCTCTCCCTCATCCAGGGTTCGCCGCAGCACATGGTACACTGTTGAGAACGCGTATTCCACAGCTTGTTGGAGATTTGGTACCCGAGCGCTCCACGCTAGCAGAAGCGCTGCAGACAGATCGCCGGTGCCGGTGAATGATCCGGGCAACCGTGACGGAAGCTGGAACCACTTGCTTTGTTTCCGAAGCGCTTCCGAGAGGTACACGCAGGGACGTTGGTGCTCGTCTGCCTCTGCACCGGTGACCACAATGACAGGCACCTGGTAATGCGTATGCAGCCAATGGCAGGCACGTTCGATGTCGGTCTCATGCGGTACGAGAAGTTGAAGCTCGTACGCGTTCGGAATAATTAAGTGCGCCCTTGGAATTAGAATATCTCGATAGGCCTCGACCATTTCGGGAGGCACGTAGAGCCGTCCGTTGTCGCCTAGAACCGGATCGCAGAGGTACCAAACCGGCTCCTGACCGGCTCTCTCCGAGTTAAGAAGGTCAATAAGCTCGCGAACGACCTCCAGGAGCTCGCGAGACCTAATATACCCTGTTAACAGGTGCGTTACGCTTTTTAAAAGCCCATTCGGTAGGAGGCCGTTCCAAACGATTCGTCGCAGCTGCTCGGCGGTGAGACTCTCCCCGGCTTTGTGGCGATATCCCGTGTGGTTCGCAAAGTGCACCGTGTTGACAGGATCCACGTCCCAGCCGAGCAATTGTAGAGGAAACGTAGCTGCTTTCTGACCCACATAGCCGTGCACCACGTGCGACTGCACGCTGAGTACCCGGGGCATGAAGAGCGTACACCAGGAAGCGCGAGAAGTTGCCACGCGAGCGCCTTGGTGGCCGTGCGCGAACGCAGAAGCAAAGCAGCGTATAGATAGGAGGCGTGGTGAGTGCTCGCGGCAGGCTATATACCCGGAATAACGTACGAGCAAACTGCCAGATCCGGAGGAAAGTATGGTTGGTGGTGTTGCTTGTTGGAACTTGGTGGTATGGCGCAGCATGACGGTCGCGGATCACGGTCGCGCAACTGCGTATTCCAGGTTTATGTATCAGCAATCCTACGCTCTAAGAAAACGTTCAGTCGATGGACTCGAAACAGACGGCTAACTACGACGCCGAATATACTCGCCGGGTCGTCGATGGTATTCACTGCATTATCCCCATCGACGGAACGTTGATACAGCGCTGTACTAGTCTTCTGCACGATGCATATCGGTCGTCGATCATATTCACTGCATTATCCCCATCGACGGAACGTTGATACAGCGCTGGACTAGTCTTCTGCACGATGCATATCGGTCGTCGATCATATTCACTGCATTATCCCCATCGACGGAACGTTGATACAGCGCTGGACTAGTCTTCTGCACGATGCATATCAGTCTTCGATGGTATTCACTGCATTATCCCCATCGACGGAACGTTGATACAGCGCTGGACTAGTCTTCTGCACGATGCATATCGGTCGTCGATCATATTCACTGCATTATCCCCATCGACGGAACGTTGATACAGCGCTGGACTAGTCTTCTGCACGATGCATATCAGTCTTCGATCATATTCACTGCGATAACACGTTTGCAGGTCACGGTATCGAGATCCACACTGGTACCGAGCAGATATCTTCTTTTTTTCAGCAAGATTCGTTGGGGTCAGCGCTGCAGCGCCAATGGGTGATTGCTCGTCTCAAGGTAGTCGGTTTGTGCCTGAATCACGGAACTTGCCGCTTTTTGTTTCACTTTGTTCTCAGTACCATGGTAGAACGTCAACTCTTACCGAAAACGGTTCGACCGCTTTTATATGATATCACTCTCGAGCCGGGACTGGAGCCTCGTCTACACGAGTCGGTGGCGACTTCTGACGGCGTTACGAGCGAGACGAGCGCTCCAGCGGGGCCACCAGCTGGATCGCCACAACACCCAGGTGATACTGAAGACGAAGATGCAGCGTTTACTTTCCAGGGACAGGAGACTGTTGAACTCGAGGTGCTCGAGGACACGAGCTCCATCGTTCTCAACGCACTTGAGCTAAAAATTCACAGTGCGCGCCTCAACGGCGTGGAAGCACACAGCATCACCAGTGACCCTGACGCTCAGACAGCTCGCCTGGAGTTTGGCCAAAAGTTTGCAGCTGGAACACGGGTGCGGTTGGAGCTGACCTTCCAGGGTATTCTGAACTCGAAAATGGTCGGATTCTATCGAGCAAAATATCAGGATCCAGAGAGCGGCACTGTCAAGTATATGGCTGTGACGCAGTTTGAACCGACCGATGCGCGGCAAGCTTTCCCCTGTTGGGACGAGCCCGCGCTCAAGAGCCGGTTCCGGATAACTCTCGTGATTCCATCGGATCGGCAGGCGATCTCGAATATGCCAGTGGAGCAGGAGACCGTTCGGACCTCGGATGGGCGGAAGGTTGTTCGCTTTGAAGAGACACCTCTCATGTCGACGTATCTCGTAGCGTTTGTCGTGGGAGAGTTCGATTATGTCGAAGGGCGCACCGCTGAAGGTGTACAAGTCCGAGTTTACACGCAGAAAGGAGTAGCTCATCAGGGCGCTTTCGCGCTCGATTGTGCCGTCAAAGTGCTTTCGTATTTCACCGAGTTTTTCGGTACACCGTATCCGCTCCCGAAAGAGGATCTAATCGCTGTTCCGGATTTCGCGGCTGGTGCTATGGAGAACTGGGGTTGCATCACATTCCGAGAGACCGCGTTACTATTGGACCCGGAGCGGAGCGCTGCAAGCGCTCGTTCCCGCGTTGCCGAGGTCGTCGCACATGAGCTTGCACATCAATGGTTTGGGAATCTGGTGACGATGGAATGGTGGACGCATTTGTGGCTGAACGAGGGCTTTGCAACCTGGGCCGCAGAACTTGCCGTCGATCATCTCTTTCCCAGCTGGCAGCAATGGATGCAGTTTGTTTCAACGACGTTTGCAGCGGCGCTGCGATTGGATGCGCTACGCTCGTCGCACCCGATCGAAGTGGAGGTCGCTCGTGCTCAGCAAGTCAATGAAATTTTTGATGCAATCTCGTACTGTAAGGGAGCTTCCGTTATCCGCATGTTGGCAAACTATCTGGGTCTCGAAGTTTTCCGCAATGGCCTCTGTCGTTATCTCAACAAGTTTACGTACGGGAATGCGAGCACGGATGATCTGTGGCAGGCGCTCGAAGAGGAGTCTGGCAAACCGATATCCCATATGATGCGTTCGTGGACGCGTCAGACTGGCTATCCTGTGATTTATTTTGATGATGCAAACATGATCGTTCGGCAAGAGCGTTTTCTGGCGGATGGCGGAAGCGTTTCCCATACATCTCGAGTGAATACGAACGCGGACAGCGACTCGAATACAGCACCGACGCACTGGGTCGTGCCCCTGGGCATGATGGATAGCAGTCAACCAGCAGTGCCGCGCTACTTCCTGCTCGATGCGAAGCAGGCAGAGCTTCAGTCGATATTGGGAACGGCGTCGAATGCTTCGGAGCAGCGCTGGATCAAGATGAATCCGCACCAGACTGGTACGTATCGCGTGAATTACACCCCAGAAATGTGGCAACGCCTAGTGGAGCCCATCCAGACCAAGGTGCTCGGCGCAACCGATCGACTTGGACTCGCCATGGACGCATTCGCCTTGACGAAGGCTGGCATTCTGCCGGCGTCTGTTGCTCTCCAAATGCTCGCAGCGTTTTCGAAAGAAGACGATTATGCATGCTGGCTCGACGTGGTTGGCTCTCTCGGAGAGCTCGGAGCGGTTTTCGCGTCCGACGAGCCCTCGCTACGGTCGCAGTTTGACCGCTTTGCCTGTGATCTCATGCGCTACACTGCTGAACGCATCGGATGGAAACCGGAACCCAACGAGGAACACGTTACCGCGTTACTGCGGTCGCTTCTGCTTGGGGCACTCGTGAAGCACGCCGATTCGAGCACTGTGAACGAAGCTCGCCGGAGCTGGAAGGCCGAACAGGACGGAACGGATCGTGTCCCGGCAGATCTTCGACTCGCAGTCATGTCTGCGGTCGTCCAGTACGGTACAGATGCGGATTTTGATGCAGTACTGCAAGCGTACGCCCAAGCGGTTATGGATGAGGAGCGGGTGCGCTGTATTCGTGCCCTCGGTTGTACGCGCGACCCGGCCAAAATCCGTTGGTTGCTCGACTGGGGTCTTGATCGTTCTCAGGTCAAGTCTCAGGATGCGATTTACGTCTATTCGACGCTGGCTGCGAACACGGACTCTGGACGTCGAGCCACCTGGCAATACCTGCGTGAGCATTGGTCGACCTTTTATCAGCGGTTTGGGAAAGGCAACTTTCTCTTGTCGAGCTTCGTTTCCTCGATACTCAGAGACTTTTCTTCTGAAGAAGCAGCTGAGGAAGCTGAAGCGTTTTTTGCCTCCATCCCAGACAAGGAGCGGGAGAGTATCCAGCGCACCATCCAGCAGAGCACTGAGCGCATTCGCGCGAATGCGGCGTGGCGCCAGCGGGACATGCACGCCGTTCGGGCGTGGCTTGCAGAACGCTGCGGCTGAGGCGAGCGTCCGACAACTCCCGGTACTGCTCTGTAGGTGTGTGCTGAGCGGGTGTGCGGAGCAGAAGCTGCACGGCGGCTGCCTATGGATCGACGACATCGGTAGTTGACGTCATTCGCATGGTGGACAGGTATTGCCCGGTGTTGGTAGCGACCGTGTTTGCAGCGACGAACAGGAGCATCTGACGTCGTTCCGTTGGCATCACTCGGATCTTTCAACAGTAAAGAAGGCTTGGACTGTACGCACCGACCAGAGTGTTCATCGACTCTGTGGACATTCCACGATACACTGCGCTGCGTTGCTCGCATTCGCTTTCCTCGCAAAGCGACGTTGGCGTTGCGCCCACAAGCGATCGCTGCAGCGCACGCTGGACAGTGATCCATGCATCGTGCACTGCCGCAGCACAGCTGACACCACACTCCCTCGCTACGCATCTATTATGGACCGTGAAAACACGCTTGAACGGTGCCGGCGACGATATGCATACTGGCGACGGTGAACCTAGTGATGTCGATTCCGATACGACGAAGGAGCAGAGTGTGCAGTGCCTCCCGTCACATATCTTGAAAAACACATGACTTGTGGGTGTTCATTCCCAAATCATTTCCCCGTCCGATGATTTCGCATCCATACAAGTAACATGCGTATTTAGAAGCCCGCTGAACACCGCCCCGAACGGGAAAGCAGCGCGTGCGTCTGCAGTCTGTGCTGCTCAGTTCGTAGGGTGCACCACGCAGCCGCGATCAGACGTGCGTCGATGGACGCTCTCCCGTTTGCCAATGAACATCATACAATGAGCGATGCTCGACTCTTGTCTACACGATCTTACGCCTCAAGAAACAAGTCAAGTGCGCGTCACCGTACGTGCTGGTCTGGTGAAGCGCGTCCGGGTCCGTTCGACGGCGAGCACCTGCAGCGGACTCGGCACCCTCAGTGTCTCCAGAGCGGAGCGCTGCGCTGCGGAGCGATGTCTCTGCGTAACTTCGGTGCCAGGTTCAACCGAGTCAGTGCAAAGCAGGAGAATCCAACACAAGGTCTTCGAGAAGCGGCACGGGTGATCCATGTGAATCAAAAAAGCACGACACATGCTGTATCGATGTTGGCATGCTTCTGGATACACGGTGGCATGTAAGATGCAGGCGCTGGGAAATGCATGAGAGCAACCATAAGGCACGGACGGGTGCGTCTGAACAAGACCGATACCAGCGTTTCGGCGCTCTTGTTTTCGCAGCAGATCCGAATGGTCCAGTACCTTGTCCTTGCGTTTACGTGCTTGACCAGTCATGTATACCAGAAAACAATGTGACAGGTGGAATATGGAGCACGACGACTGCAGCGAACGCAAAGTCCATCGTTCTTGCGCCAGGATTCTCGTCGATACCCCAAACGCTGTCTACGTTCGGGTGTACACATCAGCCTCTTCGTCGATGTTGCTTGGCCGAGGGCGTGCTGCGGCACCTCGGTGCTCCACAACAACGGGCCATGCATCGACGGTTGCGTTCTCAGGCGCACGAAGGATCCTCGGAACATACACGCCAAACGCGCCTAGCTCCGGTGCTTCGCGTCCACCACCGAGTGCTTTCTCTGGTGTTATCGTTCTAGACCGGCAACCGGGCGTGCTCGTGCAACCTATCGGAGCCCAGATCCAAAGCGACTCCCGAACCAGAACGAGGTCATGTACGCGCAAGGAGCCAACGTCCACAAGAACAACAAATTGCCGTCCGCTCTCCGTACCACCTTGGTGTTTGAGTTGGCAACCTGCGTTTCGCCAGACCTCTCCGTGCTGTACCCGTTACCCAAGAGTTTGCTGCTGCTCGCAAATCTCAAAAGTATTGCTGAGGGAGCTAGTACATATTCCTCAGTCGCCATCACTTTACATGCTTTGAGTTGATGCTGAATCGCTTCAACAATCCAGTACCTGAACCTGTAGCAGACATCCTTGTGGGGTATGTGCTGCGTTGGACGGTACCTGCGCTGCTCACAGCGCCTTGGGCTGTGCACGTCGCCTCCGCTCGCCGAGCGCGCGTTCTACGCACTGGGCTCTAGTCCAGGCTCAGGACGCTTCTCTCAGACGATATGGTTGCCACCGACAAAGCCCGAGGCGTTGTACAGGCGGTTTCAGGCCCCGTAGTGGTTGCTCGCGACTGCCCAGCGTCCATGTACGAACTGGTTCGCGTCGGACACGAACGCATCGTCGGTGAAGTGATTCGGCTCGAGGGCTCCTCGGTTACGATACAGTGCTATGAAGCCACCGACGCTTTGGCGGTAGGGGATCCCGTCGAGCGGACTGGTATGCCGCTGACAGTGGAACTCGGTCCTGGTTTAATGTCGAGCATATTTGATGGGATATCGCGGCCTCTGGAGAAGATTGCCACCCTCTCGGGGAGCGTGTTCATTCCCAGGGGCGTCGATGTGCCCTCTCTGGACCGGGAACGTCAATGGTACTTCGAACCGGACCCAGCGCTCTCTGTTGGTAGACTCGTCACCGGTGGTGACTGGATCGGAAGCGTCCAGGAGACCCCGCTTATCTTGCACCGGATCATGGTACCTCCGGGTACAATGGGCACCGTCGAATGGATCGCACCCAGTGGTTGGTATACCATCACAGACACGGTGCTGAAAGTGAGTCACCAGGGTGTCAGCAAGGCGCTGTCTATGATGCAGCGGTGGCCTGTGCGACAACCGCGACCCATCGCGGAGAAACTCGTCGCGAATACACCGCTGATCACAGGGCAGCGCGTTTTGGATACCCTGTTCCCGTGTGTTCAGGGCGGTACCTGTGCTGTGCCGGGTGCTTTTGGTGTTGGAAAAACCGTTATTAGTCAGGCACTGTCCAAATACTCGAACTCGGATGGAATCGTCTACGTGGGATGCGGTGAGCGCGGTAACGAAATGGCAGAGGTTTTACGTGATTTCCCTGAGCTAACCATGTCGCTCGCGGACGGCGAGCAAGTGTCCATCATGAACCGGACCCTGCTGGTAGCCAATACGTCGAACATGCCGGTAGCGGCCCGCGAGGCATCCATCTACACCGGTATAACAATTGCCGAGTACTATCGGGACATGGGACATGATATGTCCATGATGGCGGACAGCACGAGCCGCTGGGCAGAGGCGCTCAGGGAAATCAGTGGACGCCTAGCGGAGATGCCAGCGGATTCGGGGTTTCCGGCGTACCTGGCGGCACGTCTGGCTTCCTTCTATGAGCGCGCTGGGCGCGTCAAGTGTTTGGGCTCCCCTGAACGCACTGGTTCGGTGACCGTAGTGGGAGCTGTCTCGCCTCCTGGGGGGTAAGTTTCTTCAACAAACAGGCATCGGGTATCTCCCGGTGGCGTGTATGCGATATGTCAGCCATCGGGTCGTCATTATTGGCGTTCGAGACGAGCGCTTGATGCCAGAGCAATCCGCCGTGGATTGTAGCGTGTCCCGGGCGGAGCGTCCGCAGCGGGGATCACCCGCTGCCCCAAATGCCGTCGGGGCGAAAGCCACCACGAGCAACATTCTTTATCAATGACAGAAACTAACCTGTGAATAGTGACTTTTCCGATCCTGTGACCACTGCGACACTATCGACAGTTAGTGTGTTTTGGGGCCTCGACAAACGCCTGGCCAGCCGCAAGTTCTTCCCCGCAGTGAACACAAACATTTCGTGGAGCAAAAATATTCAAGCGCTGGAACCATGGTACGATGCGCACTATCCGGAATTCCCATCGATTCGCCAGACCGTACGTCAGATTCTCCAAATGGAAGAGGATCTAAGCGAAATCGTCGCCCTCGTTGGCCGCGATGCCCTCGCCGAGAGCGACAAGGTCGTTCTCGCGGCAGCCACCATGATTCGGGAGGACTGCCTCCAACAGAACAGCTACACCTCCTACGACGCCTACTGCCCGTTCCTGAAAAGCATGCTCATGCTTCGAAATATCGTGCTGTGGTACGAGCTTGCCCAGAAGGCAGTCGCCGAAGTGGATCGCGACGCGGGCGCCACGAGCGCATCGAATCGTCTTACGTTTGCGGGGTTGCGCGATGTGCAAATGGACCTCCTTAATCGACTTTCGCGAATGAAATTCCTTGAACCCAGCATGGGAGATGATGCGCTGCGTCGCCATTTAGACGCGCTGCGGGATGATATCGTCAAAAGCTTCCGCGAACGCGACTGGGCGCTGACGGCATGACGCATCCTCGCCCTGCGACAGTGCAGCATCGTCGAGGCGCACAGCAAGCGGTCGACGTCCGCGAGACCAGGTCGCCAGCACGACACTAGGCCGCATTCAGTTCGCGAAAAGCGCGTCCACTCGAGGCAACCAGGGATACGCACGTTCATCGGAACGCGTCGATTGATCCAACGACGACGACGACGACACAAGCCGTGCATAAAGCGCTTTACCTTCAGTGACGACCTGACGAACCGTAGCTTTGACTTTCCGAAAATACTTGCAGCGTCCGAACCCAAGCTAGCAGCAAACGAGAGAGATATCATCTTCGGGTGTTCTTGGATTGCAGCAGCTATCCGAGTTGTCCACAACACTGCACTGTGCACGCATGGCGATCACGCATCCGAGCGACACGTGTCCCGATGCGTGCGCGGATGCTTGTTCAATGACGGCAGCGTTGATCGTGGTGTTGATGGTGGCATATATTGCCAGTGCGTCCCTACAGAGCACATGCTGCGCTCTCGCCAGAGCTATTGCCACCGACAAGAGTTTCTTGTCCAGAGGTATTCTTGGGGGAATGCGCATTTCAGGGATTAGGAGGTGCGTCGGGCTTATAGTCTTGCTCCATGGGTTCCGCGGTCTGTGCGGCAGTCTCGGTTGAGCCGGGTTCAGAGGCCGATGCTGTGTCCGCCTGTTCTGTGTTTGGCGACGATGATGTCGAGGTTTTTGCCCCTGGGCCAGAGGCTGTGTTTGGGGCACTTCCCGATTCGCCTGCGGCGGTGCGGGACGGGACAGGTCGGTCGAGCAGCTGTCGTCCGCGCTGTACGAGCTCGTTTCGGCGCTTCTCAATGTCGGCTGCTTTGAGCGGCGGGTCCTTGTGCTTCGGGGCTTTCTCGACTTTGTGGAGCGCTCCCTCCAACCAGGCCATGGATGAAGCGATTTCCCGCTCCAGTTTCTGGATGTCCTCTACGGATATGTGCGGCTTTTCGGTGGCCGCTGAGGCGCATTCTGCCTGCAGTGATGCCGCCGCACGTCGGAACACGTGCGCCGCATCTGCAATGTTCTCGTATTCAAGGGCGCGCGCCTTGACAGCCGCCCCGTACCGCCGCTCCAGCATCTGCTGCCGTTCGATCAACGTCGATTTGGGTGCGGTTTCGGAGCCCTCCTCGGAGTAGATCCAATCCTCGGTTTCATCGAGTAAGCGGAGGAATGCGCTCTGAGATGCGTCATCCATGTAGATCGCCCACGGTCCATCGGTGGAAACGCGCGACCGCATATCGTACACGTAGGTTTCGAGTGCGTTGAGCGCTTCGGCGCGCTCCACGCGATACCGATCAGCCGCTTGCATTTGTTGCTCGATCTCGATGAGCGCATTCAGGGCGTAATGCTGGAGTCGAGTTCCTCGTAGTTGGCGAATCGGGAGCTCCGTGCGAATGACCTTGCGCGCAGGTGCGGTTCCTTGGCCATTCGCATGGGCGTCGGTGCCAGACCTTGCCGAGTCGTCCGCCGCAGCGCCATCGCTTGCTATCTCTTGGTCCATCCTTGTAGCAGCGGTATCTGGAGCCTCTCCTCCGTGCTGATTCGTGGCGCCAGCGTCCTGAGAAGCTTCTTGGGCTTCTGCTGCGGCACTCTCAGCAACAGACACTTCCTCTACGAGTTGCGCACCGACGATGCTGACCATGCCGTTGGCATCCAGACGCACTTTCACGTGAACCCTTCCACAATTTGGGCTCTTGTTCGGTAAGACACCGATTTCAACCAGTGCGATGTCCCGGACACAGCCCTGAGGTAGCGAACATGCTCCTCCTTGTTGCTTAGCCGCACCCGCGTCATCGCCGTAGAACAGGCGGAGCTCGAAAGGCTGTCCAGTGTACGAGTACGTGACTCGCTTCAGCGATGGCATCGCGCTCTTCGGGGCAAATACCAATGTCTCTTTCGTGCCCGTCGCTCCAGATTTCGCGATGCAAATGGGGAAAACAGTAAAGTCAACCGCCTCATACTCGCGAACTCGATACCCAGGTGCCAAAATGGCGGCTTGGAGCGCGCATCCCCGTGCAATGCACTCGTCAGTGTTCAGGGTTCTGCGCACAGTCAGGCCGGTTGTCTGTTCAATCAGGCTCTGGATCAATGGAACTCGAGAACCTCCACCAATAAGCTCAATCGACTGAATCGCTTTCGGTTCAGGAGTGGAAGCGACCACTTGCTGCACAACCCGGACAATGCGCTCAGCGAGCGGCCGCACCAGCGTTTCAAACTCAGCGCGTTGAATCATGGCCTCAACATCGATATCGTCCACGAAGCAGTCGAGGTTCAGGTGCGCTAGTGCGTTTGCTGAGAGAATTTTCTTCACTTTCTCGCATTGCTGACGAAGTCGTGCAATCGCTTTTTTGTGATTGCCAACCGAAATGCGATATCGTTCCGCAAACAGCTTCGCAAAGTGGTGAAAGAGCATCTCGTCGAAATCACGGCCCCCGAGATTCCGATCGAATGCGACTGCTCGGACTTCGAGTCGCGAGCGCCAGAATGCGACGCACGCTGCGGTCGTCTGGGAGTGGCCCACATCCGCAATGATAACCTGCACGGGCTCTTTGTCATTTTCCGGTAACTCAGTGGCCCGATACAGACCGTACGCAAGCGCAGCAGCCAGATGCTCATGCACCATTCGGAGGACGCGCACATCCGCGATCGCTGCTGCGTCCAAGAGCGCCGCTCTTTGGGCATCGGTGTACCATACCGGCACAGACAGCACAACATCCCTGGCCTGGATACCGTGGTTCGACGCTGCCACGATCTCGTTCAGTTTCTGCAGAATCATTGCTGTAACGGACTCGACAGGCAGAACGTGCAGATCGCTGGCCTTGCCGTTGACGCTGTGTTTCGGAATGCGCGCACGCTCCTCTGGCGGAAGGTGCCACAGCTCCAAGGCGTCAGTGCCTAGCTGTTCAGCCGAGTAGTGGATCTGAACGGCTGCTCGCCGCACGCGGTAGTCTGTTGGCGCCTCCGCACTACCACCTTGAGCATACTCTTCCGTAATAGAATAGAGCGCGCGCGCTGCCTCGATGTGCTGCACCTCATCCTCGAGCAAAGAGCGTCCCAGAATTCGTTTTGATTCAGTGATACTCCGTTGTACGTTCTGTAGGTAACGCGTCGCCGCTGCTTCGCCAACGTAACGCTCGTTTCCTCCACAAAAAGTAACCACAGCTGGCGTCTGCCGCTGCGTTACCTCGTTCGTGAGTACTTCGATACCCCCTCCCCTCGCCTGCGCGATCACGCAGTTCACGTTTCCGAGGTCGATACCCACGACCGACATCGACGAACAAGTTTTGCGCCCAGTGAGAAACCAAGTGCACGATTTTTGAGAAACGTGTTCACTTCAAACCAACCAGTCTATGCAACGAATGACAGCGGCCTTGGTGTATGCTGGCAGGCAAGCCGTCTGTGCGCGTTACGCCACGGACACGTTCAGACGCACCGCGAAGGCAATCGACGATGGCGACGCCGCCGCTTGATGTTGCAGGCACGCCACACATCGCGTCGGTGGGCATCGATCCGCCAATCGAAGCCGCTCGATGCGACGCGCAGCTTCGCGTTGCATCTGTCACGCGGCGCGCACCTGCGGATCGCCTGTACACGATGAGGATCGTGCACCATGGAGTCGTAGCGATTTGCAGCCCGAGCGCGTAGAGTCGTTTTGGATGCGGCATGCACCTGGAGCGAAATCCCTTTAAGTAGCTGGGGAAGCGAGATCAACGGTTCGCTAGGCTGCTCCAATTTCTACTAATCTCTGAGCAGCTTCGTGCAGGAAAGGAGGCACTGATGGACGCTGCGTGTATTCTGGGTGCTGAGCGTTCTATGGGCGCCTGCTGCGGCCTTGGAAGCGCCGCAGCTGCCGACGCGGATACCCACCGGGGATAGAGCGGGATCGCGGAGTCGTAATCGACGTATTCTCGAAGACCAGCGCATTCGTCGATGACAATCATACGGGTGCGCGGAAATGCAATCGGGCGACGCGTGCGCTGACGTGCATTGCAGACTTGCCTGCGACCGTAGAGGCCATGGGGAGGCACAATCCAGAGTGTACTGGGAAAAAGCGCCCGTATGGAACTGCGCGTATCCAGACAGCAAGCGCGGTGTGCCCTGAGGGATCCGGCTGAGCAGTGCGGGAGTCGCCAGCATCTGCACGCACGATCGCTCAACAGCTTCCGCACACGCCGCTCCAGAGCAACGTCGCAATCGACCCGATTCGCCCGCCGTCGGTAATCCGCAGCATTGCGATTCACCGTGTGCACGCAAAGCGCGTCGCGATGGACCTCACAGAGCTCGTACGTCGGGCTCCAGACGGCAGGCTTGATCACCTGATCGGCCAGTATTCAAGCAGTGTAGAAATCTTCCGAGGTATTCCTTTGGTCGCATACATGATATGACACACGTAACGAATCGAGAACGCGCTTGCTTCGATGCAGGACAAGGATTACTCGTTTATGAAGAGGTGCGATCCCCAGACGCCATATGCATGCGTGTCCGCGTCTAGCCGGCAAATGCACGGATCATGCACCCGCGCGGATGCAATCACGCATGAACGCACCTTGATGGTGGTGCTTTAGTGGTGTAGACTCGATCGTTGAATTTACGCTGGGATCCGCGTGTGTGCGACTCTTACGCGCATCAAGGCAGGCAAGCAGCTTTGTAAACCGGATTCTCGAAGTTCCACCATCAACTCCAGAGGCTTCCGTACAGGGATCGTGATTCGTGCCAATGATTCCCCGGGTTCCGATCCCGCCGCGAGCGTCTGTTGCGGTGCCTCAGGCGGGCAGATGTAGGTGTCGTCATTCTCGCCACTGTGTATACTATGAGCGAAAGACGAGGTTTATGGTTGAGTGCGTTTCGTACGCTAACGAGCTATGCTGACGAGCTGACCGCACAGAAAAGAGTCACACGAGCCGCCCACGCGCAGAACTCGCCTTCGAAGAAAATACAGTGCCTATGCACAGAGCCGCTGCTCCAGCTTGTCCATGGCTAGTCGACGGCCAATGGGCCATCGAGCGACCACTTCGATCTGGTCAATATCGGGCTCACCGGCTGCATCGCCAAGTCGGAGTAATCGTTCAACCCCTGCCCAGGCTACCATGACGCCGTTATCCGTGCAGTAACGGAGTGGTGGAAAGATAATCGCCTGCTTCAGATCGCATGCAGGCGCTCCTGGATCGGTGCTCCAGGCCGCCGTGCGCTCCACCTCTTCATCATGTAAACGCCATCCAATCTCAGATGCTAGCTGTTGGAACCGTGCCCGCAACACGGAATTCGCTGCAACGCCGCCCGAAACCAGGAGCGACTGTACATCGGGCTCGTGCGTTCGACACCACAAAAGCGCCCGCCGCGTCTTTTCAAACAGGTGCTCCAGTGCTACGCGTTGGAAACTCGCCGCAATGTCGGCAGCTGCCTGTCGATTCACTTGCAGCAGTGTTGCGGTTTCGTCCCTGGATCCGTAGCGCTCCAGTTCGCGCTCAATCGCTACACGAACCGCAGTCTTGAGGCCAGCGAAAGAAAAATTACAATCCGGACGCTTACGGAGCGGAATCGGGAAATCAAAAGCGTTTGGGTTCCCCTCACGCGCCAGCCGTTCTAGTGCGGGTCCACCGCCTCCACCAACGTCCAGACCCAACAAGCGTGCGATTTTGTCGAAAGCCTCTCCGACAGAGTCATCCAGCGTACCGCCAAGGACTTCAAAATTCCCGAGGTCACGAGCCAGAAGCAACATGCAGTGACCGCCGCTGACTAGCAGAACCAGAAACGGGAACGAAGGCCGGTAGCCTCCGAAAAGACGTGGCACCAAGCAGTGCGACTCGAGATGATGTGTTGAGATAAATACAGGGCCAGGCGCGCTCGATGCCTCCTTGAGTCGGCCCAGAAGGCGTTGGGCAGCGCGGAACCCCACTCGAAGGCAGATCTCGAGACCGGGTCCCATGGTCACCGCGACTGCGTCCAAGCCGTTGGCGCTGCGAGCCCACACCTCGTTTTGTGAGCATGTAAAAGCCTCGCACAATACGCGCTCAATAAGTTCATCGATCACCTGCTCATGGGCTTGACGTGCCAGCCCCGGCACAACGCCCCCGTAACGAGCATGGATACTGTCCTGCTTCACGACCGCTTCGGATAGGATACATCCTTTGCTGTTCACAACAGCGACCGCTGTATCATCGCAGGAGGTCTCAATGCCTAGTACGAGGTGCGGGCGCGCACCGCCGCCCGTGAGTCGCAGCACAGTCAACCGTTCATCGGTGACTGGGGCGGCGTCTGCGGGGAGTACCAGAGAGAGCCCGCGCTGGGACGGTAAAGGCATTTTTAAAAGCCGTTCTTTCTGTGTGTCCGTGAACCCTAACGGGGCACTCCCGGTAGTGGTCTGTTGTACACGCAACGCTTGCTCGCTGCGGTCAAACTCGCCATAGTCGGTGCCCTTCGGCTGCCCGACGCGGGATCTATCGTGCCGAAAAGATTCCGCGCCAGATGCCATTGAAACTAAGGTTCCGAGACTCCTCGATGGCGCGGGCGTACGCCAGTACGTTCCTGTGCTGTGATGAAAAGGTGCAGTCGGACTCGTAACCAATCGAGGAGAAACTGCTGTGCGCACAAAGCGCGAGTGCCCCCTACACGGCTGTAATAGGGCAAACGCAAACACACGCGACTCTGCCGGTTTCTCGAGAAAAGGCATTCAGCCGCTCACTCAAGGTCGCTTGCAGAGTTCAAGCGTCTTAGTTCCCTGAGACGGTCGCTTTGCACTGAGAACACAGCGGCTAGCGCGTTCCGCGACAAGTGCCCAAAAGGAAACAGGTAGTAGAACGGCATCTGTGGGTCACGGCAGGCTAGCGACGCACGCATCGGTGCCGCTGCCGCTCTATTTTGTGGGTTCAGTGAGTCTGCAGTCGATTGGCAGTTAGACGGATGCCGCGACTGAATTAGGAATGATTAGATTATGTGTGCGAGCAAGAATAGCATAACGACGACATCAGGACTAGTGCTTGTCACCCTGTAGTTGGAGTCCTCGGTTCCAACAAGTCACCACAAGTGCATAGCGCGTGCGCTGTTGTGCTGATTAAACGGCACATCCGGTGGTAAAGCATTGGTAGAGGCGGATGCTGCCTTGCGAATGTCATCGTTAAGACCAAAGCGGTAAGATGGCAAGGCGTGCCTCGTGCATCATGAGGCTGTGCATCAGCGCATCCGCTGCTGTTGCTCAGTCACCGACGTGTCCGTATGAATGCTCGATGCATCGTGCGTAGCTTGCTCGAGCGAGCGCTTGAGTTACTATAAATGCAGGGAAGCGCTCCGTGCCTTGAGATGGGCGGCAGCTCATGTTTGCGTTTGGACGCGCTGCGGTTCTTAGCGACAGCATCAAACAAAATAGCGAGCGGTGGAGTCTGTTTCCCGCCAGTTCCCATTCCGTCGACACGAATCTGTGCAGGCTCCATTGTCATCCGCGCAACACATAAACTGCACCTCGGGTAGCCAGTCAGGTATCCGCGTCGGCGGTCGATAGCGCATGTAGCTAACAAGCATCTGTGCAGGCTCCATTGTCATCCGCGCAACACATAAACTGCACCTCGGGTAGCCAGTCAGGTATCCACGTCGGCGTTCGATCGCGTCCAGAGGTGCTGCCTGTTCCACGCCTATACCCCAGCTGTCATACAGAGACAACGCCCAGCAGCAGCATACCGCAGATTCGCCAGCAGCTCGAGTGCTGCGCCACGTGGCTGGCGCTGCTGCGCGGAGAACGCGCCTGCGTCTCCAGAACGCTAGATCTTCGGCACCAATCGCTCCCAACAGGCGGCAGGGTATCGCTGGCACGTGTGGGGTTCCCCCCCAGAGCCAGTTACTTGTCCGTACGCAGTCAGTTGTCGCGATCGACGAAAACAGTGACGTGTCGATGAGCTTCGCGGCAACGGCAACGATGACGAGTGCGGGTCGAGCAACGCCGGCGACCTTCGACGGGAACCCAGCACCGGACCGAAAGCTCCTCGTGGAACCAGGGGACGCTGCCGCCCTTTCAAGAGTGGAGGCGGATCCTCGTGTTCGGTACAATCCCCTTGCACCCATAGGGGAGGGCGCTTTTGGTATGGTCTATCGCGCTCTGGACACTGAAACGCAAACCGTTGTCGCTGTGAAAGTCATCAACCTGGACGAGTGTCACGACGAGATCGAGGGAATTCAGCAGGAAGTTACCGTCATGGCTCAGTTGAACACGGCACACGTTGCAAAGTACTATAGATCTTTTCTCGTGGGGCCTGAGCTCTACATCGTGATGGAGTACGTGGATGGTGGCTCTGTTCGGGAGCTGATGGAGTTTCTCGGCGGGAGGCTCTCTGAAGACATCATCGCAGTGATCGCCCGCGGTCTCGTGGAGGCGCTCGTTCACTTGCACGCTCAGAACAAACTGCATCGCGACGTGAAAGCCGCCAACGTCCTCTTGACCACGACAGGCGACGTTAAGCTGGCAGACTTTGGGGTAAGCGGGACGCTCACCTCGACTTTTCGGAAGCGGAACACCATGGTTGGGACGCCCTACTGGATGGCCCCCGAAGTCATACGTGAAAGCGCTTATGATGAGAAAGCAGATATCTGGTCGCTGGGCATTGCGTGCTACGAAATGGCTACCGGCTTGCCACCGTATGCCGATTTGCACCCGATGCGCGCGCTCTTCCTGATTCCGAAGAGCGAGCCGCCGCGACTGCCCGAAAACGATGATGGATCCTCGCCGTGGTCTGCAACTTTTCAAAATTTCCTCTCATGTTGTCTTCAAAAGTCACCGACTGAACGCGCTACCGCTGCAGCGCTGCTTGAACATCCGTTCTTGCGCTGCGGTCCAGAAGCAAAATCGCAACTCAGCGAACTCGTGCAGCGAAAAGTGCGAAACCAGCAGATCCTGACGATGCCTTTAGCAGCGGGCAAGACGGGTACCGAGCCTGTCCCATCAAAATCATCGTCTTCGAGTGCATCGGTGTCTTATCATCCACCGACGTCACATTCATCATCAGGGGAGCCTCATCCCTCGGCTTCGGTGGGCGGCAGCCTGTCCCGCTGGGACGACTCGCTCGGTCTCGACGAATATCTGGCTGCCTCGCAGCGCGCTCTGGATCGAACGCAGTGGCGCTACATGAGCATTCCACGTCCCAACACGATCGTTGCGGGTCGTACAGCGTCATTGATGGCGACGAATTCGCGACAAACAGGTCCGCCGCATGAAATCCAGTCATGGACCTTCGACTCGAACGAGAGTGGCAGCGTCTTGATCACGAACGCTCCGGGATGCACCTGGACTGGGGAAAATTCCCAACTGACGCCTTCACCGTCGCATCCGATGTTCTGCTATTTGCTGGAACCCGCGATCCGGCGTCTTGTTGCGAAGTACGCCAATGAGGGGACCGATGCGAATGGTCCCGAGCTTGCACGCCTCCTCCATAGTATTTTGGCGCAGTTTCAGCGAATGGAGTGCATTCGGCCCGGTGCGAGTTGTGCATTCATCAAAGAGCTCATGGCTGCCGTACAGCAAACACGCCTTCCAGAGGGTGATCATGCGCAATGACCTCTCGGGTCGTGCTCGCAACCGCTGATGGTCACTGGCATCGGGCGTGCTCTCCATATTCCTTTACGTACAAGCGTTCGCAGCAGTTTGATGCTCGCGAGTCCCAACAACGACGCATCATGTGTATTCGCCGGTTGTTCGCGCAACTCTTGGTTCGCTTCATAGAAAAGCTTAGCAACAATTCGTCGATGAGCGCCGCGTACTCGACGAAGTCGTGCCCCGTTCGAGCTGAACCACTGCAGGGCGATTCGTGGAGCCAGCTCCTGTTCCAATCCGAACGCCGTATTGCTCCATGTTGCCCTCGAGTTCACCACGAACGATTCGCTCGAGTACCGCATCAGCTGCGATTGCAAACGCTTCCGCAACATTGGAACCCGTTTTGGCACTTGTTTCGATGAAAAGTAGCCCATGGTTACGCGCAAACGCTTCACCCTCTTCGCGTGCGACTTGTCGCTGATCTTCAAGGTCGCTCTTGTTGCCAACCAGCACGACCGTTGTGTTTCGCGTCGCGTAAGCGCGCACATCATTTAACCAGCTGGTGACATCGAGGAACGTTTCGCGGCGAGTGATATCATAAACGAGCAAGGCTGCGGCTGAGCCTCGATAATATGACCGCGTGATCGATCGGAAAGACTCCTGCCCAGCAGTGTCCCAGATTTGAAGTTTTACACGCTGTCCGTTTCGTGCGGTCAGTGTGCGCGTCCCGAACTCCACCCCTATCGTGAGATCGTGCGTCACCTGAAAACGATCGTCCGTGAACCGCAGCAGCAAACAAGATTTTCCAGTCGCAGAGCTACCTATGATAATAAACTTGAACAGATAAGCATAAGCGCTTGCCATACTAGGCGCTGAACACTTAGCACCGTTTCCGGTGTGCAAGGCGACGCTTTCGAGCGCTCCACACTTGAACGTGGATCGACGACGCACCTAGCACGTGACTCGCGCGATGAAACCACAAGCTTCTCCAGGCTCCGTGCAGAGCTGTCGTACCGAGATCCCAGGTCAGCTGGTTTTGCGGGTATTATTGACTTGGGGAAAGCGTTTTCGTTACGCTTGACGTTGCAAGCGAGACCCCGGACGTGGAGCTTGCGACAAACGGCGAGTCTGCCACCTGTGCTGCGGACTGTAGAATTGGTACGCAATTTGCGTCGGCAATTGTCAGATTCGAAGCTTTCAATTCAGCTGTGCTCCGGATCTAGGTTCATGCCATCAAATGCTTATTCGCGATGTATAACTGATATGTTTGAAGTGCGTTGATTTTGAAGAAATCAAAAACCTAGGGGAACAGTACGGATATGCAAGTCGGGGATTCTGGAGGGCTCTCATCGCCGGGTACTGGAAAAAAAACGAAAAAAGCTCTTCTGGTCGAGAATGGAGCGGAGAAGAGAAAGTGACGAAGACGAATAACAATAGGGCATATATGCGGGAAAATGTGTTTGTCCGACGAGACAATGACGGCACTGTAGTAGCACAGAGGGCCCGTGTTCGAGGAATCTATGCATTGGTGAGTTCGGCCAGAGACAACAAACGCATGGGGTACGTGAACCGAGACTCCAACAACGCCGTCATCAATTTCAGACGATATGAGACGCTGAAGACGAGACCCGAGGAGCTCAGGCGAACTCAGTTTCATGGTGTGGCCTCTCAGGCGCGACGTATAAGGCGAGAAACAAAAGCCAATAGCGGGCGGCCAGTCTAAAAAGGGTGGGAGGCGTCTGTGATTGAGTAGATATATTTACTCTCCATGATCGCGGAACGTTTTGCTCCTTTGAACATGGAATTTAACAGTGAACTCTTCAGACTGTTCCTTTCTTTCGATTTCGTGTCGGAGTCTTTTTAGAAGTGCACCCTCGACAACCGCAACGCAGCAATGAGGGTTCTGACGATTCATACTTGTTTATGATTCTTGGTCGTCTTCTCCAAGTGACTGATTCGACCATTTGCTGCTTGAATTCCTTACGGCACAGGGGTAAAGATGCTCTGTGACGCCCTCGAGCAAAGCTTCGAATCATAATCGATATTATCGCCCTTTGCATATGTTCAAGTCTGTACGCTTCTCCTTTCTTAGCGTATGGCATGCGAAAGTCGTGCATTCCTCATTTCCTCAACCTTTCTGTTTGAAGCCGACCTGTGCACACTGCAATTCGCACGCTTCCATGAACGTGGAAATTACTCGACGTCGAGCCTTGACGACCGGTTCACAAGCACATGCCCAACGCTCACTGAACTCGACGTACGATTCTAGAATCGATTCAATTTGGGAGGCAAATCAGCCGCGCGCTGTGGCTATCGACGAACCGACATGGAGCAACTGGTCGACACCTCTCACGGTACGTGCTGCAAGAGGCTTCCGTCTCTTCTGTTTGCACGAAAACTGGTCTCGGACATCCACTTCAGTTATCACAGCGATCGCTTCCAGCGCAGCGTGCAGCAACGCTTGACAAGAAGCGAGCCTAGCCGGATCGAATTTTCTCGATTTGTTCCCCAAAATGGATATAACTTTCCGTGCTTGCTGCATCAACGACAGCACCCGATGCCGCATATCACCCATCGAATGGAACAGAGTGCACTTGTGTGCGCACTGGAAAGAGCTCTCTCCTGGCGAATCGCCCAGCGGATGCCCGTATTCGTGGGGTACGTACGGCACTGGGTGCTACGCATCCAGACTTGGCTTGTGCAGCCATCAAGGGCAACTACCAAACGATAAATCAAGCCTTCATGTACCAAAGGGCAGCACTCGGAGCAGGCGTTTTTGATGAGATACCGAACCACCTGACCACAGCCAAGTGTCACCGCTTCGACGGGCGCATCGAGGGTGTCGACGGACACCATAGAAATGACAAGCAAAGTGCAGATCTCAGCTTCCGTCTCTGCACGAAATGCAGCGACAATCGTCCACAGCGGCGAAATCGGAACTCGAACGTCGCCATCAGCATCCTTCCACTGCTGGTAACAGATCTGCAGCACGAATAGAGATCCGCATATTCAAAGCCTATGGTATGCGAGAAGCAGACCGAGTTTTCGCACAAGTCCAGATTGACTCATGTTCATGACACCATGAACAGACTGTACGCCAACGCTCGCAACGAAGACTCGTTTTCCTGCCGTCTCACACGGGTGTCGTTCCGTGCACCTACCATCCAGCTTCCACGAGGGCGCCGCAGGGCCCTGGCGTCTGATCCGCGCCCGATGCCGCTGCGTGCGTGCAGCTGGCGGGAAAGAGGCAACGCGCAGCCGTTTCGATTGGCGACGTCCCGCCAGCAGCTTGCCGGTGCTAGCGCGCGCGACTCAGCTGCCGCAACCGCTTCGCACAAGCGTCCGAAGGTGAAGTCGTGTAGAGGGTTCTCGTGGACCAAAAGTTCACCTGCACTGGAACGTAACCGCTTTGCTGTTCCCGAACAAAAGTCGAGCCAGATTTCGGTTGTTTTATTTTGTCGTTTGGACGTCAACTGGCTGCAGCGCAGAACCCCGAGGCAAGGCCTTCTGAACGCCGTCGGGCGGCAGGTGCCAGCCTCACTGAAGAACCGAACAGCGCTGCGAGAGTTGCACAGTTTGGGCTGGCGCGTTTACTTGGGTGTGCGACCCAAGTTTGGCTAAATATCGCTCACTGACACACTTGTTAGATTCCCGAGCAAGACAACGCGTTCGAACAGAAGTCTGTTTTGCTCCTTCTACACCAAAATGGCGACTGCAGGCTCTGAACAAGCCCCGATCTCATTACGTGGTAGCACGGATACGGTCATTGAGTTTCTGCGGTGCGCGATCTACTCTATTCTATACCAGAGGGGCATTTATCCACCAGAGATGTTTCGTCGTGCCTCGAAATTCGGCACGAGCGTCCTCGTCGCACAAGAAGCCCAGCTCGACTCCTACATAGAGCGCATCCTGCAACGTCATCTGCGCCTGTGGGTCCTGCGAGGGTCTGTGCACCGTGTCGTGCTCGCATTCGCTGCCACTGCCGATCCAGGTCGTATTCTAGAACGATGGCACTTCGATCTCCATATGGAGCAGCGGGCTACTGAGGATTCAAGCGTCCCTCGGGACGAATCTGTAGTCATGAGGGAAATCCAGGCAATCATTCGGCAGATTACTGCATCGGTAACGTTCCTGCCGCTGCTCGATGAGCCTTGCTCCTTCGATCTGTTGGTTTACACCGATCCTGCCCTTGAGGCAGATGCCAATGAGTGGGAGGAAAGCGACGCGAAGCTCATTACCGCTCCCCGCTGCGAACAAGTGAAGCTGCGTTCCTTCACGACGAATGTGCATCGAGTCGAAACCGGTGTTGCGTATGCCTGTAAAGAGCTCACCGATACTTCGTATCCATTTCGAAAGCCAATACTGCCGCAAACATTCCACGTGGCGACCGCGCTCGCCTGATCAGAGGACTGCAGTCGAAGAGACGCGTGGTCGCCTGCTCGCGCATGCGCTCTACAAAAACATATCAGGTTGCGAAGCGTCGTCGCAATCGCTCCTTTTCAAGCCCGTGCGCATGCAACACCTGAACGACTTCAACTTGCTGCTCGCTGGACGCGGTCCGCATGAGGCTGCTGATTGAAGAACGAACATTCTCCACCGGGTTCCCGGTAAGCGCACTCGGTGAAAATATTTCACAACGCATGAGATGGAGATTGCCCAGGTTTGGTCGCTAGCATAAAGACTTCAGCGTAGCCAGCGTCAGTTTGGGCGAAGACGTCGGGCCGCAACAGACCCGCTCACGCTAGAGCCTTTTGCGCAATGCGAGAACGCACCTCTACGCACTCTCACTTTATCAAAACGTAGATACGCAGGTGTTATCACGGTGGCGAGAAGCCCAACGAGTTAACCGTTCGGTTCCGCAAGCTGCAATGCACCATTCCAGCTGCATGCTTCCACGAGACCTCACCAGATTTTAACCTTCAAGCTGCGGATTCCACACCAGTTTCAACTGTTAAAACTGACCTGCTGAGTAGAATTTCGGAATCTCCAACCAAAAATACACATGGATGCTTTTCTCGAGCTCTCCATGATACCGCTAGAAGCCTCAGGTCACAGAAAGCCCTGTCTGAGTGCATCCATCGCAATGATCGTGCAAGACAGGTATCCGACCTGTGTTTGGGTCACGCTCGTAAGAACCGCCGCTGCAGTAACGAGACCCACGTGAACGAAAGCAACACACGACTCAGCATGAGCATGTTCCGGACTTGGATACTCAAGCAGAGATGCATCTTGATCCATGCCGCAGCTAGCCGGAAGACGCGGATCATCATCGACGCAGTGCTCATCTCTCGATGTCTACCTATCCATCAGATGATGCGTCGTCGTTCCGGACTCTTCATGGATGACCGGATACGTGAAGGCGCATGTTCGGAAACCGCAACCGCCTTGCGTTGCCAAGCTGCCTAGAAAGCGCCGTGCTGTCGATTGCGAATTGAGCTAGTTTTCAATTCTAGATCACGACCCTAGCTCCCTTACAAGTCGGGTAACTCTATTACTGGGCCCGACTGACCAAAGCGCCACGTTAAGAGCGCAAGAATTCCGATAAGGACGACCATCAGCGCTATCCAATTCTGGGAGTACGGCAGTACAAGTTCGGCCCGTACGCGATTCTGCATTCGCGCTGAGAGTCGACCTTGTTCTTGGCGCAGCTTACGTCGAAGTCGCCGATCCCGCAGCTCTAAGACTCTTGCTGAAATACGCGGAACGTAACGGCGGATTACGAGCACTGAACTCGATCCCCGTCGCTCTACGCTCGTTGTAATACGAGAAAAAACAGGTTCCAGCTCCTTGAGCTGAAACAGCATCGCCAAATCTAGTTCGTCGGAATCATTCGCCGCCGATGGAGATCGCACCACAGCCTGGTCGCTTGCGAGGCGACTTCTGCTAAGTGCCTCCTCGACGCTCTCGCCTGGTAACATGGGCACCTCCTCCGTCAGCTCTTGGAACTGCATCGAAACTCGATCGGATCGTTTTAACTCCTGCAAGAGTCGCCGCCACTCGAGTTCCTCCTCCATAACGGACATTTGATTGTTCGCATTGTTTTTCTGGCCGAGTGTTCGCCATCGGCCAGCCAAAATTTCACTCAGAAGCGCAAGTCGTGGACGCTCATGCATGCGGATTTCGCCCGGTTGCCGAGTCAACTCGCTTAAATCCAGCCAGTAGTCTTCGCCGCGTTCACGTCCACTCAGAGACTCACGAACAAGTGGAACAGACTCGAGTTGCTCGACATTAATGTCGGGCGGCAGGCCCTGTTCCGTTTCGAATGCTTCCCGGAGCGCCCGCTGTTCCTCCGTGGTAGCGCGTCTTCGCTGCGTCTCTCGCCATAACCGCCGCCGTTCGGCAATCGTCCGAACAGGCTGGTTTCGACGCCGTTCAAGTTCCGTTCGCAGAAACGACGGATCGTCCGGACGCACGAGACCGTCGTCTAATTCACTTGAGGTCGAGTCTGTCACTTGGTCAGAGTCGTTGTGGGCACTAACGTTTGTGGAAAACGCCCTATCAGCTGTGCGTTCCAAGTTCTCGAACGACCTGGCCGTCCCTCTTTGAACCGGTTGCGGCTCATTCTCAGGCGGCGGTTCGCTGCCTTTCGCACGAGCTGCACCGGATGCAGGCGCTCGTCCAGGGCCAGCCCCTGCGGGCAGGTCGCGCTGCTCGGCCCAGAGGCGCACTCGTGGCACCTGGACGCGCCCGCAAGCCGAACGGGAGACTATGTGGTGTCGTTGACACCTATTTGTCGACCGAGACTGGCAAAAACTACTGGTTCCACAAAGAATAAACGAGGTCTGGTGCGTCTCTACCATGTCTGAGGTCGAACGGCTCTGTCACACGGCCACACGTTCCAAAGCTTTTGCCGTCGGGAGTTGTCTCTATCCTCGAGCGCACAAAGAGGTGGTTCTCGAACCGCGAAAACTTTTGCTCGAATACCCGGAAGCGCAAGAACTTGAGAGCAAAACTCGCGGACTACCGGAAAGCTACCGCGTTCGCACAGCAACGCAGCAGGTATAGCGCTGCTGCAGAGGGAGCGGTCGCGTGAGCTTAGACGCCACGACCGAGATGCGCGACCCAATCATGCAGCTTCTGAGAAACGATACTAAACTGTATATTTCTATACCCTATCATTTCTGCATAATACTCTATTATACGGACAGTGATCTTGAGCCTCCCTGGGAGTCGCCGATTTCTTTCGTTCGTATTGAGCCAATGAGCAGAGAGCCGCCAACTTCAAAGACTTTCAAGGGGAAACGACCTACAAGATGTTTGGTTTTTGCCCATAGAGCTCGACGTGCATTCGCGCGCAATGACTAAACTCCCGCTCGTTCGACAAAAGCGTCCAACGAGTGCCGGAAACCATTCAGGGCGATACACATGCACTAGAAGCACCAATGCGCGCCGCAACTGCTACAGAAGAAGCGGTCTCGACAGAGGCAAATGCACGAAATGGTTTACGGTGCTTTGGTCGACCGTCGGATGGCGAGGCAATCCCAACGCAGAGGCTCGTTGCGGTGGGATTCCACCGGCAACCACGCGCGCAAACACTTTCTGCATCGAGTCCTGAATGTTTTGGTTAGCATCCGGAAATGCCTCATACTTCGGGAGCGTCGAGCTGCTTTTGTTGACCGAACTTGCAAGGAAATTCCCGGTGACTCAATATGGGCAGTGTGCTCGAATGCTGAAGAATTTGCGTGAAAAAATCAATGTCCAGGATACAGGGGCTTTGGATGCTGCCATGGAACAAGGCACTGGCATCGTTCGTTCCACGATTCAGTTGTGCTAAAGCGCCGCAAACATACTCCAGCAACGCTTCTCCTCGGCAAATCGTAAACAATAATCGTGTTCCACGATTCGATGTCGCCGCGTACGTCCCCAGGGAGTGCTCATGTGTCGTGATTATCCGCGCTCGTTGACCAGATGAGGCGCATCTCGCGTCACCTTTAACGCATACCTGCGATCCAATATCTGGTCTAGAATTGCACAACCTCTCGTCTGAATGGAACTCGCCCTGTGCCAAATCAGGAAACACTATATTTAGTTGCCAGCCTCGTGTGCACTACCCGAATAGACGCTGCGCCAAAAGCCGATCAAAGCGAACTGGAGCGAGCGGTGCCCAGCTGCCAAAATTGGCACCAAAGGCGCAACGATTCCGGTGACGATCACCTGGGGACGGAGCGCCACGAGCGCGCCGCATTCTGGCTAGGCAATATTTGGTGGTTTGTGTCGTTGCTCGCAAAACTGCGCGTGCTTTTTCCTTCTAATTGCTTCATTGATGCGTCGTTTTCATCTACCTTACGCTATTCTTCTATTACTAAGTATTTTCTTCTTCGCGCCATGTATGCAAGCTGCGCCTTTGATCGAGATCGACTCGGATACCTTGCTACGGATAACGACACCTGCGCCGTCGCTTCCTCCGCTCCCGCCGAGTGTGCTCGCACAAGTCGAGGCTGCCGAGCACCGCGGCCGTAATGTGACTGGTCCACATATCAACGCCACTGTTGCTGCTGCTTTGAACTATACACAGTTCGAGTACACTTTAGTCAACGCACTGTACGAAATCGATCAGAGTCTATGTCTGAACGAGGCGCTCACAATGGGTGCGGCCGATGTCGCTGCAATGCTGAGCGAGTGCACTGTCGACCAGGTGAACAATGGCAGCTGCAGCTACGCGACCAAGTCGGCGGTGGAGTCTATGTTTCAAACGGTCGGCTGGAGCAGCCCTGATTTTGCAGGCGTCGCACTAGCGAGAAAGTTTCCCGCGGCGTTCTTCAACTGGTCTGGTCCGGCCGGAGAGGGAGGCGACGGTCTGCGCGGCATCCGCGCCTATGCTGCTGCCCTCGAGGTTACGGATATCGTGACGCGGGAACTTGGACCGGCGGTACGCAGCGGCCTGTACAAGCTTGCAGCAGCTGGAGCCGTTGAATTGCTAAACGATGAGGTTTATGCGTACGTTGTGATTGGGAAGGCGGCGGGTCAGACTTGCTATGAGCCCTGAGTTTCGCGGAAGCGTCGCTTCGACGCCGCAATGGAGCTCTGAGAGTCAGAAAGTGCTGCGTAAAGGGACTGTGAGTTTATTTGGGAACGCGGTTTCATATCACATGAGAATGTTCAGTGCACACAGCTGAAATGAGCTGTCGAGCATCGTTCACCTGGTCGGAGTCGATAGTCATGCTCCAAAGGTTTTCTTCCGGCTTCCGCACTTGCGTTCACATAGAGGACCCAGAGAGGCAGCTAGAGGCTTACCCTGATATCCAAAGTTCTGACGCAAATACAGCGACGTTGCTTTCGTCACCAAATGCGGCAAGAGGTAAAGTTTCCACAAAATTGAGGATGCTCCCAAAGGAAACATACCCTGACGCCATCCCTTCTCCCTGAAAGACACGAAATAGCTGAGCGATTCGCTGCACCTGTTTCTTCGCAACATCTCCTGGCTGGAGACACGCACCTGCTCTGTCATTATCATCAGGTCGGCGCCACGCAGTGCTTGATGATGTACGAACGCTCTGGACGAGTATGCGTCGCAGCATGCTACCGAGCCCGAGCGCACAGCAGCATGCGGAAACGTCCTCGAGCAACTGTGGCAAACCAACGCAGCGACCTCCTTGCGGAGCAGCGACGCGAATGCGGCGCGCATGCACGCTGATAGACTACCGGCTGCAGCACTGCCGCGCAGCGATGTACGGACTGGTACCGCGGCACACCGACGCGTTTGCCAGCGTCATCGTATACGTAAAATCTGCAACGTGCTAGATGAAGGATCTCAGCTGTTCTGCTGACGCTGCTGTCTCACATCAGCCCCAGACAGGTCCGTCTCGGTCGCATGGAAAGGCATGATTGCTTCAAAGATGCAGCCAGTCCTTCTTTTCAGCGACAGGTTCAGTGAATCTTACCGGGCATCCCCGAGTGTGCGACGATATGCGGAGGCAAGGAGGGCCGCAATCGGTGTACAGCGCACCGTCCGCACTTCCTATAACGCTGGACGCAGCGTCTTAGCCGCAAGGAACGAGCCGGCATCGACCACAGGGCCAGCGTTTCTTCCAGGATGGAGGATCGTCGACACGATCGGGGAATCCCCGATCGCGCTCAATGGATATCGGCATCCGGGAGCGCGTCTCGGATGTCGCACCAGACCTACACCGGTATCAGACGAAAATGAAACACTGAACTACTCGCTCTGCCCGTGCTTTTTGATTGTTCTCCCGAATAGTTTTAGGTTTACAGCCTCCGCACTTGGAATCCAGCTTTGAGGCCGTACGGACTTGAACATAGTGTCAGGAGTCTCGATCGTCTATTTTGGCGTAGCTGTTGCAACGCTTTGCTGGTGGAATTCGTGACGACACTTGAATCAAGGTTCTTTCACGACACCCTCGAGCAAGCGTTCGTAAAATTACCGATTTCATTATCCACGTAATACGTAAAAACCGCCGCTCTTCTCCGTTTCTTGTGCTGAGCAAGCTAAAATCACGCATTCTTCATCTTGTCGATCTTTCTATTTCAGGGAACATGCGGGCGCAGCAATGCGCGCCGCTGGATTGACGAGGAGAAAAGCCCCACGCCCTTTGACTCCTTGTTCACGAACTCTTGCCAAAAGTTCCAAGATCTTGTTACGTTACAGCACCAATTTGATTCGTTAGGCAAATCCTACTATTTTTCGGGTCATCAACGGCACTGCATTCGACAGCAGCGTAATATCGCCCACGGAATATGCTTTGAGATGCTCCAGTTCCTTTTATTTCCATGGAAAAAAGTTTTTTGCACTCGCACCTGACTCACCGCAGCAATCGCTTCCATTGGAGAGTCCGTCACCGCTTTGGATGTGGAGAGCGCACACCGATCGAAGTTTTTCGAAGGATTCTCCACTCGGGATATTCCTTTCGGTACGTGTCCCGTCATAGACAACATCGCGCCCCACAAATCCTCCATCGAATGGAACAGCGTGCGCTTCCTTATGTCACGGACAAAGCACTTGCCGTGGGAATCGGCCAGAAGAACCCCGTGATCGTAGCGTAGGCCACGGTGGCGGAAAAGGCGAAGGGTACTGAGGCGAGCCCCCGGTACCCTTCGCGGGCATGCATAGATCGATGAGGCAAGCGTTCGCGTGCCAAATGGCGATGCTCGGCGGAGAAGGCGTATGGGACATATGTGTACACCTGACTTCAGTCTCCCGTGTCACCTCGGCGGAAGTTGCACCGAGGCTGCCTTCAGAAAAGGAGAAAATGGTCAGCGAAATGTAGCTCACAACTTCGGCGCCTTCATGAATTGCGTGTACAACAGCCTGAAACTTCGAAATATGGACTTGAGCACTGATAACAACTTTCGTCAACGGCTGACAACGGTGCCGGATACAAAGGAGAGACCGGCGTATTTAAAGCAGGATATAGTGGTGAGGAAAACGCAGCAGTCGCCGCAAAAACACGCAAATGCTGGTGTTGAATACAATGAGAAGAGCCCCATGCTTTCGAGTCTATAACCGCGTCAGCGATCTGGAACCGTCCCAGTTCAGGCTGACCTAGGTCTGGGGATTTCCCGTACCGCCCGTGGCGCTTGGATGCGCACGCGCACGTCCATCTGTGCGAGGCCTCGCCGCGTCGCCGTCGCCATCGTCGTCGACGACGACGATGATGGACATAGGTATCACATGCGCCGGCGCTTCGACATAACCTTGCAAAGCGTATTGTGAGGACTCCGGTTGAGAAAACTGACGTAGCATCCGGCGACGTTGAGCAGACGTGCGCCTGCCAAGAATTCGGGACTTCTGTTTACTGCACACTCTGTTATTGCACTCTGGATTTCCGTCAGCAAGGCGGAGCTAAAATACTGATCAGATTTTCTAGGACCTCCGCTGCGAACGACGACGCTGAGCACGCGAACGCCGGCGGCTGCGGGAAACGATGGCGGAGCAGCACGATCTCGAGGTTTTGGCGACCGGTGATGCGGGAGCGTCTGATGTGACTCCGATTCAAGCCGGGGCGGTGAAGAAAGGCGTGTATGTTGTGTTGAAGGGGCAGCCCTGTAAGTGTGTGGATGTGAGCACCAGCAAAACCGGGAAACACGGACATGCCAAGGCCAATATCGTGGGCCTTGATATATTTACGGGCAAGAAATATGAGGATGTTGCACCAACGAGCCATACCATGTACCAACCAGTGGTGGTTCGTTCCGAGTACCAGCTAATCGACATCGACGCTGAAAACTTTTGCTCGCTGATGGACGACAAGGGTGAAACCCGTGAGGACCTCAAGCTCGACCCCGATAACGATCCCGTGCATGCTAAAATCAAGGAAGACTTTGAAGCCGGGAAACAGCTGACAGTGGTTGTCCTCAAGGCGATGAAACAGGAAAAAATCATGCAGTCCAAGGAGCTGAACGAGTGAGGGCGCAGTGCTCTCTCTGGATCGTTTCGGCACGGCGCGGGTGCCGCCTAGTGCGAGCCGGATCGCGTGCGAGCCATCTAGCGTCTAGATCGCCCAAAGAGCAGTACGACCCTAGAGCGTGCGAGCGTGCAGCGCCCCGAGCACCGTTTCTCAGTGCCCATGAACGAGGTTCTTACGTATCCGAGGCCTAAGCAGCCTAACAGCGAATCGAAAACAGCGGGCGGTTTGGAGGCGGCTCTGAATACTTCGTATAGCTGAGCTCACGGTTTTTCTGTGTCTATTAACTGGATGCTTTTCAGTAGAGGCCTAACCAGCGTCACGGCGAATAGGAGCAATCAGGCGATGTTCGTGGAGGCCTGGGATTCTCTAGTAGCCGATTCCGGGCGCGCCTGGAACACCGCAAGGTTCAGTTCGAACATACATCCGTTAGACCCAGGACACTGCTCAGGAGCACGCGTTGATGTGGATGGAGCTGGTCCGTTCGGTTTGGAGCGCTTTCTCTGCCAAGATCTTATGGTTCTTTGGGGGCAGAACTCTCGCTCAGCAGCGTAAAAGGTACCGTAGCCGTTGTCGCCCTATCCAGATCGCACCAACGATTTTTTCAATAAGTCTAAAACTCCAAGCATGCGACGCTGTGTTTCATATGCCGAGCTCGATCGGTTGCGATTCGAGTGAGAATGATCGTTGGCGTGCAGCTGCATAACGCTCGTGCCACCGAAGAACCGAAAGCATCCGCGTGCCTTGCGCGGTGACGAGGCAAGCCTAGCGCACTCGGCGGTACCGCCAACCCGCACACTTCGCTGCAGGTTTTCATCTAGTCAAGCGCGATGGTGTGTCGCTTGCGAAGCTGTGCACCTTGAGCACGTTCTGCAGCCGAATATGAAACGCTTCGAGCTGCAGCTCCATTCAATATCGACCACGTATCGACAGAGACGTCCAGTATCGCTCCATTTCCATGCAGCCTGCGTCTTGGGCGGAAGCTTTACAGACGCGTTTGTTCGGCACGAAGTTGACGGCATCATCGTTGAGCGCAGACATCGGATATCTGCGTACCTTCTCAGCCGTCCGCGGTCAAGGTATCCAACGGACTTTTGTTCAGAACGCCCATAGGGACCCGAGTTCGCGGAGTTTGCTGAAAAAAGCATGCACCAGGACAGCGATCTGAGATACCGTCTCGAGCATAGCCGACCAGATGATGAATAAATTTGCAGCTGCTTACGCGTTCGATGCTCTTGGAAGGGAATAAACAGCACCTGCCCGAAAGCATAGTTGGAGCGCTGATACATATCGCGTTTTTCGCGCGCTCGCACACACACACACACCGTAGAAGCGGCAGAGCAGCAGCGCGTTCTCATTTGAAGACGCTGGAGAGCCCGCCAGCGCACCAGGGATCGTTCTTTGACCTCAGATACCGCATAACGCCGCACACCAGGAAAAGCATGCGCATCGAACGGAACCTGCGGTTCTAGATTGTTGCGCTTCAATGGACAACGAACGATGCACGTTCTTCGCTATAATGCTTGGTACGCTGCCGCGCGGACAGTCAGACGTGCTTCGTATGGCTAAGGCGTCCTTCTTTCCTCAAGTTCGTCCCATGGAGAGAGCACTTGTTGAACCGAGTTCCCGAGGCATGCAGACACCGCGTTGCTCTGGATAACAGAAAAAATTGCACACCGTAACACGCTTTCTCAGCTCCGTATCCTCAGTTGATGTCCGCTGGACAACGAAAGCATGTTACCGAAAAAGGTATGCCTCCCGCACTTGGATGGAACCGGCTGAATAACTTGGCAGCGTAGTCTCGTGTCTTCGTGCCGGCCGCGGCTGCTGCACTACCTGGGATCCATGCCGATGGCACATGATGCTGGCACTGCCAAGCAACTTGCCCCACAAGCGTTTTACACTGCCAGCGGCAGTTGGCGGCTTTCCTAGAACACTCAAACAGCAGTCTTAACTTGATCAGCAGCAGACAGCCAGAAGAAGGGCATCTATGGTCCATGTTTCAGGTGCTTACCGGTACGAGTGTTGCAGGAAACAACGGCTGGCTGACAACCGACGTCGTTTCTGGTGTACCGCAGAGATCGCCGGCCTGGGGGGCGTACTCAGGTTCATGGCCTGCGCAGAAGCGCTCCTCTTTTGAAGCGCAAAGTCTCCATCTTCCGAGCTCCAATGAATACCGTCTAGAACCTTCGTGGTTCGGCGGCGGAGCCCGAAAACGAGCAGCCCAGCGGGGACGCTGCCCTAACTGCTACTCTCCGCAGCAAACTACACGCCAAAGTCCGCGTTGTGCAGTCTCCGACGAGACCTACATGGACCGCTGCATTCAACTGGCTTTAATGGCAAGGCCGTCCCCGAACCCCCCGGTCGGATGTGTGGTCGTCGACCCTGACACAGGTCGCATTGTCGGAGAGGGTTTCCATCCGCGTGCGGGCTACCCCCACGCGGAGCAATACGCCTTGCAGGCGACCTTTACAACGCTGAGGAACGCGTCATCGCACCAAAACCAGCACCTGGCAGCGACTGTCTCTGAGCCCGTGGCCGCACTACCTGGCTCTGCACGAGGTATGCATGTTTACGTGACGCTCGAGCCGTGCAACCATTACGGGAGAACGCCTCCCTGCACCGAGTCCCTGATCCAGGCACAGGTGTCGCGGGTTGTCATCGGTACACGAGATCCAGACCCCAGAACTGCTGGTTCCGGTGCGGAGCGTCTTCGACGAGCGGGTATCGAGGTGCAGTTTGGACCTCGCGCAGCCGAGTGCTTGAAACTCTACGAGGGCTTTCAGCATCGCATCCACCATCAGACTCCACTTGGTATCCTCAAATACGCCATGAGTCTGGATGGTAAAATAGCGACGGAAACAGGGGATGCTCGATGGGTGAGTTCGGCGACCAGTCGACGGTATGTGCATGAGCTACGCGCTCGCTGTGATGCTGTTGTCGTCGGCGCTGGTACGGTACGTCGAGATGATCCCGCTCTGACGGTTCGTTTGGAGGAATCCATCGATGTACCTGAACTGGGATATGGCCAGCCCTTGCGTGTCGTCATGTGCACCAGCGCTGCACGATTGTGGCGAGATCGACCTGACGCAAAGCTCTGGGATACATCAGTGGCCCCGACGGTGCTTGCAGTGTCGTCTGCAGGTGAAGTTTCTTCCTCGAAGGAGCTCGATGCTGCTGAAAGAGAGGCGATTCTTGCGTTACGCTCTAGAGGTGTCCAGATTGCGTATCTGGATGCATTACTTCCCTTGCCGCCGACGCGGGCGCTAATGCAGTGGCTCTACGACTACGGCTGCACCACGGTACTCTGGGAGTGTGGTGGTACCCTTGCGACGTCAGCGGTGCGCGAATCAGCTGTCCACAAAATACTTGTATTCGTAGCCCCAAAGCTCGTCGGGGGCAGGTCGAGCCCGACGCCGATTGCCGCTGATTTGGGTGTTCGCAACATGGAGGAAGCGCTCGCGCTACGACTTGGTCGGATGGAGGTCATCGGATCTGGGCAGGATGTGCTCATCGAGGCGTACCTCGACAGCAACAAGCTATCGCCCGATGCGGCTAGCGGCACTACTTGAGTTGCGCATTCAAATGTTGTCGTGGTGTACATTTTGCGAAGCACGCCGCGTTGCAAACGGATAGCGGAATGACTTTTACGAGAAGTGCATTTTCGGATGGTGTTCACTCTACGCTGCAAACGGGCAACAAGCCATGTCGTGGAGCTGAGCAGCGTTTGCGGGTGGTTTCTACGCTCCGTCGTGCGCGGATAACGAAAGCATCGCTTAGGGCTGGTTTGCGTTCATGAGCGGTTCCTCGAAGCACCGCAGAGCAGCGCGCTCCCTCTGCTAAAGCGTATCTGACCCGGCGAACAATGGTTCCACAGTGTTTTGGATGTGTGTGCATTCTCTGTCCGCACCAGGAAAGGTGGTGCAACCTTGGAAGCTCAGCGACCAGGCGTCATGGGTCGTCTCGACGACGTCAGCGGCGAGGAGGAAGCCTTGGGCGCTTGCTTCAACCCCAGACGCGGTCTTCGTAAGCCCAGGAATATCAACGACCAACCTGTTGCTGAAAACAAAGCTGCCTTATCATATTTCTCCCTAAAGCTTTTCTTCTGAGTTTTGTGATGTGCGTATCGCATCGCGAGGTAGCCTGCGGGAAATCCCCCAGCAGCGCCCAGTGCTATAAGGTCGCGCTCCGGAATACGCCACTGGTGTTGGAGAGCTCTTCTTTTATCCTCAATAATGCACCCGGCAGATATACCGTTCACGCCAAGTAGGTACCATGGAATAAACCTACGGATAGCTTGCGCCATAGACACACGTTTCGTCGTAGCTTTGCTTTTAAAGCGCCCTGCCCGACGCTTCTCTGTTGTGCGACCTTTAACGTTAACCTGTGCCCCGACTGCGGACACGTTAGAGTAAAAGCTTCAACGCGTTTATACTCGTACTTATAAAAGCACGTCCGTATCCAAACACGTACTTATGCGAGCATGTGTGAAAGCACTCGCGTACAGGGTACCTTCCGGCTGGGCGTCTTGCAGTTTTCAGTGGCCACATTGCCGCGCGTCTGCACCGTCGCGCCGCTTCAGCCTACTTTTCTGCGCTCTCTGTTACTGTTGCTTGACTTGTCGGACGTGCACCGTATACATCCCGCTAGGACGCTGGGGAGAGAGATCCTTATGAGCAGCGAACAGAACCAGCCTTCATTTGAGTCAGATGGTCTAAAAATTTCGTCAGTAAGGCAACCAGTAGGGGCGTACTTGGCTGCCACGACAGCAGGTACAAGTGCTGCGAGTAGTGGGCGGCGGCTTGCGTCGCATGGCACCCGCGATGCGGATCCCGGACGCGGGAGCGCTGAAGACGACCGAGTAATGAGCGACTCGGAGTTGCTGTTGCGCAGAAACGTTGGTCGACCTGACACCCTAACAGCAGTAGGAACACGCCTCCTGCCGACACGCAGTCGCGAGACGCTACTCGAGAAACTTCCCAAAGTGCGTTCTGTTGTCATATCCGGTGTTGCACTACTGCAACTGGTGAAAGAATGGCAACGGGCAGGTAAAGGAAGCGCTTCCAAACGCACTGGTGTCCGATCAATGGAAGGCGCTGCGTCTGAAGCCTATTGCACGGGCCAGCTCGTCGGCTACCTAGAAGTGGAGCGACGCAGTGACCCCACGAGCGACGACGCCAAAACAGCTGACGCTCTCGTCTGGGGTGACGTGATGCACGTCACAGCAGCCTTTCCCGCTCCCCGTCTGAGCGTCATTGCCGGTGGTCGCTCGACTTCGGGGAGTGCACCGACGTCGTTGCCCGCTGCGGTGATAGCCAACCAGATGCAGCAGAGGGGCACTTATCTGTGGGAGCGTTGTCGTCTTCTAAGAGAAGCGTCCCGCGAGAATCTGATTGTGGGTTGGTTTTGCGTTGGCGATACGAGGCAGCTATCGTCTTTTGTGAACGCAGAATGGACGGAGACGCAGTTTCAACACCAGTTCTGGTTGAAAAATGCGGTCTGTGTTGTATTTGATCCACTACGGAGACACAGTAGCGGGACGCTCGGGATTCGCGTGGTCCGCCTTTCCGATGCGTTCATGCGAGAGTACAGCAGACTCATGGATTATCGAGTCGGAGGCTCGGGAAGCTCAAACAAGGGGTCAGCAGCGCTTCAAGCTTACGGTAGAGGTGGCGGTCGCGTCGCAGCCGGCTCAACGTTTGTCTCGGAAGTGCTGCGCGATCTGGGGCTCTGCTCCCAGACAATGATCGAGGACGTTCCTTTCACAGTACACGCGTCAGCGCTCTCGGAACAGTATCTGGCATGGAGCGCTCTTCAGCATCCACAAGCACGTGAGAACGCAAAGTTTACAGAACACGCTGCTGCCTGTGACTCTGATGTTCAGAGGCTCTCACTGCGTCGCGATGGGGTGCTCGTGGAGGAAACCGCTGGCGGTTTGATCCAAGATCTCGATGAGGTCACTAGAGAGCAGTCCCGATACCATCACTTTCTTCGGAACTATATCCGAATACAGAATCAACAGCATGAATGGCTACGGAGGCGCCGGGCTGAAAACGAACATCGGCGTCAACAGGGACAGGAGCCTCTGCCCGAGGAACCGCTTCCCGCGCATCTTAGTTCATATAGTGAGCCGAGTCGTCTTGAGCCTATGATGACCTTTCGTGATCTTTCGGAAACGCTGCGCGATCTTGAACTCGTCATTGGAGGCCGTTGTGAGAAACAAGTTACGCTCGAATCCTTCAAGACGGTATAGGGTGCGCTATGCTGCCTAACGAGCTCTGACGGCGAGGCGAACGCCAGTCGGTGCGCATCAAAGACTCGGGCAGTCAGCGCAGCGTCAAAGTGATGTCCATGTAGAGGCATTCGTATGGGCACTTGGATTCGGCAGTTGACCTCGGAATGACTGTCCACAGAAGCGTCCTGTGCGCTAGGAGAATGGATCCACTTTCACAGAGAGAGCGGCGTATAGGCGTCCCTGGGCGAGTAAGGAGCGCTTTACCTCGCTGATGTTTTTCCGGAACGAATCGAAGGCATGTCGCCCCGGACTACACGGCGAATGTTGCATTGTTGTTGTCGGTCGCAAGGGCAGGAACCTAATAATACATGGCGATACAGGTCGCAGGCGGTTGGGTATCTCGCTACCAGAGACCGCCTAAGCAGCTGTGCAAGCTCATGGGATCTCGAAGATCCCCTTATCAGCTCGAGATTATAGTTTTGTGCCACGAATTCAATGCACCCGTGCATCTGCCAAGTTGACGTGGTCGGAGCGATTGCTTCTCTAGATCACAAACGTTCTCTCTATCGCAAATTTCTCGAGTAGGTTACGGTATGCGCTAGACACGGCCATCAGCGATCGAAGGTCTGGTGACCTTGAAAACCTCAAGTCCGAGCAATCGGTCATAACCCAAAAGTTACATTCCTGTGGCCGCACCTGCACGCCTGAACGAATGCGGAGCCCCACGTTGCGACGAAGAAGACGACTGGTTCGCAATATTCCGAAAAGGTCCGCACGTCGTCGTCGATGTGACATGTCGAGTAAAATTCATCCGCGCCGAACGCTGTGCACTAATACGATAAGCGGTGGAACGTACTTTTCCAAGAAAGTTCACATGTCGCCATCGATGCGATAGGTCGCGTACGATGCTCACAAACCAGACGCTCTGGCTTCAAGCTCGCCATATCGAGCGCATGATTGTGTCTGTACCTAAAACGGCGTCACTGAAGCTTAATCGCACGGAGTACGGTGATAAATATCCCAGGCTGCTGTGCTGCCTATGGATGCGAGTTGTGTTTTGGAATGCATTCACGCTTCGACGCTGATGCACCAGGGCAGTATTCAGTGCTTTTACGCAGTCCTCGTAACATCAACATAGCCCCGATGCCATTCACGAGTGCGATACTCCCCAGACATAAACTCAGTGAGAGAGACTCAGCCGGCGAACTCGATGTCGCAATTCGTTGCACAGTCCAGGCGCAGAGCACACCAGCCAGATAAAGCCGGAAAAAGACGGTCGACCAGAGGAACGCGCCGGGCGAAACAGCTGCAAACCAGTAATAGATCCCAAAACCCTGGGCAACGAGGCCTATCAAGCGTACGGAGACCACTGAGAAGTGCGGCGGCGGGAAGCACCACCGCAGCGCCAGCTGGGGCCAAACTGCGAGCGCGCTCCCGACAACCAGAAGCGCACAAGCAGTGAAACGTGCTGCTCGTACGGGTGGTGGTGATGGTGGCGGTGGTGGTGGTGGTGGCGTCAGCTGGACGCCACCACCACCACCACCGGTACCCGAGCACGTCGGCAAGCCGTACAACGGTACCGTCCGAGAACGATACGAGCTGAGACAGCATACCAGACCCGACTACGTCGTGCGTTTTTCAGCGGCACCTGAACGAACATGTTCCGTCTGAATATTTCACAAGTTGCTTAGCATACCGGAACTTGCTCAGGCAATAGCGTTACAGCAAAAGGTGCTGCAACGAAAGCGCAAGGTGTCATTACCGTTTGGGGGGTGATACGGTTCGCAGGCACTTGCCAGAATACGCATACGCAATGTGGAATGGATACCCTCTGCCCCAGTGGCCAGTAGGGTATTTACGCTGCGTCTGTCGATACGCCCGTGTCAGTGGAAAGTAAAACAGGCTCCGATTTGCTCACTCGAGCGTGCACACACAAGCTTGTGTCCCGTTCCATTGTCATGAACAGTAGCTTTTTTGGCTTTTTCTGCAAAAGCTTCGTTTTCCTCTCTCGCTCTCTCTCTCTCATTTCCGAACAGAAAAAAAAACGGCGGTCGAACCCGTGCTCTTAGACCCCTTATCAGCAGTCAAAGGATGCTGATTGCAGTATCCGAGTCCAAGGTCGCTGATTCCTGCTGCTGTCGAGGCAGTCATGCACAAAATGAGGTCGCGATCTATGCCTCGCTCGCAACGCTCATCTTCTTTTATTCGCAGACTCGAAGCGTTTTTCGCATCGGTGACACTTGACGATTATCAGGTGATCCGGTATGTCGACCACACGTCCTCGAGTTCGGAGGATCACCATGTCGCGCTTGGACGATTGCTTCATTGCTCGGTACATGCCCTTGACGAGTATGAAAAGCGCACCTCCATGCCCGCCTGCGTTTCCACGATCGGTGCCGTACCCGAAGACCATGGCCTTCCTCTGGCAAGGCCTTCGGTGAGTACGGTTTCTGGTGAAGGTGCAAGCGCGTGCTGTCCCAATCGATGGAGGATTTATGAAACGCGATCCTGCCCAAGATGATGCACTTACCGGAAGTGGAATCTCGACAGGAGACCAAGTCAGGAGATTCCTATCTGCCAACGCTGCCTGCTTGCAAAGCGTTGACGTAGTGTTCACCGAAAGTGATCGATGCCACGATCGGGGTCTGAGTACCAGCCGTCTTTTTATGAAAATAGAAGAGACGGGAGCCTCTGAGTGCTTATCTCGTGGTACGGAGCATGCTGCTGTTGAAGGCGATTTTGGCAACGAGCACAAAAAGAGTAGAATTTGTGCTTCGAACGAAATCGGTTCCTTGTCGTGCCAAGCTTGGTGAAAAATCAACACGAGCATGTTCTAAGGCCGCAAAAAAATGACGTCGTGTTTTCTTCCTCGTCTATCCGGCTGCGGTAATAGCGACGCCGGCGAGTTGTCCATCAACAAGCTCGCCGAAAACTTGCAGAATGCGTGTTTCGACCATGCTATACGCAAGGAAAGAAGAAGAGTGAACGCTTGCACATATGCCTCAGATAATCGTGCAGGTTATTTTACGAATCTTTGTTGCGTGGCGTCGCGAATCATCCTGATTCCGGTGACGCAACGAATTCCGGCAGCAAAGCGTCGCGGGAGCCACTCCGAGTCGTCGATCGAGAATCCTAAAACTATGAAGGCATTCGGAAAATCCATACTGCCGCAGCTCCAATGTCAAGACATTGCACCAAGGAAAGGTTCCGAATCAAAAACCTGAACGCTGGAACACAGCGAGCAGTTCAGTGTTCCAGTCGAGTCTGCTGGGGGCGGAGGACGCCCTTGCATCTATTGCTGCAAAATTATTGACGCAGAGAGTTACATCACATAACCTGCTAGGCAGAATGGGCTGCGAACCGGATGCGCACACGGGCCCAGTGCTTTGTGCACCTACGCCCTGGTAGATGCTAAGCAAACGTCCACGTCGCGAACCGGCAACGCATTTCATACAAGATCGCGAAGGAGAGGTGGCTCCCGGGACTCATCCCAACAACCAAGTTTCTCCAGCATGTGTTGCACCGAAGGCAAGCCTCTATCCGCTGAGTGATTCAACACGTATCGACTTCGAGACCCGACTTTCTATCAGGTGCGGCACGACTCGAGCTGACGCCCCCTGTGGTATTGGGACGCCGTCCTGGCTCCATGCACGACTGGACCGGTGCTAGGGGCGCTATCGCGGACACGTGTGGCACACACGCAGCGCGCATGACTACCCGGAAAACTATCGGTAGCTCCGAGGGAAAGTGTAGCTAGTGGAATTTGGTAGTAGAGCGTGGAACGATGGATGCCGCTCCGAGCGCGGGTATCAAGCGCGCATTCGGGCATCCCCGGTCTCAGTAACGGTTTCGTCAACTGAAAAAGTGCATATCACGGATCCTACGCTCGACCGGTGTTAAGGCGTCTGCGTCGGAGTTTTTGTTTTTGCTGTGATTCGCGGCAGTACTTGCACACTGCGTGGAGCCTTGTTCGATCAAATGCTCTTATGCCAATCCAAGGACAAAGGTTTTGCATATCTGCCAAGATCACCGGACGGAAACCTCTTCGATGTATCGCCCTTGCGCCGCAGAAAAGCGAAAGTGGTACGATACCGCAGCGTTCGTTGTGACACATAAAATACATAAATGAACTATTTGCTCCAGATTCGTGGATCTCTCGCGCCGCATCTGAATAAAAAAGCAGCCGCTGTCCACTGGCGCACGCTGGGTCATTCGCCCGCGCTCCACGCGCATGCGTCCAGCAAGCGGAAGGTACAAACGTTTCCAAAGTTTGCGCCAAGCGACGGGAGCCACGCCTCTTGATCGTTTTTTACGGGAAGTATGGACGCTACATCAGCGACTTCTGGACATGCGACAGAAATCACGTTACCAAGCGCCAAACAGCTGATAGTGAATACGCTGCGTCGCGCTTGGCGAACCCCAAGGACGCATCGCGCAAAAGCCTGCGTCTGGAAAGCGAAGGCTCAACGTCAGCGAACCTGGGCAGACAAAGAGGCGGATCGAGAACGTTTGCAAGCAGTAAAAAAGTTAGAGCGCAGCCTGAAGGAGAAGGCGCGGGCACAGCGGGCAGCTGAAGCAGAGCGAAGAGCCCAAATGCGCGCCGAACGTGAAGCCAACGCCCTCCGCACCGGCACGAAAGTGCAGATTGTGCGTGATTCGAACAAGATCAAGCGCATGTCTAAAAAGCAGCAAAAATTGCTACGAAAGATGGCATTATAGGCTGCGCGCAGCCACCTGAACCGAATAAAGTGAGCACCGAGCAGGTGGTCTAGCTTTCCCTTGCGCTCCAAAGCGAGAACGTTGCTTCGAGTTTGCCAGTTGGCACAACAGTGACAAAACTCGTTCAGGACACGAACCTCACACTGCGAAAGAATTCGCACTTAATCCTCTGGTAGAAACGGTGCATACATCATTGTATCCAGCAGGTACACGTTACTCTAAACGAAAGACCTAGACTCTTTTTCAAGACGCTCGCATGAGGTCTCGGACGCAGCACCAAACGCCAGACACTCCTCTTGGCATGCCCTTCATTCCGGAGCACGTCGTTTCGCAGCAGCCGCAGCCATGAGCTCTTTCACCGTATCTGCCGGGACACTCTTTTGTGCAGGTCCAGTTTCCAGATTGTAGAGCGCTAGCATATGACCGTCAGGGGCCCGCAACGTCACCGCGGTTGCACCGTAAACTGTCCGTCGTACTGGACCATCCATAACGGCACCTTGTGCAAGGCACTCACGAACTGTTTGATCCAAATCGTGGACCTGAAACCGCAGAAGCGGCGAGTACCCTGTGAGACTACACGCGAGCGTATCCGTCTCGTGCAACTCTAGCAACCCGTTCGGTGCGTCAAGCGCAGCCCACTGCTCTGTACGCTGCGCAACCCGAAGACCCAGGCCTTGGGTGTAGAATTCAAGGGAACGTTCCAGGTTCGAGACAAGCAGAAGCACACCTCGCCACAGCGCTCCCGTCATACCACTGCCGACCTCCAGCAACCGATCTTCTTGTCGCCTGTTTTTGGGCACGATCAGCCTTCGCTCTTCGACTTTGCTCACCTAGATGCTTCTGCTGTCTACAACTGTCGTTTCATCTTCGACGAGTTTACGATACCCGCCCATGCACACAGCAAGTGCTCCAGAGCGTTTCGAGGTTGCGCGCGGGAGTACACGTTCGGAGCACGAGGTTGATTCAATGCTGTACAATTTGGTATTAGACAAACATGGACAGCATCCACGTACGCTACCCGCGGACTGAAAAAGCGCGCGCAACTCTCTGTGGCCTGTGCGCTTGTTCCACACTGGGGCCGGTGCTCCGCCAAAGCAACAGAGATGGCAGCAGTTGGGCAGGCAGCTGCGTCCGAAGCAGCGCTGAGGAGCCCAACCGCGAACATCCTTTTCAAAGGTGATCTGGAGGCACGTTTGGCGCGAGTTGGCGACGCATGGCTCGATGCAAGCAGGACGTTCGATGCGCTCTTCGTTTATACGGGAGCGCTCGCAGCTGGAGAGCCTGCCGGTTACCGCAAGTCTTATGCTTTGGTTATGTACATACTTGGTGTGGAAGCGCAGCAGACTGCTCTGGTGCTGCAGCACACCGACGCCGCGTCAGTACTGTGGATCGGGACGGCAGATGCCGAGATCTGGGCCGCGCTAGAGACAGCTGCCCCAGCGCTGGGTCTATCCGCGGGTCACCATGAGGCAGACCGCCATCAAAATGGTGTCGAAGTGAACGACGATCGTAGCGGAGCGTCTTCAACCCCGAAAGCAACCCTTCTACGGGGCAACTTGGGCTCAGACTGGTTCCTGGTAGCCGCTTGGATAGCAACCAAGCGTGACCTGGAGAAGACGCTTGCCGTGGCGGGGGTTCCTGCGCGTTCCTCATTGAATTTGGGTGCCCTGGTGAAGGAGCGGAACGTACATCAGGGTGACTTTGCCGCGAAATGCACCGCCTACGTTTTCGGAGACGCGGCAGGGTCGGACGTTGCCACTCCACCTCCGGTGAATGCAGCGGAATGGATTGGAAACCTGCTCATTGCGAAACTCCCCGATGAAATTCAAAATATCCGGAAAGCCTCATATCTGTGCGCGAAAGTTTGCCAGGCATACTTTGTGGAACGGATGGAAAGCATTTTGGACGAGGACACACCAGTTTCGCATGATCGCCTAAGCGAGGAAGTCGAGGCGCGACTGCTCGCACCAGCAACCGTTGGTGTGCAGCTTGTTGCCAGTGAATGTGAAGCCGCATACCCACCGATCATACAGAGTGGACGAGATGGTCCCTTCGACCTGCGTCCTAGTGCAATCAGCAATGAACAAAATTTGAGCACGGGCCTGGTGCTCGCCTCGATCGGTGCACGCTATCATCAGTACTGCGCAAATGTGGTGCGCACTTTTCTCATAGATGTGGAGAAACCCATCCGCAGCATGTACGCGAAGGCGCTGCAAGCGTTGGAAGCGGTGCGACGCGCGTTGCGCCCGGAGCAGGAGGCATGGGTTGCCTACAACGCAGCCATTCAAGAGCTCGGAGAGGAGCTAGCCGCCGCGCACCTTGCCGGGAAACACGTCGGATTTGGCATTGGTCTCGAGTTCCGAGACTCAACCTGGCTCTTGAACGAACAGAACCACAAAATTCTTCGTTCCGGAATGACGTTCCAGATTCAGGTCGGCCTGGAGCGGCTTGGGGAGAACAGTACACTCGCGCTCATGGTAGCAGATACCGTACTCGTTGGTGGTGCGGATCCAGAAGGGGCGGAAGTTTTGACCCAAGCTGCCTCCAAGAGCCCTGCCAAAGTAACCTATTTCCTCGATATGGACGCCGACGAGGAAGCGGATGACGGCACCGTAGGCAATGCGGGGAAGAATTCTGAAGCGTTGGCTTCTGAGCAGGTCGCCGGGGAACCCAGTGCTCCGTCGATCGTTACCCGCCGTCGTGCACAACAATCTAGTGCTCCTGATGATGATGATGCAGCTGCGGAAGCGGAGCGCATTCGACTCCACCAGCAGAAGCTCGCCGAGCAAAAGCTCCGTGAATCGCGTACCCGAATTCTGGGAAAGAGTGCATCCAGTGCAGGGGACCAATACAGCGCCGAGGGCAAAGGATTTCGTGCGCTGAATGCTTATCGCGCCTACGAGCGAGTTGAAGACTTTCCCGCTGGGCTACGACCGCGCCAACTCTTCGTGGATATGGAACGCGAAGTCGTCCTGGCACCAATCACGGGAATTCCCGTTCCTTTTCACATCGCGACGATCAAGAATGCCTCCAAGTCCGATGAGTCGGGCTTTACGTACCTGCGCATCAACTTCCTTGTGCCTGGCACTAGCGCGTCGACGGCAAGTGCCTCGGGCGCCGGCGGCCTGACGGCCCCCGCAGGTGTCAGCGGCGCCGCGGCACGACTATCCCTCTTTCCCGATAACCCCGGATTCGTGCTGAAAGAACTCTCCTTCCGCTCCGCAAGTGCCGCCAACCTGAGCGAGGTCTTCCGCAAGATCAAGGAGCTTCGCAAACGCTTTACCAGCCGGGAAACGGAAGCCCAAGAGAAGGAGACGCTCGTGAAACAGGCTCCTCTGATTCTTGAGACCGACCCGAGACGCATCCCGCATCTTGTTGACGTGTCGATTCGCCCGTCGTTGGGCGCTGGGGGTCAACGTGCAAACCAGGGTGTCCTCGAAGCGCATGTCAATGGTCTGCGTTTTCGCTCGCGGCAACAGCGCGCTGTGGACATTCTCTATCGCAACGTGAAGCACGCCTTCTTCCAAGAGGCGCGTAACGAGGTCATCGTGCTGGTTCATTTCCGTCTGCATACGCCGATCATGGTGGGAAAGCGCAAAACAATTGATATCCAGTTTTACACCGAGGTGATGGATGCGACCGTCCGCCTCGCGGATACGCGACGGAATCCCTTCGATATCGATGAAATCGAAGAGGAGCAGCGTGAACGGGAGAATCGGCATCGTCTGAACAAACTGTTCTTCAAGTTTACCAAAGAGGTAGAGGCCAAAGCAAATGAAGAGCTCGAGTTCGATATGCCGTATCGGGAATTGGGCTTTGAGGGTGCTCCTGATAAGATGCAGCGCTTTTTGATGCCGACGCGCGATTGTCTCGTTGATCTTATCGAGTTTCCACCGGTGATCATTTCGCTGGAGGATATCGAAGTAGCTCACTTTGAACGCGTGACCTACTCGCTCAAAAACTTTGACCTTGTGTTGGTGATGAAGAATTTCGCACAGGAACCGAGTCGTGGTGAGACTCAATGGATCCGCATCTCGTCAGTTCCGAGCACAGAGCTGGACGCGGTGAAAAAGTGGCTTGATTCCGTCAATATCCCCTTCTATCAGGGTCCATCGAATCTGAATTGGAACACGGTGCTGCGCACCATTCGAGAAGACCTCGAGGGTTTCTACGAAGAGGGCGGTTGGCGTTTCCTGGACGCCGAAGCGTCGAGTTCTTCCTCTGAAGATGAGGATGAAGAGGAAGGAGACGACGCTGGTGCCGGCGCAAAAACACGTGCCTCCGCGACCAAGGCTAGCGCTGGCGGGGCCGCTGCGGATCTCTCCGATCAGGATGAAGAATACGTTCCTAGCGACGAAGACTTTGAAGCGGAATCTTCCGAAAGCGACTATGACGAAGACGATGATGATGAATCTTTCGAGGCTGACGAGGAAGCAATTGACTTGGCCGAGGAACTCGGTGATGACGATGCAGGTGAAGCCGAGCTCAGTTCCTCTGACGAAGGCCTCGACTGGGACGAACTCGAACGCCGCACCAAGGAGGAAGAGCGACAGAAGCGCAAGCGATGGCACGACGACGACGATGACGACGAGGATGATAATGATGGTGATGACGATAACGAGAATGATGGCGATGCGCGACGTCGACGCCACGGACGCAAGCAGCGTGCCCGGGCGCCCTCCGGACAGACAGCGTTGACGCACGGGCCCAAGCGCGTACTTCGTTAGCTCAATCAGAATCGTTCGCTGGCTCTAACTGTACTCCAAAGCACGTCTTCAACGAGTCAAAGAACATAAAGAATATGCCGGACGATACCGCTTCCCAGGTTGCGCGCGGCATGACGCCCCGGAAGAGTGCAGGGACACCACCCTCTCCGAGCAGCGCTCTGATCGCCTGCAAGACTGAGGTTGCGGGGCGGCCCGGCTGGGTGCCAGAGACCAGCATGCGCGTACGCACCACGTCCAGCGGGGTGGTGATGACCCCAATGAGACCGCCGGCGCTCATACCCAGCAGAAGCAGTTCCCATTCGGCGAGTCTTTCGCGACCTTGCACTCGCTGCGTGATCTGTTTGAATTGCTCGAACGTCCCAAACTCAAGGGCGTCGAACGGCAAGTTTCGCAAGAGATTCGACCCGTACCCAGTCCAGAGCGCCATAAGGCCGCCTTCATGAACCCAAAGGTGTCGCGCTGCTGCGACAATATTCGGCTGCAGGCATGACTGCACGCGCTGTTTGATCAACTCCGCAGGCGTATCGACGAGGCTGCTAACGATATTTGCCATAGCGGCTGCGGTGGTGGACTCCCAGAAGAGCCTCGGGCCCGCGTCCGAGTTCGCACGCAGACCCTGGTCATGATAATGAGACGCACCGGGGCGCGTTCGACGTAGCGTTCGACGCACCGACTCGTACGTGATCGCGAATAACGCTGCAGTTGGAAGTGAACCAATCACGCCGGACAGGACACCGGCGTAGAGCTGGCGAAAACCGCGACCATCCGCCATACGACGTACGGCATGCTGGAATGCGCGTACTGGACCCAGCCAGTGCAGGCCCGAGGCAGATCGCCACGCCAGTGTCGAAGCAGCTGCAGCTGTTGCGTGGCGAGAGTGGATCAGCCGGCGGTGTGCCGTTGGCAGCTGCTGCGTCTGCTTGAGCGTGTCGAGTGGGTACAGGAGAAACTCAACTAGGGCCTCGGCGATAGCGCCAGCGCTCGCCTCCATCAAGAGCCGTCGACCGAGCCCGAGCGGTGTTTTCTGCGCTGGTGTCGCGGGTGCGTGTGAGCTCGTTCGCGTATGTGCACTTGGACTCGCGCCCGAGTCGGCCGGCCGCTTTCGTCGGTCCGGTGGTGACGACGGCATCACAAGAGCGCGCTCTAACGACCAGATTGGCGTGTGCGCGCACCAGCGGGTTGACGACGTGGAGCTACGGCGTCGTAGCGGCTGCTGGCCTATCAAGGTATGCAACCACGGGCCGGGGGCAACGTCCGCGTCGAACGCCCAGCTGCCATTATGGCCGCTTCCCGGCGAGGCGACCTTTTCGCTCTCGAACAGCATGACAACGACGCAAGCACGACCGCGATAGGGTGCTTAGCTGGAGTTCGCACGAAACGCTCCTGGTTTTAAAAAAGCTCCACACTCGCATTACATAATGACGCTAGAATCTGGTGCGTTTTGGTGTTGATCATGCCCCGCTTCCGTATCGTGAACAACATACGCTCGGCAGGGTAGAATGCAGCGTGGCTATGTTCGCCAGCCGCCGCACGCCAACGATAGCACACGTCCGCGCACGGGCAGTGCGCCTCGCGCAGCCAATCATCCGGTTGTCCGTTTCTACTATAAAGGTACATTTCTTGGTAGTTATGACTGGTTACTGAATCGCCACCTCAATCAGCACGCATTCGACTTGTCGGGTCCGGGACGCGTGCGCGCTCCGGTGCAGGCGTGTGCCGGCGCATTCACCGCCACGTGCCTCCGCTTCGTGTGCATCCTGCGGCGTGCCTGGCGTTGGAGCTGCCTCCAGCCGCTGACACCAGTGCATACACGACCGAGGCAGAGTGTGTGTAGCGCGTCCGGGTCGCGCTGGCACTCCTTCGCGCACCAGGTGAGCTCGGCACTGCCGCCCGCACGCACCCGAACAACGTATGCACGCGCGCTTACCCGGTACGGCCACACAGAGACGATGCGATGCATGTGCACGTAGCCACTAACGTCGCTATCGAGCAGGATGCAGCATGCATGCGCGTGCGCCGTCAGGCCGTTTCGCGGGAAACACGCATCCCATGGACACGTGTGTGTCACGGATACACGTAGCACGCATATCAACAGATGCATTGCTATCATTGTGCGTGTTCACGCACATGTGCTCGAATACGATTGGCGTTCTCGCACCTTTAGGCGCGAGTGTGCGCTCACTGACCGTCCGGGGTGTCTACATGGATCAGCATCCAATCGACACGGGTGGGCGGCGTTTCGCAGAGCGCTGCGTCCAGCGTCTGGGCGCATCATCACAGCATGGGGTGTGCAGCTCAGTGCGCGAGGTGGATGCGAAACCGCGCGCTGCGGTCGCGCGCTCACCAGGACTCGTAGTCGCACCATGCATGCTGTTTGCCAATGAGCAGCGCCCATGTACCTAACCGGAACGCAACGAACTGCTGCGATTAGCCGCGCACGGTGATCATCTCTACGGGAGGCGGGTGCGACGTGCCTTAAGCATGCGCCGCGGCGCCATGGTACCAGGAGCGTGCGCATCGCCAAGGGCTTGCGTTGGTGCGAATCCAGGCGCTCCCAGCAACGGTGTCGCTGGCGGAGGCACGCCATTCGCCGCCGGGTCACTCGGAGCCAGCGACGGCCACGGTAAGGACGCTGGCAACGGTGCGGCAGCGCCCGATGCGGGCCACGGTGATTGCAACGACGACACCGCTGGTGCCGAGACAGTCGGCGTCTGCATCGGTGCACTGAGCGATGAGGTCGTCCACATTGATGTACCGTTCGTGCCTTGAGATGCCGATCCAAACCAGAAAGGTTCCGAATTGGTACTTGCTGTCGGTGCAGAGAACAACCAAGCGGGTGGTTTCGGCGGCGCGTTGCTAGCAGAAGCGGCGACCGTGGTATCAGTTGCGCCAGCCGCTGGTGGACCAAAGTGAAACGTGCGCGCAGGAGCCGGTATCGCGAATGCTCCCTGTGAAATAGATGCCTTCGGTGCAGGGGCCGCGGTTGCGGGCACCTGTTGCGATGCCCCACTTGTGTCCTGCGATTGCAGGGGCGTCTTCTGGGGTGATTCCCCAAGCGCGGCACCAGCTGTGTCAACGGTTTGTATGGACTGCGTTTCTGTGGAATTCGGCTTCCGGGATGCGGTTCCGTCGCTGACGGGCGCTGCCGATGTCTCAGCCGCGGATTTGGTTTCGTACGCCGCCTTTTGCGGCATCGCCATCTCAGAGGCTGATTCCTGCTGCTCTTGCCCAGTACTGCCAGGCGGAGCGTGCATCCGTGGTACGTCATCGGGCGACGCTGACGCCAGCGTATTCGGCTTCGGGTCTGCTGGTGCGCCGGAGCACTGCGCGATCTCATCGTGTTCGTGCGGCAGTTCTGTCTGCACAAATCCCGCGAGCGATGTCTTTGCGATTTCCGACGACGACGGCGCAACGTCCAATGACCCTGATGCTGTTGGAGCAGGCGCTGCCGCATTCGGTGGTGCTATGTGTACGGAGGAGTCTGTAGATTCCTGTCGCGACGCTGATTCGCTCGACACCGGCACCGTCGAAGGCTGCACAGTCGTATCAACAGGCACGTACCCGGTTCTTTGAGTAGAGCCGGCTGTGGACAGTGATGGCGGTCGCCAAGGTTCCGGAATACGCGGCAACGCGATCTCGAGAGGGCGCATGCGCGGTGGCAGCGTCGGCAATGTCGGTGCGTCGGGACTGGAACCCTTCGACAACGTTGTCTCTGCAGCGTCGGCATGGAGCTGGGCTTCTGGTGACGCTTGTTGCGCGTGCTCTCCATGCTCTGGTAGCGACACCGTTCGTTGCACTTGGAGTTCATCATCGCCGAGTTTTGACGGGACTATTCGCCGCATGGCTTCGAGTTGCATGTCCCTGGCACCACCAGCCGCAGCACCAAATACGGTCGCAGATTTTGACCTGGCCTGCTGCTCAGCATCTCCTGTAGGTGGCAATGAAACAGCACCAGCATCCCGCGTAGTTGGCGCTGTGGTGTCATGCGTACCAGTGGCGGCGAGGTCCACTGCAGCAGCACTTGCATGCTGATCGGCCTTCAGCGGTGGTGTTCGCAAATGCATGTCTTGTTCGGCAGTGAGAGACGACGAGATGTTCGCGTCATCAGCGGAAACATCCATCGAAAGCGTACGGCGCTTATTCCGAGCCGCCACTGTTTGCGCAGCACGGTCCAATGCGACGTCCAGCTCAGTACTATGGTCTATGGTGAAACCGCGATTGCTAGTCACGTCGGATGCAGCGGTTGCTGCTGCGGGTGTTCGCTTCCCAGGTGTTATGCAAGTGTCGCGCTCCCGCTCCGGCTGATCGCGAATCCTCTTCAGCGATTCGATGAGTTGATATAGGCGGCTCGTTGGAGCTCCAGCGCCATCACCATCTTTGCGGATGTCTGCTCGGGCTCGCTGACCATCGCGCCCATTTTGATGCCTATCGGAACGCGTACCCGTCACGATAAGGTTAGCGTCTGATCGGCGCCGTTTCGCCGCACTCATCCGCAGTGCAGGCGATCCATCGAACGTCCAGACGGCATCTAAACTGCGGTTCTGCACGCTGTGCGCCTGGGATGGCACTGATCCGCTGCCCAGGGATCCAGACGGTAGCGCGCCAGCGCTCTGCTCGAACACGCCAATGGGGCTGGTTCGCTTCGCGGATGTCGCATTGCTTGTTCGCGTTCGCCCATGCGGGACGTCTCGCAGCGGAAGTGTCGTGAGCGGTACCGCAGGCAACTTCACGTGACGGACGTCTGCTCTATTTCGCAACCAGCCATCACTTCTGTCGTCGATAGCGCTCATTCCTGACCGCTCTAATTCGCGTCCAAGAAGGCTCGTCGATAACCTAGGATCCAGGTGCTCCTGCTGGTAGCTCTCTGGATGCGCGCAAAGCGTACTGTAGTGCTGCCTCTCGAGTGAAGCGTGCAACGACGACGATCGAGCTCTGTAGGTGTCCAGCATCGACGACGACAGGCGTTCGGTGCTATGCTGTGTGAAACGTGCCTCTAGTCGCGACGCACCAGCGACGAAATCCGACTCGGTCGGTGTCCATGGCGACAGGCGGCGGAAATCGGAACCGCTTGGACGTACCGAGTACATGGTGCTGGTCGGTGTCGCGGCAGGGGCATCCATAATACGCCGATGCGGCACGATCCCCAATGCAGACGGCCGTATCTTTGGTGCTGGCGGCAGGTCGGCCAAATTTCGGATGAGCGACTGCTCCTGCGCAGGAGATCCCCCTTTTGATGCCTGAATCGCAACGCCCATCGATCGCGTCTCTGTTCGCTGCCTGAACGTCCGAATGACATCGTAGCTGGTCACGAGCGATGCCTGCCGGGTGCTACGCTCTGGTGCTCGCGAATCGTTCGCGGGTTGCGCTCCGTAAACCCGTGTCGTAGGGGATTCGGTGTGGGTCGCGGTGGTGGCTGCGGCGCGTTCATGTCGTGAGGTGCTATCCAGGTTCGTCAAGAGCTGGGTCGGGGCTAGACTCTCGTGCGGCTGCGATACAGCCGTCCGCTGCTCTGGCAAACGCGCTGTCGGCACTGGCCCTGAAGAACAGGCGATCGCGGGAGCCAGCGAATCCGCAACATCGCGTGCCAGTGCGGTCGAGGTTGCGCGAGATGACGCATCCGGAACCTGTTGCGTCGTGCCCGAGAGCACGGAATCCCGGGAATGCTGCGCTTCACTGGCGTACTGGTCACTTTCGGAGCGAGTGGGATCTCCAGTGTCCATCAGGAGGCTATCTTGCCTCTGGACGACTCCATCCTTCAGAGGCAACGCTTTCGAGTCGTTCGCATATTCGAGCTGCGTCTCTTGCTTGTGCGGCGTGTGTTTTGAAGCATCCTCGCACTCACGGGCCGAGTCTGCCGAAGCGGATACAGTCGCTGTTTCGCCGACCATGCGCGTACGCTGCACCGTCCCATTAGACGCATCTCCATCTGATGATGCACTCGAATAGCGTCCACGATGTTCTCGTGAATCTGTTCTCGAGGACTGCAAGCCATTGGGAGATCCATGTTCAAGACTAGTCGACGCGGCAGGGGATCTGCTGCTCCCGCGCCAGAGACGCCACCATCTCGACAATGACATCTGGAGTCGTCCGAGCCACCCGTGCGCACCTCGAATCCTGAGCATAGCTCCAAGCGTCAAGTCTTCCCGTGAATTTGCGCAAAGCTCCTGTGCCTCCATCGAGCTCAGGGCTCGCGCGATGGCCCGGGTTTCGACGGCCACTGCCCTGCTGGATTGCTTCCGTACGCCACCGTCGTGCTGTTTCGGTTTCGTCGCTCGCTGTACAGCTCTTGTGGTGCCTTTTTTACCAGGCACACTGTCCCGATTCATAACATGAGCTGTTCCTGTTCGCCTCTGTACGGGATGCGAGCGTCTGCCTGTCTGGCGTCCATGGACAACACCCGTCCCGGTCGTGGTCTGGTCATGCGCCTCGCGCACTGCATACAAGTGAGAATGTTCGTCCGATGAGGAGACGCTCCGCTGAGGCGATGCCTCCTCCTGATGATGACGCTCCCGCGGCAACGACTCCATTCCGGACGGCAAGTGCACGGACGCTGTGGCGCTGGGCACGCTCGAGCGCCCGCGTGGCGCTCGCTGCTGTGAGCCCCTGCCCGGAGACTCCGACTCGAGCGCACCTTGATTCGATGAACTCTGGACATATGTCGCTATATGATCGCTAGACTGGCGTTGTGCACTTGTGGAAACCGTTGATCGAGGCGTCTGCTCCGTCGCTCGGCAAGCAAGGGCAGCAGCTCTGCGCACCTGAGACCGCGTGAGTGGGCCATTCTCGTTCGAAAAGCTCGCTGTTGCACGCTTCTGACCAGGAGCAAGTTCGTAGCCGGCCTCAACCGTCACACTTAGCCTTCGCACCGGGGTTTCGTGCTCGGGTCGCACGGGCGTGTCGGACGGAGTACCTGCGAGTCCTCCGTGTGGCTCCTGCACAGCTACTGGCGAACTCTCCGCTGACTGGTCTCTCCTTGAAAGGGTAGTGTCGCTACGCTCCCCAGCTGACTTTCTTCGAGCGGCTGATGTCTTGCGACTAGACTTCGTCTTCAAAGGCACGTCCGTCTCTACGGAGTGAGACGGCGTCCGCGTACTCGTCGACCTACTGGAACGCCGTCGGGGGGTCCGTCGTCGCGGGCTTGTCCTCCAACGGGCTTCGATGCGGGATCCTTCCGGCAAGTCATAGTTGCCGTGTCGCGTGCTTACCATACCAGCTGTCAGTGGACGCCTTGAGCGCACCAAGGGCTTTCAAGGCGTACGCAATGGTCGAAAACGCTTCTACGAGGTTCGTGCTGATCGCGCCAAGCCTCTGAGATCCGCTTGGTCCAGACCCGTGCTGGATCCTAGTCGGACACTGAGCTGCTTGATCTGCGCTTGCCTAGAAACTTTTTCACGAGTTTTTATACATGTCCAGCGTTAACATTCTAAATGCAGTTGTAGGGGCCCAGGGATTCATAAACACTTTTGCGATTGCCCGTTCATCTTTTCGGAATGGCTCACTCGACGCCGTCTGCCCGGTGGAATTCGTTGCGTCACCGATATCAAGACCATTCAAGACGTCCTCGAACAAGGTTTCTTGATGTAACCGATATCGTTTTCCAACGCATACGTAGAAGCGTCAAATTCGTTTCTGTCAAGCTAGCCTGTTGACGTCGTGCGTTCTTCTAGTTTTCCACGTTTCTGTTTCGAGGCAACTCGTGGGCGCAGCTGTTCGCGCTCCTGAATTGACGAGAAAAAGACTTGACGTCGACCATTGATGAATTGTTCACGAGTTCACGCAGAAATTTTTCCCAAAATCTTCACGTCGAATAATCAATTCCTTTCGAAAGAAAACCCCTTATCTTATCACGGCCATCGATGCAACCGCATTCCACAAAAGCACGATGCTGCTCACCTGGGATCGTACACCAGACGATCATACCGCTTCGGATTGCATGGTAAATGGCCGCGGATTCGGACTCGAGTCATTGCAGTGATCGTCCGGATTGGACAGATGTCAATGCTTTGCACGAGGGAAGCGTAGATGGATCGTAATTTATCGATACGCTCCGTCTTCTCAATTCACCACTCTGTGCTTGTCTCATCACGAGTGATATAGCGGCGCTCAAATCTTCCTCTGTTCTGGAGAAAGGCAGATGACATGGGACTCGTTATCTTTTACATTCGAACGAATTCTCCACGGTTCAACCCGGTCGAGTAGTTCGGGGCCTTGAAAAACAGCTCCCGAGAAGCAAATGTCGGATTTGGATATCTTGGATCTGCCTCGACACGAACTGGTACTCGAGACTTGTGGCGCCGCAGTGGCGGCCATCTGACTCGCAGGGGCTACTTGCGCAAAAATTGTTTCCCTATTCGGATAGGGGATTCTTGCAGGGGCCGTAAGAAACGGGAAGACCACACAGTCAAGAATAAATATGCTTTGCCTGTTGCTCATCGGAGGAACACGCCCGAAGCGCGCCAGGTATGGCAGAGAGACCATCATGCAAGTGCAAACCGATATCCTGGCGCGTTTCCAGTGTAGTTGCGTGCCGCTCCCGGAGAACCTCGCTATTCTCGGATGGAACGCCCTCCTGGAAGAAGGTCATCGCTTGGACATCGTCTCGGATGAGAAGCTCTGTTTAACGCTGTTGCACGACGCATCGATTGTAGAGAGAAACCCGAGAATACACATACACTTGCCGGAACGCAAAGCCCGCATCCCAAAAATACGCACTGCTCTGTAGCAAGCTGAACAACGAGGTTACTTCACGCGTAACCTCCTGCTCTTTCTGTGTATCGTTGAGCTTTGGAACCTGTATGCGATCATTCAATCTCTGCTGTTTGCTCTTTTTCCGAATACAAGAGCATCTGTGGCGCGCGTTGTCGCCAGATAAGGAATACGCAGCGGAAAGAGACCCCAGTCTGGCGAACAAGTACCGCAATTTGGATCCGTCTACGCTCCATTCATGCAAAGTTCTGAGGGAATCTCCAATGAAAACGATCGCCGTGGTGACTCAAGTCCCAGCCCAAAGCCGTTTCTAATGCAAACAACGACTACGGGAGCCAATGGGAACGTATCCCGTGCGAGGCAACACGCTGCTGTCGAATGCTCTTTCGCCGATGCCCACAAAGAGAGGCGGATGTGACTTGCGAACGAAGTCGATTCTTTGGTGTAACAAGTTTGGTGCAATTTTGGCATGAACTCGTGAGGAACTCGGCAATGGTCGGCACTGAGCTTCTTTCGCTCGTCAGAATGCCGGCCGGAATTGCTGCACCTGCCACTTGCCCCGAGACGAAAACAACGCATCTAGGAAGCATGCGTGATTGAAGCCTGCCTTCCGCAAGAAAACGAATCGAATGCCAATGCATACGCATTTGCGAATGATATCGCTTATGGTACGAACCGTTCTTCGAGCGCGTCACGCATCATGTTGATTCCAGTGAGGTACCGAATTCAAGTGTCATAGATTCAACGATGCCGTTTCGCAAAAACAACCGAGAACCTTTATACTACGTCTGCACCCGTAACCTCGTATTGTTGCCCTGTGCTTGTCGAGACTGGACGTCTGAAAAATGATCCGAAAATGAGTCATACGGCAGGGAGCGTATGAGCTGTTCCGTGGACCATTCGATTCGGAGAGCGCATTTACGCGGTGGATGCGGCAGCCGTGAGTCTTTGCCTTTTAGAACAATAGGAGCACAAGCGGACATGAGCCTGGGCGCAACGCCCCGAGCCGCCGCCTGCGGGATCCGCGGCGGCGGGAACGTCCGCTTTCGGAAAGCGCGGGAACACGGCGACCTCGAACGACGAAGCGGCTAGCGCGCACAGCCAGCACACGACAAGCCGCACTGCATTGTTCCGCAAGTGCACACACTCCTACGACGTTCGGAAATATGACGGGGGCACTGCGGTATCGAGCACTGGCTCGAGTCATAGAACGCTGTCTGGGCTCGCGTGCGCTCGGCGAGAGCGGCTCAGCAGCTGCAGTCAGCAACTATGTCTGGCAGCGCGAAGCATCACGGGGTTTCGTGTTAGGGACGCGCCTGCTGCCGTGGTGCCCGCTAGGGTCGCGTTTACTGCACAGTCCATCACAGACAGCGTCAGTTATCAGGATGAATACCGGTTCGTTTGCACCTAAACCCGATTTGGGTGAACAACAACCAAACACTCTGACGGGGCAGCCACGTATCATGGTCGTTGGGGTTGGCGGCGCCGGTGGAAACGCAGTCAACAACATGATCGCGTCTTCACTGCCCGGGGTCGAGTTCCTCGTCGCGAATACAGACGCACAAGCGCTGAAAATGAGCTTATGTCCTAACCGTATCCAGTTAGGTGCAAGCCTAACTGAGGGGCTCGGCGCGGGCGCTCGACCCGATATTGGACGAGCCGCAGCAGAGGAAGCGTATGAGACGCTCAAGCGAGAGTTCCGAGGCGTACACTTACTGTTCGTCACTGCCGGCATGGGTGGGGGCACCGGCACTGGCGCTGCGCCCATCATTGCACGAGCAGCCGCAGAGCTCGGTTGCCTGACGGTTGCCGTCGTCACGAAACCGTTCCATTTTGAGGGCATGATCCGAATGAAAACAGCCGAGCAAGGCATCGTCGAGCTCACAGAACATGTCGATACGATGCTGGTCATCCCGAACCAGAATCTCTTCAAAGTCGCCTCGCCGCGCACTAGCTTCCTGGATGCATTCCGCCTCGCCGATCACGTGCTCTACTCTGGTGTTCGTTCGATTACAGACCTGATGACGGTACCAGGCCTGATCAATTTGGATTTCGCTGATGTTCGCAGTGTTGTTAGGGAAATGGGACGAGCCATGATGGGATCCGGTGAGGTCGAGATGGAGGCCGGCAACGAAGAACGCGCCATTCGCGCGAGTGAAGCGGCTATCTGTAACCCGCTGCTCGACGAGACCTCCTTACGCGGCGCTCGCGGGGTGCTTGTGAACATTACCGGTGGTACGGACATGACGCTTTTTGAGATAGATGCTGCAGCGAATCGAATTCGAGAACAGGTCGATCCCGATGCGAACATTATTTTCGGATCGGCTTTCGATGCTTCGATGCAGGGGAGGCTTCGCGTCAGTGTTCTCGCGACCGGCATTCCATCCTGATAGGGTGCAAATTTCGAACAGGCCGACGACTGCTGAACGCGCTCACTTTGGGAACGTGATTCAGATCGTGCGGCGCTGGCGGCAGCAGATGCTCGTCACCTGTCGATATTACCCGATGACGTCATATAGCATGCCGAACAGGTGCGCGATGCGGCTGCCACGCCTTGTCGCCACCGGCGTCTGCTCTGGACTGCTATCTTGCGACTGTCCACAGGCATGTGTTGTTGCTCAGTGCATACGCATCCCGTTGTTCTGTATCCGGCGTGTCGGTGGCGCAATCGACGCTCATCAGGCGCAGCGCTGGCAACAGGTGGACTTGCGTGGGCCGCACCCAGTTGTTCGGACAAGTCGCAACATGTGCGCAAATCGAGCGGGCGACATGAAACACCCCCGATCTAGACATTGACCTGTGCATAGAGGGCAACTATGGCTTCAACCGTGTTCATAGCATTCATCGCATATCTTTGTTTTACCCAATTCACGTTGTGTTTCTCTAAATACTTCACGTATCGCCACAGCACCTGCAGTTCTCCCGGAGCATGATCGATCCGACAGGCAAAACGGATGACACGTTTGAGCGGCACCCGCTGCGTCTGCGTCATCTTTGAAAACTATGTGCAACGGGCTGGGTGCGCATTGACGCCCAGTTGAGTTCGGACGCGCCACAGCACCGCCGTTTCATCACCTCTACCGTGAAGGCGGCGTCACCGCTTTCAGCTGGCTATTTCGGTAACACAGTCGATCTTTATATGATACATACAGCGTCGCTAGCGCATACAATCGCCCGTAACGCTGCCCGTTGATGCAGCATGCGGGCACCATGCTACCTCGGTCAGCTACGAGCGCGCTCGACTCAAGGAGTACGTGGCGCGCCCCGGACATTCGGCGCATCGATCCAAGCGCATCAGAACCTGAACAAGGGTAGTGAACTATCCACTTCGTTCCAGTTCTTGCTCTCGAACAGATCCTGAACTGTGCGACGTTTGGGCTGGGGTTGGAAAACCTGCGCCGTCCACGTACCGTGCAGTCCCATGGGAAGAAACGTTCGTAGGGGCACTTTGCAAACGAGCTTGAGATCCGAGGCATCAAGAATGACCAAGTATGTGCTCCGATGCAACCCGTCACTGACCACACTGAGTATGTAACCGTCATCTTCCGCTGATTCCTTATCAGGTTCGATCAAGCGGGGCGCAAAAACTGGTTCCCCAGCGAATTCGTAGACCGATGGCGGTTGCCACGTAGCTAGCGTCTGGCCGGTGTCGGCGTCGACCTTGATGATGTTCTTGAGAGGGCCTGGCTCCGTGCCAAGTGCGCTTGCCCCCATGTACACATAGCGATACGGCTGCGTAAGGCGGCTCGGGTTCACCACCGGAAAGTCAACGTGCGTCGTATTCACCTCACGCCAGGTTGCGCGCTGCGTTCCGCTGCCGCTGCGAGTCGGTATGCGACAGCGCCAAAGGCTGCACTTGGGAACTTGGGTCCCAAAATCGACTGCCTCCACGACACGCTGCGTGCGCGACAATCCGTTTCGATGGCGACGAGTCTCTCCCAGGAACAACCGATCCATTCGACAAGCGTCAAGAACAACAGCGTCGTCGTCGTCGTCGTCGTAGGCGTTCACAAAATGGAACGCTGTGCAGGTCTCACTCAGAACCTCACGCACAGGTGCACCCGGGTCGTCGCGAGGTATCAGCAGCAAACGCGTCGGCATTCGATCCCCTTCCCAGGTAATACACTCTCCTGGACACTTGAGTCCGAGCACGAAAGGAAGCGGATGGAAGCGCAGTGGCGCCTGCAGCAAAATATAGTAACGCTGCGTGATCATAAAATCGTGGAAGAAACCAAATCCATCAATGTCCACCGTTCGTTCCGAGCATAGCTTCCAATTCTCTGATGCGAATTCCAAAAACCGGATCCGTAACCCATTCAAATGCATCCGAGAGGAGAACCCCACGAGGCGTCCCCGGCGAAGTGGATCGACGTGCGGGTGTGCGGTGAACATCGGCATGGGGCCGGTGAGCGTCCCCCCGAGCCTGAAGACGCCCTTCGTTTCGAGCGTATCAGGGCGCAGCTCATAGGGCAGGCCGCCTTCGTACAAGGCAAGCAACTGGTTCGCGTGGTAGATCACGTTTGTGTTGGCGAGATTCTTTTGCTCAAGGCGGAACGCGTTGGTCACGATTCCACCCGGCAGCGGTGTAGCAAAAGTGCCGCGGTAGAGCTGATAGCCGGCGCGACGCTCTTTTAAGTAGCCCTCTGTTCGAACAAAACGATTGCGGAACCATACTGTTCCGTCTCCGCGCAGCGTGAACGCTGCAACGGCTCCATCACCTTCCCAGGGATGAAGCATTCGTCGAGAGCCAATGGTGAACTTGGATGGACCGTTTCGATACAGGGTGCCGACGAGGTCATGAGGAAGGTCGGGTAAGTCCAGTACGTAGGAGTCCTCCTCGTTCATATCGCCGTGCGCTAGCTCCCAGGATCGACGATCGAAAGCACTCAGCGACTGTGTTTTACCTGGTGCCGAGGTTAGCTGGCCCTGTTCACGAACCGTGTTGGTCGCTCCGCTTTCCTGGGAACTCAGATGTGTCGCACCGCCGCTGCGAGCAGGCCGAAGGCTTCTTCTCTTCAGTCTGCCACATTGGAAAGTAGCGGTGGCGTTCACACTAGCGCCCTTCCAGTGCCTGAGTGCACCGTTGCCGACCACGAAGGCAGTCTTATCTCCAGGATGCAAATTCATACTGCAATGATATTATACGAGTTTAATCACTGGACCAACGAGTCCTCAAACGTCGTATAGTGGCCTGCGCACGAGTCCCTTCGATGCTGTAGCGGGAACATGCGCGTGATAGAATGGACTACGAGTCAGAGGTATGCATTTGCTCGAAGGATCGATCACAGGATGCAGGGGCGATTTGTACAAACCCTTCCAGACCTAACATTTCTGTATATCATAGAACAAGCGTCACGCACGGGCATCCCGCATATGCGAAACGCGCAGCGGCGGCCTATAACCTCATTGCGGGCGATGCTTGATGACCCACGATGTGCGTGTCTCGAATGGGATTTTCCCAGGAGATGCCGTCCATATCGGTTCTTGGAGGCGAGATACCTCCTCTTCAGCAGACAATTCTGCATTCTACTGCCGCAGAACCGGTCTTCTCGTAGGGGATAGTTGTTCGGTGCATCCAAAGGTCCACCTAGCGCCCAGGCATGCGTAGGCGATTGCTGTACCACCGTCGCGGTCGCTGACTTCAGCCAGTGCGGCTTCGCGGTGCCTTGAGAGCCCGCACTGCGTTCTATTCTCGGGCACGAGCATTGCACCGCACTCAATGCCCGTGGACGCGCGAACGCTGCCGATAATTTTCTACTGGATTCGCGTATCGCTTAGAATACACGCTCTGATTTTTTCCATATCGCAAACGATCGCCTCCATGAAGCAACTTTGTCGCTCACGAAGCATCCGAAAGTGACCGTTCCTAACATGCCTTCGATAATCCTGCTCAAGATCAAGTACGGCTTGAGGAAGCGAGCGGCGCGAACGCCTTTCGATGCCTCGCGCGTACGCACATGATCCCTTCCTATCTGCGCAAGATCGATGAATCTGGACAAAACTCCTCACGGACACGACGATCGAAAAAGACGTGCACACAGTCTCAAGTTTCTCGATACGCGCACGCATCTGCAGGCCATGATCACGTAATCGGAACGCTTGCACTTTCTTCACTGTGTTTCCCCTGCCCTCATGTATTCCATGCCCTGAGATCGCGTGCTTCGTCATCGCATGCCGCGCATCCCCATGAGGTATCCGGATGCTGCGCTGCTGCATTCCCCCGAGGGGGCTTTTCCTCTCCATTCGCTGCCTGATGCAGAACTAGCGTGCGTCATTGAGACTGCACCAGAACCTTGCCTTCCCCGCACGGAAACAAGTCGTCGACATATGTTATCGGTATGCAACGCGAGATGGTCTATATCGTCTTGAGCAAGAAACACCGTACATAAAGCGAGCAAATTCGAACACGATTTCCATGATACCCAGCGACGATCGTTGAGCGAGCGCGCGGGGCGCCACACCTGTGGATCTGGTAGTAGTGTCGGTACCCGCGCTGCAGGTAACGTTTCGTGTACCCAAACTGCAGACTGAGGACCTTGTTTCCAAAGCTTTTCTCATAATGTGGGTTGTACCTGGCAGTTTTAGGGCACGACGATGCGACGGTTTTGGTGTAGAATGGACCTGGTCTGTTGATCGGGCCTGTGCAACAGTTCCGTGCTCGAGCCTGAGGCGACCGCGACCACGACAGGGCGCTACGGTGCGGCGAGAGCGAAACTGGAGTCAAAAGCCGTGTGGCGTCCCGGGCAACACAGTGGTGAGAGTCTCTTGCCATATAGGGCAAAGTTCGAGTAATGACGAGGGTGGCACTGGAGAGCCTCTGGTGCACAGCAGTGGCGAACAGGCGTGGCAGCGTCGTGCGCTCTCCAGCACCGGTACAAAGGACGCGGAGCTCGACGCTAATGAGCTGGATGACGGCCTCTGGGGTATTGTTTCTCAGCTGCCAGTCAAGCGCATTCTCATCTGGGCTGCGTTCTGCTGGCTCGTGTACCTTTGTCGCCCGTTCATGGGTGTGTTATTCGGTACGTTCGTCGTCTCGTACGTCGGGGTCTCTTTTTGCCAATGGGGCACACGTTTTCTCCAGCGGTTCGGTATCCAGGCTGCCCGCCGTGTCATTGTTGGCGTCTACTACAGCGGCATCGCTTTGTTCATCACGACGATGAGCCTGTTGACGATCCCGCGGATCATCAAAGAGGGCCAGTACTTTGTGGGCATCATACGGAGTAGCAATCCATACGTATGGATCGCGGATACCATGCGACGAGCCCTGGGTGATGAACTCTCTGCCAAGGTGGAGGCCTTGGTGCTCTCAGAGGGTTATGCTGAGCTTGCAGACCAAGACACCGGGTCGAGTGCTGGCCAGAGCCCGTCCACAAACGGAGCCGAGACTTCCGAAAGCACAAACGAGGCTTCTCCGGGGCCGGTGCAAGTCCGCATACCGCATCGCGGCAGCGCAGCAGATGCCAAGGCGGAACGAGCCCCTGGCATCGCTGCCGGTCCGCTAGCGACCATGAATGCACCGGCAGAGTGGACAGAGGAGCGATCGAGACGACTCGGTTTGATCATCCAAAAGTCACTTTCGCGTTATGTGAATCGTTTCGCCTCCATCGTCAGCAGGATTTTGAGCAACAGCACAAAAATCATTGTGAAAGTACTGCTTTCCCTGGTGTTCTCATTCCTGATCGTCTGGGATCTGCCATCTGTGGCTGCTGGCCTGCGTTCTCTTCGCCGCTCCCGACTGCGGGCAGCGTACTTGGAACTGGCGCCGGCCATTGGTGAGTTCTGCGCCCTCCTCGGCCGTTCATTCGAAGCACAGTCGATTATTGCGCTTGTGAACACGACGTTGACAACGATTGGCATGGGGATTCTCGGGTTACCGGGTATTGGCTTTCTCTCTCTTCTCTGCTTGATATGCTCTTTTATTCCGCTTTTCGGGATTCTGCTCAGCACACTGCCGATGTGTGTCGTCGCGCTGACGGAATACGGGCCAATGCGTGCATTCGCCGTCGTGGTTATGGTTGCAATTGTTCACCTGATTGAGGCCTATTTCCTGAATCCACAAATCTACAGCGCTCATCTCAAGCTGCCGCCCTTGGTTGTTCTTATGGTTCTGTACATTGGCGAGCATGCAGGTGGCGTCATGGGTCTTATTCTTGCAGTGCCGCTGACGGTTTATTTGTTGCGATGGATCTATGATATTCCAGAAACGAAGGAACGTTCTGCGTACGTGAGCTCTATGCGAGCGACCAGCTCGAATGGCAGAGAAGAGCCAAGCGAAGACGTGACGATCACGCGCCAGCAGCAGCAGCAGCAGCAATAGCATCAGCAATGACGACAGTAGCAATAGCTACGGTAACAATAGCTGGGGCAAGGGCGTCAGGCAGCACCTGCTGGAAATATCCAGGAGACCTCTCTCGAATCACTTCGCAACAGCAGCAGCAGTAGTAGCATTGATAACGACAGTACCAGTAGTAGTAGCAGCAGCAGCAGCAGCTATGACTGGGGCGCGGACGTCGAAGCGCTCCTGCTCGGAGTATCCGGATATCGATCCCGCCAGTGATGCGCTTCTTTGCACCATGAGCGCGCGTGGCAACCAGCTGTGCACAAGAGAGGAAAGTGCACCCATAACGAGCGCTTGCGTGCTCAGAGGCGTGCGCTTTTCGGTGGTGAGCACAGCGTGGTCCCAAACCTGCACCGAAGCTGGGGTGCTCTCTGTGATCTGGTTTCTGCAATTTTGGGTCGGGGCAAAGCCCAGATACCCTAAAGCCCACTGGGATTAGAATGGAACACTGAGTTGCTTGCTCTGTTTTAGTCTTTCGATTTCTTTCCGGGGTCTTTTCAGATGTGGAGCTTATTTATTCGAAGCTTGGCAGTAGGAGCTTACGGATGCGCACGTCGGCATCGGATTCTTGGTCGTCTTCTCCAAATGACTAATTCGACCATTTGCTGCTTGAATTCCTTACGGCACAGGGGTAAAGATGCTCTGTGACGCCCTCGAGCAAAGCTTCGAATCATAATCGATATTATCGCCCTTTGCGTATGTTCATGTCTGTACGCTTCTCCTTTCTTAGCGTATGGCATGCGAAAGTCGTGCATTCCTCAATTCCTCAACCTTTCTGTTTGAAGCCGACCTGTGCACACTGCAATTCGCACGCTTCCATGAACGTGGAAATTACTCGACGTCGAGCCTTGACGACCGGTTCACAAGCACATGCCCAACGCTCACTGAACTCGACGTACGATTCTAGAATCGATTCAATTTTGGGTGGCAAATCAGCCGCGCGCTGTGGCTATCGACGAACCGACATGGAGCAACTGGTCGACACCTCTCACGGTACGTGCTGCAAGAGGCTTCCGTCTCTTCTGTTTGCACGAAAACTGGTCTCGGACATCCACTTCAGTTATCACAGCGATCGCTTCCAGCGCAGCGTGCAGCAACGCTTGACAAGAAGCGAGCCTAGCCGGATCGAATTTTCTCGATTTGTTCTCCAAACTGGATATAACTTTCCATGCTTGCTGCATCAACGACAGCACCCGATGCCGCATATCACCCATCGAATGGAACAGAGTGCACTTGTGTGCGCACTGGAAAGAGCTCTCTCCTGGCGAATCGCCCAGCGGATGCCCGTATTCGTGGGGTACGTACGGCACTGGGTGCTACGCATCCAGACTTGGCTTGTGCTCGAGTCCGGCGTTCGAGCAGGACACAGCAGGTATCCGCTGCTGGTTACCGAGGGTACTCCAGCGCACATGCCACGCTTTTTCTGCGACAGTGAAGCTGCGAGCGCAGCCCGTGGAGCTCCCGGTACGTCGAAACGTTCGCAAAGTTTGCGAACGAGTCAGCGGTACTCACGTCTGGTGAGCGTTTCGCGAGAAACCTGCTTCGGCTCTGCGTGTCGTACCGCTTGATTCTGACGAGATCTAGTGCAGCGTACGATGGAGAGTCGACCGTATCACCGTTCATTTCTTGAACAGCTTAACGCAGAACTGTTGCTTTGGATCGCAGCGTACCTGGAGCCGTCGGAGGTGGAAGCTCTCTGGAGCGCCTCCCAATCGACTGCCTCAACTCTTCAATGGAATGATCTTGAGCACTTTTGCTTTGAGACGCTCCGCCGTCGCTATGGTTCTCTCTTCGCCCGACACCTTCAGCAAGCGTACCGCCAGGAGCGGGAAAGACGGGGTCCCGGTGGCGTCCGCGGGCCCTGGAGCTGGCGGCGGGCCTTCCACTGCGTCTACCACGCTCACCGGTGGCTGTTTGGCGTGAGCTTTCGCGCCAGCGCTCCGCATACGGAGACTTCGTCCATGACGTGGTCAGCAGTTTTTCGGGAGCGACGCAGCGCTCCGTCTGAGTCATCCCCGAGTCCACCGTGGGGCCGTCTCCTGGTCCAACGCTTCGACCAACGGGCCGTCGAGGGTATCGGGAATGGTGCGCTGCTCGCTGCCGTACTACGCATGCGACCTGACAGCGCTAGCCGAGACCCAGTGTATGCGGAATGTGCGCTGATTGTGACCCCGTATCGCATTGTCTGGTTCGAAGCGACACCCCTGTCCGGCTCTGATCTGTGCCTGGACACCGAGCGGAGTCACTTGCTCACCACGCCGCTCGTGCTGACGGCAGCGCTGAGCGACGATGAGCGACTACTGGTGCTAGGTCGTCGAGGCTGCACCCTCGAAGTGCGTGATGTCATGACCTGCAACGTTGTTGCTGAGGCCCGCCTCCCGGTGCGCATTTCGAAACGGGACGAGTACTCGTGCCTCGACGCTGCGGGCGATATGATCGCAGCAGGCACCATGGCTGGTAGGCTTTTGATTTTCGATTGCACGCAAGCTCTCCAGAAGGGTGTCCAGCGAACGGGTACCGTGCGCCTGAAACCTGTGCGAATGGAAATAAGTACAAGCGGTGAGCCGCTCTCGCAGGTGCGCCTCTGCCGAAGCGCCGAAAGCAGTCATCGTCCCGATCTCGTTGTGGTGTGCACTCAAAAGCAGTTGCGCATCTACTATATCCAACTGGGACTTTTTATCTTCCAGCGGGATTTCGAGCGCCCCATCCGTAGCGTACACAGCGCGCGCTCTCGTACCTGCATTTACATTGCTTCGGGGAGTACGGTGGACATTATCGAACTACCGGCCTTGGAGTATGCGGCGACACTGGGGCGTCCATCGATCATGAGCGAAGACGATCAATTGACCTGTATTGCCGTTGACGAGCACGGCAATGTTGCTGGCGGCTGGAGCAGCGGACACGTAACCTTTTGGCCGGCACGAGGACGCCTCGTTGGCATCGCGCTAACCTACCACGATCGTCACTTGGACCTGCACGAATGGAAGCAGTCTGGGCGTGTCTGTCGGACGGATCTCTCACAGGACGTCGATGAGCTTGAAAGGAATGCCCAGTCGGCATGGTGCGGATCCCGAAGCCCCATCCGAAGCATCTACGTCGATCGTGATCGAGTGATCAGCGCCTCGAGTGGCGGCGTTATAGAGGTTTTTGCTCACCAGCAGGTAATCGAGGCACCAGCAGTTCATTCCTTACGACACGAATCATATGCTCATGCCTGGCAGCATTGCCGCACCGCTCGTATTTCGATACCGAACCTGCACGGAGACATCACGCATCTTAGTGCCGGGGAAGGGACACTGCTAGGCGGTCTCTGTGGCGACGCAGCGAGTGCGCAGCGGTTGCCGCTCGTCTTGCTTCAGTTCTCTGCGCTGCGAGACCAGAGTAATGGTGGCGCTGCAGAGGCCGACGAGTCGGCTGACACACTCGGCTGTGCTGGAGTTGCTGGCGGAGCACCCGTGCGGTATCGCGAAAACGGTTGGCTCCCGCCCGCAGACATCATCCAGGCGTTCTGGGTGCTGGAGTCATCTGGTCCCGACAAGCTCGCGCCCGTCATCACCCGAGACTGATTAGGAAGGCGACTAGATACCACCATGCAACGGTGAGATGCATCTGGTACAAGGCACCGCGGAACGAACGCACGAGACGTTCGACTGCGTTCGTATAGTCAGCACAACGGAAAACGTTCTGCAACCCTCGAGGGTATACGTCTATATATGTACTCACGTGCAGACGCCTATCAGCCGTTTTTTGACCTGCCACCTGCTATCGGTTTTAGTTTATCCAGGCACACTTTGAGTCTGAGAAGCTGAATAACAAAGTTGGATGGTGTCCGCTTCTCGGGTCTGGTCTTCAGCACCGCATATCCTCTAGTATTGGTGGTGGCGTTCAAGTCTCCGTTCAAGGACGCCAAGCATTTGTATAGCCTCTGCTGGTTGCACGGACGAGTGCAAGAATAGCTAGCGTTTGCGCCCTCTGTGCTAATAAAGTCTCGTCGGCAAACATCTTTTCTCGCGTAGCTCCGCTCTTCTCCTTCTTTTTGCCCTACATCATTCGATAGTCGACAAGAAGAGTTTTTTTGTCGAACCTGGCGATGACAGGCCTCCGGGATCCCCGACTTGCATGTCCATATCTTTCCCTTGGATTTTCATTTCATCAAATGAACGTACGTTGAACGCGTCTGCTATAAACCTCGAAAAAGCGTTTAGTCACACGCACTTAAGGCTGGAACACATTCGAGGCGAAAGACGATAACAACCGAGCCACCAGCTTGTCCATAGTTGTCATTATATCAGCCGTTTCGCAGTCGGCAGCCTTGCGTACCGTTGTGCTCACCTCGGTACGCGAGTCGACCAGGACGTTCGTCGCCACGAGAGACAGTGTGGCGCGGCAGTCTCCCTCACAGCCAGTTTCTCACTCGTCAAGCAGCAGCAGCAGCAACAGCAACCTTCTCCAGTGTTCGCAACACGTGTTGCTCGCGAGCAGAAACACGCCCCGCGAAGCGACGCAGGTGACTTGAAAAGAACAAACAGCAAGCCACGAACACTTGTATGGCTCGTGCTGCAGAGAAACAACGGTTGAAAACGAACCGTAAGCGACTGCGGTTGCTATTATACTGGGGACTCGCTGGTGCTCTGCTGTACAGCGTGGCGAACGCCAGACGCTATCGACTTGTGCACTGGAGCTGGTTCCTGTTCGCGGCAGAGAACGTGTGCGTTTGGAGTCTGTACGGTGTGCTCGTTCGGGCTGCAGCACCCGAGTTCGACAAGGCAACTGGAGCCTTGGTTGATGCCGGCCTGGACCTGGGCGCGCCAGGCGTACTCGAGTACCTGAACGACACTCTGTACGTCCTTCTTCTAGCGGAGAGTCTAGCGGCGCTGTCGAACTGGTGCTGGCTTCTATTAGTCACGATACCTGGGTTCCTTATCTACCAGTTACTGGGGCACCTCGGTCGTGGACACGCGAGCGCTGTCGAGCGTGCGTCGCTGGAACCGCGTCCCGGACGCAGCAGGGAACGGCCGCTCCCGCGCGACCGAGCACCGCCCGAGTCCAGGCGCCTGCGCTGAGAGCTCTCCGCTTTACGAGAGAACACAAACATGGGTCGCAGTGTTCTGCAAAGAGGAGTAAGAGTTGGCGGCGACAACGCGGAGCGTTTCCAGAAGAAACAGCGTCCAAGATCGTCTCAGAGAAAAATTTGCGAAACAGCGTCGCTTCCTCCTCCAATGAAGCGTTCCACATTCAGATGGCAGTAGACCGGTATAAAGCCGGTCATAGGGACAGTGCTTGTTTCCAGCACGCGTTCTCAGACTGGACATGTTCGATGGTGGGATTGGCGCACTGAACGCAATCGCACTGGTGCGCGTCTTCGCGGACTATGATGTTTTTCCGCATGCAGCCTGCGTTTCGGCTAGATGTCGCATCTGAAGCGTCGAGCTTCGCGGAACGTGTATTTCATAGAGGAATGAGGAGATTTTCGCGTAGTGCGTGCATGGCGACACGTTTTTCAGCAGCATCGAGCATTCGATGCGGTATCGCTGGTGAACGGAACACACTCAATGGTGCTGGTTTCGCGATCAGCGACGCTTCCGTCTCGGTACGAGCGTCTTAAGAATAGAAACGAGTTGGATGCATGGCGTTGATCCGAAACGCTTGCGTGCAGTACCTAGTCCTCGAAGCGGAGTGCTGCTTTCGTGCCGGGCACATGCGGCGCTCACCCGGAATTGACGCACGCCAAGCTCGCGGAATCGCGGAATGCAAGTCTAAGGCAGTAACTTGCACCAAACGAAGCGAGTTGCAAGCACAGGACGCTTGCTTTTAAGTGTGTGAAAGGAGCAGCGGGTTATCCTTGCAGCTTGCAAGATTTTTGAACGCGGTGCTGCGGAGCCGCACGCGCTGGTACCCGTTGTGCACTGTTCGCGGAAGCTCAGGACTCGTCATCAAGTTCGAACTGTTGCAAAAGTGAATCTAGTTCAGCGCGAGTGACCGAATTCCAAATCATACCACTATTACCTTTGGTTGGTGTCGAGGCTTTCAGGGCAGCAGATGCCCGCGTCAAGCAACCCGGAGAACGTCCGATGATTTCAGCAGAAACGACGCCGCCGTTTCGGGCATCGCGCTCGCCGGCATTCGACTCCAGCCGCGACGTCTTGTTGGCCTTGTTGGCTATGGCCTTGTCGCTAGAGGAATTCCCTTGAATGCTGCCGTTTTGCACTGCGTCGGCTTGCTTCGCTTTCTGGTTCTCGCCGCGTGCGTACGCAGGAATCGCAGGAACCTGGATGCTGCCTAGAGCGTAGTCGCCGCTTCGAGCACCCGCTAGAGCGGCGTGACCCAGAGCCCCACTCGTGAGCATCGCCAGAAACTCTTTATCATAGAGCATTAAACCGAGACGGCGCCCAAAATTCTTTAGCGCCCTCTTCATCGCATCTGTGCAGGCTTCTTTCTTGACTTTCTGCAAGGCGTCACCGCGGGTTCGCATCCCATCGCAAACGCCACATCCGATATCTTCATGGAATGCACCAGTTTCCATTAGCGTGACGCGCATGACTGCAGTAGCCATTGCGTTCCAGCGACCGTCGGGACCCTGCTCACAATAGTCAACGTCGAAGGACTGGAGCGCATTGCTCCAACCACCGTATCCGAAGATCTCGTTTGCAACCTGAATCGCTTGCCACCCTTGAAGATAGTAAAGCGCCTTGCCCCCAGGTCCGACTCGCTTTGAAACCTCTCGCGCTGGGATAGCTTCATTCAACCGGCTCGTGGTTGTTGCGCTGGAGCGATTCGCAAACGACGGGGTAACTGGCGGCGAACGCGTACCCCCGAATAACGCCGACGTCTCCCGTGAACGTTTCAAAGGTGGCGTTCTCCACGGTGACGACTTCATAACGTTTGCACTCACGCGTTGAGCATCGGGAAGTGAAGGCACAGCTGGAGCAGTCGCACTGGAAGAGGTCTCACAGTGCGGAGAGACGACGCGGGAACTGCCTCATACACGCTGAACACACAGGCGGTGGCGATTTGAATATGCGTGTTGACGCGCGTCGACAGCGGAGCGTTCATGCGTGCAGGTCGGCAGCAGCGCGTACTGCGTCCTGCTCGGGGTATGCTGTATTCAGCGTGTGTGAAACGACTGGATGCACCGGGCTCGTGCTTCGTAGTGAACGCTGGAGCTGGACTGGACTACCGCGGAGCGTTCATGCGTGCAGGTAGGCAGCAGCGCGTACTGCGTCCTGCTCGGGGTATGCTGTATTCAGCGTGTGTGAAACGACTGGATGCACCGGGCTCGTGTTTCGTAGTGAACGCTGGAGCTGGACGGATCCGACGTTCCGAAATATCGACATGTACACTGCTGTGGATATTGTCGTTATTGTCGACGGACTGGGCACGATGAGGTGAGATGATTTTTCAAGGATGCTTCCTGGATATGCCCCCTTCCAGAGAAGGCGAAGACGCCATCGCTGTTCTGCTGCCTCTAAGCACTTCGATGCAGCTCGGAGGTATGTGAATTTTTTGCAGGGCGCCGTACGCGACCCCTGAGGGAGGAGTTGTCGCCCGGAACACGATGGTGGACGACGACGCACCGTAAGCGTCGCTCGTGATAGCAAGATTTGGCGTCATGCTCGGAAGGTCGCATCGCCGTGGCGAAGCGATCGTGTCGAGCCCCTCGTTTCATGCTGTACGATCGATGAGACTCAACAGAACATCTCGGATGTGCGAATGGATTTGGCAATCCCAGGAAAACGACCAGTGCGTCTCACCGGGCGCTCCTGTGTTTGACTAGACTCAGTCGCGCCCTCAAGGTACGTATGGACGAGGCTTTGATCCGAGGATGCGCTGGCAGCCGCTGAGCGCCCTGGATCCAAGGCGCTTGCTCTGCCGATTGCGCATCATGCTCCGCAATCTTGATGCTATCGATGCCATAAAGCAGAATGCTTGGCATTTTTCAGCCAACGCAACAAATGCTCGCCGAGAAAACCTTCGAACTGGTCCGTGGGCCTGAACGCTCCCTCGTTTGCGCTACTGAAATACCTGTCTCTGAGCGTTAGCAAAAATATGGGCGCGACCTGATGACCTGAAACGTTGAGATGCAGCGGCGTTATCGCCACCGAGCAGGACGCGCCCGTTGTCTGTATGGTGCCCTTTAAGTTCATCGATTGTGATGCCAAATCATGCGCATCATCAACGATGTCTATGCCACCGAAAAAAATCGCACACCAGGCTGTGCTCCGAGGGCGCATCACGTCCCGAATGTGTCGAAGACAATCGCGTCGAGGAGCGCATGCCTGGGTGTTTCGCACGCTAAGTTCGCCGAGCGCTCTGGTTTTCGAATATGGGGACTGTGGACTAGCACCTGGCACAAAGCCCGTCTTTTTCCTCGAAACAGTAGGCAGCATGTCTTTGAAGCGTCCGTTGCCCGACCCGACGGACTCGGAGCTGGTTTCGGTAAATAGCGCGGACGTGAGAGAGCCCGAAGCGAGTCACACCATCACGAAACTGTTTACTGCGCTCGGAGCTGCTTTGGACGAGCGTCTGGAGCGACGTGAGCGTTTCGTGCGCGCCTCGCGAGACCTCACCATGGCAGCGAAGAAGGCCATCTTTGAACTTCAGAGACTGAAAAGCTCGTTACGCCGCCTGCGAGACACACAAACACAAGAAGCCTGGGCAAAGACGGAGCAAACGTTTGATCGGTTGCAAGGCCTGCTACGAGGTGGAATTCTCAAGGAACTCGAGGCGACGCCCGCGTTCAGCGATACCTACTGGCAGTACCACCAGGTGTTTTCGCCTGGCGTCCAGGAGTACGTGGAGGCTCTTGCGTTTCGCCACTGGTTCAAAGACGCACGGATTCTACAGTTTCAAGCTACCTGCGAAAAATTGGCACCGTTTCCGCTCGAAGTATCCGACTATTTACTTGGACTCTGTGATGCGTCCGGCGAAGTGATGCGACTAGCAGTCCAGAGCAGTGCTCTTGGAGAGCAGGGCGTTGCCTTTGAGGCGAGCAGTTTTCTCGATACACTCCGACGGGAGTGCACGAGAATCAGCGCTCGCACCCGCCGGGCGTGGCCGCCTTCCATGCAGCAGGATCTGGACCGCAAACTCGTTACCATGGGTGAGAGTTTGCAAAAAGTGCAGGATGTTTGTTATCGGTTATGTTTGAGACGCGCCGAGCGTGCCGTGTTAGGTCTTGATGACCGTGATGAAGCTGACGACGGCGCCGATGCTGGTATTCAGGCGGAAGAGATCATCGGATGAGCTCCGGCAAGAGACTCTTTTCTCGTGGCGAGGCATTAGCGCTGATTTACGCAGAGCCGTTTGCACGCATTTGACCGAGAGCGCTTCGTTTCTGTATCGTTTACAGGAAAGCGCTGATCTTCAGCGTGAGGAAATCCGCGCACCCTCTGACGGAACTGGCCCATCTAGAAGGGATCGAATCCAACAATGGAGGCCTAGTGACAAGAGCAGTAGCAGCAGCAGCAGCAGCAGCCGGCAAGGCCGCGATTTGCGGTTCGGAATGATGCTCAGGATCCGGGCTCCTCCGATGAAACCTGGGATCAGCGTGTCGTTTGCGTTGCAAAAACTGGTTCTTCCTGGTGCAATCGAGCATACGTCTGCTCGATCGAGTCAGAAGCGATGCGCCTTTTGCGCGTATATAGAAGATCCCCCCCCTGACACATCAACCAATATTCTCGAAGCACCTATCCATTCGACATCGCAACGCAGGACCACTGAGTGGCAGTTTTTGGACACGCGCTTCCGAACAGACCAAAGGACACTGGTTAGGCAACGTCGAAGCCGCGCACGACGCACGCTGTACCCGAGACATGTCGGATAAGGCAACGTCTCCTGCGCTGCGGAGACATTTTTGCCCGACGCAGCGCTATATCAACGGCTGTATGGACGCCCCCGGTGCCAGCATGGTACCTGTTGCTGAGGCTCCAAGGACGCGCCCATTGCTAGCATGACTAAGGCACTTGGCGTCTAGAACATACGTAACTCCGAGGGATCCGTGCCTGATTAAAGGCACTAGTGCTTGTCGCTTGTCGTCTCGTATGGTGTGCTCGGACGAGATGCGACTTGGTGAAGTGCAACGACCAGTGAGGGTGCCTGTCGCCGGTTGAGCCAGCGATGCGCAACCGCCGTCCACTGAGACGCGTCCAGCGCTTGCGCCCAGTCCATCACGGCGGCTCCTTCGGCGGCCCCGCCGTCGTGTCCGGTGTAACAACTAACAGAAATGAGACCCTCACGGGGAGCAATCAACCCTTCAAGGAGTTTCAAGCTTTTTATGGTCGTGTCGGCGCGCGTGCGGATGCTTCTATCCGAGTCTAGGCCGGGCAGGTAGCCTAAATTGTATGCAGCGACCTTGAACCATGTTGGCCGAGCTTTGACGTCAGCAAGCCAACTATCCAGCATGTCTCGCTGAAACTGCTCGTGGGGAAACTGCCTGAGTTCACAAATGAAGCCGTTTTCAGTCCAAAGACGGCAACGGAGGCGTCCTTGCGTGTATTCGGAGTGGATGTGCAGCTCTGTTGATCGGAATCTGCTTTGAAACATGTCAACCAGGCGATTCCTCGTTCGCATCACAGCTTTATCTTGGATATCCAGGGCGATCAGGGTGCCCGTAACCGGCGCACCGATATATTCGGCGAGCGCCAGTGTATCATGACCGTTACCACAGGTGGCATCTAGGACCATATCACCGGGTTCGAGGACGCTGCGCCAGTACGTGTGCGCAAGTTGTGTGTTCTTCTCCAGGTGGTGCGCCGAGCAGAGCGGTGGTGGCTCTGTGCACCGCGGCCTGCGCTGGACCACCCGCGGAACGCGTGAACACCCCGGGCGGCTATAGCGACGTGTTGAGAGCCAGTTACAGAAAGCGAAACAACACGTTCTCTCCCAGTAAACGAGAGAGGGCTTTCTTTCGCCGGTCAGCGCTCTCGAAAAGTTCATTTCGGAGGCAGTCTGTCCCCGTCAAACTGCAGCTTTTTGCGCCGAAAACAAGTTCGCGCGTCCCAAGGATTGAGCCACTTGGCTCAGCAGAAAGTTCGATCGCAACAACTTTACACCAGAAACGTATCGACCGAATACACTTATTCGGCTGAGCGTCTGGTCGCAGAATAGCAACCGGCTTCGCGCGGAAGCTTGGCGACTGCGTTGGCGTCAAGACGCTGCAGCTGCCCCGTACTGACCGCTGAGGAACGATGGTCAAGTTTGAAGCGTTCGGGTCGCATCAGCGGCAGCGTGGACGTAAATGATCCAAATCTTGTACTGCTCTTGTCGACAGCTTTCATAGCTTACATACTCACCCGCAAAGCCTGCTTACGTCCGCTTCCGTCAAGACCCAGACACCAGATCATGCGCATTCGGGGTCATTGTTGGATGTCGGTAGACGGTTGTGCGCTGCATCTTGACGATGTTGACGCCTCAGTTGCTGCGTGCAGAAGACTTGGAACGAACAGCGAAGCGCGATTCGCTTTCAGACTTTCGCGAGGTCTGTGTTTCCAGCGCTGGGTCGTCCACTTGACACAGATCTTTGGGGCGGTGCTCGTAGGGATCACGCGGCACGCGGGAGATGCTTTCCAGAAACGTTCTCTGTATCCGTTGGACACGACTGCAGGTTCCGTGGGATGATGACGTGATGCGGGTGCGCGTCCTCACTGAGACTGCTCCATACTGATCACCTACAGCGCGGGGATCGAGAACGGTATAGCCCAACTGAGCCCGAGGACGTGTCGGTATCGTACAGAAGCTCGATGAGATCGTGTCCGATGACGATGACGACGACGCGATGGACACAGCGACGTTGAGAAACCTCGTCCGTCGCAGACACCCCCTAGCATGCTGCAGCTACGTGAGGCTATGCTTTGCTGGGTGGAACGCTCCGTTGCCGATCGTTTCCTGTTCCGTTGCACGCGGAATCAAAGACTGCAACAGAGCGGCTGCTGAACGAAGAAAACTTGTCTTGTGGCGTCTCCCAGCTTTTTTTTTCGCTGTTTGGCCCATCCCGAGCATGTTTACGTCGCGTACGTCCATGTTCACGACGCACAACTCCCATACTACAATACGTGATGCACGTAGGTCAGGATTGGCGTCACAGATGCATATGAAGAGGTTTTCGAAGCAGCACCCGGACGAACGGTCTCTGCAGCTGATTCGACACCGTAGCCGCACACTCAGTCATTTGCTCATGTACTGATTTCCTTCGGTAAGCACTCTTGCTCCGCTGCGGTATCCAAGCGCGTCCACGCCTTCCCAGCTATGTGTACCTGATCGCGTGTTGTACAAAATCGATCCGCGCATCGCTCGCTCGCGGGATTCGCCTGCCCACACGCGAAACGCCTGGAGATTCGCGGCGATGCGCCGGCCGAGCGCATGGGCCCTGTGTGTGCGTATACGTGCCCTGCAGCAGCAGCAGCAGCAGCAGCAGGAGCAGCAGCAGCGGCGGCGGCGGCAGCGGCGACTCGCGCATCGCGCGAGCAGCGATCCGCGTATGAACGGTGGCGTACCGAGTCGATCTGCGGTCCTGTCGCCGCCGCCTGTTGATTGTGGAACCCGCCGCCGTGTGCCCCCATTTTCACGCATGCGTTCCGTTGAGCGCACGCGTGCGATTCGTGCGATGATCGCAAAGCCGGTCACTCGATGCAGCAGATCGATCCGAGATTGCACGCACCGACGTGACCAATCGCTGCGCTGTGCGATTCGCGTCCACGCCACCGTGTACGGGGACGACGTACGCACGTGCCAATAGGGTTTAGGGGTCCGCCTAGAGAGCCTCTTTTCGGCGTTCTATAGTGGTCCGCTGGGCGACTAGTATTCGGTTTCCTAAGACAATGGGGTCCGAAAAGCATGAGCGCCTGCCGTCGGAAACACCTGTTGGGGTCGCGAGGCCCTCGACTGGGCTTTCTGGGGCGCATCTGGGGCTCACGCTCGGCACGCTGAAAACAGGGACACCGACGACAAGCACATCTGCCAAAGGCGCAGCAGCGCAGGCTTCGGAGACTAGGGAAGGATCCTCGGACCAAGAGCAAGCCGGAGCGCTGCCAGGTAACGGAGAAACATTGAACGTGGACGCGGCAGCAGAGGGAGTATATGAACGGCCTACGGACCGCCTACAGGTTCGCACTGGCACGGAGTTGCCGGCAAAGAGCCCACCAAAGGGACAGAAGCAGCGGAGGCCATATTTTCTGCGGAAACAGCGCGAGTCGTGGTCTCCAGAGGAACACCAGCGTTTTCTGCAGGCACTCGCACAGTATGGGCGCCTGTGGACGCAGGTCCAGCGCGTTGTCAAGACTAAGACAGCAGAGCAGATTCGATCACATGCTCAAAAGTACTTTATTCAGCTGGAAAAAAAGCGTATGAAGGAGAAATCGTCCACAAATTCTTCAGACTCGAAACCGAGCGAGGCTCTTCGGGAGCCAGCTGCTAGTGGTGGCGCTCCAAGACACGCGGAGAACGCCGCTCTGCAGCCCGGAGCCGTTGGCACTAGAATGCCGCATGAAGCATCACAGCAGCAGACAGTGTTTCAGTCGACAGAGATGAGACATTTGGGTAGATTGCAACCTCTGCCTCTAGCCGTGCCGGAGAACACTTGCACAGAACACGAGCATAATGTGGCCAGGGTACCACGGGTGGAGAATCGTTTGCCACATGGAATCGTGGGGAGCCCTTCTGCTTCTACGCATCATTACCGCTGGGGTCGCACTGTAAGCGGGACAAGTCAGGTCGTCGCCGCATGCGGCTATCACCCGAAGGACATGACTGCACGCATTCGAGAAGGAGCCGCTGTAGCGCCTCATACGGATATACCATTGAACTTGCCTGCAATGCGTGCCGCAGACCGTCTGGAGGCGAATCAGCACGCCGTCCACGAACGCTGTATCGGTAATTCGTTACTGGTAGGCACGTCGGCTGGTGGTTCCCACGTACGCCGCGATGCGTATGCCACGCTTGGGTTTTGCGATCCGAGTATCGCGCAAGCCCAGCGAGCACAGTTCACCTCAATGCCAGTTTTGAGCAGCACTGCCCAGACACACCTATCAGATTCACATTCAGGCGTCACCTGGTGTCAACGAGCGAGCACAGATACGGACTACCGGACCGGAGCATCGCTTCCGCGGCCAATAGAACCATGGGGCGGGACGCGGCCTTTGTCACCGTTGTCACTATCGGTGACGCAGTCATCATCTGATTGGTGCCCGTCCAGTTGCGCATCCTCGGTGCCATCGATCGCGTCGCCGATGCAGGACTCACCGGCGGTATCGCACGATCGGCTGAGGCAGGCGCTCGACTCTCTCGTCAATGGAAGGAAATCGATTGAGCGCTTGGGAACCGGACCGATCTTGAAGCATTTTGATCAGCATCTCTTACAGTATGGCGTCTTTCAAACAATTCCGCAGACTACACCCAGTCCCTCGCTGCCTGTTTCCGCGACCGAGGCCGCCATTCCCCATTCACCGCCGTCTGCCAGGAACCCTGTGACTGCAGGCGCCAAGGTACAGTTACCCTCCGTTTCTTCATTGATTTCTAATCGATTTGCCGTGTCGCATAGCACATCGCAGAAAGAGAGCATGCCCTATTCGTGATTCTAACTTTGATGACCGCGAGTGCGCGCTGCATTGCATGGAGTACGTCTGCTGACTACTAAAGAGTTCTAAAAATAGCTCTCACTCAATACACGCTAACGAATGGAATTTGTCGTCCGCTTACCAAGCGCTGTGTCGGAATTGCGTCCTGCTGCACTGCCCGCTCGCCCCGCGCCCCCGAACGGCTCCGCGGTCCAGGAGTACCTCCCAGTGGACGAGGCACTGGGTCTGCGCGACCTGACCGGCTCCTTTTCGAATACAAACCTGGCCTGGATTCCATATTATTCCAAAAAAGAGACTTCGATTAAGCATAATGAAAACGATTGCAAAGAACCGGAAAGCCTTTATGGTTGCGCGCTACGTGGTTTCGGTGGAACGTGGCGCTGGCGCCGAGTTCCACCTGCAAGTGCAAAACCGCAATCGTTTCAGCAGTCGACTCAGTTTGCGAGCGATGATTCACCACAGGCAGTTTCCGGACCTCGGTTTTTCTCACTTGGCGTGCGCGTTGTTGGTGACGTACTCAACGGCGTCAGCGACACTGAGAATCTTCTCCGCGGCCGCATCGGGAATTTCAATCGCAAACTCATCCTCGAATGCCATAACGAGCTCCACAGTATCCAGCGAGTCTAGAGCCAGATCTTTCACGAAGTGTGCATCTGGTGTAACTTTAGAAGCGTCTACTTTCTCAAAGTTCCGTACAACGTTCAGCACTCGTTCGAGAACGTCTTTCCGGTCGAGAAAGACGCTACCTCCGCTCCCCGCCTCACTGGACCAGCTACGCGTCGAAGTCAGAGCACCTCTGTACCAGCCTCCGATCGATCCCTGTCTCGCGAAACCTAGCGCCCGCGCAAGACTGCGCGCTACTGTAACGAGCGTCATCAGGAGCACACAACAGCAGCGGACACGTTCCCAACGAGACGTCCGTGTTCTGTGCGCGACAGGATGTGCGAGCCCATCGTCGTGCAGAGCGATCACGGCTTGTGTACCAGGATATCAATGTTCTTTCCTATATGTATAGTATTGTTCTCGAACGTCACTGGCGACGGCGTGCGCGCCTGCTGCTGCGATGTGCAGGGCGGACTGCACAGGCGCTCGCACGCCACGCACAGGCCCCGATGCCGCTGATCGGGCGACGGTGCGCATGCGGAGGATACAGTCGCTCAAAGAGGATTTTTAGGGACGATTATAGAAGTAACGGACAAAGCCATTCGTGCAACGCAGACGCTGTCCGATCCGGAGATCTACCCGTAGAATGCGCGCTCTATGGACGATACGCAGTTGTGGCTGCTGGCGTCGAGCGCGCTTGGTTGCCGTCCAGAGGGGTGCGTTTTGGTGACGACGCGCCGTACACAGGCCTTGTGTGGCGAGATCATGCAGCTGTGAAGCGAGTGTATTTTGTCCAGACTTGCAATCAGTCTGAGGCAGCTCGTGACGTCTGCGTTGCAGGGCACGACGCCTTAACCTCATTTTGATTGCTGCTGAGCCGTTACCCGCTTTACCGAGGCGCACGTCCAGGTTCAGGTATCGCGCTGCGCTGTGGTCACGGCGGGCGGCAAACTCGCATTGTTGGACGGCGGATCGTTATGCATCGTGATCGTAGCAGCGACGCGTCAGCAGAGGACTCTGCCAACCGCCGGAAGCACTTTCGCGAACCGCTCAAGGTGCGCGCGCTGAACGGGGCATTTACGATCTATGCCGAGTACCCGCTGCCTAATGGAGAGAGTATACGACCGCGAAATGCCGCGAGCTTGCGTATGCTCGTTACGGAACTAACCGGTGAGCACGTCGTTGCGCTCTACAGGTCCATCCCGGAGAGCGCAGCAGAGCGGGCGTCTCTCCTCATTGAGGACACTGAGGAAAACATGCCCACAATCGTGTATGCTGAGACCGCTTCGTCTGCTGGTGCGGATGACCCCAGGTCGACGGTTACCGCGCATGAAGCAACTTCGCGATGACTGAACGCCTATACGCGCATCGAATGCAGAACGATCGACGCAAGTGTGCCCAGCAGCTGTGTGAACCCGCTGGCGCCTTCCCCTGCATGCGTCTACATATCTGTGGCACCAAACCGAATGGGCGTCCTCTAGCGTGGTTGCTACATGATGCCGCAAGAGTACAGACCGATCCCTGTTAACAAGTCCATCATCGGTGGTGGCCACGAGATCGGTGCCTTGGTCGCGGACACGTGTGCATGCTGCCGGACCCGAAACGAATCCAGCGAGCGTCGGCGTGTCATCTGCGTTCATGGAACGGATCTGGTAATGGGAGCGCCAGGGGTCGGTAGTCCTTCTTGGTGCATCGGCGCTGACGAATGCTCTTGAAGAGCATCAGCGCCCCGTGCGACGCGCAGGACGGACGGATCATGAGGTATTCGGCCCCGTCGATGGGCCTCTCGGGGATACGCCGTTCGCAGTGATTCCGCTGCACCGCTCCCAAATGTGGCTACGAATACTCACAGGTCCAGCTTGCTTGAATCTGCCTAGACCCCATCGAAGAGACACGATCTCGTATACTTTGGTCGAGGTTGATGCATCGCTGCCGATACCTCATCAAATGCGGTAATGTTCGGCAATGAGCAAATGCATTCCGACCTGCTAAACTAGTGGAGAGTGGGTGCACATCCGTGCGGCACAGGAACGCCGCAGAAATCACATGTCCAATGAGGAAATGATGGCTCGAGCGCTGCCGTCTAGGGTCGGCTGAGAATGCACGTACCCTAGTCTTGTCGGAGCTTGTGTTTCGTTTCGGGTGGTCTTGGATCAACGCTGCCCTCCCTCAAAAACCGCTCGCGAATGATGTAGCGCTCCGAATCTGAATGCAACGCAACACCCTTGCATCCGGATGCCGCTTGCGTTATCCCCAACGAACCACATATAAGGAGCGGGACATGATCGGGATGCGTGACGTCTCGTGCATTCGACCGCCATGCACACTTGAGTCAAAAAGGAGCGTATCGCACAATGCAGAGAAACGCTGTTAATCCTTGATGGTTGCGGTGCCGTTCACCTGCGTCCGGCCTCATACGCAGGCACCCGGGAGCGAGCATTTCCCCAGGATGAGCGCGGGCGCGCGTCCGACCCGGCTCTGCACCCCGATGAGAGCGCCGAATCATTGCAAAGGCGCGTGCCTTTCTCCGCCTTTGATGCTGTCGAGTGTATCATAATCCGAGTCGTTTTCTCGAATCGCTGGTGCCGGCCACTGCTGCCGCTGTTCAGAGCTCGTCTGTCGTAGTGTGTTCTCATCTGCAGAAGTATTCGCTTTCCCAGAATCCCTTTGTGCTGCTCGAGTTACTCGCACACAACCTGAATGGGGCGGTCAGCGAACAGCCCAGGCTCCTTTTCACCAAAAAGACGTGCGAAATGTTCATATCCACCTTCCATGACTGCGATGCTGGGCAAGTCCAGCTGCGCCAGATCTGAACCCTCTCTTTTCCATTGGACATGCATCCGCGGTAGCGTCGAAGCGAGCCCGATAGCGATCTCCGGTCCGCGGCACTTGGAAAGCATACAGTGGCATATGACCAAGTGCCGATCTCCTGCGGATGTCGACTGCATTTTCAGCGCAAAGCGCATGAGTTTCACGGCCAAGGCACCCAGATTCCCTATAGCTTCGTCGTACGGAGCATGCCATGCGCCTCGTATGCATCCACCGTGAAAGTCAACGTCGCGTACATCGAGGATCGTTACTGGCCACGGAATGGCGCCCTTTCGCACCAAGTCAGCGACTCGCTCACAACTGATGGTCTGAACCCGCGAGCTCATTCTCGTACGAGTTGGAGAACGTTTCTTCGGTGTAAAGAAGTTTTCGCGAGGATGAACTCTGGAAAGCGTTTTTACCAAACCAGGTTGCGTGTTTCAAAGCCGATAGCTCTTGTGACTGGAGACCGTTCCGCGGACGCTCTGCAAAGGTTGGTACACCTATTTGCGCTTGAAACAACCACACAACAACGGTTGACGCCCGCAATGGCCGGCAGCGCTTATGGCTCTCTGATTCGTGGAAAACCTCTGCAAATAAAGTGGACAGCAGAGACAGATCCAGGCTATACACGTAAGCCCGCCGCCAACGAGACAAAAAAGCAAGCGTTGTGAAACGCGCAAAGCAAACGCTCCTCAACTTTTCCCCAGACCAACTGCCGGCGGTAGCAACTGGGCCGGAACGATTTTTACGACAAGAAGAGGAAACCCTGCGAATACGCACTCTGGATAGACGTACGGCTTCGAGTGGATGCAAAGCGAGGCGTCTCAGGTCTGTGGGGCAATGCGCATTGCCAATACGATCGGGAAAACGAACAATGTCCAGCGACGATGCAGGGTACATGAATAGACTCCCGTGGACGGCTTCCAGTCATTTTTGAACGGCCCGATGCCATCGGGTTCAGTTTATCCAGGCACAGTGCGAGTCTGAGAGGCTGCTTCACAAAGTCGGCTCGCGTCAGCTCCTCAGATCTCGTCTTCAGGACCGCAGCTTGTCTGGTCAAGAGTACGGCGTCAAGGCTCGGGTCACGAACGCCATATGTTTCTTGCCTCGCGTTGAACTCAGCCATGGAGGGAGTCCTAGAAAACGTGCCCGCTGTACGACTAGAGTCTCGTCATCGTCTCGTCGGGCAAACACCTTTTCTAGCCTATCTCCGCTCTTCATCCGCATCACTTGCACTTCTTCGCTCGATCGTCGAGGAGAAGAGTTTTTTGTCGAAACTGACGATGACGGTCCTTCAGGATCCCGGATTTCCATCTCCGTACCTTTCTCTTGGGTTTTTTGTTTCCTCAAATGGACACACTTTGAACACATCTGTTATAGACCGCGAATATACACTTCATGACACGCACCCGGAAACGGAACACCATTACGGTAAAAGACACCAGCGTACACCGCTGCAGCTACCTTGGCTAGCTATGGAGCCCCAGACCGCATCCCGGTATAACCACGTCGCTCTATCCCTGTGCAGCGACATGTGTGATATGAGGTCTCGTTCGAGGGCGTCGCGAATGATCCCGATGACGATGCCGTAAAGAATTCCACTGGTCGAGAGTCGAGCGAGCCTGCCCGAACAAATGTACTGCGAATCTAAGAACTGGATGAGTCCTTGGGCACTTGTTGCTCTACTTTGAACATCGAGGTTGTACATAGAAAAAAAGAGGTCGAAAAGAAATCCAAATGCTGGGGCAGAGCGAGCAGCTCGTTATCCCGTTCTAATCTGACACGAACGCAGATACATCACAGGTGTCGGTGATCCGGTCGAGGACGTCAGCGCTTCCGGAGCCTCGACACAGCGCCACGTTCAGCGACCCCGTGTTCCTTTACAATGGAGACGTTTTTCATGTATCCGCTGAATCCCTAGATTCCAAATCCATCAAAGTCGGATAGAACCAGATGATTTGCAGTACTCGGGATGGCGTCGGCTCAGGCTTGCCAACACCGCACCTCGTATGGAATGGATGCGCCTCGGCCATGCGACAACCGCGGGCACGCAAGCATACCGCACGACATTCACGTCGACGGACATAATACTCGTGAACCAGCCTTTCTCCATGAAGCTGCACCCAATTACGATCGTGTGTATCACGCAAGCATCGATTCGTGCCCGTCTAATGCACCGGTGCAGGGCAGTGCTGTGTCGTGCGAAGTTCGTGGAAAACGCACCGGCCTCTGGGGTGCTGGTAGCATCCTGCTCTTCGACTGTAGCTTTTGAGAGATGTGCACGTGATCGCGCTGGGTCAAGTCGATCCATACCGAGCGCCCGCCCAGGTTTTTCGCGTAGACAGGATCGGGGACCACAGCCATGGATCGATCGATGCGAAGTCGACGAGATCGCTCCCGAGCTACAGGGACGTGCATCGGGCTTCCTCGACGAGACTTGGCCAGTGCTCGCTGACACATGCTGGAAAACGAAATCCGGGGATCGAACCAGCCACTGAGACATACATCGAAAGAGAATGGAAAAACTGCGAATCCACGAGCGGCCCTATGTCGGAATGCTCCCGTCAGAAGCGGCAAGGACAGCGCTGTGACGCATCCGTCACGATCCAGATCTCGACACGCTGACCGCGGCTCCAGCGCATCTGACACAAGATACCCTAATTCATGCCGAGCTTCCAAACGCTGATGTACTTTCTTCGAACGAGTCCTCCGTGAATTCATCGTTGTCATGCCGCTCCGATCGAAGCAGACGCAGGTTTGCATGCAGATCTTGTTCGGTAGGAGCGCGAGTCCCATTGGCGTGCCGACGGCCGATCAAGCATCGATGGTGCCTCCCAAACCCCGTGCAACGTGAATCACGCCTCTAATAAACACCCTCAAGGATAGAAACAAGCTGTTCTGCCTCCGTGCTGCGTCCGCAATGGCGCGATAAGCGTCGCAGAGAGCGCGCGCGCACACACACACACTCCACACACCAGACTCGGCATCCGGATGATTGTATCAATCATCCAGGATTCCCAATCGAATCTACGGGTGCTGTTGACCGATGGAATGGAACGTTACAGTGCGACATGATGGACGCTTCCCCGGATGCGCTGGACCATTCGTAGCACTGGGTATTCCCTGGTCCTTGGAGACGATCCGTCGATCAGCTGTTGGAAACGAACGTCTACCTAGCGGGTATCGCGATGCCGGACGTTATCGTCAGCGATCCGCAGCGGTGGCGGCAGGCGCCAGGGCGCCCCGCGCGCTGGCATGTCCGCATTGTCGCAGGTTACGTAGCCGTAGCCTGTTTTTTACCGAAGAACGGACGACCTGTGCGAACATCCTCAAGTTGCTAACGCTGAAACGTTTGTTCGTGAACGCTTGGCAACTCCTTGTGTCCGGGGACAAGTATTTCGGTTAGGGGAGCAGGATACCGGGGGTTAGCGAGCGTTCTGAATACGACGACACACAGCCCGGAGAGTCATAGAGGTTGCTCTTCGTGCTTCGCTTGGGAGGGTGGCTAGCGCTGCCTCCGGACAGGACGAGTACTCCGGTCCAACTTCAGCAAACCGGAAACCGAACAGCGATGGACCCACAGCGACGTACGAAGGGTCTTTCCCGACGTTCTGCCGCAGAGCGCATCCTCCGCCTAGGGACGCAGTCGCTTGGGGAGAACGGGAGCTCGGAACGCATCCACGAAACGGGGGCAATGACTGAAACGACCGGTGCGCTGTCAGGTGCTCGTTCCAGGCGAGCGCCGGGGACTGCCACTTCTTGGCAAGGCCCACGCGCCGGGCGGTATCTGCCACCTGGCGTGGACGTGGACGGTCTGGGTGCGCTTCCGCACGAGAGCCTCTCGCCGCTCACTGTGGAGAAAACAGCACTTGAGACACCGACGCCCGCTGACCTGAAGCAAAACGGCGCACTCGCGTTCGCTAACGACGAGCAGGTTTCCATCAACTTGCCGGAAAAGAACGAACCATCTGGTGATCCAGGCCCGGAGGCGTACTCCAAAGCGTCTACCCTACAGACCTTGCGGCAGCGCTGGTTCGTGAAAGCACCGCCCCGGCCACGCACCATATACCTGGAGAGTGGTACCACTAATCCCAGCAAGCGTCGTTTTCCTGACAATGCAGTGCGGAACTCCAAATACAATGCGCTAACATTCTTTCCGCGGGCATTGTACGAGGAGTTTCGAATGTTTTACAATATATTCTTCCTGCTTATCGCGATTTCGCAGCTCATCCCCGCGTTGCGCGTCGGCTACCTGGTTACCTACATTGGACCGCTTGCCTTTGTGCTGGCGGTGTCCATGAGTAAATCCGCCGTGGACGACATCCTCCGCCGCCGCCGGGATCACGAAGTCAATCGTCAGGTCTACGAGAAGCTCGTAGCTGGCGGCAATGGTGCTGTGGAGCGACGCACAACCCGCGCCTGCGATCTACGCGTCGGTGACCTCATCGTGCTGTCGAAGGACCAGCGCGTCCCAGCGGACTGTATCCTCATGAGGGCATCTCCGGATCCGAACGGAACTGTTTTTCTCCGCACAGACCATTTGGACGGGGAAACAGATTGGAAGCTGCGCCGCGCCGCCCATTCGACGCAGTTGCTTCCCAGTGACGAGAGCCTCGTCGGGTTACAAGCCTCGGTTTGGGCAGAGGCACCGCGCAAGGAGATCTACGAGTTTCACGGTAACTTGTACCTGCAGAATGGAACGATCGAACCCCTTGGTCTGGAAAATACGCTCTGGGCAAGCACGGTGCTCGCTAGCGGGAATGCGATCGCGCTGGTGATCTACACCGGCGCGGAGACGCGTTCGATGATGAACATGACGGAGCCGCCATCCAAAGTGGGTCTGCTCGATGAAGAAATCAATTTTCTGAGCAAACTGCTTTTCTTATTGCTCTTCTCAATGGCGTTTATTCTGCTCTGTTTCAAGGGCTTTGGTCGTCACTGGTTTCTCTACCTGCTGCGCTACCTACTGCTGCTGGCGTCGATCATTCCGATTTCGATGCGCATCAATTTGGATTTAGCGAAATATGTGTACAAATTTGTAATTGAACGAGATCATGCCATGCCCGGTGCCGTGGTGCGCAACTCGGATATCCCCGAGGAGCTCGGTCGCCTGGACTTCATCCTCACAGATAAGACCGGAACACTCACGAAGAATGAGATGGTTTTCAAGAAAATTCATTTTGGGTCCATGTTATTCGGGCGAGAGGCCATGGACGACCTGAAAACGTATGTGGAACGCGCGTTCGACGGCGGCAAAGAGTCGCTCGATCGCGAGATCCGCGAGTCTATGCTCGCGATCGCCCTGGCTCACAACGTGACCCCAGTTGATAACGATTTTCAGGCTGCATCACCGGATGAGGTTGCCTTGGTTCAGTTCGCAAACGCGACTGGGGTGCAGCTCATCGAGCATACACCGACCCGGATTCGCTTGCGCGTTCCTGGTGGTGGCATTGCAACATTCGAGATTCTGGTTGAGTTTCCGTTCACCTCGGTGGCCAAACGCATGGGTATTGTGGTGCATGGACCGCAGGAGCCTAATGTGCCGATTCCGCGGCGCATTATGTTCTTTGTGAAAGGTGCCGATTCTATCATCGGTCGAATGGTGCGAGCGAATGACTGGCTCGATGAAGAGTGCGGGAACATGGCTCGGGAGGGTCTACGCACACTCGTCTACGCCATGCGGTATCTGACAGAACCCGAATATCGGGAGTTCGCTGAGCTGTATGGAGCGGCGCGTGCGCGCACCCAGGGGCGTACCGAGGCCATGGCCGCCGCCCAGGCGCGTCTGGAACGCGATCTGAAGCTGCTCTGTATCACCGGTGTCGAGGACACGCTGCAGGATGGTGTGAAGGCGACCCTGGAACAACTGCGCCAAGCAGAATTCCATATTTGGATGCTCACCGGTGACAAGGTCGAGACCGCCAAATGCATCGGTACCAGCAGTCGCCTAGTCGGTCGGAATCAGCGCACGTTCACGATAAGCGGCGTCGAGAGCCGTACCGTTGCCTCCCGACAACTCGCACAGTTCAAGCGTCGCCAGAATGAGGTGCTCGTGATCGACGGCACCACACTGGATGTCATGTTGCACCATTTCCCCGAGGATTTCATTCAGGTGGCGGGCAAAGCGCCGGCCGTTATCGCATGTCGCTGTTCGCCGACGCAGAAAGGCGAGCTAGCGCGCCTCATCCGTCGACATCTGGGCAAGCGGGTGCTCGCCATTGGCGACGGCGGCAATGACGTAGCCATGATTCGACGGGCGAACGTGGGTGTCGGGATACCCGGCAAGGAGGGTCGCCAAGCCAGCATGGCCGCCGACTTTAGCGTTGCACAGTTCTCGCATCTGCCGCGGTTGCTCGTGTGGCACGGCCGCAACTGCTACAAACGCTCGGCGTGCTTGGCGCAATTCGTCATTCATCGAGGCCTGATGATCGCGGTGATTCAGATGTGTTTCTCGGCGTTTTTCTATTTCGCGGCAGTTTCCGTTTTCAATGGGCTCCTCATGGTCGGCTATGCCACCATCTTCACCATGTTGCCGATATTCTCGCTCATCCTCGACCGAGACGTTCGAGATACGATCGCCATGGCGTACCCGGAACTCTACAGCGAGCTCCGGCGCGGGCGTTCTTTGAACGTGCGCACGTTTCTGACCTGGGTTTTGAAAGGGTTTTACAGCGGCACGGCGATTATGACATTTGCTGTCTTGGTGCTATGGAACGACGATTTTTTCACCACCGCGAATATTCAAGCGGTGGCATTCACTGCGCTCATAATCTTGGAGCTGCTCATGGTTGCGAGCGAAATTCACACCTGGCATTATTTGATGCTGCTCAGCGAAGCCTTGAGTCTGCTGTTCTATGCGCTCGCGATCTTTATCCTTACACAGGAGTTCAATCGCCGGCTCGTGTTCTCGGTCGGGTTCATCTGGAAGACGGCGGTTATCGTGATCGTTGCTTGGTTGCCCATTGAGCTCGCCAAGCGCATCGATCGCTGCCTTCGGCCGCCGCGGTACCTCAAAGTCGGCGAAGCGCCCGCGAGTACTGCGTAACGCCAGCAGTTTGCAGCGACAGCGATAACTGCGACCAGGAGCGTCGCCCGACGACTCAGACGCTTGGTCGCAAGCACCTGCTACCGCGGCGACGGCGCTGGTGGCGGCTCCGAATACGGCAGTGGTGCCGCTGTCGTCGGAGGCGCCGGTCGCCCGTATGCTGTGTCCGGTCGCGTCAGGTATCGGACCGGAACGGCAATATCCTCGGGGGTATCGAGCTCGAGCTCCTGCTTGCCAGCGTAGTTTTCTCCGACATCGGCCCGATTCGCGCCGCAACTCCCGGTATCGTCGGCGGGCATCGCCGCCACCCCGGATTCCATCGTAGCGCCTGTCGGTGCTTCCAGTGCTGCCTTTCGCATGAGGGTCCAGTCGAACGCATTGTCGTCCTGATAGCCTTTGCGCCGATAAAGGTCCCGGAATAGCCTTCGCAGATAATTGTAGTCGGGCTTGTCCTCAAAGCGCAGTGAGCGGCAGTAGTTCAGATACGTGGCGAACTCGGACGGAAAGCCGCGACACAAGATATCCACAGGGGTGCATATTTTGCGTTCACTGATTTTTTCGTACTTTTGTTTCTTGGTGGCTGCTTTCAGACCTTGCCACGGCAAGCTGCCTCGATTAAAATACATGAGTACGTAGCCAAGTGACTCGAGGTCGTCGCGTCGGCACTGTTCAATGCCAAGGTGCGTGTTGATACTCGCATACCGCGCGGTCCCAGTCAGGTTCTTGTTCTCTCGATACGGAATATGCACAAGCGTACGCGGGTCACGATACTTTTTCGCCAAGCCAAAGTCGATGAGAAATACCACGCTCGAGTCCCGTCGCAGACCCATGAGAAAGTTGTCCGGTTTGATATCGCGGTGAATGAAGGAGCGACTGTGCACGTACTCGATACGCTGGATCATTTGGTCCGCCAGCATCAACACGGTTTTCAGGGAAAACCGCCGGTGACAAAAGTTGAAAAGATCTTCCAGCGACGGACCGAGTAACTGCATCGCTAGGATGTTAAAGTCGCCCTCGGTGCCGTACCAGTGAACCTGCGGGATCCCGACCGCAGGCTGACCCGTCGCAGGGTTCGTTCCCAGGTAACGGTAGATTTTGCTCTCATAGCTCAGCTGGGGATGCCTTGTTTTCGTCGACTCGAGCTTTATCGCAACCTCCTCACCAGTGTACACGTTTGTACCGAGGTAGATGTCCCCGAAGGAGCCGGAACCGATTTTGCGGCCGAGCCGCCACTTCCCACCAACCCGCAGTTCAACCGACATGATTGCGCCCTTTCCCAGACACCACCAGGTGTTCAGCGAGCACGTGTAGCTTTCCGAGACGTCCTCTCGAACAGGGACGTTTCTCGCGCTGGACTCGACGCTCGAGCGCTCGCCTCGTATACAGGTGCGTGTGCGTATGCGTGTGCGTGCACGTGACTGCGTGTGCGTGTGTGACAACGGGCGAGCGCGCGATGCGTGCAGGTACGACGTATGCGCCCGCTGGGCATGCAGCAGCAGCGCCGTCGACGTCGACGCCGCTGATGCCGTCGACGGCGACGACGACGGCAATGCGGCACGCCTGGCAGCAACGGTCTTGAGACCAAGGCGGTGTACCGCCTGACCCCATGTCCGCGGACTTGTACACGAAGCGGGCTGGGATTAGAGGCCGGTAACGCCGGCAACCTCAAAAGGCGCCGAAACGCCCTGCAAGTGCCGGCACTGGTGACCGCGGAGCGCCAACTGCCGCTTGGTGTGCTCAATGATCCTAACGCTGATGATCCTGCTATTGCAGTTTTCATAGCAGCTCGGCAACCGCGCTTTGGTAAGGAGCAAAATCGTCAAAAGCCGGCAGTGATCGCTGTCGCTGCGGTTGCCGCATCACCTCTTGGTATCGCGAATGGCGTCCTTGATGCCATTGTCGATGCACTCGTGGACGTCGTTCGACGTCTGGATCCCTCGTTGCCGTCGACATCGGTCCATGAGCGAGCGATTCGAAGGTCGATGGTTGCAGCGATAGGGCCGAACCCTGCGACTGCAGATTACGGGTTCGTCACGGTTCGTTCGGATGTGCTGAAAGCGATTTTCTTGCCGTGGGCGGAACGCCCGCATGTCGGCCTGTCACGCCGCTGCTATTTTGTTCAGGATATTCAAAACGATGTGCATTCAGTGATTTGTCGGAGCCGACGTACGCGTCTATCCTTTACGGTTTTGGCGCAGCGTCTGACGGGGCGTCACCGGAGCCTGGCGAACCCGTTACCAGCGACACGTGAGTCGCACGGTATCCAGTTCCCGTTGCAAGAGTGGCATCTTCGACTCGCGCCTCCTGTTTACGAACGATTGCGCTGCATTGGCGTTGGACAAGTTGAGTTGACGCGCGTGCTTTTGCCGCGCGTGCCGATCACATCTCGCGAGGATATGCGTCATTTTTCCTACATCGTTTTTGGAGTGATTGAGAGTGTGGGCGTTGTCTGATGCAATGCAGACCGGGGGTTTCCCCAGCCCTAGTGTGCAACGCGTTCCAAAAGACGTGTTCTGCTTGATGGACACTAAGCGTTTTGATCAGCGGCCGACTTGTTGCATCGTACGCGAGTCCCGGTGCCAGAGCGGAGGCAGCCTTTTCCGCCAGCCTGTGTCAATGGAGATGTGCTTTAGCGGGCTCGCGTCTGCTGACCTTGATTCCAGTTTAGTGCGCTTTCGGCATGAGTCTGTGAGCAATTCATCACCGGACGAGATCAAGTGTTTCCCCTGCCTATCCAGCGCTGCGAGTGATTGCATGCGCAAGTTGCCTCGCGATAGAACAATAGGAGACTTGAAGAACGTCTGCTTCGAGCTTGCGACATGGAAGGAAAACGCAAGAATCGGGGCCTGTACATATAAATGGGTTTTCATATCGATTACTGTACGAAGCCTTGCACGAGGGCATCGCTCATCATCATCATGATACCAATCACGTAACGTTTCCCAGCGACAGAGCGTCGAAGGAGCCACTCCGAAAAAATCGGTCTATCATCGTGGAACTAGGCGTGAATCCGTAAATCCTAATTGCTGAACTTGGATTATCAAGGCTGTCCGAGTATAAAATCAAGTTCCGAAAATCAACGAAAAGCAGGAGTAGAACGAGCAGTCCAGTTATCTCGTTTTATCGGAGCCGCGCGCATGGTGGATGCGCTTCTGCAGCGTGTTTGCGTTCGGTCCGTTAGCGCGCGTTGCGAGGCTTGCGTTCTGATTTTATGAAAGCTGGTGTTTCTCAGGTTATTGTAGATACGTTTGTGGTGGCTTGTCTCGGTCTTGCCGGAGCCATTATTGGTCTGGAGTACGCTTTGGACGGTGACGAAGCCGCCTGCAGCGAACTCACCAACGGCAAGGACGAGGTTGCCGACGATGCCGTTCGGGCACACGTGAGTGCAACGTGGCGCAGCGCTGCACTTTCGCGGGGTAGCGCAAGTGCCTGGCGGGACCTGAAACTGTTTTTAGACGAGCACGTCGCACCGGAGCTACCCAAGATGTTCCGTTTGATCGGACAGCATTGGCTGACCCCGAAAACTGCCTGGTTGTGGTCCGTGGTAAGCAGCTGGCGGGCAATCGCCTGAAAAGATGCGAGTTTCGAGCTGCGAGGCAAAAGCTGCGGCAAATTAGACTCGAAGTCACGACCTTAGGATGGCTTTCTTGGGCTCGTGTTATGAGACGTACGCGCTGTGGCACTGAGACTGAACTGGACAAAGTAGAACCAACTGCGCTACTACATCCAATGATTTCAGTTCGCCGTGGTCTACGTCTGCACCCCATAGCGTCGGGGGTTCGTTGCACCTGCGGCGCGTGCGTTTGTTTGTGCTCGCTTGCGTACGCTCTTTTTCACTAACCGTTTCAGCATGGTGTCACTTGTATTGTGCAACTTGATTGGATTTGCACCTTTTTGGACAGGTACGGCCTCGGTGCGCACCTTGTTGCGCAGATGGGATGCTTGCTTCATGACGTCAGTGCTATGATCCCTTGTCGTGAGGTACAGATGCGCATGAAGCGATAGCGCCCTTTGGCGGGTGCACGGTTGGTGTGCCGGAATGTGCACTCATCTGGTCAGCGTAAATTTATCATGCGGCATGCTTGCACCCAAGTCGACGTATACACGGACGAGCACGACCTTGCCTCAGTTATTTTTGGGGTACGGAGTAGGGCGCTGCATGATCGTGTAGACGAACCGGGGGATTCCCGATTGCGCCATGGTTATCGGTATCCGCGAAAGCGTTCATCATTCTGCACGGGACCGCCGCGTTTCAGGAGCCAATGCCGATAACTTCTTTTCGGAATTAGGGTTTGTTCGTCCAATTTTCCTGGTGCCGAGCGCCTGCCGTGTGCGCCCACTATGTTGCCACTAGCGTCGATATGGTTATCGCATGGCAACGGAGCGGCTTTTCCATACCATGATTGAAGAAAGCTCGAGGCATGAGCCTGCTTGTACACGCCCGCGGGCTCGCGGAACGCGTCCCTCACGGACGACTCGGATATGCACTGGCACCGGAGCTGGTGTATTTGCAGCTGCATACCCAATCGATGCTCTTTCGCCTACGAGCTGGTGCGTCACATAAAAAGCAAACGAAATTACTAGGTACCGTCATATCTTCGGGACGGCACAGCGTTGCAGGTTGGTCGAGCAGTCGCCCAAACTTTGGTGTGAGGCGACGCGGGTCGACGGACAACATAATGGTAACGTCCGACATGCTGCGGTTCCTGGAGGGTTTCGCCGTTTTCCTGGACGGCGTAACAGGGAGCACTCGTGATTCAAGCTGACACCGAGACAGCGGCCCCACGCGGTCACTTTTAGACGTCCATGGTAAGTGCCATAAAACAGTGCGAGGCTCTCACGCAGATCCGTGTCGATGATGCTACCAGATACGTTTGCTCATCAGCTTGGCCGCTCTTTCCGACGTTTCCGTGGCCGTATCCACCTATTCGATGTCCATTGGCAAGCACATTTGGTCATAGAGCACTCGCTAGCAAACAGCATAGCACAGCACTGCAGATCCTCGGCAGTTCTTGGAGCACCGCTCACACCGGTGACGCATCGCGAGTGCGCACCGCATCCTGTGCCTCGTGCTGAACTAGGTCCGTTTGATCGCATGGCATTCGCGAAAGACGCATGCAGATGGTGTGTATCGCGTTTGGCAGAGGGCTATGTTATTCAAACCAGTGAACCTGAAACAGTCTGTCATTGAGATGTTTATCGACAAACGCGTGGATGCGGCATCCTATCGTTCGCGGAGCGTCCTGTCATAGTGCCAGCGAAGAGTCGGAACTCTTACGCGAGCAGAGCTGCATTCGTTTTATTTTGCAAGCAGCCCCGGTCCGTGCAGCTGCTTGCATTCTTCCGCAGATTTACATCCATCAAGGAGCGTCAAATCGTTCCTGCTAAAGCGCACAGAAACGTCGCGCGAAAGCATGTATCCGAGGATGTCGGGTGACTCCAACGGCGAACAAGATCCCAGCCATTGCCGCCTACGATACGATTTGGGTAAGGCGCTTATGGAAACAGGTCGGGCCGATGCAGCCCATTTATGCACAGGCACTTGCTCTTCGTTGTGTTGACCTATAGTGCAGTCCACTGCTATTGCAATGTTCATGCACACATGCTCCAGATTATCTACCGAAATCATGGGGGTAGGCCGCAGCGTAGTCTCCAGAAAGCTCATGGAACAGTTTCATGGATGAATAGTATCTTTGAATTCAAAGAACGAGTCATGCATGCGAATGAAAGAGTACTCCTCGCATGACCCACAACACCCGTATAAATTAGGTTCTTTGTGAAAGATAGCGAACCCGGCGTGCATAAAACCTTGGAAAAACTCATCCACTTCTGGGATAGAGGCGATACCCGCGTGCACTTCGATAAGGACTTGATTCACGTGCCGCAGCGCGTGCCAGGTTCTCAAGGCATATTGCTCTTCAGAGCTGAGTTCACGTTGGCTCCGTCCTTGGCGAAGGAGCTTGTCGGCTGCCCGGAACGCTCCCAAGAAAGAGGTGAACTCACCACCCTCGATATCGATCTTGAGCACCTCGACGACGTTTGGCAGCTCCAGGTGACCCAATCCAGACATGATCTCCGCCAGCGAATTGTTGCTCTCAGCCGGGCCAAGCGGCCGGCGAAAAAAACGAACGCGTTCCAGAAAGCTCTCGGAGTGCATCGCAGATGGTGGCGATGATGTTGGGTCAAAGACGAAAAAATCGCAGTCCGGCAAGCGTTCATGAAGCTTCGTTTCGAAACTGAAATCGTTGTTGCTACCAAAACTGTACACAATGCAGCGATACGGGAGCCTGAGCTGCTCACGAAACAGCCGTCCCCGGTTCAGGATAGCAGGTGGGTCGCACACCCATTTGCCACCGTCTCCGTTGTTACCGATCCGTTCCTCTAAGGCACAGCCGATATCCGGTTCCCAGTTATTGTAGAAAAAAACCGACGGGTTCGGTTCGAGGGTAACGGTCTGGCGCTTTCGCTGACGTCGTAACCGAATCCTCCGTTGGGCCCAGAGCGCGTCCGACTCGCACCAGAAGCCGAGCGACTCTTTCAGTGCTCGCGTGTCCTTCGAAGTCACTGGTAGGGTCCGGTCCCAAATCTCCGTCAGGGTTTTCGCGTTGCGCAAAGAGCTCCCACGACGAAGAGCCCTCGACACGGAGCGAACGCAGCTGTCATCCACGGCGGGAAGATCCGCGCGCTGGACACCACTAGAGCGTCCGTTGAGAACACTAGTAGCGCGGTATATTACGATAAGAGCATAAATAAGAAAAGTCAAAGCCCCTGAAGCGATGCACGGTTTTCGCCACGTCATGCCGGCCACTGAAAACAAACGTCTTTCAAAAGAAAAACGCTGCCGCCAACGGTGTACAGTAGTTACGGGAAACGCGCCGTAAGCAAATCGTCTCCAGCTGAGGTGCAGACGCATCCCCGTCTTTTTCGACCGTCCACCTACTACGTCTTTCATTTTCTTCTCATATAATTCCACTTTGAGAGGTCGCCCCACAGGTTCTCTCGTGTCGAATCTGGAGGTCTTTTCTCCAGCACCGCACATCTCCTGATATTGATAGCGACATTAAAGTCTCGGTTCACAAACTCCATGCGTTTCTTGCCATCTTTGGTTGTGCTTACTAATGCAAGTAGCCCACGAACTTTCGCCCTCCTTTCCATTTGCTCCTCCGTCAGCGGTCCGTACTTTGCTATTTCGTCAGGGCTCCTCTGGCACTTTTCCATCTCGATCCTTTGAAGTGTACAACACAGTTCATGGTGTGTATACGATGTTCGGAACTCATCTACAGGTATTGTAACTAACCTGTCTGCACACCCCTTGTACGTTCTTGTCGTTGGAGCTCGTGTACACTCTTTTTCAGACGCCTAGCGCCCTGCTCCGTATGCTACTACCAGCCTTTGACTTTCATCCTCTTTGAAGGCACTCAGCTGACTGAAAAAGTTCGCGAACGCACACTGCTTGCCACCGTATAGATTCATACGCAATCGAGGCCACCGGGGCTTTGTATACTCTTTCCACAGTGCCTCCTAATGAGCAATACGAACTTTCATGAACTCCCGAAAAGCTTGAAAATCTGCTCCGCGGCTCGTCACCTCGCTCAAAGCTTCCAGGTGCTCTTTCATTCCTGCATTGCATGTCTCGTTTTTCTTCCTCGTATTCATCACACCGGATTCTCGATAGTATCTCGCTCTCGGGAACCTCAAAAGACGCATGTCTTTCTGAATGAAGTTGCCGTCTGGACCATATTCCGCACGCCTGGGTACAGCGATGGCTGTGACATTCGTATTCCCAGGGTCCGCGCCAACGACAAAGTCGTTATACTTCCTTTTCTGTGTGGCACAATCCGCCTCCTTCTCATCTTCATACCTCGTCACGTCAACGACAACGTCGTCATCCTCTACCTCTTGCGTAGCAGGATCCGCGTCTTTGTTTTCCTCATCCTTCGTGACGGGCGCAGCCGAGGACGGAACTGGCCGAGCTGCCTTCAACCGCCGATAGTCTACACACTAGGCTACTCCATCGGTTTCGATCATCCCCGTGAATACCTTTTGCTTGCTCGTTTTGAGACGTTTGAAATCGAAGATGTTCTTCCAGTACGTCTCCCTGGTTTCACGGGTGAACTCTCTTTTCCTAAAGTTGAACTCCGGACTGATTTCCCTCATGATGCCGTAAAGGACGCCGGAGTCGATAGTCACATAATGTGACTTGATGTTGCACAACGGAACGACGTTGAAGCGCTTCCCCATTAGGAAAGCCTTCTGTCTCTCCCACTCTTCATTCTTGTCCTCACTCGGCTTCATCTCCGCCTTGCGTTCGAGTTCACGGTCCAGAAACACGAAATAGCGCAGGATGAGGCGATAATGTCTTTCCTTATCTTTTTTCAACTCTGATACCTTTGCTGCTTGATTCGCCAGCCCCAGTACCGCACGGTGCTCTTGTATAGGCGCACGGATTACAGAAGCTTCATTCGTGCTCCTGTGTGACGTCTTCTCATCAACGAATTCGATCTCATCTTCATGCTTGCGATCGTTCGTGATGCCATCGATAATCGCCCATATTCCTTTGCGAGAGATGCCCGGATAGAGTGCAAACACCGCGCGTATGATGAAACGTTGGAGCTTCATGGTCATATGGTTCCTCAAGTTCGTGACGTACGTTTTCATCGCCCCGTAGGTGTAAACACTCGAGTCACCCCTGTATCGAGCACCGCCGAAGCGGGATTCGGTGTGGTTTTCGTGGAGGGCATGCACTAGCTCATTTTGCTTCCGCGTTTCCGCTGTACCAAGCATCAGATGGCGAATAAAAGTCTTGTCGAATAATTCTTTCCGAACTTCGACTGTTTAGATGTCCGTCACGTCGCGATACATCCTCTTCACCAAATGCATGAGTCCTGAAGAGGCCTTTACAATACTCAAGGAGTACGACTCGTCATGGGTTCTGATAGCCTCCCGCACTTTTTCCCTGTACGGATCCTTGATATGTCCAAGAATACAGACTTTCACTACTGTCTCGTCGTACTGTCGTCTTTCTTGCAGCCATTGGCGTCGGGCTTCCATCTTTTGCTTCTTGGCCCTCTCCAGTTCCTGTGGACTCGGCACTGTTTTTCGGTTTTTTTTCTGGAAACCGGCGACACACTGGGCCTCCGGCATCCTCCACTTCCACTTACGTACATTTCCTTTTTATTTTTTTGAAAAAGGAACCCCCTTTGACTGCTTCTTCTATGAACCGCGAACAATGACTTGAATACACTCTCTTGAGAGTTGAAACACAACGGAATCGAAAAAATATACTTTGCTACGGCTTCAGAGCGAATACTACTCGTACATTAGAGCAGAATGCTAACGATCAGGATCGCGTTTCACTTCAACGGCGAGAAGCACGTCATGTATCATGCCCGCCAGATATGGAGATACGCGCATCGACCATGCTACACAAAAAAGGAAGAGAAACTAGCAGTTCAATTGCAACGAGATAACGATTTCTTCTCCCTCTATGATACATATTAAAAGGGAGGCAAGATTTCCATGTAGTCGAAACTTTACTTTCCGGGCGGAAGGCCCTGCGAGCCGGACGAGTCTGCTAGACCAGTCCTTCATGATCTTCCCAGTGCTCAGTGCTGTGGTGATATTCGAGCAACTCGACCGAAACGCAGTTTATTCTCGGGCCGGGGACGGGTATGCTGCGTCTGGGCATCGCGCTGGTCGCAGTGGACTCCTACAAAGTCGTTTCGCGCCACACTACACTGTACCTCTGTCTGCGCAGAGTGCATGCTCCCAGGATGATATTGAATCCCGACCACGTTTCAGGTGAAGCTTTCCTCGATCCGAATCCCTCAGTGGTATGGCAAAGCCGCTCTGCCTCTATGATGCATCGGCATCAGCCGTATAAGCGCTTTTGCTGGAGGTCAAAGCGGGCACTCGGCGCACTTTAGTACTCACAAAACGATCCGTATATCCGAGAGGAAGTAAGCGTCATGGAACTTGAGGATAGGGTGCATCATGATGGACACTTTTTCGATTATTAATCCACATCCCGCAATTTGCGATCCAAGTACAATCTGAGCGTTTTGTCAAACCGAAAAGAAATCACCATGGCTGCAGACGCCCCCGGCGTGCTCACGAGTTGTTCAGCTCAGCGCCTCTATGGTTCCAGAAGGTGCTTGCTCTGCCAAGGAGCTCACTGAAAACGACCAACTCCGCCAAATATATGCAATTTACTATGGCAACCGCAAAGCAGCAGTCCTTGCCGTTGCCCAGCGTTACCGAGTTTTTGACTTTTTAGAAGCCCGCGAACCGGCCGGAGCAACCCTCGATGATATCGTGCAAGCATACGGCTTTTCAGTTCGCGGAACGAAGGCGCTACTGCTTGCACTCGAGTACCTGAATCTGGTAAAGATTGCAAATGATCGCTACTTCCTAGCACCGTCCAGTCGACAGTTCTTGGTTTCCACTGCACCAGAGTCTGTCGCTGGCTTGATCGACCTGGAGTTCTCGGAGTTTATCACACCGAGCGCCCTTGACCAAGCTTTACGTTCCGGACGACCACAAGTCTACGACGCTGTACCAGACGTATGGCAACAACACCAACAGGATACAGAGCGCTGCGTCCGCTTCACAGCTGCGATGCACGCTATCAGCAGTGGACCCGCTCGTGCTATGGTCCAGAGGCTCGCCCTCGAGCCGCACTGGGGCCTGCACGCGTCACTGGCAACGCGACCGCATCGTCTGCTTGATGTCGGTGGTGGCAGTGGCTGCTATGCCATCGAATGGATGCGGCATGCACCTGTACCTAACAGCGAAGCCGACGTGCTCGAGACGCCAGCCTGCAGCCGCGTGACCCAGCACTACATCGACGAGGCCGCTTCGAGCATCCAACCGAATCGTATTCGCGTCCTGCCCGGTGATATGTTCACAGAAGAAGCGTACGGTGATGCGAATAGGTATACGCACGTCCTGCTCTCGCAGATCCTTCACGACTGGCCAGTGCGTAGCGAGGCGTCGTCCGCACCGCGGCGAGATGGCGAACGCCTGGTAGAACTTGCGTGGCGGGCGCTATCTCCTGGAGGTGTCCTTGTTGTTCACGAGAAACTCGTGCACGATGAAGACTCCGCCATGGTGACTATAGATATGTTGCATTGGACCCAGGGTCAACAGTACACAGAGGCGATGATGCGGGAGCTGTTACGCGATGCGCATTTTATCGAGGTGCGCTTTCGGAAGACGCCTCACACCTACTGGTGGCTAGCCCTGGCGCAGCGACCATTCACCCCGAGTACGTAGTCCTGCTGCAGAGAAGCAGGCGATGACGAATCGGTATCACTGGGAGGTTAACAGCAGTATCCACCGAAATCTTGCGTATATTCAGAGGCGCACACACCCCATACCTAGCATTATGACGCAGAGGTACTGCATACATTCCCGTTGTGTTGCAGCTTGTCGCTTTACACGCACCAATTAAGGCAGCTCAGATACCCGGTGCCCCGGCCTGCCCGAAAACGCCGAAGCGTGTGCACCGTGCGGCATTAGATGCATTGTCGTGCGGTTGTCGCAACAGCGGATACAGCGGACGCGCACACCCCTGTCTTGTATCCGTGGTCAGCGCCGCGTATCGACTCTACGCCAGCTTAGGTGCCTTGATCCGCCTAGGTACATTGCACCAGCCCAGGAGCCTGCTGCTCCGCAGCGGCCTCCGTACCGTTCGTATTGCCTCTGCGGACTGCACACTAGGCCTCTGGTGCGGATGCAGTGACATCGCTGGCGCTGCCTACCTGTAGCGCTCTGGGTGACGTCTCCCGCAGCGCCGTATCGATCGTGTAACCAAAACGCTCTAGGATGGACTTCACTTCCGGCTGTAGAAGTACGCTACGTTCCGCCACTGCCAATTGTTGGAGAACAGCGAGCACTTCGGGATCTGCGCTCTGCATCAGCGCAGATAGCGTCAAGAGCGCTTGGCGTCGAACGTCGGCTTTCTGTGCGCCCAGAGCGAGTCGCGCAAGACGCCGACAAAAGATGCCTCCCTGGTACGCACTGAGCGCGTCTCGGAATCGCGCACTTGCTTCGATCATTTCTCGGTAGGGGCCGAGAATGTATTCCGCATGACACGCGGAAGAGCTCTGGTGTTGCAGCGGCAACCACTGGGAGCCACTGGCTTCGCAGTTCGAGTCTGCGATCTTTGCGGCAGCTGTCACTGGAGCACGCGGCGATCTCGTTTCAGCGTTGCAGAAAGGTAGCTCTGCGAGCACCTGCAAGAACGTTGAAACGGAGCCGGCGTCAGCAGATAGCGGTTCGTGAGGCAGCAGCAGCAGCACATCTTCGATCTGTCGAAGACTGGTTTTGCTGGCGTGCATCCAAGTCACCAGCGATTCCAGGATCGCCTTCTGGTGCGACGTCAACAGGTGCGACACCCGCATGTCATCGTCTCTGGGCGACGCTTCGGGTGCGGTGATGCTCGCTCCGCGCTCCGACAGCGTGTTTGCTGCGCTTGGGGGTCGCGTGGCGGCTGCTGCAGGCGCTAGCGATACCGCCTCGGCCTCCTTGGAAGCACGTAGACGCTGTTGTCGAACGACAGTGCCCAGTAATTCCCCGATCAGGAAGCCGGTGACACCATTCTGCCACAAAACTTGACGAATACGCTCTGAGCTGCAGTCCAAGGCACACAGAATCTCGATAGCGAAACCTCGCAACGGATGTTCGCCGCTTTGACCAGGAGCGTCCTCCGAGCATGCAGTGCCTGGGTGGTTCCGGTTAGAACCGGCACCCGTGCCCGATGGCGTCTGTGATACAGGTCCAGTGCCCGCGATAGCTCCACCGCCAGCGCGGGCCAGCTGCAGCAGATAGCGTACCAGCTTGCCATTGTGTGCACAAACTGCTTCTTCCTGTCGTTCTCTGGTCTCCAGGGGACCTCGCAAACGACACAAATTGAAAAGGGTTATGATGATGCGCCCATCGAGCAGCATGCTGTGCTCCAGCATGCCCACCAAGACGGTGATCGCACCCGAAGTTTGCAGCGCCCGATGGGACTCCTGATGACCACTCAGATCGCGGAGCGAATTCAGGACACTCAGCTGATCGCGCTGATCTCTCAACGCCGGCAGGATATGCACAATGGGTTGAAGGACACTGCGGCGGGCCATGTGTTTCTCAATGACCGAGTCTGCTGGCGGAAAGAGCAGCCATAGCTCCACGAGGCGGCTAACCAGGTGCTCGACGTGCTCCTCGTGCAGCGCGTGCGTCTGACGCGCTTTGGTCGGCGATTCGTGATCCAGCTTCTGCTGCTCAACACTGGGAGCCGGTTTGTGCGCCAGCCATTCAATACACCATTCGAGCGCCTCGGACAGGCGATCCAGAAACCCGTCCCGAGCTAGCAAACGGCAGATATCATGGCGACGACGCTGACTTTCCGTCTGCATCACGAGCGCCACCCCGCGCAGCGCAATGAGCGTCATTTCCCAGTAACGGCTAAAGTCGGGTTCGAGCAGGTGCACAAACACGCGCAGCCCTCGACTTGCAATGAAAGTTTCGATGAAACGAACATCGCTCTCATCAAGCACCGCCGCGGTGTCCAGCCTTTTCTGGTTGTACGCGAAAGCGAACGTTCTCCGATCGGATGCGGTCTCGGAGCCCGCGTCCTGGGCACTGGGCGCACACGCAACCTTGCCCTCGTGAACGCCTACATCTTCAACATCAATGTGCAGCATTTTGGCAAGCAAGTGCGCACTCTGCATTCGAACACGATCATTATAAGTTCGAGCGGAGAATTCTACCAGAATTGGGACTATTCCTGCAATACAGAGGTGCTCGCGGAATGCGCGCCCTTCGGCCGTCGAGTCTGGCACACCCGGCATCGTGGCCGCTGCCTCGTTCAGAAACGCTAGAATCCGCTCAACGAGCACCTGCTCTTCAATGCCAGATGCATCTAATACTTCCATCAGTGGAATGAGCAGGTGGTGTGTCACCAAGTAGAATCGCTGGGGTTGAACTTCTCGGAAAAGCTCCAGGATAGAGTTGGCTGCCTCTACAGCGCGCTGCTTGGAGTCGCCGAGCGTGAGGTCAGCCCGCACCAATGCGGAAATCTTGCGACTGATTTCCTCCCATACCAGACGTTCGTAGCGATCTCGAGGCAACGAATCGGAGTGTCGTAGCTTGCGTTCGCTTCTTCGTCGCTGCCGGGGAATAGCATTTGCATCGGTATCGGCATCGGCAGGCTCGGTGGGTTGCAGTCGAGCCGCTTGCGAAACGTCGCCAACTTGGACGAGTGTTGAGGCTGTTGGTGGATTCAAGGAATCTCCTTCGCTCTCAGCAGATGAGATTGAAGGTGACGAGAACAAAGACAAGGATTGGCTCTGGTATCCAACATGTGGAAACGAATGTCTCAGAGACAAGGAGCGCTCCCGCGATTGCCGCAACCTGGATCTTGAGACCGGAGATGACGTTCGATTCCGGGAGCGATCCCCAGCGACTTCAGAGTCCGGTGTAAGGTCCGGCGTATCCGTTTCCGAGTCGGTCTCATCCGAACTCGGCATGTCTACGGATACAGAGAATCTCGTTGTGTGGAGCGACTGCCGCCATCGCTGCAGCTCCTCCAGAAGCAGGTCCTCGTTCTCGATACCTAAATCATCGTAGGTCTCTTCCTTTTCAGCAAACATCTCAAGGGTCTCCACAGAGATGCGAACTGGGGGCGTGCTTCCTGCTATGGATCCACGTTGCTTGTCGTGATGCGCACTCGTCTGGGGATGATCGGTGCCCACGGAGGATTGCTTCATCGATGCCGGGGCCGCATGCGGCGCCATAGAGGCCAGCAGCGCTGCTCTGCGCTGGCTGGGGACTCCATTCGGATCCGCGGTGCCTCCAGAGACTCCGTCTTGGTGTTCCTCAGCTGGGCGCGATAACCGCTCCGTCGTCGGCGCTTTGTTTCCGAACGCAGCCAAATCCTCGGCAGAGCGCAGCGTCATGCTGTCGAAATCCTCCGCAATGTCTGGTTCCTCTTCGTCGAGATCCTCGGCAGCCGGTGCATCATCGAGTTCCTCGTCCATGAGCGAATCCTCCGATGGAACTTGCACATTCACTGATTTCGGAGGCGGCACCGGTAGGTGTGGAACTGGCTCGTTCTCGTGGTGCGATGCAATCGCGCTGTGCTTCGAGGAACCTCTTCTATGTTTCTGCTGCCGCCTTGGTTGGTTGCCAGGATACGTATCGACCGAATCTGACTCGTCCGAATCGCTCGACGCTTCCATGAGTCGGGATTCAGCTCTCTTGAGCTCGCTGGTTCGCTTTACCAGCCACGGATGCCGAAGCAGCATCTCCGCTGAAGGTCTCCGTTCTGCATCCTTCTGGAAGCATTGGAGCAGAAAATCCGCCATACCCTCGCTGACGTTCGGGGGCAATGGAGGATGCTCATCACTTACGATACGAAACAGTGCAGACATGGGTGCCAGTTCATAATAAGGCGGATACCCCGTAAACAATTCGATCACCGTACAGCCGATGCTCCAGATATCGCTAGCAGTCCCGTAGCCGCTCATTTCGATGATTTCCGGCGCCATCCAGTACGGTGATCCCGCGATCGAGGGCGCCGCTGCAGGTCCCCCGGCAGACGCACTGCCACTGCTCCAAAGAGTCTCCGTGTCACTGCGCATGAGCTTGGTTGCGACGCCAAAGTCGGCGAGCTTCACGAACGCGCGCTTGTTGAGCAGGATATTCGCGCCTTTAATATCGCGGTGAATGACACCCTGCTCGTGCAGGTACGTAAGACCTTTCAGCGCCTGGGATACGTACCACGCAATCAAGGTCTCTGGAAGCGGACCGAAACGGCGAACAATACCAGCCAGAGACCCAGACTCCATGAACTCCGTAACAATCGAAATATGCCTCTCATCGTGAAGCACTGTAGAGTACTTGACGATATTGAAATGATTGAGCTTGGAGAGGAGCTCAATCTCGTTTCGCACCGCCTCGCGGTCTGCAGGCCCCATATGCTCGATTGGGATTTGTTTCACCGCCACAAAGTAACCCGTGCTGATCTCAATAGCCTTATAGACGACACCATACGCGCCACGACCGAGCTGCTCGCCCAGATAGTACAGAACCTCGCCCGTACTGGAGCAGAGGGTTTTCACTTCGGTGTTTGCGCGAGTTCGAAGAAGACTCCGCGGCACGGATGAAGGCCGACGAGCAGTCGATAACGTCTGAGCGATGTTGCTTGTTTGTTTCGCTCTTGAGGGGCTTTTCGCGCGACCAGCGTTTCGTTCGCCTGACCCAGGGCTACCACTTGTCTCCTTCTCTTGGTTGCCTGCCCTGTATTTGCGGTCGCTCAGCTTTTTCGAGAAAGAGTTACCATACTCCATAGAGGCCTTTTACAAGTAAGAAATCTATCCAAGCACTCGGAACGAGCACTCTAACAGAATCACCAGAGGCCTCTCTCTTTCTCTCGGGGTTCGCGTGCGCAAGAGCAGGGATCCGGGTGTACGTTCTGCAGTTCCCGGGGACTCGTGCACGCGCACACGCCATACGCGCCAGTTCACCGACTGCGCGATGGATCGGCGGCACGCCGCGGCGCTCAAGGCATCGCACAGGCGCGACGCTGTCAGCGTGTGCGCGCCCCGACCGATGGCCTACGCGCGGACACGCGCAGCGCCTCCTGCCTTGGACATGTCGCCCCTGTGCAGGATCGTGTGCTCCTCGGGCACATACACGCGCCCTCATTCGATCTGTATCGTAGAACGCTCTTGATCCAGTCCGCGTATGCCTAGAATCGTGAACGCTGTACCATATGAAATACCTTCTCCTCTAATGGGTCATGATGCAGTGCACGCATTACAGTGAAGAATCTGTCGAGTGAGCTGGAGTACCCTGGTTGCGCGAACGCGACTACGAGTCAGCGGCAGGGACACGAGACCCAGTGCACCACAACGAGCATGCGCACGCGTACAGCGTCCAGGCGCAGGTATGCCATGAACGTGCTGCGACTGGTGCTGCGACCCCCATGCTGTCGCGCCTCCAGCGTATATACGCTTCTACGGAATACACCTGTCGAGAGCCTGCTCTTTGAATGCGCAACTTTTATGAATCATGCATACGATACGCTCTGTTTGTAGAATCATTATCTGGGAATCTGCCTTTACCAATGACCTCGTCTTGTGCCGCCGCTGTTTCCATCGAGGGAATCGCGATCGCGTGCATATCGCGACGGCGTCGATTCCGTGTTGACTTGTCAAGAGCAGCGAGGTTGGTGAGCCGGCTTTTTTTACCGAGAACAATTGCTCATTGGGGAATGGAAATCGGCGTCTTCTACGATGAGGGTGCACCACGAGAACTGTGGTTTGCTGTCGTGCAGCCATCGGCATCGATGCGGGGGCTTTGCTGGCGGCCCCGACACACCTCCAATAACCTGACTGTTCATGGGTGTTGAGGCAGCCGCCGCAGCCATTCGTGCATGCAGACGAGCATAGGTTCATCGAGAAAACTGACGCTGGGCTGCGTCACAAACAGCATGGATCCTCCGTCATGTATGCATTCGGGACGCACCCGCTGCGGGTTTAATTAGCAATAGCTCGAGTTTTGACTTTACGAGAAAGCGTCCACATCTTGGTGTCAGGACAACGAGCGTGCATCTGCGCAAGCCGATATCCCCAGACTCGTGCACGAGCGCACCGATCGATGCACGGGTAGGAATCGGTGTCGAACCCCATGTGTCTGTGTAGATGTATGCGTGTGTTTCTCTCTCTCGCATCGAAGGCGTGCCGGGTATCCCGGATGCTGCTCAAAGCCCAAGCTCGAGTGAATGAGTCCTACCTCGTGCCCCTCATGGGATAATGCGTTGCCTTCGAGTGTTCTATGAACTCGCCGAGGACTCGTCCTGATGTTATCGCGAGGTTCTCGGACTGGTCCGTTTTCAAAGGGTCTGTCTGGCAAGCGTACGGTACCGATTTGTGGCCTCCACCAAATGTTTCTGCGTTCCCGGTTCCATTGCAGAATGTCCTGCGTCCTCAACAACAACAAATGCTGCGTTCGGGAGCTGCTTCTTCAAGAGCCACGCGGTCTCGAATGGGCAAACAATATCGTAGCGGCCCTGGATGATAGTGCAGGGAATATTTTGCAGACGAGCGCACTGGCTTGGCTCCAGAAGCCAACCATCACGTTCAAAGAAACCACCATGCATAAAATAATGGCATTCGATCCGCGCGAAGGCCTCAGCGAATTCCGGCGTCTCGAATTTGCGCGCAACGTCGGCAGCTGCGCGGAGGTGCGAGGTTCGGCCCTCCCAGATGCTCCAAGCACGCGCGGCTCGCAGTCGCTCTTCCATATTTGCGGAGGTTAGTCTCCTGTAGTACGCCTCAGTCAAAGCAAGTCGGGCCTTTTGATCCACGCCAAGCGTTTGCTCTCCTGGCGGCGCCTGAAATGCTCGCTCCTCTGGTGGAATGACCTCGACAAACTCCTGCCAGGCCTCTGGGAAAATGCGATCGGCGCCCTCGCCCTCATAGAACCAGGCGAGCTCCCGGTGTCGCAGGGTGAACACACCGCGCAGTACCAGCGCAAGGACCATCTCAGGATGGGTCACAGCAAAGGTTAGTGCAAGGGTCGAGCCCCAAGATCCCCCGAAAACCAACATTTTCTCCCTAATGTCGAGATGCAGGCGTAGCCTCAGGATATCCTCGACCAAGTGCCACGTCGTATTCTCCCGCAACTCTGCGTGAGGCGATGATTTACCACTGCCCCTCTGATCGAACAGAATGATCCTATAGTGTTGTGGATCGAAGAACTGACGGTTCACGGGTTCGATCCCGCCGCCAGGACCGCCGTGGAGGAATAATGCCGGCGTGCCCGTTGGATTTCCAGCCTGTTCGTAATAAATCGTGTGCAGCGACGAAACCTGCAGAAACCCAGAGTCAAATGGCTCAATTGGCGGATAAAGGAAGGTTTTCATCGACAGGTGCCTTGTCCGTTTAGCTGCGTTCGCGTTGCCCCTCAAGACGCAGAAACGATTGCGTCGCGACAACCAAAGTCGTCCCTGTACAGATAGCAGGGTGCGTACGCGTGACACCTGCCGCCCACCTCGAGTCGAAGCGAAACGAATCGCTAAGTTTGCAACCCGAAATTCACTCTGTATCGAGCGCTGTCCGGTAAACCAGCCGACTCCTGCGTTCCGGCAGTGAGCAACGAAACATGCGTGCTGCATAGAGCGCCGATCCGTGCACACAGGCGTTCTGGGCATCAGCGCGCGCTGATCTTCATCCATGCGGCGCTGTCGCCCGCCAAGTGATGGTGATACCGCATCGCTGCACGTAAGCAGGATTCCGTCGAATGCTTGATTGCTATCGATCACTAGGGAGCAGCGTAGCGTTTCGCGCTAGCCAATGCCAGGTTCCAAGAAACTCGCGCAAGACTCGTCGTTGGGATGGTGGATAGATCGATGTATCCGGGGAAACGCCGGGTTGCTACGCGGTATGTGGACGCTGAATGCGCCGCCGCTTCGGACGCCATTCAGGGACAAAACAGCGTAAAGTCGCTTTTCGACAGGCTTCAGCTTGAGGCAGTCAGAATCTTTTCGCTTCGTCGAGCGCGTGCTCGAGTCGACGCCCACACAAGGGTATGACAAAGCCGTTCTGGCTGCGTACGGTATCCGCGACGGCGTTAGAGGCACCGCAGAAGGTGCGCGCCGGAGGCTTGGCACGCAGCGCCTCCCCGGAGCTTACCGTGATGCCTGCGAACGCGTGTGCGCGCGATCGCGTTGCTGCCGATGCCGCATGTGATGATTCCCTTTATGCGAATACGCCGCAGCTACGGGATACACGGGACAGCGCAGCCAGGAATGAGCACGGGTTGAGAGCCAGATATTTACCGCTGGTCATCGAAGCGCTCAAGCTCTCCGATGCGCGGCACCATGGTGACCGCGTATCATGGAATGCGCGACCCGACCAGAGAAAAGAGAGCATCAGCGTCGTCCGATTTGGGTCCAACGCGATCCCCGATAATCCTGCCAGTCGGTGAGATACTCCCAAACATGCGCATTGATCCGGGGGCACTGGTCATGAAAAAAAAAAGCGAATTTCGAGACAAAATCATCCCTGACGATCACGCTTCACCATGAACGCACTTCTCTGCGCAGTTGCCAGACGTTCGCACGAACGCAGCGCACCAGTTCGAGCGCTTCATAACAGGGGCTTGAACTCGTGGCGCCCGCCAGCGAGGCAAACTCCTCACATCAGAGCTCATTCTCGATGCTTTGCTGTACTCTACAAAGTCTGTTTTGGAACTTTGGACGCGGGTTACCCATCGGCAGCAGATGCGCTTTTGGGAGATTCCGGGGAAACGCACCAATCATAGGTCGGAAAAACGTGCCGCGCTTCGAACTGCGACGCAATGCAGTGCGCCCCGTCACGCGGGCATCTCGTGGAACCTGGCAGCTTCGGGAAGGAGTGGTTGTTGCGTTCTGAGACGCCCACAGGCCTTGGGGCTATCAGGGTCGACTGGTGCGTTCTTTGAAATTGGACCATATAAAATAACTCTGGCAAACCCGTACAGAGAGCGCTGAGGCACTCGCGACGTTTGTTTTTCGAGGTCGCTGGGGAGGTGCGGCTGTGGCTTGCGCTTGCGCATCAACGTCTAAGAACAGTCTGTTTGCGGCACTTCGAAAGAAAACTTTGCAGCCGATCGGCACAGAGCGTTTCACAAATCGATCCCAATCTCGGAAGCACTGAACTGGATGCGCTGTCGCATTACGCGGGCCCGACTAGTTGCGGCGTGGACCTGGAACGCGAACGACGACTTGTGTGGCATATGCCGTCTTCCTTTCGACGGGACCTGTAACGCATGCAAGACGCCAGGAGACGACTGTCCTTTGGCACTGGGTGAATGCAGGCACGCTTTCCACCTGCATTGTATTCTCAAGTGGCTTTCCTCGGAGACGTCGCGGAACCATTGCCCTCTATGTCGACAGGAGTGGCAGTTTCAGCAACGGTAACAGCAAGCGAGCAAGAGCAGAGTACAGCAAGAGACGCTCGCGTACGGCGGCGGGGCACAGAGCGGCACGTGACCAGAAGGGTAAAGCGACGCACCATCGACCGCTATGTCGCAAGAAAACACATTTTGTGGAGTCGCTTTGATGAAGGCATTCAGATGACCTGGAATTCTTTCTACGAAGTGACGCCAGAGCCGATCGCCTTGCATATTGCTACGCGATTTCAGACCAGAATAGCGGACTCTCTACTCGTAGCCGACCTCTTTGCAGGCGTCGGGAGTAATGCGATCGCGATGGCAAGACTCTTGACCAAAGACGCACCTCAGCGTTTGCCATACGTTGTTGCCGTGGACCATAACGCGGTCAAGTGCGAGATGCTACAACAGAATGCGCGTATCTATGGCGTTGCACAGCGGATCGACGTCGTTATTGGCGATGCATTCGCGTTCGTCCGGCGCTGGCGGAGAATGTTCGACGGGGGTTTTGCGAGCCCGCCCTGGGGTGGACCCGCCTATCGACGCCGTCCAGTTTATAATTTGGATGCCATGCGGCCATACTGTGCTTCAGAAATTTTTCGCTTGGGGTGGCAAGTTTCGCCGAATTTCGCAGTCTTGCTGCCGCGCAATAGCGACGTATCGCAACTGGCCGAGATTGCACGGAGGCGCCCCCTCGAGGTTGAAGAGAACTGGTTGGAAGGTCGACTGATCACGCTTACTGTTTACTCGGGTGCACTTGTTCAGCCCTGAGTTGGGTATGTATTCGATGGAAGCGAAAGTTTTCAGCATGATTGCTCATCTGGGAAAGCGGACATGACACCCATTCGATGGAGGCGAAAGTTTCAGCGTGATGGCCCTTGCCGGAACGGTGTGTATCTGCCAGGGTCTGAACCGCCTTCCAGAACCCGGGTTACAGCGGTTACCCTGCACACGTGACGCGCGGTTCACGCTTGACCTTAGTGCTACGCAGCAGAAATGCGCTGCCGGCTGTGGGCATACTTGAAGGCTCCGTTCTCGGGTATGCGTGTAACCTGCCTGTCCATTGGTAATCAGTGAGTCTGGAGCCAGATCTTCTACATAAATTGAACAGACCACCTCTGTGATAATTGCGTTTTTTACGGTGATTAGTTTTGGAAGAATTTGCCACTGGCTGCCGCCTCATCATCTGTGTAGGTCGTATACTGCGTAACGCCGAATACTGGAGCATTACTATCGTTTCTCAATTTGTCTGGAGAATCGTTCCTGGTATATACATAAAACGCTGCAGGCTTTCTGGATTCCTGAACCAAACTATACCAAAGCTTTGCTCCAGGCGAGAATCCAATGTCCTCTCTCTTGACCACTGGTTTTCTTTTATTGAAAAGGCTAAGTATTTCAGCGCAACGCTCACTCCAGGGACCAAATAATTCCTTCGAGCGTTCGCTGGGTGGGAAACCGCGGAACGCGCCGGAACCACGAGACACTGCAACCGTTGCTCGAGTCGTTCAAGTTTCGATGGAGCAACTGCTTGCGACGAGGTGCTCCATCACGAGAGAGGCTGAGCGAGCCATCGTGGAGTCAAAAGCTATGCTATGCCTGAGACGGCGTCCTGCGAATTACTGTTTAGAAGATCCTCTCGGTCGATATGTTTCAGCAGGGAGGCTACGACAACGGTTTCAGACTAGTTTTTTTGGCTCCGACAATTGTGCCGCCTGGCCCTCATTTGGGAGGGTCTTTCTCTTCTTTTGTGTAGTGGTTTCTTCTTCTCCCTCTTCATGTCGCCTCATCACCATACATATCTACGATACAGTAACTGTACATCCTTTCAGTTCTTCGACAGAATTTCTTAGAAAAAATATGGAGTTCAATGGACTGATAATGACAGAGTCAGGTAGATAGCGTTTCATAAGTTCTATTTCGGATACATGGCGCTCAGAACAAGGACAAGCCGAAGGGCGGTTCATCCGCTCGCTAAAACAGATTGACTGGCTTGTGCAAGCACGGTCGTTTTTCCATGCTAGCAGTCACTGCATAACGCCTTCCTCGACATTTCTTCAATCTACAGGGCACATGCCTTCAGTTGAATACCTCCGGGAAAAGCAAACAATACCAAAAATGGTGCGCTGGCACTCGTGCTCCATAAATTACCGCTCAAGATGTAACCTGCCGATGCGGAGTTGTTGCGCAACATGATCATAGAGCACTCGAGCCTGTTCAGCGCCGATTCGCGGAATATTCCGCTGAAGCGCTGCAATGAACGCCTCCTGGTCCTTGTTCAACCATGCCTCGTCGTACCGAATCGCTGCTCCGAAGAACATGTGCTCGCATTCGCGCATCTGCTTGCTCGCCTCAACTAGACCGAGCCCCAGGTCCTTTGCCAGTCGTTGACGAAGATGCGGCCAAAAATTCTCGTAGAGCGCTTGAGAAACCTGACGCCCAAACTCTCCCTCGGCACGTAGACGGTAGATGGTCACCCACAAGTGCAAAGAGGTCAGCTGCACCCACGCTGCCAGTGGCACGTCGACCGGTTTGTCCCCGCTGATCTCGCCATACAAACGCCGCTGCCACGCTTCGACCTCTCGCAAAGTGTCGCGATACAGAGTTTTACCGAGGCGCAACGCCTGTGACTCTTCGGAGTAATAGCCGAGCACGCGCAGTAGGAAGTTTGGTTCGTGTCTCTGCGCTGCGAGGCCTATTCGTTGGAACCAGGACGTCCACCAGGATTGCGTTCGCCCTGGTTTTGTCGACAATGTCAAATCTTCGCCTTGATCAGATGTTGTGGCTGCATTGCTCTTGTTTACAGAGCCAGACGTCCAGCGTTGCTGCACTCGAAGCGCGTCAGCAGCGCCGCAGCGTGACTTGAACCCACGGACGCACCGTTCAGCGGTACGCGTCCCGGAAAACTTCGAGGTCTGCAGCTGAACTAATAGCGGCGCGCTTTCATAAATACGTCGCAACGTCCGAGCGCAACCTGCGGAGACGCTCCACGAGGAAAGTCCTACCCTGCTGGACATGCACTAGCTACATGCCGAACGAACTAGATGATTTGGTGCAGAAACATAGATGCGGGGTTGACCGTCGAACAGAACAAAACGGACAGCTATTCACGTTAAGCACTGCGGGCTGCGCGCGTGCCTCCCCAGCGCAGACGCTGTGCCGGCTGAGAGAAGTCCTCCAAACAATTCCGCTTATTGACACATTGTCCCTGTTTGAAGAGACTCCAGAACAACCAGCTGCGTAGGGAAGCTCAAGTGCTTGCCAGTATTGCATACCCTCATATCACAATCAGATTGTAATGGAGTATTGAACTGCTCGCTCTGTTCCTACATTACTCATTTTCCCTGAAATTGGTTGACATATACGGAATCGACGTTCAAAGTGCAGTAATAAGGGCGTATGGATTCATACGTGGTTTTAAAGGCTCCTGGTATTCTGCTTGGATTTGCTCCTTCGACTCTATGCCAGCACCAAAATTCGTTGGATAACCGGCATCAAGATAATTCGCGACGCATTCGAATACAGGTTCTTCACATGACAGATATGATTCTCCAGTTCGTAAGTGCAAGCCGCAGATCTTCCCGTTTCCTTTCGTGGAGCAAGCTCAAATCACACATGCTTTAACGATCCGATCGCTGGGTTTCAGGGTAACTCTTGGGAGCGGGAATCCGCGGCGATGGATTGCTGGCGAAAAAACTCTTCGTCGTTCCGTGATGCGTTCTTCAAAAGCCCATAATGCAAGTTCGCTCAGCTTGCCACATCGAGTCATTGATATCGTTCGAATGACAAATTCTCCTGTCTTTGTGGCCATCTGGAAAACTGGATCCCACGGCAATATGACACATGTCGTGCTACATGCTCGCAGGATCTCCCGTCTCTTGTGTTTGCATGAAAAACGGTCTAAGGCTTGGACATTCATCACCGCAACGTTCGCCTCCAGGGGAGAAAGCTTCAACGCTCTATACAAAGTGAACGTGCACGGGCCGAAAGTTCTCGACTTGTTCTACTTCCAGTACGCTCCGTCCGAGAGATGCCTCAGTATGAGCGTCACCTCGTTCCACAAATCCTCTATCGAATGGTTAACGCTGCGCATGCGTGTGCAGCGGTCAACGTACTCACCGGGGAGCTCGCCCGGAACAAGCCCGTGATCCAAGGGTACTGCACCGGGCGCAGAAGCGGGTGAGAGCATCGAAAGGATCGCTCTGTAAGCGTCAAGCGCATGTACCAAGCGATGAAGCAAGCATAAGTGGCGCCACAGGGCGGCGATAGGCATTGGAGCTCGAGGTATGGTGTCCATTTGAGCGCACATCACCAGAGCCAAGCGTTACTGTTGCGAAGGGCGCACTGAGGCTGTCTAAAAAAGATGAAAAGTGCAAGCGGAGCGTCGATCGCAACTTCCGCCTGTGCATGAAATGCGTCGCCAACAGCCGGAAGCAGAAAAATCGGGACTTGAACACCGATATCGACACCCTTCGACCGCTAGCAGCGGAACTAGAGAGAGATCCGATTATTTACATTCTGAGATTAACGAGGGGAAAAAGAAGCACTCGCAGAAAAAGCCTGCAAAGGCTACTTTTCATCACATCGGGAAGCAGCCCAGCTTGTAGCGCGTATGCCCGAATGAACCAGGTCTACCCGTACCATCAAAGTCTGACATGGACGAGATCATAGAACACAAAGCCGCTCTTCAGCAAAACACCATGTAACAATTGTAGAGCACTCCATTGCTCCAGCTTTACAGAGAAAAGCGTCCTCAATATACTCGATAGCGAAAGCACACAGGGCGTAGGGGCGCTTTTCTGGGGTGCGCGGCGCGTGCCGAGCCGCCCGGCATCCTGGACGCGGTCGCTGCTCTCGATAGGACACCGTGCGCGCTCGGCGCTGTTTCGTTCAGGAATGAGCGTCTGCAACTTGCCCTGAACGCAAACACGCCTTAGTGCTATCTTTCCCTGTGATTCAATCGTGTCCGACACGCCCATGCGTCGAGCGCTCGAAGTGTTCTCCAAGTATCCTGCAGTGAAGTCGGTTTCCCACCGCCCCAGTGCGTCCCGAATCTTTTACGCGACCTCAGATTTGAAGTGCATACCACTAGACTTGTGGTTATCACCCAGGCACTTGTTCTCCTGATCCGCTTCTGTGCACGGTTCCGCTGGGAGGGATTATCGCTTCATGCGCCGAGGCGTCTGCTTCGCCGCAAGCCGCTCCTGAACATGCCGCCAATCGGTGGCTACTCCTCCAGCGTCCACCAGCCTCGTGCACAAGGACCGGCCCCCGAGCATGACCCCCATCTCTGCTTATGACACCTCTGACCGCTTCTTAAACAACTTCGCCACGAAGGGCACTGCTGCAACCGTAAGCGGGAAACGCAGCGGTGAAGTGGCCTTGTGTGCAATATATGCAAGGGCCACCGTGCCCACCTGCGGTGAAAGTTGATCCAGTACCGCCGGCCGACCGAGAGGTGTTTTCGCCAACAGGTCTCCAATGCTTTCCACAAATTGCCTTACATCAACGCCAGTGCTGACCAAGACGTAGAAAAAGGTGAATGATACTGCCGCGAACGAAATTGAAGTCCCCAAATACACCGGTCCGTAGAGTGTGAGGAGCTCCTTCGCAATTTCCTTGCTCGTTCGTTTTTCACGAACTTTCTTCTGCTGTTTCACTTTTTCCTTTTCGTCAACGTTCATCCGGTAACTTTGGAACGTTGCAGGTCGCACCGCGAACCGTGCACGCTGCCTCCAGGTTACAGGTGCCGAGCGGTACCCGTTCACGCTCCGCCTTGTGCCTTCAAGCGCTTGGGCAGTCGCCTGGCTACGTGAGACGGGCACTGGTGCCACCAAAAATCCACATAACATACGCTCTCCCTGCATTATGTTTTGATACGAAGCACAGACTGTCATGAACGCACACGCACACAATACCCGCAACTTCGTTGAACGCTCTTCGTTCACGATGGAATCACGACTCATCGCAGAGCATCATTCGTCGTGATGATGCGCTGGGGAGCGCGCGCCGCTGCACTGGCGCCGTGCCGGGACCCATGGCGTCGACGGCGACGATGCGCAGCGTCGATACGCGCGACGTCACCTGCTCCCAACTGGCCAGAGCGCATTCGGTTAGGCGTACGACCTGGACGCGTCGAGAAGAGGCGCAGGCCTTTAGTGTATACCGTTTTGGAGTCTTGCTCTTGAGCTGCGATTGGAGCGTCGGTTAGTGGATTCGAGGACGAGACCCTTGGACGTGGTTCTTTGAGCAGGGCATTGACGATAAGTGGGCGTCGGCGGCGCGTGTTCTGCATAGAGGCCTCAACATGAAACGAGTGCTCGTTATGTCGACTCGCGGCATCGGGAACAGAGGCAGACACTTGATGCTTGATCTCCGTACAATAATGCCTCACTCAAAGAAAGAACAGAAACTGGACACGAAAGATCGGCTGGATACAGCGAACGAGGTCGCTGAACTACACTCGTGCGAGGGCTGCCTCCTCTTCGAGGCACGGAAGCGAAAAGACCTCTATCTTTGGGCGGCGAGGACCCCACGGGGCCCCACAGTACGCTTCGAAGTGCAGAATGTGCATACCATGGGCGAGTTGAGCCTCGTAGGGAATGCGTTGCGGGGGTCGCGTCCGATCCTCGTTTTTGATCAAAGCTTTAACGAGAACGCTGCAATCCATGTGCAGCTCATCAAAGCGTTGTTATCGCAGATATTCAGCGTTCCGTGCGGTCACAAGAAATCACAACCATTCGTCGATCGAGTTTTAGCGTTTATGCATACGCCAGACGGGCGCCTTTGGGTGCGTCATTATCAGATCCAGCTGGAGGCGCTACGTCAGCAGAGCAAACGAATGCCCGCAGTACGCGCGCTTTCACAGCTTGTCTCGGGGGAACAGGCATTCGATACAAACACCACACATTTATCTGCAGAGGATATGCAGGCGTTGGCGGAAACCTTGGTCGAAATCGGGCCGCGGTTCGTGCTGCTGCCGATCCGAATATTCGCGGGTAGTTTCGGCGGAAGAACACTGTGGGAGAATCCGGACTACATTTCTCCTAATATGCTGCGGCGAGCGGCAAGGATACGTGGTACCGTTGCTGTGCGAGCCAAGCGCCATACCAAACGGGCACGTCGGGAAGCCCAACTCGAGAAGGCGCTCGCAAACCTGCCTGTTGACGAACTCGCAGATGTTTTCGAGAGCGGTGAAATCGAGCCCTCTTGATGGATATGAGTATAATGGCCAACTCGAGTGGCGAGCTGTGCATCCATGTGGCGGTGAACGAGTCCCGAAACGGTCGCTTGCTGAATACAGTCTACCTGTGGTCGACTTGTGCGCTGTTTCGGGCGCTTCGCAGAGTAGTCTCTGCTTATGCGTGCTCTGTCGGTCCGCCAATGCGGCTCGCGTCGAAGAGGGTATACAGCTGCTGAAAATGTTCACCACGGTCGGTGTTCAGAAGTCTCTGCTTGTGCGTGCTCTGTCGGTCCGCCAATGCGGCTCGCGTCGAAGAGGGTGTACAGCTATTGGAAATGCTCGCCTCGGTCGGTGTTCAAAGCATCTGCGAGGAGGCCCTGCTGCCGTCCCAAGCGCAACAAATGCCCCAGTTCCGATCGTAGGAGCCATCCCGTCGCAGGTGCGCTGGTTTCACGCTCATTGACTGTTTTGACGGCGACGCGCTGGCGTGCAGCACTTGGTGACCCATGGGACGCTTCCAGACATCCGCGGTTCCGTTCAGCGCTTGCCTTTACGCCGTCCTGGTTCAACGGGAACGTCAGTCATCTCGAAACGGCAGCGTGTACCTACTCTGGTTTTAGGCTTCACGAGCGTGGATGAGCGGCTCACTAGTCGCTGCCTTGTCCCTAATGCGTCAGCATTCCACTTCCACGTGTCGAGCGTAGCACGTTAGGGTCTCCCTATCGCTAACTCGAAGCTGGTCCCCGGAAGCAGCTCTCTCCAACAGAGCCGCATCCCAGCTGAGGAATCAGCGCAACAGTTACAGCGACCAGGCGTTCACAACTCACTGTGCTCTGGGGGACTGCAGAACACGCAAGTCCATGGAATACTCTGGTTAATGGCGTGCAATCAAGATCATCAACTAGCTGTGGCCGATAATCGTTTGTTCTGAACCTGGCGGCGACGCTGGTCAAAGTCCGTGAACCCCACCATTTCTGAGAGCGCTGCGGTTGGCGCTTCAGCCAGGTGCCCTCGATTACCCTCCAGTTCCAATCGTTGTAAAGCACCGAGTTCGATAAAGAGATCGACGGGCAGCGATTCTAAACGATTATGGTCCAAACACAGCTGCCGCAAGTTTTGCAAACCCCGCAACGACTCGATATTTAAGGTTTGCAATTCATTTCGGGATAGGATCAACACTTCAAGCGCTGGAAAGGATTTGCTCAGCCATTTCGGGAGAGAGCTGATGTGATTTCCCGCGAGGTTGAGATACCGCAAGCAGGGAAAAACGATGTTCCTGCATGCATCAGGGACGCACGGCAGACGATTATCGCTTAACGATAGCCACTGCAGTGGCGACGTCGGCTTGACACCGGACACCGGGTCTGGCTCGTGCTGCGCTTGTACACTCAAGTTGGCGCGGTGTTCGGTTGTGTGCAGGTCACCAATAGCATTTCGCGCCAGGTTAAGCGACCAAAGACGCGGCAGGGCGTATAGCAGTGCAGCTGGTACCGTGACTAGCTCGTTTTCGGACAGATCCAGTCGCTCCAGGCTCCGCAAGTGTTCCAGAAGCGAAGATGGAAACGTTTTCACCCCGCCATAGCGAGCGTAGAGCACTCGAACCCGCTCGCCGTGCTTCAACAGCTGAGGCACAGCGCGGTCCCAGTGGATGCTTTGAACCGATGCCACACCAGTTTGCAACCAGCGCTGTGCGCTTTCATCTTCGTTTCTGGAGTGCAGCGGATGTGAAGCTTCCCTACTGCGTGCTCCAAAGCAGTCTGCGAGTACGTTCCCCATGAGCGGTAGCTGCAGCAGCACTTGAAGCCATGAGCCCTTTTCGACCTTTCGTTGGTCTGTTCGGTAGTGGCAGCCGCCAAACTACGCTCTGATGTCGGGCGTCGCCACCAGCGGTGTAGAATAGTGGCGAGAAAGTCGACCCAGAAAAATCGTTTCTAGCTGTCGTGCAGACGCCTCCCCGTCCTTCTCGACCGGCCACGTACTACTGGTTCCATTTTTTTTCATATAGTTCCGCTTTGAGAGGTTGTCCAAGAAAAAGCTCTCGTGTCCACTCTGAAGGTCTTCTTTCCATCACCGCACATGTCCTTATATTGATAGCGGCATTAAAATCTCGGTTCACAAACTCCATACGTTTCTTGCCATTGACTGTACTTAATAATGCGAGTAGTCCTCGAACATTCGCCCACCTTTCCATATGCTCCTCCGTCAGCGGTCCGTACTTTGCTATTTCGTCAGGGCTCCTCTGGCACTTTTCCATCTCGATCCTTTGAAGTGTACAACACAGTACATGGTGTGTATACGATGTTCGGAACTCATCTACAGGTACTATGACAAAACGTCGTGCGTACTCCTTATACGTTCTCGTCGTTGGAGCTGGTGTACACCCTTTTTGGGTCTTCGAGCGCGCTGCTCCGTACGCCACTACGAGCCTCTGACATTGATCCTCTTTGAGGGCACTCAACCCATTGAAAAAATTCGCGAACGCCCGTTGCCTCCCACAATATAGATTCATACACAGACGAGCCCACCGAGGCTTTGTATATTCATTCCGCAGCGCATCCCAATGAGCAACACGAACATTCATGAATTTCAGAAAAGCTGTAAAGTCCGCTCCGCGGCTCGTCACCTCGCTCAAAGCTTCTACGTGATCCTTCATTCCTGCATTCCATGTCTCAATTTTCTTCGTTGCATTCATGATTCCCGATTCTCGATAGAATCTTGCTCTCGAGAACCTCAAAAGTCGCATGTCTTTCTGAAGCAAGTTACCGTCCTTACCATCTTCGGCACGCTTGGGTACAGCGATGGTTATGATATTTGTGTTTCCGGGGTCCGCGCCAACGACAAAGTCTATCTCATGCACTTTCAGTGCCGCAGGATCCGCGTCTCTGTTTTCCTCATGCTTCGTCATGGGCGAAGCCGAAGGCACGATAGGAAGAAACGCCTCCAAGCGCTTGCAGTCTACACACAGGGCTACTCCATCGGTTTCGATCATCCCCGTGAATACCTTTTGCCTGCTAACTTTTGAGACGTCTGAAATCGAAGAGACTCTTCCAGTACGTGTCAGGGGCTTCGCCGGTGAACTCTGTCCGCCTTCCATCGAACTCCGGACAGATCCCCTTCATGATGCCATGAAGGACGCCGGAGTCGATAGTCACATAATGTGACTTGATGTTGCACAACGGAACGACGTTGAAGCGCTTCACCGCTAGGAAAGCCTTCTGTCTTTCCCACTCTTCACTCTTGTCCTCACTCGGCTTCATCTCCGCCTTGCGTTCGAGTTCACGGTCCAGAAACACGAAATAGCGCAGGATGAGGCGATAATGTCTTTCCTTATCTTTTTTCAACTCTGATACCTTTGCTGCTTGATTCGCCAGCCCCAGTACCGCACGGTGCTCTTGTATAGGCGCACGGATTACAGAAGCTTCATTCGTGCTCCTGTGTGACTTCTTCTCATCAACGAATTCGACCTCATCTTCATGCTTGCGATCGTTCGTGATGCCATCGATAATCGCCCATATTCCTTTGCGAGAGATGCCCGGATAGAGTGCAAACACCGCGCGTATGATGAAACGTTGGAGCTTCATGGTCATATGGTTCCTCAAGTTCGTGACGTACGTTTTCATCGCCCCGTAGGTGTAAACACTCGAGTCACCCCTGTATCGAGCACCGCCGAAGCGGGATTCGGTGTGATTTTCGTGGAGGGCGTGCACTAGCTCATCTTGCTTCCGCGTTTCCGCTGTACCAAGCATCAGATGGCGAATAAAAGTCTTGTCGAATAATTCTTTCCGAACTTCGACTGTTTAGATGTCCGTCACGTCGCGATACATCCTCTTCACCAAATGCATGAGTCCTGAAGAGGCCTTTACAATACTCAAGGAGTACGACTCGTCATGGGTTCTGATAGCCTCCCGCACTTTTTCCCTGTACGGATCCTTGATATGTCCAAGAATACAGACTTTCACTTCTGTCTCGTCGTACTGTCGTCTTTCTTGCAGCCATTGGCGTCGGGCTTCCATCTTTTGCTTCTTGGCCCTCTCCAGTTCCTGTGGACTCGGCACTGTTTTTCGGTTTTTTTTTTCTGGAAACCGGCGACACACTGGGCCTCCGGCATCCTCCACTTCCACTTACGTACATTTCCTTTTTATTTTTTGAAAAAGGAACCCCCTTTGACTGCTTCTTCTATGAACCGCGAACAATGACTTGAATACACTCTCTTGAGAGTTGAAACACAACGGAATCGAAAAAATATACTTTGCTACGGCTTCAGAGCGAATACTACTCGTACATTAGAGCAGAATGCTAACGATCAGGATCGCGTTTCACTTCAACGGCGAGAAGCACGTCATGTATCATGCCCGCCAGATATGGAGGTACGCGCATCGACCATGCTACACAAAAAAGGAAGAGGAACTAGCAGTTCAATTGCAACGAGATAACGATTTCTTCTCCCTCTATGATACATATTAAAAGGGAGGCAAGATTTCCATGTAGTCGAAACTTTACTTTCCGGGCGGAAGGCCCTGCGAGCCGGACGAGTCTGCTAGACCAGTCCTTCATGATCTTCCCAGTGCTCAGTGCTGTGGTGATATTCGAGCAACTCGACCGAAACGCAGTTTATTCTCGGGCCGGGGACGGGTATGCTGCGTCTGGGCATCGCGCTGGTCGCAGTGGACTCCTACAAAGTCGTTTCGCGCCACACTACACTGTACCTCTGTCTGCGCAGAGTGCATGCTCCCAGGATGATATGGAATCCCGACCACGTTTCAGGTGAAGCTTTCCTCGATCCGAATCCCTCAGTGGTATGGCAAAGCCGCTCTGCCTCTATGATGCATCGGCATCAGCCGTATAAGCGCTTTTGCTGGAGGTCAAAGCGGGCACTCGGCGCCCGATAGAATATACAAAAAGACTAGTACGTCCGAAAGGAGGTACCTTTCATGGAACAAAAACGTAGATGCAACAGTATGACAGACGCTCTCCCGAAGACCAGTATGCATCCCGCAATCTGGGATCTATGGTCAATGTAAACGGTTCATCATCGAAAAGAAAAAAACAGGTTGCAGCGAGCGCCCTGAGGCGCGCGGCGCACCTTCATCGCCTGGTCGAAAGCGTATTGGCTGCTGTGCTCGTGCGAAAGATGCTGCTCTTTGCGAACCCTGCGGGAATCGCCACCTTCAATGTGTCTAAACCCCTAAGTAACGTATTTGATCTGCCACGTATTGCAAGGTCTTACATACGAGCACGGCCGGGCGCCGGTGGTTCGCTACCCGGCTCCGCCTCAGCCATACCAACGCTTCGTGCTCGTCTGAGACGCTCTGCCACTGGCAAGGCTGCCTGCGGCCTCGTTGCCTCTGTCGCAGACGTTCCGAAAGTTGCGCTTGTCACTGGTGGCAGTCGGGGTATCGGTCGGGCCGTCGCGTTGGAGCTTGCTCGGTCTGGTTGTGATGTCGTTGTTAACTACGCGTCCGCCGAAGCTGCTGCAAGCGAGGTTGTCGCACAAATCCAGGCCATGGGCCGGGAAGCGATTGCCGTGAAAGCAGACGTAAGCAACCAAGAACAGGTTGAAGCGATGTTCGCCCAAACAGTTGAGAGATTTAAGCGGTTGGATGTGCTCGTCAACAACGCAGGGATCACGCGCGACGGTCTGCTCCTGCGGATGAAGAAGGAGCAGTGGTCTCAGGTAATCGATCTGAACTTGACTGGCGTGTTTCTTTGCCTTCAAGCATCCTGCAAGCTGATGCTCAAACAACGCTCTGGTAGAATCGTGAACATATCCTCCGTGGTCGGCCAGATTGGCAATCCTGGTCAGGCGAACTACGCGGCAGCGAAAGGCGGGGTTCTTTCGCTCACCAAGGCCGCTGCCAAAGAATGCGCCTCACGGAGCGTTACCGTGAATGCTGTCGCACCCGGTTTCATTGCAACCGAAATGACGCATGGTCTTCCATTGGATGAGATTGCGAAGGGTATCCCCCTGGGCCGCCTTGGACAACCAGAGGAAGTAGCCGGATTGGTACGTTTCCTGGCCACCGATCCCGCCGCTGCATACATTACTGGACACATCTTTACGATCGATGGCGGTCTGGCGATAGGTGCCTCAGGCTGAATGCCAAACGGCTGCGGATTCGATGGCACGCAAGGGTACGCAATTCGCTGGGGACAGGCGGGCGTTCCCAGGGTATCGGCAAACGATCACGTGCCCCAGTGTACGTACTTGTCGGTGCGACGCGAAAAAGAACCACCGTATCCGGGCAGGCTTATTCTGTAGGATTTGATTCTCTACATTAGGCTCTAAACGCACGATGCTAATCTCAAGCATGGCGCTCGCAACGGATGCTGCATCCGCGGGACACATGGGAGTAACGGCATCCGAGTGCGAAGCTCGAAGGCACGCAGCACCAATGCGCTACAGTGCACACATCGTGAACGCTCGAGGCCCCAGCGATCTGCTGCGGAGTACGGGATGCGCGTGACTGCCGATCCCGCCATACATGCACGCACGCACGCGTGCACGCATGCACGCATGCATTCAGATTTGCGTGCTTTCCATGAGCATTCTGCGGACACGTGTGCACCGATCCCGATGCTCGAATGAAGCGGTTTGCTCTACATCTAGGTACCAGATAAGGGTATGCGCACCAGCAAGAGTCGCTGGTTCCATCCCGATCGACCTGTGTGAGCGCCGAATGCACGACGATTGTTCAGGCGCACTTTTTTCTCGTAAAAGATCGTTGCATCCATTCGGCGTCCCCGGGATGCGCGAGTGCTATCGGTTATCGGGGTTTTCATTTCAGCGTTTCCACAGAAGTGCGTATGTTCCGCTGATCCCAGTTGAGCATTATCTTCTAAAACAGAGCCTTGATGGACGGAACGACGTGTCAACCGCCAAAGAGAACACAGAATGTGCTCAAAAAGAACGCGGCGCCGCTGTGGTCGCGCAGCGTGCCGAACGTCGTCTCGATGCTCGGCCGAAGAAGTCGGGAACGCGCGCTCCTGCATCGGAACTACTGCCCTGGGCTACCGAGCTCGAGCTGAGGCATCGAAAAACGCCCCCGATGCCCTGCACGTGACCGAAGCACCGCACTCTACTGTCCGGATCAGGACCGGGTAGAAGAGAATCTCGGTGTTGGCGGTTAGAGGCACGTTCCAGCTTTTCCAAAGCACATCGAGTACCGTGATCAACGCTCGTACCAGCGATTGATCTTGCGCACACCAAGCCGGACACTTTTGCGCTAAAGATAAGCCAACAGCAAGATCTGAATTCGCTCATGACATGTACATTTTTTACGCAAAACACCACGAAGAAATCGAATCACGAGGCACAGCAATCGAAAATGAAGCAGGCAATGACGTTAACCTGATTCAAGTGCATCCGCTGCGCTACATATGTACCAACATCCATACACTGGGCGTACCAACTCGGTGACCAGGCATACGCGACTACGCAGCACTCTGTGCGTCTTATTCCTTCGTTCAGCTACGCGCGCTCATCTGATCGAAAATGATAGGCAGTGTTTGAGGCATTTCGCATGATGCACAGCGTCGGCTTGATGCAGCCGTGGACAGCGCCACCTTTTGAACTTGGCTGTCCGATCCTCGTCGATACTTACTCAGTATCGTCTGCAAAAGACCGCATATGAACGACGTGATCGCAGCGGCTCAAGTAAGACACAAGGGAAACCAGGCCCAGCGCATGGCCCGCGATATGCAGCGATGCTCGTATACGACCGGGTCGAGCACATGCGCCCTGCTCCAAAGTCACATCCCAGCGATTGTCAGGAGGATTTAGGAGGTGGGTCTCGCTTCCCCACTTCCGCTTTCCTCATCTGATCGCGGCTGGCGCGCCGCTGGCCCCCAGCCAAAAGTCGTTGGTACTCCACAGAGTGCGCCCAGCGATCGAGCTCGCGAGCGCGCACCACCGGCAACGGATGCGTCGCGCTGCGCTGCATCCGTTGTCGAACTTGGCGACCGAGACGAGTTCGACTCACCGAATCCAAGCGAGTAGCCTGTTGCAGAAATGCATCCGGATTCATTTCCGAAGCCCACGTCGCCGAACCACCTGACAGCTTCATGAGCACACTGATAACGAGGCGAGGGTCCTGCATTACAAGCAGCGCGGCACGGTCACAGCTGAGCTCGGCAGCCTGCAGCCAGCTGAAAATACGACGACCCAACATGGTTGCAAGTGATCGACCGAGTTCCCCCAGTTGTCCCAGAGCGAGTAGAAGCAGGTTCGCCGTCGTGATCCAGATTCCGTGCTCACACTTGAGATGGCCCAGCTCGTGCGCGATGACGGTCTGCAGTTCGGATGCCGTCAGTCCCATATCCAGCAACGCCGAGTGCAGCACGATGAACGGACGCTGTCCATTAATAGCGAGGGTGTACGCGTTCGGTATCGGGTTTTGACGAATGTACAGGTCAGGAACGTCGATATGCAGAATCTCACAAGCCTCGGTGAGCAGAGCATACAACGAGGGTAGCTGCTCGGGGCCAACTAAAACACCTGACGAGATATTTTCTATTTCAAGCACCTGCTCCGCCACGGGGCCAATAACCCTCCGAATGAGTGCACCTAAACCGGTGATTCGTGTCAAAAAGTCCATTTGGCGCGTTGCAAGCGCATCCAGTGGGTGGCGAAAGTCGGCGGCCTCGAGACCGACCAACACAGCACGTTGCGAAGCCGCTTCCTGTCGCACTACCGCACAGCATCGTGTTCCGAGACGACTTGCACAGCCCGAATGCGTCACGGAGTAGCGTCGGCAGGCTAGTTTCGAAAGCCGCCAAGCTGGTCGACTGCTCGGGATCGGCTGGTACTGAGGTCGAGTGCCCGCGGCAACTGTTCGCAAGGAGCTGTGGCTGCGGACACCCAGCGACGCGAACGCCAAGTACAGCCTCTGTTCACTACAACCGCACAGTCTGGAGTGAACCATTATCCACGTGTAGCTTTACGTGCTATTTCGATACGCTTGACACGAGTTTCAGATAAGATATACGCACAACAGAGCGCGTGTGTTGGAGAATCCACGCGCAGTGGCGAGCGCACGTTTCACGTTCCCGGGAGCGTTCATGAATCGCTACGCACACAGGCGCCTCCCAGTGTTTTCGAACCTGTCGCTTGTTCGCGCTTTCTGTTCATCCAGGCACAGTTTGAGCCTGAGAGACTGCCCCACAAAGTTGGATTGCATCAGCTTATTAGGTCCCGTGTCTTCAACATCACATATCGTCTGATATTGATACAGTCTCGGTTGGTGAACTCCTCGCGTTTGCAGCCTCTGGTTGAACCTAACTTTGCAGGGACTCCTCGAAGTTGTGGCCTCGATGCCGTCCAAGTCTCGTTTGCATCCCGTTGGGCAAACGCTTTTCATCGTCTGTCTCCCCTCTTCTCCGTCTTGTTCTTCCTATTCGTTAATCGCTCTTCTTTATTCGATGGTCGGTGAGAGAGGATTTTTTCGGTTTTTTTCCAGCAGCCGGCGATGGCATCCCTGCGGGATCTCCGACTACCACGTCCATGCTTCTCCCCTGGATTCTTTTTCTTCAAATGAGCGCACTTCAAATGCATCAGCTACAAACCGCGAACATGCATTCGATGACAAGCACCTGGGTGTGAAACACAACTGAGATGAAAGACCACAAGGAGTATGCTCCTCATTTGGCAATAGAGAGCTTGCCTTGGAACGCGAGTTGTCCCCGCAACGCCGTTCGTATTACCTGCCGTGTTGGGCTTACTGTTGAACGAGGCTTTTGTGCATTCGTTGCGCAACTCGCGAGTGAGCAAACGCTGTCTAGCTGCCCGCTGCTATGACGCTGGTTTGGAGCTCGCTCACTCGTGCGATCAAGCAAGACCTATCTCGGGGGAGAGTCTTGTGCACCAGGTGCGTCTCTGTAGCGGCGGACGAACGCAGCTGTGGAGAGAGCCTCGCGTGCTCTCCGAGGCGGGGTACACTCTGGACTATGGACAGGTGCCTCCGACGTTGCCGGGAGCGCAATCTTTTGGCCTCTTTTCGTGGGACGAGTGCCGCTGCATTGAAACATTCGCTCTCTCAGCTGTGGAAAGCGTGCGCACACCAGCGTTACAGCGGTACGCGTGTCGTCAAACGGAGCTGCAGCTGCGGTGTGGACTACCCGGACGAGCGGCCTACCACTGACGTGCAGCACGCGAGCACCACAGAAACTTTGCAGTTGGCGGAGACAACAAGGCATGGGACTGGCGCATGTGCGGCTCTGGTGCACCAGCGAATACCGCCATACGAAGCTAGTTATTCGGCATTGGCGGCCAGGTATGCCGAGCGGGCTCCTACTCTAGGCAGCGACTTGACGCCGGCAACTCGAGTGCTCCAGTTTCGATCAGCGCGTAAGCATGACCGGCGGTTAGAAACGCGACGTTACCTGGAGCACTTTACCAGGGGCTTTGCAGATGCACGCGTTTCTCCTTCGGTTCTCGTTTTAGCAGAGCATGCCCGCGGGAATGTCGCGCCTGCAACCTGGGCTGCATTACGAGCAGCCCAGCAGGTATGCGGGGGCACGTTGTCGAGCAACGGCAACGACGCCAAACAAACTGGACATATTGAGGTTCTCGTCTTCGATCGCGTGGATTCAGATATGGGGGCGGTTCTAAAACAGCTCGCTCAGGTTGACGGTGTATCGCGACTCGTTCTCGTTTGTGATGGGCACTGCAGGTATCCCGTTGCCGAGATGCTGGCCCCTGTCATTGCCCGCTGGAGTGCAGAGCAAGGCTATTCGCACGTGTTCACTGGCGGGAGTACTTTTGGCAAAAATATTCTACCACGCGCAGCAGGTATCCTGGGCATCCAGCCGCTCTCAGATATCATGCAGGTGTGTTCGCCATGGGAATTCGTGCGTCCGTTGTATGCGGGGAGCATTCTGGCCCGCGTACGCTTGGTACCTCCCTCTGAACCGTCATCTAAGACTGGATGGCGTTGCTGGGCGACTATTCGGGGTACCGCTTTCGAGGCCGCGCAACTTCGCCACGATGACGCCTGTCCAACTGAACTCGACATCACAGACAAGGCAAGGCAGTATCTCCAAGACGCCGCACCGCCAGCCGTGGAGTGGTTGCAGCAGACGGGCGCTAACGCCGAAAGGCCGCGCTTGGAAAGCGCCCACATCGTTGTTACCGGTGGCCGTGGCCTCCGCGACGCCGAGCACTTTCAAGCCTTTGTGATGGAGCTTGCAGACCGTCTGGGGGCAGCCGTTGGCGCCACGCGGGCGGCTGTTGATGCCGGCATGTGTGCCAATGAACTTCAGGTCGGGCAGACAGGCAAGGTTGTTGCACCAGAGCTCTACATCGCCGTGGGCGTGAGTGGTGCCGTCCAGCACCTTGCGGGCATGAAAGACAGCAAGGTCATCATCGCCATCAATAATGACCCAGAGGCCCCGATTTTCCAAGCAGCCGACTACGGCCTCGTCGGTGACCTGTTTGAGATCATGCCCGCTCTTTTAGAGAAATTATCTAACTCGCATAAAAAATAGGCAGAGCGCCTCTTGTAAATGTCGTGTTTACCTGCTGCGGTGCCGCGCTGCACACCGAGCATCCAGGGCGTTTGTTCCGCGAGGCTGCTGCATGGCCCGCGTGTTCCAGGGGCCTGCGTGGGCCGTTTCGACGCCCCGGAGGCACCAGTCCATGCGGACTGCTCGCCAAGGCCGTCATGAACGACCTACCAGCGACAAAGGTTTCGTGCGCTCGGCACCGATGTCAAAAACGGTGCCGCAAAAACTCGCTCCTCAGATACTAGTTTAACGTCTCGCTTCTCGCCTATTTCAGAGAAGCGAGCCTCGGCGCTGTTGCACGCTGCACAACGAACGAGTATGAAAAGTGCAGCAGATCGTACCTGTGATCTATCGAATATCATATTCAGCGCAAAACGACGCTGCTCAATCACGCCAAACTTTTGCGTTAGCGGTGCTGCACGACATATGCACGTTTGCAGCACGACGTGACGCGGAGTCGAAATACGCAACGAATTTACGGCTGCTGTCCCTGATTCATAGCAATAAATGCATACTGACAGTACAGTTCGTGTCGCAGTCACCAAGCGAAAGTCGCATTCGTCAGCGTTCGATCAGATCACGCAGGGAGCGCCTCTCTACCAAGCGCAAGTGACCCAACCTGCCCGCTCACTTGCAAAGAACAAAGGCTATGAACCTTGAACTCTGTCTCCAAGTTGTCTCTTATCAGGCTTTTTGTGCTTGTAAGGAACGCAACGCTACGCCCAGCCTTGCCTGTGCAGTCTTTGGTGCAGGCGCACCTGCGGAAACCTCCCCAGTAGCGTAAACTGGTCGTAGCGTTCAATACACGTCGACGTATCGGGATGCCCGACAAAGAGACACACGCTACTGCGCAAACGTTTTGTGAAACTTGTTTTCAAGCGTACACAAACGTTTCTTTCTAGAGCACGTGTTCAGGTGAACAGATTCGCTTTGGTATTAAAACCGTTCTTTATAGAGCACGTGTTCAGGTGCTCACACAGGTGTCGGCAGGAACAATTCTCAAAGTGCGCAAGCAGGTTTCTCTGTGAAGCACGTGTCCAGGTGCACAGACGAGTTTCGGTACAAAGTGCGCACTTGCGTTTCTCTTCATATAAGACGTCTTCAGGTGAATAGACACGTTCTGGTATACACACACGTTTCGGTGTGCGCAAGTTTGTGTTGGAACTTTGTGCATCAAGTGGACGCTCTATTGCCGCAAAAAACATCAAACTTATGACGCAGCCACCTTCTGCCAGTGCGGGTGAGGCTGATGCCTTTCAGTCGCTTGTTCAGGAAGAGCTCGGAGAGAATGCGTTCTCCACAAGCACGCCGGTGAACGATGGCACCGGGGGCGGCGACGTTTTTCTGCCAAACGAAGGCGTCGAAAGTGACGCAATCACCACGCTTCCGGTTTCTACGGCAGGCACGGTGCGTACACCTTTTGATCAAGACGAAAAAGAGTTCCCTGTTGGAAGATCATCTGTCGATGGGAAGCTATGGAAGGGCGCTGGAGGTTCGACGTTTGCGATCGAGGGCGACTCAACCAGTGGACGCGACGCTGTACAGGAGGCATCTCGGGCGCGGGCACAGCGCATCCGCGAACGCGATGAAACTGAACGAGAAGTCCGTCAAAAGTCTCGCGAAGCAGCCGTGCAAGTGTGGGAAAAGATGCACCAGGCCTGGGAGAAAACATGCCAGGAGAAACGTGTCGAGACGAAGAAACGGCAAGACAAGCTTAGTGAAGAGCGTGATGCGCTTTATCAGGCCATGCTTGAGAATGGTGACAACAATAAGCCAGCATGGCACCTCGTTCGGGCACTGATAGAGTCTAACAGTTCGGGATTGGGAGCGGGCCGATCACTCGGGACACCTGGCGGCATGTCTGGACCCGGTGCTGCCAGTGCTGTTTCCGAGGAAGATGGCAGTTACCGTAGCCTCCGTACTCGCATGAAGGATGTAATCTATAGCTCCGCCAGCGAAGCGAGCCCGAAGAGTCGTTGATCTTACCATCGTATGTACGGTTACCGGCTGCCGCGGAAAGGTTCTCGCATAATACATGATGGAGAGCGAGGAGAAACTCTGCGTCTGGTGTCGGTGTCGGTGTCGGTGTCGTCTGCGGCTGGAAGAGCACAACGTGCGTGGTCTTGTGTCGGGAGCAAACGTCGGCGGACTAGCGTGTTCAAGGAACCTTTGGAATAAGGAGGCACGAGAGACGAAGCAGGTGCATTCCAAGGAATACTTCATTCTTTAGCACAGGCAACGTATACGAGCTTGTTCTCAGATGGCACCTAGGCGGTGTCGTAAGCGTCAAACACGATCCTCCTGACAGCGACGATGCCAGTACTGTCTCTTGCAGAGCACCTCTGACTTTGCAAGCACGTGGATTCTCTCGATAGCTCGTCCACGATCGCGACGCCTGTATATCTCTTCTCTGGGAACAGCCAGGTCAGGTCTGCTTGAGGCCGCTCTAGGACACCCCATTCTCGCAATGGCGGAGATTTCGTCACGAGTCCTGTACAACATTGCGCCATCGCTATACCGTCGACTAGTGCTATCGTATGGGCCTCGTATCGTTAGCGAGCACTCCATCCGAACAGCCGCATGACAAGTGAAGCGACCGATCGAAAGCAGCCTTGCATGGAGCTACGAATCAGAGAAACCCCGAGGAACACGTATACTTCCCGAAGATAACAGCACACGCCAGTTTGCCTGGTATCCTCCTTGCATGCGAAACACACGACTCAGCACACACGAGATGATGGTGCACTGCTTTTGGAAGGGCAAAGAACACAAGCAATGCGCTCGAATGCAACTTGTAGCGTTTGCGTATCCTCAACTGCCGAGAAGCAACATCTATACCACCCGGGTTCAGGAGCATGGCAAACACGACCCGGATAGATCAACACTCGCGCTTCTCGAAAGAGTCGCTCAGCAAGTTCCAACTCCGCTTCCCAGGTCGCCTCGCGAAGAAATCTCTGCAAGCCAATCCATACGAAGAATCCAGCCTGGCTGGGATAGATGCGCACCTGCTCTGCCCCAAGACTGGTTTGAATCGCTTGAACAGCCACCTGATACGCTTCCTCTAGTCGTCGTTGGTTTGCGACGAAAAACTTGTGCAACCATTGCTCGTCACTCAGCATTCGGCAAAGCACTGCCTGCGTATCCCGACTGGGCGACGAAAACAAACACGGTGCTCGAATCGCCTGCAACAGAGCCTGGTTCTCCGTAAAGAGAACCCCACATCGCATGCCACTCATACAGAGGTCCTTACTAAACGTCCATACGACATGCACATCGTTGCCGAGACCCTGGACGGCCAAAACGTCCGCTACGGAACGAAAACGCCCCGCATGGCTCTGGAAGACCGAGAGCGCGTACGCCTCGTCGCTCACCAGGTGCATGCCATGGGATCGACACCATTGAATGGAAAGCTCTAGTTCTTCTGTCGATAGAATATTGCCCGTTGGATTCCCGGGACTGTGCAGGAGCAACACTCGCGGTCGTTGCCCGCTCGCTCTACAGGTCCGGTCCGCAGTTTCAAGCGCATCCCTTGTCAGACGGTGGTGGTTATGGAGCGCTGTTTGTACAGGTACGGGTATGCACTTTGCACGGCAGCTCAGGTCAAAGTCAAATCCCGGATAATACGGTGCCGGAATCAACACGGCATCACCATCGTCACACAGGGCACTGAATACCAGGTCAAGTACAGCGCTTGCACCAACGGCACACAGGTAGTTATCGGGGTTGGCTGCACTTGCTGGGCCGCCTTTCGAAGCTGCAAATATATGCTCTCGAAAGAGTTGGCTAAGTGCCTTGCGAAAGCGTAACTCGCCGAACATGTAGTCGTACTGAAGGCACTCGTTGCGCGGCAATACGTCGCTGCGTTCCCGCTGAAACTGGGCTAAGACGGGTCCCGCACTGAGCGCGTTCTCGGCCACCAGCAGTGAGATATAACCATTAGGTTTTAATTGTGGATCGTATGCGTCCTGTTTCGCTGTAAAGGACCACTCAATCTGGCGTGGCGGTGCACGACTCGCAAGCGCCCTCCCCCGGTCTGAAAGCGTCTCTGCTGCGCTTTTCAGCACGCTACTCGTCTCTGGTTGTTGCATGCAGACACGTATACTTCGCTGTTGCTGCTGGGACGTAGCTGAACAGAGCAGCCGATCCCGACACTGAGCGCGAACGAACAAAGCTTCTCGGTAAACACCAGACTGGAGGAACATCCAGACTCGGCATCTCGAAGCGGTGGATCACTGCGGCCGACACTACGGCATTCTCCCGAGACGCTTCCATTGCGGTATCGAGTACGCTGATGAAGCGGGGAACTTGGCGACTGAGACAAAGTCTTCAACGTAGAAGCCTCATGGTGCAAGGATCGGGTGTATAAAGGTACGAGATACTGCGAACTTGGCGACTGAGGCACAGTCTTCAACGTAGAAGCCTCATGGTGCAAGGATCGGGTGTATAGAGGTACGAGATACTGCGAACTTGGCGACTGAGGCACAGTCTTCAACGTAGAAGCCTCATGGTGCAAGGGTCGGGTGTATAGAGGTACGAGATACTGCGAACTTGGCGACTGAGGCACAGTCTTCAACGAAGAAGCCTCATGGTGCAAGGATCGGGTGTATAAAGGTACGAGATACTGCGAACTTGGCGACTGAGGCACAGTCTTCAACGAAGAAGCCTCATGGTGCAAGGATCGGGTGTATAAAGGTACGAGATACTGCGAACTTGGTGACTGAGACACAGTCTTCAACGAAGAAGCCTCATGGTGCAAGGATCGGGTGTATAAAGGTACGAGATACTGCGAACTTGGCGACTGAGACAAAGTCTTCAACGTAGAAGCCTCATGGTGCAAGGATCGGGTGTATAGAGGTACGAGATACTGCGAACTTGGCGACTGAGGCACAGTCTTCAACGAAGAAGCCTCATGGTGCAAGGATCGGGTGTATAAAGGTACGAGATACTGCGAACTTGGCGACTGAGACAAAGTCTTCAACGTAGAAGCCTCATGGTATATGCATGATATCTAAATCCAACGATACATAAACTAGACCCGCGCACGCAAACTGCTTGTACGTGACTGTTGCCCCCGGAGAGCAACTGCATACCCTGCCGAGTCCTCGTTGACTTGAAGCAGCGAAAGCGACTGCTTTCGCTACTTCCATACCACATCGCTACAGCGCTATCCGCTCGTGAACGCTTTCCGTATGCACCACCGCTCTTGCTCGGGTTGTTCCCGGTACTGCTTCACCTAGAGCAGGTCCAGTGCACGCACGTGTTTGTTGCCGCAAACTTGTTTACGTTCTTGTTGGTTCTCATGTTCCACATCATGGGTTTTCTTCTGGGCTACCACTTTCGTTCAACTAGCACCAGATGTGTACGTTTCGCGCACAAGCCTCCAGGAGTTATGATCGAAAAACTTGCCGTACGTCAACAAAGCCAGTAAGGATGCAGAAAGCGTACTACCTGCTGTGATCATATAATACACAACGATTTGATAACGCGCTGCTGTGTCCGTGGAACCGTTACCGACAATCTGCCCCGTCATCATGCCTGGTAAAGAGACAAGGCCTACCGTCAGCATCGAGTTCACGACCGGAATCAGTGCCGAGCGCAAGGAGGCTCGAAGTGCCGGTGCGATCGCTTGTTTTGGACTGGCACCTATGCTGAGGAGTTCCTCGATCTCTTTCTCGTGCGAGGATACCTCGGACTGGAGTCGTTCGCCCAACAACGCTACTGTGTTCATGGCGTTCCCGAGAATCATACCGGAGAGCGGGATAAAGTAACGCGGCATCCAGAAAGGTTTCACTCCGATGACGGTCCAAGTTGTTTGCACGATCACGAAACCTGCACCACTGAGAAGCGAGACTAGCACGGCGACGAACATACCCGGTATTGGTCGGTGCATGCGCTGTGAAGCTGTCCAGGCAGCAACCAAAGTCATGATGCTTACTGCCAAGAACACAAGCAATGGTAGGTTTGCAGCGAAAATCCAGCGCAAGACGAGCCCTACGAGCAACAACTGGACTGCGGCACGAAGGGACGCCCAAACCATATCCAGTTCGATGCCAATCTCAAACAGCCATATCGCCATAACTGACAGTAGCATGAAACCGTAAGCGACAGCAAGTTGACCAAGACTGACAGGCAGGGCGCCGGCCGTGTCGGCACTGCTCGTGGACTCCATGAATGGGCGACGGATGCAAAACACGAACGCTTCCGACCCCAGGTCTGAACAACGAAGTGAATGTCCAGGTCAGAGCGCGTTGACTGCCGCACGCCGTCGAACAAGGCAAGAATCCTCGACCAGGTACAAGTGCAGTCGTGCAGGCTCTCGTACGGCTTCTCAAGGCCCAGCAGCAGGAGCGCGCTGAGCTCTGGTGCTGTGCTCGTTCGTGCCGTGCGGCCTGCCTTCTCACCAAGACACCTTCGACTGTGAATGCTCGCTTCCCGATCTGCGGCTCTATTTTGTTGCTCCCAATGACTCCCCAGTCAAAAGCCGATGAATGCTGGCCGCTGTATCGGCGGTACCGAGCAGCGCACGCGCGTCACCGCGTAAGAACAGCTCCCCGTCCCGCACAAGAATGAGCTGGCCGTCGGTAACCTCCGAGAGTCTGTGCGTCACTATGAGTATTGTGGCCCGGATGCGTTCTTTCCAGTCCGATAAACGTTGCAATACTTGAGCCGCTGTTGCTGCGTCCAGACTTGAAGTGACCTCGTCCAGCAGTAGGATTCGTGGTTGCTGCAAAAGCACTCGCGTGAGGCCGAGGCGAGCTCGCTCACCCCCTGACAAGGCGGCTAGCGGTCGATCCAGAATCGTTCGCGATAAGCCAGCTATATGCAGTGCTTCCGGTAGTCGCTGTTCAAGCTCTGTCCGCGATACAACTCCCAAACGAACGAGCGTCTCGAGCGCCGACTTTGCTGGTTCCTCCGTGTTCGCGCTCGAGCGTTGTCGGCGTTTGCCGAGGACCAGCTCCCAAAGCGTTTCTCGCGTTACAAGTCGGCGGAGTGCCTCCAGCAAACCAGGCCTCCTATGTGCCAAACACGGCAATGCAGGTTGCTGGCTCAGAAAACCTACTAGTTTGCCCCGTAACTCGCCTGGAGGGTACGCTGGCACTGGTGTGCCCCACAGCCGGACTTGACCACCTGAAGGCTCCTCTAAGCGGTTCACCAGTCGAAGAAGTCGAGACTTGCCAGCTCCTGACGGGCCGATGATAAACACCGTCTCTCCGTCGCGTACTTCGAAACAGATATTCCGAAGTATGGGTCGAGTCGTCCCCGCCGCCTGGGTGCTCGCAGACAACGTCACTCCTTCGAAAGCGATTGCCACCTCCCGTGTTCCACTTGGATAGTTCTCGACGAATGCGCCAGAGTCTCGCGTCACTGGGCGAATAGGATCGATGTTCTCGTGGTGCCTCTCTGTCGCGGAGCCGTACTCGAGGTCCGTTGCCAGCGAAGCGGCTGCCGTCGAAAGCACAGCGTCCGCGTCTTCCCTGGTTGACTCCTGATTGCTCACCGAAAGAGTATCTGTGCCAGCTTTTGGACTTAAGCGGTTGCTGAATGACATGAAAGGGGGAAAATATCCCCCGGGAACAGATATACCTGAAACGGCTGCTGCAACTCCAGCGCAGAAGTCAAGCGCTGCAGAGACGGCCCTGGTGGCAGGCCTCGACGCCTGAAGCGTTTGCTCAGGTTTCGCTCTGAGCGTATTCGGAACGGAACCTGAGACGTTTCCCTGGGTGCTGATCACCATCACACTTCTTGAAGCATCTGGTTGGAATCGTTGATTGCATAGGATCAGAAACACACTGGAAGGCGCCTGGCTCGCGTTCGACGACCCCTAGCGCAGGGTAGAAGCTGCGATTTCACGCCGCTTCGTGCTTGCTCGTTCAAGGGCGTTTCTCGTATACCGTGTTCAAGTCCATAACTAAACCATCTGGTGACTTTGGACAACGGAGAACGCTGAGAGCGCTGGGCACTACCCAAAACGCCTCAGAGTCTGGAGCTGGCGCTCTCCGAACCAACCGCAGCAGCGACCTGGTGGTAGCCTGGAACGTGTCGGTTCACTGGAGGCTCTCCTGACGAGGCGTCCAGCACTGCCCGTTCTCTGTCGTTCTGTTTCTTTCTGTAGGCCTGTAGGAGTACGCAGGAACATCTGCGTTGTCTCACTTTGGATTTCCGGTTTCCTCGAGAGGAGACGTTGGCAGCCGCTGGACGAAACTTGTAAGCCGACCCGCAGCAGTGGGTTACGCTTCCGAGCATGCCCTCCAGGGGTGCGCGTTCGAAGAAGCCCGCAAAGAAGACCGCCTCAGCTGAGGAGGCAGCACAACGACTGCCAGAGCATCTCGCGGCAGGCAAGTTCACCTCACTGGCCGACATCACAAGTATCGTGCTGGGTGCTCGCTCGTGGCAGTCCGAGGCAGAGGCCGAGACGAGGCCCCTCACGACTACCGCGTCTACTGCAGAGCTTCAAAATTGGGATGAACACGCTGCGCTGGTTGCCCAACGACTCTTAAAACGCGATGAAAGTACAAAACTACGAGCGTTGCAGGAGCTCAGCACCCTCTTGCAGGCACTGGAACAAGCTTCCTCGGAAAGAATCGCAGACCAAGCAGCCTACGGGGCCCAGTACGGCGCTTTTCTCGGAAACTTTGCCACTGCATTCGTGAAACTGACACTGGATCCGAGTGTACGCGTTCGAGCAGAAGCCGTCGCGCTGGCGGGGCTTGTCGTTCGTCTTTACGGAAAACGGTCAATAGCGCTCCTGCCGGGGATGCTTCCGGCATGGGTTGGGTTGCTGGGCGATCCCTCGGCACAGGTCGCTGAAGCTGCAGCTCGTAGTTTCCAGGACGCGTTTCCCACTGAGGTGAAACGTCGACGAGCGCTGTTGTTGGTACCGCATGCACTGATCCACCACGCAACCGCGCAGGTTCAGAGCAGTCTAGCGGGAAACGTGCCAGAGACGTTGCGTCAATCCGCAGACAAGGCCGAAATGCCCCTTCTCCACGCGCTGGTGTGCGTGGCGTCCACCGCGGAGGCTTTGGCAACGACACTAGCGACAAAGACAACCTTGTCGCCAGCAGACGACTCGGAACTGGTTGCATTTCTGGTCCACTGGCTCCAGCACTGGGTATCGGAGGAAGGCGTGCAGACGCTTGCGGTACCGCTTTTCCGCCGCTACCGGCAATCGCTCCGCGTCCATGAGGCCTTCTGGCGACTAGCCATTATTTCAGTGGACCTTTTCGGAGAGCTTCGGCAGACCAGAGACGAGCACCAGGGGCATAGCTTGATCGCTGCATTGGCAAACGCTTGTCCAGACTGGGAAAGCAAGGCGTCGGACGGTTTTTCCTATCTCGTTTCACGACTCGCTTGGGATGAGCTGCACGCTTCCTGCCAAGAACAGGTCTGGATCCTCCTCCATCGCTATGTTGTGCGGATTGAGCCTTCCAGCAGCAGCCTTGCACGATCGATCTCTGCAAAGACGCTCACAAGCTGGCTTCTCGGCGAGTCGATAGCAGGGGGCCGGCGTCAGGCCTCTGCAGCCGAACGTATCCAGTCTGGTCGGGTTTTCCGGGGGCTGCTACCCTTCTTGCAAGCGCTACGAATCAAGTGGCTGACCAGCGACGCTGTGCGTTCCGATCCAGTCGAGAGCGCTTCCCGTCATCATTGGCTCGAGTCGTTCGAGGGTATGCTGCTCGATGAGCTCACCACTGCCTTGCTCTGGCGAGCGCCTAAAACAAAGTTTCCTCCAGCGCTTGTGGGGAGCGCTTACCTGGACTGGTGGCAAGCAGCGCTGGTCGCTTTCCTGGAGAGTGCGCTCTGGGTCCAGCAGCTATCCTCGAGACGAGAGCGCAGCGATGATAGGACTGCTCTGCGCGCTCGATGCCGCGCTGCACTACAGCGGTACCTTCTTGCAGCGGAGGCGTTTCAGCGTGCACCTGAAGCGTCGCAATCCGTGGTGCAATTCGGTGGTAGACCAGCCGATGCATCATTGCTTCATGAACGCTTTTTCGATGTGCTTTTCTATGCGAGCGTGGACGCTTGTCGAAGCGACTTGGATGCAACGCGCTCCAACTGGCAAATCGTTGGTGAGGAGCTCGCCGCGGGGCTCGTCGTCATCGTCGTCATCGAACGAGCACCTGCCTGGTATGCGAAGGCGGTGGTCGCTGCTTGCGAACGTGCCGTGCAGGGAACCTCGTTCGCGACGCTCGAGTCAGACCAGCAGCCCCGGTGGTCACTTCTAGGCCTCGATCCTGGCGTCATTCGTACCTGGAGTGTAGAAATTATGGGAGGTGCGTTCTGCTGGGCACTGAATCGTTTCCGTCGACGAAAGATTGGCAACGGAAACGCACAACATGACGATAATCACCAGCAGGTACATGGTACTCCAGCGGAAGCAGAGGTTGCAACCACGCTGCTCCTGTTGGCATGGAGTCAGCGCGCCCCGGCTTCGATGCTGGAACGTGCTTTGCAGTATCCAGATCCGATTCAGGGCCGCCATCGACTCAACGACTTTTTCCACGACGCTGTGTCGCTGCTGGAGCATCCATCAGCGGAAAACGAGCATGACGATGACGATGACGACAACGAGGAGGAGGCGGTGGCGGTGGCAGCGCTCCCTGCTGCTTACAGTCACCAGCTCGTAGCGGTGCTGGGTGCACTGGCTGCATGCAGTCACTCCTCTGAGGCGCTGAGCGGTCCATCGAGCGTCTTGAACGCGCGTTTAGAGGAGTGTCCTGGCGCGGGTCGCTGGCTCATCGAACTTGCTCAAGCAGCACGTATCCGAGCAGCTTCAATAGAGCAAGGTGTTCCAGCTGGTCTCTGGACAGCGACGGTGTTTCCCCGTCACCTGGCTGACCAAGTGGAGCACCTGCAGTGCTACTGCGACCAACTGGACCCCGCCCGCTACTCCTATTACCGCCGTTCGGAGACAGACGCTTGGCCTTCCGTTGGGCTCCTGCTGGAATACGCCGCCTGGCCCGAGGCCTGGCTCTGGTCAACGTCCACTGACTGGTCTACACTGAGGAGCAGCATGGATGCCAGCGTGTGTCGGGCGCTGCGTCTCGGACTCTGGGACTGGCCCCAACTGGCCTCCTTTCAGCAGGGTGTTCATTCAGCAGCTGCTCCATGGACCGCAGAAACACGAGCTTGGCTGTACGTGAGAGCGCTCCTGGCATTAGAGCAGCACCAGAGCCAAGAAGCAAGCGACGGGCATGTGTTTGCGGACGTCCGACCGTCGGCAGCGCTGGAGCGTGAAACCCTGGAAAGAGTCGTGCTCGACGCACTCGCGTGGCTCCTTGAGGATATGGAACGCGTTCTGCTCGCAGAGTCGTGTGAAACGCAAGCTCCGGACATGCTCGAGGCTGTTCAACGCTTCCAGCGCGTGCTGCTAGAGCTCGCCGCCACCTCGAAACGCCCCTGGCAAGCTCTCCTGTACGACATATTGTACAAGTGCTGGGTATCGGATGCAGAGGACTCGAAGGCAATAGCAGCACAGCCTGGAGAGCGCGTGATAGAACCAGCATGGCGACCATTGCAAAGACTAGAGGAGCAACAACGACAACAACGCTGGCGTTGTTCGCTGCTCGAGTCGCTGACACCCTCGCTGGACGATGCAGCAAGTCCGCTTGATGCTACGTTGTGGCACCTCTACCTGCAGTTTCCATGGACGCGTTCCTGGGCAACAGCACGATTTATCGGCTGGCTGCAGCGAACGGATGCTGCGACTGCTGCGTCCGCACTCGACGTGGCGGCAGCGGTACTTGCGCGCCTCCTGGACCCCGAAGCGAGCACTGCAGCCTGCTGCGACACGATCGTAACCGAGTTGGCAAAAGCCCCGCTGTACGCACCAGCGACACCGACAGCGTTTCAGGTGCCGCTCGAGCAAAGCGCTGAGCGTCAACCGACGATGCTCATGAGACTGCTGATATGGTCGTCACTGGTACGAGAGCGTTTCTGGATACGTCTCCAGACGGATGCTGCGTATTTTGGACGAAGCGTCACCGCGGCCTCTTTCACACGATGCACGATGGCTGCTCTGGAAACCGGTCCGGTTACCGGCCTGCAGGCATCTGGAGCCGTGGGAGAGTTTGCGTTGGAGCTCCTTCGGTATGCGGCAGCGAGTCTGGCGCAAACGCTGCCCGTATGGGTCCAGAGCGTTCTGAATGACACCTCAGCTGAGCGAATGCGCAGCGCTACCGGGCTGCAGCACGAGCCGTCTGTCCAAGTGGCCCCACAGGATGTACCGAAAACACTGTGTGCTTCTATGGAAATTCTCGGGCATGCGGCTGCGATTCCCGCCTCCTACGAACATCGTGCGGATTTGTTGACGTACCTGCGTTCCGCACTGGAACTGCTCATTGAGGTGCCGTTCACGAACCTGATCACAAGCCTCGAGCGAGCGCCACAGCAAACGAGTGAGGAGTTTCATCGAGGCTCCTCATTCGTTGGCAAACATGCAACGCCGGACGCCAACACGACAAGGCCAGCAGCATCGGCAACGAGCGTGCGTCGCGTTTCGGACGCTCCATCGACACCGTCGTCATCGTCGAGCGCAGCGGAGGACTCGAATCGCCAGGTACTCGCGGTCCTGTTTGAACGGCTCGTGCGTCCGAGTCTGGACGTTTTCGCTACCGACCTGGGCGAAGAACACTGGACCTGGATCGGCGAGACTGCTACGCAGGCGCTGGTGACCTCGCTGGGCTGGCCAGTGTACGCGGCAGCGCTTCGGTGTCTGTACGCATGGCATGTGCGGCTCGTAGAGCGTGCCTCTTCGACCCTGTTATCGGAACAGATGGTCAGCAGTATTGGACAGGCCCTCTGGATGACTTGTTATCGATTGGCAGAGGCGTATCGTGACTCGCTCGTCACCGAGGCGCCATGTTCACCGGTTGCGGAGCTGAACCTACCCGTTCAAGATGCGCTGGGCTATTTGATTTGCGTTTTCAGACCTGAACTTGAGCGACTGGCGCTTCGCAGCGAGGATTCCGCACCCCAGATGATGACCGCGTTACCGTGCTGGCGCGAAGCTCGTGACCGCTGGGTAACGACGCGTTTTGGTGTCAAGTGTGAGTCGTTGCTTTCATCGATGCTGGGCCGCTTCTGGTGTCTCACCTGGCTTCCGTATCTCGTTGCAAGCAAAAGCACCGCTGTCCGCAGTGCCGTCATGCAGTTGCTGGGCACCCTGTGGGATGCGCTGGAAGCCTGGCTCGCGACGTCGACACTGGAGGGTGCACAGGCGTCCCTGGGTACCGGGCACGCAGGTACAGGTGCCTCTCCTGCGGATACACGTCCAGGCTCGATTCGTTTCGAGTCCGATCAGCGTGGAGCGGCCACAGCCCTGGGCAGACGACCTGCAGAGCCCGAGCCGATGCCCTGTAGCAGCACCAGCGCTACATACGCTACCGAGACAACGCCACTGGAATACTCTGCGGATCGACGGGGCACCCAGCTGGACGGCAGCGTCGAGCATCACGACCCGTTACGCACGGAGGCATCGGAGCTCTCCGTCGCCGTCAGCGACTTGGGCATTGCAGAGAATACCGTGCATTTGGAGGCACTCAAGGGATTGGCAACGCTCCACGATGCCCTGATTCAGAGCTGCAGTGAGGCGCTGTTTGCCCTGACGGCGAGGTTTCCGTCGCTGGACCCGACACCAGAGGCCGCGTCATGGGAACCTCTGCAGACCTATTTTTGCGCTTGGCTGGTGCTGCTTCGGCTCCAGGTCACGGGCTCCTATCCAGAAGCGTCGCTGGTAACACCGTTGGGGTCGCGGTTGCCGAACACGTTGCGAGAAGGTGCGCTTTGGACGCTTCTAGACGGACTCGGGCGTTGCTGGATCCGAGCGGCAGCTACGATAACGACGCGAACACCCGAAAGCAGTCACTCCACGAGCGATGCAGAGGCTCAATGCTTCCGAGAGCAACTGGAAATGCTTCTGGCTGGTCTCACCGAGCAACTGGTGCTCGCTACCTCGGATCCGCAGTGGCTGGCGAGGGAGATCTTCTGGGAGCCAACAGACTGGCGACCAGCGGCTCTCGGAGCCCGCCTCCTCTTCCTGACGCTACTCGTGCAACCGCTTCTTGCACAACGCTGGTTTACCGATCATGTTGCGGATCGCTCGCTTCTTCAGCCGCTGGAGCTGTTGAGCCGCACGCTGCTCACTGGACCGTTGATTGCCCGCGAACTCGAGGCTATTCGGCAGTATGCCGCGCATGTGCACCAGACCCAGCACCGGGAGAACGGCGAAACCGTTCCCAATGCATCCCCTTCCCATACGGGTGTGTTATCCGTTCAGGGTAGTCTTGCAGCACGAGAGATTCTGGTTCGGTACCACTTTGAAGAGGTCCAATTACCCGTGTGTCTCCGACTGGCCGATACGCATCCGTGGCGAGCGCCGGAGCTTGTGCTTGCGCCCGCTGAACGCTCCGTAGTCTCGTTGGCGGGCATCGAACGTGAAACACGCGCTCGATCAGAGCTCGAAGCTCGCTACCGAAGACTCTTTCTCCATATGACCAGAATTTTACAACACGGAGTGGATCGGCACTCTGCCGACGCCGGTACCCTACTGCTACAACTGGGCGCATCGGCAACGTCCTCGTCGACATCGACGACATCGACGCTTGGGACGGCGTCCTGTGTGCCTCGTCAGTACTTTGCACCGAGTGCCCTCGCCAGTGCGGTGGTGTACTGGCATCAGCGTTTGGTTTCCCTATTGCGTGACGCACCCGAGTGTCCGATCTGTTATCAGGTGCTGCATTCACGAACAGGTCAGGTTTCGCGTGTGCGCTGTCCGACCTGTCGGTATCGATTCCATGCAGCTTGTCTGTATCGGTGGTTCAGTAGTGCTGCGCACGGTGCCACGTGTCCGTTGTGTCGGTCACCGTTCTAACCCAGAGCGCATCAACGCAACCTTGAAACACACGATCGATGCAGACGTGCTGCCTCTGAATCAACGCGTCCAGCATTGCATATTCTGGTCTGCGGAAGCGATGCCTCATCGCATTCGCGAGGCACTGGTGGAGAAAAGTTGACGCGCCAGGTCCGCCGAGAACGATGACGACGATGGTGGTGGTGGTGGTGGTAGCGGCGATGGCGATGGCGACGATGATGATGATGATGATGATCGACGCAGTTCGTGTGCATCCAGCAACTCGGTGTCGGTGAGCAGCACCGAGGAGGCCGCATCCGCTACCGCCTCCATTGTGGCATGATCACTTGGACTGGTGCTCTCCGCGATGCCGGCAACGCGACCCGATAATGATGGCGATAAAGACGACCGGATGTGATGATGGTTATTGGTGCTGTTGTTGCTATTGGTGCTGCTCATCTCGGATGCCATGTGCCGTCGATGGGTTGTCATAGCGTGTTCCGATGGTGCACGCCTTGCATCCCCGCTCACAGCGTCGGCAAGCTGGTCGTTGAACTGCATCGCTAGCGTCGACGCCTGCGAGCGATGATTCATGGTTGACTGTTGTTGCAGTTGCTGTTGTTGCTGTAGTTGGTGCTGTCGTCGTCGCTTGCGCGCACAGAGACGGCAGTGATTGCCCCAATCACAGGTGCCTTGTCGTTGCATCATACGGCTGTGACGTTTGCGACAGTTGCCGCATACCTGTGTCGCGCAGCAAGCTTGACAGGTCCGATGTAGTTCTAAAGCATCCGCGCTAGCGCGACTTCGCAGCGACTGGGAAGCTGAGCGTCGATCGAGTGCCCCCGACGAGGGCGAGTCAACGACAACCGCCTCGGGATCAGCCTCGCTCGTGGATCGATCCGCGTGCGGTTGGCTCCGACGCGTTCTCCTCGCAGTCGTTAGAAGCAAACCGTGATCGCTGAGGCCTTGCTCTGTGAGTACTCCGGCGGCCGCCTGGAATGCGGCATTTCTGGCACCGGCATCCAGGTTGGCTTGTCGACTAGCAGCGTCGCCTCCGAGCGCTGGTGTCTCCCACGGCGACGGCAGCGAGCTCCGCTGGCGAGCGCGTTGGCGCTGTCGACGAGTGCAGAGGCGACAGGCGTCGCCCCATTGGCATCGTCCATCAGGGGCATGTTTCATCATGCGATGATGCCGTTGTCGACACGCCGGGCACACCGGTTTGTTCAGTCCGGGATCACTGCACTTGGGGCAGCGGATATGTCGCTCCAGGGGTGTCGTGCCTGTCGACGGACCCAGCTGCCCTGCGCCGTCGTGCGCCACATACGGCGGAATATCATCCTGATCCCAGTTCAAGGCTTGGCTCTGTAGCGCCAGGGTGCTATGCTCGCCATCCTGGCCGGTTGGTCGTGCGCCCGACAAATAGCCTCGAAAGCTGGTACGGTCGCGTTCGCTGAGCAGGAGCATACCGCCACCAGTGGCGCCAGTACCCGTTCCAGTACCAGTTTCAGTACCCGTTCCAGTACCAGTTCCGATTCCGGTGCCGCGCTCGGACTCTGGATCCCTGAGCGGAGCAAAGAGCTTTGCTTGAGCGAGTTCATCATCTGTTTGCAGATGCACATTCTCGGGGATGTCTTCGGTGCCGGATTCTATCGGATTCGGCAGCCGCTCAGCCGGTATCAATACATCTCGGGCGGGGCGAAGCGCCGGTAGCACTCCTATTTTCACCGCCAAGTCCTGGGCGAAAGCCCGCGACGCGGATATCGGCGGCAGCGTCGGTGGCTCCATGGGCGACACCGAGGCCGCAGATACAACGCCGCACTCGGCACTGCCAGTGCCTTCGAGCCAGCCCTCAAAAATCTGCCGCTCTGGACTCTGCTTGTTTGGTAAATCGGAGAGCATCGCATTCGCTGCCGTCACTGGGTTTCCATCGGCGCGAGTTGCGGACCCTGCACTGAAAGTGCGCCCAGCATCACGACGTACACCCAATGCAGTGCTTGCCGCTGTTGCAGTCGTTGAGGTCGGCGTATCCGGATCGTAGCGGGCGAAGTCGACGACGGCAAACAGGTAGTGGCTGGTGTCGGTGCTACGACCCAGTGGACTAGGCGGTGGGCGCGGCTCGCTCTCCGCGAGTCGCTGGCGCGTCCGGCGGCCGATTCCTTCGCCCAGAGAGGAGTCTCCGGGTGACCCATCCCTTGTTCCAAACGTCTCTGCAACGTGATCTGGAAAGTTATCGCTATTTACTGCGGAGTCGTCCCCGCCAAGACCCCAGTAGGCGTCCGACACCGCCAGATTACCTTCGTCGTCCACGTGCTCCGTCTGTGCACGCGAAGAAGCCGCAGCACTTCTCTTCGTCTGCCGCTCTCCTCGTCGCGGTGCCATGCCACCCAAACCAGTCCAGAAACGCTTACTTTCCGTTCCGACTGTGCTGACTGAGGCGTGCGCTGACGGGCTCGTGAGCACGAGCCCTCGCCCTGCGCGAGCGTGCTTCTACGGTGGCAGCAACGCGCCTCTTTCCGGGTGTTTCGTGACCTTCCAGTGAGCTAGTCTGCAGGTGCTGACTATTGACCACACTGGACGCCTTGTCCAGCTGCTCTGGCACCGGTGTTTCTCGTAAGCGGCCAGAAGATATCACCGGCAGCGGGAGCGGGCCTCCGCTGCTGGGCGCCTCCTCTGGCGACGTTGGCTGGCGCCCCCCCCCCCCCCCGGTGACGACTGGAGCGATCATTCGCTGCCGTCGCTGCTGCAGCTGATTTTTTACCTCTGACGAGGGGTTTCTATTGTATTTGGAATCGCGTATTGCGGGATGGATATTACGATTTATGTAAGTGTTCATCAGGATGCTGAACTTCAAGTTCCATGACAGATACTTCCTTGCGGATGTACTGGTCGTTTCGGACGTTCTATCATGAGTCTAGTGCCTGCAGTACGCATACGCGTTAGCGCCGAGACCGCTGGAGCGGATATTTCATAGAGCCCGAACGGCTTTGCCATACGACTGGGGCGGGGGGTGTTGGCCCAAGGCATGATTCACTGGACATCGGGGTCGGAGCGTAGAATCATTCTGGGAGCGTGCAAGCTGTGCAGACGCACTGCCTGTGGCAGCAGCGCGAAGCGATATACAAGGAGTACACTGCGACCAGGGCGATGCCCAGACGCTGGCTAACTGCTCGAAATCCCAGAATAAGCGGCGTTTCTGACGAGTTGCCCAGGTCTCAATAAAGCTCCTGCAACTGGGGGCCTGAAGCACAAGCCTGGCAGGCTCGTGCGACTCGCGGGACCTTACGTCCAGAAGGTAAACTCTCGACGATACGGAAACCTTTGCCCCCTTTTATCGTTTGTCGTAGAGGGGCAAAGAAAATGTTATCTCGCTACTAGTTTGTAACTAGTCTCTGTCCTTTTGGGTATATCATGCGCTCGATACGCGCACCTCCATATCTGGCAGTCACAAGACCTGACGTGTATCGCGCCGATGAAGGGAAACGCGATCCTGATCATGAGCGTGTAGCTCCAACGTACAGGACGCATTTGCGTTGAGGTCATGCGAAAGTATAGTATTTCATCCCAGATGAGTTTCGACCCTCAATGGAGTGTATTCAAGTGATTTTTCGCGGTTTATAGTAGTAGCGTTCAAAGAGCATTCTTTTCCAAAAACAAAAAATCCAAGGGACAGGTATCGACCTGGATGTTGGGAATCCTTAAGGGCCATCATCGTCGAATTCGACGAAGAATAACCGAAGAAGAAATCCTCTTTTCGTCGACTATCGAGCGAACATGAGCGAACGATGCGGACGAAGAAGACCGAGAATGGATGTAGGCGAGAAAGTGTGTGCCCGACGAGACGATGACGAGACTGTAGTGGCACAGAGGGCGCGGGTTCTGGGAATCCTTGGAAAATTGCGTTCAGCCAGAGGCAATAAACGTATGGTGCTCGTGAACCGAGACTTTAACGCCGTCATCAATATCAGACGATGGGCGGTGCTGAAGACGAGACACGAGGAGCTTACGCGATCTAGCTTTGTGGAGTAGCCTCTCATGGGCGATGTGTACAGGGAGAAGCTGAAACCGATAGCAGGTCGCCTGTGTAGATAGGCTGGGAGGCGTCTGCACGTGGGTGTCAGTTTACGATCTCGAGGCGACGCCTCCAGTGGTGCGGAAAGGCCGTTCTGTCTGCGCTAATGCGAGACGCGTGGTGGTTACCTGGGCCCTGCTTTTCCCTTATAGGCTATTACGTGAGCCCTTGGGCACCTTCAGCACAGAAACGTTTCCAGTCTGCAACGTGGCGGGATAAGCGAGTCGAGCTCGGAGCGCTCCGTGTACAATCACGCTGTCTCCTTTCGCAAGTTACGATGCGTACCTGTTTCGCGGCTGGATTTTTGGCACCAAAAGCGCTGTAGGTACCGGGTTCAGGTACAGTTCCATCTCGCCAGATGCTGTTGGTGTCGAAGGATCGGCTTCAGGAGGAGGTAAGCGTCCGGCATTGCGTACCAAGAGGTCTGCGACGAGGCGTTCATCGCGCAGTTCGTCGCATCAGCAGGCGGGCACTGCTTGTAATCGACTGCCTGAGCGCTTCATTGAGACGATTCATAAAAGCCATCGTCGCCTTCAGATATCACTCTGAGAACTGTTTGGACGCTGCAGAACGATTCTCGGGATGCGCGAAACATGCCCAGAGTCGGCACCTGGCATGGGGTAGGGTCCTGGTCTGTTGTGGTGTAGGATCCTTAAATCTAACCAGGTTTCTGGCGATGCGCATCCGCTTCTGATGACCACGAAAGAGGCCTCGTTCGCTTCACTAGCGCATGTGTGTGTTCGGCAAGTCCCAGTCAAAATGCCCAACAGGTATAGAGGCTTGCTCATTCCAAAGGAACAGCGGTTATCGAGTCTACAGTGGGCGCTCGCGCCACCGCGGGCTCATTCTCACACGCTCACCGCAGAGGTTCGTTTCCTAACGAGCAACTCGCGCGTCTGCAGGCGCATTCTCCAACGAGATGCCGACCCTGAAAACGTATATTTCGCTGTATTCCAAGTCTGGAATCATCCGAGGCACTAGATGCGAAGGCAGCCGGTTTCGGGAAGTGCTCGTCCCAGTCTGATACCGGAAATCCCGCTGTATTCCAGGTCTGGAATCATCCGAGGCACTAGATGCGAAGGCATCCGGTTTCGGGAAGTGGTAGTGCCTCCATCCGATCGTATATCTCGTTGTACCCCAGGTCTGTAATCATCCAGATCACGACATACATAGGCATTATGTGTCGGGTACTCGACATTCCGCCTTGCTCGTGCTTCGCGCTGGCATACGATACAAATGAAGCACAGCCGCAGTTGCGCAGTCGCGGTTGCCAGGCCCGCGTTGCGTACGGCTGCGATGCCCGCCGGAGGACACAGCCTTGTGCTACGCTGGGCTCGTGCGGCGTTGCGCCCGTATACTGTTGGGCTCCGTTGGAGACGGTATGTCGGTTAGGTGGAAGCGGCTTCAAGCACAGCTCGGTTTCCTGTCTAGTGGACTGCGCATGCAGCATACAATTTCGGAAAGCAAAGCACAAGGTGAACGAGCGCAAACTATAGCAGAACGACTGTGCAAGGTACGGGAGCGAATTCAAGTCGCTGCGCTTGCCGCAAAACGCGACCCTGCACGGGTTCGCCTAGTTGCTGTGAGCAAAACGCACGCTGCCGGTACCGTGCGGGAGGCGTATGACGCAGGTCAACGCCACTTTGGGGAGAACTACGTCCAGGAGCTGGTTGAGAAAGCGGAACAGCTACCGACAGACATAAACTGGCACTTTATCGGACACCTGCAGAGCAATAAAGTGAGGACGCTGTTGAGTGTCCCGAACCTCTGGTGCGTTGAGACTGTCGATCGACCCAAGCTTGCGAATACACTGAACCGCCTCATGGACGAGTTGCGTCCCGACGGAGGTCCGATACCTGTGATGGTGCAGGTGAATGTCAGCGGGGAAGCGAGCAAGGCCGGGATAGAACCCGCTGCCGCTCCCGAACTCGTCGAGCACATCCTGCAGGCTTGCCCGCGGCTGAAGCTCCTCGGTTTAATGACGATAGGCTCGCCGGACCCGAGTCCAGAGCCTGTGGCGTTCCAAAGGCTCTCGCACTTACGAGACCAAATACAGGACCGGTTTAGGTTTCAAGAGCCGCTCGAGCTCAGCATGGGTATGAGTGATGACTTTGAGGCGGCGGTACGCATGGGTAGCACCAATGTACGCATCGGATCCACTATATTCGGGCCGCGTGTCTATCCGCAATGAACAGATCAATGCTGCAGACGTTTTCAGGCGTTCTCTCCGGAGCTGGTTTGCGGCACGAATACGCAGCGACACCAGGTGCTCAGCAGTCCGCTCATACTCGATACCGGAACGCACCTGCACCTGAACGATACCGATCAGCTTGCCCGTAACCCTCTCGTCAAGAAAGCGTGCGACTGGCGTAGCCCGTGAGCGTTGCGCCTGTGCGTAGCTATGAAGAAACGCACCGGCGGGGGCTTTAGCTGGGCGGCGAACCATATAGAATACACTGTTTAGGGTCTCTCATATCAGCTATCGGACGAGACGGCCTCGTATTCCAACCCCTGCTGGTGCGCAACTCGTTTCCAACTTCGTTCATTTGCGTTGTTCATGGAAGAGAAACCAGCTTGCGCTCTAAACAACTCGCTGCCGAAATGTTCAGGTTCACAGTGTTATACAGGAAACCGGGACAGCATGGCAAGCGTCTACGCTGTTGTCGTGTCATCACCACGAGCCCGAACCGACGTTGCGTGACGCCCTGGCCGTTGCTGAAGCCGTCCGACTCGCCAGAACGCTCTCCTCACCACTATGGCAGCCGCTGCTCTCGTATCGGGGAAATCCAAAATTGCACCCTCTGGTTTCAAATCAACGCCGCAGTGCCAGTGCGACCCAGCCCAGAATAAACGCAGTTCCGCCGAGCGGCGCTACTGCACCGAGCCTCCGTTTACCCGTCAGCGTCAGCGCATAGAGAGAGCCCGAGAATAAAGCGATCCCAGTGGCGAAACACAAGCTTGCAACTTTGGCGGGTCGGTTTTCAAACGCACCACCTCGTGCAGCCAGCGCTAGTGCCAACGAGTGCACCAGGTGGTAGGTTGCGCCGGTCTCCCAGATGCGTAGCAGCTTCGGGTCACTCACCCGGCGTGGCAATGCGTGGGAGCCAAACGCTCCCAACGCAACCGCGAGTGCTCCCGAAAAGCCGGCGACACGCTGAACCGCGCTGGAACTCTCCCAAAACCCGGGCGTCTTCATCATGGTATCCACCAGGCCTGACGAGCGCGCATGCGAGAAGTCATCGCGAAGAATCGCGGCGCGCACGCCGCCCGAAAGCGAAATCATTCATGTGGGAATTTTAGCGGGAAAACGCTGGCTTTGGCGCTGAAACATATGATCGCGCTCGCTGCACCCGTGCTGGAATCGGAGGCGCGCGGCTCACAGCGGAAGCGATCTGGTGGTGCCGTCCATCCAGTGCGTGCTTATGCGCGTTTATGCGTGTTTATGCGTGTTTATGCGTGTATGCGTGTATGCGTGTATGCGTGAACCTCATAGACTCAGTTGCAGCTCTGTAGGCATTGGTGCTCAAACGACGGGTTTCGGGTCTATCAGCCATCGAAATGAATGCCGAGGCGGCGCAGGAGAGTCAGGATCTTTACGCGAAAGATTTGCGGCATGTTGCGCAAGACTATTTCGTGGTGAGGACTCTCTGCAAAAGACTCGTTGTGGTGGAGTTAGAACTCTACCGAGCTCGGCGCCTGTGTAGAGCTTGGGCTCAGGCGCTAACTGCACAACGCCAACACACACCGCCGTGCATGCACGAGCAGCAGACGAGCAGCGAACTTATATCTGCTGCGGCTCATGGCACTTGTCCTTATCGCGAAGCAATGCTCTATCTATTCCGTCAGGTAGCGGAAACAGGTTCCGTGTCGGAGTATTTACGTGACGTTGAGCACAGGGGCGCTCGTGCGTCCTCTTTGAAGGCTCTGCTGGAAAGCCGATCGCCACCCACGCAGTGGACTCGTCACGAAAGCGCCTCGGCGGACTCTTCTGCAGCCTCTGGTCTGGCACATGGGAACCGAGTCCAGAGTCAGAGGGCACAAGCGCGGAGCGCAAACGTCAGCGACGGCGCCGAGCGGGCGTCCGCGCAACGGGTGCCGGCTCCGTCATCCTCGGAACCGGCGATCATGCAGGGCCAGCAGCTACCAGCTAACGTCGGTACCGATTTGAGCCAAGCCGGGCATTCGAAGCGACCATTGCAGTTCCAAACGCGTGGTACCACGGGCCCCGAAATGGGCCCGTCTCGAACGACGACGCTCGCTGGATTCCGAGCAGCGCAAATGCCAACGAATGCTAGTGCATCTCAACAGAACCGGTGGCCGCCCTGGAACGAGCAGTTCATGGAAGCGCTCATGGAGAGCGAACGCGACACCGTTGCTGGGCTTATCGAACAAGAACGACTACAGACGCAGCTCAACCTTCTGCGCGGTGTCATGATGGATCTTGAGGTTCTGCTCGAACGATGTCCTTGCGAGGACGCAGACGGAGCGATTGATTGCATCGACAGTGCAGATGACGACGAGAATTCGTTACCACCTCTGGCTGAGAATGGCCATATCCGCAGCAACAAGGCCGAGATGTCGACCAATACCTTCGCATGCTAGCAGGGCCAAACCCGATGGACACTGCGGTATCGTGATCAAGATGGTCACATCAGACTGCGTATTGTCATTCATTGAACAAGTGCTCCCAGTGCAGCCGTCCCAGGCCAGTCTTTTTTTCGTTTGGTCGCTGTATTGGGACGCGTTCAAACGAATTTGCCGAACAAATTTTATGGCCAGCTTTCAGACGCTTTGCAGACCGCGCTACAGCGTTCTAGGCCTTTCTGAGCTACGATGCATCTCCCGTGCGCATGAGCTGAGGCGCGTTTGAATCGATATTCAACGCAGAGGCGCTGGACGTTTGTGCATACGCGATCTGCAATGCCAGTCATTACCGGTCTAGAGTCCTGCTGCGTCGTCGTCGTTGCCATCGACATCGCCGTAGACTGGAAACTGCGTCCTCGGGTATGAGATCCATGAATTCGCCCGCGACGCGTCGACAGACGACCTGTACGTCCGGACAGCCCCTGGCAATCATTGTTCGGGTCAGACAAGTATCGCAATGCACTGCATGGATAGAGCAGCTGCTGTGTGTGCGTTGTCGCAGCCAATCCAGCTGAGCGTCATGGCGTGCACTATAGAGCAGAACGGTATATGCGGGCGCCGGTCTGGCGAAACATCGTAGCAGGCCATTCCACAGATGCTCACGCCCATGGACAGCGGGGCGGCGTACGCCACATGACCATGGAAGCGAAGAAAATGCGCCCCCAGAAAACTTTGCTCCAAAAAGAATCAAACGGATACATGATACCAAACAGAGCCGCATCGGTCGCAGTGGCTATCCTGCTGGCGAGCGCTGGCTGCGCGTCAAGCTGCAAGTTGAGGCGCTCACTGCTGACATCGTTCCGCCCCGTTCTTCGGCACAAATTCGAACGCTCCACAAAGATGACCACATGGTGCTGGAGGAGCGCGCGCATGCGCCCGTCCTCATACACTTGGCCGGTTACCGCGAGTTTTCAAACCATCTGGTTCAATGTTTGGAGTGGCTGTCTATGCGGGATGCCACCTCACGCATGCTGCGTTCTCAGACGGTGGCATCGCTCGCTGGCATGCAACCAACGCGCGCGTCGTTTCAAGCTCGCCAGCAGCAGCAGCAGCACCAGCAGCGATCGCAAAATGCCGCACACGACGACTGCTCATGCATCTATCGCCCGCGCCCGAGTTCCTGCGGTGACACGCGAAGCGTGATCCAGGCGGGAAGCCCCCACTGCGGATCCGAGACTGCCATCGCTTCCACAATTCGCTCATTTGCCTGAAGTGGATGACTCTCGGGCCAGGTCTGGAGCGTCGTCACGCTCGCGTAGCCCTCTCGGATGGCGACCAGGTCGGAGTTCACGAAGCCGTACAGCGGCTCTGGGCGCCCTTCTGCGCCAATGATGACCATTTCGGCAGAGTCTGGTTTCTGTCCAGCACCACTTCGAAAGACATCACGATAAAAAATCGCTCCTAAATGCGTTGTACGCCATCGTCCCCAATGCCAACGGGCAGGGAAGTTCACATTCAGTACCAAGTCGCCATAACAGAACGCACTCCACACCAGATCCAAAGCATCCTCTGATGCAGCATCTTCGTCTGCTGCGACGGATCTGTTTACCTCTGTGGCAGGAGCCAGTGCTTTGCCACAGACATCACAGTGCCGCCGAGGCGTGCACCGCACACTGCTTGCGGTACCGGATGCCGTAGAGGTCTGCAGGCCAGGTCTCGGTCCATGTTCCGAGCGCCCGTGCAGGTGCAAACTCCTACACGGATCGAGACGTCCAGCGTTGGGTGGCGTTAACGGTAATCGTTCCACGAGCAGGGATACCAGAAACGCAGCGCCTTGAACGCACGCCTCCTGCGAGTCGCGTTGCAACGGTTCGCCTGCGAGACTGAAGGCTACCGCTGGGAGACCATAGAATCCGGCTTGTCGTGCACCGGAGAATGTGCCGCTATGCAAGATATCTTGAGCGAGATTCGCGCCCAAGTTCGGCCCAGAGACGACTACGCGTGCGCATTTACCGAGGCGGGCGAGCAGTCCGTTCGGCTCGATAGCCGTGATCACACAGTCAGCCGGCGAGCCTGCCAGCGAGTACACACCTGTCTTGAGATCCGCTCGGTGCACCAGCTCCATAGGCGTCGCAAGTGTCAGTCGGTGGCTGCACGCTGATTGGTTTGTTTTGGGTGCGATCACTACCACGTCGAGTGCGTACTGTTCCTCCAGCGCCGCGGCCAAGCGCAGCAGCAGCACGGACTCAACACCGTCATCGTTCGTTAAGAGAACACAGGGTTTCAATTCAGTTGTTGTCGTGGGGTGCTGCATTTTCCAAAGCGCACCCCGCTTTGTACACGGGCCGCCAGGCAGACACTTGAGAAGCACTCGGCTGGTACCTTGGTCGCGTTGCGTGCACCAGTGCCTAAGACGCTGGGCTCGAGTGCGGAAACGCCAGGGAGTGGACCTATTTTTCCAAGTTGCTTGCAGCGCAACGTACATCAAGTCATCCAGCACTACAAGTCGTTTGAATACCACCTGGATAACCTGTTCTATGCACTCGAATAGACAGCAGCATACAGTCGCGACACCTCGACGAATTTGCGTGCTGGGGCGCTCTCTGTGGAGCTGGCGATAATGTTCCTTGAAATGAATGCCTCCGCATGGCGGTGCTTCAACGAGCGTTTTCCCGGAAAGGCGGCGGCGGCGGCACGGTTGCGGACTTCTGGGAATACTCATGTGCGGTTGACATGGACTATCGAACGTCTCGCTCTGTTCCTGCTTTTCGGGGGCTTCCGAAGTTGTTTTAGATGCACATCATCGATTGAGGACCTGCAGCAAAGAGTGCTGACAGGTTCATACGTAGTTCAAAGACGCTCAGCGGGTCTTTTCGGAGTGGCTGTTTCGATGCGGTGCAGCTGGGCGGATTCGCTCCGTCTCGGGGATCGAGATGATTCGCGACGCTCGCGAACCAGGAATCGTGAAATCACGGATAGCATGATCCAGTTCGTACGGCCAAGGCTCTACGTTTCACTTTTCCTCAGGTCTAGCACGCTTCGAGATTAAGATCTTGATGTTTCATGGCAAAGATTTGGCGCAGGTTTTCGCGCTGCTGGATGCATAAGGAGAAATGCTCGACATCTTCCATGGATGACTTGTTCGCGAGTGCGTACCAAAAGTTGGCTGTATTTGTCGCATTCAATCATGGATTATTTTCGAAATATGAACCCTCAGTTTGTGGCCGTTGGCGAAACGGATTCCACGGTAGCACGATATCTCTCACAGGATCTGCCACCAGACGCTCCCATCTATCGTGCTTTTCATAGCTAGGTATCTTGGACTGGGGTTTGAGGTATCGCATCGACCTCATTCAATGGAGAATGCGTCGTCGCTTTGCACGAAGGAGGCCTGAACGGATCGAAACTTTTCGACTTGTTCTCCAGGCGGGATTTTCATTCCGATGCTTGTTTCATGACGGACGACATCGCTTGCCGCAGATTCTCCTATCGAATGGAAGAGCGTGCGCCTGCTTGTGCATCTGCCAGAGCAGTCGTCAATGGGATCGCCCAGGTAATGCCAGTGCTCGTCTGGTGCGGTACTGGGCGCGGAAACGAATTAGGGTATCGGCAGGAGCGCTCTGTAACCGTCCAGGGCATCTGGTGAGCTATGGAGTGCGCCTCGACGCAATACGGGGCGGTCCACAGGGTAGCAGGTGTGATGTACGGATCGAAACGCCTGACAACCGCCATGCATGACCGTTGGGAAAGGAGCACTCGGGCCATAAACAGAGAGAATGACAATGACGAGCGAGGCGTAGACTGCAACCACCGCCTGTGCATGACGTGCGTAGACGACAACCCGAAGCAGTGCCATCGAGACCCAAACGCTGACATTCACATTACAAGGGTGCTGACAACGGAGCTGCCGGGAAACGAGACACCGGGCATAAATGGAACCGCAAGTCAGAGAGAGGAATACGAAGCAATCGCTTAAAGAAGCCCGTGAACACTGACGATAATCACCCTGAGAACAGACACAAACTTTACTGCCAACGACCGCGTTGGACGACTTGCTTCCTTCTTGACTGATATTCATGCACCATCCAAATGATCCTACACCCGAAGGAGGAAATCGTGTTGGCAATATCTGAAATCCCTGTTTTGCTGGAACGATTCGAAACCTGTAGGAAATCGGGCCGCGAACACTGCCTGTCCGCACTTGTTTTTCTTTTTTCGTATGACGCAGCGTCGCGCATCTTGTCGCGGGTCACCGAATACGCGATCGCGATCAGCATCAAAACGAGCATCTATGATACTGCACCGGATTTTCAAATAACACGGCTCACATTGCAGTCTTCGCTTGGGCATAATGGTTCCCTGGAACGACCATCCGCGTGCCGAGCGTACCATGGGTGCCCAGAGCGGCGCTTAGAATGCTGGTTCGTATGCTGCACCAAGACGAAACGACTTTGGCGTACTCTTGAGGTCCTCGGCTCGAGGGCGAACCCCCGGGTACCTCGTCGTCAGGCAACGGAGCCATGACCACTCGATTTGCGACGCGGTCGTAGCTGCTCTGACACGCTGACGCATCGAACGGAGCGTATGGTAGCGATCCCAGTGCCAATGGAACCGAAGCTGCTCGAGTGCCGCGCGACTACGCGAGCTTTCATGGTGGACCACGGGCTGCTGGTGCGCGCTGTTGTTTTCGGGCCCGAAGAGAATTCATTGATTGGTGCATTGCGTTCCTTTTTAACAACGAGTCCGTTCCTCTATATTTCCAGCGAGAATTGGCGCTGCGAGATGGTTTCTTTTGAACAGCTCTCTTGAATCAGGCCGAGCTCGGTTGGCCCAATCGCTCCCCGGAAAATGAAGGACGCTTCGATGCGGCCCCCGGTTCTGGTGCTGCGGTGAAATCGTCTGCGGCTGCAGAACCGGCCGTAGACACCATTGTGAAGCCCAGTAACCAGCGCTGGCGTCGTTCAAAACTCAATGGACATAAAGATACAGGGTCGTGTCACCGGTCTGATGGTAGTGCTTTCCAAAATGCGTCGCGAGGTCGAGACTCACCTGTAGCAACTCCTTGGCATCACGAGAAGCATGGATCTCGCGGAGCGTCTGGCCTCGGGTGACGGCTGTAACGGACGCACATCCATCGCAACTGGTGCAGATGGATCCAGCGGACGCGTATCCTTGGCCTGAGGCCATCGGCGCGCGCCTCGCACTGTTGCCGAGTCATCCTCGGCATCGGTATGCATGTCCACTGACGTCCGGGTCTTGAGGGCGAACCTGTGCGGCAGTACGCGCAGCACAACCGCTCAAGTAGCCGGCTGAAGCCGGATACAGTGATCCAGACTCCCGTCGCAACCGCTGTAGTAGTAGCGTATCGCTTGTCTGCCCGTTGCATACGCACACGATACGCGTCCGTCAAAACAGAAGAAATACTCGCTTCCCGAGCGCAGCACCGACACCGTCAAGTTGTACTGCCGCGTATCGGGTAAATCAATAGCTTCTTCCAGCCCCAGTACGAGCAAGTTGCATCCCCCGGAGGCTGTGTATGAACAGTTCCGAAACTCCGCCGAGCTAGAGCTTTCCGCTGCACACGCGAGCTCCGTCTTCGTGCAGTGCAGGTCCCAGGTGTCAAAGTTCAGGTGCGAGTCGGGTAAGGCAAACGTCGTGACGTTCGCGTCCGACAGACGCAAAAGCGTCAAGTCCTGTTCCGTCAGGGAATCAAAAAAAGGCAACACTGGGCGCGCTCCTTCAATATGAGTACATAAAAAGCTCAGAAAAAACACCAAGTAAACCGTAATTATCGCAAAGCGTCCAATATGCCTATGCATGATACGCTATACGTGCACAAGTCAAATGAATTCGATCGTCAAGACCAATATCGTGTACGCAATGGATCCGAAACAATGCACCACGAAAGGCGCTCTCGATACATGGCACGCTCAGGCGCCCAATTTGGTACCACGCGATCCGAGCACGCGCGGAGGCGTCCCCCACGGATCGGCGTCCTGCATTTGTCGAGACGCCACGAAACGAATGGGCGCACTCGTTGCAGGACAATTTTGTGATCGTGGACACGGGCGAGGCGTGCGTCGCGGATCGCCTGGGACCCTCAGTCGAATGCGTGCGTGTGGTGTGTGGGTTCAGGTTGTGATCGTCGACACGGGCGATTTTTGGAGCGAGAATTTATACGCACCAGGGATCCCTGATTGCGCGATAGAACGTCAGCGATCGGGAACGCGTCCGTCGATCCGCCAGCCCCCGAGTTCCAGTGTCCCTAGTAGACCGCGCGGGGTTTCTGATCATTTCGTTGATTCCTCTGTGCGCCGAGTCTGCGATGAGTGCCCGTGATGGCAGGTGTAGCGTCGGTGCGGACGCTGCACGGAGATGCAGTCGTTTTTTGCCATGCCCGTTAGGGCATCGTCTTGAGGTGTCGTGCACTCGAAAAGGGAGTCGGGTCTCTCTCCTTCGAACTGTTATCGAAGCGTGTGCGTGTGCAGACCTGATTTCGCGGGACAAGACGTGGGAGACAACTCGTTCGTTCACGTAAATGCATGGCGGAAACGAGTTACGCCTCTGCAGTCGTGTGTGGAATGAGTTGACGGCACGTGATGCGGGCCCATACGGCGCATTCGACCTGTGTGAAGCTACACGGTTCGCTGGACTTGCGTTCTGATGCGTTTCGCTGGACTCCGCACCTAAAAGGCAGAATATGAGTTTGGTGGCCACCAGCGAGCGTTGCGACTCGGTTGGAGACCCGCGAGCGGCCAGGGCTACACCAGGCGTGAGCGGTCACCCGTCATCCTCGAAAGGAACATCCAGAAGCTGCAGTCCCTCGAAGAAGCAGCTGCCTTCCCTATGTTAACACAGGCACTGTAAGCGTGCCAGCGTTTCAGTGTTCCTGTCCCTACAGTAGGACCAGTGTGATTTCCCGTGTGCATGCAGCGTTCCGATACGGCATGAAGGCGGTGCTAGCCAGAACGCACCGACGCGCATGCTGGCGAGCCAGTGGCTAGCTCGAGCATGCTCCGGGGATTCCAGCACCTCCCACAAGCACTTGCGGGTCCATGCTAGGCCCTAGTCCCGGTACAGAGTCCAACTAGCGCTGAAGACTCGAATTTTTTTCTTCTTTGGTGTTCCCACTGTTTTTCTTGGACCATACATTGGAGTCGTCGTGAGCCTTCCCTGTTCATGAGAGAACGATTGGAGGCTATCCTCGGCGAGGAGCCGCTTCGTTCAAACCTGCATCGATCTTGCCCAGGTACTCTTGTAATGCTTTGGAGCAGATATAGTGATTCGGTCGAAGCAGATGCGCGTGCTGGGGTGGTATAGTCCAAATGCACACTCGGCACTTGGTCGCCATCGCATCTATCTAAGGTCCATTTAGTTCACGTCCAAGCGCTAGGGAACCGGGCGTTGGGCTCTGTACCGAGCATCCTGCCATGATTCGTATCGTCCTGCTGGCAGCGGTCTGTATACACGAAGCGATTGCGGGGTTCAGGGCGGACCACGAGGCGCCCCAGGTCGCTGCCTGTACGTTACACGTCCCGAATGCCGTGGTACAGCTGCATGCGGACACCGCGAGGTCCGGCAGGATGTACGATACACGTCCTGAATACCCTGGTACAGCTGAATACGGACATCGCGGGGTCAGACAGCAGCATGCGCGCGAGCGCTATGCACCTCTTCATCTTGATGATCATCTCGCCCAGATGCTCGATAGCAACCGGCGTCGATACTAGGCAAACTCTCCGGTTACAGGCGGCTTTCGGAATTTCCTTCCCATAGGCAAGCGCCACGAGCGGTCGCGGAAACGCTGTGAATGGCCGTGAGTGACCATGACCCGGAACTTGGATGCATCGATATCCATCTCTCGACGATCTGCCTAGGCACTGACTTGTTGCATTCTTTCAGCGAATGCTTCCGGGCACGGCGCCAGCAATACGACAGCATCAATGAGTACGAGCCTCGCGATGCAGTCTTCATAACGATGCCCCTCTTGATCCCTGTATTATGGATCTCCGAGGTCCATCCACTGAAGCTCCGTTCCGCATTGCCAGCACCGATCTCGATGACTGGCCTTGAAGGTATTTTGAAAAAGCGCGGGGGTGCCGGACCGCCCTCAAACATTCCTCGACAAGCGCGCGCTCCCGATGCGCACGATCGCTCCAAAGCCGAAACGACGATGTGCGTACTCGCGTTTCTCCTTCGAAACCGGCTGGGACTTGCATGTGCGCTCCCAATCGCTTGAGCGGCATCATCCCCAGCATATGATAAGCGACAAACCCGCAGCAGTGGTAGACTTTGGTACAGGCTATGTGAAAGCTGGCTTCGCAGGCGACACGAAGCCTCGGGTTGTCCTCCCGAACTGTGTCGGACGTCCGTTCGCAAAGGCCGCAGCCGAGCCTTTTGTTGCCCGGAGCGGCGGCAGTGCGCTCGTCGTTGGAGACCAGGCGCTCAATAAGCGAGCGACAGGCCTCGCCCTCACATACCCGCTGCAGAATGGAATCGTCCAGGACTGGGAAGCCGCAGAAGCCGTATGGTCGCATCTCTTCAGCGTGGAACTTGGGATAGACCCGCAACAGCACCCGGTGCTCTGTACCGAGGCTCCACTCAACCCGCGACGCAATCGAGAACAACTCGCAACACTTGTCTTTGAAGCGTTTGGTGTACCTGCTTTCTTCATGGTCGTTCAGGCGGTGCTCGCGCTTTACGCAACCGGTCGAACCACGGGTGCTGTGTTGGACCTCGGCGACGGGGTCACCCATGTCGTTCCGGTTTACGACGGATACTGTCTACCACACGCGGTGCGGCGTTTGAACCTCGCCGGACGCGACCTAACAGACTTGGCAGCAAAGCTTCTCAATAGCGAGTGCGGTTTATCGACGCATAGTCGACCTTCTGTGGTGCGAGAGATCGCACGACAAGTCAAAGAGCAGCATTGTTATGTTGCTCCCGATTGGGAAGCCGAGAACCACCGCTTTCAGCAGGATCCAGACGCATTTCTCCGTCGCTATCTCCTTCCTGATGGGCAAGAGTTAGCGTTCAAAGAGTTGAGGTTTACGGTTCCGGAGTGTTTGTTTCAGCCGGCGCTCATGGGTATGGATGCGCCTGGCATTCACGAGCTGCTCTTGGACGCCATCCAGAAATGCGACGTCGATCTGCGACGCAGCCTCTACGGCGGTATTGTGCTGAGTGGTGGTTCCAGCCTGTTTCCCGGCTTACCGGAGCGCCTCCACGCTGAGCTTGCAAAGCAGATTCCCGGCGCTGGGGTCCAAACCAAGATCGTAGCAGGGCCTGATCGCCGGTTTGCGGTGTTTCAGGGTGGTGCAGTGCTTGCCGGACTCGATACTTTCGAGCAGATGTGGATTACACGTGCCGAATACGATGAATTCGGGCCGCAGATTGTTCATCGAAAATGCCTGTAGAAGAGCCTGTCTTGAAGTTTCCGCTATTGCTTCATACCGGGAGCGGGCATCTTTGAACAAGCGTTTCGATACCAGTCAACATGCGGAGACCTCGATGAAGCGCACCGCACGCTGAACGGTGCTTCTGACGACGAATCCTCGCTTCGACGTGGAGCGCTGCTGCAGGCTGCTGCATGTCGACAAGTGGTGCAATCTATCGGACGTTGTGTGCAGAGGCGCGTCACGAGCCCAGTGCGCAACTGCACGCGCCTAGCAAGATGCGCATTCGCGTGCTCGAAAGCTTTCCTCCCAGAAGCGTTTCATCCAGGATCTTGTCAGGCAACTGGAACATCAGAAGCGCAGCGTCGGATTCGTCATCGAGAGTTCGGCACAGAAATCAGGCTCCAGCAGCCGGGTACTTTGGGTGATTCGCCTACGTGAGTGCCTGTCAGCGTTCGTGCCTACCAGCTCATCTGCGTGTCTATCTAGCCTACGTGTCTAGCCTACGTGTCTGTCTTCATGCGTGCACGCATGCACGCTTATTATGGAATGCAACATCCATACCTGTGGTCCAAATTCTAGTCAGACTTGCGCAAACAATTGCCATGGACATGAATGTCAGATTCAAGCAGGTTCTCTCTAGATGAAGATATACAGCAAAAACTCAAGGTAGAATACGTTCCATATTCCCTTGTAGTACGTTCGCAACGCTTCGAGGTTCTCTGGTCCCAGGCGCATCAAGCGCCCATGAACCTGCGTTAAAAAGTACCAGCTCAATGCTAAATGTCCGAAACCGAAAACCCAGACGCGAAAGTGAAACCGAGCCTCCGGCATTAAGGATATAGCTGCAACGCCTACGAGCATGGAAGAGAGCGTTGCTGACGCCATACGCGCCACCTTGGCGACGCCCAGCCTACTCGCAAACGTCGGCACCTGATGCAGTCGGTCACCGTGCACGTCCGGTAGGTCTTTGGTGACCGCGATGACCCCCGCAAACACCGACATGATCATAATGAACAGACGCAGCGCTGGTGTCCAGGAAAGATTCAGACGGAGCGCCTCTTTGGTGGCGACGTAGACTCCGATGTTCAACAAAAGACCACGGACACAGGCAATGGTGAGCGCAGCCAACAACGGCACGTTACGCCATCGAAAGGGAGGTACGCTGTACAGCGCGCCTATCGTCGTACCGACTAGATAAAGACCTAGAATCGTGCGAGAGAAATGGCGGTAAACGATCCACACGCCCAGCGCGATGGATGCGATACAGAGCATCCATGCTTGCTTGGTCGTCATCATCCCAGCCGCCAGCGGTAAAAAAGGTTTATTGACGCGGTCCACGTCACGGTCATAGATTTGATTGATGCCAACAATAAACGCGTTGCCGAGCACGAGAGCAAAGATTCCCCAGAGAGCCTTGGGCACCAGCGTCCAGTCCAGACTCACTAGGATACCCGTAAGCGTTCCGAGAAACTCGGACCCCAGCCTCCCTGCCGGAACGAGACTTCCAGCTGATGATTTCGACCGTGCCAACAGCTGTTCCCTAGAGTCTATAATAGCGCGAATGCAGCCGGTTAACGCAGCGAGAAAGGTCCCTCGCACGGTGTGCGGTCGAGTGAACGCGTACAACGCTGCGAACCGTCGTTCAAACGAAAGCCACAGCTGCGCAGATCCGTTTTTATCCCCTACTTGGTCAATGTGTCCCTCTCGTGCTACACTAAGACCGGCACTGGCACCGGTTCCGGCACTCGCGTTGCCAGACTCGGACGCGGGCGCACTTGCGTAGAGCCGACGCAGTACGTCTCCGCTCCGTTTTGGTGTAGTGCGACACGCGAACCTCACTTGGTCGCCACAGAAACCTGCCCGTCGATGCAACTTAAGACCAACATGCTTCAGACCCGCTCGCTCGACCTGGAGGCAACGTCCGCTCACGGCAAGGAACATGAGCTTGACAAGCTCGTGTTCCCAGCGTCCCAGGGTATGCTGGCTGCGGGATCACGGTGAGCGCAGCGCGCCGCGCAGCGTCGGTGCGGGCGCTGCATGTAGACAGAACGGCTTTTCTAGACTGCAGAGGGCGTTGGCTCGAGGGGTGCTTCACCCGACGTAGAGTCGGAATTCATCATCATGATACGATCAGAAAGTCTGCGGATGCAGGCTTGTCTTCGCTGCACGGCACGCTGGAGAAACTTGGTTGTTAGGATGAATTCTGGGAGCCGCCTCTCTCCTTCGTGCTCCTGCAAGGAATGCGTTGTTGTTGGTTGGCAATGCGGGTTTGTGGTTGACACCCACCCACAGTGGGTAGGCGCAGAAAGCGCACTGTGCCCGTGTACGCATCCGCTTCGCTGGACCTGCTGCCTAGAAGGTAGCATGTGAGTTTGTTCGCCACTCATGAGCGCTGAGACTCGGTTAGCGGACCATCAGTTGCCAGTGCTACACTCAAAGTGATTGTCCGGCCTTCGCCTATCACGGTGATGCCCAGCTGCTGGTGTCCTTCAAGCAGCTCGCTGCGCTCCTGCTTCCAGCGCGGGCACTGTAAGCCTAACTATGTCAGCGTGTCGGGGATCTCGTTTCCACAGCAGGGACAGTGTGATTCCCAGAGTGATTCCAGTGTTCCTATGCGGCTTAGAGCCGGTGCTGCTAGTCAGAAGCCACCAACGCGGATTTTCGCGAGCCACTGAGTACCTCGAGCAAGTCCCGGGAATTCCAGCGCCTCCCACCAGTACTTGCATGTGTATGCGAGGTTGTAGTTCCGGTATAGAGTCAAGCCAGCGTCTCGACGCTTGCGCTTATCCGCGTCTGCTGTAGACCACGGATGCGATTTCTGGACACAAAATTATGGCTTGGAGGCAAGTGCTCTAGCTTTGGACATGGCTATGTACGCACAGACGCCGCCCCTTGTCATGAATTGCAGGATTCTTTGTGTTCCGGGTAAGCGCGATCCTCACCATAACGTACCGGTCACTCCACTCCCGGGTTCAGCGGTATCTGCAATGACGCGGATACCGGGACAGCACGCTGCACAACAATGCGACGCATCGCTGTTGGTATCTGTCGACAGCCAGTGCTGCGCATGCACTACTTGTATGAGCGCTCGCAAAATGAAAGCCACCCCCTGCGTCAGCCGGATACGGCCACGGGATGTACTGTTTAGGAAAAGAGGTCGTTCGTATCCGGTTATGGTTCTCCATCCGATCTGGGTCGCGATCGCAGCTTCCAGAATTCCGCGCCCTACAAAGCTATGATGTCCTGGAATCGCTGGAATGAATTTCGTCAATTGGCTCCACAGCACAAAACCAATCGTTTTTTTCAGCATCCCGCAGCACGATCGAACCATTCGAAGATACCGTACAGATACACCTGTCTGGTGCCGAACGTGTCCGAGACGTTACGCCTCAGACCAGTGCGTAGAGTACTGTGAGGTTTTCGAGTGCGGCCCTCATGCCTGGCGGGATCGACTCATGATGCGAGACGTCAGAATACGTCCATACCGAACTCAGCACTGACAGCGTGATCAGCAGCGCGACCCAGAAGCGCCAATCACGAGAAACCTCTCTCCAGGTAGGTGTTCTCGCTCTAAACTGCGACCATAGTTGGCGCACTCGGGCAGAGCTGCGTGTCCAGACGGTTGGCGCCGGCCGTTCCCGGGGCAGCTGGCTCCAGTCGATTTTTCCCTCACTCACGAACGCCTTCCATTCTTCGTTCCAGTCGATCAAGCTTTTTGGTACTTGATGTTGTGGATTGCGCTGTGGTATGCTTCCGCCGGTATTGCCGGTTTTATCGGCAGGCGCACCGCCTGCGTTCGAGTTGTCCTCGGACTCGTGCCGCGCTCTATCCGGCTGTCCAGCCAGGCACGTGAGCAGTCGTCTTCGTTCTTGCACACCGTGACAGGCGACTCTGCGGGGCAACGCAAAGCGTGCTCCAGACGTTGAGCGAGTAGCGCTGCGGTTGCGGGCCCGCTGCGCCAGCGCAGGCGCTGGTGGTGAAGGGCGCGCGACCAGGAACCGCACGCTCGAGCTCGCTCCCGTCGTAAACGCAACCGAGCGCTCCGGGTTCCGCGAACACTCCTGCCCAAACGTTACCTCTTGACCCTGAGTACTCATCCGCCGAAACGTGTGCAACTTCATCGATAAGCAGTTGCTGCGTGCGATCGCTGCAACGCTACACCAACGTACAGAGGTGAACGTCTATCATAGAATCTGACGCTACACACCAGTGCAGAGACTGATGCGTCCCAGGCGTTCGCGCGTTCGATCTCGAAAACGATGACTGTTATGTGCTGTTATATCCGTAGATGTCCAGCCAAAATTTTTTCAACTCGAGACTGCTCCACCCATTCTGTGGTGGATGGCAGGCGATCGACTCCACAATGCAATGTATCGTACAGATCATAGACGAAATCTCTCTAGGATGTATTCTGTGCGAAACTGTGCAAGGAGGACTGTATTTCTTGTTCAGGTGAGTCATATCATAGTGCTTAGATGGTTGAGGATTACTGAAAGGCACATGTAGATGCGCTTTGCGCAAAAAATATTATGAAAGACTGCTCATCGTCAATGATAGAAAACGAACCGTTGATCAGCATATGGAAAGTAAAACCAACGATCGTAGACACAGCAAGTGTCTCTGTTTCTCAACAGCTTGTTCACGTGGTACTCAAAACACTGGGGTACAGTCACAACAAAGTCCGCGTTCACGCACGACTCTCTTCCACAGAAATCGCAGCGACAGCGTTCCTGAAACGTCGCGATCGCTATGATACAGAGAAACGTCGGTTATTTTTTTCAGTGTATGAGACTTGCTTCAGAGGATACGGTCGGAACGTCCATGGGTATTTGCAGAGAGGGAGCCCGTTGTGTCTATGACCGAACTCGAAGAGATACAGGTTATCATCTTCTATTCTAGCAGCAGTGGATCCATTTGGTGGCCTCAGTTTCGCTTGTAAAGAAGTCTCGTAGAACAGCAGCAATGCTGTCGACTCGTTAAAGACTTTTCCCCGGACCTCTGGCGACGTTCTTCTACTGTACAACGTAGAATTTCAGCATTCACTTTGCGTTTGGGCTTTTCCGGATTCTATCGGGGTGCAGCTGCTTTTCACTCTTCCGTCCTCTCCGAGATTCAACGCTATAAAGAGGAGTGGTTTCTATGGTGAAACGCGTTGATCGGTCCATTGTACGAATCGCCGAGGCGTTCAGGACACGGTGACGCCAGGGCACATTTTGTCTGTCTGCCGCGAGTGCCTCTCCCGCTGCGAAATTCCTCACCCGAGTGCTTAAAGAGGTGCATTCATTTTCAAAAATAAAAATCCAAGAGAAGGCTATACACATGCAAACTGGGTATTCAGGAGTGCCATCATCACTGGATTTGACGAAGAAAACAGTAAACAAGGCCAATCCCAGAGGAACAGGAGAAGACCAAGAAGCACAAGCCGGAGGCCTGACGTCAATGGCCGCAAGAAGGACCACAGTACAACGAGATCGTAGTGAAAACCTGTCTTTTCGGGTATTTCGAGGATCCGTGCAAACAAAAGTTGCGAAATGGCCATCAGAAACCGTGTCGAGTCGTGCGCCATGAGTTTTATGGACGCCTCTTCAGGCCGAATGCATTTGGTTAAGGTCATGCAACGCGACGTGACGGGCATCAAAATGGGCGAGGTTCCAGTGGAGTCTCTCGACCAGATCTTCATTCGCCACTTGATGTTTCGCACAGGGCAAACGTCGAGGAGAAATGAACGAGTGCATGCCATTCACGAAAATGACGCCGAATATCGCTTCGACGGTGCTCGACACAAGCTTGACTCGTGTATTTAAGAATACGGGGCGATCAAGTACCTCATGAACCCGAAGAACCATTTGACTATGACCCTTGAACGCATCATCATACGCTTCATGTTTGCACTCTACCCGGGCCACTCTCGCATCGGGACATGGGCCATCATCATCGGCATTACGAACGATCGCCAGCATGAACGGGAGATCGAATTCATCGACAAGAAGACACCGCGCAGGAGAAAGAATGAGGACTCTGTGATCTGTGCCGCTATTCAAGAGCACCGTGCGGTCTTGGGGCTGGTCAATCCAGCAGAATAGGTATCCGATATGAAAAAGAAAGATGTTATCCTCTCATCCTGCGTTATTTCGTGTTTCTGAGTCGAGAACTCGAATGCAAAGCCGAAATATAGCAGAGTGTGGGAAAAATAGTGACGGGGAAACGGAAGGCTGCGCTTCTGGGGAAACGCTTCAACGTGGTTCCAATGTGCAACATCAAGTCACATATCGTGACTATCTACTCCAGAGTCCTGCACGGCATCATGAGGCAGCTCTACCCGGAGTTCAATCGACGGAAGATAGAGCTCACCGGTGAAAACCGGGAGACTCATTGGAAGAGTATCTTCGATTGCAAACGTCTGAAAACGAGCAAGAAAAAGGTATTCGCGGGCAGGATCGAGACCGATGGGGTCTCCATACGTGTACACTACCAGCGGTTGAAGGCGGGTCGTCCTATTGTGTCCACGGCTTCGCCGTGGCGAACCATGAAGATGAGAAGGAGGTGGATCCTGCGACGCAGTGACCTATCCCTGGATAGGTCACTGCGTCACTATCAACCCGAAGCACAAACCGAACACGAATATCCATGCACACAGACGTCGCCAACGTTGCATTCTAACAGCAAGCATCCGAAGCGCAACCTCTTCATCATCATCGTAACACCCCGCGGTGTCTCGATTCGACACAGACCAGGCGTCGTTTTCATACTGGCGGTTGAGCGCAGCGACAGAGGCTTTTATGTTGCGTGCGAGACGCACCGAGGCCCGCAGCACCCATCCCCAGGGCGTGTACTGCAAAGCGAACTGTAAACCGCGCTGCGAGGCATCCGATGCGAAGCACCCGAACACAGGCCCCCGGCACCTGAGCACCCTGGAATCCGCTCAAATATGTCCAGTTCGAATCGGTACCTCTGGGTGCGCTCGCACCGACACCATGTACCCGTTGGGCAGCAGGATCCCCGCAGACACTCGTTTACGACCAGTATCTACGATAAACGCGCCATCGACGAAAAAAAGCAGTTTCAGAGATACAGTGTGTTCCGCTGTTGAACGTTGCAGCGACAAGCAGGATGCACAGTGCGGAGATAGCGCGGATGCCTCGTCGTCATCGTCGTCGTCGCCGTCGCCGTTACCTGCCCTATGCAGACAACAACAAGCACCGTACAACATCGAGACTCGCACACACCAGCGAGCGGTGTGTCTTCTGGTTTCACACACCCATACGCGCGCTGTGCTGCACGGTCATCGCCTTCGCGCCGTTCGCCAGGGACCCCAGACAAGCCGCGGTTGCTGCGGGAGCGCTCCCGTGTCCGCTGCAGTGGGTCAGCGTCCGCCAATCGTCCCGCAAGCATCCGCTTTTGGCGGTTTTTTCGATGCTCCCCTGCTGTCCGTTTAAGCAGGGGCCTCCAATGCATCATCCATTCCACCCAGTTACACTCTTTTCGTGAAAACGAGGTGTTCTTCATTATACCTGCATCCAGGGCACGTGCAACGGCCGCTCGACACCTTGTAGCTACGCAGATACCTATGACACAAACTGACGGCGATCTTGTTCGTCACGCTTCCCATGCGGGTTGCTCGCCCGAAATCGTTGCCCTGAAGCAAGCCGTTTCCGAATGAGGTCTTTCAGGCGATCGCGATTCTTCCACTCATCTCCAAATCCGCCACCGCCTCCGCGTCGTCGAATTTTCTTCGCTCTCTCGAGGACGTCGAGACAGATGCGCGGCGGTGCACTGAAGCCGAAGCTTTTCGCCACCGCCGCAATGTCGAGCTCGTGCACATTGAATACATCTTTCATGGAGTGACTCGCATACGCTTGGAGGTAGGAACGGAATCCGTCCCGCGCAGATTTCTGAAGATAGTAATTGCCTTCAACTAATTTTTCCAGCTGGGTCTGAATATCAGCAAGTTTCTCTTTGGGAAACTCGTACTCGTTCAGAGGCACTTTGGCATCGCGCAGATGCTGCAGAAACCCGACTTCCGATGGCAACAGAAAGAGAATCGCCCGTCCGCGACCATGAACGCCTCGAGCGGTGCGCCCCACCCGGTGGATGTACTCTTTCGGCTCGTCCGGTGGGTCGTACTGCACAATCCAGTCGACGGCGGGAATATCGAGACCACGCGCAGCTACGTCCGTGCATAAGAGTGTGGCGTGCTCACGCCGAGCGAACTCGAAGAACGTCGATGTTCGCTTGCTCTGTTTCTGTTTCCCGTGCAGATCCAGAACAGGGACGTCTATATAGTTCAAAAGCTCGGCATAGAATTTCACTCCGTTGCAGGAAGACATGAAGACGATGATCTTCTTGCGCTGATTGCGCTTCAAGAACGTGAACAGCAAGCGGAAACGCTGCTCGCTGGGCACAATCGTGAAGCCCTGCTGCAGGCCCTCAACGGTGGCAACAGGCTGTTCTGCGTCGATACCCAGATGAAGCGGTTTCTGCTGAAAACTTACTTTGGCCAGATCCTCCACTTTGGTTGTTTGAGTTGCGGAAAAGAGCATTGTCTGCCGGGTCTTTGGCAGTATTCGCAGAATTTCATGCATCTCCTCTTCAAATCCGATTTCCAAGCAGCGATCCGCTTCATCAATCACGAGAAAGCGAAGGTGCTCAAAAACAAAGCCCCGTGTGGACTGTAGATGGTCCAGCAAACGCCCAGGCGTCGCAACGAGAATATTTGTACCGTTGATGAGCTTTTCAGCTTCGGTTCGGCGGTTTGCACCACCCATGACGATCGCTCGGGTCTGGTGATGATGTGAAGCAAGATCGTGAAGCACCCCAAAGATCTGCATCGCCAGCTCGCGGGTAGGCGCGATGATGATCGCACCAGTGCCATTACGCGGCATCCACTTGGCCTTGTACAGCAATTCAACAATGGGGATCAGAAATGCGAGCGTCTTACCGGAACCTGTTCGCGCAGAAGCGAGAATATCTCGACCAGACAGCGCTAGCGGGATCGCTCGCGCCTGAATCTCTGTCATCCTTGCGAAACCCATTTCCTCAATGCCTCGTAGCGTCGGCTCGGATAGCGGCAGTGAATCGAAACGATGAGGTGTCAGAAGGCCTGAACTCGGTTTCGGTTGCTCCTGTTCCGAGGCGTGCTCCGACGATAAGCTCTGTAACGCAGGAGACGACTTCTGTGTCACCTCTGGGCAGGGTCTGGCCAGAGGCTCCATCTCGTGCACTGTTGCTCGCGAGGATGCAACCTCTTCATCTGCGGGCGTTCTTGCTGCAGCGTTCTGAAGCTCGGTTTCCATCACCGGAGCTGGCGTCCGCAACTCTGCACGTTGTAACTCACATATCGAAACCCCCGCGTCTTCATTCGGGTTCCCAGCAGCTGCGTTGGTTGACGCGGAGGCCGACTTCACCGACTCGGAGCAGCGTTCGCGCTTGGCGTGCAACTGATCGGTGAAAGTCGCAGCCTGCGTGCGCGTTCTGGATGAACCGTAAGCGCCAGCGTTCCTCGCGACGACTTGTGCCGCACCAGAAGCAGGCCTGCTCGCGGTGCTCGTCAAGCGCTCCGTCGCGCTAACAGAAGATACGTCAGCGTCGCGAGCGAGCAAGTCGCTGTGACAAGCACGAGGGCGCTCTCGCGCCGATCGCTTCCGGCTCGCGACTACGTCCGCCTGCTGCTTCCGTTTGCTGTTCTCGCTTGCGTGCCGGATCCGACTTTTCATACCTATAGAGGAGCGATCCTCCGGTTCGCTGCTGAGTTCTGTCGATAGATCCACAAAAGAGGTTGACTCCGAAGGCGCACACACTCCACACTACACCGCAAGCTCGCTACGAAACGTGCAGTACCGTTGCCTTGGACAACAATGCTCGTATGCAACGAACAAAAGAACACCTGGATACCCACGACGCTGCTCGATCTCGTGAAATGAAACACGCCTTGTTGGCACTTCGTGAACGTGTACCCCAGGAACTAGGCCTATCGCTCGACTTGTTGTACCAGGTGTGTAGACGCACTGCGCCAGCAGCAGCGGCAGCAGCAGTCGGCGCTCCTGGCAGATGATGCAGCGCGTCCGATCGTGGCATAACGCAGCAGCAGCAGCAGCAGCAGCAGCAGCAGCGGTACAGGTCGTACTCGTGTTTGTACTAGTCGTGTGTTACCAGGGTAGGCCACACCCAAGACGCTGTGGGGTAGGTACACTTGCACTGCAGTTCGAGGTATGGTAAACAGGAGCTAGGTCACAATGCTGGCGTGCTTTCGCTGTCTGGTATGGTTTCGAGTTTGTTCTGCGTCTGGCGTACTGCGGCGAACGCTGCGTCAGCGCTTTTGCGCAACAACGTCCGGTACGATCGGCAGTAGTAGTAGTGCTGGTCAAGTGACAACGGAGCCAGCTGCGTCCACCAATGTCCAACGCTCTGGGTCTAGTCAAATCGAGGGAACGCAGCAGACAGCTCCGCGAACTGCATCTGCAGTTGCGCGTCAAGTGAAGATATCCCATCGCAAACTGAACGTCGTCTGCAGCTTGGTCCGTCGACTCTCGGTATCCGAGGCGGAGCGACAGTTGGCGGTTTGTAGGAAGAAGGGTGCGCGAATCCTCCTCAAGCTGCTGCACCAGGCAATGGCGAACGCGCGGAACAACCACCAGATGGACCTGGCTCGCACGTTTGTCCGTGAGAGCTTCGTCGGCAAAGGGCAGTGTTTTAAGATTCTGCGGCCGTGGCACGGGAAAGGCCGATTTGCGTTTCACGAGAAAAAATACAGCCACGCGACCATCATTCTGGAGGAAGCTAATGCAGCGCAGGACTCTAGTCGATCAAGAGATACCCGGGATACAGGACGGGGATTCAGTTGGAGCGCTCACCGGAAGGCCGTCAAAGGAGAGCGTCCTCTGCCGCCGCTGCCTGCCGTATGGAATCTGACTGTAGATCCGTCAGGAATCTACCGAAACACGCATCGCGAGCCCGATGATACGAATCAATCCCGTGGATAGCGTCCGAGCTAGGCACAACTTGACGCGCACGGTACGGAACAGTGATTGCGTTCCAGGCTGCAATCAGATGAGGCTGCTCGTTTAGCCACACCTGGCGAAGAATTGGGTTGAGGTTGCTCTGCGGGATCTTTTAACGCTACTTTCAATCCGTGGGCTTCCTGTATCACGAAACATTACCGACCATCCGCGAAGCGCTGGTCGGCATCGTGTGTGCGAACGATGCGCGACACGCGTATGAGACGAAAATGGAACACTGAATAGCTCGCTCTGTTCCTGCCTTTCAATTTTTTGGCTTTCTTAGATGTGCAGCAATAGGTGCTTATGGATGCATATCTAGTTTAAGGATGCTCGCTGCTCTATTCGTAGTGGCGCCGTCCACTCGGTGGCGCTGGAATTCGTTACGTCACCGGAATCAAGATGATTCGCAACGCCTTTGAATGAGGGTTCGTAAAAGTACCGATATCTTTATACAATGCATACATATGAGACTCCGATACTCAACTTAACTCTCGAGTAGTGTGCTCAGATCGCGCATTCTGCGAGTTTTCGATCTATCTGTTTCAAGCAACTCGCGGGCGGGGGATTTCGTGCTGCTAGACGGAAGGGGAAATGTGCTCGAGGTTGTCCCTAGACAACATGTTGAAAAACTCCTTCTTAAGGTTCACTGAACTTGTCACATCAGAAAATCGATTTCATTCGAAAGAGAAAATGTCCTCCGGTCATAGGCCATGAGCGAGACGGCGTTCCATAGCAGCACTACGTATATAACAGAATACGCTCGGAGAAGCCCACGGGTCTTCTGTTCTGTACGATAGGGGATGGTGGACTCGGACTTTAGCCACCACAACGATCGCTTGGAATGGAATGTGCGAAACTGCTATGCACGAGGGCGGCCTAGACGCATCCAAATTAGTCGTCTTGTTCTCTAGCCTGGATATTCCACCGGGTGCTTGTTTCATCGAGAACAGCATCACTTGCTACAAATCCCTTATCAAATGGAACAGATTGCGCTTCATCATAGGGTACTAGACTGAATGCGGAAACCAAGCAGAGCATTCGCGGGTGCCTGCGGTGGTCTTCAAAGGCATCTGGCGAGCAATGAGGGACACGTTTCCGCGGCACGTTCGAGTTCTCGGAGGAGGACGAGGAGGAGGAGGACGATGAGGAGGGCATGCGACGAAAACGCGGGAATATATGACAACACCCAGGTGTCATAGCTCTGAAGCGCGTCCCCGAGTTGTCCACAAAGGAGTTTGTAGATCGCAGCTTCCGCCTATGCATGACATGCGTTGACAACAGCCGGAAGCGACTTTATCGAGAATTTCACACTGTCATCAGCATCTTGCGACGGATGACTACAGAGCTGGGGGTAAACGAGCGAGGGTCGTACTGAAAACCGGAAATGAGCGTGAGGAGATGAAGCCAGTGCGGGGAAAAAATCGCAAATGCTGATGCTGGTATCAGTGAGAAGAGACCCAGACTTTTACATACGCGCCCGTTTCAACAAAGCGGACCTTTTCATCTCTATACTGACACAGGTTTAGATCCGCGCATATGAGGCCGCGGAGCAGGTTGCTGACTTTGTTGCTGACTCGTCCACGCTACGGCTTGTGGAGGCAGCATAAACGATCCGCTCTGCGAAACGATCCGCGACGCCACCTGTGCGTCTCAGGCACCAAGTAGCAGGTTCACAACACGGTGCCGAGCCCGTGGGGCATCTGCGGCTTGCCACTCGGCCAATGTATGACGCCAACTGTACGTTCAACGAGTGATGCCAAACGTATCCGACATCGGATGTCTGCGCACCGGTAGTTCTCTTTGATAGGGCAGCGCAACACGGGTCGCACCAGCGAGCGGACGTTCATCCGGTGTACATATGCAAGTGCGCGAATGTGGAGGTTGCAGTTAGAGGCACGTTCATTTCACAAGCCACGGAGCTATGCGCACAGATGGTGTAATTCTCCTGGTACAAAAGATACGGACCGGAACTGTCCGTAACATATCCTTCAGATGCATGCAATTACACGACAAACGAAGCGCCGTCATCCGTCGTGATTCATCTTCATTCATGCACAAGGTCTTCGCGCTCTTTTCGCGCTTTCGTAGGCGCTCACGCGGTAGGTTCACCATTTGGCCCCGGGCCCTGAGTTCCCCCGTCTGACCAAGGACGAATTGCTTCCTGAGTGTTGTCTTCGTTGGTTCCTGGCTCATTCGCTTCTTCCTCTTGCCACAAGTATACGGATCCTTCCAGCGCAGGCACCGTTTGCAGAGCCATCTGTGCACGAAGGTACGCCATGAACCATTCAACACCGCTGCGGAGACGCTCCAGATGAAGAGCCGGCTGGCGCCCGCGTAGAGGCTGGAGCGTCCCTAGTCCCAGGATCGACTCGACGAGCGGGCGCAAGCGCAGGCGCGTGTGTTGGATGTTATCCAACGCGTGCTGCTCAACCCACCCGTCCAAGTTTAAATAGTACATCGAATATCCCTCAAGCTGGCGGATTCTCGTTTCCTCCTCCCAGGAGGTGCTCTCCTGCCACCCGGGGGCGTCCTGCTCGGGTCGGAGCCGGAAAGCGCCCAAACCCAGAAGAGGGACCCAGCGCCGTAAACGCCCACGCATGATCCATCGAATGTAAACGGTTCCCTCGCGCTCGTCATGGAAGAGTGATGTAATTTCAATGGAGCGCTCCGAAAATAGAAGCTTCCCGTGTAAACGAAGCACCCAGAAAACGGCTTTGTATGCACCGAGTCCTTGCAGGACGTTTCCTGAAGTGCGGTCCACCAGCGTGATTGTCGGCGAGTATACTTCAAAGTTTGGATCTCGTTCAAAAAGGTGGGGATAGTCCGAACGTAAGGTCTCTATTACAGTGCCAGCGTTCGCTGCGTAGTCTGGGGAGCGCTTGTTCCGCTGGTCCCTCTGGGTGTCACGATCCTCTGACAGCCCCGGAAACGGGAACCACTTGCTGCACACAAGACTCCGTGTCCCCTTCGGTTGCCGCTTTCCATTTACCGAAAAACGGGGTCTGTTTGTCGGTCGCTGACGGCTGCCTTGGTCGTTCACCGAGTGTCCCAGCCAGTCGGAGACGCCCGCGCAGGTGACGTCGCGACGCACCCATCGAACGCTCGGCGACAGAGAAGTTTTTCCTGTGGCTGCTCCTCGTTCCAGGCCCCACCACGCAGGATATGCGCAAAAATTCAGACCTCTGTAGTCCAAAGGATTCATATTGGTGTTCGAAACGAGCACACAGCGCAGTCACTCTTTTCCGGGTGGCACTCGTGCGCAATCCCAACAGTAGTCTAATTGCGCGAGTGCTCTCCTGCTGCGAAACACGTAGAGGTTCACAAAGAGCGTGCAGGAATCAGGTGAATCTGGCAGCAAAGTGTCAAATTATTCCATGGTTATACATTAAAGTCCAGAACGTTTTGCGGCATGGTGTAGAGGCGGCGCAGTGGCATCTATCTGCGTAACGGCACCTAATTGAATATCTAGGGCTCAAACTATATTAAATGGACAGTATGGGTACACATGTGGCGAGACGCTCGTAGACGGCATCCGAGCAATGGAACGAGCTCAGGACGCTGACTCCTCGCTAGACACGAAAAATTTAGGTCGCTTTCCCCTGTGATCAATACCAGCCTATGCTGGTCTTTTCTGCGGCTGCATCCTTTGCTACGCTCTTACATCCGGTTTTCAATACCCTGGGTGGTACGTTCCCTTCAGACAGTTGTGAGCAGATGAAGGATGATCACGGCAGTGTCGTAGTCCCGAAATCGCTGCTCTTCGCTGTTGTCGTCGAATGTCATGTACACGTGCAAGTTGCGATCTGCACTGTGCTTGCCATATTCGTCTCCTTTGGACACAGCCTCGGTGCGCTGTTCGATGCGGTGACACGCGATTTTGGCCAAATGGTCTAATACGTTCGCAACGCAAACGTCCTCCTTTGAATGCCACTCTGTTTCACGTGCACGCTTGCTGCATCGCTTGGTACATGCCTCTGGTGGATACAGGAGGCCGCTCTCGAAACCGTTCTCGGTTTCCACGCCCGGCGCCGCACGCTACCGTCACGAGCTTCTTCTGCGCAATCCAATCGAAGGGTACGCTGGCTGCCGCACACCCAAGCGCACGCTGTCCCGTTCGATAACGCACGATCCGCTTGCCTCAACGGCCCTGATGACGCTCTAGATAGCGCTAAACCATTGAGAACAGACTGGATTTTGTAGGATTATCTGTATTCTTTTGTCTGCGGTTTTCCTAATAGATGAAAATCAATGGAACGTCCACTGTCCGTGATGAAACATGCACCAGTGCGATCATCCAGGATGGAGAGCAAGTCGACACACTTCGATTCGTCTACGCTCCATTCTTGGAAAGCAGTGACGTACTCTCCACTGGAAGCGATTGATGCGAAGGCTGATATCCGAGTCCAAGACGCTTTCCGCTGCAAACAGGCAGCACGAGCGCCTTAGAGACCGAATCCCACGAAAGGCGGCATCCTGTTTTGGATTGCTATTTTGGCGATGGACACAGCGAAAGGTTTTTTTATGTTTCAGTCGGAATCGATGATTTGACGTGACCGATTCAGTGAACTTTCCGCGTGCGCTGTTGCACAAGTCTTCGAGAGACAAAGCAGCGTTTCTTGTTTTGTCGTCAGTCCAGCGATGCGAAATGCTGCGCCCGCGAATTTCCATGAAACAGAAAGATCGATAACTTGAAGAATGCGTGCAGTGAGCATGCTACTCGTAAAAAGAGGAGAAGCGTGGAGGCTTCTACGAACACATTTGATAATGCTATCGATTATTTTATGAATAGTCTCTCGGGGCCGCGCAGTTCCGCTGGAGGTGAGAGAAGACAACTCATATTTCTCTACCTGTTCTACAGTGCAAATCTCCAAACGATGCCAATTTCATCACAGACAATATAGCGTTCCACAACTCCTATATGGAAAGGGATTGCGTGTGCATGCGCGGGCACCGGACGGAAGAACTGCCGCAGGAATCGCCTAGAAGAAGCCTGTGAACGTCGGGTCCGGCCCCGGGTGCGGCAATGGTGCAGGGCATCAAGAGTAGGATCCTATATCTGTCTAGGGCATATGTAGACGAACGAAGAGAGTGTACACATGCAACAGGCCAGTCTAAGTCGGAGGATAAGGTGTCATGGAAGCATGGGAATACCCGATTAGAGCCAATTGTCACCGCTATGAAGGGCGCACCCAGGCTGTATACAAAGAAGATGAAAATGGTAAGCAAAGCGTAGCTCGTAACTTTTCTATCTTCATGAAATGCTTGCTAAGCAGCCGGACGCAGCGATCCCGGACTTGAACACAAGGCAATCAACGTGCTTCAACTGCTGGCATGGGCACTGGAGGGACTGAAGAAATCACCACGTTTGAAGCAGGATACAACGGCCAGGGAAAAGCAGTCGCATAGGCAGGCGTTGATGCCAGTGTGAGGGGATACAAGCTTTGGCGTACGGGCATCAGCCTGGAGACCCGCCCCATTCTATGCCACCACTGGTGCCGACAGCACATGCGTCACTGCGAAGCGCCCGATCATTTCCCTGTGAAGCAAATCGAAAGCATCTAACCAAGTAGACATGTTCCCGAAAGCATCAGAAGATCATATGTTGGATTCGCGAGTTCCATCGTCTGTGCATAGACGAATGCAGCGACAGCGACATCGCCCAAAAGCCTCCTATCCAACGCTACCGGATATGAGGACTCGTACCATGCGCGGCAACAGCAGCACTGTCCTACAAACGGTTTCCCATGGTATGAACCAAATCCAACGAGACCCCTCCTGCACGTGTCCGTGAGAACAAGCTTGTCTCGCCAGGGAACCGTGGTCCGTACGAGGCATTCCTTGACAGAGGTCTGGGACGATTGCGTGCGTGCTGGTCCAAGTGCTGCCGACACCGCCGCTTTTCTGTGTCCATATTTGACATGGTTCGGGCGAGTGGGTCACGGGTTGGAGTCGGCTGCGCTCCTCACAAAACGGCCTCAGACCACGTACTGGTTACACCGTGTGCAGACGTTCAGCTCCCGATGAACGCTGCAGGCAGGCCACCAGCAGCGCTTTCTGGGGTGTGTAGCCCTGCTCGAGCGAAAACACGTCACCTCCCGGGAAGGCCGCTAATCTTTCGCGCAAGCACTCCGTACCTCAGCGCACTACCAGGGGTCTTTTTTTGACGTCAAGTATACCGCCCAGTCCAGCGCCTTCAACCCGACGGCGAGCGTACCCTGGCGATATTGCGAAAGCCTCGTCCTACCGTTGCACTCGAGACCTGGAGCGGTTGAGTTGCGTCCCAGCCAAAGTTCTCTCCGTACGACGTCTCAGCACGATGCTGCCACTGAAAGCAGCAGTCAATCAAACAGCAAGTCCAGGTCCGATGCGACACCTGTGCTATCCGCAACAGCAACGTACTCGGCACATCCCAACAATGTCGACACGTACTCTGAGCACTAGCACGCTCAACTTTACCATATACAATAGATCTCGCTCGTACACAAGTCCTAGTGATGCGTCCCAGAGTGAAACGCCCTTCACACGAGCGTCAGCAGCAACGCGGACTCGCCTTCTGCGGTGCCTGCGCTCGGCGGCGAAGGGGTACCCTCAACTCAACGCCTGGTGGCATCTTCCGTTTCCATACGCATTCAAAGCGAGTGTTCTTGTCTACAAGCGTACTCGCTTGGACGTTGTTCTTTTGCTTTGGAAGCTGCGTCTCTACAAAGCACTTTGTGAGCACCAGGGGCGCAAGATCTGCACTCGGTACCGACTCATGGACGACCAAGACAACGTCCCGCGGAAGGCACGGCGAACTGCGGCAGCGAGTGCTGACGACCGAGCCCAACCCAGCGGGAGCGTTGCAATCACAGATACGGACAACACCGGAAACACTACACCCAGCGCTCAAAGCGTAGATCTCTCAGAGAATCTCATGGACTCGATTCCTCGGCGAGAGAAACAGCATATGGAAAAGCAGTCTGCTCCGGGTACCGCGGGTGCAGAAACGCTCGACTACGAGGTGCCGTTGGATAGCCCGTCGCTGCGCTGGCCAGAGAAGACGCTCTCCAGCACACGAGCTCAAGAGCTAGAACGAACACTGGCGGCGGAGCCCTGGAACGCAGACGCCTGGATAGCGCTGGTAGAGGAGGCCCAGCGTCACCCGCTGACGGAGGCCAAGGCGGTCTACGAACGCGCACTTCACCGGTTCCCGACAGGTGCACGCCTCTGGAAACTCTACCTTGAGCACCTCATTCGGGAACAAGCCTTTCCTGAAGCCGAGAAGCGATTCGCTTACGCGCTTCCTCGCTGTTACAGTGTTGAGTTGTGCCAGCTCTATCTGCACTATCTGCGCACCGTAAAAAAGGCGCCTATCAGCGTTCTCATCGACGCGTTCGAGTATGTGACTGCGCTTTTGCCATACGAACCAGCAAGCGCAAGTCTCTGGAACGACTACATCGCGCTGCTAATGGCGGTGCCCATACGCAACGCTCATGATGGTGCACAGAGAAACCGCTTGTTGCGAAGCGTGTTGCAGCGAGCTGTGACCCTTCCGTTGCACAACCTGGATGCGTTCTGGCGACAATTCGAGCAGTTTGAATCAAGTCAGGGAAAAAGCGGCTCCAGTCATGCATCCGTGGCGACACAACCTTTCCATGGGGCCTTTCTTCGGGCCCGAGCTGAGGCCCGTGGCCGACGAGCTCGCCGCGAGCACCTCCAGCTCCAGGCGCTGGCGGTTCCTCCGCGACGCGGAGCCGGCATCATGGAACAAGCAAAGCGCTGGGCAAAGTACATCCGGGGCGAAGAGGCGAATCCGCACGAGCTCTCCGCTGCTGAACTAGAAGCGCGACTTCGATTCGCCCATGAGCAGCGGCTTGTCTACATGTATCGCATGCCGGACGCCTGGTTGGAGTATGCGCTCTATCTCGCACATCGCGATGACGGCAACCTGGTGCGCAGCTACCCAGAGGCTATTGCGGTGCTGGAGCGAGCAGAACGTGCGCTTCCCGATTGCCTCCTAGTCTATTTCACCCTTGCCCGCCTTTACGAGGAGCTGGATGTTGAAATTGCTCGTATCGCCGGACAGCAGAAACGCAAGCGCGAGTATTTGCAGGAGGAAATAGAGAGACTCGGGGGATCTCGTCTCTCGAATGATGACGAAGCTGTGGGCGCTCCCGACGAGCGACCCAGTGACGCTGACCCCGACCAGAGCAACGGTGACGACACCGGCAGCGGCAGCCGCGAGTCGCACATAGCTTCCGCTCGGCAGTCTGGGTCGCCAAAGCATGGAAGCGGCGCCTCATTGGCGCCCAGCACCGATACAAAAACAGCAGCGACAGAGGCTCAGTCGGAAAGAGACGCACCAGCAGCGTCCAAGTCTAGCGGTGCACCAGCGAGCACTGAAGCTGCCGCTACCGGCACCAAGGCGGATACGCACAGTGAAGGCATCGGCAGTCGAGCAACCGCCGTCTACGAACGATTGCTTGCACGTGAAAATCTGGATGCAGTCCAACGCACTCATGCCTACATAGAGTACATGTGGTTTAGTCGACGTGTTCTCGGGGTGTCGGCTGCTCGGTCTATCTTCCGACGGGCGCGCCACGACCCTCGCTGTGCAGATATCGACGCGCTGCCCAACCTCTACCTCGCAGCAGCGACTCTAGAGACGTATTGCAATCACGAGTCGGGTGTTGCCAAACGTATTTTTGAGCTTGGACTGCGTCACTTGCCGGATTCGACGGAGATGGCGCTGTGCTATTTCGATTACCTGTGGCAGCGAAACGATGGCAATGAACTGCGCATGTTGATTGGGCGGCTCCTGCAGACAACGCTCCCAGACGATGCCAAGCTGCTGCTCTGTGATCGCTGGTTGTCCTTTGAGGCACGCTACGGGAGCGGTGGACTGCAAGGTCTGCGCCTCGCTGAAGCCGAGCGAAAACGCCTGTTCAGCGAGCGGCAACCGTCGCGCCTCAATGACCTCCTGTTCTATACCTCGTTCCTGCAAAATGTTCCATTGAATGACGACGAACGGGCCCTCATCGAGCAAAACACCAGTGATTCCAAGTCGGGTTCGCTGGCGGAAGCGCCTCAACGGGACGCAGGTTTCGTCCCCGGCGGCATCATTCCATCCAGTGCGCTGCTCTACGCGCTCGGTTCGAATAGGCCACAGGCATCGTCCGCGCGTCGACCAGATGACGCAGTTATCGAAGCAGGGCAACCTGTACGCAAGGGAGCCGCTCGTGCCGAGCGAAAAGCACCATCGCCGGCTGTGGAGAACATCCCGGAGAAGCTGACGCTCGAGGAGGGTCTCGCACGCCTCGTGGGAGCACTGCCACCAGCGCTATTGCAGAGCGCCCCACCGAACCCCGACTTTGTAATCAGACATTTATTGCGGTTACCAGCGAGCTTTCAAGATCTTGCAGTCTTCAACGGCGGTCGCGAGCTCGACTCGAATGCCGCTGGACGTCGTCCAGGGCGGGACAAGGAGCGTCCAAGTCGCTCCAGTGGCGACACCTATCCGAGTCGCACTGCTGATGCGAGTCCTGTGCCATTCGCTGAAAGTCGCCTGTTTCAGCGGTTGCAGCGTGCTCGACAACAAACAAGTCGTGCTCCTCGACCGGACGCTTACGGCTCCGGGACAGACGCAGCGCCTGCTTCGATGCAAGCACCACCACCGACCCGCGATATCTATCGCAGTCGTCACCGGGGCTGATGTCGTGCTTCGACCAGGGACCCGCTATGCTTGCTATCTTGTTGCTGGGGACATTTTACTGGGGCGCACACACACGCCCACACACAAACATATAGGTTCACCAAAGGACCCTGGGTGCCGGAAGCTGTGCGCCAACAAGCTGGTCACAGCACCAACAACATCAATATCAAAAATAGCTGCTGCTTTTGCTCGTTCCATTGACACGTTCGACAAAAGCGCGAGCAAGGTCCGCAGCATGTCGCCCGTAGCAACGAGAACACCCGAGAAAAGCCGTACGACGCACGGTGTTGCAGAGCGGCACGAAAACTGGTAAACGAGCCAACCGAAAGGCAGCGCTCTCTGACTCGAGCGTTGAACACGTAGACCTCTGCTCGGTTTCAGATGGCAGTAGTCGAACTCGTCAGAGACTCTGATCTCTTCTGAGTTTCCAGCTGCGACCTCAGTCGACGCGCCAGCCTCACATAGGGCTCGGTGGGGCTCGCACGCTGCTCCAAGCACTGCGCTTGGCACTGGAGCGCACCGGTCACTTCTGGTGTGCAGACGGCGTTACCAGCCGGTGTCCGCCAAAGTTACAGACTGACCCTCTGAACCAGTCTCGTTTGATGGATGAGCACTCTAGATGTCAACAAACCTACGAGTTGCATACGATCGTGCAGCACGGGAACGCCAACACTCACTGAACGCACCTCCGTCACTTGTTGCGAGCAGCAGTGCCGAGTGTACTCCAGATTCTTAACCTCATCAAAGTGCACAAGACCTTTCACCCAATCTAAACCAGTGTCTCTGTTATGGGACTCAAACACCGTTCAGGTCGCTAGCAGCGTGTCCTTGGACAGCGTCCCGCAGCACCTCCTTCTTCCAACCCTGGACGGGCGTTATGGCTTGCTGCCCAACGCTAGCCGATACACGACTGACCAGAAGCAGCGCACCTGTTGTTGCACCGCTGGCTTTGGCTAGTGAGCGCAGATCCCAGGTCAGGAGGTTTGTGCGAGCTTCATCTAGATAGCTGGTGACGTGTACGTGACCTGTCCTAGTCGCAAGTTCCCGCCGTTTTGGAGCAGAGGTTCCAGTCGCTGTGTGCAGGCGTCCAGGACGTCGACCTGCAGTGCAGGCGCCAGGAGCAGCGAGCGCTCCAAAAGAACTACGGGAAGCGTTGATGGAGCTTGCATCACCAACGTACTTGCCGGAAGAAGACACCAGGAATGAGGATGATGACCTTGATGGTGACGAAGGAACAACCCTTGAACGGGGCGTCGATTTACCGGCACCGCCACTTCCTCGTGCGACGTACTGGCTTCGTGGCTCTTGGCGATCGGTGCTGGGAGATGCGCCCTTCGGGGACGCGTGGCTTGCTGAGTGGAGTGCCTGGGCCGCAGCTCCCACAGCAGCGACACCGGCTCCACCGGGAACTTCAGCAGCACTGCCAGCGCAACCGCCCTCGACAGAGGAAAAGCCGCCTGCCGCTGGAGCATCGGCGTCGGCATTGGCAGCAGCAGCAGCAGCAGCAGTGGACGCTACCAGCCCGGAACGACTGGTCCAAGAGGCACGTTCGCTGTTGCGAGCGTGGTTTCAAGAGTATCGACACGGCCTTGAGCTTTTAGAAGAGACGCGTACTCCATCACCGGACGCTCGCCAGGCGCTGCACCAGACATGGACTTTATGCGACGGCATGCTTCGGGCTCTCGTGCAGCGCTTGAACGCGCTTCGTGCCTGGCAGGCAGCGCTCCAGCTCGTATACCTGTCCATGGATCAAGTCGAGGCTATGCGTCACCAAGTGGAAAAGATTCGATACGAGCGTGCGCAAAGAGCTGCATCCACATGCGCCGGGGACCAGCAAGTCTCCATAGCAGCCGCCGCTGACGAAGCACAGACAACGTGCGCAAACGTCTGCCAGCAGCAAGCCGTGCTCCATGAGCAAGCACCAGTGGCGAAAAACGCGGCAACAGAGGCGTTGCTCGCAACCGCCGAGTTGCGAATGATCGAGAAGCTGCAAGAGATTGCTCGTCAGTTTCCAGATGTAACCGAATGACCAGAATAGGGCGAGCAAGAGCCAGCACGCGGTATGGATGCAGTTTCGTTTGAGGCGACATTCCCCGCACAGACACTAGATGCGGAACAGTCGTGAGGGGTATCGTCCAGCGATTCACTGCATCCAGCGGTTGCCAAGAGCTCCCGAATTCGGTTCTCAAAGCGGTCCAAGAGTCGCCTGAGCAGAGCGCTCACCGGCTCTGTCATGGCACTCTGCACGAGACGTTCCACGGTCGCCACGGTCTGTAACGAATCAGTGTCGGATAGGACCTGTGGTAGCACCAGATGCTGCAGCAGCCGAGCACAAGCGATGGCAAACTCGGAACGAGGCTCCACGAGGATCTCGTTCAGCATTGCGATTGCTAGTCGGAGGTGGACGTTTCCGTCACCAGCAACGGTGGCTGTTTGACCCTGCGCTCCAGCGTGGATGCGTTGTTCGGATTCAGTGCTCAGCGCCCGATACGGATCGAGCAGAAACAGCAGGTACTGGCCAGCCTGCACTGGCGAAACAGTGGCCAGCGGATTGTCTTTGGGACTTTTCACGAGCACGCGCAAAGTCGGTAGGAACGCGTGCTCGAAGGCGTAGCGATGCTCTGGGTCACCTGTGAGGCAGATAGCTGGGAAGAAGACTGCTAGACACTGTCTTAGAGCGACGTTATCCGCTGTGGATGGTGTGAAGAACAAAAGGAGGAGCCGCTTGATGAGCTCCGCATCGGGCGCGAGACGCCGCAAAAAGATAAGCTTTGCAAAGCCCTCGACCACCGTTCCCTGGAGGGCGTCTGTATCCGCTGCAGTGAGCAGGCTGCACAGCCTATCCAGGAGCACTTGGCGGGGACTCGTCGTCGTCGTCGTCTCGAGGACGGCAGTGCTGGATTCTCCTGAGATTTCGGAGCAGTCTGGTGCTGTGCCCTCTTCGGAAGCGTGGGTGCACAGCCAATCGAAGAGCGCTCGCAAGGCAGCCAGACGCACCGCCTCGACGTCATGTTCAGCGACGTGGAGCAGGAGCAGCGAATGCTGCATCGACAGCTGACCGCTTCGGTCTATGAGCCCCGCCAGACCGAGGACGCGCATAGCGGTTAAGCGTTGGGAACTGTCCTCACTCGTGACATGGTGCAAGGTGCAAACCGACAGAAGCGTTACCAGCAGGGGCATGAACGTCTGCACAATGGCATTCAAGTCCCTGGACAAGACGCTGCGGGCGTTTGCGGCCTGGGAATGGCGAAGCAGGTGTCGTTGCTCGAGGCCGCTCTGATACCGGAGCAGTGCCTGTAGAAGCGCTTCAGAGAGCGCCAAGCAGGAGTGTTTTCCGGTGACATCGGGGTCCTCGTCGGCCTCGGCGGTGCTATGCAGCCCCGCTACAAGTTCTGTCACCAGACGAGTCGTTTCCTGAACGTTTGCTTGCGCACGAAACAGAACTTCGAGCGCCAACTGGAGCTCCTCTGGACCGAGTCTTGGCGAGCGAATCAGGGCTTCCATCGTTCGTAAGAGCAAGCGGCGCCCTGCTTCATCGCTCATGTCCAGGGTCCGAAGCACCTTCAACAGCATTCGCACGACGAAGGCGTACGACCGAGGCTCCGCAGCATCGCGCGCTGTTTCAGAAGCACGGCAGACACTCGTTGAGCAGGGCGAATGCGCAGCGTGCATCCCCAAAGGACTAGTGTCGACAACCTCCGTACGGGCATGTTGGTGGTAGTAGTCCAGTGCTGCGCAGAGATCGGTGATGCACGGCAACAAGCTGGCTGCCAACTGGGGCCAGAGGGAGCGCTCCAGGTTGCGTGCTTTCCAGGCAGTGATCTGTGCACAGACGTAGGCGACTGCTGCTCGTTCTGCGTTCAACTCATTCAGATCTATCTGCGACACGGATTGCTCGATCTGTTCTTCAGTACTTTGGCAACTAGACTGCACTTCGGCTGCGAAACGACGAACCAGTCGGAAACAGTCGGCATCCGGACAACTGACAAGCATCTGAACAAGCGCTGGTAAAACCGGCGTCTCGTGTACCTCGACATCGAGGAGCTGCAGCAGGTCGGTTAAGCGGCCTTTGCAGACGCATTCCAGCCATGATTTCCGCAGCATCTCTTCGAGACACGCTTTCTTCACTTCCATGCTGCGATCGGAGAGGCCACAGCGGAGCAGTTCCACCCGCTGCGCAATGCTCAACATCTTTGGGTTGACACGCTGCGCGAAAATCTTCTGGTATACCAAGAGCCGGATACTAGCGTCTACATCCCTGGCCCGCGATACGACTGCGTCTACCAGCGATGGATGCAATGCGGTCGCGAGCTGGAGAAGCGCTGCTTTGCGTACCGAAGCGCTCGGGTCACGACTGACGAGCCGTTCGAACACACCAAGCAACTCTTCATCCAATGTTTGTACCTGACGGAGGTGCAGGGTGTGCAACGCAATCAAAGCCTGGGCTCGCACGACGGGGACACGGTCACGTGTACGCTCGAGCAGCGCCCGCGAGACCTTGGTCATGCTGGCGCGGTCGTGGGAAAGCCACTCGCCCACGTGCTGTACGATAGAGATAATGGCTTGGCAGCTTCTATATCGCACTGCCTTATCTTGAGCTGCAAGTAAACGAGTGAAGAACGTGAGCATTTCTTTAACAAAGTCCACGCCGCCCGGGATATTCTCCTTGTCTCGGGGTTCATCCGTTGGACGTTCCTTCGACGTTTGAAGAGCTAGCGTTCCGATCAAGTCGAAAATCCGCTCAACCCTGGTATCCTTGTTGTAGACGACCAGGCACCGCTTCAAGAGCTCAAACAATACACATAAACTGCCTGTTGCGTCCACGTCCCAGACCGCCTTCAAAGCCTGGGAGCTGTCTCGTGTACTGCTATCACTGAGGGTCACCGTCTCCAGAACCTGGATGATGCGCTCCCTCAAGGCCTCATTAGCAGCACGCTCCGTAGGCGCCGATGTCGAGCGCGCAGCGGTTGCCGCAACCCGCGAGCTTAGGCGAGCCATCGGTACGCAATGTGTCGCTCACTGGCACTTCTGGGTGTCCGGAACTAGTGTGCAACTTTGACAGCAAGCCGCGCCCCGAGACTCTCGGTACCCTGCTCTCGAACAGTGACAAGTCCGAGAAGCGCTGTAGCTGTTCTAGGTCACGCGATGCGAAGTGTACGGTGGCTCGGTGCTGCTGCACCCTAACGCGCGTCAGCGTCATCCGGCGGCAGGCACCGCGTAGCGCTTCCGTCGATCTCGAGCGGGAATTCAAATCGACGTGGTCGACATGGGAGCATCCGATCACTTGTAGAAATATATGGAAATCTTTGAACTAATCGTAACGCTCGATGCGCCCGTCGATCTTCCTGTCGTGCGTGCGTCTGGGGCGCATCGCTGGGGCGAGCGCCGCGCGTGCTGTCTGAAAAACCGTGGAATGCGCCACGTAACACTTTGGACGATTTTAGGTTTCGGCTGTACGGCCAGTCTGGAACGCTCCTCCTAAGAAGGAGAGGCTCGCTGTATTCAGCGACTTGTGTATTCGTGCGTCGAACGTGCCGCAGGCGCCTCAAGGGGGCAAGGAGTTGCGTATAATACACCCAGCGGGTGTCTATGTGAGGTGTGATGCAGCGCTAATGAGCCTTGGTAGCGCGTCGGCATGACGTACGGGCCTTGGTGCCTTCGGAAGTTGCCCGCTTGGTCGCTCCGTGCGCCGTTTCGGTACCGTGTGTCGGGCATGCCGCGCTCGCTTCCAAACCGACACAGGCGCGTCGCTATCGGGATTCACGCACCGTGTGGTCGATTGGGCATCGGGTCGATCTATGATGATGCTAGGTGCGTTTCCAGGGAGCCTAGCGATTTGATCGCGACCTAATCTAGCCAGACGTTCGATTGTCCGCTGATTCTACGCAAGCTTGTATACGCAGCATGGATTGGCACATCATCGTAGGTGCGGTCGCAGCCGCGTTGCTGTCCCTGTGCAGGGTCCGTGTCCTCTCAGGTTGTGTATTCGGCATTGATTCGCACGTAATCGTAGCTGAGGTCGCATCCCCATGCTAGCCCCATGCCGGGTCCTTGTCCGACCCGGATTTCGAACGTCACCGTATCAGCAGCGGTGTTGTAGGTTTCGGCGTTCTTGCCAGCGGCCGCGGCATCAGCAAGGTATCTACGCGCAGCCTCGGCGTCGTAGGGCACCGGTTGACCCGCAGTCATTAGCTGATGCGGTCCGAGCGCGATCTCCAGATGCATTGGGTCGAATGGAACGCCAGCCCGGCCTAGGGCCGCAGCAACCCGTCCCCAGTTCGGGTCTTTTCCGAAGACAGCAGCTTTGCACAGCGCTGAGCTCGCGACGCAACGAGCCAGTTGCCTCGCCTCTGCGTCGGAGCGGGCACCACTAACGCGCACCTCCAGCAGAACATTGGCGCCTTCTCCGTCACGCGCAATCGCCTTGGCGCAGTGCTGCAAAACTGCAGTTAACAAATCCCGTATCACTCGGTACTCTATACTCCGTTCATCGTCGGGAATCGAGACACCAGCTGCACCATTCGCAAGTCCAAGCAGCGTATCATTCGTGCTGGTGTCGCCGTCAACTGTGATCTGGTTAAAAGACTGGTCTGCAGCATTCCGGAGTAGCTTCTGCCACGTAGTGCTCTTCATTTCCGCATCTGTTGTGGCAAATGCAAGCATGGTCGCCATATTTGGGTGGATCATGCCGCTGCCTTTGGCCATGGCACCGACTCGTATCCGCCTTCCGTCCGGCATGAACGCTTCGCCGGCGATGTGCTTCGGAACAAGATCCGTCGTCATGATCGCCCGAGCAGCAAGCGTACCGCCTATGGAGGACGCATCCGCACGGCTCACTAGTTCGACAATTCGTGGCACTGCGTCAAGCAGCAAATCCATAGGAATGCGCTTGCCGATGACGCCCGTAGAGGCAAGAAGCACAGCGGCCGGTGATATTTTCAACGATCTCGCCACCGCTTCGGCAGTCTGCTGGGCATCGATGTCACCGGCAGTGCCCGTTGCAGCGTTCGCCTGACCAGAGTTGATCAGAATTGCCTGCACCCGCTGATCCGCTTGCGCCAACTGCGCTCGACAAAAGCGAACAGGCGCAGCGGCAAGAACTGACTGCGTGAAGACCCCTGCTGCAATACACGGCAGCGGAGAGTAGAGAAGCGCCAGATCGGGCGCGCCACTTGGTTTCAAACCAGCTGCCATCGCTGCCGCCCGGAACCCTTCCGGTGTCGTTACCGAGCCGTCTCGCAGGAACCGAAACGACTCATGCAAGGCCGGCTCTACTCGCTGTTGCAAGCACAAGCGCTGCGGTGGTAGAAGCCCGCGTCTGATGTATGAAAGGTTCCGAGCAGGCGCAAGTTTTCGGTGGTATTGGATGAATCGCGGCTCGGCTTGGACGAAACGTCTTTGGAAAGCAGGCACGGGGCTAACCACGAACGCCATCGAACCAGAAACACCATAGTACCGTTCGCGATCGAATCCAGCTGTCTCTGCGGAAGTGGACCGGTACGGCCTAAACACCAGATCGCACATGTTCTTGATTATTGGTATATTTCGTGAATATGAGTCAGCGTGTGTCCTATGTAGCGATGAGAGAAGCGAGCGCACACCCAGATCAGCGTACCGATTTGGTCAGTGGAGGGATAAGCCGCGCTTTGGCCTGTTGGTCAACGACACCAGCACCGTTACGTACGGATGCAGATCTATGATAGCGCAGGCTCCCTAGTTCCGGTCACCGTTCACGAACGGACCCCAGCAGCGGAGTGAGCAGTGCTTCGCTGGGTGGCCCCCCCCCCTCTGCGCACAACAACTCCGCCACCACTGCTACCGCGACTACCAGTTCGACGTTCCGCACGAAGGAATGATGGCAGGAAGCAGCGTACGCGAGGCAATGGCCTTGCTCGTGGCTACTGGACCGCGCTCAATCAGGAGTCCCAACGGACGCGTGTCCTTTAATTAACGAAATTTATAGTCTGATCCCATTTCCTGCGATGAACTTGTCGAAAGCCCAAAGTGAGCAGATCTTCCACTTTTTCGACTATAGGTGAGAACACGAGAATTCGGTGGCTTTTCTGACGGTCACGAACACCAGCCTCTGTGGGCCCAATGTCTACGGCGGCTTCCCGCTCCTGTCGCTTATCTCGGGGTTTCATGGAGCAGGTATCTCTTGTTCCTGCAGTATCGTTTTCCGCTGAAGAAGGATGCGGATCGCAACGTTAAAATCCTTAGTTCGCTGCTTCAAAATGTCGTTCATGCATTTGATACAGTGACGAAAGTTGTGATCCATGCTTCGCTTGCAATGCTCGTGTTCTATATAGAAAGCCACCTTGCGCCCTTCGGAGCGTAACTCTTCACTGTGGTCAGAACTTCCCACAAGTGTGCACCAGAACGCGTGCTCCGCTTCCTCCCCAACCTCGGAGGACTTCTCTGTGGCGCCTGGACGCCTGCTTCTTCACTGGGCAAGTGCTCTTAACGGGTACAGAGGGCTCCCCTCGATGCCCTCATCGGCTCCCGCCCCAATTACCGTACCGTTCGATCAGAGGCTCCGCCTTACTGGCGCTCTGGGCGAGTACGCTGTTCGCTGCACGCACAATAGCTCGCTGCTAAATTCGACAGAGGATCGGTGGAATACAGTGATGTCCTTGATGAAACATGTTCCTTAAGAAAAAAATCGAGGCTGGAGAACAAATCGAGAATTTTCGATCCGATTACGCTCCCGTTGTACACAGCGGTGACGTAGTCTCCACTGGAAGCGATTGCGTTGGTGAACACAGACCGAGTTCAAGACCCGCTAACCATCTAAACAGAAGAAGCGCAAGCCTCTGAGAGCATCCCACATGAGATGTATCGAGTGCATGGGGGTTCCGTTTCGCTGACGGCCATACAACGAAGAACATTGAAATTTCGAGCGGAGCAGAGGATTTAACGTGACCATTTCAGTGAAAGCTCGGTATGAGCTTGTAAACGAGTCGTCGATGGACGACACCAAGCTCTTCTACGTTTGAATTCATCGGTGCGAATTGCTGCGCCCACGATCCAGCTAGAAGCAGAAGATCTTAGGCTTGAAGCGTGGGTGATCCTCGCTTGCTAAGCGCGATCAACGGAGAACAGCGGAGGTTTGTATATATTATCTGGATGATTGTATCTTTCATCTCACGAAACCGTCGCTCGAGGGCATCGCGAATCATTCTGTTTCCGATGACCTAACAAATTCCAGCGGCTACGATTCGAATGCGTCACTTCGAAAAGACATCCGGGAATCTTAAAGCCAGGTATGAATCCATTAGCCCGTATTCCTGTACATAGATCGCAGAGCATATAGGTCTCAAAGCGGTCGGGAAAAATCTCATGGCCAGAACGGAGCATGCTAGATAGTGTTCGATTGTAATCGGATACGAATGCAGCGCCGTCTGCCAATCCAGGGCGACCAACTGCGGATGCTTGCTGCTGAACCGCGCCCTGGTGCATGTTTCTTCAAGCATGTACTCGGTTGCTTCGGTTTTGAAACCGCGAGAGCGCAGCAGCCACCGTCACTGGCTTCTATATCAATTACGAAGCTGCACTGCTGCATCAGACTCCGCACTCGAGCGCCATATGCCTCTGTATAGGTTTCCATACGCTAGCGAATACGACAAGGGAAATAGCGCCTCGAGCAGGCATCTGCAAGGCCCTTCGGCGCCCTGAAGACGCCCGCAACCGCTTCTTTTTGTTTTCGCGTTGTAGGAGGTGCACCGAAAACGCTGGACCCCATCGGGATCGCATGAACAAACCATGATCCCCAAAGACAAGTTTCGGGTACCGTTGCCGGAGCTTGAAGGATCAGCGGCAGCGGCACACCAGGTGCTTCCCTGAATCCCGGTGTTTCGCGTCTGTACCCCAGGTGATCCCTGATTCCATGCATCCATCCTACACCAGATCGAGAATATCGAACGCTCGGCCCAGGACCTGCGCTCGTGATGCAGGAATCGAGTCCATATATGTACAGCTCTGTATAGTATCTTTGATCTGGCCTGCTGTGCAACACGAGCGCTGATGCACAACCACCAGTTGAGCATTGGCGTCAGTAGCTGCGGCTTGCAACTTCGGCGAACGCTCATGGCTCGACTGCAGTGGAGGACCTTTAATTCAAACGGTAGACATCGCGTAGTGGTGACCAAACCACTTGTTGGTGAAAACTGGTTGGAAACGCTTCTAGCGGCGGACTGTCGGGTCGACCAGTGTCTCAGCGAGCGCATCCTGTCGCGCGCCGAGCTTCGAGACGCTATCGGGAGTCGCTGCGACGGCGTCGTTGGCCAGTTGACCGAACCCTGGGATGAAGAGCTGTTTCGGGCCCTCAAGTCAGCTGGTGGAAAAGTCTACTCGAACGTCGCAGTTGGCTTCGACAATGTTGACGTATCGGCGGCGACACGGCACGGGATTGCTGTCGGGAACACACCTGGCGTGCTCACAGAGACCACCGCGGAAATGGCAGTGGCGCTGACGTTCGCCGCTGGCCGGCGCCTGGTGGAAGCGGACGCATTCATGCGGGCAGGCAAGTACAAAGGCTGGTTGCCTACCATGTTTCTGGGAAAACTATTCTACGGCAAGACACTGGGCATCATTGGTGCAGGCCGGATTGGGTCCGTATACGCGCTAACGATGGCACGCGGCTGTCACATGGACGTCGTTTACTACGACCAGTTTCAGAATGAACAACTGGAACGCAAAGTGAGGGAGACTGGTTCATTATACCAGCAGCTTGGCGAACGATGTATATCCATTCGACGCGCTGAGACGGTAGAGGAGCTGCTCGAGGCAGCCGATGTTGTCTCATTGCATACAGTTTTGGATGCGAGCACGCGCCATATGATTAATAACGAGCGCTTGCGGCTCATGAAAAAAGACGCTGTTTTGGTTAACTGTGGCCGAGGCCCCTTGATCGATGAACGTGCCTTGGTCCAACACTGTCGCGAGCATCCCGATTTCCGCGTCGGCTTGGATGTCTTCGAGAACGAGCCCAAAATGGCACCTGGTCTTGCGAGTCTTCCGAACGTCGTCGTTGTGCCGCATATTGCCTCAGCAACTGTATGGACACGCACGGGCATGAGCACCCTGGCGGCTGCGAATGTGGCTGGGATTATTCGCGGTGATCCAGTTTGGAACCAACCGGACGTGTTGGCTTTCGTGGATGCCCCCAGTGTCGCCGCGATGCCGCGGGCAGCGCCCAGCATTGTGAATGCCAAAGAGCTAGGCTTACCACAGTACAAACAAATGAGTCGCCTCTAGTATCTGTGGTGTCGTTGCACGCTGCGCATAGCAGGGAACTGCAATATCCGCACGGGCTACGGAGATCGCGCACGTTTGCATCCATTCACAGGGTGCAGGGATACGATCCCCGAAAGTGCTTCTTCTGAGGCCCATACCCGGTTCCAAGATGGAACGATTTTGCACGTAACAATTGCGTACGCGAACTGATCCCGTAAAGAGGCACAAGCAAACCCAAAGCGAGCGGTGTTTTCAAAATACCCTGCGACAGGGGTCCTTCAAGACCCGTGACCTTTCGCTTGCTCACGTATCCGGGACCGCCGATTACTAGATTCCGCAGCAGGTGCAGAATGTTCTCCAGCAGCTGGCCAGATAACATAGCACAATCACAGCCAATGCAACGGTGCAGGTCACTGCAAGCACGAACCAGTCGTGGCGGAACGCTTCATTGATCGGCTCGGCGCAACCGCGTCCCGCGTTCAACTCTTCGCTTGTTCGACACGATCCGCCGGTGCTTATGCCCGGGCAATACTGAACGTCCGGATTCGATGTTGAGCACTGGTTTGCGTTGTAACCGGCACACCCATAATGGAGCTCCTGGGAGCACACGAACCGGGGATTACTCTGCACAGTCATGAGCCAGCTGTTGCTGGATATATTGTTCGAACCGTTCGGCCCGGTCGTTCCGTATGCGTACCAAGCGATCACACACAGCGCCCCAAGGAAGAGGAAAGCCAAAAGTAAGACAAGATTATACAAGAAATAAAACAATTTTCCGAGGCAGCACTTGGCTGCGCAGTGCGCGAGTACACCAAGAGCCCCGATGCCAATCAGTACCGCACCAGCAACGATGTACAGCCAGGCATTACGGGCCACTGACCCGACAAGTGGGTTGGTCTGTTTGTACTGACTGTATGCAGAAAACGCGTTCCCGCGCTGATCCAAAGCTCCGACGGCAAGAACAACCACCCCAGCCAAAATAAAAAGAATATTCGCCACGAATAGGAAGCAGTTGACCAGCTTCGTATCCGCGAAACAGATTCCGCCCCGGCCGGTGCCTTTACCCATGACAGCACGTGACCGAACGTCGGTAAACGAAGGGACGCTTTAAGGTGCCGGTGCTTCGAAGAAATCCGGCAACAGGTAGACTCCCTGGGTTTCCAAGTTGGGACGGTTTCGAGCTCCCCGCGAGGCGATACAAAGGGGATGCGTACCCGGGCGACACTGCGGCGCAGGCGCCATTTCGCTGCGCTCTCCAGGGACGGGAACGGGCCACCAGCGGACATGGACCATGTTCGTGTCCGTGTGATGTGCGCTGTCCATTCGTTGGCAAGGCGACACCGTGCCATGTCTGTATTGTACAGGATCGGCGCATTGATGCAGCATATCCGTAGGGGCGACCCCGCGCTATGTCTGTATTGTACAGGATCGGTGCATTGATGCAGCATATCCGTAGGGGCGACCCCGCGCCATGTCTGTATTGTACAGGATCGGTGCATTGATGCAGCATATCCGTAGGGGCGACACCGCGCTATGTCTGTATTGTACAGGATCGGTGCATTGATGCAGCATATCCGTAGGGGCGACACCGCGCCATGTCTGTATGGTACAGTATCGGTGCATTGATGCAGCATATTCGTAGGGGCGACACCGCGCGATTCGTACGCAGCAGCGCAGCTCGTACGCCGATTCCCCCCGCCGCACCACGGCATACATTGAAAACTTCGTCACTCTGAGCAGCGTTCGTACGGGCGCTGTAGGCACTCACTGAATGTTCGGTACACAGTCAATGATTTGAATGGGCCAGTCTTCTCAAATGCAAGTATACAATTAGCGGTAGCTGGTGGAACACGCGAGCTTGGTGCGGCGTAAAGGACGCTCTCTGGGGCTCCCGATAACCACCGCGTAACTCGGCATGCACTGGTTTGTGTATACGATTCCTTGGATAAAGAACACCAGTAGCTGAAGTCTGCATCATGAAAGGATCTGTGAATTAGCAGTCCACCTTGTCGTTTTCTTTTTTGAGACCCGAGCACCTTCCCCAAAATAAACGAAGCGCTGCCCTGAGCGGTTTGCATTCCCACGAACGGCCTCAGCGGGTGTCTCGCATCCCGTACGCAGTTGCCAGCACCGTTTACGTAACCCGCGATCAAAGAACGCGCCTGGAACATGCGCCGCACACCGCACGCTCGTCGAGAGACGCAGGGACGACGACAAAGCACCCAACCAGCACAGCAAACACGCAGTAGCCGCAGAAACTGTCCATTACAACCAGGTTTACACTAGTTACGAACACCGTAAATCCATTTCTAAAGCTTATCGTAAAAGTTCGAAATATCCGGCACACTCTCCTTGAGGCCTTTGCGCAAGCGCGTCGCTTTGCAGAAATCATACGCCAAGTTGCCGGTTTCCAGCGGGGATCCCGGGACCAGCTCCCAGTGCGAGAACATCATTTGAGGAAAGGCCTGGCCTGACGTTGCTGAACGCAGCTCAGCGGTGAACCCAAATGATTCCACAACCGGGAGGTAGGCCTTGAGGATCCAGAGTGGCGTTCCCGCACGCTGTTGTTCCTCCGTGACCATACCCCGCTTTCGCGAGAAGAGACCGTAGATGGAGCCCACCGCTTGCTCTGGGCAGGTGATATCGACGAGGAACATTGGCTCAAATAGGCGCGGTTTCGCTAGCAGCTGTGCACCGTAGAGGCACCGCCGACACGTCGGGATGATTTGACCACCACCCCGATGGATCGCATCTGCATGGAGCGTCACATCAACCAGGTTGAAACCGATGTTGCGCATGGGCTCCTCACAGAGGACACCCTCCTTGCATGCCCACTGCATCGCTGCAACGCAAGAGTCCTTGATTTCATTCAGGAATTGGACGGCTTTGGTGCGATCCATGAAAAGATTCGGGCCGGTCGTATCCGGGGCGAAGCACCAAATTCGACGGGCGGCGTCCTCGTCCATGTTGTATTCATCCTTCAGGATTTTCGCCCGAGCCTTGGGTTCGTCGCGTGGTGTTATCTTGCCCTCGTCAATGGCTTGTGCAACACCTTCGGGCAGTGGATCGGCGTAGATATAGAGACGATTGTGCTTATTCGGAGACTTGGACAGACAGACGGCCGTGTTCAGCGGATCAGGAACCCCTTCGACAGTCTCGCGGTAGCTGACCACCGGGTTGCCTACGCGGATCTCCGCGCCATTCATAAAGTCCTCCTGGAGATCCTTCAGACATATCTCTAAATGCAGCTCTCCGGCGCCTGCGATGATGTGCTCGCCACTCTCCTCCATGGTAACCTCAACCAGTGGATCGGATTTGGCCAAGCGCTTCAGTCCTTCCACAAGTTTGGGCAGATCACTCGGATTCTTGGGTTCAACGGCGACGCGAACAACAGGCGAAACCGAGTATTTCATGTTCTTGATGGGAAAAGCGCTCTCCTCGTCCGTGATCGTCCCTGACTTGACCAGAAATTGATCCACACCAACGAGTCCGACAGTGTTACCAGCGGGAACGGAGTCGACGGCTTCGGTGCGTCGGCCCATCATCAGCAAGGTTCGCTGGATATTCTTCACCGCCAGGTCCTTCTTCTCACCTGGTTCATAGTTTGGTCCGTAGATACGCACCTTCATGCCTGTGCGAATTGTCCCTGAGAAGACTCTTCCAAAAGCCACAAAGCGACCCTTGTCGGAGGCCGGCACCATCTTGCTCACGTACAGCATCAGTGGCCCTTTCGGATCACAGTTGCGCATCGCCGTTGCAGCAACGTCATCCATTGGACCCTCGTACAACAACTCTGTGCGGTACTTTTGGGCCTTCACAGGTGACGGCAAGTGCGTCACAATCATTTCCAAGAGTGCCTGGTCTGCTGGGAGCCACTTTTGCAGTACGCGCTTCATCAATGGCTTCTGACGTAGCTGTTTGTCGTCGTTTGTCAGCGACACGTCTAATCCGGAGAGCAGCTTTTCAAGGGCTTCAACTTGGTCCGACATGCACAGCTCGATGATCTTCTTCACCGGTTTGATCACAAACTCGCAGAAGGCCCGTTCCAGCTGCTCGCCTTCAGCGTCGGTGCTCTTCGTTGTCCACTTCTTTGTCTTGCGGTTGAAATAATTCTCACCCCAGAGGCGTTGCGTCATTTTCTCTACGTCGACGCCAAACTTCTTAGCATACATCCGTGCGAACCGGGTCAACGTAAACGCCCAGCCATGCAGTCCAGCGGAAAACGCCACGGTGCCCTTCGCCGGGGACACCTGAACATCGCCAAGAGCAGCGTCTTGGTAAGTAGCAAGGATCACGTTCGCGTTTTCAATCACCCTACTGAAGGTTTGGTACATTTCCTCTGCCTCGAGTTGCAGTTCCAGAAACGCCCGATCCAGTTTGTTGATCGTCAAGACGGGTTTGATACGCTCAGCGAGCGCTTGCCGCAACACCGTTTCTGTCTGCACACAAACCCCCTCGACACAGTCTACGACAACAAGCGCACCGTCAGTAACGCGCAGCGCTGCAGTCACCTCCGAGCTGAAGTCCACGTGGCCCGGGCTGTCGATCAGGTTCACGAGAAAGTCCCGCGAGTCGCCCGAGTCCTTAGGCAGTTCCAGATCCGGGGGATAGTGGAAAAAAAGGCTGATTCCAGTGCTTTTGATCGTGATACAGCGTTCTTGCTCGTCAGGGCGCGTATCCGTGAGGCGCGTGTCGCCTGCAGCTTCGATCGCTATGATACCGGCCGCAGCAACCAGGCTGTCCGTTAACGTCGACTTGCCGTGATCCACGTGCGCAATGACGGACATGTTCCGGATCTGCTCCGGTATGTCCATCAAGGACCGGAGCTCGTCAATTGTAAAGTTCACCATTTTGTCAGCGGAACGTTTAACACAGCGCTGAACCGAGCAGTGCGAGCCGAGCGACGACACCTAAGGCGAACCTGTCGCAAACGGTTGGTCGACAAGGTGGCGACAAACGCCGACGCCGCCGCGAATGCGGTCGCAGCAGCGCAGCCCCCGAATCCAAACTGGACACGAATGGAAGAACTAGAATATATTAGTATTATCATGGACATATCTAAGGCGCAGCTGTGGACCCGTCAGAAACGACGCGCACGAGGCAGTATCCAGTACGATGCATGCACTCTGGACGGAGAGCGAATGGCGCGCTGCTGGGGCACCGACTACTCCTGATAATGGTATGGAATCCATCAGGGGAACGACCAGAAACGAAACGCGTCTTTGGCCTTTCACGGCCACATATGGGAGAAGGCACAGTTTCCCGCATGTTTGGCAAATATGCCTTTTGCGCTTTGGATGCCGTGTACTGGATGAGTTTGCCAGTTTGATGCGCCGTGCGCCGCAGTGGTGATAGCTGGAACTGTCATGGGACCCACGAGGCTCGTGTGCAACGCGATTTTCTGGAACGAAGCAGGACAGCGCCCGATGCCCGAGCTGTGTCCTTGTCGCCGAGTCCCTTTAGCATATCGCTTCGCGCCGCTGTCGACTAGTGTGCCAGAGTCTAGACGCACGAAGCTTCCGGTCATTTGGTCGGGCACGCGCCTCGCGCCGACGCTTGCCGAGGCGTCGCAATACCGCTCTGTCTCCGTCGGGCGGTTGCAGCGGCAGCGGTGCAGTGACCGTCACTGCTGGCGTTTGGGGCGTTCGCGGCATCTAAGCGTCGCGAACGCTGTCTAACTTCCAGTGTTTAGAGCAAATGTGCTCTGGGGCGTGCTCGGCACCTAACCGTCGCAAACTCGTGTGAAAATTCTACTTGTTTGGGAAACAGGGCTCAACAAGCTGAGGAACACAGGAGCGCATTAGAAAATGCCCCAGTGTCTCTGGTATTCGGTAGGATACGCGCATCCGAGGGATTCGGGTCAGATGCTGCAATGATCCAACATTGCAAAACCATTGCACACACACACACACACGGAAGGAGGCCGCTGTATATACCACGTGAGCAGATACATGCGAGTACGCAGTAGAAACATAGCACTGCATAGAAGGTTTCGGCGTCTCTGTCGGAGGCTGTGCCGGTGGACACCGGTCGAAGCCCTCCACGTGAAAAACTCAAAAATTTTGTATTGCAGCGCTTTATCCGTCAACGTACACCTTTATCAAGCTCGCCACTATTCGTATGAGACACTCTGCGGTGGTCGAGCCGCCCCTCAAGCCACCCATTCAAAAAAATAAGGGCTCCGCCTAAATCTTTGCCATGGCTTCCGTAAATCCGCGCGCCTGCACAGCGTGCTGCTGGTAGTACTCGGCTGCCGCAGCTACACCGGCGCCAAGCTTGAAACCATTGTATCCGCACTCGCGCAGCGTCATTTCGACGCCAGCAAGCGCGCCCAGTATCGTCAATTCGTTCAAGTCGCCAAGTGAACTGATGCGGAACGCCTTACCGCGCAGACGCATGAGTCCCGCTCCGAGCGAGAGATTGTATTTCTGGAAGGCAACCTTCACAACTTGGACGCCGTCCACACCTTGTGGTAGCATCACAGTCGTTACGGTGTCTGACTGCAAGCGCGGGTCGCGGCAGCAGATTTCGAGATTCCACGCTCGTACCGCTCTCCGAACGCCTTCTGCGAGCTTGTGGTGCCGCGCCCACACTTGTTCAAAGCCCTCTTCCTCGAGCATTTTCACTGCTTCAACGAGACCGTACAACAGGGGCACGCTAGGAGTATAAGGGAAGAATCCATCGACGTTTGAACGCAGATGATCCTGGAACGACATGTATACATGGGGCAGCTTTGCGGTCTTGCTCCGCTCCAGCGCCCTCGGCGACGCACAGACGAAGCCGAGACCCGCTGGCAACATGAGCGCCTTCTGCGATCCGGTGACTGCCAGGTCTACACGCCATTCATCGAACTTGAATGGGACTGCACCGATGCTACTTACGCCGTCCACCATGAGCAGTGCCGGATGCTGGTACTTGTCCAGCAACCGTCGCACAGCAGGTATGTCGGTGCATACACCGGTCGTTGTTTCGTTGTGTACGACACAGACGGCTTTGATGTCGTGAGCCCGATCGTTCTGGATCAGTCCCTCCATGCGATCCATGGGGAGGCCTTCGCCCCACTCCACGTCCAGTTCAATGGGCCGCAGGCCCAGACGCTTCATCATATCGATCCACAGGTGACTAAACTGACCGAAGCGCACCGAGATGACCTGGTCCTGAGGGTCCAGGCAGTTGGTCAGCGCCGCTTCCCAGCCCAGGGTTCCGGTGCCAGGGAATATAAACGCGTGCCCTTGACGGCACTGAAAGACTTTCTTGATGGCTTCCAGTGCTGCGAGACCCAGTTTTGGAAAATCGAGCGAGCGGTGGTCCTCACTGTTGCGGTGCATAGCATTCTGCACCCGTTGTGGGACGTTCGTCGGACCCGGAACCATTAAAAAGTTCCTTCCATAAGGAACAGGTACGTCTTTCGTCGTTAGGGGTGCCATTGCAAGTGAATTGGTACTCGAGAGGCAGCGATAAACAAGCGGTTCCACAAAGCGTTACGCCTCAGACACAGGTCGCAAACTCGTCACAAACGCAACGTGGCCAGCGACAGCACGACCTATATTGCAAGTATGAGGTTGAAAATAGTAAGTGCGCTCAAGAATGCGTGAATTCGTCCACACCAGAAAGCTACTACTGAGAGGCAACGCGCTCGTAGTCGTACGGTGCACTGAAGCGCTGAGCGACCAATACCCGGCATCAGCGCATCCCAACGCGCTGCGATTTCGGAGAGCGCGCGCGTGCCCTGCACCTGCGCGGATCATCCCTTCAGCCGCCTCCTGCAGGGGCGCGTCCACGTATGTGTGCGTGCATGCACGCATGCATGCATGCGTACACGCTGCGCTTTCAGCGTGATTCGCTCGTAGAGGCCGGGTGCAGCATGGATGCCGGCGGCTAGCCTGCAGATACGCCTCGTTCGGATTGAAATCGAACGGATCAACTCACCGAACACGTGCGTACACATCAAAGAGTTTGGGTCATCGCATGGTGGTTAATATAAGGTGTGGAAGGATATGTCTGCGACTGATGCCTTTTCCTCTCTGTTGCCTCGGGCTTTAAATAGGTAGGGCTCGTCTGGCTCTGAAGCTCTGTAGTCAGTAGTTGAAGGGTGTTGATGGCAGCGTGCTTTTCGATATCGTTGCTTCGAGACGTTGTTGACGTATTTCAGGCACACTTAGAGATTGCGATGCACGCTTCGCGTGCATTTCCATCTTGGTCGAATACAGACGCAGTGCACCCTCGGTCGCTGTGACGCTTGGATGTCGCGAGGTGTTCCAGTACCTTCGCCACGCACCTGCTTTCTCCGTGCGTGGCCGCGTTGCGCGCGAACGCTTGCTTCATCGCTCGGCACATGTCCTTGACGGGCATCTTATGATCCCGTCAGTGCGCTCCTCCGTTTCCGCGCCCGATGCCGTACCCTAAGATCACGGGCTTCTTTTGGACGATGCTATTGTCCAAGACTCTACCCGCTGCACACACGAGTGCATGCTGTCCCATTCGATGGAGGATTTCTGGAAGCCGATGCTCTCCATGATGAACCAAGTACCGGAATGACATTCGATACTGGAGAACGAGTCGAGAAACTTGGATCGTTTCATGCTACCTGCATACGGGGCGCTGTCAGACTCTCTACTCGATGCGCTCGCTGCGGTGACTAGATTCCCAGTGCAGGACCCTTTACCATGCGAACAGAAGAGACGGCATCGTCTGGGTGTACATTTCCTGAATGATGTCAAGCTGCCGTCGAATGCTGTTTCGTGAATGCATACGCAGAGTGAGGAGGATTTGCGTTTTTAACGGAATCGGTTATTTGGCAACATGAATTCAGTGAGGTTTCAGCACAACCTGGTGAGCAAGTCGTAACGCGACGACGCGCGAGCATCTGTACGCTTCAATCCAGCGGCACGAATCGCTGCACCTACGAGTTGCCTTGAAACAGAAGATCTTATGCTTGACGCATGCGTGAATATCATATGCTAGACCTAAGCAATGAAAGACAGCGGATGCGTGTACATATAAACTGGACGACCATATAAATTCCTTTTACGAAACCCGTGCTCAAGTGCGTCTCGAGTCATCTTGATTTCGATGTCGCAATGAATTCCACCAGCAAACATTCGAAGCATCCACACCGACAAGACGACCGAGAATCCCATACCTATATATGAGTCCATAAACTCTTATTGCCGTACTTGGAATGTCATGGATGTACGTTTCAGGAAAAAAAATTCGAGAGGCCGGCATCTATCTTGAGCAGTTCACTACTGAATTTCAGGCGGACGCGGGTATCGCCACAGGGTCCGGGATTCTATCTGACCAGTTTGTCCAGTTTTTGACGCATTGCAAATGCTCTTCGAGATCTCCCTCACATCCAGGACAAGCTGCCACTTTCTGGAAAAAACAGACAACATCTCTCTCTGGATCGGCGACCTGCGAGACGTTCCCCCCGCGGCGACACAAAAGTGTAACGCAAGAAGCAGATTATACTCTAAGCGTTTCCTGGGAAAAACTTGAGACGCTTTGTCAAGGTGGCACTATCTGTACTTTTCCTGAAGGGCAGCGTGACCCCCGACGCTCCAGTGAAAGTTGTGGGACGGTGAGTTTGCACTCTAGAGGGGTGCGCGTTCGTGATCCGTGCCTCCCCGAGCACGTACCAGTACTCGGCGCTCGAGAAGCGCACTGAACACCAGTCTTGTTCGCGCCTCGAGCCTGATACCAGAGCGAGTTCGCGGAACCAGCGTGGTGCGCGAAGGGTTGCTCCAGGGTTTCAAGAAGCTGCAAAAGTTCACGCAGAGCCAGGAAGTGGCGTTTGCGTTTGTCCAAGGACAAGTGGGACAGGTTGTTCTGTTTGCGCCAAAGAGCTGCTGTGCGCCGAGCGAGCGAAACTGTTTTCTCGAAAGTGGCTGCATTATTGGACTAGAAACATACTCGGGAAAAGCAGCTTCCGGGTCGCGCGCTGCTTCTCTAAACCATGAACGGTGCTGGCGAGATCTTCGACGACCTTACACACTACCGTTTTGCGCAAGCGTTTGGTGAGCGAGCAACCGCAGAGGTGCCACAGGAAGTGGACCTGATATCAGCCGTTCAGTTCAGTAGAACTGGGGACCTGATCGCGACCGGAGACAAAGGCGGTCGTGTGGTTATCCTGCAGCGCATTGATGCCGGTCGCGGAGAGGCGTTGCGAAGAGAACAGGTTGCTCGGGCGACGCGTCGATCTCGGTTGGTACAACGAGAAACAAGTCGCATCCGAGGTAACAGCAGTAGTTGCTCCAGTCAGGGACGGCTTTCAACTGGTCTGTCACCGGTTCCGATTCCACGTTCACCGCGTATCGCCGTGGTGGGCCCCCGCTGGTCCGGCAGCCACAGTAATGGCTCGTATCGACGTGGATCGCTCGACCGGAGTCACCTGTCGAACTGCCACAAGCTGTCCCGCCTACAAGGCACGCGTGCCCGAGAATCCTACCTAGACGACTCGGGCGGAGAGCATGAGAGCGACTCGAGCGAAAGTAGTGCTAGTGAATCAAGCACCTCCTCCTCGGATGAGCGGTCATCAGCGGCGAGCACGATGGAAATGGTCTCTCCGCCGGCTGGCGTCAGCCATGGTGCCAACGGCGATGTTGACCTAGAGCTCAACGAATGTGACGTGCTCATGACGTCGTGTGCGGACGTTGACGACCGTGCCTTTCAGGAGCGCTCGCGAACACACCTCCTCGATGCGCTGCCGGGAATTCGATCGACTCCTCATGTCCCGCTGGATGACGAGGTCTGGGACGACCGCGAGCGGGCATCCGACGGTCGCAATGCAGATGGAGACGATGGCTTGCGACCAGATAGATCACGGATTCCCGCATTTGTACCGGAGTATCGATTCTGGACGCAGTTTCAGTCTCATGAACCGGAATTCGACTACCTCAAGTCACTTGAAATTGAGGAGAAAATCAATCAAATTCGATGGTGTCGCGATGTATCCGGTGCGTACCGGCTCCTGACTACCAACGATAAGACAATTAAGTTGTGGCGCGTGTTCGAGCGTCAAGTACGACAGCTTGTGAGTTTCGATAACCAGACTGGCGAAGCCGATACGCGACCAGAATCACATCAAGCGTTGAGGCATCACGATGCGTCTGCAGATCCGAGCAGCGCCATCCGGGGTCTCGTAGAGAGGCCTGCAGAGGACTCAAGCGGTCTTGCGTCCGCAGGAATCATTGCGGGTCGCAACGTATGTCTACCACGTCTACGCCGCGCCGGCTCTATGGTGATTGCGGTCCCGAAACGGATATTCTCGAATGCGCACGCCTACCACATCAATTCCATATCATTGAATAGTGATGAAGAGACCTTCCTCTCGGCAGATGATTTGCGAATTAATATCTGGAATCTAGAAAACTGTAGCACTGGTTTCAATGTCGTGGACATCAAGCCCGAGAACATGGAAGACTTGACGGAGGTCATCACTGCAGCGGAATTCCATCCGCATCACTGCAATCTTTTCCTTTACAGCAGCAGTCGCGGTGTTTTGAAACTATGCGACTTGCGAGTGCGAGCGCTATGTGATCAGTCGTGTCGCGAGTACGAGGAGCCGGAGGATCCCGCCAATCGCAGTTTTTTCAGCGAAATCATTGCATCCACGAGCGATGTGACTTTTTCACATTCGGGTCGGTACGTGCTTGCGCGTGACTACATGACGCTGAAGCTCTGGGACATCAACATGGAGAAGCGACCACTTCTCACCATTCCCGTGCACGAATCGTTGCGTTCGCGCCTATGCGAACTCTACGAGAACGACTGCATTTTCGACAAGTTTCAGTGCGCTTTCAGCGCGGATGATGCCAGCGTTCTCACCGGCTCCTACGGGAACCAGTTCCAGGTCTACTCGAGCAAAAGTGGACGAGGCCTCTGTTACGAAGCCAGTGTTGACTTTGTAAGCAGCGGACGCCCGCCTCGACTGCTCTTTCCCAACGGAATGAGCTGTAGCATTGAAACCATGACCGATGCATCCGGTAGCATGGGCGGGGTGTCGTCGTCGCCGCCGCTCCTGTCCGCGAGCGGCCTCGGACCAACGATAAGCAGCGGCGTGCCTCCGGAGCCACTGTTGCCCACGCAGAGCCCCAACGCACGAAGGGTACTTCACGTCGCAGCGCACCCGCTCGAGAATATTGCGGCCGTCGCTGCAGGTCCTGCGCTCTATCTCTACAACGCCGTCTTGTCACCGTGCTTTCTCTGATACCGACACGAGCGTCCCCCACGAGTAAACCGCCGGTGTCTATCCGAAACTCTTCGAATCTGGAGCCCGGACGCTGTTCACAAAGGAACGTTGAAACCCTCTGCCCGAAGGCAGGCTTTGTGGGCTTCAATGAGGTCGCGGCACGCTTCTTCACCGCGCTCCGCGATGCACGAGTCGCGAGCCTGCTTTGTCTCTGGACACGCACAACAGATTTTCTTTTTAGGCTTCGGGTTCCCGTCGTGGTTACCAGCTTCACTTGCTTCTGCCCTATAAGGTGCGCTGCTCGTTTTTAGATCTGCGTGATCGTCGTTCATACCGTTCCAACTCCCTAAGCGTATAGTGCGTCAACGTGAACGACGCTGGAGAGCGCTGCGCAACTCGCTCAGTAGCAACCGTCCCGGTGTGCGTTTCGTGGAACGCGCACCACTGCAACATATCCACTTTAGTCCATGTTTCTGCTTTTGCAGCTGCTACAACGTGCTCGTTGACTCTCTGTTCGCTGCTGCTGCTGCTGCTGCTGCTGCTGCTGCTGCTGCTTCAGGTGCTCGTTCGTCCTTCATCTGCTACAGCTGCTAGTAATTCATAGGACGATTTGGTCAATTTCCGCAAGCGACTTGTACGCGGCTTGCGCCAAAACTATGTTGCTTTGGACCTGAGGTCCTGCTGAGGCCGCGTACCCTTCGGTAGCTGGGCGTGGACGTTTTCGCTGGTACCCGCTGCTCTATTTTATTTTCCAGCAGGTGATTCTTTCATTCCTGCTGTGCGCCAGATAAGCGTTCCGAACCGGTTGCTGTGCCTGCGAGAACGGGTGCGTGTTTGCGTGTGCTCTAGGTACAGACGACGCGCGTTTTCGGTTTCTTGGACGGAAGACTGTCGTTGTACGAGCGGTAGCACCTGGAAGCGCTATTCAAGACGCGAAGCCGACGTGCCTTTCAGTTTTTTACCGTTGCCGCGCAGTCTGAGGCAACGTCCAGGCTGACACGTGTTTACCGGAACAGACGCGAGTCTCTTCGGCTCGAAAGCTGCTTCCAGTTGACGCAGGTTTGAATATAGGCAAGGCGGTGTCGCAAGCGATAAGAGACTCGGGCGCAGGTTGTACGAGGCGGGTCCCGTTGCACCGCTTTCGCACATAGCACAGTACCATGGATGGGGTCTTGATCCCGCCGCTGAACTTTTCCATGGCAGCACCGGGTATCTACCGCTCGGGTTATCCGAACTCCATGAATCATGCGTTCATGAAAAAGCTTCAGCTGAAAACGATTCTGTACCTCTGCCCTGAGGATTACAGTGAGGCAAACACCGCCTGGTGTCGCGCGCACAATGTTCAGATTGTTCAATGTGGCATTCTACCGAACAAAGAGCCCTTTCAATTCATACCCGAGGACGTGGTCGCGGATGCATTGCGAGTGCTCTTGGACTGTCGCAATCATCCGATATTGATGCACTGCAATTCAGGGAAACATCGATCGGGTGTAGTCATTGGCACGCTGCGGAAAATGCAGGGTTGGAGCCTCACCTCGATTTTTGATGAATACAGACGATTTGCTGGCAGCAAAGTTCGCATCCTGGACCAGCAGTTCATTGAACTTTTTCGTATAGAGTCTGTGACCTATGATAAAGAATATGCGCCGCGCTGGTTGCGTTGAGCGTCAATGAAAAATGGAGCAACTTGGTGAATCCGTTTCGTTCGTTCGGAACTGTGTGGCCCTCGGTGGCCGCACCTGATCGCACCTCGTCGACTTTTGCTCGGAGCGTGCGCCCCGCACAAACGCCGCATGTGTCAACAACTGCTGTGTCGTACGTGAATAGCGCTGCGTTCTTTAATATCAGAATCTGAAGATCGCAGTTATTCGTCTCCGATTGGAGATATGATCCGCGACGCTGCATGTCAAGTAGACAGCGAACGAGCCTGGTGGATGGGCGTCTATCCGGCGACGGTTCCGGCTTTCCGAACTTGCATCGATTTTCGTATCAAAGATGAAACACCGGCAGTATATGCTTTGTGCTACTCGAACATGGTGAGGTTGTATCGATTAAAGTTTCGAGGAATGTTCCGCGTAAAACGGCGATATTGCGACAATCGCTCGTAGTGAACATCCAAAGTTTGGGTCTTCCACGAACCTGCTTACGAATGCGCAGCGAGCCCAGCGCGGGCCAGTGCGCTAATGGAGGCTCGATGTCGCCCTGAGGCTGTGCAGGAGATTTCTGGCCTGTCTGAAAGGCCACGGAGACTCTGGACGCTAACAGGAAAAGTTGCTACCGCCACGGTCTGGAGCGAAGAATACAGCGGCTCGTTGGATGCATTGCAAACGACCGGTAAAAGCAGGAGAATTTTGGAAAAGGCGCTTGGTGGCGCGGGCTCGAAATGAATCTGCGGACCTGGGTCGATCCTGAATGAGAGGCATGCCCCAGTTCAAGCGTATTCTATTGAGGCACGTTGCGAAGCGGACTCGAAGTGAGTCCACGGACACAAGTCGAGGACCAGAAGCGCACCAGTCCTTATTTCATTGGATTCGATCGAGGCAACGAGCAAGCTGACGGCCCAGAAGCCCTCGCTGACGTATGCACGGTCTGTCCTGCTCGCTGCCGTAGTATGCGAACCAGGTGCGCTGTATATCTCGTTGCATAAAACGCACACAACACATGCTTATCGTATCGCTTGTGCGCTCGATAAGTAAACCACGCGATAGATCTATATCTTTGAGTTCAGCTGCGACCGGACCGAGTCGAGCAGGTCCCCACGGCTGTGATCCAGCCTCTGCACCGAGGTTTCCGTAAACCCCGAGGTACGCGAACGCGTTGCCCTCGCGGTGACCTGGGATCCGCCTTTGGGTGTGCAAAATGTGCTGTGGAATCCAGATTTACGTATATATGTATATATATGTATATTAATGGACATAACATGGCTATTATCGACAGGGTTCCGCGTATGACCGCCAACCTGGCCGCGCTCACACAAACGCATGTTCGCGCCCTCCTTGGTAAATGTCGGCAGTATACTGCGCTCGCACCGAGACGGGTCGACGTAAACGCTTCACGATCTTTCATAGGAAGAAAACGCAGATGCTTACCTCTTTGCACTGGGTCACCAGTTCAATTTGGTGGACAGTCCTGGTCCTGCTATTGGCAGCGACGCTCACGAACGCAGCGTCGTCGGTGGATCAGGCCGCGTACCCTCCGCTGGTACCATCACGAGGGCGCACGCTTGCCGTCACGTTCGATAAGCTGGGCAACGCCTCTGCCGGCGAGAACAGCGTTGCAGATTCCGCGGAGCGTTCCCGAGACGCCGCAGTGTTGCTGTTCCGGAGACAGGTCCATCCGCCTTGCAAAGAAGCGATTGTTGTACTTGGCGGCAGTGTCAGCGGCGTACCACTTGTAGACCAGAAAACTTCACAGATCGAGTACGAAGTCGTTAATCTCGGTAGGAACACGGCAACGGATATCCGCATCTATGAATATGACGCCAACTTCCCCGTTGTGGCTTTCGAAAGAAAAAACTGGCCAAAAGAGAAGACTGGACCAGCCTCTTCCGAACGCCCCGGTGAGTATGTGTTATTCGAGTTGCCGACCTTGTTACCCGGTGAGCGTTTTACCCGGAATCTGAGCATCGTCCCACATACCTATAGAGCTGGTGCAGCAGAAGCGGCGTTGTTTGAGGCACCCTCTTTTATAGAGCCAGTGCACGTGTATAAGCTGCACCCCGCAAGGCTCACCTACCGGATCGGTAAACAAGGTGCGCAGCGAACCGGCTTTAGTTCTACGGAAAGTTATCTGGTGGTGGAGAGCGCTCGCGGCTTTGATCGTCGAGCCCTGTGGCATCCCAAAGCCTGGGTGGTCTACCTCGGAGGCGTGGGGCTCCTCGGGGTTGTTCCCTGGATGAGCGCCTATTTTGGCACCAAGCAGGCCGGGGCGCGTCCGCCTCGGACGACATAGCATGGTCCGTTGAGAGGCCAAGAGCCAGACTGAGAATTACAGTTCGAGTATGCCCTTCAAACGTTGACGTGGAGATTTGTCAAGTTCCGATATATGCCGCTGTGTATTGCACGTGTAGTCCGACGTTGGACGAGCAAAATTCCTCACGGTGATTATCAGATTACACTGAATTTGCGCGATTCCATAAACAGGTGGTGATGCTGTCAACCAGGGGCGCGACGTTGGCGCTCACAAGTCGTACCCGGAGCGTCTTCGCCCTGGGAGTGCTCAAAACGGAGCGAAAGTTCGCGCATAGAGACAGTCTGTGAGCCAGAACTTTTTGAAATGACGGACTGAGGCGGGCCACGCAGTTGCTGCAGGCGACATCAATGCAGGGCAGCAAGCGCTGAGACTTGCCATCGTGATTCAAGGCCGAACATGGATCCACGGTACTTTTCGGGATCCTCGATCAAGGCCCATTCGAATATATCGTCGATCCATTATTCGTTATCGGTGGGTATTACCACTTACAGTCCACTGGCTTGTGCTGGGTTTACGCTAGTCGACCTGTCGCCATTGCCTGGTGATAGCGCATTCTAAACGGGTGACTGCAGACACAGTGGCCCTTTTGCTGGCACCAACGACGCTGTTTCGGGCATACTGCGAACGTGCACCCATTGACCAGCAGAGCGGGAACGTTGCATGATCGCATTGTGATCACCGAAAGCAAGTCTGAGTTGCTGCTAATGGCAAACACAGGGGATCTGAAGCGGAATGGTCAGAGAGTCCCCGCGACGCCGATACTAATCTCGCACTCGGGGATCCCTGTTTGTAGTCTTTCACAACAATGGTGTTCCACTTTCAGGTCCGTGTCACGAAACGCTTTTTCGCGGTTAGTAGCAGAAGCGTTCGGGGTGCATTCATTTTGAAGAAATGAAAAATCGGATGGAAAGGTTTGGCCGTGCAAGTCGAGGATCCCAGAGGGCGGACATCGCCTGGTCGCGGATAAAAGAGGAGAATTCCTCTTCTCGCTGGCCATCAAGCGAAGAAGAGCCAGTGACGAAGAAGCAGTTGGCGGCAGATACGCGAGAAAAGGTGTTTGTCCGACGCGATGATGACGAGACTATTGTGGCATAGAGTGGACGAGTTCCAGCAATGCTTGCATTGGTGCGTACCACCAATGCCCATGCCTGCACGGCGTTCGTGAACTGGTACGTCAACGCCGCCATCAATTATCAGGAGGTGTGCGGTGCTGAAGATGAGACCCGAGCAGCTGACGCGATCCACGTTTATGGGACAGCCTCTGAGACTCGTACTTTGCTGGGATAAAACCTGAAAACGATAGCAGGTGGCAGGTCAAAAAACTGAACGGACTTGAGTCATCGTGGCGGTCGCCTCCACTGGAGGGCGGGTCACAGCTTTGCGCGAATGGAGCACAGACGGATCGACGTGTCTCGACTTGATCTCCAGCCGGGATTCTCCGTCCGCTACTTGTTTCATCGTGGACAATATCGTGTTCCACGAATGCTTCATCAAATGGAAAAACGAGTGCGTACGTGTACAGCAGACAGACTACTCACCAAAAGGATCGTCCAGAACAAGTCCGTGATCATCGAGTACAGCACTGGGCGCGGAAACCGAGGACTACATTGAGGTGAGCCTTCTGTACCCGTCCATGGCTTGTAATGAGCGATGAAGTGAGCGTTCACGCGCCACAGGGCAGCACTCGGAGGAGCATGTATGCGGGACGTGTATGGGACCACCGGACTGGCGTCAGGTGTCATCGTTGCGACAGCCGCACCGATACCCCGGAGAAGCAAGATGAAAATGGCATGCGAAGCGCAGATCGCAACGTCCTCCTGTGCCTGGAATGCCTCGCGAACAGCCGTAATCGTCGAAATCCGGACTTGGACGCCGCTTTTAACATCCTTTGACCGCGATCAACGGAACTGGAGCGTGAGATCCGTGCGTTAAAGTCTAGATATAAAGGAGAGCACAAGACAGTCGTTCCAAAAAAAGCCGCAAAAACCTGATATGTACCAGACTAGATAGAGACCCAAACCAAAGTCTGTTTGCGCGACTTGGGAAACCTGGTCTATTCTATATTCACATGGATGGAAACGTTCAGGAATATGGATCGGCAGCGAGAACGATCTCGTGGGAACCGCACCTCACGAGACGCAGAGAGCAGTCCGCTCGAGTCGCGCTGCACGCTCACAACGACGATGCAGATGCTCAGAGCGGACTCGGGTTGACATGACTCGAGCCCTGTACGCCCTCTACGCCTATCTCGCACAGAGATGCCCGCAACCTAATCAGGGTCATCCACTCCATCGCGCGAAACGCCCATGAATTTCTCGACCAGATTTGCTTCGATCGCTTCAGTATCGCTGGCTCGTTCGCGTGCATCACGGAACGTCTTCATTTTCTGCGGGTATGCATCGCACGAGCGGGGACTGCGGTTATCGGGCCGCTCCTACTCTCCATTTTATCGCAAAGGCGTCCTGTCACCGTGCGTCGAAGGCTGCAGAACGCACAGTGCCGGCTGCAACTGCCTCTGTTGCGCTCGGCAAGCGCCCATTCGCTTCATCCACGAAACCCCTGTTCCTAGAGAGCGTTCTGGACTGGGTGTACTGGACCTTCAAGACGTCTTTGGCAAATGCACGATCGCTGCCCTCGTGACCCACATCGTTTGCGCATTCGGGAGCGTCTGACTCCATGCATTCATTCCGCGAAACGTTAGACCAGGTACCTCAATCGATGCGTATGATACCAGGCGATGGCCAATAACAACGTCCTTCTAAGCGATGAGGTCTGCGCAGACACCGCACCACGGCTGGAGCACGTGCATCCTACAAACACATAGACATGCGACCAGGTGCTTTTGCCGCGAAACAATCTCGTAACTGCCTTGCAGCGTTCATTCGTTCCTTCGCTGGGTAGCGACGCTCGCTGTAGCTTACAGGGTGCGTTGGGTCTGATTTCGGCAGGTGAAGCAGGTTATCTACCAGTTTGGGTTTGTCTGGTTTGGTCTCCACGGGAGGCAAGCCCGGGGCCTGTTCCGCCAAGCGCACCTGGAAGAGGGTCCGTGGTTGGGCACGGAGGGCGCTCCCGAGGTCACTACGGCACGGTTGTGGATCGCACGACTACATTTGAGCGTTTGCCAGCGGACCCTGCGAAGCCGGTAAACCTCTCGCCAGAATCAGACCGACAGCTGACTCCATGGGGTCGCTCAGCTCCTGGTTTGCCGCGCCACGCGCACTTCGGTGGACCCGTCTCTGGCTCACGCTGTTGATCGTTTTACTCGGGGTGCACCTTCGGACAGATGCGGCACTACCTGTGGCAGAAGTTGCCAGCGGTGACGGCACCTCGGAGAGCGGGAGCTCTGGAACGCAACCGAACGTGCCTGTACGTGTTCAGCTTCCGTTGGAAGCGAAACGGCAGTCGCTCGAGCGAGAACGCGCTGAACTCCTCAGAGACGCCCAGCTTGGCCGCCTTAGCCTCCGGGATCCAGCAGTCCAGGAAAAGCTGCGCAAGCTGAACGAGGGCTTGCTCCGATTGCAACCGTTGATACGGAGAAACCCTGCAAATGCGGAGAGCGAACAACGCCCGAACTCGGGGCCGCCTCCAGACCACGGAACCCAGTCCGGGGAGCATCGACATCGACCACATGAGCTCGGCGAGGAACTCGCCATCGAGTGCTTGACACCGGACCTCAGCAGCTGGGAACCGATGCAGTGTCGCAACCAACAAGATCCAGTTGTTATTCGCTTTGGTCTGGATACGGATTTCCAGTGCAGCTGGCCACTCGAGAGCGATGCTGCATACACACTCTTGCGTGATGCACTAGCCATGCAGCGCGCTATTCACTGCCGTGTGCCGCTGGACAACGAGCTATCCGCGGGACACTTGCGTTTTTTCGCTCCAGTAACGATCACGCTCTGGGGCATTGCCGAGGGCTCTCATCTCCATGTGAATACTCATGTGAACTTCGTTTTCCATGCCCACCGGGGATACATTCTAGGTGCAGCAGCGTATTCTGTGCGAGATCATTTTCAGATTGTACAGCCTGGTGGTGTACTACAGCTTCATGGCAAAGTTCACTGGTTTGACGGCCACGCGTTTGTGCCGTACGTTCACGAACCTTTCCGCCTGCCGCCAGCGGCGGCGCGTCGTCTGACCAGTGCCGTACTGGCATTGTGGCTTTCAACGCTCGTGCTCAGCGGAGTCGTGTTCACGCTATTCTACAAGAAAGTACTGAAAGTGCGTTTGATTCGTCGACTTGACCCCACGTTTAAAGCTGAATAGGTCTATGCAGAGCGAAGGCACTGTTTACCGGCACCGAGCGCGTTGCACGCTGTTTGTCGGGGTCGCTGCTCCGTTCGGACTATGCACCACGAAGAGGCACCTAGGGCTCCTTTCGGCACAACGGCCGAGTCAACGGTATCTGCGTTCAGGCCTGGGTCCTGTGGACAGCTCCATGGGGTCTCGCAGCAGCGCTCGAGTGTCGGCGGCGCTGGTACACGACACTCGCTGGGGAGTCGGTACGAGCGCTGCGCAGCCGAGGGTATCAGAAACGATCTTGTCACGAGGACTGGCGACGATTTTTTCGCTTCTGCTCTGGCAAGACTTGCAGGATACGGCAGCGTATGCGGCAGAGCATACCAGGACGCAAGCACGAGCTCAGTGGGTGAACCACCACACCGAGGAAGCGACGCGCTGGGGATCGTTACCCCTGCTTGCGGACTCAACACAGCCCCAGGGTCAAGACGGGAACCTGTCAACCAAACTTCTCCCTGATGTTGTGGATACCGACGGTCAACCGCGTGTCATTCTTGATCTGGCTCGAGCTCTGAGCTCCTTCGAATATGAGCAGCTGCGCACTCGAATCCACCACATCGAGGCTACCACTGGATACCGGGTTCGTATTCTGACACAACGCTTTGAAACGGTTGGGCGAGCGATCAGCAGCTATTTCGGGTTACAGGATCAACGGAGTATACTCATTGTGCTCGATGAGCGGAGCGGCAATGTGCTCAATTTTCGCGTTGGTGATCAAGTTACAGCGCGTTTTCCGTCCTCGTTCTGGCTGGAGTTACAGGGACGGTACGGCAATCAGTTTTACGTACGAGAGCACGGCGAGTACGGTGTGCTGGATGCCTGCATTCGGGCGATGGAGACTTGTCTCCAAGATGGGCGTATCTGCCGCTTTGTACCTGGATTCGGACGCGATCAGTGGGCACTAAGTTTTCTCATGTCACTTCTCGGAGGGGCGGTGATCGGGTTTACGGCACGCACCCCACAGGACGGGAAAGAGGCGAGTACGCCGAACTGGCGCTGGGTTCTGGTGTTCTCCCCGCTCTGGGCGATATTTCTAGTCTCGTTCGGCACACTACCGATTGTGGCACGAGAGGGCTGGTGGAATCGCGACCTCATCGCGAACTGGGCTGGAGCTGTTCTCGTGGCAACCGCGTTTTGGTACGCCATTCCGCGTGTGTTTCCGAATGGCCCCGGGGATCGTGCTCGCTGACCTCCTTCGTACCGTGAACGTCTCGCTCGAGTGCGATCACCTGCAAGGTGTATCAGCGGGGTTCGGGGGGCGTTCTCGATATGCAGTGGTGAAATCGCATACGGCATGGTAGGTCATGCATCGCAGTCTGTATAGGATGGTGTCGAGTGGACGCTGAATTGCTGCGGTTGGCGTTCACTGTTCTCCAGGTGCTCCAGAAGGTGCACGCCAACACAGCGTTGGGTATTGCGCTGGTGCGTATGCTGCCGGTAAGCGTGCGCTCGTCGAAAAAGCGGGACTTGTGAAAGGCATCCACGTGGAAAGCGTTCATGTGCATATACGAAAGATGCCGTGAAACAGAATACGTTTGCGCTTCCATGCTATATAACGGGTCCATGAGCACAGCGGCATCATCATCATCTGTACAGAGCATGCCGGAGTGTCCGCAGCAGGAGACGTGACACGCTTTCTGGTCCTTGCACGGGAGCAAGCGCTTGCCATGGAATCATCGTATCTACAGGAGTGCGCTCGAATACGAGTAGCTGTGCGTATGGCTGGCAGCGTACGCCGTTGTACGACCCTCGAAACACAAATGAAAGCGTCTCCTTCACATACATTTGCACACGATTCTGATTTGAACGTATTTGGCGCACGAGTTTCAGACAGGCTCGGTGACCCTGCGTCTTGAGCGCGTGTCAACGCTATCGTCTTTCAGGGCGAACGACTGGCATGACGCCAGTAGCGGAGTCGGGTTCAGCGGTCGTCATGGCGCACAGATTCATCCGGCGGTGCATGAACGCCAGGTACGCACCAGGAAGAGATAGAGCGGATCATTCGTGCAATGGAGCTGAGGCTAGCACCATTTGATGCAGCCAGTGGTTTGCGAAATGCGATTCTACGCATGCACCGAATGGTATCGGTCGAGGTCTGTTTCAACCGCACGGCATAGAGCAGGTCCAACGATAGTGTCGAGCGCGCGGAGCCTGCAACGCGATGTCCGGCACCGAGAGGCATGACACAGAGCGTGCCAGGCGCGGTATAAAAACGCAACTGCTGACTTGAGTCTGCTGTTTGGCCTTGCAACAGATCCATTCGGTGCTCGGTCGCAATCATTCATTTGGCAAGGTTTCCTCTGACCCCAGTCATCGTGACCTTTGCATCGCGCGTGAGTGCTGCGGTCTCTTAGCGCTCAGAAAAACAGACGCTTGGGAACAGTCATCGGCAAATAGATACGCGGCGGCCTGTATCGCATATCTGCATACGCAATAGGTCTTGGATGCATTGTCACCGTTGTAGGGTTTTCGTCACCGAAACTGAAACGAGTGCTAAGCGCGTCCCACTCTTCGCGAAAGCTCCCTGCGAGCGACGCCAGCGATATACCCCGAGCGGTTGGCTCGACATCGCACCAGGGAGCGGGCAACAGGTCACCCGGGGAACGGGGCACCTGGCAGTTCGGGACACCTCGACTGAGAGCAAGCGTCCGACTCAGCGCCTTGTAAAACTCGTCCAGCCCAGCACACATCTGCGCCTCAATGTCCAACCGGGCTGCGTGCGGGTAAAAGGCACTCTCAACAAACGGTAGAACTTGACACTCCAGGTGGTTGTGCGAGCTCCAGAACCAGTCCGCGAGCACCCGTAACTCGCCTAGCGCCGACAAGGGCACCTCAAACGCTCGTAAAGTCACGCTTGGTTGTGGTGTCCATACGAATACCAACCGTTGTAGTGTCAGGAAGCATTCACCGACGCCAAAGAGTTCGAGACTACAACACAGCTCTTGGGTACTCGAGTTGGCGGCAGGCTGGGCACGCAGCCGAAAGCTCACAGTCGTCTCTCGATAAACAAGCAGGTCAGGGTTACCGAGCTCTCTCGAGGCACCACGTCCGTCAGCGTTGTGTGCTGGTGTCACCTGCCCGGTTGCTAGCGGAAGCAACGGGTTCAAGGCCATACCCGAGAAGGTCCATAACCCGGGGAGGCGTGTAGCTTGCCCCGCGAGTCTCGCTACAGAGACGCCGTTCCGGATGTGCGACGCCGCCTCCTTGGTGCAAAGGGTCCCGTTTAGGAAAGTTTCGCAGCGAAGGGTACCCTATGCCGAGAACAGGCTCGGACAGGACAAAATTGAGTGACACTTTATCAGGGACACCTCAAGCAGAGAGAACTGTGCGGCGCTCCTGTCGTCTGGCCCAGAAAACTGGTCTCGAGCCGGTGGTACCACCAACGACAAGTGACAGGGTGCGAAGCGCACGAACGGAGTCGTCGAGTGATCCTAGCTCGGAGCCTGATAAAGAGCCAAGCTCTTTGAAAGTCTGTCAAAGGCAACGCGCTGGTAACAGAGGTACTGTGTCGCAGAAAGATGGTGCTTCGGAGACGGAGCAGGCGCCTGTCGCACCAGTAGAGACGCCGGTGCGCCTACCAGTCGTCCGCCGACGATCCCGGCGAGTGCAAGCCGCAAAAGATGTTCCAGTTAGTGAACCAGAAACCGCAACATCGAAGGAGCACCAGACGGCACGAGACAGTGCGGCTCCAGGCATGCACCATAGCGCGAATAACGCAAACATACCCTCAGCGCAAGCAGGTTCAGCCTCCGTAGCTTTTGCACAGACCACGCGCAAGGTATTCCCGACTGAGGAGCCTGCTTCAGATTCCAGACACCCAGCATCAGCATCAGCAGAATCAGCATCAGCATCAGCAGAATCAGCATCAGCAGAAGAGCGTACACCTGCAATTTCGGCGAATGCGTCTGTGCTGGGGACTGGAGCGCCTACCTCCCCATCAAATGGGGTGCTTGCCCCTGACTACAGACGTTCAGCATCCACACGAGACCGCCGGTTGTCGGAGCAAGTCGACAGCGCACGCCCCAGGGCGGAATGGCTTCGCGAGGCGCCGCCATTATCAGATGCTTGCCCTTCGTTACAGCAGCCTACAGCGCAATGGAATCGATCCCAGCGGAAACGTGACCCATGCTCCGATTCACTGGGAACATCCGGCTCGCCTTCGAGACGCCGTCGCGTGATCAACACAGCGAGAGCGTCAGAACGGGTTACCTCTTCGACATCAGTGCCACCTACACCGACATTGTCACCGGCTAGTACTCAGGCGCTGGCCGCTAGTGCGGCATCCACGGCAGATACAGGATACACTGCAGCAGGCAAGCTCGATGAGCGCTGCGCTCTGTCAGCGAGTACCGATGATGGCGGCGACGTACCTGCACACCGTCCATGTTCATCGACAGCGCCTGCCTATCGGGATGCATCAGAGCGGCCAGCGGAAAAGCGCTGCTCCACCGACGTCCGCGAATATCGCTCCGGGCATGCAGCGTCGACCTGGAATGCAGCACATGGACGTGCCGCTGGCTTGGTGCCGCATTCATCCCAGAATTCGGCTACGCAGTCAGCAGCAGCAGCAGCAGCAGCACAGGTATCGCACCCAGTTGCTCCAAAGATGCGCAATCAAGGATCTAGGTGTCTGTCCGAGCACGCTCAAAGTGAGTCTTCTCCCGATCTGCGTGAGATGGTATTGAAGCAGCGCATCCGAAGAGCGCTCGCGAGTGTACGAGAACCTTTGCCAACGACAGCAGGGGACACAGGTGCGGAACCAGCGCTCAGCGATGCTTCATGTGCGCGCTTTCCCGTCCAGCAGTCTACGACAGTTTATGCGGATGCTCGTTCACAGATGTCGTGTGCCTCAGGTCTGGACAGGCCCCATGGGCGCTCGTCGAATCAGCAGCACCAGCACGAGCACCATCAACAGCAACTGCGGATTCGCCAAAGTTCGCCACAGAGCCAGGTTGCGCGTGATGCTCACAGGTGTGCTGGCGCTGGCCCGCTCGAGCACCAGTTCCGTAGCCGTAATTGCACCCCAGATGACAGGCACTCGAGTCACCGTGAATCTCCGCAGCGAAAGCGAATGCCAAATGAGCGGTCTGCAATGATCGCTCAAGCACCTGTTCGTGCAGTCTTTCCAGCGCAAGGCACGGCACTGGTAGACCCGCATGCATCGAAACCGCTCCTCATGGCATCGAAACATGAATGGGCGTTGATGGCAAGTGCGAAGAAAGCGAGCCCATCCCCGATGCCGCTTCGAGCTCACGTGCCTGCCGCAACTGAACCACGTGAGCACTACAGACCGCCGGATATCGGGCGCGTTGCCGATGAAGCCGCCAAACTGGTCAAGGCTGCTGCTGCTGCTGGTGCTGGTGTTGCTGGTGGTGGTGGTGCTTCCACTGAGGCGGAGCCCCCGGCCCGGATGGCCACGAGAGCCGCCCTCGGTGTTGCAGCGCATTCTTCGGACGCTGAAGCAGAGCTGCTCTGCATGCTGTGGCTGCATGGTCCGGATGTGTCGAGTCAGCCAGCTCGACGGCTAATCCTGCGGAACCTGCCTCCTTCAACAAATGAGCACGACCTGTATAGCTATCTGGTGCACGTCATGGCGGCTACATGTTGTTTCGCCTACGATTATATCGGATGGCATCAACGGTTTGCGCATTGGCATGCAAAGCAACGTCGAGCTGCTGGTATGCTCGCTGCAGCAGGCCGATACAGACAGCAGAGCGAACGGCTTCCGGAGCGGAACGACGCTCGGGGTCCCGGTGTCAATGAATCCTCAAGAGGCCAAGCTCAGAGCAGTCTTCTGCGGGAGCTTCGTTTAACGCCCGTCTGGGAACTGCAGGTGCTTTGGAAAAGTCGCACCGCCTTTGTCGAGTGTCTCACTGTCCAGGAAACGACTGGCCTGGTGCAGTTGAGCGGTTTGCTCTTCCAGGGATACCAAATAGTGATCTCGCGACCGCGTGAATTCGACGCGGAACTCTGGTTGAGCTCGAATCCACTTCCAGCGGAAGCAGCTGAGGCTCTGCGACTGCCTCCAGCTCGTTTTCACCGAGCCGCTGTGGCGGAGAGTCAAATGAGCCCCAACGTTTGGCCTGCATCCGATTCACGGACACCAGCAGGAGCGTTTTACGGCCATATCCGCGGCATTCCTCTTCATCTCACCGAATATACGATGATTCAGTGGTTACGCACAGCGCTGGTCGGTTGGCCGTGGCAGCTCAGTGCGTTTCATTTGGCCAGAGAGGGGCGCTCAGGCCTGAGTCGGGGCTTTGCGCACTTCCGCCTGGATCGATGCAGAGCCGCAGACTGCACCTCGTTGGACCAGGGCGTCACAAATGCGACGCAAGCAGCTTCTGAGATGCGCACCGTTGCGTCAGAGCGTCTCGCAACAGTGGATCCCGAAGTGGAACGCCTTGTCGAGCATCTGCGTTCGCATCTGCTACCAGGGCTCTCACGTCCGCTGATCATTCGGCAAGCGAACCCTATGCACCCACGAGAGAGCAAGTCGACACCCGAAGCACCAGATGCACAGGGCGAAGCGTGCTCTCCCCGGGTACCGCATCATGCGGCTTCTGCTGCGGATGTCTCGGAAAACGCCTCAGCGTCGATGGTCACAGCGCATGTGGACGGCAGGAGCACGGAAGCAAGTGTGCTCGCGCTCGTGCGTCTTCTGCGTCCGGAGCTCTTCGCGGATACGCAAGAGCGGACTGAAGCCATCGATGACGTCACAGAGGAGCTGCGTCAGTATGGATCCATCGAGGAGGTGGCATTGGACGAGCGCCCCAATGAACCCGAGGCCGGCACCGTGTACGTTCGTTTCACCAAAGCTGCTGACGCGGCCGCCGCGGCCGACGCCATGCAGCACAGACGCTTCGAGCAGCGTCCAGTGAATGCCGAACTTCTCAGTGTCTTCGACATGAGAGCTCGCCTCGGCGATACCAGGTCCATGCAGCAAACCGTGGTCGTTCTACCGGAGGTGGTGGACCCACAAGCCTTTCTAGATGAGGAGGAACGTGCGGATATCGCCATGGATATCAGAGAGGAAATGCTTCAGTTCGCTGAAAAGGTGGAGGTAGAGATTCCGCTTCCACCGCATCCCGAGGCCGGCGCAGCGTTCATTCGTTTTCCTGACCGAGTCAGTGCTGAGAAGGCTCTGTCGTCGTTACAGGGTCGCTTTTTCGACGGAAGACCGGTGCGGCCCTACCTGCGGTAACTGTTGACTAGCTGGCTTCGGTTTCGGTAAACCAGGTCCGGATGCATTGCGACTGACACAGAACATGACGCAAGCGATCCGCGATGACTTTTTTGTTCATGAAGCAGATTTCATTTCATGACTGCGTTCCGGGACGCAAAATACTTCTGGCGAGCTTTGCAAGGTTGAGCAACCAGGCTCCGTGTCGTGACTGCAATTGAATCACTGCTGGGTCTCGCATACTTTGCATGAGCGCCTGTACCTACATCAGCGCCGTGCTTCAATGGAGTGCTTCTCGATGCTCTACGGGGAAAGAGTCAGGGTCGACGCGCTTGCAACAACCGCAACTCGAGGCACCTGAACGATGCGAGATTGCATCTTGGAGAACGACGTATGTTCTCTTGTCCGCGTTGCAACACTTGGTGCCGCTTCAGGGCGGATGTTTCGGTGCAACCTCGAATCACGCGAGGCGTCGTTCGCGTCGATAAACCCGCGGTATGTACTGGACGAGCAAAGCTGCCCAGATCATCGCATTGGTTTCAGAGTCGTCTCTAGGCTGGCGCGGTCGGAGCGCCACCAATACGCGCCGCTGAAGTTTCAAAGTGAAACCCCCGAGCTTGCAGTGCTCGTCGGGCTCTCTCAAGGTCCGCTTGCAGACTACGAGCGGCCTCTGGCCGGTCAGGAAAACTGCTCAAGAGCTTCCATAGTTTCAGTGAAAAAGCAATCACCACCACTAGTATAACAGTTGACGGTACAAGCAGGGGCAGCAGCCACCACCAGTGTTCGGAGAGCGCTCGGCAAGTTTCGCTCGGAACGCCAACGGCACGCAGTCCCGCGAACACCTGAGGCGCACGTACCCAACAGAGTGCCGTCAGGAGAGCGGTGGTACAGAAAAGAAGCAACAAGTAGCGCATTTTGCGACTAGGTACAGCCGCCTTGCAGCTTCGGTCTAGAGATGACTGCATAGAGGAGGTGTGTACAGCAGAAACTGAAGTGCGAAGACCTCGCTTGAGATCTGCACGACAAATCTTGGTTCGTACCCAAGAAGCAGCTTGTGAAAGCGATTCAACGATGGTGTACGCTTATGTCGCCCGGGTAGCACTCGGAGAGCTTTCCCCTGGTCCAGGAACGCTTTACAAGGTAAAACTTCCCCCATTTGTTCGACTGCGCATTCGATGGCGCCACAAACGAGTCGCATCGCTGACGCCATTATCCCAGATGAAGTATAGGTAATGTAACATAGGAGTAGGGGGTTGATGGATACCTCACCGCGCACTGAAAAAAATACCCAAAAAGAAAAGTAAAATGCGCATAATCGGAGAACGCTGGCCCATGGAAACGTTTTCTCAAGGGAAAAATCGCTGATGCCATAGCGTTCAACCCCGAGCGTTGAATTCTGGGATGCCTGTACGAACGAAAGCTTTTTATTTTTGCTCGTCTTTATCCGGGGCAGTCAGCAGAAGAAGTGTATGTTGTAGAGGGGTCGCAGAAAGACTTGGTGCTGTTGCTGGTAGCTTGCGAGCAACAGCTTTTGATGTACAAGTCGGTTATGCCGTGGTCAGCAGCGTCATGAGCCCCGCAGCACGTCGTCCGTACCCTGTACGCCGTACACCGAAAACAGAATGTATCAAACTCTATCGCCACAGCTGTGTCCTCTTGACTCCATTCAACTTGATGCATTCTGTGAGAAATACCATCAAAGCAGGTACAGGATGTGAAGTGTCTCTCCTGATGATGTCATGGATTTCGCGGAGATATAGATGGAGACGGAAAAAAAAGCAAGCGCTTACGTTCACCAGTCATGCGTTGAGCGATACACGATCGAGTTCGCACCGAAACGCGATCGCTGTGTTCAGGACGGACAGGTATTCGTCGCGCCCAACGAGCATGTACTCTGGAGATGGTATGCATTTGTACAGGTTCTGGAACAGGGGCGAACCGCTGTTCTCCAAGAAGAAACAAGCAAGTATCACGACAAGGTCAGCTTTGACTGCGATTCAGTCATGGAGTCAACTGCGAGTCGCCAAACGTTCGGGATCGTTCAAGACTTCATCTTTCGTCGGAACACTCATCGTGGCTCCTCTTTGCCATATTTTCTGGCTGCTCGTAGCGAACGTCGCTTTCGATGACTCCAAAGCGTTCAGTGAGCACGCAGCTGAGACTCGCGTTTAGCTTACCTTCGTGCCAGCCTATTGCCCCAGGTTCATTGGATTCGAAGGCGTCTTCTCTATTGCCGAAGCTCCATTTCGGCGATCACCGATCAATAGACGAGTCGTGCGCTTCTGCGGCACCGTCCGTCGCCAAGGGGATTTCCATCTTCACCAGCTCCAATCGGCTGCGTTGTTTCTCTGGTCGTAGGCTGGGGATGGATGCATAGAGGTGCGCTTCGGTCCGTGGGCGTGCTCGTGGCGGAGCAAGAGGTGAAAAGCTACTACAGGAATCGTAGAGACATGCACAGAAAAGACGAGAATCGGTGATCTAGGTCTCCAAGTGCATCTGAATCCCCAGGGAGACCAGGTATGGAAGAGAACAACCTCATCGATGCCACTCCGCCACGTAACGGGGAAACGAAGATATTGCTTTACAAGAAAAGCATGGATCCTTCCCTAAAGAGAACGAGGAGTGACGGGAACGGAAAATTATGGTAGTAGGATGATCCGTCTGCAACCGTTGTCAAGAACTACCTGCTCAGAAACGTCAACCGGGAGAATCCTCCAGAACGTGAGATGCCGGAGGTCATGACGGATCGCGTAGCGTTTTCGTCGAGGCAGTTTCGCCTCGGTTCTCTCAACTTGACGCACCTCGTCATGCAAATGTCTGGACGAGTGCCCGACACGGGGCTGTAAGGCACCCACATTCCTCGAAAGCTTTCCGATGGACCATTCATCAAACAACTGATGCTCGACACTGAAGAAACATTGCTTTCTGATGGATCCACGCATCGATATTATCGGGAGTCGGGCATGATTGATACCATGAGTAATGCCAGGAAATGGAATGAAGGTGCCGGGCCCCATTTCGAGCAACTCGCATATTTTGGACGCCGCATTTCAGAATGTACTAGAGTCTGCAAATAGCTCATGCGAATGGTGGCTGGCAGGAGTTCATGAGACGGCGCTGGCGTCACCGACGGTATCCGTTGTCCAGAGGCAACAAGTGTGCATCCGCGGTGCTCTCCAATTCGTTGTAGAAGGAATTGACGGACAAGTGGCGTCCTCCGGGGGTGTCTTATGGCTCTGGACGGGCTATGGTGCGCTGGAGCTGCACGCGTGCACTCGCCACGAGAGCATACACCGAGTGCAGGAATCGAATCTGTGCGATACCCATGGAGGCGTTCAGGACGACATACACGCCTCAGGAGCACAGGTGCACGCAGAGACTTGTAGAGAAGAAGAGCAGGAAACACAGACGCATGCATGAGATGGTGTCCAGGGTGCGCTGAGCGAACCTCAGACAGCGCAACCGTCGCTCGTGATTCGCGTGCTCTGGTGCGATTCCACCAGCATCAACAACATGCGCGAGCACTTTCTGCACTGAGATTTGAACGCCTGAACCAACATTTTAAAACATGTCGTGCTTCCAGAGCATCGAGCAGCTTGGTACCGAACGGACATTCACGTGGATTGTTGGGTGCGTATTGTAGATTTCTGCGCTGGAATGCGCAGGGCTTGTGATGGAAAATCAGTGCTCAGAAGAGAGGGCGTTGGATTCTCGCCTGTAACACGCCATTGACGTGGTACTGGCTCAGTAGTCAGCCCAGAAACGCTAGAGCAGCGCATATTTACAAAGAAGCAATGTCCCTCGGCGATCTTTGAACGGGCATGGTGTTTTATGATTCCACAAGACCGAGTCTATAAACGAGCATGCACGCCCAGCGTCGGTGCGCTTCAGTGTTCGCTTAGCAGCAGTGTTTCCTAGCTGGGCGCATTTCATGGGCATGCGCTGTAGCCAGCAGGCTCGGCTCGGCTCGGCTCGGCTCAGGATGCTGGGGGCTTGTGTCGAACCTCTTGAGTCGCACACCGGCAATATTCCCTGGATACGTGGATCCAGAGCGCTCGGGAGACTCGAAAGGGCGTCGATAAGTTTACGACTTGATTTTGCGGTATGCGCAACGTTCGACGCCCGACGCAGTACGGCCATGGTGCTCAGGGGGCATTCTGGTTTCCTCGCATTTCTCAGCTGTCGTTACCTGTAATCGTTTAGCGCAACGTTCTTGCATAGTGGATACCGATAGAGTGGCTCGCGCCTTGCACAGCGACGACGGGGCCGCGCTGCCCCGACTCCCTGGTGCACCAGTTCGGACTGATTGTGCTCGGAGAGCGAGCGTAGCATGCTGGATCGATCGACCCTGGGTAGTCCGATTTCTGCTCTGTCGGTCATCGGAGCTCGATGCGAGCATTCCCGCGCTCGAGACGGATCACTAGCAACGTCTGACAGGAGGCCCGGGGCGACAACCACCGTAACCGGCGCGCATGATCCGCGGTATGCGCTTCACGCGTTACGTCTGTCCCCGGAAGATGCACGTCGGAGTTCGACGCTCGGCGCTGGCTCAGGGCGCTGCCTTGTGTTGCGGCTGCATCCGCTGGGAAGGGATTCACCAACGCGCTCCCAAAGGCAAGCCCCGACTTTGCATGAAAAGCATCCACGCCCCTACATCTGCCTGCAAGTGATCGCTTGTAGTGCCGAGTTGGAGAAACCGAGCTCCTGCGTCCGGGCCCTTGCTGGTTAATCGCTGCACGCAGGCCGAAGTGCAGTTTGCAGCGAGACAGCCTCATCGCGGGACTCGATTCTGCTCTTGATGTGCGCCCTGCTCCTACCAACGATTTGCAATACACTATATTTCATGCGCAACCTTGTCATGTACGTCTCACGGGCTACCGTGCTTCTGCGCAGCACCAGCATGAACAACGATATTACGCTGGCATGCAGAGAAGCGCCGATGCTGATGGCTCGCTGCCGTTCGCTGAGATCGAATCGACGTATGAGACATTTATTGACAAAGAGGGTAAATGGAAAGGGTGCGACGGCCAGCGGATCACTCGAGTCACACGCCGCTGCATGGCTGCTGAGCACCTGCAGATGATCGCGTGCGCGCGCTCGCCTCCGGATTGATCGCATGTGCAGGGCGTCGGACGCCATCCGCGCACGACGTCCTGTTTCACGTGTTCAGGCTGCTTCATAACCGAACCCGCTACGCATGAACGTCTCAAGAAAGCCTCGCTTCGGTGCCCCAGGCACACTCTTTTTTCTTAACTCTGCTCACTCTGCACTTTGGACGCCGGTTGCTTCAGGAAACTGGAGTCAAGTGCAGTCCACTACGTCGTTTCACAGTGCAGTGCCGGGTTGTGGGCGTAGCACGCGCTCGCTCGTGCACCGCGCCGGTGCACGTTGGGGTCTGCGAGCGCTGCGCTGCAGCTCTGCCAACGCCCCCATGACCATAGAGGGGGCTCGGATCGGGCCGCCGCCTGATCTGCCGTCTCTTTTGCTGCACAACCGCATCGTCTATATTGGGATGCCGCTCACAGCGCCAGTTTGTGAACTCATCATAGCCGAGCTTCTTTACCTGAACTACAACGATCCCGACAAGCCGGTCTACGTTTACATCAACTCGACGGGGACCATGGGTCTCGACGGCAGCACTGCTGGTTTCGAGACCGACGCGTTTGCGATCATCGACACCATGAACTACATCAAGCCGCCGGTTTACACTATCTGCGTTGGATCTGCTTTTGGTCTAGCAGCAGTGATCTTGGCATGTGGCGACAAGGGCAACCGTGCTGCCCTACCGAACGCGTCGATCATGCTGCATCAACCGCGGGGCACAGCCCGAGGCCAAGCGGCAGACATCGCTATCAAGGCGCGGGAGATTATGTACAATCGGAAAGTTGCCATGGAGATTCTGGCGGAGCACACCGGGCGCACCGCTGAGGAATGTTTGAAAGCGAGCGAGCGGACCAAGTATATGACTCCACAGGAGGCAAAGGAATTCGGAATTATCGATAAGATTTTACGAAGTGAGAAGGATTTGCCGAAGGACATGCCTGCCTTCCTCAAGCAGCTCTGAGCGGGAGCAAGACTCGCCTTGGTACGCTTTGTCGGTGATGATGATGATGATGATGATGATGATGATGATGATGATCAAGCTTGGGCACCTTCATGGATGACATAGAGCCGTTTCCTCGGAAAATCGGATCCAGGCATCAGGAACATGTCGAGCATCGTTGAGTCCCGCTCCAGCATTTCATCAACCTGTTCCACAAACGAGACGTTTCGTCCGCCAGTTAGTCTTGAAAGCTAACTGCTACGGATCACACATGAGCGCATCCAGTCAGAGAACCCGGCTATGCAGCGCCGGATCTCGAGCGTGTCGACCTACGACGCGATCGCTCGTTCCATTTTCCAGCATCACCCTGTTCGTAGCGCTTCACGCCCAGCACGGCTCACCGGGAAGTCATATGTTTGCCATAAAGGTCATGCTCATACAGCGCTACAACAAGTGGCGAACGCACACGCGCTTTACGACCGTGTACCCACTGCTGAATGATTTTTACCGAACGCTTCGCTCTGCAGCTGCGCTGCCAGCGACTGCCGTCATATCCTGCCCCTCGATCGCCGATGGGTGAACGAGCGCTACTAGCGTCACGTCGTCTCATTCAACGCTGCCTTGCGGGCATCCTCGCCCAACACAGGCTGCCACTGGCACAAGAACACCTATTCATGATGATCACGATCACCTGCGGTGCTGGCATTGACGTGTCCATAGCCAGCTACGATGCGGGAAGCACCGGCATCCACGACCAGCACGGACCCCGTCTAGGAGAAGCGAACGCATGCCACAGGTGCCGTTGACACCCAAACCGGCACCCGCCAATACCGAAGAGTGCCTCAACTTGAAAGCGAGTAACGAATGACGGCAACTGGGGCTGTCTCGGGTCGTGCGAGATACCTGGGCGGACGCATACTTGAACGGATGCTGCTGCGCTGTGCAGAAGCAAGTACAGCGACTCGCGCGGGGAGAGCGTCCGCTCGTATGCGATCGCAGCGGACATGGCCAGCTTGAAACAGCTTCCCCAGCATTGATATGTCTAGATACCTATGGAAAGCAGTGTTCCTTGAAATGCACTCGCGCGGATTACCCAAGATAGCGAGTCCGTTTCCGGGGCATAGGAGCAACCGCTCGTTCCATGAGGCGCATGTGCGCTAATGCACACCGGTCTAGCGCCCCGTCGCACTGTTCTCGAAGCCACGACAACACCACGCATCAACCAGAACAAAATTTTGTCTGCATCATGGACACCCTTTCTTTCCTTCTCCAGAGATTTTTTCACGCAATCCCGGAAATTTCGTGAAAAGCGCACGGCGTACATCGCACCCGCACCGGATCGTTTCGCTGGTTCGGAATCGCGCTGCGGAGGCAATACGGTACGCGGACTGAACCTCAGTGTTTCCTTGACACGACTTGGCTGGAACACTGGAACCTATTCTATCTGATACGGTACCTGTTGCGGTTCCTGTTCTAGTCGAGGGTTTACTTGTGGTGTGCTTTAGCCGAAGCAGCAGCGGTCTGTCTCAGGGCGGCGCCGTCGGGCGCTGGCGCTTCCGGGGGAACACAACGGGTTGTACGACGGGCACCGCCCCCGCTTTGCCCGAGTTGCCTCCGTTTCTGACGCTCAGTACTGCATGCTGACGTCGCACGGGGTTTATCAGGGCCCCAGCAGTGTCCCGGTCGCCGTACGCTCACTGGACGAGGTGCACCGCGAAGCTCGCAAGGTGCTAGTCGAGCTCCAAAGCGCTCTCCAGCAAGCGGAGCAACAGCAGCACCACGCGCAGCTCGCGACGAAAGGAGCTTTGAAAGACCTCGGAGTCGCCACTTTAACAGCAGAGGCACTAGAGGCGCCACGGCTGAAGCTGCAACAGCTCGAACTTGTGACTGCTGAGCTTTCGCAGCTGGCTGAGCGCGCGCCCGCTGCACAGCGAGCTCTGTGGCAACGTCGTGCGCTGCAGCTTGAGACGCAGCACAGGGAGCTGAGCAGTCTCTGGAGGCAGGTCTATGCGGCGGAAAGGCAACGTCAATGGCACTTACGGGAGCGTGAATCGCTTCTCGAGGGCGCTGAACAGCATCGCTCCAAGTCGAAGGCTGATGCCACGATAGTCGACTTGGAACAGCTCGCAACCCAGTCTCTAGAGCACGCGTCCCATTCCGCTGATGGTATTCTCGGAAGCGGGCGCGATGTCCTCAATGCGTTGCGGCAGCAACACCAGACGCTCAAAGCGGTGCGGCGCAAGACTCTTGATATGGCCCATCGGTTGGGTCTCAGCCAAAGCCTCATTCGGCGTGTCCAGCAACGAGCCCGAAACGACATGAGAATCGTATGTGGTGGCCTCGCTGCCATTCTGGCCCTTGTCTGCTTGTTGTTCTACGTAAAACATTACCTGATGTGAGCGGGCATGCAGTGCTTTAAAGTTTCCTTTGAGGCAGCAGGGCCTCGATGAAAAAAATGGACCACGTTCTGGTATGGAACGACACCCATGTCGGAATAAAGCAGAACAGGTCCACTAACTCGGGAGCACATTCTTAGGTTCTGGAGGCCGTCTCAGTGCCAGCGGGGAAACCAGCCTTTGCGGGCGTATGATGCGTCTGCTTCCTTGTTCGCTCTCGCATCTCCGTAGTTAGAGACGCCGGTCTCTCCTGCTCTCCATAACGATTGTCAGCAGCCGATGGATGTTGCTGGCAGCGTTCAGGTACCGATTTCGCTGCCCCGGGTCGCTTTCGATGCATGATATGTACCGACGATAGTTGCGGTCTGCGCTTCGCTTGCCAGTTGCATCTTCTTCGTATACGGCCGCGGTGTACTCGTCGCTGCGATGAAACTTGGCTCTGATTAGGTGTTTCCACACGTATCGATCGCGCGTCCTCTTCCCAGCGTCGTCCTGTCGTACGTGATTTCTTGCCTCATCGCTCGGTAGATGCCCTTGACGTGTACAGAGGGTTCCGCACGATGCACTCGTCTGTTTCCGCACCCGGTGAGGTACACAACGATCCCGGACTTGTTCTGGACGGATCCATCGGCGAGCGTGCTGCCCGCTCCACATGCACAAGTGCGTGCTGCTCCATTCGATAGAGGATATGCGGTACAAGATGTTGTCCGCGATGAAACAAGTACCAGAGGAAAGCTCCAGGCTCGAGAAAAAGTCGAGCCATTTCGATCTGTCTACGTGCCTTTTGTACAACGCTATGACGCTAGCTCCATCGAAAGCGATCACCGCGATGACTCGAGTCCGCGACCAGGTCCCTCTTCCGTCCAAACAGAAGAAAAGGAGCGTTTCGAAGCATATCCCCTGAAAGGCATCATGCTGCTGTCAAATACCGTTTCGTTGACGACCACATAGACAGAAGGAGTCATCTTTCGAACATTCTTGATTAGTTGACTGGCAAAATTTTTTTGAATGTCCGGCATGAGCTTGACAACGAGTCGTCAAGAGGCGACGTTGCGTATTTTTCATCACCAACTTAGCGGCACGAATTGTTGCGCTTACGAGTTGATCTAGAATTGAAAGATCGAAAACTTGGAAGAATACGTGATTCGGGCGTGCCGATCGCCAGGAAAGGAGAAGAATGAGGTCTCCGATGTATGAATCGGATCATGATATCGCTCCGTTTAGGAGTCCGAGGGCGAAGTCGTCACGAATCGTTTTGCTTTCGATGGTGCAACGAATTCCAGCTGCAAGGCGTCAACCGAGCAACCCTGCAAGAACAACCGAGAATCCGAACACCACGTATGAACCCTCAAGCCCTCATTCCTGAAATTCGAATGCCATGGCTTTACATCTATAACAAGTTCAGAGCAGAAATCGCAAGGCAGGAGCAGATCGACTCGGTCAGTATTCCGTTTTAACCTAGTACCGGTCTCCGTAGAAGAACCAGGCCCAAATAGAAGGCACTGCAGCCAGTTCGCTCGGCTTCGTCATCTGGTACCTTTCGCTCGTACGCGCTGCTGTGATAACTCGGTGTGTTCGTTGCTGGAGGCGAGCTCGCGTCCTCCTCTGGTGTCGTCCTCAGCACAAGTCCGTTCTGCGTGAACGAGAAGTTTTCGCAAGGTCCCCGGGTGTAGGTCGTAGCCTTCCAAAGGCCACGGTTCACGCACCGTACCGATGGCGGCTGCAGTGGCCCTTCGAACTTGCGTGAGGAGGTCCAGGAATCGCTCCGTGCAGCCGTTGATACCCGCCTCGTCAGGCGGCAAAACTGCAAGCACGTTAACTGTATCGCAGGTCACCTGTTGCAGCTGCAGCAGCGCTTCTTCAGATTCATCCAATTGTTCCAGAGCCGCCGCTTCTGCAGTGTCTCGGAGCAAAACGTCGTAGAGCGCCTTGGTCGATGCTCGTTGCTCCATTGCCGAGCTTCGTTCCCTCGAAAACGACGTTTCGCAGTGACTGCGTTACGCGCACCGGCCAGGCTGGTGTTCCAGACGCCCCAAACCGCGGCTCGGAGACTTCTTTTTCTGGTTTCGATTCCGTGAAACTGACCAGCGTTCTCGGACTGCGCGGTTGCTTTCGACAACCAGCCAAGCGAGCACTATCCGTCTCGTACGAACGTAACGGGGCTCCACTGGTGTCAGAGGCTCGCTCCTCGTCAAGCGTGGCTCGTTGGAATATGCTCTTTGCAGCAGCAGCAGCAGCAGCAGCAGGAGCGCCTTGAGCGCGATCGACACTGTCGGGCTTACAGTCCTTCAACTCAGTCCTGTTTCATCGCCGCTGAAAGTATTCGAATGCTTTTTCGCAGTTTGAAGCAGGAAGTCGAAAACACGATGCCATGCGCCGTTTAAATCCTGGACGAGTTGTCTGTAAGATATATGATTTACCGGACAGTTCAAGGAGTACTGCATTCCTCATTCAGGTCAGTCATACGTCAGATAGTTGAGGAACACTGAATAAAACAAGTACATGCGCTCCGAGCCAAAAATCGATATTCTTAAAACGTGCGTTCTGTCAATGATAGGAAACGGCCAGTTGATCACCTTACGGAAAGGAAAAGCGATGATAGTAGAAACCAGTGGCGTCTCTGTTCCTCAATAGTTTGTTCGTGTGGTCCTGAAAACTTTGGGATACATTGCGAAAACAAGTCCGATTTCATGCACTGCCATCTCGAACCGAAATCACATTTACAGAATTCCTGAAACGTTGCGGTCGTAGTGAAGCACAAGGAATTTGGTTTGTTTTCCCAGTCGATGGGATTTGCCTCGAACGAAACGGTCGAGGCGTCTGTCGGTATTCGAGGGAGCCGGGAGCCTCTCGTTTGTACGATCGAAATCGATGAGAACGACGAAATCATCATCTGGTCTACGTGCAGTGGGTTCCAGTGACGACCTCAGTTTCTCTCGTAGGGAACGGTCACACTGCAGCAACGAATGTACCGAATCATTCAAGACATTTCACCCTGACGTTTGGCGACGTTCTTTTGTTAGACAACGTGGAATTTCACCGTTCCCGTGCGCTGGAGCTTCTGCCGATTCTATCGGGGAATAAACCCGCTTTTCATTCCTTGGTACTCTCCGTGGCTGAATCCCATCCAAAGATTGTTTTATAGTGTGAAACGTAATGATCGCTTCACTGGACGAATCGCAAGATCGTCCAGCACACGATGACACACCGCGCCAGATTACGTCTTTCTTCGGCGAAGGTCCTCACCTGAGGGCATAACGAAATGCGTTCATTTCCAAGAACAAAAGATCTAATGGATGAGCTGGGGCGTGCACCTCAGGAGGTCTACATGGAAAGAAGGCAACGGGGCGTTTCGGCGACAGAAAAGTACCGAAGGCTGACAGAGCAGCCAATGCAACGGAGGGCACGACCCCGAGGATTCCTTGCATGAACGAGTACCACCAAGGGCAATAAACGCATGGAATTCGTGAACCGACACATCACTGCTGCCATCAGTATGAGGAGATGTGCGTTGCTGAAAACGAGATCCGCGGACCTGAAGCGATCGAACCTTGTGGGGTAGACGCTCAGGCTCGAAGTCTACAGGGAAAACTCTGAAGCCGATAGCAGGCGGCCTGGTCAAAAGAGACTGGCTGGCGTTAGCGCATGTGTAGATATATCCACTTTATGGTCGTTGGACACTGTTTTGTGTTTCGCTGATCACATATAGAGTTTTGTGCGGCAGCGTCAGCCAGGCGGCGGCAACGCGTCTCATGGAAAGAATCCTATCGTTCAGCATCACAGAGTGAACCGGAGCAACACGGAATGACTGCACAGCGTCTGCAACGATCTGGTCTGAGCTTCTCCGTATCACAAAAATGCTATCGGAACGGCGTGGTGATCGCTTCCCCGGATGCCGATGACAACCGAGCATCCGTGCGATGTCTGGTTCGTCTCATCCATTGCATATCATGATAGAATCCGCCGCCCTACCTTTCGCGAAAACAGACAGCGCCATCAACCTTCCGGGACGCGTAGTAGCGTCCTGTGCTGATCTACCAATCTAGCGTTCAGTATTGAGCGTTGCATTCTGGGTATGTCGCGCACAGAATCAGTAGCGAGCTGCGCGCTCGCCATATCACGGGCAGAGGTGTTCCTTGCAGTTGCGTGCTTGATGATGTCAAATATGTGCATCGTGTTTATCAAAAATGTGTCGCTGTGCGCGTAACCGCAGGTTCCCAGCACGAGAATGTCGAAGCGACCTCATGGAACGATTGCTTTCAGCTAGTGTCTTGTGAAGACAGCGCCAAGCCGACTAGCTTCCGACCGGAAATCGCTGCCGCGTATCGAGCGTCCCAGCTTGCACCTGTGTTAGGCTGCACTGCCCACAGCATCGCTGCGTGCAACCGTAGCGCCCAAAAACAAGGCCAGTCTAGGTCTTGTACAACATAAAAACGTCTGGATCAGAACTGAAACCTCTTTCTCGATGACTGGCTCCTAACACGCCCGCATCCAAACGATTGAGGCTTGTATCATCTGCATGACAAGGGCGAAAACCTGGACCAGAGGACACCGAAGTTTCTCGTGTCCATAATATACAGATATATGCAGTTACTCCCTCGCACCCAGGGTCGCCGCGCCCCTCCGTGTACTCCTCGCTGCTACCAGCTGGTAACGTGCGACCTCCTGAGCGTCGGGTTCCAGTACGCGTCTGAAATGCCAAGCTGCTACCTCTTTCTGGTAGCGATTCTGGTGTTCACAGTGAAATTATGTGAGGCGATCGCTTTGGAAGACGACTTTTGTACGACATGGCCTTCGGTTTCGGGCCTGAGGTACTGGTTGCGAACCAGAGACGCGCGTTGTCTGCGCCAGCAACTTGCTCGCGTGCTCGGCTATGGTGTTGTGGCCGGTGCAGCGCTCGTGAAACTTCCGCAGTTGTTGCGCATCCTACAGAACCGGTCCGCCGCTGGAATTTCCGTGGCGACCTACTTGGTCGAGTCTTTTGGTTACGCGTACAACCTGGCCTATCACTATCGAGCGGGCTATCCGTTCTCAACATATGGTGACTTTGTGCTGCTTGGCGTGCAGAACTGCCTCATCATGGCGCTCATCTTTTACTTCAACAACCAATGGTTCCCTCTGGGCCTCCTGACGCTGTCTTCGTATATCACGGCAACAGTAGTTGCTAGCTGGTCCCAGCGCGCTGTGCCGCTCGCGGTTCTCGAACGGTTGTGTAGCTTGAACCTTGCGATCGTCATCGGTAGTCGTTTACCGCAAATCCTGGCGAATGCGCGAAGAAAACATACTGGATCTCTGAGTTTGGCGACGTGTCTGGGGCTTTTCGGAGGAGCAACTGCCCGAGTATTCACGACGATGCAGCAGGTGCAGAACCATACGATTCTCGTCGGATACCTTGCGAGCGCATTTCTTAACGGTATCCTGGTGGCTCAGATTCTCATGTATCGGAAGCAGACTAGAACAACACCCGAGGTTAGCGGTGCTACCATGCAGGAGACGCGAGCACGCCCACGCAAATCGAAGACGTCGTAGCGGTCCTGGTAGCAGGCGAGCACGTAAAGGCGCAACACGAGAGTCGCCCAAAGAGAGCGATATCGTTCGTCGCGCTGGGCTTGCAATGTTACGAGCTGCTTCCTTTTGCTCGATATTCAGCGACCAACATTCGTGGGTGCTCAAGATGTAAACCATGTTCAAACGGGCGCTTGTTTCTTGCGAGCTGCCCTACTATGCCGTTTTCATTGTGAACCGCTGTTCGCTGCCTGAGGGTCGATGGACTCTGCCACGAGTCTGTGTTGTGAGCTCGAGTCACTGGTATCTGGCTCAGCATCAAATGTAGACGGAAACAGTATACCAACAAAAGGTTCCCCAGCAAAGCTCGCCTGCAGCATCTCGTTGCGTTGGTATGCCGGTCGGCGTCGCGAAATAGGGACTGTAGTTCGAATCATACAGGTACAGTGACGTGATCCCTGATCGCTTCCCGTGAAAAACCACCTCGAAATCTGTTGCTCCGCGGAACAATACACAGTGAGTGCCAGCGCACTCACTTCCGGTCAAAGCCACGGCGCTTGCCTTTCGCACCGCGTCCGCTGGGCAGGAGGTCGAGTTTCGGTGGCCGCCTCTAGCTGGTCGCACTGCCCGCTGGTTACTCAGTGCGCATCAAGGAGCACTGTCAATTCTTACTGATGTAGTCTGCTCGCACTCCATCGCTGTTGCTATTGTCGTCGTTCCACAGTAACGGGACACCCAGCTGAGCAGTGCGTTCACTAGGGGCTGCGAGTCCGTTACCAGCCCGGTGCAGGTCTCTGCTGCGATCGTGCGACAACGCGTCCTCGAACCGGCGTACACGAGTCTATCGCGAACCTGCTGATCGTCAGATGTTGCGAGTGTCGCTCGTGGACGCAGTTCGAGCTGCGTTTCGCAGTCGATTCCGAGCAAGCGACTACGTGCAGCGCAGCACCCGCTGGGCCATTAGGTCCAGCATCACTTCGTACGCAAAACGCAGAGCGTAGGGCCGCAGTACCCCAGCGACATTCGACGCGACACAAGTGCCGACATCCGTGGCAGCACAAGAGCAGGCACAGCCAACTAGTACCCAAAGTGACACATAGCGCCCTTCACTGCAGTTTTTTTTACCGTACTCCATAAACACGTAAAGCATAACCGCGTCAAATCGTTGCCTCGCAAGGATGCATGCACAGGACTGTACTTCAAATCCCCTAGCCCTGCTCGTACCAGCCACCACCTTCCAGTGCAGCGATCTGTGGTGATGCCCGACTGCGGCATTGCTGATGGCGGCATTGCTGATGGCGGCATTGCTGATCGAGGCTGCGGGTGACGTGGAGGTGCTGGCCCCCAGGGCGCCCTGCACAGCACAGCTGCCACCGCGGCGGCAGCAGTCGCTCCGGGCGTCGGGTATACCGGACGTGCCGCTCCGTGGCCTTGGACGTTTTGGGCGCTGCGTGTTGTGGGCTTGACGCAAGCCACCCCTGGCGTAGACTGTTGCTCTGGAGCGTCGGATCTCAGGCATATGGCCTTTTGCTTCCTGAACGCGCTGTCCCGGTCTCGTCCCAGGTCTCTGAGGCGTCAGGATCCGGGGCGAGCTCCGTGGACGCCCCGGCGGGAAGATGTTGTCGCCTACGCACTGCGACGGCGGCGAAGCGCTTACCTCGAAGACTGCAGTGAGCACAGGTCTGTGTCGTCCGAAAAAAGTGTGCAAGCGCACCCAGAGGCGGGAGGTCACCACAGGGAGGCGTTCAACGGGCCGGTCTGGAGCGGGGAGCCACACCCAGCCACCAACCTAGCCGACTTTGATGTTGTACTGTATTCTCCCTCGAAGATCAACGTTTTTCTGCGAGTTATAAGGCGAAGACCGGATGGATTTCACGAGCTGGCAACTGTGATGCAGGCAATATCGCTGGTGGACCGGATTGGCTTTCAGGAGCTGCCGGCGGGTGCGTCTGCTGACGTGCTCGAGTGCAACAACGCAAAGGTGCCGCTCGACAAAACGAACCTGATCATCAGGGCTTTGGACACTTTTCGCACACATTCGGGCTCTAGGAAACACTATCGGGTGCATCTGGATAAACAGATCCCCACGGAAGCAGGTTTGGGCGGTGGCTCGGGTAATGCGGCTACCGCCCTCTTTGCAGCAAATAGGTTGTGCGGTGAGCCTGCCTCCAACGCCGACTTAATCCGCTGGGCCAGTGAGATTGGCTCGGATACGGCTTTTTTCTTTTCCAGTGGCTCGGCGTTCTGCACGGGCCGCGGGGAGCAGCTCCATCCGATTCGACCGCTAGCTCCAACAACGGTCTACATTGTGAAGCCCAGAGGCGTTGGGCTGAGCACTGCCTCCGTGTACAGAGCGTTGAGCTTGCACCAACTTAATCGCGAGGACCATCTAGACCCACATGTGCTCTGTGAACAGATGGAACGAATTGGTCCGCTCTGTGCTCCGCTCGTGAACGATCTGGAGGGGCCGGCGTTTGCGCTAATGCCTCCGTTACGGCATTTGAAGACGTTTCTTGAGTCGTTCGGCTTCCAGCGAGTGCTCATGAGCGGTAGTGGCACCTCGTTTTTCGCATTAGGCTGCCCCGACAGCGTCCACAGCGAATCGTTTAGGAACCTCGTTTCAAATATGGGCTTGCAGCATGCAGGACCCCTACAGCATCTCTTCCCCGAAGGTGTCGACGTGTTCAAATGCGGTTTTATTCACCGCGATGCGGAGCATTTCTGGTACATGGAGAATCCGGCGAGCACGAAAGACGACTCGCGGTTTACAGGCCAACCACCACCGTCACCGCCGCATACCGCATCCAGGCCGGACTGCTTAGGCGACTCGCCGAGCACCTGAGAAGGGTCTACGCGCCTCAGCGCTCGACGAAAGGGACGCACCACGCTGTTGCATCGTAAGGAAATTCGACACCTTTGCTGGATATGTTGGTAGTACTGCACCCTTGGTCTATTATGGAAACGGAGATGCCGCATGAATAGCGAGCGTTCCGTTCAAGGTCGCGCGACAGCATCAGCGTCCGCCGCAAGATTCAACTTTTCGTTCCGGATGCCGACACGGTGCGGTGTCACCATATATACGCGATCTTCTTCATTGAGTAATGATCGGCTAGCTTTGTATTTTCCGATCTAGTTTTGGTAGGATACTGGAGCGCCTGGTGGCCTCTTCTAAAACCCGGAAAATCGCACAGAATCACGCAAACATGCTCCTTCACACTGGGGCTTTCAAGATGCCAGCTCCGTACCCATGCGGTATGTCGCGAACGTGCCCCTTGCACTGCTTGAGTGCATTCCACGAACATCGCCATGCCTAGAATCCTTCATACGAAATGCCTCAATCCATGGTCGTGGATGCTTTCTAGGAAGCCTGCTCGGATGTGTGACGTCATGAGGGCGGTTCACTACGGTTCCGCACAGCGCCTCACGTAATCACCGCAGTGTGTCTGGATCGGACGCCAGCGAACGGAATCGATTCCAGCTGGCATACAGGCATCATCGCCGAATTTGCTTTCGTAGACGGTTTGCATCAGCGGTATTCCTGTAGAGTCGCGCTCAACGGATCTCGCTCGAGTGCTTGCACAGAACGCGTCGGAAAGCACGAACATGCATCATGCACGGCAGTGATGGAAGAGTGCCTTTCACTCCTACAGAGCAGAGACAAAAACAGGAGATTCTAGATCATTGAGAGCTATGGTAGCCCGCGAGAACACCCCAATTCATCCCGTTTCTGGAGCCATCCATCGATTTCAAGGCATACGCGCTGGACAACACACCGAGCCGCACACGCCAAACTGCGCTTCCCGTTGTCACGCTCGGATGGATGCTGGACTAGTCGGCATGTGGGGGGATTCTCCGCCTTGCTCGCCTTCAGGGCCGTCTCGTCGCTTGCATCTCCATAAGAAGCGTATCTTCCAGTTCCACAGCAGTAAACCTAGACAATGAACTGCTCTCCAGAGGCCGATTTCACGCGGATCTCCGGTACCAACGTGCTATCCGGTACATGCAAAGTACTGCGGGCGTAACGCAGCGCCCATGCTACCGTGGGGAATGCAAGCATGTCCCATGGTATTTCGTCCCATCCATAGAGGCGTGCCTCAAGTGTCTCTGCATTCTGACGATAATCCGCTGGCGTCCAGTCCCGTTCCAGGGTGGCTCGATACACAAGTTGGATCTGTGCAGCCTGCAAGAGCTCATATACCGCAAGCAGGGGTCCGACAAGCACCGCTGCGTTCGTCTCTTCGAGTGCTTCACGTCGAGCAGCGTCTCGCGAGGTTTCACCGATCTCCAGATAGCCTGCGGGAAGCGTCCAGCGCCCACTAGCTGGCCGCAGCGCACGCCGACACAGCAACACCTTGCGCCGGTCTCGGCTGGTCGCCACACATGCGCTGATGACCTTCGGATTTTCATAGTGAACCAGAGCACAACGCTCACATACAGCTCTTTCCCGATAATCTCCAATTGGGGTCTGAATTGTCAGCTGCGCACCACAACGCGTGCAAAAACGCTGCGGTCGAGCATTGTCGGTTCGTGCCGGAGCGCTCGCCGAGTCATCCATCCGAGATGCCGCTCGACTCGAGTGCGTGGTAGCAAGAACGCAAACTCTGGTGCGTCTCGACCTCAAGCGTCCACTATCGAGTCGCTCGAGGCGCAAGCTCGCCGGGACTGGTACAAAGCGTCGGTGCACAGAGTGCAGCGGCACTGATAGAAACGTCAGCCGCAGTACGAAGCAGCTCACTTGCATCAGGACCGGTCAACTTGCACCTAGGCGCCTGCTACGTTTCTCGTAGGACTCGCTCGTGAAGACTCCTCGACACGCCAGCGGTATCGACTGGCGATTGGCGCAACGTCCAGTGGACGCCAGTACGCATCCCACTTCTCCGACGCCTCATGCTTGATGGTATTTTATTCGAGTCCGCCTCGGTTTTGGTGCACGAGGCAGGCATTCAGCGTATAAACCAGCACTGGTCATCAGATCGTTGCGTTGAAACAGCGTGGATATCGCAGGATACACAGAAAAATGGTCCGAACCGCTACTTCCTTTTACGTTACCGATGGACCTGGAAACGCACCCAAGTCATCCGACTCGCGAGCAGAGTCGGTATCGCCACCATACGGCTACGCTTGCGTCCATGGCGGTGTAGGATGCTAGGGATGCACGAATACGGACGAACATACTGGATTACAGATCTTTCACGATGCTTACAAACTTCAGCCTTTTCGGGCGTTTTCACGACTGCCTCCTTTTTGTCTCGTTCATCTGCGCCTTGATATACGTCGGCCTCTACTTTCACTCGAGCTCCGTTATCAGCAGTGAAAGGATATTGGTGGCGGTGTTCAATGCATGAATTTGCTGGTTTCGGTTATTGTTGACGCGTTTCGTGCACAGGCGGAGGTTGCGATCGAAGCATCGCGTGCCATGTTCGTTTTTCTTGAGTAGGGCGTCGGTGCGCCCTTCACAGCGGTGACACTTGACAGTGGTCAGAACTTTTCATAAGCGTCAACCGCAACTCCTTCTCCTCTTCTTTCTCGTCGACGTGTCTCGCTGTGACGCCTGGACGCTCGTTTCATAGTTCGCTGCACCCCGCTGCTGACGGCTACAGAAGGTTGCCATCTGAGCGCTTCTCCATTTCCGCGCCCGGTGCCGTTCTCTGCGATCACGGGCCTCCTCTGGCCGGTTCTCTCGGCGAGTACGCTACTTGACGCACACCCAAAAGCGCACGCTGTTCCAATAGGCAGAGGATTTGCGGAACGCGATCCTGTCCATGGCGAAAAAAGTACCAGAAGAATTACCCCGGCTGGAGATCAATTCGAGAAACGCCGATGCGCCTTCGCCCTCATCGTGCAAAGCAGTGACGTACGCTCCACTGAAAGCGATCGTTGCGATGACTCAAGTCCGAGTCCAAGACCAGTTGTCATTCAGAAAACGACTAGACGGGAGCCTCTGGAAGCATTTTCCATGGGAAGTATCGTGTTGCTGTGGAATCCCGTTCCCTGGAAAGGCTGCGAAGCGACGAGGATTCATCTTTTGAACGAAATCGACGATTTCGTGTGACATGTTCATTGAATTTTGGGTGTGGGCTTTTGATCAAGGCATCCAAGAACGACGTCGAGTTTTCACTCGTCATCACTCCAGCGGCGCGCATGAGTTGCCTCGAAACACTAAGCTCGAAAACTTGAAGCATGCTAGATTTTAGCGTGTGACACGTAACGAAATTCGAGGAGCAACGACTTGTACATGTGCACGGAATAACTACATTGATGGTGTTACGAGCGCTTTGTCCGTGGTCGTTGCGCATGATCTCGACTAGGGTGACGCAACGGATTCCAGCGGCAAAGAATCGAACGAGCTTTCGTCCGAAAATGCTTTCAAGAGTCCTCCACCTACAGATGAATCCGGAAGCCTTTATCGCTCCACTTCCAGCGTTGAATCTGTTGATCTAAGCTCAGAAGAGAAATCGCACGAAATGAACAGTTCTAATAGTCCACTGGTCCAGTTTAAGCAGCGAAGCGTCTAGCCGCTGCTAGTGCGGCCGCTTGCCTCCCTGGGCGCCTAGTCTGCGCATCGTACGCGAGACGCTGGAGCAGCTGGCGCGTTCCCAAGGAAACAAGCGCCCTCGTCAAGCACGAGTTCCCCGTGGCCGATGACCACATCTTCAGGAAGGCGAGACCAGTCGGGTCCTCGCTGCTGGAATCGTCGCCAACGCAGCGACAACGAAACTCAACAAAACAAACACCACTGGGAAGTATGTCATCAATTTAGAGACCTCTGAGCCGGAAAAACGCATCCTCGTGCGGTTCTCGTCCCAAAAAGTCGTGCAAAATTTCATTTGCACCACGAGAACCTCCCGGAGCGAGAACCAGCTGGCGATAGCGGTAGCCAGCCTTGGGATCCAGTGGTTGATCCGCAAACGCCTGTGCGTACATATCGCAGGCATACACCTCACTCCATAGGTAGCCATAGTATTGCGCATCGTAACCGGACATGAGGTGGCCGAAGCTCGCCCCCATATGGGTTCCTGGAGTCATGGGGACCAGTCCGATTCGCCGCTGGAGCAGCGCCAACAGTTCCGCAGTATCGATGCCGTCCACAAGCATCTCCGAAGACGACGACAACTGCTGCTGCTGCTGCTGCTGCTGCTGCTGCTGCTGCTGGCTATTGCGGTGCCCAGAAGCGCGGCTCCGACTCCGATTGCGACTGTTCCGGCGATCGGCACCGTATTCCCGCTCGAGCTTTTCACGTGTGGGCGCATGATGCAACGCCTGATCGAAGAGCGCAAGCACAATCTGTCGACGCGTTTGTAGCGCGATGAGACAACGCCGCGTCTGCTGGAGTCGCTCAATGAGCGTTGAAGGAAGCGGCTCCGGTACGAGAGCTCCTCCAGTACCAGCACCAGCACCAGCACTTTCGCTCTGTCCATCGTCCCTGGGTGTACGTGGTGCCAGGCGCTCGTAATGCCCCGAAAGCCGCTCCAGCGCTTGACGATCCCAGCACCAGTTCTCGAGCATTTGACTTGGTGCCTCAACAAAATCACGCTCCACTCTGGTACCGGAAAATCGTGCGAATCGCGGTTTTGAGCACAAATGATGCATGACATGTCCAAACTCATGGAAAAGCGTCACCACCTCTTCATGCCGTAGAAGCGAGGGGCGGCCTCCCGAAGACTTGCTCAAATTCGCTACCATTGCTGCTACAGGGACTTGACGCTCTCCATCGGCCGAATGCATCGCATTGAGCTGGAGCGCATTTGTCGCTGTTTCCGATGCACGATGCACGTGGCTAGTGCCAGTGCTGGGTGTTCCGACCTTGCCGCGAGGCGCAGTCGTCTCCTGGACTTTGCTGGGCCGCACACAGCTCGGCTGCAAAGGCCAGACAGCGGCATGACCATACTTGCCTTCACGCGGATGCAGATCCAGGTAAAAATAGCCCAAGAGTGCGGCGTTTTGCGCATCGCGCACTTCGAACAGGCGCACGTCCTCGTGCCAGCGTTGGCCCTGGGTCAGATGAACAAAACGCAAACCAAGTAGCTCTTGGTAAATATCGAGCATGTTCGAAAGCACACGCTCTAGCGGGAAATACTCGGCGATTTTCGTATGATCAATCTGCAGCTGCTGCTCCTCGTATTTCGTCATGTAGTAGCGGAGGTCCCACATACGAATCTCATTGTCGGGTTCAAGGCCCAAGAGCACACCGTAACGCTCAAGGTTATCCTTGCGCTTGAGGCGACGAAGTTCCGACAGCTCCGCATGCGCAGCCTTATCCAATCGCTTGCTCAGACGGTGCAGAAATGCTTCGACATTTTCCGGTGAATTTGCCATGCGCATCTCAAGAACGAACGCGGCATGAGAGGGATACCCTAAGAGCTTGGCTGCTTCATCGCGAAGCCGCACCGTCTCTTCGAGCAAGAACACGTTCTCTGGGACGCAGCGGGAGTGGAAGAGTTTCTCGAGGATGCGCCGGGTCTCTTCAACTGAACAATGTTTCATAATGGGAAAGTAATGCGGATATTTGAGGGTAACTTCAAATTCCAGCTCTTCAGGCTTCGCTGGATTCGGTCGGCTACGCAGGCCCTCGAGAAAAGTCGGAGACATGCCGGCCAGCTCCTCTGCCGAGAACCACAGACGAGTGTTCTCCTCATTCAAGTTTCGCTGGTATTCTATGCATAAATCAGCAATACGCGTGCGAAGATCAACGAGCCGCTCCCGAAGTTGATCGTCCAAATGTGCGCCGTGCCGTTCCAGATCTCGAACGGTGAAGCGCATGTAGCGCACATGCTCCAGCGTTAGGCCCAAGGCGGCGGCGGCCTGTGCACCCAGGGGCGTCTGCCGACCGAAATCATCATAATCCTGATCGTGAGCAGCTTGCTCGAGGATACTCTCTCGCTTGTGGCGAAGTTGCTCGCGTCGGGACTCGCGGGATGCGACTGGGGCATGCAACGAGCTCCGCTGCCGCCGCAGTGCGTCGCGAAGTTGTATTTCATACTCGTCAGCGATCGGTCTCAGCACTCGGTAAACATCGGCTCGTGAACTGAGTTCGACATCCAGCTTTGCGAGCTCCCTCTGTGCTTCGACACTCGCTGCGCGGATATCGGAATGCGGTGACACGAAGCTCGGAAACGTCACGCTCGATCGACGTGCGGCGTGCTTGGCTTCCATGTCCGCCCAGAGTTGGAAAGTGTGGTCAAAATCCAAGGGAGGTTTCAGCAGAGGAGCGCCACCGCGCACCAGTTCGTAGAGCGAGCTGATATGATCGGCGAGCGCGCGTTCCTCCGCAATGATCCGTTGCGTTTCGGCTTTGATATCAGCGACTGACATATCCACCCGAAATGCAATATGTTTCGGGCAGGTATGACCGACACTGAGGCGCTTTTCCGACCGTTCAGTCCGTGCGTGTTGCGAAATCGAACGCTCCACCTCTGAGTCCTGCCCGAATTCGCTTAACCTCTCCGCGTCCGGTGCTCGTGTGCGGTACGCTGCCCTACGTGTTCGCTGCGCAGCTGCTGGGTCGGTTCCGGCGCTGGCATTGATACCCACGCGTCCCTTTTGTACGTCTTGCCGCCTGCGATAGGCGCGCACCACGACGACTGTGCCGAGGAGCGCCACCACTATCGCCGATCCTGAGAGCGCAGGCACAAACCACGGCGTCGAGCCGTTCATCTGTAAATACTCTGTGCGTAACGCCAACCAAGGCGAACGTGCCCAGTCTAGGACGGCGCTCCAGCGACTCTTTCGAGCGTTCACAGCGTCACGTGAATCCGGAACTCCATCCGAGGCCGCCGCTGAAACAACTGCAGAAGCCCCGTTCCCTCCAGCGTCAGACGCTTCGATTGTCATGTTCGATCACCGAAAACCCTTTGAACTATAAGGTACCCCCTCCCTGTTCAGCTCTGGGTTCTACGGAGTCGCTGAGACGAGGCCGTACCAGCCTAGAGCAGGACACGTTTTCGGCGATTATCCCAAGCACAGCGTGTGTGTTGATGATCTCGGAATGCGCTGCGTTGCGCAGTGCGCGGCGGCGCAAGGCACCACAGCGAACGTGGCATCGCCGGGGCGGGCGCCACTGCCGCCATTTGAAATCGCAACCGCAAGCAGTCGTCATCGGTAGCGGGCGGAAGGCTTCGCGCGCGCATCTAGGCTGCGGGTCCGGCGAAGAGGCTTCAAGCCTCAAGTCCATAAAAAGGATGTTTTGTCTCTTTATGAAAAGCCATATGGCCTGACGTGGCTGCTGATGCCATTCCGACGGCCTGGCGGGCCTCCTGCTTGCCTGGGTACCGATAGAGATCCCGCACGGTGGAATCCCTCGTTTGGTACTGCGATCCTGCACCACGGAAATACGCTGATCGCTGATACAGGCTGGTATTTGACGCGGTGTTGCCCAGCGACCAGTAGTGGCTGTTTGCGCATCGCCCCGGTTCCCAGGTGCGATTTCGGGGTGCACGACGGCCCATATAAGCATGACATGGGACGGGTCCACGTCCGGAGCTCGGGCGCGTACGTCAAAGTTTCTTTCTGCTTCCATTGTGATCAACGCAAGCGCTTTGGGGTTTTTTCTTAGCCTGCTTCCTATTCTTCTCCCTTACCTACAGCTTCAACGATGTTAGTCGCTCCTGCTTCGTTCTCAGCAGCTGAAGGATATGGATGGCAGGGTCAAGTGCAGATCTCGGCGCTTCCGGCCGTTGTCGACGCTCTGCATGCAGAGGCAAAAGTAGCGGCCAACGCTTCGTTTGCCATTTTCATCATCTTTCCAGACAGTCTCAATGGCCTTTCGCAGCAGTAGCACCTGACCGTGGACAGGTGTTCCCATATGACGAAGGTAGCTCCTCCGCCGAGGCCGCTCTGTTTCACCCGAACACCAGCCATATTGCTCGGTACGTGACTTTGGCGGGGCACGTAGTGCTCCCCTGGATGCCATTCTCCGATTCCGCGATTGGTGGTGTACCCAAACGAACCTGCTTCTTCTGGGTGATGCGCTCGGTGCGTTCCCTGTCCGACGCATACGGAAGCGCATGTCTTTCCATTTGAATGAGGATTTGTGAAACACGATACTGTTCATGATGGTAGAGATACCGGAGGCCAAATCCAGGCTGCTGATCATGTCGAGCAAAGCCGATATGTCTACGCCACCCTTGTGCATAGCGGTGACGCAATCTCCATCGCCAGCGGTCGCTGCGATGATGCAAGCAGGAGTCCGAGACCTTGCCGACGCAATCAGCAGCGAGCGGAGCTTCTAGCAGCACAGACCGTAAGACAATTCATGCTGTTGTTGAATGCGGTATCGCCGATAACCTCAAACACAGGAGAGTTTCCCTCTGAACGAAATCGATTTCATCGCTTGACAAGTTTAGTGAAAGTCCGGCCTCAGAATGGGAAGAAGTCGTCCATGGAAGACTGCCTGTCGTTTTCCTCGAAAACCAGCAGTGCCAATCGCTACGCCCACGAGTATCCTCGAGTCAGAAAGATCGAAAAACTCAAGCATGCGTGATTTGAGCATGTTAAACGTAATCAGAAGAGACGTGTGGTTGCTTGTACGAGTGAATTGGATAGTTATATCGGTAGTTTTACGAACGTTTGTTCGAGGTCATTGCGATTCTTCATGTCAACGATCACGGAAAGAATGCCACCAGCATCGCGTCCAAGGAGCTAACGGGAAACAAGGATCCAGGATCTTCAAACTACACATGAGTCTTTGAACTCAAGGTTCTCCCACTTCCAGTGCCAAACGTGTGCGTCTAAAATAGTTCGGGGAAAAAAATCGTAAGACTGGATCAGCGTTGGCGATTCCGAGTTCCCTTTTACGATTTTTGACACCGACCAGGGTGTCTCGTTCGTCTGCGGGCGTTCGAAACAACACCAACGGATTCTGTTGCTGGTGAGTCTGCTCTGGACGCAGCGGTCTGCGTCTTAATTAAACGTTACCAGAGGACGCTCCGGAAACGTGTTTGCGCTGGAACCCTTCCGCGCAGAACCACTGACGCTGGGGTCAAGCGAACAGGAACCCACTGAAACCTGGTGGAACCTGTTGAAAGCTGCGGAATCCTGAACCGGCTACATTTTCGGACAAGACTCGGACAAACGCTGAACGAATCAGAGTCGTTTTCTGAGGCACTCGTGGACTCGAACGAGCGCAGCGCTGCTAAAGCACTGGAGCAACGAAACGTCGAGGGCGCTGCGCTTCAAACTCGCCAGCACCTGACGCACAAGACGCACCGCAAACTCGGGTACTAGTGGCTGCTAGGTTCTTACGGTTTGGGTCTCCGTGCGTCCGCCTCGTTTACAACGGAATACGATGCGCCTCATTGCGCTTCTGAGCGGCGGCAAGGACTCGCTCTATGCAGCGATCTACGCTCAGTACGTACTCGGTCATGAAATCGTCGCTGCAGTCAACCTGTACCCAACTGGTCCTGAGCGACCTCCTGAGGCGGTTGCAGGTACAGACCTTGTCGCGTGGACAGACGAAGTCGACTCGGCCATGTTCCAGAGCGTCGGTGCGCACGTCGTGGGAGCAGCGTACGCAGACTGTTTGCCGTCCAGTATCCGGTGGTATCGCGCAGCTTTCGAGGCGCTCGAATTTCACACCGACCATGGCCTGCGTTATCGTCTGGCGCCACATGCTTCTGCTTTAGAGACACCTGCAGACGAAGTTGCGACGCTGCATCGAGTCGTGGGCGCGCTTCTGGACAACTTTGAAGTACAGGGCCTGGCGCGACCCGAAGGCCTCCTCTCGGGGGCGATTCTCTCCGACTACCAACGCCTGCGCATAGAGCACGTGGCTAGTCAGCATCAGCTGGTGTCGGTGGCTCCGTTGTGGCGTCGTGACGCCCGCGAACTCTTCGATTCTATCTGTGCACTGGGTATCGAGGCCATCATTGTCAAAGTGGCGTCCCTGGGTCTCGACATGGCTCATCTAGGGAAATCCCTGTACCAAGTACGCGAGCACCTGATGCAACTTGAGACGCGGTACGGGGTGCACTGCCTGGGTGAAGGCGGCGAATACGAGACGCTGGTGCTTGACAGCCCCTGGTTCCGTCAGCGTCTTGTCATTGATGCCTCCAGTCCGGTAGATCATGGTTCTGGAAGCGCCTACCTTCGCATCGAGCGCTTCCACTGCGAAGAAAAACCAGCCGCGATGCGCGCTGACCAGCAGGCTCAGTTTTCAGACTGGATGCAACGGGAACGAGCGCGGCCTCTCTGGGTATTTCCTCTTCCATTGAACGGAATATCTTTCCGAAAGTCGATACCCACCGTGCTTGCACCGGCTGGAGACGCGAACGCTTCCGCCGCCGAGCGTACTCCTCGCTCGCCGATGTTTCAGGTGCGCTATCGAGAGAGGCTCTGGCATCTTTCAGATGATCATAGGTTTTATGTCGCGGTTTGTTGGGTGGAGTCTTCCGCCGATGTCGCGACGCATCCGACTGATCCCCGGTGTGCTGTACTTGCACCTCCTGGCGAGGCTGCGCGCCAAACTGAGCTGCTCCTGCTGCACCTGCGCCAGCGCTGGCCCGATGCAGCTTGTCGACCGTTCCAGTGCCTCCTTTTCCTTGCGAATATGCAGGACTTTGCCGCAGTGAATGCAGTCTACGCTCATTATTTTGCTGCAGAGGATGCACCTCCGGTTCGGTGCTGTGTGCAGGTCGCGTCGTTACCGCACCCGACCAGCCTCGTGCAGCTGGAGGTTTTTGCCGAGTCCGTGGACTTGCATGGCAAAGGCATTCACGTCCAGAGTCTGTCGCTGTGGGCCCCGGCGTGTATTGGACCGTACAGTCAGGCTCGCATCCAGCATCAGGGGACGACCCTGTACTTGTCAGGCATGCTGGCGCTTTTCCCTGGTACAGGCGAGATTCCCGAAGGCCTCTCGCTGCCTGCTCAGATAGAAGCCTGTCTATGGAATGCAAATCGCGTCGTAGAAGCACTCGATGATCGCGGCATGAAGAGGCCCTGGCAGTGTCGTCTCTGTATCGCGTGGTACAAGGCAGGCTCGCGCGACAGCGCTGAGACGCACGGCCGCCTCATCCACGAGATGCTGCACAAGCGTCTGCCACGAGCGCAGCGCTTTGTTCTTGGGGTTCCGCAGCTGCCCCGGAACGCGCTCGTTGAACTGCAGTTCGTTTACGAACGGCGTGAAGCGGAATTCCATGGGACGCACTGCCCTGTAATACCCCAGATTGCGCACGACTTCCTGAGCTGGGACACGGAAGACTTCGAGGGCGCTCCCCAGAAGCTGGATGCTTCACCAGGGTCATCGTTTCATGTTTGCATCCCCGTGCTGATTCCGCATTCAGTGTACGGCAGTGCCTGTACCCGACTCCGTTGCTACCTGCCACCGGGAAAGGCTCCCGATAAACCCAGTGCTCTCTGAGGCGCGCTTTCCTTGAACTCGGTGCAGCGCGTACGATCCCCGTAGCGTACGCGTCCGCGAACCGAAACATTGCCATAGACGTAAACGAGAGCGGGTTTCTCTCGTTGGGCATCGACGCTACCACAAGCGTAGTTGCAGACGCAACAGTACCTCTACCGGTGAAACACATTATCCCCAGAGGCCGTTGCAGCACCAATAATATCAGCTGCTGCAGCAATAGCGTTAACTTGCTCTATCCGTGTGTGTTGGCTACCACTGCTTGCGTAGCTGGCGATTACCGAGCAAGCGCATCCTTTAACGAGCTTGCGATGCAAAGCAAACGCACGGTCTTTTGGGTCGGCTTCTGGCCGCACGGCATCCATTCAATGTTTTCAACGCCGACGTTACACGTATCGGGTTGTCGCTGGCAACGTCAGGAACCGAACCTTGCAAGCTTGGGTTGCAAAGCGCACGCGCTACTCCCTATGCAATCGTTATTCATGGAGCGTTATCGCAGGCGGGACGAGTATCAGCGCACGCTCCGTGTGCCCCGTGATCCTCTCCAGGCATTGCAGCGCTCACCAGTGCAGCACAGCAGAACCCCGTCAGCGTGTCTAAGACGCTAGGCGAAGATGCTCGTCTCCAATGCACGTGCGCTCCCGAGGCCGTGTGCTGCTGCGGCATTCGTTCGCATCCTCGACGCCTTCGCATTCGAAGATCCTCAGGGTAAAGCCAGCGACTCTGGAAGCGCTGTGGAACCTGAAGTCGATGCCGCATCCGGTGCGCGTTCCCATCGCAACGATCCATCCGTTCGTCGAAGTTGTTTGGCTGCTTCTCGGAGCGCACGAGCAGTTCGAGCACCTTCGACGTCTTCACGTTTGCCTGCCGACATGAACTGATTCGTTGCAGCAGTTTCCAATGAAGATGAATGCCGATAGACCTCACCAAAGCTGGTCAGGTGGCTTTTCGGAATCATCGGTTCGCGGTCTCGAAGTTCTTTCTCGTGTCGCGGCCCATAGAGTGCATTCTTTGCGTCCGAAAGCATATCGCGAATGTCGACAAGCTCTCCAAAGTTGCGTAGCACCGCTCGTGAGGGATCCGGTGCATAGTCCTCAAAGTCCCGCCACGAAAATACGAAATGATGAACGATGGCTGCCACGAACATTTCCAAGCAGATCAACAGATCCTGAATGCCGGTTGCCACACTATCGGAGGTAAAGTCACCAACATCGGTGAGCCAGTGCCACTGCACGAGCAAGCCGAGCACCACACCCTGCCACCAACTGAAGAATATGACTGCCTTCACGCAGAGGAACTTGGGAAGCGGGCGGAAAGCCTGCAACAAGTCCTCCGTTGCCAAATACAACATAACCATCCAGTATAGCGCCCACGAAACGCTGAGGTTCACCACAATCCAAATGTACGGATAACCATAGCACCAGAAAGGCGAAGCAGTTGGCGTCTTGGGCTGTACATACCAACCGTGCCGGTTCAGGAGCACTGCTACGGCGGCAGTGAGCGGTTTCAACAACACGAACTGCAACACCGCGAGGCGCACTTTCTGCAGGAATCGAGCGCCCAGTACCTCCGGTTGGAAACACCAGTTCATGGGCCAAGGGTGTGGTAAGGGGGGTTTCAACTCCAGCAGATACGCCAGAGAGCGTTCCCCGCCCGCTACGTTGATAAGCAGCGCCACGAACGAGTACAGGGTGTAGGCCTCGTACGAGTCGCGCCCCAGATCAAAGTACAGCGCCATTTCCGGTATCAAGAGAGAAAGCCAAGAAGACAACGAGTATACCGGAACCATACCTAGGATTCGACAAATGTAAAGCTGGTACTCTGGACGAACATAGTGTCGCAAGTGCAGCCAGATGTTCTGGAGCGACAGTGTCAGCGCGAGGAGGCTGAGGACCCCACCGCCCAGTCGTGCAAGTAGCAGCGCCTGAAACATATAGAACTTGTCAACAGTAGACGCACCACAGCCATCAACTGTCCCTGGTTTTGGAGTCCCAGTAAATTGCTTCAGATGGACACGGGCTACACTCTCCTCGTGACCTGAAAGCGTCGCAGCGTAACGAATAGAGTCGATGCGCTGAGCGAGCCAGCACCAGCAGGGCTACCAGGCCGCTCCGACGTACGACTTGCTTATCTGCGGACGCTGTTTCAGCCAGTGTTACGACTTGGAAAGCTTTTCCCGGTTTGCATATGTTTACGCTGCACGCTGCAGTCATCACAGTTTCTGACTCGTGTGCTGCTGGTCAGGCGTGCGACAAGTCGGGACCGCTGGTGAGGCAGTTGCTGGAAGAGTCATCCGCCGCTGCGCTTGGTGCGACGGTACCTCGTTTTCAGGTCACATGGTCGGAGGTTATACCTGATGAGCGCCAAGTCATTGTAAAGCGAATCAGAGTCTTAGCCGGACAAGATTCTAGAGAAGACGACGGCGCCAGTAGCGTTTCTGGTCCGCCGCAGCCGGTCGACCTCATTGTCACCACGGGGGGAACAGGGATCTCCGCTCGAGACGTTACACCGGAGTCGACGCTGGAGGCTTGTGAAGGCAGGAGCGTCTGGGGTCTGTCGTACCTCATGCTTCAAGTTTCGCTTCAGTACACACCTATGGCAGCGTTATCGCGGTACGGAGCCGGTGTCTGTGGCTCCGCGCTGGTTATAAACTTGCCTGGTAAGCCAAGCGCGGTGCAAGAGGTTTTGCCAGCGATAAAGCCAGTTATCGTTCACGGGTGCATGCTGCTTCACGGGCACACACGACACGGAGGAGAGTCCGATGTACCTGCGCAAGAAGCGACTCCAAATGTGCAGTAGAACGTTTACCGCAAGAGTCTACGGCATCGACGGGTGAATAGTGCGTCGCAGGATAACTCGTTATGAAGACGGATTAGCGACGGATTCGACTCCAGCTCTGTTCTAGAGGGCTTATCCTAGGAATCCAAGGCACCGCTGGGTTTACGCTGCGTCGCCGGTACACACAGGATGGAGGAGCGTGATTGCTGCACGTACCTGCGCTAGATTCGAATTCAGCTGGATGCACTGGGACGTTCACCTCAGGGTTTCAATGCGGGAGTCGGAACCCTTTCCGTCTAGGGATGCATCTACCTATGTGTTCAGAGCCCGCCTGGATCCAAGGAGTCGTCCACTGTACGCCATAGGATTGGCGATAGTGAGGTAGGCTCTAGTACGGGCTATGTGTTCTTCGTCATCGACAACAGAGTTCCGGTGCTTGTGCATCGTATTGTAATGCAAAGTTGACGAGCGCGCAGGTTCACTTGCGCGTTGTCCAAACCAAGCCTCGTGATTATGGTGCCATTTCACATGAAATGTCTCGTTGGGTCGAAGAAACGCACATTTTCCAACAGAGATGGCATTCTGCGAATCAGTTTCTGATGTACATAAAAGTCACGTTACCCTGCTGTTACGAATACGCTCACTTTTCCCGATAGAAACGACAGGATGCGAATCAGTGTCCGATGCATAAAGCAGGCGTCACACTGCAATCCCCCGAGTTGTTGTCGTTATGCCTAGTGTGGTGAATGCCGGAACATCTGTACCAGTACGCCACTTTTATTCTTGTTGTTCGTTTTTCTCGCAGGTATCCAGCAAATGGATTGCATTCCATAGACTGCAGAAAGGCCCTCGACAGGCTCTACGCTTACACTGGTAGCTTGCGAAATGCAGCTTACCTGTCCACTTCAGTTATCCTACCTTGAGTAGGCAGATAAACCAGCCTTTTCCTAGGCCCTGTTCCTGAGGCCGTGCACCTGAGACAGAGACAATCAGACGCTGCCAAGACGACAGTCGCCTTGTCAATACTCTGTACGCCGTAGGTTCTGTAAACAATACTACTGAACAAGCCACAGGATGTCAGGTTTTCATATCTTTGATACGAACGGTGATATAGAGACACCGATGGGCAAAGAAAAAAGCTTGCATCTATGCGAGACCTTCGTGCGATGAATAACGCACTACTGATTTCCTAATGAAATGCGAATGCCTCTTCATGGAGTAACGGGCGTTCGTCTCAATCGATGAGGATTCATTCCCGAGAAAACTGGCAGACCTGTATGTCGATACTCGAAATAGGGCGTACCGCTGTTCGTGAAGAAGAATCAAGCGAGCATTTCAACAACCTCAACCCGAGCGGTGATTCGACGGTATGGTAACGTACGCATTGCCAAATGTACAGACTCATTCACCACATCATCCTTCGTGGAAGCGCCCTTTGCACCTTCTCCTTCTGACATTCTTCTGTTCTGCTTGTAGACAACGGCATTTTCCATCACTTAAAAGCGTTCAAGGAGGAACCAGCTGCGTCTGGGGCTGAAGTGCGCTTCACGCGCGGCCATTTTCCATCGTTCAGTCCAGTCCAAGGCGTCTTCTCTGATGTCAAAGACCATGCGTATACGCATGAACCAATGGACAAGCCTTTGGTATTTGTGACAGCGTCCGTCGATATGTCGTCCACTGGTACCCCGCACACCAGCTCCGAACGATTTTGTTGCTCCTCTTGTCGTGCGTAAGTGGGAGCGAAGGGGTTCTTTTCAGTTCACTGGCATGCTCGCGACCGAAAAGTTGACGAGAAGCTACCTGAAGAACAGCAGATACATGTATAGAACAGACGAGTTTCGGATGCACCGTTCACCCCCAGCGTCTAGGTCCCGCGGAAAAACACACGGATGTAGAGCGCAGCGGCTATACCCATGCAATCCTGCCGCGTAAGGGAGTAACGGGAAAAACCACCAGACGAAGGAGTGGGGCGCCCTTCGGAACAGAGCACCAGGAAAATAAGGAAGGGGAAACTGTCCAAGCGGAAAACAGCAGCATAGAATCGTTATCAAGACTTCGCTTGCAAACAAATCGACAGTGAGACTGTGCCCAAACGTGAGACGCAGGCCACCAAAATGAGTCCCGTGGCTTCTTAGACGAGGGCGGCTCGCCTGGTTTCCCTCGAGTTGACACACCTCGTTAACAGGCCGCTCACAGGAGTTCCAGATGCAGTGCTGCCATCAATCCACAGTACTCTGTCATTTTTCACGATCAATCCTTTTCGAGTTGACACACCTCGTTAACAGGCCGCTCACAGGAGTTCCAGATGCGGTGCTGCCATCAATCCACAGTACTCTGTCCTTTTTCACGATCAATCCTTTGCACAGCATCGAATGCTCGGCACGGAGGATGCCACACAACCTGCTTTCTCCAGAGATCGGTATAATCGATATTCGGGCGTAACAGACACCCGGAGGCATGCCAACAAATGGTGCAAGGGTGTCAGGTCCCATGTCGACGCCCTGAGCAGCGTACCGAGTAAAGAAGGGTATTTCGTGCGCTCCATTCGCAGAGTTCAAGAGCGTCCGAATTGCATGCGATGATGACCCTTGACACGAGTTCACGAGGCGCCGCCGAGGCTGCCAACGAGAACGCTTCTCGTACGACGAAGAGAAGCGTTCATTCGCAGATATGTTCTATGCGCTGGGATAAGAAATGACCGACAACTCGCGTCGGATGGTGCTAGCCTGTGGTGACCAAGGACCTGGTGTCGCGCGCCGTGACTTCACTCCTGCTCTCTCGACGAGAGCGCAAAACGAATGCAGGCATCCATTGTTTTCGATGCCCATCGACGCGTCCAGGACGGCAAAAACACATAACGAGCACGAATGTGCGCCGAATCACTTGCAAAATAAGTCGATGAAACAAAGATGGATACACGGGATTGTGTTTGGTGCCCAGAGCAAATGCCAGATGGCGAGGAATTCGAACACGAGCGGCTTGCTATCGAGTGATTCTATTCGAAATCATGCGTACAAGCACGGTTTGCATCGAGATCTGGACGCATCGATCAACATCTGGAAATGTCGCGTGCTTCGGGAACGTCCATCGGCTTCGTGTCTAGCGGACTTGCCTTTGGAATCAATCAGTACCCAGACTGGGCGTTGTGCTCAAGCGCTGTGGTCTCATGATGAGAAGCAAAACATTGATCAGGAGAGAAGTGAGTAGTTTTTTCTGAGTCCAAAGCACTGGTATGGTACTATTTTAGCTCTCCAGCAAGGCCACCGTGGTGTTTGTAAGCGCGGAAACCAATTTCCTTGGTAATCGGTGAAAGATAATGGTGATCCACTCTTCGATCTTCCTGAATCCAAATCGTCTAACACCAGTGAAACGGCTACTGATTTCGCTGAGCACCAGCGGACTGCGTCCAAGCGCAGACCCTGCACCTGGCTCGTCCGAGTCTCCAGTTCGAATACCATAGCGATTGCCCATAGCACCTCTGTCATCAGTGCTTGGCAGTTCACGAGTCCCGATACGACTCGCCAGACAGGGACGCGGTCCTCAAAGCTGCGACCTACTCATTTCTCTGGGTGTTCAGCAGCATCCAGACGTGCATCACACACGATGCACGCAGCCTGGGGCGTGCTGTATACACTTAGACATCGCGAGCAGACGTACCCCATGTGAACGAGTTTCCCACTTTGAAAACAGGTTGCTCGCAAATCCACGGACTCGACAACACCACAACGCTCCGTTCCGGACGCATAGGACCCCAACTCAGGAATGCGGCGCGTGAGGTAACGCCGCTCCAGCCTATTCGGTACAATGTATGTTGCCAGATGCGTGAACAGCTTCGCACAAGCGCAACGACACTCGAGATAGATGCCTTGGGTAGCGTAAGCAAGTTGCTGGAGAGCAGCACGTGCCTGAGGCTTCGTGCCTGGTTCAGAGGTGGCTTCGATGCGTACGACGTCGACCAGCAGCTGGTGCTGCTGTGCGCAAAATGCTGCGTTCCACAGCGGGACAGACTCCGCAACATCAAAGGGACCCGGAGCCGAGATCACCACCAGTCGGGCCCGAGGTGACAACTGCTCGGGATCCTGACTCGATTCGGAGCGTAATGGATCTCCAACTGCGTATCCGAAGGAAGGTTTTCGTTCCGGAAACCAGCCTCTAGCATGAAGGCTGCAAATTGTCTCCAGCAGCGCAACGGAAACATTGGATGGATAGACGAGAACGTCAGCGGAGCTAGCAGCCACCTGTTGGCTGTCTAGCTGATCCGCCTCTACAGCGACAACTTGCGCTGGTTGTTCCGTGTTTGCGGCAGACGACTGCTTCGTCTGCAGCAGCGGTTCACCGGGAGCAGCGTCCTCCGCAGCTGCGCCTTCCACCGAAACTGCTTCGCTCAGCTTCATGCATGCAAACTCGCGCAAGGCTTTACCCAACTGCGGGAGCGCATACAAACCCTGTAGACTCGTCTCTTCATCCGTAACCTCTTGCAGGCTGTGGAGGTATGCAAAGTCGTCCGTGGCCAGCGGTTGCACGGGCTTCAGCCAACGCGTGTGGGCTCGTTCGCGGAAGCCCAGCCAAGCAACCTGAAGCAGAGGTCGCGCCACCGCGAGAAGACGCACCAGCGCAAAACACGCCTTCACTGCACCAGGGAAGGCAGCGGACCCGGCGCGCGCCCAGGCAGCCAAGTTACAGTCGAGGAGCACCACCAAGAGCTCAGGTTCGCCTGCTGCGTCTAGGAAAACGTCGTCTCCCGTGCGCTGCGTCATAGGTGCAGGCCTTGGGCACGGGTATAGCGCAGTGAACAGCGTAAATACCTGTCTTGCCTTGGTGCCTCTGATTGCCGTCACACTTCGACGTGTTGTTCACTGCTTGGCACTAGAGCCGAGAGTCGCAAGTGACAGCGGGCTGGCGCTGCTGTCTACAGCGGGGAAACGTTTGATCGAACCAGAACCCTCTCTACTGCGAACGTACGGTTCGCGGGCAGGCGCCAAGTGACCGTTCCACTCCAAATCAGTCAACTTTAGACAACTCGTCGACCAAACCTCCACTTGGGACAGGGCTTCGATCCATTCAGTGACCCTTGTGGTACGAGGATGAAGTCCAGTACCGAGTTCCTGGTACCAGTTTCTCCGCAGCGTTCTACGACGCTGCGCTTCAAGCCGATGCGCTGCTGCGATGCGTCGTGCGGCACTGAACGCATCCGCAGGCTCATGTTGTTTTGATACTGGGCTTTGTTGTGGAACTTGCTAGGGAAGCATCTAGGTCAGCGCTGAACCAAGGCCAGAACGGATGGGGCCACTCACTCGAACGCCTCTTCTTCCAACTTTGAGGCGGCCGGAACACTGCGAAACAACTGCACGCAGTTACCCGTGCCGTACTCGAATGAAGCTGTATTCCGAACGAGGCCGGAATCCTGACTCCACTTTTGGATTCACGTCTGATCGGTGCTCATTCAGGAAAATCATGGCGCGTACATCCGAGTATGATGATTTTATGAACGAGGATGACGTCATAGCAGTTTGCGCGGCCTTGATAACCGCGACATCTCCAGGTACCGGGGGCGTGTACCACGGAGCGCCCGAAGCGAAACTCTCCGGACTCGTGGCGTTCGAGCGACTCGGCTCAACGCTATGGACGAATCGCGTTTCCCTGGCAGCATCGGCGGTGGCACGAGCTGCGTCCACAGTAGTCATGTTCCCGCTGGATACGCTTAAAACACGTCTGCAGAGTGCAGACACTGCAGCGCTGGGTCCGCGCGAGGCCCTGCGCAAGGTCCTGACCCAGGGCCACTTCTATCGGGGACTAGGTTCAACACTGTTCGGTCAGGTGCCGTATGGTGCTCTGACGTTTGGTACATACGAGTGCTATAAGCAGGCACTCGAGGAATGGGGTCTAGCGTCTCGGCGGCTTCGGTGGATGCTTGCTGCGGTGCTCGGTGACCTCACCGGCTCGCTGTGGCTGACCCCCAGCGAGCTCATTAAGCAGCAGCTACAAAATATGCATAACACTGGGACCAGGGCGGCACAAGCGGCTACCGTTTGGCAGGTCATTGGCCAGAACTGGCGACAATATGGTATCGCTGGTTTTTATCGAGGCTACAGTGGTCAGGTCGCTCGCGATGTTCCGTTTCGGGCGATTCAGCTGCTTCTTTTCGAGGACGCACGAGAGCGCCTCGAACGCTATCGACGGCGAGCACTGACACCTTTGGAGAATCTTGCAGTTGGAGCGTATGCAGGCTGTTTAACTGCAGCGGTAACGACTCCACTAGATGTGATTAAAACACGCTTGATGACGGATCGAACGTATCGTCACGCTGGAGACGCGCTCTGGCAGCTGTTGCGAACGCAACCGCGGGCTCTTTTCCGGGGAATCGTTCCACGCGTGCTCTATATTGCTCCCTCAAGTGCGATTTTCTTCATCGTTTACACTTTTCTACAGAGACGCTGGGATGCCAAAGCAGCAGCTTGGGAGAAACGGGGACGGGATGCTTCGTGTACGCCAACAAAGCGAAACCGGGGTGGCTCGCGCTTTTGTGCGATCGATTCGAAGTTTTCGGGGAGAAAACCCTTCTCGCTCGCTCGGTCAATGGGTTTGTGCGCATAGCCCCTGCAGAGTTCATGCAGCGAGCTCGTGCATGGAAGGTCTCCTGTTCTGAATGTCGCGTTGGAACGCTCGAGGTCGTTACCTGGGATTCGCTCCACGCTCAATGCGCACCAAATGCGATGTGGCATTCTCAGCGGCATCATTCCATTAACATTTGAGACTGGTTATCGCGCATTTTCGCATCCGGTCAAACTGTTTTCGTGGTAATGCGCGACATGCCCTGAAGACTGCGAAACATGCCGCTGGACGTTCCTTGGACGGCTGCATTCGCAATGCCGATGGTGCGGTCGTTCTTGATAATGAAGACATCGGACATATTGTGCCAAACTTTGTGATTCCGCTGGTCGCGTGCCCGCTACCCCAGAATATCCAAATAACGAGCTGTGGACGCGCCCCAGCGAGTGACGCTGGACACAAGACGACGCTGTTTCTGCCACGAACGATTGACTCGGTTATCCATGATGTATTTCATTGCGGTGACTTGTAGTTGTTCTCGTTGCATTTGATGCTCGAGCTGGAGCGCTCCCCCACCGTTGACTGCAGATGAAATGGAGACGACATCCGATGCTGTTTTCGTCGAAGCATTTACTCATTTGGATCATAGGACGAGAGAGCACGCCAGGCTGTGTGCGAATTTCTCGGATGCCGGAATGATGCGGAAGGCCGCATCACTGACTGAATCGTTTTTCGCGTCAGCACATGGCGATGCCCACGGGAGAAATCGTTGCTTGCCTAACTGAATGCTTGCAGTGACAGGCTGCAAGTGCATTTACGGCAACATGTTCTAGCATTATCAATGAAATAAATGCACCCTAAACGTTTGCCCAGCTCGTGCCAGAAACCCGAAATACCGATGCAAGAGCGGAATCCTGCAGAGAGACAGCTTCCGCCAAAGCCACCCGAACAGCGCCTAGCGTTAGCAACGTCAGTCGACCTGGGCGCAAGACGCCCGGTTGCATGGTATTCGCTGCCTTTTTCGTCGCATCTATATGCTTGGTGTTCACGAGGGTAGCTGTAGCGCCACGAACAGTGATGAATCCTCGTCAGCATAGAATGGAATAGGTCTTCTCATGTGACATGGGCATACATGCGAAAGTTTGGGGCTCTCCCCATCGTTAGAAGCACCAGCTTTTGCGGGATTTTTCTTCAACTGCTTCCTTTTTCTTTGGCATATCGCTGGCTTTCCATAGGTTGGTCTCTCCCTTCTCTCCATAACGATTGTCAGCAGCCGATGGATGTTGCTGGCAGCGTTCAGGTACCGATTTCGCTGCCCCGGGTCGCTTTCGATGCATGATATGTACCGACGATAGTTGCGGTCTGCGCTTCGCTTGCCAGTTGCATCTTCTTCGTATACGGCCGCGGTGTACTCGTCGCTGCGATGAAACTTGGCTCTGATTAGGTGTTTCCACACGTATCGATCGCGCGTCCTCTTCCCAGCGTCGTCCTGTCGTACGTGATCTCTTGCCTCATCGCTCGGTAGATGCCCTTGACGTGTACAGAGGGTTCCGCACGATGCACTCGTCTGTTTCCGCACCCGGTGAGGTACACAACGATCCCGGACTTGTTCTGGACGGATCCATCGGCGAGCGTGCTGCCCGCTCCACATGCACAAGTGCGTGCTGCTCCATTCGATAGAGGATATGCGGTACAAGATGTTGTCCGCGATGAAACAAGTACCAGAGGAAAGCTCCAGGCTCGAGAAAAAGTCGAGCCATTTCGATCTGTCTACGTGCCTTTTGTACAACGCTATGACGCTAGCTCCGTTGGAAGCGATCACCGCGACATCCAAAAACAGAAGCGAACTATGTATGAGCAACGAAATACCAATTGCTTTCTCTCCACGGCAGACGTCGAAACGTTGAACAGCCATCAGTATTCTCGAAAGTTTGCCTTTTCATTAGGAAGGTCCCGTGACCCACACGAGTCTACGAAGCCCGTGCTTCATGATCTCGCCAGTGCCGAGTGCTATGGCGCGATCTGAGCAACTCTTACGGAACGCAGTTTGTTCTGGGACTAGGGGCGGGGCGGCTGCATCAAGATATGTCCCTGGTCGCAATGGTCTCCCAGCATATCGCTTCGTGCTATCACAGGCCGTTGGTCTGTCTGCACAGCCTGCAGGCTCCCAGAATAATGAAGGATCCCGATTCTGTGACCAGTGAAGCACGCCTGGAGCCGAATACCTTAATGGTATCGCATAGCCGTTCTGTCTCCGTACTGCATATGCACCAGCGGTGTAAGCGCACCTTCAGGTGCATCACAAAAGGTTAGGTGCACGACAGAGCATACGACATAACCAGTACATCCGAGAGAAGGTCTGAAAAATGGAACTTCAAGCTAGGGTGTACTATCATGGACGCTTTCCCAAAAGCCAATATCCATCTCACAATCTAGCACCCATGGTCCATGGAAACGGCCTGTCAAACGAAAAAAGGTCCAGCGATCTCCGCGATGTATATGAGCGCGCGCTCACAGAAACGCATCGCCGCCTATGCGATCATCAGAAGAACAGATTTTTTTACTAGGGAAAGCCTGGAAAAGCGCGAGCGCGCGCTCACAGAAAAGCATCGCCGCCTATGCGATCATCAGAAGAACAGATTTTTTTACTGGAAAGAGCCTGGAAAGGCGCGAGCGCGCGCTCACAGAAACGCATCGCCGCCTATGCGATCATCAGAAGAACAGATTTTTTTTACTAGGGAGATCCTGGAAAGGCGCGAGCGCGCACTCACACAAACGCATCGCCGCATATGCGATCATCAGAAGAACAGATTTTTTTACTAGGGAGAGCCTGGAAAGGCGCGAGCGCGCGCTCACAGAAACGCATCGCCGCATATGCGATCATCAGAAGAACAGATTTTTTTTTACTAGGGAGAGCCTGGAAAGGCGCGAGCGCGCGCTCACAGAAACGCATCGCCGCATATGCGATCATCAGAAGAACAGATTTTTTACTAGGGAGAGCCTGGAAAGGCGCGAGCGCGCGCTCACAGAAACGCATCGCCGCATATGCGATCATCAGAAGAACAGATTTTTTACTAGAGCCTGGAAAGGCGCGAGCGCGCGCGCTCCCCAGGCGGCCGGAAACGCCGCCGTCGCGTCGTCGACCTCGATCGCCGGCGCTCGCAGCGTTCGGAACAGGCCAACGGCCGGGAGGCGTTTCCCTGTTTGTTCCTTCGCTCGCTTGAGCGCTTGAGCGCCAGCTCGTGTTCAAGCAAGTGTACGAGCTCTGGTTTGCGTAAGTTTTCAGCATCTTCAGATCAGTATCGTGTATCGTTAGGATCGTTGAACAGCTCGATCTTGCGACCTGGAGAACTGCGTTGTGCGCATCACGAAACAAACAGACGCAAGACGAATTGTGTGTGTGCGTGCGTGCGGATCGGTGCGCGACCTCCGTCTTGTGTTTGTTTTCTCGCTTATGCAGACACCTTGTCGCTCCACAGAGCTGTTGAGTATGAGTGGTGTGAGTGCTGTCGGATCGCTTCGGTCAGCGTCGAGAACTTCGTCAGCTGCGTCGTTAGCGGCAACGAGGCGTTCGCGCTCGCCTTCGCCGATCAGCCAGTACGGCCTGCGGCAGAGCGCGCCACCAGCGGTGCGCTCGGTAACACCTGGAGTGGTTCCCTCGCCGACTAATAATGCCCCGTGTTTTGGGGGCGCTTCGGCGAGTGCTATATCGTCACCAGCGGGCCCCGAGTTGCAGTGTCCGAGACCGCGGTGGCCTGTGGCGTTTTCCGCAGCCGCATGGTGCAACAGCGGTTCATGGCAGACGTCAAGCACTGGCGGTAACGCGTTCGGCGTGAGCGGACTTTATATCAACGGGGTTGAGGAGGCAAACGCTTTGGAAAGCGAAGCAGTGACGGCTCAGGCTGCTGTGCGACCTGGGGGTCGCTGGAGTGCCGGCGTCACGCGGGGGTCGGTCGTATCCGGGCGACCGAGCGGTTTTGGTGGTGGTAGTGGTGGTGGTGGCGGCGGCAGCAGCAGCAGCTCCAGTGCAGCGTTGATTCTGCAACGCTCGTCCTCATCACAGTCAGTGCATTCACTGACACCGCCGCCGCCACCCTTGGGCTCGACGTGCTCGTCGCCGCTCTCTTCATCGCCGACCATTGGAGCCGGCATGCAAACCGAGTGGCGGGCATGGCATCCTACGTTTCGTATCGATGAGACAGTAGAATGTGCAGCGGAGCCACTTTGCGTGCGTCCTGTTGCTATCAGGCGCGCAAACTCGTATACTGCTCCGTCGCCGGGTCATCACGGGGTCGCGATTCCATCACCGCTCGCTGGAGCACATGGCATGGCACCCTTTTTAAGCAGTGGCTATGCGACCCCAAACAAGGTTGGTGAGTGTGGCGTTTCGCCGCCTGTGCGTGCAACGAATCCGCAGTGTCGTGATGCGCGCTTCTGTGTTCCCTGACGGGCATGTACGCATGGAGAAACAGTGTGATTCGCTTTCCGCGCGTTTTTGCTCAAGTAGTGCCTTGACTTGTTAGGCCTTGGATACACTGCTCGTTGCAGAATACACATACTGTACTAGTCTGGACTTGTCTGACTCGGCTAATAACGGATGTCTGACTTTCAAGTGCGGTCTCGAGAGGCAAGTTGCCGGCGACTCTATTTGGCACTATCGTTGCAGACTCTGAAGCACCGGTAACGACCTTCTCGTGTACATTTTATCCGCTTTTTTTTTGGCAAAGCCCGCGCTTCACATACCGCCCAGACCACTGAAAGCTTCGGCCGCTGAACGCTTGTTCAATGCCGTACAGCTGTTCACGGATATCGTGGAAAAGGACACACCGCATCGTCGTCGGATGGACGCCATGGTAAATTGGTGGTGGTGGTGGCGTGTACATTACCCAGTATCTCGTGCTTTATGATGGCGATGGTGATGGTGATGATGGAAGCTACACTGATCCTTTTTACATATTGGAGCAAATAACATTTGAGTCTATTTCAGGGGGAAACGTATATTTACGAAAAAGAAGCGGTTTGTCATGCGACGACACTCGCAATAAATGTCGGTTGTCGCCAGTACAGCGCCTCGAGCCTGGTTCCCGTAAACCATCTGCACTGTAAATCGTATCTGAGACCTGTGTGCATCTTGTCTCATGTGGAGATGCAAGCGAGTGCCTTGGCGTGTGGAGTGCTAACGCACGAGCCCCAACTGACTCCGCGTGGCACGGTATCCTCTGACGCTACAACCGACGCGGATACATCATACACATCGGATCAATGCAGAGGGCGCATGTGCGATGCCCTTTCGCACTGCACCATCCGGGATGATCCTGCTGCATTCGACTTGTGATGCACGTTGCGCTTGATCGTAGTGCGACCAATGCAGAATTACCCGCGTCGCATGCGTATATGGTGCGAGAATGCAGGGCGTCATAGGTGCTTCTCGAGGCGCACGCTTTCACTAGACGATGTGTCATGCAGGGCGACGGGGAATCACACCGCTCTGGAAGAGCGGCTGGATATCCCCCAGCGCTATTTATTGTATCCATTTAAGCGTAGAATAGTATGGGGTCGTTTCTCGAACACGAACCCAGTAGATGAAGTCTGGGTCTGTTTGAGGTTTGATCAACACCCGCCTTTGTGGACTTTTTATGCGACTGCTTCCTTTTCCTCTCCCTGACATCCTAACTTGAGTAAACCGGTCACTCCTTTTGCCTCCAGCTCCTTTATCAGCACTCTAAGGATGCTGATGATGGCGTTGATGTGCCGATTGCGCTGCTTCCGGCAGGTGCCGACTTATTTCATGTATCGGCAGACGTTACGATCTACGCTTGACTTTTCAGTTGCATCTTCGTGGGACAACTCCTCGGTGTAGCCGTCACTGCGGTGAAATTGCGCTATGGTGAGGTGTTTCCGTCTATCGACAACTAATTCTCCATTTTAGCGCGCACGATGGTGCGTCAAGACTTTTTCATAGCGCGGCACATGACCTTGATGGGAACAGAGGGCTCCGCTTGATACCCGATTCCTTTTTCGCGCTAGGTGCTATGCCCTACAATCACGGACTTTATCGAGGTGATACACACGACAAGTGCTCTGTCCGCTGAACGTGCAGGCGATTCCATGGTATAGAGGATCTGCAGAATGCGATACTGTCCATGTTGAAGCAGACACCGGACGGAAGGCAGATGCAGGATGGAGAACAAGTTCAGAAACCTTGCATCTGTCTTCGCTTCATATGCGCAAAGCGATCATGCATGCTCCAACGAGAGCGGTCGCTGTACTGATTAGAGTCCAATTCCAGGATCCGTTTCCACATAGGCGGGAGAGCATGGCGCTGGAAGACCCAAAAAGGAACTACACCAGCTCCAACGACAAGATCGTACAAGGAGTGTGCACGGCGTTTTGTTACGATACCGATAGATGAGTTTCGAACGTCCTGTACACACCATGAACTGGGGTGCAAACTTCAGAAAGTCGAGGTGGAAAAGTGCCAGCGGAGCCCTGAGGATATAAAAAAGTATGGACCGCTGATGGAAGAGCAAATGGAAAGGAGAGCGAAAGTGCGAGGATTGCTTGCGTCATTAAGTACAACCAGTGATGGCAAGAAACGTATGGAGTTTTTGAACCGAGACCTGAACGCCGCTACCAGTATACGGAGATGTGCGGTGCTGGAGAACAGACCTCCAGAGTAGACAAGAGAGAACTTTATTGGACAACCTCTCAAAGTCGAACTATATGAGAAAAAGTTGGAAGCAGTAGTAGGTGGCCGGTCCAAAAAGACAGAGGCGTCTGCACGTTAGTTGGAGATGTTTTGTCTAGCGCGGGTTTCTCGCCACTACTGTACCACTGGCAGCAACGTTTTTCTTTTGAAAGACGTTTGTTTCCAGGGGCCTCTCTATGGCATCAGCACCGAAGAGGCTGCGGGGCCGTCAGGGGCCGCTGCCAGCGCGCTCACCACAAGCACTCGACGATCACGCCCGCAAACTGCTGGTCAGCAAGTTAAAAGAGGTTATTCGGACGGATGACTCGGAGCATGCGGTTGCGAGTCCTTCTCCGCGACCGCCAGCACATGCCGCGAAGGACGCGCTCTCCCTAGACGCACAGACGGAGGCGCTCCAGGCGCGTTGGAAACGGACTCGAAGGCTCGCACGACAGCAGCTTGGGTACCGCCGCTTGCCTGATCCATCAGAGGACGTTGAGCTGGAACTGAGTTTACTGCGCACTGCTACTCGAGGCACTGTCCAGCTTTTTAACCTGATACAAGAGCGAAGAGCCGCTCAGGCCAAAGCATCGGATGTTCGAGCACGCGCAGAACGCTCTCGTCTCCTCGAGGCCCGGTCACGCAGCTTCCAGGCTTCACTGAGCATCCCGTCGTTGTCGTTGTCGTCGTCGTCGAACCTTGGTCAACCTGATACTTCATACGGCTGGCAGGCCTTCTCCGAGCACTTTTTACTGCCTGAGACGACCGACGATAGACGAGACAGCGAAGCGAGTTCTCTTTCGACAACTGCGGCAGCGCAAGAGACGCCTTTTGATGCAGCTTCCGCCTCGGAGGGAGATATGTCGGCTTCCGAATGAGGTTCGGGTAGCGACCAGAGTCTTTGCAAGGCCTCGGATGCGAGATAGGATTCTGGGACGCACCGCATACCATCGAAAGCTGCTCTTTGCTCAGAGCGAGGTTTGGAGGCATGTTGCGGCCTCGTGTCTTGTATGTTAGTAGGCGTGTGGGCTTGCATGTGTTTGTATGGGCACATCCGCATGTACATGTGTGGATGTGCAATGAACACGTACTTTCATGCTCGGACCGTGGACGAGAGCCACAGTAGCAAACGCTTTCACCGAGACGCGCTAAATGGTCCATTGATCGCGAGGGTTCTCTATGACCCAAGCAGGCGACTGCGCTAAGGATCACTGGAGGCCACATCTCGGAACATTGCCAAGGTTCGGATTCTTGATGGGAGCCCGTCGTGGCGTAGCGCCAGAGATCCCCGTGTGCATACATGGAAAGCGATGTTCACCAAACAGCAAACATTCGCTCCTGTGCAGACGTTTCGGCATTCCCCCGGTTCCGGTTTCGTCAATCGGATGGGACTAGAAACTCGAGCTAGTGAGCAGAACCGCGGACGCCGAGCTCATTGCGGGTTTCGTCCGGGGATCGAATGACGTTTCTTTCGCTGGTTAAGCGTCGAATCTAGGGATCGTGGTATCGTCTGCGGGACGATGCAGCTCAGGTTGCACAAACGATGATGCGTTTCAGAGAGCATAAACGAAAGGACCCGAAGATCAGGGAATGCTTCCGCCCTGTCGTCCGTGGTGCTGCTGGCGCTGCCACTATTCGCGCCGCACTCGGGACAACACGTGCCGAACACCAGCGATATCATTTCTCTGAACGAGCTTGCTGTGCAGAAGAAACTGCCTCCAGGCCATTTACACCATCGTCTCGTGCTAAATGCCCGTGCTAGGGCGTTCCTGCAACACCGGATAGCGAAATACCTTTTCGACTCCGGAACAAGCGGCATGCATGACGTTGTCGTGGAGCCTAGCTATTGAACTTTTGACCCTTTCTGGCATCAGATATGACTTTAGCATGCGCGAGACGTACGGTTACGACGACGGTTCCTCGCTTTGCATGGCGTGGTGATTCTCAAGAGTGCACCTGCACAGTCTGGAAGGCCGCGGTTTCCACCAGCGCATGAGAACACCATCCATACGGGGTTGCAGAGGACGCAGCGCAGCACTGGACTGCAACTCTCAAGTCATTGATCTGGGCAGCTGACGCCACGCTTTGCCTCACGAATATGCTTGTCAATGAAGGCAGGGGCGCACCTGATTTCTAGGTTGAAAGCATCCGCTTCATAGATGAAGGATCGTCGATGCTAGTGTGAGGCGCGTGCGCAAACCTCCCGCACCAGCTGCGAGAAGTTCATTACCATCATTATTAGCAACGAATGGAGCGCGAGACTTGCGCTCACGAAAGCACCACGACCGCGAAACCTATTGTCAGACGGGTACCTCGCCGGGCCCTAACGCCAACGATGGACAAGAGCGGGCCGTATCGTCAAGATAGGACCAACCACAAAAATATCAGATTGAAATGGAGGCCTGAACTGATCGCTCTGTTCCTGCCTTGAGATTGTTCGGAAATTGGTTTCAGATGTACAGCTTCTCTATTGGAGCTGCAGCAGTCAATGCTTTTGGATTCATAGATCGTTTGAGGCGTCAAGGTCGTGTTTTCCTACCGGCTGCATCCCTTGTCTGCCGCTGGAATTCGTGCCATCGCCAGATTCGAAATATGTGTCACACCCTATATCAAAATTTCGAATAGTAACTGATACAAAGATCTCATTCATTCGTAAAAGCTTCCACGCTGTAACTTTTTCTCTGCGTGGCATGCTCGAATCACGCGCGCTTCATACTGTCGACATTTCTGTTTCAGCGGAAGTTGTAGACACAGTCATTCGCGCTGCTGAAATGACGAGGATGCGGGTAACTTGATGACGTCCATTGACGACCTGTTCACTTGCTCATACGGAAAGTTCACTGAACTTGTCACATGAAATCATCGATTCCGTTCAAAACACAAATCCATCACGCTTCGTGGTCATCGACGAAACGACACTGGACTCCCAGAGGGTACCTGTCAGGGCATGTGCTCGCAGGGGCTCCTGTCTCTTGGAGTCGCACGGAAAGAGGTCTTGGAGTCGGAGTTTGGTTATCAAGGTGATTGCCTCCTGTGGAGATGGCATCGCCGTTTTGGATGAAGAACGCGTAGGATGACTGAACGTTCTCAACGCGATCTCCAGTCTGGATCCTCGTTCCGGTATGTGTTCGATCATGGACAACATCACATTCCACAAATTCTGCTATTGATCCGATACCTGCAGCGAACAAATCAGGCGTCATCAGATGCACTTTATCTCATACCGCATGGTAGAACCCCACCTACAACGTCATCAGGACCGTGTGAGGTGAAGCACACTGCGGGCTACCCAGTGGACGAGCGTGCGCTCACGCCTGCAACAGAACTTGTACGCTCCGAGGCTCTCGCCCAGAGGAAGCCAGCGATCATAGGATACAGCATGCGGAGCGTTTAACGGAACTAGAAATCGACGAGAGCCAGCGATACCCGTCCCTGGCAGCTAACGAGCGATGAAGCAAATGTGCAAGCGCAAGACCAAGGCGCGCAGAGGAACCGGTACGGTAGACGAACGAGAATACCTGACCATAGCCATGTGTCACCGCTGGCGGAGACGTCCCGAGCCTCAACACAATCAGTAGGGAACTGACGAGCAACGCACTACATCGCGACGACCCCCCTGTGCATAAAATGCGTAGAAAAGAGCTGGAAGCGTCTATATCAGCACCTCAGCGCTGCCATCAACATCCATCAACTGCTGAGTACGGCACCAGAGGTAAATGAGAGACCAGCGTATTCAAACCCGGAGATAGGAGAGACGAAAAACAAAGCAGTCGCAGAAAAAGCCAACATATGTTGGTGTTGGTAACAGAAAAGACAGACCGAACCGTATCAAGTCTACATCCGAGTCAGAAGACCCGTTCCACTTTATGCGGAAAGAGGTGCGGCGTCATCCAGAAGTGTGCGCGGAGCTTTCAGCTTCCGTAAAGGCACGTCAGCAAACTCGACAGTTGCATACCAGCGGCGATAACCGAACCACAGAATGCAAAACATACCCAAGACGACCAGAGCAAGGAGAAACAAACGCTCTTTTGTCGCACAAACTCTCGAGTTTAACCGAACCCGCGTTCGCTCTGGAGCAGTCGGAAGCCCCGTGGTGTTCAGTCTAGTGCGCCCAGCGGAGCGGAGGCGGCTCCCTACAGACCACCGGTGCGACCGCATCGACCAGGGTCGCCAGCGACGCTCCAAAACTGACCACGAGTCGCCTAACACGGGCCCGCGCTGAACCGACGAGGGTACCATACCAGACACGCACCGTCCGAAAACGTTGCCCAGTGGGATTCAGCACCAGAAAAGACCAGGTGGCCGTTTGGGTAGCGAGAGAGCACCACACCAGCAGTCAACACTTGTGGCTGATAGAAACAGGGTACGTATCCCTGCGGCCACGGATAGCAGCAGCTGCAGCTGCAGCAAGAGGTGCAGGAGCAGTTGCTGCTGTCCCGAGCGTCAGCACCAGTGCTGAAACGAGCTGGAATAGCGGCTTGAGGCGAACGAGCACCGCCTTCGACCTGCTCCCTTGGCGCCGGAGACGTGGTTCGGTGGTCCACCGTCACGAGACCCGAGGCACCGAAATAGACTCGCACCCGGGAACAACAACCTATCAACTGAACATGGTTGGAAGCGTTCGGTCGCCACAGTTCCACATGTTGACCCGGACGAAACGGGATCGACATCGGGGTATCCGGATACATACCCGAAAGCAGGAGTGTTCCATCGCCAGCGATCTCCGTTAACACCAGTGGACGGCTCCAGGGATCCAGACGAAACGTATCAACGCCGGAGAGTGTGCATTGTGCAACGCGTTCGGGTCGCCATTCACTCGCCCAAGTGCTGGACGCATCCCTGCGACTTGTCCATGCCTCCAGCACAAAGCTGCGCGGACGTTCGATCACGAGCAGCACCGTCCCCGGTACCAGGGAAGTGCCGAGGCGCAGACGCTGCCCAACACGGGGAAGCCGCCCGATCGATGAAGTGGTATCCCCGCCGACCGTTTCAAGCGGATAGGCCTGTAGCCACACGTCACCCGCTTCCAAACGTGCCGTCGCGAGATAGACGCTTTCATTCGTATCCTGCAGCGCAATGAGACGGTCGCCTAAAGCGCGTAGCACCTCGCCGCGCACAGACGCCGGGAACGCCTCAGACGGTGTCACTGGAGGGATACAGAGGTCCACGAAGGCGTTCGATAGCACTCCTCGCGCGTCGTGAATAACGCGGGGTCTCAGTGAATCGGGTACCAAGGCCACAGGTCGTCCATCCAAAAGCGTCCATATGGAGTCTGTACATGCATCGTACTCGAGTGCGGTGATGGGTCGCTCCCCCGCCTTGCAGTGCGTTCGTAAACCGTTCAGTGCACACTCGACGAGACCCCAGTGCACGATGCCGTCGGTGTCGAGCCACAACAACGACAAGCGCGCGAGATGACGCCCGCTTTGCAGGAGTGCGCTGCTGGTTGCTTCATTACCCTCTTGATGCTGCCTGCTTCCAGATGAGCCGACATCTGGGGCAGTGCTGCAAGCGCACTCGCTCCAGTGCACGTGATGATGCTCGCTGTTGCTTTCGTAATCCAGATCGTCGATGCGGTCATCCTGGGTATGCGTACAGAAACGCCAAGCGCACTCGCCTCGTTGCTCAGTGCCATCATCTGTGCTGATTCTGATGTCTATGTCGTTTCTCCGAATGCAGTCGCAGCACCTGATGCCCGTCGGGGTACGCATCACAGCCTGGCAGTCTACGAGCCGAACTGGGTGCGAATTCGGAAACAGCACCGGCCACAGGGTCAGTGCAGATGCCTGGCCACCCAGACTACAGTGTTCGCTCGTGACGCCCAGCCAGAGCTGACCATCTACCAGCAGAAGCAAGAGCGGCGTCATCGCCTCATTTGGAGGTTCCACTGACCTGGGATCCACCATCGATATCGTTGGTGATACGGAGGCGTCGCCGTCTCCGCCAGGGGTAGTGCAAGCTGCCGTCGCGGGTGTCGCTGGGCACGGACGCAACTGGATTTCCGTGAACCCAAAAGGAAAACAGCACTCACCGTTCACTACCAACGCACCGTTTCCCAGGCCAAGCAGTTCAAGTGATAAAGTCGGGTTCAGTGTGCGTCGCAGAGCGCTTCGCACTGGCGCCGCACGGAGCAGAGCTTCGCCGGCGCCCGCTTCCTGACTCGATGCTTGGCCAGAGAACAAGTCTGCGGTAACTGGCGGTGCGACGGAGAGTTCCGAGAACCCAGCCCATTTGAGCGCAAACACCAACCATCCGTCGTGTAACCAACGGGAGACTTTCAAAAAACGAAAATCCAAGGTAATTGTCGCCACTGGTGCATCGAGCTCGACACTCAGGTAGGGATACCAGAGGGGAGCGCAGGATCCACTGCGCATCCACAGGCAGAGTCGATGTCCCTGACCCAAAACAAAGAGACGTGCATCGTCGGTTGCGAAGGCGTCGTTCGTCAAGTCGCTCTGGTGGATGCACAGACGCGTCCATCGATTCTTCTGCCACTGCAAGAGCACAAACTGCTTGGTGCACACCTGGATTGCCTCTCCCCAGGAAAGCCACTGATGAAGCGCCACGGTGCTATCCGTGCTGCAGAAGGCAGCACTCCAGTCTGGCTCGCTACCGGACGAGCCAGCTTCCCATCGGTGATGCAGCACCAGCACGCGGGTCCACCGATTTGGCCATTCGCTCGACAAGAGCGCAACCAGTAGCGCTTCGTTTTCGAGGGCAAAGAGGCGCGTTGGTCGCCCTTGTTGCTCCAGCGCTTCGGTTGAGAGCGCGTGATGCATTACAAACCCGTATTGGAGACGTTCTAGAAAAGCGCCACGCTCAACAGACCAGCGCGCTCGGACGTATGCTGCCGATGCCGCAGTCAGCGGACTCGGACTCGACGCTGGGTGACGTTCAGCAGCGACGCTTGTAACCACTGCTGCCGTAATCGTTTCGGATGCTTCATCCCATTGCGTCTCTGCGGCCACAACCGCTGGGTCGTGTGTTAGGGGGTACGTCCGCGGTGTCAGAGCCGACACGCGCCCGTCGGACTCTGTTGCGGCCCGCAGAAGCCGTCCGAAAGTTGTCCACACGAGTTGCTCATTGATGAATCCGAGCGGCTCCTCCAGCGGACGGAGCTGTTTCAGCCAGCTGGTCGCCAGCAGGTACCAGGAGGCTTCGGTCGACGTCGCCGCTGGGAATGAAGCCCATGAAGCGGGATGACCGTCCGATTGAGCGGCTAGTCGCAGCAATCGACCATCCGCATACAGTACGCAAAGTCGCGTGTTCTCTTGTTGTTGTTTTTGCTGTGGATCTCGATAACGGAGGGAATCCACGCAACCATCGAGCGGCACCAGCGAAAGCTCTTGAGGTGCACCAGCTTTGCGCTGAAACCAACGGAGCGTCACCAGCGCACTGCTTTCAGCGTCGTTTTCAAGGCGAGTTGGCATCTCGAGTCGACAGTCGCCGAGACTCCAGTACAAGCGCCCCGCACAATGCAACACATCGTCCATGGAGAGGTCTGGGCAGTGCCCCTGGTACGGTCGACGCTCGTAGCGAGAGAGCACCAACCAGGGGAGGTCCTCGGGTAGCCTCAGATCCGCGAAAGTCGACTGCAGCGCTACCCATGTGGGTAACGACCGAAGAAACTGCACCCGCACGTCCAGTGCTCTGCGCAAGTCGCTCGCTGCTCCTGCTGCAGCTTCTGGTTTCCGCAGCCGCCAACAGAGTATGCCGACAACGCGATCGTAGATCACTAGTCCCGTCTTTAGGCGGCACGACTTGCGCTCCTCATGTCGACATCCGGAACAGGGGCATTGCAACACCAGACAAGCACGAGGCAAGGGCCAGTTTAGTTGACTGGCCCACGGCCAAGCCTGGACCAATTCCTCATTCTGCTCTAGCGTAGCATCTTCGAAAGCAAAGGGCGCCGATGCGGCTCTACTGCGGAGCGACAGCACTGCAGGCGGCTGTCCAGACACTGCGACGAGCACCTGATGAACGTAGACAACACCGCAAGGACCTGGGCGTGGGTCCGCCGCGCGATTGCAGTCGCTCAATTCTGGGCGCGTGGTCGTCGTATCCGAATAGGTCACCGTAGACACCACGCTCTCGTCTGAAAGCAGAGGCATGAAAGCCGCCCCAAGTTGCTTGCTCAAGTCAACGGGATTGTGGTCGGCACTGCCAGTCTCAGTTGATGTGAGCGTCAGCGTGCGAGCGTGGAGCGTCAGTGGACTGGTCGGTGCGGTCTGCGTCCAGTAGAGTTCCACAGCTTTGAGCGCATGTGCTGCGCAAGGTCCGTGATCACCGGCGCACACCAGCACCAGGGCATCATGAGTGCGGCCACGAGCACGAAACGCCCCGCGAATGCACTCGCAACGCTCAAATCCAAGCGCTTTCTTCACATGAAGCCGCTGCAAAAGTTCCCCATCAGCGACGCGGAACACTGCGAGCTCTCTCGCTCGGTACGCAATCGCAACGGGTACGCTCGTACTGGACGCCGCAGCTTCCGCTAAACCGGGTTCAGCGGCAATGTTTGAAACGCGAACCAGGTTACCCCGGACAACGCCAAGCCAGCGCTTTGAGCGTTCCGTCCAGTGCCAGCCGAGCGTATCAGGTGGCATCCTCGACACGCACCTGCAGCATCCGCGGGTGCGCTGCAGGAGGCGCTGTCCACGCACCTGGGCAGCAGGCTCCCGTGAATGCGCCGGCCGCAGCGACACGAAAATGAACGTTGCGAGGACAAGGCTCCACACACACGCTACAGTGCTACCGCGAATGCACTCGGTACTTCGCGCGAAATAGCGGCTTTGGCGTGTGTCGTACCTGCGAGGCAGGTTTCCGCTCTCTGGAAAGCGTCAGGAAGCGCAGGATACCGGGCATCGATCTGCCGAGGAAAGCGTGCCAAGCCGTGGCAACTGTGATGTTCATATATAGCTCACGATGTCAATTTTCGTTCCTAAATGGGTTCCTGTCATCGAGCACTGCTCAATGGCACGACTGGGCTGTCGGCAGCCGCGCTTCCTGCGCGATCAGGTCGAGTCGTGTGAGGCATTATGATCTTGTACAAGTTGTACAGGGAACCGTTACATGTGTCTCTATAGTCGGCCCGCTAGTCTGCCTGAACTGGTAAACGAGTATCATACCAGTGCACTGCTCCAACCCGGATATTTCTTTTCATCCAAAGTCTGCCTGAACTGGTAAACTAGTATCATACCAGTGCACTGCTCCAACCCGGATATTTCTTTTCATCCAAAGTCTGCCTGAACTGGTAAACGAGTATCATACCAGTGCACTGCTCCAACCCGTATATTTCTTTTCATCCAAAGTCTGCCGCCATCCATGAAAATACCCACACTGCGCACGAAATGATTCTCAGGAAACTTTGCTAGGCATACAACCGATAGGCGGTTCGGGAGCACAAAAGATTTCGGGATATTAATCGAGGTGTTCACGTCTTGGTGCAGAGCGTGCTTGCACGACTGATTGCTGGTGGATCCATGCCAGAAGACGCCGCACACACATTCCATTGCCTCGCCATCTGACGCTCGATCAGCGTGCCGTCTACAACGTCCAGCGACGGGCTCTGTTTTCCGCTCTTCTTCTCTGTCTGTTTCATCGTGCATTCGCGCTTGTGATGCGTTTATGTCGTCCTGAGCGCTTCGGTGGGAATCGATCAGTACGGATCCCTGCATTTGTTGTGTGCTCTCGTCGAAGGAGTAGAAGTGCAGCCTTTGCACGCGCGATCGCAATTCCAGTGCCATAGACTGACATGAAACGACGCGACCTGTAGGTCGTTTAAGTCTACAACGCATTGAATGAAGTGGCGAATGCAGGCGTCCTGCCTGGGTACAGCCGAATGAGTGTATGAGTAGAGCGCGCGCGCTCGTACGTCTGCCAACGACCGAATCGCATGAATCCGATAGATGTTCATATACGCTCTATATGAAGTGTCAAATAGCATCCACTTCTCTGCACTATGGCGCTCAGCGTTTCGGCGTAGGTCCCGCTGCCGTCATGCCACTCCATCGTATACCTCTGGACGCGTATCATGCCCGACTTGTGGCGTAGCGAGCACTGGGGAAATTCAGAAGCTTCATCTGCTTCCCATTCAGGTCCTTGCTTCAGAACACTTCAATTATCGGTGCGTAGACGAGCACGATATCCTTGGATATAGGGTACACGTGCGCCATCAATATTCGCTCTTCATCTACCTAGAGTGGTTGGTAGCGACTCTCGTTGCTGGGGTCGGGGTGAGGTTTCACGAGCTTCACGAAGTGCGTCCATAATGATATTCTGTCGTTCTTCACTGTCTTGGTCGTTTTCATTCCATTTCGTATCGGTAAACGAGAAGCCTTTGACAAGCTCCATCAGTTCTGCTCGCAAAGTTGCTCGAATGCCTCATAATTCCTCGTAGAGACATGCCGTAGCGCACTTTGCAAACTATTCACAACTCAAGCATCCACCGTGAAAGCATGCACCATGATATAATACACGGAGAGCAACTCGAGCGGAAGTTTCTGGAAACCAGGGCGCCTGGATTCAGGGAGCGTGTCTTCTCTGCTCTTGACGCTTCAGTTCAGGAACATGTCACAGCGCAAAAATTCATGCGAGGCAGTTATCACGCTTCAACTGTGCTTTGAACAAGTCCTCCGCCTGGCCGCGGTCGTCGAGAGCAGAAACATGACCTTGGACGAGGTCTAGCGACACTCGCTCTGTTTGCAATACTTCGTGCGAGCTCGGTTTCGCCTCGAGCACTGCCGCCACCAGTTCGTGATCCACCTCCAATGACATGCCGAAAAACCGCTTTATGGATGTGAACGAGTCGTCTATTGGTTCGTGCTCGTAAACATAGGTCTCAAAGCAGAGAAGACTCCATGGACAGGATAGAACCAGGGAGACTACGCTGGCACGAAGCACAGCTCATCGCTAGTCTGTGCTGTGCAGTCTGTGACCGCTTTTGCGTGATTGAAAGCAACGTCGTCTAAAAGCAGAACAGACTAGTTTGCAAAGACGCAGTTAAGAAGGGAGCCTCGACCAAGATTGAGGTCATGCATTATCATGCCCGCTTCACAATTGTTCACTGATCATATCATGGCATTGCGTCTTGGGCCATTGTTGTCTTTATATGCTCCTGTCTCTTCTTTACGAACAGCGCTTTGCCCTTGGTTGTTGCGTGCCTAGTTACAGGTCTTCGCTTTATCCGGAATATACTCTCAATGAGCGAGACGAGCACCCGTCCCTCCTCTCAAACGTGTTCCGGCTTCCGTAAAACTGCGATGAAGGACTGTCCTACGAACGGCGATTTCCCATCGAGGCGCCCGTCTTCTGTCCCCATGTGTATCCCTTCAATACCAATCGTGTGAACTGTGCGGAAGCTGTATACCGTGCGGTATCTCTTATGGTTTTTCTTAGAAAAAAAAGCGATGGACTAGAACAGATTGATCAGATAATTGTCATGTGGATCCTCTTTGACACATCCGGTTTTAGATACGCAACGTACAGGATAAGGACTAGAAGCCGAATGCTTCACCCGCCTGCTGACCATGGAATAATTTACTTGCAGAAGCAAGGCCCTTTCTCGCAAGGTAGCAGTCAGATTATCAAGTCATTCCTTGACCTTTCTCCAACTTACCGGATACGTTCCTTTTTGTTGAATACCCGTGAGAAAAACGAAGAAAAGCAAAAAACTGGCTGTCGCAGATTCTCTATGAATCACCGCTCTGAGGATAACGTTTCGGGATCGATGTGTCGAGCGAGGCATCCACCAGACGCGCGGAGCCCGGGACCCCGCAGTCGGAGGAGCGGCAACAATTCTGACCCGGGATCGTTAGATACAACGCACCGCATATCATACCTGACTTTAGGAGAATGCTCCATTCGAGAGATCTTCGGGGTGCTGAACCTGCCCCAGAAACTAGCCATAGTGCCGCAAGCTCCCCATTGGGCGCTTTATGGAGACAGAGTGTCATTGCCCTGGTCATGGAGGTCACGACGCAAGCTCCCCATTGGGCGCTGTATGTAGACAGAGTGTCATTGCCCTGGTCATGGAGGTCACGACACGAGACACGTTGACGCTCTGAACGCCATGCATTGACGCGAATTCGGCGCTGAACGAATTAGATGGTATCCCAATCGAGCAGTAGGCAGCTTGTCTGCATAATGTCAGTACTATAGAGAATGAGTATCTCGGAAATGAATTCCGGAGTATTTTGACGAATACAAATACGCTGGTCGAAGAGGAGTCTCCATTGCGCGTAGCATTTCTTTTCGGAAGCTGCACCCTTGTCGGCTACTGATAGAACGATGGACGACGTACAATATTCCTGAGATTCACATGATATCTGAACTTTATGTAGGTGACGAACCTCGACATTCGACGTGTAGCAGTAAGGGCCTTGGGAGTTATTCTTCGTTTTCGGCCTCTCGATAGTTTTGTTTTTCAGAGGGGCTCTTTCGACATTGTACCGCTGGGGTTCTTCGTGCGATTGTCTTCAAAATGATTCGTGACGTCCCTGAACAAGCGTTCATACAATTACCCATTGCATTGACCATTGCGTGCCCGCGGGCCCGCACTTGGATCCGTTCCTCACAAGTCATCTGCTCAATTCACGCTGTTTTTTTGCGCTTCATTGTTTCAGCTTTTAGGCAACTAGTGGACACAGCGATTCACGCCGCTGGATTCATGACGAACAGAGAAATCTCCGTCGTGCCTTGGCAACATCGTCACAAGTTTATGCGGAAAGTTCGACGAACTCTTCAAGTCATGGATAAAATCTGAAAGACAAATCCACGTGTCTTTGTACTCGTCACCGGTACGGCATACGACATAGGCATGATACCTCTCAGGAGGTATACCCACGAAAGGCTTTTTCTCCTCTGGGTACTTAAAAAAGGATGTTGGTCACGGACTTTCGTCATCGCAGAGATCCGTACCAGTAGAGATTTCGTCTCCGTTTTGCACGAAGGAAGCATCCATAGATCGACATCCCTCGACTTGTGCTCCGGTCCGGATTCTGCTTCCTGTACTCATTTCATCATATATAGCATTTCGTTCACCAGACCCTCTATCGAATGGAACAGCTTGCGCCTGCCTATGTAGCGCACAGCATATTCACCAGGCGCGTCGCATAGAAGATGCTCTTGGTCGTAGTGCACGATATCGGGTGTGGAAACTGACGATTTGTGCATCGGCGGGAGCATGCTGGACATGTCAAGTGCATGTACCGAGCGTTGAAGCAACCATTGACGCACCGCAGGGCAGCGCTCTAGTGATGAGGATGTTCGATGGACACTTGGAAACACCTGACCACAGCTACGTGCCAACGCTATGAATAGCGCACCAAAATTGCATAAGAAGATGATGCTGAAAATTGCAGGAGATGCGTAGATCCCAACCTCCTGTTGAACACGAAATGCATGGACAACAGCCAGCAACTGCGAAATCGAGCCTTGAATGCTGCCATGCACACCGTTCACAGCTTGTGAACGGTGCTGGATCGACATTAGCGCCAAGCGTCTTAAAGGCCGCGAGTAAGTGTGAGGAATAGGAAGCAGTTCCAAAAAAAGCATGCTCGCGAACGCTGGCGTTCATGACTCGGGTCGAAAGAGACCCGAACATTAGCGCATATGCACGTGTTCATAGCTTCGTTCCACGCTATGCTGATATGGGTCTGAAAAGACCCGAACTTTAGCGTACATGCCCGTGTTCATAGCTTCGTTCCACTCTGTGCTGGTATGGGTCTGAAAAGACCCGAACTTTAGCGTACATGCCCGTGTTCATAGCTTCGTTCCACGCTATGCTGATACGGATCTAGAGAGTTTCCCAAGACGAGCCGATGTGCATACCCGTAGCACATGTGGCATTCCGCACCCTCGATAGAATCATGTTCGATTCATCGATCCAAAAGTCAAAAAAGTTGCTGGTTAACCTGTATCCCGCATCTTTTGAGAGCAGCGCTCTAGATTCACAGGTCTACCTCATAATAACCCGTACTCTTGATGCATTTGCGGATGCTATCCAAAAAAGACCTATCCATTGCGCTAGTTCATGGCTTGGATCACGTTCCACGCTACATAGCGATGATTCGCGAATATCCACAGCTCTTGAAGCAGGCTCTCTCACGTGGTATCACGCAACCCTGCAAATAATCTTGACCACGAGAAAGCAAGTGTTCTTAAACTGATCTGCTGCGGTTGTTGTGCGTTGCTGCGCGGTACAGAACCAAGTTCGGTGCACGTTACCCCGGTGGTGTTCTCGAAAGAGCGTCGCGTTTGGCGGTTCCAGTTGCAAAGGCCCAAGTCGTGCGTTTGCGGAAAGACAGGTAGCACTACAACACTTTGGCCTGGCTTCATTGCTCTCCATGATCCACTTGCTCGTTCCCTGATCAAACTAGTAGAGGCACGTGAGGCGGGACTCGTCAAGCGCCATGGTCGTTCGTAGCCGAACGGAACAACTTCGTCGGATGGCGGCTGCACAATGGGAGGCTTCCTGGGGCGCAGCGGCTTCCCTGCAAGACCATCGTACAGAGGGCCTGGTCGAGTATCTTGAGAGCACCCGCAACGCAGGCACAGGAAAGACACCTCCGCGGAGCGGCGCAAGTGCTGCGCCAGACGCACCCCAGTTTGCGAGCAACGAGAAGCGAGCGCCTCAGCAAGAGCCCCTACGACCATTGAACGAGGCGCTGGTGCGTTTAACGCCTACGACAGACTTTTTTGAGAACGTGCAAAGTACGGGCGTGGTGTCGGTTTCGACAGCTCTGGAAAGTGGCGGCGACAGGTGGACAACAGGTCAACGTTTAGCTCCGAAAACGTTCGCGTCGGGAAGCGCTCCAGGTTCTGCAGACCAAGCAGCAAAGCCAGAAATCGTACTCATTCAGGCTCAACAAAAGAGCTTGACACCTTCGATATCGAAAAGGACGAGAGAGAATGGCTCAGGGCGATCCAGAGTACATGCGAAGCCAGTACCCGAGTCCTCGTTTGGCGATGTTGAGGCACGAACCTGTGCGTTTATAGAGCAATGGCTCTGGGTGGCACTTACTGCTAACAAGACCAGCATTGGAACGTCCCAGAGTCAGGTAGATGGCCTCATCATGGACGGGTGGTGGAGGTGGAACACGCCCAGCAACGCATGCCCATGGACAAAGGAGTGCGTCTCACTTGCCCGCGTTCTCGAGAAACTCGAATGTGAGCGACTTGCTGCATCGGAGCAAGCCCTGGATCGTCTCCAACAGCGACTATGTGAAGTGCGGGCCGTTTCAACCACAGCAGGAGCAGCAGCGGCAGCAGCTACTTTAGGTTCCGCGGGACATGTCACAAAGTCGCCCTCTGGAGTGCGAGGCGCCTCTGTACCAGGGGAAACCTTTCCCTCGCTGGATGCAATACATTCTCCATGTGGCGATCCGCAAGCACCAGCAATAACAAAAACAACAACAGCAACAACGATGAAACTTACTGGGAGCGCTAGCGCACATTCTGGTGCCACTGAAAGCGCCTCATCTAGGTATGCACAAGGCGCAAAACTTCCATCTTCTCTCCCGGTAAGTGGTAGCGTTTCGAGTCCGGATGCGTCAGCCTTGACACTCGAACGGGAGCCGCACACCAATGCCCACACCCGGGCATACTCCAAACCGGAAACGAAACCGATTCAGACTAGTCGAGCTGGAGTCACGTCGAAGGACGCGTCACCGTCACCGTCACCGTCACCAAGACCACATACATCGCTGCTGACACCGACTCCTGCAAGCACACTCGCACCAGACACGAGAAGAGATGCATCCGTGGACGCTTCAACCCGTGCAACATCGGCTATCGACGGCACTGCAGCGAGCGACGCGCCGACGACGCAGGTATCCCGTGCCTCTCCGGAAACAGCGCTTCCCGCAGATGTGCAACAGGTGTTGGATCACTATACGCAAATCTGCAACCTGGCGGACAAGTTCCAGCAAGATCCAGCGTCACAGTCTCTGCGTTTCCAGTTGCGAAAACGCATTAACTTGGCAGTCAACCAGATTGGGCTATCGTTACCCTCGGTCCTGCACAAGTCCAGTGTCCTCGCGGCGCTGCTGCACGAGTCACTCACGACTGAGACTGCGGTCGAGTCATCAGAATCCGTCTCCTTGCTGGACGCTTGGTTACAGTTGCAGGTTGTTCGACGAATCGTTCGTGAAGGCGCGGAGCAGGTGGTTGTCTCCCTGCCGTCCAGTTTTGCCCTGGGTGCGGTGCTCGTGCTCTTGACCCAGCAACATCCACGTCTGAAACCAGTGGTGCTGGGCACCTTTTATCAATTGTGTCCGTACACGATCCCGCACTGGTATCGACGTCGACCTGGAGAGTCGCTGGAAGCGTACCTGGTTCGGCTGGGCTACAGCAAACCTAACGAGTCCTTCGAGAGCTACTACGAGCGCATGGGCGGATACCTCTCGCTCTTTGCAGCTATGCTACAGACCGCTTTACCGAATATGCACCCGAACCCGTACGGCACTGGCATGCTTTGGACTTGGAGCGCCCGCGTTGTGAACGCTAAACCGCGGCGCATGACATGCCTGCTTCTAGGCAACGTGTTCGAAGTCGCTGGATATGCGCTGAGCCAACAGTACGGCAACCAGTTCCGGAAACTGCTACGTCTTGTGGAGGCAGAAGTGCTCCCACGACTGCCCAAAGACGCACCACCGGGTCCGACAGCTCGCCTGAAACACTGGATAGAGGAGGCGCTGCGCAGTGGACCGCAGCCATGTCCAGGGCATATCCTGCCTATGCGGGACTCGCAAAACACCTAAGTAACCGGTTTAGGTATTGTGTGGTCGGACAGGCAGCCGATGTAGTGTATTATCGGGTAAGTCTTTAGTGAACGAGGAGTACACCGTTTTCCGACCGCTGTCTTCAGGTGCGGTTGCGCAGTGCTGGCGGTGGCGGCAGGTGTTACCGAACCGGACACCCCTTGACGGTGTCGGGTTACTAGTTTTTGCTTGAACAGGATCCATGACTGCCCTCGTACGCCGTTACTTGACCTCAGTCGTCCGCTTTCGCAGATTGTTGCAGAACCCTCGAGCACCCAGTGGCCTCTTGGTGCTGTTCTTCGCGCTTGTGCTTCTCTGGTGGCTATGGTGGTGGTACAGCGGTGGACCGCACACCCCAGTCCGGTCACCGGCTTTCTTCCAGCTGCACCCGCTGAGGTTGCAGCCAGTCGGTGCCAATCGTTCGGTCTCTTTTGGACGTCTGTTAGGTGATCGCGAAACCCTTCTAGTCGGTGGTGTTGTCCCAATAGCAGCACCACGAGTGCCGCCGCCTGCCTGTCGCCTTCGAGTCGTGATACCACGAAGTGCCTCTGCTGCCTACGCGTGTCGCTTCGTCCACGAAACCTGGGAGTCAGACCATCACGACAAGCCACTGACGAGTTTTGTCTGGTTCTTTTCGGCAAGTTCGCGAGTGCCCGCACACGCTCGTGAAGTCTGGTTAGAGCTGGCGGAGACCGAGGCGGTGGCGGTGGCGGTAGCTTTACCAGCACCGCCGCCTCCGCAGCACTTTCTCAGCGCCTGTGTGCCCGTACTTCAGAACAACGCTGACCCCGCACGGGTCCTCGAGTGGTTGCAACGGATGCGACGCAGACATGGGGTGAGCTTTGTGCGGATGTACTTGCCTGCTCGATGGCGTCCGACTCTTCTGGCGGCACTAGTCGAGGGTTATCGTGCTCATCGTCGCTCGCTGCCGCAGCTGGAGCTGCTGGAGTTACCGGACCCTCTCCCCATGCACTACTTTGGACAGTACCTGACTGTATACGATTGTTGGCTGCGCGAGGCGACGGTTGCCACTTGGACGCTATTTCTGGATCTCGACGAGGAGATTCACATCGAGTCCGAGACTAGTGTTGCTTTAACCGATTGGCTTCGTGAACAGCAACCACAACTGCTGGCAACGGCCACAGCAGGATTCACCCTGGGCTCCTGGCTCTATCACAAGGCCGGCATTGGACATGAGCCACGCAAGGCGCAACCGAGGCCTGTCTGCTTGCCACCGAAGCACGGTTGGCATCCCTGGTCCCAGGAAGACGCTGGTGGCACCCGCGTTCATCGACCGCCTCCCGAACGCTGTCTTGGCCCGCCGGGTCGTCGAAAATTGCTGCTTCAACCGGACAAGATGCGTCAGGTTCAGATTCATAAGGCTTACGCTCTGAGCGGTTATCGGATCGTGGATCTGAATACCTCGGTGATGCATATTGTGCACTATCGAGGATACGTGCGGGGCGCCTGAGTGCTCGCCTCGGTATCGCCGCGGCTCGGTGGCAGTTCAGGGACGGATGGCAACGGATACATAGGTGGCATTCTGTGCCAGCATCGTTGGGAAGCGCTTGCGAGGCAGCATAGTACGCGCCGCCTTGTCCGTTGGCTTGCTGGTGATACCGGTGATGCCGGCGATGCTACGACGTATAACGATGCGTCCAGGAGAGGCAATCGCAGCAGGCGCTGTTCAGGAATTTGCTGGTGCGTTCTTCTGCTGCGCTCGGAATGCTTTATGGTGTGCTGTCGTTTCGGTCTAGAGCGAGCCAGAGGATATCCGCTTTGCTCTGGTGGTTCGCAAGTGCCAGAGCGACACCGGTTGTCTGGTCACCAGTTGGCAGCTTTTCCGTCAGCGCGGCTAGATCCCCCAAGATGATCAGCACCTCCTGCACGAGCTCCGCAGCGTCTGCGCTCTTCACTTGATATTCGCGCTCCTCACTGATGCCCTGCTCCGTAGCGATGCCTTTGATTGCAGACGGCTCACAGCATACAGCCTCGTAGAATGTGGCACTGGTCGTATCGCGCTCATTCATGAGCAGCGGTATGCGCTTTCCGGTGGTCGTCGGGGCACAGTCACGGCAACCGAGCGTCCACAAACGTCCCTTATCGGTGACAAGGCCCAGCGCACAACGCTGCAAATCCCGTCCGGTTTCGCTTCGGACCAGGTACCGAACGCGCAGAGGCATCGACAGCGCTACACACAGAAAGCGAAGCACGACCAGTGCTTCGAGTCGCCCCGGACCGAGCACCCCTGGAAACTCGACTCGAAACCAACCGCAATCGCTGTCGGTAGCGGACTCCATCCAGTAGAGGAGGACGCGCTCAGCATCACACGGACGAGTACAGGACGCTATCCACTCGCGCAGGAAACTTGGTTGTAGTTGCGCCCGACGCAGGTCGAACGACCCGTGTCGACGACTCCATCCAGGCCAGAAACTGGTCTCGACAGCCAAGGACGCGTCGGTGACAAGCACTCGCGGCGGACACAGGTGCTGGAAACGCTTCCATGCCCAGATCGCTGCATTCCAGTGCGTCCATTGCTGGTCCAGGTGGCGTTGGTAGAGCCAGAACAACTGCGCACTGCGTTCATCACGAGTCTCTGGATGATAGAGTCGCGGGGCGGCCACCTGCATCGTCCACGCCGGTGCAAACAGCGCTACGCTCGCTCCGGTCGACCAGGCTACGTCGAACGCTTCAAAGGTGCGGAATCCACCGCCACCGGGCATCTTTCCCCGCCCGTACACATCAATGCCTACATAAATATCCTTCGCTGGTCGATTCAGCTGCGAGGCTCGCGCTACCGACTCGAGCAGCCTTTGACCTGTTTCCCAGCGGTAATCCAGGTACATGGCGGAGGCGACCTGGAAAAATGCCTCGTTTCTCGCATTCAGCCTGGACTGATGGGCGAGTTCACCATCCACCGTCAGGGCATCATACCAGATGACCGCTGCATGAGTACCCACTCGTTTCTGCAACTGCTCACGCAGCGTCGAGACAAAGATCAACACGCGCTGTATTGCAGGCGACAGAGGAGTGCTCTGGTTGCGCGAGCTTGGCGAAACCTTGGCATCGTCGCGAATTTCCACTTCAAAGTTCACCAACCAGCCGTCAAAGCTAAATAGTTCAGCTAGACGAGCCAATCGATACGCGAGGAAGAAGATCGTGCGCAGATGGAGTAGCTGCTCCAGCAGGGCACCCCCGGCAGCGTGTTCGAGGACGCAGCTCCCAAAGCAGCGCACATGGTGCCGATGAGCGGCCTCGACCCAAGCCGGAGGCGGCATCGACACTCCATGGTGCGTGAAGTAGACGAAATCGTCGATGAAAGACCACTCTCGAAAGTGGTACGCGAGCTCCGCCTCGGTTCGTGACCTCGTGCCATAGCACTCTGCGACGCTGTACGGTTGCGGAGCGTCGTGGCAGAGCAGTACGCGTTGGTGGCGCGTTGTCGACGGCTCTTGGAACGGAACTCGACTTTTTTGATCTAAATGTAAAGCACTAGATGATTCATCCCAGTGTAAGAGCTCTTTAAGCGAGGAAAAGTACCATGAACCCGCTCCAGAGGTGGTTGAGGGCGTCTCCCCCATCCCATGAGCGCCAATATCGGCTGTGTACGATGCGAACGCGGAGCACCACAACACTGTACAGGATCATGAGCTGTACAGTGTAGGTAGGATTCCAAAGTGGTATGAGATATTCTTACTTGTCGTTAGACGTTGGATCATGAGCTGTACAGTGTAGGTAGGATTCCAAAGTGCTATGAGATATTCTTATTTGTCGTTCGACGTTGGATCATGGGCTGTACAGTGTAGGTCGGATTCCAAAGTGCAATGAGATATTCGTACTTGTCGTTCGACGTTGGATCATGAGCTGTACAGTGTAGGTCGGATTCCAAAGTGCAATGAGATATTCTTACTTGTCGTTCGACGTTGGATCATGAGCTGTACAGTGTAGGTCGGATTCCAAAGTGCAATGAGATATTGTCACTTGTCGTTAGACGTTGGATCATGAGCTGTACAGTGTAGGTAGGATTCCAAAGTGCTATGAGATATTCTTACTTGTCGTTCGACGTTGGATCATGGGCTGTACAGTGTAGGTCGGATTCCAAAGTGCTATGAGATATTCTTACTTGTCGTTCGACGTTGGATCATGAGCTGTACAGTGTAGGTCGGATTCCAAAGTGCTATGAGATATTCTTACTTGTCGTTCGACGTTGGATCATGAGCTGTACAGTGTAGGTCGGATTCCAAAGTGCAATGAGATATTGTCACTTGTCGTTAGACGTTGGATCATGAGCTGTACAGTGTAGGTAGGATTCCAAAGTGCTATGAGATATTCTTACTTGTCGTTCGACGTTGGATCATGAGCTGTACAGTGTAGGTCGGATTCCAAAGTGCTATGAGATATTCTTACTTGTCGTTCGACGTTGGATCATGAGCTGTACAGTGTAGGTCGGATTCCAAAGTGCTATGAGATATTCTTACTTGTCGTTCGACGTTGGATCATGAGCTGTACAGTGTAGGTCGGATTCCAAAGTGCTATGAGATATTCGTACTTGTCGTTCGACGTTGGATCATGAGCTGTACAGTGTAGGTCGGATTCCAAAGTGCAATGAGATATTCTTACTTGCCGTTCGACGTTGGATCATGAGCTGTACAGTGTAGGTCGGATTCCAAAGTGCTATGAGATATTCTTACTTGTCGTTAGGCTTCTTGCTTGCTTTCAATAGTCCTTGCGCGCTGCCAGGGTACGCTGGACTTTGGAACGAGATTCGACTTGGTTGCTGAGGCAGCTATGAGTAGCTCGAAATGCAGCATAGCACAAGTTCCGTAGCTCATGGTAGCTTCTCTTTACACTGGCGACAGGGAGCCGGGTACGCGAGCTGAGCCAACATAGAATTAAAATCTTTAGTCGAGTTGTCGGCAGGAGACTTCCCGTTCTAGTAAGCAACTCGCAAGCTTGACGGAGACCCGTCGTTGCACGCTGTAGCTCAGCAGTTGTGCTCCCCTGCGTCAAGCGTGACGTCTGCAGCATGTGCCCTGGGTGCCCCTCGTACCCTTTCCTGGAATCGCTGCCACACAGCTGTTGTTCTCCCAGCGCCCGACTGCAAGCGTCTTTGCTCACGGCAAGTAGAGCCTGCAAGAAGCTTGAGGTCTCGGAAATGGGTCACAATTCCAAGTGCTACGCACTAGAGGCCGTGTTTATTCGCACCTGAATATAGACAGCATCATAACGCGTTTGCTACTTGCATATACCAAGCCCGCACCAGAACCAAGCAGATACCTCGACCAAGGGCTTCGCTCGGCTACGTGTCGTGCTCAAGAACTCGCCAGTGAACTGCAACCGGTGCGTAGCGGCTCCATGCATCACCACTCTCGACTGGGCAGAGGGAAAAGAGGAAACGAGTTGCATCGGGTTCAAGCGCTCGTCATTCTGCGAGCCCGGCCTCGAGAGGGCCCCCTGGATACCACTTTCGTTCGGGGTCAGCGTCGACACGTTGTCACCGATTGGCACTACACAGCCATATCCATTCGGAGCGTTTGATGCGGATAGTAGCCAATCAATTCGATGTCATCAGTGCAAAAGTCGTCTATATCTCGAACTGGCCGGCGGAAACGGATATGTGGAAATGGTCTTGGTTGCCGACCTAGCTGCACCTTGAGCGCATCAACATGGTTAAGGTAGACGTGTACGTCGCCCATGGTATGCACCAACTCACCGGGGCGCAAATCAGTGACATGTGCAAGCATCATAGTCAGTAGCGAATAACTTGCAATGTTAAACGGGACGCCCAGGCCGAGGTCACAAGAGCGTTGATATAGTAAACAAGAGAGTTCCCCATTTGCAACGTAGAACTGAGCGAGCACGTGGCACGGCGGTAAAGCCATCTCGGGGAGTGCGAGAGGATTCCACGCACACAAGAGCATGCGGCGGTCGTCTGGGTTTGTCTTCAGCGTCTCCACGATCTGGCGAATCTGGTCAACGCCCTGATTACGATAGTCCGTCTTGCAGTCCACGTACTTCGCCCCGAAATGGCGCCATTGGAAGCCGTATACGGGACCAAGATCGCCCTCTGCACGGTGCGAGAGCCCTCGAGCGTCCAAGAACGCTCGGGAAGCGTTCCCGTCCCAAATGTGGACTCCTCTAGCCGATAATTCCGTAGCATCGGTGCTGCCGCGGAGAAACCACAGCAACTCCTCGACAACACCTCTCCAAAAAACCCGCTTGGTTGTCAACAAGGGTATGCACTGATTTCGCAAAGAGAATCGCATCATGGCTCCGAAAAGCGAGAGCGTACCAACGCCGGTGCGATCTGCCTTGCGATACCCGTGTCCGATGACTGAGCGAACCAGGTCGAGGTACTGCTGCTCTTCGTGGTTACACTCAAGCACTGGCCGTTCGATAGTTTTTGTATTCGATGACGGTTTCGCATCCGATGCGACCCGCTCACGTTCAGGGCTGTGCGACATGGGTATCCGCTCCTGTCTTCGATAGACCAAAAACTCCACTTCAAGTTGTTCAGCGCGTTCATCAACACATACCGACACGCAGTGCTTATTACTAGGCCCATCTTCTACGTACTCATCTGAAGGTATGGCTGGCATGAAGACGTCACAGGGATAGGGCGCACGCTGCGGATCCAGTCGTCGAATGCGCGTCAAGTAGATGCGATCACAGGCCGGGTGCGCGAGGGTCTCTCGAAAGACACTAGCCCCGCCGATGACATACGCGACCCGCGCACCATGCAGTGCTGCCAAGCTGCACGCCTCGTTCAGACTGTTGGCTAGGTAGGCGCCCGCGAAAGCGTCGCTCGCCTCGTTGACGATCGGTTTCTGTCGGGTAAGCACAATGTTCAAGCGACCGGACAGCGGTCGACGCTCTGGTGGTATCGACAGCCAGGTGTGACGCCCCATGATGACCGCTGGTTTGCCACCGACGACAGCGGATTCGTCTTCACTGCTGCGACAGTTTCTCGTGGTAACGCGCTTGAAGTGGGCGAGGTCTTCTGCAATGTGCGGCCAAGGCAGCTGACCGTTGTATCCTATACCCCAATCAGCAGCTTGTACAGCAACTACGATACGTAGTGGCAACTGAACGTTAGGAATCTCGTCGGACACCATATATTCAGCTGCTTTGACACAAAATAGAGCTGCTTTGGTGCAGAGATAATCCTCATGCGTAGAAGTGTAGCGCAGCCGTTTCCCGCGCTTGCGATCGCCAGCGGCCGCGGCATGCGTTCGCCTGGTGGAATGCCTCCAGCGGCAACATCAGGAACGCAACGCTGAACTGAGTGACCAGCTCCTGTCTAGAGATTTTACCGAACTTTTAGAGTCTTGGCGCTAAAATTGCGGGAAACAGGGTGAACCATTTGATTCGTCGTGTGATGATATGGTGTTGGGGGTTTCAAGCGGCGCATTCCGCGCTGTTCATCTGGAATTCATGATGTCATCGTGATCGGGATGCTTGTCGATGCACTAGAACAAGCGTTCGTAAATGAACCGATATTATGATCCGAAACAGAGGTGCGGAACGTTGTTTTTCTGCATCCGTACAGCATGTTCATAGTATACGTTCTCAAAATTTTTGATCGATACGTTTCAAAGTAACTCGAATGCGCAGTTATTCGCGTCCCTGGATTGACCGAGGGACACACTGCCGTCCAGTATTGACGGAATATGCACAAGATCATGCCGGAGGTTGACTGAATATCTTAGGTCAACTAATAGATGCCGTTTGAAAGAGATACCCTTCATTTTTTGCGGTTATCAATGCAACGGCATTCGACAGCAGTCTTATACCGCTCAGGGAGTATTTGTCAGCAGGGCGCCGTCTCTCTGGGATGGATGGAGAGGCGTCTTGGACTCGGACTCGAGTCATTGTCGTGATCGATTCGAGTGTGGAGGGCGTCAACGCCGTACACGATAGGAACTTTAAGGAGTAGTCATTTATTCACAAGTTCTCCATCCTAGAGTTTCCTTACTTTTGTGTTTTATCGTGGACAACTTTGTATTCTACAAATCCTTGATCGATTCGGAGAGCGACCGCTTACTTCAGCCGCGGCCAGTATACTCATAAATGGGATCGTCCGGAAAAAATCCGCGTCCATATCGTACAGCAGTGGGCGCGGAATCAGTGGAGATCACCCAGTCGAGCCCTGAGTGCCTAACACGGGCCTTTGCTGAGCTATAACGCAAGCGTTCATGTACCACAGGGCGGCTTTCGAAGAATGAAATGTGGTGGACATCAGCGAACGCCCTTCCGCTGTCAAGCGTCATTGCTATGAAAGGTACACCGAGGCTATTTCTTAAAACAAGATGAAAGAAGCATGCAAAGCGTAGATCACAACTGTCGACTGTGCGTGAAATACTTTGATACCAGCTGAAAACTCCAGCTTCGAGACGAGAACGCTGCTACTACCACGATCGTTTGAACGCTGATAACAGCACTACAGGGAAACAAGTGTCCAGCGTCTTGAATGCCAAAGATACCGTTGCGAAAGAGCAAGCAGTTGCAGAAAAAGCCCCTGACGCTAATCCTCATACAAGTCAGAAGTCAACCCTAACTTGAATATACCAGTCCGTGCCAACAAACTGCATACCTTTCATACTCCGCTGATACGAACAGATGACAGCATTGCCTCTAGCACGCGCACCAACTCTAATACATACATACATACCAGACCGTGCCAACAAACTGCATACCTTCCATACTCCGCTGATACGAACAGATGACAGCATTGCCACTAGCACGCGCACCGACTCTCATACATACATACCAGACCGTGCCAACAAACTGCATACCTTCCATACTCCGCTGATACGAACAGATGACAGCATTGCCACTAGCACGCGCACCAACTCTAATACATACATACATACATACCAGTCCGTGCCAACAAACTGCATACCTTCCATACTCCGCTGATACGAACAGATGACAGCATTGCCTCTAGCACGCGCACCAACTCTCATACATACATACATACCAGTCCGTGCCAACAAACTGCATACCTTCCATACTCCGCTGATACGAACAGATGACAGCACTGCCACTAGCACGCGCACCGCCAGAGCGCCATGACATGCAACGTGGTTAGGGCAAGACGGCAGGCGTTGCGTTTGCGTCCTCCCGGCAGGTGCCCGCAGTCTCTACGCTCGATTCGGCAGGTGTTTCCCTCTGGAAAATAACACAGGCCCCTGCATTTATGGCGTTCGCCTCGACAAGCTGGGGTACGAGCTGGTGCCCCGGATGGCGGATCAGACGGGTATCAGCAGTGGTGCCGCAGCCGCTGCGAGACCTGAGGCTCCTGCAACGCGACTACTCGCTGGTTCCGCCGCCCCGCTATAAGGTCTCACCGTTGGACTTTGTGATCGATCGAACGCGAGTACTCGGATCTGGTTCGTTCGGGACTGTCTATGAGGCAAAGAAAGTCGTCGCCCCAGAGGAGGGACTTGAAGTCGCAGCCAAAACCGTGGCCAAAGAGCGTCTCCAAGGTGTACAACTGGACGATGCGCTCTACTACACAGCAATCGAACGGTACGCAAATGACCAAGTTCGAGCTACCATCGAATCCAATACAGACGCAGCACTCGCCGATCACGTCGCCCGCTACCTCGGATTCGGTGAGCACGCTGGCACCGAATGGTTATTCTTTGAACGCATTCCCGGTTCGACACTGGAAACCTATTTCAACAGCGAGACGGATGACATCGCATTTGCGCTGGCACTCTCGCAAGCGCTCAACATCAATGCCACAGATAGCTCCGAAGATGGCGTCCATATCTTGCGACATCTGGTGCTGCGAGTTGCTTCAGAGGTCCTCGAAACGCTCGTATCATTCACCCGACTTGGTATGGTTCATCGAGATATGAAACCCCTCAACTGGATGATCGATGAACAGCGCCGTTGTCTTCGCGTCCTAGACCTGGGCTCGGCAGCGTTCATCAGTACGCCACGGTACGGTGCGGCAATCGGGTACAATGCACGCTGGGGACCCGCAGACCCGGACTTTGTTCCCCCGGAGCGCTTTCTTGATCCGCGTTTCCCTTACCAATTCGATGTGTACTCGTGTGCATTGAGCCTCTTGCGTATTGCTGTTCCAGGTCTGCGCAAAATCGCTTCTTTCCGAGCGTTTGTGGAGGAATTCCGAATCAGACACCAATCGGACTTGGCACTGTATGCGTCTCGAGTTTTCAACGGTACCGCTTCCTTCATACCGGACAAGTTTGTGACTGGATTGGTTGTACTGAAAGCAGATGATGGACGTTTATTCGAATTCGTTCGCCAGATGCTGCGGGAATCGCCATCGGATCGTTTGTCGCCTGAGGCAGCGCTGGTGACGCTGGCGAAGATCCACGGTGCGATCACTGCCTAGCGTCATTGGCGGGTCACTGCCAATGCGCCTGCAAAGTCGGGGCATCAACCCAGAATACCGAACATGAACCCGATACACGTTCTAGGTATCTTTGTGCGTGTATCGCGCTGGCACAGACGCAGCGAGCGGCATGAGGCAGCGTGTCGGTATTCATGTGGGGCGGTTCGGATGCAGTGCAGTGTGTCCGTCGTCGTCAGGATGTAGCACGGCAATGAGCGCTGCAGAACACATCACCAAAAAAACGTTGTATCGTGTGGGTGTCGCTTGTTCGCTCATAATAATGAATACACAGCTGGATCCGGCGATGGATCTATGTCAGCCGGAATTCGCCTCGCATGTTCTCTGTCTGGGCATGCGTCTTTTGCGAGAAGTTGTGAAGCGTGAACAGGCGCGGGCGCAGGCCACAGGTAGAGGACTGCTGACCATTGACGACAACAGAAACAACAACAACAGCAACGCTGCACGTGAAGATTGTCTATCTGTAGGTCACGCGTTCACAAGCAGGTACCGACGAGGGCCTCGCCGGCGTGCCCTATACCAGCGCATCCAAAAACGAATCCATCGCGGAATTCAACAAAAGCGCCGCTGCACACACCGACGCGTCTGAACTCGCTCTGGCCCAGCTTCATGCAGCTTCGTCACCGAATCGGACCGGAATGCGTTCGCGACGAACCTGGAACAAGTCCGGGCCCGACGTGGAACAGTCCGGGTGTTTGGATTCGTAACGACACCTCCGCAGGTCATCAGTGTGGGATCGCTTCGATCCTGGGAGCCAGCTGCTAGTTTCCAGCAGCAAATAACACTTTGACCGCCTTCGCGTTGCCCGATACCTTCGAACACCTCCGTATCGCTGCCGATGGGTACGTGTTTTCCGTGGATATACCCAATGCACATGACATCATTCGAGACGTTCCGCGAGAAGCAAGCATCGCGCTGGTCGCTAATACGGGCGTGCATGTAGCTGCGGCACACCGGTTCATTCGCCCCCGAGTACGGCATGACACTGCATCCATTGTCGTCGTGAATCAGGTACGCAACCAAAGGGCGAGCAAATCCTCTTTCGCACGTGAAGCGTAGGCTGCATTTCTCAGAGTTGCCAAGCGCATCGCCCGGTAGCGTTCGATGGGTGTCTACTCCAGAAGGCATGCTTCCACGCGGGTTATCCTCGAGTCCATGGGCCACTCCAGGTGCACTGAGGGAGCCGCTTGTGCTGCGGAAGCGCTCTGGTGCTCCGCTGCCTGCTCGACGATTTTATTCTAGGTCCAATCGACACGTACATAGATAGATAGCAACATAGATCCGTAGACAGGGGTGCAGGGATATAAAGGGTGAACCAAGTACTAACGATCCGTAGAGGTTGCGGTATTCGAGGACAACTTGCCCAGCCCAGCACAGCACAGCACAGCACTGAGCGAGAACAGCGGTAACCTCGGGGCACTCGAACCTGCCAAGTACCGCAGCGCGCGCTCCCGCCTTGTCTGCCTGTTTCTGTGTCGCTCTGGATTCCGTGCGAAAGCCGGTTTTCCACAACCGATTTTATCGCATACATTCGCTTCCTCGATACCGCAGGAACTCGTTCAAGGTACCTCGGTCAGGGTGCAGCTCATTAAAAAAGCAGCGATCGTCATCAGGCGCTCAGCGCTTGGAATCGTGCTCCATCTGTACCAGCGCCGAGCCTTCTTGATCGCTCGTGAGAAGCTCCTGCACAAAGGCACGTGCCCGTTGGAACTCCTCTCCGTACGCCTCGGCGGCCGCTTGTTCGGGTATGCGTGCGAGCATCCGCCAAGCGCCTGTGCTGCGACCTCCAGCTTCTCCATGAGCGTCTTTTCCGGGCGCACGTCGACGAGCTGACCCAGTTTCCGCGGACGGCAGCGGTATCTCGGCCTTGGCATCGAGAGCCCCAGCGGTACCTGTCGCCGCCACCGGTCGAAACAATTCCAGAATCTGCTCGGTGTTCATGAGACGCAGCGAAGCGTTCTCCTGGTTCACCACGCTGGTGGCGAGATGCATCTTAAAGCGCTGAATGCTCATGATCTTCTCCTCGATGGTACCGCGGGTAATCAGACGATGCACTGTCACCACGCGCGTCTGACCGATCCGGTGCGCTCGATCCATTGCCTGCAAGTCTACCGTGGGGTTGTAGTCACATTCCACGAAAATGACCGTATCGGCACCGGTGAGGTTCAGCCCGAGACCCCCGACGTGTGTGGTCAGCAAAAGGCAGTCAATCGTCGGGTCACGGTTAAAGCGATGGACGAGATCCTGGCGAATACGCGGATCGACAATGCTCCCGTCCAGTCGAAGGTAACTCACCTGGGGATACCAACGTTGCAAGACGTCTGTCTCGATGATGTCCAGCGTCTCTTTCAGTTGTGCGAATATGAGCGCACGATGCTTCTTTTCTGCGCGCTGAGACGTTGTGTCCCACGTCTGCACGGTAGCGTCGATGATACTGGCGCCAGCACTGCTGGTGTCGTCGCTGGCGATACCGCACTCGTAGAGAAGCTCCCCGAGTGCAAGCATTTTGGGAGCGATGTCGAGGCTGTTCCAGTCTAGTTGGGCTCGATTCAGCTGCTCCTCTACCTGGCGTCGCAGCTCGGGCGCGAGTTCAGATAGGATCAATCGCGGATGCGTACATAGGCGTCGTAGGAACATCAATGCATAAAAAACATGACTCGAACCGGAGAGTCGTTTCGGCGTCAGCGCTGGGACCTGTCCAGCATCCTCGTCGGTGTCGCGGGGCGCTGCTTCCACTTCCGCTGCCGTCGCTGCCAGTGTTGGTGCACGAGTCTCCGCGAGCCACTCCAGCGGAGCAGTCTGCACAAACGAGTCGTAGATGAAGCGCTGTATATCGCTGAGGGCACAGATTCGATCCTGGATGACTTTGGGCGGCAGTTCCTTCATGACGTTTTCCTTCATTCGTCGAAGGATAAACGGGAGAACCTGGCGGTGGAGCGCAGCCAGGGCCCGCTCACCGGCCTCTCGTGCTGCGTCGCTGCACTTGGGATGACGTGCCGCCTGGATAGGCTTGGCATACTGGGCAACAAACGACTGCTCTGTGCCCAGATAGCCGGGCATCAAAAAGTCAAACAAGGCCCACAGTTCCGTTACATTGTTCTGAATCGGTGTTCCCGTCAGAATCAGACGGTGACGGGCGTGCAATCGTCGCACGGCTTGCGACAGTTTCGAGCGAGCGTTCTTGATCATGTGGCCTTCGTCGAGCACCACATAGGCGTAGCGCAGGCTAGCTAGCTTCTCCAGGTCGCTTCGAACGACTTCATAGCTGGTAATCACGAGCGGTGGTCGTTCAGCACCGCGAAGCTGTTGTGCGAGCTCCTGCCGCTGACCGGGCGCGCCAGCGTACACAAGCACCGGCGTCAGGTGCCTTGGGAAGAAACGCAGCACCTCATCATGCCAGTGGTGCATCACACTGGCTGGACAAACGACCAGACTCGGGAGCGGAGTCGTGCCAGCGCTCGCCTCGAGAGCGACCTGCCCATCGTTTTGTGCAGGAGCATCGACACCATCACGATGACCACTCGTGCTACTTCGACTGGAGAGTCGGGCACCAGCTGGGCCGCCCACTAGTCCGCATCGATCAGCAGCCAAGATGCAGAGCGTCATTAGCGTCTTACCGAGACCCATGTCGTCGCAGAGTGCTCCGTGCAGTCCGTAGCGATGGAGAAACGCCAACCAGTTGAGACCCTCTTGCTGATATGTGCGCAATTGAACGTTGTCGCCAATGGGAATGCTCAACCGGAACACTTCGAGAGGCTTTTGCCCGAGAAGCTGGGCGATAAAGTCGCGGGCACTGCTTAGCTGCTGCTGGAGCGCTGGCGACAGCAACTCGTCTGCCGGCAAGGCGCCTTCCAATGGCAACAGACGGACAAGTTCCCCAAAGACCATCGCGGCGAGACTGCGTACACGTTCATCTTGATCTACGAGACGTCCGAGCAGGGGTACCACCAGAAAAGCCGCATAAGGAATGATGCGCTCTCCCAGACTGTGCACGATTTCCGCTAAGAGCGCTATTGCCTGAAAGCGTGCTTCGTAGGTATCGCAGGTCGTGTTTGCGTGCCGGTTCACGGGCACGGCAGGAAGTGGTGCCTCTTCGCCCGGCTCCAGGAGCGGCAGCAGGTGCTGAATGACAGCTTCCATGGCCGGACGCGTGAAGCGACAACATAGAGGTACCAGTGCTCGCGCTCGACGACGAATGAGCGCTGGGAACAGCATCAACAAGCGCGACACCAAGGTGGAGTCCAGGTCATCGGCTACCGCACAGAGCACCAGGTCACATCGTTGGTGTTGCTCGGCTTTGGTCTCGTCGGTATCTGCGCTCGCGGGTGCATTCGGAAGCACAGACTCGACTGATCCGAAAACCTCCTGTTCCATTTGAGGTAGCTCCGTAAACAGGCCTGGTCCGTAGACTCGCGCCAGTGCTGCCAACGCTCGCGAGCACCTCGCTGTGATGAGGTTCTTCACGACCTGATCTCGCGCTTTGCTACCTCTCTTCATGCGTTGCGTCAAGCGAGCGAGATCCATAGCTGCGACCTCCTGAGCGCACTCGACCAGAGAGCATGCGTCATGCGCGTCGAAAAGCGGAACGCCGAAGCCATCGGGCAGCTGTTCCAGCAGGACGCCAAGGAGGATACGGATCCATGGGGTTACACGGCTCGGTAGCTCGGGGAGGTGGCGCACGAGGGCCCCCACAGCTGCCGCTGCAACCAACAGGCGACCGGTATTCTCTGTTTTGCAGCAACGAAGGATCGCGGATCGGACATTCAGACGCATGGCTGTGAGCCGCGCTGCCGCTTCTGGGTCCGTAACCTGCTCCCAAAGATCATCCCTAGTGCATGCCCCGAAAAGCGCTCCAAGATCTGCTGTTCGCGGTGTCTGTTCCGGAGCTAGCGCTGGTACCTGCGCCGGCTGCACCTGTCGCAGAGAACGAATTGTCTGCCAGAAGAGTGGATCCAGTTCAGCGTGCGCTTCCTCGTGCAGCGTATCCGTTGAGCGCTCCAAGAGTGCGAGCTGCGCCTCCACGGCAGTCAACAACCACGCCGGACATGTTTCCAGTGCGCGTCCAGTCAAGGCGAGGAAACGGCGCTGCGTCAATGAGGACGCTGCGGCGAGCGTTGCTAGCCAGCTTGCCAAGCCATGCCGCTCGCCTTCGAGACAGTGCGGGTGCATCCGGATGTAGCACGCGAGCGCTTCTGCGCTTTGAAGCTGCATTTCATAGCCAGCATCGTGACCAGAGGATACGGGTGCCACAGCTGTGCCCGGTAATGACCAATGCATTCGCTGGAAGAGTCGCTCGAGCAGCTTCTGCGCTTCGACCGGGGATCGAGCTTCTGCTGCTGCGCGCAGCAGGAGCACTTCAAGCGGGTGCCGGGAGCAGCCCAGCAATGCTTCTACCGGCTTTGTGCCGTCGACATTGTCAAGAAGAGACTTCTGGGGTACAGCTGCAGGTGTACCCGGCGCTGGCTGGATAATCACACCGGCATGCTGCGAAGCATCTGGGACTTGCTCCTGTGGAGTTTCCCGGTCATTCTCCACAAATGTGCACCGGGTATCGCAGAGCAGATACCAAAATTCGCGCAGCTTTCCACCGATCCCCGCATCAGTACCCGTTTCGAGCAGCCACGCTGCCCATATCGCTGAATAGAGTCCAGCCTCGTCGAGAGTGCGGCGAACTGGCGAAGCCTCGGGCAAGGCGCGCAAACCCTGCATCAGACAACTGAGAGCAGCGCGACGTGTTTCTCCGTTGCGATGACGCAGGAGACGAAACACCCGAGCTGGACCCTCGCCCAGGATCGAGCAAGACGAAGGTCTGGCCCGCAGGAGCGCTTCGATGCAACGAACTAGAGCAGTCACACATGCACTGAGCTCATCAAAGGATCCGAGATTGTCCCAGCAAGCGCCCAAAATCTCTGTAAGATGATTCGTGCTGCGCTCGATATCCAGTCGATGGATCTCTTCGGCAATCAATATGATAACCTCACATGCTGCTGCTATCACGTCATCGTCATCGGATTTCAGCACATCGAGGAGCACCGGCAACGTCTCTGGCAGCCGTTTCGCTCGCAGATCCGCCCGCACTGCAAGTAGATAGCGCATGCCGAGCAAACCGCCGTGCCGTGCCTGCCACTCCTCCTTATATCGGATCAATTCGAGCAAATGAGACTCTAACTGGGCAGCGGTTTCAGCGTCGAGGCCGACAGCCACCGAGCCGAGCGCCATGGAGACAGTTTCTGGCACCGGTGCTACCACTTGATCGGAAGCGTAGTCGCGGAAGCGATCCATAGCCAGGAGCACGTACATGCGAGAAGCAATGTCCTCACGTTCTTCCATCGGTAGCCATTCACGAAAAGCTCTTACCGAGAGCATGTCTCGGGTTGCGACAGCTGCCCCGTGGCGCGTCTCCCAGTCGGGCGAGAGTAGCGAATCCGCCAGGATGCATACCAGTCGGTGAAGCGCTGCATCCAGCGTTACAGTGCCGAGGTCGTTTTCCGTTTCGAGCTCAATAGAACCCGCTTGGACTGAAGTCTTTCTCGATGGGCGGTCAACGTCCTTGTCGCCGTTGTCGTCATCGCCGTCGTTCATATGTTCATGCGAGTCGGTGTGGACGGAGTCCAGAACGTCCGCTTTGAGCGACGTTGGAGCTCGTGGTCGCTTGCATACGTTCGACTGCAGAGGTGCCGTCTTCCGCCGCTGAGGCACCCTCAATGCGTTTTTCGGAGTCGCTTGCTCTGTATTCTGCTTCCGTTCCGCAATATCTGCGAGACTGACGCCAATGTCCAGATCGATTGCGGTGGCAGCCACGCCCCCGAGGAGCTCTCGACGCAGCTCTACCCACTGCTCACGAACGTCGCCTGCCGCGACCATGTACTCGACTCCGCTTGATGAGGAAAACACTGAGCCCGTATCCATGAGGAATTTCGGGTCGAGTTGCCGCAGTGTGAGCAAGTTGTTTAACGCTTCGTCGTTGTCGAGGTTTGCCGGCGCCTGCAAACAGGTCTGCAGCCGTTGGACGACGAGTTTCAACGCCGATCCAGCACATATTCGAGCATCCCATACTTTCGAGTGCAAAACAACCCGCAACAGCTGGTTCAGAACGTGTACGGAGCCAGGATCTATGATGAAAGCTGCATCCGAGGGTTGAGCGTCAACGAGTTCGGCGAGTTGCTGGGCCGCCAGTCGTCGGACGCTCGTACTGGTATCCTTTGCCTCCAGCAGAGCCAGTAGTCCATCAAGCCGACTCTGTTGTTTCTGGAGAAGCATCACACGGAACAAGCCTCAGGCTTGGCTTGCGGCAGTGTTCGGTAGCTTGGAATACGCGTCGTATCCGGTGGTACTGCGTCTCGCACACCGGCGCGCAGGTGTAACGTGCAGTAAACAGGAGTTGTACTGTGCGTCGACTGGTGCGGAGGCTGGGGGCGTCTCTCGGGGAAACCTGCTGAGGCCAGCAAAACTCTGCAGACGTACCCACGCCTGAATAGAATGGAAAGCCTTCTCTGACACTGGAGTACTCGTTATGGTATTGGTCTCTTCGCACTATCATCGACAAAAGGCTTTGCTAGCTTTCCGTGCGACGGCTTACTTTCCTTTTGTCTTACACGGGGCTTTCACGACGTCAGTCTCTTCTGTACCTCAGGATCCGTTCTCAATAGTCGAAGGATGCTAGCGGTAGGACTCACGTCCCGATGTCTCTGCTTGCGGCTGTTGTCGACGCATTTCCTGCCAGGGCCGATGTTGCGACCTACGCTCTGTTATCTATTTTTAGCTTCGCTGCAGAAAGACTCGATGCGCCCCTGGCGGCGTTTACACTTCGCTGCGGGAACATGTACCCGAGTTGTCCAAGCGTGCGCGCCTCATCCCGCTCTGAGCAGCACGCTTCGGCCCATGAAGGCTTGCTCCATCGCACGGTACGGTATGCTCCAGACGCGTACAAAGAATCCGTACCTCAGTTCACCCACCTGTTTCCGCGCCCAGTGCCGTCACGGTCGATCGTTGACTTCGTCTAGGCGAACGCCTCGGCGAGTACCCTGTCCGCTGTACTCGCAAGTGCATGCTGTCGCATTCGATAAAGGATTTGACGAGCGCTGTGTTGTCCATGATGAAACAGGAACCGGAAGCAGAATCCATGCTGGAGTAGAGATCCAGTGCGTACGATCCGTCCACGCTCCATTTGTGCTGATCGGTGGCATACGCTCTATATGAAGCGATGGCTGCAATGGCCAAAGTCCAAATCCATGAAGTTTTTCCATGGAAACAGAAGAGGCGGGAGTCTCAGGGAGCATGCTCCCCGCGTGAAACACACCATGCTGCTGTCGAATCAGGATTCATCGATGGCCTCAAGTAGAGAATCATTGATCTTTCGAAGGCAATCGCTCATTTGAAATGACAAGTTCAGGACACATTCGACAAGAGCTCGTGACCCTCGCATCGTGATTTCATCGAAGCGCTTTGCCCTGAAAAGAGAAGATCGAAGATTTGAAACATACATGATTTGTACAGCCTACTCGTCAGGAACGTGGAAGCGTCCAGGCCTCTACGTATGACTCGGATCACGGGGTCGGTTGCCTACGAGAGCGTGTCCGAAGGCGTCGCGAATTGTCTTGATTCCGTTGACGTAACGAATTCCATCTGCAAAACGTCCAAGAAGGCACCCTTAAAAAATAAAGACTAGCAGCTGTCATGCGACCTATGCATCCGACAGCGCTCATAGCTATGCTTTGAATATCGCTGTTCTGAATATAAAAAACATGACATAAGATCGCAAGGTCCGAGCGACGCACGCAATTCTGTGCGTTAAGTTTATCTTGTAACAGGTGTTTTCGCGAGTCTGACCCCTCAATATCCATCGACGCGTTTGAGTGCACGACGACGACAGCGTGGATGTGTATACACCGACGTATAGACGCTTCTCAGTCTTTCTCGACTGGCCACCTACTACTGGGTTCAAGTTCTCCTTGTGCAATTTAGCCCTGTGAGGCTGCTTCTTAAAGTTGGTTCGCGTCAACCCCGGAGACCTGCTCTCCAGCATCGCACATCTCCTGATATCAAGAGCGGCGTTAAAGTCACGATACAAGAACTCTATGCGATTCTTGCCTCTGATGGAACGCACCAGTGCAGGTAGGCCTCGAACTCGTGCCCCGTTCATTGCCATTTGCTCTTGCGTCAGCGCTCCGTACTTTTCTGTATCCCCAGGGCTCCGCTGACACGTTTTCGTCTCGACCCTCTGAAGTGTGCACCTCTGCTCATGGTGTCTATAGGACATTCGGAACTCATCTGTCGGTATTGTGACGAAACGCTTTGCGCATTCTTTATACGTTCTCGATGTTGGAGCGGGTGTACACCCGTTTTGGGTCATCTAGCGCCCTGCTCCGAATGCGACTGCGGACCTTTAACTCCTGTCCTCCTTCAAGGCGCTCAACGCATTGAAAAAGTCGGCAAATGCTCGCTGCTTCCCGCAGTGTGGATTCGTACGCGGACGAGCCCACCGGAGCTTGGTATACTCTCTTCACAGCGCCTCCCAATGCGCTACGCGAACTTTCGTGAATTCCCGAAAACCTCGACTGTTCGCTCCGCGGCTCGTCGCCTCGCTCATAGCTACCAGGTGCTCTTTCATATCTGCATTCCACGAATCGATTTGCTTCCTTGCATTCATGATTCCCCGATTCTCGATAGTATCTTGCTCTCGAGAACCTCTAAAAGTCGCATGTCTTTCTGACCTTAGTTACCGTCAGTACCATCTGCCGCACGCCTGGGTACTCCGATGGTTACGATATTCGTGTTGCCGGGGTCCGCGCCAACACCCATGTCGTTCTGCGTCGCAGGACCCGCCTCATTCTGTTCTTTATGTGCATTGCCGAGAGCGATATCGAGGACTGACCAGGACGATCCGCCTCCTTGAAGCGCCTAGAGTGTACATTTATTGTTACCCCATCGGTTTCGATCATCCCCATGAATACAGTTTTCTTGCTCTTTTTGAGACGTTTGAAATCGAAGATGCTCTTCCAGTACGTCTCCCGGTTCTCGCCGTTGAACGCCTCCCTGCTTACATCGAGCTCCGGACTGATCTCCTTCATGATGCCGTGAAGGACTCTGGAGTTGATTGAGACAATGCGCGACTTGATCTCGCATATCGGAACGAAGTTGAAGCGCTTCTCCAGAATCGCAGCCTGCCGTCTCTCGGACTCTTGAATTCTTCGCCTATCCAGCTCTTTTTCGGCCTTGCGCTCGATCTCTCGATTCAGAAACACAAGCTATCACAGGACTAGGGTAGTACATCTTTTACCATCTGTTTTCCATATCTGATACCGTTTCTGGTGGAATCGCCAGCCCTAGAACCGCATGCTGCGTTTGAACAGCTCCACGGATCACGGAAGATTCATTCTCTCTCCTGCGTAATTTCTACTTGTCTACAAATTCGATCTCCTGCTCAAGCTGACTATCGTTCGTGATGCCATTGATGAAGTTCCATATCCCTTTGCGAGACAGGCACGAGTAAAGTGCAAAGATGGAGCGTATCGTGAAATGTTCGGGGATCATGATCACGTGGTTCCTCAGGTTCATTAGGTACTTCAACGCTTCGTAGGTGTAAACATTCGAGTTCCGCCCCCCAGATCGAGTGCCTTCGAAGCGGTACTTGGGGCATTTTTCGTGGAGGGCATCCACCAGCTCATTTCTCCTCGACGCTTGCCCTGTCCCAAGCATCACGTACCTTATAAAGGTCTTTTCAAAAAATTCTTCCGGAACCTCGACTGTTCTGATGTCTGCGACATCGCGATACATCTCCCGCACCATACGCATCAGTCCTAAAGAAGGCTTCCAAATACTCATCCAGTAAGACGCGACACGGTTTCTGATGGATTTTCGCAACTTTTGCCTATAAGGATGCTGGGTACGGCGTAGGAGAAAGGCTATCATTACCATCTCGTCGAACTGTCGTCTTTCGAGCAGCTTCTGACGTTGGGCCTCCCCCTTTTGCTTCTTCGTCTTTTCCCGTTGCTATGGTGTCGGAAATGTTTTTCGTTTCTTGCTCTGGCAGCCGGCGACACCGGCCATCCGGGGTCCTTCGGCTCCGTTGCCGTTAATTTCCTTTTTCTATTCTTGAAAGCGATCCCATTTCGACTGCGTCGGCTAAAATCGCGAAAAATCACTTGCACAAACTCGCTTGAGGGTTGAAATACGATTCAGCCGAAAGACTATACTTTGCTGGGGGCTCAACGCAAATACATGTTGTACGTTAGAGCAACCCGCTCAGATGAAGCATCGCGTTTCCCATCAACGGCGTGATACGCGTCGTCTCTCACGCATGCAAGATAGGGAAAAGCGCGTATTGAGCGTGCTGTCTAGAACAAGGAACAGAAACGAACCACCAACTAGCAACGATGTACAAATTTCTTTCCCTCTTTACGATAAACGATAAAAGGGGGAAAGGTTTCCGCATTTTCGAAAGTTTCCTCTCTCGACGGAAGGTCCCGCGAGCCGAACGAGTCTGTCGAGCTTGCGCTCTGTGGGCACCCACCGTTGTCAGGTGCTGGGGCGAGACACGACCGCCTCCTCTGCCATAGAGTTCATTCTGGGAACAGCGGCGGTCATGCTGCAACTGGGCATCGCCCTGGTCGCAGTGGTCGCCTAGAATGTCGCTTCGCGCTGCCGCAGGCAGTAGGTCTATCAGCACAGTTTGCAGGCTCTCAGAACGATTATGAATACCGACTCCGTATCAGGTGCACCGTACATCGGTCCGATGCCCTATGCGATATAGCAGAGCTGTTCTCTATACCGTGCTGCATCGGATTCAGCGGTTTAGGCGCTACTGCGGGCGCTCAGGGCAGGCACTTGGTGCACGATAGATCCTATGAAATAACCAGTATATCCCAGAGGAAGAACAAGTAATGGAACTTGGAGGTAGGGTACAGTTTAATGGACGCGTTCCCGAACCCCATTATCCATCCCCACACTCTGGTACCCAGGTTCAATGGAAACATGGGGTCATCGGAAAGACCAGATCGTATGGAGTCCATCGGTGCAGGGTGGTGGTGGCGACGCTGCTGCCGCTGCCGTTCTTTGTGCGATCTGTGGATAGCATGCAACGAAAAACGCCGCCGCCCTCAGGCAGCACGGCATCTGAAAGCAGCACCAGGAACGGTTCAAAGCCTATAGTCTTATTGTTCACGTGGAAGGCGTAATCTTGAACTGTAACGCTGTTGCCAAACTGAAACACAGAGACAATGAACAGTTCACACGGAGACGCTATCGTTGACGAGGAAGCAGGCATGACTGCCGAGCACCTCAGTGAACACGTGAACGGGGACACGTACGTACCCTTTGACCCGCTCAAGTCCCATGTAGACGATGAGTTCTCCGAGTTTAGCATGGATGCAGGGCACGGCTCTTTCTTTGAAGGCCAACCATCCGAATCTAAAACCGCGGAGGACTCGCTTGTTCAGCAGCAAACCGTGTCCATGAACTGGCACGACTTGTGCTTGTCGGTCCGACTCAAAACAGGTGGCCCATTTAAACGCTCGAAGGAAACCGTGGTGAAGCCCATTCTCAAAGGCATAACTGGTTACGTGCGACCGGGTCAAATGCTCGCCATTATGGGGGGCAGTGGTGCGGGTAAGTCCACGCTTTTAGCCATGCTCGGGGGTCGTGTTCCTGTGGGTGAGTACGAAATCAGCGGTGAGCTACGTGTCAACGGGCACGAACGCGACGTCAACATGTTTCGCCGCTACACAGGATTTGTCGAGCAGGACGACCGCATGTTTGCTGACCTCACCGTACGTGAACAGATCGAGTTTAGTGCGCAGTGTCGTTTGCCAGCCTCGATGCCCACCGAGAAGAAGATGCGGCGCGTGGAGCAGGTGATCACTGAGCTGGGCCTTGCCAAGGCCGCCGACACCCCCATCGGGAACGCTGTACAGCGAGGTGTCAGTGGCGGTGAACGCAAGCGCGTGAACATCGGTATAGAATTGGTGACGAACCCGCCACTACTGCTGCTGGATGAGCCGACCACCGGCCTGGACTCGTTCCAGGCACAGGCGGTGATGCTCACGATGTTGCGGCTAGCGAAACGCGGGCGTACGATCATTGCAACCATTCATCAACCACGTTCGCAGATCTTCCAGATGTTTGATTACCTGTTGCTGCTAAGCGAGGGTCATCAAATCTACTTTGGTCCGGCGAAAGATATGGTGCCGTATTTCGCGGCGCTCAAGTATCCATGTCCGGCCTACTTTAACCCAGCGGACTTTGCACTGGATTTGATCTCTCTGAATGCGCGCTCCAAGACACTGGAGAAGCAGACACGGGCACGAATCAGTTACCTAGCCAATCGCTTCCTCGAACACAAGTCGGAGGCCTCGCTGCCGTTGGATGATCCGTTGGGCGCCACCGGTGACCTGCATACCAAAGTAACGCGTAAGGGCGTGTCGCTCTTCTCGTCCGAAGGCGAACCGAACTACGCTGAACCGTGGCCGGTACAGTTTGGGCTCCTGGTGAAGCGCTCCTTCAAACTCATGGTGCGCGAAAAGGGCACGAACTTTGCGCGCTTCTTTCAGACGATCATCTTTTCAGTCGTTTTGGGTTTGATCTGGTTGAACACTGGACGCAATTCCTCTGACTTTAACGCTGTACCCGGTGTTCTTTTCTTCCTGCTTATCAATCAATCTTTCGGGGCGTCGTTCGGCGTTGTTTTCTTGTTCCCGCTTGAGCGGGGTATTGTCTTGCGAGAGCGCACATCGCGTTTCTATCGCGTAAGTGCTTACTTCCTCGCCAAGAGCGTCGCCGAGCTTCCCCGATTGGTGGTGCTCGCTGTTCTTTTCTCTTGCATCACGTACTGGATGGTAGGCTTGCAACCGCACCCGTCCTCTTTCTTCATCTTCGTTGCACTTGTGCTGTTGACGACCCACACCGCGGAATCACTGACCCTTATGGCTAGCGCCTCAGCGAGTAGCCCGCAAACAGCAGCGGCAATCGCTCCGGTACTGATCGTGCTGTCGCTGCTTTTCGGCGGCTTCTTTATCGGCCCTAACGTGATTCCCGTGTGGTTGCGATGGCTTCGTTTTGTGTCGTTTATCTACTATGGATTCGCGGCTGTCATGGACAATGAATTCGGGTACATTCCGCGTTCGAATACCAATAATCCACTGGTCACGTACAACATCAATTCATTTGGTATCGGCGGAAACATCGGTTTTCTAATCATGCTTGATGTAGCGTATCGCGCAATCGCCTTTGTGTTCCTGCTCTATAACAAGCCGCGATTCCAGAAAAGCATCTGAACGGAGGCGTTGCAGAAGTGCGACTGAGTCGATGCTCCGAACGGCAATCAGTGCCAGGCGACATCATTTCTGGGCTCGGGGAGCTAGCGCCTATGGAATCAATGGCTTCGGTATAGTCTGGTGTGCATAGAATGGTATCGCGACACCAGTGATGCAAGCTGCTCGCATAGACTCGAACGCTGCGTTTCTAGCTTGCGTCGTTCCCCGGAATGCATTCGTCGTCTGGCATTGCCAACGACGAACGCGTTTTATCGAGTCCTCTCTTGAATCCGAATCCGTGGCATGCACGCGGGTCTAGACCTAGTGTTCGGGGTCAGGCATACGAACGGCGGTATCAAGGCTTCAAGAAGCTGATGCGGGCTGGATTCACACCTGCACGCGTCGCTTCCGCGGGGGCATCATCAGGGCTGTGAAGAAACAAACAGCCTCTCGGAATGCATCAATTGTACGCTGCCTCGAGCTGCTGCTTCGTCCTGTCTCTGTCGAGACTAGTGCGGGATCCGCATCGAGCAGCCGATACTTGTATACGTCATAGCTTGTACGGACCGTTTTGCAGCTCATCGTCAGGGGAATCGAGCCCGTATGGATTGTTGTTTGTGGTATTAGTGTGCTGGACTGCCTCCACGCAGCTGGGTACCGAGCGGGCATCAGTTGATGCGCTCCGAGGCGAGCGATATATACGGTGCAGGCCGGGCACGGTGGAGAAGCGTTATCGATGCGGCGTTTCCCTTGAGCCCTGTTTCCATGTGTGTGTGAGTGATTTTGGACGTGTATGTTTTCTAAAAGCAAGTCTCATCAATCGCGCACTGTCGTGCGCATCTCCGTAAGCACATTCTGTTTCTCGCACGACGTTGTTCGCGTCGGTTACCACCAAGGCATGAACGACACTTCAAAACGAGCATCTCTAACGCGACACTTCTAAATCACACAAACGAAATTCAAAGCGCGAGCAGTACAACTCATGCAACAGTGCCCTTCACACATGGCAACTGGGCGTGACGGTGGTGCGGAGCAGACGTCACCGGCTTCATCACCGCCTTGTACCGCTCTGCGTCGTCGTCGCTTTCAATGTCTACGCTCCGAACATCAGAGCACGAACGAAAGCGTTCTGCGCACGCTGCTCCCACTGCAGTCGCTTGGGGAACTTGAGGCGTCCGTGCCGCAACCCGCGGACTATGTGGTTTACAAGGGATTCCGGTACGCCCGGCCCTACGTTCACGCCTATCAAGCGTACTGTAAAGCGCGTTGGATCGGGCTTCGACCCTGCGACGCGCTCGCGGCCGAGTTCCCGTACCTACCCGCGTCATACTGGCGGGAAGCGCAACGCACCGGTCGACTGCTCCTTAACGATCGTCCGGTTCCAACTGACTGTGTCCTAAGCGGACACGGTGTTGAGCGTCTTACCCATATCGTGCACCGACACGAGTTGCCCGTCGTGTACACCGAGCGGATTCCGGTGCTGTACGAGGACGCGCATCTGCTAGTCGTCGATAAACCTGCATCCATTCCGGTCCATCCGGGCGGTCACTACCACCGTAACGCACTACAGCAGTTGTTGCGCATGCAACGGCATCTCGAGCGCTTCGCTTCGCCAGCGCTACCATGCGAGACTGCAGAATGCACGACATTCGCATCGACCGCACCGGGCGACTTGTCTGCAGCATTGGGTGCGGCCGGAGCGTGCTCCCCGGTGGCAATGTCAACGACCGTGTATGACGCGTCGACAGCGGCAATAGAGACACCAAGCGCGAATGCATTGCAGCATGCACCAACAACAACAACAACAACAGCAGCAGCAGCAGCAGCAGCAGCAGCAGCAGCAGCAAAGCGAACAACACAACCGCTGTGGATACTCAATGCCGAGGAACATAGAAAGCACGAGCCGCAAGTCGTATCGCCGGATACCTCGAAACCGGAGACGCTGCATGTGATCCATCGCCTCGACAAGGAGACATCCGGCGTCGTTCTGTTCGCCAAAAACAAAGATACTGCTCGAAGGTTTTCCATCGAATTACAAAAGCAGAGTACAGATGTCGGTGTCGGGAAGAGTGAAAGCAGCGCCCCGTTGAACCTGCGCAAGCTTTATCTTGCTCAAGTAGAAGGTATCTGGAGCAGCTCGGACGTGATCGAAGAAGCGCCAGTACCGGAAGTTACATCCAAGGCAGCGACTCTGTCTATGACAGACACGAAACACCTCGTCCAAGCCCTATTCCACTCATTCGAGGAGCAACGCAGAACGAGGGAACAAGCCGATCAGGTGCAAGGCGCGCCCCGACCGTACCACACCAGTGCACGTCTCGTACCAGACGCGGATAGTGATTTGATATCTGCACCGAACGCATTGACTCCACTGAAACCGGCGACAACTGGTGACCAGACGCGTACACGAGCGCACAGCGAGGCTGCGCCTTTGGATATCCTAGGCGTATCGAGAAAGCGGGCCCGAAACAGTGACGAGGTCCAGGCCTTGGTCCAGGCAGCTGTTCGCAGTCCAGACGCGTGGCGGTGTCTCGAAGCTGTCGCCGAGACGCGCGGCGTTCACGTCATCCGCAACGACAAGGACAATGCATCTGATCTCGTGCATCGCGCAACAAGAGTGCCAGCGACGACGACGACGACGACGACGATACCCCCCGATGCCAATGCACCGAACGCCGAATCCGGTGCAGTGACGTGCCCGGCGCTGCGCACTTTGTTTCGAGTACGCCCTGGTCCAGTTGCCTGCGACATCGATGGCGAAGCGCATGCGGTGCAGGAAACGAGCGCGCTTGACGTGGCAGCTAGCGATACCCCCATCGCCGCTGGAGGAGAAGCGGGCGCAACGCCGCCGTTGCAGTACAGCGCGAAGCGTGACATCAGTGCTGGGTCCATGGAGATGGTCGCCAGCCTCCAGCAGCGCATCATCCCCTTGAAATATCCGTGGATAGTGTGCCGTCAACGACTGCTCTACGACCGCCGTGCAAATTGCACCAAGGTTGATGCCGACCGCGGCAAACACGCTGAAACCTGGTTCCGACCGCTCGCCTACGACGCAGAGCAGCGTCGCACGCTCGTGGCCTGCATTCCCGTCACCGGACGGACGCATCAGATACGAGTCCATTTGGAGTCCATGGGTTATCCGATTTGCGGCGACGGCCTCTATGGCGGCGCATGGAGTAGCTCGCCACTACCTTTCGCTTCTGCCCATGAACCAGCGATACCCGAGAATGATCCTCGAACAATGCTAGACGCGCTGCCGTTCCAGATACACGGTGCTGCATCGAATCCTGCTGTCGATACCGCCCAGAGTCTGGCTCGAGTCGAGTCAGAGTTCTCGTTGCGCGACGATGCCCAGGGAGCAGCGAACGGGAACACGGAAGCGCTCGATTTTGAATCGACACCTGTCGATGCCGATATCGCTGGCCTAGCGCCCAAGGCTCCCGCACCGTCCCTCGTTGCGCGCTGTCGCGAAGCGTCTTGCACGGCTGTCACGGGAACGTCAACCCGCGCTTGCATGCGGCAACCGTCATCGGAGACGCACCACTCGACAGCATCCTGTCGCGTTTTCCGCATTGGATCGCTAGCGGCAGAGCAGAGCCCTCGCTGCGCTCCCGAAGACGATGCGGCAAGCATGGGTTGCGTAATCTGTCCTGCACTGGCGGCGATTCCAAATGCCCTTCCAGAGTGCATTCATCTGCATGCGTTTTGCTACGGAACGTTCATAGCGCCGTTGCCGCAGTGGGCCATGGTGTACGGACCAGCATTGCGCCGGCACCAAGATGGAGAAGGCACATCCGAACTCGCCGGGTCTAGTGCACTGAGCGACGCATCCCCATGACATGTGACCCCAATGGGCTCCGCTACGAGCACAAGGCATGCACCAAGCCCCGGTTTCATGGATACCGTGCAGCATTCGTTCTAGAGCGCGCAATCAAACGCCGTCATGATGCCGTTCGACGTGCGGACCAATGGACGACGTTTTGCGCGCTGAGCGCCTTGCGATTCGCCAGTCGCAAACAACCTCGTCACCCGTGCATCGTCTGACGGAACGCGTGCGCGCACCGCAAAAAGTCCTCGTCGGAAGCCGCCTCGCGACTCGACATCGACCTATGCACGCGAGCGATTTCGAAGCCGCCGTTGCATCATCGCGTGTGCACTACCGAACTCGGTTCGATAAACGCCGGCGCGAGACGGTGCTAACGCAACGCGCCTGCACCATCCCGATACCGCTCAGACTTGCGGCGTACGATCGGTACTCGTGCTGGTGCTCAGCCAACGCGATGGATAGCGAGGATCTTCGTTCTCCATTTTGTTCAACCATTCCACAATTTGCTGGAACGAGGGCCTCTCGCTGTAGTGCTCTTTCCAGCACTGCTCCATCAGCTGCGCCCATTGGCTCGGGATTCTCCAGGCGCTCTTCGAGTCTGGTCCCGAGCGCAGCGGCGGTCGGGCACCCTTGTCGGCCACTGCAAAGGCCGCCTGGATAGGTGTCATCGTCGCATACGGAATTTCGGCTGTGAAAAACTCCCAAATCGTGATACCGAAACTATACACATCCACTTTCTCGGTGTAGCGCTCGTGGCGAATCATCTCCGGGGCCATCCAACGATAGGTGCCGGTCTCCGCGGTCATCACGCCCGCCGCCGACGACGACGTGGATGCACTGGATTCGGAGGCCGCAGTTGCCAACGACCTCGCCAGACCAAAGTCGGCAACTTTCACCGTTGGACGACCTAGACTCAGTGGTTTGTCCAACAGAAGGTTCTGCGATTTCAGATCGCGGTGAATGAGGCCACACGCGTGCAAGTACGCCATGCCGCGGGCTGTATCACGAGCCAGCGCCACCAGATCCGCGTGCTGCAGACGCCGCCACGCAGGCAACCGAATCGCCTGGTAAACGCTGCCACCAAAGCAGAACTCTGTGATGATCGCGAGACGCGGAATCCGTGGAACCGCACCCAGAAAAAGCAGGATGTTGCTGTGCCGAAGCTTGCTCATCACATTGACCTCTTCACAAAAGCTCTGAATCACGGACTCTGCACCCTTCTCGACGGATATCACTTTTGCCGCCACGATGCTGGCTCGCCATTCTGCTTTGTATAGCTCGCTGAACGCGCCCGATCCGATTTTCTCCTGCAGCTTAATCTCAGCAAAATCAATCTCCCAAGTCTTTTGGGTATCGCGAAGTTTTGTTTTGAGAACTTTGATGCGATCCTTGGACACCTCAAGTTCGTTGCGCAATCGGCGTACGAGTTCCGCGAGTTCCGTTACCGATGCATTCGGACCTGCGTCTCGCTCGGAGAGCATAGGATTTGACTCGGTTACCGGACCAATGGTTCGTGCCTGCGTCGCCACCTGAAGCGTTACCTGGGTGTCGGGTGCAGGGCCCGCCCCAGCGGCACCCCGAACGCTGCCATCCGCAGTCGCCAGTGGCCGCTGCGGCGCAAAAACTAGGCCGGACTCGACGCTGTTTTCTTCGGCGCGCAGACGCAGGCCATGGCAACGTAAGTTGCGCAGCAGGAAAGCTCGTCTTGTCATGTTGTGCTCATGAGCGATCCAACGAATTTTCATGCGCGCTCGATTGACAAGCACAGCATGACGAGTCAGACGATCAGCGGGTCGGATCCGCTCACAGAGGTTCTGCAGGCCAAAAATCCAGGCCATGAGTTCATCTTCGGTGATTGCGGCCATATCGACAGTGCGCTCGTTCAGGACCAAACTGAAACAAAGCCAGTCAGGGTCGGGAATGCGATCAGGGCCCAGTGTAGCAAAGACTGTGCTTTGCGGCCCGTGTAAGATCCGTTCGCACGTGTCCAAGCTCACGGAATGAATGCGAATGGGCTTTTCGGGGCGATTCATAGCGGATTCTTGGGCTTCTGTGCGGAACTGCGTGTCGCCAGCGCTTGAGTGCCCCGCAATGGTGCTCGACCATCGCAGTTCGCGGCTCTCGATATCCACATACACGTGTTCCCGGCGTCGTTTCCCCGATGAGAACGAGTATCGGTAGAGGACGCTGCCGTGGCGGAGAAATTCCCGATCGGCATCGCGGCGTGCTTCGAGGTAGCGTCGATCGGCAACCTCCCGCGCACGCTGCTCAAGATCCGACAGCGCGATATTCGAGAGCGATCGCTCGACACCCGAGGCGGCGGCGAGTCGCCCTTCGGCATTTGCAATCGCAGCGGCGGCGGCCATGCGTGCTGGCGGTGCCTTTGGAATATCCTCGTTGCCAGCAGGCGCAGTGCTGGACAATGCTGGTGGCACTGGTACCGTTTCGCGGCTGCTGCCTCGAGGCGCTGCGCCTCGCGCGCTCGACACAGGCTCTGCTGCCCGTGACTCACCAGTCAGGACACGCATGAGTTCATCGTAAAGCTGCGAGGCTCGTGCATCATCCTCTAGCACTCCGTCAGCATCATCGAGCCGAAAGATGTCCATAATAGAGTCAGACGGTAGCGAGAAAAGCTTCGCCGCTACAATGTTAAACCCATAGTCTCTGAGTTTATCCGAGAGCTCTGCGAGGAGGCCTTTCCGCTCACGACCCACAACTGTAAGTTCAACGGTTTTCATGCCACCTTTCTGCTCCACGGCAAACTCAACGAACGGTTTTTTCGATAAGATAAACTGGCGCCATAGTTGGTAATGGCGCAGCGTCACCTCGGCCGGCAGCGACATGACATACTCTCCAGGCCGGGCGCTTCGAACGTGGCCGCTCGCGCGTTCTACATGGTATGCGCTGCGGCTGTCGGGCGGCGGCGAAGGCACGGGCGGGTCCCCTTGGCCGCTCCCCCGCTCGGTACCCGCACCCGACCGTTGCACATCTGGCATCCTCTCGAACAAACTCGTACGCTAGTCAATATTTTTGTTCAAGTATATCTCGCGCTTATTTCGTGCCACTTCAGCGTTCCACGTCGTCTCTAGTGCACGCTCCCTTTCGTGCTTCACTTCGTTCCGGAAACAGGTACCAGGGCACGCGCACTCGGAGGGTGCCGTTCGCTGGGCCGCCAACCTCGCCACCGTGTGTCTCCACCCCAAAATTTCGACGATGCAATGCCCGTTTTCGAAAAAGTACCTGCCTAAGGTTCCACCTTCGAAGCGTCACCGTCTCGAAAACGCAAAAGCGCACGCTTCCGCAGTGCGCATTCTAGCGCGCGGCAAAGTGCGAAAGCAACACGCATCCGGCGGCGGCGTGTCTACACGCATCCGGCGCTGGGATGGCGGGATCGCTGCGAGCACGCATGCTGCAAGCGTAGCGGCGCTATAGGCGCCGCTGCTGTCGCTATCGGCAAGCACTAGGCACACGCAATAGCACGTATGAAACGACCAGAATATCTGAGAAGAAGTACAGGTAATCTAACTTGGAGGAAGGTGCTTCATCATGGACGCTTTCCCGAAAGCCACTATCCTTTCCGAATTCTGGAATCCATGGTCAATGGAAACGTCTTGTTAATGAAAAAAACGAATCGCGCTCGGTGGGCGCACCTGGGAGATCAGGCAGTCAACTGACGCGATGCGCGTGCCGTTGTTGAAGGGAAACTCATTTGGGATCACGAGCGTGTTGTTCAGCTGTAAAATGTTGGATTTCCGTTCAGGTCGTAGCCAAGTAAAGTTTTTCAGTTTATTTTTGTTTCAAACTTCAAACACGTTTAGTCAAGTGTTTTTTCGCAGTATATAACAGCAGGGCTCAAAGAGCGTTCTTTTTCAAAGAAACTAATAAAAGGAAAGTTATGAAAAACCAAGTCCACGATCCTGGAGCCCCAGTGTCGCCGGCTGCCAGAAAAAAAACAAAAAACAGTGCCGAGTCCAGAAGAAAAGGAAGAGAAGAAGGACCGAAAGGGGGAGGCCCTACGTCGAAGGCGGCACGAGAGACGACTGTACGACGAGGTGGTGGTGAAAACCTTTCTTCTTAAACTTATCCAGGATCCCTATAGGAAAAAGTTGCGAGGCGCTATCGAAAAACGTGTCGACACGTACTCCAAGAATATTGTCAAGGCGTCGTCGGGACTGATGCATTTAGCGAGGGAGATGTACGAAGACGTCGCGCACATGGAAACAGTCGAGATTCCAGACGAGTTCTTCGACAAGACCTTTATTCAACACCTGATGCTTGGTACAGGGGAAACGCGGAGGGAAAATGAGCGGGTGCACGCCCTCCACGAAAACTTCGCGGGATTCCGCTTCGAGGGTAATCGATACAAGGGTGACTCGAATATGTACGGCTATGGGGCGATGAAGTACCTCACGAACCTGAAGAACCATTCGATAGTGAACCTCGAACGTTACATGATACGCGCCTTGTTTGCACTCTACCCGGGCATCTGTCCGAAAGGAATATCAGCGATTATCAATGGCATCACGCACGATCGCAAGCGTGAAGATGACATCGAATTTGTCGACAAGAAGGCATCAAAAGTGAGCACGAATGAAGCTTCTGTAATCCGTGCGGTTATACAAGAGCACCGTGCGGTACTGGGGCTGGTGAGTCCAACAGACAAGATATCAGAGTCGAAAAAGGATAAGGAAAGATACTATCGCCTCATCCTGTGCTATTTCGTGTTTCTGGACCGAGAGCTCGAACGCAAGTCGGAGATGAACCTGAGTGAAGAGACAAATGAAGAGTACGAGAGACGGAAGGCTGTCCTAATGGGGAAGCGCTTCAACGTGGTTCCAATGTCCAATATCAAGTCACATTATGTGACTACCGACTCCAGAGTCCTTTACGGCATCATGAGGGAGATCAGTCCCGAATTCAATGTTAGTGTGGAGGGCTTCACCGGCGAAAACCGGGAGACGCACTGGAAGAATATCTTCGATTTCAAACGTCTCAAAACGAGCAAACAAAATGTATTCACCGGGATGATCGAAGCCGATGGAGTAGCCTTGTGTGTACACAATCGGCGATTGAAGAAAGTTCGTCCAACTCCGCCTTCGGCTGCGCCCGTCATGAAGGATGAAGAAAACAAAGAGGAGGATCCTGTGACGCAGGAGGAGCAGGATGACGACCTTGTCGTTGGCGTGACGAAGGATGAAGAAAACAAAGAGGAGGATCCTGTGACACAGGAGGAGCAGGATGACGACCTTGTCGTTGGCGTGACGAAGGATGAAGAAAACAAAGAGGAGGATCCTGTGACACAGGACATGCATGATAACGATTTTGTCGTTGGCGTGACGAAGGATGAAGATGAGAAGGAGGCGAGTCCTGCGACGCAGGAGGTGGAGAATAACGACTTTATGGTTGACGCGACGAAGCATGAAGAAAAGAAGGAGGCGGATCCTGCGACCCACAAAGTGCAGGATAACGACTTTGTCGTTGGCGCGGACCCTGGGAATACGAATATCATAACCATCGCTGCTCCCAAGCGTGCGGAAGATGGTACTGATGGTAACTTACGTCAGAAAGACATGCGTCTGTTGAGGTTCTCGAGAGCGAGATACTATCGAGAATCGGGAATCATAAATGCAAGGAAGAAAATCGAGACTTGGAATTCAGGAATGAAAGAGCACCTGGAAGCTTCGAGCGAGGTGACGAGCCGAGGAGCGGACTTTGAAGCTTTTCGGAAATTCACGGAAGTTCGCGTTGCTCATTGGGAGGCGCCGTGAGAGGAGTATACCAAGTCCCGGTGGGCTCGTTTGCGAATGAATTTGTATTGTGGGAAGCATCGGGCATTCGCGAATTTTTTCAATCAACTGAGTGCCCTGAAGGAGAATCAAAGTGAGAGGTTGGTAGTGACGTACGGAGCAGGGCGCTGGATGACCCAAAAAGGAACTACGCCAGCTCCAACGACGAGAACGTACAAGGAATGTGCAAGGCGTTTCGCTACGATGCCTGTAGATCGGTTCCGAACGTCCTATACACACCATGAACTGGGTTGTACACTACAGAGAGTCGAGATGGAAAAGTGCCAACGGAGCTTTGAGGACATAGCAAAGTACGGACCGATGACGGGGGAGCAAATGGAAACAAGGGCGAACGTTCGTGGACTCCTTGCACTTGTTAGTACAGTCAATGGCAACGAAAAACGGATGGAGTATGTGAATCGTGACTTTAATGCCGCTCTCAATATAAGGAAATGTGCGGTGCTGGAGAAAAGACCTCCAGAGTAGACAAGACGGAACTTTATCGGACAACCTCTCAAAGTCGAACTATATGAGAAAAAGTTGGAAGACGTAGTGGGTGACCCGTCGAGAACGACTCGCAGCCGTCTGCACGTCAGTCGGACACGTCTTGTCCAAGGCGCAGTTGCTGCCACGACTGTACACAGCCGGAAGCTGTGACTGAGATTACGCGAAAGCGCTCATGGCGTCGACTGGATCTGCCCCTATTGAACACGCTCGGGAACCGTGTCCTGATCGGATTCTAGACGATGTCGGAGGTGCGTTTTGCATGGGCGCCATCGGTGGTAGCATCTGGCACTTTGTAAAGGGCATGCGCAACTCCCCAAGGGGCCAGCGACTCCTGGGCAGCATCGACGCCGTAAAGCTTCGCGCACCGACGCTCGGAGGCAGTTTTGCCGTCTGGGGCGGTCTTTTTTCCACTTTTGACTGTGCTATTGGCGGTCTACGCGGAGTCGAAGACCCGTATAACGCCATCGCAAGCGGAGCGATCACCGGGGGTGTGCTCTCTGCGCGGAGCGGCCTCCGAGCGTCGGCACGCTCGGCGCTGATCGGTGGCGTCTTGCTAGCGATCATCGAAGGGCTCGGAATTATGTTGACCAGAATGACTGCGGAGATGGGCCCAACTCCGGAAGAGGTCGAGCGGATGCGGCGAGAGTTCGCGGAACAGCAGCATCGGCAGCGACTGGAAGGCGGTGCCGGTACCCGTACCGCCGACGGCTTTGCGGCTCCCGCTGATGAGCGTCTGGGCATGGGCGCGAATGACGTCGTTTTGACAGAAAATTCTGGCGTTCGGGTCGGAGGCAGTGCGGACCCAAGCAGTCACAGTGGCCAGAACGAGCCTGAACGCCGCGGCGGTGGCTTTCTGCGTTCCCTTTTTGGTAGCTAGGGTGACTGCGCTCGACACATGATTGATTGCTTGGAGGTCATACCGATGCCAGGAAACAGTCCGATTGAATAGAGAAGCTGGCGGAGCGCCGCTCGCTTTCGTTGCATGAACGATTGCCTGTTCTGGTCACTGCTGCGATGCAAATCCAGTGAAACTTGTGCTTGGTTGACGGCCTTGCATGCGATGAGGCCCGGCGTGAAACGCATTTTGGCTCGAGCAGCCCGCGTAACGTCGTCAGGGTTTCGAACTAGAGCGCGCTCGTTATCGACCAAGCAGCTGGATGCCAAGCTCGTTACAGAAGCGAGCGATCACCACGCGAAAACATTAAGAAACCCGTTGTGTCGTTCAAGTAGACTCAGTCGTATTTCAGAATACCGCTCGCATCTTGCGGCCTTCAGTACAAGATTGAGCGTCCCTTAGCACGGTGAACCCGCAAGATTTGCCTGCTGCGATGAAGGCCCGCAGTGCCTTTCATCTCCGCAAAACGCAAACGATAGACAGGAGACGCCCCAGCGGAATCAACCTCGAAGCCTGTCAACGCTGATGGACACGACTCATTTGGAGCAGCGACACAGTGCACCTTGCGGGCCGGTGCCATTTGGCCTTTAGGGAAATCCAAAACGACTCGTCCAAAGCGCAAGATGCACCATCCAGCCGGCCAAGGCGTCAGCAGTTTGGACGGTACGTATGCCGGCCGTGGCTGCCCGGCACTCGCAAACCAGGTGCACACACTGGATTCGACGCCCGCGTGACCCTAACGAGGCCCCCAGAGCGGAGCCTACTGCAGCCAAGCCATCCAAGTAGCACTGCAACATTCGCCGATGCGCAAAAATGTGCCGCATTTGAACCCGGCACTCAGGTCGAGCGCTTGTGCAGGGCCTCGGCCGACTCCCCCGAGGGGGCAGGCTCCAGAATCGCCGCTCCAACGCAGCACTCGACCGAATGATACGCTATACGAGACTTGAGCTTTCCGCGTCGCTTTTGCACACGTGTTCTGGGCTGCTTGGAAGCGACCCCAGTTGCTCGACGACATGCCCCGGTGGATGCTGCTCAGCGCTGTGGCATCAGGTCGGATGCATCGCCAGCTCCTGAAACGATGCCACATGAGGGTGACCCATCAGAGCGGGAGCGATCGCTCTCCATCGCCGGACACCAGTCCCTGCGTCCATATACGAATCTGAAAATGTTGGTCATACTGAGTCTCCGGGGCGACCAGGGTGCCGCACCTACAGCACAGCGGCTGCTCGCGCGACGTCATCATGTTCTGCTGCGGAGGCCGCGTTCCCGCTGGGCACCGACCGAGGTTCGCGAACGCGTAAAGCTGCCGTCCAGTGCCTATCGCTGACCGATAGCTTTAGACGGAACGCCCAAACCAGTGACGACACCGACGCTGGAGCACTTGCAGCGCGTGCTCGTTCGTTGCACCCTCAGCCTCCGCAGCGATGATCAGGAGACGTTCGGCCAGATCAAGAACGGCTTCACCGCAGCTCTCTCCGACTTGTGGCAAGTTGTGGCCAGTCAGGGGCCACGGACAGGCGTCTACCAACGCCGCAGAGCCTGTCCAAGCAACGTCCGGCGAATCAAGCATCGAACCTGCATCCTGGAGGAGATCATTCACGAGCACAGCGTCCGTGTAGAGCTCCCAGACGAGTTGCAAATCCACCGGCCGAACGAGTTGCGTTGCGGTAACCGGCTGGATCAGTTCCTGTGCAGCAGCTGCGGGGCATGCGACACCAGCAAAGCCGTTCGCAAAAGCGAAAAGGTTCCGCTCTACAATCAGGGTCAGACATTCCGCATCCAACGCATTGTGACGTTGCATCCGCCGCGACAAAGTGCGTTCCAGCGCCAGCATGGTATCGTAACGGAGGGTGCATTCGAGTAACCGCACATAGAGCGCAAAACATCGAAACTGCCAGTACGCAAAGCAGTGGTTATCGTAGAGCAACGGTGCATGCGGCAACTGCTCCGGTGCTACCAGATACCGGTGGTTCCACATCAACCAAAAATAGCCGTGCCGCGAAGCGCTCGACGCATCCACACGAAACAACGGCTCCAGGGCAGTGATCGCTCGCGCAGCGTCCTGATAACCACAAAAGACGCCCAAGGCGTACAGGTAGGCACTGCGATACGACGGCAGCTCAGCAAGTTGCGTCAGCACAGACCCAAGCTCATCGTTCGATCCATTCGACCTCGTCGACCGCGTCGTCGTCGTTCCAGGATGTGCGCTCTTCGAACTCGGGATCCAACCGAGCGCTTGGTAGAGCGCATTCGCCAGCACTGCGAGTCGGTACTCGAGCCACGGTGAGTACTGCAACTGGGCCTGGCCGTGCAGTTGCTGAGAAAGTCGCGGCAAAGCGTGTTCATAGCGCGCAAGTCGTTCGGCGATACGCTCGACACTGCTTGCGTACGACACGGGGGGCGCGGCTTCGCCAACCTCCCGTAACCATTGCCAGTAATCGAGCAGAAGCGCTACTTCTGACTCCGCTGCTGGTGCGTCTTCCGCATCCGGGGTATCGTCTTTCCCGTGCGCTTGTTCCCGCAATGTGCACAGCAGGTTGGGCATGGAAGCACGCGCGGATTCAACTGCGCGCTTTGTATCCGGCGCAAGTGTATCCCAAGCAGCAGCCGGGATATGTATCGGAAGTAAGAGATAGGCACAGTAGAGTGCCTCCCAGTGAGCAGCAGTATGGACAGCGTGAGCGTTTGGTGTACGTTTTGCGCCCGTGGCGTGTCTGCATGAAACGGAAGCGGCTGCTTCAGGAGCCGACGCGTGTCCAGCGGTACCGCTGTGGCTCGTCATTATGATTACTGCATCCGGGGCGTGTTTGTTGCCACCAGACGCGATCGTCTGAACGCCCACAGCGAACCGATGTGCTGTGAGCAGCCACTCCACGTACCTGTGAAGACGAAAGCGGTTCGCGTTGCCAATAAGTTCCGCTGTTTCCAGTGAAAACTGTGCAGCATGACGCATACAGGTCGCCAGTGCCAGTGTTAACTCGGAATCATCGAGTCGCGGACAGAGTGCGCGTCTGTCCTCGAGGTTTGATACTTCCGAGTTGCATGCGAGCTGCTGCTCGGTACGCTCAATCGTACCTTTGCCGGGATGATCAGCAACGATGCCAACAGCCGCGGTAGCAGCCTCAGAAGACGGAGCATCTATCGCAGAGGCAGAGGTATCTCGTGAAACAGCTTCCGGATCGACAGCCTCGACCGCTGCTACTCCTGCTTCGGATGCATTGCCCGAGCCGGTTGCTTTCCTTTGCGTTGCTGCCGCGGGAGCAGAAGCCGCTGTGCCCATTTCTGTAGCTGGCGTCGGGGCTGCGGCTGTCTCCGATGCTGTTTCCGTTGACGACTTGGCTGCACCGGGCGACTCGTGCCGTGTCGCCCGAAAATACGGGCTAATTCGTGGGGCTGGGTTGTCGGCCTCAGGGGACAACAGCCCCTGTAGGCGCTTCCGGCCAACACATCGTTCTTGCTGCGGAGCATCCTGCTTCAAAGCTGCCGATCCAATGAAGAAAGGAAGCAGCAACTCAATGAGTGTCTGAAGCGCGTCTAGCAGCTCGGTTGGTAGCAGTCGAGCCCGTCGCTCTGGTTCAGCCACTCTCTTGTACTCCAGGTCCAGGTACTCCATCTGCAGCCGGAAATGATACAGAAGCAGATCCCGATAACAGGGCAACAGATAGCGCTGCTCGATACCGCTTGCTGCTTGGATCAATTTCCCAGTCCATTGCCATAGCGTGCGAATACGGGGTCGTGAGCGACTCGCGAGCACGTCGTCAAGTTCGGACTGACCGAGGGTCAGCGCCGGACAGAGCGCCTCCGGTGGAAGCACCATCTGCTCTGGACGCAGCGCTCTAGCCAAGGTCCATGCACTGCAACTCGCTGCCACTGGTGGACCAGATTTCAGTCCGATCGCTGAGCAGTCTAGGCCATAAAGCACATGCAGGCATTGAATGCGCTCCCAGTCGAGACGCGAAAACCAAGAAGGATCCCATTCCGGACTACACAGCGAACATCCAAGAAACCAACGCGCTCCTTGCTCTGCAGAGAGCCGCTCCCACAGCATTCCCGCATAGAGCTGGTAAAGGAGGCTACAAGCCTGCCGCATTCGTTCGGAGGCTCTTCGTTCCATGGACAAGGCCGTCCCACGCTGTAGCCGCAGCGCCAAGCCGTGCAGAAGCTGATGCAGAAACGCACCGGCGGAGCAGCGAACAGCTTCATCCGAGTCTGAGAAAGCGTGCGTTCGGATGAAACGCTCTCGCCCAACAACAAAGAGACCAAACACTGCCGCCCATTCGACCAGGAGCTGATCATGCAGGTTTTGCTCAATGATCGACTCGGACGGGGCTACATCCCAGAGCAAGTCTAGGATTCGCGGCAACGACACGCCGAGCATCTGATAGAGTTTGTGGCGCAGCTGAGCTGGCACCACGAGTGTCGCTTTCCCCAGGGCGTCAAGTTCCCGACGCAAGCTCTGCGCTAGAGCGGCTAGCTTTCGCCAGCGTGAAAGCGACGGCTCCCTACTGCGCTGGGCTTGCGCTTCCAATCGCGGAGACGAGTCCGGAGAGCGTGCAGTCGGAGCTGCAGACGCTGAAGCGGTTGCCGCCGTGACTCGCAACGTTACGCGCTGCAGCTCCTGCGCGGCAACGACTGCAGCACCGCCGGCATAGCGCGACAACAGCTGCCGCAATCTGACCTGAACAGTCTCGATTGGAAGATCCAAAAACGACAAGAGACGCATGAGCATCGCTTCCGAGTCCAGCATCTCGGTCTGAAACGTATCCTCGGAGGCGCCTAAACTCTTCCAGAGTTGTTCGAAGGCCGCATACTGGAGGCATCGAAGCAGGTCTATCTTGCCTAGGTGCAGCGATGTTTCTTCGGGGAGAGCGGCGTGCTCGAGGAGCTGATCCGGATGCAAGCCCGCCATCCAGCTGCATAGCACCTGGCATGCACTCGTTGCCTCCGGTCCGTTCTCCGCTGCAGTCGATGCGGAAACGCTACGGCAGCGCTCCTGTGCTCGACACGCCTCAGCGGATGCCAGCTGGGAAGCGTTCCCCGATGCCTCTGGCAACTCCAGCAGTGCAGTGGATGCTGACGCTCGCCGGCGCAAGCGCCAGGCGCGCAGCAGCCTCTCGACTGGAGCATCGCTCTCCGTTACAGACATATCCTCGCAGAGCGGCGAGGTATCCTCGAAAACAAGTGCGTGTGTGGCTGTCGTCCCTGTGACAGGTGCAACCGTGTTCCTGCACCCCAGCGAAACAGACCCCTGAATGGCTGTTTCCGTCCTTGCCGGATATTTCCCCGATGCTCGCCCGAAACGCTCCGTTGCTGCGTCATTTTGCAGCGCGTGTGCAGTGTCATCTGCAGTGTCTTTGGGATGCACTTCATCCGCTACGAACTGGCCTGCGGCGTGCCGCGGAACGGATATCTGCGACACCGATACCCCCGCAGCTGTGCTCTCATTCGCTTTGCTGGGTTCAGTCTGGTATTCTGCTTCCATGCTTGCTGCGATCGTGCATTCATTGTATCCGCTGGATGCTTGCAAAGCCTCTCTCTCAGCACAGGCTGACTGCTGACTGGTTGGCGGCTCCTGTGGCGACACCGATACCCGCTGAAGGCGCCCTGATGTACAACGTTTCCCTGCACTGTCCACGAAATGCGCTTCAGAAACGGTCGTATGATCACGTTGCAGGCGCTGAACATCTTCCCAGAGCGCGAGCGCTCTCTTGAGCGCATCCATCGCAGCGTTCCAATGCTTTTGCCGCAGCAAGTTCAGGGCGTGCAGGTACATGTACCGAATGAGCAACAGCATACGGATCGTGCTTGAAGGCAACAGGCCCTCCCGCATATAACCATCAAAGCAGGCTCGCGTCCTTGTGAGGACGTCGTCCACCAGTGACCAGTCTCCCGCCCAGAACGCAACCTCCAGGAGCGCTAGGCTACGCCACATCCATACCAGCCACCAGTGAGCGCGTTCCTCTTGTGGTATCGCGCTAGACGCTGGCGTGCCTAGCACGAACGACCCGGTACCGTTCGGATGCCAACTGATCCATAAATGATAAAGGCGACAGAGCTTTCGCGCTAGCGTCGTACGCATTCGCACTGGAATCGTCATCATTCGATCAAGTGCTTCGCCTAGTATTCGGTTCACGAGCGTTGTAAGCGGCAGAAGCGACTCGTGGAACTGAAAAGGCGCTCCCACGGAGCGCACAGCGTCGATGATTGTTGCGTTAGCTACCCGAGCTGTGGGCGTCTCTTGAACAGACTCGATCACTTGTGCTGCCTGTGATGATGAAGCCGGATTCTGCTGCTCGGTAGCATCGTAGTCACGCAAGGCGTCGTGCAGCTGGCAACGCAGCTGTTCTAGAACTGCTGCTGCCTCTGGTGTTGCAGTTGCAGAAGCCGCATCTTGGTCGTTGGATGGCAGCAAACGCGATGCTGGTGCCGCTCCGTTGGCACCTGCGCCTCCGGGAATCTCACCAGCTGATATTCCTGCAATAATCATGGAACGTGGGACTGAAGAACTTCTAAGCGAAGCCTCTGTCTCGTACCGAAGAGACCGACGCGTTCTACGGGCAGGTGACTCGCTTTCCGCAGTGGAAACACCAGCGCGGTTTGGCTCTGAACAAGTTTCCCCCGAACGGGAGCTTCGCGCCGGAGGCACCGTCGCCACCGCCACCACCTGAGGGTCGCTCTCTACGCCGCCTCCTTGACACGTGGAGCATATTCCCCGTTGCTGCTGCTGCTGCTGCTGCATTGCTTCGTTCACCGTGACTGCAGCCGTTGCACTAGCAGCTCGACCGCGTGTCGAGGCCGTCAATGACGTCACAGGGTCACTGGTTGTACCACGAGTCGATTCGCATGCCGTTCGTTTCGAATGCTTGTGTTCCACTGGCTGCCGCTCTGCCGCTTCTGAGCCTTCCCTGGGTGATTCGCTAGCACCAGATGCACGGAGCTTGTTCGGTAACTTGGTCACTATCGCTTTCTTTGACGTTAATCCAGGCGCCGACTCTTGCGCCTCGGCCGGAACGCATGCACCTGCACGAAGCATGCCGCTATCCACCCGTTCTGACACGCCTTCCTGCACGAACGAAGAAGATTCCGTCGTTGTCCGCATCACAGTAGCCACTCTTCCCGCCACCTGTTCAAAGGATGCAGCATCATCACCAACACCACTAGACGGAAGCGCTGCAGCTCCTACACTAGAGAGCGGGGAGCGTCGAGCATCCGTTACGTGCCCGTGCGCGCCTTTGGCAGAAAAAGATGCTGCGGTTTCGCGTTCATCCCGTATGAACACATTGGCGGTGAGCAGCGGCTCTGCTGTATCCATTGCAAGACGCTTGTGTACCAATTGATCCACTTGATCGACTACATCGAAAACCAGTGCTCCGTCGTCATCCATTGGTATGATAGACAACACCGACGACTGCGACGATTCAGTTGCCTTCTCGCCCTGTGATTGTCGACGCCTCGTTCCTGCTGCCTCGCTTTCCAGCGTTTCATGCCGGCGTTTTCGTCGCCACGCCGCACTGCTCGCATGCGCTAGACAAGTAACTAGTCGTCGGTGCAGCTGTCTAAAAAGAATATTCCAGGCTGGCAGCGCCTTCTCGCTCTGACGCAGCAGTGCACGCGTCTGGCGCAGGGCGAAACAACACGCGCCTCGATACCCTGCAGCTTCAGCAGTAGCTGCGGCCTTCAGCCACAACAGCACGGTTTTCGGTTGGTAGTGCGTTGCCTTCGCGTACGCTTCGAAGGCTGCTGCGGGTTCACCGATCCGTTCGTATACTTGTCCCAGGCTCCAGGCGCTCAGGTAACCTAGCCGCTTGATCCACGGGGCATCTCCCCGCTGCGGTCGGGAACTTGCCGACTCCAACTTTTGTTGCTCAGCGAGCAGTCGCAAGACTCGTTCAAAACCGCTCGCTGCCTCGCTGAAACGTCCGTCTGCGAAAGCCTCGGCAGCTTGCGAGTATAGCCCTCGTAGTTCCGGCTCTAGCGGGAGTTTGGACGCAGGTTGATCACGTGTTACTTTGCTGGTTGCTTTCTCAGTTGATTCAATAGCAGATGCTGGCGCAAACCCCAGCATCTTCACACCCTGAGCCTTGTCAAGTCCAGTGAAGAGTGCGCGGGAACAACACGGCGTCGGTTTTTTTAATGGTGCGCACGAGCTATCAACGTTTCGCTTTTTTTCGTTCTTCCGTGGACTCGGTTCAGATGAAAACGGAACCCTGAAGAGCGCGCTCGATTCGTTCATGCCGTCTTTCTTCCCCGGGATTTTGGTACCTGTAAAGACTTGATATTCAATGAGCAGCATAGGAAGGTTTGCGGACTCATAGATTGGACTTGGATTCTCGGGCGTGTTTTCAGTTTGGCTGTTTCGACTTGCCGCCGCTGGGACATGAACGGTTCGCATCATCACGATGATTTGCGACGACCTCGAGCAACAGTTCGCAAAATACCCGAGCTTGTTATCGATTCCATACATGGAAACGCCACTGTTCTCGCTTCGCTCTCCATAATATCCTCGAACCTGGTACGCCTCACCTGCTGGATCTTCAATCACCAAACATAAGCGTGGGCATCGGGGAAGCTATCCAAACCGCTGGCTGGACGGAGAATCGTAGGCGGCTTCGCCACTTTTGTAAGCGGCTTTCACAAGCTGGTGCCTAAAGTTTACTGACCCTGTCATGCCACATACTCGATTCTGTTCGAAACACGAATCCTCGTCCGGATATGCCAGCCGACACAATGGAACTCGACAGCAGCCGGATGAGGGTCACGACGCTTGCTGCCTGAGGCTCCCGACTCTAGTGTGTTCACGGCCAGGGGTCTTGGACTCGGACTCCAGGCATCGAGGCGGTCGTTTCCAATGGACTTGTTGTGGTCGCCTTGCACGACGCGCAGGGAGTGCGGACGGATCGACGTTTCTCTACTTGTTCTGTAGGCTGGATTTTCCGTTCGGTCATTGCTTCACCAAGGGCAATATCGAGTTCGACTTGCTGCGTACCGAGTGGCGCAACGTGCGCTTGCACCAGCATCGAACAGCGTACGCACCGAGGAGATCGCCCAGAAGAAGCCCGTGGTGGTTCGGTATGACAACGGGCACGGAAACGGAGAAGAGCATCTGTGGAAGCCGCCTGTCGCGGTTAGGGGCATGGAGCGAGCGGCGAAGCAAGCCCTCACGGTCCATAGAGTGTACGTTATTGGCAAAGGTCTAGAGGTCATACGTGCACACCAGACCGCAAACAAGAGTGACCGCTTGAAAGAGCGCACCGGGTCTGTATGCAGAGAAGATGGGCATGGCGAACGAAGCGTGGATCGCGACTTGTACCTGTGCCTGATATGGGTCGATGAGAGCTGGAAACTGCGGGACCGGCACTTCAAACGCTGCCAACGATGTCCATCGCCTGCTGGCAACGGAGCTGGAGTGGCAGGAGTGTCCGGTGTACGCAGGTCCGCAGGAAAGCGACGGGGTACGGAAGCGGCTCAAGAAAAGGTCCAAAACCGCAGGTTTCGTTGATCGTACCAAGATACCAAAAATATAGGGAGGGCGTCCGAATGGTCAGTCCTTGGTATTTCAGACGGACATGTTAGCAGAGACTTTGAGCGCGGTTGAAAGACGCGGGCACTGCAATGGATCGCTTTCAAGACGAGCTGATGTGCTGCTGGGAAGCTGACAACGCTGGGTCTCGGCGAACAGCAAGCATCCAGGACTGTTCGTCTGGTAGGTAGACTCAGTGGTGACGAAAATTGGAGCACCATGCTGTCGCATATATTGCCCAAGAAGATCGCTTTCTTTGTCTAGATACATCGCTGAGGCCTCGCGTACGATCTGCAGCTCCATACTTTTCCAGTGCCAGTCTCGAAGCGAAGATGCCGCCGCTTGGCTCTTAGCCCCTGATCTTCTTTCATCGGATCTACTCAGTGTTTCAGCAAAATGCCCACACTGAGTATTCAACGATGATCTCGATAGGTCGCTCAAAAAAAGGCCGATGGACTGTATGGGAGCATGATAACTTTCCGGATGGTGATCGAGGCCTTGGAGTTGCGACGCGTAAAGTGCTATGACGCCTCGTTGCCGTTGGAATCACACCAAAGCAAGCGTCTCGGTTGACGACGGCCTTGCCCTCGGACGTTCGGTCAGCATTCCGTACACGATTTCGTGCATCTGTTTCAGTTTCATGCTTTCCTTGTATAGAGGTCCCATGGTACGTCGATGCTTGTGGTGTGTGTCTGTCGTCCTGAACGTATGCATGGGAATCGTACAACATCGAATTCTGCACTCATCGCATGCTTTCGTCGAAGCAGCAAGAGTGCGACCTCTGCGCGCTCCAGCAAGTCCAGCATCGTAGGCTACAATGACACGACAAGACTCGGAGGTCATTTCCTTTCCCCATGCAATGAAAAACTCGGCAGAGGCATGCTTCTCGTGTTCTGAAAACTGCAGCTCGTAGCTACTTGAGCACTGTCTCGTGTAGGCCAGCCATGTGTATCGTCCGCAAGAGCCACTCGGATGTTCATATCCTCACTGGAAGAACCGTAGAAAGCATCTTCCTCTGCCGGACCTGGTACTCAGGACGTCAAGATAGGTCCTGACGCCGCTATTCCGCTTGTTGGTATGCCTGCTGCCTACGATCCTGCCCAGCTCTCGATGATTACGATCCCTGGGAAAATCAGATCATATTGCTTGTTCTGCATCGAGCATCAGTGGCGAGGTCATACGAGGGTTTCATCGAAGCATTTCAGAAGCGACTGGACAGCTGGTAGCCCTGCGTTCACAGCTCCTTCAAAGCGTTGCTTGACGACGTGCGTCCAAGCAAAGGCGGGGTAAGCAAGCTATGCTGGGCGACGATGCGACGCGAGCTTTCGTTGCGTCCTGCATCCCACATGTTGCGAGATTCTGCGCGTTACTATGTTTCTCATACAGAAACCTGTACAACAGTTTCAGGTTGATATGAACGCTTCGACGGTTCCTGCTTCCTGTCCCTCGCCGTCCTCTTTTCGGGAAGTTTAGTCGCTTGGTTGTTCTACGGTATCCTCTGCTGTTCAAATTCTCAGCGGAACGGAATAGCTATGGTCGCTGTCCTCTGTATCCGTTGTTTACCGCGGACTCAGACTTACCGGATGGATGATGGAACCAAAAATTGCCTTCTCTATGTACAAAACTCCTCTCCCGCAAGTGCCTCTTCGGCACCCTCTCGTTCATGAACCGAGAGGCGAAAGAGCAGTTTAGGGCTGGTCTAGGTGCTGAGCGCCGCGTCGAAAATCTTGGGTTTCACAGATGCGAAGGACTCGTCTACTGATCCGTGAGCTTAGAAGCGGCGTTTTACAACGTCGTAGGAGACGCCTTGGACAGGATTGAAGCCAAGAGAATAGGCTGCCGCGAAGAGCTGCTCGACACCAGTGCCAGCTGCGCATACCTTGACCGCCTTTGGGTGCTGAAAAGCGACATTTTCTCAGGGCGGAACCGAAGAATGTAGGAAATGAAAACCCCGAAATGCTTCGAAGAAGCGTGAGGTGCTCATCGATCCCAAGCGTTTGACGACTCGTGGGTGACTAGACAAAAGCATCGTTGATGGGCCTGATATCCTTGGAATGCTCAATCATCTCTTCTTTGCGATCAGATGATTTTTCTTCTCTTTAAGGGTCCATAAACAAGCCTACCATTTCTCCCGAATGAATTTTCATGGAGTGAGACGAACACTCGGTTCTCCTGGAATAAGCGTTCCCATTTCAATACGAAAAATCAATGGAGTGATTAGGATCGTAAGGCGGTCTGTCGTAAAAGCGCGCTTTTTCTATCTGTGCCCATCCGAGTATCTTCATCGCTGGTTGTATCAAATGTGAAGAAACGTCACAGCCTGTGGATTCGCCGGTAGTATATCATGGACAACGTATGGGGTGCAATGGATTGCTGAGGATAACGTCGTTTCCATACCATATGATATGTACTGTTATGGGTGCAAGGCGTCCAGCATAAGGTCGATGAGAAGGTGCGTTCGTGCACCTGCTGTCGGTAGAATGACTCACTTTTAGCTGTAAAGCCTTTTGTCGCCAGCTATCAGTCAATACATCAAGTGTATCCACGACGTTCTTCTAATCTACAGAATCAACTTCTTTTCTTGGACATTTGCGTGAAAAACAATTCACGTCAACAATAACGTGTTGATACAGGAGGTCAAGCGCTCGCTGCGCTGACGATCATGCCAGGTACTTGCCCAGCAACGCTGCTCAGAGTCGTAGCGTTGCACGTTCTGCAGCGACGGGACGCGGGTATTGATTCCATGGACGACGTGATAGTCTGTTAACGCACTTGGGCATTTCGTGTGTGTCCTTACACCAGAACCACCCTGTTCGTGCTTGCTATACCTTCACAGCGGTGTGAGCGGTTGGCGGACCTTTGGCAGCTTCGTTCATAACTCGGAGGCGCTGTGCGTACGGCGTGCTCACCGGTCTGTTTACTCTGGGTGGCGACGAACCTCTATGGGAACACGACATGCGTACGTTTCCCTGTCCGCATTGAGCCAAGGCTTAGCAAATCGACGCCCGTTTCACCCTACCGTCTTCGGAACTCTGGGATCGAAACAAAAGCGGCTTCAAAAGTGTTGCTTCTGTAACTGCGGTGGGCGTTTCCGAGTCACCATGCGTACAGTGCGCGGAGAAGGACCAGCCCAGCGGCGTCCTATGGTGGTTGTTATTGCAGGTCCCACTGCAGTAGGAAAATCGCAGTTGGCCCACGAACTCGCAGCTCGACTGAATGGTGAGATCATCTCTGCCGACTCGGTACAGGTTTATCGAGGGCTCGACATTGGCGCAAACAAGCCAAGCGCGTTAGAAAGATCGCTCATTCCCTATCATTTGGTGGACATACTGGAGCCGTCGAGAGACGCCTTCTCTGCTGGCAGTTTCTACGAGCTCGCTCGAGCGGCGACGACCGCTATCCTGGGTCGCCAACGTGTTCCCATCGTTGTTGGTGGCACCATGATGTACCTCCGATGGTATGTCTTGGGTAAACCCGCAACAACAGCACCGACACCGGAGATCACGCGCGCTGTTCTCGCTGAACTCGCCCTCGACGAATGGGACTGGGACCGCTGCCTAGCGCGGCTGGCAGCGCACGACCCCGAACGAGCAGCAATGCTACATCGTAACGACTGGTATCGACTGCGACGGGCACTCGAAGTCGTAAAAAGCACCGGTGGAATAGGTATTGGTGGCCTACCGCTCAGAGGCGGAGCGCCTTGTTCCCGTCGCGCAACTGCTGCGCCACTATCCGCAACGCACATGGCTGCAGGGCCGTCATCGTCGTCGGCATGGACCGACACCGCACCCCCTGCAACAATAACAACGAAAGCCCCTGACCTGGATGTGGACTTTCGTTGTTATTTCCTGAGCCTTCCCCGAGTGGAGCTGAACCGACGCATAGATGCTCGCTGTGAGGATATGGTGTGGCGAGGCCTGCTCCTGGAGACTGCAGGTCTGCTCCGGGGCCCATGGGCGGCTATTGAAACAGGTACGGGGCCGGAAGCGGGCCTCGATGCGGAAACATCCAAAGCGTTGAGTGCCTTTCGTGCCATTGGGTATCGCCAAGCTATTGAGTACTTGCAGCACGGTGAACGGACCCCGGCTGGTTTGCGTGCCTTTCTTGCCAAGTTCATGCAAGCATCACGGCAATACGCACGAAGACAGATCCAGTGGTTTCGCTCAGAGACGCTTTTCCGCTGGAGAGCGGCAGACCAGCCGGATCTCGTGGATCGCATTGAGAATGAGCTGCAGCGTGTCTCGCCGGTCGACGCACATGACGATGCGGAGGACGCGCGACTTCGAATGGAGAGCCATCGAGAGGCGAAGCAAATGAAACGATACCAAAGTTGTTTGCAAATATTCCATGATGATAGCAGGGCATGGCAAGTGCTACGAGCGCTTGATCCTTCGAGACCCAGTGATCCTGGTGTGCATGCTCCACCATCGCTGCCGACGTCTTGAGCAATGCCTTGAGGCCTGTCGCAAGCGTGCGGAAGTTGCAATGTATGACGCAGGGCATCAACGTCAGCAGCTGTGGTTGCTTTCGCGATTCTCCACGGTGTGCGTGTGTGCGCGGCGTCTGAAGCGAATACTCGCTGCAGCGTATTTCATGCCTTCTGGTCTGGAGAATCTGCTCCGCTGACGCAGAGTATGGAGGTCAGCATGTGGGGTTGCTGTTGAAGAATCCGTACCGATTGTGAAGTGCGTGCTTCACTTGCGTCTGGAAGCGTGTGGCTTTGTCTGTATCCTAGTCGCCTCATGCTGCAGACGACTCGGATCCGCCAGATGCCAGAAATTCATAGACGCACTACTTCGTTCAGGTCCGGACTACATTTTGCAGTCATTGCGTGTGAGAAATCCAGTGCAACCTGCTGTACATGCGTAGTCGCGGTCCGCGAGTCTAATCAGGCAGTGTCTTGCTTCCGGATAAAGCACCTTGCCTGCAAGTGGGTACTCGTTGGTACACCAAACAACGTATTCATGGCAATATTGGGGCCTATAGATCACTGTGAAACCGTCGCACAGCTGTGAGCGAGTCCATCTTTTTCGGACCGTTTCCGTCTCTCAAAATGCGTGTTTTTATAGAACCTTGCTCCGAAAGGTTTTCGACGTTACAGTGACTATCGGAATGCTGACATACCGACCGAGACTGCCCGGCACCATACAGTGGACCCGGCGCCGCACCTAAAGGCTGTACCACGAGCGCTTCTTTTCGCTCGCCTTTTTTGCCCTCCAGTACGAGCCTATTCTAAAGCTCCGTGTCCCGCAACGCTGCACCATGCAATGTCCATGTTGTTGCGTTGATGCAGTGCCTGGTGCTGCGGAGAGCGCCTGCGATCCAGTTGCCCGCATCGCATCCCTCGTAAGCAGTATCAGATGAAAAATGAACCACTGATGTGGTAGCTCTGTTGCTACCTCTGGGCTTTCTCTGGATTTTCTCCTAGATGTGAAGCCTCGGCATCCAAACTGCGGCGTTATGGGTGTTTGGATCCATACATAGATTTGGGAATTTATGAAGTGTTTTCGGAGGGGCTTTTTCGACACATTGCCAGTGTAATTCGATACATCGCTGCCATCAGCATGATTGACGACGTAGTGGTGAAAGGGATCGTAGCATATCGATATCATTGTCCAGTTCGTATGTACAGGCATCCACGTATGTCCTCAAATTACGTGGAGCGTGTTCATGTCAGGTACTCTTCACGTTTCCTATTTTTCTGATTCAAGGCAACTCGTAGGCGCGGAAACTCGGGCTACAGGACTGACACGGAACACAAGTCGATGTCGTTCCTTGTCGACTTCTTTACGAACGCATACGGAAGCCGAAACGAATCTTTCGTGCCAAAAAATCGATTTTACTCGAAAGAAAATTCCCCATTTCGTAGAGAGCATCGACGAAACGGCACTCGCGGCCATGATGGTACATCATAACGGGTACGCTCCCAGATGCTCACATTTCACCCATTTGCACGAAAATGGGGCTTTGACTCGGGACTCACTCAACGCAGCGATCGCTTCTGTTGTAGCGTGCGTTACCGCTTTTCGCGAAATGCCGGAAGGCGGATCGATATTTCTCGACTTGTACTGCGACCTCGACCTATCTCTCGGTACTTTTCTTCCATCATGGACAAGGTCTGGTTCCAAAAGCCGTCAATCGAATGGCACGTCGTGCATTTGCAGGCACAACAGGCAGACTACTTTTCGGGGGAATTGCTCGCAAGAGACTTGCGATCATGGCGTACAGCACCGGGCGCTTGAGCGGAAGCGGCCTCCAAGCCAAGCCCTCTGTACGCATCAAGGGTATGGACAGAGCGATGAAACAAGCGTTCACGCTCCACAGAGCGCCTCTGGAAGGCGAACGAGGCGTGCCTGACATGTGGGACTCCTGACAGTAGCCAAATTTCCCGGCTGTGAAGCGCGCAAGGAGGTTGCATGCAAAGATGATGAACATGGCAAGCGAAGCGCGGATCACAACTACCGCCTGTGCATAGAATACGCGATCAGTAGTCAAAAGCGGCAATATTAGGAATTGAACGCTGCCATCAACATGCTTTTTCTGCTGACAACCGAGCTGGAGGGACAGTAGAAATCAGCATGTTGAAAGCCGGAGAGCAGAGAGATCTGTAGGAGCCTGTCGTTGGAGAAACCTGCGAAAGGCTGGTATTGGTCACACTGGGAAGAAATACACAATTCTGTTTCTACACCCCTCGAGTTGCGTGCATGGAATCGTTTTATTTTTTCTCGCACGGAAGTATCGCCTTCTCCTTGCATCGAACGAGACGCTCCGTGGATGTGCAACCGCCGTCATTGACGTCGTCGCATTCGCTACGATCCGGGAACGGCTTGTTCGCAACTGCTTTGACGAGTTCGTACGGGTTAGTGCTTCTATACACTGGACAGGCAACCGCTTGTGATAATGGAAGCATCATCGATCCAGGTGGACCTCGGGCACCTAAAAGTTATCGATAATCGAGCGGTAGAGGAGCAGTCCGACATCGATGCGCGAGCATCTACGGCGGTGCAGCGGCTCGTAGACGAGCTCTTCCAGCTGCCACCAGACACAGCTGCCACAGAGCAGGTGGGTTTTGGTCGGGTGGTGCGTCTTCCAGCGCCAATTGAGCGCCTTCCACGTGAGAAACCGCTTCCGAAACGCGAACAGTTGCAGACCAGGTGGGAGCGTTTCGCCCAGGCCAAGGGCATTCAACGTCACAAGCGGGAGCGCTTCGTCTGGGACGAGACGTCTCAGTCTTGGCGCCCGCGCCACGGAGGTGGTAAAGCGCGTCCATCAATCCATTCTAAAGCTACTGAATGGATCATTGAGGATAAAGAAGAGGGACCACCCGGGCGGAACCCGTTCCGCCGTCGGAAAGGATCACCAGAGAGCCGGAAAGCTGCTGCCGGGCCAACTGCCTCCGTCAAGAGCACCAAAGCGACCGCGAAGCGAGACCGTGTGAGGGAGGCACAGCAAAAGCTCTCGGAACGTATGAAGAGCGCCAAAGACGCCCTTGACCATCAACTTAGCATCGCCCAACGGAGCACTGCAAGTATGGGAGCGTACGACCGACGAATCGATGGTGAACGGGATCACCGGCAACGTGGCAAGTCACGGGCCGGGGAGCTGAACACTCCGTCCCAGTATGCTTCGGAGAGAAAGCGGGCCTTGCAGGTTGCAGATGCCGTACTCCAGGGAATTTCATAGCGAAGAACGTGCGTGTACATCGGAGCCTGCATTCATGGAGCCGCATTCGTGGAAGGCCACCAGCAATGCGACGCCTGCGTAATATGGTGATGCAGTGTCCAGACGGACGGGGAATCTTAAAAGCAGGAAACTCGTTGGCGACTTGTGGTTAGAGGACGCGTGCAGCTGGTAGATATACGGCGCGCTCTGCGTGACAAAGACGATGTCCTCGTTCTATTCGAGATACGCTTGACAATCCTCGGATACTGAGATGATATGAGACTTGTGATGATGCGCGTTGTCGCGAGCGCGTGGAGAAGTCCCGACCAGCAAACGCCATCGTACGCCATTACTTTCCTGTTTACGCATCCGCTCAAGACACGGGTATGCGGACATCCAAGAGTCAGCTGAATGAGAACTGCAGCGAGCTCCCAGGCGTGCTTTGAGGTTGAAACTCTCGCGTATACGGCGAGCTGCGCACGCAGTTTAAGAACACTGCAGTTGGCGCGAATGATGCGCAAATTATCCATGGATGCAGGTACGGAGCAAAAGCTGACCTAATGGAGATACACTCCTGTAGACTGGTAGTAGTTCGCTCATGGACATGGCTCTTTCCATGTTCTGGATGAACAGCTACGAGTCCGCGATGGAGCGCAGTACCCCATGTTCCGATATCTTGAAATACAGTGACATAAGAGACATATCGATCCCGCACGCACGCACGCACGCACGCACGCACGCACGCAACTCGATCTGACACGCACGCAGTGGCCTCGACTAGGAACCAGAAGGCTCACGCGATCGATTCATCATTTCACTTCCAAACGGATCCTGATTATGATTCATGGAATTGGCGAGTTTGACTCTACATCGAGTGTCGGTTGCTTCCGTGGTTGGTGGTAACCATCGTGCAACCCGAGGGTCCCAGGTAGCTTGATTGACCCTGCATCATTAGAAAGGCGACGAGAAGTATGCCTTATGGGCGAGCGCCGCTTACCTACTGAGCCGAGTCGGCTACACTCTTCTCGACTCGCGATAAATTTTCCAACGATCGGTTGTTTGGTCGCAAGGATTGGTATCAGTGACCAGGCACGTCGCGAGTGCGAATATCTCGTTGATGAAGGAATTGAAACTTGCGCGCTGTGTTGGGCACCAGCACGACACGCCTCAGATGAAAACGGAACCCTGAAGAGCGCGCTCGATTCGTTCATGCCGTCTTTCTTCCCCGGGAGTTTGGTACCTGTAAAGACTCGATATTCAATAAGCAGCATTGGAAGGTTTGCGGACTCATAGATTGGACTTGGATTCTCGGGCGTGTTTTCAGTTTGGCTGTTTCGACTTGCTGCCGCTGGGACATGAACGGTTCGCATCATCACGATGATTTGCGACGAGCTCGAGCAACAGTTCGCAAAATATCCGAGCTTATTATCGATTCCATACATGGAAACGCCACTGTTCTCGCTTCGCTCTCCATAATATCCTCGAACCTGGTACGCCTCACCTGCTGGATCTTCAAGCACCAAACATAAGCGTGGGCATCGGGGAAGCTATCCAAACCGCTGGCTGGACGGAGAATCGTAGGCGGCTTCGCCACTTTTGTAAGGGCGATCCACAAGCTGGTGCCTAAAGTTTACTGACCCTGTCATGCCACATACTCGATTCTGTTCGAAACACGAATCCTCGTCCGGATATGCCAGCCGACACAATGGAACTCGACAGCAGCCGGATGAGGGTCACGACGCTTGCTGCCTGAGGCTCCCGACTCTAGTGTGTTCACGGCCAGGGGTCTTGGACTCGGACTCCAGGCATCGAGGCGGTCGTTTCCAATGGACTTGTTGTGGTCGCCTTGCACGACGCGCAGGGAGTGCGGACGGATCGACGTTTCTCTACTTGTTCTGTAGGCTGGATTTTCCGTTCGGTCATTGCTTCACCAAGGGCAATATCGCGTTCGACTTGCTGCGTACCGAGTGGCGCAACGTGCGCTTGCACCAGCATCGAACAGCGTACGCACCGCGGAGATCGCCCAGAAGAAGCCCGTGGTGGTTCGGCATGGCACCGGGCACGGAAACGGAGAAGAGCACCTGTGGAAGCCGCCTGTCGCGGTTAGGGGCATGGAGCGAGCGGCGAAGCAAGCCCTCACGGTCCATAGAGCGTACGTTATTGGCAAAGGTCTAGAGGTCATACGTGCACACCAGACCGCAAACAAGAGTGACCGCTTGAAAGAGCGCACCGGGTCTGTATGCAGAGAAGATGGGCATGGCGAACGAAGCGTGGATCGCGACTTGTACCTGTGCCTGATATGGGTCGATGAGAGCTGGAAACTGCGGGACCGGCACTTCAAACGCTGCCAACGATGTCCATCGCCTGCTGGCAACGGAGCTGGAGTGGCAGGAGTGTCCGGTGTACGCAGGTCCGCAGGAAAGCGACGGGGTACGGAAGCGGCTCAAGAAAAGGTCCAAAACCGCAGGTTTCGTTGACAGTACCAAGAGATCCACACTGTCATATGCGCACCCGAGTTTGAGCTCCTGTTCCATTTTATGCCGTGTGATGGATGTGATGCCGTGCACGAGAGGCGCGTTATCACCCAGGCAGGCAATCGCAGCGCTCCACCATTGCAAGTCAACGTCTCAGCGACAATCACGAGGCGATCCTAGGTATTTCTCTTGCTCATTCCAGTACGCTGCTGAGATTATTTGTAATGGATTACAGTGTTTGGGTGGTTTATCCGGATTCCATCAAGTTCCACAAAGCATATGCATATCGCCCGAAAAGATCCAGAAGATGATTTTCTCATTTATGAGTATCTTGGTGGCAAGCTTATCGATCGGGAACGCCACCACACAAGTTTCACGCTATGTGGAAAAGTAAAACCCCCTCATGGATCTGTTATCAGTTCCTCGTATGGCAGTTACACGCGCATGAGCATGCCATTGTGTGACGAAGGCTGTTCGTTCGCAACGTCATCAGCCGAAATACGACCCGAACAACATGCGTCATCGTTATGCCCCTTCCTGTGAGACACTTTATTTAAGTTAGTGGCTGAGCGAATGCACCTCATCCTCGTTCTCTAGAGGGTACGGCAACGATCACGGCGGCTGGGCTGATTCGGTCCAGCGCGCGATCCACCTCTCCGAATAGGCCCAAGTCGTCTAGAATCTGTACGATGCAAACATTTTTCCTCGAACAGCGCAGAATCACGTCGTATCTGCCCATGCAGTACGCGTAGCTAGCTGGTTGCGGTGCTCGGCAAGACGATCTCGTTATAGCGCAGACACTAATATCCGCGCGTGACGATCTGCGATCCCTAAGGTGGTTGTATACCGTATCATAGACGGTCTACGTAGTATCCAATGCCCAATATCCGCACAAAGCGACCTTATGTTGCCTAGTGCTCGCACTCTCGGATCAGCGCAAGCACATCGTAGATGATCCGAGCAGTCATTCCCCAGACAATTTTCCCGCTGCTGAGCTCTCGTGGTAGACAAAACATCGGTGCGGGGGCGGCCTCGGTCGAGAACTGTTCTAAGGGCGCTTGACGTTGCCCCGTCTCTTCTGGGGAGTCTCGCGCTGTTGTACCAACGATCTCCGAGGTTGTGTTTGCGCCTGCATGACTGGCTTCATTCACGAGATCCGTTCCCAGGGTCGTGTCCTCCCAAGTACAGTTACCTGATTCGGAGCGGCACGCCTCGAGAACACCGCGCGGCACCACAAGCAGGCTTTGAACCTCAGCCCGGTTCAACGCGAGTTGGCTTGGATTGACACGATCGTCCAAGTATCCGATGAATGACAAAACTCTAAAATTAGATGAGCGCAGAAGCGGCCGATACTCATGAAACTTTCCCAGTATGCGTATAAAACTAGGATCAAGTCCGATCTCCTCTTGAGTCTCTCGCAAGGCGGTTTCCAGAAGAGAGCAATCCCCAGCGCGTACTTTCCCGCCAGGGCAGGAGATTTCGCCCCGGTGGATCCGAACGAGCTTCGATCTCTCTGTGAGCACGAAAGCAACTTGGACGCAGGAGTCAGTCTCAGCCGCCTCGGGCCCGCGACAGAGTAAGACGAGCACAGCGGCATTCGGGGCCGCCACCGAGGGATCGTGATCCACGCGCACCGTGCGCAACGGCATTGTTCGCAGCCGCTGTTCTATGCGGTTCAAGAGATCACTGGTCCTCCTCGATCGAACATGAACGTGGCGTGCCCACGGCAAAGCTCGCTGAAGAAACGGCACCATGCGGATTTGGGTCCGGGTTCGTCCCAACGAGGTCGTCGACGACGCCAGCATTGGTTTCGACGGCACCTGTGATGGCGTCATTGTCACTGGTAACGACCTCGAATCTGTAGAATTCTGAGCAAGCGAGCGCCCCGGCATCGATGTGTTCGAGTTGAAGGCACTTGACCACCAGTTCCGCTGTGCCACCTTCCACAGTGTCTCGACCCAGTCACGCTCAAGAATACGGTGCTGAACAAAACGCACCAAGTTAGTAGCAAAGCCTCGCCGCGGCTTCCGCGACGTGGTGCATTGCAAGCCTGTAGTTGTGCGCCTCGGGCGCTGCCGTTTCGGTGGCTGGGCTGCCTGCGAAGCCGGTGGACGTGCTGGTTCAGGAACGAGCCGACCACAGAGTGAAGCGCGGGAGGCGCAACCAAGCGTCCTGTGCTCGACGGCGTCGCAAGCCTTTCTCAGCTGTACCCATGTGAAACTTGAAACCTTCAACAATCCTAAACCAGTCAGCGGAATGAAAAGCGTTGACAACACTCTAGCCCTGGGCGACTGCGCCGACACGCTGCCAACTCGCACGGGTGGCGCAGTTCCAACCTCGACTCCGGTCGTCGCCGGTGCCACCCCAGAGCAGAGCATCCCGCTCCCTTGACGTACCAGCCTACCCATAAGATGCAGGGCCGGAAAAAGACTCTAGCGAGCTCCCAGCGGGCAACGAGTTTACACGTCGATAAAACGGCTGTGAACCGAGATTAGGTTTGGGATATCGCGGAGGTCGCTAGCCTGTGTAAGATTGTCCAATATCGTCGAGGACGCTATTGCTAGATTTGAACCTAAAGATATATATACATGCCAACTCACAGACGCCTCCGAGTTTCTTACAACAGGCTCCTGCTGTCCGCTTCAGCTTTTCCGTGTACACCTCGAGCTGGAGAGGGTGTCCAGCAATGTTCGCTCGCATCACATCCATGGGTCTCGTCTCCAGCACCGCATATCGTCTGATATTCATGGCGGCGTTCAAGTTGCGGTTCACCATTTCCGTTCGTTTATAGTTTCCGATGGGACTCATCAATGCGAGGATTCCGAGAACTCGCGCCCCCAGTGCCTTTTGCTGCTCTGTATGGTTCCCGCGCTTTTCTATCGCCGGAGCGCACCGCTGCCTTATCTCCATCTCGGCCTTCTGAAGTGTACATCCTGGTTCATCCCTCGGATTTTCTATTTCCTCAAATGACCCCGATTGTCTAAGACCTTTGGTGATGACCTAGCCGGAGGATGAGGGACTTGCGGAAGAGAGACGACATGTGTCCCGGTGTCACCGTGTGCTGAACGCTTCGGCGATTCGTCCAGTGCAGCGATTGTTACGTTTCACAATAGAAAACACTCTTCCGATGGAGTTCATCTACGGAGTGCACGGAGGAAGAGCATGCAGCTCTACCCCGATGGCATCGGAAAAAGACCGAACGCAACGGGTGTGGTCAAATGCCACGTTGTCGAACAGAGCGACGTTGCGAGACGTCAGCGAAAACTCTCTAATGGCTGGACGAAATTGCTGGTGCTGTTATATGAGCCTTCTGTACGAGCGAAACTAAGGCCGCCAAGTATATCCACTTCAGCTGGAAGAGAGGATAATGTCGTCGTTATCTTCGAGTTCGATCCTGCATGGAACGGGCTCTATCTCCGCGACTACCCATATACGCTCCGAACGTCTTGTACGAAAAAAGTTTCATCGATCGAAACAAACCGCTCGATGCCCTCTGCTTCGTACTGATCGCGAGGTTCCAGGAACCCTGTCGTTGCGATTTCTTGTGGAAGATAGCGGAGTGTGAACTAGAACTTTTTTCCACTGTGTTCTAACGTTTTTAGGACCACACGAGCAAGCTGTTGCGAAAAATCGACGCGTGTGGCGACTAGCAGCGTCGCTTTTTGCTTTTCGTAAGGTTATCAACGGGTCCGTTGCTACCAGTTACCGCAAACACGCTTTGAGCACATCGGTTTTTGGCGCGATGTGCATCTACTTTCTTTCAGTGTCTCTCAACCATCTGACTATTGTGGTATGTCATACCTGAAGGAGAAGTGCTGTCCTCATTGCACTGTTCATTAAAGAATATATATATCCTACAGGCAAATCTAATACGATGCATACTGTAAAATGCATTGCGATTCCGACCTCCTGCACTGCATCGCACCGGCGGTGGAACGAAACCAAGCTGGATGACGCGAAGCAGGCAGGCAAGGCAAATCATAGATGACTGAATTGTCTCTTCATTCGCGAATCTCTAACAAACAGCTCGTTCCTCGAAACTCCAGTTCTACACTCTCGCTTTCCAGCACCGTCTGTAGCGATGAACTCTGTCGATATGGATCGCTGAGCGTGCTCTGTTTGACTGTCTCGCACGCTGCGGCAGTGGACACGCTCTTAGCTTGACACCTGGTGCAGCAGATGCGACTGCTGTACCTGTGAAACGGAGCCCGGTCGCCACCGCGCACTAGTCGCCGGGCTGGTTTTCCTGAGATCTGCGTTTCTATTTCTTCCCAGCGACGCTATTTGGAGCGAAATAACGCAAACTTTTATTATTAGAGGAGTAATTGAACGATTTCGGAGCTGTTCAACGGGGGAACGGTGAGGAGTTAGCGTCGCGGTTGCACACGCCGGTCAGCTGCACTTTTTGCACGCGCAGCGTAAACCCCGTGTCGCCCGGTTCCCAGAGACGGTTTTGGACCGAACTTATGGCCGCAGACTCCACTGAATCCAGCGACTTTGCTGTCATACCCTTTGGATCCGAGTACTTGCATTTTTTTGCGGTGAAGACGCTGATCGACGGCTTGCTGAGCGAGCCTTACTCCACGTTCACCTACCGGTACTTTCTACGCCAATGGAGCGAACTGTGTTTCCTAGCGGTTCGGAAACTTCCGCATGCTGCATCGTGTACACCGCTCCGATCTGAGGATTTGTTCGGTTGCATCATTGGCAAGGCAGAGGTGCACAGAGACTCGCTCCGCGGATATATTGCAATGATTGCCGTCGACATGACGCATCGTCGACGCGGTCTAGGCACATTACTCGTACAGCGAACGCTGCAAGCCATGCAAGAGCGAGGATGTGATGAGGTAGTCCTCGAAACTGAAGTAACGAATCACTCCGCGCTACGAATGTATGAGAAGCTAGGCTTCTTGCGCGACAAGCGTCTCGAACGGTACTACTTGAACGGATCGGATGCGTTTCGACTGCGCCGCCGCCTGGTGCCGCTGCCGATGCCCAACATCGACTCACCAGCACCCCAGCTGCCATTGAATCAGAAAACGTCGGAACCCGAGAGAATCACCGAAAGCTACTCTGATTGAAAAGAGCGTTCGAATACGGGCTTTTCACAAGTGTTCCCGTGATTTGCATCCAGGTCCTAGTTGCTGTCGTCGAATATAATCTATACATCATCTCTGGGGAAGCCTGGGCTCCACCAGAAACGCGTTTGAAACAGTGTTTAGATGCGTATGTTCTTCGCGAGCTGAACGTCGCAGTACGACGCCTTCCATCGACTAACGTAAGTTGATGATGTGCCGCAGGCTACATCGCGAGGAACTCGCGCTTCTCGGATTGATTGCGCGATTTTATCCATTGTCGAGTAGGGAAGATACGCGCGGAAATCTTCCCTCTAGCCTCGAGTGGGTCATAGCGTTATCACCAACGCGATGCAGCCCACAAAGTTCTATTTGATGACATTTCACGTTGCGGAGTATATCTGCAGATGGCTTGTACGTGTGCGCATGTGCACATGTACATGCATCTACATTGGCATTACCGATTGTCATAGCGTTATTACCAACGCGATGCAACCTAGAAAGTTCTATTTGATGACATTTCACGTTGCGGTGGATACCTGTGGATAGCTCATGCATGCATGCATGCATCATTGCATGTGTCCATGCGTGCACGCGCACGCATCTCCTTGGCGGCGGCGGCGGCGGCAATGAAGGTCATGGAGACACCTTGTATAACGATTGCGTTGCCGGGGTCCATGAGATGTTCTGCATGCCGCGTCAACTTTGACCTTTAGTTTTCGCTACTATCTTTGTGCGAGCTCGAGTGGCAAACTGTCGCGTTCGTTGCTTTTCAGCCTTGCGATTCCGTTCTTCAGGAATTCATTCATCCAGAGCCATTGCCTCGAACAGGCAACCTATGAAAGAAGCAAAGCTCATGGCGGGTGAAGTACTCGAGCGCTGGCCGGAGCCGACCTCTCTTCATGCACTCGTTGAGCGGCTGTTCGTCGAGCTCTTTAGATATGGCTCTTTATCAGCAATCGCGTTTCATTTCGACTTCAGTCTTGGAGTTCTGGAGCTGCACTGGCGCACAATCCCCGATACGAACGCGGCACCGTCGCTTGACGTGAAGGATTGGCTCACGAACTGCTGCACGAGAACGGTTTTGGCTGCTTCTAGCCTGCGGATAGAGGGTGTATTCGCTCACCGTCCGATTATACGTCGCCAGCTCGAAGCGCAAGCCGGTCGGCTAGCCTCAGAATTGCTTTCGACCGTGTTGCGTCCGTGGGCTGCCCTATACGTAAACGTCTCGTGGGAGGTAGCTCTCATGGGAAGCGGCACTCTCGCCTTTGCGCGGCACTTCAGATGGGATAATCCGAATGACGAGGCAGCATCCGAGCAGCCATGGCTCCATCGAATGCGCCAATTGCTGAACGAAACAGCGGCTGTTGTGCGGTTTTCCACACACGTCATCGCGGGGAACTTGCCCGCGAGCCCGATGCCATCAAGATCGGCATCGGGTGAATGGCATCTTGCTCTGGTCCACGGCTTCCGCCAATGCTGTTGGATCTTTGGCTGGAACGGGCGACCGTTGAAGATCGACATCGAATGTCTGCAGCGGACGCTCGGCGTTCCGCATCGCGAGCAGCTTGCTTGCGGCATTGCACAGTGGCGTGACGGAAACGCTACATGGGGAGCATTCCAGGCAGATGGCTTCGATCATGCCCGAACAGCGGACTGCTGGTTGTGCAGTGGCCCAGCCGAATCATGCGAAGTGTTCCAAGCACTTCAGTTAAAGCTACGAGAACTCTTGGGGGTAAGCACCTCCACGTTGCAAACGGATTCGGTCTGGGGTAGCGTGCGCGAGCAAGCGCTGGCCAGTATCACTGCGTCTCGGCGGTCGTGCCAGCGACACGATGTCGTGCCGTCAACCGCGTCACTCCGCGATCCCGTACTCGCAGATGGCATTACGTCGACGACCCGCGCGCTGGCATTCTCCGAGACCCTCGGCCGACCGCGAACGCCGCCAAGCCGATGCCGCACGCGTCCTTGCACGCGAGATACGTCGAACTTTCCGCCGTCGCTGAGCGTCTTCACGACGCGCGCCCTTGAGCGCCTACAGCCGGGCTGGGAGAGCGACCTCTACGGGGCGCAGGGACACTGCCCTGTGCCGATCCTCCCCGACCTTGACAATGCGCGCGTTGATCCCACAGCTGCCAGAACGGCGGTCCAACTCCACGCCCGTGAACTTGAAGATGCAGTTGTCGTCGGTCAATTTGATGCCAAATTCATTGTGTTCCGAGTGCGCTCTGAAATTTTTCTATTGGATCAACACGCAGCGGATGAGCGGGCTCGTTTCGAGCAACTCACGCAGATGTATCAAGAGTCACTGGACCCCCGGAAGTACCCAACTGCTCTGAATCGCAGCGTTTCTCTTCGGGTCCCGTTGCTTGTCGATCTCGGTTCTCGTTGCCTATCTGCAACGACATGTGCATTCCTGCGGCATTTTGGATGGTCCTGGGATGAAGCCTCATCCGAAAAGCCAATAGATACGCATATAGCGAGCACAGCTATCGCTGGTACTGAGCACCGATCGACTCTTCGAGTTCGCAGTGTGCCAAGCGTTCTCGGTCAGCAGCCGCTCCTCCAAGCTTCAGATCTGCTCGAGTGCATTGACTTGATGTTGGAAACGGATCACGCGGTTAGCATGGTACCTGCTGCACAGCGAGTCCTCGAAACGCTTGCTTGTCGTCACGCCATCATGTTCGGTGACCGTTTGGATCTCGCAGCCTGCCAACAGCTTTTGAAGCGTTTATCGAAATGCAGGTTGCCTTTCCAGTGCGCCCATGGGCGACCTTCGGTAGCTGCTCTGAGCTGCCCGAGGCGACCCCGGTGATCGCCAATTCAGTGCTGCATCACCGAGAAGCTTGCGACAGAGCCTGCTTTTCTGTGCTTAAAGCGCTAGTTTCGTCACTCACGTATATCGACAATGATACTTGTGGACTTGTTTCGGCTTTTCCATTGCGCGTGTTTGCAGGTTCGGAACAAACGCTAGCCATGCCGATGTTGCAGAGTTGGTTCGAAATCCACTAAACATGCCGCTTCACCATACGGAAGCACCAGCAAACCCATGAATGCATGCACGACCAGCGTGGACTTGGTCAACGGTTTGCAGGGCGTTCCCGTCGACAGCCCTGATGCGCGTACTTGAAACCGAGCTGGGTTAGCGTTCGGGCTTCACGTATATGCAAAGACCAGCATACCGCGTATACTCCGATGCTCGCTCCGTACACTATCGAGTACAAAGCAAATATCCAATGTACATTTTGTACATGATTGGAATCGCCGCTTATCAACATACTATCTCCGTCCGTGCAAAAGCGCCAAAACAACGCGGCGCATTTTTTCATACGCTACCTCAATATCATCATTCACAATACGTAAATCGAAACCTGTAATTTTCTCAGCGATATCCATTTCCTGGCGGGCGGCCTCCAGGCGCCGATCGAGTTCCGAGGGACTCTCGGTCTCGCGCCGCCGGAGTCGCTGCTCGAGCTCCATCAGCGAGGGCGGTGCAATCCAGATATAGAACGCATCCAATTCCTGTCGATCCATCATGGTTTGTGCACCCTGCAAATCCAGACTCAGAATGCAAACTCGAGGCGATGGCGATTGCGTAACAGCTCGCACAGCACCAAACGTCGTCCCGTAGTAGTTGCCGTAAACGCAGGCATATTCGATGAATTTGCCTGCGGCGACATCCGCCAAAAAATTTTCCTTCGACACGAAATGGTAAGACACACCGTCAACTTCTCCTGGACGCGGCGCTCGCGTTGTTGTCGATACCGAATAGCCCAGATGGTTCGGAAACTCTGCTAGAAGCCGCCCTATGAGCGTCGACTTGCCCACCCCAGAAGGGCCAGTTACCACAATGGCGGTTACAGCAGGCGGATTTCGCGCCAAATCTGGCAAGTTGCGGGCGCTGCGTGCAGCGCGTCGCGACGCCACGTCATGGTTGGAGGCGTATTCTGCGTGCTGTGATGCTGCATTGCGCGCTGCGCTCGCTGGTGCGATGCGTGCTGCCTCTGCATAGTCACGTATGGAAACATACCATAGGGGTATCTTGTACGAGAGAAACCCCAAGATGCATGAAAAGACCTGACTCGATGTCAGCGTGCCTCGCTGCGATAGCACGAGGCTCAGGATTGCCACCATGGGCGCCGCATAGCGCGCAGCAGAGAAGACGGACACCGCGCGTGGCTGCTCGGTGGTACTCGCTGGAGCTGCCGCAGCGCCAGCCAGATCAGTGGATCCAGCGATGGGCTGCAGGCGATCAACGGATCGCTGTAATAAGCGAAGATAGAGGACGCCAGCCGATGAGCCAGCCGCAAAAGCGAGAGCGTCGGCGATTCCCGCGCGCAGGAAACAAACACAGACGCCAATGCCGGACGTAACGAGTGTGCCCTGCAGGAGCCACCTCTTCAATTTCTGGTACTCTTGCAGGCCTTGGTCGCGCTCGGCGATCATCTCTGGGCTCAGCGGTGCGCTCCTAGCGGGTGGCGGAAGCGCCTCTAACGTCCACACTCGGTTCTGTGGGTCATACGCTACTCTGTCGCATACGACGATTTCGGTGCTCGTGCGCCATACTGTTTTTCGATTCGAACTCTCGATGAACTTGTTGGTATCGCCGACGCGTTCTAATGGCTTTATATCTGTAATAACCTGGACAGAGTTCGCACGTGGTGTGACGCCCTCCACAACGCCTATGAGACGCTCCTCTCGCCATCTGCCTGGATAGAGCACAATATCTCCAACCTGTGGATCGTTACGTATCGCGTTCGCAGCGTTGTCTTGCTGCGCTGTCAACATCCGACTGGTGCTGTGTGGGGCTGCTTCCTGAGCGCCTCGCTGAAGCAGGCGAACTTGAGGGGCTCGCAGCTGGGCTCTCCGGCTTCTACAACCTAGCGCTGGACGCCGACTGGTGCTTTCACTGCGTCGTTTTTCGGAAGCGCGTCGCCTCAGCGAGTGGTCAGTCACCCGGCACGCTGTCGAGCGCAGCAAGGGCACGAAACTGAAAGTTGAGCGCGGTGGTCCACGGTGTGCTGGGTACCGCCTTCGTTCAACGCGACGCCCAAGTCCCCAAGGCGGTGACTCGTATAGTCGCCGTACGTTCGGTGACATGAAGGTAAAGAAAGACTCAACGAGAAGGCGAACGAGTCAACACACTGCGAGCGGCAGCCAAGTACACTCGTCCCTGTCCGGAAATCCGCATTGCGCAGTGGAGGCAATGCATTCTGCGTCGCTGGCGCCTGTTATGGATCGTCCTCGGCGCTTGCGCTGTCCTTCATCCATCCAAGATTATAGTCTTTCAGCTCAATTGTGTTTCAATCCCGCTGCGGTTCGTAGCAGGAGATCGATATTATAATGCAATATACCGGCTAAATCGCAGACGAATTGCATGCAGGTTATATTCTTTTCTGAGTAGTTCAAGGAGATTTGGATTGCTCCTCCTGGCCAGTCATATCATAGGACTCTGATGGTTCAGGAACACTGAAAGAAACAAGAATATAGGCTCTGCATCAAAAACATGAATTCTCAAGGCGTGCTTGCGGTAAATGGTAGAAAACGGTCCGTCGATCAGCCTACGGAAAGCGAATAACGATAACAGTTGCTGACATGGGCGTTTCTGTTTCTCTGCCCTTGTTGGTGCGCTCCTGAAAACGCTGGGATCCAATCGCACATAAAGTCCTACCACACGAACAGCCATCATCCACCGAGTTCGCAACTACAGAGTTCCTGGAACGCAGCGATCGGTATGAATCACAGGAACGTCGGATTGTTTTCACAGTCGATGAGACTTTCTTGGGACGAAACGGTCGGAGCGTATATGGATATTCGAGGTGAAGGGAGCCCGCTGTATCCAGAATCGAACTCGAAGAGAACGAGGATATTACCGTCTGTTCTAGATGCAGAGGATTCCAGTCGCGGCCTCAGTTTCGCTCGTGGAGGAGGCTCATAAGACAGCATCCACTTTGTCGAATCATCGAAGACTTTCACCCTGACTCCTGGCGACTTCCTTCTATTGGACAACGTGGCATTTGACTATTCGCTTTGCGTTCGGGCTCTTGCCTATTCTATCGGGTTTAGAGCTGCTTCTCATTCCTCGATACGCTCCGTGGCTGATTCAGATGAAAGTATCGTTTTCTATTGTGAAACCTAATGAGCGCTGCACCAAGCGGATTCCCAAAGCGTTCCGCACCCGGCGACACAAAGGCGCGTGTAGTCTTTCTTCCGTCGGTCCGTCTCCCGCCAGAAAGGTCCTGAAATAAGGGCATGAATAAGTGCGTCCATTTTCAAAAAAATCCAAGCGAAAGGCATGGACATGGAAGGCGAGGATCCTGGAGGGCAGTCATTGGTGGATGCCGGAAAAGAACAAAAAGACTCATCAGCTCTCTGACCATCGAGCAGAGAAGAGCATATGACAACGACGACGAAGAAGAAGAGGAGAGATGTGCAAGAAATGAGGTTTGCCCGTCGAGGCGACAATGAGACTGTAGTGACTCAGCGGGCATGAGTTCAAGGAATCCTCGCATTGATGAGTTCCACCTCCGGCAATACACGCATGCCGTTCAGGAACCGAAACTTCAACGCCGCCATCAATACCAGACGATTTGTCGTACAAAAGACGAGAACCGAGAAGCTGACACAAGCGAGCTTTTCGGGCAGCCTCTCAGGGTCGAGATGTACGGCGAGAAAGTGAAGTCGATAGCAGGCGGCCTTTCGCACAGGGCTGGGATGCCTTTGTGAGTAGGTGTAAATATGTACGCTGTGGTGGTTGAGCATTTTTGTTTTCAACATCACGTGTAGAAGGCAGGCCTTGACAACGACTTCAAATTGATTTTTCCGATTTGAGAGTTTTGCTTTCCTGTCCTTCCTGGTCCTCTTCTCGGAGGAAGCTTTCTCTTCTCTGTCTGGTGGATTCGTTTTTTCTCCGTTACCTGGCAGGGTGGCATTGATGTGGTCGATAGTCAGTACGTCCATCGAACCGGGAAGAAGAGGCTTGCACGAACAGCCGGATCGGCACCATTCGCAGCTTTCTATACATTGAACGTTCGTGATTGATGGAATGCGATGTTGCCCGACAACAGGACAGAAGAATTTGGGGGAGCGGAATCTTTGAAGAGTGCTTCAACCAACGATATATTGATGTACGATCCCGTCCTTTGGGCGGTTTGTCAGCGACCACTCGATCGAATCACCACCAGGGCGAATGCTTACCTTATGCTCATTTCTTTTTTCTTTTCGAACACTGGTACATGGAGACTCCTCGAGCACCCATTTGCAGGAGTACCATTTCTCCCGAATCGGCTCTGATCGAGTGAGACAAACACATGCACTTTCTGTTGGCAGCGATCACGATTCAGGACAAAAACGACAGCAGGTGGTGTAGAATGTGCGACGATCACCCGCAGAAGCGTACTTGTACCTGTGTCCGCTCGTGTCTCTTCATAGCCAGTCGTTTGAGCGGTACAGAAACTTCACATACTGTGGCTACTTCCATAGTATTTCTCAAAAAACGGATGAAGTAGGAAGGGCTGATAAAGAGAGATTCATTGGGATGGAGTCTGGGAAGTGCTGCTATGGGTGCAGCACTTTCTGTATATGGGCGGGGTGAAGGGTGCCAGAGCCACTTGCTGAGCGTCGGATAACTGACTTGGACATGCAAGACCGTTTCACCGTATGCGACGAGCGACAGCGCCATGACATTCCTCGACTTTTAGCCAATCTGCAACATTCATTCGCTTTGCTCAATCTTCGCATGAAACACGGGCAAAACAGAAAAGGCTCGCTGGTGCAGGTATCCCAGAATTCACTGCTCTGAGTATAATGCCCTTTGACGGGTAGCAGAGCTTCTTTAGCACCGATCTTTCTGCCAGAATGAAGCGTGCAGTGAGAAAAAACTAGGGCCCACATCTCGTGCTCCTACCTGCGTATTTTTCACGCACACAAGAACGAACAGCCTCTTAGCTCATTCTCAGTTTTCTATGCACCCAGCGCACGGACGCTTCTCGTTCTCGTATCTGAGAATGTTCGACGAATCATGACGGGATGCGAAGTGTTTTACTAATTTATCAGTGTTTCGGCGACTCGGCTGCTGGCCAATAAGCTTCTGTCAACGTCCTAGATTGGTTGCTATTGAAGCCATCCGAGGATAATTCCAAGCGGTGCAATGCAAGAGGGGGCACTCGAGCCGAATTCTCGCCTCAAAGAAAAAATTCTCGATTAGCTCGAATAGCCACGATTATGCTTGAGTCTTGAGGCACGAGCTCTCATGCTGACCCATATCCTCCGTAAACTCAGGTGGAATGTATGCAGCGATTACACCAACCCACTCAAGAGCGATCGGCAAGCTAGGGAATCGCCCCGAGTGCCGGGTGCACTCCTTTCGTGCGCTCAGCGACGCCGGATGACAAGCACTGCATAAGTCTTCCACGGAGCAAACGATAAATAAAAGCTATCCACCGGATGTTCTCATCATCCTGTTGATTTTTGCGTGCGAACAGCAGCGTTCGACATGAGCCAGCACTCAACTGTCGAATACTGATCCAGCACGACAGGTCAAGCATCGCGTCAAAACACCAGCCTACGAGAGCAAACGAGTTTTTCGCCACAGCGAACGGCATCCGTGGAGTCTTTGGCGTCTCATACCAGTGTCGACATCCTATCCACGTTTCCGATACGAATCATGGAAAGAGCACTCACCGGACTCGTGATGCATCGGCCGCGCGAATCGCTCCCCATGGAAAAATTGGTAATTGTTCCCGGGCTTGACGCTCCGCTGCTCTCCAATTGGAGCATTCTCCATAGCTAACGCATCGAACACTTATGCTTCATCCTCATCTACACCAGATTCGAGTTCCAGCTCCTCGTCTGCCAGAGACTGATGAACAGGTCTGGGGGCTTTGGCAGCGCTTCGTGCGCGCTGTTTTCGTCGCGTTCGCTTCCGCCCGCCGCGTCCACGTCGTTTTTCCCACGGGCGGGGAACCGCAACCGGCCGCAAGTAATCATACAACAGAGGTGTCGTGTTCGATGCCTCTGTTGTATGCCACGCGGCGCAACGTGCTTCTTTGCGCCACAGGTCGAGGAGCTCCGCGTGTGCCCGAGCACCCATTTCACCCCTGCGATCCGTTGTTGTGCTCTCAAAAAGATCGACCCGAGCCATGAGTGCGATGCTGTTCGCTATTTTTCGGGCAATGCACCGAATGCGCCGTACGTTTGTTTCCGATCCGACCGCACCTGCGTTTTCTAAACCTGCAAGAATCTCACGGAGAAGGCTGCATTGAAAAATGGCCCCCCGTAGACACCGGGGGCCATAGAAAACGTACGTATCCCGCGCTCCGATGAGGCGCAACTGATCGGAAGGAAGTTTGGCCAAGGCCTCGAGGCCGCCGCACTCTGCGAGCACTCGCACCGCAAAGTTCTTCCCCGTCAGTGCGCACAAGTTGGGCGCCACAAACTCCACTTGGTCAAGTAATCGCATCATGAGCTCTTTCTCTTCCATCAAAAAACGCTTACTTCTCTGAATCAGTCTTGCAACTTGCTCCCAATCAGTCAGTGGCGGACCCAGTCTCCGGAGCAGCAGTGCAAGCCCCATGCTGACCTCTGGCGGCCACGAGCGCTCGCCAAGCACCGCTATGTCGATTGGTGGCGAACGGTTACCCAGAGCCTCAACGATTTCGAGTCCAAAAACTGGATCGCTCGTCAGTGTTCCCAAGCCCGGTAAGCGTTGTTCATAGGCGGCAAGCACTTGTCGACAGATCTCGCAAAGCCGGGAGTGCGTCTCCCGCACCGCTGCAGCGTTCCTCTCGAACGTTCTTTTCGTTTCCGAAAGCGTTTCCGCAGAAAACTTTACATCCTTAACAACTTTTTGGGAATCTTGGCTGGTTAAAAGCGTCCTGGCAGAAACGCCAGTGCTCATCAAACCCGAAAAGAGGCGACTGCAACTGCGGTATTTGTCGTAGGAACGGCAACGCGTTCCGACGCGTGCGTTGCACTGCGGCTCCAGCACAAACCTTCTTGTTGACGCGTATTACGTAGCACCACAGCGTTCTGACCTCGCCTCACGAGATTTTTACAGACTTGTTCGGTCGCAGTGGTAAGCCAAGACAGAGAAAACGGCACAGGCTTCGGGTGGACCGGGCAGAAGCCGATGGTTTCCGCAGGCCCCCCTCAGCGAGCCTCAACGGGTGGCGGCGGCGGCTCCGGCGGTGGCAGCAGCAGCAGCAGCGAGGACTCAATGAAACCTGCTGAGCTACCGGACCTTGCAGTTTGGCAGCCGATTTCACTGGTGCCTGCTCGCTTACGAAGTTCACGCCACAGCGTCTGGGACGCGAACGCGCTCGAAGACACGGTGTCGACGCTCGATGACCCCTGGTCGTTGCTCTCTGCAGCTTCGAAGCTTTTGGTGGAAAAAAGTCAGGGCAAGCGCCCGGAATCTGAGCAAGGCGCTCTCTACTCGCAGCGAGACGCAGACATAAGCGCTTTGGCTCCTGTGAAAGGTCTCCCACTTGAGTGGCTTCCGCAGCAGAGCCTTCGGAGCTTTGGCCTGCGAAACCTCGGAAACACCTGTTATGCCAATGCCGTTATCCAGGCGCTGCTGCATACGCCACCGTTGGTGCTGAAAGCGCTCTCCGATGGATGCGCCAGCGCCACTCCGCATACAGGCTTTTTCGATGCTATGGCAGCCTTCGTGCGTCTCTGCCGACAGCTGCTCGTTGTACGTCCCTCCGGAACGAATGCAGTTGCCCCGACGGAAATCATCCGCAACTTACCCGCAATCTGTCGAAGGTATCGAGTCGGACGGCAAGAAGATGCCCATGAGTTTCTCCGATTTCTCTTGGAGAGCATAGCGAGAAGCTGTAGTCGAAGGGGTGAGCGTCGTCTCCCTTCACAACAGGTCTCCAGTGATGAGCTGGTTGCTTCCGATTGTAATCATGGGACAGGTTGGATTACCCGCATTTTCGGAGGCCTACTCCGCAGTCGTGTCATATGTCGAACATGTCAGCACAAATCGTATCGAACTGAGCGGTTTTTGGACCTCAGTCTAGATTTTCGGCAGTCGGCCTCGATCTCCAAGTGCCTCGAACATTTCGCAGCGACGGAGTTGCTCGCAGGCCGAAATCGCTATGACTGTGCGGCATGCCACGGTTACAGCGATGCGGAGAAGCAAATCCGCATTCGACAGGCTCCTGTTGTGCTCACGCTGCATCTGAAGCGCTTCCACGCGCTTCGAAAACTCTCTGGTGTTGTGCGCTTCTCCGAGTGGCTCGATCTGCGACCCTATATGGCTGAGGAGTTTGTGGCAGGCCCTGTGATGTATCGACTGTTTGCAGTGATCGTACACGAGGGCCATTCGCTGTCCAGTGGCCACTACTATGCATTTGTTCGGAGTGCCAGTGGTGCCTGGTTGCGATGTGACGATGAGCACCTGTCACGAGTCGGTATAGGCTCGGTTTTCGCGCAACAGGCGTACTTGCTGTTTTACTTACGCGTGGATGCTGTACCGGGCGAAAGCGCTATTGAGACTTCGGAGGTATCGACCGCAACATCTGAACCTGATACCAAAATCTCAGGTGGGGTTTCGACGGCCCCTGATTTCCAGGCGAGGCAAAGCAAAAAACCGCGATCAGAAGTGAAACGATTCGAGTCGTGAGTGTGTGTAGGCGTGCATCACACAGCGACTTGGAGAACTGTCTGGATTTGGTACGCGAGTCTAGCCGCAGTGACACCAATACTAGGTGATAATCTAAATAGGTTGTACCTGACGGTGCATCTAGAACGCCATTTACAGCTTCCGAGACGTCCGTACTAGATGAATTTCCGGTATGGTTATAGATGAAGGCACATTTTGTAAGCACTTTTTTCCGCCAAGATATCCGGAACAGGCTGCGCTCCTGTAAAGTTCCAGTTGTCGATATATTGGCGTTTTCAGCGAACCGCCTCGCGAGACCTGCGCGATTTCCTTTGAAGACTTGTGTTGAAGTGTATCGCTATGGCACGGTACCGCTCTGAACTCCGGACCGTCCTCCGGATTGCTCACGAGCGTGTCAGTTCAGGTTCATTCGCAAGTCATTGCGAGCTTCTGCGCTCCTCGAGCGACCTCTACTGAAACAGGTCTGTTTCCATTCCGTGCAACCGCCAGTGCCGATGACGAATCGCCTCTGGCTGTGGGTGCGGATCTCTTGAGCGATGCTCTACTCATTGGTCAGAGCCCGGTGTTCAAGGACTCGCAGCATTTGACCCGGATCCAACGCACCAGAAAGCGGAGGTAGAGCTAGGTTTTTTACCAGTCTCTATGTAGACGCAGCTTATAGTTTGCATTAGGCGCTTTGCTGACAGCCAGTTCCCGTTGCGCGCCAAGTGGTGCTGGATCCGATGCCATCTCGACGAGACTCGCGTAGCCTATGCAGCTGAGTCGATGAACTATGAATTGCCCGACGCTGAGCTGCTAAATACTATAAATAGATGTCTTTGCTCCTTGACGCTAGCATCTTGCATTTCATGGTCAATACGAGCACGAAATCGATTGCTGCCCCTGAGAGTCATACGGACCCACGTGCAGCATCTGGTACATATGAAATCCTCTGGAAAAAGCCTTTTCCTGGGATATCTGGGGAGCATGGACATCCTTCCCAGCTGCTCAGCGGGGAATGGTAGGCACGTGCATTGCACCAGCACTTTCGCACTCAATGCCGCGACAAATTCGGGATACGAAAAGTGGCACGCGCCCGACGCATACATCACGAAAGGCTCTTGAGTGTAGCCCTCGTTCCATATCAGATTCAGATGGATCACTGAGGTGCTCGCGCTGTTCCCCAATGTCGACTCTTTTCAGAACTTTTTGGTGATGTACAGCCTACATTTTCGAAATGGATCAATAGGGGCTCACGAATTCATACGTATTTCTGGAATGCTCGGTCGCCGTTTTGGAGTGACTCTTTCGACGCGTTGCTGCTGGTATTAGTTGCTTCGCCATCATCAGGGCGATTCACGATGCTTTCGAACTAGGGTAAGAAACGTAATCGATATTATGATCCAGTTCACACCTGGGAGCTTCCACGCTTCCGCGTTGCATTCGTGCTGTATACCCAAATGACGTACTCTTCACGTTTGCGATCATTCTGTTTCAAGCGAACTTGTGGGCGCACAAATTGCAATACTGGATATTCGAGCAAGCAGAATACTCGACGTCGTCCTTTGACGATTCCCTCACGTGCTCGTTTCAGAACAACACGGAGCGTCTTATTTCAAACAATCGTTTCGGGTGCAAACCCAAATTCTTCTCTGCTTGGGGCCATCGACGAAACCGCATTCCACAGCACAACGATACCTCTGCAAGTACATGCCCTCAATGGCTCACATCGTTTCCCTTTGAATGGGACAAGGTCTTGGACTTTTACTTCAGTCATCGCAGGGATCGTTTCCAGCGGAGTATGCGTAAACGCCGTACGCGAACGGCGCACAGACTGATCGAAGTCTCTCGAGTTCTTCTTTAGACTGGATTTCGCCTGCAGTACTTGTTTCATCATGGACCAGCACCCTCTCATGGAGCAGCACGCGCTTGCACGTCCAGAGTACAGGGTACTCGCGAACAAGTCGGCCAGAGCAAGCTCGTGATTGCAGGTTACAGCATCCAGCGGGAAAACGGAGGTGCATCGGAGAGACACGTTTTGTATCCGTCGACGGATTGTGCCGAGCGATGGAGAAAGCGTTCATCGGTCATGGAGCGCCCCACGAAGGTTGAGATACGATGGAAATATGGGAACACATGAGCGCTACAAAGAGCACACCGAAGCTGTATGCAAGGGACATGAAAATGGCAGGCGAACCCCGTAAGTCGTTATGGCAACCCTGGCATGAAATGCTTACAAAACAGCCGGGAGCGTCGGAATAAAAAACTTTAACGCTGCGATGAACATCACTTGACTGCTAATACTAGTAAAGAGAGGGAACTGAGTCACCAATGTATTTAGAGCCGAAAATAAAAGAGAGTGAACGGCACTAATCACAGAAATCGTCCACAAATGCTTGTGTTGATATTCCACAAAAGAAGAAATTCAAACTTCGAATGTACACCCAAGTTATATAAATAGACACGCTCCATTGTATCCCGATATGGCCGTATCCTCGGGTTGTGCACAGCATAGAGCGCGCCACAAAATTTCATCCCGCATGGAACACTGTCCAGCGACTGTGCCTGCTACCTGCTCACCCGGGGCATCGGAGCTGTATACCATCGGACGCCCCATGAGATGAAGCGTCTGCAGCGCCAGTCGACGGATGCGTGCCACCACGAGCATGGATGCACAAAAGTTCAATACGATCTATTTATGTACATTTTGGATCGAAATGGTTCTGCGCGGAGATACACGCACTGGCGCTTCTATCTCGGCAGCTACGGCCACGCGTCCGTGCCATCGCGAGCGCGCGGCTCTCGGCAGGCTGGACGTGAAATAGCTCAAATTTACGCCTTATCGAGTAGTTGTCCTTGCGTAGTCTCTGCTCCACAACCTATCTGACGCATGGCAAACGAAGACAAACCGGGAGCAACCCAAGAAACTGGAAGAACTAGTCGACTGCAGGATATGGCCGAGCGGTTCATGGCGGCGGGTGTCGGTACGTCGAGAGCCGGTTTCGACTTCGCACCGGAGGCAAACGAGACGAGCCCCGAGGGCGGGGTCCCGATCCCTGGGGCCGGTTCGCCACCTCGAAGTAGCAGTCCCATGGCTCGCTCACCCTCGCAAGATATCTGGAAACGCACCTTTCATCCTGGCGGTCGCTCGCCACCAGATCGCAGTCTTTTCGACAGTGCAAGAGAGCACGTCGAAGGCGCGGCTAGCGGTCAGAGTGTAAGTGAGATATACGCCCAGAAACGCAACCAATATTATGTTGCGCCTCGAAAGGACTGAAGATTTTCTGGTGGCCTTGGAAGCGTCTGAGAACGAATTGGGCGAAAACTCCTGGTGCGGCGAAACACGCGTCCGAACTAGGAAGCACCTAGTCTGGTGTCTACCGTGCGCGTCGATAGTGTCGATGCTTTAGCAACTTGCCGAGAGTCATGTTTTCATGACTTGCGTAAAGGGCTCTTTAGTGTTTTGGAAATGGACTCCTGATATGCCTTCTCGAACTGATGTCGTACCGATCCGAACTCGGAGCGGGACTTGCCGCGCGGTTGTTCGGCTCGCACGACTCCCCGCAAAGCGCGACGCATGGCGTGCAGGCTGCACTGTTAGCGTACCTGCGCGCTCACGTAGCGAGTCTTGAGGCCCTGTGGACGAGACACGGGTTCAAATACAGGATACATAGATTCGAAGCGAGCCTCCGATCCACTTGAAGCGTCATCTCAATGCGAGCAACCCTTTCGACACAAGATTCCAGGATACAGCTGGTCTGCTGCGCACATGACCAGAGCCACGGCGAGCGTCATGACTGCCACCTTGAGGTAGCGCAGCGTGTTTCTCACGAACGACCTCGGCCATGAGCCGCAGGTCACCAAGTCCACACTGGATATGCTCGCCGTAGCGACACGTGTGACGAATGCCGGCTCCCGCTGCCGTCAGCGGCGATAGCAGCTCTCGATATTCACGGAGCGTGAGATTGGTGTGCATGCATCAGCAGTTTCCCATAATGTATGGATAAAAGACTCGTTTGCTCGTCATTCACGGCTGGTGTCCTTGTGGCAAATTCCGCGTTGTGACCGTTTTGCCCATATAGGCGCATCCAGAGACCGCTCGCGACGCATATATCTAGTCGAGGTACCGTCCAGCCTAAATATTGCAACATGCAGATCACACTTATGTATTTCACACGTGGAAGCATTTTTTGCTCCAGTAACCACACAAGTGGAGATGGATCCTGGCTTCCACCGCGTATCGTTCCCATGTTACGAATGCAAGCGGATATTGGAGACAGAGCGTAGCGGCTGACACAAAGAGCGATTGGCGGAGCAAAGGGTAACTCTACCTCGACATTTGCAAGCACGCATGACCAGCATATTGGCAACAAGACTTCCGTGTGCGGCCTCGCAAGCGATACTGGTGTGGCTTTTCTACGTGGAACCCCACCGTGAAGTGCACTAATCATGCGGGCACGATGCGCAACCACGACGCTTCTAGTGTACGCTTGGGTGCGTTTCTCGAACGGATGACCTTAAGGTGCCACTGGGGCAAGCTCTTCTACGCCCATTGCCAGTGAGGATTCCCCCTTACCATGAGAGGCGCGCCCTTGAGGGCCAGCACCTTTACCCATGTACGAGTATTCTCCTCTGCCAGATTTTTGAGCCTTCCAGCATCTCGTCGAACTGAGCTGGAGTGATTGGCCAGATACTGGCCTGTAGAACGCTCACGAACACAACGTGGGCCGGGTTCACGGCAAGAATGGAGCTCACTGGGGATGATTTCGCGCACGTCGCTTCTCCAGGACAACAACGTGCTTTGGAATGATACGCTTTGCATTCAGGGACTGGTCTAGACTTGTACTCCATTCGAGCCGATGAGGCCAATCTCCCCTGAGCGAAACAGTGACGCCATAATTTCGGAGCATGCGCAAAGAAGCAGCGTAGGAAATGGGTCCAATGCTCATTCATGGACTGAAAGGAGCATCATTCCCGCCGAATCCAACGCATATGTGTGCTCTCCTAAATCGATACTTGAGGCCGCTACAAACGCTTACCTGCTTGTTGTTGACCGGGAATTTCTCTGAAGCGCGGAGCTTCCGATGGCGATTGTGAATCCCTGTGCCGATCCATACTGCCGTACTTGTTGTTGACCGAGAATTTCTCTGAAGCGGGGAGCTTCCGATGGCGATTGTGAATCCCTGTCCCGATCCATACTGCCATACTTGTTGTTGACCGAGAATTTCTCTGAAGCGCGGAGCTTCCGATGGCGATTGTGAATCCCTGTCCCGATCCATACTGCCATACTTGTTGTTGACCGAGAATTTCTCTGAAGCGGGGAGCTTCCGATGGCGATTGTGAATCCCTGTCCCGATCCATACTGCCATACTTGTTGTTGACCGAGAATTTCTCTGAAGCGGGGAGCTTCCGATGGCGATTGTGAATCCCTGTCCCGATCCATACGTCCGTTATGCGTCCACGCTCGGCGCATGCGATGACTCGTCGGCAAGAGGCCTTGTCAAGCTACATCGGGCACGTGAATCGATCCGTCGTTCGCCAAGACACCCAAACACTCCACCAGACCTATGAGCGAGGGTCAAGCACAGCGGACCTTCTCCGGACCCACTCGTGAACTTCAGGGCAATTGCCTTGCTTCGTTTTCGTACTCCTGGGGCGAGCGACTCGCATGCAGTCTATGTTTGATAGCGGGATCACCAACCCCTGCACATTAGGCGCGCACGACAAGCTCGGCTCTCGTTGGAACACACAAAATCACAATAATTTCTGGGGAGCAGTATGTCTGGCATCAGGTGAAACTCGTACCTAGAGCGGTGAATCATGGATGCGCTGCGGTATGCAGATACCAATCCCGGAATCGGGGATCTCTTGTCAGTGGCATCGGTCTGTTGATCGAAAAAAAAAACTGAACCTCCACGAAATCGAGTTCAACGCGGCGCCAAATCATTCAACGTCGTTTCTCTGCAACAGCACGCAACTACGGTACTGTTTCCAAGCAAGCCGGGGTCTGCTCTTGCCCCGCACTGCCGCCGCTGGAAAGAACTGCTTGTGTACCTGTTTCACCAATGTCTTCCACTCACGCCAGCTTACAGGTTTCAGAGGATTCAGTGAAGAAGCCCCTGGTGGTGGAGCGTGGTAAAGATTGCGCCCCCTCAAGGCCGAGTCTCTGGAGGCGGCTCGTACAGCACGGCAGCGCAGAGTACGTCACCGTAGGGAGTATGTGTCTTAACTTTTTCTCCTCTACTTGTATTGTGGTCGCGAACAAGTACGCGATGGATTCCCTGGGTTTTCGTTATGGATCAACTCTTACGCTCTTTCACTTTATCTGTACCTCAGCGCTTCTATACGTCAGTTCGCGCTGTTTTGGCCTGTTTGAACGAAAGCCGTGCGAGCTCTACAAGGTGGCAAAGCTCGCTGCTGGCGCTGCGGGCTTTGTCGTGCTGACCAACCTCTCCCTTCAGTATAACTCTGTGGGCTTCTACCAAGTCATGAAAGTGATGACAACGCCGACAATAGTCGTGATCGAGGCTCTCTTTTACCAGAAGCAACTGGAGAACCGGCTGAAGCTAGCACTGACCCCGGTCTGTCTCGGGGTGGTGCTGACGACCGCTACGGACTTTCGACTCAACCTGCACGGGACGCTGATTGCCTCCGCTGGTGTTATTGTAACATCCTTGTACCAGATTTGGTCTGGAACGATGCAAAAGACGTTGCAGTTGGATGCCCTCCAATTGCAGTACTACACGTCGCCTATGAGTGCGCTTTTTCTGCTGCCTTTTGTACCGCTCATGGATAATTGGCGGCCTGGAAGTCCCGATAGCATCTTCGCCTATGCATTCACACCATATCGCCTGGGAGTGATTCTGATGACGGGCGTGCTGGCATTTCTCGTGAACATCAGCATCTTCATGGTCATCGGACGGACCAGCCCTGTCACCTATAATGTTCTTGGGCACGCGAAAACCGCAGTCATTATATCCAGCGATTTCCTCTTCTTTGGTCGTCCAAGAGATCTCCGAAATTTCGCTGGCGTGCTGCTCACCATGATCGGTGTGGTCTGGTACACGCATTTGAAGCTCGAAGACCAGCGTTCTGACGCCAAGTCAAAGGTGAATGATTCATCTGGATCGATTTGCAAGGCGAGCACTGCGAGTCCATGATTCCTCGCTGTGGGTGCGGATATCGCGGGGCAGGAGCAGTTGCGCGCTCCCCACGAGATGGATCAGAGGTTTCTCGGCGGGCGCTGCACCATCCACAGCATATCTTCGTATTCGCCACAGCCGACACGCCCAGTCCTGATCGATAGATTCGTAAAACAGGTACTTGCCGGCCGGCTGTCTGCAGGAATCTCCGCATGTGTCACCGTTGACGAAGATGCAATCCTGCCTCCATCGGAAGCCGCGTATTGGCGGTTTAGCGATCTTCCTGTGACATAATTCGCTCGACGCTTCCGATGGGAGGCATCTCATATTTGAGACATCGGCAGTGCGAGACATTCCAGGCGAGGTAGCATGCAAGCGCGTCTGCGCACTACTGTGCAGTCAAACCATGCGGTCGGTGCGGCTCATTACTGTCTACAACGAGCAGGTCATGATGGGAGAAATCGAGCCCTCAAGGCACCTCGGGCTGCTGGGTTTAAAGCCCGAAAATGAAGCCGGAGCCCCCGGGCCATCGCGCGACACAGCACTCCATATCGCCGCGCAGGCAAGGATCATATTGTGCCTTGGGTTGCTCTGAATGCCGTCCGTATTCAGATCTCTGCAATCGACTAGACGAGCGCTGAATCCGCAGCTTACAGCCCAAGTCTGCGAGGTAAACAGTGGCTTTTCGATTGCCGCCCACCGCACCTGTGATCAGGATGCGCAACCGTTTGTATGATTGGCATCTGAGAGAAGGCGTCAAGAAGCGAGCCATGCGCCCTGCTTGGCCGTCGTGCCATACTTCGACCAGGGCGCACAGGTCATTCACCAAAGGTGATGCATCAGCTGTGAGACATACCCAGCCATAACGAATTTCTTTGGGCGCGGTTATAGCCGCCGGCAAGCGGTCTTCTAAAGGTGTCTTTCGCACACTCCCGCCGATGCACTCATCGCTTCGCGAATGGTAAACAGAGTCTGCATACCAACCACACGCAAAAGATCCAGTAATGAAGCGCTTCTAAATCGGGTCGTGCATCGGCATCGGAGACGCTGCACTAAGGATTCCCAACAAAGAAGCACTTCTGAGCTGGAGCGTGCACCGACATTAGAGAGGCTGCAACGGTAGCTTTCAAACATTTTGGGCATATGAACCGTTCCGAGTACATGCAGACATTGCAGAACGGCCCCATCGCAATATGAATGCAATATGCAAGGCGGTACCCTAAAAACAGCCCGCTTCAGCGTCGATTGTGATACAGCGTCTCCTACGCATAGGATCGCAAGTTTTCATCTGCTGAGACCGCATGCCGAATTCGCCGTCCACGCCGCCTTGAGATCCATTATGGGACACGATTCATGATGCTACGAAAAGAGGCGGCATAGGGCAGCTCGCTCAAGATTCGCTTCGATTGCCTTGGATGCCGACAGGTAGTACCATTCTTTCTTGCTCTGCCCAGTTAAGTAACTCTTTGCATCTCCGTATTCAAAGAAATAAGGTGGCCAGAGCACTCTTGTAGTCGCCTTGTTATATATGACATCCACATCCGCGACGCCTCCCGATTGAATAACCTTGTTCACATCGATTGTGCTCAGACTCGCGTCCAGACGAAACCGCTGAAGAATCTGCTCTGCACCGAGCGCCGATATCGCGTATGCTGCAGTGCCATAAGTTAGATGCCGAATATGGGGCAGCACAAATCTCGCAGTACAATTGATGCCCAGAGTCTCGAGCTTGAGTTCCTCAGAATAGCCAGCACGCAGCAGAGACACCAGCTTCAATTCCATCTGTAAGACTGGTCGGTCTTTGGTACATGCTGCTGCAGCAAGATCGGCAACATTGCTTTCCCATAGCGGCAGAATTTCTAGCGAGGCGTCGTCTTCAAGTAAGAGCGCTGTTCGACAACCCGCACTGCGGACCCAGAGCAGTGCCAGTAAGTGCGAAACGGAGCACGCAACCTGCGCGTCTATTGACTCCAACTTGACCGGACCTGTGAACGCGAAGACGCGTTCCTGTCTTTCTGCCAAGGACCCAGTTTCGGCTATATCCCTTCGGTAAGCATCTTTCAGGTCCACCTCTGAAACGCCTTGCAGGTGCAGCACGTTCGGCTGATGAGCGAACCATTGAACGACTTGCGCGAGCCCCGGGCTCCGTGGCGTCTTCTCGAGGCCTACGACCACGAGACAGTGATCTTTTCTATCCAGCGATAGCTTTTCCAGAACCTGCTCCGTCAGTTCGTCACCTGTCTTCCAAAGGCGAAACGCGGGTTTCTCGAGTGCCGCGCTCACAGAAGGCAGCCGCCGCCGCTGCACGAAAAGGCGCCGGTGCAGCACCAGCGTTGCAGCGATGAGCACCAAGGCTACCAGAACAAGCACCCGCAGGACCCGCCTCGATAACGGTCGACAGACAAGATATTCCATATTTTTGTCCTCACGCATCCTACGAGCTCGGCGACCATACGCTCTGCAGCTTTCTTAGAGCCCTCCAAACTTCGGGGCTACACGTTTCGCACGCATGGCGCCGCACCGGACACGTGTCGCATTCTCATACGAATCGCCAGTGCTCGATGTCGAATCGCCGACGGTGGCGTGTGCTGGGAAAGTGTCCATATGATACATGCTTGTTCTATCTTTGCCATTTATCTTCCTTGCGGGATGGATATTGATGTTCGGGCATGCGTCCATCATGCTTCATGCTCCGTCCAAGTACCATAAACCAAACATTCTTTCGGATATACTGGTCATTCCGTATGTTCAATCGTGCACCAAGTGGCGGCCTTGCTGCGTCCCCAATAGCACCTGTACCGCTGGTACGGATCAAGTACGGAGACAGAACAGCTTTGCCACACCACTAAGAGCGTGGGCCCGAGGCCGAATGTATTCGAAAACCGGGCCGGGATTCGTGATCATGCTGGGAGCCTGTAAGCTGCGCAGACAAAAACTACTGCCTGTGGCAGCGCGAAGCGATGTTGTACGGGTCCAATGCGACCTGGACGACGCCCAGACGCAGCCGATATGCTCCTAGTCCCAGACTAAACTGCGTTGCGGACGAGCTGCTCAGGTGTTACTCCAACGTCCGCCAATGGGGACGCACGAAGCGTTTGCCCAGCAGACTCGTCGAGCTCGCGGGACCTTCCGCCTACAAGGTAGACTTTAGAATTTACGGAAAACATTGCCCGCTTTCAACGCATACCGTTGAGGGGAAAGAAATCGTTATCTCATCGCTAGTTAGTGGTTCGTTTGTGTTCTTTACTATGAGGATCGTTCAACACCTCATCCGTCGTCGATGCTTTCTTCGTGCCCTCTCCTTTGCACGAGAACAATGAATCTCCGAGCGGCATTCCAGATATCACTGCAGCGTGGCTGCTATCGCGAAGGTTCAGCACACTGTATCGGCCTTGTGTGACGTCTTGCGAACGTGCCCCTTGCGAAGGCGTGAGCAACGCAGGGTTGGGGCTCTAAATGCACTGAAAGATGCAGCGATGGAAACTGGAGTGAGGGAGCTGAGCGACCGACCTCCCGTCGTACGTGGAACGTATTGAAACCCATCAAACAGAACGAAAGGGTAGCGTCGAATGTGCGTGTGGTGGACATCGATGAATTGCGGACGTCGATCACGTGTTTTTGGTGCACAAGTTGCCTCCCGAAAATGACTGGGATGACGACGAGACTCATCACCAACGACGCAACGAAAGAAAAAGATTGATGTCGTGTATTGCTCGGATCCCCAAAGTGCAGCTCCACTAGAGTGTCAGACGCCAGGGCAGAGGGTAATCTTCCAGCCGAGGCACCATATCAAACCGTGACAACAGTGGATGCTCCAGCACTTTGTAGCTGTTAAAGATCAGAATGAGAGGAGGTCAACAACCTGCATCGCTTCGTCGCACAAGAGAAATTAGAAATCCAAGCCCAGAGGGAAAAAGCTTATAATCCTCCCATACCAGAGTTCTTGATACGAGAGAATGGCTGTTGTGTCCTGGGTCTCGTACACAACGAGCATGATGTACTCTGATACAGCAATGAGACAGCATTGGTATCAGATCGTACGCAGAGCCTGGCGGAGGCACCCGCGAGCCGTCGCGAAGCGCAGCTCCTGATGCGCGCGTCGATGCTGCAATCTGAAAGCGGCGGCGGCATCGCGACGCTGCACCACAGAGACTGCTTCGAGACGTTCATGCCTTACTGCTGTGATTCACGAGCGCTTCACCATAACCGTGCCTTACACTGCGGAAAACTTTTGGGACTCTTGTAAAGAGTGGTCTGGTTCCTAGATGGTGCTAAATATACCTCGGCCGTTGAGCAAGGTTGCGGGTCCGCGGGAGATTGTTCGTCAGTTCGTGCCGAGCTGGTTTGCAGTGACCATGGGTACGGGGATCCTGGCGGTAGTCATTAAAGACTTCCCGTTCCAGTTTCCGCACCAAGACGACCTCGGCTGGGCGTATTGGTTCTTTAACGTCGGATTGTTTGGGATCTTTTCGATTCTCTTTCTGAGCCGATGGATTTTTTTCTTTAACGACGCCATCCCAATGTTCCATCATCCTGTTCAATCCATGTTTCTTGGCGCTATTCCAATGGGTCTTGCAACAATCGTTAACGGGTTGGTGCTCTTTGGCACGCCGCACTGGGGCAACAGTGCAACGATAGCGGCCATCGTGCTTTGGTTTGTGGATGTGGGCCTCGCGGTCCTTTGTGGGCTGCTTGTTCCGATATTCATGCTCACGACACATTCGCACGCTTTGGAAAGCATGAGCGCAGTCTGGCTTCTACCAGTGGTTCCTGGCGAAGTCGCAGCGGCCTCTGGAGGTCTCCTGCTCGCGGTCGTTCAGAACCAGCGGCTTGCTCAGAATATTGCGTTCATCAGCATGCTCTTATGGGGATTTTCGGTCCCGCTCTCAATGAGCATTTTGGTGATATTCTTCTTGCGTCTCGTACTGCACAAGCTACCGCCATCAGATCTAATTATTAGTTGTCTCCTTCCGCTGGGCCCGATAGGTACCGGGGCGCTAGCTGCCACCGAACTGGGACTCTACGCGAAGCGCACCTTTGAGAACAGCGGTTATGGCGTCTCCGCGACAACTTTCCAGAGCTTGGCCTCTGCCACCCCGGCAATTGCCATGTTCGTTGCTACTGCTTTGTGGGGCTATGGCGTCTGGTGGCTGGTGATTGCCATTTTTGCAATCGGGCACACGCTAAGAAACCGACTACCATTTAATCTGGGATGGTGGGGTTTGATCTTCCCTCTGGGCGTGTTCACTGCATCAACAGCAGATCTTTACAAATTAACGGATTTCTATCTGTTTCGCATACCAGCAGCGGTGCTTATATGCATCCTATTCGTGCTGTGGTGGGTTGTTATGTTCCACACGGTGGTACGAGCTTATTCAGGGGAGTTATTTTATGCACCGTGCCTTGGACCACGACAGGCTTGTACGCAAAACGAGCTTGAGATTTGAGTGGGTCATCTATGAATAGTCAGCTGCAGTCGATAAAGTATCCACATTGTCGAAGTGAACTGGCAACACTTATGAATCTGCGGTTCAAGAAAATCAGTGCTGGATTTCAGGCCGCTCCAGCAGGTGCAAACCTTACCGTCCTTGACGCGGAAGCACGCGGCTGTCAGCGCTCCATATGCAGTCGTGCTCACAGAGTGCCGGATCAGGTAACTTGCGTAGTTAAACAATTTAAATCAGTTCCGCATTCCAAGGTCCATGCAGAATGAACTAGAAGCATAAGGAATACACGCATACCCGAGCTCGCGAACTGGTGCGTGACTAGTTTGTTTACGACCAAGATGCATAACAAAACTACCATTAACTAGTTTTTTCCAGTGACAAACGTTTACTTAGGCCAGCGTTCTCCGAATATGCGCATTTTTTTCCATTGACAAAACTACCATTGACTAGTGGAATGCACGCCTCACTTGCCAACGCGCTGACCAGCGCTGATACCAGGACGCGCTGCTACGCAGCATCCGCTTCGGTGCTCCTAAACTTTAGGGCGATACTCCAGCGCTGTAGTGTTTGCTGGATCAGACCTGAATATGACTTAGTCAACTTTAAACGGTTCCTCTAGCGTCTTTCTCAATAGAGTTTTGAAGATGCGGATCGCGAGAGGTGTTTTGTTCTGGCTGCTCTGTGTGAACTTTTGCTGGTGCCACTTATCCATCGGTGCGCTGCGGGCGGTACGAGCGATTTCCGTGTCTGAGGAAGTCTCGCTTCCAGGGTTTCGCCTCTTTCCTCGGGTTCCTCAGTCTGAGGCGAGTACTATTTTCTTTCGGGATCTGCTGCTCCCGAAAAAAACTTACAGTATCGACTGGAGCGCGGAAGCTTCGAGCCGATCGCTGACGAGTGGCTTGCGCAATGATAGAGGCACGTTTACGACAAGCGAGGGAAACGTTACGTACGTGCAGACGTTGCGGGACGCTGACGGACACCTCTATGTGTGTCGTGTACCAGCAGATGAGCCTGCAACGCCCAACAACGTTGAGACGGTATCCATGGATGTGGAATCGGAGCCTACCATCGATCTGGACGCGGCTCTGCAGAAACAGCTGAAGGACAAGTGCTTCTACCGGCAGGGAGGTTGGCGGGTGTTCGAGTTCTGTTTTCACAGGCACGTGCGCCATTTTCACTGGGAGAGACGGCGCTCGATGCCTGCAGAGCGCGAGCGAATTCGTGCGGAGATTGAACAACTTCTGAAGGAGCACGTTTTCCCCGAAGGCCCGAATGGCGAACCTGGTAGAAAACGTTTCCTGCGGCTGCTGATACAGGCTCAACAAATACCACCTGACGGGAGCCTGAACCTCATCATCAAGGACGAGGTCTGCATGGGCATGTACGATGAAGCACTCGACCGCGAAAGGATACGTAACGGCACGAATTTGATCACCAGTGGTGCCTTTTTCAGCGGGCGACGCTGGCAGGCACCCCCGCAAGCAACCAACGGTGCTGCGTCGCGCGTCGACCGTGGGTCGGACGCTGAGTACCGCCTGGAATCCGATGGACGTGTGCTCCCAGTTGCAGGGGAAGGTATCGGAAGCGCCGTCGCTTACTTGGTGCAACCGTATACGAGAGACGGGGATCATTGCGACATAACAGGACGTCCACGCCGCACGATGGTACGCTACCGTTGCATTGAGGATGTTCCGCGGATTGCAATTTTCGATCCATCCCCCGTGGTAAGCTCGTTCATTGCCTCCGTGCATGAGCGAAGCACCTGCGAATACGACCTCGTTTTTGTGACGGATGCGGTCTGCTCACATCCAGCTTTTGTTTCACCTGCACGCCATTCGGTGCCCGTTGTATGCGAACGCATGTCATCTGAGATGGAAGCGATAAACATTTCGCCGGGTAGCGCGCAGCATCCTGCTCTGCATCGTAGTTGACGATGGTGCTGCTATGAACGTGATTCCTTTCCAATTGCGAAGACATGGGGATGAAAGGGAGTCAAATGCATGTGCGTCTCTGGTACAATGAGGCGAGCTGAGCACTGCGACACGCTCTGCGGGTTGTGATGTTCATGGTTCCCGGCTACTGCCCGGCTAGGATCTAGGGTTCGCGTCGCCTCCAAGACTCGCCACTTCGGCAGAATCACTCATGGACAATGATCACCTGATGAAGATCGCATATTCGCTGGAGCATGCCTGACAGCTCTAGAGCCCGTCGATACGACGGGGGATCGCCTACTCGACGGGCACATGCGATTGGAGCATTCTCCTCGAGCGGTATGCCTTCACTGGGATCCGCGCTTCGCTGCGACTTGTGAGTACAGCGCGATATCCAGCGGAATTGTTGGTCCTGTGTCGTTGCTCCGTAGGCGTCGGCGCTTTCGAATGCTTTGCGCTCTGGTGAGCAGTGGTTATCCATATGACCGAGTGCATCCGTTCATGCTGGAACCTGGAAGGCAAGCTGGGGTTTATCTGGATGTGGAGACGCTTTCATCGCTCCGGTAGCCTGGGCATCTCCTGGGATACGTCTGCAATCCATGCAACTGCTAGAAGAGCAACGTCTTTTACCGGATCTGGATGCGGCGACGCTGTCATAGCTGCGGGTACCCTGGCCATCTTCTGAGCTACATTTGGACGGAGGCGCGGACTCATTTCATCAGAACACACGAAGCGCATCTTTAACGCCATTGAATGATGCTTAGACCGTCTCGAATAGGCAAAATGACCTGCGTAACGCGTGCATCTTCCAGTACGTGTTGGTTAAAGGCATGAACCGCGTCCATGAGCTTCCGACTGCGTAGCGCGATGCGCTCTGCATGTTCGCCAAATTCAACATCCTCCATTTGGGCGTGTTTCTGCTTCCCGTAAACAGGCCGAAACAGAACATTATCGACAAGCAACGCACCATTCGGAGATAAGAGTCTATGATCCAGGATGAAATCAAAGTAGGTGATGTACCGGCGCTTGTCAGCGTCGAGATATATGAGATCAAAAGGCGCAACAGCTTGGTCGCGGAAGCGCTCCAGTACATCCAAAACGGCGCCTCGGTGCAGCTCAATAGGCGCCAGCTGACCAGCAACACATTTGAAGAACTGCTCGGCGGTGTCTGCAGCGTTGGGGTCCTGCTCAACCGTCACCACAGTTTGGACGTGGTTCGGACCCATGGCGCCAGCAAAACACAACGTTGCATAACCGGTAAACGTGCCCAGCTCGAGCACACGTTGCGCTCGCAACAGCCTAGCGACCGCGTGCAGGACGGCACCTTGGACAGGTCCACTCATCATGTGCGCGGCTTGCGGGAACTTGCGATGCGTCTCGGCCGCGAGCTCCCGCAGGATTGGTGCTTCGGTACCCCAGGGAGCGGTGCGGCTCATGGTCTGTGCGTACCAGTGCAGCTCATTGCTAGCGCTTGCGAGTGCAAGCTCGAGACCTCGCTGGCACTCGGGGCTACAGCATCCCGAGAGCCGGTGGCGACAACGTGCGCACTGGATCATCCGTCGATGGCAAGGTACATGCGCACAGTGCAAGACGTCCAGTGCTGGGGCACTGCACGTTTCACATCGGCTCAAAATATCATTCGTCACCGGGGTTTTGAGGCGTTCATCGAATACATAGATGGATCCTTTGAATTTGGGATCCCATCCTTGACGATGCGCCTCTGCGGCGTACGAAACGACGCCGCCGGCAAGTCGCTCCACGCGTTGAAATCCGAGGCGGTTCTCCAGATAGGCAGCTGCTTTGACACAGCGAATTCCGCCTGTGCAAAAAGTGAGTATCCGTCGATCTCGAGGCTCGTTTGCTAGACGCGCCTCAAGCGCTTTCCAAGTCTCCCGGTAGGTGCGGGTGTTCAGGGGGCGAGCCTCAGCGCTCCCGAAAAATGTTCCAAGCTGCGTCTCGTAATCATTCCTCACGTCGATCAGAATGGCGTGCGGGTCTTCCAAAGCCTGATGCCACTCTGCCGGGCTCAGCTCTCGACCAGCTTGCGTCAGATCAAGCGGCTCCTTGAGACCGTCAGCGACGATTTTCTGCCGACAACGGATATGTAGGTTACGAAACGGAGGCTGTGCAGCGAATTGAGCTGCCGACAGCAACTGTGGATCCAAGTTCAGATAGACACCAGCGAGTTCAACCAGGTACGGAGACTCGGCTTCGAGCAACCGCTTCAACGCGTCGAGGCTACGCAGAGGAACTGCGACCTGCGCGTTGATGCCCTCCGGTGCTATGTAGATGCGACCGCGAATCGCCAGTGGTTTCAGGTAGAAACGTAGACGAGAGGCGAGCTCTTCCGGCTCTGCAATGGGCACAAAGCGATAGAATGAAAGCATTTGGATATCTTCGTCTACGGCATCGAGCTCCTTGGCTGGATAAAATGGCGGCAACATCCGTGCCCGCTGCCGTTCTCGTACCCCGTCGGTGTTTCGGGGCCGCTGTCGAAACTCCTCTATCATAGAATCGCTGATTTGCGGGTCGAAACGCAGATACAGAGGGGCTTTGGCTTGCCAAGCCTCTTTTAACAGTGCATCAGAGTCAACGAGCTCCAGCGAGTCTGGCCTGTGTGCAACAAGGACAACGTGAAGCGGTGTGCCCTCGAGTCGTTGCAGCGCTGAGAAGCGTTCCCATATCCCTTTTCGAAGCAATTCAAGACTCGGCTCGGTTCCGGGAACAAAGATGCGTCCTTTCCGGTCACTGGCCGCCACCCGAAGAGCAGCTCGTAGTTGCGGTGCTAAATAGACCCGAAATACCCACTGGGCACCCTGGAACTCGCGTTCTGGTTCACGAGTGCTTCCGGTCACATAAGCCAGATCCGGCACGTTTGCTGATAGGTGCCGAAGCACGCTCCGCTGCGACCGGCGACGGCATGCGGCGACCTTGAGACCTCGCCGAAACGCAAAACAGAAAGTTTTCGAAGGCGAACTTGTCCAGAAAGCGACGGGTTGTGCGAAAGCGACTGCCTTCAACTGTGTACACGGCGACATCCACAGCATGAGCAAACGCATGAGAAGAGAACGTGTCTCGGAGACCCGATACCTCCCGTGTGTCTAGACGGAAGCCGTACCCCTGTTTCCCTTAAGCGCCGGTGCACGCGAACTCGTACCGAGTCGAGGCAACGACCAGACAAGCCGAGGTGCCGGTACGCTTTCACCAGCCTGTTCCGAGCTCCGAGTCCAATCAGTGCAGAAAACTTTTACAACGGCGTTTCGTTACCCTCTGGGCAGTGCAGGTGCCACGAAATGAAGGAACTACCAGCAGCAGCAGCAGCAGCAGCAGCAGCAGCAGCGAAGTATGTCGCGGTGTAAGGTTCGCGGAAACGCGAGCCTGAGGCAGTCGGTATCCGCCGTCGAAGAGTTGGGTCCAAGCTTATGTGCGATACCTGCAGGTTCTGTGAGAAACTTCCTCCAACGCTTGTTTGTGTTTCTATAGCATCGGAGCTGCGAACCAGAGTCCAATGGATATGTGGATGCTATCTATACCCAGAGGGAGGTTTCCGATGTTCCGCAGACGCCTCCGGAACGCACCTACCCGTAGAACAATCGTCTTCTCGAGGGGTGCGCGTTGAACGAACTGGCAACCGTCCCTGCGCCGAGCCTAACACCGGCTCTTGAAGCGGTGCTAAAAACTGCCTCCAAGTACCTGGTGCCGTCACCTGGGAAGTAGCACGGCGAGCAATGCTCTTAGCCGCCACTATCACAAGAGGAGCGCACTTGATACTGCTAGGTTTTGTGCGTGCACGAGCCAGTTGTCACAGCAAACTGCATACGTTTATGCGGTACCCCGTCTGAAGAAGCCCTGCAAGATAGCTCTGGGTTCAGATGCCTATCGCCGAGGTCCTCCACATGCAGTAAAGCTGATTCGGATAGAAATCAGCCCGTGCTACGCCCGTGGCGGTTTGAAATAGAAGCAGCTCCATCTTGTGCACCTGGACCTAATCGCTAAACTTTCGGTCTCTTCCCAGCGTCACAAACAGCAGCCCCTGCGAGCGTTGGCTGCGACTGCATCCTTTTCCTCTTTCTCGTATTCGGCACGAAAGACGTCGGCCAATCTTTTGCCTCAAGGTGCATTGCCAGCAGTCGAAGGGCCGTGATAGCAGCATTCAAGTGTCAATTTCGTAGCTTCCCGCGGTTGTCTACACATCTGAAATGCAAGCGGATATTGCGCTTGACGAATCTTTGTCGTAGGCAGCCGAGGAACGCCCCTCGCAAAGGGTAACACTCGACTGTGGTCAGGCGCTCCTAAATATCCATCGAACCTCTTGATGTTCCGATTACCGCCCAGTTTTGCACGTAAACGGTTGGTTCATCGCCGGATACATGCCTTGGGCTGCTACAGATGGCTCTCAGCGATGCTCTCCTCGGTATTCGGGCACGCTGTCGTGTCCTTCGATCATGGGCTTCTTCTAAGTGGTCCCCAAGGTGCTGTCGCTGTCTGTTGTACAAGAAAGCGAACGGAGCCTCATTGAATACAGGATTTGTGGCACGGCACCTTGTTCATCATGGACCAAGTACCGGATGGTTAAATATATTTTTCGGAGAACAAGTTTACAAATTTCGATGCTTCTACGCAGCCTCTACCCACGGCTGTGACGCATTTTTCTCCAGAAGCAATCGTAGTGATCACTGAGGGCAGAGTGCAAGACCCTTTTGCATGCAAACAAAAGAGACGATATCGTCTGGAAGTATATCTTGTGACAGGTATCGAGTTGCGGTCGACAACTGTTTCTTGAATGCACACAAAGAGAGAAGGGTTTCTTTTTAGAACGAACTCTACTATTTGAGGTGAAAGGTTCAGCGAACTTTCAACAAGATCTTGCGAGCAAGACTTCAAAGGACGAAGTCGAGTACTTTTCATTATATATCCAGCGACGTGAATCGCTCCACCGGAGAGTTGCCCTGAGACAGGAGGATCCAAAACTTGAGCGATACGTGATCGAATACGCAGCAAAATAGGGAAAGGAGAAACGCACAGGCTGTAAGAATGAAATCGGACCATGATAATAGCGGTTACACGAACTCTTGTTTGCGAGCATCGCAAATCATCTTGCTAATGACGGTGACGTAACGAAATCCAACGCAAACGCGTCGAATGAGCCAACCAGAAAAGTGCGGCGGAGAATCCTGAAACCATACATGAATCCATACGCCCCTCTCCCTCCAGTTCGATTTTCGAGGCTTTGCATCACAGAAAATAACTCAGGGGAGACTCGAAACGCAGGAACAGAACGACAAGCTGAGTGTTCTATTCTCGTCCGACGCAGGTGGTACCACGTGCATGAAGCACACAGGTCGGAAGCTGTCGCTTCATGGACAAGTGCCCGTGAATGCGCCAAGAGGTTTTGCCACGCACGTACAAATATATTTTTATCGTATGGAATTCAGCACCAGTAGTTCCGCATCAGCACACATAACGCTGGCCAATGTTTCCGAAATGTGTCTATACCACTGCATTGAGCAACACCAAGCCTTCTCTCTGGGTTCATCCATGCTCAGTGCCAATTCAATACTCTGGGAAAGAAAGTCTGGGCTCGCTTCAGCCAGAGCACAACTGGCGATCACCGGTCGGATATCCTAGCTTCAGTTGCGCGTGACGCCACCTGCCGGGGCACTCGCCAAACATGGCTACCTAGTGCACCCTCTTGCAGCAAATGCTCATCACACTTTGATGTATTCGCAAAATACCTCGTTCATAGCCTCGCTTCGCATAGAATGTCGGTCTTGGTCGCTGCCGGCGTTTAGCCTACTGAAATGTTTGCAGTATCGCCTGAGGCTCGGATCGACCAGGGCGCCTACCTTCCGTTCGGATACATTCCCGCGAAACGGATACGCACGCGGGGCCAGCACATGGTACACCTCTTCATTGGTGGATGACAAGCAAAAGCCCCGATCGCCAACCGACCATGCATTCCACACAGACACTTTTGTAAAGGAGTGATGCGGCGTGCAGCGCTCTTCCGAACAGCCACCTGTGTGCCACGCGCCGTGCCGCAACGGTACGCCTACCGACGTGCAGACGCTCCGAGTATAAGCCAGCGAACACGAGTCCCGATTCTGCGTCTGATGAATGACACCTCAACTGGCCGCCCCCAAAGATATTTTGAAGTGCCAATATATCTCCGTGTTGTGTCTGCGCATCGACGCTACAACTATGATTATCACGGACATTTACGGGCGACACGACGCACGGTGCAACGTACGCAGTGATAGGTTTGTACAACGGAAATTATGGACCTTGGAACCTGTACGTAGGGTGACGAGCGATGGATGCTAACCAGCATACCGGTCTCCGTGCCACTATGAAGCATTCGTGGTTACGATAAACATCCTATCAAATAAAACAAGAACTTGAATAGAGCGAATCAGCGACGTACTGCACAAACACGACGTTTGGAGCGGCAGATACGACGGAAATTATGGACCTTGGAACCTGTACGTAGGGTGACGAGCGATGGATGCTATCCAGCATACAGGTCCCCGTGCCACTATGAAGCATTCGTGGTTACGATAAACATCCTATCAAATAAAACAAGAACTTGAATAGAGCGAATCAGCGACGTACTGCACAAACACGACGTTTGGAGCGGCAGATACGACGGAAATTATGGACCTCGGAACCTGTACGTAGGGTGACGAGCGATGGATGCTATCCAGCATACAGGTCCCCGTGCCACTATGAAGCATTCGTGGTTACGATAAACATCCTATCAAATAAAACAAGAACTTGAATAGAGCGAATCAGCGACGTACTGCACAAACACGACGTTTGGAGCGGCAGATACGACGGAAATTATGGACCTTGGAACCTGTACGTAGGGTGACGAGCGATGGATGCTATCCAGCATACCGGTCTCCGTGCCACTATGAAGCATTCGTGGTTACGATAAACATTCTATCAAATAAAACAAGAACTTGAATAGAGCGAATCAGCGACGTACTGCACAAACACGACGTTTGGAGCGGCAGATACGACGCGCCATTGGAGACGCATATCTGGAGCGTTCGCGGTATCGCTTGCGCTGCGCAGGCTGTGGGAAACTGCTTGTACTTGCCCATGGGTTTTCTATGGTGGTTGGGTATGGGATCAAGTCGTGAACCGCGCGAGAGTCGCCGACTAGCGCGTCTCGAGAAGCGCATATCGGTTCTCAGTGGTCGACTCGAGGCTTGGCGACGACGGAAAGAGCGAACGCTAGCCGCCTTCCGCCTTTACGCCTTCTTCTTTGTGTGCATCTGGACTGCTTACGCCTTTACTTTCAATGACTTGTTGTTTCTGGGGGCATTTGCGAATAGCAGGCTCAGGGCTGTTCTCGTGCTGTCGACGAGTGGTGGTGCATACCTCTTTTTGTACAAGATCGCTTCGCTCTGGTATCGTTGGCGCATCGAGTCCGCCGAGGAGAGACTTGCCAAGTATCGGGAAGAAAAGGCCGAGCTTTTAGAACAGCTGAAAGAAAGCACCCGGTTCTACGAGACAATAAAGCTGCTGGAGAAGTACGGTGGTGTACCGGACGCGCTTCGCCCGATCAGCAGCGCGGAAGAGTCGAGGGCAGCGTCTCCAACGGCAACATCTGGCACACCTGGAGCAGTGCGGGCACCTGGAGAGCAAGAAACAGCTTCCAGCTCGGGCGTTGCATCACCTAGCGCAGGCACGAGTGGTTCTCCGAGAAGCTCTACAATTGCCCGCTTGACCAACCGCGTCGTTGATGTCCTAACCAAGGACGAAGAGGACTGGGATGAGCCCCAGACTGCCCGTGAAGCGTTCCTTATAGGACGCCTGCGCGAAATGCGGGAAGCGCTCACACGTGAGCACAGCCAGCGTCTTCAGCTGCAACGTGCCCTCGAGAGCCTCGAACGGCAGCTGTGCGACTTACGGTCGCCGTCACATCCAGAGCCTGCAGCATGCCCTTCGGATCCTTCTAATCTGGAAAACAGGCGGATACCAGAGAACAATCCCGAGACTTCTGGCAGAGGTGTGAAGGCGGCAGCAGTCACCCTGTCCACGAGCAAGGCTGGTTCTCTTCATATGGAGGACGCGGGCGTGTCACCGATCACTGGTCATGGACAGCGACGTGGCGTCTTGAATAATTCCCCAACTGAGCCGGTGTCGCGAGCACAGCTCAACGACGAACCCATGGATTCAGTATTGAGCTCCAGCGTGGATAGGTCAGCCCTGTCGCTGCACAAATCGAACGAGGATGAATCCGAAATCTGTGCACAGCGCAGCGGGCATCCACGGCAACCCAGCACTGAGCAGAGCGGTACTCCCATTGGGCACGGCCCATCGAGCGGATCGCGGAACGAGTCGCCTCTGCAGACGATGCAAAAGCTCCGCCGCCAGCGCCTAAACCCTTCTCGTACAGAGCGCTAAATGAATCGGAAAACGCATCTTGGTGCCCTGGTTGGTGCAAGCACCTCTGGATATGGACTCGAATCGCTGACCAATGTCAGGGCTGCGATCATTCCGCGTCTACACGGGCAGCGAACGAGATGCGTTGTCCAGGTGGTGGTGTATAAGATGCCGCCAACGTAAATTGTCGGAGTGCCCAGGGATCGTTGTATTCCTGATCAAGTGTGCTCGACCGGCCAGTTGGATGGCGCTGCGCTCACTTGGCGAATCTCCCAACTCTTTGGAGGGGATACGTTGCCGGTCGCCTGTTCGGATGTGGGGCGTTCATTCGCAGGTGGCCGGCTAGAGAAGCATCGCGGAGGTTCCCCAGATCGACGTGCGGCGCTCGATGACGCTTTCATAGACTGAATGTGGGCTGGGACCTGCCCCGCAACAACGACTCTATTTGCGGCACTTGGCCAGTTCGTCCAGGAGAATGCGTCATTTGGCCGTCCTACTTGGAAAGACTCCTAGTCGTGTGCATCGCGGGTTTTCCCAACCACGGGAAACAACCCAAGCGCTCCATCGAAAATGCTTTGGAATAAAATTTGAACCACGACATGCACACGAACATTCGCAGCGCATACCAGATTTCCCAGCAACAGCGTGACATAAAGTGGGCAACTGCGTATGCTGCTAGCGTTCGTTCCTCATATATTCAGATAGCAGCAGCAAAGAAAGGAGACCAACGCGTATGCTGCCGCTCAAGCACCGATACAGTGTCCACCACAACATGCACGAGGGACCAATCTTCCTGTCTGAGCGGGTTACAGTACTGCGAAAGTGCGGGAGCATCCAAGGACAGGCGACTGCTGGTTTGTTGTCTTGCTCACGAGTGGTCCCGCTTAGCGTCAGCAGCATCGACAGTGGCACACCCACCGATGTGGCAATACGTCGCTGGTAGCACTCTGTTCATTCGCGTGCACGGCTGGGAATCGGTAGAAACTGTGGTTGCAGGCGTGGTATCCGGGGATCTCAACATGCAGCTTGTCGTATCCAGCCCCATATCGTCACTCCTGGAACGAGGTGATGCCTGTGTGCATACAGAGTCATTCACGAAACCTTGCAACGCCACCGAAGCGCTGCTGTAGAGACGTGTCTGCCTCATGATACGGAAAATAATCGTGCGCGTATACTTTTCCAATATACTGAGCACATTTCCCGTTAGCACAGACAAGTTCGATGGACGGGTATGACAGTGCGTGCTTTTGTTTCCATTTGGTCGTTGCAAATCACCCGTTAGCATAGACTAGGTCGATATACAAGCGCGAACGTACGTACCTTCGTTTCCATGTGTTGTTCACACATCTCTTGTTTGCCTAGACTAGGTTCTTTCGTCGAGTCAGTGGGGTACTGCACCAGTGGGATCCGGCGGATTCGACTCTTGTCTATCGTATTGATGAAAGGCGCCCTCTCCGATGAGCTTTTGCGCAAACAGATGATCATAGATACGATACGCTTTCTTGTCGTCAATACCGAGCAACAGGCGTACATCTTTTCGACGGACAGCGCCTGTGCGAGCGTTCTCGCGCAAGAGGATCTCTTTGCACACCAGGTACTGGTGCGGCGAAAGTCGCAGACCAGCACAGAGCTCGGTCTCACTCCTTGTCAAGAGTTCGATGCCATCCGTACAAAAGAGCTCTGGTCCAGACTGGCGTCGGAGACTGCTCACTTGCCCATTCCAGTACGCATACAGATCAATGCCGTTCACTTTCAGCACGCGTTCACGAATTTGCTCGGCATCCGGTCCCGTGAGCGCACCATGTACTCGCTGCAGCAGTTCTTCTGAAGGCAACAGTCGACGACCGACCCCTGGGGTAAGTTTTGAAACGTCCACAAACGCTGCTGCCGCTGCCAGCTGCGTCGCCTGCAACTGCACTCGAGCTTGATAGAGCGCTTCGATGCGCTCTCGCAAATGGCGTTCACGAAGCATCCCTAACAGAAGATCTTCGTGAATTTGAGGGTTGAGCGAATGCCGAAAAAATGGTTTCGAGTGCTCCCAGAGGTCACGCAGATCTGGACTCATGGCTTTCTCTACACGACTCTTAGCCTTCAGGTCACAGAAACCAGAACCCAGGGCGAAGCGTTTGCGCTCGACCCGCTCATCGAGGCAGTGATTGTAGATCTCCATGACGCGGGTCTTGAGTTCAACGTCACGAGCGTTTTCCGTGCGTTCGATTTCCATGTCTGCCACGATTTCCTCCCTTTCGTTATCCCATTCGTAGATAAAGTCACCACGCTTCGGCATGTATCCCGACATTTCATCAATGGTGTACTCGTGCATCACTTTGAGACTTTTCGGGTCTGGCTCGGGTAGCTCTTGAATTTCTTGGGTAGCAGGTCGCGGCAGCAATGTTGGACGAAAGATATCCGCGATTCCTGTTGGTGTGGCCTCCAGGTAAACACGCGTATAATGCAGTTCTGCGTAGCGTGCATTCTTGCCGCCTCCGATCATGGTCGAAACATCGGACCAGTTGCCGATGCCGTAGTATTCGAGCGCTTCGAGGAGACGTTCCTCCTCAGCACCCGTCCAGCTCTCTTCGAAAACGTCCACATCTACGACCTCCAAAACTCGGTAATCGTGATTGGAACGATGATCATCAGTTTCTGCTCCGATGGAGAAACAGTCAATACAGAGGTCGTACTCGACGCAGACCGCACATCGAATGCGGACGGTGTCTGAGATATCCCGAGCGCAGTTGTTACAGTGGTATCTGCCTGAAGTGCTCGTTACCGGTTGTTTGGATGACTTGCGAGCACCTCCGCGACGTTTTCGGGAGCGTTTCACATCGATATCCGCAACGTCACTGCTAGCAGAGTGCCCTGCAGTGGAGTCCATTGGTGAACGTGGCGCCTGTAGCCGTGCTCTAGTATGTACTGAATCACAACGCTAGAGCGGAACACTAGATAAAACTGTACAAGCGCTAACAGCGCTAAAAAGGCAGCCGCTAGCGTCCGTGAAACGCTCGGTGGTCTTCACCACCAGACGGGAAACGAGTGCCTCGTTGTTACAACGGACACCTCGTTCACAAAACGCTCAGTCGAAACAGCAGAGACGCGCGCTTTCCCACCGAATACGATGAAGTCAGAAAAGGTCGCTCAGTCTCGCTATGGAGTCAGCGGCACACAGCGTAACAACGTCCACACCGCCGAGTACTCCCAGCTGGTGCGCTAACTGTGGGTGTACCCGCTGCTAGCAGGTGCCTCCCAGGCTCTCTAGAGACCTCGTGAGTTTCTTTCCGAGAAGCGTCGCTCAGCTCAGTCCTGTTCTGTGCACGGAACGTATTGGGTCGCGGTTGCCGCTGTCTGAAACCTAGCCAAAGCGCACCACCTTGAACTTTGACCCTTTTCGTGCCTAGGGGTCGTCCACAGGTAGGCACTGTTGTGGCGTGTTCGCCGCAGAGTTTTCCACGTTTTGGCTTTTATTGGCAAAGCGGAACGAGTTTCGTTGAGTTTGCGTTCCTGAGGCAGGTACGCTCAGGTTCTGTACCAGAATTAAGAGAATCAGGGGAATACCTATAGGAACTGCACAATATTAGATGCATACCCGCCTCCAGGCGTTATGATCTTGTAGAGCTATTCGAAGGTGGAAAACGTGTACGCTCCTTACGAAACACGTGTTTCGTTGCCAAGACTCTTCTAAGGAATAGGTGACTGCGATCAGCAATAACGCTAACGAAAAGGCGTGTGGCTCGAGTTAACCAAGATCAGCAAGCGTCCTTTTCACGGAGTAGGTGCGTGCTATTACCAGCAACGTTAACTAAAAGGCGTGTGCTCAGGTTTTGCAACGGGAAACGCGTTGCCTTTCCCGGGAACTTCGAGAACGCGCTCAATAACGTCTGAGGAAAGCACATTCGTTTCTGCGGGAGAAGCGTCACACTTACGTCGTTCTCGTTTCCGTCGGTGCCAGAACAGAGAGGAACCTCGTGAAACGAGATCGGCTTCCTATTCATACTCAAAAGCTCTGGTCCCGTGTACACATACGAGGGCTCAAGCAGCTCACCAAGGCGTCTCTCTGGACCGCTCAACGTGCGACGGCCTCCGCACTGCCTGCGTTGCCACCAGCACTCAACATCTGTAACGGTGCCATGTGCCCAGAGACAGCTACGCCTCCGCAGGACGCCACTGCTGCGGCCGCATCGGAGACCTCGGGACCCCGAACGGGCTGCTGCTCCACAAGCCTGCAACATATGCCGCCCGGGCAGCAGCATGATACATATCTCTGTCGTTCGCAAATCATACCACTCCTGGAATGGATCGAGAGCGTCTCGGATTGTATGCTTGGAAACGCGAGTGGTAACCGCGTGGACGGCTGCTGCCCAAAGGCGACGGATGTGAACACCAGTCCCGCACCTAGAATACCTGATGCGAAAGGCGGGTATCAACGAATCAAAAGCAATTCCTTGACATCAGAAGCGCTGTGCACGGCTCTCCATGCCCTGACAGAGGCTCGAACTCCAGCTGCCTTCCATGCCTGCACTCGACAAGCTTTTGGCAAGCTCATTGAAACCACGAGAGCGTATGTCGTAAGCGATACTCGTGAGGCGCCCGCGAACATGTTAGAACTTTTGCTCGATGTACTTTTGCTCACGGAGGTGGTTCTGTTTGGGAGCAATCTCATCTCCTCCTCGTTGCAGTGCACCTGGGTTACTTGGCTCGACCGGTGGCTCACCGTCTGGTTGGAACGCTGGGCCGCGGTACCGCGAAACACGGACGCTAGTGCTGCTGTGCGCCAGGTATACCAGCAAGCACGGTTGAGAGACGTGCTTTACGCATGCGAAACTGTCGCATCTGGTGCATGTCAAACGGGAAAGAACCTAGCATTCGCTTTCGAGCGTTTGTCGTTACATCGAGCTGCTGGGGTAACCTCGCACGTATCGGGTACGGTGCATCAGGCAGGGTTGGTGACTCATGCCCTGTTGCATCCCGACTCCAAAACATCTCCGAGCGGCACGACGCTTCCGGGAAGCGCAGCGATGCTGGGTATCGAAAGCTGCCGCTCGTTATTGACGACTCAGGAGCCGCTTACGTCAAGCAGCAGCGGAGTCAGGCATTGTTCCACGGGCCGTGCTTCCGATTCGTGCTCGAATGCACACGAAGCACCAGCTACTAGAGCAGATGCGCACATGCTATTGCACGACGAGTTCCGGCAAGCCGAAGTTGACCTGGTTCGAGAATCCGCTGGCAACCATGCGGTAATACCTGCTCCGAACGCGCTTACGTCCACCTTGAGCACGCAGCAATCTACCACGGACGACGCTCGGAGCGGCTTTGTCTCGACCTGTGCCGTAGGAGCACTACCGCCGTCGTCGCCGACGTCGTCGTCGTCGTCGTCGACACCAACACCTCAACAGGAGGCGATATCCGCAGCGTGTGCTGCAGCACCAGCCGAGAGCGCTTGTGCACTGGATCATTCAACGCGAGCGAGTGCCTGGATGTGGCTTTTGGTTGTTCTTGGGCACCTGAGAGGCCCGCAGTCGACACCGTTTCCAATCGAAGATGATAGAAATGAGGCCGGTGTCTTGCTCTGGATGGCCTGCCTGGAACCGGTACAACTCCGCGGCCTCTACGCGCTCAGCAAGAGCAGCATCTTCCGCGATGCTCTGCATCAGCATAAGAACTGGAATGAGTACGTTCCTCTACTGGTTCATGCCTCACTGCGGGAGTATGAAGCATTGCTCGCTGCGCGTTGTCGCCTAGAGCCATTCACAGTGGAGACAGCCATGGCCGAAGCTTCCACGCAGTGGAGGCTCCCTCCTGAGCTGTGCGATGACGTTGCTCGCTGTGCTTGTCGTCTTGCGAGTGAAGTGACTGGCCCAAGCAGCGTGCCGGTGCTTATGTCGCTGCTCTGTAACGAAACTGTGCCTCGAAGCGTCAGCTGGAACGCGGCAAAGTCCCTGGCGCTGCTCGACATTCGAGACGGCATAGCACCGTGGCATCGTCTGGAATGTCAGCGTCTGACTGCCTTCAGTCAGCTCGCTTATCTGCGGAGCAGGCTCGAGCATGACACCGAGGCTACACGAGAACTGCAAACAGGAACGGAGGAGGCCTCAGCGGTCTCTGCAGATTCGACAGAGGATCCCAGTGTACCAGGAAGGGCACTGGCTACTGTTGCCCGCGCTGCTGATCCTGCTGATGCTGGTGCTTCTTCAGAGGCGTTTTCCAGAAAGGAGCCGCAGCATTCCTGTTCCTGGCTCGCCAGTGCGGCACAGACGCTCGAGCGACTCCATCACGAGCATCCCACAGACCGTACGCTTCGCACGGTTGCAGCGGAAACACTTGCTTTGCTGGTAGAAAGAATTCCAGGTCAGCGATATGCCGAAGCGTTACTCCTGCGGCTGTTGATGGAGAGCACCGATCTTCCGGATCGCTTCTTTCAACAAAGCATTCAGAAAATGCATCGAGAGACGCTGGTGAGCGCCTGTACGTTGCCGATGCTCCAACAGATCTGGAGCAAATGCTGCAGCCTCATGCCCTGTCACTTTCGCTTCCTCCGTATCATGGTCCAGGAAAACGGTGTCGATGCGATGCACGAAACTGCAGACGAGCTGCTGCAGCGGGCGCTCTTGGCATTGAATGACCATTCCATGATGTTGGTCAAGAGCGCTCTCGGCTTTCTGGAGGCTTGGTACCTCGCGGAGAAGCGTTTGCGAGCGAGAGGCGCGTCGATACCGACTTCGCGTCTTCTTGTCCGGATTGGTTGTTTCCTCCAGGAGTTTCTTGCTCGGAGTCCAGCGGAGCGCTATGTGTCCGCATCCAGACTGGGCGTCACGCTACTTCCGATGCTGCTGCGACACGGTGCTACCGTTCGGGAGCTCTGGGAGTGCCTCTGCGGGGCGCGTGACCCCAGAGAAGGCTCCCTGGAAACCACGACGGGCGCTCCACAGGTTTCTGGGAAGCACTGCGATTCTTCGGCTGATAGAACGCACGAGCACCAGCACCAGCATGAGCAAGTGCGGGAACGCTTCCATCGTGTCTTGGAAGGGAGCACGCTGCCGTACTTGTTGCTGCTGGTGACGGTCGCGCTCGTGCGAGCACGTGTCGTCACGCGCGTCGAACTTGTTGTTGTTGATGATGTCGAGAGCAACATCGGCGCAACTGAGTATCAAGTTTGTGGCGAGCATCGCCAACATTATCTTACAGCACCCAAGCACGCTGCCCAGTGCCTTTTTGTGCCGCAATGGCTTGCCCAGTGGGCGCTCGCGCACGCCGAGGACACCATCGCCCTGGATGCCTTGTATCTTCTCACGCAACCGAATGTTCTGACGACTGCACCTATTCCATTAGGGCATCTGCAGCTACTGCTGGAGGCATTGCCAGCCTTGACTGTAGGCACGCTTGCACCGAAATCGACGCAGATGTTGCGTCAGTTCTTCATCAAATACATGGGTCCAGCTTGCCAGGCGCTGGTGCAGGGCTCTGGCTTCTGGGCGAGCGTCGGCTTCCTGCCAGGTACGGACTCGGCTGCGCAGGTACCTGACGCCGAGAGCTGGTCTGCCAAGCGTTCCGGTACATTGTCGAGAACGCGACCGGAGGAAGCCTTAACGAAAGCGGATGCAGAAGCTGCAGCAGCAGAAGCAACATTCCTGTCCCAGACTCGAGATGTGAACGTATCAGCAAAAGCAACGGCAGCAGCGGGGCCAGGCACGGCACCGGGAATGCAAAATGCCTCTGCTGTTGATATTGAAAGTAATGAAGTCATTTCCAGCAACCGCGATCTTTACGCTATACAGCTCGTGCGTTTTCTCAAGAGCTGGGTCCGTTTGCTGACGCTTCAGATCGGGCCTGGGGTGGGCCTGACCAGACGCCTCGCGGCAATATCTCTCTTGGAATCACTACCCGTGCAAGTCTGGCGATTCGTGGAGCACCAGTGTCCGCAACATATCCGTATCATGGAGGACTGCATCGCTGTCGCACTGGGGTGTCTTCTGGATCCCTATGACAGCATCCGGGTGCGGGCATGGGCGTTGCTTCGTAACCTTGCAGCCTACGCTGACCTGAACACGGTGATGAGGGTGCTCGTACCTACGGGGTCTGTTCTGGTACGTTCCTGGACGCGCAGGAAAGCGGACTCGGGAGCGCTTCTTCTGCGGACAGCTGTCATGTTCATGGACAAGGCTGCGAGCCCCAGGGCCTTGGGCAAGCTTGATGTTTCCCGCATATCACTGTGCAACGGGGTCGGCACACCAGCACAGGAGGCTCCCTCGCGAGTTACGCTACTGGAGGCACTCGCTACGATCCTTGCAAACGTTGACATCAAAAGGCATGGGGTCGTCCTTACCCTGCGGTATTTGCTGGACGATTGTATGGATTCGGCAACGGGGCGATGGATCCAACCTCCCAAACCCAGTTTAGCCTCGTTGACGCGTCTGAGTCAGGCGTGCATTACCTTAGAGGAGCGCTGTTCCGCTCTATTCGCTACTCAGCACGATGGTTATGAGGCAGCTCTGCAGACGGACCCGCTTTCTGAGGACGAAGCGTTTGCGTCTACGGCGTCAGCGGAAGACACCCAAGACAGAGCCCATTGGGAAAACCAAACGAGCAACACCTCTCTAGTTGCTTCTGCAGAATTGGCGTACGATGCCGACGCAGAGGAACGCGTAAGCGACGACTCTCAGGCAACCTGCGCAGAGTTTGCGCGACGCAGCACGCAGCACGGCGTCTTTCTCATCATCAGGGAGATTTGCTATATCACCAGCATTATCATCAGACTTCTGTTGGATGAATTTCATCCTGAGGAAAGCCTGGATGAGGCTTTCGTGGTTCCAAGTACCGCAGATTGGGTAGTAGGCGCTGCGGTATCGGTATCGCCGGCTACTGTTGCCGCTCTGGTCGAGTTTCTCACTGATTTTCTAGCGGGAATGCTGTTGCGCTATCGACATAGTGGTATTTGTGGCCACGCGTCGATCTGTTGGCGGTCTGTCTGCAAGCAGTTGGTGAAGCATACCGACCCAGCGCTGCGGGCGCTTCCCAACCGGTGTCTGGACCTCATTGTACAACGTCTGCACCACGGAGGTTTCGCTGTGCTGCGGCGCTCGGCAGGGCTTGCTTACCTTGTCCAGGGTGTCGTTGCGGCTTCCGCGAATTCTCCCTTGGATGCACTTGTCGATGTGCTCTTGCGGATGGCTCGCTCCTGGTGCGACGGGCAAGCGCTTGGCAGTGTGCATGCGATGCACATCCTTCGTGCGCTCCTGCAGGACGCATCCTTGACGCAGCGCACTGCACATCTCGTGCCGTTGGCGTTCCAGGTGGCTCTAGACGGATTCCAGGGCACTGCTCCGTGGATGATTCGTAACGCTGCGCTGCTTCTGTTGGCTGCCTGCATCCAGCGTATCCTAGGTGGTCAAATCGTCCAGGGCGCCACGGCATTCCGCGTGACAAACAAGACGAACAGAAGTCATGAACAGGGAAGCTCGGAGCGCACACTGCACGACTTGCCTGGACTCCAGACTCGATCAGGAGCCCGAACGCGTATAACTGATACCAATACCCAGGCGTTTCGTCTCGAAGCGTACTGGGAAGAGCCCCTGGTGCTCGTCCAGTCTCGCGCACTCACCATGGATGTTTTCCTTTCGCGCTACGCCGGAATCCTGGAGTCGTTGTGTCGTTTACTGCAGCAAGCGGCGGCGTCGACAACGTCAGCTTCTGTGCATCCTGGTGCTTTGACGGCTGTGTATCCAGTTCTTGTGCTGCTGTCGCGGTTAGCGCCCTTGTCGACGTCCACCGACGAGTTGGGCGATGGCGCTGCTTCATCCGCTGTCGCTTTTCCTGATCGACCAGAGGCGTTGTGCTTTAGCGGTCGCCGCTCTGTTCTTCGAATTCTGCTGGAGGCTGTAGAGCGTCTCACTGTCAGTGCTGAGGGTGCCGTTCGCAGGAAAGCCGCGCTCTGCTGGGCTAGGATCTGGCAAACCTGCTGCAGTGCGGATGCAGCTCCATGCCTGTGGCCGGACGATAGTACCGATGCTGCCGCTGTTCAGGGGATTATCTTGCGGCTTCGCTATTTGCAGGCCGTGGGCGCATGCCCATCCAGTGTTCGGGAGGCCTTTCAGAAACGTTTCAACCCAGAGAGCTTCGCGAGACGTTTCGGATTAGATGCCACCATCGAGGCACTGCGTCTGTATGGAGAATTCGGGCTGCAGACAGAACCGTCCCAGTGGCTCTCCTTCTGCTCCTGGGCGGTGCGTCTGGCCTCCACGGACGCCAGTGTACCAGCCATGATCATGGCTGCTTTAGCGCTGCGGCGTTTCTGCGGAGCCTGTAGCGCCGCATGCGCTATCCTTGACGACAATGAGTACGCGGAGGAGGCTCTTCGCAGTGCCGGTCCGACGTTCGCAGCGCGGTTCGAAATGAACGCCGCGCATGAGGAGCGGGTACCAGCGTCGTGTACAGACGCACTTGTGCTTTCGTATCTGTACTCTGTAGCGGCGACATGTCCTTTACCAGAGTTGGTCGCTACTGCACTGCAGCTTGCTCAGGAGCGATCACTGGGCGGTATTCCGTCGGCCTGGATACCGCTTTTGCTGCGCCAGCTGCGCTACAGCTCGAACCTCTGTGTGTTGGCGGCAGCTTTGCGCTGGATAATCCAAACGTCACCAGATCATCCTGCATTTTTCCCCGCTGTTTGGCGGCACTACCTGGCAGCTGCACACACGAGTACCACACTCGGCGACCTGGCCTTGGAAGCGCTTGGTAGTTTGGTCCACGATGCCCCCCGGGCACGCCAGTGGGTCCAAGCCCTCGAGGCGCTGAGGCACTCAGCGTACGCAGGAACCCCACAGGCACCCCGCGTTTCAGTTGAACGTCGCCTGGCAATGACTCGTTCGTTGCAAAGGGCGTTTTGCTGCAATTACTGGAGGATGCCGGAACGCACTCTCGCAGCATTTTTTTGGAGCGAGCGCCTACGCATCCACGGGGTCTGCTGGCGCCTTCTCGGTGACGACGAAGAGATCGTCCGGTGCGAGGCTCGCCGTGCTGTGGCTCTTTTCTGGGGACAGCCTCTGTATGCGACGCTTCGCCGGGGCTACCTCGAGCAGCAACTTGCGAGGGATCTCGTGTACGCAATCCTCCAAGAGCAAACCGAGATGATTCCTGCACCCTATAATACAGACGACGCAGCGCTATCCACGTACTTGATTGGTACGTGTATTGGGGCGGTGCATCAGCACAACTCGTTTTCGAGCCAAGTATCGGTTCAGGCTGCGTTAGAAGGACAGAGTACCATGGAAAGACAACGTTGCCAGAGCAGATCTGGACCTGGGTATTGGCATCTATTGTATAGTTCTGATGATCTGCATGTATCTGACGTTGAACCGCTTTCTGCTGAACAGCTAGCGCTCTACGTACAAGTGATGCTGAAGCAGGCGCGCAATGGACGTCTATGTGTTGGCGGCTCTGGAGAGGCGATGTCTATACAAGGTGCGTTCAGCGCGCATGCAAATCTCTTTCGGATACCGGATGCTGTGTCTGCCAGGTTCAGTGACAAACGTGCACTGCCACAAACGCCGTCATCGGTACCATGGGCTGCGTCCCAAGCGCCACTTCATGGACAGGGATTTGTCGATTTCGGGCAGCACGTCCGAGGCTACGCTTTGGAGACTGTGCGTGCATCTTTTCGGGAACTTTTTGTGGAGACGCTGAAGGCGGCGGCCTCGGAGGCATCTGCGCCTCCAGCTGAGCTGCGGGAGTCAGTTCCTCGCTGTCCTACAGACGAACGTGCCTTTTCATATGCATCGCTCACCGGTGCAGATTCGCGTCTGGAACAGCTTGTGAAAGGTCAGTTTCAGGCAATGCAGGTGCCTGACGTCTTTTCCAAGCGGTATCGTCTCTGGATGCAGCGAGTGATGGGTTTAGAGCATACAGAGAGCGCGTCGTTGGACGAGTTCTCTGAACTTGATCTGGCACCAGCGCTCTGGCGGTGGAGTCGGTGTACGACACAGCAAATGCTTTGTCCTCAACGTGCCAATGCTTTGCGTGACGTGGAGGAAGAAAGGCATTCCGCCGCTCGTGCTTCTTGTGAAACAGTGATATCGAACACAGACGATCAGCCTGTTTGGTATCTGCTTCCAGTGAGCAGAATTGGCGTCAAAGAGAATCTATAGCGTAACCGATTCGCAGGCATTGTTCCGCCCCTGGTTGAAAGGGCATGACTGTATTGTACGGATGGATATCCGCCCATGCGTGAGATACAGGATAGAAAGCATCTTGCACTATCATGGACATATCTATGCATTCATAGAGGCTTACACGCATAGAGCCGTCTAGCGGCCTGGGGGCATGCATCCAATGATGGATAGATGATCGGACGCACGTTTACGTGTCCATGCGTGAGCAACAGAATAGGAAGCATCTTGGATGCTGTTATACTTTAATAGACATATCTGTAGTCTGACTGCTTGTGCGCGCTTCTACCGTGCCTCCGACGCGATCCGAATCCGAAGCCTGCGGCTGGCGAGATGATAGCGTTTGGTTTGATCGGGATGTACCTGCTATTCGAGTCCCTGTTTTAGATCGAAACTGTGTGTTTGTAAATGATTTTCTAGGCTGATTAGGGCGATGTTATTATGAAAACATTCTTTCTGACTGAGCGTGCGCTCCGCTAAACAAGTCCTCGACGACTCCTTCCGATACGGCCTCGAAACGACCAGCGGTGTTGCCCAGTCGTGCAAAGTGCCTCGATCGCTCGGCGACGTGTGCAAACATTTCGTATTCGCAACCTGCTGTGCTTCGCCCAGAATGCTGTTTCAGGCTCGGCATTGTCATAGCTTGGCGACTGAACTAGAATCCAAGAAACTGTCGGATAAATTGGGTAGCTTCTACGCTCAATCTGGATATATTCAGATATGAATCGCCAATCATGCAAACCACGGAGGGAAAGTATTGAATCGCCCGAATGGTATCTACAACGCCGAAGCACACATCCCTATAGATCAAGCAGCAGTTTCAGAGGCAATGCGCATTCACAACAGCACATCTCTCGTATGGATCGATGTTGCCCATTTTGGACTGCTCTGGGCACCGCGCATAGTGGCTACGTCGCCAAGCCTTGTTCAGAGGCTCCAGGTACAGATGCACATACTGGCTCATTCCGCTCGAATCTCCTATCCATATAAGGGCGATCGCTGTTCATGTTCATGTCGAAAAACATGTGGGTATCGCACGCGCCAGTTTGAGGGCGACGTGGATGCAAGGCACCAGAACATCTCGCGTCTGCTTCATGCGCTGAGGTCAAGTGAGCAAAGGTACTGCTCCGTGACGCGCGCTCACGACCGCGAGTACGCGTGCCCCAGTGCCTGTTTGTACGCGTCATAACCCAGAAAGGCACAAGCTGACGCCTGTCGAACGTTGACGGCCATGGCGACCAATGCCGAGGCATGATGCACGTTCTTATGCCAGTTTTGTTCGCCACTGCTCCACGCCACGCTGGATGAGGAGCTCCACTCCATGGCGTATGGTGGCCACAGGAACATGGTTGTATCGCGACTGAACAGGAGGTGCGCGTCCGGTGCCGAGGACATCGTCATCACTTTGCTCACATCAATGCGATCCCCGTCTCCAAACTTTCGCAAAAGCCCTTCTGCACCGGCACGAGACATGAGATACGCACCTGCACCCCATGTGATGAGGTCGCGATGGCGGATCCAGTAGCGGTCTGTGCAGTTCAGAGGCAACTCCTCGAGTCGAAGGTCACCTGAGGCGCCATTCTGGAGATGGAACGCATCCAATTTAAGCTCGAGCTGCAGTACGAGACGGTCTGGAGCGCGGAGGTCCTTGGCGAGAGCCGCTAACGGCTTGTTCCAAAAGGGAAGCAGGTCCAAGGAAGTGTCGTCCTCAAAGACAGCAATTGAGGTGCAACCAGACCGAACCATCCATTGAAGTGCAAGCAGGTGCGATACAGAGGCAGCAGCAACGTTACTGACGCTCGTGACGTGATCAGGGTTCGAGAAATAGAGCAGGTTTGAGCGTCGGGCGAAACCCAAGGTTCGCAAACTATCAGCTGTCAAGCCGCGCACGTAACGCACTTTCCACTTTTGGCCTGCACCGAACCACTCAACCACTTTCGCGAGCCCGGGGTACCTCGGTTTCGAATTGAGGCCTATAATAGCTGTGCAGTGCCCGGGAGTGCCAATAGAGAGCAGACGCGCAACCTGTTTCCGTGCGGTATCGCCAGAGGACAGCTGTTCCAAGTCAGGTGTTTGTATACTGCGAACGCTGAGCCACTTCAAGAGACCGATCCCCAACAATCCTAGCAGAGCGAACAACAGCACAATCGTTCGTCTCCGGTTATGGAAGCCGTCGCTCACAATCAGACTGGGAACCATGCCGTACCACTAGTCTAGCACCGCGGGTTCCCGTAGAAAGCGAAACATGTGTTTTCTATGGGATGCGTTTGGCAAAGGCGCTGCTGCGACAGGGGCGCATTCCCGGAACGCAGCCCTCCAATTTTATACAATAAAGTATCTATGCATACAGTTTGGTACGAGGTTCTATCGAATGAGGCGCATCGCTCACCGATACGCGAAGTAGGTACAGAAAAGTACATAGATGTCTAGTATGGATCCGCAAGCGATGCAGCGGATGGTTGCTTCCGTCCAGCTTCCAGGTATGGGCAAAGATATACACTTACGTGCCAGCCCCTTCTGGCAGTACTCTGCAACCAATTCTCCATTTCCCATGAAGTCGTATGTTAGCTTTCTAAGCCCTTGTACGTGGACGTGACCATGTAAGTTGTGTACCTGCCAAGACGGTTCAATAATGAGCAGTTATCGTGGGTAAGCAACAGGTCTGGTTGCTTTGAGCCGTCTACGCTGCCTTTCAGTGGTGGTAATTCGGGTGCTGTCCTGCAGACACCCGGAATAGAACGCCTGCTGCTCCGAGTAGCCTTGTCGAAACCTGTTCCTTTCTGGGTCGCAAGACTACGGAGTTTCTTCTTCAATTCGACAAGGGCAATTGAGGTGCAGGCTCAGAGTGAAGTAGAGCTGGTGTGTGCTGCTTCCTCGCTACTAAAAAAGCACTATGAGGAAGCGTCCGTGTTCGGGTTTCAGCGTCACCGCCGGGCGCCCCGTTGTGGTGTGGGTGACACCAGACTGTTTCTGCCGAAAGCCCTACCTGCCCTCCGTGGCCCGTAGAAGGATCGACTGCCCTGCTCAACAGAAAGAAAGTAGCTCGGCTAACGAAAGCGTCGTCACTCCAGACTGGGTCATCGTCCGTGATCGAACAACATGTGTCGCGGAGCGCGCTGAAGTAGTTGAGCAGCTGGGCGCCCATGGCGCTATTCTCCATGCTGGCCATCAGCTCTGTTTTGAAGAATACTCTACAGGAGTGAGGCGGCTGCACATGCCATGGCGGCTCTTTCGAAAAAGCATTCACGAACCGGAGATGCGCGCTGCCCTGGCACAGTTTGAGGTTCTCGGTACATCGGTGCACTCGGTCTCGGAAGCGCTTTTTGCCGCAGAGACTGGTCTGGTCTCGTACCTGCTTGTGGGGACGATGTTCGCAACCGCGTCGCATCCCGAAAAAAGCAGCCCCGAATTCATAGAGGGAATACCTCTCATGCGGGCCGTATCTCAGGCACTGTCTACGTCATCGCTTCATCTTTATGGCATTGGTGGTATAACCCCGGGAAATATCAATCAAGTTCTCGAAGCGGGTGCACACGGCGTTGCTACCATTCGGAGCATCGTTCCAGTTCTGGAATATGTGGCGTGCAAGTACGAGAATCATAGTGTGTGATTGTTTGACGGCTTGCGGTCCTCGTGCGTAGCCACCATTCGTAAAATCTGCATGAATGCTTCCAAGCCTCTAGGTATGCGTGGATGCAAATAAGCAACGGGAAGGATCGCTTCAGTTGGCGGATCTGGAAATATAGCAAGATGCGGAGGGCGCAAGCCAAAACCGCTGAGCGTCGCTCCCTGGAATGACGCCAATGTGGTGCATCGTGCGCCTCCGCCCTCCAATGCACTCACCGGATAATATAGTGTAGGGGCGTCTTGGCACAAAAATGTACGCAGCCAGAGCAGAAATGGGCCACTTGCTCGTTGAATCTGCAGAACAGCTGCGCCTCTGGTGAATATTCGGCAAGGAAGAAACTTTTCCTTCCACCGCGGCATACATCTGCTCGACACTACAGGTAGCGTCTTGCTTGTTGTCTTCCAGTAGAGGCAATACTGATCCAATGGATCCGCTGAGGCCGACAGCATCCAGTGTATGGCACTGAAAAAGCGCGAAAGCGCCGCAATGCGTACCTCTTCACGCTGTATCTGAGCTCGCATCATTTGCGATCCGTCCGTTCTGCGTTCGTGCTAGTAGCTGCACCCTTTGAAAAATGCGTGTGGCACGAGTCATACCGACATGATCCACGATTTCAGCGAAGGAAGGGATGCCCGCGCGGCTTCGAGCACCGTCAAGAGCCTTGCGGGCAACTTGAACATACCAGTCCGGCGTTAGCTGCGCAACTCTGGTCATTCCCTGAATAGAGGGCGACTGGGAGACCACACCGTATGAGAGCTGTGTTGGTGGGCGCTGCTTGTTACCCAAGCTATTGATCAAGTAATCGAGACGTTCCCGAATCTCGCGTGGGCTTTGGTTGCTAAGCTCCAACGTGCGTTCGTACCCGTTGCGGTAGCGTCCAATGGCGAGCGGATGCCGTCGTGCTCGCCGCTCCACGGAAAACTTTACATCTGGATGCTGCCGCGCGTACGAGAATAGCTCGCTAGATAAAAACGACCGGATACCTCCAGAAGAGCCTCCAAAAGTGCAAAAGAGAATGCGAACCTGTTCTATTCGAAGATGTTGTGCGGCAGGAGATAGCTTGGCACCCGCAGAAGTAACAGCATCAGCCGCTGCCGCACCAGAAGAGAGGCTCATCGCCGTGTACCACTGCTCAGGGGCAGCTCAGCACCCTGCTCACACGAGCGCTTGCTACGTTGTGCTTCGTCTAAGAGCTCTGCAATAGAAACAATACAAATGCGCGTACGCTCCGCGTTCGCTCGTCCAAACAATCCGCTTCGGCTGAGTTGTTGTGCCCAGAGCGTGGCTGAAAACTCAGTCCCGATGTAGCGCCCGTGACCCACGACTCGTTCCTCTGCGTACTACCAGAAACGCAGCTCGAGCAACTGCCACACAATCTAGCCAACCTAAAGTCCCAGTTCCTGTTATTGAGGCGGGATTGTCGCAGCAAAGGCAGCGCTCCTGCTCCCACCGTTTCGCTCCTCGGCGTGTTGTCAGGAAAACTGCTCCAGCGACTGCAGGACCGATCAGTGAACCTTCGAGTGCTAGTCCCTGCTTCCGGCACGCACGACAGCTCAATGCAAGTCGGGGAGTGCTTGTGGCACACGCACACCGGGCTCCGCAAAAACTAGAAGAAAACGGTTGTTTTCGAAGATACTGGCGAAGTTGAAGTTCAGACTTTTCGACAGAGCGTTGCTCGTCGTGGACTGGCGATTTACAGAGCGCATTTTCCGGAGCATTTCGTTGCCGCGCTTTGCAACAACTACTAAAAGCGACGTGCTTTGAAGCACGCTTGCACTTCGCTCTATGAAAAACATTATTTAGGTGCTTCTCTTGTTGCTGAATCGCCGTGTGAAATCGAAAACCATGGCGAACTACTTGCACTCTACCCAAAGACGGTATTGGACGTTTGCTTCTGTTGAGGAGCTCGAAAGGCTTCGAGCAGCAGCTCGTTCCCGCTACGCACACAAGTACCCACAGCGCGAACGGATAGATCCTGAAACAGAAGCCAAGTTCCGTCTAGCGTGTGCTTACCGTTTGTACCAGCTGGCACGGGCAGAGCCTGTGTCTTTGCCTAGGTACGTGGCAGCGACGGCTGTTACGCTTTGGAAGCGTTTCTGTTTGTACAACTGTTTTCTTGAGTGGGATCTCAACGTTTTGCTCCCAACGCTTGTCTACATCGCCGCGAAAGTGGACGAGAACTATCGATCTGCAGCACAAGTATCCCAAGAACATGAGCGACAAATCCTTGCAATGGAACTACCGCTTCTGAGCAGTATTCATTTCCAGGCGGTCTGTCACCATGCGTATCTCATCATTCGAGCGGAATTTCCAAAATTTAGCGACTGGTCCCGTGTGGACGAGGCGGTGATTCGCACAGATAGCGCTCTGCTCATGTCGCCGGCGTCGTTTGCCCTGGTGATTCTCGGACGAGAGCTCGGTGGTCGGCATGTTCTCTGGGAAAATAACGAAAAAGAGCGTGAGCGCTGCTTCCACATTTTTGAGAATGCGATGCAAGGTACCGCCGATTTGTTTGAGTCTAGCGGAGCCGGGTTGGATGCCCCACGGTCGCCAGCTCTCGAAGAGGCATTTCAGAAGCTTTACGAGTGGTACCTTAGAAATCGTGATCCGCTGCTAGACAAAGACTCAGCCGAGTCACTGCACCGCCAGGAGCAGGAAAATCGACATCTCGAACGGCAGCGAAGGAGGCATATGCGCGCAATGGAGGAGGAGGAACGAAAACGACGGACCCTGCTCTCATCGGGTGTCGTCGACCCGTGACACATGCATGCGGCAGCCTTATGTATGGGTTGCTCGGAAAACGCGAGCGCAATATATGCTGTGGAAAAGTCCGCTCAGCTGTGAAAGCAACGCAGTAGCGCAGCTGCGCGAGCATCCTGAAGAGGCACTCGAGTGCATAAGATCGAACCCGAAATTGAACCTGATAGGTCGTTCTTGGAAACAAGCTTCTCTACCCGCGTCGGATTATGAGGCAAAGGAGGACAGCTTGCAATGTTCCCGCTTTTTGATTTTTTCGAACTTTTGTCGATGTACTCCCTGGAGGTTCGCTCTGCATCAGTTAGGGCCCACGGATCCATACATAGTGCTAGGATGGCCAATCGTCTGTTCGGAGAGGCTCCTTCGACGCCATGCCGCTGGAATTCGTTACGTCACCGGAATCGAGATAGTTCGCGATGCCTCTCACGGGAGATTCGTAAACTAACCGACAGCATTATTCATTTCATAAACAGTAACCTCCACGCGTCTTCGTTCCTTAATTGGGATATGTTGAAATCACACATTCCTCAGGTTTTCGATTTATCTGTTTCCAGACAAACTGTGTTCGAAGCGATTTTGCGACCCAGAATCGACAACCAAAAAAATCGTCGGCATACATAAACAACTTGTTCACAAGTTCACGCCAAAAATTCCCTGAATGTATTAGGTCAAACTATCGATTACAATGTAATGTCAAAACCTCTTTGTTTTCTGCCATGAAAGGAACGGATTCTCCAGCAGGAGGGCAAAGCTGATTGAATACGCTCTCCAAGGCTCCCTTGCCTTCTGCTCACGTAGGAAACGGTAACCGACTCGGAGCTGAATTATCGCAGCGATCGCTTGCGGTAGAGAGCGCGTGAGCGCTTTGCACGAGTGCTCGTAGACGTATCGAAATTTTTCGACGTTATTTCGAGACTTGGATCGCATGAATGTAGTAATTTCACTCTGAACAACATTGCGTTCCACAAATTCTCTATCGAATGCAACAAAGTGCGGTTGCGTGTACAGCGGACGGAGTATCCACCATTGGGACATTCCAGAAGTGCCCGAGGATCTGAAGGTGCGGCACCGGGTGCAGAAACGGAGCAGGGTATCAAAGCGAGTATTTCGTACCGGTCAAGGACGTGAACCGGGCGATGAAGCGAGCGTCTACGCACCGAAGTTTTGAGCTCGGAGGAGGCGTTGTTGTGGACGTCTGGGAACAGCTGAGCATCGTCAAGTATCACGGATGCGATGGGCAAACAGAGGTGATCTCCGACGAGGATCAAATTTGCAAGATTAACGTAAATCACGATACCTGCTTGTACATGAAATGCGCCACTAACATCGGCAAGCTGAATATTCGGCACCAATATGCCGCCATCAACATCCTTCGACTGGTGATACCACAGCTGGAGGGTCACGCGTGATCGGCCTATTTAAATCTGGTACGAGAGACAGGGAGAGGGAGCAGTCGCAGAATATGCCCTCAGAAACTGGTGTCTATCATCCTAGGAAGACACCCAAGCACAAGTGCGCGCGCCCGATACAGTTTAACGGAATCTGTGACATATTATTCTGGCATGGATCTAGGTCGACGCTGTGGACAAGCGGGACACGATGCTCGAGTGATGCTATTTACAGGAAATATCAGAAGGTCAGGCGTTGTTACGCTGATTTCCTCGAGTCTTCTTTCGGCCGCGATTTGGATGTGACATCAAAAGCGCTCTTCCAGAACGGCCTATAGAGCACTCGCTCACGGAGAACAGCGGTGTAGAGTCAATAAAAGACGAGCGCCTTGCGTCACTATTCGACACCCTGAATACACAGTCAACGAGCCTGCGGCATGCCATCGGATCCCGCCTGGGCCTCTACGGCGCGATGCACGGTGATCTCGTGACGTGCTAACCATCGTTTCATCTCCTCAAAGGTGACCATCATAATACCAGACGCTGGAATCACCTTCGCCACTCGTGGCAAGGCACCGCGAAAGAGCCCCGGAACGCCCTCTTCGCGGAGCAGCTGCCGGATTGCCGGCCAGAATCGCATCACGAGAGATGGCTTCTCGCGCGTGTCCAAATGCGAAGGCGTCTGACCCGTGAGCGCCTTTGCGGATATTCGCACACCTGGCCACGATTGATTTCGAGTCTTGACCACATCGGCCGGATTGGTTACCACAGCGGCAACCATGCCGGCAGTGACGCCAGAGAAAAAATGGTAACTACTCCGTGTCGCAGCCGATTGTTCCCAGTTTTCAAGAATAGAGCGCTTCGCTGCTGAATTCGCGTCCACTGGGGAGGTGGTAGCTTCGTGCATCATCCTGGATCGAGCGACTTTGAGAGACTCATAAACGCCCCAATAGATCGCAGAAAATGGAGCATCACGCCATAGAGTTGCGGCGAGGCCGGTCCAGAGTGCTCGAACACCGCCTCCTTCACGCAAAGTGCATCGCAGCGTTTCCCAGATCGTGCCTCCATTAGCCTGCATGGATGTACGCACCAGTTCAAGAGGCGAAACAGCAGTTGCCACGAGACAGCGCACTGCTGCACCTGTGAAAGGCGCCACGAACAGTGGATCCGCAAGCCGACTGTCTGCTGGGCTGTAGCGCAGGATCAGTTGCGTGCCCTGCTCGTACAGCCCAAAATACAGACCAGTCGCAGGCACTATGGTCAAAATAGAGGCACTGAGCCCACGCCAAAGACCCGTCACACCAGCAACCCTTACAATGGACGCAATGGTTCCCCAGACTGTGGGTTGCAGCCGCCGCACTGTCGCTTCCAGCGCGCTCCGTGCCGACACCAGACGCTCGGAAGCACACAAGTCACTGTGTTGCACGCCGACGTCATTTTTACGTAGCAAGTCCCCAACCTGGCTGCCACCTGGTCCGAGACTTCGCACCGCTGCTTGAAGTGGCGAGATCGTCGCAGCTTCGCCAACTGGGCCGGGTTCATTTGCCATAGCCGCCCAGGAGCTGGAGTATTTGCCACACCTGGGGCACACGCTGCCGCTCGGTTCACGAAAGCTCAGGCGATTCTTGTAAGCCTCGACATTTTGGTTCTGCATCGCCACCTTCACAACGTCGATGGGGTTCAGAACAACTGCCGTAACCAAAGCGCCGGTAGAAGCAGCAACAACGGATTGCCAGAGCGGCAGCTGAGTCTCCCGCTTCTCCATCACGCCACTGTTGAACCGAACAGCCAGAACTCATTCGGTTGCTGCGATTTTCTCCCAAACACACACCTTGACGCTCGTATATCGCTCGTAAGTTGTTCGTAAAGTGCTCAGTAAGGCTTGTACCAACGGTTTCGCTCCAACATCAACAGCAGCGGCAACAGTTGCGTTTCCAAAGCCTTTCCAGTCTCGGGCGACAACGCGATATAGGTCGCTGCTGTGGGCGTGATCGCCGCTCCTCGTTTCGTCCACGCACACCTAGACAGACGTTCTGTCTCGCCTTGCGCACTTGGAGCAGCACACACAGCGTCGTTGTGCTTTGAGGTGCTGAGCTGGGTACCTTCTGATCCTTCACGTCCGATCAGGTGAGGCGGGGGTTTTCGAAGAGTCAATTATTGAGTGGACGGAGAACGCTGTGCGGCACTGACTTCGTCGAGTGCGTCGCTGACGGACGTGCTACGTGTTGCTCGAAGCGCCTCTGTGCTCGTTCGCCTCAGGACGAGTAATCCACCACCATGAGCGTATCTTGTGGACGGCGGATCTTTTCAGACATTGTGCGTCAAGTACGCACGTTTGCTACCGTGGGCGTAGACGCTCGCTCGCTTGCAGGTACACGCAACGCCACGGTCTGGCGATCGTACCGCACGACGACGTTGCAGTACCCGCGGCTTTGGGAACTGCGCGCTTCGCGCTTCCTCTCAGGTGAGGCGGTGGAGGCGAGTGCAAGCAAACGCAAGCCCCATCTGAATGTTGGCGGTATGGGTCACGTTGACCATGGGAAAACTACGCTCGCGGCAGCGATTACGAAAGTGCTCGCCGAGACTGGTGGAGCCCGGTACACTGCTTACGAAGAGATTGACAAGGCACCGGAGGAGCGCGCCCGCGGGATCACGATCAACGCTTCGCATCTCAAATACGAGACTCCATCACGTTCGTATGCACATGTCGATTGCCCTGGGCATCGAGACTTTGTGAAGAACTTTATCACGGGTGCGGCACAGGTCGACACCGCGATTCTCGTGGTCAGCGGCCCGGACGGCCCGCAGCCGCAGACTCAAGAGCACGTACTGCTATCGAAGCAGGTAGGTGTTCCGAACTTTGTTGTATACCTGAACAAATGTGATATGGTCGACGATCCGGAACTTTTGGACTTGGTCGAATTAGAGGTGCGTGAACTACTCAGCAAGTACGAATACGATGGCGACAACGTGCCGATCGTGCGGGGCTCTGCCCTGAAGGCATTGCAGGGCGATCAGAGCGAGCTTGGCTGTGGGTCCATCCACAAGCTCCTGGAGATTCTCGACAAGGTCCCAATACCCAAAAGAGACCTTGAAAAACCGTTCCTGATGCCCATTGAAGATAGCTTTAGCATTACTGGCCGAGGAACGGTGGTTACGGGACGCGTGGAGACCGGTATCCTACGCCCTGGTGATGAAATCGAAATCGTCGGACTTCGTCCTCCCGAGGTAGCACCAATGCGCACGATCGTCACCGGTATCGAGACTTTCAAGCAGTCGCTTCCTTACGCAGAGGCTGGCGAGAATGTTGGCTGTCTGCTTCGCGGGGTCAAGCGCGAAGACGTGTTGCGCGGTCAGGTTCTAGCGAAACCGGGAACCTCCAGAGCGCACCGCAAGTTCGAGGCTGACGTTTACATTCTTACTCAGGAGGAAGGCGGCCGCCATACACCATTCTTCAGCAACTATCGTCCTCAATTCTTCGTGCGGACTGCAGATGTCACAGGACGCTTCCTTCTGCCGCCAGAAGTGGAGATGTGCATGCCAGGAGATCGCGTACGATGCGCTGTTGAGCTCATCTATCCGGTCGCGCTGCAGGAAGGCTTACGTTTCGCTGTTCGTGAGGGCGGCAGGACCGTCGGTGCTGGGTTGGTTACGAAAGTCATCGAGTAAACTGCTGTGGATTTCTGCTGACGAGCATGCTACGAGTGCGAGTATTTCGTCTTGTCTGAACAGATACGAGGCCACGTGCTTTCGCTTCCACGCCGGGCGAGAGTCATTTGCCCAGGGTCTTGCAGTTGTTGGTGACGGGCTTTGGCTCTGTCACTGAAAATAGGACGTTTCACGTGGATATTAGGGACCGAAACGCTTCGTGCACTGCAATGAATGCATCGTGGGAATCTCTGCTGTGTACTCTGCGAACAGAATATTGCCTGCACGACACCGCGCAGCACCAGTACGCACAACCGTGTGGCGACGGTGTGTAGAGTCGGGTTCAGACGTCGATAGCTGTTCCGCTCGAAGGCCTAGAGCCCAAATCGATGCCGTGTATGTTCGGCAAGTTGCGTCGCGAATCACTTCGAACGATCTCCGGCATCATTCCTCGGAACACCAGACTGGTGTTCTAACGCTAGAGCAGTCCCATTACTGCGTCTGTGTTCGGATCCTAAAACAATTCCTGCAATCCTGATGGACATAGGTTTTGCCTGCGGCAGTCGGAGGACTCGAGTCGACGTTCTTCCTCCGACAAGCTGCACCGCAATGCTGTCTCCATCATATGCTGAGTCTTGTCGACCAGAAGAGGCACTCTGGGTGCTTGGACTTAAGGGTAGCTAGCGACTTTGTATCCGTGCAAATCAAGCACAAGAAGAATCAACAAGGTCATTTAAAAGAGCTTCGTCAGCAGAGCCGTCGTCGAAGGGGGATATTCTCTCGCCAGGCGACGCCTATTCCCGCGCCACATGCCAGGGTACCGTTTATGCCAATGAAGCTCTCTCGATGTTGGCGCTCAGAACAAGACCGGTTTCAGAAGCTTCTTCCGAGAAGTTGAAGGGCACCCCGCTCCTTCTGCACGTCTTCACGACTCTTCCAACGTCTGGCGAACAAGGCTTCGAACCCGCCGTCGGTACGCATCGGGTTGTTCGCGCCACTCCTTAGCAGCATCTATATTCGCGGGTGATTCGTCATTCGGGGACGCGAGCATGCTGATCACAGATAGTAGAATCGACTCAACAGTATGAACAGGTGACCAACGTTCGCCGGCCATTTCATACCCGTGTGGGTCGTCACCCGGAGGATGCAGAATGCTGATGCAAACTTCGCCGTTTCGGTAAACGTTCGGATGCCAGGGTATTGGCGGCAAAAACCTCATTCTTGGCGGCAACATAGGGTACTCCGGTGGAAACGTAAGCTCCGCTCGAAACAGGCCCCCCTCGAAGGGCGTGTCTGGAGGGCCCAGCACCGTAACAGCCCAACGGAAGGGATCGTCCTCCGAAACGAGTCCCGCGCTGAAACCGTCCACGGAGCTCTTATTCAAGTCCCGAAGTTGACGGGTGAGAAGCAGCGCCGCACGCGAAGAGTTCGCGCTCATTGTCTCCGCTGCTAGCGAACGCCTTTCAAAAAAAAGGTTGCTCCCGGCAGTGTACAGTAGCGGCGAGTGACCCGCCCTAGACGAGACGTCTCCAACTGAGGTGCAGACGCCTGTCGGGCTTTCTCGACCGGCCACTTACTACTCTTTTCCATTCTTGTCTCATATAATTCCACTTTGAGCGATTGTCCAACGAAGTTCTCTCGTGTCTAAGCTGTAGGTCTATTACCCGTCACCGCGCATTTTTCTCATATTGATTGCGGAGTTAAAGTCTCGGTTCACGAAATCCATTCGTTTCTTGCCATCACTGGATGTACTTACTACGGCAAGTTGTCCGAGAACTTTCGCCCTCCTTTCCATTTGCTCTTCTGTCAGCGCTCCGTACTTTGCTATTTCCTCAGGGCTCCTCTGGCACTTTTCCATCTTCACTCTCTGAAGTGTACAACCCAGCTCATGGTGAGTATAGGACGTTCGAAACTCCTCTACCCGTATCATAACGAAACGACGTGCGCACTCCTTGTACACCCTCGTCGTTGGAGCTAGCGTAGTTCCTTTTTGGGTCTTCCAGCGCCCTGCTCGATACGCTACTACGAGCCTCTGACTGTCATCCTCCATCAAGGCACTCAGCTGATTGAAAAAATTCGCGACCGCCCGCTGCTTCCCACAATACAAATTCATTCGCAAACGAGCCCACCGGGGCTTGGTATACTCTTTCCACAGCGTATCCCAGTGCGCCATGCGAACTTCCATGACTTTCCGAAAAGCTTCAAAGTCCGCTCCTCGGCAAGTCACCTAGCTCCAAGCTTCCAGGTGATCTTTCATTCCTGAAATCCATGTCTCGATTTTCTTCCTCGCATTCATGATTCCCGAGTCTTGATAGTATCTCCCTCTCGAGAACCTCAAAAGACGCATGTCTTTCTGACGTAAGTTACCATCAGTACCATCTTCCGCACGCTTCAATGCTGCGATGGTAATGATATTCGTATTCCCAGGGTCCGCGCCAACGACAAAGTCGTTATCTAGCACTCTCTGGGTCGCAGGGCCCACCTTCTTGTCTTCTTCATGCTTCACCGCGTCAACGACAAGGTCTTTATCCTGCATTTCCTGCGTCGTAGAATCCGCCTTCTTCGCATCTTCATCCTTCGCCGCGTCAACGATAAAGTCGTTATCCTCCACCGCCTGCGTCGCAGGACCCGCCTCTTGGTTTTCTTCATGCTCCTCTGCGTCAACGGCAAGCTCGTTATCCTCCACCTCCTGCGTCGCAGGACCAGCCTCCAGCTCATCTTCATCGTTCGTCACGCCAACGACAAGGTCGTTATAATGCACCTCATGCATCGCAGGATCCGCCTCCTACTTTTCTTCAGCCCTCGTTCCGGGCGCAGCCGATGGAGGGACTGGACGATCTTTCTTCAACCGTCGATAGTGTACGCACACGGTTACTCCATCGGTTTCGATCATCCCAGTGAGCTACTTTTGCTTGCTCGTTTTGAGACGTTTGAAACCGAAGATATTCTTCCAGTACGTCTCCCGGTTTTCGCCGGTGAAGTGCTCCCTACTAATATTGAACTCCGCACTGATCTCCTTTATGATGCCGTAAAGGACCGCGGAGTCGATCGTCATAAAATGAGCCTTGATGTTGCACAACGGAACGACATTGAAGCACTCACCCAATAGGAAAGCCTTCCGTCTCTCCCATTCTTCATTTTTCCTCACTCAGCTTCATCTCCGCTTTGCGTTCGAGCTCTCGGCCCAGAAACACAAAATACCGCCGGAAGATGCGATAGTATCTTTCCTTATCTTTTTTCAACTCTGATATCTTGTCTGTTGGATTCACCAGCCCCAAGACTGCACGATGCTCTTGTATAGCCGCACGGGTTACAGATACTTCATTCGTGCTCCTTTTTTGACGTCTTCTTGTCGACGAATTCGACGTAATCTTCATGCTGGCGATCTTTCGTGATGCCACTGATGATCGACCATATCCCCTTGCGAGAGATGCCCGGGTTGAGTGCAAACGCGGTGCGTATCATGAAACATGCGAGGTTCTCTGTCAAATGGTTCTTCAGGTTCGTGATGTACTTCATTGCCCCATATGTGTAAATATGCGAGTCACCCCTGCGCCGAGCACCCTCGAAGCGGAATACCGCGAAGTTTTCGTGGAGAGTATGCATTAGCACATTTTCCCTCCACGTTCCCGCTGTACCATGCATCAGGTATCGAAAAGACGTCTTGTCGAAGAACTCGCCCGGAATCTCGACCGTTTCCATCTGCGTCATTTGTTCGTACATCTCCCTCGCCAAATGCATCAGTCCGGAAGACGCCTTGGCAATACTCTTGGAGTACGAGTCGACATGCTTTCTGATAGCGTCTCGCAACTTTTCCGTATAGGGATGCTTGATATGTCCAAGAAGAGAGGTTTTCACCACTATCTCGTGGTACAGTTGTCGTTCTTGCAGCCTTCGACGTAGGGCCTCCCATTTTGCTTCTTTTTCTTTTGCTCTTCGTCGGGACTCGGCACTGTATTTGTTTTTCTGGCAGCCGGCGACAATGGCGCTTCAGGATCGTGGACTTGCTTTTTCATAGCTCTCCTTTTTTAGGTATTTTCGAAAAAGAACGCTCTTTGAACCCTTCTGTTATATACTGCGAAAAAGTACTTGACTAGACTTGTTTGAGGGCTGAAACAAAAATGAACTGAAAGACTTTACTTGGCTAAGAGCTCAACGGAAATCCAACTTTTTCTGGCAGAACAACACGCTCGTTACTAGGATCGCGTTTCCCTTCAACGGCGGCATGCGCGTCGTGTCAGTTCACTGCCTGATCTCCGAGGCGTGCTCCCTGAGCGCGATGCGTGCACCGCGCGAGACGCTGCACCGATCCATGAAGGACACGTGTCCGACACCGCCTTGGCATATGCGTATTCGCACCGCACTGCAGCTGGAATAAAGTATCGTAGATTGGAAACTCACGTAGAATGATCTCTTGCCATAGGCTCTGGCGGCGGTGCCAACGCTACTGCCCATCGCAGTACCGACCTGACGTACAAGGGGATTTTGGGGCCTGGCGAGATACCCCTCGACGCTTCTATAAAAAGCGTTGCGTTCTCTGCGGCTTACGCTTGTGTGGATAAGGAAAACATTATTCTACTCAATGGGATTTTCGTTAGTTTTATTGATCGTAAACAAACAAGGCACGATAGGATTCCTGAACACGGATACACGTTTAATCCCGGTGCTTGTTATGCATGCGGCACGGACGCTGGAATAACGAACTGACCTGAGTTGTGCTTCTATCCTGCGTCACGTTCTGGAACTGATGGCAGATCAAGTCATTTCCATGCTATCGTCGTTGTCCAAGTTATGGCGCCCGCTACTCTCCCGGATCCTGTGATCTTGGGAGAGGCATAGCATACATAGAGCGTTCATACGTGGCACAGCACTTGACCAACGCATCTCACCTGGAACGATCGAGGAACCCGCCAAAAAAAGCATACTGAATTCTGATCTACTCTTTAAGATTAGTTTCAGGAGACTAACCCATACATCGAGCCCGGAAGAGACACAGCCGACAAAAAATGCTTTTGAAAAGAAAAACGCTGCTGCCCGCGGTGCACGGTAGTGGCGAGTGACCCGCCCTAAACATGACGTCTCCAACTGACGTGCAGACGCTTCCAAAATAACATACCACCGGAGGAAATTCCCTTATACCTCCTCTACGGTATTCGTCGGAGAGCCACGTCGACGTTCGTGAACGGTCGTTTAGATATCTGAGCGCAGCACTGCGGAACCCTTGGCACTAACTGCTGATGAGGTTGTTGATGGGAAGCATAGGAGTTTTGCCTAGTTTCTCAGAAAGACATTGAGCACTTGTGCTAGATGTGCTCAACGCTATGCAGTGTACGGGAGATATAGGTCAGACTCTGGACAATTGACGGGCGATCACTCTTGCAGCTACGCAAAAGAGGTTTTTGACTGGATACGCATGGTTGAGCGAACGTCTCTAGTTGGTGGCGCGTTCAGCAGCTTTGCACCAGAGGAAATCTAATGCAAGAAAATGCAAGCTCTTTTCGTTTTTGTCCCGTTGTACCAGGAAAGACACATTGTTCGCGCGCGCGCTGCAACTCGAGCACGGTTCCCGCTACGTACCGCACGTGACGGGTGCTTCGCAGACGGACAATGCCACCACTGTCAGCATCCGCTTCCCTTGTTAGTGCAGCCCTCGCCTGTAGCACGCCGGCACCACGCTCTGCATCTTCGTATGGGCCCGAAACAGTCGCAGGTCGCCGTGATCACTGGCGCGTCCTCTAGAGTCGGTCTGTATTCCGCTCGCGCTCTGATCAGCAAGGGCAACTGGCACATCGTCATGGCATGTCGTGACGTCGACCGGGCGGAACGCGCAGCAAACAGCGTGAACCTTCCAAAGGACGCCTATACAGTGCTGCATTGTGATCTGGCTGATTTCGCCTCTGTGTTGAAGTTTGCGAGAGAGCTATCGAGTGTGGCGCGCGTGGATCACCTGGATGCCCTGATCTGCAATGCCGCACTCTGGCATCCGCGGGACAAGAAACCGCTTCTCACGGTGGACGGCATCGAGAAGGCCATACAGGTTTGCTATCTGAGCCATTTGCTTATATGTCGGAGGCTATTGCCGAAGCTGAAAGTATCGCGCGGGCGCATTGTGTTTCTGACGACTCAGACCCATTCGCCGAATTCGTTGCCGGGAAAGATTCCCCCGCAGGCTCGTCTCGGTGACTTGTCTAGTCTAGCCGCGGGGCTTGGTCCGCGGACGACGGGCATGGTGGACAGTGGCCCGTTTGAGCCCACAAAAGCCTACAAAGACGCCAAAGCCGCGAACGTTTTATCAATGAAGGCGCTCAGTGATCGATACGGCCGCGACGGGGTGACCTCTGTGGCGATTTTCCGGGATGTGTCGCCGACAGCAACCTCTTCCGCGAAAAGCGTGGCTGGTTCCGATACGTATTCTTCCCGATTCTTCAGAAGTATATC